GTTGTACAAGTCGTTGCTGGTGCTAGAGGTCTCGGTGCTCTGCAGCAGACGAGCAGCAAGGGAACGCAGATCACAGTGCGTGACTTCAAGGACTTTGGAGGTTTAAAGAGACGCGGGCAGCTTGGGTGCGACTTCTGAAACAGATCTACTCAGCTGGATACAGCCCCAAAGATGCAGGAACATCGTGTCTTTATAGCTCTGTAAAACCATGGGGGAAATTGCGTGCGTCAGGATTCTGAACACTGGAGTGGTCCAAGATTTGCTTTTTTGCATGTGGCGTTCCCTCCCAGGATTCGGTAGAGCTCACTCATGAAGCGTTTGTCTTAATTTCTGCAGCCGTATAGGTCAAGCGAGTGTTTCGTCGATACGAGTCGCAGCTGATCCGAAGCCTGTACAATTGTTCACCGACAAGTGGAAGAAGGGGCTGACGGCCAATGAAGTAAGAGCGCGTCAGCGACCCATCAAGGTGTCTTGGCATTATCGAGTGAGAAAACGGTGCGCTCGGCCCGCGCCTTCGAGTCGCGATCTCAACAGAGCCTTCTAGACGACGACTGCCTCCTCGGTTTTGAAGCCTGTCGTACATTATTCTTTGTCTGAAGGCGATCTGTGTCCATATCCGACAAACGGGAACTCTTCAACGTTCGCTCTTGTGACAATCGATCAGGAACAAAGCCGATCCTTTGAGACGCGACGGCCTCTCCGAGTCCAGAAGCAGCCGAGACCTTTTCATCTGGATTTAATTGGTTCACGGCTTATTATCTCCACATCACGGCCTCGTAGAGAGCAGACATGGGTCTATCAAACGATGAACGTGGATGGGTCATGGCAAGTGTCAGTGGTGCTGGTACGTTCCAGTCCTGTTTGCCCACTTATGCATTGTCTAATTGACGGCAGCATGCATCATCGGAGCCTCCATCATTTGTGTCGACATAATCGTCAGGAAGTTTCCGAGCAAACCCAACTTCAGGATACAGGATAGTGACATATTTTTGTCATCGTCGCTCAGCTTGAGTTTTGGTGTTATGGTAATGACAGGCTTCACCTCTATACTTTCCAAGCTCGAGGCTAATGATCGCAGCTTTTCTCTGCACTTTTCAGCATGATGCCCTCGGCCAAAAGTTCTCTTCAGAAGGGTGGAATGTCACCGAAAGCAGCTGCTTGGATACTGATAGGTTGTTTCCTGGGAGGTGCTCTCGGCATTCAGGTCATCAGCCGACTTGCTCATCTGTTTATGCCATCTCATGTGGTGGACTGCGAACACTCTCACGACGAGGAACAAGCTGTCAAGGAGCCTTCTGAGGAAGACGGACAACTACGTCATGAGCAGGCACATCCTCCATCTCACGACCGCTCCCACGGCGGATCCAATTCTACCATCAAGCAACATGGTGAACACGTTCACATTCAAAGACCTAAAATCGGCACACGCAAATCCACCTCTGCCGCGGTCAATGAGAACGGTGCTGTCAATCTCCCTCCAGGCAAAAGCTTGTCCAGAAGACCCTCGCTACAAGCTCGTCTAAGTCAGACACTGTCCTCAATTGCTTCAAGATCTAAGTCGTCTTGCGATTGCGATGGTCCCTGTTATGGATTTAGTGAGCCGTGCGGCGCAGATTGTTTCAAGAATATGCAAACAAGGCAGGCAAGCACTCGGTCAATCATTCGTCAACAATTACTACGTGGTGAATCAGCCGCCTCGGAACAGACTCCTCTACTGCAAGGTATTAGAGAGGAGACTGCTCCCCGCCCTGGACACCAGAATCGTGTGGCTTCGGATACGGTCCTGCAAACCAAGAGATCTAACGGCATGCTCAATCTCAGCAACCCCGACGCTGTGGTCGAGGAGGAGTCAGATACGCATTCACTTCAGCACACAAAGTCCCACGCTTCACTATCGAGCAACCAACAGCAATCCGGCGAGCAGCAACGCCACCATCATCACGTCCCGACCAATGTGTTCGCGTCCATCGGTCTTCAGACCTCGATCGCAATCGCTCTCCACAAATTGCCCGAAGGCTTCATCACATTCGCCACCAACCACGCGAATCCCAAACTTGGCTTTTCCGTCTTTCTCGCTCTGTTCATCCACAACATCACCGACGGATTTGTTCTCGCTCTACCCCTCTACCTCGCCATCAACAACCGCGCCAAGGCAATGTTCTGGGCTTCTCTTCTTGGCGGTGCCTCTCAACCTCTTGGTGCAGGTGTCGCTGCACTCATCTTCAAAATTGCCGGCTCTAAGAATGTCGCAATCAGTGAGAACTTCTATGGAGCCATGTTTGCGGTCACTGCCGGCATCATGGCTTCTGTTGCATTACAGCTTTTCGGTGAGAGTCTTGAACTTACGCATAATAGAGGCCTTTGCATGATCTTTGCATTTGTTGGTATGGGTATCTTGGGTTGTAGTTCGGCGTTGACTGCTTGACAACATTCATATTTCCCAAGTTTCACCACGAGTACCGCCGTCTTCATGCCTATAAAAGAATTTCACCCGTCCGGAACGTCCGAAACCTATATACAACTTAACGTGAACAATACTGAGCAGATTGCTGTCTTCCGTTTGATCTTCAGTGTCCACCGCTCGACCTTGTTTGGTCCCATGTGCCACCAAGGACGACATCCGGGTCACACAGACGAAACGACACCGGCGAGTGACGGAATACGGGGTCAGAAACGTCTTCTTTGAGCGCTGAGGGGGGTTGTAGATGGGTCATGAGAAGGCACGATGATTTTATGATAACAACTTGTTCTCAGGGAGTATGGGGAGGGAAGCGTTTTTTCACAGGTAAAACTGTCCACAAAGGTCTCATCTGCGAGGAAGACAGTATGTTTCTGTGTCAAAGGTGATACCACTTTGGCAGTCCACGATACAGGTACAGTATTTCCGATATGCCTTAATACGTCCCTTTGCACGGCTCTTTATACGTTCTACCCCTACTGCTCTACGTACATCTTGTACATGTTAGTATACTCAAAGAAACTAGCCTTATAATGTCTCTCCAAGCTCGGCTCAGTAAAATTAACATACTGCATCCCAAACCTAATACTAAAACCAGAGTTCCATTCCAAATTGTCTACAAAGCTCCAAGCTAGAGCTGCGGTAATGTTGATACCTTCACTGAGTGAGATGAGTATAGCTTCCATGTAATCATGATAGTAGGATGCTCTGATGGGATCCCAGAGAATATCTTGGAGTAAGGTCTTGGAGGACTCAAAGGGCTCTGCGAAGCCAAATTCGGTGATTTGGATTGAGGGGGATGGCCAGGTGGTGTTGATATAAGACATGAAGGCTGGGAACCAGTCTGTTGCGCGGTGGAGCCAGGGTGCACGGGCGTCAGCAGATGGACCTATGGCCCAGTTGCCTTGAGCAGGTCCATATGTGTAAGTACTATTCGCACATGAAGGATACAACGGGTTGCTGGAGTTTGCAACGCAAGACTCGATGCCTGCATCAGGAACCATGTAGAACTGAGCCGTATAGGCATCATGAGCGAACAAGTCGGAAGAGCCGAGGATCACCTCCTTCTGCTGAGATGTGAATGGAGGCAAGAAGGAAGACACATAATCGTTGACAGTAGAAGGCCAATCTCCGGTAAGATACACAGGATCTGCGAACCACCCTTCGTTAAAATCCCAAGCTCTTTGAACAGCTTCTGCATCAGCAGAGCTATTCGTGAGAGGCACTTTGTAACCGCCATTGTTCTTAAAAGCGATGGAGCTGTCAGGTACAATGGACTTGCCAAGTCGATAGGCCTGCGCGTGTGCAAGTAAAATATTTCGACCACACACAAACTGCTGCTGGATGTCCGGAATAGAGAAGTTACGCCAGTAGCCCTCTGGCATCGGATACTGCGATGTGCAGATCACTATTGGTTCGTTGATAGTGAACCAATGTTTAACTCTGTCTCCGAAACGACTGTATGCCACTCGAGCGTACTCTGTAAAGTCTTCAACGATCTCCTCGCCCAGCCAACCACCATACTTGTTCTGTAATAAAGCAGGCATATCCCAATGATATAGTGTAGCCATGGGCGTAATGTTGTACTGAATGCATGTGTCAATAACATCGTTGTAGTGAGCTATACCAAGCTCATTGACTGGTCCAGAGCCAAATGGGAATAGTCGCGTCCAAGCAATTGAGAATGAGTACGCGTTGATCCCCATGGCTGCCAGACGGGCGATGTCTTTCGTGGAGATGACTGTTAGCTTCATGATGCTGACATAATGCGCAGTGTCGAGGCTTACCTTGCTTGTACATATAGTAGTTATTATCAGTGATATCTCCGGTACTGTTGTCAAGAGCAAACCCAGGGACCCGATGCATATTGACATCCCATGTCGATGGTCCCTTGCCCTCGGCTCTGGCAGCACCCTCAATCTGGAAAGCGGCACCCGCAACACCCAGGTGGAATGCCTTAGGGAAGCTCCAAGACTCATTCTTTGTGACCATGGGGACCTGACGCCCAGGAGGAAATCCATAGTTTCCAATGTAAGGTGGAGGAATTAGATCGTTCGAGGGTACTGGAGTGGCCTGGACAGTAGTAGTGGTGTTGGCGACATCAACTGGTCCAACAAAAAAGTCCCATAAATCTTCAACTCGTCAGCTGTTGTGATGCATCGGGCGTGTACCAATATAGTGCCACACAAGTTGACTTACCATCGACTGAAACTTGTAAATTGGTCACGAAAGCACTAGGATTGGCCACAGCGGTACCATTGACTGTGGTGGAGCCTGGTTCCGTGCTTGTCGAAGCGTTCGTGTAATTCTGGGCTATGACGTGTCTGGCAGAGGTAGCAAACAGCAGAGCTTTGTGGACTTTAGAGATTCTCATATTGAGTTGTAACAATATGTGAGGAGGCGGTCCTGTCAATAGCCTGGTGGCGGCATGGTTAAATACTCGTCCATCAAAGGTTGCGCTCTCGTCCTAGGCATAGCCAATACGAGAATACGCAGATGAGGGGTCAAGGCGGGGTCTGTCTGTTTACCAAATACTGAGACGAGCAAGGATTCTGCTGTTAGTTTCTGCAGTGCCGACGAAGCCAAGAACGAGGCAGGGAGGAGTGACTTGAAGCGAGCCAACAGGAGATCGAGCACTGTCTGTCTCCGTTATTTCACTGCGGGGCACCTCATCGTCAAAGCAAGCTCATACTGCCAACAGTGGAAGGCATTGACGACGAACACATCGCGTGACTCCCCAAGGGCTGACAAGATGCCGGATCCTCGATTCTCCGCAGATGATCGACACCGTATCTCCAATTGACGGACATAGAATGTAGACGTGGCATGCGGGCAAACAACGAAAAACCGACAACACGGAGATGCGTGACACCAAAGTCTTTATACAACTCCTGCAGGTGTGTCAGAGACCAGACAAAACATTGGGGGAGGGTGGTGCAGTCGAAAAGGTCGACGATGCTGAGAGACAAAAGACAAAATGATCACGGCAGGGATCGAACCTGCAATCTCTTGATTCGTAGTCAAGCGCCTTGCCATTGGGCCACGCAACCAATTATTATGGACGACCAAGGCGTGTAATAATATCTTCTTGCGCCACAGTGTGCGTACGGGTCAATCAATGTGCCTGACCCAAGATGCTGTCTGGCAGCGAGTCGACGTTATGGAAGATAAATCTGGCAAAAACGTTCTATGAAACACAGTCGCAGATAGGTACAAGCTTGCTGGATGGAACTGCGCTCACCTCTAGAGTCTCTAATCCCGCTGAGGTCGACTACGTACTCACCATTGCTCTCAGCGGAAACTACAAACTTTCCACAAGTAGCTTGCACTCATGCAGGTATACTCCACATCAAGATTTACAGGAAGACATGAGTACATTTCTTTCATTTCTTCATGATTTTCCGATGCAATCATGTCCTACGACTCGTAGAACAGGACAACCGAGACTGGTGACCAGAACCGATCGAGCTTACCATCTACGGCCTTCATTACCTCCGTCATAGCCGTTGCCTCCTTCACGACGACCGCCGTGGTGTCTGCGCTCCTGATCGTCATCATCAGGGAAGCCGCCAGGCATCTCATCCTCATCACGACGGCCATGGCCTTGACGACCATAATTGTTGTTATTGTCTTCACGTCCGTACTCTTGTCTACCAAAGCCTTCATCACGACCGTACTGTTGAGGTCTTTCATACTCGTTGCGGCCTCCGAAGTTATCGTTGCCGTAACCGGGTTGCTGCTGACCATAACTGGGGCGCTCATCTTGACGTTCTTGATGTTGAGCGTGGTAGGACGCTCCAGGGAAGCCACCGCTGTTATCAGGGCGCGAATAGGACTGTTGTTCACTCTCGTAGTCGTTGCGATGGTTGGATCCGTGCTTTCTATGCGATCGGCGCTCATCATCGTCATCGTCGTCGTCATTTCTTCTGCCGTGATGCTTTTCTTCAGTCTGGTAGTACTCTCCAGCAGCGCCGACGCTTTGCTGCTGAATCTCGCTCTGCCAGCGGCCGCCAGATTGCTCATGACGGCGCTCAGTACGCTGCTCGTAGCCACCACCCTGGGTAGGACGGACTTCGGTGCTCTGCTGGTAGCCGTGGCCAGAGTTTCCTTCCTGTTCGTAGCTGTTGTATTCGGTTCTGTGACCGCCGCCAGGGTACTGAGTGGTCTTGTATTCAGCCTGTGCAGTCTGCTCTTGACCGTATGGTCTAGAAGATGGACGTTCTCCAGTCTGCATGTAGCTTTGGGTGTAGGAACCGTCCTGGTTGTGACTTGATTGCTGGAAAGTTTGAGTCTGACCCTGAGACTCAAAAGCGCCACTCAAGAGGCTGCCACCGACGCTACCAACGAGGCCGCCAAGAACAGAGCCGAGTGCACCACCGCCGACTGCTTCACCAACGAAGTTTCCTGCTTGTTGCTCAAAGGCGCTGGTAGGACGGCTGCTGGGGCGGCCTTGGTTGCCATAGCTGTTATGCTGAGAAGATTGACCACCACTGACAAAGTCACTGATGCCTTCCATGACGGCTGCGTGGGCCGCAGCGGCAGGAGCATTGTTATTCTGCTTTTGCTGGAAAAGAGGCTTGCAACATCCGTGGCCAGAGTCCTGAACGCCCTCCTTGTGGTTCTGACCAGTTTCAACACCGCGTCTGCTGAGCTTGCGGCGAAGGTCATCTCGCTCACGCTCGGACTTTTCCTGCCACCATTGCTCGACGACACCAAACATGATGTGACGACCGTCAGCTGCACCATCGTTACCAACTTGGCGCAAAGCGGGGTGATGGAAGACACCGTTGATGATACGGTCGAGGGTCCTGGCGATGTCGACATTCTCGTTATCCCAGCACTGAACGATTTGAGGTACGACCCACTTGAGGACGGCACATCCGATCTTGCCAGCAGGTTCGTTCAGGATGTTTGAGAAGTGATCCTTGGAGAGCATAGAGTGGGTAGGATCGGAAGAATTGTCGTCGTGGAAGACGATGAGCTGCTTGTCACGACTGCTTTGAATGACCTCTGACGAACCAGTGGCCAACTCCTCTTTGACCTGGCTAATGATAGGCAGGACGAAAGGCGCGAGCAGAGAGAATACGAAGATGTTGAGCTGCTCAGTAAACTGCTCGAGAAGATCGGGCAGGATAGGGATCTTCTCGATGGCCTCATTGATACCCATCATAAGCTCGTCGTGGAACTGAAGGATGGGGTAGATCTGCTTCTGAACTTCCTGGAGCTGTTGAGCCCACTCTTCGGGCTGGCGAGGCGAGAGCTTCATGTTGCCCATCTGAGCGGCAGCAGCATTGCTCTGCAGCTCGTCGACCTTGCCCGCCTGATCCTTGCCGCCGAGGAGGCCAGAAGGGAGCATCTTGAGGAGTTTCTTGAGCAGACTTGTGTTTTGGTTCTGCGAGCTGTCGATGACGCCTTCCAGCTCTTGAATTTCGGACTGGGTAGCCTTGTCGTCCAGCTCACCCATGACAGAGTGGAGGAAATCGACACCACCAAAGGTTCCGGTGACGATGGGGTAGACTTGGTGACGGGCGCCCTGGACGCGGACTTGGGTGTTGCGACCGACGTGAGGGAAGATGTCGCGTTCGCCCAGCTCGATGAGGGCGAGCTCAGTGTAGTTTGAGTGGGCCGAGTAATCTTCGAGACAGTGGCAGGCGGTACCGAGGAGACGCAGGGCCTCGTAGAATTCCTTCTTGTCCCTTGATCTGTTGTAGGATCTGCCGAGATCGATGCAGCGGCCGAAGAGGTTGCGCACCATCTGGGCAGACGTGGTGATGCCCACGTCTTCCGAGGCGATGTAGTTCTTCAGGCCAGTCCTCTCGTCAATGCTCAACTCCCTCTCTTCATCGACGGGGGCGCGCAGTCTGCGGTCGTACTGGCGGGCGTCCTCGTTGTCGGCGTAGTCCTTGGGGTTGTCGATGTGCTCCTCGGGGCGGTAGCAACCCAGTCTTTCGGTCGTGACCTCGAACTCGCCGGTTCCGTAGCCAAAGGTGAGGAAACCTAGCACCCAGAGCAGAATGCGGATGGCCTCTGCGGAGACGTGCTTGGTGGTTCCTACATCGACGGCTTGCGAGTAGTCGCGCAGCCAGTTGCCAAAGTAGACACGCTTGACGTCGATCTTGCTGAACTTTGCACCTTTGGCGTATGCGTAGGAGCTGACGAGGGTGAGAAGGGTGTCCTCGATGTCACCATGGCGGAAGTTGACGCCTTCGACATTCGAAACCGAAGCAATGTTGCCAGCACCGAAGGCATGGGTAGGACGGGCATGGAGCAGGAACAGCAGGAAGACGGCTGTGACAGCAAAGCTGCTGCCAGATGCTGAGAAGATAACCATGCTTGAAGATCCTCAATCGATGTCGACAAGCAGGAGTGTGAAGGTGGAAGGGGTTCAATCGAGAGCTCCCCTCGCCAAGGGCTAGGCGCGTTTCACTGCACTTGGCATCGTCGCCATGCACAAATCACAAATCGTGACTTGTGTCCGTTGTGAAGTCGAACAGGCTCACCCACAGACTTTGAAGTGGCATTTTGTTCTCTCTCCGATTGCCACGTCGTCGTCCAGTTTGCGTCAGCAAAAGACACTTGCCCCTCCCTCCTAGCAAAATCTTGTCCAGCGTCTGTTCAACCCCACCAAAGGGGTCCAAGCTCCCCAGACACAATGCTGTGCTCTTTGCGAAACCCTCGTCCATGTTATTAATGTAAAGTTGCTGCATTTTTACCGGATCTGACTCTGTCAACTGAGCAAGATGATACTTGGTTCAGTATCGCGACCTTTCCAACCGGAACCGTCTTCTCTTTGGTCCATCAACACCGAAATCAGCCTCCTACTCGCACGGGTGCATATCTTTGCAACCGACATTGTAACAATGCCCTTGTCGCGCTTGCAAGTCGCTTCACCATTCCTAACAGTCTTGCTTCGGACCATGACTTCCGCATATGAGGGAGCAATAATGTAGACACTCTCTTCAACTCTACCTGACACCGTCGATCCTTCCGAACGAGGAAGGTATGGTAGCATGTCGCCTGTCCTCTTTCGAGCTCCAGGTCGCTACAAAACTCCAACCAAAGTCCGACTACTTGCCACTCTGCATATGTTTGCCGCGAAGAATATGGCTCATGCGCTTGTTGATCTCAATCATCCGCTCATCCCGTGGCCTATTCTATATCGGACCTCTGCTGTTGTGGGACAGTTGTGCTCGACCAACATGCAGGGTCCACTTCCCAAATTGACTGCCGCGGCTGCAATGCGAATGCCTCTGCAACTTCGCTCGTTCCATTGAGTGTTGATCACCTGCCCAAATCCTACCACCACCCTCATCAGGCTGTCTTGACCCGCACGTCCACGGACCCCAATTTCCTGTCTATCGCTCTGATTATCACACGTGATACAGGCCTAGACAGGAAGGAGGCCCAGTCTATCAACCAAACTCACTGTGGAGACGAGTCGGCTCTTGCCTACCACCATCAGCCGCTATTACTGATAACAAGCTAACTCATGTAGTCTATGGCCATAAGGTCCTCGACTGTAAAGACAACATCCCTTTGCCGACGAGCACCTGCACTGTATCTTATGAGCTCTTTCGGACGATCTGTTTCGGCGTCGCGCAATTAAGCAACCTCGAATAACGTTTGTAGGTGGTCGAGTGCTCACTATGCAGAGCCAGGACATCACTTTTGAGAATGCGCCACTATTCGTCAAGATTGCCCGTGTCGATTCGCTCTCGCGTTACAACCGGACAGCTACAGTCTTCTTCTTCCATCGGCAAGTAGTCAAACAAAGGTTCTCCAAACCAATTGCCCAGTTGTCAAAATGTCAGAAGGTTCTACAATGAGACTTCTGAGAAGTCCGAGATTTTTCAAAGCTGAATGGGTGGTTCACTGCTCGTACACCACCGATCTGATACTTGATCCGGCGGTAGCTCCGCCTATAAACTTCGACACTGTTGTTTCAACCTCCCTTGGCACCACGCGTGAGTAGTCAACGGTTGAAGCCAGTGTTGCAAGCCATGACCTAGACAGCGTGTGGTAATGAAGGATGTTGGATCTCGAATTCAGCAGCGGAGAGTCAGAGATAGAGTCAGAGTCAGGGTCAGTCAGGGTCCGGATTGAGTCTAGGCGCTGGAGACTGCTTTGCTTCCCATCTGGGGCTTTCTCAAAAATACAGCGAGAAATGTCAGCAGGACTAAACGCTTGGATAATCCATGAGTAGCCTCAAGTTGTATAAGCTTTGACAGAGTCTTCGCAGACCATGATCAAACATGACTGTGAGTCAGCGTAGGAGAAGTTTTGTTCTCATATAGCTGGAAAAGCTATAAGAAGGAGAGAAGGATGAATGGAAATGTGCATATGTCTGCCAAGATATCGTGCACGAGTCAGTGTTGGGAACAGCCAATCGTACTTCGTTCGGGACACAAGGTAGCTTCCGTAACCCAGTCGTTTGGACGGCAAGAGCGAGACCCACAACCCAACGACTCGGCGTCCTTTGTGGTTGTGCCGCATGTCACGGCACGCTAATACGGAGAACGTGCATGGCTGCTACTTTTGCAGAACTGTACTCCATGATTCTGGACGTCTTCTCCTGACTCGCAGCAAGAGCTCGGCATCGATGCTGATCGAGGAGGTGGTACTCGTACGGGCCATTGGATTGTGGCCGCAGGACAACAACTCGCGCGCAACGTCGCAGGGTCATCTAAGACACAGGTCAACACTCGGTTGTCGCGACGTTGATCCTCGTCAAGGCAAGCAGAGCTCAATCTATTTCGTCAATTAACATACCAAGGTCCCTGCTGATGCAAAAAAAAGCCGGGATGCCTGGGGAACTAGGGTCACTCTGTGCATCGCGCTTTGATCCGCGGTCCACTACACACTGAAACAGGTACCGGTACATTCTTTCCGCACAGAATTGAGATTGACCATCATCAGTGATGGTGGGATCCAGTCGGAAGCCGGCTCTACAACCCGCTGGCTGGGTTCGAGGACTCTAGGACTCGACAAGTTCGCTCTTGACTCAACCTCCTCGTTCTCTGTTGTGACACCTGTCTTTCAATCCCTCTGCATACTGCTCTGGACTGCTGAGTTATCGCCACTAAATCGAACATACGACTCGGGTTTGTGCACGACGACACACTCTGATATCTAGGCCGCATTCATTTGCGTCCCCAACGCCATTAGCTGGGTTGACACAGCCGTCTGAATCCTCCAAGTCACAGACCATTCTGGTCTAGGTAAAGTTCGGACGCCGGCAAGGCACAACGGTTTCTGAACCGGAGATGTGCCTCAAGTCTAACCTTCTTTAAGCTATCGAAGTCCCCTGGTCTCCACACACCTGCTGTGTTCCTGCGAGTCACCTTTACATACATCTTCTCTCTCCACGCCCCTCTGTTTCAACTCGCCAAATCCATCCACAGACGTGCCACCGCTTCCATCTTGGAGCAAGGTCCGTTCTGCAACATCTGGACAAACCCTGATCATCACCACTACACGTCTGGCCTTAGAGCTCTGGTCGAGAATTCGTCATCATGTCACAGGATACCGGACCACGCTTGGCTGCGACTGTCATCGTCTTGTCCGTTCTGGCCTATCCGTTACTGGCTTTGCGAATATATATCAGATTAAGCACGAGAGCATGGGGTGCTGACGATTGGTCAATGCTGTTCGCGGCCATTCCTTTCACTGCTCTCACGATATCATGTCTTGGTGGTGCCTTCAACGGCGTGGGTGGCCATGAAGCTGAGCTCGGTGCCGCGCAGACATCAGTTGGTCTCCATGTAGGTTCACGATGTACCGGATTAGATATGCCTCGCGGGAGCTAACCATAGATAGTGGTTCTTCTTCTTCGAAGTCTTTTACTGCATTGCAATCGTACCTATCAAGCTCAGTATCTCGTTGATGGAGATGCGAATCGCTACTAGTAAAAAGAGCTATGTTGTCGCTCTGTGGGTCACGTCCGCCATGTTCATCATCATGAACATCATCTCCTTGTTTGTCATCATCTTCCATTGCGATCCCATCTCATGGGCATGGGATACAACAACTCCTGGAGGAAAATGCAACTCTACATCCGTTCTCACCAACATCTACTATGCCGATACTGCCGTCAACATTTTTACTGACTGGTTCTGCGCATTGCTGTAAGTTGTCATGAGCCGATATATCCTCCTTCCGTCTCTGACTTCTATTATCTAGACCTATTCCTCTTCTGTGGTCAATCCAGCTAAATCGCAACTCGAAGGTGTCGGTGGTTTTCCTGCTGAGTCTTGGTGTTCTTGCCAGTCTTTCTGCTTGCATCCGTCTCAAGTACACCGTCAATCTTAACAATGCCGAGGATTATATCCATGGCGTTGGTGACATCGTCATCTGGGGCTACGCCGAGAATGGCATCGGTATGGTTGTCGGATGTCTGAGTACTCTGCGCCCTTTATTCCGCCGTGTCTTCCACCTTGGAAGCTCAACACCTGGTGCCTCTTCCAAGATGAACGGAACACGTTCCAAGGTCGGCCGCCGCAACTACGTCAACTGCGAAGCGGGCTACGAGCTTCCTGAAGGCGTGCGTCCCGCCGATAGAGATGTCGTGGTGAAGGGAGGCACTGTCAACGAGACCAGCATACGCGACTCCGACTCCGAGGAGCACATTCTCTCCGACTACCCTGGCATTAAGATGACACGGAGCGTCTTGCAAGAGACAAGCTTCGCCACCAATACTACTTCTGGTACCAGCCCGTAAGGAATGACATGACCGTGACTGGATATGGATGCATGTTGGCACAACGAAAGGGACTTGAGGGGAGACTCGATTCTCATAATGAGCACTTATATATATTCTTCTTTCTTTTGTCGATACCCTTCTAGACTACCCGCTATACCCCATTTCTTTCTGGTCTTTATCTAATTACTTGCTCGTCAAAGTCCCAATAGACATAGACGTCCAAGAAGTCCGTTTCACACATATCAACTTCATATCGAGAAACCTATCAATTCATTCAGAGGTTCAGAAACTATGTTGAATGCTTGATCACACCCAAGCATCTGCCGAGAAATTTTACTTTTCAATTTTCTGCTCGAGCGCAGCTCTCTGACCATGATCTCCAACTTTATCGCTTCACTCTTGCATCATCTTTCCCCCAACATACTTTCCGTTCTTCTCTTAAGCCTCCGTCATTGCAAAAGTCAAAAAGTCATGTTTTGTTGCAAGCGCTCGCACGGCCATAAGATGGGGACAAGGATTTATTCGCTTGATCGATTTCGCAGACGTCAAGATAGACACATAATTCAAATCTTTACCCGTTGCGGGCTCCCGCAAACTCACACATCTTTAAATTTCTTGAAACAGTGGAGGGAAACTCAATTAGCGAAAGTCATGAACTTTGAAAATCGCGATACTACGCTCCTCGTGTGCAGAATACTGTCACACCCTCTCTCTAAATTGATCAAAGCAGGCCAACGACGAGTTTTGGAAAGGCACAGTCATGTCTTGCATCGGCAGGGAGTCGTTGGCACGAAGTATCTCGATGACATCATTGCAAGTCGAGAAAGTATCGTGCCTTGAGGTAGCTACGAGTGTGACAGTATTCCGCACACTAGGAGGACAGGTCTTGTGAAGGCACACTGATACGGGCATCAAGTGTTCCTGTCTGGTCAACTTCTGTGGCGCGATGACGAAGGTGGAGGATGAAAGTGTTTAGGCTGTTGATTTGGTGAGACTATCGTGGCTTGGTTACGAGCTTTGATTTGTGATATGTGGAGCTCGACCAAAGGGTCCAGAAGGTGAATGCGGCTTCCACAAATGGTAAGATGCCACGATCGCGACTGCCGTTGGTGCATAAGACAAGACTACTCGAAAACATGGAGTACGGGAGCCAAATCTCCCCACTCATGGCGATTAACTCTCATGTCGCACTGCACGACTCAGGATACCTTTGCGGGTTCTTCAGAGTTGGACTTTGTTCATGTGTCCACTGGTCCATCCCTTGACATCGTGGAAGTCCATAATCTTGCCTTCGCCACCATGTCTATCTTGAACTGTGGCCGTTATTAGCAACTACTCTCGAGTCAATCGATACGAGAAGACACTTACTAGCCTGCCAATCTCTCCCTACGGCTTGCTCTGGTCGCCACCTTAACCCATTCTGCAGCCTCTCCTCGATCACACCTTCTAGTCGGTCAACTATCAACTGTCCGACTACTGGCATCATCATGAATCCCATACCCGATCCGCCGGCTGCAACCACTAATCCATCCTTACCTTTCGGCCTGTCAATCAAGAACTGACGATCCATCGTGTCCGCATCCCAGCAGATTCTTGCAAAACTGAAGTCGCGATCTGCAATTTGAGGCATCGCTTCCTGCAGGAATTTACGCACACGTGTCTCACTCTCGACTGGGATTTGATGACGAGCAAATGGCTGAGAGTGCATTGTACCTTCATTGTAGCCAGGAGTCGCAATGTTGACCATATTGATGTACCCTGGATGCTCGTCGCAGACCTTGAGCTCGCGTTTCTCGGCATCTGGTTCAACAGAGAAACCACGTTCGGGATTATATAACACTGGAAGACCCTTGAAGATGGCAGCTTCCTCGACCGAAAGCGGGACGTGAGCCAATGTCCATGCAGTAGGTCGAATTTGCTGCTCAAAGTCGAATAGCAGGTCACTGTTCGCTCCTGCGCATAGAATCGTTTGATCGGCGCGATGCGATATACCGTCTGCTGTCTGCGCGCCTGCGATGGTGTCTTTGTTGTCAGAGTGAATAAGCGATGTCACTTTTCCCGATGAGGGGCCGGTGATGAACCTTACGCCCAGTCTTGAAGCCTCCTCATAAGCAGACATCATTGCACCTCGAGCAAACACCCATCCGGCGCCATGGTCTTTCCAGAAGCCTCGCCAGTCTGGGAAGTCGCCCTGCAGCACGCCTTCCGGCATAGTCTTTTTGAAGTCTTCGGGTGACTCTAGAGAGATCCACTCGCTCTCTGTTCCCTTGGTATATCCTTTAATGTGTTCGTACACATCATCGGATATGGCGCTAAAGATTATGCCAGTCGGATGGTAGAATGCCTTGAAGACGTCATCATCCTTCCAGTACTTCGTTGTGATTTGATGCATTCGGTTCCATAGATATTGTTCTTCTGTGTCGTCTTGTGATGGTTCGCCTTCCTCCATGATCTTGTTGACATCATTGCCTGCTGAGATTGGCGACGGAATTGGGTGTGCTTCCAGTAACGTCACATTCTTGTAACCACGACGAGCGAGGTGGAGAGCTGTTGAACAACCCCAGGTACCGCCTCCTATTATGAGAATACTGCTATCCTTCGATAAGGATGCCATGGCGAGATTTGGTAGACCAAGTAACGACTGTGCCACGTCTTGCGAAAATGTTGAAGTCGCGACGCGGTAGACGACACGGTCTTCATCACAGCCCCTTCTCACGATCTCGAATGTCTACGTACCCACCTTGACCGCGTGAAAGCGGGCCGTCGCAACAGCACTATCGTTTCCAATCACCACTTTCCGTGGAGGGCAACTTGATGTACGTCGACACAATATTCAGTTGCATGTTCAGGACAAGTCTCACAGCTGGAGGATTCGCGTTGCGCGAAGAGGCAGGTCCAAGCGTGGGATGTTCGGGACGGCAAGGGTTTGTCTGCAACGTCGCTATGCTCGGCGCACTCGTCAGCAACGATTTGTCACTAACATGGCGACATGTTCTTCCATCTCAACACGTTCTATCCCTCCATCGCGCTCGCATAACATCACCGCTCTATATGAAGTGCTAGACAAACCTTCCAAACTCGAAATAGCACAGGGAGACTGGAGTCTCTCTCACGTTCGAGATTCTGACGACTTTTTTCAGTGAAGGTGTCCACGATGTCGCCCAACTCAAGGCACTTTTTGGAGTTCGAGGTATGAGAAACAATTTTCGGCCACGTCGTCCACATTTCTTCTCATATACACCCAGAGTCTATATACTCGGCTCAATACAATCCATCTGCATCTCATGGAGGTATAACAGGCCATGAAAGACCAAACGTCGAGGCAGAAGAGCAGCAAAACACTCCGAGATGCTAGTTGAGAGTAGCACCCTGACCACGTCGTGAAGGCCAAATTATCGAAGGCACACGCTGGTCTTCATCAAAGCCAGAACATGTTGACGGGATATGCGAACTCGAACGTCATCTTCACCAAGAACACTCATGTGCTACGCTGACACCAAGTCTGCTCACAATACGAGAGGACACTCCACCGAGCGGATCTGACAAACAGCGGCTATTGTTGGGCAAGGCAACAACACCTGGTCCGTCTCAACACTTGTTCACGCGTGTCTGCGCCCAGAGACATCGTCTGTGTATATCACACTATCCCATGTAGGACATCGAAATTCGTATTTTATGACGTGACTCTTTCGTGGTTGGTCATCGATGACTCTTTCAGTTTTCAGGGCGAAATGGGCTTCATGGACGGTAGGAGTGTTGGACGAGAGTACCCTTTGTCCACGGTGAGGCCCAGGTGTGTGAGTCGAGGGTCGAGAAGAGCGATCGGAGCGCCGATTGTCGCGGCGATGTCGATGAGAGAGCAGTAGACGGGGACTACCCTGAAGCTCGCAGCAGTATCGTATACCAGTTTCTGATATTGTAAGCAGCGATGGTAATGTACCGACTTGGACCACGGTTGACCAAGTGCCTGTCCGTGTGCTAAATTCTGCCACAGCGACAACGAGCTGTAGCAACGCATAGTCAGATCTTATACCGACACACCTAACGCAGCAAGTAGTTGGAAAGGTGTATCTCGGTGCTATCGCTCCAGATCCAGAGATGCTCGTGCCTTGATACAGCTACAAGTGTAACAGTCTTTCGCACACAGAGAGTTCTGTACAGAAGCTTGCCGGTTCGCTGCGACATTGCCTGCAGGACAGGATCCAGGCTTCACTAGAGTGCCTGAGCAGCTCTCGTCAGCAGACCAGGATGCTCTACAGAGACCTGTATCCCTCTCATCAGCATCGGCGAGTGATTCAGCAAAGACACTTCTTCCTAGTCGAACGACGCATCTCGGCTCCAGCCATCACGGTGGTCATACGATGGAGCTCACCAGATCCCAGTAGTGCTGCCTACCTGTCGTACATGCTTGGCACCCATCATATCCAGTACCCCAACCAAAACCTGCTCAGTGCTCTCAACAAATCAACACTGTCTCTGGCTGAGTCATCCCTCTCCACGACCAGCTATATAAACCTCCTCCTCCTTGCAACCTCTCCTGCTCATCATACTTACCTTTTTGGGAGCACAGCGATCAAGCAGGCTGGCGCTCTGAAGAGACTTCGTGCATTGCACAGCGCGCAGAAGACTCTTCATGGATGTCCTTCGGGGCCTCTACCAGAGCAATTTTTGATATCAAACACCTTGTGTGTCTACCTTTTCATTGATTTGCCAGCTTGGTGCTGGTGATTGAAGAAGAGCGACAGGAGTTTGTTGGCCGAAAGGACATTTACACAATTCAACATCTATTCTACCAAGTGGCAGAATTTGGAGCACAAAAAGCGCATAATGTCATAGAAGTACACAACAAAAAGCTATGCATGATAAGGTCACTTGAAGCACAAACTAGACGGATACTCGTAGGTTATGCAATGCTATTGCTACAACAACCTGCATGAAGAATCATATCTTCCTGGCCGTTGTTTACCTTGACACACCGCTCTTTCCCGGTCAGTAATCCTACTGCGTGAGTTTCATGAGTACTCAAATGTAATTTGTCCACTAGGCGCAAGAAGACTTTCTTTCAGTCTATGCATTGAAGTTGCCCGTGACATAGTTGTTGTTCACATCTAAATTGAAAAAGCATTTGCAGTGTGTAGAATGGATCAAATGTAAAGTGTTCATAGTCGTACAAGAGCATCAACGGTGCTATCCTACTGTGGTATCAAGTGAAAAAAGACAAAACGCCAACCCATGCCATATCTCGTGAGGACTAGGTACTCGCAGTTTACAAGACGTAGACAAAAGCGCCCACACCGGCAGCGAGCAACCACATGCCAGCGGACTCAGGTCTCATAATGTTGGCAGCACTAGTAGATGCAGTGCCCTCGGCCAGAGTTCCGTTAAGGACGAGAGTCTCTGTGCCGTTGATGTTGGCGACGCGAGCGAGGGTCGAGTTGATGTCTGAGACAGATCCGTTGCCGACAATAGAATCGATGTAAGAGTTGTCTTCCTGATCGTCGCAACCGCAATCAGCGTTGGGCTCGCAGACACACTGAACGGGCAATGTGGTGTTCATGGAATCAGTGTAGGTCTGGTTCTGAGCAGCCTCGGTGCGGTTGTGGAAGTAGTAGGGATGGGCGTAAGGGTATGCGTAGGCACCGGCTCCGTAAAGCGCGAACACACCGATACCGAGAGCAGCACCACCAAGGGCATATGGGGCGATACCGCCGGGCGAACGACCGCCGCTCCTGTATGCTGATGTTGAACCGCCAGCGTAGTATCTGCCACCGCCGTATGAGGGGCTCACGCCTGATGAGCCACGGCTTCCCGAGCTGCCAGAGCTGCTCGAACTGCCCGAACTTCCAGAGCTTCCTGACGAGCCTGAAGAGGACGAGCTGCCGGAGCGACCGCCAGATGAGCTGCCACCACCACCTCTGCCACCGCCACCACCTCCTTTGCGCTTCTCGAGCGTGTTGCTGGACTCGGGTGATGTAGCGATGTCGTAACTTGAACGGATGCTAAGCGAGTTTGCTTCTTCGGGGATGACTGCGGCATTGACTGCGTTGCCGACGCTGAGCGCCGAAATGATGACATGTGAGAACTTCATGTCTGTAATGTGTATGTATCGATGTTGTTGTGAGATGAAGAGTTTAGAACGTCGAAAGCAGGTCGTATTCAAATAGGAAAGGTGATCGAGTCGTATAAATGCCCAATGGCAAAGGGAAGTTGCGATGATTGGTACACAAGTAGCAGGTGGTAGAACAAGAAGCTGGTCATAGACGGCACAACGACGCCATTATATCCAATTGAAAACCAACGCCTCCAAGCTCCCAAGCCTTTGATCCCCCCGAATATCCGTTGCCGCACCAGAGCATAATTAGGTCATTGAGGCGCAACCACAGGCAATCGAGCTTGTTTCTTCCTCCCAAGCCTTCGATCCTTCCAATTCCTCACACGCTGCGCCTTGTCTTGTCTTGACATCACGGAAGGGGCAATGCATCGAGTTGGCAGGGTCCTTCCAACAGATGCTTGGCGCGATATGCCCCCGCGGCCGAGTCAATCTGCGCTCCTTCTTTATCCCCGCCACTCGCGAGCCGTCATCTCACACAAAGCGACATCATCATTCACGTGCTCAGCGAGCATGCGGTCATTATTCATCGAGGCGTGCTTCAACGTCGAAGCCGGAGATCCTTCACATTCCTTCTTCAGCTATTGTTATCCCCGCAAACCGCCTTTCGTTTCCTAAGCCTTCGCATGCGCCTGGCTGCCGTTGGGTGCCTTCTTCGTGCGGCATCCTGGCGCGCTGCCTCGACTCGATCATCGGCCAGAGAGCATCTTGGGCTAGGCAGATGGATTGACCCGTACGCACACTGCTGTGCGAAAACATGAAAGTATACACATCGGTCCCCTCAACAACCGGTTGCGTGGCCCAATGGCAAGGCGCTTGACTACGAATCAAGAGATTGCAGGTTCGATCCCTGCCGTGATCATTTTGCTTTTGCTTCACGCTGGAGGATCTCGTGTATCACGTCTGATGAACCTCTCTATATCACGCTCTCGCGCCTCACAAGATGTTTTTGCTCTCATTCCGCATGTGCCGAGCTGAGATGGACAACAGCTGCCTATCGACTCGCCTGAACTTGTGTTGTCGTACTCTTCCACTCTCGCTCGTATTCTCTCCCGGAGCGGGACTCTCGAGATGCTTAGGCTTTTCAGAATAGTCTTGCGTCAGCGCCTTGATGCTCAGCACTAAATCTCTCATCCCCTCAGAACATTAGGCTCGTGTTGCTAGTCGAGACGGCTTCGGCACGACGCTACGAGACCATATGCTCCAGCACATAGCATGGTGAACCTGGCTCAAAAGGACGATTGTGCATGATGTCAGGCCTTTATTTTCTGGACTGCCCAAGGTATCCAGGCAGGTAAGCGCTGTTGCTCCAGCTTGTCAGGGCTGACTCACACTATTATACCGTAAAAATCTCGTCGCACGTTTTGCCATGTCGATTGCGTGGGTTGTAGCAAGTTTTACTTGCTTCCGTATAGGCTTTGCAACCCAGGCCTGTGACTCCTTCTCTACAGATTGAGAAGATGACTACCTCACGAATCTATGCAGACGACTGGAGATGAAGATTTCGGACGTCTACAGCAACATCTGACATAAAAATTAAACAAAGAGCGACCGGCCAAAATGTCGGTTCAAATCCAACTACCTGTTGACAGTCAGCACGATGTCGACAGCCAACAATCGATCGATGATGCTTCGGTCCTAGAAGGTCGCCAACCTGTGGAAGACCAACAGCCTGTTGGCGAGGAAGAGTCTACAGAGAGTCAGCCTTCCGCAGATGAGAACGATTCAGAACTCGAACACTTTCCGGAGGACGAAGCGACCCGAGTACTCAGGACCATAACCTCGGGAGAGTGGCTGAGTGGAGAACCTGCCTTCTAAGAGCCTATCAGGCTACCGGGAGTCTCGACGCAGGTCGTCTCAATCTCTCCAGAAGCCCTCTGGTTATTCCGAGAGGCTGCTCGGGATTATGGCTACATGAATCGCTTCTTTTGTGAAGCTGATGAAGCCTTTACAGACGCTGTGAGTAATGACACCGCATTTTCTCCGATTCGTACCAACTAAATCTTTACCCTAAGATGATAGATACCTATGGCACGTCAAGAGTTCCTATTCCTTTGCTGATACCTCTTAGTGGCGACGACTATATTGCTTTCTACGCGATGATTCTTAGGACTCACCAGGTTTCTAATCCGTGTTGGTTATCTTACCACGAGGGATTCAAGTCGATTATGCAAAGAGTTGCAAGGGATCTTGATATACCCACCGAGCTACCAATCGTGTACATGAGGTTGCGAAGTGCACTTCTGTACGGGTAGAGTCTGAAGGGTTTCGGGAGCTCAGGAGAAAGGGAGAGCTGCTCTACCTCTGGCGGACGGGGAGCTTATGCATCATGGGCGCACCTTGGTTGAGTCTGCCTGCAGCTCTTCTTACCCCTGATCCTCCGAGTATGAGACAATATCCGATAACGGAGATCTTGTCAAACAAAAGGACTAAGAATTATTCTTACTTACTCCTTGTACCAAATTCATGACGCTTATGGGCATCATCACGCACAGCAATTTCATGAAACACAGCAACACGCGAGAGACATCTGTGTAGGATCTCTGCTGTGGTGATTTCAGTATCCAAGATGTGACCGCGCCATTCGAAGTTCATCTCTAGCTCTGGGTTGTTTCAAAAATGATAATAGAAGTGATAGAGTTTGGTGCACGGTGAGGTCGCAAAAGAGATACTGGACAATCGGGCCCAATACAATTATGGTCAATTTCGCGTTGCTAAGCACATAAGCTCAATTCGACATTGTCAACATCGTCATATAAAAAGCAGGATAAGTATTGTTAATGGCAGTTATTTGGGAACGGGCCGAATGTGACACTTCCGCACGGCCCGAAAAGCCCATCACGAAATCTTGGTTAACCTTGCAAAGGTTACAAACCCCATCATCTGCTCTCTCTATCAACCTTGCATGGAAATCAAAGCTAGGGCAGAAATGCGATTGGCATTCCGCTGTTTCGATGTTAGTTCTAGTAATCACTGTAAATGAGGGTCTTCCTGCCTGAGAAAAAAAAAATGGTAGGAAGAAGTATAAGTTGATCTTTTTCTGCTGTTCTATCAATCGCTACTTTCAAACCACATCTTAATACCAGTCGGCTTTTCATTCCAATCATGTTGGGTCAACTTGCTACTCTCGCTCTTGTTTCTACGGCTTTTGCTGTTCCTAACGCTCTTCCCAAGTCGACACCTCGTTATGACTACATCATTGTTGGCGGCGGTACCAGTGGCCTTGTTATCGCTAATCGACTCAGCGAAGATCCGACTGTCTCAGTCGCTGTGATTGAGGCTGGTGATCAAGTGTTCAACAACACGAATGTCACCAGTGCCTCGGGATATGGCAGGGCCTTTGGAACAGAAATTGACTGGGCATATGAGAGTGAAGCTCAAGTATATGCCGGCAACAAGACCCAGATCCTGAGAGCTGGAAAAGCGCTTGGAGGCACAAGTACCATCAATGGTATGCAAAACACAAGGTGCTTACTGAGCAAAGCTAACGATACTCAGGCATGACCTACATGAGAGCTGAAAGCAGTCAAATCGATAGCTGGAAGAAGGTTGGCAACAACATCACTTGGGACTCCCTGCTCCCATACTACAAGAAGAGCGAATACTTCGAGTACCCCACCGAGGCTCAGGTCTTAATGGGTGCATCATACTTGCCTGAGTTCCATGGTACCGAAGGTCCTTTGGCCGTCAGCTGGCCCACCGAGATGGTCGGTGCCAACTTCTCATCTACCCTCAACGCAACATTCAAGGCCATGGATCTCCCTTGGAACGGAGAAGCAAACAGCGGATATATGCGTGGATACAACGTCTTTCCCAAGACATTCGACCGTTCGCTGGACCTTCGCGAGGATGCTGCTCGTGCTTATTACTATCCTTTCACCACGAGACCAAACCTCGATGTCTACCTCAACTCTTTCGCTCAACGTCTGACTTGGTCCAACGACAATTCCTCCGTTGCATTCGCTAACGGTGTGGTCTTTACCGACAAGTCTGGCGCTGAACAAAGCCTGTTGGCCACCAAGGAAGTCGTTCTTTCTGCCGGATCTCTGAGATCGCCGCTTTTGCTTGAGCTTTCTGGTGTTGGCAACCCTGCGTAAGTCAAATTCATGTGCCACCACAATGAATTAATGCTGACTGTACCAGTGTTCTCGAGAACCTTGGCATCGAGGTCAAGGTCGACTCTCCTTTCGTCGGCGAGAATCTTCAGGATCAGACGACCGTCGACACGGACTACAACGCTTCGCAGAATTTCACCGGTGCTGGCGGGTTCATCGGATACTTCAACGCTACCGACGTCTGGGGCAATGGCACCGCAGCCTTCAGCAAATCCATCAAGGCATCCCTCGAGCAATACGCCAACAAGACCGTCCAGGCGACCGGTGATATCACTGACCGCGAGACTCTTCTGAAGCTGTTCAAGATCCAGCATGAGCTCATCTTCGAAGATGAGGTTGTCATCTCGGAGATTATTGTAAACGCACCTTCTGCCAGCGCTGGATTGATCGAGTACTGGGGACTGATGCCATTCTCTCGCGGCAACATACACATCAAATCAGCAAATACCTCTGTCCCTGCTGCTATCAACCCCAACTACTTCATGCTCGACTATGACATGAAGCAGCAAATTGCCACTGCCAGAACTGCCAGAAAGGTTGCCTCCACTGCTCCCTTGAGCAACATTCTCACTGGCGAGACCCTTCCTGGTTTGGACGTTGTGCCTCAAAATGCTTCTGATGCAGTCTGGGGCGACTGGTTGAAGTCAGTCTACCGCTCCAATTACCACTACATCTCGACTGCTGCCATGATGTCAAAGGAGCTTGGTGGCGTTGTTGACGACAAGCATCTTGTCTACGGTACCGCCAACGTTCGCGTCGTTGATGCCTCTGTACTTCCCTTCCAGGTCTCCGGCCATTTGACCAGCACTCTGTATGCTCTTGCCGAGAGAGCTGCTGATATGATCAAGGCCAGCCATGCCTAAGTTTGACCGGAGCAAGAAATAAGGATCTTCTCGTATTAGCACTAAAGGCTTCAGGAACACACGAGTCCTTGTTGCCCCTTCTTGTTGAAATGTTTGTATAGCTTTAGCGATTCACCTCGAAATGCACAACTTGATTCTATTTCGCAAGATGCTGTCCTAATGTCTCTGAGCACTTGTTCAGTATTTACCTTTCCAACGAGCCATTTTGGCAGACGGTCAATTATTACAATGTCAGGTTCTTTGACCTTGCCTAACTCGAGTACTTGGCCTCGCGTGAAAACAACGGACGTGGAAAACATAAACGTTGTAGACGATGCCTGCTCTGTACACCAATACCAGCATAGCTGGCTTATCTTCATTGGTCTAGTGGTCATGATTTCCGCTTGTCAAGAGAAATCTCGTCAAGCGCGGGAGACCAGGGTTCGATTCCCTGATGGAGAGCTTCTTTTTTGTTGATCCTGTCCATGACAGATTGCGACGGGCGCGACTTTTTGGTTCGTGGATGTGTGGTCGGATAGAGAAATGCGGTTGTGATAGCAAGGGTGAACGCAGCCAATGACAGGAGTGGATGCGAACACTCGTCGATTGCTTGTGCGAACGGCGTGGCCTGATGGATAGTGGAGATGTTCTGCTCAGGGCTTTGTTGTTAGTGATACCTGGGAGTCGTCACTTTTGTTAATGGGTCTGTCTGTATGCCAACATAGATGATAGTTGCGACATGCTTTGTACATGTGTTGAGAAGAAGAAGAAGGAGTTCCGAAAGTCGAGTCGAGAATGACAGGTGTGACTGGTGGGAGCATGTGCTGCGTGCAGGTGGATGCGTGGTGACGTGTGTGGGGAAGGAGTTTCTTGACGACAAGCACTTGGCAAAAGTGGAAACGAGATTATTGTTGGAAGGTTCGTTTTGCCTAGACTCGAGTCGTTCACAGCAAAGTAGCGCAAACAATGGCTGCACCAGTGAAGAAGCGAGGCCCGACCGTGCTGGTTTGTCTGACTGCAACACGTCCGCCCGACAGCACCTGCTAACAATGTCCTGCCAGGTCACGGACGCGCGCGAACAGCAGCCTCAGCGGCCGAATACCCTCCCTCGTACCGGCACCACCAAACTCATCTCGGTCGACAATGTCCTGCAGTTCTCTTCCGACATTCCCTCTGCTCAGCGACGTGGTCCTCCGGGCGGCCTCAGACCCGCACAACATACGCGCACTCCCAGCGGCCGACACCCTCTGGACCCAAAACTAGCAGGTCGCTCGCTCAGCATTCCCGTCGGAGGCCCCCATATCCCAGCGCGAAGTAGTAAAGTCAGCGAGAAACTCGTCTTGCTTCCCGAAACAAGTGAAAAGACTCCATCCGAGGAAGACGAAGAAGACGAGGACGAGGCTCCACCTTCAGATGAGCAACTGCGCCGCCGAAAAGCTCCCAGGCTCGGAGACAAGAGTTATGCCGAGCGCCTACCAAAGGCAAGTCGTGCGGACAAACTGGCTAGAGTGACGGCCTACTGCACTGCTCAAAGCTACCGTCTTCGCGCAACGGCCGACTTTGTAAGAGAGCAACACGGTGCTCGCACGAAACTATACGACGACTGCCTGTATGCTGTCTACCAGTTGCCCCTGCTCGGCGGTAGCGATGGCTATCGTATCCGCAGTAGTCCTGTCTTGAAGAACCCTGGAGGTCGTAGCATTTTGGACGAACAAATCGAGGCCAACGAGCGCCGTGATCACCGAGAAGGCTGGATGGAGGAGAGTGATGAGTATACGGTCCATGGTAATGCCCGCGACCACGAAGAACCAAACTTCCGCCGTCACAGCCACTCGAGTGACTTGTCAAATCCTGGGCAAAGCACCATCGCCGATGCCCTCTCCGTCGCCGAACTCTACGTCTTCAGCTACGGTGTCGCCGTCTTTTGGAACTTTACTGCACATCAAGAGAAGGACATCCTGGCCGACCTGACCTTCAGCAGCTCCTCAAATATCCCGACAAAGCTTAGCACTACTTCTACGCCAGCACTGACCAACCCTCTTGGACTTGTATCACGACCGCTCAGTGAAGCCGACTTCGAGACCGAGGACTTCCATTTCGAGTACAACGCCGACATCGACAAGCCCCGCATATTCAACGACATGATCACACTACGTACAAGCGACCACATGATTAAGCTGGCTATGAGCCATGCTATCTCACAGTCGACTAAACTCAGCTACTTTGAGGAGCGTATGCAGCGTACCATGTCTGAGGCTCAATACGTACCTCGTAAGCTTGCTCTAGAAGGCCGCCTTGGTATGAGCCGCAGTCAAGTTGTCAGTCTTGTTGGCAAGCTCTTCCAAGGTCGTGTCGATGTCAACCTCAGCTCCAACATGCTTGACACACCAAACTTCTTCTGGGACAGTGAACCAACGCTATTGCCGCTCTACGCCGCCGTTCGCGAATATCTCGAGATCAAGCCTCGCATCCAAGTCCTCAACGAACGCTGTAAAGTCTTCTTGGACCTTGCCGAGATTCTATCAGACGCAATCGCCGACACCAAGATGACCAAGATCACATGGATCGTCATCGTACTGATTGTCATATCAATCTTGGTCACCTGTTCAGAAGTCATTCTGAGATTTGCCATCTTGAGCAAGGGTGAAGGAAATGGTGCTGCGATGCCGAGTCCGAAAGAGCTTTGAAGATCCGTGGCGAGTGCATTACGACAAGGCGTTGGTGGGATAAGCGATGATTACGGGAACAGGCGTTGGAGATGTACATAATGAGTTTGCTTTTTCATGGCGGCGAGGATGGCGTATACTGGGCTCGCTTGTGTATTCATAGGATGGTTAATACCACTTTTTGTCTCTTCTACAGGCCTTGAGTGCCACTATCATGTGCTCGCATTGATTTGAGTCACGACGGACGAGCACTTCCGGCGTATCTTACATTTGTACGGATGAAGGAAGGCTGTGCAGAGGTCAACTGGACTGGTTGACTATAGCATGCCCTTTCGACTTACTAAAATGGTGTAGCATTCCCAGCAAACCTACATCATAATGGTGATTTTGGGAAGTGCATTTGAGTCGGAGACGTCAACGAGACTCTCCGCAGGATTAGGTGCGAATGCGTCTTCATTTTTAACAGAGACCAATGAGATCCACTGGTGTTAGGTAGGAGCAGGATGGTCTGTGTTTTGGTTAGCGAAGTGGCGGAAAGCGATCATGGCTTCCATCCTCACTTGTTGTTGTTGTCAGAGAGGGAAGTCGCTGCTCTGACAACTCACCGCGTCACATTGCAACTTCATTTCCAGACTCCCGCACTCGCGTCTTGTCGCATCGCGCCTGTTTCTCCGGCCCATCATGTCTGCGCCGGCGCATGTCTCAAACCAGCCTAAATACCGTCCGAATTTCGCCTCGCTGCCCTGTACAATCGCAGTAGACCGTCATAGCGGCCACTCAGACTTCTGTTTGTCATTTCCGTTTCTTGCTGGGTACCAACACATATCCTTTGAAGAACAACGTCTGACGGACATGGATCCGTCAATCGCTAAGGGAGTTGGCCTGTTGTCTGCTAGCGCCATCAGATCCCTCAAAGCAGCCTGCTCTTTCTCTGAAGTTGAGCCAGAAGAACGTGTGGTTCTTATGAGGTGAGTGACTGCCTTCTATGGTCTTTGTTCCAGACTGACTCTGAATAGCCCATCGCTCCCTCTCATCACTGTTCACGTCACCAGTGGTCTCAGGGGTCATGGTGCCATGGACTTTGGCATCCACCAGAACATACTCGAGCACTGTAGTCCTTTCTTCAAGGCGCTACTGACGGCAGATTCCGCCCCGAGCCTTATCAAGAACGAGGATGAACCTGTGGTACCGCAAAGTCCCAAGGTAAACGCTGTGATTTGCCTAGAAGCGGACCCGGCAGCGTTCAAGCTCTACACCGAATGGGTGTACTCGGGTCATCTCGTGAGCGAAACCATCAGAATCCAAGATACAAGATTGGATGCTCTAGGCCAGGCATACCTTCTGGGCGAGAAGTTACTCGACTGCGAGTTCAAGAATGCCGTGGTCGACGCTATCCTAAACCAAATCATCGTGGAAGGCCGTGTCGATCTCACCTTGCCTAATTTGATCTTTGACAAGCCTTGTCATACTTCACCACTCAGAAAGCTACTGGTGGATCTCCATGTCTGGTATGGCCACAAAGACTGGCTCAAGCGAGATACTTCTGAGGCACCCATCTCAGCCCGTTTCACTGCGGATCTTCCAGCCGCCCTCCTCGACCGTCACGGCCACGACCAAGCCAGAAGAGATCAGGTACCAGTCATCAGTACCTGCAAGTACCATGAGCATCCAAATGGACTTCTTTGTCCGAAAAATAGAAAGCCACGTCATCCCAGACAGTTGTTGACTTCGTTATAAATCATTGGGACCCTGTCAAAGTTTCTGACGAGGTGATGTATGGGATGGCTTACGACTTTGACGTGTGAGGAGATTGCCGTCTTTTTTTTCGTCATAACCTGAAGGGAACGATTTATACACTAGCTCTAATGTAGCAATCGCTTAGATCGTCGAATGAACATTACTGCGCATGAATTATCGCTTCGTACCTAAAACACTCTACTTGTGTTCGACCGTCTTTCAAATTTACTTCAGCTGGGCATACGGTTACATGCTTTGATAGCAGATTACAACGTGTGTGTGGAAAGTGTAGATCGGTGCTAACCCCTCAATCGTCGTTGACTTCCTCGAGCAGAAATGAGTGTGAGGACGTTCGTACTTTTCGGTCATTACATGAATGTTTATCGAGACAACGCGCTCTACTCTGAAGAGCGCGACATCAATACTTCAAAGGCAGCTATCCCGATACAACAAGCACGGAGTAATTTGTGAGATAAATTTCGTCATTACCATAACCTCTATTAAAAAATACGTAGAAAAATAACGAACCCCCCCCCCCCCCAAATTAACAGGCTTCAATGATTAGTAGTATGCGAACTCATGATTGATTCTCAACCTCCAGCAGTCATCTCTAAATTCAACTTCTCCCTCTTCATGAACAAGCCACTAACAAGAGCAACCGCACCAGCAGCAATAGTAAGCACCCAAATATCCCTCAGCGTGGCAGCAATAGCCTCAAGCACCAAGCCCTGCAGCACTCTATCCCCACCAGCCAAGATGGTAGAATGAGCACCCCCAAGCGCAGCTCTAATCCCTGTATCCGAGAAATTGTACGCCGACAGAGCGGTCTTGATATTGTCAAAGCCGATGTTTTGGTACAGGCAGCCGGCAATAGAGAGACCGATGGATAAGGAGCCGATTTGAGCTACATTGATAAAGCCGACAGCGTTGAGGGTGTCTGATTTGTCGACGATGGCGACGGCGACGGAGTAGGCTACTTGCATGCTCATTCCTGCTCCGAAGGCCATGAGAACTTCGAAGCCGTAGATGCTTGTTACAGAGGTGTCGACGTGAACGGTATGCATCAAGGCGCCGCCGATGATCAACAGGATACCAGTCAAGATGTAGAAAGGCTGGTAGCGACCGAAAGCTGGCAAAAGACCACCACTCAACATGACCGAAGCCACGAAGACGCAGATGTAGGGAAGTAGTCGTACAGCAGCCTTGATAGGCGAATCGCCCTTTGTGAATTGGAAGAAGACTGGAATGTAGTAGACACCGAGTGCGAGTCCAGTAGATGATGCTGCAGTTCCAGTGTAGAGCAGCCACATTGTTCTGCTCTTGAGGAAATGTACGGGGAAGAGGCGGCGCTCAGTTGTTGTACCAATGCTGAAGCCTTGCTGAACAACAAAGGCGAGCAAGAAGACAGCAAATACGACCCAAAGTGCGATGGGACCTGCTTCATCCCACTTCCAGAGAGAGCCGCTAAAGGTCAGCGCGACTTGCAAGATCGCGAAGATGCCTGCAAATAGAAAAGCACCCAGCCAGTCGATTGTGGCGAGCTTTTGCATGACACTCAGTTCCGGCTTGGGGTTATAAGACGGGAAGAGGAAGAGATATACGGGCGAGCTGATGGCTGCTAGGGGCAGGTTGATGTAAAAGGCCCATCTCCAGGTAGCAGAGCTGACAGCGAAGCCTCCGCCGACGACAGGTCCGAGGATACTGCCTGCACCCCAGCACAGACCGATCAGGGCGTTGTAGATAGGTTGCTCTTTCTTGCTCGTGAATGTTGTGATGTATGTCAAGGCACTGTCAAATATGTTAGCAAGCAACAACTTTACGGAAGGTTCGAAGCCTGTGACCTACCCAAGGTACATGCCTGCTCCGCCCATGCCAGCAACGACTCTACCAACAATGAGAGCATTCATGTCAGGAGCAGCACCGCAGAGAGCGCTACCGGCTTCAAAGAGTACCAGACTGCCAATGAATAGCCACTTGATATCGAACAGTGCATATAAAGCTCCGACAAGCAGAACGATCGATACCGAGCCCATGGGGAAACCAATGCCCACCCATGAAAGCTTCTCGATATCGCCGAAAGCTTCGAGGATAGGCCCTTGGACATCTGCTGCAATGGTCGTGTCAAGACCTTTTGAGAACGTCAGCAAAGCTATTAAGGCAAGCAAACATTCATGCGAGCACTTACCGTATAGAAGTGCGGCCGTGTAGATGCCAACACAGACTAGAAACCATTTCCACTTTGGCATGCCTCTGTCAAATTCTTCCTCTTTCTGGTCGGGAGTGACTGCACGTCCATCTTCGAGGTCCTTTTCGTACGAGTCGGGCTTGTTCTCTGAAATTAGAGACATGATGATTGATGTCTGTAATGATGTCACTCTGTAATGTGTTCACGATATTGGTTTGTACTTAGTTTCTCGAAAGAATATGAGTTGCCGTTGCTTATGTATCATACAACTCTCCAGGCACCTACAACTCGAGATTGATAATCATATCGATATGTTCTCCCGACATGTGTTGAAACATCAGGAGGCAATGGTGCAAGATGGCAAGTCGGCCTATTGTTTGCAGCTTGAGATAGGATAGACTTTTGTTCGGAGTGATCGTTCGTCCGAGCGGATCGTGTCTGTTGGTTTTTGCAGCAAGATCAAAGTCCACGAGAGATGTCTGATATGAATCATCAGAATGTTGCAAAAATGCAATGATGATTCAACAACGTTGTCGGTGCCAAGGATGCGAAGAGCGAAACCGAGGCTAGAACGGTTTAATCCAGTCCAGCGACGAACATGATGAGTCAACATCACAATCTCACCCCTTGAGTCGGGCTTTTTGATCCCATGCTGGACGGTTGTCTTCCTTGAATGTAGGCAAAGTGAAGACTGTTCTCATATTTTACAGTCCTGCGCAATATTCAATTGCGATCCTGCTCGACAGTCGATTCGGCGCGTACAAGCCTTGCCTCAGTCGACCACAAGGCGCTCTACGACTGTCGCATGATCCGGGCATGGGTGTGTCAAAGGAAGTTGTTGACAAGGGAGAGCGGTTGGCCTCGTAGAGGCGGGAACACGTTTGCCCGCTCGGTCACGGGCTCACCCGAAAGCCCATAGCAAGTAAAAGCCTAATCACACTTCCATTGTCCCTTGCTCGCGAAACATCCAGATAGATGAGCCCAGATTGTAATTACCAATTGCACCGATAGGATAGACGGTGCAAGCTTTTCGAGAAATTGCCATGCGTTCGACACGGCGTCTCATGCTTCCGGCGCCTTGACCGTTGTGGCCCTGTCGAGCAACTGACATTTCCAGCATGATATATAAGGTCAACCCCACTCGTTGACGCATAATCATCAGAATCATCAGACCTCGGCAGCACTTGTAATTACCAAAATTTCTCACAGCAACTTCCTCCGACGAACTCCCCAAGAGCCTACAGCAACTTTGTCCACGAACATCATCTGCAGAACCCGGATTCATTCACTCAGACAACATCGCATCAAGAGATCCAACCGCGTCCAACGCCGATAGTCCGTACCACATATTGCTCGCAACATGCAGTTCAATCCCGCCAAAGACATTCCCGACCTTTCGGGAAAAACCATCATTGTGACTGGTGGCAGCAGCGGTCTCGGCAAAGAGAGCGTACACCAGCTTGTCAAGCACAACCCAGAGAAGATTTACCTTTCCGCCAGAACAAGCCAGCGCGGTAACGCTGCCATCAAGGATATCGAGAAAGATGTTCCATCAGCCCAAGGAAAAATCCACTTCCTCGAAATTGACATGGCGTCATTTGCATCAGTCAAGAAGGCAGCCGATCGCATTTTGGCAGAGAACAACCATCTGGATATCCTCATGAACAACGCTGGCGCTACTGGAGCCGCCCCTGGTCTGACCACCGAAGGTTACGAAGATCAGTTCGGCAGCAACTACATGGGTCCCACACTCTTTACTAAGCTCTTGCTTCCTCTCCTGCGCAAGACTGCAGAACAGCCCGGCAGTGACGTTCGCATCGTCAATCTCAGCTCCGAACTGTTCAAACAAGCCCCTACCGAGGGTATTGTATTCAGCAAACTCAAGACCCCCATGCCCGAGACCAGTTCCATCGCCAGATACGGTCAATCCAAACTTGCAAACTACTTCTTCAGCAAGGTCACTGCCGAGAAGTATCCCACAATCAAGTCGGTTGCTCTTCATCCTGGTGAGGTAAACACCGGTATCTGGGATAACTTGAGGACGAGAAGACCATATGTGGGCTGGGCTTTGATGACTTTCTTGGGTCCCTTCCTGACCGATGTCCATCAAGGTGCGAAGATGCAACTGTGGGCGAGTACCGCAAAGAAAGAGTCAGTGAAACATGGTGGCTTCTACACGAAAAAGGGCACCGAGTACACTCAAGCGATTCTCAGCAATGACAAACTCGCGAACGAGCTCTGGGATTGGACTGAGAAGGAGTTCGCAAAGCATGGATTTTGATCGGCCTACCATGGGCCTCTATGGGAGTTATATTTGACATTCCGGAATATCGTTACGTCCTTTTACGCTACACTAATTAATCGCATTTGCACTATTACATCTTTGTCTTCAGTTTCAGTTCCTAATAACCCTAGTCTTCGAAGTGCTGCAGCTAAGAGGCCAGACCGACTGTGCTTGAGAGTTGATGAGACTTCTGGCTAGGTTGATCGAGGGCTCGTTGAAATTTTCAAAACCGGTCGAGGTTCAAAGGTTGAGACGTTGGCTTTTGACGTTACTAAAGGCGCTCGAACGTCAAGAGAACAGTTTGCTATGTCGCATCAGCAGCGACATGATGCACAAGCAGTCAGATACTATATCCTTCTCCGAAACATGCAAGTAAGATGATATTGTGCTCCGCATAGGCAGCGGCATCAACGTCCAAAGCCGCCGCGTCGCCTCACGCATACCATCTTTTTCACCACACATCACATCAAGACACAGTCATCTCCTCTTCAGCACCCAGCTCCTCAGAACCAGTAGTACCAACGAGAAAGTAATCGACCACATCTCGCGACATGAGATGAAAAAAGTCCCAAAAATTGTTTCAGAGGACGCCACGCAAAAAGCGGACGTCAAACTCCTACTATTTCTCTCAAAGACAACCTGTTCAAGATAAAAAGAGCAAGCACAGTCGAATGAAAAAAGCCTGAGGTTTTCAAGGGACTGTGACATGCTAACAGGTTGTCTGAGTTACCGACTGTGATGACACAGAGTCAGCAATTGCAAACAAAAGGAGAGGATGGAAGAGGAAGGGGGTGATGGGGACTTAGCTCTGGAAGGAGTGGCGAGAGAGGCCGGAGATCCAGAAGCTGAGCAGAGTTAGTGTGTGCCGCACAAAGCAGAAAGAGGAAGGGGACTTAGCTCTGGACAAGAAGATCTCCAGACAAGTACCCTGTATGAATGATGTCAGCGACTGAGACAGGAGAGGGGAGACTCAGCCGATGCAAGGGTGCATGAAAGAAAGGAAGGATCGACGAAGAGACAAGAAACGCAGTAGAAATAGAGACGAGAGGGGGAGTTCGATTATGTAAGGAAACCTGCTCAATCCTTACTCTGCTGCCTGCTTGGTTGAGGTGGTAAAATCTGGTATAGAGCACGTATCGGAGGGACACGGACGGCAGATTGCGGAGTCGTCTTGTCACGGGTCATGAACGTGTGGACATACAGATCTCCAATATTGGAATCCGAGTACTATGCCATTTAGATTGTAGCCACGGTTCAAAGAATGACGTTCTCGGACTCCTTAAAGAGATCGAAGCCAAGAGCCCAGAGCCTGGAAGAATATACAAATGCCTTGCGTGACAGTGTTTTTACAGAATTAGAATAGTATGGCACAACTTGTAGACTTATTGGTACTGACGTAGAGAGAGGGCGCGACAGATCTTGGAGGCTATAAGAAAAGCTTATACCTCTCGTTACAAAAGACAAGTACAATATAACAGTCGGCAATCAAAAGCGCTACCGAGCAGGACGAGCCGCCCGCGGTGATGTTGAGTAAGTTTTCGAGAGAAGCACGAGGCAAATCAACATCTTTGAGTACGCCGAGCTTGGCATGACCATCTGTGATAGGGAGATAGAACGAATAGCAAAGAGATGAAGGAATTAGGCAGGAACACAAATCGATTGCTTGTGTGAGAAGTTGGCAGGAGGGAAAGAGTGACAGAAGAACGAACTTTCTCTTTCAATCCCAGACTTGCATAATCCTTCTTCAATCACTCTTGCAATAACTAAATCTCACCAGCAGCGCTCGGAGCAGGAGCAGATAGAGTATTGGTCTCGACGAGCAAGGACAGGCCCTCCAAATGCACATATTCTCCCACATTGCGACACTCTCTTACTGACCAAAGCGTTTTGCGACAGTAGCCATCACATCCTCGACCTCAGCCTCAGACTCCTTCAGAACGCCCTTGCCGCTTCTCTGCTTCTTGCTGTCGACATCAAGAGCTTTACTTCCTTCCTTGCTCAGCTCGACTCGAGCGGCCTCAGACTTGACATGACGAGACTCGGTGTCTTTCTGTTTGGGCTTGGTGGCGAGACTCCCGTCAGTCAGCGAACCAGCGGTCTCGGATTCGGAAGCAGCAGCCTGGGCTTGTTTGGACTTCTTGAGCAAAGTCTTTTTCTGGCGCTTCGAGAGCTTGGGCTGAGGGGCGTCTGTATCGGTAGCTGTGTTGACTCCGGGGTTGATTGAAGCGGGCGAGGCGGAAGAAGCAGCTTCCTTGTCCTTGATAGACAAAGCAGCAATGCGCTTCATGGCGGGCTCTCTCAGCTCAGAAAGTCGGCGTAAAAGTTCATCCTTCTCGGCTTGAGCCTTCTCAGCCTGAGCCTTTTCTTTCTTGCGGAGGTACTTCTTCTTGTTCTTCTCCTTCTTCTTTTCCTGATCTTCTTCGGTAGGATCGGCTGCTGGTTCTTCGTCGCTGTCGAGTTCCTGGATGCGTTGCTCTGGAGGAATGGGAGGTTGTCCGAACAAAAGGCCGGAGTTCCCATCGATGCAGTCAACGACCATGTTGTCGAACATCTCGTTTCTGAACTCCTCGCGCATCTGATCGTCCATAGTCAGCTTTTGGTCGTACAACTAGGATGTTCTTATACTTGCGAAGTGTTCACGAATCTTCTCGATTGGGACGCCTTGGAAAGATGCCATGTTGAGTCGAGTTTGGTGCGATGAGCAAAAAGTTGTGAGTGTATGTTGTAAAAGCGAGTCTGGTGTGATGGGGATAGAAGATTGATGGATGTGGAAGCGACGGTGGGGCATGCAAACGACAACACAACGAGCAAACGCCGAGAAACAACACGAAGATTTTCACACGAGTTGGTGGACTGAAGAAAGAGCTATTGCAAGATTCCAGCTCGTTGAAAGCTGAAAATGTAGGAGTAATGACTTTCGACCGATGCGCCACGCACTGATCCTCTAATACTGAAGATGTGCCACTCCGTCTGCAGCCCCTCCAACTGTTGCACTTTGCAAGAGCGAGACATGTCACCTTGCAGCTTAGTGACGTGTACCAATCGCAGCACTTTGCTGGCACTCTACGAACGAGCATTCGAGAGTCGCATATGACTGTCTACTTACCAAATCGACTGCTCTTGTTCACTACAGCACATCCTCATGGTCAGATCTCAATCCACAGCTTGTTCATCAGACTGTAGCTGCTCATTCTTGTCGCTCTCGATGTTCAGCTTAATACCAATCAGCATCTCCAATCGTCCAGTGGTGGCTCGTATCGCCTGTCTTTCGCGGTCAAGGCGCTGCCATACTGCGATGTCATTTTCCTCTCCGTCTTCTGCATTTTTGAGTAAATCCAGAATATTCATCATATGACTGTGTTGATAAGTCCGAGCCTTGGTCTGTACAGAGTATTGAATGAGACTCTGGATATGGTCACAATAAGTATCGATGTCAGCCCTCCTCCTCTTGATTCTCTCCCCGAGTATGAGCAAGGCAACCTCCAGGTCAGTGTCATTCCTTGTTGAGTCACTGACAGTAGTGAAAGATCTCGAGTTCAATCTGAGAAGTCAGCATGACCGGTTGTCGGGACGCAGTCCTGCCCACGGACATGAGGAATGGAAGAGCCGGATCGCGTAGGAAGTCGTTTCTGTACATGCATAGGATGAACTCCGCAGGCGTTGGTTTTGTTAGTGATTCCTAGAGCGAAGTTGGTATCTTCCAGTCAATGTGAATGGCATTCTGGCCAAACTTGATGGTGAAGAAAGACAGATCTTGCTAGCATGAAAGCGTATCTTTTATAGCAAACTTCGGCCATCGCAACGAATGCAACTCCAGCGGGCATCCTTTCATCGCAATGTGGTCTACCTCACCTCAGTCTCCCTTGCTCTTTTTCCTGTGTCGCGCATGTCGTTACCCGAGCTGTGACATCGCGAAGGGAACCGTGGCAAGCCATCCTGTATTACATTGACAACGGAACAAGAGAGGTTCTCGTGTGCCTGGCGAGATGTCCCGAAGCAAGTGCAGAGTTACAACGACCATGAAAGGAAGAGTTGTGATGGGGGAAATGTCGGCCAATCAAATGGCAGCCGATGATCAGCCCTGCAGCCGCGCTTTGAGCTTCGAATTGGCGAGTGACCTGATAACTTCACAGACGTGACATGGCCTGACAGGCTGCATACCGTGTAGATATGATGACACATAAGTCATGGCAGTGACTACAAATGATTCCCTGCCCAAGTTGGGTCAGCTTGATGCCTCGTGCGTACGTACTCACCTTTTTAGCTGTGGTCATCGCACTGTTTTTGGCCTGCAAGTCCAACAACATGACGGGTTATATTTCAAAAGACCAGAGTTGGGCAGACGGCCCATGCGAACTCATTCATACACCACAATTCTTGACCAAGAAGGAAGACATCTGGACAAAGGGCGCGACACACATGGCACTGCTGCACAACGCCATTCTTCGAGGCTTCAACACCATCTACCTACAAGCGCCTCATGTTCAACCCGAGGATCACCACGCCTTTATCGGGTACAGCCTGACGTGGTATCGCTTCGTCAAGAGCCACCACGACGATGAAGAAGCAGAACTTTTCCCCAAGGTCGACGGCATTTTGAAAGAGAAGGGCCTATGGGACGAGACATATTAGGAGCATCAGACCTTCCTTGAAGGTCTCACAAACTTCCGCGACTACTTAGCCAACCTCCCCTCACCTGCGTCTTTCGACGGCAACGAGCTCGTCGACATCATGGACTCTTTCCACCGCCCATTCGAGCATCACTTCCATCATGAGGTCGACACCATAGCTTGCTTCGCAACCTTGCCCAACACCCCGACTCCAGACTCTCTCGAAGCCTCTCTCGCCGCTGCGACCTTCAAAGCGTGGGGTAAGAAGACTCTCACAAAGGCTGGCATGACCGACGTTGTACCCTTCGCTCTCCTCAACCTGGATAGAACATTCGAAGGTGGCTTGTGGGCTGCTTGGCCTCCAATGCCGGGTCCTGTCAGGTGGATGATGGTCAATATCTTCGGCAGCTGGAATTGGGCCTGGTGGAAGTTTGCGAGCTGTGATGCCTCAGGCAGTCCACGGGCACTTCATGCGCTGCAGGCCTAGGCTCAAACCCACTAGTGTCCTTGTCCTTAACGACTGTGTGGTAGCTCAAATTGCCTTCACGGATGCTACATTATGACTAATGATGGCTCCTGCGAGTGGTATGTATCGGTGACAAGGTAGAACAGGACGTGGTTGGTCGAAGCAGTCTGAGTCTGAGAAGATGACAATGCGTCGCGAAACAAGGTATTGCCAACAGAAACATGCTCCAGCTACAGATTTACCAAGGTCCGAGGCCCCCAGAAGCTTCAAATGTGACTCACGTAGAGAAGACGCTCAGATCTTCTCCGTTTACATGTGTCTCCCTCCCTACCATCCCTTTTAGCGACCTGAAAACCACACACATACAACATTGCATTTCTTCTAGCAGTCATAACTCAAGTTTAGACCCAAGCTCTCAATGCAAACCATCAAGCGATGGAGAATCCTCGGGCAAGCCCACGGGACGATGAGTTCGCCGGCACAGGAAACATGAAATCTGGAGGATGCTTTGTTCACAGCGCCACGAGCGAACACATCTGTAACGACAGCTTGTTGCGCGAGATCTCGAATCTAAAGTTGCAGCTCAGCGAACGTGACGCCCACATCGAACAACTCACAGCTCGAGTAGAAGATCTGGAAGCAGGGACCAGAATAGTCGTCAGTTTAGAGGCAACCACCTTAGCAAGTTTCCTGACGGCATGGCCGGTTACCTTGCGCCAAGAACAACCGCCATTCCCAGAGACCAAAGACTCCCCCTCATTCAGCAAGAACTCGACGATGCTAATGCAAAGCTTTGGTTCGCACCTGGTTATGAGCACCCCAGGATTGAAAAGCTTGCATCGCATCTCACCACGATCAAGAAGCGAGAGACCTATACTTCTTCCGCAGCCTTCGACCGCTCATTGTGGGCTGCGACACACTGTCGCTCACAGCTGTGAATGAGGTTGAACCAGCGGTACGGTCAAAGCAAACTTCCGCGCGTTCTTGACTCAGATTTTGGAGTTCAAAGAAAGGTCCATCTCGGTACTCGTATTGGAGACTGGTATGCTTCTGCTCTCGCTCTGTACTTACCGCCTTTCAACGCGGAAGAGAAGCTCGAGCAGATTGATGCAAAAGTCCACGAACTTATAGATGAGTCGTCCAAGGAGCACAAATTCGAGCCCCATGCCCTACAGATTCGCGTACTCGGTTCTGATCTGAATACCTATGGGCGAATGAAAGTGATTGACAGATTTGGCCAGTGATGTGACTATAATCGTAGTTGGCACTGATCATCGAATCTCGGAGGGCTACTTGGAGGCGATCACTTTGACGAGCAAGACGAGAAGGTAACAGTGAGCGCAAAACGAATTTTCACTCTGGGGATCGAACCCAGGGCCTTCTCTGCGCACGCCAGTCCAGTCGATTGCTCGTTGTCTAGATAACGAGCACGGTTTTGTGTCCTTGTGAGAGAGATGTCATACCACTAGACCAAGCGAAATTTTTTGACGTTCTTGACATAGATTTTTGCCAAGCTTCATCATCTTATTGTTTGTACTTGATTACGAAGAACTCTAGGGTACCTCATTGAACACTTCAAAGCATCCATGTACTTAGACATGCGATTCTATTGGAGCGCTTCTGCTTAATGCTTGATTTCAACACAATCGCTCAAGTTAAAGATGGCCAAATTACCAAACATCTCACCGCAGTTCCTTCCCACAAGTATGCATATCCCTGACACTGGGGTGGTCATTTCGTCAAAACAAATCGCTTCCTCAAGCTGGCAAACAATCTTCGAAATTCTCTGATCTAGAGACCCAGCTCCATGGTCGCGACACTGTTTTTTCGACATGATACCCCCGAAATGAACGAGCCTCAGACATCTCCAGACCAAGTCAGCGCGCTATTTCCAACCTCCATGTTGGTCAAACCTAGACTTGGAATTTGAAATCTCAGACGTAGACCCATTCTTCATTTTGGCTCAAGGCGATTTTTAACATATGCTCTGAATAGTAGTGTACTTTTAACCCCCAGGGTGAGTTTCAAGCAATCAAGTCTCGACGACGATACAATCCCACACAACTCACTCGCCCTCTACGAAGCTATTTTTTGTCTCTTTTCTTTCTTCTCTTCTTTGAACGAACACAGTATTCGAACGAGCTCGCCATCAACCTGCAAACAATAATGCAGGAGACTGCGACGTAGTGATAATTAGAGAAGAGACCGTTGAGATATTGATTCAAGATGACGAAACCGATGACGAGGAGATTCTGAGCATTGCAGCGAGGGTTGCATGCAGCAGTCAGAAGTCATTTGATCTTGACCAAAGAAACTAGTAAGGCATTCATGTCTCTATCCATCAAAAGTCCCCAATAACGTCTCCAGGCTTCCCATCCATAAACAACGGTCTACTAGGTTTAAGACCGTCCAACTTCCACTGTCCCTGTCCATCTTTGCGATAGAAATGCTGTACATAATTATAAGCATTCCACCTCACCACTTCCCCATCATCTTTAAAACGACGATGCAAGCCCTGAACCTGCCAAGTTCCCGTCGCGGTGCCTTCTTCCTCGCCTTGTTCAAACATCACAGCGCCGAGGAAGTGTTGTGTCTTTACTGCAATTCAAGAGTGGTTAGCAAGGAGAAATGGGAATTGGGCAAAAGGAACCTTACGTCTTGCGTCACCAAGCGCGGTTTTGGCAGACATCTCGGCGATAAAGTCTTCAACCGGGACGGTTTTGTCACCAAGATGAGGGTCTAGTTCACCGTAGAACATTTTGAATTCTGACGAGCAGATTGTGTGTAACTTCTCCCAGTCCTGTGTACATCGAATGCTCAATCAAAAGTTCTCGAATGATCTGGATCATCTTTCTTACTTTTGTGTCGTAGCAATAGGCCCATAGCCATGAGAGTTGGCGTAACTCGCTTTCGTATTGTGAGATTGAAGACATTATGCTGAAGAATACCTAGAAGAGTATCCAAGGAGATGGTAATTATATGTCAAGAGTTGTATCTGTTTGACAAAACAACAATAGTGTTCATGTTGGAGAAGAATATATGGTCGTTGGTGGAAAAGTGGAGGACCCGGTCCGAAAGCGTTTTTGACACCCGCGATATATGGGAAAGCACGATCAACCGTGGGAGCATGCGACAACTCTCGGATACGCGGCCTCATGAGAAACCCTAACAATACCTCCGGCCAGAGGAGAAACAATTGCATGACCCGGACTAGGGCATGAAACGACTGGGCAATCAAACGCCTTCGATCGTTCGAGGAGAAGACAGTTTACTCACACTCACACTCAGTGCTCGTCAGTTGGTGACCAAAATTATTCAAGTAACTTACATTAGCTATCTGGTCGTAAAGGGAGCCTACTCATCGATCCCTCTTTCTCTCTTTCCTACTCCGCCCTCCATTCCTTCTTGCTCAGTGACACTTCGAACCTTCGACTTCAAGCGCCACCAGCGAAAGCATTCATGGCAGCGAGCATAAGGTCCTCAGAATCTTCCTGTCCACCAAGCCAACCTAAACCTTTCTCGGCGACCATATCCCAGAGGCCATGGTACTCTTCAGCCGATGACTTCAGCCAAGCCAGTACCAGAACAGTAGCCAGCATCGGATCCTCAGTAGATCTAGTGGCCTTGACTATAGCCAGGACTTCACTAAAGAAGGTAGCCAGAGCAGGAGTCCACTCCCAATATCCATCAAAGGCCTGGAGATCGAGCAGAGTACGCACGGTAGCGAGGGTGTCGTTGTCAGGGATGGAGAGAGCTTCGTCCTCGCTCGGCTGACTCATGGCAACACAGGCTGACGTGTGAGACTGCATGAATCTCATGGTACCTTGGGCTGAGAAACCCGGCGGCACGGGGTAAGGTGCACCATCGCTATAACCTCCGCCGCGACTTTCACCGCGACGGGGTCTATAAACAGGCATGCGAAGAGCATCGAAATCTTGACTGCTAGCCTTTTTCTTAGGAGCCGTAGGACTGGCTTGGACGTCTTCGACGCTGCTAGTAAGTATAGCGCTTCCGGGTTCTCTCGCGCGCCGCCTCATACGCGCGCTGGCAGGGCTAGAGACAAAGTCCGCCCTGGACATTTGCCTGGAAGAACTAGAATCGAACATGTTACATTCAATATCCTCATCACTCTCCTCTGTGGAGGTGTCGTCGAATTCGAATAGATTTGGCTCAATCAGATCATCCGAAGTAGCCTTTGCAGTGAGAGTCTCGCCGTCGCTATTAACCTTTTGATATCGCTGGACAGCCACAAATGAGCACCATTTGTTGGCGACCTGATACTCGGTACCGATGCGAACGACTTCCTTCTCAATCAGCTCGTCAAAACGAGAGGGACACTTGTCCTTGACGAGTTCATCAGACTCCTGAGCACTGATCAACCAGCCTCTACCCTCTTCAAGCTCTTGAACAGCTTTCTTGGCTGACAAGGTATTGACGGTGTAGTTGGGGTCATTGACCCTCTTGACAGGGATCTCCAGCGTCAATGGACCCTCAGAACAGGTGCCGTGCAGAATGACAGACTTGGGCATCTGCTTTGTGCTCTGCATGAGCAGGTACACGGTTGTACGGTTGAAGGGCAACACAGGAGGGATGACGTGAGGGGCTTGGATAAGCTCGGGAATGGTGATATTGGGAAGATGAGCATAGCGATCAATGTTGTTGGCAGGGACATCCTTGAGGTTGGCAGATTTGTCGAATAGCGAGATGGGCGCCTTTGGCTGATTCTCAGGAATAACGGTTGCCTGTTTCGGTGATTCGGTCTTGACCATCTCAAAGTCGTCAGTCTCATCATACTTGACTTCCAAACGGTAGTCCTTGATGTGTGGGTACAGAGCGGCCTTGAGCATGCGAACGACCTTGAAGTCCATGACTTCGCCATCAGTGATGAACTGAGCGACACCATTGCCAGCGCGAGCGAAGCCTTCGACCAAAGTATGAGAAACATCACTGCCAACACCGAGCACGAAGCAACGAGCATCGACCTTCTCCTTGTGAATCTGATCGTTGACGTATTCAAACAGCTGAGACTCTGCACATATCTCGCCGTCAGTAAGAACGACCAGCTCCAAGGGCATAATGGAGAGGTGTGACTCGAAAGCAGCCTTGACAGGGCGCAGAAGCTCCGTACCACCGTAGCTGGCAGTAAAGCTTTGCACAAAGTGCAAAGCTTGAGTGTAGTTCTCCTGATTGTAAGGCATGCTCTTTTCCCATAGAAAGTCATGGCGACTCCCGAAAGCGCATATGTTGAAGCGAATTCCAGACGGAAGGGACTTGATAAACGTCTTCAGAGCAGCGACAAGAGCAGTGTTCTTCGTACCATGCATGCTACCACTCTGATCGGCGATGAAGATGATCTCGGGCTTGATGGGCTTGAGGTTGAAGCGTGGTACAAAGGTAACCATGAGGGCCTGACGGTTGGGCAGAGCATGCTTCTCGATGATAGCCCTCGGGGAGTCAATGTCATCAATCACGACCTGCAGGATGAAGTCTGAACCAAGCTCAGTCGTGTTGTGGGTCAAGGACACGGAAGCTTTTGACATGTCGGCAGTAGGCTTAAGGGTCGTAGAAAGGGTGCCAATGTCGAGAGCGATGGGATGGTTGGAGGGACATTGGACTTTGCGAATGGTGCAGTCTTTCATGTCGACATCGACAACGATCTTCATGTTCTTGACAACAGCCGAGTCCAGCGGGAGAAGTTGGCCAGGGTAGTTGCCATAACGAGGAGCGATCGAGGTGGGTAGCATGTAGCGCAAGCCATCAATCTCGGCATCGTGCTTCAGCTCGCCACCATAGATGAGATCAACACGAACGGTTGTGTTTGCAGGGATGTTTCCAAGAGTAACACCAAAGACGCCGACAGGAAGAGCTTCGAGAAGTCCGGCACTCTCGCCTCTCTTGACAGCTGCGTCGAAAGTCTTGCGGGCCTGGTCCTTCTGCTCAACATGACCTTTGATGATCTTGTTGCCGATGGTACAAGCAAAAGCAGTAACGGCAACCCCATCGTACAGAGGGAAGGTGTATCGGACCTCGGATAGCTGTCCTGTGGATGGGTTCTGGAAAGTCTGCGAGAGCTTTGTGGTGAAGTAGAGAGGGGTGAGGGTAGTGTAAGAGGCCAGCTGGACCTGAGGGAGATAGGTACGATTGCGGCCGTTGGTTGTGTAGTAACAACCAGAGATGTGGTTGTGGAGGGCAAACATGATGTTGGTCTCACTGGAGGATATGTGATTTGGTTGGAGAGAATTAAAGAGTCTTGACTTGGAATAGATAGTTATATCTGAGAGATGTGTTGGGGCAAGAGCGTCGGGGGAAGAGTGTTGGGAGAAGAGTGTCGGGAGAAGAGTGTCGGGAGAAGAGTGCTGCAAGGTGTTTGCTGATTTGGGGCGCCAAAATAGAGACAAAGCCGTGTGGAAGGAACGAGAGAGAGACAAGCAAAGAGGTACCTACCGACTGCGAGAAGGCGTTTTTATAGCTGCTGCACACAGCGTGGCAGACTGCTGCCTACGACAGGCATCTTGGATGGATTTGTTTCGGAGCTGGCTCCAAAGAAGCTTGCAGATGATATCACACAGTACATTGGAGAAGCAGTTGGTTTAGCTCAAGACATGATTGTCAAATAGAAACGAGCAGAAGGATATTAATGCAGTTTCCCCAAGGACTGCTGTATGAGCACAGCGAGAGCAAGACAGAAGGGAGACAAAGGCTCTATATCAGCAAGATGATGAGAGGAGCTGCGCGCATGACGATTGTCCCTGTTCGGAGTACGGCGAAACAAGCATGTGCGGCATGTCAAAGCGGGTTGAAGTTAGCAGCGATGAGTCAAGCTTGATGTGGTTGGAGAAGTGTTGAAGGAGCAAATGCCAAGAAACTTCTCCGCAAAGCATCGACAGGTCCGAGCTCCGTACCTTCACATGCGAGTGGAGAGTGGAGAGTGACGAATGTTGTGACAAGAACATCACAGAATGGCGCCGGCAGTCATCAAGGAAGAAGGCGCGACCACGAACAAGCGCAAAGCCGAGTCGCCGTCCGAGTCGGTCGGCGACAGCAAGCGCTTCAAGTCGTCGACGTCGCCCACACCCACACCCACACTTCCTCTCGCACACGACACAGGAGACGCCGTCCAGTCGACAGCACCACGCGTCGTGCCCTTTCCCGAGAAGCCCGCTGTCATCGAGGAACGAAATGGCGAGATCGAATTCCGAGCTGTCAACAACGATGGCGACCGCGAGAGCTACATCATCCTCACGGGACTGAAGTGCATCTTCCAGAAACAGCTGCCCAAGATGCCCAAAGACTACATCGCCAGACTCGTCTACGACCGCACCCATCTCTCCATGGCCATCGTCAAGAAGCCGCTCGAGGTGGTGGGAGGCATCACATACCGCCCCTTCAAGGGCCGCCAGTTCGCCGAAATCGTCTTCTGCGCTATAAGCAGCGATCAGCAAGTCAAAGGTTACGGCGCACATCTCATGTCGCATCTGAAAGATTACGTCAAGGCCACCTCGGACGTCATGCACTTTCTGACCTACGCCGACAACTACGCCATCGGCTACTTCAAAAAGCAAGGCTTCACAAAGGAAATCACCCTCGAGAGACCGCGCTGGATGGGTTACATCAAGGATTACGAGGGAGGCACCATCATGCAATGTAGCATGCTCCCCAAGATTCGCTATCTCGAGTCTGGCCGTCTTCTTCTTAAGCAGAAAGCCGCCGTCCACGCAAAGATCAAGGCCGTCTCAAAATCCTTCGAAGTCCACCCGCCCCCATCACAGTGGAAGGGCTTGAAGAAGGGCGACAACCTTCCCGCCATCGACCCTCTCACTATAGGTGCCATCAAAGAAACTGGCTGGAGTCTGGACATGGACGCCCTCGCCCGTCAACCCCGCCACAACCCCAACCACTCACAATTAATGCATCTCCTTTCCGCCCTACAGAACAGCACCCACGCATGGCCCTTTCTGCAGCCTGTCAACAAAGACGAAGTCCTCGACTATTACGACGTCATCAAACAGCCCATGGACCTCAGCACCATGGAGCAAAAACTGGAAAATGACGCATACGAGACCCCCGAAGACTTTATTAGAGACGCCACTCTCATCTCTGTCAACTGCAGACGTTATAATGCCGAGCAAACTCCATACCACAAAGCTGCCATCAAGCTGGAGAAAGAGCTGTGGAAAAAGGTCAAGGATGTGCCCGAATGGAGTTATATCGAGCAAGAGCACTTTGCAGAGGTTGGCAAGTAAAAAACTCGGCTTTGTGTTTTCACGGTGGTTTCTGTGTACTTGGAAGGTCTGGCTTTTGATTTTTGGCCTTCTTTTTTTTCGGCTGGTTCTTTTCTTCTTGCGATACCCCTCATGCTTCTCTTCCATCCTTCTGCCAAGATCATAACAATACGAACACACAGACATTATCTCTGATTGATCACTGGATCCACTCTTGCCTGGTGAATGTCCATGTACCTAGTCACACAATCTTAGAAGCAGATTACGACTCGACTATCAAATTTGCCGTCCACTTGCGATGGTTGATGGACAGGGATCGTGGAGAATGCGAGTTTGTTCTCTGCAAGCTCGCTGGAAATCATGCAGCGGTTGTTGCTGGGTATGCGTCATTCATTGCACAACTCAGAAAGAAGAAATAAAGACATTAACCAATTTTCAATTCCTAGGACAAGCGAAACGAACTGAAAATATGGACGACCATTGTTCAACTCCGACCTCTTGACGTTAAAACGCCGCGCCTGCAGAGAAAGAAAAGAAGAAGAGTGGTATCGAGTAAAAAAAAGGGGTATGGAAAGAAGAATAGACAGAAATAATGACAATGAAGAAGAGTGATGGGGTGATGTGGAAAGGCGTGAAAGATGGTCGGCGGCGGAGAGAGGATAGAAGACTCAATGAAATCATCCATCACGTCAAGCGATGGGCTCTTCGTATCCGTATTCGTTCACAGTCTCTTGCCGGGAACGAAGATGAAAAGACAGCACACGGCAGCGTCGATAATGGCGATCCACATCAGGCACATCAGAGCGCGGCGTGTCAACAAGCGATTGACAAAACGTTCCTTGACCTGGAAGTAATTGGTAAAGGTGTATTCGGAGTAGCCCAGAAGTGCTTGGATGGGGTCGAGCATGTACTGGTGGGAGACAAGGAAGTAAATGGCGATGGTGAAGGGCAAGATGACCTAAGTTCTATTAATACGAAGATCATGAAGAAGAGGAGAAGAGAACAACATACCCAACATCTCGTGCTTCTGCTCATGTCGAGGAAGATGAGTACAAAGGCAGTCCAGATGGCGGCGAATAGAGCAACGAGACCCACGACCAATCGTAGCATCATGCTAGGCTGTACTATGTTGCCCAAAGCCTTTGCTCTGAGGAAGCCGGGGAAAGCATCGCGCTCCATTGCTTGAAAGACGTAGTCCTTCGCGGCGTCAAAGACCTCTGGATCGTCACGGTTCTCGTTCTCGATAGCATCGGTGACTTGCTCAAGGATGCCGACGGGAATGATAATCTCACGCTCCGAGCCTTGTAGTAGATAAGTGTACAAAATCTTCTCAGCACTCGCGCGGATGTCGTGTCTCGTAACGGTAGTACCGGTAGGAGATTGATCCTGCGTGTAGGGAGTGGTTTCTTGAGTACTATCGACCATGGAACGGCGAGTGTGCTGGGGGTCGAAGTTGTTGCTACCAAGAGATTGCGACGGAGAGTGCATGCTGCCATTGTTGTCGGCACGCAAGAAGGCAGAGACACGAACGTCCTTGTCGGCGCTGGGACCGGCCATGACACTATCATCGTATTGGTCCAGAGCTTGCGAACTACGCTTGCTGCCGCCCTTCTCCAACTCGGGTGTCTCTGCTAGCACGCTGCGGTGGAGTCCACGAACGTAGTGTCGGCATAGCGACATGTGTTGTGATACGTCCAGCCTGTGAATTTTGGTTAGTCTATCCGCGTATTTTCAGGCGACCAAGAGGGCTGTTGTGTACCAGAAATCGAGGTAGTCGACGCTGCGTTGAGCATCGCGCATGTAGATGTAGAAACTAAATAGATCGACCGGCGGCTTCGTCTGGCGACTCAAGACTTCGTAGAGGTTGGGTAGGCGATTGCGCGAAATGGTTATATCGGGCGTGGGAGTGCGGTGCGCCATTGTTGTGGGTAGTGATGATGATTTGACGTGTCGCACGCCTGGGTCTTGTTGACGGCGTGACTTTCGCGCTTTGCCTTGTGGAATTGGTTATTATGGCGTGTCGAATTGGTTGGTATAAGATGGTTCAAGCGAAGGTTTGCGGTCGGAAGGAAATAGCGGCGTGAAAAAGGAAGGTGGACTGGAGTGGCAGAGTGAAATGAATCGTCGTTTGATCGTTGGCCTTCGCAACTTCTCCCTCCCTCTCCTGTCACTTTGTCGTTCCTTCCCCAGAACTGGCCCGAGCGTTGATCACCCGCATTAGCGCCTGCTCACTCTATGACATCCGAAAGAACATCCAGTCCTGCTCAAAGGTGCACTTTGACACACACTACCTTACTTTTCTGTTCATTGAACGAGCATCTGCAGAACAAATCTTCGCAACTCGCAAAGAGTTTCCGACCAGCGACGCTATAACCATCTCGAACATCAGGCGACGATCACTACGCGTCGACGTTGACGGCCTATACGAGCGTGGAGACCGTGCCTTTGTGTAAACAAATAAGAACTGCATCACACTGCATTGTATAGATCCAATCGACTCGGTAACATTAGGATTATATACGCTCTACTTCTGCCAATTACTCGACTACTCTACCATATTACTAACTCCGCCTATCATGTACAATATGAAGAACCTATCTCTCCAACGTTCAAGGGCTGCCAGCTAACTTGGCAGTCAGGGGTGGCAACGGGCATTTCTCTCCATCCTCCTCGGTACCGTACACGACATAGTTCTGTTGCATACCAAACAGATTGTGCGAACTAACATGGCAGAGCAATTGCCACACACCCGGTAGCTGAGCGTTCATGTTGAACGTGAACATCTCCCCAGCATTGATGCTCTGACTAGCTTGCCAGATATCGTTATACTGGAAATTGTTACCGTGCAAGTGGAAGACGTGGGAAGCACCGCCAAACGCCATCACGTACCAGATGACCGGATCGTCACGGCACATCTCGTAAGGCGCGCCGTTGCTAAAGACATAACCATTCATGGTGTAGAAGTTGGGTCCTTGAGCATCGCTGAGCTGGATCTCGGGGAAGTTGGTCAACTGGGGTACCCAGAAAGACTCGTTACCGATGTAAGGCTGAACAAGCTGGTTGGTAGGACGCATGCTGCTAGTATCGACACCAGCCTTCTTTGCGTTGGTGCCCGCCATGAAAGATCGTGCTTCGTAGTGGGTATTGGTAGTGACGACAAACTCGCGATGAGCAGACATGGTGCTGTTCATCTCTCCACTGTTGTAGACGATGATAGGACCAGAGAGGCCGGCAGATGTATCAGCAGGCATATTGACGAAACTGTGGTAGGACCAGAGACGACTACTCTGACCAGGCGCTGGTGCTTGAGAGTCTGAGATGAGCCACTTGTAGATCGCACAGCCACCGGGAGGAACGGCATCCTGCTCTTGAACCTTTGGCGTCTCGGAGTCGGTAGTGTTGGGGTACAGAGATCCTTCATACTGCTTGCCATAGTAGAGGCCCATACTATGCATCGATGCATAGTTCTTCTCAAGGTTGTTGACAAACATGATCTGAATTATGTCGCCGACCTCGCCACGGAGAATGGGACCGTTGATACCATTTGTCGCGGGTTGCTCGCTCTGAGCCGAGAAGGTGCTGTCGGTGTATCCCTTGTACACAGCCTTCTGCCACTCCATGCCCCAATTTGATCCAAGAGAGCCGGTGATATTGAGGTACCCAGCAGCCGCAGCGTGGGGAGAGTTCTGAACAGGCACACCGAGCCAGTTGTCCCATCCACTAGGTGCGTAGTTCCAGGCCACCTCTTCAGCGGCGACGAAGTAGGTCCTCACATTGCCAGAGAACTTGAAGTTGGTAGGAATACTGTTCTTTGCAGGGAGTTGATCGTCTATCAGAGCCTGACATTCGTTTCTTTGCGCTAGCTTCGATTGATCTGGGGTAGTGCTGTTTGGTGGGATGGAAAGTATGCCGCCATTGGGACTGACAGAGGCTGCGGCGGCATCGACGGTAGACGTGGCATTAGACGATACAACACCCGGGGTAGCGCTCAGCGTGCCGTTAGGCAAAGTGGTGGAGTATCCTGGCGCTTGGATCTGACCATCGGAAATCTGAGTAACAGCTCGACCCGCGCCAGATGCTGCGGAGCCTGATGAAGCTGGACTTGCACTGAGGATCACTGATGTAGCTGCAGATGCAACTGTCACCTCCGCATTGACGTTATTGACCAACGACTGTGTAAGAGAACGACTGATAAGACTACCAAAGGCAGTGAAGAACAATGCAGAAGGAACCATGTTTCTCAGAACGAGAGTAAAGATACTTGGAGAAAGCTTGTTGGAAGAGACACAGATTCACGCAGAGGCGAGCCTTCATGATATAGCCACTACATTTCCTAGCCACCAAAGAGGTTTCTTTTACTCATTCATGGCCAGGCAGGCATCACGTCGGGCCTGTATGGCTGGGGAAGCCATTATACCCACCTTTCCATATAGAACCCACCCTTCTCACACAAAACCCACTTGCTGTTGATGCAAGAGCAAGGAAATAAGAGGCGGGATGATGTATGCAGGGCCCGGCTCATTCGCTTCTGACGCACATGGGTGGGCTGGGAAAGGTAGCCCACTCACAAAAAGAGCGCAAGTGACGGTATATGTAAATCCCAACTCGGTCCGCGGCTCTGCGAACAGAACATCCGTGAGGGGATCCGTGAAGTTTGTCCCAACCTGTTCCTTCCAATTCTCGATAAAGTTGTAGATCGCAGAGATAGGAACAGGAAGAAGAGATCGTATACCTTCTGAGTCGTGGCTGGAGAGTGAGAAACTGGAAAGTGGTTGGTTGCTCGGGCGGGGGCATTAAAGTTCTGATGCATGCATGGATGTGCATGCACTGTGGCTGGAAGCAGTACCTGGCATCACAGGCACAACAAACATGCCGTACAACCTTGTCGAAATCCAGCGTTGTCATAACAGCCCGGCCATTGCAGGTTTGGGCACAGGTGATCTTAAGGTGATTGACGCGACGTGCGTCACGAAGTCTGATGCCGATGCGCGAACTTCCTTCTCGCCGCCGCAGTGGTATCTCAACTTCGCAGTGTCGAAATCTGGGACACAATTGTCCGCGATGATGTTTCCATCGAGGAAGCACTGGCAGGACATCATCCGGGCATCACTGTTTGGATGGGAGTGGGAGTGATGAAGGCATACTGGTGGAGACTCGGCGCGAACAAGTGCAAGGTCTTGGCGTTGCTCAACTCCGTGGCATGAATCAACATTGCTTCTTCTCTCATAGATTTCGCTTCTTGCTACGAACGATCACCAAATGTGTGCATTCACCCGCGGATCATGGCAACGAGCACGTCGCTCGGTCGGATTTCGTTTCCTTATCCTGAGTTTCTCGGGAGCAAGTCCTGACTACAGTATGTCTCGATATGATACGTCTTAGGTAAGAGCTTGGAGAAACTTTACCTCTCTATCAGATGGCCAGCCTCGTAAACTTCCCTTGGGTCTGGCTCGAAAGATGTTGCCGCAAGTTGTAAACTGTAGTCAAAAACATTGCGCATGCAAATTGGTCACCAGATCCAGAATATCCTCTTCACAATTTGCAAAGCACGCCATCACCCTTCAGCACTGCCAAATGACCTCGGTTGATTTCCTTCACCGTCCGACATCTTTATCAGAGTTAGCACGATCGTGACTGAGTGTCATTACACATAGACTTGCCCAGCCAATGCCATGGTCATTCGCAGTTCAGCCATCAAAATCTTGACTGCAAGTTCGACGCCCTGTTGGCCCTTATACTACCGGACTGGTCAGTCTTTCGGTAATACCTTCAGACATATCGAAACTTACAGCAAGACCCCAGATCGGCACTCTTCCCATAAACACAAAATCTGCTCCCAGTGCCAATGCTTTAAAGATGTCACTACCCCTTCTAACGCCACCGTCGAACGCTATCGGTATCTTGCCTCTTGCGACAGGGGCACAATCTCGGAGACTATCAAGCGTTGCAGGAACACCCTATTTTGAGACATGTCAGTTTATGCTCATTGTTAGGATGAGTGTCACAGAGCTTACATCAAGCTGACGACCACCTGGAAAGATATCTGATTAGCGTGAGTTCGTAGATTGACCACGAGACGACTTACCATGATTAGAGATCATGATGCCATCCACCTTGTGTTGTATCGCCAGCGCGACATCCTCTGGAGAAGCGACACCTTTGAGCCAGATCTCTAGTTTGGTCTGGGAGCGCATCCATGGTATCGCGGTGTGCCACTCGATCGTGGCATCTTGAAAAATCGTCAGCACAGATCGAGACTAGCAGAAATGGTTTACACACCATATTCAAGGCCATCGCCCACAGCGGTAAGGTTCGGCCACTTGAGCCCTTCTGGTAGCTCGAATTTATTCTTATGCTCGTTCAATCTTTGACCTAGCACTGGTACGTCCACGGAGAGAAAGATTGCTTTGTATCCAGCCGCTGTGATCTTGTCAGTTCAAAACTCGACTGTTAGTCGCATGTTTTCGCTCACCCTCAGCACGTCTGATGGTGCTCGCACACGCTACTTTATCCTTGATCATCGATATATGCATGAAGTAAGGATTGCCGTTGTTTTTTGCAATCACAGCTTCAAGACCTTGCGTTGCAAAGACTGACAGACCCATACAGATATTGGCTTTCGCTGCAGCTCGGGAGGTCGCAAGCTCACCATCGGGGTGGGCCAATCCATGCATAGCTGCTGGACTGAAACCGAAAGGTGCTGCAGTCTGGTTCCACGGGTCAGTATATCATAATCCGCCATCAGAACGTGACTTCTGACCTTTACACCAAACATCTCAGTTTCGAGATTGATATTGGCTACGTTGACGAGTACTCGAGGTCGGATCTTATAGCGGTTAAAGGCTTCCTCATTGTCTTTGAGTCTGCTCCCCATGAGCATCTATGCGGTTGTCACAGTGTTGGGAAACATACGTGATCAAGTCCATGGCTCCTTCATTATAGTAGTCTACTGAGAGTTAGTCTTAGTCAATGCCTAGGCACTTTTCCCTCTCACCTCTATACATTGTCGGCATATCACGACATGCTGCCTCTTTTAGATCTGCGATTGTGAGAACATGAGGATCGAGTGTCGGTAGACGATTCATTGTGAGTATGACGAAGAGTAGAATGAGAAGAAGGGCTCGTTTGGTGGTCGAATTTATGATGGAAGTACAAAGTATGAACCTCTTATCGGTCCATGATAGATACATGTAAATACTTCCCATCGGAGTTGACCTTCCGCGTCTAGGAGGACCCTTGATAACGAAGGCAAGTCGATACCGATAATGTCGGCCTATCTTGACCTTTTGAGCTGAGCTTGAATGATAGTAACTGCAGTCCTTCAATCCAGATAATGATGTTGAGTCTTGCTGTATGTAGCGCGTTGCTGCCAGAGTGTTGCCGCTTTTCGCCTTTCCATCTCGTGCGTCGGTCCCAAGCATCAATCTCACTTTCCTATCAACATGCTCTTACAGCGAGCTTCTACTCTGGCCACATCACTAACACAAAGATCGGGTAAGCTACTCCTGTCGTCTCATCACCGTGCGTAATATGAACATCGGTTCGACACGTTGTCGTCAAGCTACATGGCTTCCAGAGGACCATCTGAAATCAATGAGCTCTGAGGCAGACTCACGGCGTCTGTCTCAACTCACAGATCGACCCACTCTCCATGAATTCCTAGCTAGTGATAGGGCCACAATCACAACTTTCTTAATAGGTCACCGAGATCCATATCGGCCTTCCCAAATGGCAACCACATCCCCTCACCAACGCGCCAAGCCAAAACTGATCCCGGAAGCCGGCAGCTCGATGCATCCAACCACATCCGCCAAGCCAACCTGACTCTCTCCACCAAACGCCACCAAAACTAAAATCCCTTCGATCGTTTCTTTTTCCACAGATCCTTCACCCTGGTATAGAGTGGTCTATGATGGAGCAAAACAAGAAGCCCAACGTGGGGCTCGAACCCACAGCCTCAAGATTTCAGGATAGAAGTCTTGCGCGCTACCATTGCGCCAGCCGGGCTGGTACGTTGGGATGCCACAGCTTGTGTAACAATATCAATCTTAGCAACAATTGTGGTGCGAGGGGGAGGGCCACCCAGGCTGCAGTTGCTCCTAGTCATGTCGGGGGCTAGATATGAGATCGTGGCAGGTCTGGGATTGTGGTCGCAGCATATGAAAATGTTCTTCGACATACGGTTCATGGTCAAAGGTGCAAAAAGATAGCCCCAACAACAAAAACAAGAACTGGCTTCAGAAAGAGAAACATTGGTTTACTCGAGAACCTGAAGAAGAAAGAGACGGGCAAGTAGTATAAGTATAATAAGGGGGTGATCAACCCCCGGGAAGAGTAGGGACATGGAAAGTGATGTGTGGGAAGTGGAAAGGGTCATGGAAAGTATCTCCGTGCAGGATCTGATGAAGGAGTGGTCATGAGAAGAAAGAGGGGTTACTCGGTAGCAGAGATCACTTCTACTCACAAGGGACAAATGGTCGCGGTATGGAGCGACAAAGCATTCTACTAGTGGCCACAGACACGACACAGATAGAGACATGGCAAAAATAGTTCCACAAAATAACCGCACTCTCTCAATAACGTTGCTATCTCATTTCACACTCAAATCCTGACGAACAAGAATCTGTAAACATCTCCTCCAAAGAACCCAAGACGGACAATGTCGGAAAGCACTCTTACTTAAGAGCGTTGACAATAGCAGTGTAAGCAGCCTTCTTCTGGAAGTTGGAGTCAAAAAGCAGAGGGCTATCACTCTTTCTCCAAGACTGAGAGTCAGAAACGCCCCACTCGGTGATACCAACACAGTTGCTAGTCTGAACACAAGCATTGACAACCTTGACGTAAGAGCCAGAATCAGCACCTGCAAGATCAAGTTCAGTCATGGCACACTCAGGGGCAGCGGCGCAAACAGCCTTGAAAGCAGCAGGGACATTGTCAGGGTTGTTGAAGCTGCCGGACTTGCCGAGATGGGTTTGAGAACCAACACCATCGATGGGGATACCAGCGGCTCTCCACTTCTTGACGTGGGCGATGAAGCCGGTGGTCTTGGAGTAGGAGGCAGAGTCGAGGTTGTAGTCGTTGATGTAGAGCTTGGCGTTGGGGTCGGCGGCGCGGGCGGTCTCAAAGGCAATTCTGATGTAGTCTTCACCGAGAACCTTCATGAATACGTTTTGGCGGAGAGTGCCGTCCTCGTTGAAGGCCTCGTTGACGACGTCCCAGGCGTAGATCTTACCCTTGAAGTGGCCCATGACCTTGTTGATATGGTTCTTCATCACGTTGGTGAGTTGGGTCTTGTCGGTGATCTGCTGAACCCATTGGGGAAGTTGGGAGTACCAGACAAGGGTGTGGCCACGGACGAGCTGACCGTTCTGGGAGGCAAAGTTGACGAGGTAGTCACCACCGTTGAAGTTGAAGTTTCCGTTGGAGGACTCGGTGGCATCCCACTTCATGCTGTTCTCGGGGGTGACTTGGCCAAAGTCGGCCTTGACAATGGCGGCGGTCTGAGCGTTGCTAAGAGTGCCCTGGTCAGCGGCGGTACCGAAGTACTTTTTGCCCTTGGCCTGGAAGAGCTTGTTCAAGCTGTCAGAAGGCTGAGCAGCAGATGCTTTGTTGCTGGTAGAGACAGGGGCCTTGGTAGCGGCAGAAGTGGTCTGGACGGCAGCAGCGATAGAGCTGGCAGCAGGAGCGGAGCCGGATCCAGGGAGACACTGGGAGTACCATGCATTGGACTCGGCACAGTGGTATCCAGCAACACAGGTAGAGGCACCGGTGAAGCCTTGGCCACCGCACTGAGCGTAGGCATCAGCTCTCTTGACATGGCCAGGGGTAGCAGAGGCCAGAGAAGCCGCAAGGACGATGGAGGAAAGAGTAGCGGTGGAGATATACATCTTGATGAAGTTTTGTAGTGGTGACGAAGGATAAAAGGTCTTAACGAATGACTTTGTTGCTCGAAGGCAATCAGGGATAGAAGAACTTGTTGATGGAAAAAGCGACTACCAGAGTCTGCTAAAGAGTAGAGAAGATTGTGGACGAAGGTGATGAAGAAAGAATCGATTCCATATAGGATGAAGCTCACCCCTTATATATCTATTCTTGCACTTAAGCTTACCATCTAGGGTCTATGCCTCGCCTGCCATATCCATAGTCAGTTGAGCGCACTTACATTGAAGGTGCCCGTGATGAGAACTGTTATTGGACAAGCGATGTTTCGTTGCGAGAAGCGATGCCTTGGCTGTGATTGGGATGTTTGAGGTTGACAGAAAAGAGGATTGACGAAGCGAACGGGTCTGTGCTTTGAACGCCATTCCCGAGGTGAGACGTCCAACTTGAGCCTCGATGGTTGATCACCCTGGCACTTTCTGTGGATTTTTGCTCTAGCCACTGCGAATCAAGCATATTGACATCTCGCGCGAACCCGGCCGAGATGTCGTTACTGCACATCTCCCGTAATCAAGAAGAGCGCCCAAACCAACGCCTGGAGCTTCCCAGAGGTGAACTACTGTACAAGGTCCTGAAACGAGCATCACTAGCATCACGAAGCATAATAATCAAGCGACACCAAGCAATCCTGCTACGTGCTTAAGAGTCACTTAGGCAAAATTCGGATGAAAAGAGATCAAGTGCGGAGTAAAAGAGAGAAGTAAACAAGCATATATGTGATGATTTGATGGCTAAACCACCAAGCCTATTCTTCCAAAGTAGGATGGAGAAACTCAAGATCCGGAGTTAAACGTAATGGGGTATCGAAGAAAATAACATGAGAAGATATCCACCTTGGCGAGGCCCGCTGTACAAAATGGAGAAAGATTAGAAGGAAGATGAGGGGACAGGCATGTGGATAGCGCCGTCGCTGAAGGAGAATAGAAGATCAAGGAAAAGCGTAAGGACTGAAACGTGGTGAGGGAAATCATTCGTTCAAGCATTCCCACAACTCCTCCTCATTCAGCGTCTTGAGGATTGGCTCGCGAGGGAGTTGTGGTTCCGGCCCGAAGCCAAAAATGGGACCGGCTTGGTTGATGCCTGGGGGTCGTAGCTTGCTGGCTGTTGTTGACATGCGTTTCTTGTCAACTTTGATGTGATCCATGGGCGCAGACACGGTGACTGTAGGGGTAGGAGTAGAACCCCACTTGCCAAACACCCATCCTCCCATTCTCTGGCCAAGACCTTTTGGCGGGGTGCTGGAAGCCTTGTGTTCAGCCGCCACTCCTTGTAATATACTACGGCTATTGCTTGACGTCCGTGATATTAATGCAGGTCTGGCAGCATGCGCCAAGGAAAGAGTGGCCGTGACGGAGGCTTGTGATGAGAACGATCTCGAACTCTGAGCAGTCAATAGCTGCGAAGGCCGAGATTGCAGGGTATGGATATCCATGCCTGACACTGAAATTAAGGATTCATGCGAAGCAGCCCGGCGATGCCGAGGGCGTGAGTAAATGCTTTCATCCAAGATTGTCGGCCGAGTATAAGTCGAGATCTCAGTGTCGTCAATGAAAGAAGGCAAATGAGGACGACTCTCATCAACTGATGACATAGTAGAATCCAGATGATTCCCTTCGTCTTCCTCAAGAATTGCACCATGACCTCCTGCAACTGCTTGATCATCAGTCCATCCTTGACTTTCAGCAGAAAAGTTGTAGGATGACTGATCATGATCTTCAAAGCGATCTGAAGCGCCATCACGAAAGGCCGGCTGTGATAAGGCACGAAAATACGAGCCTGTGGAGGATCTTTTCGACTGGTGGGAAATATAATAAGGGGAGCTCGGCGCCTCACTATCCGGTGTAGTCGGACGAGACGAGTCTATGAGGGAATCATCCCGATCCCAAATTGATGATGGCGGATAAATAGACTGGGGCGAGCTGAGCATGGAACTGGTGGTCATGTGAGACTGCATGGACCAACGATTGACGTTTCTGTGAGGTATGCTTGCGGCCGTTTGTGAAAGAATGGCGGCCGTGGATGAGGGGGTATACGGGCTGGCTGCAGATATTGAAGTTCGCGGGGTACGCGAGCCTGTGGAGGGAGTGAAGAGACCGGAAGCGAGGACGTTGCGCTTCTTCTTCGGTCGTCGGAGGGTGAGACTTGCCTTTCGAGAATGTTCAGCAGGAGCGTGGTAGTGGTGGTGGACATGGACTTCTTGAGAGCTAGCTCGTTTCATTTCGTTGTCCAAGTTGGGAGGGCGTGTCGATGGTGCAGGTGACTCGGTATCGGAAGCCATGTCTGTGGGAGTGTACTGGGCAAGCTGATCTCGTAGGACTTCGACCTGCTCGTTTGAGTTGTCGAGCATCTCACGTAGCTCTGCGATGCCGGCTTGCAGGTTGACGTTGTCCTGGAGAATGTCCTTGACGAAGTGGGAGACGACAGTGCTGCCATGCCTTGCCGTCTTAGCAGATGCAGCACCGTTGAGACGTCCAGCAGACGTCTCCAATTCCTTCTCCACCACACGCTGGCGCTCCATGCGTCCAACAATCTCGACATGTCGTTCTTTGTCGTCTCTTGCCTCGCGTTCGATCCTGTCCAGCTGCTCCTCCATCACAGCCAACTTCCTCTCAGCCTCCTGCCATCGCAGAGTTGCTGAGCGTTCAGACTCGACTTTGGAGGTGAGAGAGGCGTGTAGGAGAGCTTGTTCTTGTTCGTACTCGTCGACTTCGCGTTCCAGTCTTTCGGTGCGGGCGGCGAGAGTACTTAGTCGGAGTAGTTCGGCTTGGGTGGAAAGTAGTTGGCCAATGAGAGACTCTGTGTGGGCATCCGACTCGACGACGACATTGTTGAGGCCTTCGAGTTGGTCAAGTAAGTTGCGATTCTCTTCAATCAGACTCGAGTTCTTTGCTTCTGCTTGTTGCTTTTCCGCCGTCATGCGTGTTATCTCAGCATCCATCAGAGCCTTTTGCTCTTCGGCCTCGGCCACATAGGCTTCATGGCGTACTAGAAGGGCCTGTAACGACCAGGTCAGCGACATGATGGCCGTGTTGAGGTGAAACAATTTGGATCGTGTATATTGAGACACAACAAGACGGGCGGCATGCAGGGTGGGGGGCCTGACGCTGCTTGGTTATATCTCAGGACATGTGTGTGTGTGTTTTGGCTTAGTCGACGGTGTAGAATGGCTTGAACTGCCATAGCAAAGGAGATTGAGTGGGGAAACGGTTTGCCTGTGAAGGAAGCGTACGAGTGATGGGATCTTGGGCAGTCGAGGGCAAACAGAAAACAGCGAGATTGCGACTGCCAAAGCACGCGCGATTCACGAAACACTGACCTTGCCAACCTGGCCAGCCCTGCGCAGGTTTTCGTCCAATAACGCAAAGGCTTGGTTGTTCTCCTGCTGGAATGCGCAGTCGTCGTTCCCACAGCAGCATGGTGTCGCCATGGTTGGAATGCAAGGGAGAGAGTTGTCCGGATCCGCGTCCTCGGAAGATGTATGCCCAAACCGCTGAAGACCGTTGTCGCTCATCATGAGCAATCAAAGAGAGTCCAAGCCTAATAGGCCCGCAAGACCCAGTCGTGAAATTGTGCGTTATCCGTCATGCATGCGCTGTCGTTGTACAAGGCTAAAAAGTCGAGGGATCTTGACACAGCGCGCTCGACTTGTTTTGATGTCTTGTGGTCGCAGAGGGTTTCGAGATGATCGTGTGGAGAAGGCGGCGGCATCGTGCATTCGCGCCTTGATTTAACATACAGCACGGTCCTCCCAGCCACCCAATCATTGCCCAACTTCTCACTTTAGCTTCAGGTACCGAAACCAAAGCCTGCATTCCAAAGTAGGGCTCTTCCGTTTTCGACACTTCCGAGGTAAGCCATCAACCAGTAAACCACAACGTTCTTCACTTTCCGATGCCGTTGATGAATGCTCTTCTTCATCTTTCTCATTGCCCGAGCGTGTCGACTATCGAATCCTACGAAATCCTTCGTCCACCAGCAAGTTATAGTGTCGTTCAACCTTTTTTCTCTTGTAGCACTGTCGAACGTGAGAAGAAAATTCGGGTTTCATTAACATTGTAAAGTGACTATTTAATTCATCTTGGCGTTACATGTCGCGTTCTTGACGCGGAGAGGTCGTGTCTTGTCTTTGTCGTACGAGACTTGTTCAAATCTTGATCTCTGATGGGATGGAGATCTCCATGATATCAACTCCCTTCTGGATCTCGCTCTTGCCGGGCATCTTGTTGTGTCTCATCAGTTCGGCGCTCTGTGTCATGTAAGGGTCCTTCATCATGCTGGCAACAGCGACAATTTCCTCGCCCTTGTGGTAGTATGCAACGAAGCTGGGGCCCTTCTGTGCGTCTGTCTCGCCTTGGATAATGACGTCGTCGTAGCCATTGGGCGTGTTACCACAGTATCTCAATTGAGCACCAAGGGCAGACCAGAAGACGGGAATGAATGACTTGGGAGGTGCCGAAGGGTCGTTGATCGTGCCAGCGACCGAGCGACCGGCGTTCTGAGCAACATCCCAATGCTCGATGCGAACCAGCTTGCCGTTACCTCCGGGTCCGTGGTAGGGGTATGAGGCAATGTCGCCAATGGCAAAGACATCCTTGAGACCCTCAACCTCGAACTTCTCGTTAACGTTAATTGAGCCATCCTTGTTGAGCTTGATCTCCTTGACGTCCTGGAGGTAGTCGGTCGAGGGTCTGACGCCGACACCCTCGATGACAAGGTCAGCAGGGAGGTTGGTGCCATCCTTGAGTTGTACCGAGCCAACCATCTTGGAGTTCGACTCGGAGGGCTTGGCACCCTCGACCTCTGCCTGCATCTTGAACTTGACACCGTTCTTCTCGAGCAACTCTCTGAAGGTCTTGCCGAGCTGCTTGCCCATAACAGCCATCATGGGTTCTTCTTCCATACCGATGATGGTGACATCATGCTTCATGCCAGCGAGGCAGTTGCCAACCTCCATACCGATGAAGGAGCTGCCAACAACGACTACCTTCTTGCCACCGTTCTCGCCAGCAGCCTTCATGATACCCTGGGCATGAGGGAGAGCACGAAGGACGAAGACATTCTCAAGATCACCCTTGAGTCCGTCCATTGGAAGCCACTTGGGAGTGCCACCGGAAGCCATGATGAGCTTGGTGTAGTTGACCTTCTTGCCATCCTCGGTCTCGACGGACTTGTTGTTGAAGTCGACCTTTGTGACGTTGCCCCAGGTGAAGTCGATCGAGGCCTCCTTGTAGTAGTCCATTGTGCGCCATGCGAGCTTGGACTGGTCGGTCATCAGAGCCTTTGAAAGCTTGGTGCGATCGAGAGGTTGCGAGTTTTCGCGGGAGACGACGGTGATCTTGCCCTTGTAACCGCCACCACGAAGGCCCTCGATGGCACCGACGGCACCACTTCCGCTGCGAAGGGGTCAGTGATTGCTTGAACTGTGTATTGAGTATTGAGGCGAGTGGAGACATACCTTCCAATGACAACGACGTGGTCCTTGTCCTTTACGCTACTGCACTTGATGTTGAGTTGGCGTCTGTTGGCCTTGATGACCTTCTCCTCGCCCTTGATGTAAACAGCACCGTCACGCTCGTAGACCTGGAACTTGGCCAGAGGGTCGAGAGCGGGTGCATCCTCGACGTCACCAGTGGAAACCTTGAAGCAGGCTGCGAAGTCGTGTTAGCCCTAGCATGGTGAGATGGGAATAGCTGTTGAGCTTACCTCCGTGCCAGGGGCAAGTAATTCTGCCCTCAGGTGTAAGAACACCCTTAACCAGGGGTGCACCGTAATGGGTGCAGTTGGCGCTCATGGCATGAACCTCATCCTTGACCTTGGCCAGAAGGACCTTTCCTCCCTCAATGCCATCGACCTCTACTTCTTGCTTCTGACCATTCTTCAGGTCGAGGCTGGTCAAGCCTTTGATCTTGTATTCGGTAGCCATGGCGCGTAATGTGGTTGAAAATGAAGCCGTGTTGCTGGTAATTGAAAGTCTCAAAGACGATGGTCGTGAAATTTGACGAAACTGAGCAGATGCGGTCGTCAGGAATGGTCGTAATGAAAGCATAGGCTGGGGATGGGAAAGGAAAGAGAAAGGAAACAGAGGAGACACGAGAATGTCCAGATATCGTGACGGCAGTTTATTGAGTGGAAGCGGTCATCCTGTTTGTGCTCGTTGGTGATTCGCTGCATCTCATCATCATGAAGCTCGATCCCGCACCTTTTGCTGCGATCTGCTCGTCATCATGCTGTCTGCCCCGCTGAACAAGGCCCAAGCCGCCGACGAACGAGGAGCTATGGCCATCTGGCGACCCTACACCTCGATCCAGTACATCAAGGTCACCAAACACGACAACAACTCTATACATTTGATACTGTTGCTACGAGCATAGACCGTGTCAATCTAGCGATAATGTCCCGTGAGTAGCATGTATCAGACACGCTTGAGAGATGATCAGAGGTTGACGGAGCTTACAAGACTCAACTTTTCCTACCGATATACCCGTCCCTACCGATGATGGAGCTTGCGACCATTTACCTGGCATGACTATACCGCCTCTCTCACTTCCAGCTACCAATGATACACTGGTGAAGATCTCGTCCCTCCAAGGTCTGGTGATTTTGTTTTGCTACCCTCGAACTGGAGCGCCAGGCGAAACTATCCCAGACTCTTGGAACTCCATTCCTGGAGCTCGTGGCTGCACTCCACAAGCATGTTCATTTAGAGACACTCAGAGAGAATTCATGACCGCAGGTGTAAACAAGATCTTTGGTCTGAGCACGCAAAGCTCGACTTATCAACAAGAAGCCAAGACGAGATTGCATCTTCCATTCGAATTGCTCAGTGACGAGAAGCTGGACTTTGTCGAGGCATTGAGCTTGCCGACTATCGACTGGGAAGGCAAGAAGCTTACCAAGAGAATTACCCTTGCCATTGTAGATGGCAAGGTTGTCAAGATTTGGTATCCTGTCTTTCCGCCAGACCAGAGTGCACAGCAAGTCTTGGATTGGTTGGCACAAGAAAAGACTGGTGCACAGAAGTTTGGCGGCAATCGTCGCTTATCAGTCACCTAATGTATCTATCCAATCCCGAACCAGACTCGATGCGTTGTAAAGAGACTCGATTGTACATTTGCTCAGCCTCCTGGGTACAAAACAAGGATCAGGTCTGTTGTCTCATTGCGCATTGGAAGACAGGATCATCCGCTCGACCTCTGGGTGACCCTGTCTATTGTTCTGCTGGTCACCTTCTATGTGTGACTTACGGACAGGCATATCAATCAATACTGCGTAGAATCACATCCTTATGATGTGTAACTTCAGGCATATCCTGCTGCAGCCATCCAAATTCCAAGGCACAAGATATGGTGGTGTGAGAAGTGATATTACCAGATTCATAATGTTACACAAAAAGGACCAAGTCTGTCTGGACAGAGTAGAGTGAAAGTGTGCGCTTTACCAAGAAAATCATGCCATCTTTATGCAGTCGATGCTCTAGATGTAGACGCTAATCGAATAGGAAGATCTCGTTCTTCGAAGCCCTCCACTTCATCATCATCCTGATTGCTCTCCTCGTCTTCATCGTAGTCCTCGTCGTCATCCTCTTCATCTCGATCGCCACCTTCGACAGACTCGAGGACGGAGTGATACATGGCGGCATTGTCCTCGTCATCCTCTTCAACGCTACGTCGAGCTTCTGAGAGGTAGCTATCGCCCATATCGCCCTCGTCTTCGCTAAATCGTCGCGTGTTGGCGCGGGATCTGTTGTTTCCTCTCATGCCCCCTCGTATTGAGCCACCATCACTGGAGTCGTCGTCGCTCTCTGATGCAGAGAAGTCGGCAAGTTCTAGCGGCTTCTCACGCCAGTAGTTGAAGTCTGTAAACTCTTCACCACCACCTTTGACGAGTAGTGCTGTAGGCGGGAAGTAGTGGTCTACAATCTCGCGCATGCTTACATAGCCAGTCTTGTATGTATTCAGTGATAGTAAATCCAGCGAGACTTCTGCATTGGAGTTGATAGTGAAGATCCTCGTGCTGGGAATGTTGACAGAACGATATGAGAGCGCATCTGTGAGACGGTTGCCAAAGCCTGCGTAGAATGGAGACCCACCCTTACCGCTGGACTTACCGACCAACCCGGTTTTGCTCTCGGCCGAGGTGGTAGGACCAGCCGCATCCGCGTTGTTGCTGCCTCCGAGTCCGGTAAACAGGGCCATGATGTCGCGCAGACAGGCCATCTTGAAGACTTCTGGTTTCCGGAGATACACCTCGCGTCGTAATGCTGCAATGGTACGATCGGGACTCATGATGGTCGGCCCTCGTGGTAGTTTGAAGCCTCCGTCTTGTACCACGTTTGCAAGATAGTTTCTCGTCGTGTCTGCCTGACCGACTGACCGGGAGGTCAGATACATGATGTTGTAGCCATTGGCTGAGATCTCGCTGAACAGCTTGGCCACACCAAGATGGGTCCAATCACGACCAATCATGTTCAAAACGTGGCCGAGTGCGTCGGATTTAGTGATTGTGCCGTCAATGTCCGAAATGACAATGGGTACATCCCAACGCCATCGGTAGATCATGGCAGTACAGGTAGCGCGGTTAACGCTGAAGCTCATGGTATTAGGCCCCGGCTTGAGATCTAGAGATTTGAGTTGGTCGCTTGTCAGGCGAAGTGTCTTTGCGTAGTTTCGGTTTGGATCACCAGCAGCTTGAGGAGATGCAGGACCTGAAGACAGACCCACAGCGCTGTCAGAGTCTCGTCGCATGTGTGTAGCAGTATATGTGGCAGACGTTTCGCTGCGAGAGTCATCCGAGTGGTAACCAGGATCCGACAGAGCGTCTGTTGAAGTATAGCCAGCTGGTTGCAGGACATTCAGACCTTGGGCGACCTTCCTGTTGGCCTGCTCTTTGGCTTCCTCGCTGCTGTAGATCCATAGATTACCCTTCTCGTCTGCACCGATCAAGGAACCAATGTCATAATTGCCTTCCAGCTCTTCTGACAGGATCTTTCTAGCCAGAACCTCTGCACGCAAGCCTTCGTCTTCACTGCTCTTGTAGCCTGTCATGTCCAGCATGATATCGCCCTTGTCGGTGACTTGGGAAGGAATGTTGGAGCCCCACAACTTCTTCGAAAGATTGATAGCTCTTGTCATGGCCTCTTCGGCAGAGACGGGCGGTGGGCTCGATGAACGTTCGGTTCGAGAGCGAGAAGAGTCCGAGGCCACGGGCACGGGGAATGGATCGCTTGTCTTCATCGAGGCGCTGATGGCTGCCTTTGCGACGGGAACGGCATCGTCGGTGGCAGAGCGGTGGAGGTGTGCGAGTACGGGCTTAGGGTTGTCGGTAGTGATGGCTTGGTCGTCTAGTGAGGTGGCTTGGCCGTTGTCGCTCTGAGCTCGTCGTTCGGAAGAATGGAGGGGGTTGAAGTTGATTGCAGCAATGGATTTGGCGTGCTCTCTTCTGTTGTATGTGGGGGTGGCAGGGAGCGTGGCCGACAGCGAGTTGAGGTCGAACGTGTCTGGCTCGGCGAGAGCAGACGACTCTGCCGACTTGAAGTCTGGACTCTGTGCAGGTGAGACCAGGGGAGACGTCTGCAGAGCTTCGGGCACGCTGGACGACGTCTCGAAGACAAAGAAGGCCTCACCCCCCTCTCCCAGCTTCATGGGATAGTCGCGACGCTCATCGTTGACCTTGAACTCGACCTTCTTTTCCGACGGTCGGAGTAGCGAGAACTTGCCGAAGCGGACGTGGAATGGTGAGCATGCAAGAGAGCCGTCTTCTTGCTCGACTACAATGACGTCGATTGCGCCTGACAGCGTGGCCGGGTTGATAGAATTCCACGTCTTGGAGACGGAGCCGGACAGGGATCGCACGTATTGCATGGCGCCGACGGATTATTAAGTCAACTCGGGGGGAAGGGCATGTGGGCAGCAGGAGCAGAGCGAGCGAGAATGATTGAGTATGTAAGAAAGTATGCGGATAAAACAAAAGTGTCCAAGCAACGCAGGCCCGAGAGCAGCTTGAACAGCTGATGCGGGAAACGCGGAGTCAGAAACGATATATAATGTGCCTCTCGTACGACAGCATCTCGATGAACACGACCTTGACCGGCTTCATATTTTCTGCTCATACGACCGTGCCCACGCTGGAGCAGCAGAATCAACTGCATGTGATATCATTCTTACTGACATGTGACAGTTTCCGAGAAGAAGCTCGAGCAGAATTAGGCAGTCGCGGTCGCTGTATGCAAAGCACCAGGCCAAAAGAAGCCTCGGGCCGCTGGCCTGTCAAATTGATCTTCATGCCCGCCAAGCACATGGCAGGAGCAGCCAATCCACGCCGCTCCGCTCTCGCATCCATTTCCCCTTTGATACATGTAGCTCCCGTCAGTGTACATGCCGATACCGACATCTATACCACTCTATTGTTCGCCAGCAGTTTAGCATACCGAATCTACACGGATGCTGGTGGGCTGCTCTTGACGCGACCGAGTGGACTCCGACTTGACCAGGCTTTCCGGGCGGCGGGCGACACTGCCGCTTTTGCAAGTCTGCCCCATCCTTCCTCTCTCAAAGCCATGCGCCTGCTCATGTTGCTGGACAACGCCTATCTGCTCTTCAGCACCACCTTCAACCGCCTGTGTGTTGGCGCCGCTCTTGTCTGGTATCTAGTCCCCATGCTCCCGTCTTTTGCACTTTCTCTCCCGTCGCCCTTGTCTCTCTTCTTGTCCCTCGTGCCTTCCTTTTCTTCCGTGCCTTCTTCCCTCTAGTATCTTCCTCTTACACCGTGCCCTCCTTTACGATCCACGCTTGCAGTAGCACGTGCTGACTGTTACTCATAGGCTCACCTACCGTGCCTGGCTTGTCATCCACAAGCCTCTAGAAGAACTTGTTGGTCTTCTCGGATGCGAGATCCCTCAACACCCTCATGTCGACCTCGCTGGGATCAAGGCCGATGGCTTCGTTCTGCACTGGAAGGCTGTCGACGATCGCAAGTCCATGCATCGCTATGAAATTCAGTTAAACGGCTCCATAGTTGGCCAGATCTCTCACGCCAACACGTCATTCGCCATTTCCAATCTACGTCCGAACCAGCTGTATATCGTACGCGTCATTACCGTCAATGCTGTCGAATTCCGCGCTGCCAGTAGCCCCATCCGTCTCTGTACAAAGTCGGCCGACTCTCAGGATTTCTTCGACCCGTCGTGGTCGACCGAGTCGGCTTCCTCTGGCCCTGTGATACGTCCGCTGCACGTCTTTCAGCCAGATACCCCGGCCATTCCTGCAACTCCGCCTCCACTTGTCCGCGAGACAAGCAACGGTCCCCTTCAAGCCAAGAAGAGTCTTTTCGGCAGACGTCCATCGCCGTTGCCTGGCCTCGATACTCAGCTCTCGTCCTTCGACGAGGCAAACGATGAAGATGGCTCGGGCGACAACCAGCAGGCTTTGACGGAGAAACTGGATGAGATTGGTCGCGAAACTGCCGAAGTTGACAGACAGATTCAAGAGGAGGAACAGGAGGCCATTGCCGCAAAAGCTAGTCTGGTCAAGGAACGTGATGAGCTGAGAGGCGAGTTGAAAGAGAAGGATGACACTAGCCGGGACCTTCGCAAACAGGTCAACGCTCTGGAACGGAACAACCAGGCTGCTCAGAACAAGAAGAACGCACAAGAAAAGGCTCTCCAACAGAAGCAGAGCGAAAGGCAAAAGCTCAAGGACGATGCTGCAAGATGGCAGAAAGAGATGGCGCAGATAACGGAAGACATGGGCAGCATTGAGGAACAGAAACAGACATTACTGCAAGACACGGAGCGTGAAAAGGTGGAATTGCTAGAGAAGCATGCTCAAGAACTGCAAACACTTCGCAGCATGGAAGATGAGAACAAGGAAGTTGGCGCTCAGATCAAGAAGCTGGAGAGAGAAATGACTGATTCACCCAGCGGCTCCGAGCCAAACGAGCACAATGACGCTCTTGCCGCCATAGAGGCTGAGGAGGATCGCCAGTGGGCAGAGAGATTGCGTAGATTGGAGGAACAATACGTGATTGCTCACCAGAACATGGATGCCGCACGCCGCTACTTTGAAACAGCCATCAGTCAACTCTCCCTCGTCAAGCAACGTCAGTCCGAGATAACCCACATGGCTTCTGCTATTCCGCCAATCTTCGACCAACCCATCTCGAGAGCCAGCAGTCTGCGTCAGAGACGTCCCCCAAGCGGTCCGTCGGCGAACAACTCTAACGGTTCTCCTTTCGCACCTTCCACCGCACCCGCTTTCAGCAGTGCACTAGCTACATCTGGTCCAACAACCATTCCGCCTGGCTTCACCACCTCTGCTTCCTCCTTCTTCAACTTTAATAACGGCATGACTCTGGATCGTCCCTTGGATGACTTCTCCCCTGCTGAGATCGACAAGCTGACTGGCGGGGCTCCGATGAGCCCCAGTGCAGGCGCAGAACTCTTGCCTGCAGGCCTACTGAGCAATGCTGACGAAGATTTCCTCCCTCCCGCTGTTCTCCCGGGTTTGGGTGCTGGGCTAGGCGCTTCAAGGCCATTCGATCAGCTCCAGGGTCCCACGAGCCCAGGCTCGGTCGGCAGTAATTCTCCAAGCTTGCTGGCCAGTCCACGTGCTAGTGCAAATAATTTGATTTTCCACTCTCCCGAGACAGGCATGGACAGCGATCGTCGCTCCATCAGATCCAATCGATCTGCTCGTGCAGCAAGCGGTAGTGCTCCTCATACGGGTGCTAGTCGATTCGGTCAGATTCTCGGTCTCGACAAGCTCAATCGCCAGCGTGGCAAGACACTTTCAGAAGAAGGTCCGGCCTTGGGCTCCTTGAGCAAGTCACAGAGTCAATCTTTACCACGCAATGACGAAGCAGATGAACTCGCCGGCTCTGGCCGTCGCCGCAACAGCAGTCACTCTGGCAACTTTTTCGGCCTCAATCTAGGAAGGACCACTGGGCACACTAAAAGCATGGGTGCAGAAAGTCTGCCAACGCAGAAACATATCGCCGTGCGAAGGAGGCCGTTTAACATGTTCGGTGCCAAGACTGATGGCTGGGCTGCAATCCTTGGTCAAGACCGAGCTGCTGCCTTGAACGAGAGGTCCAATGTGTTGAGCAATCTGGGCAAAGACGATGGTAGATCATCTCCACGTCCGATCTCCGTACACTCCAATGAGCTGCCTAGACCTTCTCAGGATAGCTCGTCATGGGGTCTCTGGTCATCAAACGAACCATACAATCAGAGAAGCAGCCCGCTCAGCTCTGACTGGATGGCAGCTCCAGCAGTGCCACACAACATGTGGAATTCTTCGAGCAGACAAACATCAAGACGCCCTTCGATTCAGCACGGTCAATCTGGTGGTAGTCTCTCTTATGATATGCTTGATGATATGGACAACAACAGCTCCTATGCCTTCAGCCCGCCGCAGTCGACAGCCAGTCTTGCACCGATCGGCACGAAGCCTGCTCACATGCTCAAGCGCAACATTCCCGACCCCAAGTTGAATCCAGCAGCCAAAGATTTCCGCTCTCTCTTCTCGCGACCTAGTTCGATATCATCAGATGCAGAAGACGAGGAAGATGATAGAATCAATTTGATTCGCGCAACACCAATCACCTCTCCTTTCAAGGCACCACACCAGCCTTTGCCTCTAGATCTTGATCCACCGTCATCACCAGAGATTGGTCGCGAGTCTAGAGATGCTCAATCCATCAACACTGCGTCATCTATCTTGTCCGACTCTCGCGATAGTCTAGATCGCAGCATCAGCTACACAGCTTCTGATTCGGCTCCCTCGACATCCATCACCTCCAACAAAGGCTCATCCCTCATGTCAAAACTTACCCGCAAGCACAGCAGCGGAAAGTTCCAATTCCCAACCTTTACACGCTCCACTACCGAGAGGTCCAAGCGCGAGTCTCAGCTGCTGGATGTTGAAGATGAGGAAAGCATGAGCAAGAGTATGGAAAGCGAGAAAGGAAAAGGCAGTGTCAGATCATGGAGCAGCATGTTTGGAGTCGGCAAGAAAAAGGACAAGGTTCCTCAAACGCCCAAAGAAGAGACGCCATCATTGTCTGGAGCTAGTCTCGCAAGTACTGAGCATGGAGAAGATGATCACTAGATATATACACTCGTTGGAAACCAAAAATCTCATTTGCATACATTCATCTTTTTGTCAGCCGATAATCTTGCCGTTATAATGATCTATCTCTTGTTGCCGACCACCATGTACTCACTCTCCATTGACGAAGATCACGAAATGAAAAACACCTAGCCCCTTTCTACAGGTCCATAAAAACCCCTGCTATACAGAAGGAGACGAGCGCCAAATTACACTCTCCGCAAATACAGGTCGTAATGCGAAAAAAAAACACGCTGCATTCTTACAATTACATAACAGCCCAGATTGTAGGAAAGGAGATAGAATCCTACCCCATGGAGATACAACTTTATACTCTTCTCCATGGACAGAGCCTATGATGAGAAAATTACCTTGCGTTTTTACAAACCACAAAATTTCTCTGCTACAGAGGAGGAGATATAACATCATCCTACTCGTCACTTCCCAGGTTTTCTTCCACTCAAGTGACTTTATTCACATGCGCCCAAGAGCATCATTTACTGTACTCCATCACATTCAACACCTCATCTCTGCAGTACCAGCACATAACTCTTACCATCCTCGGGTTTTGCAACATCACATCACTGACTCAACACCAAAAATTCCGGTGTGCGACTACCTGGACAAGTACGATATTGTGCTCGTCCCTTGGTTTTTCTTTGTTTGAGGAGAGGGGCTGGAGCGGACGAAACGACACCGGTCGATGCACGAAAGGAAAAATATCTTGAGCTCCCGTGTGTCGAGTCTGTGGTTGTGGTTCTTCTTGCAGTGGCTCTGTGACCTAGGTTTATCACAAAGCTCGTCTCTTCTTCATACTTCATAAGTGTTTCTGTACATATGTACCTGGATCAGGATGAATTAATTCGAGTTTGCAACTCTTCTCCACCAATCTTCGCCCATGCGGCTGATATCTACAACTTCTACATCTTTTCCCAGACCCACGAGATTCGAGGTTTCCCACCATTTGGAACTTGTTGCTTCTTTGGCTTTGCCTCTACGTGAGTCTTCGTCTTCGGTTTCTGTTTCGGTGTCGAGGAGACCGCCGGCGCCGTCGTCGCCTACTACGAGGATTGTTTGGCCTACCCAGCCTTTGAGTTGTTGGACGTGTTCTCCGTTGTGGCCTGATAGAGTGGGGATATCGGTGAGATAGACTAGAGAAGGGGATAGGTGTCGCAGGATATGTATGTAACCTGTGGGTGTCGAGAATGGCAAAACTTGTGATGGCTTGTCTACCAGAGACAATGACTTTTGCCAGAGAGCATCAAATAGTGATTTTGAGGATGGAGAGGATGAAGATGAGCCGGGGTACGACACAGATGCATATGAGGATGAAAGAGTGGTTGAGACGGAAGCTGGAGTGGGAAGATCCGGGAGGGAAGTTTGGTTGGGAGCATAGATGAGGATGAACAAACTTGTGGTGGCTGGGTTAATGTCTTCCGGAAGGTGCGAGAGGATGGACTATAGAGGGTTAGAAAGTCCAAGGTGAAATTGACAGTTGCAAACCCACAGCGTGTTCAGTGATATAGGCAGAACTTTCTTCTTCATGCTCCCTGTCATCTGCGTTGAGCACGATGACTACTGATCTTCTCGACTTGTTTGTAGTAGATTGAGAAGCAGGTCGTTGTGTGCGCTTGCTCTCAGCTTCCTCATTCCAATGTTCGTTGTCGGAAAAGGCAGGTTCTCCTGTTTCTTCTTGTCCTCGTCCAGAGCTTTGGTCTGATAGTCCCACAGCAGAACGGATACGTTGGCCAGCATTGTCGAACAATTGCTGTGGTGAAGGAGTGCGGCCAGTCACTCGAGCCAAGAAGCCTTGGTCGCGGGGTTCAGGAGTATCGTATTGATCTTCGGTCAACTCTTCAGGATAGTCCAAGGGGTGGTCGTGTTTGTCGTCGTCATGTCGAGCATTATCGGCATCGTCGTCTTGCTGGCGTTCACTCCAGATCCAGGCGGCTAAGCCAGCCGTGGCAATCGTCACCGTTACGACCAGGGGTATCCAGTATCCTAATGTTGATCTGCCAGGACGAACCTGCCTTCGCCGGGCAGCATCGTAGCGATCCATTGCATTGAGATTTACATCAGAGTCTTTGCTACCTTATCACATGAAACATGGTCGCGGTCGCGTCGTGTGGTGTATATCGTCCCCGCAATTCTTGGCGTGTTCGCGCTGCGGGAGGCTTCGACTTGATCGCGAAATTCTGTCGAAATGCGTCACAATATTTGTCGGAAGAATTATACCATCGCAACTTGATTCCACTGGGAGAAGACAATAAGAGGAGGATAATCACACACATCCGGGATGCCACACGCAACAAACATGCCGTACGCCGGCTTCCAGGCCTTTATTTTGTGCGGACCTGGATTGTCACTCAATACCTTTACCTCGAATGTCGCAGACTACCCCAAAGCTCTGGTACCCATCGCCAACCGTCCTATGGTATGGTACCCTCTGGACTGGTGTTATCGCATGGGCGTCACAAACATCACTCTGATCACACCCCCTGAGAGTGCTGCCCCTCTGGAGTCCGCCCTCGCCCAAAATCCTCACCTCACAAGTCTTGCCGTTCCCAGACCTGAACTGCTCTGCCCCGAGTCCTTGACACAAACTACTGGAACTGCAGAGATCTTCCGCACTCCCGAGGTGCAAAAGGCCATCACCACTGATTTTATTGTTCTGCCCTGCGACTTGATCTGCGATCTCGAAGGTTCTGCTCTCTTGCAATCATGGATGGTGCTCGAAGCTGGTCTTGGAGGTGCTACTGGTGGTATGGTTGATGGACAGGCTGTGCGCATGACAATGGGTGGTGAAAAGAGTGGTCGTAGAGGAGGTCTGGCCGTGTGGTATCCTACAAAGGGCCTTGAAGGCGTCAGTCAAAAGGGCGACGAGACGGATTTGGTCGCGACAACTCCCCTACCGCGCCCTGCTGTTCCCGCTCCTGAGGGACATCTCAGATCTCATGTCGAGAAGCTCGTTTTGAGCATCCCCACAAGTACCGTCAAGGACATCACAGAAGAGCAGAAGAGCTTCCCTCTGCGTCACGCCCTACTACGTCAACACGGAAAGATCAAGATCAAGACTTCACACAGAGACGCCCACATCTACTTCCTGCCTTTCTGGGTCAAGGACATGATCAAGGAGAACGAGGCCTTTGATTCACTGTCTGAGGATGTTATTGGATGGTGGGCAAAGGCTGGCTGGCAACAGGGTCTGGCTGACAAGTTGAACCTGCGCCAAGTCCTGAACGACACTCCCTCAACACCGGATGCAGACGATCTGATGATGGCAAGCAGCATGCAGCTCGACGAGGAGGTCGATCTGGCTGCCATGAGCACAACATCCATGAGCCGTCCCACCGCTTCTTCCATCAACCGCTCACCAGATACTTTTGCTTCGCGCGTACCTGGAAACCTACAGACAGACAACGACCCTCAAGATCCCTTGATAGTGCCCCCGATTCTGGCATACGTCCAGCCTCCTCTTACCGACGCAACCAACCAACCGCTTATCCGCCGTGTCGATACTTCATCTCTCCTCCTCAGCATCTCCCTCCGCCTAGCAAAACTTCCTTCAGTCGCAGAAGCCACAGCGACTGGAGTCACACCATCACCCTTCGCACACGCCGCAAAGGTCGCACATCCAGACATGATCCAGCAACAAACACGTGTCAGCGAAGTTGATTCACTAGTGGCTGAGAATGTCACAATCGGAAGCAGAGTCAACATCAAGGAATCTGTCATCGGTGTCGGCTGCAGTATTGGCAATGGCGCAAGATTGACGAGGTGCCTGCTGATGGACGGTTGCACCATCGGCGATAATGTCACACTCACCGGTTGTATCGTTGGCAAGAGATGCAAGATTGAAGGAGGCGGCCCCAAGGATGAGGACAAGACACGCCTGACAGAATGCGAGGTTCAGCCTGGCTATGTTGTCAAGTGGGGAAGTAAGTTCTCTGCCTTGATTCTACCATCACGAAAAACATTGCTAACGCTTTCACCACAGCCGAAATCAAGAATGAAAAGTTCATGGTATTCGAGGGACTTGGTGAGGACGATGGAGATATGGACATGGATGATGAGGATATGGACTCCGGTGATGATGACGCTGCATTTGCATAGATGTATTACCAGGTATAGCCTGAATGAAAAGAACATGAACAAGCCTTCGATCTCACGGTCGAGAGTCGTGCTGCATGAATGCCTTGATGCCTGGACCGGCGATATCTCGGCTCAAGGCAGCCCCAAGGCGGAGTCGGCATCATCCACGCAGCGGGACTCGTAGGCTGTGCTTGGCTGTGCAAGCTGCGCCTTCCTAACCAGTAAACCTCGCGTTGCGTGCAAAGCCTCAAATTCCAAACAGTTGATTGCTCCTTCTCTTATTGTAGAACAGTAGTCGAGATGAGAGGCTGAGGATTGCCTGAATGCGGACTCACAGGAAGCAGGCGCGCGGCTATGCTGGTATTGGTAAGTTTGTTGCGCAGTGAGGGCGAGCAAGTATAACAGCAACGGCGTTCACGTAGACCAAGACATGAATCAACTCAAGTGTGCCAGACTAGACTCCGGAATACCCGTCCTATTCCCTGAAAGTCTGTCTGCACTCGTTTACAGCTGACCCTTTACATCACAAGACCAAGCTCACAAGGTCTTGGATTCTTTTACATAAGACCTTCCCCCTCTTCCAACTTACTCCTACGTGACTTCCTACACAAACAACTCGCGACCAAACAATTTTCTATCCATCAATCGACAATCACATATCATCATAACAGACGACATGCGCAATCTCCTAGGCAGCATCAAGCGCAAGGTCTCGACCAGCAGCAGTGGAAACGCACAAAACAACTCGCGCGCATATCCCACAATCCAGGACCCTTACGGCACACCATCAAGAACAGGCACCATGAAAAGCCAATACGACCCACCACCTCCAGCTGCAGCCCCTCTAGCTCAAGGCACTGCACCACCAGCATACTCACCAGTCTCAAATGCCGCACCCGTAGTCCCCTCAATAGCTATATCATCGCCGCAGAACCAAACAGCCGACGACCCCTACGCCTTTCTGAGCACCTTTGACACAATCTTCCTAATCGACGACTCCGGTTCCATGGCAGGCAGCCGCTGGCGCGAAACTCAAGAAGCTCTAGAAGCAATCACCCCCATCTGCGTAGCCCACGACGCCGACGGCATCGACATCCTCTTCCTCAACAACCCAGAAAACCAATATCACAAAAACGTCACTTCGCCGGCTACTGTTCGCGAGATCTTTTCTAGTGTGAGACCTCGCGGTGGAACACCTACTGGTCAACGTCTGGACTCTATTCTGCGACCTTATATTCGCCAATGCGAGCAAAGAGGTCCGGAAGCGGTGAAGCCATTGAATTTGATCATCATCACCGATGGCGAACCCAGTGATGATGTAGAAGCACCACTGATCAGCTGCGCCAAGAAACTCGACAAGATGGATGCTCCTGCTTGGCAAATCGGTATTCAGTTCTTCCAAGTTGGCAGGGATGAAGGTGCTCGTGCACATTTGCGCGCTCTGGACGACGACTTGGCGGAGATTGCTGGTACAGAGTTGAGGGATATGGTTGACACAGTGCCGTTCAAGGGCGCTGAGGGAGAACATCTTTCTGCAGATGGCATTCTCAAGGTTGTGCTGGGTGCTGTGAACAGAAGATTGGACAGAAAGAGGAGTAGAGATCTTCACCGCTGATATAGCGCGAGGGAGGTACCGGGAGTTTGCTCGAGAGACGGAGAGAAAGGGATGAGAGACATAATCGCTGGCAGAATATACATTGATACCCACCTGCAAATCACCGACAAGGGAAGCTTGAAATGACAATCTTTTTAATCGATGCTTCAATTACACATCTTTGCAGTTTCATTCTTCCACATGGCGCTTTCATGTGATGATAAGCAAGCCATTGATACGCATAAAATCTCATACGTTGGCATGACGCATCCCAATTTGGACCGTTCGGCTCACCAGACGTCGCAAGCTTGAATTTTCTCGAGTCAGACCATGAGAAAGATGAAGCGAATCAAGGGATGGGACCGGTATTTATCGAGAGAGAGGTCGCTGTTTTTCGAGACGCTAAACAAGAGAGAGAAAAGGGATTCAAAGAAGAAGCACATGCTGATGCCGTAAGCATGTATGGGTCTAGCAAAGAGGTCAGTCACCGCATCTCGGAGTTTTTGGTCTCTCGTCGTTGGAGCTTTGTGTATTATGCAGTTACTCGAGTAATTAGTGAACCCGGTCAGGAGATGGGTCGGAAAACTTGCAGAGGACGGGCAATGACTCTGTGTATCATCACGAGACCAAATGTCAACAACAGAAATCCAACGTCCAAATTGTCTACTTGTTTCAAGATATCCAAGTGATGGGGTTGATTCCATAATTTTTCATGTGCGAGGTATATCAAAATAATCAGAATTGAAGTAAAAAAACAGTCAAGGACGGGTGTTTTGCAACAAAAAGCACGTCAAAGTTGGGATATATTGCTATCGACTCTTTTTTGATAATACTCGCTGATGTGTCTTCACTTCATTTAGTGTTCTTTGTCATGTTGATTATCCCGGGATACTTTTATCTCAGCCATGACAATATGGAGTCGCTCTTTTTTACCCATCTGCTCATTTAGCTTTCGTTCAACCCTGCCAGGTATTGCTGACAGTAGCAGTTGTGACACCACAAGCAGCTGGAACGGTATAACTGTGGTTTCTGGGAATAACATCAGTGGTTTGTGGGAAGTTTGAACAGTTCAATCAGTACTCACGGGTCGGATTCCCAAGTCACACTGCCATCACTGTTTACCTTGATGAACTTGTAGCTAAAAGCTTGTCCGGCAGGAAGGTTAATGGTACCAGACCTATTCTTCATCAGTCATTGTGTCGAGTTCTTGGTTGAGAATGTCTTACCAAACGGGGTTACTAGTAGTGTAACCAGCTGATGATAATGCGATGGCATTTGCAGCATTCCAGGACCCGAGTTGAGGGATCGAGCCTGCGATCTTGATGGTTTGACCATATTGAGTGGTCACCTTGTCGGAAAAGGTTACAGCAACAGCGGTAGGCGTGCTGCAGCCGCCTGCAACTGTGGAGGTCTTGACTGTTGTTGGTGCAACTGAAGTAGAGCTCGAGCTACCGCAGAGATCGCTACCAGTGAGCTTTGAGGTTGGATACAGGACTCTTGGTATTCCAGCGTTGATACTGATGCCGATATTGCCGCTGGAGTCTGCAGTATAGGAAGTGCAAGACAAGACATCGGTGACAGACTGCCCAGCTGTAAAACCGCTGACTGATGACGAAAGCGTGAATGAACTGCTGCCAGAAGAGCCCTTGTTTGTAAAGACACCAATGACTTGAGAGCCAGTTGTACCTTTCCTCATCACAATGGTAGACGCATCCGAGTATACAGGGTTTGCTTTGTAAGTAACATATCCCGTATCTTGCTTAATGGCCTGTTTTCTGAGCTTGTTGATCGTGGCGATGAACGGATATAGTTGCGAAGATGTCGAGTACCCAGACTGCCAGAGTGCCTCTCTGTTGTTCGGGACGCCGGCGCCGGAGAAATGCTGTTCTTGTCCTTGGTAGATGATTGGGACGCCATCTGCTAGCATGGTGAAAGCGATGGCGTTTTTTGCGAGTGCATAGTCTGATGTCAACGAGGGGAAACGCACAACATCATGGTTCTCCATGAACGAGCCCAGAAGTGTAGTATCTTTGCATGATGACTTCAGGGTGTTGATGCCGTTGTAGAGATTGCTGATGCTACCGGATGTAGATTGGAAGGCTTGAGTAATCCAGTAGTATGATGGGAAGTTCAGGGCACCATCCAGGTAGTTCTGGTAGTCGCAGAATTTGCTTGGGTCGCCTTCAAAGACCTCTCCAACTGTATATACACCGGCTGCTTGCTCGAAAGGTGGGTAGAAGCTCTTCTCGACCGATTTAGCACTGTCGACACGAAGACCGTCAATGGTGTAGTTTGCTACAAGTTTTGTGATCCAGCTGTTCCAGATAGATCTGACGTTCGAATCTTCGGTTCTAAGATCTGGCAGAGATACGGTATTGTCACCAGCCCAACACTTCTCGACGCTGTTCTGATCGTTGTAATTGATGAGGCAGAAGGGATGGTAGTATGACTGTTGGTTGAAGGGATTATACTGTGAGTAGTCGACGCAGGTACCGCATCCGTCGTAAGCCATGTGATTGGTCACGATATCCACCATCAAGTACATGCCTCGATCATGGAGAGCCTTGGAGAGGGACACCAAGTCGGCAGCAGATCCGAAGTTTGTGTTGACTTGGTAGATGTCCTGAGCCCAGTATCCATGGTAGGAGTCACCATCTTGACCAGAGCTTCGAATGTTCTTCACAACAGGGCTGACCCAAATCTAGAAACCACGTCAGAATCGAGGTACATCACAATGCCTGATCAAATACACACCGCTGTGAAGCCCATCTGCTGGATGTAGTCGAGCTTCTTGATTATGCCTTGCCATGTGCCGCCACAATACTTGTTGACATCACATGAGGCGGACGTCGAAGTATCAGTGCGAGCAAATCTATCAGTCAAGACTTGATAGATCGATTGGCTCCTCCATTGTGCAGGGGTAAGACACTGAACGAACTCTGTCAGGCAGAGAAGAGCGAATAGCAGTTGAGACAAATAGCTGGCCACCATATCCCCGGATGGCGACGTTGGTTGCGAAATTGCAGAACCGAGTATAATATTGTTGGGATAATGGCTTGCGTTGTGGCCATACTCTTATACGACTGTGGTTGCCGCGGCAGGACACTCTTGCCAGCGATTGTGTGTAGATCTTGTCTTCATGCAGAGCTCTATACCTTGATACAGTCGACCGGTGAAGCTAGTAGGATAGTTCGGCGTTGATAGTTTCTTGTTCGTTGCTGTTGGTCTCTCCACCTTTTTGCTCAAGTGCCCACCTACGTTGCTTAGGGCCGGAAACAGAAAGAAAGCTGGACTTGCTTTCCGATCATAGGACTGAAACAAGGAGTGACCAACAAAGATGGAGTACATGCTGTATTCACCCGCCGGTGGCGCCTATGGCTTGCATTGCCGATCGGTTTATATCAGGTCGTGAGGCTCAGGCACAAGATTTTTGCTTCAAGAAGAAGGCTGTCTAGCGAGAGACGGTAAGCTACACATCATGCAGCATTCGGTGCGACTGCCATGTGGTATAAGGGGAAGGATGTATGATTTGGGAACTGATTGGCAGGTCGTTGGACAACTAACTTTTCGACCCCTCATTTTCACGGCTCTGAAGCGTGTGGTGTTTTGTCCCGACGACTTGTGGTGCGGTATACCGGCAGCAGCACAGACGTGACGGCCCGAACTTCTCGGTTGGCTTCCGTATGAAGCAGGTCGTGAAATTTAGCTCTTGAACAAAATCGCAACGATGCATTCTTGTGGGCCATCAGAGTTCAGCAGAAACCGGTGTGGACACGTGGGTTTCTCCTGCATGACACTCTTCGGTGTTATTCTCAATATCGGACTTCGGTTGAATGACAAAAGTAAGGCTGATATAAGACGAACTTCTGTATGCAAAGACGAGGATCGCTCGTGCATTGTGAACGATGAAAAGCTATAAGCGAGACTGCAGGCACCTTCCTCATAGAGCTCAAGTTTAGGACGAACGAATTGGATGCTTATACTGTACTACCTTGTTTCACGCCATAGCTTCTGAGCGAACTAGTAGTTACGTACGAGAGTTCGGTGCGAGCTCCAGCTGTCGAATGGCAAGGCGATACCTAATTCATGACCTGAGCAGAGAGAGAAAGGAGTGAACATGATGCAACCACCTGACAGACTTTTGTATCAGGGCTCGCGAAGTCTGACCTCGATGCCATGTGGTCTATATTAGAATATTACACCGCATGAAGGATTGGCAAAGTGCGTTGGTGATCTTCGCGTTAAGTGCAAGGAGAGAAGGGCAAAGTCTGCAGGGAGCGAGTTGCCCGAGGATTCCGTGCGGGAAGACGGGTGTGGGGTGTGGGGTCCATGGAAACAAGCGTTGTTTTCCTCCCAGCCTCGGCTTGGAAGTCTCAACGACCAGTCACCTCATGACAACTTGACAAGCGAGCTTGAGAAAGCGTCACTCTCCGCTTCGGTCTGCCTCCGTGCCCCGGAGAATGGTCATAGCAGATCGACTGGCGACATTCACCCGCTCTCCACACATGTATCGGGATACGCCACTGTGAGTATGCACAGACAAATAGCTTGCGTAGAAGCGAACGTGCTTGTATGAAGCTTCAACAGAACGTAAGTCTATCTTTTCCTTGCCTGACTCTTGCTTTAGTCTGCAAGCACGGTCTCGAGCGTGTAGTTCATGCACATGCTGGCGATCCCTCCCTTAGCCAAACATCATCTGTGAACATATAAATTGTCCTCTCGCCTCGTTGTAGAACATCAGTATCATCACCAGCACTACCTCCTTCATCATGCGTTTCCTCTCCACTCTTCCTCTGCTCCTTGGAGCTGCCTTCGCACTTCCATCACCTGAGAACATTCAAGAGCGTGCAACTGGCTCTCTCGCTTCATGGCTCTCATCGGAGAACACTGTTGCTCTTCAGGGTGTACTTAACAACATCGGTGCCAGTGGTTCCAAGGCTTCCGGAGCTAGCTCAGGTGTTGTGATTGCTTCTCCTTCGAAGTCAGACCCAAATTGTGAGTTCCCACACCTGCTCTAAATAGATTCCATTCTAATCATAACCAAGACTTCTATACCTGGACTCGTGATTCTGCTCTTACGTTCAAGGCACTTGTCGACCAGTTTATTGCTGGCAACACGTCCCTGGAGCCTCTTATTCAGCAGTACATCAGTGCTCAGGCCAACCTTCAGACCGTCAACAACCCAAGTGGTGGCCTGTGTTCCGGTGGTCTTGCTGAGCCCAAGTTTGAGGTCAACCTTACTCCTTTCACTGGAGCTTGGGGTAGACCTCAGCGTGATGGCCCTGCGCTTCGTGCGACTGCTATGATTGCTTACGCCCGCTACCTTATTGTAAGTCGAGCATATTAAGTCCATGAGATATATTCTTATAAAAGCTCAGGCAAACGGTAACACTACCTCTGTCAACAACATCATCTGGCCCATCGTTCAGAATGACTTGTCATACGTGACTCAATACTGGAACCAGACTGGATTCGATCTGTGGGAGGAAATCAACAGCTCTTCCTTCTTCACTACTGCCGTTCAATACCGTTCTCTCGTCGAGGGTAGCAACCTTGCCACTCAGCTCGGAAAGTCTTGCCCCAACTGTGTGTCTCAAGCTCCTCTTGTTCTTTGCTTCTTGCAAAGCTACTGGACAGGCTCATATGCTCTCTCGAACACTGGTGGTGGTAGATCCGGCAAGGACGCGAACTCCATCCTGACCAGCATTCACATGTTCGATCCTGCTGCCTCTTGCGACTCGACCACTTTCCAGCCTTGCAGTGACAAGGCTCTTGCCAACCACAAAGTGGTGACCGACAGCTTCAGATCCATCTACAACGTCAACAAGGGTATCGCTCAAGGTTCTGGTGTCGCTGTTGGCAGATATCCTGAGGATTCTTACTACAACGGTAACCCCTGGTATCTCAACACCTTTGCCGCTGCTGAGCAACTTTACGATGCCGTCTACCAATGGAAGAAGATCGGCTCGATCACGATTACCTCGACCTCTCTTCCTTTCTTCAAGGACGTCTACTCTTCTGCCGCCGTTGGTACTTACTCATCTTCGACCGCTGCTTTCACCTCCATCGTCAACTCTGTTTCGACTTATGCCGACAGCTACATGTCTATTGCTGTATGTGTTGTATGGATTCTGGTTGACTTACCCATCTGCTAACTTCTTCTCAGCAAAAATACACTCCTTCAAACGGTGCTCTTGCTGAGCAGTACAACCGTGCTGATGGTACTCCTCTTTCTGCCGTCGACCTTACCTGGTCCTACGCTGCTTTCCTGACTGCCTACAATGCTCGTGCCAATGTTCAGCCTGCTTCTTGGGGTGCCTCCTCCGTAAGTCTCCGTCATCGAACACGAATTAGACACATTGCTAACATATCTCCTGTAGGCCAAGCTCCCCAACTCTTGCTCCTCAGGCTCCGCAACTGGTCCCTGCGCCGCAGCCACAAACACTAACTGGGCCAACCCCGGCTCCCCCTCCACTCCCACTTCCACCGGCGGCTCCTGCGCGACTCCCACCGCCATCGCCGTGACGTTCAACGAACAAAAGACCACCGCATATGGCGAGAACATCTACATTGTCGGTAGCATCCCCGCACTCGGTAGCTGGAATGCCGACAAGGCAGTTGCTCTCAGTGCTGGTCACTACACCAACTCCAACAATGTTTGGTATGTGACCATCAACTTCGCCACTGGTACTAGCTTCAACTACAAGTACATCAAGAAGGCTCAGGACGGAAGCGTTACTTGGGAGAGTGATCCTAACCGCAGTTACACTGTCAACGGTAACTGTGCTGGTACTGCCACTCAGAATGATAGCTGGAGATAGTGAGGATTTTCCTGAAGAGTATCTAGTCGAAAGTGGTTGGGCGAAAGTATTTTGACCGATTTGGTTACAAGCACGTGTCGTGGATTCACGGCTGTGATCATATTCCAGATTGTATTCGAGAGAGATCATCATGTCTAGATCCAACTTTCTTCTTAACGAATCTCTGCTTGCCAGTACTGCCGGTGCGATATTCGTAGTCGAGAGGTAATCCCTCGGGCCATCGCTTGAGGAAGCAAGCATGACATAGTGTCTCGTCCGGCTTCTCCAACGAGACCCAGTGTAGCTTGGCACCACCAAATCGAGGAACACAATCCGTACAGTCAAAAACGACCTTCTCCGAGTACTGTATTGGTCGATGCGTACTCCATCTGATGGGTTCGTTCTTTCTGATTTGACCCTTGAGCCATGTAAGGAAGTTGGACTTTGTGCGAAAAGCCGAACTTCCGCGCCATCGCCGCCCTGCCCTAATAATGTTTTCTTTGTTTCTCCGTGCTCGGAAGTCAGGGTCCTCTAGTACCCTTTGCTGAAACTCTCGATTGTATGCTTTTTTGCGCTCCCAGGATTCTTCACTCATGTGGCGATTGGTGGCTCCTTGTAGAAGATTGGAATTAAAAAGGCCTTGAGAAATGCTTGGCCATCTTGGGACCGCGAATCTGGAACTGAGCCATGTCAGCATTAGAATTCAAACATCATATCTTACGGATGACGTGAGAGTATACACGAGTCTGTGTTCTTTACTCTTCCATATCCATGATATGAATCATGTTTCGGGTCGGTCCTTGAAGATACTAGACTACCACCAATAACTTTTCTTGACTTACATGTCGGCTATAGGTAGTCTGCATGGTCGCAGTAGATTTGATGATACTGCAGACATGGCCTACGATGACTCTTGAGATGTGTGCACTGAGCAGTGTTTTGAGCTTCAAGCTTAACGGGGACAGATCTGATTCAGGTGGAGACTCAAAGTGAATAGGCGGAATACCCTCAAGTCAAGATTAGATGTGGTAAGGGAAGGAAGGCAAAAGCGCTTCATATGAAAACAGGTCGATATATACGCACGTCCCTCCATCAGAGGCTCGGTCCGCTCTCCGGGCGGTCAAGCCAAAAGCCCTCGATCGCAATCGGCAGAAAAATAATCCCGATACTTTTCTCCATACTGCAACTTTCCAAGCAAATAAACAAGGATAATTATCTGGAAGTTCGGCACTCCCACAATCACACGGACGACAGGAAACACACCATGGACGCAGCAGGTCTCCTCAAAAAACAAGGCTGGCGCGGCCTCGGTCACTCTCTCGACACAGAGAACAAGGGTCTCCGTAAACCGCTTCTCGTCAGCAAAAAAGTCGATGTACTCGGTATTGGAATCAACAAGTCCGATGTTATTCAAGGTCAATGGTGGTTGAAAGCCTTTGACAGCAGTTTGAAAGACTTTGGAACTGGCAAGAAGAGTATCCTGGCGAATGTCAAGGAGCAGGGAATCAAAAGAGGTGGACTGTATGGGCGATTCGTACAAGGAGAGGGTGTCGCAGGGACGATAGGTGTTGTTGATCCGAAAATCGCTGCGCTTGCATCTGCTGTTGGGCCCGCCGTGGGTATCAAGAGAAAGGCCGAGGATAGCGACGACGAGGACCAGACGGAGAAGAAGAAGGCGAAGAAAGACAAGAAGGAAAAGAAGCGATCAAAATCCTCATCCGACTCATCCTCCGACGACGAAAAGAAGGCCCGCCGTGCAGCCAAGAAAGAGAAGAAGTCAGCGACCGCCGGTGAAGATACCTCCGATGCAACGACGAAGAAGAGCAAGAGCAAGAAAGAGAAGGCCGACAAATCGCTGGATGGTCTACCAGAGGACAAGCGCAAGCAATACGAAGAGCGCGCTGCAGCAAAAGGAGTCACATTAAAACAATACTTTTCTCAGCGACAAGTCAAGAATCTGGAAGCGAAAGAGTCACGACGAAGCGGCACCACCACTCCTGCCACAGAACCTGCCTCTGAAGACTCGGCAAAGGACGACAAGAAGAAGGAAAAGAAGAGCAAGAAGGACAAGAAGTCGTCAAAGAAGTGAGACATTGAATGAACCAGGTCAACAAACACAACCGCACGTGAGCCTAGCAGATTGCCCAGTACTCTACAGTAAGGCTTATAAGGATCACCGAGACCGTCTGAAGCTCCAAGGACGACATCAGGACAGGTGCAATACGGCTCCTGTGCTCTCTATGAGGCCAGAAGATGCGAGACACCTTTTTGTCATTGTCTCAGCGCAGACAAGTTTCAGACCGACGAAAGCCTGTATGGACATCAACAAACAAGAGCCACCAACACTGCAGGCTCGAAGAGGCTAGTACTGGCAAACATGGGGAGCAGTAGCTCTCAGTATCGAAGAAGGCGGAAGCATAGGACAAGCAAGATACCCCAATATCGCATCGCATCGCATAGCATTTTCAACATCACTCATACCAAATTCATGGATTCATTGACAGCCACTCCTATCCTCTAAGTCCGGGGTGACATAGGCTCCCCGACCAGGTATGGCAATGCGAGCTTTCATGTGTCTCCATGTTGAAGAGAGGAATATTGATCGAGAGACATGCAGCTCTGTCGTCAATTGCCTCACTCGATCTGTGCAAAGTCGCTTGAAGGTCTTGATCGACAGACTATCCCATGACGAGCGGACTCATTCTGCAATTCACGCGACGCGTTCAGGTGGTTGGTGATGATGTAGCTATTGATTCGAGGTGGCTGGGATATTGAGCACGACTCTTTTTGGACGGATGCGGCTCTGCGTCTTGAGACAGGGTTGTACCCCATACAACCAATTTTCCAGTCGACGATGATGTTGACACCGCACCGTGGGACTTTTGCGCGTGCAAATCTTCCTACATTGCTTGAGGATGTCTGATTGTATCATCTTGCAGGTTTGAAGTATTTGGGAGGCTTCGTTGTTGCGATGATCTCGAATTCCGGTTTCTCACTGTGCTTCCTGGAAATGTTCGTGCCATGCGAGACTATCAACAACAAAGAGATCGAGAAGCCTGTGAACTAGTTGGAAATAGTAAACATCAAAGGAGCCCGAACGTGTGCTGTACACAGACTAAATTCACACATTCCCAAATGCCGACTTTTGCGCGCGAGATACAGGTGGTTCGCGGTCGAGAGCATCAAAGTCGACCTTAGCAACCGACCGCACTCAGCAGCCACCGAGACGACCTCGTATTTTGCTTCCAACACTCTAGCAGTCATGTGATTAACGGGCTATAGTTCGCCAGTAGAGCCTCGAGCTCCTTAATTCGGTTTCTTTGCAGCGCTTCCACAAGGGTTGGAAAAAGAAGTTATTCCGCAGCAAGGATGTCGCACGTCAGAAAGCACCAGGTGTTGTGGTTGAAGGGCAGCAGAGATGTGTCAAAAGAATATGGTTTTGAAAAATTCGCCTTTCATCACCCAGTCGGCCAGCTGGCGCAATGGCAGCGTACGTTTTCCAGTCTCCCTACGGCTTCCATTTCACCCACTAACCCCGAATAGGCGTCAGTTTTCGGAGATCACCGGATTCAAAGGACAGTAAATGTCCATGCAATGCGATAACATCAATTTGTAAATCACTGAAGGTTGAGCGTTCGAGTCGCTCGTTGGTCGTTTCTTTTTTGCACGGTGGGTGTCTTTGAGGAGATCTGGCTATCCTCGTCTTTTTGCGCCTGTGAGACTTGGGCTTCGCAAGCTCAGACAGCAGGAGATGATAGCTGCGATTGTGCTGCACATTTTGATGGCTTGTTCAAGTTTTTGCGATGTTGTGGTGTGGAGGAAATGGGGCCGAGGAAGGAGGGAGACTTTCACTCGTTGGACGCTGTCTCCACATAATCAAAGTCCAAAGAAATCCTCTAGATATCTTTACTAGAACTATCAAAGGCGATCGCCAGATCTCTTATCAGTACTAAGCAGTAGGCCAGGAAAATGCGAACCTTTTGTATGGGGGTTTGGAACCAAAAAATTATGGACGAAAGATTGCATGCGGAAGTGCAGACAAAGAAATGTCTTTCCTCAGTGCACTCTACGAGGTATAGATTGCTCAGGCCCAGACTTGTAGTGCGAATTGCTCTGTTGTTGAGATAGCCTATGTCCCGCATCACATATGTAAAAACAGTCTCAAGGTAATGATTAAAGCCTAGTGTTCCCTCGGGAGAATTGTTGTGCGCTAGGTATAGTTGACACTTGGAGATTCACATCAATCGTGCATCTTTAACAGCTTTGTACCAAAGTCACAAGAGACACCTATATCGACATCGGCTTTTCTCATCGGCTTTTCTCATCTGCTAGACACCTCCACCACTAGCAAAATTTAGCGACGCGTACCTTTTTATTGTGGGTACGGCTGTCTGCCCGTAAAGAACGACTTCGAGACTGGAAGCCGAGTACGCGCATCCGGTAAGTTCACGGTAGGGTGGGTGTCGGTCGCTCGTAGACGAGTTTCAATCAAGAGACTATCACGGAACGCACGCACGACACAGAAAGCACTGGGATACGCTTGGCGGAGCGACGTGTAATTAGTGGTTGCGACAAGGGCAAGATGTCTCTCTTCGCTTGTCGGACGGGGAGATCGATTGCTGCGGAAATGCATAGTCATGTTCGCGCTGCTTATGCGTCAAGAGGAAGTTGTGTAGTGTGGTGGTGTGCCTGGAAGAACGATGAAACTCGAATTGCTCTAATACGCTGGTAGCCAAATCAACCGCTCTATTGCTCGACTCCTTGGAACAAAGAAACGTCGCAACCTAACGTATCCTCTAGATACCTCTGTTGAACTCGACACAACCGTCATCACCAGCACGACCGTGGAACTCAGTTTCCAAAGTATCAGCCTTGACAGCCTGTCTCTGCGGGAAGATGGCCAAAGCCAAAGGTAAAGCAAAGATACTGGTAGCAAAGATCAAGCCCAAGTTAACAGGAGTAACCATTCTCGGTCTTTGTTGCAGCCATTGAGTCTTTTGGAGACGAACAAGCAACAAAGGCGGCAAGACCATGATAGGCGTAGCGTTGATGACACGTGAGATGGCGGTCTCTCCAACAGCCAGAGTAGCTGCTTTCTTTGACTTTCCGAGTGACTCGAGGGGTTGGCCAGCTTCTTCGCGCTTGAGCTTCTGTGCCTCGGTTTCGGTGGGAAAGACGTCGATGCCCTTGCGGATCTCCTCTCCGCGCATCAAGAAGACGTTCAGCACACCTGCACTGGCAACAGCAGCGAAAGGCACCAATCTTCCGAGCAACATCTTTGTGTTGGGACTGACGCGCTTCAGACGAGGCACAATTGAGTTCAAACCAAGAGCGACACCACAACTGGCACCAACAGCGAGGAAGTAAGATTGCACCATTGTCGACATGGAGAGAGGAATTGACTTGTTGGCGTTTGAGGAGTTGATGGCGACATTGAGAGACTGATTGGCAATTTGCCAGCCGAGGGTGCCGGTGGTACTTAGGCCGGGAGTGAGCATGCCGGCGGTCACGACCAAGTTGGAGAAGATGTAGGCGGACATGCGGAAGGGGAGGAGAACCTTCTCGCCGGTGTCTGGTAACTTATCAGTGGTGTGTCTTATTGCAGGGGAGTTTCAACATACCAGGATGAAGAGTAGCATCGATGACCTTCTTTGCTTGCCACAAGTCGGGTGTCATTGACTGAGCTTTGCCCTGCTTGTATGATGTGACGAGCTCCTTTGCATGTTCGAGACCAGCTGGGGAGGTGAACAATGTTCTGTTGGACAAAGATGATCAGTCAATTGAACTTGCGCAACAACTTGAAGGAATCCTCGCATTTTTTATTACCAATCAAACAAGCAAGATTGGAGGATGGTACATGACAGCGATAAACCAATTGACGAGAAAGTGAATGATAACGAAAGTGCATGTTTGCGCACATGTCAATTGCTCACCTAGGATCAGACAAATCGGCAGCATGTCTAACACGACCCCAATATGTGTCTAGGTTGTATTGGGAAGCCGGTAGGGCGCGGTTACCTGGAAGCGAGGCCGACATCTTGTATGTTTATCAATAATGGCACACGACCGATGTCGAAAAAAAGTTGTGGTTGTTCCGGCAGTGGCTTTGTGGAGAAGGGGATCAGTGAGAGACCGCTGCAAGCCGTAATTCGGTCAAAGTCAAAGCGTCTTTTGTTTGACCGACCGATGTTTGCCGGCCCATTTAGGTGGTCCATGACTCTGTGGCAGTGAAGTCATTCTAGAAGGGAGATTTGTGTTTATTTTCCAGTCTATTGAAACTATTTCTATGAGGGATTCATACTTTACGTATCATGAACACAGAGACAGGTTTCGAAGTCGACAGAGTCTGGGCGCTTGGCCACCAAGAATGGCTCAGCAAGCATGTGATGACGAAACAAGCTCGCGCGCGCCGCAATGAGTTCTAATGTAACACGAGCAACGACGACATTCTTCCTACCTCCTCTCATCTGAATCACTAGACATACAAACGACATTAAAATGGCTTTCATCTTCACCTGTGGAACGCACACGTTCAACTCTCTCCTTGCAGGCTCTGAGAACATAACAGCGCAATGTCAGGTACGCAGGAGCGTTGCCATAGTAAAGCAGCAACAAACTGATGATGATATAGAACTGTGGCAACTTCACGGCCAAAGTCTACAAAAGATGGGAATGGTTCACGTTCTGCTTCGTTGTGAGTATTCTTGGGATGAACACACATCATTCAAACTTGCCTATCTAACTTGTCTTGACAGCCTCTCATACCATTCTCGCTCAAGCCACACCATGAAGTCGGTTGCCACATCTGCCACTTTTATCAAGACATCAGGTATGTTGTTGATGCTGCGACTTCCGATACCAAGTACTAATATCTTCTAGGCATCGTCCAGATGTACAGGAAATGATGAACAACGGGCAGTCGTCTCAGCAAATTCCGATGCAGCCGTATGGAGCACCACCTCAGCAGTACAAGGCGCCATCAGGGCCGCCGCAGTACGTGTGATTTTGCTCAAGGAACACTCAACTTCAGCTATGCTCTGAGGTGATGATGGAAGAACGATTGGCGTTCACAGGGTCTGTTGCGAAGATACCATTTGTTTTTGTTTGCGAACAGGGTGACAGATTGACAGGGACGACAAGGGACAAGGGAGGGTGGGGAGCAAGACAGTCGAGCACAGGGTTTAAGCAAAAGTTGGTCAATGCTGGCGAGTCTGGGTTAATCCCCAAGCAAAAACGCGCTTGATTCGACTTTGGCTTGCGCGCGACTCACCCACACACGCCGACTCTTCCTCTTCCTCCCTCCTTCTCCTCTCCCAACTTTTTGTTTCCACCTTTTATTCTATTTTATCGATATCAACTACACATCCAACTCTACAATGCCTCGCGCAAAATCCGTCAAACCAGAGGTCGCACCCAAGACCGAGGCCGACCTCAAGCAAATCACCATTGACAAAGCCGAGTTTGTTCGCACTCGCGACGCGGTATGTTTTTTTGTCCTTGTCACGTCATATCCAGCTTGCGCCCATGTATGCGACTCGATCTAGATCAGTGTTGAGCATGTCGCATGTTGGGCGCAATTGTGTCATGTTGCGACAGACGCGTCCTTGGCCAAAAGCCCGGCGCGTCGCGACTTTCTGAACCAAAAATCGAAGGACTCGAACTGACAGCAACAAACAGCTCGTCACATCATGGATCACTCTCCAGAACGCCCTTAAGAATGCCACCAGCGCATACATCGACCACTCCAACGCTGTCCTCGGCGGCACCGTCGACCTCGACCCTAGCCAAATGGACCTCGGCGCATTCCTCCAATCTGGCGACCTTGTCACTGTTGGCGGTGGCGCTCCAGCTGCTCCGGAGAAGAAGACGAGAAAGAAGGCCGAGCCTAGAGATCCCAACCAGCCCAAGCGTCCCTTGACGGCCTACCTTTTGTGGCTGGGCGAGAACCGCGAGAAGATCCACTCCGAGCTCGGTCCTGAGCAGAAGAGAGGCGAGATCTCGTCAGAGGGTACAAAGAGATGGAAGATGTTGCCCGAGGAGGTCAAGCAGGTGTGTTTTGTTGCATCCCGAACAAGCACGCAATCGCTAACCACAGGACTAGAAATACAAGGACGCATACCAAGCCTCGCGCGAGATCTACAACAAGGAGTTTGCAGACTTCAAGGCCAATGGCGCACCCGTCGCTGCAGACAGCCCCGATGCTGAGGAAGACGTGGAGGCCGAGGAGGAGGCAGCCCCTGCCGCTGCTGGTGCAGACTCAGACGATGAATCAGACGATGACAGCACCTCGGACGAGGAAGAGGCACCGCCAAAGGAGCCCACTCCTCCCCCAGTCAAGACTCCCAAATCTGCCCTGAAGGGTGGCCGCAAGAAGGCCGCTCCCCCAGCTTCATCCCCTCCACTTCCCGCCTCGAGCCCTGTCAAGAAGGGAGCCTTCACTGCCGTCAACGGCTCAAACAAGCGCAAGAGCAAGACAACCGACGCCGAAGCTGTGGCCGAGGAACCCAAGAAGAAGCGTGGTCGCAAGGCCAAGGAGGAGGAGGTCGCCGTTCCTGCATCCACCCCTGCTGAGCCACCAGCCAGCGCAAAGAAGGAAAAGAAGGAGAAGAAGAAGGGTCGCAAGAGTGTTGGCGGTGAGGCTTAGAAGGTCGAATCATCATTGCTCGTGCCCGGCGTCACGACTTTCTGGAATGACGACATGCCTGCCGGTCAAAAAGTTAAGAAGAAGCACCGCGAGAGTCATGATGGTATCTTCAAGACTGCCGAAGCTTGAAGATTGGGGATACTGGAAAAAGTAGGGAGGCTGAGGTTTGCTTGTTCTGCGCGGCGGACTGTCTTTTGTTGTATATCATGTTCAGCGTTGCTCGTTCCATGCCTTGACGGTTATTGTTCTAGAAGCAAAAAGAATACAAATTCTGCCATGTTCCATCAAGTTTCCCTTGAGATCCAGCATCCCCAGCTCCATCTCTCAGTGACCATGCTGCAAAGGCTGGAAGGCATATTGCATTAGGGCAGCACGAAACTAAAACTGACATCCATCAATGACTGCATCACGTCAAGTCTGGTGTTGTAGCAATGCACAAACCCGATTCCGCCCAGCGGCTCTCTCTTCGAGAGTTCCATCTCCGACAAGCTCTCCTAGACTAAACCGTAGAATACGGAAAAACATCTTGCCTTTCCGCAGCCCCTGTCCCAACACATCAATTGCTCTGGGAAACCTATTAGCATCACGACTCGAGACGACATGTCACAGGACCTAGCACTATCAATCCATTCCAGCACGCAAGTCTTTCTTTACCCAACAACCATCATGACTCGTTGGTATGTAAGCAGCTAGCTCCCAATGCCCAGTTCATCGCTGTGTGCGGTCTGTCGTGCTTCTTGATGCTAGACTACGGAAGTTGTCTAAGGACGTATCATCCAGTACCTGTCGAGCTGGATGGAGATGGGCTCTCGCGACGTTCGATCTTAGGTCTCAAAGGTCCTCGAAGGGAGCACGAGGTTGGTGGATGTGAGGTGGGGGTTATGGGAGGTCATGTTATTCGAAATTGTTATTGACTTGATCCTCATTCTCACTGTAACAGCCATCCAAGGTTGTAGGGATGGTAGAAGCACACTGTTTGGACTCATTCCCTCCATTTCTGCAGACCGAAGATCTCGCTTCATTTCTGGGCAGACTCTTGAGAAATGTACAATATTGGCTGCTCTGGAAAAAGCATTTATAAACAGAGTGTAAGGGATGTGTGTCAACCAGTCTCGGTCGAGCCTTTCCTCATGTTAGAGTGTATGAGGCTGAGTAAGAGCGGTGCAAATGTAGTGAGTTCTTCGCTCAGTTTCTGAAACTGGATGGGGAAGTCAAGTAACTCTAGTCTATCATCCTGCCCACTGCTTCTTTACTTCCATGCTCCATAGTCCTTAAGATCGATGCTCACTCGATCTGGCAAAGTTGCCTACAGCATGGACTCTACTTCAGAGGCAACTACCTGATTGAGAATGAAGATAGACCTTCTTCATGCTAGGGACAACTCTGGTCTCCATCGAAGTATCGAGAGCAAGTGAATGCGGCCAAAGCCCTATGCGGAGAATTGGTACCGATTGACTCGAAACTAGTGACGAGACCACAGAATAAGTCCCAAAAGTGAAGAGCCGACACGAAGCACGGATTCTGACGAGAAAACAAACGACCAGTTGCGGATGCCAGTGAATGTGATTCGAGCACCTCTCGACGCAATCCGTTTGTGATCACTCTCACACCACAACAACAACGAAACTCCACGCGTGCTTCGAAAATATCTTACCAACAAACAACTTTCGCGCTCTCACAAAATATCATCTTACCAACCAACAACTCTCGCACTCTCACCAAACATCATCATACCTACTCACACACTCCCGCTTCCGCTTCCAACATCAAACACCCATCAACAAACAAGATGGACTGTGTCTTTGCCGAGAACGAGGAGCAGGCCTACCCCAAGACCGTCCACGTCATCGGTGACCGCACTGAGGTTCGCAAGAAGCTGGCCGAAGAACCTTACGTCGTCCCTGAGCGCAAGCGCAAGATGATGTCCTACGAGAAGGCCTTCAGCCTCGAGGGGGACGTCTTCAGAAGAAAGACTGTCGACTTCCCCTTGGACTGTTACACTCCTTCCCAGATCAGAGCTCCCAAGGACGACTACACCACTTCCAAGGTCAAGCCTGCTGAGAGCACCGCCAACGACAACAAAGTCGACACCTCCAAGAAGCAGTGAAGGATTATGAGGATCTCAAGTGTAATTGGAAAGCACAAGCTGCTGGTCATCTTTTGCGAGAAGCAACGAGAAGAAGGAAAATATTGGCGCGCATCATGTAAGTCTCCAAAACTTCACTTGACATAAAACAAACTTAACTTACACGAAATGCAGCCAAGAGATATCTGTTTACGCGATCACACCCCGATGAACACAACCTCATTCCTTACTTGATTTTCACTGGTCCCTTTCATCACTGTCCCTTCATCGTCATCAAGTTCGCGCAGCCCAATCGTCAAGTCATCGATAGCAAATTTCCAAGGCAGGCCTTCCTTTGTTTCTGCAGAAAGCTCAACGAAATTCACTTTCTTTCCCCAGTTCTTATTCCGCGAAAGCTTTCCAAATTCAAGGCGATATGGTGTTGCATGATGATCTTGTAACGATATGATGTAAAGTGAATATGCGTTGATGAGTGTACTGTTCTCGATTTCGGCTGCGATGATCTTGATTGTGGTGAAGGCGCGTGTGTACCCAAGAGGTTTCAGGTATACGGCTTGGAAGTCGAAATATGCGGATACGTTTCTTTCGGCGCAGGCCGTCGCATTGGATCTGAATGAAGACACTGTTCTGTAATCTTGGGAGGAAGGCAAGAGAGCATTCGGCGCCGTTACCGCGCAGTCTTGATCTCTGGGACTCAAAATACCTGCTTCGACAGCAGCAGTGGTATTCGTTACTTCGAAGTTACTAAACTCCAAGATACTGTAACCATGCAGTGTTGCCGTCGGAGTCGAATGCAGGGGAATGTCATCAAACTTTTGGTGGTCAGTCCGATGGAGCGCAACGTTAGTGTCAACATACTACTCACGCTCAGTGTGATGTTCTTGAGTCTCCTGTCGCTCACAGGACCCCCCATCAACAGATTTTGCGCGTCGGGAGTTAGCGGATAGCTCTGCCCGAACCGACAGAAGGTCACAATGAAAAAGACACCAAAGCACATGTGACGAAGTGTTGCCATGTTCCTAATACCGATCGAAAGGCGAATCCACATCAGGCATGAAGTCGAGGAGGCAGGCTGAAGTTGTAGCAAGCAGGAGCCAAAGCGGGGTATGTAATCCTTCGCTGACGGACCTCAACTCTAAGCCGCTGAGGAAATGTTCAGAAAATCAGCTCACAGAAAGAAGATACTGCGCTGGAGCTGACTGTGAGTCTATCAATCGACCTTCGAAAGCGAGAAATGGAAAGCCTCTGCGAGCTTCCGAGGCTAGGCTTCGCCTTCAGCTCCCATCTCGAATGGGTCCACAATGTCGAAACGTAGAACGAGCCGGACCTGTTCAGACCGTAGACGCGATATCCTGGCTACAAGAGACTCGGACGAAGCTGGATAAGACTCGGGTCGGCATCCAGACTTCGGAGCGTGTGAGGGTCGCGCATGGTCAGGTCCTGTCGCACACCTGATCATCGTCCCATTTCGAGACGTCAAGCAGCAAAATGTCCATCCGGCTTACTCGACGGCTTTCTCTGGCTGAGAGAAGGTCTTTGAAGCGTCAAGTCAGGAACCGATGGTGACGACCAGGACGAAACGCGCTAATTAGAGACGGAGACAAGCATCGCGTCTTGGTCAAAGCTCACGAGAACGTCTCCGACTTAGGATCACCCATACTCGGTACGTCATTTACATCCTGCGTACACAGAATGAGATATCTTTGGTCAGAGGTAAGATATACTCCTTGTCGAAGCAAGAGATGATATTACTGTTGGGCATTTTATGCATAAGCCCAAACATGAGCTGAAACTTGTTGGTCTGATGAGATCACGGTTTGTTGGCAGCTAACTTCGCGACTGAGAGATATAGAGACCTTAGGCCTGATTGGCGATGGTTTACATGTACGCGCGGTTGAGCTTGGCCTTCAGCTTATGGGGCAAGTCATTGGATCTCGAGATATTTGAAATATCTGGATCATGACACGACGCTCTCGGATGGAGGTGTGGAAGGAAGTGAAGGTCAGACGGATCCTGGCAGATAGACCTTGGAGGAATGAACCTCGGGTAGCCTTAATTCACGGTACGCTCGCTCAGGCAAGGTAGCCATTGAGTAGACGAAAACTTCACACAAAGAGTCTCGCGAGACTTCTGACCGAGAGGTCGCACTACTATCAGGAATTGTTAGCGAGGACGGAATGTCTGAGGACAAGAAACGTAGACGCATTTATGAATACCCGAGCAGGCATGATGAATCATGATTAACAAACACCGCCAGCTCAATCGTGCAGGAAGTCCTCTGAGAAATTCTGTGGCCATAGCTAATGTCGATTAGATGCTCAGATCGGCACCTCCTGCAGTCCCCAAGCAACAGGTATGTCAGACTCAGATCGCGGAGCAATCTTGTGACCCGACAGAGCAACGTCTTCCCACTCCAGAGAAGCGCAATTCAATGTCCCCTTGAACTTGCGGCAATCATTACTCGGGAAAATGATGTATCCAAGTCCAGATTCCGCCTTTTCTGTTTCTTCAGACGAAACCACGCCATTCCAGCGCAGCCAAAACTTGGGCTCTCTGAAACTGTTCTTTTCAAAAGTCTCGAAGCGGTCTTGCTCTTCTTCCGACTCTTCCTCATCATCCTCATCATCTTCCTCCTCACCATCATTCTTTTCTCCTTCCTCAGCTTCATCTTCTTCCACAACCTCCACACTTTCCAAAAACTCCTTCAAAACCTTCCTACTAGCCACCAAAACAACAGCAGCCCTCATAACCCCTGGCAACGCAATCTCACCCACAACACCTCTTCCATCTCTGGTCAATCTATACAACTCCAACACTGCATCTTTCCCCTCTTCCCCTTCTGTCTTTGACTCATTGTAAACCTTGAACCAAGAAGGGCATTTACAAGTATATGATCCAAACGTCTTGCGCACATCAAAGGTGTTTCTTTTACTTTTTCCAGAGCTTTTTGAGGCATCATTGCGGTTTTGTCGGTTGTGCATGTGGCGGGTGCTGAAGGCTGTTTCTTGCCAGTCGTTGTCCATTGTTGCAGAGTGGAGATGATGATCTCGTTTTGGGGAAGTTGTGATGTGTAAGTGTCCAGAAGCTATACCAGATCAGTGTGTAAGATGTCAACCGGCACAGTAAAGCTTCGTCTTTTTTGAAAAGAAGTATCAAAGGAGTTATTGTCGAGAATAAGAAAGCAGATAGCATGGTCATTCGAAATGTCAAGGGCATCGAGAACGTCATGCCGTTGTGGCCCAAGCTCTCAAAGCAGCCTGACGAGCACCTTCCTCGCGTCGACACGCGTTTGCAGTCCTTCCTTCCTTCTTCATACAACCTCGTTGAGCAATTGATCTGTCGCAAGCCCTTCACAGAACGGCACTCAGTTTCTGCTATGGTCAACACCCCGACTCGACTTTTGAGATAGAGGACACGTGAATGCTTGGGCAGCACTAATACCGACAGTGAAAAGAAATTGCAAAAGTCATTATAGGAATTGATGCATTTATCTCATCCTACGGTACCAGAAACTCTCCTCAAACTTTCGAGTTCAGTTGTGTGGGACCCCGTGGTTGCTCGCGCTTTCGCGGCTGCTCAAATTGATGAATCAGTCCTCCCATCTCCAATCCCAGTTCTGGAACTAGGACGCGTTTCTCCCGGTACCCTTCGGCGCATCCTCCCCTGATTTATCATCCGATTCTCATTATTCTGGGTTTTAGTTTCTTGGTTTATTGGCCGTGCAGAGTGTAATGTACTCATGCACCTAGACGATCTAGAACGACGTCTACTCCAAGAGATAGACGCGACCCTCCCAGGCGTTCAAGACGTCATTCTTGGAACCTTCTGTGTTGATGATCAACAGCTGCTTCTTACCTGTGACAGAAGGCAGCTTGCTCTCACGGTCGCAGAAGTTGCAAACGATCAGTGCCTTCTGACCCTTCAATTCCTTCACAAAGGAGAAGACATGCTCATTGTCGAAGTCGACGAGCTTGAACTCTCCATGGACGAGGAGTGCACTGTAATTCTTGCGCAGTCTCAGCATCTGCTTCCAGAAGTTCAGCACTGAGTCAGGATCGTGGATCTGTTGTTTGACGTTGATGGTTGTGGTGAAAGGGTTGAGCTTCATCCAAGGCTTGACTCCCTCTCCTGTGAAACCTCCATCAGGCAAAGTCGACTCCCACTGCATAGGGCTTCTGGCATGGTCACGGGCGAGATACTGGAGGACGGAGAAGACTTTGGCCAGCTCTTCCTTGTCGTTGCCACAGCGGGCCTCGGCAACATTGTAGTACCTTCTACTCTCCAGATCCTGGTAGTCTTCGATGGGGAAGCTCTTGGGTAGGTTGACACAACCAATCTCCTGACCTTGATAGACGAACAAGGTACCGCTGAGGCAGGCGTTGAGGATTGCCAGCATTTTGCCCGAGCGGATGGCAAGGGCGGGTGTGGTGTCGTTTCCGAAGCGGGAGATGCTGCGTGCTTGATCGTGATTCTCCATGAAAGCAGCGGCCCAGCTGTCTGACTCGGGCGAGACCAGACCTTGAGAGAAGAGAACAGCACGCTTCAGCTCAGTGAGCTTGTAGTTGTGTGGCTTGGTGTGGTATCTGTGGGACTTGCCCTGACCGACGTCGACAACGTCAAACTGAAAGACCATGTCAAGTTGCTTCTCCTTTGCGCTGACATACTTCTTGACTCTCGCTAGATCAGGAGTGAGGGGGCACTCTCCAACACTGACAGCGTTGTAGCGTGACAGGACTGCGTTCATCTCGTTGAGAAACTCGTCCATGCGAGGACCGTTGACGTAGAGATGGCCCGCACCCTGTAGAACAGTACCCATATCTGTGATCTCTGCGTCGGGATAATCGGTAGGCTTGCTGTACATATTGACAGTATCAATCCTGAAGCCGTCGACACCCTTTTCAAGCCAGAAGACCATAGCCTCGTTGTAGATGGCTCGTCTGGTCTCCTCGACTTCCCAATTGAGGTCGGGCTGCTCAACAGCAAAGAGATGAAGGTAGTACTCTTGAGTGTGCCCGTCCCACTCCCACACGCTGCCCTCAAAGTTGGATCGCCAGTTGTTGGGCGGCTGGCGTTGACCATCCTTGTCGTACTTTGCAGGCTTCCAGATGTACCAGTTCCTCTTTGGATTGTCCTTGCTGGATCTCGATTCCTTGAACCAGGCGTGTTGGTTACTGGTGTGGTTGATGACCAAGTCCAGAAGAACCTTCATGCCGCGAATATGGGCCTTCTCGATCAAGGCTTCCATATCGGCGACGGTGCCGTACGGTGCGTGCAGATTCTGGTAGTCCGAAATGTCATAGCCCATGTCGACCTGAGGTGAAGCGTACATGGGGCAGATCTTTGAAGCGAGTCAGCATACTTCCGATACACAGTCTCGTTGCCGCATACCCAGAGTGCGTTGACGCCGAGAACCTCGAGATAGTCCAATTTCGAGATGATGCCGAGGATGTCACCGATACCATCGCTGTTGCTGTCCTTGAAGCTGGCTGGATAGATCTGGTAGACGATGGCATCCTTCCACCAAGGAGTGCCCTTCTCAAGCTTGTTGGTAGCCATGGTGTGATGGTTTGATGAAGGGGTTGACATAATCAGAAGTGATGATCGATCAACGAGGAAGGGTGATATTTGATCGCGCTACTTAACTCGAGTGTGAGCCAGGAGGTACTTTTTGCGTATCGCGTTGCTTAGGTTTTCGTAGGAATATTGTTGTGGGTGATGATGATGGTTGGAAAGATGAAGCGCTGTAGGAGATAGCTGGTGAAGAAGAAGCGAGCGATGGGTCTCAGGTGCTCATTAAATGCAATCGCTCGAGCGAAGTGTGATTTGCAATTGTGATGTTGAAAGAGGGATACAATTTTCACCTACCTGCAGGCAACAATGAACCGCCAAGCCGCAAACTGCTTGTTGGAAGTAGAAGCCACGGATTCGACTCCGATCGTGTTTCGTGATGCTTCGCTCCTGCTTTCACTTGAAGATCAGCAGTCAACAGTGCGGCACAAGTCTATTGATCGGCGACTCTTTGTGCTTGGAACAAAATCTTGAATTTTCTAAACATCAAATGATAGGGTATCTAAATGCCATAATGACCACTAGGATCTTTTTCGTGAAATGTGGGTCTGTTGTGTGTATCTCACTCCAACAGCCATGCTTGGTGACTAAACTTTTTTACAATGTCTGCTTGCCTCTGGTCTCGATTGGAAGCAAGCAGAGGGCAACAAAGGCAGCAAAGAACAAGCCACCCGATGCATAGATGGGTGCGTTGGGGTTGGCGCTGGCTGCGTTGACCGCCACGATGGGCGCGCAAAGTCCGGCGAGACGGTTGAAGAAACTCGAAATACCAGTACCAGTGCCACGGTTGGGAGCGGGGAACACTTCGGGCTATCGGATGTCAATAATTGGGTTGACGTGTTATTGGATTGGACGAGACTTACTGTGTATGCATAGAGAACACCGTACATGATGTTTTGGAAGAAGGCTTCGAGAGAAGAGAAGGCGAGTTGGGTACCAGAGCTGGTGCTAGTTGTGAAGAGGAACAAGAACATGCCAGAAATGGCAGTTGCGATGGCCATCGTTCCCTTGCGTCCAATGTACTTCAGGTTGACAGTGTAACAGCCAAGGAAAGATCCAGGGACACCAACAATCGATGTGATTGCGTAGTTGCGGTAAGTGGTTGAAACAGAGTTGGAGCCACCACCACCGTTGTTGGCAAGATACTGAGGCAGGAAAGCGTTGAAGAGAGGGTAACCCATGCCAATAGTGGCCCATGCGAACCAGATCAGGCAGGTGGTGGCAGCAAGCTTCCAGCCGTGGAAGAGAGGAGCAATGCGCTGGGTAGAGAACTTGCCGGCAGCGCGCTTGACAATGTCGACAGTGCTGAGCTTGTGGTCCTCAGTCACATCAGGATCACCGCCAATCTGGTTCAGGATCTCTTCGGTCAACCACGTAGTAGTCTTGTTGTGAGCAGCAATACCCTGAACAACGCGGACAGCCTCGGCCTGGCGGCCACGAGAGAGCAGGAACTTGGGTGACTCGAACAGGTCAAAGAGGAAGAATCTGAAGATGAACATGCAGAATGTAATGGCACCCAAGGTAAGAACAAAGTAGCGCCAACCCCAGTTATCAGCCTTGGTGCAGACAACGGCATCAGCAGCGCAAGAGAAGTTAGGAATGTAAGCCCAGGCCAGAAGAGAGGAGATGAGCTGACCAACGGGCCACCAGATAGAGAGAAGGGTGAGCAGGTAGTTGGACTCGCCGGGCAAGAATTCGAGAAACAAGGCGCCGTCGACAGGGAGATTACCGCCAACACCAAGACCGATACAGGAGTAGAGAGCGCAAACACAGATCCAGCTGTCGGCACCACCAGCGGCAAGACCGAAGGTTCCAGCAAGGAACAGAGTCATGTTGAAAGCGTAGCGACGACCGATGATGTCTGAGATGATACCCCAGAAACTGGCACCAATGCAGAGACCCACAAACAGGGCAAGAGTGGTGTAGCGAACCTGGTTCGTGTCAACGCCGAACTCGGCGGCAATAGGGTCAAGGGTCAAGGCAACGCCCTGCAGCCAAAGGTTGTCTGCCATCCAGCCGAAGCCGCAGAGAGTGAAGAGCTTCCATTGATAGGTGCCCATTCCCATATCCTGGATAGCTTTGTTGATGACCTTGGACTTGCCTATTAATATTTAGCAAGTCAAGATACTGATGATTTGGGTGCAGATGGTGTTATTCAGGATGCAAGAAGCCTCATGATCAATATTATACGTACGGTCATAGGCAGTATTGTGCCCTTCAGTGGCAACATCAGAATCAACCTCAGCTCTCAGTGACTCAAGAGTGGTTGTTGATTTTTCAGAGTGCTGGATGTGTGATGACTTTTCTCCGATGGAGCTTGTAGAGTCATCGGCCTTGACATCGGTAAGATTGTCTTCAGCCTTTACCTCATTGGACTGGCGTCGCTCTGTTGCGATTGGTACGACGGCATGCATAAAGTCTCTATCGTCTTTGCCGAAGAATGTTCTCTTGAGGTAATCCATCTTTGCTATGGTGAGTGTGATGATACAAGCCTACGTGCGAGAATCTGTTGCAGGGGCAAGCCGTGGTAAAGTTGCGAAGGGTCGTCGGATATTATACAGAATCGCTTGGGCACAAGTATTCTTCGAGGTCAATGGCAAGCAATGCATGGGCAGTCGCTGCGTTAATGTTTCACTTCGAAATGTGTGACGGCGCAAGGGATGAGTTTCAGACTCAAGTGTCAGTAAAGTCAAGTCGCAGAGGGGTCGTGATTTCGGTTCGATGATGAAAGTCGCGAGGAAGAGTTGATGCTGCTGGAGTTGCTCGGGAGAAGATTGGATTCTCGAAGTTGCTTGGGTATGAGTCGTACAGAGGCGAGCACAAAGCTTGTCACCACGTGAAAATGGTAGGCGATGCTCGAATGTTGTTGAAGATGAGTTCTTTCCGAATTGCTTCCAAGATACTCTCGTAGGTAGCTGTAAAGGAGGTAAAGTTGATGGTCGGAGGGAGGGAAAAGAAGACTAGGTGACACCGGCTACAACGATGTTCTTATGCAGCGGATCGTTGGGTAGGATCCTCTTTCGCCCATGCGGCGATACGACGACGTCGTTGTCCTCAACTAGTAGCTAACACTGGGGATCGCCAAGAAAGGAGCATTTCGAGAGATTTGAACCAATCGTTGAGAAGTGCTTGACCAATACAAGGCCGAGTGAGACAAGCATAAGTGTGGATCAAGCATGTCGGCAGGCATCGCGTGACGGCGACGTGGTTTAAGATTCTTCCTTTGGTCGTCTTGGCGTTCGTCATCTCGGAGCGACTCTTGTTCGTTGCCTTTCCTGGATACTAAGTCCCCAGGCCTTGACACATCAAATGCCTGGGGCATTTTCTGGGGCTCCTCTACTAGTCGAATAGGGATCAATGTTCGACAGAAATTCCGCATCGTCCGAGCATATACCAATATCAATCGCATCTGTAGATGTTCAGGCTACGGTGAAACCTGATGGTGTTGGCTGGGATGGGTGGAGAACCTGAAGGGAAAAAAGCCACTGACCGCCAAACTTTTCGCCGAACGGGTTGGCTGTGCGGCTGGCTGACGGAACCGTGATGTTAATTGCGCCTCACGTGTCTGGCTAGGATATTAATTGTTTCCCATTCTGAAGCACTGATAGCTGCTTGTGGAGATTCAGTTGGTCTTAGGAGTATGAGAGGGTACTGTCATGGAGACGATGGCAAGCAGGCGATGCGCTGTGTTGAGCGTGTGTACCAGCCGCGTGGGGACCGGGGAGTAGGACATGGGCTCCACAGATGCGTGCGGTTGTATTGAGCAATCCTGTACACGATGGGCCGACGCCAGTAGGTATGGCACGGGGTCGACCGGCCTCCGAAGAAGCCGCTTAGACCTCGCAACGTGCCACCACTGTGTCATACCTATTTATCACACGCCCTTCGGTAGGGTCCTTCACACTTCCAACTTCCAAGCATCAAGATATGCATTACGTACCAGCTTCAAACGACTTCCGAGATCGTGAGGGGCATGCGAGGCTTCAAATCTGTCAGGAAATTACAGCGTTGCCCTGCGCTAGATAGTGAGAACCAGCGAGGTCGGGACGCGCCAATCTGTGCGATCAGCACCGCGGTAAAAGATGTCAGAAGAAGGGAAAGCAATCCTGTCGTACAGTGATGGCATCCACAGAGACCAACAGGTTCTTTGCAATGACACGGCATCGCAATGGACGAAGCACGACTGAGGCATTCTGTCCAGAAGTTTGGCGAAACACGGCAGGTCCATGCCTGCACTCGACTCCGTGGAGCGAACGCTCACTGGCATTTAATTGCGTAAGGGGCTTGAGCAATACCGTAGCTCGTGACTTTCATTGTGTCGAAAGACAACATCTAGAGAGTGCGTGATTTTGACAGAGACCGAGACGTATGGACGATACAAAATGATACTGCTGATTTTCTAGGTGGCGTTTGGATGTGACCTCGAAGTTGACATCCCAACGACTTTACGTCAAGCTCGTTGGTTACTAGGTAGGTAGTCAATTCCAGGCCCTGGTGCTTGCCTGCGTGTGCTCAGTTGTCGTTCTCTCTGCTTGATCCGGTTGACAGAGAATGCTTATCTATCTGTACACCGCAAGAGGTTGAAAGCTCTGGCCTCAGCGACCACCGTGAATCATTGCCAAAGGCGATAGGTAATGTGTAGTCAAGTCAAACACTCCGGATTCGGCTCTAGCGACACATCTGAGAGCTCAACTGGCGGTTCGAAAGAAATCGAAGCGCATTCGAATAAGGCTCCGAGGATGCTGATCTGACATCTTAAGAGCAACTTAAGAACACCTGCTCCCTCGAGTGCGTCAATTCGAAGACGCTTGTAAAGATAAGAGCATGAATATGATCCGATAAGATACATTGTCCGCCTGCGTAGACTTGGCGATTGGCAAACAAGCTACAATGTCAGCTCATGGTGTTTAGGAGGTGAGGGACCACCAAGTCCAATCGAACTCCATAAAAACCATTTGACACTTACGGAGTAGTGGAACTTTAGACACAAATACAACGTCCTGTAGACTGACAGTATCCAAGTGCTACAAGCAAACTCGGATGTGGTACGTATATAATGCATTAGCATGTGAAAGCTCAGGGCTAAAGTGTAAGTACATCTTTAGTCTGAAACGACGTTTGATGGCGGCAACTTCAAATGTTGTTCACACGCACAAAATGACCCAAAGGATCGTTGAGATTACTGGACTGGCAAAACGAATTCGACGCCTAAGAGATTCGAACTCTTGCTCCCGAAGGAAATAGATTTCTAGTCTATCGCTATAACCACTCAGCCAAAGCGCCTGTAATTTCCTTGATTTTCTGTCTAGATAGTATATATATCACGTGACAGAGATAAACACGAGATGGCAGACAAGGAGGCATCGTGGACGTCCAGCTAGCACTCGGACGATATTCAAGCGCTCTCTCCTCAATACGATCTCTTCATAGAACTGTTTCTTGTCCGAAGGGAAGATTGCACGATGCTTTGGTATTGGATCTCCAAGTAGCTCTCAGTCGCGTAATGGGATCACTCAATGTACAGTCCAATCTGCTATCGATGGTCTACGGCTGTAGTGACTCATGCGTTACTAACAACATGAGAATAACTGTTTCCCATGTGATGCATCTTTTCATACGTCTGTAATGCCCCTCAAGATCAACTGCGCGCCTTCGTACACGCTTCAGACTGGCTCAAATACCACCTATGCCGGAACTGAAGGCATCGAAGCGGCCCTCATCGCCGCGGCACTCGACCAAGGATATATTGTAAACAGCCCTGATTGGGAAGGCCCCAAATCTGTGAGTCAGGTGGACTGTTTTCATGTATTCTAGCTTACTCAGTGACACTAGGTATTCGTGGCTGGAATCGAGGCAGGTCAGGCAAGTCTCGACAGTATCCGTGCAGCATCGAAGTCTGGATCTCTAACAAGTATTTCGCCCTTCGCAAAAGTCCAGATGTGGGGATACAGCGGAGGGGCTTTCGCTTCTGCGTGGGCTGCAGAGCGTCAAGCATCCTATGCTTCCGAGATCCCCTTCGTTGCAATGGCTATTGGCGGTATCACTCCAAACGTTGTCAAGGTCTTCGACACCCTCAACAAGGGAACTTTTGCTGGTATCAGTGCCGCTGGATTCCTGGGGTTGGGCAATGCCTATACGGACTTCGATGCTTATGTTCAGTCAAGCTTGATTCCCGAGAGAGGCTGCTGCTTTCAACCAGGCTGGTTGTCAATGCTTCTATGCTGACGTGAAGACCTATGCTGGCCAGGATATCTACTCTTACTTCAAGCAGGGACAGGCAATCTTCGACACTAAGTACCGAAATGATTCTCTATAATTGCTTTGAACAGTAGCACTGACTTGTACATCTCCATAGACCCTATCGTCAACACAACCATTACCAACCGAGCCACCATGGGACGCCACGGTACCCCATCAATGCCTATCTTTGCTTACAAAGCTGTGGCCGGTGAGATCTCTCCTATTGCTGATACTGATGCGCTTGTGCAGCAGTTCTGCAATGCAGGGTGAGTAACTTGACTTTAAGAATAAGAAACGGCCCCTCACTGACGTTTTCCAGCGTCTCCGTCACATATGTCCGCGATCCATTCGGAGAGCACTTCACTCAGGCCGCCACTAGCACCGGCGACGTCCTCAACTTCCTCGCCGATAGATTTAATGGTGTTTCCATCTCAGGATGCAGCATTCGCAGCGAGTTTCTAGATGCCCTTGACCCGGGTGCTCCCGGAAGACTCGGTGTTTCTCTTACACAGGTCCTCTTGAACGCCTTGGGTTAGTTTTTGTCAACAGTGGACTCGAATATGTATGGAGGAGATGAGAAGTTGATGAGAGTGTCGATTACCGTATTCAGGATTGACGGGAACATGAAGAGTGGATCTCTTGTCTTTCGGCCAGGTAGACGTAGCTTTGTGTATATAGACTAGAGGCTGCCATCGCTTGGCCAATTGATAAAGGTTACCCATTCCGCAAACAGCCACCGCGACTCTGTTTCTGCCTTCTTCATACTGAGTTGATCGTGGATTTCCTAACTGATCAGCGTCACACAATAGTCTGTCTCATCGAGTGACTGTATCGTTTTGGGGAGCCTTTTTGTGCTGTATCATGGGGTCGTGCTGTCCTACCTTACGTTCCATACGCGTCGAGAGCTCTATGTTGCATGGTCGTAATTCCATTACAGAAGACTATCAGATGAGAATAATAATCTATTTCGGCGAGCAGCGCTTCATGCACCAATACCAGCATAGCTGGCCTATCTTCATTGGTCTAGTGGTCATGATTTCCGCTTGTCAAGAGAAATCTCGTCAAGCGCGGGAGACCAGGGTTCGATTCCCTGATGGAGAGAGATTCTTTTTAGTCATGAGCACTCCAGTTGCGAAAAGACCCGAGGAACCATTGGCAATAAATAACTGTGCGGTGGTTCTGTTTTGCATTTTATTTACAAGTAGCGTTTTCGTCTCACGGTGTCTTCGCACTCGTGTTTTTATGTCGTCAGGCTTGGCCAAGAATTTCTCCAAGCGACCTGATCGGCTCTCTTTCCAGTTCTTTTCTTGCCATCCGAATCTCGCCCGTCTCGAGAAACGATAGATTTTGGAGAACAAAGAAGCCAGAGTGTTAGTCCACCAATTGAGGGTGAAGATCATATCAAATATTTCTTTGTGTCAGCAAATCGAATCCGGTCAACAAAGGTAGACAAGTCGACTTTTTTTCCCTTTCCAAGTGACAAGGCATTCGATCATGAATTATTCCATTCGTGTTTAGTAAGCTTGTTGTTCGAATTTGCCTCCCAATCTTCTGCACCTGGTAATACTCCTACAAGATGACGAACGATCAAGCTTCGCCAACGTCAGACGACGAGTCCGAACATGACTCTGTCTCATCGGATATGTCGATGGAATCCTTCATCGATGCATCCCACTACGAGCTCAGTGACTTGACACAAGCAGAGATGAGCCAGTGGGCTATCGATCCGAATCTCTACTTACAAGGTGCTAGAACTGACCCAAAGAAGGCAATAACAAAGAAGGAGTACTGCAAGCGAATGTGCGCTATAGGAGTATCTGCCAACGTATTGGCCTTGGGGAAGGATCCTTATCCTCAGCTAAGAGTCGATGTTAGTTCAATGCCTGATATAGACGGGTTACAACAGCCCTGGGATGATACAGTGCCACGGTTTGGTCATAGCACAATTCTATGATACATCACACTGTCTCAATTGCTGGACTATGGATCCATAAATATCGATGACAGCAAGGACATGCCAGTATCGCCTCAGTTAAAAGTGGATCAAGTCACTGCGAGGACGGCTAGCAGAGACAGGACTTCGGTACAACATGTCGGAAATCATAACAACATTCATCCTATTGTCAGGCGAAGCAACTTCAAAGAGACATCTCCATGGGAGTACGAGTACCTAAAGCCTTCCCTAAGGATATTGTCAAAGATGCTAGAGATGGACAGTGTCTTGGAGACGTTCCATGCGCCTGGACGATCCATGACTCCAGTTCCAGGTACCAAGAAGCGACCAGGAAATGCCTACGTGTATACTCCTCGTCAACTCTCTGACCAGGAGAGAGCTGACATAGTCTTTGAGTTACGACAATTGTCAAACTTTGTGTATTTTGAGTGGCGTTCTGGTGATGATGGTCTAGGCGAGCCCCTTTGAGTTGAAACAACCAGGAATGAGACTTGGTAACATCACGTAAGTCATAGTTACTCAAAGTGTTGAGGGGCTTGATAACAGATTGCTAATTCCGAATCGGCAGGAGAGCGAGCAAGGTTGCGCTCAATACCGCAACCAGATATGTTCTCACAGACGGTCACGCGATACGCGCTAGTAGGTATAACAGCGAAGCCTCTGACGCGTCTTCACTCTTGCGCAACCAATTTATGTTCGCAGATCTTATTCTACACGAGTTGGGACACGCATACTGGTGAGCGATTCACACTTGGCAGTCCGACGAAAAGCACACTAAGTAGGACTCTGAACCCAGGTTGAACGTCATGATTATCAAGAACAACGATCGTCCGTTTTGTCGGGACGACTATATCTCAGAAGAGGGGCTTGTCATGCAAGCGGCAGTACATGTGAGTGAAGTCAGACTATCTAATCACCGCACCAGACTTCGACATATCCGTCATGTCAAGTAGCATTTATCGTGCAGCGGTTGAACGAAGAGGGGTTCTAGCCACTGATGGTATGGATTCGCTGACTTGCTTCGCGCGAAGGCTGGACTAGTTCTCTCGACCGAAATCGCAAATGTGTATGTCCCTACGAGGCCTTTTGGCCTGAAAGCGACGAGATGGCCAGAAAGCCAAAGCGCACAACATTGGGAGACTAGGTCAAGCTATGTCAAGACAGGCGGAAGATTTGACACTCACTATGTGGTCAGTATGGAGGTAGTATCTTGTGAAAGTGGTGTGAGAGTATGAGGCTGATACTAGACAGTATATTCGGCAATTTTTCACCGATACCTTTTGGGACGAAGAGTTGCCTAGGTGGGGACGCATTGCACTATCGAGTATCACAGCATTAGGGGTACGGAGAGAACTACCGCATTACTATCTCGAATATGACCCTGCAGAGAGTCCAGTCCCAAGGAAGAAACGTAACAGTTACGATGGCTTGGAGACGGATGATCTGATGCCAGGCACGAAGGAACATACTATTGTCTCTAGAGACTGGGATATAACCCTGGGCCCTCTGCAGGATTTTGATGGATGAGAAGTGGAATGTGTAGCGGGAAGCAGGGGAGAATTTTACGAGCCCGTAAGCCTTGCGTACTTCTTGGAAGGTCCACCAGAGCTATGCAATAGAGATATGCACCCAGGCAAAAGATCAAGTCTAGGATTCCACACGCACATGCGAAGCAGATCCAACAAAAGCCCTCGAAAGTTCCATCGTGGTGAGCAATTCTTTGTTCGCCGGAACCGGTAAACTGTTATCGGCGCAGGAGACGAATTTTGACAGCGTGATTTGAGCAAAGCCATAGTGACCGTGTCTGTAAATCTGCTCTACGCAGCCTCCGCAAATATGGCCTCCGAAGCCCCATTCGGTCCTTCGACCTTCGATCCCGAGTCCATAGATGAAGCCTTACGCGAGGCATGGCGCCGCAATCCATCCTTGACAGTACCGGATGAGAATGACATCGACGAGACGACTGCGACTTCAGCAAAGGAGTATTATCGACGATGGATCAGAATCCCGGTGTCTCCTGCAGTGATGGCGCTAGGAAAGAACCCATATCCTGGACTACGTGTGCGACGATATATTTCCGAGCTGAACAGATGGACACCTGCATACGACGACAGGTATCCTTGGATGAACAACAAGATATTACAATACGTCGGTGAGTACCGTGTAGCACTGTGAGTGGAGAGGCTGGTCAACTCATACCTCCTGTCTAGCACCCCAAGAGCTACTGCAATTGGGCTGTATTAACATAGAGCCCGGAGCCTCTATCGACGCAGATGTATCACCTCAGTTCAAAGTTGATACTGCGACATTAGCAATGGCGAGTAAGGATAGAAGTGTGTCCAGCAACATCGGTAGCAACGCAGGCATCCACCCATGCTTCCAGAGAAGCAATTGGAAAGACACAAGCGATGCCGAAATGGAGTTTCTGAAACCAGTCTTGCGAGTTGCAACACAGATGATGGCTATGGACAGCGTATTAGACGTGTGGTATGCTCTTGGACAGCCATTGCTTACACCGCCTCCAACAAGAATGTTGGTGGCTCAGAAGAAACCCTTCAGAGTGTTCTATACTGGTCAGTCGACACGGGAGCAGAGGGCCAAAACGGCGAGGGAATCAATGGGTCTACGCGATTTCGTGACGTTCCATTGGAAGGCCGAACCTGATGAGCCTGGCTCGACGTTGGCGGATGTTAACAAAAAGGGTCTTCGAGGCGGTACTACCACGTACGATAATGATGAGAAGAGCATGAATTTGAAGACTGGTGCTGATACTATATTACCAGGCATGCATGTGACATGACACTCGACATTGACCTCAAATACATCATCTGTAACCCGATGAATGCATTTAATGTTAGATCTCACCGGAGCCTTTCCAAACTCTCGCTAATGTTTTTCTAGGCCTCATACTACAACCCAGATGCTTCGGATCAATCGGCATCTCTGCGCACACAACTCCATCTGGCCACGGTACTGGTCCATGAATTGACGCACGCTTGGTTTGTATGACTCTCAACCACACAACGTAACACGATGGCCATACCTCCGGGCAGCACACAACATGCTGTCATCACAGTGAATGACGAATCAAGATGGTGCCAGCTGCACAGTCCATCCCACTTGGGAAAGAGCTCTGCTGACTTTTGTGTTGACACCTGTAGGAAAACGTCACGTCAGAGCACGGACAGATATATGTATTTCGTAACGACGACAGAATCGGAGAAGAAGGATATGCAGTGGAGACAGTCATTAGCAACGGTGTAATACTGGATGAACTTGCGGCAAACGTAAGCGTGTACACGATGCCATTTGGCATGTCGGCTAAGCGATGGCCTGGAATTCACAAGGATGGCAGTGGAACCACAAAAGCCACTGCATCGAAATATGGACTGAAGTTCAATACTGAATATGCAGTTCCCATGACAGTAAGTTTGAGAGGTCGGAATACTACAAGTTTACTTTCCTTCTGACTGCTCTTAGTACGTACTTCAATTCTTCCAGTCGTCCTTCTGGGACCAACGCACAATTCGATTTGGCTCAGGCGCTCTGAACAACTTTAGATCTGTTGGCGTGCGAATGACGGTGGATGAGGTGTACGATGAATCGGAAAGCCCGGCGGTCAAAAAGAAGTACGATTCGTCCGGTGTTTGGAAAGATGAGCCCGAGATTGATCCTGATGTCACCTTCCCAGACGAGGATGAAGGGATTATCTACATAGACAAGATCTTGGATCTCCTTGGTCAGCCGATCAAAGATGAGATGGACGAAGACGATGAATACGACGAAGACGAGGAGATGACCTGATGGAGTTACGTTGTGAAGAGCTGATAGGTTAGATGCAATGAATATTGTGTCCGGCTGATCGACGTGTGCAGACCCGTCAGTGCACCTCTTGTAGAGATCCACTCGTGTCTTCCTATTGGTGTCCGTTACAGTTGGACACGATTGTGTCCATGGTGATGTTGGCGGTTAGGGAGCAAAGGAGGAGAAGCTTGAGCGTTGGATGTTGACAATGACGTTGCGCGCCAAATTCGCGTTTGCCAAATCGCGTCACCCAGGTTGACCAATGTTTACATCGCCCATGGATGCACATATAATTGACCACTCATCTTGAAAACATCACTCTGCATCAACTCAACTCTCCAAACAAAGCAGTCATGGCATCCGAAGCACCCCTGAAACGCAAGCGCTCCGTCGAAGATCTGCCGCATGTCGAACCCAAACGAGTGCTTCGCCCACGATCCGCTCCCGAGATCATCATACCAGTCCAAGCAGCACCCATCATGAAAGCTCGCGTCAAGAAGACGATTGCAAAAAGGTCAACACCTGCTGCTGTCAGATCAACAGACTCCAGTCCCGGCTCGAATCTGCTCCTCCAGAAAGACAAGATCATCGAAGAACTACGACTTGAACTGGCCGAAGCAAACAGCAAGCTTGCAAAAGCAGAGAAGAAGCTGGCAGAGTCGGAGAAGGAGCTTGCTGCTATGAAGACATCTGCTGCGAAAGATACGCCTATTCAGCGCTGAAGCTTGAAGACTTGATCGATCATGAGATCAGCGCCATATCAACCTTGCATCATCACGACACCAATCCACCATGCCGTACTCGATCACAAGATGCAAGGCGAATGTATGAGGAAGTACTGGAGGACAACGCCGCATGTTTGGCCGGAGGTACGAAGAAGGCTGGACTGTCTTCCGCCGCGGATACGAGCATTCGATGACAAGGAGGAAGCTGGTATGAATTATGAACTTACGAACTACATGACAAAATCAACAAGTCATTCTTTCTATCTAATGTTCATGCACTCGGATGACGTCTCGCGGCGGTTTTGTGTGGAGCTTCGCGTACCCCTCAATCCCCAGCCACCCCATCTTGAGTCTCATCAAAGGTCGTGCCTTTCTTCTCAAACACATCATCTCCCTCCTCTAGCAAATCGGATTGTCACGTCATAAACATGGCTCCGAAAAGAGTAGCCACGAAAGGCCAATACTCGGCCATCGCCATCGACTCCGACGCCGACTCATCAGCCTCAGAAAGCACCACCCAAGCAGCCCCCCCAAAGGAAAGACCCTGTAAAAAAGGACAACCACCCCAGCGAACTGAGCAACCACGACAAAAGGCCCGACAGTAGCAAAACTATACAAAGACACCATCAAAGCCCTCAGTTCCTCCATCAAAGCACTAGACGCCAAAGCCCGCAAGATGAATCGCAATAGTCGCACAATCACCACCGATACATATGTAGATATGTCGCTTGATCATTAAGATCCTGTAAAAGAGTTGGAGTAGACTAACATGGCTCATTGTTACTTTCCACGCTCTCGAGAACACTTTAGCCGACGTCACTACATTCTTCTGACCCTATCCAAGACCCAAGTTCAATCGCTGCTGTCCGCACGTTTCTGCGCATGTATATCTCTGCCACAAGAGCCGCTAAAACGATAAGACGCAAGCTAATCTTTGCAAAACAGCCGTCACCAGTCTTAGATCGCGGTCACCAAAGTTTGAAGGGGAGGCTGAAGCCGATACATCGGTGATCTAAGCCCCGCACAATGATGGAATATTGAGTAATCAGATCTCCAGCTTGCTGTCCAAGAGGATAGTGTGAGTAACGGTCAACTGAGCTATCAGCCAACTTGATCCGTTGAGATAAAATGAACATACAGAGATCGAACTTGGAGAACTCCGAGACGGGAAATATCTTCACCACTACCGTGGATCCTGTTTGTAAACTTGTGCGGGTGTCCCCTGGAGCTCATTGACATGTGCAGCGTCCATTTCTACCGGACTCCTGGTCAATCCATACTTTCCAGGCGCCCAGACCTCTGAGGGTAGTGATGATGTCGTAGAATCAGACTCGTATATCTCAGCGTCCTTCGTTACCCCCATCTCGTCATTGGCCTGGGACGATGACTTTCTGAATCGTTGAAACCAAGCCCAGCACAGCCCGACGAGAACTATCAGAACTACAACCCCAACAACTATGCCTGCTAATACTCCTGAAGATAGATGACCAGAAGCGTCAACAGTGTTGTCTTTGCTCTCAGTTGGGGTAGAAGAGTTCCCCCTGGTCAAAGGTTTCAACTTTGAAGCCCAAGTTGTGTCCCAGGATGGTGCTTTGATCATCGGGGAGACTGAGCTAGAGTTGGCTGAGATGGTTGCCAAAGAAGCACCTGCCGAGTCTGGCCCTGGCGCTTGAGCGAGCATCAACTTGCCAGTCTGCCAGTTCTGTGCCATGAAAGCTCCTTGAAGAAATGCGCGACCGAGGTGATATCTACCATCAGAAGACTCATATGGCGAACACGGAAAATGTTGTGTTGGGTAATCCACGAGCGGCCATTCAAGAGTGAGATTCAATAGGGCGAACGGTAGATATATGGTGCTTTTCGATGAGCTGGTTTGGAAGCTGAAGGAGATATACGAGGGCGAAGTCATAATATTCTGGTATGACTCTGCTTCGATGTCCCAGATATAAAGACCAAGTGTCTCATTGAGTGTCACTGGCAGATGCTTCGTTATTGCTCGGCATGTCTCTCGAGGTAAATGGAGATATGGCACTCCTGGGTTGGGGTAGACATTTAGTATACCGCCTGCACCAGTCTGAAGGAGATCGGTCACTGGTAGTTGCTCGTCTGCGGAGAAAGGTGAGTTTCCACTAGCAACTCCTATCTCAATATCAGTCAGGGTGAAGGTGTCTGTGTCCGATATAAGTGGCTCGGTGAGACAACGCGACTTGTCGTATCCTCCGAGGACGAGACTTCCAGGGACCGCGACTGATGTTGAAGCCGAGCCTACGTGAAGGCTGTAGAAGTTCGATGGGATAGCGTCTTGTGCATATGCCAAGGGTAAAGTTGTGTTCAGCGACACATCACTCCCATTGACCGAGCGATAATCGACATGGTCTCCTGCACCATACAAGGAAAGAAACCCCGTATCTAGAGTGTACCATGGTCCAGACGATGGGAAGTTAACATTGATATTTTGGTCAATGGCATTGGCAGTGAAGTCGAGATATGGGTTGCCATCGCCAGGACCATCGAGAGTCACCCTATCGCTGATGTAACTTGCTTGACCTGACAAGTTCAACGGGGCCAGAGATGCGTCCCATGACGAGGCGTCGAATACGGTACTGTTCATCCAGGACCACGTACCTGCCAGTCCTGTCCAGAGATCTGATTGTGACTGTGGGCAAGCGCTGAGAGGGTCGGCACATGCGTCTTGGTGGACAAAAAGGTTGGCCCTCGTCAGAGACGGAAGAAGAGTGACGTTCTGAATATGACTGTCAGCAGATTATTTAGGAAGAGTCCGGCATGAAAATTACTCGCTGGGGCCAACTCGCAAGTAAGCTCAAAGCATTCCAAGGGCCATCAGGGCCCACAGCTTTGTCAAAATTGAGCGATCTTGGAACACTCGCATAGGCGGTCAGGTAGAACACGCTTGTGAGAAGGAGAGAAGCCATTTCAGCCTGGTGCAATTAGTCGGCCGACGGGAATCTTTCGCAAGTGAGTTGGAGAAAAAGCGACACAGGGGAAGCTAGAAGTAAGAGCTCGACAATTATAATCCATTCGAAAGCAATGCTCGGCGAGCTCAATAACCCGGCATATCGTTTCGATGCATACATTGTCGGATAAGCGCTGCAGCCATATGAGTTGGCAGCTGTGTTCCTGGTCTGGGCGCGTCAATGAAGTGTGTCGCTCGACGCGCCTTCTAAGCGCCTGGCTCCATGCCCATGCTTGAATCGGCGCGGATTCGCTGTTTGGCATGTCCTCATCGAATGTAAGCGCCGACAATATCTTGGATGTATGTAGATGAGCATGAGTACGGCATGGGAAGTCATGCATAATCAAGCAGCGTTGCAAAGGAAAACGACTGTAGAAGCGACAGGTGCGACGAGCTTGGTCAACAAAAGAGCGGGGGTGCACCTGCCGCTTTTGAATCTGCAGTTCAAGAACGTTACGGCAAGAACTGATTAAACAAATATCTCATAGGTCAAACTGGCGTTTAATACAAGAGGGACCCTATATGATGGGCTATAGAATAAGTAGGTGTTATATACAAAAGATGGAAGATACAAAAAGAAAAAAGTGTGGTGGTTAGAGAATGATGAATGTAGCGCCTCCAATCGTCAAGCCTTTCAGAGGATTATTAATACTCCTTAGATAAGGAAAGCAGCGAAGGCAGCAACACCAGCCAGACCAGCAGCACCGACCTTGTTGGCGGCACCAGTGTACTGAGAAGGCGAGTAGGTGGAGGTGGCCTTGCTGCCAGACCCGGTACCGACGATACCAGTGCCAACGGGACCAACAGACATCATAGTGCTGTTGGAGACGGCGAAGGGGGCGGTAGTAGGGACGACAGGGGCAGGGGCTGTGACAGCGGGAGCAGAACTCTCGGGAACAGCATCGGAGGGGCTGGTGTACTCGATAGGAGTGAAGGCCGAAGAGATGACGCTGGTGACGGCGTATCCGGTGGGGATGACGGAAGTCTGAACGACAGTGGAACGAGCAGGGCAGTTCTCGACACCCTCGGCGCAGCTAGTCACAGTGACGACGGCAGTGCTGTAGTAGAACATGGTCGAGGCAACGGTGATGGGTGCGGAGGTGGTCTCGGGGCTGACAGGCGATGAACCAGCAGGTGCGGAGCCAGAAGCCGAAGCGACAGCTGAAGTACGGGACCAAACGCTGCTGACGGTAATGGCAGTGGGGAACAAGGTGGTCGAGACGACGGTTGAGCGAGCGGGGCAGTTGGTCACATCAGCAGCGCAGCTAGTAATGGTGACTTCCTTGGTGTTGTAAAGAGTCACGGTCGAAGGGACAGCAACGTGACCATCAATGGAGGCAGGGGTGGTCTGCTCGGGGCTGACGGGAGAAGACTGAGGTGCGGATGCAGTGTGAGTGATGACAGCCGAGACCGTGCTCTGAACGGTGATCTTGGAAGTGATAACGCTAGGAGCAGTCAAGACAGTGGTCGAGCCAGCGGTAGTAAGCGTTTGGCCAACAGGGCATGTGGTGACGGTCTCCTTGACGACATCGGTGACATAGACGGTGCTCTCGATCGATGTAGAAGCCTTGGGGGTAGGAACGGCGTTGTTTCCGGCGGCAGGAACGGTAATGGTGTGGACAGCAATGGTCGAGATGGTGCTCTTGACGGTGACCGAGGTGGTAATGACCGAAGGAGCAGTCAGAACGGTGGTGGAACCGGCAGTAGTAAGTGTCTGGCCAACGGGGCATGTGGTCACGGTAGTCTTGACGACATCGGTAACGTAAACGGTGCTCTCAGTGGAGGTAGCGACCGAAACGGCACCAGATTGGGCATCAGCGGTGGAAGAGCTGCCGTTGACATAAGCACCACCAGTTGAGATGGCACCAGATCCAGTTCCAGTGATCATGGCGGTGGACTTGGTGGCGTTGGCAGCAGGAGCGCTCGAAAGGCTGACGGTAGGCTTCAGGCTGGCGGGAATGCTGGTGACCTTGTAGGAGCTGGCGTCCTGGCACATCATGTAAAGGTGGTTGCAGGCGGCCTTGTCGGAGGAACCGGAGACGAGGCAGAGGTCCAAAGTGATACCACACGAGGTCCCGCAATCCGCGCGAAGCATCTGGCAAGTGGCATCGGTTGCATTGGTAGAGGCGCAGGTCTTCTCTCTTCCGGCGCAGTCGAGGGGCTTGTAGTCGACGAGGGAGGTGGCGATCGATCCGAGGCAAGAGTTGTACACTCCCTGACATTGGGCGGCGGTAGAATTGTCTCCACTGCTGTTGCATGAGTCCAAAAGAGAGCTACAAGTATCCTTGCACTGGGCAGCTGCAACTGAATTGCATTCGTTCAGAGCGATGCCGGAGCTGTAGCATGAGGTGAAGCGCTCAATACAGTTAATGGACTTTGCGGCCTCCTCGGCTGCGGGGGTGGCTCCAAGACAGGTATCGTAGTGGGCAAGACATCCAGGCTTGACTGAGGCGTCGCCACTGGAAAGACAGACATCGTAACTCCTTGAACACGCTGTCTTACAATCCGCTGTAAGCATACTACAATTGTTCGATGCAGAGCCCTCGAGGAAGCAGGTGGTGGCATCCTTGACACATGAGATGGGCGAGACGGGCAAGACCTCAGTGGCACCGAGGCAGTTGTTGTACCAAGACTGGCATTCACCGAAGACACTCTCAGAACCGCCAGAGGTACATGTGTCCATTCCGCGAGAACAAGTACTCTTGCAGACAGCATTCATTGAATCACATACTGCGTCCGAGTACTTTCCGGAGAGGTAGCAAGCATCGTTACGAGCGACACAGTTGATAGCTGAAGGCTCGTTGTTGATCTTTGATGATCCCAGGCATGACTCGTACTGAGCATCACACTGGCCGGTAACACTTGCGTCTCCAGCAGAGGCACAAGCTGAGCGAGTGCGAGAACATTCGTTCTTGCAGGATGCGTTCATGTCATCGCAGCGGTTGTCCTCGTTTCCATCCAAGTAGCACTGTTCGACGTCGGCCAGGCAGTTGATGTTGGAGGAGTTGCTGGAGCCACCAGTGCAAGCCTGGTTGAACTTCAAGCATTGCTCCTTGACACTCTCCTCTCCAGAGGATAAACATGTGCTAGTCAAGAACGAGCACGTAGCCTTACAATCCGCAAGATTCTGATCCTGGACATGGTCTTCTGACGTAGCGTTAAGGTATGAGGCCTCACTGGCGGCCAGACAACTTTCCGAGATGGTGGGCAGATCGTTTGCTCCAACACATGAAGTGTAGTATGCGAGGCAGGTGGCATTGTTTGCAGGGTTGTTGGCAGAGTTACAGGTATCGAAGGTGCGAGCACAAAGATCTTTGCACTGCGCATTCATTTGCTCAGTTGTTTGAGAGTTCTTTCCAGCCTTAACCATGGCCTCGATCTCAGAAACGCAGTGGATCTTGCTCTCGGTAAGTTGACCAGATCCGAGGCATGATTCGTAAGAGCTTTGGCACTGAGAATCGTCACCACTGGTCATACAGGCGTCCTTCAAGACACCGCAGGTTTGCTTGCATGTTGCCGTAAGGGCGGCTGCGGTGTTGTCTTCAGTGTTATCGAGGTAGGCCTGCTCTGCTTGTGCGATGCAGGAGACGGCAGGGACAGTGGCGTTGTTGGAACCGAGGCAGGCCTCGTAGTGAGATTGACAAAGCTTGGTGTCGCTTCCCGAGTTGCAAATATCTAGTATGGAGCTACAAGACTGCTTGCAATTTCCAAGGAGGCTGTCACAGGCGTTGGTCTCATCGTGGGATGCAGAGGCGTAGCAGGGGATGACTTGAGCCAAGCAAGATGAGGCGAAGTTGCTGGTAGAGGTTGATCCAATACACGAATCGAAACGGGTGTTACAGACTGCGCTGGACGTACCACTGCTCAAGCAGTTGCTCTTGGCAGTAGAGCATTGATCTTTGCAAGAGCTTCCTGCAGACGAGCATGCGTTGTCGTTGGACTTCTCAAAGTCGTAGCAGGAAACGTAGGCGGACACACAATCGGTTGTGCTGTTCTGTGCAACGACGACCGTTGCAAGGCCGATGAGGGCCGGGATAGAGTATCTCATAACGAGTGGAAGCCGAGTAGTCGGCAAAAGTTAGTAATAACGAAAGACAACCCCGTAAGTATGGCGGGAGAATGTTCGAAATAAGAAAGAAGAATGAAGACAAGAGTAAACCAGGAAAGAACAAACAGCTGGGATCTCGCATGTTTATGGACGAGACTGATCTACAAGCCAATTCGCCCAAGGAACCGTACCTGCACTAGCATGGACTGATCCGCGCGGAAACATAATTAGACCCGTATCCGCACGCTCTGATCGTCTGACGCATGGATTGACTTTGAGCCTGATAGGGCGGCCCTGGGCGGAAGGCGGAAGTAGAGAAATTACATGCGGTCATGCACTCACCCTAGAAAGGATTCGTATTGCTTCGATGGCTTGCGGGGCGTGAAGATTCTGTCTCAACCTGAGACGTCGGCGCCTGAACCTACTGACAGACAGGTTCATGCTACACAACAAACACATCACCCAGAGCATCAATTGCCCCTGAGGCTTCATTTTCTTTGTGCTTGACTGAAGCCTGCAGAAGGGATTCGAGTTCGGTGGCTTCCAGACTCGTGTGGTTTCTGTACCTGATCGTGCCTGGCGATCATCGGTGCAAATACCCGTCTTGCCGTCTGTGCAGATATTTCACGGGAAACCCTAACAATTTTTAGCGACGCACCGTGCCGCAAATTTGGAGTAGACCCTTGGCGTTCGTGTTACTCGCCGCGGATTAAGATGGCAGGGCACATAGATTGGCCTCGAATCGAGTCCGTTCATGTCAGGGATCTGATGATTGCGATGAACAATAACAGACCAGATGATGTCGTCGAGAAAGACGTTGTTGAAATGCGGCACTCCACGAAGCAAACCGTCAACGAGGATGGCAGACACGTTGAAACGTGGAAGCAGGCAAGAGCGTTGAGCCGGCTTGGCCGATGCATCATCAAATTGCAACGTTCTCCCACAAATTATTTCAACTCTGCCAGCCACCGCATCAGATCGTGGGTGTGTTGAGCTGGCTGTTGAAAACTTTCTGTGACACTTCTAAAGAAATAGTTCCCATACGATATCACCTCGAGGCAAAAGGTCTTGTCAACAGTTCGTCTTAAGAGCTCTGGCGATGATTGTCTTGGCCGCTTGCCTTCGCATCCGTGACTGGTCGATCACAAGACAATACCCTCTGTCGCTCGTGGTATTTGTGAGCACGATGGCCGACAGAGCTCTTGCGTCTCTCGACCCGGATTAGGACGTCTACACATGTGTGTCGCTCTCATACTTGCCAGTCAAACGAGCTTATTCCCTCTCCTGCGATGCAGTCGAGTATGTCTTTTTGGACTCTAGTAATACAAACGCTCCGTCGCTTGGGCGTTAGCCCAAAGAAAGCTCTATGGACGATGTGGCAGGCCACTCCGTCAAGTTTCGAGGCACCACATCTGTCTTGACATGGATAAGCGTCGAGTGTACAAGTTCAGATCGTTCCCGGACGGCGGTCCGTCTTTAGAGCACAAACCGCTCCGGATCTTGACATGTTGGGTCCCTATTGTGCTTGACAATTTTCCGTTAAGTCATGTTAGTATCACTATCAACATCCCACTGAGCAGGAACGCCAGTATTTTCTGGATGTGAAAGTCTCGAGACTTCCTCAACGTATGCAGGGGATCTTCATAACCGATAACGTGCTTGTAGTGAAAAGGACGACATGTCACGAGATTGGTTTGAGTTGACCATCGCGTGTGCATGAGTTACACAAAGACGTTGGAAGACGTGCCAGAGGCGATGTCGGATTGGTCAAAGTAATCCATCAAAGTGGTGGCTACTCCGCCTGAGCTTGGATTCGCGCTTGTGTCATAGGCTCGCTCTCGCTGGTGTTTCGATTCCGCCGTTGCACTCCCAGATCTGGCATCCATGACGGCAAACAGCCGGTTGGCGTTCTCTAGGGATTTGGAGGACGGGGTTAAAAAATGGACAGCCAGGAGTTCAATCATGCGCGTGGTGAGCAGCGAGAAGACCGACGAGGCTGTCACTTGCCAAGCAGTAAAGCTTACAATAGGTCGGTCAAGCTTCTGTCTATATACACATGTCGTACCACTGACTAATACCTGTCGTATGGTTTCTCTCGCTTATTGCCCTTAAGTCCAAGTCCGTTCATTACCCCGAGGCCAGGTCCATCAAGAAGACCAAGACCAGAAGCGTCCGCGTCCGCTCACCATCCCCGGCTGCATCGCAAAGAGAGAGGATGTTCGACAAGGACACTTTCTCGTCTAAGAAGAAGGCACAGACAAAAATACCAGAGAACAAAACTGCGCGTCGACCTTTAGCCATGCCCATGGCAATGTCTATCAAGTCGACGAAGAAAAGGAAAGGTCGTCCAGCCATTCCTGTCCCGCGTGAAAAGCCTGATAACAAGTCACTGTAAGTCATATGTGTACCCCATCTTCTTTCCAATAACCCTAACTGAGAGTTATGTGAAGTGCCGGATCGATCAGACGCCATAAGCCGGGTGACGCAAAGAAAGTCTGGAGACGTTAAGTGCGCCCGCGAGGGACGCCTAGATCGGCATCACATCATGTGTTTTCATAGACAAGGAAAGGACGGTGGTGACTGCTGGAGCGCCGAAGGCATACTTGACTGTTCGTCAATCTGATATATCACTCTGCCAATGAATCTTGCCTGCCAGCGCATTGTTCTCATGTCCACGTCCACATCAAGATTTACTGTGCTAACGTACAGTCCTTTCCAGTCCTGAATGATACCTGAGCGTGGCGCGTCTTGCATCTTCATGGCTTTCAAGCGTGCATTTTTAAGAACAAAGGGTTGGTAAGAAGGGTAGAGTCGTGGTACACACTCTACCATCTGACATTGGAATGGCGACTCTCCCAACGTCTTAATTATAGCTCTGACTCCAGCCCTCATTCCAGGCGCTTCTTTAGAAAAGGAGACTCCCGGTTCAGGAGTGGCTCTTCTTCTTGGAGACAGGCGATTTGGGACGCATGGGCAATTTGAGAATGCTTAACGGGACGTGTCTAACTTCTTCGACCCTAGACTTGACTCCTTCGTCAGTCATCTCTGCCACCCGCGTTTCCATGATGTCTTCTTCCTTGCCCCCGAACGTTCCATCGCCCTCAGGCCTGTTGTTTCTTTGATATTCCTCCAAGCCGTCCAGAGAAGCGCGAAACTGGGCGAGGACGTACTTGCAGTAGCCTTCTTTTGGGTGATGATCGCAGTGGTACCAGAGGTCTTCGGCGTCGAGGCGACATGCCTCAGCGTAGGCCCAATGGTCGACGAGCATGCTCAACATCATCAGAACCTTCAGTCTTGGAAGTGGGGCCATGTTGATGTTGTCAAGAAGATAGTCGAGGAGAGTGATACACTCGTCAATCGCATCTTTGTCGTAGAGCTCGTCTGCCTTGATCAATTGTTGCTCGACATAGTCTTCGAATGGTGCGGACTAGGCTGCCATATTGTGGGAAAACGGTGTTTTGCTGATAGATAGACAAAATGAAAGCTGAGTGACGAAGATGAAAGCCGAGTGATGGAGGTGGAAGCTGAGTGATGGAGATAGGGACTGGATGACGAAAACTCTGGACAAGCAAGCGACTCCCACGTAAGTACCCGTCACACCAGAATAACAATTTTGTTCCTGCGATGAAACCTCAGGAGCTCCAGAATGCTCTGTCTTGAGATATAGGACACGACCCTCCTCACGGCACCACTGTACTAGGCCTCGCTCTCGTCATCGCCAATTCTTTCCTTTATCTCAAAAAGCTAGAGCATACTGCCGTGGAGACATATTTGTGGTCTACGAAAGACAGTGCCGTTTTATTGGCAGCAACCCTAAGACGTTTTTAGTGCCTCAAGCTCCTCAACCTCTCCTTACGTGCCCGTGTCATCAGTATAAACACGTCTTTACTACTCGTTCCCCTGTCGAATACGTAACCACGTGGCAACCTGCATCGATGGGAAGCTTACGATTCTCCAAGCTGTACGCCGGAAGTGTGCGCTTATCTCATAGGCTCGACCAGAGCTAGCGATGACTGTCTCGACAAGCTATTTGGTATCAGCAAACAGCTCCTTTTGCACTCTCTCCTCATCTCCGTTTTAAGATTCTTCAAACAACCAAGAGCTCCTGCTACCGTTCACTACCAATCATCACAAGCAAGATCCCGCCTGAGAAGGTCAAGACCAAGCTTGTTGAGTCTGTTGAAGATGACGACTCCGACAGCTCTGAAGAGAGCACGTCCGATGACGCTTCTGAACAACCACCTGCTCGTTCGACCCGTGCGGGCCTCAGGCGGTCTGATAGAGCCTTGACAGGCGCAAAAAGATCGACTAAGCTTGCAAAGGTCGTCATTCTTGGGTCTCCTCGCACTATCAAAGACTTCAACCCTAAGAAAATCTCCTTCACGCCCACCGTCAACATCAATATGGCCTCTCAACCGGGGGAACCCGCACTGCAATAAACCAGTCAAACCACCAATCTCAATCACGCCCACGACGCGATTACGAGCGGCCTCAAAGTCAAACCAACTCCGAGCACTATGTTCCCAATCAAGGCGGTCTTGTCAGCATTTGTGACATGTAAGTCTTTGGAAACCCCAACTTTCGAGTCATCGGCAGTCTCTCAATCAAGTAACTTACATCGGGAGACTGGGAGTACCAAAGGATGGCAGGAATACGTCAGAGACTTGGAAGTCAAGACTAGCTTTAGGCTCCAATCATTCACTATGCCAGCCGTGTCTAAGCTACTTGCCAACTGTTGTCTCGAAGAAAAGTTCTGCGCCTCCACAGCCGAGATAATCAGACTGTACAACTTTGCGTGCGAAATCCTGGACAAGACACCGCACAATCTACCATCACCAAGACTGCTGAAGCATGGAGCTCGAGTATGCTCCTGGCTTCTTTGACTTTCTCGGTTCCTACGATCAAACTGATCTGTTACCGTGCGATAAGCTTGCCGCAGGAGATCTTCGAGTTTTGGAAACAATGGAGTGCGCCTTCTTAGTTTGTCGGTGACGAATGTGGTCACATCTGAATAGAGAGAAATAGCCATCATGTAATCAATACACAAATGTCCATGGCATGAACTCAAGATGAGGAAGGAGTAGCCAGTTTTTTACACTATCCCTAGTTCCCAACTTGAACAGCCTCCACTCCAGAAATCGAGTACAAAATAGTGATGATAGAGAATCATAAAAGTGTAATGCTGGTCTTGAGATTTTGTCATCTATCTACGATGACGATCGTGGCTCCAGTGTTCTTATGAGCAATGTCTTATGAGCTACTTCAATACCCCGCTGTCTCCGAAACATTATCATTGCCCAGGTAAAGTCGATGACACATAACCACCGCCTCTTCTAACCTGAGATAGTGCAGTGTTGTAGCTGAGCGCGAAGATCCTCCAGTTTGCTGTCGAGCTCTTTGTCGATAACCGCACTGGACATGTTGCGGACTGAGCGCAATCTAGGATCTTTCTTGTACTTGATGCCAGGAGCAACATCCCCGACCTTTTAACCGAATCTCACCATGTCAATCTCCTTGTCGTCTTCTTCGATGTTTCTCTTAGTGCCCCTGCTCTAGAATCCCTGGAAGCTCTTTAATCCTGGTTGAAGAACTTCATCTATCGACACCTTGTGGTGGAAGACTCCTTGCTGACCTTCGCAATAGTAGGTCCACTTCTCTGCCTCGTAGTCTGGGATTGCCAACCATGTGGTCTCGTTTGCGCTAACAAAAGCAAGTAGATCTTGTAACTTTCTTCTGACGTCTTTTCCTTCTTCCTTGCGCTCGAGGATTTCCTGGATATGAGCTGTACGGGTTGGGAAACGAGGAGCATGGTGAGTGCTGCAGAGGTAGAGAAAGTAGTAAGACTGTAGATGTGGTGCGGTTGATAGCACCTCGAGGATCATGCGCCAGAACACATTATCCACCAGCATCATGTGTGAGATGGATATTGTCTTGAGAGTGTAATGCACCTTTGGAGGAAGTCCAACAACGGCCAGAATTCTCTACGTTCCCTCATCACGCATTGAGTGAGAGTAAGATGGGTAATGTTGGCGTCCATGAGCCACGAGCGGTTGAGAATGATGTCGCGAGTAAGAGAAGAAACCTTTTCGAAACACATTCTTCTCCATCTTCCCAGGCCTTTGATCTTGAGACAGTGGTTCTTTGGCGTCCATACAAGACCACATGGACGAATCTTGTCGTCACGAGCCTCGCCGATCTCAATCTTGAGTTACATGTCAGGGCAAATTGAGTAGATGTTATGCTCGTCGTGCTCACACACCAGAGTTTTTTCTTCTTTGATTAACTGTCTCACGTCAGACGCATGGAGAGCCTCGACTCTGAATTGGAGGGTGTTGATAGAGATTTCCTTTGACCTGAGACAACTCAAGACAAGTGCACAAACGTTGCCCGTGGGAGAACGCTCGAAACGCTTCGTATCTTGGTGACGGAGGAGTCGTGTCAGCTCGGACACGGGTCCAAGATGGCTGGAGTCGTTGAACCCCAGACCCAAACTCGATTGGAACACTTTCAAGTTATCCAAAGCCTTTAGCAAGATCCTGATGGTGCCCAAAAGCTCTGTGAACGTTGGCTTGCTGGCGAGGTATGCTGGGTGGTCTGATGGGAAAGTGTTGGTTTCGTACACGAATGTCTCCACGCCAAATGTCCAGGTGGTGTTGAACTCGATGTGCAGTACAAACGGCGCGAAGAATGGATCAACGCTGATCTCGTACAGCGTCATCATGCTTGACATAGAAAAGACGTGGTGACGGGTTGAGAAGTATGTTGACGCGAAGCGCTCGTTCACCGATGTGTGCATTCTTCTGCATGTGCTGCGAGCGGCGGGGAAGTCGTTTGGATCAACGTAACTCAACACATGGTCGAGCGTCTCGTTGGCGAGACTGAGGATGTTTGCCATATTTAGTGGTGTTGTGTAGGTGTTTGTCTTGCTGGTCGTCAGTCGATGTGCGGAAGGGGAATATCAAAGACACGCACTGCAGAGTAGAGCAGGCTGTTGGACAGATCGAGCAGTGTCGCGATATAACTCAATCAGGTGCGATGAAGTGCAAGTCGATCGAGAGAGGTCAGTTCTGCTCCGACCTGCGATTTGGTGCAGATAGCAGACGCTGAAGGTAGCTTCGCCGTCACGGGCTCTGCGTAAGGGTCGCGTTGATAGCACACAAAGAAGATAACAGATGGCAACTGGACGAGAACGCGAAGTGAAGAGGTTGCTGACCACGAACAGAATGCAAGTCTGTCGTGTTTTTGCGTCTTGCGTCGCTGTATTGTTGTGACCGAGTCCTGCGTCTTCTCGAATTTTGGCCTGACGACCGCAAGCAGAACACAACCCTCGAAGCTCCTCCCCCGATCCGGACTAGTCACTGATCGCGACCACGAGAGATAAATTCTTCTGGATGCAAGATGAGAAGTGTGTGATTTTGAAATGCTAAGAAACACCAAATTGAGCTACAGAAAGTTGTGGGAATATGTGCATGATGAAAAAAAACAAAGACAAGACTGCTTCAAAACCTAAGCTCAAGCCTTGATATAAGGAATACCAGTAAGCTTGTATCCTCTCTCAGTCAACTGTGGTGGTTGACGAGGCTTCCATGTGTTGTGAGGATCGGGCTTGCCGTTACGCATGGGTTCCAGGAATGCCTTGATGAAGGGTTGGAGAGCCATGGGCCAATGGCTGTGACCGTCTTGGTTCTCGAAGCACTCCTTCTTGCGCTTCAAATCATCCTGAGTCGCTGTTGATACTGGCAACATGCAAACGTAGACGACGAATCTGTCGGTATCCTTCTTGGGGGAGGCGTTGTAGTGAGGAGTGCGAGAGTCCCCTGGAATTGGGTTAGTCGGGGAGCTCGATAAGAGTATGAACATCAAACTTACAAAGAACGAGGTCGCCAGGCTCAGCATCAACCTTGACCCACTCGTGACCTCTGTCGGCCAACCACTTGAGACCAGTCTCCTTGAACAGGTACATCTCATTTGTCCATCTGAACTCACGGTGCTCATTCCTGAAGACATTGTGATACTCCTCGCTGACTTTGTGTCCACCCTTCAGGGCCAAGAGACCGCCATCCTCGGGACCGTTGGGCAAGAGGTTGACAAATCCTTGAACACAACGAAGACCACCACGCTCTGGGTCCTGATCCTGATGAGGCCAGGCACCGTTGGCAGGTAGATCTTGACGGTTGGCGAGAGAGACGTTGACGGCATCGAATGAGCAGATCAAGTCTTGGTCCTGGTAGAGGTGTGCGAAAACGTCAATGACTGCAGGTTCTTGGCGAACATCCCATGTGAAAGATTCGTGAGTAGCACCGTATGCTTGGAGTAGACCCTTTTGGTGAATGATAGGGAGGCACTCTTCGCGGATGGTAGAGGGGTCATCACGCTTGTAACCCAGTCCGAAACCCTCGAGCCAGTCCTTGATGTCTTCGGCGTACTTGAGAGCCTTTTCCTTCTCGAGAACATTCTTCACTACGCAAAAACCATCACGAGCGAGGTCTGAAAATGTTGTCAGTACAGCTTCTGCCATTTTATGAGGAGAATATGTGCTTACCGTCACGCCAGTCACCATAGTGCTTTGTCTCGTCGAGGACATCCAAAACGGGAGTGTCGTGAACAACACAAGGAGGGATAGCATGAACAGTGGTCTTAGGGTCAAGCTTGGGAGCCTCGTTGAACTCGCGCTGAACGGTGGTGGTCATGGTAGCGGTAGCCATCTTAGTTTGTGTAGGTTAGATGTTGCTTGACGGTTGATGCTGATGATGTCCAAATCAAATCTGGAGAAAGCAATGGGCTTTAAGATTATTATGTCTTTCCACCAAGGCGTTTCGGCCCACTCACTCGCACTCCTCCGGTGGAGGTCCGTCGCCTTGTGTTAGGTGTAGAAACTCGCCCGAACTCAACCGGTGGTCCTGCCGAAGGGGGATTCTGGGGTATTGATGGATTCGGAGGAGCAATCGTCTCGGAGACTAGGCTCGATTCGGCGCCATGAGAGCTGGAAATGAGGGGTAACGCCGAACCGAAGGGATTCTGGATGCACGCGGCCACTCTACGATTCTCTGGTCCAATCGGAGCAGTTGATGACAGTTGTAGACTCCGAGTCCTGAACGAGCTCCGAAGGTAACATATAGACACGAAGTCACCCATACACCTTTTGATGATGATTTCCGACTATCTTCAAGTCATCACAAGGCGGTGGAAGGACGGTTGGATGCAGATTCGAAAACGCGGGGGGCGAAGGCGAGTTGATGCATTCTAGATAAGTGGTCAAAAGTGGTCAAAAGTCGATGTGAGGGCATGGAATGTACACAAAACTCATCATTTCTGACCGCTTCATGTCAACATTTTCTGCTGCACCTTCGTGCACACTCCGTATCCCGCACTCGTCCGTGGCCACTTCCCGGTATAGCGCAATGCCTCAGTGTATGGGGTCTCGAACCAACATCCATCGATCCACGGTAAGCTAGACAATCATGGCTTGATTGCAGCCTTCTCACAGGAGGACTGGACGACAGGGAAGAAGTCTCTTTAGAAAATGCCCTTTGCGACACCGTTGTCAAACCTCTAGACTGCCGGGTGGCTAGTCGCCCTTCATCTTCCCCAGAGTCTTGCTATCGGACGCGCCCACAAAACTCGACATTCCCACCCCTCTTGGCGACTACCGGTAGACGGTAACCCTCAAAGATAGACCACATGCTGCTCCGGGTGTCGCGGAGAAGATCTACCCCATAAGAGACCCATACTGCCCTCCCCAGAATATCTGTACCCCAGGAACTTTCATCGCGAGACCATCAAACACCTGAAGGTTGTTCTCCTTTATCTTGAGTCTTCTCCTTCTTTCTTTCAACACATCCCTACACGACTTCCATCACCATGGACAAGTCGAGTACCACCCACATGGACAAATCAAACACTACCCACATGGAGGTCTCGACCTTCCCCGACTCACACGTCGTCGACTCATACGCTGTCGACAGCAAAGATGAGCAAGTCACCGTCATTGGTACCATGGGTCAAGATCCCAACCACAAATCACATGTATCATGGAGAGCTTGGGCTATTGTAGGAATTTGCGCTCTGGCTACATTTCAGGTATGATCGGGCATCGTTGATCGTCGTGCAAAAACTGACACCAAGATTCAGAACACATACTTTGGCATTGCCCCCGCTGCAAACCAATATGCCATCTCAGGAGCTTTGCAAGGAACTGCAAGTGAGAGAATTTGGATCGTCCAGGCTGGAGCAGTACCTGCTATCGCGTTTGGTCCGATCTTCGCCATCATCTCCGATGTATACGGCCGCAGAAACATGCTTCTCTTCGCTTGGACACTCTTCGCTGTTGGCTCTATTGTCTCCATGACTGCCAATGGTATGACTGCCGTTATCGCTGGTCAAGTCCTTTCCGGTGTCGCATCTGGTATCTCTGGTATCATGTTTGCGGTCGCTTCTGAAGTCATTCCGGGAGCCTACCGCGCTTATGGTCAAACTATCGTCAGGTGTGTTGAGATGTTCAATTGATCATGATCATAACACATACTAACATCCAACTCAGTTGGGTCTCAGGACTATCATCTCTCGTCGCTCTTCTCCCCATTGGAGCCGCCACCACTGCTGACCCCGTCAATGGGTGGAGATGGGTATTCCGCATCAAGTTCATTCTTGAGTGTCTTGTTGTCATTGGCATTGCCGCACTTTACTTCGTGAGTATACACCATGTCAACTCGGCTCCTGTACTGATTCGTTATTTTTTCGTAGCCTCCTCCCCGTACCGCTGCTAGCAAGCAATCACTTGGTCAGAAGCTCAAGGCTCTTGATTGGATTGGTTACGTTCTGCTTCTTGGAGCTCTCGTTCCTTTCTTGATGGGCTTCGCCTGGAGTGGAGACTCAAACTACGGTTGGGCAAGCAAAACTCACACTGTTGTACCTGTCGTAGTTGGTGGTGTTTTGTTCATTGTCTGCTTGATCTATGGTATGTTCCTCGTGTCGTCTATATTCAAACTCCTACTGACTTCATTCAGAGTGGAAGGGCACAAAGACTGGCTTCCTCGATCACCGCCTCTTCCAAAACGGCCGCAACTTCCCTCTTTGTATGGTTCTCATCGCCGTCGAGGGTTCTCTCTTCTATCTCATGAACAACATCTACCCCTCTCAGGTCAATGGTATCTGGGAGCAGCCTGGAACTATCAAGGCTAACGCCTACCTTCTACCTTTCTTCATGGTCATCACCGTCGTCTCGCCTTTCCTCTCCATCTATGTCACCAAGTACAGAGATGTCAAGTGGCCTATCTTCATCGGTTTTGTCTCCTTCAGTGCCTCCGTTATTGGTCTTGCACTTTCTGGAACTAATGGAAAGCTCGGTCTTGCCTTTAACGGTATCGGTGGCCTTGGTTTCGCTCCCGTCTTGATCTTGATCATGGTTTGGGTTCAGAACTCTACTCCTCCTCTCTTCATCGGTACCGCTTCTGCCCTCACCATCTCCTCTCGTACACTTGGAGGCACCGTCGGTCTCGGTATTGCGAATGCCATCTACGGCTCTCTCACCAACACTCAGATTCCTGAGGCCATCAGTAAGTCTTCATGCAAATCTCTGACCACTCGAGCATCGCTAACATACTCCATCCAGTTGGTGCCGTTCTTCCTCTTGGATTCAACCCAGCCAATATCGGTCAGCTCATCGGATTCTACTTCTCAGGCCAAGGTCTTGACAAGATTCCCGGCATCAACGGACAAATTCTTGGTGCCGGCCTTGAAGCTCTCCACAAGACTGAGGCTCACGCTTACAAGATTGTTTGGCTTTCTTTCCTTCCCGGCTGTATCATCGCCGCTGGTATCTGTCTGTTCATGCGCAACTCTAGTGAGAGAATGAACTGGGTTGTTGATGCTCCTCTTGATACCAAGGTTGATACCCTTTCCGCAAAGGAGGCTCAATTCGCCGAGGTTCACCCTCCAACCATGGACGACACGATTGAGGTGGAGTTGACCGAGCGCAGATGAGACGACCTCCTTTCTCATGCTCGATTATCGTGGATTTAATTCGAGCTGCTGTTTGTACATAGCTATGTACCACATGAATTTATGTTTTATTATGACAACGATTCTACCTTCTGACATCGATATCGAATTATTCTATCAAGACTTTGGTCAAGAGATGGTCCCACTGCATCGTGTCATCTTTCTTGACTCAGCGTAGCGTTCTACCTCATGCACAGATCGACGTCTGGTCAATCTTACTCCTTGAGCGACCGCTAACGTCGCCACTACGCAACCTCAATATCGCTCACCTTGATCATAGAACAGTGTTCCAACTTTAACACCACCAAGATAACCCTAGCCACCATACTAATAGCGCAAGAAGATGATAGTCAACTTCCCCTACATTCATATGTGCTCGTTGTCACCCGCCACAAGTCTTACAGATCCTTCTCCGTATCCACAGCGTATTCGACGAGCTTGGATCGCGAGCCTCGACACTCGTTGCCGTGTTTACCGGTCGATCTCCTGTAATGAGGTTTGATTGCCGACCCTTGAATGTTCAAATGCATAGGGCTAGATCGGTGTTCATAGTGTGTTGTCAACTCACCCATGCTGACCCGAAGGTTGGAGAAAGGTGGAGGAATGTGGGCACGTGTTGTGGACGTCCCTTTACGAACTTCTTCTGTCCATACTTGTGGACTGGAAAGGTCATCCTTCTGTACTGTATGTGCTGCTCATGAGAAATGCCGTTGATTTTCAGTGTTCAATCAAGTTTTCTGCGGGAGTGTCGCAGATGTGTCGATGACTCTAACCAACATTCTTCATATGGTAATGACTTTCGTTCTATATCAGTGCCCTATGTATCGTCTTCGTCGCAATACTCCTACTCTATTGGTAAGCTGCTACCTTCCATTCATCTCCCACGTCATGCGTCGTATTGTGATTGTGTCAGGTTACACTCTACTATTTCTTTCCTGGCACGTCTCTGTCTCACACATCTTCGATTTCAACTATTGTTCATACTGCATTCCCCTGAATCCTGCCTTTTTTTCTCCTAGCTCGGACTATCCTTTGTTCTTTCGTGCAGTCCGAGGATCGATTCGTCACCCGATCGGGGTAGGAAGTCATTGAGCTTTGCTAAGGCGGTTGTAGATATAATCAATAAGCAGTCATCATCCAGGTATGTTCCAAAGGCTGTTACGTCTATATGGATGGAGGTAGGATGGATGGTCAGTTTGCTAGTGTTACAATGTAAGGATGCAAGTCACTCACTCTCGTTTCCCTTTGAAAATTCCGCATCGCGCCATCTGGCCTGAAGCCGGTGGCGCAATATGTGTTCTCGCAACCAAACCACAACCGCACAAATAACCTTCCACCATCAACCCCTATCGATGTATCATGATGATGGCTACCTATGTGCCTCCTACCACCAATCCAGTGGCTCAGACTATCCTTGAAGAAGTCCAACGCCTATACCAGCGCGGTAACACTGGCGAGGTTCCCCTCTACCCTCTGGGCCCTACTGGTAGACCACACTCTCGATGATCTTCAGTATATGAAGGTCCACCTACTGCTAGCACTAGCTATAAGAGACCGTACCTCCGAGTTTCTTGATACAGCAGAAGAGTGTTGGGATCGATTGCGCGTGTCATGGCCGGCTGGCATTGATCGGGAGCGGGACGAAACCTCGTGGGTGCTGAGGGGAGAGTTTGCAAATGTTTGCAACAAGCAAGAGGTATGATACGGTCTACACATGTTCGAGTACAGTCCGGCCTAATGCTGTTCGCCCAGGTCACTACCGCGCCAGCCTCTCATCAGCCTCGCCGTTCTGGACCCCCTATGGTTACGGCACCCGCTGGTTTACAAGGCCCTATGAAGCAGGAACCACGTCCTAGGTATTTACCAGAGCTACCAATAATGCGTGGGGCACCAGTCATACCTGTAAAGCCTAAGGAGGAGCCTGAGGAAGAGTTCAAGGCCGAGATCAAGGAAGAATCTCATGGTAAGAGCTATAGCTGTTATAATTGCTACGACATGGACTAACTTCTATCAGAAGAGAACGCTAGAGCCCCTGCTAAGCGTGCTGCTAGCCCTGATGGACCAGAAGCCCCTGAGCCCAAGAGGCGTGATCTTCATACCAAGCTGGTCTATAGATCAAAGGACCAAACACAGATTGAGGTAAGCTATGCCATTAGTATACTAATGAGTATTGATAGCTGATATGTATAGTTGTAGGATACGAGGAAGATAGCGTTGTTAGAATAGATACCACCGATCGAGATGACATTCACCCTCTACCCACTCTCCACCGTCATTGCACAGAAAGATACAGCGCTGTGGAAATGTACAGTCTAATTGAGATGTCATGGAGCGCACACTGAGAGTAGTTTCCAATTGATCTTTCATGGACCTCTTTCAAGATAGCAAAATCATGTTGCCTTTCCACAGCTCGATTTCGGCACCTTCTTTAGCTTTGAAGACGATACAGTATGGGCGCCTTCTCCCTCTACACGCCCTCTACACGGTACAAGCATCTCGACAGCTGTGTAAATGCACAATCTGGTTGCAGTCTCGGGAGCGCTACTTGAGAGACAAGCCTGATCAGTATCTCATCGAACACCGTCCGAAACACCAATCTCATGTTGCATTTCCACAGCTTATCTTCAATACGTAGCTATCATCAGGAAAATCGCATCTCGATCTCGATTGTCTGCAGGTAAGTATGGACGGACAGGTTCAAGCAATTCTCCATTGAGCATCTATCACGGTAGAAACATAGTACTGTAGTTCGATAGCGAAGACGAAGCAAGTACGAGCAAGACGAGAAGATTTGTCGTCGTGAGCCAGGTGAGCAAATGGCCGGTCGTAATCTTTGCCGACTTTAACATTCACACGTCACATCGGGTATAACCTCCCTCGCAAGACCTCCGATCACGTACATTCCTTCCATCCATCCAACCGTCAACCCCTCATGGATCGCCCTTCGAACATGCGCCATATTGGTATCCTGCCTCAGGAAGTCATCAGCTATCTCCGCGACTTTAAGTCTACGCGCCATTCCTTGAACTAACGCAGTGCAACAGTCGTCACCAAGCATGTACCGCTCATGGAGACAATGCCAGAGATCATCCTTGTTGAGCCTATGGATGGCAGAGCACACAGACAAAGCGAAGGCTTGCCTGGAGGACTGACAGACAGCTAGAGTACAAAGCGTCTTCTGCACCACGTTGGCCTCACCGCTGCCACTTCAGTGTTGTCACGCTACAACACCATCAAGACCTCACCTCTATCGCCCCTTCTCGGCCGTATCACAGCTACTGGATCACCTGCACAGATCAAGTCCGAAACTCTCTGGACCCACCGTCAGTTTCTACTTCTGCACCGACTTTTCATGGTCGATAAGAGTGATGGCTTGGTCAACTAACGACCGCGTTGACTTTGGGTGGAAGCTGTGAGCAGACCACCATGAGTCACGCACTTTCCCGCGTATCAACCTGTTTTCCAAAGTGATGTGCTGGTGTTCCGGCTGAGCGTTAGCGATATCACTTCATCATCGACTTGTTGGAACGGAACAAAAGCCCACGTTGAAGTGAGATGGTGTCCGAGATAGTCTATGAAAGTGAAAGCAACGCAAAAAGGCTGTTTCATCAGTGGACTTTGCATTTGATGTGCCCAGAACCTGTTTTCCCCTTGGCTCGTGCTAACTTTTACTGCTCAAGCATTTCCTCATTGTTAGCATATTCACCTCAACCATATGTAAGTAACATTGAAATGCACACACACAGATTGCGCCTCGAGAGGGGCCTCAAAGAGATTGATGGATGGCCACTCTCCTCTAGATCTTCTTGTAATCACAACTTGACCTTGCATCACCTCCACAACTGTCTTTTGGAGGATCGCACTGCCCATGGAGGGAAACACCAGGTGTATCTTCTTGTCTGATCAATCTCAAAAAACGCAAGGTTTCGTGAGGAGGCAAGAGGAGGTGGTTGTTGAGAGCAGCGATCGGTATGTTGCTGCCTCTTGACTTGCAGGTGTCGGGTTGATCGTGCAGTGGGTCTCGTGGTCGCTCTCGGAGTCAGACCACTGGGTCTACAGTCGTGACGAACAACAACTTTCATAACAATACATCATACCGAGCACCTTGTTCTGCCAGCCTTTCAACGACGCATCCGCACAACAAACACCAGCTATTCACCACAACGCTCCAACGAAGGAAACCTCTCTAACTCCTCCAAACCTCCCCATTTGTGCGATCATCAACAATCAAATCAACAATCACCCAACTTATCATAGATCGCCCCGAAAATTTGCTCGGCGACTGTTTGTCCGAAGAAGTCATCGTCTACCTCAAGAAGGTGCAGTTCGGCGAGACTGAGAAGTGTAAAGTCTCTCTGATCACAATTCGCGCATCGTAATCTGCACTGACACGCGACAATAGACTCTACCAAGCATGTACCGATCGAGGAGACGCTGCTAAAGTTTCCCGGTGACATCTTGTTCCTCGTCGCTGGCACTTTTTCCATCTCAACTCTATCGGCCGCAGACAAGAAGATGTCTCCTGAGGAAAAGGCCGATGGAGTATCGCATGATCTGAGCACAACCTTGGACAGAACTTCGATCGCGGTCACCGGTCCAGGTCGCTCCTCGAAGGAAGTGCAAGTTTTTCAGACCCCAGATCAGAGTGAAGACACTGGCACAGTTGTCCGTGCTAAGCTCAGTGGTTCAGGTCGGTGGTATCCTCCCGACATCTATTGGTCATACGATCAAAAACAGAGCATCACCAGCCAAGTACTCGAGAATTTGTCGTTGATCAAGAACCACAACGTCGCTCAGGAGTCAAAGCAAAGAGCCACTGCACTGAGTAGTGATGCAGCTAAGTGGCTATCCGCACCAGACGACGACTCTGCAGTAGATTGGGACTCCTACGCGAGTATGTACGTCTGCATGGAAAGATATGCACGACGCTCCCTCCATCATCGTCGCCTTTATAGGACCTCTTTTCCATGATTCCACAGCCGCGCTCTTCACCACTCATTGTCGAGATGTCTTGTCGTTCGACTAAGATGCCGCGTCCAAGATCTTTGAGCATATCAATAGAAACACACCTCTGCCTTGCGAGCAAACAAAAATGCTCAGCAAGCTGGTCGATTACCCCAGCACAAATCACAATTACTCAACGTGACCGGAGGCACAGACGATTGCACATCAGATAAAGAGGAAGGCAGCATAGCTTTCCACAAGATACCCGAATGCCATACCATGTTTCACGTTGTTCCAGTGTCCAACTCCCACGATCAGCATGCCATCAAAGACTGGGTGAGGGATTGCGGAGTACAATTGAGAGCCTGTGAAACATTCATCAAGAGCTTACTCGTTCCTGCGTCTTCGTCATCGACCTCTGTCGTTCGGAAGTTGTTGTGCATTTTTGAAGCGGCGTTGATGCACCAGCCGAGGGACCTGGATCTAGCATTGGAGGTGAATTGAGAGAGCAAATGCAACATTGAAAGGCTGTTGTGTCTTCAGGGGACTTGTTATGTAGTGTGTCCGGAGCCTATCTCATCTACAGTCGTGATGGCTTTTACTGCTCAAGTATTGCCCAAGTTTGGAGGTAGCTGCTGTCTATCTGCAGAAGCTCAAATCTACTGCATCTCCATAGCATCAGCTCCGTCGTTCTTCGACTTGACGGCTCTTTCCTCATCCAGCTTGCCAGCACCCTTTGTAGCCTCAAGACCCTTTGATGTCAAGTACAGGAAGTGACGCTCCTTGTAGTTGTCGATCTGGTTGAAGAAGAGGTGGAAGCTGGTATATCTTGTTAGCAAATTCGTCATCGCGACCAGTAAATCCAAAAAACTCACGTGTTATCTCTCTCCTCTTCGGCGAAGATTCTTTGGTAGATCTCTCTCTGCTTAAACTCTTCAAGCTCCTTCTCATACTTGCCAAAGTCGAGCTTCTCCTTGTCGTGCTTGACGGCTTGGATAGTGTTGTAGCTGTCGAAGACAGGGCGCTCAAGCAAAAGACCCAGTCCGGGGACCTTGGGAATGCTCATCTTCTGATCGCCTTGTGCTTCGGTGATACGCTCGATGGGCGTTCCGCAACGAACAGTCAATGCGACCATACCGACCATCTTTCTGATTTGGTGCATCATGAAAGATTGACCGTGAACCTTGAGTGACAGCCACTCAGTACCGTTGATGATAATAGGCTTTGGGTTGCAAACGAATGACTTGATGTTTCGCTTGGCTGAAGGGTCCTTGGCGGTCTTTTGGACGGTGAAGTTGTGGTAATTGCGAGTGCCAACGTAGGAATCCAGTGCAGCCTGAACACGAGCGATGCGCTCCTTAGGAATGCGGTATGCGCGACGGGCAGTGTTATAGGCGGCCTTGAGCTGCTTGACACCAGTCTCGATACGCTTCTTGAGCTCTGTCGACATGGCCGCCGACTCGACAGTGGTGGGTTCGTCAGGCATGGGTGTGTCGGTAGTCCCAGCAGTCTCTGCAGCAGCTTCAGACTTTGTCTCAGCATCTGCAGGTGTTGATGTGTTAAGATCAGCAGTCTTCCTGACAGCCTCCTCCTGCTTGTCTTGTTCTCCATCAGGGTTAAAGTCTGAAGGTTCGTGAATGGCTTGAAGAACCAGATCACGGATGTCATCATCCAGGGCATCAACAATCGGCTTGATGTCGCGTTCCTCGACAGTCTTCCAGAAATCCTTGACCTCAGCCTGACGAGATTCATAACTTTCACGGTCACCAACCTCATCAGCAGCCTCCTCCAGATTCTTCGCCAACCAACTGCTAGGGTGTGGTGGCAAGAAAGCGTGAGATGGAATCAGGTATTCGTACCAGCGGCTGTCACAGACGTGGTAACAACTGAAGCTGCCGATTGTTCTCTCGATTCCCCAAACTCTTATCTGCGGTGACAGGTGGGAGTTGATCTTTTGGACGATGTCGGGATCTTCAACAATCAACTTGAGTGATATCATGTTGCCTGCAGCGTGGACACCCTTGTCTGTGCGAGCACATCTGACAAGTGCAGATTTCTTGGGGTCATCAGCGTTCGCCTTTGAAATGGCGCCAGCTGCGACGAAAGCTGTGAAGAGATCGCCTTCGATGGTCTTTTCTGTTGTGTTGATTTGCATGCCCTTGTATCCAGTGCCGCTGTATCCGATCAAGACGGCGACTTTGCGCTTAGGCTTGCGCTCCTCTGCAGCGATCTCGTCCTGAGCGAATGGTGCTGGAAGAACCGAGTTTTCAGGACGCGGCTTCTTCTTGTCCTCCTCATTACGCGTTCTACGATCGGTTTGCTCTCGTCTGATGATCATGTTAGTTGCGAAGATAAGATCAGTAATCTATCGCAATACCTACGCCCACGCGTTCCTACCCATGTCTCTCTTCTTACCACCACGCCCGAATTTGAGTCCATCGTCTTGGAATCTCTTGCGCTTGCGATCGGCGTGGGATTCTTGCTTGGTATCTTCGGTGCCATCGGTGGCATTGGTGCTGGGGACATCGTCCACAACAGGCGCCGTAGCCGGCTTGGTTTCACTAGAGTCGGCCATGATGTTGGTATTGACATTGTGAAGGTGGGCGACTTGATTTAATTCTTTCGTGACCTTGTACCGCGCCTTGGCGTCATTCTTGATTCTTTCCCCAGCTCTCCGCATTTGTCAGGGTATCCCCCTTTACCATGATTTCGACCATCTTTTCGTCTTCAATCGTGGATAGTATCGCTTGTGCTAGACTTAAGTGCCATAGATTATGTTTCAATACTTCTGGCATGTCTAACTGTCACTTTGTCGAGTCTCGTGATGATTGAATGCGTTTGTGGGGTGTTGCAGTGGTTTCAAGGTTTTATAGATTGTTCCATCAGCCTTGCGTCCTCGACAAACAGTGTTGGACAGCTAGACTTGAAGCGCGACTGCTGAGTTTCTTCAAATGATGTTTTGGCGGCCTTGAAGCATTAGAAAGGACTACCAAGCCAAGATACAGGTTCAAGCATCAAAGAATATTTATGCCTGCAGTGTTGTGGATACACAAGGTACCCTCGTCGTCGCGATAGCTCTTCCGCACGATATGAGAACTATATTCAATAAGTCTCGCTCCCTGATCACAATCTCTTCTTAGCTCAGTTGGTTTAGAGCGTCTGACTGTAATTGTTCGATTGTCATCAGAAGGTCCTTTGTTCGACTCAGAGAGAGGAGAGTTTCTTTTAGTTCGTGCTGTCTTCCCCACGATTTTGCGCAAGACCCCTTCCTCCTCCCCTTTTGGCTCTCTGCACTCTATGCTCCAGTACACGTCTTTTCACACAATCCTGATCAGTCTTTGTCGGCGGCTTTGGATTAATTTGACTTCAACTTCGATAAATGGTTAGACTCATCGACTCAAGCAACCCCAGTGCTCTTGCTAGCCTTTGAAACATCAGGAGAGTTTCGAGGAGCGGCTCGGGCGCATTCTGGTTGAACCCTGACGCGGCCAGACCCGCAAATCTCGTGTCTCTCTCCTAGGATTCTGAATATCATGCCTTTCTCCTTTACTTTGTCTTGTTTCTCTCCTTCTTGCTGTCCGTGTTGACACTATACCGATTGCTTTGTCAACTGCTGTCATTAGACGTCTCATATACCAGCGTTCGGCTCAAGCGCATCCACTCTCTTCATAAAGTCAAAATTGGCAGTCCCTCGCCTCTTGAACACCCCACCCCACAGCAAGAACTCCGCCCCATCGTTCTTTATCCGCATCACTAGAACGAATCTCCAAACTTGGAAAGGCGCTCTATCTCTCAGCAAAACTCATCTTACAAAATTCGCTGGGTTGTTAACCTTGAAGTCAAGAACGCAGACCTTCGCATTATTCTGATCAATATACTCGGCCTGTGCTTCGACAATCCAACATGGCTCGCAACGTTGACCCATACTTGACTGGACCGGATTTGGTAGTCTCCAAAAATCTCCTCCAGGATCTTCAGGCATTGGCAACTCCAGCAGGTCAGGATCCTGCCGACGATGAGAAGGACATCAAGCATCTGCTTGCGGTCAATGATCCGAAAAGCCCAGACTTCGTGCCGACCGTCTTCACAACATGGGACGACAAAGATCTTAATCCTACTATTAACAAATATCTCGTCAAGCCTTACACCAAGATAGCCATGGAAATTGTGCGCCACCCGACTGATGTTGTCTTCTTGACTCACATCATCCTCTACTTGACAGTCAATTTGTCAAGTGCTGCCTATCTTTATTACGACTTTCACTGGTACCATGGTGTGGTTCACACTGTCTATACTGTCTGGTGTGCTGGTGCTTTTACTCTGCTCATGCACAATCATATTCACAACGGTGGTGTTCTCAAAAAGGAGTTTGCATGGTTTGATCTCAGCTTCCCTTATGTTCTGGAGCCATTGATGGGCCACACGTGGGATTCTTACTACTATCATCATGTCAAGCATCATCATGTTGAGGGTAACGGACCGGACGACCTTTCTTCAACCATTCGCTACCAGCGTGATTCACCATTCGACTTTGCATGCTACGTTGGACGCTTTCTTCTCTTCATCTGGGCCGAGCTGCCTTTGTACTTCCTCCGCAAGGGCAAGTCGAGATTGGCACTACAGTCTTGTGTATCAGAGATGGGCAACTACGCATTCTTCTACTTCATGGCTACCAAGGTTCATTTCGGTGCCTCGATGTTCGTCCTCCTGCTCCCTTTCGGTATCATGCGCTTGGGACTCATGATCGGAAACTGGGGACAGCACGCTCTTGTTGATGAAGTCGATCCCGACTCAGACTTCAGAAGCAGTATCACACTTATCGATGTTCCCAGCAACCGCTTCTGCTTCAACGACGGCTACCACACTGCCCATCATCTCAACCCTCGTCGTCATTGGAGGGATGCGCCAGTACACTTCTTACAAAGCAAGGAAGCCTACAGTAATGGACGAGCACTTGTCTTCCACAACATCGACTACATGATGTTGACCATCAGAGTACTCAAGAAGCAATATCTCTATCTGGCAGAGAACTGCTTGATTCCGATTGGTGACCAGACAAAGATGTCGAAGCAGGAACTTGCGGATATGCTACGGACAAAAACAAAGGCTTTTACCGAGGAAGACATTCGACAAAAGTTTGGTATTAAGGCCAGATCGGGCAAGAAAAGTGGTTTGGCTAGCTGGACGGAGAAGATCTTTGGTGGCATTTCTGGTACACACTCCGCACCTATGGTCAAGCAAGCAACAGAGTAGTGCTACTATGATATCAAAAAGCTACATGCTGTCGCATCCGAGAAGCCGTCAGCATTCTCATCTTCCACAACTTCACCCTCAAAACACAAGAAGAACGTACATGCATACTTGAGCTTGAGCTTCTGTCGCTTTGCCATGGCATATGGGCGGATTAGCTCGATCCTAATGCGAGTGTGGTACTCCATTGACCACCTCGTCTGATAGTCAAAGATTCAAGCAGAAGGACGCGAAAGCAGCTCATGCATCGCGTGTAATGTTGAGCAAGAGTGCAGTCTAACCGCCATTCTACGTGCCGCACAGCAGCCTGATCGCGTCCTGACCTTCAGGATCCACAGTAGCTCAAATCCAGCCTCAATCTGTTCCCATCATCCTTCCTCCACCACAATCAAATATAGGCGCTCGCAACCTCACCATCGTCTACTACAAAGGCAAATATTGTATCGCTCAATACGGACAACGGGATGGCTACCCAGACGACCAAGGCCTAACAATTTTTTACTTCCTCAAAGACCCAGCCAACATTGCAGAAACGTAAGAAATGCTTGACGATAGCGACCGTTGCATTATTATCCCTAGCGACGAGGAGTTAGATGCCTACTTCGCAGAACTTGAGCGAAGGCAATTAGAGGCCAGGTGCTTTCTAACTCTACCGCCTATCGAATCACTATCTCGCGATACATGCGCGGAAATCTTGTGGATTGTGGCTGGTGCTACGGAGGAGGAGCCTGTGAAGATTTCGCTGTGGTTGGAGTTCATCACTGACACGCTGTTTGGTGAGTGGGCTTGGGTCGTTCATCTGGATGAGAAAGTCTTGGAGGCATACAGTTCTTGGGATAGATATGAGGCAGCGGTGGAGACGAATGTGAGGTTCGGAGCGATGCTCAAAGGTAAGCCGCTGCTGGGACTGGTCAAGAAGTTTGCCTTTAAAGAGTTGCCTGAAGATCACAAGGAGTTTCTGGCGAGCTTCAAGGCCCTTGAGATTGAAGAAGATAGTAAAGATGGGGCCTGAGGTCTATAAGACGCGCAGTCAGGTAAAGTACGAGGATAAGTACAGTGGTGCTCCAAGCGGACGAGAAATCTGATCGTTGCCGTGGTTGCCGGCCCGGGAGGAGGAAAAATCGAAAAGTCCGTCATCTAAAACCAACACCATAACAAGCGATTCTTCCCTCTTCCGCGCTCTCCAATGTTCTGTAAGCTCGCAGTGATCGCCTCCTTGGCCAAACTTCTCGTCATGAACCCAAGCGTTGTGTCTTCTCTTCTGCCCATCTCATGCACAACCTGAAGGCCCTTATTCGAATTTGTGCAAGCGTCGAGTGTCCAATTGAATCAATTGAAGTGGATCTTGGCGGCAAAGGCTCTCTTTGTAATGACCCCAAGAGCATGTTTGGCTGCGAATCATTGTACAAGGACCTTCGAGCTGTTCACTCTGAGTTGCCAGCTCCAAACATCAGCATATGCGCCAGGTCCGGCCACTCGAAGGCAGGTAGTCAATCACTCTGCAATGATCATACCCCACAATACATGCAGTTTCTACAGCAGCTCAGATAACGTGTCGAGCATGATGGATGCATCGACGACCACCAGCATTGGTTAGCCACAACTCCAGTCTCGGCCTTGGAGATGAATGATCAACCAACTCGGAGTTTCCAGTCATTCAAGACCGACCTTCTTCAATACCGACTGGACCATCTGGAGAGTATCACGTTACGTAACATCAAGATGCAGTCGGCACAGAACTGGGGTGCAGTCATGCATCATCTCTCCACCATCACTACTCTCGAGAAGGGCTCTTTATACAAGCTCTCAAGCAGCGTGTCGGCACCCTCGCCCAGCCAGGACAGTACAGACTTCTTGGATATCCACCGCTACGAGATCGAAGGGGTTGGCATCAAGCACGAACTCTGTGATCTCGCAGCTCTACTGGTACTATCTGCAGACGATCCCAAGAAATGGAAGCACGACTTAGGTCTCAAGATCAACAACCCAGTAAAAGCGAGAAGAGTTGTTACCGGGGTAGAGCATCATGGGGCGGAGCAACTTGCTGTGTGCAAGCCTGACGAGGAAGTGACGATTGCCCCAACCATAATTGCAAGTCATCCACAGCACATGCGGAGCTCAGTCCTTACCATCATTGAAGACACGCGCACTATATCTGTCATCTCCAACGTTAACGTTACAAAAAAGCAAACTTGTAACCATCTGATTGTTGATCAAGACATCACCCCCGTCAAGCCGGGTCCGGTCCAAGAGGTCAACACAGCAGCAGTCGAGAGGTCGCTGGACCTCGACGATCATATTGCCTTCTCCGACTCCTGCCGCAACGAAATGTTTAACGAGTTGACTCCAGTCATCACTCAAATCGAGTCTCATCACAAGCTGGAGCCTTCTGAGCAGGACGAAGATATCGGCGAGTGGGCCGAGACCCTCTGCAACGAGCTCAACGAACTGTTTCTATAGCTGAGTCAAATCGCAGTCCCTATCCAGAGACAGATCAGCATGGTCATACACCTAGGCTCAATTCGTGCTGATGCTGCCGAGACTGACAAGTGGGCTGATGAAGTTGGCTGGGACCTAGAGAAGGTCTTCGAGAAGCACTGTGGTGTCGTCTGATTTTGTTCGTATGGGCGTCGGGGATTCGATTATGACGAGATAAGATGTACTGTAACATGAAATGGATTGTAAAGGAGGAGAGGAAAGTTGACGTAACGGATTTGGGTTCTGTTCTCGGACTTGCGTGCTCTCTCAGTTGTACAGCTCGATTGTTCAAAATCCGTTGCCCTTCATAAGTGTAGGAGGGTCGTGAATTCATTGGATAGTCTTGACAGCATCTCTTTGTAATCCCTCAGAATGGGGTGAACGCTTCCTGCATGGTCGCGAACGTAATGATTTCTGGGTTTAGAGAAGTGCTTTTCTTCTGACGTGGTGCGGTACTGATAAGCTTCGTCGTGATACGCTCAGGCTGTGGTGCAGCGCATCTCCTTCTTCGTTTCCAAGTCCTATATCGGCATACACTTGATAGGCACAAGCGCAAAGGAAGCAATGGCTGTTGCGTATCGACAGGAAAGGAAGTCGCTGCTGAGCCGGGACTTCCGCTGAACGTCGTTGCCAAGCGTGGCTCCTTCCAATGTCGTCATCACCAAGAGCTCGAGGACGACGACGACCTCTATACTATCCTGCTTCATACAAATGTAACTCGGACAGGTCCTGCGTTTTGTGACCGCTAGAATCTTAACTATACCAAAGATTGGCGTCAAGAACATTCCACACGAGCAGAAAGCTTCATCTTCGCCAACGACTCTGAATCCCGAAGTCAAGCTTCAATCAACATCGGCCGGCAGACTCCCTGCGGAACAAAACACACTAATCATGGCAGACGGCAACAGATCAACCCTGAAGGAGTTTATTGCATCAATCTCGACAATCAGAGGCGATCTATCGAACATCACCGCCCCACCATTTTTATTGGCTTCACAGTCCACTGTTGAATTTCCTTCTTATTGGTGTGAAAGACCTCAACTGCTGTGTGCTCCTGCTTCCGAGCCCGACGCACAAAAACGCTGTCTGCTGGTGCTGAAGTGGTTCTTGGCGAGCTTGAAGCGTCAGCAATACGCAGGGAGAGATGAAAGTGCTGGAGTAAAGAAGCCGTTGAATGCTTTCTTAGGTGAGGTATTCATGGGTGCTTGGGGTGGATCGGATGGAGAGGGTAGAACTTGCTTGATTTCTGAGCAAGTCAGGTAAGTTTAGATAACTACGTTTGGGTAGGCCGAGCGGTCGAGTGCTAACAAGCAGAAGTCATCATCCGCCAGTAACGGCGTGCTACCTCTGGAATGACGAGCAGGGTGTCAGGGTATGTTCCAAGAGGCTGCGTCACACACCTGCCGACGATCACTGACTCGGTTTCTAGGCTGAAGGCTACGCATGCCAAAATATCACTTTCTCCGGCACTGTCAATATCAAACAGATTGGCCATGCTATCATCCATCTGGACAAGTGGAACGAGGACTACCTGGTCCCTCTACCCTCAGTCAAGGTCTCGGGTCTGATCACAGGAACACCCTACCCAGAGCTTGTTGGCAGCTACGATATTGTCTCTTCAGCCGGCTACGTCGCATCTGTTGACTTCTCTGGCAAGCGATTCTTAGGTCTGGCTGGCAAGAAGAACAGTTTGCATGCGGCATTGTACTCCGCAGATGACACGAGTCGCAAACACCCTATCTACACTCTCGACGGCAACTGGAATGGGGTTTTCACTATTCGTGATGAGAAGGCCGACTCGGTAGTCGAGGAGTTTGACACTAATGCTCATCCTCCGTTGCCGGTCCAAGTTCCCGACGAATCAACTCTGGACCCCTACGAAAGCCGGAAAGCATGGGGCCCCACTATCTCTGCTTTGAACTCAGGCGACATGCAAGCGGTTGTCGATGCCAAGAGCAAGGTCGAGCAAGGTCAGCGTGAGATGCGAAAACAGGAAGAGGCGGCAGGTAAAACCTGGACGCCATTGTTCTTCCAACAGGTACAGAGAGAAGAAAGACTCGACAAGTTGAAGAGTATAGCTCACGGGGATGCGGAAATGGATGGTACACAAGGCATCTGGCGATGGGTTGGAAGCGAGAAGGCCGAACAGGTCGACAGACCTTTCCATGGAGATCTGGTGCCGTGGCTGACTTGATCTACCACCGGTCAACAGTCAAGATGTTGACCTTTGGAAGGAAGGAGACAAGTCATCACTTCCATAATTCGATCCCGATCATTTTCTAGGTATGTAAATGTGTAACGTTTCCCGGATGAACAAATATCACGATGGAAGGTGTAAGACCACCAACTTTCATTGGCCATGACCTCGAATTTGAAAACGATGGTGCCTTACAATAGTAATAGAGCCACGGGACCACATGTATGAGATGGGTAAGCCGGGATGCATTCTTCAGGTCATTCTGTATCTCGTGGCTGACGATTGCCTTGAGAGCATACCTATGGAATGGCACACGACTTTTCAAACAGACCAGTGGCAAGTCCGAGAAGGCGGAGACTAGCACTTCTGGTAGTATGATACTTCTGAGGGCGATTGCACATTGCCTTGCGAGAGCTGATGTCAGTGGCATGTGTTGTAGTTGAGAAGAGGGCGGAGAGCAGGTTGGCAGGTTGACAGTACGGAGTTCGCTCGCACAGAGCATAATCCAAAGTTGGAGTTCACAGGTAGAACAGATATGATGAGGAAGCAGAAAAAACAGCATAGTCCATCTAATATTGACGGATGTTCGACGGATGTTCGACGGATGATCAACAAATTGATGTCGTGAATGCCGAGAGCATCGAGTACAAGAAATTTCCAGAGATGGGCCACTACGACTTCCCAAATTTCCGTCCACGACCACTTGGCCAAACAAGTTCCTTCGTTCACACGGTGACCAACTGCAAACTGTAGAAGCGCGTCGGCCCTCTTCTCTTTCCTCGACTCAACGTCAACCCACCAACGAACGCGCGAACCTATCTCTCTTCGTGGCAGACAACGTAAGTACCTGCGTCTTGACGTTCTTCCTTGTTTTTACACGATCTTGCCCCTGCGCAACTCATCCACTATCTATCAAGAATGACTGAGTCTGTTAAGCGCCCGTCTCTGCGATTCTCTTGATCCCGTCTGCATCGGCAACCAGTCCTCCTGCCTCCTGCTTCCACGCATTGTTGTTGTCGTTTTCCGGTCAGTCAATCGAAACTTCCTCCACGATCACAAGACTATATGCTGACACAGATCATCTTTCGAGGGTCTCGAGACTCAACTCTACATCAAGACTTGTAACAACATCGCAGGCACCGACTGCTGTCTAGACACCTTTTGCCCATCCTCAGGTATCCGTAGCTCCCGACGCCTTTGACTATCTAGCAACGTCTTCCCCTCGCTCTGCTTGTACTTCCAGCTCGTACCACCCGACCGCAACTGCCGATAACATGCCCACCCCACCAGCCTCTTCCACCGGTCCTCCAAAAGCTCAACGCGTTTCATACTACAGAGCACCGTCGCCATCTCCATCTGAAGACGACAGTGACAAGACGACATTGATGAATACGGCAGCAACAATCAACAGGATCCTCGCGTCGTAGAACTGCAGATCAGACTCGATCAGATGACTCTGACCCTTGAGAAAGCGCTTAGAAAGCTCGACAAGGGAAAGACCGAGGCTGGTCTAGAGTTGGTCAAGAAGTCTGTCAAGGCTGTAAAGTCTGGCTAAAGAATGTGGTGATGACGTCTCGTACTCCCTCAAAAGTCCCAGGTTTTCTTGGAGTATGGTGGCGAGGTGTTCCTTCTTCGTGCCTAACTTCGTGGGATAGGAAATGTCATGCTGTGACAAGATCTGCTTGATCTGGCCGCCGCCCTAGGCGGCGTGATTCATCGTCAGATGGTCCCTCGGTTCGGCGTTGCGTCTTACACGCTCCCAAGCGAGATGCTCCTCGATGATGGTAGCGAGTTTAGCATTCGTCATGCCTGGGTTGAAGTCAGGTTGACTGGGCTCATCTGCTGCAAGGACATGAGATGACTGATGAGTGTTGGCTTGGTATGTGTACCAAAGTCATGAATGGCATCAGAATAATCGGTAATGAGTGTCATGGTGCGGTCGTAGTGGAGACTTGATAACAAGGCGATGGGGTTTTCTTCCGCAGTGAACTTGTATGAGGTGATATATATCGGCTGGCGGAGCAGCTGCCCTTTATGTCCAACATGGTAGCAGTGACGATAACAATAATTTACAAGACAAGCCTCTCGAAGATCAGATTTTGTCTCTAGCTGTAGTGTGTCAGTAATCGTTGACTCAAGCTGTAGCGAAACAGCTCAAATGAGACAGCAAAACGCAAAGGAGACAGTATAGTCTGTGACCGCACAACGTGGACTTTGTTTTACGCCAGAGCCTCTGCTATATGTAGACGGACAGCGTCTAAATTGAACACACGGTCATCATAGAGTCTCTCAGGCAGTTCTTACTCGAGCCACATACGAATGCGGCTCGCATTGGATAGCATCACGTGCAGCGCTACTCCACCGGCGGAGGAAGCAGTAGAGGCCGATGCCTGCGCACTGAACTCTCGCTGACTGAATCGCGACAAGGAAAATCCGGGGTGTCTGGCATTGGTCTCAGCTTGAGTTGCGGGTAAAGTGGACAAAGGAAAGCTCAGTGTGGCTCCTGACCTGGTTCAAAGAGGCTTCCCTCACAAATGGCGCGGCGGGAAGGAACCACCCACTAATTCACGTCGACCCATATCAAACTGATTCAAGAGACATTATTGATTCTGTGCGAATCTGCATACTTAACATTAGGTTACCGTCTCCAAGACTGGACTCACGTCCATCCTATATCTGAGACTGGTTCACCTAGGCTCCAAGACAGGAATCTTGTTAACTTCCACCCTGGCCTCCTCCCATGTCTCCAAGCTGCGTTGTGCCCAATCGATGTGACAACGTGCAAATGCGAGCTGAGAGGTATTGTTAGCATACGGAAAAGCTAGGGGGAAGACATGAACTGCTCACCATGTACTTCCTCAAGTCCTCTTCCTTGTCGCTCTGGAAGCGCTTCAGGTCCTTGAGCACGGCACCACTAGCGTCCTTGACGTCCTTCTCAGAAACTTCCAAAGCTTGCTCGAGCTGAAAACTTTGGTTAGCATATTGTAGTGATCAGACAAAAACGATCGCCCTTACCTGAGTCAAGCTTTCTCTCGTCTTGCCGATCTGATCTCTTCTCACGCGCTCTGGATCTGTGTCCACGACGTTGTGGTAGGCATGAGTGAGGCGTCCAAAGATCTTGTTCGTCACAAAGTTACCGCTAGCGCCTCTCTTATGTTGCGTAGGGCTGTGAGATTGATCTTGTTGTGGGGATCCTTGAGCGGCGCTTGGAGCACTGCCCATGGTTGGAGGGAAGTCTGAGTCGATGCTCGCTGTGTCGTCTTCTGCACGTCTAGGTAGTTGGTCTCTAGCAGGGTTGCGTCTAGCAGCGTTACTGCCTGTGCTCATGCTACGTTGAGGTGGTGAAGAACCAGAGTTGTGGAGATATTGCTCAATGCGCTTAGCTTCGGCTTCGCTTTTCTCGAGGGAGTCGAGATTGCCCCTCTTTCTGTCAAGTTCTTCCCGAGTCATCTCTTGTTGAACACGTTTCAAGACTCTGTATCGCAGAACACCCTTGACGATACCGGCAAATTGAGCACTCTCACGCATCGGCTCAGCAAATTGAGCAGACAAAGCGCTGGACAGATCACGTGTTTGGATGTAGGTAAAGTCACATGCCTGACCGATTTTCTCGATTGCAGCAGCGACTTCGGCAGATTGCTCGGAAAGGGAGAAAGCATTGTAGCGACCTCCCAACTCCATCAGGTCGTCGCCGAGTCTGTAGAGGTGTGACAAAGTTCGCTGGTTGACCTTTTCCATAGAGCCTTGCAGCAGAGCCTCCAACTCGCGGGACGAGTTCTCAAACTGAACAAAGTACGGGTCGAGATCTTCTTCGGATAAGTGTTGGGAGTCTGGAGGGAAGCGTCCAAAGACTTGAGGGCCGGGAGAAGAATGGGCAGCGACTGAAGGCTGTTGAAGTGGGGGTGAACCTGGGGTGCCTGATGCAGAAGCGTTTGCTGCTGAGCGTAATTTGGCCGAAGATGAAGGTACGGGTAGGAAGTTGTGACCAGGAGATGGGTTGGCAGGATCGAGGGGAGGAGCCTTGAGGTTGTTCTTGGGGATGTTGACGACAGGGTGAGAGTGCAGGACCTCGTTCCAGCTGGCGTTGGGATCGAGGAAGCGCCACCAAACATTGTCCTCACGCACGTCTTGCATGCGACGGCAGCGGTTGAGGAAGGTGGTCAACATGCGCTGTCTCAGCTCAATGATGCCGACATCTTCCTTTGCTTTCGTCGGCTTGGAAGCGTAGTCTGTTATCGAGTGTTTCTCGGGGATTGGCGGGATGATAAGCGTTGGGTGCAATGCGACCAGAGTTGCTCTCAACGACGCAAACTCGCTGTATCGTCGTCGAACCTCGATGTCCTGAGAATGTTAGTCACTGCGACCAGGTTCAATGTATCCAGAAAGCATACTCCAGTGCGGATGGTATAGGTAATGTAGCTGCCTCCACCCTCGGTGTTCTTCCCAGCGTGCACAATCTGGATGTCTAGATCGGGGTTTTCGTAGAGAATCTGCTCAATGCGACTGTGATAGCCTCCTTTCTTGGGCTCGATTCGTTGCGAAGCCGAAACATTCTGCTCTTCGTCGTCTTGATCGTCACTCTCTTGGTGCTCTTGGCCAAAGGGCTCGTCATGGTACGTCGACTCTGGACGGTGATACTCGGGTGTTGACTGCTGTGGACTGCTGGATCCTGAAGGCGGTGTGGAAGGTGCTTGACGGAAACCTGGAAGCGACGGTCAGAACGAGGCTACAGTGTGGTGGGTTGGTATAGAAGGTCGTGTACCGGGAGCGTCGGAGCCCTCCGAGTCGCGTCGCTTGAACGAGCCGTATGGGTTGTTATCCTCGTCGTCCCACATGGTACCTGCTTCTGTTCAAGTCGTGAGGAGCGTGTCGAGGTGAGTGAGTGTCTAGAGGAGGATCGCGGAGTCTAGATGTCTCTCAGTATGGGGAAGCCGCGTCTTGCGTGTTGCACCTGCCATCTCCGCCAACTGCTCGCGCCGCTGGTCTATCTTCGGCAGTCACCTACGTCACCGCCAAGCACCAGGTATCTACAGCTGCCAGCCACTGTTCTCCTTCGCTGCCAACATTCTCATTTACACGACCGCAGTCTATCAAGCACGCACAATCCAGGACGCATACAAGCTAGGTAGCTGCTGCACTTGTGAACGTGCCTAAAGCTTGTCTTACAGGACTTGCCGTCATGTTTGGCTCACGGCTCAATCGGGCAAGTCGGCCGCCAGTCGTGAGGCTTTTTGGAAGGTGGGCCGACAAACTAACCTCATGCCGTCGTCGGCCTTTGCTCCTTCCCCTTTGATGACTCTTTACTTACTACAAATTTACATTTTGTCTCTTTCCGTTTTGCAAACACTCCCATTTTTTCGTCTACCCTGCCGTAACGCTTTATCAATTCACTCAGACAATCCTCAATCTTGAAAATCGCTCTCCTCTCACAGACCGGGGAACAGATTCAACATTGGATCTAACCATGGCTCCCACAATCTATGTCGTCCGCCATGCTCAGGGCCACCACAATGTCAATGTGAATCGATTCTCATCAATTGGCCTCATCCTTGTCGTCTAATCGTCCCCTAGAATCAACACCATCTCCGCGACCCCAATATCACAGATCTTGGTCACACTCAATGCACGAATCTCAGCAAGACTTTCCCCAAATCTGAGCTTCCTGCCTCTCTCACAATTATGGCCTCGCCATTGATCCGCACAATCCAAACCGCCTGTCTTGGTTTCGGTGATTTGCTAAAGACAAGGCCTGACGTCAAGTTCTTGCTGGTACCAATGGCTCAAGAGATTGCGAACCAACCTTGTGACATTGGCTTTTCTCAATCGGAACTCAAGCCAAAAATCGCCGCCTGGCTAGATGAGAACAGGATTGGCTTTGGAGTTGAGAGGATGAACTGGAGCTTAGTAGAGGATGGCTGGAACTCAAAGGCTGGACCTTACACTGCTTCGCTGGAAGAAGTCACAGCTCGTGCTGCTGCTCTTCGTGCCACCCTTTACGCTTACCCTTCAGAAGCAGTCGTATTGGTTACTCACGGCGCTTTCCTGCACTACTTTACTGCCGACTGGACTTCTTTCGATGGAGCAAAGGGCACTGCTTACGAGAACTGCGAGTTCAAGAAATTCACGTGGGACAGCGAGGGAAGCGATGGCATCCACTTGCAGGAAGTTGGTGGTGCAAAGATCAAGCTAGGTAGACCTGCTGGTGTTCACGCCCATGTACTCCAAGGTATCGAGATGGTCAAAGGACAAAATCCTAGAAAAATTAGAGTGGGCAATGGCAAAATATGAGCTGTCAAGACTAAATGGCAAAAGAACAAAGTTGGACGTGGACAGATTCGAACTCAAGGTCATGGCTACCAAAAAGGTGGACATCAGTGAACCCCAATTCCGCACGATAGGAGCTCGCCGCCGTAGCAGTGTCCCAATGTTGAGATCCGATAGACTTAACGCTCGAGGATAGAGGATTGAAAGACTAGTGGGCATATCAACCCTCAGCTCACAATCTGGTCACCACGTCAATCACTTGTCGCACTGCTACGGTATGATGATTTGGGTTACACGCAAGGTAGAAACTCCAACTGCTCGTCTGACAGATTCCTTCATTTTCAGCTTCAGCTCCGCTCCAAGACAACAAACTTGCATTAATATACCCTTCCTCTATCCTTGCTGTGTCATTGCCTCTCTTACGCTAACAGAACGGCCAACGTCGTGCGAAATCTCTCTTCAAGGTCTTGTGCTGCATCTACATCCCGAGTTCAAACAACCACCTCAAGCTCCGTTGCCAGCAGAATCATCAACCTCCATTAGCGACCTCTTGACTTTGAGGTCTACTTCTGCCTCTAGCTGCATCATCCTGGCTTGGAGCTCTGCTCGGAATACCACTCGCACCACATTGTACCTCTACCCTGCTGGGATGATTGCTACCCTGTCTCTCACTAGCAGCTCTGCTTGTACGTCTGCTTGCGTGTCTGCTTCCCGCTGCCTGACTAGGTCGTCTGCTCCCCGTAGCTTGACTAGGATGCTGACTTACACCCCCACCAGCTCCTTCACCGGCTGCTCCATCACCGCCAGTCAGGCCGTTACCACCCTCAAGATCAGCCAAACTAGCTTCAGCCTGCTCAACCTGTTTCTTCTGAACAATCTTCTCACACCAAATCTTGATCTCCCAATCGAAGACTTTGACCCAGATGTACCAGAATGCGATTACTCCGCCGATTGTGAGGAACATGGCGAGGAAGACTGTGACGTTTGCTTTCATTGTTGCGGATGAGCCTTGGAACTTCGATGACTTGATTTTCAGTGGTGTTTGGTTTTTGGCTCGGTTTGCGCTTTTTCGATGGTGGATTTTGTTGTTTGGATGTTGATTGGTTGAAAGGAGCGAGAGTTGTGGATGACGATGTTTGTGGATGTTTGTGGTTTCTCTTTCGAGGCTGATCTGACGGTGATCTTGTCTGTGGATCTCTTGCTGCTGTCGGTCTCGATGGTTTGTGGTTTTGTCCGTCGTTGTTGGTCCGCGGCTTCAATGCGGTATGCGCAAAGTGTGAGATCGTGTCGATATTATATGTCCTCTTGGAGAGACAAAACGAATGTGGATGAGAGCGTGACGAAGTGAACAATGATCATGCCATGATGAAGACACTTGCGCGCACAAAAACGAAAATCGGTGGAAGAAAATGCTGAAGACCAAGTTGGTGAGTGGAAAATTGGTTATGCTGTCGGTCGAGCAACCACTGCTACATGCGATATAATCGAGATACTGACGCACGATCTAAATGTCCGTTCTCTTGCATCTAACGTTCGCAGTCATTCTTCTTGTCAGAAAGAATTGGAAGACGCGGAAAACTGTGCATCAATTCGCGTCACACCAGTCAAGATAGCATTGAGAATGTAGTGAGTACGACCTATTGCGACTCTTATGCCCGCTGCTCCAACATCTCCCTCAGGGTTTGCAGCCACAGAACATTGATCTTGTTCTCTTGACCTCTACTCAACAGCGTCTCAAGTCTCTTCATCACTGCTCTGCTATCAACAGGCATCTCAACACCACTCTTGATCAACTTCAACACTAGCTCAGCGGCGTACAAGATCTGCATGCCCAGAGTAAATACCTCGGCTTTCCTGCTCCAGCCAAGTGGTTGGTCCGGTCTTGCCTCGGTTTCTGCAATCAGTACGTCCAGACCGTCGATGACCCATGTGCAAAGATTCATGAGCAAGCGGAACGAGAATGCTGTAGGCTGGAGTCGAGCTGCGATAGATGACCAGAGTTTGGCCTCTCGGGTTTCGTCAATGAAGAGATTTTGCTTCTCTTGAGCGAAAAGCGATGGACCTGCACCATTCTTCTCTGCGAGAGACTGTTTGATCGAATCAGGGAAGGAGCCATTTACAGCATTTCCAGTGGCTCTGCTGATTGCTGATAAAGCAGCGCGTTCGGAAGAGCCGAAGGCTGCAGCAATGAACTCTGCTATGCCTTGGTTGGCGGCAAGTGGAACCATATCCAGGTGCTTCTTCGCACTCCGAGCGTTCAGAATCTTGGTAGCAACGGGAGCGGAAAACGTCCTGATCTCAACATCATCATCATTGCAAAGGTCGTAGACAGCGAGACAGAAGGCGAGGAAGGAGTCATCTAGGTCGCTCGAGCTGAGGTAGGCGAGAGCTTCCTCTGAGAACTGCCGAGTTGCCACTACTGCGGCATATCTCGTATCGAATGGCTATAAATGGTAAGTCTGTGTACATTTCAATGAGACGGCAGATGATGGAACTTACGTTGATAACTCGCAGAGCGCCATGGACCTGAACAACCCATGCACCAAAATCTCTTGCAAGCGGCTCGTTTCTCAATGACTCGTCCTCAGCACGAAGATTAAGCAACGCTCCTTGTAGGATGAGTCGCTTGTCGCCGAACAGGGGTGTCGCAGCATTGGAGGGGAGATATGATGTTCTGAGGTTGACCAAGAAGGTCTTTTTGACATCGTCTGCAGCACCTTGCGAGAAGAAGCTCACGAGGACCTCTTGCGCAGCATCTTGAACCTCAATATCTACGTCATCGTCGTGCAGCAGCTTAGCGGCAACTGCGACTAGAAGCTCCGTGGTCTGAGCAGCATAGACGTGGTTGGTAGCTCCGAGGCGGGCAGTCTCGCGTAGTGCAGACGTACAAGCATCAGGGTCACGAGTTGCAAGCAGAGAAAATGTATCGACACGGGCTGTCAGGTCGGCTGATGTATTAGACTTCGATGGTCCAGTGAACAATGCATGCTCGTGAATCAATGACAGCGCGAGAGACTGTCTCAAGAATGAACATGCTGCAAAGTGATCTCGAGGAAGATTCAGTAGAATGTTCATATCCTCCGTACTTGCCCATCGAGTGCCTGGAACTTGCGAATATTAGTGACAGCATGACATGCAACTTTGGATAGTGCACCTACCAAACAGGTATCGTTGCTTTTGAATGGCGGCGTAGAAGAACGAGGCCTGCACGTCAACAAACGCTGCTTGGGTAAACGGACAGGCGCTACCATAGAGGAGATCGTCAATACGCGATTGAAGAATCTGAACCAAAGTGTCCATATCTGCAATCATTAGTGGGCTGTTACTGAAAGCTTGCACATTGACTGACCTTGGGTGGTGAACCGTTTTCCGTGTCTTCCAATGAGATACCTCGCTGTAAGTAAGAGTCCATGTGCCTCGTTTTGAGTACGCGCCTCCCTTCGGACGAGTTCCCCAATGCGACTTGCTCGATTCTGGGCAGGTACCAAGACAGCGTAGGTCTTGGCCGCTTTGTCACGAACATGCCATTGCCTGTTCGATGTAAGCCTCAACACTGACTGTTGAATTTCTTCCGCCAGGTTAGAGGGCGGCTGGACGCGTTGGAGTAGCTGTAAAGCGGGAAAGACCACTTCAGCCTTGACTTGGTTGACATCAACATCAGCCGGACCAAGCAACTGTAGAACGGCTTTCATCAGGCTCGTGATCGCATCATCTGACAATCGACTCTGGGTATGAGTGACTTCATCAGTATACGCCTCATTGGTACCAACGAGTCTGTCCATAAGAGCTCGGAAAAGCATCAAGCCGGAGTTGCGAACGGCCCATCTAGTATCAGTGTCAGCAAGCTGTTGTCGAGGTTTGCTCACACGAAAACATACGTATCTGAAGATAAACACTTGGCCGCAAGACCGAGTGCTTGTGGGACGTAAGCTTCGGATCGTTCGCCCAACTTCGAGTTTTTGAAGATATCCTTTATGCAATTCAGAGCATGGACTTGAGATAGGCCGCCTGCAGTTTCGGCGGTTTGATCTACCGGTCTTGTACCCTCAATAGTCAACTCTGACATAGCCCTGCCAAACAAGAGTCCTTTACTATCTGCAACTACGATACCGATCATCAACGACGGCAATCCAGCTGAACGACGGGTGTTTATCGCAGTTTGATTTTTGATACACAAAATTGCACGCTAGAGTGTGTTAGCTGAAAGATTACAGATGTACACCGATAAGACGATAGTCACCTTGTACCAGTCCTCGAGCGTGGAGCTGACACCGTCTGTACTATTGTTGGAGCGTATACAGCAGACGACGAACGTTTGGGCGACCGTGGAGAAAGCTCCACGATGACGCAGCTCAGCAAGCTGTGTGAACGTTAGATCACCAAGCTGGCGAAGTTGCTCGGGTGACAGAAGAGCTTCGTCGGTTGAGGTCAAAGGGCAGCTTTTCACAATCGCTCTCAAGAGGAGACTGGATCGTTAGCTCCTGACAGCTTGATAAGATCATGGGTAACTTGCCTAGATTCCTTAAGTGCTCGCCAGGAATAGCTCAGAACATCCTTTGTTCCGATCTCTTCCTCCTCAGGCTCTTCTGCGGCAACACCCTCGGTGGTATCGTTGCATAGTGTGTCGTGTACACAACTCCAAATTTGTCGGAAGATATGGTAGAGTCGTTTGTAAAGTGTTTGGAGATGAGAAAACGCATCGACGTTGGTAGACATGGTCTGATAGAACCCAGACTTCTCCACGATGTACCTGGCCATGTTAGCATAATGAAAGAAGTGTATCCTGAGTCTATATCTACCTGAGACTGGTGAACAAACCATGCAGAGGGTTTCTGCTCACTGCCTGGGCAATATCCGCGTTGGCAACCTGTATAGTCTGTTCAATGGTGTGAACAAGGTACTCCAAGACTTGACATCTTGATGCCCACCACCGCTCATCATCGCTAATCAGATTTGCACATTGGCGGAACAGTGAGCTGTAGAGATGTGCAACTCCGTCTGCATGATCTGCACGTCCGCTGCGCATCATCATATTCTGAGCTTGCGCTAGGCTATTGACCAACACAGGCGTCGATATTGCCTTACGTTGCGATTGCGACACGTTTTCTGTGAGGTTCAGTATCTCTGCAGCTGTAGATCTGACGTCGTCGTAAGCGTTGAGAAGTAGTCCAGTTAGCAAATCAGTCATCTCGTCGTCAACCACATCCAACTCGAAAGGCCATGACACTGCAAATCCGCCCGATCTTGAGTGAATAGGGATGACAATTCGAGGATCGACCCCAGATTTAGCGATGATCATAATGCATCTGAGTGCCGATACATGCCTTTGATAACTGGCTGTTGGCCGCATCTCAGCCTTCAGGAATGAGACATACCACTCGACGAAGGATCTGTGAGCTGTCACAGTATCAAGCCCAACGCCAGACTTGGACTGAGACTGGGCAGAGGTGTGCCCAGACCCATTAGCCTTCGCTTTTGATTGAGGCTTAGCAAGATTTGCTGTCGCAGATTTGATACGCTCCATGAGATGTTTGATCAAGCTGAAGAGCTCACTTCGGAAACCCGCATCTGCATCCGCGTGAAGGAATGGTAAGCCTTTTTTCAAGGCGTCCATTGTTCCTGAAGATAATGGCTGAGTGGTTGTTGTGGTATTTGTGAGCATAGCGAGACCAGCAATTCTCACAGCATCAGATGTGCGTAATAGTAAGTCTCCAAGCAAAACATCGGGAATGTATAGAACTTGCTTCTCGATGAACAGCTCAATGTTATCGGCATCTCGACCAACATCTGCGACTTTGACCAATCCAAGCTTGTTACCCACGGACAAAGCACAAAATAAGGTCTCCTCACACTGAGCTGCTGGAAGGGGTAAGGAGACCGGGGTATTCTGGCTTGACCCCAGAATACTGCGGATATCTAGTTGGTCCAGGAAAGCGATGAAGCTCGGCCTATCGTATTGGAAGATTTCAGGGAACACAAAGTGGCGGAAGTTGTCAAGAGAACGAGGCTTCTGTTTAAGAATGTCTAGGACTGTAGCAGACCATAGCGACGTGTTCTGAGTTCCAAAAACAAGAAGTGATGCATTTTGGTCGGTACTTTGAGCCTTCTGGAGTATCAAAGCTGCCAACGAGCCGGCGGCAGGGGCAAACTCCTCGTAAGGCGCGAGAGTCAAGACAATGGCAAGCACATCTTTGATTGCCATGGTGGCATGATCATGTAGGCTCGAGAATCTGCCAAAAGAGTTGCACAACTGCTCGACATGTACCATGTTCTTGGAGAGCCAATGGGCCAGGACTAGCATGGCGGGTCTGGTAGGGGCATTCTCTGAAGGAGCCACGATGTGTTGGACTAACAGCTCCAGCATTTGGGCCTTTTCGGACTCGCATAATGCTTTGTCCTGACACTTGGCCAGGACTGATGTCAGAGAGGTCAGCAGTAAACGTGACGGCTTGACATTGAGGGCGTGATGCTGGTCAAGGTAGATCGAGAAAGCATGGCGCCAGAAAAGTTTTGACTGCCAGAGCAAAAGGGAAAATTCGGACTCGCTGGACTGAGAACATTTCTCAATCAGGTTGGAAAGCAGGTTACAAGCGGCCGTCCTGTGTTGGTTTGTGATGTCTGTCCGCAAAGTAGAAAAAAGTTGATCGAATAAATTGGACACTCTACAATCTATTAGCACTCATGATATATGTTGGATCACAGAGATAGGATATAGTCGGCAGGGTTGCATGGGAAGGGGGTAGCTTACCTTGCAACTTCCTGATGCAGAATGTCCTTGTGTTCGATTTGGCGAGGAACGAGATTCGCACCGTTCAGAGTTATTTGACGAATCTCATCTTCAGACAAAGGAGCAGCCATCACTCGACAGATGACTTTGAATTAAAATGCAAATGGTGTGAACAAAGCAGGTGTGTCTCGGTCGATGACCATTTAGCTAACTAAAATGCTTGACCATAATTCTTGCAGCTATTTTTCCCCGGAGCGATGATGTTTTCTAGAGCGACATCGGCAAAGCAGACGGCGGTTGGCCAATCAGGCACGAGATAAATTGATTGCGGGGCCTGACTCGCGCACTCTGGGAAAGTTGATCTGGAGAGGTTGGAATCGTTCAAGTTCCCTTCCAGTCTTTCCAAGCATTGAACGCAGTCAGTGACAGCCATGTTGTCGTCACGTATTGGATCAAAAGCTGCGAGGTCTTCGTGGGCCTCGCGGGCGCAACTGCGCGTGGCGTACGTGCAGTCCCAGACGAAGCCTTGACCAACACTCACTCGACCAACTCACTGACTTTCCATCAACAGTCCTTCAATCGCCCAGAACCTGTCCAGACAATATGCCACCGGTCCTGGTGAAGACAAGATCTTCCAACACATCAAGCTCGACAAGGATGCCCTCAACAAGACCAGTGCTATCATCACGCAACCCAAGGCCCACGGTGCCTCGCAGGCCATGCTTTACGCCACTGGCTTCAGCGATGAGGACATGAACAAGGCTCAAGTCGGTATTTCATCTGTCTGGTACTCTGGAAACCCCTGTAACATGCACCTGATGGACCTCAGCCACAAGGTCAACGAGGGTGTCGAAAGAGCTGGACTCAAGGGTATGCAGTTCAACACCATTGGTGTCAGTGACGGCATGTCCAACGGTACCACCGGTATGCGCTACTCGCTGCAGTCTCGCGATATCATTGCCGACTCGGTCGAGACCGTCATGGGCGGCCAGTGGTACGACGCAAACATCTCGCTTCCTGGTTGCGACAAGAACATGCCCGGTGTCATCATGGCTATGGGAAGAGTCAACAGACCCTCCATTATGGTCTACGGAGGAACCATCGCTGCTGGATGCGGTAAGATGACTGATGAGAGACTCGACATCATCTCTGCATTCCAGGCCTATGGTCAATTCATCACCGGCGAGATCAACGAGGAAGAGCGCAAGGACATTGTCAAGCACGCCTGCCCTGGTGGTGGTGCTTGCGGTGGTATGTACACTGCCAACACCATGGCCTCAGTCATTGAGGCTATGGGTATGTCTCTTCCCGGTTCCTCCTCCAACCCTGCCATGTCCAAGGCCAAGCAGCTCGAATGTCTGGCCGCTGGTGGCGCCATCAAGAACCTCCTCAAGGAGGATATCCGCCCCTCAGACATTATGACCCGCAAGGCCTTCGAGAACGCCATGACCGTCGTCAACATTACTGGTGGCTCAACCAATGCAGTTCTTCATTTGATTGCCATGGCCCACTCTGTCGGCATCACCCTCACCATTGACGACATGCAAGCCGTCAGCGACCGCACTCCTCTTCTTGCCGATCTCAAACCCTCCGGCAAGTACGTCATGGCTGATCTCTACGATATTGGTGGTACCCCCGCCATCCTCAAGTTCCTCCTGAAGGAGGGTGCCATTGATGGTAGCGGTATGACTGTCACTGGTAAGACTATGGCAGAGAACCTCGAGAATGTTCGCGACATGCCCGAGAGCCAGAAGATCATCCGTCCCTTCAGCAACCCCATCAAGAAGACCGGTCATATTCAGATCCTCTACGGCAAGATTGCCCCTGGCGGCAGTGTCGCCAAGATCACCGGTAAGGAGGGAACTCAGTTCACCGGCAAGGCCAGAGTTTTCGATGGTGAGGATGGCTTGATCGAGGCCATTGAAGGTGGCTCTTTCAAGAAGGGCGAGAAGACTGTTATCGTCATCCGTTACGAGGGACCTAAGGGTGGTCCTGGTATGGTCGAGATGCTGAGACCTTCTTCCGCCATCATGGGTGCTGGTCTTGGTAACGATGTTGCCATGTTGACCGATGGCCGCTTCAGTGGTGGCAGCCACGGTTTCCTCATTGGTCACATTGTCCCTGAGGCTCAAGACGGTGGCCCTATCGCCCTCATCAAGGACGGTGACACCATCACCATCGACGCTGAGAACAGAGTCATCGACACCGACGTTACCGAGGAGGAGATGCAGCAAAGAAAGCTCAGCTGGAAGGCACCTCCCCTCAAGTACCAGAAGGGTACCCTTTACAAGTACGCCAAGATCGTCCAGGATGCCAGTCACGGTTGCATCACTGACGCATGAACGAATCGCTAATGTATCATACTGCACGCCTGTAATTGCATAGCTGCTGGGTTGTTTTGGGATATTGGCGTTGAAAAAGGTAGGGGGAGAACTAGGTACTGTACAGCTTCATACCACATCACAAGAACTCATTCACCTTCAACGTCTCTTTGTGCTTTCCTCTTGTGTATCTCAAGTTACTCTCCAGTCGTGTTGCATGCACAGAAAAATGGTCATAGTCGCTCTTTCCCATCAAGATCCACATTCCCCACACTTGGCATTCTCTGAAGCTAGACTACACCCCATCTCCTTCCTGCTTCCTTTTCGCATATACCTCACCATAAACCCATACGCTGTATACTGGATACAATACTTACAGATCTTGGCGACACATCTCGACCGGCCTTCTTGATTCCTGGATCGTACTCGGCTGATCGCTGTATCTTTTCCTGTGGTTGGATCTTGGTAAGGGAGCAGGTCAGGCTGCCAGGCCTTGGGAGACCATTTCGAAGCCTCTACGGTCCTCTGATATCTCGGCAATGTGTTCAAGGTCGCCCTCAGATCACTTCGAGGTGTCAAGCGACGATCTTGATAGGACATTATGAGTCGATGGTGGCAAAGGTGCATCGAAACCACAGCATCAACAAGCGGTGCCGAGGAAGGTCCTCGGGTCTCATCACACTCAATACTCAGGGCTATTGGCTTGCCTTCTCGATGCTTCCTTGTTCGTTGATGAGGAAATGACCACAATACAACTTTTCTGTCGCGAATGATCTGGACAACGCAAGATCAGACGCTTGGAGAGGCTGTTGGACACATATGCCACTGGGATTGTGCTGAGGCAAGCCTCAATGACGGTGCCGCTGAACTTACTATTGGATGAACCTTTACCATGCTGAAGGTGATCACGAGACCGCGCGCAATTGTCCGTGATGTCGCCAAGACGATCGAAAAGGAAGGATGTTAATTCTCTGGATTCCTGCTAATATCCTAGTAGCGGTCCTTTGGCGCAATGGCTTGCCTCTTCATTGTGTCTCTGGTTCAATCCCAGGCGAGACCGTTACGGCTGAACATATCGTCTCGACAATTGATACGCCGACGCCCGTGAGCGAACTGGCAGACGGTTGGTGAGGCGGTATGCGAGGTTTCTTTTTTGCTATTTGCCGTTGCTGTCAACAAACAGTCTCACATCGAATCGCTGCATGTCCATCTCATATTTGTGACTTGTGATCAATGCTAAAACTCAGCCATTGTATATTCAGGCACTCGAGCGGATAGGCAATACCATATTCGTTCTCTCGCAACCTTGACGACTTCACGTTGTCGAAGCTTACTCTATCAAGCCCATTGAACTACGACTCATCACTCAGTTTCCCTTCCACGCGTTCTTCGTAGCAGCAATCCCAGCTGAACACACATCTCTTCAACTCTACGCATCGTCAGCTTCTGCTCTTGCGCATCGATCACCCCCCGGCGTACAGCAACCTCTGTGTTTTTGTCTGCGTGCCTCCACTATCATCAGACTCCCTCTCTCGTGTTTCAGCGCCTCACTTGCGCACCAGCGCGTAAACCAACAACCTTTGCGCCCTTGTCTGCGCGCCTCTACCATCATCAGTCTCTCATATCACAGCACCTCACTCGAGTTTCAGTCTTTGCATCAGCAAGCACTGCACTCGCATCTGCGCGCCGTCAATTCGGTCCGCCTCTTCTCCAATCAGCGGCCCGTTCATCAACATCATTTTCTGCGCGTGTCCGTCTCTGTTCGACCAACATGGACCCTTCAAATCACGAGACACTCGAAGCTCAGCAGCTGCACGGCGCACTGCCTGACCAGTTTGAGCAGACTGCGCCGAATGATCCACTCTCGCGTATGCCGCCTCGCTCGTCCGACGCACCCAGACAGCCATCCACAGCTACTCCTCAATACCCCTACAACGTGTTTCCACCCAGCTCATCCACCAACCACCATTCATACACGCCTAATGTCCCACAATCAGTCACGCAGTCGGCACTTGCTCTCCTAAGCTATCAGTCTCCGTACATGTCAAGCCAGGTTGCACAGGGCTTCCACTTCCAGCCTCAGTTGGGCCCTCATCCTGCGTTCCAGAAAAACGCCCCGACGTCTACAGTCTATCCTCCTGGTGCAGTACCCATCGCCTGCCCATCCGCGCCTCTTCAGAATGCCGTGGCACCCTCGCCATTGGGACCAGCTTCGACTTATGCCAATCTCGTGCACGCATTTACGCCTACTGCCATTCGACGCCCTACGTTTGCGCCACCAGCTCCCACTTCCATACCCGCCAACCCTGCCCTGGCGCTTATCAAGCACACGACCGACACATTCAACGCCGCTGCTACTAATGATCCTGTTTATTACCTCTTGTACCGCCGCTTTCTCGAGGCTCAACCCAATGTCGCCTATCCAAAGCTCGTTTACTACCTACGCCTAGGGCTTCAGATTGGTTGGATCGGCTTTTTGGGTCGCGAGGGACGTCAGGAGGAAATTGGCGACACTGATGCTCTCGTCAAGGAGCGCAAGGACATGATCATATGGCTAGTGCGCCAGTATGACGTTAGCCTTAAGCAGAGGGCTGGTCAGTATCTAAGAGGCCAATTGGCTAAGTTTGCTCCACTTAGCTTTGATCCTAATGAGGTCTCCCCCGTCGCACTCCTTATAGATCATCTTTACGTCCTTGAGACCGAGATCTTCTATAAGACTGTGGAGGTTCCTGGGCCATCTAGGCAGGAGTACCGCATTCGTGTCGTTACCTACATCGACAACGACGGAGGCATGCCTAAGGTACACCAGGACCTCAATATCTGGAAGAAGCTAGGGTTTGCTGGTTTGTCGCGTATGTTGTCTAACGCAACGTCAAACATCCAGTCTGCCCGGTTTCACTACAACAATGGCTGGGAGTGTGGCGGCACTAACGGTTATTGGTTGTACCAGATCGTTTCGGAGGAACCGGAGGGACCGGAGGAACCTTTAATGCCGCTGGCATCCGACGCCGACCTGGGGGAGGTGAAGAAGATCCTGGCTCAGGGCCAGGGCATCATCGTCAGTCACGTAAGTCACTTGGGTCTCACATGCTCATCATTCGCGCTTCACATTCAAAACACTTTTGCTTCACACATCCTTCAGCTCTATTTCACACTATCCTCACTCTAGCCCCTCCTTTTGTCATCTCCCTGATCAAGGTCCCATTCCCAAATAACATGCTGACTTTACACGGCATATAGACGCAGCAGTATGAGATTTGGGAGAATCTCATACTCGCAGACATGCTGGGACTGACCCTGGATCGCCCTGGCCAAGCCTGCAAGCCTCTTCCCCCGGGCTACCTCTCCGCCATCATGAGGGAGTACCCTAACCACATGGCCTCCTCCTACCTGAGCAATAGGGTCGTGGCTGCTGGCGGTCACGGCCTTGCAATTCGGGTCAGGAGAGGTCGTAGGTCGGAGGTCGTGCGTCGTGCCAAGCGCAAGCAGGACAAGGAGAGAAAGGGTCTCGGTGCCCTCGCCACCAGACCCAAGGAGGTGTAACTTGTTGCTGCATTGCGGCAGGGGGTGTGAATGGGGTGATGACGAAGTGGTGAGATGGACGATTTTTTTTACTTTTTTGTATAGAGTAGAAGAAAAGCACAAGAAGATGAGGATAACTGTTTCGAGATGAGCTTCTACCCCTGATTGCCGAGCTGTAGAAGTGCATAAACATGTTCAAAATCCGTGACTTTCTCTATCGAGAGTCCCATTTTGACACGCTCTCCGCGGAGGGTTCTCAGGTGTTGAATTGGTTCTTGCCTTTTACGGCCCTCTTCTGTGCTCACCACTGCTGATGAGATGGTTCAAAACGGCAATTGCGCCCTTGGCACGATTCTATTATATCGCCTCTTATAATCAATGCACCCAAAATCAGGTTTGATTGCGCCTTTTCAAAGCCCTTTTTCGTGCTCACCACTACTGACGAGATGATTGAAAATATTGATTGCGCTTCTGGCAAGATTGTAGATATATCGGCTCTCGTAAAGGATGCTCTAGTAATTGATACTGATTGTGCCTTTTTACAACTTTATTAATACGCCAACGATTAATGACGAGTTAGCGTTCGTTTCTACTTGCGCCCCTGGCAGGAACATGTATTTGTCGACTGTCATAAGGCATGCTCCGTTTCTTCAATTCGATTGTGCCTTTTTACAGCCCCTTGTTGGCTATACGCATGCTAGTGAGATAGTCTCAAATCTAGTTCCATTTGCTACTCCGGCCAGCAAGTCTCAAAAGTTGAATTTGTTTGTGCATTTTTACAGCACCGAATCTATGGTGCCAATCACACAGGAGATGTCGTCGAGAAGTGACCGGGCCCAAAGTCCGGGGCAACTTGTAACATTCTGCCACGATATTTCACCGCCTTTGCAAGTCCGCGCTCCGACCAGCAACTTTACTTTGCGACAAGATCCATCGCGCGCCTGCTATTCACGCTTCACTCGCACACAGCTCTATCTTCTCGCGCAACAGCTTCAGCACACTACGTCCGCTCGCATATACCGTCACTCCCAACGCGCAACCAAATTCAAACCACACACAGCAGACATGTCCGACTACGGCGATGATGGCGGTGGTGACTTCGGCGCCGGCGAGTACGTCCACTCCTCACGCGCCCCAGTCCCAGCATCCTACTAACCCAGCCCCAGGGAGTACGACGCCAACATGCTGGAAGAAGACTACGAAGAAGTCGAGGACCTCGTCGACAACAACGACCAGCCCGGCGGCACCGAAGACCCCGAAAACACAGCCAACATTGTCACATCCGGCGACCCTAACGCAGTCGCACGCGCAAACGCAAACTTGGGAGTCAAGGGCCTGAAGGAAAAGAGAATCGACAATGACAAGAGAACTACTACGCCGTACATGACAAAGTACGAGAGAGCTAGAGTTTTGGGCACGAGGGCGCTGCAGATTAGGTGAGTGCTTTGAGAAATGGACGTGAGAAAGAGATTGGAATCCAGCCAGGATGTCAGAGGCAGGACCGCGAGAAACGGATGAGAAGATGTATTGGAGGTGCAAAGGACTGGGCTGACAAGATATACAGCATGAACGCCCCTGTTCTTGTCGACGTCGAGGGTGAGACGGATCCTCTGCAAATCGCCATCAAGGAGCTGCGCGAAAAGAAGATCCCTCTGGTTGTGCGCAGATACTTGCCCGATGGCTGGTACGAGGACTGGACCTGTGAGGAGCTTCTTTGAGCTATTCGACTGCTCCGTTACGAAACACGACTCTGCCCTTGATCATCACACCTTTTTCTTGCACCACAACAAATACCTCGGAGCCCATCGAGTCTGGCCCAAGCACTGGGTTCAAGCGCTTGAGCTTTGTGGGTCACACAATCACACAACTGCCAGCCTCGAGTTGTGCTCCCAAACATCGCTCGACTGCAACGCATCATAACCATGGATCGGGCTCTCTGGTTCCAGCTGGCGTCTCTCGTGGACTATGTCTATCTCAGTCTATCAGCCAGGGTGAGAAATATGCTTCATCATTGTTCCGGCGTTCAAGCGATCAAAAAAGAGGTCGAGGGGAGCAAATAATTGAAAGCGCGCTCTGCATTTTTGGCGAAGCATCAAAATGATTAAAAAAAATCAAAAACATGGCACAAACAAACAGTTTTTACCAGTTTCACGGGGCGGGAGTTGTGTCAGTGCCACCATCACCATGATTGCACACTTCGAGCGGCAGCAGCATGTCTGGAACACTCAACAAAGCATGTAGGTTGTAGTCACTTTTGAAGGTTATGCTCCTTTTGACAGAAGCTCTCGATACTTTGCCGTCGTCGTCGTGAGTAGTGTGCTTACTTCTCAAACCCCATTGCATCATCTTCTTTGTCTGCACTGCAACAGCTCTTTCTCTTCTGAGCCATGTCTGCCTTGCTCAGTCCCTTGCATGTCTGCCAGGTGAGATTGCACCTTTCCATCTCTGATGATACAGTCTTTTTCCTTCCTATCTTTCCAACAGACAATGTTCCGATATATATGTATTGTAATAATAAGCTTCGAGCAGATGAGAATTCACGTTATCAAGAAAGAGAGAGAGAGAGAGATGGACACGGGGGGAAATCCTCGTGTGAAGCTTCGAAAAACTAGAGGTTATTACCATCGTACACATACACATACACCCTTCGCATCTCTAATTTTTGTCCTCTTCTGCCTTGCTTTGGTCTTTCTAGACTGGCAGGGGTTTCTTTTGCTCTCAGTAGCCTACACTAGGTGCTTTGAGGAAACACCACCAAGAATACCTAATCCATTCTCATCGTCTTCCTTGACACTTGCCTCCTTCACAAGTCCTTGATTCAGCACATCCGAGGCTATCGTCTTTGCATCTCTCGAAAGCTCAGAGGTATGCTCACTCTCATTCCCCAACATTGGTATGATAGTAACATCGGCATCCTCTTCTTCTTCTTCCTCATCTTCCTCGACAATAAATTCCGTCCTCCCTTCTTCGACGGGAGAAAATGCTTCTACCTCTTCAATCTCCATCTCTTCCTCTTCGTCTTCTTCTACCAATCTCATGCCTTGAGCCTGTAGAGTGACTTTTGAGCCGAAGAAGTCTTTCGGCTCTTCTTGGTGTGCATTCTCCTCCTCCTCTTCTTCCTCGTCTTCTTCGGCGATTGTGATTTCATTGCTTCGTCGTCCTTGAGCGCTGGTACCGCGTGAGCCTTCGGTGGAGTTGTTGCCGGAGCCTCTGCCTCGTGCGCCGGGTGTGTTGTTCAGACTGGGTCCTTTGAAGACACTGCGCTTTTTCTTGGCAAAGACTGGATGCATGCCTGGTGATGCGGGGCCAAAGGTATAATTGACTGGAGAATTAAGTGTTTGAGTTGCGAGAGAAGGTAGAGATCCGAGATTGCCAGGAGGAGGTCGTCGAGCGACACGGATGCCAGAGGGGAAAGTGCCGGTGACGGAGGATGTGGGTGTGGATGGGGGTAGAATTATTACACTGCCACTTGTGTGCGGAGATCTCGATATGGCGCGAGAATGTGTGCTGAGAGATGGAGAAGCCACGGAGTTGGAAGATGTGGTGGAGGCGCGAGAAAGAGAGTGGTGATGAGTGTGGATGCTGCGGACAGAGGAGACGGATGAGGATGTCGACTTTCTACCACGCAGACCAGAACTGCGACGATAGATAGAAGAGCGAGGTGTAAGTGGTGCTGGCGAAAGAGAAGGTCTCGTTCCACCATGTGTTCGAGAACCCGTTGAGCCGTATGACGAGGCAGTAGATACCCGCGGCCGTACAGGATAAGTGGCTCTAGTAGGAATATCTGGTCGTGGACTTTTCCGTGGGTCGGTCAAGAGGTCATTTGCAGAACCTCTTCGTGAATTGGAAGGCATTGAGGCCTTGCGAGCAGTAGCCAAGTGTTGTTCCATGGTCTCCTGTACATCTTTCTTGGACGACTTCCCACTGCTGACTTTGAACCAGGACTTGAGATGTGCGAGTTGATCCTTGAAAGGACGTTTCCGTAATTTTTGGTGAAACGGCGGCGGAGCTAATAGGTCGTTCTTTGTGTGTATGACTTGCAGCAACTGCGAACTGTTCCTGCTAGCAGGGCGTGGTCTCTTGGGCACGTCTTTGGGCGGCAAAGCAGGGCCACCGCTCGACGAGGCGATAGAGTGCGAGCGACGGTGGGAGTCTTTCTCGACAGGAGGCGGCGGTCGCTCCTCGGGTTCTGGTGTCTTGCCTTCGGTGACTCTAGGAAGGTCTGGCGCCGCAGCGCTGGATCTGCTCACACCTCGACCCCTAGTCTTTGGTGAAATGATCGTCAGTCGTGCCTGCTCCTCTTCTGTGATTTCGCGCAGACTCGGGGCGTTCAGCAGTCGACTGCTTGACGCACTCAGTCTTCGTATGCTTCTGGCTTCGGCTTCTCTTTCTCTTCGTTTCCGTAATCGCCTTTTCTCTTTGCGTTCCTCCTTTTCAAGCAGTAGTCCCCACCACCCAGCCAATGGGTCGCATCGTTGTCCCAGTACGTTCTCGATGACATGGTCAATGTTGACTCCAGCGCTGCGCATGCGTTGTAATGTCTGTTTCTCGAGTTCGGTGCTGAAGGGTGGAGGCTGTAGCACCTTGAGAATCTCCTGTTGCTGTGGGGCGTACTCTTGCAGCCACGGATGACGGAGGACGTCAGCTAACGGGGGTCGTATGAGCGGGCGGCGAGACAGCAGTTTTGACATGAGGTCCTTTGCGCCTTCTGGTACATATTCCGGGTAAATGGGGTCTTCCTTGAGGATACGCTGTTTTGTATCGTTTTCGTCGTCTTCGTCAAACGGCAATTCACCACACAGCAGAGCGTATAGAATGATTCCCAGACTCCAGACATCTACCTTTTCGCCAGCATATTTCTCTCCCTTCAGCATCTCTGGCGCACTATAGCACACGGTGCCACACCATGTCTGTAGGTAGCTGGTCGAGCCCTGGTACTCGCGCGTGAAGCCAAAGTCGACCAACTTGACATTGCCGTGTTTGTCGAGCAGGATGTTCTCCAACTTCAGATCGCGGTGGACGCAAGACTTCGAATGAACGTACGACACGGCGCCGACTAGTTGTGTGAAGATCTTTTGCACCTTGGTTTCCTCCATACGACCATGCTCGAGTAGGTGGTTGTACAACTCATCGCCGGCGCACCATTCCAGGACCAGCCATACCAGCGACTCGGTGACTATGACTTCGTAGAGGCGAGCGATGTGCGGGTGCAGGAATTGGCGGTGATGGTGAATCTCGCGCGCGAGGTTGGCGTCGTCCTTCTTCGCCGACTTGAGTACGACCTGCTCGAGTTAGTACGAAGCGTCTTGCTGGGAAGCGTCATTGAGCTCACCTTTGAGCCATTGATGAGTTTGTTCGAAGCCAAGTAGACCTTACCAAACGAGCCTTTGCCTATTAGGCGGCCGACGGTGTAGTTGCCGACAGTACGGAGGTCTTTGCTGCTGAACTCGCTGTTGTTTGTGTAAGTGACGTGATCTCTGAGCGGAATGGTAGGACGGCCGCTTACTCGAGAAGCTCGCTGTACGAATTGGCGAGTTTGTTTTTCTGGTGCTGGAGCTCCGCTTGCGCTCGAGCGGCGGGTGGCATACGTTACGATCGGTATGCGCCTACTCGTCGCGCGACGGCTGGCTTGGGGATCTGTGTCTGTCCGGTATGCCGTCGAGTGGTCGGGAGCCTATCGTGCTCGTTTTCAACAAGACCCTGTCAACAAGACTCGCGCTCATCGGTAACCTCGACCTCTCCCAGCTGCTTATTAGATATTATCGATATTGTTGATCGGTTGCGCAACGGCCGTCTTCTTGTCCTTGGCCTGCTGTGCTTGTTGCTGTGCGAGTCGTAAATCTCGTTGTTGCTATGACGAAATCTGAAATGTTTGATATTATACTTTCAGACGACAAAGCCTCTCTTTCTGCCTTGGTCGACTTGTCCTGGTACTTGTCTTCTCCTTGTCGTCGTCAATGCATGACATTCTTACGCCGCCTTCATCTCCGCCCGGTCCCCTGCCGCGCTCTGTCGTGATTGGTGTGGGGAATCCATTTCCATTAGAATCACCACATTCCCATCACCAAGTGTCCAGATACTTGCGAAACTCAATCCGACTTTTGCATCAGACATGTCACAGGGCCTCGGAGCCGCATGTCGATCTATAAGAAGTCACCACGCTCGAATGGGTCTGGATGCATGAGGGGTCAAATACGAATGTCTCATCCTCCATTCTCCCTTGGCTCTCCGCCTTTGCATCATGCTTGCATCTCGGAATACTCTATACTATATCATCTAGCTCCTCCTGATATCTGCAATCGCCTTGCGTCTGTAATCACTATCCGCAAACAATGCCTCAATCAAATCCGTCACTTCATCTACATCAAACTCAAGTCTCAGCTCGCCTTCGGTCCACAGGTATTTTATATCGGCGAGTGAGCTTTCCAATAGTTCCCCAAGGTATTGGAATTTGAACCAGTTTGGACAGTAGATACCGGTCATGTTGCTTGCCTCTCCACCCTCGGGATGCTCTTGAATGAACAAATCCTTGACTTCGGAAATTTTGTCGCAAAGCTTGCGGAGCTTCGCCGACTCTTCCTCTCCAATGTCTTGGATTTCTTCAATCTCCATGATCATCTTGGATATTGCTGTACTGAGCAGTGAGCCAGAAGACTGCAACAATGCCGATCTCGACAAGATTGGTGCCCACTGCTTGTGCACATCGCGTAGGCGTCCTTCGGTAATGGATACCGCACTGTCGCATGCACTCGCAAACGGTTCGGCATTGCAGTTGGAGAACCCTTGGGCTCCGTCGAGCATGTCACGGACAATCGTACGTTGAGACTCCATCTCGGCACTGTATGCTCTCTTTGCGAATGTCTCCAATGCCTTGATGTCATTGTCCAATCTCAAGCGCGACGATGGTCGTAAGTGGCTGGGTAGACTCGATGTCAGATCTTTTTCCGTTTGCCTGACAACGAAAGAACGGATTTGGTCGGCCAGTCGAGATGCGTCGTTGTAGATCAACATGTTGCCAGAGTCCAGTTTTCCGTAAGCTGTAGATGCTGTAGCTCTGTAAATTGCTAGGATGAAGGTTGGCAAAGTGTACAGCGCCGAGGCTGCCGGTCCTATAGGTGATCCTAAGTAGCTGTCTGGCGTGTAAGTATATGTCTTTGCAGAACAGATGCCATTCTTACCTCGGGTCTGTTAGCGTCTCGGCGTCAGACACGACTTGCAGGACTATATCGAGAATGCCGTCCGGTACTGCTGTCACAGTGTATGTCTCTCGGAGTGTGAGTTCTCTGTCACCAGACTGTGTTACCTGTTCCGTTGACGCGGCCTTCTTTGTTTTCTTTGGAGAGCTCAACTTCGGTGCTTCGTCTGCAACTTGTTCATCGTCGCCCCAACCCCAAGCATCCGCTGCATCATCTTCTTCCATATTCTCATCTTTGGCTGGTTGCTCAGATGAGACGGCCGTTTTATCTGTGTCGTCTCCATCCACATCCCACGCACTAGCATCGTCGTCATCGTCATCGTTTTTGGTCGAAGTCGCAGCCTTTGAGGCGTCAACCTTGGCGGTTTCTGGTGTCTCTTCCTCCCAGTCAGCAGCCCAAGCGTCATCTGCTTCGTCAACGTCGCTTCCACCCATAATGGCGTCGCCTTTCGAGACGGTCTGCGTCTCGACTCTCTCGACAGTCTTGCGTGTCTTTAGACCAGAAAAGAGCAGACTCCTTGCAGCACCGAGAGCCATCTCTCTGCGTTTGGATAGCCACGTCCTGGGGGCATTTTGTACCCAATCCTTGAGCAAAGCGGTACTTGGCCAGTTCAGCGTGTCAATCTGATCAGCTAGCTTTGACACGCGATCAAGAATCTGCTGAAACACAGGCATCTGTTCAATCTGGACGGGCACAGATCTATCCAGCCAAGTGTATGTGAGTGTCTCGAACAAAGAGGGCAGAAGCTTCTGTGAGAGTGGCTCGCAGATTGATGATGGTAGATGGATTGAGAGAAATTCCAAGCAGGCCCAGATGTCGTCTAGAGTGGCAATAGTGCCAGGCCTTGCGTTCGCCTGGGAAACGATTATAGATGCATCGGTGATGTTGAAGACAGAGTATTGGCCAGGTTTCATGGAGAGACGGTGGTCAATCAGGGCGAAGTCAACATCACGCTTCAAGCGTCTGATGTAGACATCAAGGCCCCCCAGATACGAAAGCGTTTCTACAAGCAATTCCAGGTCGACAGTGGGCATATCTGGGACCTCGTGCTTGACAAGCAGAGAGCGAGTTTCAATGTCGCACTGTATGAGAGCCTGTGCTAGAGCAGTCGTCTTGTCTAGAAGGGTGGCCTTGAAGCGCGAGCTGCGTGTCTGCAAAAGGCCCACAGCTCTGGTGTCCTGGACAGCGGATAGAGCAGCTATAGAGGCGTCGCATCGCTTGATGTGATCAAGGGTGGCGCGCAAATCGTTGTTGGCGTATGCTTCATCTGCCTGGTCGAGGATGCGACACGATGATCTGATCAGGTCCAGGGTGGAGGCCAGGGATTCGTTGAAGGCGACCTCCTTCTCAAGCAAGTGGACCTTGTTCCCGGCATCATGCGTCTCCTCTTTCAAGGCCTTTCCGGCTTCGGCTTGGGCTACAATGTCTCTTGCTGTTGCTTTTGATCGTTCGATGTCGCCTTGGAGTTTCTTGGCTTGCGCGATCCAGCCGTCGACGTCGGGCGCGATGTCTTTACTCAGACTACGTATGTCCTCCTAGAGATGCCTTGTCAGACACAGACCTTGCGCGCATTCTATCTTAGTCGGTACCTTTACTTCGTCGCGGGCTTTCTGGAGATCGGCTAGGAGGGCGGGGAGGAGCGTCGATGGGACTTCGGCTGACGAGACATCAGCCTCTGGATAGGTTCCATGCTCGACACTGTCGACGATGGCCTGCTTGAGCTGATCGTTGGTCGACATTGTCGCGACAACAACCCTCGAACCTGTGACGTTGTTGCTTCAACATGGCCCCAGCCTGTCAGTCTAGGCGTGCGGTCCGGTCCGCTGTCTAGCGCCTTGCAAACGCGACCCGGGACCCCTCCACCAACGACTTCTGAAGAAGATGATGAGATGTTGGAGGCGAGTGCACAACTATCCACATCCAATTTATTTCCTGCTCGTTGGCACCACTTCCGCCGCAGTACATATTCCTGCAAGCTCGTCCGGTCGTTTGCACTTCTGGCTTCCTTCTCAAAAGCTCGACTTTTCTCTAGAATTGCGCTTGCTCAAAAGCCTTACCAAATCAGTCGCGCGGCTTCTCGCTGCTTCACCCGCTACAAGATGCCTGCAGCAAAGCATCAGACCCATTTCAAGCCCATCCAAAAGTTTAAGCTCGACTACGCTCCTATTGACATTGCCCAGTATGAGTCTGACCGTACTGGTATGCGTGTCGTCGTCGTCGATCAGAAGGGTCCCAAGGTCTACGGTTACTTCACCTTAGCCACTGAGATCCACGACGACTCGGGTTCGCCGCATACCCTTGAGCATCTCTGTTTCATGGGCTCCAAAAACTACCGATACAAGGGTGTTCTCGATAAACTCGCCACACGTGCTTACTCTAACACAAATGCCTGGACCGCCACTGATCACACCGCTTATACCTTGGAGACTGCTGGCTGGGAAGGCTTCGCTCAGATCCTTCCTGTCTACCTTGAGCACGTTCTTGTGCCCACCTTGACTGATGCCGGATGTTACACCGAAGTGTTCCACGTTGACGGTACTGGCCACGATGCTGGTGTCGTCTACTCTGAGATGCAGGGCGTTCAGAATCAGCAAGGCGAACTCATGGAGTTGCAAGCCAGAAGACTGATGTAAGCGTTCATTATTCCAGCTTTCTCGTCTCTCCACAAACTCTGACACTATCCAGGTATCCCGAAGGTGATGGTTTCAGGTACGAGACTGGTGGTATGATGGAGCAGCTCCGTGTTCTCACGGCTGACCGCATTCGAGAGTTCCACCGCGAAATGTACCAGCCCAAGAACTTGTGTCTCGTACTCATTGGTGAGATTGACCAACCCGAGCTCCTGCATATCCTGGACGATTTTGAGGCTACTATCATGGAAGACATTCCATCACCTGAGACTCCTTTCCAACGTCCTTGGGTTGAATCCAAGCGTACACCGCCGCTTAAGAAGACGATTGTAGATACTGTCAAGTTCCCTGAGGACGATGAATCCATGGGTGAGGTGCTTATTGGTTTCCTTGGACCCGACTGCAACGACCACCTGCAGGCGTCTGCTCTCGGGATTATGCTGATCTATCTTTGCGGCTCTTCGGTCTCTGTCTTGGAAAACACCCTTGTGGAGAAGGAACAGCTGTGCAGCATGATCTATTACTCTACTGATGTGCGACCTGACATTGCTTTCTGGTTCAACCTTAGCGCTGTCGAGACCGGCAAGCTCGCCGATGCCGAGAAGCGTTTATTCGAAGTCCTCAAGGAGACGGCTTCCAAGAAGCTTGACATGGGCTACATGAAGGATTGTCTTAGTCGTTACCGTAGGCAGCTTAAGTTCAAGTGCGAAAGCACAGGAGACTTCTTCGCAACACCCATCATTGAGGATCATCTGTTTGGTAACAGAGATGGCACGGACCTCCGCGAACTGGAGACTTTGAAGGACCTGGATGTTCTTGAGGGATGGTCAGATCAGCAATGGAGAGACTACTTGTCATCATGGTTTGCAGATGCACACCACGTATCTATCCTTGGTGTACCTTCCAAAGAGTTGTCCAAGCAACTCAAGACCGATGAAAAGGCCAGAGTCAAGGCACAGAAGGAGAGGCTCGGTGAGAAGGGACTCAAGGAACTGGCGGAGAAGCTTGGCCAAGCCAAAGCTGAGAACGACAAACCAATCCCAGACGAAGTTCTGTCACAATTTCCGGTACCCGGAACCTCTTCAATCCACTTCATCCCGACAACCACTGCTAGAGCCGGCCGAGCTAGACAGATGGGCAAGCTCGACAACAACATTCAAGAGATTGTTGACAAAGACGGCTCCGACATTCCTCTCTTCATCCACTTCGAGCACATCCCTTCCAACTTTGTACGTACTAAACTGGTTATGTGCACAGGCTCGCTGCCTACTGAGCTCAAGCCTCTGCTCGCCGTGTACTTGTCCAACTTCTTCATGACCCCCATCATCCGCGACGGCAAGCGTATCGAGTTCGAAGATGTTGTCACGGAACTTGAAAAGGATACAGTCGACTACGACATCAGCTCTGGTCCTGGAAACGGCGAGCTCTTGCAGATTACTTTCCAGGTGGAGGCTGAGAAATACTCCGCCATGATTGATTGGCTGCGCATCACCCTGTTCAGCTCCGTTCTGGACAAGGAGAGGTTGCAGACCGCTATCACTAAGATGCTCGCAGATATTCCTGACGAGAAGCGCAGCGGCATGGACATGGCTACAGCAGTCGACTCGATGATCCACCTGACCAGAGACTCGAGCAGTCGCTCCCGCAACACTCTTGTCAAGTCGGTATATCTCAAGCGACTGAAGAAGCATCTCGCAAAGGACCCTGAGTCTGTAATCGCTCGCCTACAAACTTGCATCGATACGCTTCACAGGCCTTCTAACTTCAGAGCCTACGTTGCGGCGAACATGGAGACCCTTTCGAACCCTGTCTCGGCTTGGAAGGCCCTTCTCAGTAACCACGACGACAACACACCGCTTCAGCCCCTGGACTCTCGCAAGTCCAAGCTCAGTGAAATCTCCAAGAAGCCTGGTAATACAGCTTACATCATTCCTCTTTCCACTATCGACTCTTCGTATGCTCTTCTTACCTCTCGCGGTCCGGATAGCTGGTCTCATCCCGATCTGCCTGCCCTCTTGGTTGCTCAGTCTTACCTCGATGCTGTTGAGGGTCCTCTGTGGGCAGCCGTCCGCGGTACAGGTCTCGCCTACGGCACTGGCTTCTCGCGTTCTACCGATGTCGGCCTTCTGACCCTTCGTATTTACCGCTCTCCCGATGCCTTCAAGGCCTTCCTTGCTGCCAAGACCGAAGTCAGCAACTATGCCACTGGCGTCACACCCTTCGACAAGTTCGCGCTAGAAGGTGCCGTCAGCAGTATCATCATGGGCTTCGCTGATGAACAGCCTACTATGGGTAGTGCTGCTGGTCTTTCGTTCGTCAACCAGGTCATCAGAGGTATTCCCAGAGACTGGAATGACAGTATGCTTGAGAAGGTCAGAAAGGTTACAGAAGATGAGATCAAGGATGTGCTCAAGAGACTGATCATGCCTATCTTCAACCCTGAGTCTACGAACTTGGTTGTTACTTGTGCTACTATCATGGAGGAGAGTCTCGTCAAGGCTTTCACTGATGCAGGGTTCAAGCCTGAGGTCAAGGCTTTGTCCGACTTTGAGGATGACTATGGCCTTGAGAACATTGACGGCGACGATGAGGATGAAGATGACGATGAAGACGATGGCAGTGAAGATGGTAGTGAGGATGGCAGCGAAGATGGTTCGTCAGGTGAAGACGAAGAGTAGACTGCTTCTAGAGATGCATATAGACGCCTTTCCACAATCTAATAGATGCACAAAATCTTTTGAAGAAAGAACGATGTCTGTTCGGGACTATCACGCTGCTGACTGCTTCCGAACATGAGTTGATACCTTGATCATTGCGATTCTCGCGGCTCAAGAAGACTGCCGTTGAGTTCAGGCGTAGCTACATGGCAATGCCCAAGCTTTGCTTGATCAATTGACGACCGCAACAAACCCGAAACCCGGCCCTGACTCATCTCAACCACATTGTATTGAAGCAGCAGCACAGAACCAGACAACAAATTAGATACTTGGCCTGTCCTTAGAAATCATCAAGCTCCTACTTCATCCAATCTCCCACGCTGGGAAAAAGATCAATCATAATATCCAATCAGTGGTCATCCCCCACCACCCGCCCAAAAAATACTTTTTTTTTGCAAAATTTCAAATCTCAAAATTTCTCGCGATATCATCCCTCCCTCCATACCTCTCTCTTCCTGCCAGCTTTTTCTTAAATCCCAAGATCGGGCGAAGAATGTGTCGAATGTTCAGGATGTACGTGTCTTACTGCCACTACTTGGGCCATGTCGTTGGATTTAGCTATTGGGTCGTTTTTGGGGGGGTTGCGTCAACGTGCTTTTCTTTGTCTTTTATGTAATGCCAACTTTTGCACTATGGGGTCTCCGCATGGGGGTGTTGACTTCACCTCGTGAATCATAAAAAGACGTGTACCGTGAAAGAAGGTGCACGAACGTGGCGGTGTGTAAGGAGGCTATGTGCATGATGCAGGCCACACAGACACAAGAGTGGAAGCACTGTCAGACCTGGAAGACGGAAGGTTTGAAAAGGGTAGCATGTTGTGTTCTATAATCTATATTCGTACATTATGCAAGATGAGAAAAGACGCTTAGATTCCAAATATGCCTTTTGACTTTTGTATCCCCAAATAAATGCAAGCTGTCCGGCTAAAGTGTGACACAAATGATGTATATGTACAACGTGAAGATCTGTGAACGGAAACTTAAGCGGTATGCTCAGCAGAACCACTTGTAAGTCTTCTTCCAAGCCGGCCACTGAGCCTGCTCAGCTCTCTCCTCTGCAACAAGCTCAGCAATATTAAGCTCGCGGATTCCAGTGTGGAGATCCATATTGTGACTGCGAATGAAGGGTGTGCGTTTCCAGATCTTGTAGACGACGTAGAAGATGATAACAACAGGAGCAGCGAGGTAGACCTCGAAGAAGCTCTCGACCAGCTCGCCAGCAGTCATGTCAGCGTAACCGATAGGTGCAAAGCCGGTCCAAAATTGCGCAATGAGAACGAGGCAGTTGAGCAGGAAACCAATCCAGGAGCCAATGATACCGGCTTGAGACTTGAAGGCCAATTCGTCGAGGGTGTGGCCCTGAACCTTCCAGCCCTTGCGGAAGCGGATGTGCGCGAGACAGATGCTGCCCCAGGTGAAGATGGAACTGAGACCGGAAAGGGCGAGCATCCAGTTGAAGGCATCGGTTTGCTTGTCGGATCCAGCGAGGAAAGCAAGGAAGCCAAGAACAGAAGCAATGGCGATGGAGACGATAGGACGACCCTTGCGATCAATGTAACCAAGAATCTTGGGGGCCTGGCCTTGATCGGCAAGTGCGGCAAGAGTACGCGATGAGCCATAGATGGAAGAGTTGCCGACGGAGAGGACGGCAATAAGGATGACAGCGTTCATGACAGAGGGCAGGCCATCGATACCAGCGTTAGTGATGGCAATGACGAAAGGACTGGCCTTGGCGTCAGCACTGCTGGAGCCGTTGAGCAGACGTGGGTCGTCGTAGTTAACCAGAAGACCAACGAGTGTTAAAGAGACGAGGTAGAACAAGAAGATTCTCCAGAAGACTTGCTTGACAGCGGTGGGCAAGGACTTGCGAGGGTTCTCGGTTTCGGCTGCAGCAAGACCGACCAATTCGGTTCCAGCAAAGGCGAAAGCCGCGGTTACAAATACACTACAAAGTCCCTTGAAGCCGTGGTTGAAGGCGCCGGGGTCTGAATACATCGTCAGCAGTGTTCGTGTGAATGAGAACTGGTTGCACGTACCGCGCCAGTTCTTTCCGCCAATAAATTCTCCGTTAGGACCGCCGCCAACATCAAGGATGACACCGAGGATGATAAAACCAACAACAGCGATGACCTTGATGATAGAGAAGACAAACTCGGCTTCACCATATCCCTTGACACCGAAAAGGTTGATACCAATGATGACGAACAAGAAGATGGCGACCCACGCATTTGGGTTGATCGAGTCATTCCAGTACTGAATAGTAATAGTCGCGGCGACAATTTCCAGGGGCAGGACAACAAGCCATTGTAGAGCGTAATTCCAACCCATAGCGAAGCCCCATGCAGGGTCGAGGAAACGAGTCGAGTATGCAGAGAAAGATCCAGCGACAGGGAATAGAACAGCCATCTCTCCTAGAGCATGGACTGTGCAATAAAGCATGATACCGATAATACCATAGGCGATCAGTAGCGAGGCAGGACCTCCGTTGGCAAGAGCTGAACCAGATCCGACGAACAGACCAGTACCTGCATTGTGCGTCAGTAACAGTACATGATTAATGTATGCAAACTTGACCCACCGATTGAGCCACCAATAGCGATCATCTGCAGATGACGGCCCTTCAAGTGTCTAGACAGCCCAGACTCGGCTGTCGCTGCGTTTGCGGTTTCAACATCAAACACCTTTCCATCCGAACCGACTGTTCCCGGAGGTGTAGCGTGTGCGTTTGGGTCGCGCTTGAAGGAGTCGACGAAGCGTGCGGACCATGATCTGGGATGGTCATAGTTCTGGCCAACCTCTGTCGCAGAATCAGAAGGTGATGAGTATGCGCCAGGATTCGGAATGACACCTTTGGCGTCCTCCATGATTGTTGATGTTGTTGGTTTCTCCTAGTGGTTCTAGTAAGGGCTGTTTGTCGTATATGAGAAATGAAGAATAGAGAAGCAGGGTTAACTTGAGTATCGTGAATGCGACAATTGGACTCGCAAAGGTTGTACAAAAAAAACGAACTGCACCTCGGAGCGTGTCACTGTCCCTTATTTACGTCAAGGCCAAGGCCTGTAGGTTGAGAGTATGAAGACAATAGAGTTATGGTAAGCCTACCGTTTGTGGCTTGCGAGGCGCATGCTGATTAGCTGACATCCTGTCCGCTATCTAAATGCCATATCAGCGGCGCCACTACTTCTGCCGCTGTCGTAAAAAGAACTATGACCGAGTTTGACGAGGCGAGAGTGGGAAGATCTCGCGCCTGTGTAATGGTCACGAGTCGATTATACTCCACACAGATAGGCAGATGCGTTGTGCGACGATTTGGCTGACACATACATTTGACAGCCGGCTTCGAAAACACTGGGGGACTGATCGTCCACCGCGTCGAGACCTCGAGCCAACGGGTATCGTTATTTCCATGTCGGCTTCGGGTAAAGTCGCGACCAGAAGCCTCGCGGCCTCGATCATTCAAGCAACATATTTTTTAGCTCTTCTCAGTGACAGTTCTTGACTTGACTGATGTCTTTGGCAGCCAGCAAATCCTGATCCAGCGCCAGTCGTGTGCCACAAATTGATACCGCATGTGAGATGGTTCGGGTAGCAGACGTTTGCGCACCAATCACAGGAGTATTATTGAATCCTTCGCCGTCGCGTGTTGTGTGTCCAAGCGGCGAGCGGCCGAGTCTTCGAGAGGAGGTGGGCTTGTGGGGAACATGAGGGAACCCTGTCCGGGTCAAGTCAGCCGAGAGGCCAAGCTTCTGCTCGTGCTTGGTGGCTTTCGAGGAGCTGCAGTAAAAGATGCACAACATGCAAGGGAAACTCGAAATAGTCGTTGGACGTCAATTAATGGCTGAGACTATAGTCAGGTTGTGTATACGGGTGCGAGCATGGCCGTACAATGTTTGTGGTATCACACGAGGGACACAAGCAGGCTGGCCGACTCTTGCTGACTTTTCGTTGTTCGCATCGTCAATGATTTCTAGCAACTCAGGACGAGCTTATCAACATTGCTGCCCTAGGCTCTCTGGTGGACTGCCGCCCAGCTGTCGGAGGGAGGTATGGAGCTCCGGAGTCATCGGATCCCAAATCACGACCCTGATAACCTGAAAGATCATGCATCGGCTATCAGCTCATGCGCCATTACATTGCTTTTCCGCAGCTGGAAACGCGTCTTCTACTAGCTCGTCAATATCACGAATAAGCACAAGATATCTCATGATGTCTGCTGTGATAATTTGCTCATGCAAATACGTCTGAGAAATGATCCTTCGCGATGCCTATCGCGGCTTCCTTGGCCGTGAGATAAGGAAGGATTTGGCAGCCACTCATATCCGGACTCGAATGCCAACACTCTCAACCGAAGCTGCCGGACTACGAATGCTTGATCAAAGCTTATAACGATCTTCCATCAGGATCGATCATGTCATGCTCTTTCTGGCTTCTCGCAATCTCAACGTCGGTCGAGTGATTCTGCTGAGACGCGAATTGCAGCACTGACTATCAAGCCAACACACGTGCTACCTTCATCACAACCATAGTAAAGAGAATTACCATGCTACTTCATGACCATATCAAGCTTCAATGCCATGCTTGTTTAAAGGCTCTGGTCGGCCATCAGTATGCTCAATAGGCCTGATGCATCCGCCAAGACTATACAGAATATGCAATACGCGTTAGATACTTGAGCCACAAGTTATGCCTTCAAAAGGAAGATCTCTCGCGATTTCGCAATGGCTCGTATACATGTAAGTGGTATGCGTAAAGTCACAATGTAGCTGAGAGAATTACTCCGCGAATCATACAGAAGTCAGGAATGTTCTCTGGACCTTACAAAATATCACTTACAAGCATTACAACGCTGGCGTATTTAAGAAGTCGCACTCGTGTCTACCAGCTCAATGTTGGACAGCGTTCTTGCTTGTTATATCCCGGCGTCGGAACTTGCTCACCGCGTTCCGCTTGGAGTCATCGCAGCTCAGTGGAGAAGAGTCATCAGTAGCAAGTCGCATTCTTAGAAAAGCCCTGTTGGACCCTCGACGTTAAGGATGCATGTATGCTCCGAAACAAACACCGTCTTGATCAACCACGTCTCTTTATCTTCTTCAGTCTTAGGAATACCTTTCGGTCGATCCACGTCCTGTAACCGCGATGATGAAGAACAAGCAGGCCACAAAGGCACAACAATTCTCAGAGGCTAAGAAGATAAAGTCAGAAGCAAACGACGAGAACACCTATGTGCGTACAAGACGAACTACAGGCAACACGATATTCTACTTCTTCAAGGACGACGAACAGCCATATGGCTTCTTCTGCCAGTGGTACCGATGCCACTTCACTCTGGCCTCGAGTTCAACTGTACCGAACAGTGGATGATGTAGAACAAGGCAAAACTCGCTGGTGACGCGGTACCGGCAAAGGTCATAATGGCAACGACATCTCCTCGCAAGCAAAAACAGCTCGGTCGCGAGGTTGAGGGTTTTGATGTCGAGGCTTGGGACAAGATCAGGTTGGATGTTGTTGAGCAAGGCAACTATCTCAAGTTCACACAAGCGACTAATGTTGCCTCGATGAAGATGGGGGATGTTGGTGAGCCTGTGCCCCTCAAAGATTTATTGCTGGCTACATGCGAGCGAGAGCTGGCAGAGGCTTCAAGATTCGATCGTGTCTGGGGCATTGGCTTCGATGCGCAACAAGCGTCGACCACACCTTACGAGAAGTGGGGCGAGAATCTTCTCGGAGTGGCTCTCATGAATGTTCGGGAGAGGATCAGAGATGAGACAGATCGACAGACCGCCGAGGAGGCATAGTTGGCGCACGATATGGTCAGTAGAACTAAACACAGTAGATTGTGACTATCGATCTTGTTGCTGATACCATGAACTGCTGCTCCCCAATTTCTTTCTGTGTTATAGGTCTCTTTGCTCTGACGACAACAATCAACCCTCGTAGTAGTCCCCTGGCTGTATTGCTTGAGAACTTTTTTGTAGGTCACCCCCGAGAATCCAGTAGCCGTCAAACCTCATTCCTACCTGCTGGACCAAGAGCATCCTGGCACGGTCCACTACCACCGACTCAGTCGCTTCGAGTAAGCAATGTATGTGTCAGAACTCGGACCTTGAAACATGTTGCATCGAAAATGCCATAACGAGCACTCCAGAAGAATCTATCAGCAAGATTCTGACGCTTTTGTAGATCCTGGCCAGGAAACCCACATCATCGTTGAGAGGCATGATCAACGATCCCGTGACTAGGACCCATGCACGAAATGGCATTTGATTTTCTCGGACAAGTGTGAAAACACACCCAGGGTCGGCAGCTTCTGGTGTTGCTCGCTGACTGTGACTGCAAAGCTTGTGGCGGCGCTCGAGAATGTTTGGAGTCATTGACTTCTACGGTCATACAGCACGACAGGTTGGAGGGCATAAGGATGAAAATCATGGATAACACATCCATCTTTAGCTTCGCTTCGCCTCAGACTCACAGAAAATAAACATGGCTGTCAAAATGCAGGATCATGATTGTTTATTCGAACCTTACGTCTGGAGCTTGATCGCAAGCTCGCGTCAAGAAAGGTAGGAGGCGCATGTCGATGGCTACTTCCTCCATCATGCTGGTTGATCGTCTAATCAGCTGCGGAACTGCATAGTCAAAAGTGCCTTTGGAGTCGACGCGGTCGGAGAGTCCAACTTTGACCAGTCGAGGAAAGAACCACCATCACCTTCATTTTCCATCTCAATCACAAACGCGTTTCTTTCCTTTCACCTTCCCTTCATTGCACCATCACTCGGTCATCACACATCGCTCAGTCGGCAGCGTTTTGCGGTTTACTTCCACCTCACTTCAGCTTCGCCGCTGTCTGTTCATCACAATGTCAACACCGTCCAAATCCGGAAACATGGCATTCCACAACGGTGTCCAGAAGCGTTCGGCTGGTACTTCTCACTGCACGCATTTCACCGACACGACTAACGCGCTTGTTTAGCAAAGCCCCATACCCCACCCACGCATGCTATCGATGGCCTGCTCGCAGCTCTCGGAGATGACGCTCTTCTAATCAAGAAAAAGCACGATCGCGACGCACCCACCAAGCTGGAAGTCTACCATGCATATATGAGCTATCTTGAGGATTCATTTGCAACAGACGTTGCTGTTCCCGCGCCCTCTCTGGTACGGAACGTCAAGACCGAAGTCGACAGTGGCGCACTCCCTTTCGTCGTGAAACACGAGTCACGTCTATCCAACCTCTTTCCCGAGGTTAAGATGGAAGACATCGAGGTCATTGACCTCTGTAGCGATGCCGAAACCGACGATGGCCTGAAGCAAGAATCTCGAAGCAGAGTCAGTAGCATCTCTAATACGAGTTTCGAACATGATCAACGCTCTCGTGTGATCAGCGGCAAGCGTAGGCTTGACAAGGAAACTTATACGAAGGTTATCAGGGGAGAGCGCCCTGAGAACAAGATAAAGTCTGACGACGTGGTTCAAACAAGTGAGCACAAACGTCCAACCCAGGCTAGAATCCGCGCCATGGCCAGAAAGACATACAAGGCTTGCAAAAACGGCCACTTGAATGGCCTCACGTCTCGAAAACACTTCGAAGCCATACTGGAAGAGGCTGACCGCAAGGATTATCTCGGATACGTTGGCCGTATGAAGGGACTGGAAGGTTTTGACTGGACCAACCCTCATCGATTATCTTTGTTGGTGCTAGCCGCTTCCACCCTCTCTCGATCGGACGAGCAAGAGAAGCAACTCCTCGACGACCTGGGGGCCTTCAGAAAGCGCTTCAATGTCCGGCAGTATCTCGCTGAGACCTTTCCCATCAGGCACCCAGAAGCTCACGCAGCCAAATTGGCGGCTGAAGAAAAGTCACAGGCCGATTGCGTACTTGCAATCGACAAGCAGCAGAGGAAGCGCGAAGAAGATCACAGCAACTAATCGACAGAAAAGTCGAGCTTCCAACAGTCGGTGTCCAGTGGATGAGAGACAGTGAAGAGAAAGAACGCAAGGCAAACCTGGAGAAGATGAGCATCGACACTAGGAGATCTCTTGCGCCTCCGTGTTTGGTCACAAAGCGTGAATCGGTTCTGATCGAGAGACTGGCAATGGAGGATCGCACTCCTGTTTGTTTGGAGGAGTTTCGAGTCTGGGCTGGAACACACATGACATTGGACGAGACGGAGGAATATAATCGCATACTGTGGATCTCAAATAGCAAGACAGCGACTAGCTCGATGCTGGAAGTGGGTCCCGGGGTCAATTGCAGCATTTGTTGTCTTGAAGCTGATCGGATGAGAGATCCGGTGTCGGTCTCGGGGACCTCGTTTGTCGTTGTTGATGACCACGACCGCAGAAAACGAGTCGTCAAAGCAGACTGGGCGTGCTTGAGAAGTTTTTAGCTGGAGTATTGAACAACATGACAACTTTGTCTTCTCTCATCTTTCGTCCATCAAATCTGTTTCTGTGTCAATCATACACAACACAAGGAGGCAAGACCAAATCACAGTTGATCATTGTGCATCATGACGTCTGCTCAAAACACCATCATGTCGATGTCTTGAGAGTATGCTCTGCCCCTTGACTCCATGATACTTAAATTGATAGTCCGAGTAATATTAAACAGTCCGAGTAATGTTGGATAGTCCGAGTAATATTTAGATAGTCCGAACGATCATTTATCTTGGCAGTCAAAGATAATCCAAGTAAAGTCAAACAACTAGACTCTTTTTAAGAAGAAAATCAAAATGGTCCGATGATCTGAGTCCAGGATGAAAAATGAAGAGAGTCCAAATATTCATGTGAAAAAAAAAAGACCATGATCATGCAGTTAGTCTCCCTGATCACACAGTTCAGTCCGGGGGGGGGGGGGGACATGGGTGGTCAAAGTTGCATAATAGTAAGAAGTGATGATAAAAAAACACAGTTTATGGTGAAATTGGATAGTTCGAGGTTAACTTAGATAGTCCGGGGGGCGAATGAACAATCTAAGGTCAAGACATGAAGTTCGAGGAAATATAGATTGTCCGAGTTATAAAGTCCGAGGAGAGAAGAAAGTCCGAGGAGAGAAGAAAGTCCGAGTGCAATTCAATAGTCTGAGATACCAATGAACAAGTCCGAGATGCCATTGAACAAGTCCGAGATGCCATTGGATAATTCCGGGTAAACGGGGATAGTCCGAGTGGAATAGATAGTCCGAGATGAACCAAAGAGCGAGAAAGTCCGAGCATGAAACGTGGTGACGAGTGTAATCGACCAAGGTCGGGGTCAGAAGCAGAAAGGATGGTGCAAAGTGAGACGAGTGGGGGAATGCTGCAGAGGTTGAGACCCCGAGGAATACATTCATGAGAAAGACACTGACATGTTCTGGCGAGATGTATGCTAGAGCTCTAGCTTGAGGTGTGATTGGAAGAGATAGAAGCTATACTGTAATAGTTATTCCAAGCTGAGTAGTTGATCATTGGTAGCTTTGTCACAATTATATGTTTTGATATCCTACTATCAAGCCCATCCACCGCCTTTACCGCCAAAACCACTACTCTCCTCCACAGGCTTCCTATTACCACCCCTCTGACTCTTCTGTTGCGCCGCCTCATGCTTCCTCAACTCCTCTGGAACCCTAGAGATAGCACTCTTACTAAGCATTTGTTTAAGATCATAAAGCACATCGTTATCCTCATTGCCCAGGAAAGTGATCGCCACACCAGACTTTCCAGCACGACCGGTACGACCAACGCGATGAGTGTAAGATTCGATATTGTTGGCCATGTTGAAATTGACAACCAGAGATACATCAGGGACATCGATACCACGACCCGCGAGATCGGTGGCGACGAGGACTTCTGTTTTGCCTTCGCGGACGGATAGCAAGGCTGCTTCTCTTTGCTCTTGTGTTTTTGAACCGTGCAAAGTGACTGCCGAGTAACCCATTCGTTGAATGTCTTTTGCAACAGCGTCGCAATTTCTCTTGATGTTGACGAATACAATGATGGGAGGTGCGAATTCTCTGCTGCTGAGGATTTCTCGGAGACGGTTCTTGCGCTTGTCTTCTCCAGCGACGAATTCGACGCGCTGTTCGACTGTGTCAACTGCTTCACCCACGTTTCCGATTGTCACAATGGCAGGACGACGGAGGTATTTTCTGGCGATTCGTTCAATGGCTGCAGGCATAGTGGCCGTGTACATCATAGTCTGTCTGTAACGTCCTCGTTCGCCAACATGCATTTGCATGGCCTGACTGTTTTCTGCTTCTTCGGTATCTGGCTTTTCGTTGCCTACCGGAAGGGCGTCGAGGATCTTGTTGACGGATTCTTCGAAACCGAGATCAATCATTCGATCGGCTTCATCCATGATAATGTAGCAGCACTGTGAGAGGACGAGGACGCGGCGCTCGATACAGTCGACGAGACGACCGGGAGTTGCGATGATGATCTCAGCTCCATTGCGCAGGTTGTAGGCTTGTTCTTCGATCGAGTGACCACCAACAATCGAGACACAAGTGAAGCCTAGTGGAGTTGCGAACTTCTTTGCTTCAATCTCGATTTGTTGTGCCAGCTCACGGGTAGGTGCAAGAATGATAGCATACGGACCATCGTTCTTGGTGAGTTCATTCAAAGCAGGCAGTTCGGAAATGTAGACCAGAAGTGGCAGGAGGAAAGCGGCAGTTTTACCGGAACCAGTCACGGCAACACCGATCAGATCACGAGCTTGGAGAGCAACAGGAATGGCTGCTCTTTGAATTGGCGAGGGATCCGTGTAACCGACTTGATCAATGACTTGCAAAAGTCGGTTGGGTAGACCAGACTCTTGCCAGTAACGCATAGGATTCGGAATGGCACCACCCTTTGTGCCAATGTTGAAGTCTTCCTTGAAAATGCGCCAATCTCTCTCGCGCATTTGGGTAAGTTGTTTTGTGCTCCAATGCTGCTCGATACCGTTGCGACTCTCGTATTGTTTTTGACGTTCCTTCATTTCCAGCAGTTGCTGTGCACGTTGCTTGCCAGTTTCCGGGTCACGCTCCTGTAGCAGTTTGGCGTATTTTTCAGCAGCCGTCTCATCTCCATCAGCATAACCACCCAATCTCGCGGCAGTGCTAGCTCTGTCCTTGTACAGCGGATCAGTGTTTGCACTCGTGTCTTCCTCGGCGTTCCAGTCAAAGTTGAACTTCTTCTCGGTAGTTCTCTTGCGCTTCTTCTTCGCGGAGAAATTCGATTGGTTCTGTTCGGCTCCCATGTAGCGTTGTCGAATCGAGGCCTGGGCGGTCTCTTCCGGGGTGAGTTTCTTGACGGTTTGGTTGCCGCTGATGATGGCGGTCTGTTTCGGCGGAGGTGGGGGGGCCATGTCGTAGCCTCTATTGTGCTGATCCTTGTTCCTCCAACCCGACGGACCGGACGGTGGTTGACCTCCTCGTTGACTTCTGGGACCAGTGGGAATGGCTGGACGGCCGTCCATGGATCGATGTGAGCCCGTGTTGACCATGCCATGTACTCCATCAGGCTTGGAGAAAGTGTCGCGTTCGACGTCTGACTTTTTCTTTGCATCTGCAGCTTCCTTGTCCTTCTTCTCCAGAGCCATCTTTTCTCGCTCGGCACGCGACAAGAACTTTGGCTTCATGGCAGCAGCATCTGCGGCCTTCTTCCTTGCCAGAATCTCCTCAATGTCCAGCGGTTGGCTCTTCGGTTTGGCAGTGCCCCATCCCTTTTTCAGTTTCTTCGAGGGCACCATTGAGGGACCGAGTTCTTCATCGTTGGCATGTGCAGCTGGTGGAGGAGGCGGCACATCGGCGACAGGCGGCGGCGGCATGGCGACATGTTCTGAGGGAGGTGGAGGCGGCGGTAGATCTGATAGAGGAGCAGGTGGAGGCGGCGGTAGATCTGATGGAGGAGCTGGTGGAGGATCCATAATGTCTTGTATGCGTGTGTTATGGCGAGAAGGCCAAGAGGAGGAAACGAACAAGACTACTTTGATGATTCGCATGTGATTCGCAGCTGCCCGCAAAAGCTTCGATGCGGCGTCGTCATTTCAAACATGCTCCTTCTTTCCACGCGACACCAAACACAACATGAGTGGCGCATTGGGTCTGGGAGGCTACTCGAGCAGTGAAGATGAAGACGAGTCTGTCACGCCTGTCAGCAAGTCGAATCAGGTACAGCCCGTCTACACCTGGCCGCGCAAAAGGACGGAGCGCTGCTAATCAAAGCCCACGCTAGGCCGTCGCAAACAAGACCATGGGAGAATCCCTGCCTAATGCTGTTTCGTGCATGTCTAAATCTATCAATTACGTCTTGTACACTCTACTGATAATCTTACAGCATCCTCGCAACATGCAGCTCCCACCATGGTCGTCGAATCCACCACCGAACCACAATCACAACCAGAACCACAACCACAACCACGACCCACATCTACTGCCATACAAGCGCCTGCGCCTGCGCCTGAACCCACCCCAATTGGTCCAAGCCTTGGTCCTGTCGCCGGTCCAGCGGCTGGGCCTTCACCCATGCCAGAGCCCAGCCCGCTCGCAAACGAGAGTGGAGAGGAAGGCGTATCGGCGCCGCCATCACCATACACTGCCAGTCGACTCATGATAAGAAACCTCACCATGCCGCCTGTGCCGAACTTCCAAATCCCTCCTTCGCCCCCAGGCTCGCCGCCACCCGACACAACAACAAAGTTTGCAAGATTTCTCGACTTAAAGAAAAAGGGCACACATTTCAACGAACGTCTATACCACTCTTCGGCACTACGCAATCCTGGCCTCTTGTCCAAGCTCATGCACTTTGCCGGAATCAGTCAGGAAGACCAGTACGCTACTCCGTGGTCGCAAGGTGTTGTTGCGACTCAGTTTCCAGAATGGGCCTATGGGGACAAATTGGTTGCCGCGCATGAGAAGATAGCAAAGAAGAAAGAGCTGGAAAAGGCAAAGACTCCGAGAGAGGCGGTTGATTTTGTACCAGCAAAACAGGAAGCGACCGCTTCAACATCCGGAAGAGTGGAGAGGAGAAGTCAAGGCAGACGAGGGCTAGGCTTCGACAATGAACGACGCCGATCTCGTTCGCCTAGATGAAGAGATGAATCACAGACCCCAGAACTTCTCTGCCCTCATCTTGACTCCCTCCCAGCTGTTCAGCTTGGGTCGCACATCGAGGTAGAAGTTGAGGGATTTGCCAGGCTTGCCCTCGTTCTTGCCCGCGTAGAAGTCGATGACATAGTCAATGTGGGTGCCGCAGCGGTCGACGATCCAGTCGTGTCTGTCGAATGGCTTGGAGTAGCCCAGGATGGAGTTGAAGCGAGCTCGGGGCGTCAGTTCCTTGGACTGACCCATGAAGGACACGAGGCGGGGGCCACCACATCTGACAGACCAGTTAACTCGGCCAGCAAGACATGTAGCAGTATATATGAACTCACGCTTCGGAACCTCTGCCCTTTTCCCAAGCCTTGATCTCTTTCCAGGCCTGCTCATTCACAGCGTTGTGAATGGGCACAATGGTGCGCATGTCGGCGGCATCAGGATCGTAATTCTTGCGCTTCATGGCGTTGAAGAACATTTCCTCGGACGGATAGATCCAGTTTCCACTCTTCTCATCTACTCCTGACTCTTGCTCGTTGTTCGCAGGCGTGTGGGTGTTGACAGCGGCATCGTGGCCTTCAGCAGACACTGCTCGTGGGATAGTCGAGATCTCGCGGAAGGTGTCGAGGGCACCACGTTGGGCAGCCGACATCATAGCCATATTCTTGGGCAGAATGGCCAGCCATGCACCATGATCGAGAGAGAAGCGAGTCTGGATAGGGACCTGACGGAGGTCATGAGAAGCGTCAGTGGCTATCGGCGGCGTGGGCGTTGCTTGCGGCGGCGGTGCTGTGGCTTCCGGTGCTTTGACCTTTTTGGCCTGGTCTAGCCATGCCTGCCGGGTTTCGTGGTCGACTGGACATGCAGTGGCATCGGCTGCTCCTTCGGACATGTTGGGCGTGGTGGTGAATAGAATCTTGATTGTCACATGTCGAACCAAAAAGTGCAAGTTTCCATGACGGGGACGGGAGACGGCGGGCATCGGGCGTCGGAGCGGAGACTTGGCACTCCGCTCAAGCTCCCCGTCGGGCGCGTCACTGCGCTTGACTTGCAAGCAGCTGGCGATACTCACAGCAGACATACAATCAATCATCCGACTCATCAACTCATCAACTTCCTACCGCTCGCTCTAGCTCCTCGTTCTCTGCAGCCGACTATTCCCACCTCATACTCACAACCCACGACTTCATCATGAACCACTTCCCTCACGGCTGGGGCAGAGTAAGCTCCGTCTCCCACAGTCCATCTGCTGCTCCATACTGATGCTCTGCGCAGCCTAGAGACGATGTCTACGGCGCGTACGACTACTCACACTTTGGTGCTCAAGACCACGCAGGTCCCATTCAACATACTCAGTCACCCATCGTCACCGGTACCTCGGTCATCGGTCTCAAATACAAGGACGGTGTTGTCATCGCCGCCGACAACTTAGGTATCAAGGCCTCTTTCACGCCCTCGCACAATACCGTCTCTAACACTTTCCCAAAGCTTCATACGGTTCTCTTGCCCGTTTCACCGACGTCAAGCGTCTGCGCGTCTTCAACAAGCTCTCCATCGTCGGCTTTGGTGGCGATGTTTCCGACATGCAATATCTCGATCGCCTTCTCGGTACCCTGAACATCAACGAGAACTATCAATCATCAGACGATGCCACCCTGCTCTCTGCCAGCAACCTCCACACCTATCTCAGCAAAGTCATGTACAAGCGTCGCTCCGATTTCAACCCTCTGTGGAACGCCATCCTGGTCGCAGGTCTTGATGACAAGAAGAAGCCCTTCCTGGCTAGTGTCGACCTTCTCGGTACTACCTTCAGCGCCCCGACACTTGCCACTGGTTTCGGTGCCCATCTCGCACAACCTATTCTCCGCCGCGCAGTGCCCGATGAGGAGGCAGCATCAAAGCTGACCAAGGAAGAGGCCGTCGAGACCATCAAGGAGTGCATGAAGGTCCTCTTCTACCGTGATGCAAGGAGTTTGGATCAATACAGCATTGCCGTCATCGACGGTCAGTCGGGTGTCGATCTCAAGGAGTCCGAGAAGCTGGAAAACCAGAGCTGGGCTTTCGCAGAGGGCATCAGAGGTTACGGCACCCAGACGCAATAGAATAATTCAGCATCACGACATGAGAGGCGTTTATCTTCTTCCTTTAGCATAAGGGGCCTGAGCTTTATGTATACTACTACGAATCCACACGCACGCTTGAACGTGCGATACCCTTCCACTACTACCTTTTTGCCTAAACAGGAAGACATTTGTTTGAGGTCGCCATCTATTCCACTCTGTCTTTTCGACCCTCACATCTGGACATGGTTACGCAACTTTGCAGCTCTCCATGATCGGTCCTCGAAGAGAAGAGAGAGATGACGCCGAACTTTAGCCACAAAAGTCGTACCCGTTCTTCGCCCGTCTCGCGAGTCATTTTCTCGTTTCACATCAGACAATCTGTTACAGTACCTTGCATCCTTCCAATAAACCACCCTTCTCGAGGCTCGACATTTCTGACATTCGTCGAATCGCTGTAATTGCGCGAATGCTGTTTCCAAGTGAGACTGTCTTTTGTCCTTGATCACGACCACTACATCGAATGAGTGTTCGATGTCTCGACCATGACACTTGTGACAGGTACTATGAGGACTCCTTATCCCAAGGACCAGGACCAGGTCGAGAGATGTGCTGCCCCGGACTTTGGAAGCAGGTTCACGAGGTCTTTTGTGTCTGATCACTTTTGCAATGGTCTTACATTGGTACTTGCGTGACCACTAGCCAACAATGATCTTGCGATCTCTTTTCTGTGAGTTGCGGCTTCTGCCCTTTTCCATGTGCCTCACTCTTGGTCGCCACGATGGTAGGCCTTATTCCTAGTACCACTCCTTGGTAGGTTTCGTTGCAAGATGATACATCGGCCGAGAAGCGAGCTCAATTTTTTGACAACCACCTAATGTCACCAAGGGTCTTTTTACTACCATCCCATGGTGGTGGTCTCTTTTCCTTATATCCTTCTATACGAACATCTTTTCTCGTTTTCGCTGTCGAACCCTTTTTTTCCTCGTGATCCCCAGACGCTGAGAGAACGACGACATGGCAATGAGCGATCCTCGAACTACACCAGCCAGACCGGCACCATCAGGACTTACGAGCAATCTCGTCAACCCGCATAGCACTGGATATCAACAAACGACATGTAATATTCTCTGTCTGATTTTCGTCACCATGTTTGTGGGCATGAGAATCTACACACGGATCAGACTTGTCAAATGTGTCAGCTGGGATGACTGTAAGTGTAGCGAATGGGTATCTTGGAGACGCGAAAAGGGTATTGATGAGAAGATAGATCTTATTATACTGGCTACATTGGTGTTTTATGCCGATGCGGGTTTGTTTCAATATATTGTCAAAGTGGGCTTGGTGTGTATCCTTCCCCCCTCCCCTCCCCTCCTCTCCCCTCCCCTCCCCTCCCCTCCGCTCCTTGCCTCATACTTGGACGTGTTTCTAACATGACAGCAGGGTAGACATCTATGGGACGTCAGTGCCGCAGACTTTTCACCAACTTTTTTGGAGGTATGGACGTTTGCAGCCATGATCTATTCGGTGTCGATGTTGTTGATCAAAATGTCGATTTTGATGTTGTATAGGAGATTGTTTCCGATCAACAACTTCAAGTATCTTTGGTGGGTTTGTGCTTTTTGTACGGTGGGGTATGGGTTGGGTGCTCTTTTTTCGAGTTTGTTTGCTTGTGTGCCTGTGAGGGCGAATTGGTGAGTTGTACTTTGTTGACATGACAGTGACGTGGAGCTAACGTTGGACATAGGGATTTGAATATTGAGCCTACGAGGTGTATCAATAAGAAGGCATTTTACATTGGTAATGGTGTGATGAATATCTTTAGTAAGTCTTATGACATACTCACCTTGTTAATGCAAAGAGCTAATGATGTCACTCTAGCCGACCTTTTAATCTTGTGTCTCCCTATCCCCATCGTCTGGAGGTTGACTCTCGAGTTGAGACAGAAGATTATCCTCAGTGTCGTCTTTACACTAGGTTCAATGTATGTTGTCATTTCCTTCCACTTGACACTTTATGATCTATCATCGCTGACCCTCTTACCATAGCTCTTGCGTCATCAGTCTAGTCCGCCTCCTCAGCATCATAACCTGGATCCACGTAGGCGATGCAGACATAACCTACACCCTCCAAAGCATAGTAGCCTGGTCGTGCGTTCTCCCCCCTCTTCCCTTCCCTCCCCTCCTCTCCCACCACTAACCCCCCCTCCCAGTGAAATCGAACTAGCAGCCTGCATAATCTGCGCCAACGCACCCTGTCTCCGCCCTTTCTTCACCACCCACCTCCCCTTCCTATCTCTATCAGCCAACTCCGCATCCACAGCACCTTCCTCCACACACCCCCACCCCACCACAATAGGAGGCAAGAGATCGAGAGCAATCTCACCATATCCAAATGATATGGATGCAATCTTCGACGGCACCCAAGACGTTGAACTCGAGAATTATGATGTGGAAATGTGTGCTTCTTCTTCTTCTTCCCCTGAAGAAGTGCATAAAAGAGGCATAACCACAAAACACTCTTATGCAAAACATGGCTATAAACCATCTACAGGGAACATGACGATTGTTTCTGTTTCCAGAACTGGAGGGCAAGGAGGAGGGATCAGTAGAGTGGGGAGTCGAAGGACTAGTTCGGACGAGGATAGCTGTAGTGGGAAAAGTGTTGTTTTGATAGGGAGACAGGGGAGCTTGAGGAGTATTGGGGAAGAGAGGAGGGGGAGGGGGATGGGTAGAGAGGGAAGGGGAGAAGAAGAGGAAGAAGGGAGGATTGTGGTGCATACTACTTATCAGGTACAGACTGTTAGGGAGGATGTTTGAGAGGAAAGTGGATGGTGATGGGAAATCTTAATGTCTTCTAATGATAAAATTGGTGTGGTATAAAACACACTTTCTGAATATGCTTGTGCCGACCTTGTTGTTCTGTAATGTCGACTGGAAAGAGACGCCTCTTCACACCGAGTACCCAAGCCAAAGTCTATCATCAAACAATATTAGAAAAGTCAATAGGTCAGTCATGATATGTTTGAAAGGTCAAAATGCCAGCTTTTGATTGTCGTGTCTAATTCATAAAGTCGCCTCTTCTCCATTGCAAATCTAAGAAGTACCAGTGCAGCCGACGAAGTTGTTTCCAGATGCTCCGGTGTGGGTAACGGTACCAGCCCATTGACCCTTGGTATTGAAGATGACTCTGTCTGCGCCAGGGGAGCCACCGGTGAAAACACCGCTTGTCCTGATTTTCACATCAGTAAGATGTTGTACCACCAAGCGTATGTCGTGGGAACTTACTTCAGAGGGAACTCCTCGTAGGGGCCAGCGACGGGGAAATCAAAGCCTTCGTAGTTGTTGTACTTGTGGGGGTAGTCGTTGCTGCCGTAGGTGCGGCCGGCTTGGTAGTCACCGTAGCCTGCATTTACGGCTGAGCGGACCTGTGCGGCAGTGTAGCTGGTGCTACCGCAACGGGTTGCTTGTTGGCGAGCCTCGAGATCGGTGGGGAGGGCAATGGCAGAAGCCGCAAACAGCACGGCAGTGGTGAAGATGGATTGGAAGAGCATCTTGTCTGGTTCTTGCAAGTGTCAAGATAGGGGATGGTAGGGGTAGGAGCGAATGTATGGTCGAGTACTCGAAAGCGAATGAAGAGTTGTGATGAACCTACTGCTCTCTTGCTCTGGAGAGGACAAGCCGATATTTAACTTCTTACCTGTGGGTGATATTGTGGGTATCCAGCCATCCGAAGACCATGTGCCTCGTTCTCACCATCTTATCGTCCATTGGCGAGGGCACGAAAGTAACTTCCATCTTAGCGAGAGGTGCGCTGGTGATAGTCCATAGCAGTTGTTGTGCAGCAATAACGACTTCACATTCCCTCCAATCGCAGATACCACTCGGGTATTCCATGCATGCAGCAGTGGCAGCAGTGCACATCAAACCGGGGGATTTCAACAGCGGTCAGAGTTTACAACAAAGTGTCGTGCATTCATGCCTTCCTGATGCAGTAATCGCCCTGAACATCTAGTCTGTTACAGCCGAGGTCCCCGAGGAGCGAGTCTTGTACGAGTGGGCGACGAAGTCAAACAACCAATGATCTGCAGATAAGAAAGCACGACTTGGGGATCACAAGTCATGTTTCGGCCGAGTAAACTTGGATGATTGGTAAAGAAGGAGAGAAGAAGTTGTGATTTCTCCGCTCTCTCCTGGATGATCGACGAGGCACGAAGGCACGGGCCGCGTGTGTTATCCTTGGCGTGCGGGCGAGGTGCTCTCACCGTCGGACGTCGCCTTTTGTGTTTGTAGGCTTCTTACACTATCAGCCAATGATAAGGACCATGTGGGAAGCGCATACGGGACCTGCCTTGTAGGTGACGGGTTAGTAAGGCTCGAAGATCATACCGACTTCGTATCAACAATGCTCAAGTCTTGGAGCTCGAGGCAGGGCAAGAGCACAGGAGACTGGAGTTGCCGTCTTCAAACATTCATCCGGTGTGCCGGTCATTCGTCACAGGTAGGTTTGAGAGACCGAGAAACAACAGGGAAGTCGCGGTAACGAACACATTTCCTCTTTCCGAACACGTCCTATGCAACTACGCTTCTTGAGAGCTTTTACTGCCTACACACGTTCTGTTCTGTCACATTCACAAAGACACTCCTACCAGCACACATACCGCAGTATGGACATTTCATCCGACATCACCAAGTGTGAGACGTACAAGATCCTCTCGTCATATCTGGCCAGTCCCGATAAGACGGCCGACACTTTGGACAAATTTACAGCTCAAGCCGAATCGTCGCTCTCGGACGACAAGCTTGAGACAAATCTACGCGCTTCATGGAATAGCATCCTGCACCTCGCTTCTCAACAGTCATACTCGTCAGAAAAGCAGGACTCTCTTGTCAAGCTACTTCAAGCCCTGATCACGCAGGCTCCCGCGCCTGAAGACAGCAAAGGAAAGGAAGTCGAGGTCGATGGAACTAAGGTCTGGCAAGGTCTCCCACTTTTTGGCCAGCAAGTGCGCGAATGTTGGAACTTCCCAGACGACAAAGAGGTGGACACACAGACCAGAGACACATGGATCAACGTCAATGCCTTTGTTGCTCGCTTGACTGCTGCTGCCGTCAACGAGCACGGTGGTGAAAGACCTGGCTACAATGCTCTCGACTTTTCTCTGTACGGCATCTGGAGCTTGAGAAGTGCTTTTGAAGAGGAACTGTCAAATCTGCCTGGCAAGACGACAGTTGATGCTTCGCTTGGTGCTGCGGCGGTATGGATACTCTATGCTGGTCCGACGCTGAAGGGTCTCTCGGACAGCGAAAAGAGCTTCAGTGGAAAAGTCGCAAAGCCTGGTTTCAACTGCAAAGACAAGGAGTGGAGAGGTTTCGCCAAGGAGAGATGGCAGCTTTGGGTAAAAGAGCTCGCTCAGGCAGAAGATAAGGTACAAGATGGGGGCATCAAGGACCTTGTCAAAAAGGCTGCCGGAGCTATGGAGCAATGAAAGTTGAAAACTTGTGGCTGAACATGCCCCTCAACACCATTGCAAGGAACAAATTTCGTACAAAGTAGCCTAGAACAATGGCAAAGATCCGCTTACCTCTCAAAGTGATCGTTCTCAATCTCGGAACTTTTTTCATACAGCACCTGCTTCCGACCAGCGTCACATTATTTTGTGTGACGAGATTAATTGCGTTAGGGCATCTCTTCCAACATTCATTCGTGTTCGGTTTCTCTAGTAGATGCACATCCCTCGTGTTGACTTTCGCTGTACAATAGGTGGATGTTGCCAAGATGATGGGAACGTTCGATGCCGAAGAACTCGATTGAAAACGAGACTACTTCCGAAAATATCGTTCTCAATGCTGATCTTGAAGGCTCCCAGTCGATGCCATCGTGGTGGTATCAACTAAACTCAACAAGCTTGCTTGTCATAGAAAGTGGAAAGTGTGCATATCAGGTTCTCGTGTTACCTCCTTTATTGTGAGTCACGTTGACAGATCTCTCTGTTTACAATCGTCTCGAGAGCCTTTGCCTTCCTACCAGGTCTAGGAGGGGCTTATTTAGTTCAATTAGACCATACTACCCTTCGCAAAGTGACTAATCCACTCAGCTCATGACTGGGCTTCGACGATATTTCCATCAATCACCACGGAACTGACAGTGGCCGATGTGTTTCAGTTCGGCCGGTTCATGGACTCCCAAAGTTCGGGAAGTATAATTCTATGCCTTGGGCCATCATAGCGAGAATTGCTCAGCCTCCACTCGGTAGAAGCAGCCGGGTATCCAGGTTCTGCTGTCCGCATTGCTGCTAGGATATCATCTTGCATGCTCATAAGCCAGGGGTGTACCGCGCCGACGTAGTCCTTGACTGTCACAAAATCGTTTTCAGGCGAAGGGCGGACTTCGAGCGTGAGGCCTTTTTTACCTAGTGGGCGGTCCTCGTTGCAGCAGTAGATAAGGATCTCTGTATCCGAGGGCTCATCCCAACTCCAAGTCCCGTCCTCTCGCATAGGGTCCTCTGCAAAAGGGCGCACGTCATTGTCAAGATCGCCGTAGGTGACAAATTCGCACTCGTCGTACGCTGGGTCGGCATGCTCCATATGCTGTTGCTCCCACTTACGGTCCCAAGAGTCCAGATTTACGAGAGATGCTTCGAGGTATGAAACTTTGGTGTTCGTGATTGCTTGCGAGGCAATTTCATGCCAATCTCCAGTCTCTATATTGAACAACGGTCGTAGAGTGCCAGTGTTTCGGTGAGGCTCTGTCATCACCGAAATGGCAGACGGGAATTCACCCCGAATTGGCCATATCAAACGTTCGTACGCTGCTGAGAAGGTTGGCGCTTTGTTGTTTTCTGTTTTGCGCTCATTGAATGTTGGATAAGGGGGTCCGTCTTCATTTCGAGTGTTTTGTGCTTTTGCCATCGTGTTAGAAAGCTATGGCATTGAAGAGGACTTGGTAACAGTTGATTGCAAAGCAGAGAAACAGCGAAAGCTCCGAGTAGCTAACAAGTTGTATAAGCGACGCCTGGTCTTTTGCGCTGCAGCCGAGCTAATCAGGTTGGAGGACTCGATTTAGCCGGGGCTACTTCAAAGAAACATGTTCCCAACAACCGCATCGGCAGGCTTCGAAAGGAAGCCATCGTGGTGGGATCAAAATCATCTATCAAGCTTGCATATTGTGGAGAGTGAACAAAATTGCATAGACTTTCTCGTCTTGTCTTGAGGACTACAAGATACGTTGGTATTAAACACCAAACGAAGACTTGGCTAGCTGATCACCGTTTTATCCACTGGCTTGCTTACTGTGTCTGCTCGTTGTACAGATAATTATCTTCTCATGAATTCCAACGCCGTCATTGGTTACACATGTAGCGTGGTATGCGCCTTTTTGACTCCTCGTTGCGGCGACACGACATTCCAGAGAAATTGTTACTTGGGATTCAGAGCAGCAAAAGATGCGAGGTGGTGACAAGCAAAAGCAAAACATACAGCAGCAGGGATTCCCACGTGGTCACCCACCGTAGTACTAATCTGCCGTTCAACTGCTTATGTATGGCAGAGCGGACGGGATGCCCAGTTTTCAGCTGACTGTGGCCGTATGTGCTTGTAAAACAATCTCAACTCAATACGTTAATCTTAGCGTTGATTGATCAAAAGGGCATCACTGATGAACTTGGGAAGCGTCATGCCTCCAGACTCCAGCGCAGCCACGCTCTCAGGTCCAGACTCGGCCACTTCCGTTCACTCTTGTGAACGTCGCAATTCCATACCACTCCAGTATGCTTGCTGCTGGTATGTGCTAGCCGCACTGTCCTTGCACGCCGAGTCTCGTATACTGTCGATCTTCCCTGGCATCCGGGGCCGACACCGCCGACGTATCAGCAAGGTCGACGACTTTAGTCCGACGTATCCACATACTGCGGACTCGCTGGATCATAATGACCAGGAATTGATGGGAGAGTCTACCGCCATGAAGATCCGACTGCCAGGCGCTCCGTCGCAGCTACGCCAACAGCATCATTGCATCTCCTCCGCGACATAGAGAGCGCAAAGAGGGCGACGCATTGGGCACAAATTCGACGACACGTGGTAAGCTTTAAGCCATCTGTTTTATCCCTGCACACAGATGGCGTGAGCATAGTGAATCAACGCTGGCCTTGAAAACTCACAATTGGGTTCCTCCCATTATAACAAATTATTGCAAGTTGAACCACCCCTGATCAGACGCCTAGGCTCTTGGTTCTCCCGATTCTTGGCCTCTGTCGTGAAAATGACTCACTCTCGAGATCCCATCGGGTGGTATATCCAAGTCTCTGGTGTTTGTTCACAGCCTCAGGCGACTTGTTGGCGTATACTTCTCACGCAGTCAATCGGGGGTTGTATGTATGCTTACAACACTACACCACTTAGGCCCTATTGACAACTCTTTATCGCTGCTTGCTCACCAACTCTATCTTCCTGCATCATTTGAGGGAAGGTTGGCCGAGTATGCTACAAGAGTAATATGAAACCGCGTTCGTGCGCAAGGTTTACCAGGTAAGGTTTTCGGCGACGGAGCAATCTCATGAAATTGATAGCAAGGCCAAACAAAGTGCAATAGAGATGTACCTGATCAACAACCACCTCTTGTCGTTCTTGTTAAAGAACTGTGGTAAAGACAGGCGATGCTGGGTTGGCATATATAAACACCTTCCTCTCTTTCTCTCGACAAGCCCATTCATCATCTTCACCATCCAGACCTCACCTAGTCACTCATTGAACAACTCTACCTACACTCACATTCACTAAGTCGTTCTTTACACATCCTTCTGTAATCATGAAGTCTGTCATTGCCATTTCTTTCGCCACCTTTGGATGTGCCTGGGCTAGCCCAATCCTCGCACGTCAATCATCATGTACGTGTCGATCTACGATCGTGGTGTGCTATAGGATTATGTTGACTGATCTTGCCATAGCTTGCACTTATATCAGCAACACTACCGCACTGCCTTACGGTGCCACTGCGTACATTGACTACACCGTCAAGTCTGGCGATACTCTGACTACTATTGCCGCCAACCCGGATCTCAAGTCTGGAGTCTGCGATATTGCCAAAGTAAACTGTATCAGCAACATCAACCTCGTCGTACCTGGGGACGTCCTCAAGATTCCTTCATTCTGCACCCAACCCGACAACACCAGCTGTCAGCAGCCCGTATCCGCTTCTAACAACACCTGTGTCAAGGGCGTCCCAGCCAGATACACCGTCCGTGGTGGTGACTATCTTAGCAAGATCGCCGACGACTTCGAGATCACCCTTGCTGCTCTAGAGCAGGCCAACTCTCAAATCTCAAACCCTGACCTCATCTACCCAGGCCAAGTCATCAACATCCCTGTTTGCGAAGGCAGCAGCTGCATTGTCGCTCCCTACCAGATTAAGAAGGGTGATCTTTACTACGACCTGGCCCAGACCTACCACACTACCGTTGGCCAGATTGAAGCCTACAACCCGAACGTGGATCCTCTAAACATCACCATCGGAATCACTATTCAATTGCCTCAGAACTGCAACTGATTTGCAGTCAGGCTATAAGTCAGGCATGGCGAGCTGGGTCACACAAGATGTGGGGTTCGACAGTTGGTGCGCGGTACGAGATGGTTTTGTAAGGTGCGAAGTTGATGGCGGGGAGCAGGATACGATGTAATTAACATGAGAAACATATAACATGGTTGGTATTGTGCACAGTCATATAAAATTGACCCCTGTTCACGGTAGTATGAGAAATAAACATTCGCGTTGTTTACAGCAATGCTTTTAATCTGATATGCTACCGAACAGCCCGCACAAATGACACGTACCTTTTGTCCCCAGCTCATCGCGACACCAGATTCCCATGACGGTCAGCGATACTTCTGTATAAAGACTGGCTAGGTGAGCGCAGAAAAATTGATATAGAAAACTCGTGGGTCTAGAAGCAGTCGAGCCTACAAAACTGCTGACACTTCCGACCGCTACATTTGTCTGAACGACTCCACCTATCTGGTGATATTTGCAAAACCTCGCTTGCATATACGCCTCTTCTGGATTCAGTCGAGCCGAAACATTCGTCATGCATGTTTCTCGTCTTTACTTGCCACGCGATCCCAAGCCTCATGTCGATCAACGTCGCCGTTAGTAGGATTCGTCGACAAAGTCCAGAGCAGCAACAACTCCATCCTGTTCCTGAGCTGTCAGATATGGAAGGAGGTTGGTTCTAAGGCGATCAGTAGAGTGCGAAAACAACACTAGCTGCAGATCACGACGCATGCATGATATCAACCCTTGGAAAGATTATTTCTATACACTGTCCGGACTGCAGACATAACCGTCTCTCGCTCTAGCGAAACCAGCAACACCGAGAACACCCCCATCGGTTGGGCTGATGTTAATACAACGTCCCGGTTCTGCATGCCAGGGGGGTCGTCTAGTAACAGGTATCACAGCTCGACATAAGTTCATACTAAACACATGGTCCTCTAATCGAGTCTCACTAGTCCTAATCTAGCAATCGGGTTTCGCCTTTGTCGGTCTGTACATACCATCGGTTCTTCATGATTGACTGAGGATTCCACGTAGAACACTTTCTGAGATACAAACTTTGGACCAGTTGAGGCTCGCGTTGGTGCACCTCACGCAAGCGGGTGCAGATCTACAGAAGTCTTGTTGGTTCGAAGGCTGGACCTCAGCCGAAGGGGTGCATCCAGCATCGGACTCTATGGAGGTACCCTCTCCTTTCCTCGACAGATCCGTTGCTGCTTTGCTCGCATAGCCGCTGCATTGGGCATAGTGGAACTACCCCACTCATGTGAGCTGCCACAGCGAATAGTAATCGAAATCCGACAGATGCCACCTGTTGTGAGCCGACCCAGCTTAAGCAGCTGTATACATCGTAAAGCTTGTGGACCAGATGAGAGGATGCGTCAACATGCCTGCCGAAAGGAGTGTGTGCTGTCTGGAAGCAGTCACCAGTCCGGCCATGACAAGGGCGTATAGCAAGGATAGTCCAGCAAAACTTTATCAGACCAGGGGCCAGATACAGAAGGTCATAACTTTTTCCACCTCGATAAGACTGATTCAAGACGACCGGTTCAAGGACAGCCACCTAGCCATCCGAATAAGTTTCGTGCGGTCCATTGGGTGGTCTGCGGCTCAGGGTCTGTATTTCTGGTGAACATAACACGGAGAGTGCAAGCGACCGGAGCATCCGCAGCGTTGCTGATATTGGGTATTGAGAGACAAGTACAGTCGACACGCTACAATAGACCACAGCAAAAGGTCGAGATGGTCCCAACGGTACTCGGTAAGGGCACGATTCCGGTAGCATACTCCGGTTCCGCAATCAACACAGGGTCTAGTTCTTACAAGTTTAGGCGGAAAGAGCTTGACCTCATTTGAATGCAGTTGCGAACAATTGAACGTTTCTCCAATAATGATGTAAGAGTCCAAGCTCCGCGAAATGCCGGCGGCGGTCCCCGCGTCGGCCCGTCTCCAGACTTTTTCCCACGATCATCACCACGTGAGTAACACGAGCTTACCCTCTGACCTACCATGGCTTCAACCTCGAGCTTCATCACCTTGCCAGATATCCCACTCCAATCCGTTCCATACAGCGAATTCGACTTCAATCGAAGTAGGGGCCAGTCGGTCTAGCATGAAGGCAGCGGGTTTTCGCGCACACACCGTTTGTTTTGCCGTGCTTTTGATGAGAGAATAAGCAACATCGCCACTCTGGGGACGTTAGACGGCCATTAGCCGTGCGGCGCTTTTCGAAGCCTTGACAAAACACACGGCCAAGTATGAACTCCAAGACGCCTCACCTTGTTCATCAGCTGAATGCTTATGCTTATCTTGGTGCTCGAGAAACAATAGCAGGGACTACGACCTTTATACTGCTTTGAAGCAACACCATCTTCATTCTTCCAATCGTTGCCTGTATTTTCTTGGTCTGCCGAGCGTTGGCTCTGATTTCTGAATTGTGAGGCAAGAATCTAAGTTTCCCTCCCTCTGCAGATCTCCCGTGACTGGACATGGCCTCTCGCATCCTTTGCCCTCACGTTCGAGGCGTTGTGATGCTAGGCGAGCCGTTGGCCTTGTCCCGGCACTGTGGACTACAAGCTACTAGTCTCTCGCCGTTGGGACTAACTGCTATACACACACGTGAGATGTCCGCGGCATCAGAAGACGTCAGGCACATCGAGCTCCACCATCGGCAGAAGTTACGTGCAACACTCGTCCCTTGCAAGGACTATGCAACTGACCGCTCATATCGGGTGCCGTTGCACGTGTTGATATGGTTCAGATTGGCTACACAACTGACCATACTTTCTACTTCTACCAAGTGGACGCTCCGCTCCTTGCCAGTCCCTTGTAGGCAGGACAGGAGGTTGTCCCGATCTGGAGCGCCATATTGATTATGTTGTCTCTGGAAGAGGGATACCGCCGGTATGGTTCGGTAAAAGGTCTGGAGAGGTCCCTGCTTGCAAGTGTCTGGCTTGATGTCTGAGTTGCTGCGCCGTTGGAATTGACAGACAAACTCGCGTGCTATGGTCAACGGCGACATGCCTCAAGGTCATGGCAATCGAGGCTTTCTTGACATAACCCGCACCATTGCTCTGAGGCCGAGGGACGGGTACCTCTTTCCCTCCAACGGTTTCAGTATCTGGAGCGCGGTCAGCATCCTACAAGGAACTCTATGAGGGTTCTCTACAACACCGCTGAAACTTGACTATCGATCTTTCTTTTCACTAGAGTCCATCTATCGCCAAAGCCTTCCCGAGAAGTCTGGCGGGGCCTATCCGTTGGCCTATATCGAAAAATCCATTCTCTCCCTGGGACATCTCAGTATAAGTATCGGAGAGATCTTCGTTGTCCCACTTCTCCATCCTCATCTCATTTCTTGTGCACCGGGCAACGAAGATCCTGGCGGTTTTCGATCTACTCGTATCCTTGGCCCTTCGACTAATACTCCTCTCTTCACTCGTTATAATACCTAATCATAATCAATTAATCCAACTTTAATCATCTTCGGCACGATACCCGACAGCCATGTCACGCAACAACAGCTTCTCAACTATGCAGCGCAACGACAGCTTCGATCTGTGAGTGTCGCCCGTCTTCTCCTCCATCTCCTTCTCCATGCTAATATACTCCAGCACCTTGGCTCATCATGACCATGTGGTCTGTGTTGTCGGAGTTGGCTATGTCGGCGAACATTTGCTCAGGTCCTTTGGTACTTGCTACCAGTCCATTGGTTTCGACATTTCTGTCCAACGCCTTGCACAATTGCAACCTGTCTTTGGCCACATGCCCAATGTCACTCTCACCAACGACGAGTCCTACTTGGACAGAGCTACTGCCTATCTCATCTCAGTCCCTACCCTTCTCAAGGCCGACAACACTGTCGACTTGAGCCATCTCATCAGCGCCTTGGCCATGGTCTTGAAGCACGTTCAACCTGGCAACACTATCGTTATTGAGAGCAGTGTGCAAGTCGGCACCACTCGTCAAATTCTTGGCCCCTACCAAAACATCCTCCACTGCGGCATGTCTCCTGAACGTGTCGATCCCGGTCGCACCTTCCCCACTGCCCAGCAGATTCCCAAGATCATCTCAGCACTCACTCCTGCCTCGAACTCCATCATCCACAAGTTGTACGCTCGTGTCTTCGAACAAGTGGTACCTGTCAGCAAGCCCGAAGTGGCTGAAATGACCAAGCTGTTCGAGAACTGCTACCGCATGGTTAACATCGCCTACGTCAACGAGATGTCTGACGCAGCACGCGCTCACGGCATCGACCCCAATGAGATGATTGACGCAGCCGCAACGAAACCCTACGGCTACCAGGCTTTCCGTCCTGGTCTCGGTGTTGGTGGTCACTGCATCCCTGTCAACCCTTTCTACCTCTTCTCCAACAACCCCAACTTGCCTGTACTCAAGCGTGCTACCAAGCTGATGCGCAACCGCCCCGCCGCTTTGGCCAAGAAGCTTCACCGTCGCTGCGCCGCTCGTGCTGCTTGCCCTACTGGCCCTCGCATCCTCGTCGTCGGCATCGGCTTCAAGCCTGGCCAGAGTGTTCTCAGCTACTCTCCTGGTCTTGCATTCGCAACTGAGCTGCAACGTCTCGGTTGCTCTCGCCTCGTCTTCCATGACCCTCTTGTCGAGCAAGCTCAGGTACCATGGCTCGAGAAGCTTGACCACGCCGGCTTCCACCCTGGTCGTCTGGATCTCGAGTTCGATGCCGTCGCTGTCTGCACGAGACAACATGGAGTCGACTTCACCGTCCTTGACAAGCTGCGCCACTGCAGAGTCAAGACCTTCGACACTGCATAGAATCTTTTCTCTACTGCATCCTTCCGCATCTGCATTACTTCACTTCACCTTGCATAATACCTCTTTCACGGGTCGCGTACCGTCTATCTCGGTCTTTTACGAGTTCAGACCTTATACGCTAATTATTTCTACTATCTTTGCAATTCTTTGTTGGGCATCATTAGCGATCTTCTGTTCAAGTCCAAAACATTATTGGCAATCATCATCTTTGTAGATACTAGATTTAGAAAAGCATCCATCTATACCCAAAAGTCAATCGGACATTTTTTATCACAAAGAAGCCTATTCTTGCCAAGTTCCATGTTACCGCTCTTGTCTCCTTCCCAATTCTCTACACCACGAGTTCTTCTGGAAGAAAAATCGAAATGAGATAAATCGCCCAACAAAATTCTATGCGGCATCTGCTTAAGCAAAACATCCGGACCCCGCTTTGCGAATAGCAGAGAGTTGACCATCCGACGTTAGAATAGATATTTGGTTAAGGTTCTCTGACCCTAATTGTATATCCTGCAAAGAATAGCCGTGCCCTCTTGGCTTCAACACCCAATCTTGCCCACTTTTGACAAATACGGCGCATTTTGGCTTTCCAACCTTGAATTTGTTACTGTTGTCCGACCACGGCGACATGACTTTTTAGAGTTTCTCGATTTGAGTGCGCAACACTCTGCCCGTTTGACAACTCTCTTTTCATTCCGTTGCAAGAATACGAGGTGCGCAATCGTGGGCGCTGCCGTTTGTGTGATGCTTGGTAGATTTCATCAGATCTGACGGCTGGAGGCTTGGTCTAACCTGAAGTTCCGCATTAGGTTATTGTATTTGGTGCGAATCGACCAGGCGGCAGAGCTGTATAGAGCCTGAGTTTGTGCTATGAAAGTGTTTTGTTATCACAAGGTTGTGTAACCCTAGGGCTGGTGACACGCATGCCGTTCACATCGTCGACGATCAAGCAGATTGCCTTGGAGGTGGCAGATCTCATCCTGTCGTGCGGTCCCAATTCGATTTATACGTGTACGACCGGCTGACTATCTCCATGCAGCTCTGGGCGAAAGCCTGTCGATTGTCAGAGCACTCCACGGGTTCTTTGATACCAAGCTCATCGCAATATGCATCGACGGTTTTTGTGGCATGGCAATCTCGTCAAAAGCTGCAGGTACCGTCTGAACTTCCCAGAATGGTTTATTGTGCGAGAGCCCACATCGTCTATACCTCCCATCAAAAGCCAGCCACAGTCACTTTTACTCATGCAAAACCGTTTCACCTGTATCTCGAAATACCGCTTGCGTGCGCAGCGTGTAGACTTATACCACTGATGAAGTCAGACATCCCAACTCGGACAGGTCCCCGGCTACACTTTCAGTTGCTTCGCTGCGTTGCGAGTGCGATATAGCGATCCGTAGGATTCTCCGAGTACGAGGTCTTCTCTTTCTGGAAACGGGAGATCAGCGACGATGGAATTTCACACTTCGAGAAGAGTGGATATGTGACTATGTTGTTAATTTCTCGCTTCTATGCTTCTCCCACGAGACACGTTCGAGTCTCTTTGACAACATGGGATACCAAAGCGTACAGTCTTGGGCAATAACCTAATGTGGTTAGAGTCTGGAACTGGGAAGGTCGAAGTTGGCAGACGACAAACACATCGCCAAACACCTGTCAATGACCACCTTTTGGTTTTTGGGCTGAATGACGTGCAGAACTGCAATCGATTTCAGGGTCAACCTGCTCGATGTAATTGGAGATTTTGAGCCGCACAACGTCGCTTGACTCAACCTGTCTACTCGGGTTCAGCAGAACTACAGATCCACGGGGCAGTACGGCAGAGTCTCATGGTGCAAGATTCCACCGACGTCGTGTGCGAGAAAGGAATAGTTCGTTGTAACCTTACAATTCAGGCGGGTCTTCAGCAAGTTCGCGTGACGGAAGTCTGCGGTTGGCATTTGGTTGATGGCTTCCAATGTACCATCCTTCGACAACAATGTGACGTCGACAGGGTCATCCTCGACAGGGTGGCTTCTGCCACTCCAATAAACGGCTACAAGTAACACAACTTACACACTCGGCGTTCTGATCAGAGCTCTCACTCAGGGATCTGGACTTCCCGGTCATTACAATCGGGACATTCGTCATGGTGGGAACAAGAAAGCGCATGGCTGGGTGGACGCGTCTCCAACGCGTAAGGCACGTAGTAGAGGTAATGGTGTTGGAAGTACATGCGTGCGACGATATGTGCCACTGCGGATCCTCAGCAGGCACCAGATCTTAGATGGCGATACACAATCACGGAAGGATCGATGTCCTGGTTACTTCGACTCATATCTGATAGCATCTCGTGATGTTGCGCTTATATGAGTCAAATGTGCTTCAACCTTGTAATCGTTGGTGCCTCAGGCGTTCATCTCAGGGTGGTGCCCTCAACCATGTATGAAAGACAGATAAATTCGATAGCGACCGCACGGTAGATGGAATCTTGACCATTGTGATACTGATGGGCTCTCCCACATATTTTCGAACTTCCGTGCGAGTTAGGTCTCTGACGGGCTAAATTTGAGAGCACGATATCGATTTTTCGATTCCCGGATGACTCGACCTGGACTATGATCTTGCACATCACACATTTCACACACAAGTCCCCACATAGGACTAGATTGACAAGAACCTTCGAAACAAGATGATGAGAATCGTCCCCAAAGGTCCGAAACAAAGAAATTGAAAAGGTCAGAGAAAAAAATGCGCCTTATAACTCTTATTCTTATTATACAACACGTGCATGCATACTATACCGTACCGGCTTCGCGGTAAAGCATCGGCTCGCGACCTAGATCGCAAGCTCCCGCGATTGCGACCCTTAAGTCTCAAGTCAAGGCCTCAGGAGTGAGACTGAAGCCTCAAGTACTCCCAAAATATTATAGGAAACTCTCAAACGAGCTTAGCAGCATAGGGAGAAGCATCCACACAACACAAGCAAGAGCTTGTTGCAAAGAGACAAAAAGAAATTGTATCAGCCAGGAATCGAACCAGGATTCACCGCTTGGAAGGCGATAGTGCTAACCATTACACCACTGAAACATTTACAGATTCAAGTTCTGTGATGACGTAGCTCGGGATTATTGCAATATGACCTCTTTCATCTCTACTTTCACCATGACTCGTGGACTGAAGAACTATCAATGCATTATCCAGACTACGGAGTTGTGACGGAACCTGGCTGTTGAAGATATAATGAGTATTCGTTATTATACTTATAAAACCTCGACTGATTTTAAGCATGAATCATTGGGAAATCATTAAGCTGTGTTCTAGAATACAATATTGACGAGAGCTACGTCAAGCTTCGAAATGTGAATTGTTGGAGATGAAGTGAATGAAGAGAGCCGTGACAGAAAAAAGAATTTACTCGACGATCTCGAGGTCGCCATCGCGGTGTTTGGCGAAAATGTCCTTCCACTCATCCCAGATACGCTTCAGCTCGTCCACGTATTGTGCATGGATCTCATCAACGTAGTTGGAGTCAGGGCGTTCCTGCTTGCGTACATTTATGGGACGACCAGTGACGATGTTGAGTGGGCGTCGGTAAGGCATCATGCCAACATCGTAGTTGAAGACCCCACGTGCGTGGAAGAGGGGTACCGTGAAACCCAAAGCCTTCTTGACCAGCAGCTGGAACTTGTGGATGGTGGGGTGTGCCTGAGGATCAAACTGCTCGTAAAGCTCGTTCTCGCCAAATGCCAGCACGGGGACGAGATCGGCGCCCGTGCGAATGGCGAGCTTGACGAAACCCTTGCGACGAGCAAGCACAAGACGTAAGCTATTGGGCTGAGCATCTAGTGACTCGCGAGCACCACCAACGACGATAGTGATAGCACGACCCATGCCCTCGCCATTGGGACCACCCTTGGAGAGGATGTTTTCGCAACTCTCACGAGAGACCGAGGCGAGACCCAGACGCAAGGCATAGTCGCGGTACAACGGGATGCGGAAGTTCGAGTCGAGGGTAAGGAGAGTGTTTGTGATGCCTGGGAACAGCTGAGAAAAGCCAAGAGCTTCGGTCGCAAAGGCAACAAAGGCACCGTGGCTGATGATACCATGCGGGTGATAACCGAAGACGTACTTGCGGGTGGCAGGCAGCTCTTGCGAACGATGGAGACGGGCAGGGAAGTATGAAGCGAAGAGCGACCAGACCGGGAGACGTCTCAGCCACTCGGAACGATATCTGAGCGAGCCAGAGGTGCCGGCTTTGGAGAAGAGGACGTAGAGGAGGTAGGGTAGCAGCAAGGGCCAAAGGACAGGAACGGCGCAGAGGACAAAGAAGGCGGCGAGGAAGAGGGCGATGCAAAGGGTGTGAACGAGGACCATTCCTGTCTGGAGGCGACGCTGGAGAGGAACGTTGAGTGGCGCCCATCTTATGCTGAAGTGCTTGTCAGTGGTGTCAAGATGATATTAGGATGCACAGGAACTTACGCCGACGACTCCCAACCTGCTCCAGCCCTTCTTCCACTGACGAGCTCATCCTTAGATGACGCGGGTTGCTGCTCTGCCTGCTGAGGATCTTTCTTCTCATCTATTCTCAAAGCCTCTTCGTACGAGTCGTCAGGCTTCACACTGGTTAATTGCTTGCCATCGGAACCCTCAAACTTCTCGTAGACCAGCTTCTGCTGAAGACCACCCAGACCTTCTGCGACAGATTTTTTGGGGCTCATTGATTTGTTGGAAGACTTTGAGGATGTGCGCTTGTGAGGTCGATTGATCTGAGCCGGACTTCTGGGAGCTTCGTTGTGACCCTCTCCGGTGAATTCCTCACCATCGCCCTTGGTCTCGCCAGAATGAAGGTCAATGACGGGGTGTGACTTGGTATCGATGCCCTCCTCTGCCATGTCTGCCCATGACTTGCTATCCTTCTTTGAACGTGTACGGCGGGGTTGGACAGGCGTTGAAGGCAGCGAGGGCTGTCTCTCCTCCTCATCTAGCATCTCCTGAAGTGGGCGAGGCTCAATGCTGCCTTTTCTGACCAGCTTCCGGGTTGGCGGAGTTTCCTTGATTGAGTCTTCGTTGATTGAGCCTTGGCCATTTTGTTCCGGCTCTTCGAGAGCTTCGTGGGCGGCGTCAGCGAATGACTTTGGCGGCAGGTGCTGTTCCTGTCGCTCCTGTGCATCGGCGGGCTCTGCGTTCAGAGACATTTCGTGTGTGTAGGTAGATGGCGATGAGGAATTGATTCCATTGAGCTCGACTGCAGAAGATTGAGCTCACCCAGACACTTGCAGCGTCATCACCAGTGACGTACCCCAATCCTCCAACTTCCCAGCCTTATGCGGCACAGATTGCCCGCCCCGGTCGATCCCGACTGCGAATGACCATCTCACTTTGCAACCCTGGCCTTTGTCTTGCCATACAACTAGTCAGTTCATTGTTCTCTATAATCGCGACTACTCGTCCAATTCACTAGTGCGTCGTCAGGGCAAAAAGACTGGGATCCCTAGCCAGCGTTGTTTGAAGCCTGCCCACCTATTCTTCCGTACAACAAAGAACGGCCTTAGGCGCATTGTAGCTACGGAGCCTCTCAAAGAAAATCTCGGGCTTCAATTCGACACAGAAGGATAAGGAAGATGAAGCCTTCCGCATATAATGTGAAGAACGTTGGTTAGACCTGGAAATGATTTGCTAGGCACTCTAGAGGTCTAAAGCCGCAACAAGAAGCTGATGAACAGACCATATGCCTGTCACAGCAAGATTACTGTCGAAGCCACGTCGCCAAAAGAGAGTCTACTTCTAGTAGGCTTCAAAACATGGACTCGACCATGACTCGACCATGACTCGACCATAACTCCACCAATATTGAAGATAATCGAGATTTTATTGCAGATTTGAAACCAGGGCGTCGTTCCGCGCCTTTTGGCCAATTCAGAGGTGCAAAAAGACTGAATTAGGCGGGAATCGAACCCACAGCAATCGCTCGCAATCGTTGATTGGAAGGCGATTATGTTACCACTACACCACTAATCCTGTACTGATGAACACAGTCCAATCTAGATGGTATATATCATATCATGAGCCTGTTGGTGTACAGACGCTGTAGCTACAGCCATAAAACATTCAAGGGCCTTTTCGTGCTTTCGGTTGATAGAATTGGAGGCGATCCGAGATTCCGAGAAATGACTGTAGACCCACAATCATGATGTTCGATACGTGTCAATGTGGAAGTGATTACATGCCTTGTTAACAGCAAGTCCCTTATAAGATGCTTGAAGGAAAACCAATCGTAGCCCTCATTGTACATTTGGTAGACTAATGACTTTGGAAGGGTTAATATTAGTAGCGGGACCCCTTCTTACATGGAGTGTCCATAAGCAAACGTGACTGAACAAATACTGACAAGTGCTGTACGGAAAAATATTGATTCTTTGTTCTCAAGACGCTTTTGGGAATTCTGGTATTCTTTCAAAGTATAAAAGGCTTCAATTTCCCTTCTCTCACAACTCAGCTGTCCTTTGCCTCACATATACCCAATCGATTCGTCATAACTGTACTCTGAAACTTAGTCCGCCAGCGTGCAACTCAAGTCAGGCGGGTCTGTAATAGCCAGAGCTTTCCGAGCCCTCATTCCCATCCTCCCTTTCCATTTCACACCAGGACCACATGAGCGAAAAGTCAAGAGTCACAAAATGATGAAAGGCAAAGAAAGAGGCGGGGGGAGAGAAGAACGGAATTATTGATCTTGCGCGGTTGTCTCGTCGGATACCAACAATGGAGAATTGTGTTGGTTGACGCCTGATAGTGTATCTGCCTCACGCTTTGGTGCTGGTGGGGGAAATGGGTGGATACGGAGGGAAGGATATGCTCGAGGGGACAGATGGAGAGGATAATGATAATCTATCGGTGCTTTCGTGGATATGGTAAGGTGCTTTCTCACATGCAAAGACCAGAGACAAGAATGCTCGAACAAAAGACAAACGTCGCGACGTTGTAGTTTCAACAAATCATTGAAAAGGTGTTTGTTTGACTTGCTTCCTCCTGCTTCAATGCTTCACACCATTCACTGGCTGTGGTTGTTGTCGAGCCTTGCCATTCTCACCATTAGCAAGGTCGGCTGTCGGGGGCGGCGGAGGGGGTGGTGGTACTGGACCATATGTCCGAGGTCGTTGATCCACAGCTTCGTCCTCGGTGTCGTCGTCGTACTCGGCCTCGCCGCTTCCCTCCTCATCCTCGTCATACTCGTCGTAATCAGAGTCTGTCTCGGCAAGGTCGTCTTCCTCCTCTTCCTGATCTGGGTGATGTGCTGGATTCGGTGCGCCAGGGGCGGCGTTGACCATATCTGCGCGTCCGTAACCGTTGGTCTGCATGGCGCGGCAGAGCTTCTTCAGCTTTTCGTTCTCTTTATGTAGGCGATCGATGGTTTGCTGTGATTGCGAACGTTCCTCGGCCATCTGGAAGATGTTCTTGTTGGTGGCCTCTTGCTTGCGTGTCAACTGCATGTTTTCCTTTTCCAAGCGCTTGGACTTCTTGCTCATTTCTTCCATCTCTTTACGGAACGTCAGGAACAGGTCGTTGCTGTTGTTGAGGGTGTCTTCGACCTGCTAATGCGGTCAGTGAGTGAGATGGCACTGCCTAAGTTCGAAAGTGGGGAGGAAGTTGATCGGATGGGCGGTTGCGGAGGTACTCTTGGTAACAGATGCGGGCGGGGGCTCTGTAGGACAGAGATGGACGGGGACTTTTGAGAAAAAGACATGGACGAGGGCAGCATGTTTGGAAGAAAGTCTCACCTGCTTAAACTTCTCCACATAAATATTCAGCTGACTGCGCAGTTCGTTCTCTGTTTGGGAAAAGGTAGATACCTGACGGGTCAACTGATGCGACTTGTTCAGTTCTGCATCTTGTTGTTTGCGGAGTCGTTCTTGTTGGGCGAGATGGAATTGGATTTCGAGATCTTTTGATCGGAGGAGTGAGTGGAACTGGATTTCGCGCATTTCGTATTGTTCGACGAAGGATTTGAACTTTTCTCGGAAGCTGTCTGGTGTCAGTGGAGAGTAGGATGGGGTGCAGAGTGGGAGGCGTACAGCTTGTCTTCTTCCATCTCGCCGGCTGGTCGGTCTGGAAGCTTGCGATCGGTTATCACTTGCTCAACGTCGCCTACCATCCTTTCAAGTCGACGGTGCAGCTCTTCGTTCTTGTCTGCTGCGCTTTCCTTCATTTCGCGAAGATCCTCCTGCTTTCGCAATCAATAACCGTTTCACTCTGACAAAGTCGTGTTGGGCGCACCTTGAGTTTCTTGTTCTCCTTGGTCAGCTCGCGACTGAGCTTTTCCAGCTTCTCCTTCATCGAGTTGGCCTTTGTAAGTTCGGATCGCTGCGTGTCCTTGTCTTTTTGCAGCTGGTCACCTCGCTTCTTCGCCTTGATGTGTTCTCGTTCGGTCCTTTTCATTTCTGCTAAGAGTTCCGAGTACTTTCGTTGAACGGTTTCCATCTTGCTTATCGGACCGTCCATAGATTGAAGGAGATTCTGAAGATCGCGGTTTGCCTTTTTGACTTCCCGGTCTGTCATTGTCAGTATAGCCCTTTGCGACCAACGACGATTGCACATCACACACCAATCTCCGCATCTTCTTCAGCCCTTCCTGTTGCATCTTGCTCTAGCTGGGCAATCTTCGCCTGCAGCTGTTTGTGTGCGTCATTCGTATCGGCGACACCTTTCTTGGCCTTGAGCTTCTTCCCAGCAGAGGTGTTGTTCGGTGGCGGTGGTGGAGCGGCGGGCAATGGAGCATCGTCGCGATGTTCGTGGATAGATGCAGGCGAAGCGCGTGAGCTGTGGGGTTGGTGTTGTGGCGCGACTTGAGCCATAGTTCAGAGACGAGAAGAATAGTCTATCGGGGTAGTGTAGAGCGAGATGGTGCTTGCATCGGGGGCAGTGAGGCGCAAACAGGCGGGTTGGGATTGGCGCACTGAGACAGGCGGGCACAGCGAAAATCCGGGTATGCCTGTCTCTGTGGCGCAAACAGGGTCGAGCAGGTGATTTCAGGTAGCGAGCTACGAGTCGGGATAGCGATAGAGCAATGGGATAGGATGGCGTATGTATATCCAATTGCGCAGGAGGGGTTTCGGACGGGAACTGCTGCAAGCCAGGCGCGAGAGCGGAGATGGTATGCAGAAGCCTTGGGACGATAGGAATGGGCGAACTGGGATATCCAAGAATTGCCGGGTCGTTCGTAAGCACTCGTTCACGGTCGTATGTCGTGTGCCGGGCGGACTATCAGACTCGGTCTCGCAGTGCAAAGAGGTTGCGGGAAACGGAAAGAGCGTTTCCCCCCACCTGATTGGCCACTTTGGGCCATTCTCTCCAGCCCGTCATCCAATGTTCCGTGCGCAACTGCCTTGTGAGCATCTGAGTATTCGCCTTCCTTCTTAAATACTCAACTCAACTAAGCCCTGTCAGAGCTAAAGGACTGATATTTTTGGACATGCTGCGCGGAGTCAACAGATTAGCGACTAGGCCAAACCGCCTCTCACACACGAACCTACCGGCCTTGCGACGAAGTTATGCTTCGGTGACCGACTTGTCCAACTATCCCAAGCCCGGAGATCAGTTGCATGGATTCACCTTGAAGCGTGCCAAACACGTGCCAGAACTTGAGCTCACTGCTCTACAATTTACACACGAGCGCACCGGCGCCGACTACCTACATATTGCTAGAGACGATCAGAACAATGTCTTCTCCATCGGCTTCAAGACAAATCCACCCGATGCTACTGGAGTTCCGCATATCCTGGAACACACAACTCTTTGCGGAAGCCAGAAGTTCCCCGTTCGCGATCCTTTCTTCAAGATGCTACCGAGATCGCTTTCCAACTTCATGAACGCTTTCACCTCCTCCGACCACACCACCTACCCTTTCGCTACCACCAATGCCCAAGACTTTAAGAATCTCATGGGTGTCTACCTTGACGCTACTCTGCATCCTCTTCTCCAAGAGCACGACTTCACACAGGAAGGATGGCGTCTTGGTCCTGAGAACCCTCAAGCCGAGAACCCTTCTTCGGACGACATTATCTTCAAGGGTGTTGTGTACAACGAGATGAAGGGCCAAATGTCTGACTCGCAATACCTCTACTACATTCGCTTCCACGAGAATTTGTTCCCTGCTATCAACAATTCTGGTGGTGACCCTCAAAAGATGACTGACTTGACCTACCAACAACTGAAGAAGTTCCATGCCGACCATTACCACCCTAGCAACGCGAAAGTCTTGACTTACGGAAATCTCCCTCTTACCGAGCATCTCCAGTCCATCGGAAAGGAGCTCGATAGCTTCTCGCGAATCTCTGTAGATTCGGACATCAAGGTTCCTCAAAGCCTCGACAACGGACCGCGCTCTGTAACCGTCAAGGGGCCCTTGGATCCTCTGAACCCTGCCGATTCTCAGTTCAAGACTTCTGTTACATGGCTTATGGGAGAAACATCTAACGTCCTCGAAAACTTCTCGCTCTCCATTATCTCTTCATTGTTGATGGATGGTTACGGCTCGCCTCTATACCGCAACCTTATTGAAGCCGGTCTGGGTCCTGACTTCTCGCCTAACACTGGCTTCGACGGCTCAGGTAAGCGTGGTGTCTTTTCGGTTGGTCTCAATGGTGTCAAGCAGGAGAATGTCCCCAAGGTCAAGGAAGCCATCTCCGAAACCTTGCGCCAGGTCAGAGAAAAGGGCTTCGACCCATCCAAGATTGACGGTATCCTGCACCAGCTTGAGCTTAGCCTGAAGCACAAGACTGCAAACTTTGGAATGTCAATCATCCAGCGCCTGAAGCCTGGATGGTTCAACGGCGTCGACGTTTTCGATGCTCTGGCGTGGCAGCAGACTGTGGACACTTTCAAGGCAGAGTGTGCCAAGGGTGGCTACCTTGAGGGCTTGTTGGAGAAGTACTTGTTGAACGACAACACTCTGACTTTCACCATGGAGCCTTCTGCCACTTACGGCGAAGATCTCCTCGCAGAAGAAGCACAAAGACTTGCATCGAAGAAGGCTGAGGCCGAGAAGATCTATGGCTCGAAGCAGGAGGCATACGATCAGCTGAAGAAGAGAGAGTTGGAGCTTGTTGAGCAGCAGATGCAGGAACAAGATCTGAGCTGTTTGCCATCTGTCCATGTCAAGGATATTCCTCGCACCAAGCCCATGACCGAGACACGTCAAGACTTCCTTGATGATGTCAAGGTGCAATGGAGAGAAGCTCCTACTAATGGCTTGACATACTTCAGAGCTCTCAGCATCTTCAAGAATTTGCCTACCGAGCTGCGCACATTTATACCTCTGTTTTGTGATGCACTAATGCGCATTGGAACAAAGACCAAGTCGATGGAGGAGATCGAGGATCTTATCAAGCTCAAGACTGGTGGTGTCTCATTTGGTTACCACGCATGCACATCTCCAACCAACACCAAAACTTGTGAAGAGGGTCTGAGTCTGTCCGGATTCGCGCTTGACCAAAACGTCCCTGCGATGTATGATTTGATCCGAACGATCATCCTGGAGACCGACTTCGACGGACCTAAGGCCAAGGCCTCTCTTCGCGAGCTAGTCCAGAGCGCTGCTAGTGGCGGTGTAGATACCATTGCTGAATCGGGTCACGCCTACGCCAGACGTGTTGCTGAGGCGGGTATCAGCGCTCACGGAAGCTTGCTCGAGCAGACCGGCGGTATCAGTCAGATCAAGCACATGGTCTCTCTCGCATCACTCTCCGAGATTGGTGACGATATCATACAGCCACTCAAGGCCATCCAGCAGTTGGTTGCGTCCAATGTTCCCAACATGAGAGTCGCCATCACTTGTGGAGCCGAGTCTACCAGCATCAACGAGGCTGCTCTGAAAGGCTTCTTTAAGAGCACATTCTCATCGTCATCCGAGCTGGCGTCTCAATCGCAACTAGCCCAGACATTGACGCGTACCGCTAAGTCGTTCTTCACTCTTCCTTACCAGGTCTACTATTCTGGTCTTGCCCTGCCTACAGTTCCCTACACTGATGCTTCAGGTGCGCCTTTGGCTGTACTAGCACAACTGCTCACACACAAGCATCTGCATCGTGAGATCCGTGAGCGTGGAGGCGCTTACGGAGGCGGTGCTTACTCTCGCGCATTGGACGGTGTCTTTGGATTCTATTCTTACCGTGATCCCAACCCCGAGAACACCATCAAGGTGCTGGACAACGTTGGCAAATGGGCCGTGGAGAGAAAGTGGAGCGATCGTGACCTTGAGGACGCCAAGCTGTCTGTCTTCCAAGCACTTGATGCTCCCAGAAGTGTGAGCGAAGAGGGCATGACTAGATTCGTCAGCGGAGTGACTCCCGACATGGAGCAAACACGCCGCCAGCAGCTCTTGGACGTCACACAGGAGCAGGTCCGTGACGCAGCGGAACGTTTCTTGGTGAACGGCATGTCCAATAGTAGCATGGCCGTTCTTGGTACTCGCAAGAGCTTCGTTGATGAGGCCCAAGGCTGGAAGGTGCAAGAGATCGGCCTAGGTGGTGCTGCCGTCTCGGAGGCCGAGGTCGAGGCGATCGCTGCATCAGTGTAAAAAGCGAAAAGTTGATTTTGTTGCCATATACCCATTGTAAATAGATAACTCCTCTCTGTATAATAGATGTACGATCATGATGACCAAGCCGAGGAAGCGTCGAGAATGAAATGTGGTCCGAACAGGGAAATGAAATTGAAACGCGTCAGAAGCGGAAGTTGCGACGCGTCTCCTCCTGACGCGGGCAAGCAGCTCTCACACAATCTTGCAGCCCTGCACTTAATTGCAACACATTCTATTGCGAAATGGCGCCTTCAGATCCGGTCGATGTGCTGCTACAGCCACCATCGTAAGTACATTGGTCCTAGATACGTCTGGCAGCAGAAATTGACATTGGTCGAAGGAATGAGGAACACCAGACTCTCGAGCGCACGCCGTCAAGCTACAATCCACTCCGATCCTTCCATCTTGCGAAAGGCGAGCAAAAACACTACCAACAACAATATGCCGACATGTACTTTGCCAGACTGGCTGTACTAAAGCCTGCGGTAGAGCGCATTGCGAGTGAAGCATGGGATGGCTTTGAGGTCAGCAAGCTCGAGACGAGTTGATCGAAAGGAAACTAAGACTATAGCTGCAGATTGGCGGAGACGAGGTGCACAAAGTCGACCGTGTGCTCGATGTACGACAAGGTGAATTGGTCTGGGTGGCCGGCACTGTCTACATGGAAATGCCTCTGAAGCCCAACATTCTCGACGACATCTCAAAACATGTAAGGTTCACGCGCAACTGCTTATTGTTAGACTGTGCTGATACATGATCTGTAGCACTGGATCGCCGCGCCGCCACCTCGGCTGAAGTTCACTTCTGGAGACAGCGATGAAATCATGCTCGAAGACGAATCTGGTCGATTACGCTTGACAGGCAGCTTTCTCAGCTCGTGTCTTCTAGTGACTGGGTGTATCGTAGCCGTCATGGGCACCGAAAACTCGAATGGCGACTTTGAAGTCATTGATCTGAAAATACCTGAGCTAGCACCTCAAGCCGCACGATGGTCACAGAGCCCGGCCGACGCCACAAACACGAAGAAGGCTGCGAAGAAGGATAAGGCCGGCAAGCTTGCCATCGTCTCAACGTTGGGTGTTAGTGGTGACACTGGCGACACCATGTCTTTAGACCTGCTTGTCGAGTACCTCTTGGGCGAGGCTACTTCACCAGCCGAACAAGAGAAGATATCGAGCATATCACGCCTCGTCATTGCTGGCAATTCTTTGTCGTCGGCGAATCCCATCCCTGTCGCAGAAGACTTGCCGACCAAGAAGCCATCTGCTGTCAAGAAGTATGGCTACGATGCATCCGCTTATAATCCTGCTCCCACGGACCATCTAGACTCATTGCTTGAGTCTCTCTTGCCGTCAATACCGATCACCTTGATACCTGGCGAACAGGATCCTACACACGCATCATTGCCTCAACAGCCAATGCACTCTGCTCTCTTCCCAAAAAGTAGAGCCTACATGGCTGCTCCCAACTCGGAAGACACAGCTTGGTTCGATACTGTGACCAACCCGTGGGAAGGTGATGTGGATGGTTGGAAAATCTTGGCTACTGGAGGTCAGCCAATCGATGATGTCTTCAAATACGTTGAAGGTGATGATCGTCTGGAGATGATCGAGGCTACATTACGCTGGAGGCTATGCGCACCCACTGCTCCAGACACTTTATGTAAGTTGACTTACACTGCCATCACCTGATACAATACTGACAACCTTTAGGGTGCTATCCTTTCCAGGACAAAGACCAATTTGTTCTTGAAGCGACCCCGCATGTCTACATTGTAGGCAATCAGCCTCGCTTCGAGTCCACTGTCGTTGAAGGTCCTGATGGCCAAAGCTGCAGAATTATATCTGTGCCACGCTTCAAGGATACTGGAGAACTACTATTGCTGGACATGGAGACTCTTGAAGTAGAGGTCGTCAAGTTCGGCGTCTATCAGAAAACTTGAAGAACGCACAACACATCATGAGATTGATTCTCGGCTGTGACCACAACCATTCTCGCGCAAATTATGCTTATCGAGCAGCTTTACAGCCAGACATCATACTGGCCATAGTTTCTACGGCAGTCTGATGTTACCAGATACAGTTCACCGCCTGGGGAGAATCTGACCTAGGCAAATGAACGTAGGACCAACTGTGCTTTCTGCACAAAAGCAGTATATCCTGCCCCCATGTACTGCACGTAGCTCTGTATCCAACCTAAAAGATTTGATGCAATACAACCCCTACCTGGGAATATTTCAATGTCGTGATCAAACTCGACTCAAGACGCGTTCCCATAAGCAGAGTGGAAAAATGAGGCAGGGGAAAGGAGCGACCAACCTCCATCTCTGTCGCCATCTCTGGGATGCTCGTTACTCTTTCTCTATCGACTTGTTCAAGCGGCGTCCATCGAACATGCATACCATCTGCTAATTCCAATTACTCCACTGCCATCCAAACAACTATATCACAACGAATTTCCATGACTCCAGAAACACTGGCGACGTCACCGTGCCATGGTCGGAGTTCAGTGACCGCCTGGAGCATGCCGATCGATTATTCAGGCAGGGAAAGACACGTACAAACAAACCATCGCAGAGTGCAGGCAGGGGCAATGCTCTCTTATCCGGGGAGCTGGGGGCCATACTTTCCAAATTTCAGTGTCGTTTGGTTCATTGCAGACCCTGTCAGACGACTTGAATGAAATTGAGATGTGTTTATTGGGCAGTGCGTGGGCTTTGCAGTAATAAATCTTCCATTCGTCTCCTCTGTCGACTGCTCGTACTGGCCTTTACCTCTCTCTCCCACACGACCCTCTGAATCTGAATGGAGACCAACACCAAGCTCTGAGGAGGGTACACCATCTCATGTCATGGACAAACAGACCAATTGTTACTATACTCATAATGCAAAAGGAAGGATGGCAAGATAATTCAATGACGACAAAAATACTTGTCAGTGTGGTTGATGATTCTTCGCTATGCTACTACACTAACTACCAAAGGTGGCCTGCCTGTTTTCTGTTTCTGCTTGTCGTTATTGTTGTTTCCTCCACCTTGGACCCATTCTGTCCAATGCATATATGCATGAATCTCCTCCACTTATTTTGTATCCATTTGACCTTCGAGGTCCTGTGTTGTTCAGAATTATCAAAACTCCTCCCAAAGATGCATTTCATCAATTCTCTTAGTTGTGTGAAAGAAAAATCGCGCCAGTTGTTTGCTCTCCATGTTCCATAAAAAAAACACCATGAAAACTGATGCGTATACTGCCTCTCTTTCATTTCCGAGACCCGCGGTGAGGGGTATTGTTGTTGTTAAAATCAAAGATGCTGTTTCGTTAGTAAAATCATTCCGGATGAAATCGAAATCGTGGCTTGAGTTCCCACATCTACCGGAGATGTGTGAAAAGAAGCGTTGTTGTTGTTGTTTGTGCAAGAAAGAAGTTTCAAGATGGGTGAGACACTCATTGGTCAACTTCTTCGTCCTCGTCGTCGCAATCGCGTGCGGTGGAACCACCTCTGCGGTAGTAGGCAACAGTGGCGCCAAAGACGTTTCTGTTGTCTGCATCGAGAGCAGCGGCCATGCCGTTGTCCAAGGTGATCATGTTGACAGATGCCTTTGTGGTGACGGCATACATGTTGAGGTTGTTGTTGACACCTTGAAGACCAATCATGTTTTGCTGGCAATTGTTCGTGGCGACACAATCCTGGCTGTAGTTCTCGAAGAAAGAGTACAAACCAAGGCCATGGATGAAGACATTGGTGCTGTCGATGACACGAAGGCCCCAGGACTTGTAGCAAGGTGCTGAAGGGTTCTGGGAGGAGCAGATCGAGAATGTGGGATCCGAAGGGCGTTGAGGCACGAAGGGGGCAGGGGCCTTGGGGTTGGACTGGAAGTATGGAGTCTCGGACTGAATCATACCCATGAAGATGTTCTTGGCGTTGCGCACTTCGTAGTTGTAGAACACGTTGTGCTCCGAGGAAGTACCGTACAGCCAGACAGGACCTTGAGATTCGATGTAGACACCACGACCGTTGTAGATGTTGATCTGATTGTGGTCAGGAAGGTCAAGCTCGTGGTCAGCAACCCAAAACCAGGTATTCTCGAGGTAGACACCGGCGGACTTGGTGCCAGCCCAGAAGAGCATGTAGGCACCCTCGCAAGCGGTGTTGACAGCTGTCGATGAGGGGTTCTTGGAACACTTGTCGCTCTGCAATTGGGTTCCAGCACTTCCACCAATACGAACGTGGGCATCCCAGATGCCCGAAGCGCCTTGGGCGGAAGCCATGTTCCACTTCAGCATGATAGCTCCAGGAGCTGCGCCCTTTGTCTGGAACATAAGGTCTGTGATCTCTACCGCACCAGCCTCACCAGCCCTGCCAATATCGAAAACGGGCTGAGGGTTGCTAGGGTTGGCAAAGAAACTACCAGTGGCCATGATCAGAGGCCAGATCTCACCAGTCATCTTGATCTTGTTGGGAACACTGATGGTCTTGCTGACAACGTAGGCACCATGGTCGAAGTAGAGGATCTGGTTGGAGGCAGTACCAGCCATGGCCTTCTGAATAGCGGCAGTGTCGTCGGTGACACCATCGCCCTTAGCACCGAATGTCTTGACGCTGATGAAAGCACTGGCGGGCAGGTTCTCGTACTGCGGCTTAGAACGCTCGAAAAACTTGCCAGAAGCATCGAGTAGGGCAGCAGGCTTGGACGGCGCGGCAAGAGCACCCTGAACGCGAGAACCGGTTGTGCCGGAGTATTGACGTCCCTCACCCCATGACGTGACAGTCTTGCCACCAGCGAGGATAGAGCTGCCGTCAGCGGCAGCGACAGCGGTGGTCGAGCCGGAGAAGTCAACATTGTCGATGATGAGAGTACCGGCAGTGTTGGGAGAGCTGTTCGAGGTGAACGAGGTCTTGACACCAATGGGTGTGTTTGTCAACTTGGAGTCCATGAGGATAACAGAACCGATCAGAATGTTTGAAGACCCTCCGTTAGACATGTCGAGACCGACGGCACAGTTGTTGATCGAGACCGACTTCAAGGTCCATGCCCAGTTCCAGTTCATAAAGATCGCCGTGTTGCAGTTGTTGAAGGTCCAGTTGCGGGAGGTGAATTGCTGGTTGCCCAAAAACGCACCATAGTTGCCACCGTTGAAGACCAAGTCACTCATGAAGCCACCAGAGCCGTTGTCCATGAAGATGCCGACCTGCTTGGAGGCAGAGCCAGGGATCATGTTGAAAACGATGTTTTGGAGCGATGTGGCTTGAGCAACTTGCCAGTGGATACCCGCTCCAGCTGTTTGAGGCATACCGGTCAAGTCTATCTTGAAATTACGCACCTGACGGAAGAAATTATTCTGATTAGTGTACCTTTCCGACTGGTTAGCATGGTCAATGGCTGTAAAGTAGTGTGTCAGAACTTACCAGTTCGCGCCATTGCTTTCGTAAGGGTCGGCATCCAGGACGGCCATACCTTGGAAACCGGCAGTAGCCTTCAGGACAGGCAAATTGAGCGCGTCTCCAACCATCTGGGTGTAGTAGTACATGACAATAGGTCGAGAGACCATGTATGTACCAGGAGGAAAGTAGACTAGAGCAGGCGTAACTGTGCTGCTGTCACAGCCCAGGCCGCATCGGCCGCCAGACGAGATCGCTGCGTTGATTGCTGCCGTATCATCCGTCGACCCATCACCTTTGGCGCCGTAGTCCATGACATTGCGGTAAACGGCGTAAGAAGAGTCGCTTCCGTATGCGACGGATCCTTGACGCTTAATGTTTGCGAGCCAGTAGTTTGAGGACGTGGCCCTCTTGACCGACGATACAGGGGAGGCCACCGCCTGCGATGGCGACAACACCAGGAGCAATGTGACCAAGGCGGTCAGAACGCTGATCAGCGAGAGCGGGCTGATTGCGCGCATGATATTGAGGTTGGAGGGATTGTTTTGTTATTGAGAGTTGAGAAAGGAGGAGAGCTTGAAGGGTGTAGAAGACTAAGTCGCTGTATCAGTGCCTGCACTGAGAAAAGTCTTCAAGGTTGTTTTTGATGTTATTGTTGTCGAGGGAGAAAAAGTGTGAATGTGATAGGCGATTTTTTCAAAACAACGAAGCGAATGGAAAGCTTTTGAAGGGCAAACAGTCTCGCAGATTCCGGTCTTCTGACTTTCAAAGTCTGGAATCAATAGCACCTGACAGCAACAACGACACAAATGTATTGTTGTCCAGCAAGATACTTGTATTGATCAAGTGAACAAGGCTTCGGCCGAGAAGAAACAAGAAACAAAGAATGACAAAGCTGGTGAAGAGAAGGGAACGCGCGTGACAGGCAAGAATGCAAGACGGAGGAAGGAACAGGCCCTTTTTGAAGATGGTGGAAGGAGGGTAAAGGACGGATTGGACTCACCTTGCAGTAGTAACAGGTCTTGGAGTGTGGAAGAACCCTTTCCCTCGCGTGTTTCAGCTTGGGGATAATTGATGCTCTACTCCTTTGCTGAGTGGAAGGAATATGCGCGCCCTTTCCACTTTATACTCGAGCGAATGGCTCTCTCTCTCTCTCTCGACCGTTGCACTATTACTCTAATCTCGACAATGACTACGTAGGAGCGGCTCAGTTCACAGCGTTCAGCGCATTTTCCGATGCTCTCGCTCGGAATGTAGTAGAACGCTGGCGGCGGGCTCAACGCGCGAGACGCGCCAGCGATTGGCGACCCACCAAGGTATGGTCAAGGGTCTTGCCTCTTGACTATGCTAACGGCAAGGGGGCGTCGTCCAAGAAACACCAGTCTACAGCAGTCGAGTGTTCGGCGAAGGGGAGTGCGTCAACGGTTTTTCCATGTAGAGCAATGACGAAGTGCTGTTGGCTGGGCTCCCGCAGTTGCCAATTTGCTGAAACGGCCACCTGCTTCGGCCACGCGCCCGTTGTTTCTCGACGGCACACGTGCTTGTGCTGCCATCACCTGGGAAGCCAAAGACTACACTGCCGACTACGATGAAACGGGTATTGCAATCGACAAAGCTGCTCCAGCCGTGTGCGTGAAAGAGTCGCCGTGGACGGAACAGACGGAAGGCCCGTAGCGCTGCTGTCTCTGACCAGCAAGAAGCGCTCGTTGCGACACCAGATCTCCGCCTTTACAACAAGCAAAGACACCTCTAGACCGATACGCTCACAAGCATGGTGGGGACGCTACGTCTCCAGCAACACATCAGCCTTTGTGAGCGCGTGGGTGGTGCTCGTGCAACCATGTCTTGGATTTCCCTCCCCACCTCGTGCTACATGAACTACTTTGAACCTCTTAGCAGATCTGCCGACCATACGCCATATACTAGCGACAATATCCATATTGATATCCAAATGAGATGCACGGTCACAAGAACGCTTTCACTTACTTGGCTTCCAAGGTCGGTTCTCAGCGCTCGAGAGCCTGTCACCTCATTTTACATTGGTCCAGAAAGAGACGGAAACAAACGAGCCAGCTTTCCAGGGCTCGCTTCAGGATAACAACTGAACGACTCTCTAACACGCCGCGACTGTTCTAGCAAGCTTGCTCTGGGACAAGTCGTCCAACAGTTTGTCTAGCATACCGAAGTGCTTCACCGCGATCATCCTTAGTCCTGAGCCGTCCTTGTCAGGCAGTGGATCAGGGGATGCTCAGCTTCGTTGCATCTGCCCAAATTCTGTGTCTGAGACTAAGTCATGTCTGTTATAAATGCTTCGTATGATCCGGCCTTCGAGGCAGCGTCCAAGGCTTCGCACAGAGCACCTACCGCGTTTGTCGGCATAGTCACAGCACTGGAGAGCTCGCAGGTTCAGAAGATGTTGTAGTTACTGTGAAGTGGACTAATGGCAACTAAGCTACTAAGATGTTGTTGTCACTGTAAAGTGAACTAATGGCAACCACTAGGTAAGCTACTGAAGTAGGTGGGGTTGTTCGCGTTCTGATTCCACTTGAGCAACTGTTACCTCCCAAACACCTGCCTTTCCGCTTCTCCGCAACAGATCCCGCAACATACGATGGCAGCTTCATTGACGCTGTCACAATTGGGACAATGGCTGAGCCTCCATACAGCTACGCATCACATGCTTTGGCACATGTTGAGCATCTTTGCTGACACCACAGTAGGCAGAGCTCGAGGTCGCAGAGAACATCTGGAATCACGCTCGCTTGATGTGGCCAGCCGGCGAAAATGACGAAGCGGATAAGTTCATGGACGAACTGCGTGGCATCGCCGACACCCTTATCGTAGACATGGAGCACGACCGTCCTGTCGACCAGAGACTTGATTCCATTACTTTCGACCTCTCTGAAAGACCTGTTGTCGAAGAGGATCAGAAGGAGGAGGAGGAGGAGGAGGAGGAGGAGGAAGAGGAGAAAACGGGAGATGAAGCGTAGATGAAGAACAAGAGATCTTTTAGCATGGGACGAGTACTCTTCAAGTTGCCTAAGCCCGTGCTGGCGATGGAGATCCGAGGTAGGAACTTCGGCGAGGATGTCGTCGACACGTCCAGAGCGTAAGCATCAAAGACACGCCACGCGACGAACCCCACTAACGACGTCAGGGCAGTGTTATTCAGCGTGTCGCCAGTGTTGGCTCGAAGAAGGATAAGAGAATTCCCAGCAGTGGCACCCAAAACAGTACCTGCACCGTCCTCAAAAGAAGCGCAGCATGTGGTTCTGGGTGATGATCGGAAACAATTGGCTTGGGAACCGGTTACGTCCACGTCAGGAAGTCGAACCTTTGCTTCCATTTCTCGATCAGGCTTGGAATCCCAATCTGAACAGTAAGGACACTTCTAGTGGGAATAGTAAGATCGGGAGAGCTGATCAGGCGGTAGACGGGCGAAGGCGTACTCTCAGGAAGGCGGCATTATACCAATTCAGAGTTTCACTCATTTGAGCAGTTTCAAAATTTATGCAACGATTGAACAATCATGAACTGACTATGTATTGGGCCTTCGAGGCAGCGTCCAAGGCTTCGCACAGACTACCTATCGCGCTTGTCAGCATAGTCACCGCACCACAAGACCACATCGTAACATACCTCGCCTTCAGTATAAGCCCAGAAATATATCCCACATCCAACCAGGTAATAAAGTGCGGGATTAGTCCCTTGATACAGTAACACAGCCGTCAAACTTGATAGTGGTAGTAGCAGTATCCTGAGCTCTAATGAGCGGTGTACAGTTGTGCCAGCGAAGAGATCCAATGGCCACTCCCAGGCGAGATTGATGAAGCCGAAGATGAGGTTTATGGTTTGTAGTATAGGTACAGGTTTGACAGCGCCATCAAAGTTCTTTGTCAGGAAGTCGAAGAAGAATTTTGGCCAGAAGAAACCGTGGAGACTGGCGGCGATGTGATCTGTAGTTCGACCTGGATCAGTCCTTTTGCTACCAGCGTCGCCATGGCGAAAGCAGGAATGAAGCTTACATATTGATGCTGTCATGACGATGAGACGGGCCAAGTGGTTCTTTATGAGCTTTCCCATGCTGCTGTGTAGACTAGCAACGAGTACGACACTCTGGTATGCCGATGATGGAAATTTGCTACCGGTAGAGTGGTGCCACAGGGGTCGAAGCCGACATGATTCAGATTCAGTGCGGTCAGAAGGTAACGAAAGAACGGATAGCCAGTCCTTTGTATGATATCGAGCAACCCCTCTGCGCAATTGATGGGTGGGTGGGGTGCAAATATGGAGAGATAGTACTAGAACACAAGACAGAAGAGGGAAGAGATGCAGGTGATATCGAGCGGCAGTGGCTTAACAAAAAGCGGGATGCATGTCTGTTTTCTCGCTTCTGCTCCAGAGAGAAATAATGTAGGCGGCTGAGTGGACGGAGTCATCGATGTCTAGAATAGCTGAAATCGATCTGCTTGGCTTCTTGGTTTCGCGTGATGTGGGTGGTTGGAGGGTCTTGTGAGGCTTCTCGTAACTGCGAAGCGCCCAAAGTCATGCACGAATCAAACCAGCTCTCACATCAAACAAACATTCTTCGGCAAGGGACAGACAGGATGCTACATATTTGCATGGCCCTGGCCGCTCTTGACCGACCCCGCCCACTCTCCAGGGCTTCATCATCTGGCCCCCTCGGTCGGGGGTTTGCTCTATCATTCATAAGCAACACGATGCGAGAACAGCCCTATCACTTCACTATCGATTAACCATTTATACCCCATGGCACCGAAGCGAGCCATCGCTATCACAATGTATATTCGCCAAAGTGTACGTCGAGGAGAATGTTCAAGCAGCTTGCAGCAGTGTGAGCGGTTACGCATCCAATCAACGCGTCTCTGTTTCCGTTTTGGACACGCGCCGAGACTTCTGCCCTGCGGCCATTCACCACCGACACATGCATCTACCTGGCCCGGCCACCGGATTTTGTGATTCATGATTGAGCCCTGCAGCAAGTATGCAGGTCCTGGTTATCAAGGTGGGTGCCGGGCGGTTATGCTGTGGTTGCGTGGTAGGGCGATTTCATTTGGCCGCCCGAGGTCTGCTCTTCTCACAAGACCCGGCTGTAGCTGATGATCGCGCTGTAAGTTTTTCTTTGCATTTGTCGAACTTCCCGGGAACACATGTTGGCAAAGATGCTGAGCAGACTTCTTCGGAAATCATAGGCCGCATAAAGCAATTTACCTTGATCGATAGACCGACAACACCCTCTGGATTAAGTTGAAGTGCCTGGACCGACACATCGGTCATTATGCTCGAGCATGCTGAAGAGAGATCATGGAGGTCATGGTTCACGACGAAAAAGTTGAGCTTCTATCTACTGTTCCATGGACTCCACGTTGCACTGTTCGTTGTTGGATGGTATGCTTTATTAACTCTCCACACACGATTTCCAGGCTGATGGCCAATAGGTGGAAGCAACAGACCAGTAAAGCACTAGCATCTCTAAATCTACTAACATTCTCTGTATGGATATCAAGAGGTGCAGGGTTGGTGCTCAGTGTCGATGTCACCCTGATTATGCTGCCCATGTGCAGAAACATCTTACGCTTCTTTCGACCGAGGGTCAAATGGCTACCACTGGATGAATCGCGATGGTTCCATCGACAAGTAGGCTATTCACTATTGTTCTGGACCATAGTACACACTACTGGTCATTATGTCAATTTCTTCAACATCGAGCGATCACAACTTCGTGATCAGGCTGCTGTCGAAGTTCATTACGCACAAGCTGGTGGCGTAACAGGACATGTCATGCTCCTCTGCATGCTACTCATGTACACCACGGCACATCAGAAGATACGCCAGCAGTCTTACGAGACATTCTGGTATACGCACCATCTGTTTGTGCCTTTCCTTCTGGCCATGTATACCCACGCTACTGGGTGCTTTGTCCGCGATATGGTTGATCCGGTGTCGCCTTTTGCTGGCAAGTACTTCTGGAATCACTGTCTGGGGTACCAGGGCTGGCGATGGGAGCTGGTGGGTGGTGGCTTGTATCTGTTCGAGAGAATATATCGAGAAATCCGCGCTCGCAGGCCGACAGAGATTATCAAAGTTGTCAAGCATCCATACGGTAAGTAAGCTCAAGCGCGTAGTTTGCGTCACGAAATGTTGACCTCGCAACAGATGCAGTAGAGATCCAATTCCGAAAGCCCAGCATGCAGTACAAAGCTGGACAATGGCTGTTTCTCAATTGTCCGGAGGTGTCAAAGCACCAATGGCATCCTTTCACCATAACCTCCTGCCCTTTCGATCCTTACGTCAGCGTCCACGTCCGGCAGGTGGGTGACTTTACGAGATCTCTGTCCAACGCGCTGGGTGCTGGACCGGAGCAAGCAGCCCTGTACGGAGAACTAGACCCTATGGGGATGTACGAAGTTGCTTTGCAGCAAGGGCAGGAACTGCCTACACTTCGTATCGACGGACCTTATGGCGCGCCAGCTGAGGATGTGTTCGACCATGAGATCGCCATCCTCATTGGTACTGGTATCGGCGTCACACCTTGGGCTTCTATCCTCAAGAACATCTGGCACATGCGGCTATCTCCGAATCCGCCCAGACGCTTAAAGAGAGTCGAATTCATCTGGGTATGCAAGACAACGACATCTTTCGAGTGGTTCCAAGCCTTGCTATCGTCGTTGGAGATGCAATCGCTTTCCATGTCCTCGCCATCGCATGCTAACAAGGTCGGCGACAATAGCGACGAGTTCTTGAAGATCCACACGTACCTGACGCAGAAGATGGATGTGGACCAGGCCAACAATATCGTCTTGAACAGCGTAGGCACGACTAAGGATCCATTGACAGAGCTCAACTCGAGGACGAACTTCGGCAGACCTGATTTCCACAGGCTTCTGGGTGCGATGAGAGACTCGATTGAGAACGGGACGTACATCAGTGGGTTGGAGTCTAGGAGAGCCGAAGTGGGAGTATATTTTTGTGGGCCTAATATGGCAGCGAGAGGGATCAGAACGGCTTGTCAAGACGAGTCTAGTCACGATGTCAAGTTCCGCTTCTGGAAGGAGTATTTTTAGAGAATCAAATGAAATTGTTGTACATTCGTGTCCTTCGTACGAGGCTCTTTTGAGGAGGGTTTGGGTATATGATGCAGCAGCGCTGCTCATGAGCGCATAACAGAAAGAGTCCCAAAGGTTTCCTCCTTGTGATCTTCTCTTCTTCATCTCGTATGCGCGTGCTCGGATCGAAGAGGGTGGCGGGCAAGTGATTCGCCTTGTGATGTAGTCGGAGAGGTGGTGGGTGTGTTTTGGTCGAAGGTGGTTGTAGAATCGAGCACTTTACATGCCGAAACCGCCAGCACCGCCCTGCTTACCAGCAGCCTCGCCCTGCATCTTCTCCGAGACCTTGACGTTGACCTCGAAGAACTTGCCGACGCAACGGTCGAGGCAGACGGACTCGCCCTTGTTAAGGTCACCCTCACGGTAGCTGTTGGGGATACACTTCTTGGTGCAGGTCTCGACAAGACTGTATGAATTGTCAGTAGGCGATCGTGGTGCGATTTGGCAGGACTGCTGTGGTATATACCGGTTGTACATGTCCGAGACCATGTCAATCTCGGCCTCAGCAGCGGCAATCTTCTCTGCTGAAGAGGGCTGGGGACGACCACCACCGAAGAGGAAAGACATTTTGATATAAGTTGAAAAGGTTGTTGGATTTGAAGGTGCAAAAGTGTAGTGAATTACTGTTCGAATGGCAGGTCGCGCATCATCATCAGTAGAAAGTTGCGACCTTTGAGCTTGGGCCACCCGCACATGGCTGAAGCTCCGAGTGTTTTCTGCGAGCAAGAACTTCAACCTGCGACTTCCTTCCTCTCTCCTTCCTTCCACACTACACAACATGCTGTGATAAATGGTAAGTCACTCACCACTCCTCTGCACCTTCCCATCATATTTTCCATGATGAGCCAAATTTGTAAAGAACCGTTGCGAATGACTCCTTCGGGGGGTTGATTTCACAAACATACCGATTATCCTGATCTCTCTTCTACACTACACACTGCATACCACATTCACATTCTCAATGCCGAATCTAACAGTGTTCCACAGATGCCAAGGTCTGCCGAAGTCTACCGCTTCTTGCGGCCCGTTCTCCAACGATCGAATGTGAAATCCTCATATACTCGCTACTTCTCTGCCCATGTCACTTTGGCGTCGAAGAAACTCGTCAAGGAGTCTCCGACCGGCGACTATGAGAAACGCGTTGCTCAATTGCAAGCGAACGCGTCCTTGCAAGACTGCTGGCCACGTCTGCCACAGCGTCTCGATGTCGCTAGAATCTCCGTGAACGATTTGAGAAAGAGCAGTGCATTTTTAGATAATGGTGCCTCAAAGCTCGACGATAAATTTGTCGTCTCGGGCAGAGTACGTTCTGTGCGCACTGCCGGCTCAAAACTGGTCTTCGTCGACATCGAACAAGATGATCACGTCGCACAAGCCATCTGTAATTTCTCCCATCTCGACAAGAATGGAGTACCTCGTGAGCAATTCAATGCTTTCAAGCGTGTCGTTCGTCGTGGAGATTGGTATACCTTTATTGGTCATCCACACAAAGCTCAAGGTGGGGAGGAAAGTATCCTTGCGACCGAACTGCCTCAACTCATGTCGCCCTCGCTGCACCAAATTCCTGCTCAACTTGATGACGCTGAAACACGCGCCCGTAGACCCCATGTCGACATGTTGGTTCATCGTCAAGCTGTGCAGACACTCAGGATAAGATCGGCTATCGAGCGTGGCATTTCTACCTTCTTCGATAAGCAAGGATACTCGAAGGTTAGCACGCCTCTGCTGACTGCTGGAGCTGGTGGCGCTGTAGCCAGACCTTTCGAAACTGTTGCTACGGAGATGCAAGACACCACTCTCAACCTTCGCATCGCCCCAGAGCTGTGGCTGAAGCGCTTGGTTGTTGGTGGCCTGGGCAAGGTCTATGAGATCGGACCGGCTTTCCGTAACGAAGGTGTTGATGCGACACACAACCCCGAGTTTACCATCTGCGAGTCATACATGCCATTCGCCGATCTTGAGCATCTCATGAAGATGACCGAAGACCTATTATCTGGCTTGCATGAGCAGTTGCGTGAGCTAGGTGAAGAGCACTTCAAGCACCTCTCTGATACTGCTATCAACTTTGATGCAGGTTCAACTCACCTATTCCAGGGACCGTTCCCACGTCTTCCCTTCATCTCCACGATCGAGAAAGAGATGGGCAAGAAACTGCCCAACCTCGGCGACGACAACGCAGCACAACAGGTTCTCGACCTCTTTACTGAGATGAGCATTCAGGTGCCCGCAAAACCAACACTTCCAAGACTCCTGGATGCCTTGGCTGGTCATTACATCGAGCCACTATGTACCTACCCGACTTTTATCACCGAGCACCCTGCTGTTATGTCACCACTCTCGAAATCCTACACCTGTCCAACAACCTCCCAACTCATATCCGCTCGAGCCGAACTGTTCATTCGCGGCAGCGAATACGCCAACATGTACGAGGAGGAGAACTCACCGTTTGCACAACGTGAGAAGTTTGTGGAACAACTCAAATACCGCGAAGTCGATGGTGAAGGTGATGGTAGGGCTGAGGTGGATGAGAGTTACCTCGAAGCTCTTGAGTGGGGATTGCCTCCTACTGGTGGCTGGGGTATGGGCATTGATCGTCTGGTCATGCTCTTCACTGGCCAGAAACGTATTGGAGATGTCTTGCCCTTTGGCACTCTGAGGAATGTTGTCGGTCTTGCTGCCAGACAAACGTGATGAGTCTCTTCGTATTTACCTTGCTCTTACTTCGTATGATACCCCTCCGCTTCTCTCCTCGAGCTTGAGTTCTCATTATCGCAACCTCACGATATATTTTACTCCTTTACTCTAAGTCATGCACTTGATCAGCTTGACCCAGCCCTAATGCTCCTGGACGTAGATTTCTACCACTCTACACGCTGACCCTAGTAAGTAAGACAAGGCATGACCAAACGACCAACACCGGCGAATTAGCAACCATTCACACCGCAGCAATACAGCCTCTCTAGACATGATACTGGTCGAAACATCTCGAACCAAGGTTCACTTCAAACAACTCGAGCATGCATCAATCACAACCAACTGCCGGACCCCTCTTATGCACACGCAGCTTGCACGAGCGCAACTGCATCAGAAATTCTGCAGCCTGCGCGACGTTCATATCAATAAATCTGCACGAGCTGCGCGTCGCATTCTCACCGCAACTCTTGACAGCATGTCTCGTCACCAACAATACCATTGTTCTTCCATAAATAATGAGTCTGCACAGCCTCGAGTGATATCGCCTTGGGTAACAATGGTTGGTTTAGGCGATGAAACGAACAGCAGGCACCCGATGATCATCAAGTTATCACCGAGGCTGAAGACAAGTAGAATAGAACAACTGATACGGGCTTATACGAACGATGCCAATGCCAAGAATGGACTCGATACTGCATGCAGAAGGTCCATGCGGAGATCATGACGCCTTGAAGCCTTACTTTTTTTGGTCGCGGCAAGATCATCTCACGTAAAAATCTCCGCAGCCCGCGGGAACCGTAGAAAATGGCAGTTGAGGCGGTTCGAAAGAACCAGTTGACCACGCGCATAATCAAGGCTAAGCAGGTTGTTGCAAAGAGACAAGAGGGCTTGGTCTTTGGCAGATGTCTTGTTAAGTTACACTCTCTTCGCTCACCTCTTATACTTTACCCATAGCATGTCTTATCTCCACGAGAGGAGGCACCACGAAGATTAATTTATACGACATCAATCAACGTCCATCGGTATGTTTGCCTGGTTGACGGGTACCGAGACCACTCCACCTGCCTTTCTCGAGCTCCGGAGTTCGAAGGTGTTGATCATTAGCACTGTCGCCGCTGCTGTTTTTACCGACGTCTTTCTATATGGCATCATTGTGCCAGTGCTACCGTTTGCGCTGAGCGGTCGCGCTGGCATCGCGCAGGACAATGTACAATCTATGATTTCGGTATTGTTGGCTGTCTATGGTGGCGCCTTGCTTATAGGAGCACCTATTTGTGGGTGGGTAGCTGATCGATTCGACTCACGTCGGTGGAGTTTCATGGTCGGACTGCTGGCGCTAGCTGGGTCGACAGTGTTCCTCGTTGCAGGTAACAGTCTTGCTCTCATCGTTGTTGGCCGTATTCTGCAAGGTCTTTCGGCGGCGGTGGTGTGGGTTGTTGGACTGGCACTACTCCAGGATACTGTTGGTTCTGAAGCGATCGGGCAAGCGATGGGATATGTTGGCATCGCGATGTCATTAGCATACTTGCTCGGGCCTTTGCTAGGCGGAATTGTGTTCGAGAGGTGAGTTCCTCTGAGTCTGGCAAAGGCGACTCCTTGCTGACATTTCTTCAAGCGCTGGTTACTACGCTGTCTTCGCCATGGCGTTCGGACTGCTGGGTATCGATGCTATTCTTCGCTTGATCATGATCGAGAAAAAGGTTGCTCGGAAGTGGCTGGGAGCAGAAGCAGTAGAAGTATTTGTGGATGATGAACACAAAGGCAGTACAGACGACCACAAAGCTGACCCGACGTATCACACACCCGAAGTTGAGACACCTGCGGTGACACCCGACAAACGCAAGCTCCCTAGAGTGTGCTCACTACTCGCGTCGTATAGACTCGACGCCGCTCTGTTTGGCTGCTTCATTTCGGCATGCTTACTCACCTCCTTTGATTCGATCCTTCCGCTGTATGTCAACGAACTCTGGGACTGGAACTCTGTCGGTGCTGGATTGATCTTCTTGGCCGTCACAATACCGTCTTTCATTGGCCCCTTAGTCGGCGGATACGCAGACAAGCATGGATCCAGATGGCTAGCCACCGCCGGTTTTGTTATCACGGGTCCTTGTTTCATCCTGATGCGGCTCGTGGACCATGACGGCATTCGCCAGAAAGTGCTGCTCTGTGCACTTCTCGCTGTCATCGGCCTCGGAGTCACGCTTTCTCTCACACCGTTGATGGCGGAAGTGTCGTACGCGGTGGAAGCGCAGGGCGCGAAACGACCGGCAGGATTCTTTGGCAAGAATGGTGCTTTCGCTCAGGCGTATGGGCTGTTCAACATGGCATACGCCGGTGGTACCATGGTTGGACCTTTACTTGCCGGCTTGGTCAAGGAGAGGGCTGGATGGGGTACTGCAACGCTCGTGCTCGGATGTGTTTCGTTAATATGCGTGATACCGACCGTCATTTGGTGCGGAGGATCGATCTTCAAGTTGAGAAGGAAACAAAGGGTCGAGAAGCAAGAGAAATCGAATCCGAACTCGAGTACTAGTGCGAGTAGCGAGGTAGATGTTTGATTTGTGGATACAAATTTCTTACATAACAAACCTGTACATAGTCTGATGTTAGCGGTAGCCTATTTTATTAGCATTGCGCTTGGTTTCATGGTGTTTGGTGCTTGCAGAGGGAGTCTCCGACTAACTGGCAAGGCGCAAGGCTGAGGCTGCAGGACAGGGTGGTACCAACAACGATGCTTTGCGAAAGATATCTCGAACTGCAGTCCCAACGACCTGACTTCTGGTGTGTCTCAACGTTCGACTTGATGCTTCAAAATAGGTTTCAAGCTACAGGCCTACTCACCGAAGCTGAACGTCTGCGCCGAGGCATCTGCTCCGATTCTGAGGTTTCGAGATGCTGTTCTTGGGAACCAGGGTCATCGTGCGGCGATCCCCCAAGCCCAAGGTCGGCGGTGTGTGCTACGAACCTCCGGTGTTATTTCACAGACTGCGCGCGGCGTACACTCTCTTCTCTTCTCCACCGACCGGCCTACACACTCTGCCAGAGCAGATCATACTAACAACAGTTTCGCCCCTACACGATTCAGTCGGTGAAACATATTCTAGAATGCTCGGTAACCACGCTATCCACCAATCAGATCTAACCAATCATTCGGTACAACTAAAGGCGCTTTGGCGGAGTGGTTAACGCGATGCCCTGCTATTACCCAGCGGTAAAGTTTAGGCATTTCCTTCGGGAGCGTGTGTTCGAATCACACAGGCGTCGAACTTTTTGCCCTTTCGAAGGTATCAAATGTGTAAAATGTGTTCCTTTTGCTTCTGGAAGAGTGCTGGAAAGGTGACATTCAATATTGACAGAGTCATGGAGTTTTTTGTTAATATGGAGCATGGCGATGCAACGCTTGGACCGTCGAACGACGCGTCGCACCCCAACACCATCACTCGAGCCCAGAGGCTGCGGTTTGGTTGACACTGACACCTCATTGTCACCAGCCTGGATGATGCAGTCGTGCTGTCGCGATGGTTGATATTCCCGATATAATAGGGAAAGTCATGGAGCGCAATGTATCAAGATCGACAAGCTGGAATACTGCGCTTAGATGCGTGACGTGTCTTCATACTGCTGATGCACAACACTTGCCTAAGCGTTATCGGGCTTCTCTCACTACACACATTTGAGTCATACGCGGTCTCCTATCTCTGTAATCGACCTTCTTGCTCTCCACTCTAGAAAATCATACAACGCTAACATTATCAGCCCTGGCTGAATCCTTTGATCGCGTACACCGCACTTTGGAGTCGACTGTGCATAATCCTTCGGTCGCTTGCGAGGACTTCATCTTTGTGGTGTTCTGGAATCCTTTGCCAGTCTCCAAAATCGCGACGCTTTACCACTTCAACGTGGTTGTTGACACACGAAGTTTAATCGAGCCTTGTATCGCAATAAAGACGTTTGTAGCACTGACTGCCAACGGGGAAGGAAACAATCCCCCTCCCAACTGATGCAAAGTCTCAGCCAAACCCCCTGTCCTTACTCCGACCGTCGTTCTCGAAATCTCACAGAAGGGAGGATTTGTTTCGTAAATTTTCAGCATGACTAGGCCAAGGTGACCATGGAAAAGGACAGGGATCGTCCGAGACATTTATGACATTATGCTATCATCATGTCTCTGTGTGCGGGTCGGTTACTCGTCAACCATTTGCTCTGCACGTAAGAGCCCGTTGATGGCACCAGTACTGACTGACTCCTTTTCACAGATGGCTTCTGCGACTATCAGCAGCCACAGGACCACAAAGTAGCCTTTCGACTGCACTTGAAGAAATAGGTGAGACATAGTCGGGGGTACGGAGAGGTAAAATAGAAGAAACCCGGCCAATACAGATCCTAAAAGCCGGACGATGGCAAAAAACGGTCGAAAGTCTACCGTCTGCTTAGAAACGTCTATTAGGTCGTGAGCTAGATATAATGGCCTGGTCCCTTCCCCATACGCGTAGCACACCTACACGATTACACGACCTTGTCGTCGCCCTGACCTTTCGCCATACAACTCATCTACTTCTCATCTACTCTACGTGGATCACCATACAGGATCATCAAATTTTCTCAAGTTTCAAGAAAGAATGGTTGATGGGCAATAAGTCCCAATCATGGACTGGCATAACAAATCAATACCGCTGTTCGCGGTAACAATCGCCATGATCATACTACCACTTGTTGTCGTTCCGATACGCTGCTACGTCCGATACACACGGCGTGCCTTCAAGATCGATGACTGGCTTATCATCGTGGCTTTGGTTCTGCATCTCGGAGCTTGTGCTGTCACGTTATGGGGATTTGTGTATGGCCTTGGTATGCCTGACAAGGTCCTCACGCCAGAAAATATGACCAAGGGTGTCCAGGTAAGCAACCATAAATCGCAAAAGGTGGACCCAAGAGACGCGAGAAACGGACTCTGACAGACGATACAGACATTTGCAATGTACAAGCCAATTTACACGCTCTCGACATGCTTAATCAAGTGCAGTGTATGCTATACATTCCTCCGCCTCTCGACATCACCGAAGATTCGTCGTGCACTCCACTGGATCCTGATCATTGTCAGTTGCTCTTCGCTGGTCATGTTCATCGGATCTTTTGTCTATTGTGTGCCTTATCAAGCCATCTGGTTACATTGGCATCATCCTCACACGCCTGGTTACTGTTTACCTGGAGCTGTTGTATTGACTGTTGGCTACGCTTTTGCTTGCATTACAATCATTACAGATTTTGCATGTGCGATTATTCCTGGAATCATTCTTTGGCAGACAGTCATGAGCACGAGGAATATGTGTATGGCATGGGTCATTCTAGGTCTGGGTGTTTTGGCAGCAGCGATGACTATATGCCGTCTGCCATATATTGCCTACTGGACACATGATACCAACCAAAGCTGTAAGTAACCTCGCCTTTCTATCTGCGAGAACAAAAACCAACAGTGAGCAGATGGTCTAGGACGAATCCTCCTTTTCGAGCTCCTCGAGTGTGGTCTGGGAATTTTCGCCTCCTGCGCCCCAGCACTAAAACCCTGGCTTTCGGCCTCCCTGACCTCATTCACATCTATCCTCCACCGCTTCACAAGGTGGACAATACTAGGCTCCCACATCTCAGCCTCACATCAACAAAATCAACATCAAGACCTTGAAAAAGCAGTGCAAGGGTTGCAAACCTCTTCTCGCCCCACTTCATCTTCCACAGCATCTCCACCTGTCCCTCGTATGGATCTTGTGATCCCTGACATCGAAGACACAATCATGGATACCGTCATGGATGGACAAGATAAGGGATGGGATAATTTCGAGTCGCCGGGAAGTCGACGAAGCGACGTGCCTGTTATAATGATCTCGAGGGTCAGGGCTGAGAGCGGGGACTATACCAGTACTTGGGATGTTGCCAAAGAGGAAAGCAGCAGTGGTGAATCTCACGCTTGAGATGAATACCTAATGTGATTATGACTTTCCTTTCTCTGTTTGCATTGCATGCAATAGCTATATATTCTATTCTTTTACTTCAGGGTTTCTAATTTATGGCCGCCACTGGTATGGCATAGAACTTCGCCATGCTATCCGCTCAATTAGTTCGCAAAGAAGTTCGTGCTAGGATCAGGGATACGGTCAAAGTCAATCAACGATGAGTCGTGTTCCACCATCGTTCAACCAGAGAATCCGTTTTGCTCGAACAAAATAGAACGCAGCGAGCGTTCGCGATTTCCGCCAAACAAGAAATCAAGGCCGCTCGCGACACAACAGGCAAGAGCGGACGATGACATTGCTCTTCATGCCTTCCGACACACCATTTCTACACAACCTCGACACCAAAAGTGGAAAGAACAATGATGTTTGAACAATACGAAAGAGGCATGAAATGCTAAACGAACGCGAAACAGCCGGAAAACCCATCTCCCCATCCATGCATGTGCATGCAGAAGGAAAGCACTCCTCTCTGACCCCGCGCTATGCTCTCACCACCCAAAAGACTGACATACCAACCCCATCAACACCTTACAGTGACCAAAATTTCCAAAGCTCACACTCAAAGCGCGCAACAAACACCCAAAACATCTCTTACATCAATCATGCCGCTCTCGTCTCCAGTCATCTTCCCAGCCATCAAGCCGCCAGAACCCCAAAGACTTCTCCTCTCATCCCAACGTCTGAATTTGATCTTGACTTCCCTCGGAAGCCCGCCTAGCACAACCCTCGCCTTGGGAATAGCAGGTCTATCTTCTAGACTAGCTGACAGGATGGCATAGTCGTGTGCGAACAGACAAGCCTGCACGAATGCATGCTGCCACAATGGCTGTTTCGAAAGCAACGGTCCAGGCAGGACCAAGATCTCTGAATTGGCATCTAGGACATAACATCCTTCAGGCTCCAAGTCGTCTTGTGTGAAAGGTGCGACCTCAGAGATCAACCCCTCGAATTCAGAAGTTGGTGATTTGCCCGAGCCGTCGCGGCCAGGGTGATCGGGATTAGGCGACTTTGGTGCGCTCCAAGAAGGACGGCGAGAGAAGTAGCTCGTGAACAGTGAGGTGGCGGTTTGCTTGGGCTTCTCCTGCGCCTCAATTCTGAACAAACGCACCGAAGAGTGATCCCAATTGCCACACTTGCCCTTCCACAAGGCCGGGGGTTGGCAGACAATTGCGTTACCCGAATCGTGAATCACAGCAAGAAACTCGGCCGTCTCTTTGCCTTCGTCGACCTCGGAGAATCCACCACCAGGGTTGAGATCCATAGATATCAGTCTAGTACTTCCGATTGCGGTAGCACCACATCCGCTGCCCTTCCAGAGCCAAATCTTGGTCTCCTGGAGAGTTATAGGACGAGCGAGGATATACGGATATTCGGAGCAGAGACTGCTTTTGCTGCGGTTGACTTCGTCAAATGCGATGTGACCCATATGTGGGCGACCGCACAACATGTAAGGCTCTTTCAAACTCTCTGCACGTGAGCCACGACGAGTGATCACGATACCACCAAGTGCTTGGAAGAAGTTAGCTGGTTCGCGAGCCTGGTCGATGATGTAGAGTTGAGTCGACCTAAAGTATGGTTAACTTCTTGTACGCAAGCGGAAAGTCAACCGTCAAACACTCACTTCTGGCCCACTCCAGCCTCTCTCGTGACTTGTTTGGCGTGGACTTGCGTCTCTCGAATTGTTGACTCGGAGATGAGGTCACCACACCATAGATAAACTTCGGCCATCCTGGTCATGTTGGCAGTGTGAAAGATATGTGTGCAGATATACATAGAGCTTTCATACAAGATGTGCTCCTGTTGTGCCGGCAGAGGGATCAGAGTACCGTCTGACTTGATCTCCTGGATCGAATAGCGTAGAGTCTTAGTCTTATCGGACTCGCCGGGACGAGAGCGCAAGACTGTTTGCGTGTCTGTCTTCAACTGCAGTTGGTTACTTGATGTAGGCACGTTGCTGAAGAAGTTGGAGAGTTCGCGTGCAGCTGGGAGATCAGGCATATTTGGCAGATTTGGTAGGTCTATCGAGTTTCCAGACACAAGTCAGCTCTCTGTCCCTCCTGCGGGCTTGGGTATAGATCGCAACGGGCTCAAACTGCTCAGAAGCAATCAGAATTTGGACGGAAAAAACAAATCAACGTGGACATGAATCGAGACTCTTCTTCTTTGTGATTGCAAGATGGAGGACGGAATTATGCTAAGACTCACCTTTGGCACTGAGTTGACCGCTGACGACTCTTGAGCTCCTTGCTGGCTTTGGCGGAGCTCCAGCACTGGGCGGTTGTACGTGTTCATAGCCGTTGCCTCGCTTTGGTTGGCTTATTGAATCTTCGGTGATACCGAGGCCTTGCTTCGGCGATGCATTGTATCTAAGTGGCGAGTTCGAGAGAAGTCCAGCAGACAACATGGCGGCCTCTTCATCCTTCCTCGTGGGCAACTCGATCGGAGCGCGCTTCTGTGGCGTGATTTGTTGTGCTGGCTTGCCCCACATGGAAGCAGCACCCTTTACCGACGAGAAACTTTGGTTTTCCTTATTGGCCTCAGTCGTGTTCAAAGGCGGCAAAGGCTTATCCTGAGATCTTGTCCCAGTCATGCCCGGAAGGGCCTTACCAGGGAGAGGCCGACTGAAGCCAGACGGCTGGCGTGTAGTAGATTGCGGAGAAGCAAAGGTTGGAGCAGTCTGTGTGCTGACGAGAGAGCCGGTCGAAGATGTGCGAAGGGGAAGTTTGACAGAAACGGGGGTCGACAGCTTGTCGTTAGCCATCGACGAAGGAGTTTCCAGCACTGGCTTGACAGGCGTGGTGGGTTTAGCTTTCTCTGCTCCAGTGCTTGCTGCCACTTCTAGCGATGATCTCGTCGAAACAGGAGTCTTTGGCTTTTCCGATTGTACAGATGGGAATGTCATTGACTTTGTTGGAGTAAGAGTCTTGGGCTTTTCCTCCTCAGCGACCGATGGTCTTGAAAGATTGATTGATGCTGCCCTTACAGCTGCAGACTTGGGCCGGGGTTGCACGGGAGTCTGAGTCACGGGCGAGCTTGGTGATGGCAAATCGATAGATTTGGCCGACTGGATGGATGACGCACGCTGTTCGGATCCAGACGTGATCGAGGAGATACGCTTCTCGGGTACCGGTGTTGCCCTGATCGTATCCACAGGCGCATGGGTCGCTTTGACTGTATCCACGGGTGTACTGGACTTGGGCTTGCGTCTCTTCGGTCCTTTGGCACGACTTTTAGTCATGTGTGTGAGCTGAGTGCCCTCGCCCGATTCCTCATCTTGGGCGGTAGAGACACGGCTGATCGCAGGAGGAGAGAAGGGACTACCCGATGGAGGAGTATTTGAGGTGCTTGGCGGGCCACGTGCTAACAATCCCGCTAAAGCTGGGTTGAATCTGTCGGCAATTCTATTCGACGTAGGCCTTGATATCACCTGCGATTTAGATGGCTCCTGCTGTACTGGTTTAGGAAGCTCCTGTTTCGCTGGCTTGGGCAGCTCACGTTTCTCAGGCTCGGAAAGCTCTCGACCCAGCGGTTCCGACTTGCTCTCGGCCTCTCTCGTTTTCAACGCTCCGTTGACAGGATTCTTCTCCGCTGTTATAGCGGGCGGCTTACATTCGACAGAAGCACGTTTGAGCTCTACCTTTTCAGTGACACTGCTCCTCTTCTCGGGGGCAGGTACCTTTGGCTTGCCTCTAAGGTTCTTGTGGAAGGAGAGAGCCTCAGGCGTAATGTCTCTGTGTGATTTGGCGGGAGCGGGAATGTTCAAGGTGCTGTTAGATCGGCCGAGCTGCTTTCTGATTGAGAGTGCCTCTGGTACGGTCGAAGGTATCGGTGAGATTTTCGGTTCTGATGCGGGCTTCTCTGTAGCGGCCTTATTCATCTCTTCCTTCTTCTTCAGCAGACTTTCCTTCAACTCATCGCGTCGCTCTGTCTTTTGAGGACCAGCACTGAGAGATAGACCCGCTTTACCGCGAAGAATGTTGCTCTTCAGCTCGTCGGGGGCCACATACTTCTCAGTCGAGGCTTTCTTAAGCTTGCCAAACAAAGCTTTGAACTCGGGCTCTTGCTGTGTTTGTGCGCCGATAGTACCACTTCTTGACTTCAGACCCGATCGGAAGTCCGTCTTCGGTGTGGTCTCTTGCTTCAATTCAGGGGATTTAAACTCGCCAGATCTCAGCTCCGGGGTTTTCAAGACAGGAAAACGGGGCGATGAGGACGCAGTGGAGTTGACAGAGTCGGAAGTCTGTGGCTTGGGTGGTAGACTAGGTGCTAATGACAAGGCATTCGGCTTTGGAGCAGCTGGCTTGACTGGCTCCTTCTCGGTGAAACCTGATGCAAGTACACTCGGCTTGGAAGACACTGACTTGGCTGCCTCTTCCCTCTTGGGTGTAGAGTTTTTCGCTGCGTGGGTCTGCGTGATCTCCACCGGCTTTTCTTCGAGAGTTGGCTTTTCTTCAGCAACCTCCTGTTTGAGTGCCTCTTTGATTGGCTCTTGCTTTTCGACATCGGATCGCGCGGGCACCTTTGGTATAAAGTCGAGCGAAGGAGTATGAAGTTCAGAAAGGGCAGATTTGCCGGCGAGTGAGATAGGCTTGGCCTTTGTGGGTGGTGTGACATTCCTTGATGCGCTTGGAGAGTGTGTTGGTGTGTTCCTCATGGATGACCTCTTCAGCAAGCCCTGGCCAATTGTGGGCGTATCGTGAGCCTTTGCGGCATCTGGGTTCTCTTGTGATGTCGACGTTTCGGCAGTTCCACGCTGTTGTTTCGCCTTTGCGAGGTCAGCCATCCAACTTGGCTGGGTCGACTGTGGTGATGCAAGCGGCTTGGGCGAATCCGGACGAGTGAGAGCGCTCTCAAGCCAACTAGCCTTAGTTGGGCTGCGACTCCATCTTTTGTTCGGGCTCAGTGGTGGTGACATGAGCCCCTCGGGAATTGGCTCATGGCCCGAGAAAGAGGCCATGGACCTCGAGCGCGAATGTCTGGTAGTGGATGATCTCTCGACCTTCTCCTCCTTGACGTCTGCTTCGGGAGCAATGTTCAAGTTGCTCATGGTACTATGACTTGAGGTAGGTCGCGAGGGTATGTCGTCGGCATTGGTGCCACTGCGGAAACTGGCTGTCGAGTCGTTGCGGGTCAAGGTAGAAGGACCGGCCGTGACACTCCATCTCTTGTTGACACTGTCGTTGCGCTTAAGCATAGCACTCTGCACAAAGCCACCCATTCCCTTCGTTGGCGAGCTGGGACGATCCAGGCGGCTCTGGGCGCTTGACATGGCACGGCCAAGACCCGCATCAGCACTGTCGGGCGCAGCAAAGCGCTGTGAGTCGCGTGAGGGAAGGGGCGCTCCCTTCTCAGGGATGGACATCATGCTCATGGGCCTGACGGAGGAGGCCCTGGTGGGCGAGCCCATGTCGACTGACATGGGTCGACTGCGGGGTTGGCGCGATAGAGTGCTGGCGCGAGATGGGACGGCGCTGCTAGGCGATGCTCGGTGCGGACTTGTTGACGGAGACATTGATGGTGAGGCCATGCCTCTCTCGCTCTCTGCGCTAATGTGTCAGTTGATGTTGTTGAGGAGCGCTCGTGTGACGCACCTAGCTTTCTTGCCAATCGTGAACTCGCGATCTGCGCTTCTAATTGCTCCTGACGCTCGTTGTCTTCCCTCTGTCTCTTCTCTTTGAGTTCGCGCACGCTCTCGAGGAAGGCGTTGGTATCGAGATCGGGCGTATCGTCCATGGTGTATGGCGTCTCGTATATCTCGTAGGTGTCTAGGTAATGATGGTATCTAATCCATAGGGCAGATGACGGTGCAATCGATCAATGATTCAATTCGAGATTGGGATGCGTCTGACGACTTCGAAGGAGGGAGAGGGTTCAACAGTCAACCGACGATGCACCAAACACCCTCTTGTTGACATTTATTTGTGTACCCGTCCCACGCCCGTCCCCAAACCCACCAGACCAACGTCCCGGCCGCACCTGTTTAAACGCGCCAAGCCTGCCGTCTCTCCCTTCTCAGATCTCTTTTGAAACAGCCACCGAGGCCTTGTCTGCAGCCAATCTTCCGACACATCATATATTTTGATCGTCGTCATATCTGTTGCTTCCAATCAGGGGTCCTTCGTAACCCAGATCTGCCCTCTAATCGTCTTCCATCTCTCCTATAGAATATTCGAAACCGAGCGTCCCTGCACCTCAGTACAAAAAGAGCCGGTCCTTGGCATCCTGCACTACCCATTGGAGGCCTTCCTGAAGGTTCAATCCAGTCAATGCACTGCACTCCATAATGTTCCACCTGTGCGTGTGAATTGCGTCGAGTCGTAAGGCCTATGTTGTTTGCACCGAGTCAGTTTGATGCGTGGTAAACATTAGGACCCCGCCGTGGCTGGCGTGGGAACGTCAAACCTTGCGTATCTCTTCCGAGCTCATGCATCCTGCCACATCACTTTTATTCTTGAACACGAGTAGACTCGCTCCCATCAGCCGCTACCATCCTGATCAGTCTCCACTTCATCGAGTCGTAACGGAGCTCCATACCTCTTGCAGGAGAAGACCCTCTAGTTCTTGTCGGCAGTCGTCAATCCGTTCTCGATCTGTGCCGTCTACCACCCAGATGAGCGTGTCCGTCTTCTCGAAATAGTTCTTCCAGTATGTCCGGAGCGTCTTCTGTCCGCCGACGTCCCCTGTCCCGTGTAAGTCTCGGTATCGGCATCTCGCACCACGTCCTGAATTCCCTCACAGATATTCAGCTTGTACCTGTCCACCTCAGCTGTCAGCTCCACATCTTTGCTTCATTATCGCCTAGCAACCTTACCCGTCGTAGTCGATTGTTTTGATGATGAAGCCGAGAGTCGGAGAAACTGTGTTGATGTCCTCGCCCATAATATTCTTGACTATCGATGTTTTGCCGCTGTTGTCCAGTCCGCTAAGAAATGGTCAGCGAGGTGCAGCTACCTCGATCCATTCCCACGCACAGCATCAAAATTCGCATCTCTTTGTCCTTGAGACGCGCTTTCCGCAGTATCGACAACATTCCGACAGCAGAATATGGTTCCAATGGCGCAGATAGAGATGAAGAGAATGGAGAGCCAAAATAGCAACCAGAAAGAACAAACAGCGAGTCACGTGCCTTCCGGTTGTAGGCCAAGTTATATTTACACTCACCAACAAAACTTGACTGGAGGAAGGGCTGAGTAGGGCGAGTCCTTTCAACCCTCTCGCGCATACTCGCACGAACTACCGGCCCTGTCTCAGAGTCCTTTCAACCCTCTCGCGCATACTCGCACGAACTACCGGCCCTGTCTCAAGTACTACCACTACGACAACATCCCACGTCGCAACTTTCGGATACCGCTCCTGGCACCTTGGATCTGTGACGAGATAAATGCTTCGTCAGATGCTTCTGAGCAATCTTGTGCCTGTTGTGTATCATGCAGGCTGTTGCGCGATACGATTAGTGGCGCCTGCCAACGGCCAGCCTTTCCAAGTATATGATTGGAGAGTGGAGGAGAGTTCTATTATCTCGTCTCGAACCCTGCTACTCGGATAATCATGACGATGATGACTCTGCACTTGAATCTCGAGTCTGATCCTGTTTGTGGTCAAGGAACTTTTGCTGAGAGATGAATGCGTCGAGGTCTTTAAAGACTGAGGAGCTGCAGCATGCTTTGGATCCTCGGTAGGACAGATTGATCGTCAGCCAGGTGCAAGAAGTGCAAGAACAATATCACATTCGCTATCACGAGGCAGATGTCCTTCCATGTACCGGTGAACATCGTTGCTCGAAGTGGAAGGTACGAAGCTGTATAAATGTCACAGTGCCCATAGCAAGGTATAAACAAAGCTAAACTGGAGGCTCACTGAGAAGAGACGAAACTTCTAAAACTCTGAGTGGACAGCGCTCAGCTCTAAAAGTTTCTCTGCACCACAACACAGGTACTCGATAAGTTAACACGACAAGAAGGGCGAAGGAGGTCGTTTGTAAAGTTTCGTCACTCACTTCGCGAGTGAATGCAGGCAGCCGCGACTGGCACACGCAGCTTAACTTTCCAACTTTCGGCGCAACCTCGACATTCATCCTTCATCATTCTTCTCACGCGCAAAAATGCCCGGCGGTAAGAGACAACAGAAGAAAGCCTCTCCATGGATCAGTGACAGAGAGCTCAAGAAAATGACGGCCGGTGCTGCCCCGCCGCCCGTCGAAGGACCAGCAATCGACTACGGTGACGAAGTCGACCCACAACTCTTCTGTCAATGGGGCGAACATGCTACACCACCCATCTGGGACGATCGTCCAGTCTACCAGGATCGTGATCTCTCGAAGACCATCAAGGAATGGCAGAGCAAGGTCCCAGTGGAGTCCAAACCCTTCGGCATCACGTCAAACGTCAAAGGAAGCACCAACTTCTCGTTCAAAGTCGGTCAAACCAACGCTCCCGGTGGACTCCTCTACTTCCTACCGCCGAAACACGATGAGTCTCTCATGTGCGAACTAGTGCCCCGTGCCTGGATACCGCATAATTTCGAGTCGGGCCAAAGTCTACAGTCGTTCTGGCAGCAACAGATCAGCGGTGCGCCACAACCACAGGAGGAATCTGACTTTGGTGACCGTAAACCATTCTGGGATCGCTATCTTACCGTAAACTCAGCAGTTCAGTGCTTCCCAGCCCAGCCCGACTACGAGGAGTGCGACACTCGCCGAGACAGGCAAATCGACAAGAAGGGGCGTGAGATGGATCGTGGCAGTCAGGGCTGGACCAACCGATACCTTCAAGACCCCGATCAGTTCATGAAGACTCGCTTTGACAGAAAGGCCGGAAGTGCTGAAGGAAAGCAGCGTGATGACGAGCCACCCAAGGCATCACTCTTTGAGGAAACACCAATGATTGAGAACAGTCTGAAACCGGCATTGCATCTCTCGATCCGCATGGCACAAGTCGGCGATCTTCCTCAGATCACAGACATTTACAACCACTATGTCAAGAACAGCGTATGTACCATGGAGATGGAGCAGGACCTTATCAGTATCACAGACATGAGGAACCGTCTTGAAAGCGCTCGAAGCGGCCACCTCCCGTTCCTCGTCGCCTGCTCGCCTGTTGGATACGGCGGTAAGAAGCGTCATCCCGATCGTTTCCCTTGTGAGACAGTCCTGGGATTCGCTTACGCTGATGAGTACGCTGGCCCGAGAACAGCATTCCGCTTTTCTGTCGAGGTTGCACTGTTCGCACTCCCTGGACGTAAGTGGGCACGTAAAGGCACCAGCAAGTGCCTAATGGACAAGCTCCTTGGACTGTTAGACCAGTTCTACATTCAGCGTGGCGGTTACCAACTTGACGAAGATCTGGGGCTTGGAACACAGCGTCTTGTGTCGCGCATCTTCCTCAACTACCTGAACTCGGAGGAGGACAATACCAAGGAGTGGATGAAGCCCTACCTGGAGTCGTGGGGATTTGAAGAGCAGACCACAATCAAGAAAGTCGGCTACAAGCTAGGCCAAGTGTAAGCCTGATACTGCGAGCGACAAGATCTTAACTAACGATAGTACAGTGTCGACGTCACGCTCTTCCACAGGGAAACAGGACTGGTAATCGTGCCGAGCAACCCTCCAATCCCCCCTCCCAAGACTTGAAAAAGCTATGTGAGAGCTGCAAATATGGACAGTGCCTCGGGTTACTGCTATGAGAATAGAGAGTGTTGGTTGCAGCCCCCAGAGAGCAAACAACTAGGAGAGACAATTGCTTTATGGTGGGAGGAGGAATTAATTAAATTGAGACATACGGAAACAATATGGCAAAATGCGGGGCGGAGCGGTCTTGGCTCCTCCGAGACCCTGATGAATTTATCTTTTTTTGTTCGATCAACTTTAACCAAACTTGACCATTCCACACTCTAACAAACAATATGTCGCTCGCACTAGGAAAGCGCAAGCGTGCAGTGGTCTCCAAAACAGCCCCTGCCTCCAAGAAGGCTGCGATCGTAAAGCCGGCATCACGACCACCTCCAGCACCCGAACCAGAATCCGATGCAGAAGATAGACAAGCGATGAACGAGGCTTTCCGCCGCGCTTTTGAGAAGAGATTCAAGGCGATAGAGGAGGACAAGCCAGAGGAGGTCTTGATCGACGAAGAACCGGATGAGGAAGATGAAGAAGCCTGGGATGGTCTCTCGGAAGAGGAGGAAAGCGACGAGAATGAGGTCGAAGTGGTAGAGCACAACATGTCAAACTTCACACGCGATCGAGCAGACAAGGCCGCGCTGAAAGCCTTCATGGTACATTTCCCCCTACCTGTCTATCTTGAAAGACTCAAGAGCTAACACATGCGATGACCACAGTCCTCGAAACCACCCACGTCCACAGACGACATCCCCAGCACAACCTCCAAACAACCCACAAAAAAGAAGGACGAAGATGAAGGCACAGAAGCCGACAATCTAAAAGACGATCTCGCCCTCCAACGCCTCCTCAAAGAATCACATCTCCTCGACTCTACATCCCTAACCACCGACCCATCTGGCAAGAATCGGCATAAAGCCACTGATCTGCGTCTCCTCGAACTTGGCTCCAAGACATCTATTTTCGCTCAAAAGAATATGCCTAAACATCAAAGAGTGGGTATTCAGAAGAAAAAGGAGGACAGAGAGTTTGAACGAAGGAGGGAGGCAAAGGAGAATGGTATTGTGCTTGAGAGGGTCAGGAGGGAGGGTACGGATGGAAGAGGTGGTGGATTTGGAGGTGGTAAGCAAAGGGAGAGAGGAATTGGAAATCCGAGCGTGGGTAGATTCAGTGGAGGTACGCTGAAGTTGACCAAGAGGGATGTGGAGGGCATCACTGGACCTCCGAGTAGTGGAAGAGGAGGAAGAGGTGGCAAGGGAGGTCGTGGCGGTGGTAGAGGCGGTGGTAGGGGAGGTGGTAGAGGCGGAAGAGGAGGTAAGAGGTAGAGAGCATGAATCTCTCAAACAAGACATACTCTCGTTGATCCTGCCAAATTCGGCACAACTGCAATCTGGCAGATCGTTTGCTTCATCCTCGAGCATCGAAACGCAACGCTCGCCGGACATGAAGAGTTCACCAAGCGCACTGGAGATGCAACCTCAAGGGACCCTTTGCTTTTACTGTCTCATATTCGCGAAAAGTCACGGGCAAAGCTCCGACAAGGCAATATTGGAGCCATTAGATCAAGAGTCATCCCCTTACAACGACAAAGCATGCGGAGCCGAGAGAAATCTCTCACAGCAAGTCTGCCGCTTCTTGGTCGTTTACAGTAGGAAGACAGCGTGGTCACTAGTAGACCCAAACTACGGCATGAAAGGAGAGTCTTTAGGTATATATATCAAAAGAGGGAGCAGATAGCACGGCATCTATACGAACCTTGCATAACACAAGACTCTTGCACGCTTGACTTTTCAAAGACAGTACGAATTGAGCTGGACCGCGCATGTACGTCTCTTCCCCGAGTGCGAACGACACAGACCATTGTGACATCTCGAGTCACATCCTGTAATCCATCCAAGGACCAAACCGACCTCCAAGCGTTGTTGCGTCCAAGTCTTAGCACGAGATGACACGAGACGAAATTGCAACCTTAAATCATGGGACTTCTCTGGCTCGCAAAAGCTGGCCGATCGACTGATGCAAAGAAGCTTAGTGTACACTGAATCCGGTAGAAGACAAGGTTCAGTTCTTATCGTACTAGCCCTTGTATTGGTTACTGTCGAAAGAGGTTTGTGGTGGTCAATCTCACAAGCCATATCATTAGCAGAAGCGAATTGGTTGTCATAGCGCATCGCATCGATTTACTTTTGAAGTCGATCTAGCATCGCAATTTTGAGGTTGCGAAAGTTGCTTTCCTTGTAAAGTCAATTGAGCATATGTCCTGTGTTTTGCAAGACCACCATGAGCCTTCAGCACGACCTGTCACTTTTGTGGCTTCTGACTTCCATCCTGGGTCTGAGGACGACATGGTTGATTTGCCTCAGCTGCAGAGAAGAGAAACCAACTACTCGTCGGCACGAATAGCTTCGTCGTTGCTGAAAGCCTCCTCGGGGTTGAAGTAGTGTTCGCATTTGTATATAGGTGTCAAGCTTCACCCGTTGGCAATCAATAATGGTTCGCCATTTTTACAGGTGCAACGGCCTTGTGATGGAGACTCTATACAAGATCAACGTCGCGTGCGTCCTTATCTATATGGCAGGTTATGTTGCATTCTCCTGCCGTCTGTCTCAAGTTTCAGATCAAGTTCATTGCTTGTCCAAAGATGCGCTCTTGTTATGCCGTCAATGGCTGGTTTTTATGGTGTCGGGCCCAGGTTTTGCAAGCATTGGCTGATTTATTGAATAATGCTAGGTAATCGGAAGAATGGTGTATAACGTGAGTGTTGGCAAGTGGTGCGAAAGTGTAACCCCTTCTTACGATTTAGCCCTAAGAGATGTTGTAAGGTCCGTTGCTACAGGCATAGAAAAGTCAAAGTAGCAGGTGCTTTGCTGCCGCTCGAGGAAGGCGGGCAGTCACTAGATCAGTGTGCAAGTCAGCGTCGGCATGGACAACAGATCCCAAACCGTTACAATGTCTCTGATCATGGAAAAGAACCGCGGTCTTCCGTCTTCTGCACCATTGGAAGCTTTAAGGATGTGGCGCAACCGAGTTCGCATGGCTACCTGAAAACAGTATTAACATTGACAGCATGTCAAGGACTCGTCGGATAAGTCTCCTCAGCTCGTATAGTTTCCCTTCGACGCAGTCAGTTATTTCACAAACTCCCTAGATGCATTGCTTTTGACACAGCAAGCCTTTCAAGCGAGGCTTCTTGACCAGCGTCAACGGAGACGGCAGCGCGCTTATGACTTGAGCAAAAGTATCTGGCAGCGTCGGGCGCCATGGCTGAATGTGACCCTGGGGCCCCTGGAAAGCTACTGAGGGGCACAGACAAGCAATTGGTCTCCCTCAATGTAACGTGAGTGCACAGCACAGCATTGCGAGTGATTGGTAGATTTGGACAACTGATCACGAAGCAACTCCTTGCAGAGCGATATCGCAGGACGTAACGGAAGGAGATTGGACCTGGAAGATGGTCAAGAATGCAGTCGGGTGCATACACTCAATATCAGTATGGCACTCGGTCCGCGGCTCTCTTTCAGACACCGCAAAGGAGAATTCTTGCTGTAACCAAATTTGGGTCCTGGTGTTCAGCACGCAAAACTTGGCGTCGCAACGGCTTTCGGTACGGTAAAGTCACAGAAGGCGGAGCTTGGTCCCGACGGAAGCTTTGCTGATCGATCATCCGAATCTTTCTTGAGCCAACACCGTACCCTGTATTCTTGAGCAGACGACCAAACCTCTCACCGTGGGGGATAAGTCCAGCGACGAGACCAGTCGTCTGATGTGGATCTAGGACAGAGCAATGCTCAAAGAAGAAACCTGCTTGAAAAAGAGTTGCTGCTGACTGGCATGATGAACGGAACAGCGATCCGAAAGCTTGAGGTAGAAAGAAGGGCGGCGCTTACAAAACCACCCACTATATAACAACGTCTCGGTCTGAGCGTAGCATAGATCGCCGATTCACTGCAGGCTGTGTCGAAGACCTTCTTGTAGCCCCTGAAACGCATGCCTGAAGCTGGCGCAGTGGTTGAGTAATCTTCAGCGACGGAGCAGAAAGCTGATGAAGTCTGTGGCAGAGATTGGAGCACGGTGTTTCAGAAGCTGATTACGAAGACGCAGCAGCAATACGAATTGGGATCAGCACTAGCTCGCTTGGACCTGTCATGGATAGCCAAGTTGTTGTTTCGTGATATGGAGCCTGTACACGAGTAACAGTTCCTTGACGAACGGAGGGAAGATAAGCCAAACACAGAAGCGGTGCTGAGGATGGAGACGGCCGTATGGAATAAAGTTAGATGTTGGCCAGAAGGCCGGTCGCGTGGAATTGCGCGTCAAAAAGATCTGCAGTGATCTACATGGTCGTAAGATCTATCATACTTTTTGGTAGGCGATGGGGCATGTAATTATTTGGGGCTTTGTGGTTTTGGATATGCAAAGGTTCGGACGACGTTAGGGAGTTCTTCCTGTGCCAACAACGTGTGCGTATGGGCAACGGTGTCTTCCAAAGGTGGTGAGACAAAGAGCCAATTAGCATGACGTATCGGCTACCCGGCATGTCGGATCTGGGTGGCTCTTTGCTCTCTTTGTCGCGCAAAACGGCGGGCCAATGGAGTCTGGAAATAAGCTTTGACATTCCGTGGAGCCAAGTGTAGGTGGAGAGAGATGGATAGAGGTGGATGTGCATGTTGAGAGAACTAGCCATCGAGTGATTTGTAGAGACAGCGTCTGGACAGGCATGGACAGACGTGTCTTATGGTCTCTAGAACGGCTCTCGAGACGCTGCGGCAGGCAGAGAGCTGTGACGTCGCGAGACAGCAGCCAAGACATGGCCTGGACGCTAGACGCTCGCCGGCGGTCTAGAATGTGCAAGTGGAGAAGGGCAATCGCGACGGTTTGCGTTCTCGGACTCCAGCTTGTCCGTTGTCCAAGTCTCTGTGCTGAGCCTATCATGCTTAGCAAACCGCTCCCGCCAACTTGGATCCGACTCTGACTCTGCCTCCGACGCCCAATCCGCTGACTCTCGACTGTCTCTCCTTCCAATCTCAACTTGCCAGCCCAGCCTCGTCACCACAATCAACCTCCTGTACCACTATCGCCCTAACGCTACCATACATCTTGCTGCACACCCGGATCCACGAAACGCAAACCGCGACTTCGAGCTGGACCGCCACGCGGATTGTCCGCCATGGAGCCCGACTTCATACCGAGAAAGTCGATCTGCCTGGGTCAGCCGCTGCCCCCGAAAGTCGTCATTCACGACAGCGACCCCGACTTTGGCGAGGGAATGGGACGTCTGTACCCCTCGAGCGTCGAGAGCAATCTTCTGGAAGAGTTGGTCATCCTGAAGACCAAGCTGCGACTATGCAACAACGATGATTTCTGGTCGCTGGTATCCGAACGCATGGCCGAGATTCTAGGAGCACAGCTCTGCTTCATCGCCAAACGTATTCTGGTCGACGAGCAAGACGCCGCCGTGGAGATGCCTCCTCTTGGAGAGCCTGGCTCATGTCTCATGGCAAGTGCTTGGTACTACAACGATGGAAATGGTTTGCAAGGAGTTGAGAAAGGTCTGAAATACCATGCTTATGGCTGTCCCTGTGGATACATGCGCCATGACAAGGTCTTTGTCGTCCCAGAGAAGGTCAGCGAAATCTTTGCCAACAACCCAAATAAGCTGCCTGTTTCTGCCGAGTCCTACATCGGAATCCCGTTATTTGCTGATGGCAAGTGCTTCGCCCACTTTGGCGTCATCTGGTCAGTCGAGGGCGCCGCAAAGAGAACTGTATCATGGGCCTTCATCGAAATGTTTATGCATGCTCTGGAGGATCTTATTCAAGAACGCTTGCTCGAGGGCTCCGAGTTCAAGAACAAGGAAGCCGCCAACCGAGATATGCCAAGGGTAATACCGCATGAAGTCATCACTGCTGCCCAATCTCTCCAACCTTACGCAAAGAGTCTGTCCCATGAGCTCCGGACCCCAATGCAAGGTGTGGTCGGTATGCTTGACGTCATGTATGCCACTGTTCAAGAAGCCGCAGAGGGCCAGACAGACGCAGATGTTCGTCGAGTGTTCGAAACGTTAAAAGAGAACATCGAAACCGTTCAAGGTAAGTCTGTATCAGTGAATATCCTGTTGGCCATATGCTGATTTCCACCCAGACAGCTCCCGCCGTGCTGTAGAGGCCGCTGACAATGTCGTGCACGCTTACGACATGAACCTGGGTATTCCCGCTGGACCTGCAATGAATGAAGACTCAATGGATGGTTTCCATGATATGAGCTACGCTCCCCACGCTTCTCACCCAGAAATTCTTGTTGCAGGAAGCAACCTGCCTATTTCGCGACCTAACAAGCGCCGCTGGGAAGAGTCCACGAACGAACCAGAGGAAAGCCCCACAAAGATTCAAGCCACTCACGCTGCTCGTCTAGCGAAAGCATCTCCTACTGCTGGCATGAAGCAAGGTGTCCAAGAAGCCGAAGACCTCCCAGAACGCGCACCGCAAAATACCATGCCCATGAGTCCTCGGCCCTCTATTGCTACTCTTCAGGGCGATCGCGCCATTGCTCCTGGAATCAGACACACCAACCTTCGCCGAGTTTTGCAATATGTTGTGAACGAAGGCCTAAAGGTTGGAGGAAGACCAGAATCTGCCATCGCCCAGGAAACACACCTTGGTGAAATTATTGAAGTGTGTACGCGGTCAGCCAAAGGCGAGCCGAGGACAAAACTTATCGAGTGGTCTGTGGAAGCCGCTGTACCCGAAACGATGCTCGCAGATGAAAAAGACCTTGCCAAGCTGATCTCCTGTGTGTTCTTGAATGCCTTCAAATTCACAGAGCAAGGCAATATCACAGTTGCCGCAAAATTGAGTCCAAAGGCACGATACATCGTCGTCAAGTGTACAGATACTGGCCCTGGTATCCCGGCAGCTTTCCTTCCGCGCCTTTTCCAACCATTTTCACAGGAGGATCCTTCCCTCACTCGCCAAAGTGAAGGTCTTGGTCTTGGCCTTCTCGTAGCCAAAGGGCTTGCTCGCAAACTCGGAGGTGATCTATTCTGCATTCGAGCGGACACTACCGGACCCAAACGCGGATCAGAGTTTGAGATGAGAATTCCCTTGAGAGCCGGTGAAATTACCACCCGCCCTTCGTCACCAGTTGGCACACCATCGCGCGACAGAATCCGCCAATCAAACTCACTTGACTCAGATGGGCGACCTTCGCCAATGCCCAACTCCAAAGCATTACACGCACGCACGCAAGGCGACAATTCAAGCAAGGACTTACAATCTGCGACAGAGAAGCCCAATGGTGGTGAACCATCTGCAGCACCTGCTGTGAAAAGTCCTCCCGCGCTTACGCACACTCATTCATTCCCTATGCCATCTTTCCCGCCAAAACATGCAAGCTCAAGTGCACGCAAGTCGTCAGCATCAATCAATGGTATCGATCGCAATTTGGCTACCAAATACCCCTTGAACTTCCTTGTTGCAGAGGACAACAAGATCAACCGTAAGCTACTCGTCAGCATGCTGAACAAGTTCGGCTACAAGACAGTCATCGAGGCATACGATGGCGCCGAGGCCGTTCGGCAAATGTCCAAGAACCCATCTGTCGATGTCGTCCTCATGGATCTCTGGATGCCCTTCATGGACGGTTACGAAGCCACCGAGAAAATCCTCGCCATGACCCACGGCAAGAATGGCGTTTGTGGCGCAACACCGACTGTTCTGGCCGTGACAGCGGACGTGACCGACGGTGCCCTCGAGCGAGCTGCTAAAGTCGGCATGAAAGGGTTCATGACCAAACCTTTCAAGCTCATGGACCTTCAACGCCTGATTTTAGAATACTGCGCTCGTAGCGGCAGCGAGGTCGAAGGTGGGGAGTAATTTTCTACCTTCCTTTCATTCTTCTCTTCACCTTGTCAATCTTTTCTTTCTCTTCTTTTGCATCAATATTCTTATCAGGTTACTTTGTAAACAAGTAGCGCGGCGTTCTGGAGCTTCGGATCGAGACCATGGAAAATGTGGGAACATAAAGTGGAAACTCTCGAGCCGTTCTTTTTCCTCGGCTTACGAGTGTGTCTTGGGCAAGGAGTTCTCTGGACATTTACGAACCAACATTAGATACCAACGAATCTCGGCTTTTTTGTCTTTTCTTCTGTCGTCACTGTAAGGACGTAAATACATCTATTTGCGGTCAGAGTAAACTTTTAATCAAACACACAAACTTCTCAAAAATCCATTGATCTGATCAAGTTTCATTCGAGTTGCTCTTTGTGATTGTCATGCTGAATCCCAAAAGAGACCAGAACGACGTTGCGGTTGGAGGTCCGTCTAGAAATCCTCCGCTGGTCGAGGCAGAAGGGGACCAATGACGTGCCACCAAGGCCTCGACCTCCACAGCCATCTTCGACGACGTTTCTCCTCCCAGCAGTCCAGCCTTTTGCATTTTTTTTGTTTTCGTCTTACGCTGCACGTGCTGACGTTTGCTCACTTAAATTTGCAGTGAACATGTTCTCACTTGCAGTAGCGGGTGCTCATTTTTCTCGTGGCACCACGCACCGAATATGGTCCAGAATCGATAACAAAAAAAGAGGGTCCAGGGTCTGGAACATTTCACACATGCAAGCCTCTTCGTTTCCCACCACGCCTTTGTTACCGTATCACCGGAGCTGGCACCGCGCGGTTTTGAAACCGGTAGTCATCTCATGTGTGTGCGTTTCATGTCAAATTGGTGCTTGTTGGGAGCTCTGGACGTCAAGAGTCTGGTCTACTTTATTTCCGTACTTGCACGATGGAGAAAAGGGTCTGGATCTGGAGAATCGACGATTTGAGCGCTTGAGTCTTGCGAATTTCGGAAGAGGGAATGGCTTCGTGATGGTGATGTGATCTAGATGTGGCTGTATTGTTTTCGGATGCTGCTTTCTCGGATGTTTTGCAGAGTACTTTACACGACATGGCTAGACCGCGACTTGAGATGACTGCAAGGTTAGACTATCCTTGTCAGTTGCATGTTTTGTGTCTTGATCCGTTCCTTCCGTTTCTAGTCGTGCTTAGCCTGCTGCCCGACTCGCTCTTGTTGAAGCTCTAAGCTGCTTCTCCTCGTGATCCTGCCGACCTACTTCATCACCTCATTATTCGATTGCTCTTTCCTGATGATAACTCGGTCACGTCTAGTACAGAATTGGAATCACTCGTTATGATGACTACTTACCATCATTAATACATCTTCAACAGAACATCACATATGACCAAAAGTTTGGGAGAAGAGCATTTCTAAAAAGAGAAAATATTGATATTTGATACTTAACAATTGACCAAAAAGCAAGGCTTCACCTATCGCACAGGAAAATATTGAACCACTTACCATATACCACTCACCGAATAGCTGGTTACGTTTTGAGCGAATTTATCAGTCAAGACAGCAAATTTAACTGCAGTTGTAGCACATCCAAGCCTGCATGAAACTTGCCCAATAACAAGTCTGACGACAACGAGGGCACTTTGGTGGTGGAGGCTTGGGGAATGGGCGGTTACCCATTGTTGATGGTGTTTTGGTGGTGAGGTTTGTAAATGTGATTTTGTATTCTGAGTGTGTGTGTGTGAGCAGATTTCGTGTTTTGGTTGCCTGGTGGTCTGTAAGTTTGGAGATGATGGTCCTGGTTATATGGCTATAGTACTTGGAGTAAGCTGCTTCATCGGCCTTTGTCTGGCTATCTTCATTAACAAAGGATACGTGTAGTTTAGACAAAGAGTTGTTCATCACAAAAGCTGCACAACTGATAGAACAACGGAGGCAAGGTCGACCTGAAAGAAACTGCGGATAATGGTTCCAGTCAACCAAGAATCTCGCCGTGAGCCAGAGAGGATCTGGTAAACGGAACAACACTTTCACTGATGTGTCACGTCATTCCAGGCTTCAGCAAAAGCTCACAAACGAAGGAAACGAGAGTTGATGAGAAATCTACAGTGCGAGGCAGCTCTACGGCTCGTTCAAACTGTCCAAATCGCCAGGCAGGATTCTTTGACTTGTTCGTTGTCGACGGTTGATCCCAGGTAGTCTGTGGGATAACAAGGGCTTCCATGACGAATCGTCTACGCTGGACGGTTGGGCCATGAGCCTTCGTGCATGTATTCAACATTCGAAATGAGGCATGCTATATCAGTCACACTTTCTCGCAAATGGTCAAGAGCTTGATTGTGTTCATCTGGATGAGAAGTATGATTAAGTTATTGTGATAGAGTCGAAGCAGAACGACAGAAAGTATCTAAAAGTATACACAAGACTAGCCGCAACCTGTCTACCTACCAGAGGTTTGGACGATACCACGTCACCACATCTTACACAATACCCGCAATATCGGGAACCTACTTACCTGTAGTAGCTTTTACCTTCTCTACTCCGAGCCAGAGTTGTTAGCCTTTTCCATTTCAGCTCTGACATGAGCCAACAGCTTCCCCAATCTCGAGTCCCATACCGCGGGTGACACGAAAGTGTTGTCAGGGAGATGATTAAGCTCAGCACATCCTTCCAATGCTCTCAATATAGCATCTCTTCTGTGTTCCAAGAGGGCCATCTGGGAGGGACTGGGATAAGACGAACCTTCAAAAGCAATCTCTGTCTGAACAGCTTCAAGCTGCTTACGAAGATGAATGATACGGAGCATCATTTGCTCATGTTCAGCCAGAAAGGACTCGATAGTTTCGTAGGCAAAATCCAGAAGTTTAGCTGCCTTGGAGCTTTTGTCCTCGAGCATGCGCTGCAGCTCGAATATTTGCGCTTTGCGTTTTCTCGCAACTGCAGCGAGTCCTCGATGACGATAAGTTGCGAAATTGGAAGCTATATCAGCTACATCTGTCTCAGCATGGCGAACCCAAGTCAAGACGTAGGAGGGAGGGTCAGGTGTGCTCACTGCTTCGTCATAGCTAGGCAGCTCGTCAGCAGCTCCAGCAAGATTCTCTATCTTGCGGTGGGTTTTATAGACCGTTGGTTCAGGAAGCGGAACTCTGCCTACCTCGAGTGCAAGCTTGGGCTGATCGAAGCCGGGGTGGTCAGATGGCTCTGGGTATCTGTCATCGGCAGGGCCACCATCGTCTGTTTCAAAGACGCATGAGTTACAAGGATGGCTGCCGGAGATCTCACTGGTGATGTCTTCGGCGCAAGTCCCTCTGGAGTCCATGTCGACAGCATCAAGATGGCAGCCTAAATGAACGGTCGAGACAACAGCTTCCTTGCGACAAATCCCGCAGCGGACCTTTGTTTCCACTTTCCAGCACATTGTCGAAGTCGGATTGGATTTGGATTGGATTGAGGTACTATTGAGGATGTTAGCAATATGCGAGACCTGTCTCTGCAAATCTTGTCTTCAATTTTACCTGACCAAGCAACCTGCAAGACGACGCCCACAAGAGACTTATATATCTGCTTAACGGTACATTCAGTCTCTTTGTCTCACGGACACAACATTGACTGGAATGAAAGTATCTTTGTACACTCTCAAAGAATGAACAAGGGCATTGAAAGACTGTGCCTTTGTTTTCTTTCAGACGCTCGGTAACGAGTTTCCTTTTCACGGCTTCGGCCCTCTTGAGCTATGAGGTGTGATTAGATTCTCTATCAACGCTCCGTACATGTGATGTGTCCTTATCTCATTAGGCAATACAGAATATATAATACATTATGACGTAACGGACACCATACCCCAGGTCTGGTGTCGTGAAAATGCACGAACGTTGGCAATTCATGTGAAGGTGTGGTTGATAATCTTTCTCAATCTGAGTCTGGCCAGCAAACAGAAGATGTAGAGATTTTGGTAAGATCATACCCTGCAAGGCAGTCCCCCTCATCTGCCCAACTCTATTTCACGGCGTCGTTCCTCGCGCGAAGAATTGCGTCGCGAATCGTTGGTAGTCCAGCTTTCATTGCGTCCATGCCATGCCGAGTTACCAAAGGAGCGAGTCGATAGGTTGGTCGTGGCAACAGGGGCGTAGTAACCATTGATTGGCGATTCTGTCTCGTCCAAGTTGAAGTCGATGCGGTTGAACGGGCTTGTGGCTGGGGATACGTGAGACTCGGGCTTGTGTAGTAGATCGGACATGCGTCTTCGCTGTATCTCTGTGTCGTTCACTGGTAGCTCATTTGGCGGCGTCACAGCCGCATTGGATGGAGATGTACGCGCAGCTGGGTACATGTTCGCAAAGTGGTTGGCGAAGTAGCTCTGGGTGTGGTATGAGCCTGCTGCGCTTGCATTACCAGGTCGGCGTAGAAGATCGATGTGGTCCGAGGGTACACTCTGTTCAGGCTGTGGCCGTGTGAGCCTACGGCGAGCGAAAACGTAAAGGGCTGTGAAGACAAATGCCGCTGCAGCTGCCCCAATCGTGGTAGTCATGGCTATTGAGTTCCACTTGAAGCGAGTGCTGATACTGAAGCAGTATGGCACATTGAGAAAGCCGATAAGACATGCAAAGATACATGGCACAAAGACGTATTCGGCACTAAAGGCCCAGCTGCGACTGCAGAAGGACGCAAGCGCGGCTAGGGAGAAGCCAAGAGCCAGCAGGCCGACCCCGAAGCCACCCAAGATTGTCTGCGATACACGCAATTGTGGTTGCGTATCAAATGCAGAGGGAACCACAAGAAAGCTGTAAAGTCAGTCGATATTCCTAGACTGTGTCCATTATAACGTACCCCCCAAGAATGAGGCACGCAGCACATATAGCTAAGGTTCGCCAGTACCACTGGGCATAGTCAGTCTTTGGTTGTTCTTGTATGTACCGTCTTCTTAACCTACTCGAACACTATCGGCCCGGTTCGCGCTCAAGGTAGTGTAGCGCATTGCATTCACGCGCGGATGCCCACCATGTACAGTCGGATGTAGCCAGAAATGCAAGTTTTGTTTATGGAGGGAGCGGCGTGCGAACAGTCGATCGTCTTGAACGTCGGCGGCTGGGCAACGGATGGTGTACGGCACGAAGAAGCCAACGACGTATATTTGTGTTTCGTGGAGATGATTTGGATAGGATGTTTGACTCCAAAAGACAGCGAGTGTGTAGATGATTGACCGAACGAGTGTGTCCAAATGTGGGTGTTGGAGAGGTAGTGATGTTGAGGCTCGTAAAATGGCAGGCACAGGTGGATGGCAGTGCTAAGGCTGAGGCCTTGCAGTGTTTAGCCGCCAAAAGCGACGAGCACCAGCCACGATCTTGTAAGATGATGCAGAGTCGCAGGAAAGGTGTCAAGCAGGTAGCGATGCAGATTGTCACACAAAGGCTCTGGACAGAGTACAAGATGATCTCGAACACGATAATGGTGAATCTTTGGAGGACAGCCGATGGGAGGGGAGCTAGCATGCCAAGCCATATGTATTGATTAAATGGCAGGTCGAGGGACACGCAAAGTGTTTACCTGCCTATTGCTCTTGCCGGAGTTTTTGCAAAAGACCTACAGGAAGATACGAGCAACAAGAGAGAAAACGTATCGCACAGCGAGAGCTTCGACGGATAGAAAGTGAGTTGCTCCCGCCTCGGGAGGAAGATGGGTTCGAGGGCTAAACGACTGTTGGAAGGGACGCACAGACCAGGCGCACACACGTGACGGCCCACATTCGAAAAGCAGCGCGCACAAGGACTGATATTCAGAAGCGACTTCCAGTGTTCCAACCCTCTTACCACCCACATCCGACAAAATGGTACGGCCCCTCGCAGACGCTATCCACGACTACGACAGACACTGACACATCATGTAAAGGCACCCGCAGCAACCGGAGCCAAGAAGCAGAAGAAGAAGTGGTCCAAGGGCAAGGGTACGCACGCCTCCTCTCCAATCCATGCGCATCGCGAATACACAGCAAACAACCATCGATACCACATTTCACCCATCACTAAAATCCATCGCATATCGAAGCGGCTTATTTCCACATCTTCAAATTCACGATCCGCACTTCCCGAACGCCGCGCTCTATTGCATCAAAGGAAGGAACAGTTTCGCTGACATGATGCGCACACAGTCAAGGACAAGGCCCAACACGCCGTCATCCTCGACAAGGCCACTTCGGACCGTCTCCAGAAGGAGGTTCAGTCCTACCGCCTCGTCACTGTCGCCACCCTTGTCGACAGACTGAAGATCAACGGTTCTCTCGCTCGTCGTTCGCTCGCCGACCTCGAGGAGCAGGGCCAGATCAAGAAGGTCGTCAGCCACTCCAAGTGCCTCGTCTACAGTGCGTCCTGACCTACTCCCAACATCCACCATCGACCTGACTGACTTTGACTAGCCCGCGCTGTTGGCGGCACCGACTAAATTCGATCATGACGACTCACGCATTTGTCCGGATGGATTGAGGTCATTTTTTGACGACGACAACAAGAAAAAAGAAAAGATATCCCGTCGGTTTTAACGCTGGTTCTGCTTTTCTATGGGAGTTTTTCGGTGTCGAACTTCGGCTGAGGGACAAAGGATCCCCTCATCGGGGACGGATTTGCTCCACACAAAAGGGCGCTTTCTTCCATAGGCCGCAAAAAGCAAATCCACCGGCTTCTTTCGTCAAAATCTCTCTTTTGAGTTTCTCGACTTCTGTGAATGTGTGCCTTGTGTCTCGTGTACACTGCGCTCTTTACTGCCCCAAATCGTAAGTTTCATCTCTCTACAGAACCATCTTTCTCACCCCCTTCCCCATCCTTCCCTTTGCAATGATGAGACATATTATCAAACAGTTATCCCTGTCTGAAGACTATTGTTGAAAATTATTTTTGATCTGATACTGCACACCTCTCCTCTTTCCACAAGACCATGTCATCCAGGTTATCTGCCACAGATCACTGACCGATCAATACAGATGACCTCTTTTCAGCCTCGGCTCAAAGTTTAGCTTAATTCCTCCAATGATAACACTGAATGACGAAAACCTCCTTACTACTGTTCTTATTTCCATATGTATCGTAACGTCCAAGTTTCCACCGAAACTCAACTCGTCCTCCCCTCGCTTCGAGAACTACTCGTCGTCCACCTTGGTCACTTCCTCAGCTGCTGTATGGTCTCGTGGTTTGAATCCAGTAGCCCAAGGTATCAGCAGCTAATCGGAAAGCCACTACGGCCTGCTTGATAGCATCAACAGATAGCTTCATAGCAATAAACATCTTGACGATATGGAAGATAGTCTTGACGATTGTCCGTAAAGTATGGAAGTAAGGAATCACCGCAAGAAACGAGTACAATGCTTCTGAATCCATTGAGACGTGCAAAGTAGCTTGTATAGCTGCCATCTAGACTTTATACAGCTCTTGGGGGGCATGGTCTTGTTGGTCGTGATTCATCGTCAGCTGTAATTTGTGAGACATGTTGTCGACCGAGTATTCAGAGTTAGACGGCTACGAGACGCTACAGCAGAGACCAAGAGTATGTCGGCTCGACATTGTCCGCTTAGATCAATAGAGCGAAGAAACACTATCGTCGTTGACAAAACTCATTGCTGTAGACACGACCCTGTCTCGAGATACAATCTCTTGCTGCCTGTCGAAGCGACGACGGATGGATTCCTGAATCATAAAGATGGCAAGGGATGCAGAGTAAGAAACAGGCTGCCTTGTCAGGAAGGGGTGAGTCAATTGCTGATAAACGTCTGATTTGTGAATCACTACTCAAGAGGCGTGTGACATGAAAGGGATGCGCCAGATTTGATCAGGCTGTTTCTGCTTGATTGTCCATTCAGTACAGGCCCGCTGATAACAAAGATTGCGTTGATAATGTGAAACTGAAGGTATTGAACGTGAATCTACATGAACTTTATGAGAGTATGCGAAAAAGCACAATGATGGTATCTCTTTACTTGAGCCAACAGCTTTCTATTGCTGCTGTTGTTGCTTCTTAGATGCAGAAGGGCCCATCTCCTTGCTGAAGGCCATGTATGAAACCTCAAGGTTGGCAATGGCGCTGACTCCGACGTAGAGGATGGAGAAGAGGAGGATGCTGACGATACCGCCCATGAAGATTCCTGAGATGTGTTAGTTACTCGGACGTGACCGGACGTGAGGTTCGTTGAATTTGTGGCAGCAGGACATACCTGGTGAGAGGAATTGGTATTTCTCGAACAATGGCAGGTTGGCCTGGGGGTTTGTGTTGTTGCTGGCACGGGAGACGTAGGAGTTGAGGTCACGCTTCAGGTCGGTGTGCATGTTCGACGGGTAGGGCTCGTCCATCTCATACTGATCGGGGTGCTGAGAGCTGGGGGGAGACAGGTTGGAGAGAGTGGAGTAAAGAACAGTGTATGAGTCGATGGTTGCGAGTAGCGAGTTGATATACGAGTCGGCTTGGAGGAGAGCAGATTCGCGATCGTCATGAGCAGTGGGCAGGCTGGGGAACTGGACGTGGATGGCGTTGTAGGCCTCGGTAGGAATCTCTCCCTCTGTAACGATGTTAGAATCCCTTCTTCAGCATGACCAAGGCGTGCTAGCACATACTCTCGCCGCTTAGAAGCAAAGTGCTGAAGAATTGGAGATCCAGGCTGCTGCATTCGCGGTTTACGGTAGCCACCAAAGACATAGCATCGACGTCTCCAACGACATTTTTGGCGGCGAAGATGGACTTGACGCTGTCGTCCTTGCCCGAGAGGCGGCGGCGCAGATGCGGTGTGGATTTGGAGAGGGTGAGGTCGGCCGTGTTGAGGCCAGGCTGCGATACAAAAACGTATGTGTCCGAGGGGCAACCCTTCAGTTGCTCGCCAACATTCTTCTGCAATGTCTGCGCGCTGATGACATTTACGCTGGACTCCTTTACGTCCAACCTGTGTCTATCAGCATGTCGTTCGCCGTGATTTTGGCAGCTTGTCAAACATACTGGTTGGTTGAGTATGAAACGAAGGGAGAAGCATCCTTGAAGGCGTCTGCGGATTGCAGAGCCAGAGCGGCTGCACTCAAATACCTCAACAGCATGGCGATATGTGTAAATGGAGTCTAATCCAGCTCCTTGTCGCGTTCGCCCTCGACCTTCTGACGTTGTTACCCATCACGCGCACGGATCCCACTTCAGCCGCGGCAGATCCCGTGCTTCCCTTCGCCAGCTATCTCGAACTGGCCTGCTACACCTTCACCAGTCCGACCACCGAGTCCGTACAGCCAATCATGAAACCTGCAGACGTTGATGGAGCTGTACCCGTCAGGCCAAGCCCTCCCACGCCAGAGCGACTAACACCTGAGCAAGTATACGCTCATGCCAAGGCAGAGCTTGAACGGCTCGTTGATCTAGTCAAACGAGAGCGAATAGGACTTCTAGAGATACCAGCCTCGGATACTGCTAGCAGTCTCGTCGACATAGAGCAAGTTTTAGATGACTCGGAAATACAGACTTCCTGGATGCAGGCTTTACTTAGGAATCACTTTCAAGAACACCTGCAGAACGAAGACCCCACGTCCGAGGAGTATAGACAAGTAGTAGAGGCTCTGGACAGTTCTGAATAGATCTTCAGGCAAGTAGCTACTGCTCGTAAACAGCTGCCCAGCCGTCAATTATATTGCGGTGAATTGCAACCACAGTTTCGCTGTCTGGGGGCTCAAGACTGTCGCCAAGGCGTGCATGACAGTGTTGCCACAGAACAAGGATACTCCTGATGCCACGTCTGGTACGTTTCCTCCATGTTTTGGTCAACCCACATATCAGCGCTCCTGCACCAAGCAATATATCGCAATCGACGACCGATCAAAGGAACCTATCACGGCCAATGAGATACCTGCTAGTCGAGTCGAAGTTCCCTACCCAGAGGTGGGGTCAGCCGCTGTGATCAAGCGACTTGCTGGTATTCCAGAGGGGCGCGCTCTCACTCAGGCAAGCGATAATCGAGAGCCGAGTCCAAGGCCTAATGCCGAAAAGACAACCTCATCTAAAATCAATGTCGGTGCACAAACTAATCTTTCTGGGCCTGGTTGTGAGTCCCGCAAGGGTGTGGAAAATTCCGGATAGAAAACAACTCTTACAAGCATCAAGCTGCATATCAGCGTCAAATGGCAAGGCTTCTGGTAAGGCGGTTCTAAAAAGAACGATGTGTCAATGGGAGGAAGAAAATGGAGAACTGGTTAAATAAAATGAGACGGTGGCAGCAAATGATAATTTTGGTCAGAATTGATTCACATACGCAATCTCAAAATCACAAAAACATCGTGCACCATGTCAGGATGTATAAGTGCAGACAGGCGTCAAGCAAGGGAGAAATTCGCAAAAGGAAAGGCCTCAACCCGAGATCGAATCGGGGACCTCCTGCAAGTTCGGATGTACCCAAAGCAGGAATCATACCACTAGACCATTGAGGCTTGATTATACTGTGGTCAGACTTGGAACAGAACAACAAGCCTGCGCCGTGGCGTGCGTGACTCGATAGGAATAGCGAGCCCTGCGACGGGCTCGCGCTGCCGGACCTTCAGCCAGCGCGACCGACAGAGACACTCTCGCGGAGGGGCCGCAATGGTCGCAGCTAGAAACTCGCCTAGGAGCCATTTTACCACTTGGCACGTTCAGGGCATCGAAAGTTTGCGTGCTGGGCGCGAAGGGAAGAACGTCCAGGTTGGAACTGAAGTGAACAAAAAAAGTTTTCGCTCCAAGTTTTGCTTTCGTCACGGCTCGGATGGTTTCGGGCTATAACGATATGTTGCCAACATCCAGCAGACTTGTTACTCACACTGCCTAAATTTACCGACGCTATCGAACATCGCAGCGAATTTGGAGTGAACAAGTGACGGCTAAAAGTCAGTGAGCATGCGACTGCGTCCTGCAGCTCTGCTGAGTGCACTTTTTATGACGATAGGCGCTACCCGTGGTTATCAAGATTTCTCCTTCGCGAAGACAATCGCTTGGTCGATCTCAGCGCTTCAAGTCCTCCTGCACACCACAAATGAGTGTCTTGATTCCTTCGCCTCTGCCCACGCTCTCCCACGCATCAGGAGCCTCTCTGAATGATACTGTCCTCGAAATCAATTGCTTGACGTCAATCTTGCCGTCCCTCAAGAAACCGACGGCCATCTCGAAGTCGCCGGACCCATATCTGAAGCAACCCTTGACAATCGCCTCCTTCTCACCAAGTTTTGTCATAGGTACCATGACATTTGGCTTTCCACAGCCAGTCTGAACATACGTACCTCCCGGCGCCAATACATGGATGCCCATTTGAACACAGGGCTCAGCGCCCGTGGCTTCAATGACCACATCAGCACCGCGGTCCAATCGAAAGCGCTTGACGATCTCTGCAGCGTTACTGGCTCCATCGATGCTCGTATCCGGTGCGTATGTATCGGTCGCAGCAAACTCCTTGGCAAACTCCAGTCGTGCTGCAATCATGTCCACAGAGATGACTTCGACAGCACCGAATTGTCGAGCCACAGCAGCGCAAAGAATACCCACTGGGCCAGCCCCAAATACGACAACTCGATGACCGGGCTTGATACCCGCGAGTTTGTTGCTATGTACAGCGACAGCCAGTGGCTCCACCAGTACACCCTCCTCGAGACTGACATGCGACGGTAGCTTATACAAGAAGCTCTCGGTAAGCTTGTAGTACCGACATAAGCATCCGTGGGTAGCAGGACCAGGTCCAGGTGATGCTGCGAATGCCATGTCCGGGCAAAGATTGTAGCGACCAGACTTGCATGATTTACACCTAGAGCAGGGTACCCCAGGTTCGATACAGACGTCGTCGCCAGGTTGAAGAGTCGTCACCGAGTCGCCAATACTGTGGACGGTACCCGAAGCTTCATGACCCATGGTCAAGGGGTTTTCTTGAGTTACCTTGAGACCGCTCCGCCGTGGTGCCAAAAGTGAACCTACCTAAGCTGTTACTAAGATGTCCTTGTGCATGTCTGATGCTCATGCTGATGCTGTTCTGCTGTTGGGCATTGAATGTTGTAAGCATTCGGCTAGACTTACGTCACTACCACATACGCCAACATAGGCAATTCTGACAATCACATCGTGAGGATCGTTTATGCTGGGTACCTCCCGGTCCTCGAATTTGACATCATGAGGACCATAAAGAAGGCAAGAAAGATTTGAGTCTGGACCAGCCATAGAGCTTACTGATGACCAAAAAGAGGGCTCGTTAGTGGATTCAAACGATTTGTACGACAGATGGCTTGGAGGTGGTGTATTCCCGACTGCGGGGTTTGTATAAAATGCTGGAGCATACTTCGCGAATAAGGTTCTAGGCGAGCAGTCCGCATCGGATTTTAGTCGACCGGTGTGGCGGCTCATAACTCAAATATCGGACCGCACGTACCGTGATCGTCTTCAGCCGTGCGGAGATATTTCCCAAAACAGCATGTTCCGCTACACGAGCTCATCGGCTCACAAGCCTCAAGCCCCTCGAAGGCGCTCAACACAGTTCAGTGCCAACGAGATTTTGTTCAAGAATCACATGGTCAGAAATAAGACGGGACAAGCAGTGAAGTGTGGAAAAGTATGTTTGTTCATGCTGCGTGTTTTCGTTACACGAGATATATAGTTCGTAGAGACAGAGGCTATCAAACAGCTTGTCGAATGCGTTAACCCAATTTGACCAAATTCCCAATGCAAAGTAGTTGTTTAGACTGCGCGCTCGATGATCTGGACGTTGGCCTTCTTCTCGTCGATCTTGTCGGCCTCGAACTGGTCGCTGATCTCGGCCTCCTTGGCACCGAAACGACCAATCTTGTACCAGGGGAGCTCGAACAGCTTGTCGATGCTCTCGAGGGATCTGCCAGAGGTCTCGGGGATGGTGAACCACGCCCAGGCACCACCGATGCAGGTGATGGCGGTGAAAAGCCAGAAGGTACCGGCAGGGCCGAGACCACCCTCCTTGTGGTCGAGGAGCATGAGAGGAACAGCGCGAGAGTTACCGTACTGGTTGACGAAGTGGAAGCACATGACCAGGGAGGAGGAGATGGCTCTGATACGGAGAGGGTAGATCTCAGCGTTGAGAAGGTACTGCATCGAGTTCCAACCCATAGCCCAACCGAAACCGGAGAGGTAGATCATGACAAGAGCAACAGTCGAGGCGGCCTTCTGGCTCTTGGAGAACTCGAAGCCCTTTTCCTCAATTCCGGGGACAGCAGTAAGGAAAGCGGCGACATATGCCATACTGATAGCCTGGCAGGCGATACCGATGCTGAGAGAGCGCTTGCGACCGATCCAGTCAACAAGGAAAAGAGCGCAGGCAATGGCAGCGACGAACTTGACAACACCGAAAATGGCAGTTGCGAAAAGTTTCTCGTTTTGACCCTTGGTACCGAGAAGAGCGAAGAAGTCGGGTGCGTAGACAGTCATAGATTGAGCGCCACTCCATTGCGAGAGCACCTGAGAACCAAGTCCAATGTAAAGCCTGTATGCGTTGTTGGGCATGAAGAACATTTCCTTGATGTAGCCCATAGCACCTTGGCCCATAGTAGCTTCTTGCTCCTCGTGAAGCTGGTTCTCGATATCGGCAATTTCACTCTGGACAAGCTCGTGCTCGATGGGCAGACCACGCACGCGAGCCAAGTTAGCAACAGCGTTCTCACGCTTGCCAGCCTTGATGAGGTAACGGGGTGATTCGTAGTTGAAGAATGACAGGACGAAGATGAGACCGGCGAACATCAAGTGGATTGAAGTAGGGACTTCCCATGAAGTAGGCGAGGTCTTTGAGATGTGAAGAGAGCTACCCCATGAGGCGAAGTATGCAAGCATGATACCAATGTAGACGGAACCGGAGAAGACGCAGGTACACAGACCACGGACTGACTTGGGGGCGATCTCAGAGATGTAGACCGGGGCGATGACAGTGGTTTGTCCAATACCCAGACCAGCGATGAAACGACCGGCGTATACCTGGCCGAGGCGACCACCACCAACAGTGCTGGTCATGAAGATGACAATACCGAGCATCCACACAAGGCAGAGCTGGCGAGTGGCCCAAAGACGACCGATGCGGTCAGCGAGGACGAAGGCCAAGAGGGCACCACCGACGGAGCCGATTTGAACCATGGCGGAAACGTTGGCCTTGACCTGGGCGAGATCTACTGTGTCGAGCTTGTTGAGGCCAAGGGAATGTTGGAAGTGCTTAGTAGCAAAAGTTCCAGAAATGAGACCCTCATCGATACCACGGGCAGCACCCATGATACCGAATGAGAGGACGGCGAACCATAGCTTCCAGTTGAGAACCTCTGGGGGTTCGCTTCCGTTCTTCTTGAACGTGAAGATGTTGACTGGCTTGCCTCCAGCACCCATATTGTCGTTTGAAAGGTGATAGGATGGGAAAGGAAAGAAAGGTAGTGTGAGGATGTGCTGATGGGTTGGATGCGGACCTGCCTTGTTTTATACCATCCTCTGTGCCTCCATCAGGCCCCTTGTCTACCCAATCCCGTCGAATGGCGAACGGTCTCACCGTTCCAGGCGGACTCCACATCCAAAATCGATTGATCTGGAGAAAAACTCTCCCCCATACCCCAGTCGCGTGGGGTGTTTAGCCGATCTGCTATGCTTGCCAAGCTCAGCGTGGAGCATGCCAAGGCATGTGGCGTTGAGTGGTGTGCCTGCTTGTTTCGTCCGGGCCTTCAATCGGGTTCTCCTGGCTTTTCGGTGTTGACCGAGTGCAAAAACATACCGTCCGGCGAGAAGTCCATCCACTGACCTGCAGCCGTGATTTGCCGATTGTCATCAGCTCATACCGTATGTGGCCCATCTGGCCCAGGCGCGGTCAAGGATGGCACAGATCTGTACGGATCGATTGTTGCAACAGATCACGCCGGCATACTACTGTCTCTTGAATTCGTTGTTTCTGGAGAATGTCTATCATTGCGGAGAAACTGGGGGGATGCTGTGGATCCCTGCACCCCGACGTGGAGGCCGAGAGTCTGTGCTCGAGCCGAATAAAACGTGTTTCGTATCGAGGTATCGTTAAGCGCGTGCCTCCGCTGATGCTTTCCTGATAAATCGTATCTCCAAACATAGCTATCAAAAGGGACGAAGCAATCCAGGATATTGATGGTTGTCCACGGAGATCAGGCTCACAGCCGTCTCCGCGCGGACATGTTGTACGTAGCATAAGTCCACGCCCTGGGACAGCCGTATTGTCGAAGTGGTCTGTACAGTGGAGACAGCAGCAGGAGAGCGCTTGGCGGGCGGGTGGAGATTCGCGACCATGCCTGACCTCGTCGATCGATGATACGGCGATGTTGCATTTTCGGCATGCCGAGCACGAGAAATTACTTGCAGGATGAAATCTTTGCCGGTAAGTTTGGGCTAATAAGGTTTGGCTAATTGGCTACTACTCGTGTCAGAGGAGATGGCGGGGCCAATGTGGGCTGTGGTGACACCACTTTGACAGACATTCCGATTGTTCTGGTTGGTCGATTAATGGGCATGTGGTCTGGCGGTAGACGCTGGTCATCAAATGGAGTCCGACGCCACGTTTCTTGGTATCGGTAAGCAATTTTGCAGCACGATTGGCCTTGACCCTTGGCAAAAGAAGACTGTTGAACGTCCAACCGCTGTGGACGAAAAGCCTCAGAAGCTAGCGAAGGCTTTCTTAGCTTGCTTGCTTCTCTTGACTTTGCTTGTGCTGTACGACAGACTTCAATACTTTCGGGTTCTTGCGGGTTCTCAGAAAAACAAAACGACACCAAACAAAGGTGTTTACAACTTTTGGTAGAAGATTTTGAAGACAGGTTTTCTCTGACATTGAGCAGGATCGTGGTACTGTGGGGTCCTCCGCGCTTAATCTATCCCGCGCTTGGATATGAGTTGTAACCGCGTACAATACTAGCCAGGTGCGACGGCCCCCCAGTCTCCAGAAAAGACCCACAACCATCCATTCAATAGCGTGTTTACCGATTCTTGCCGTTGTGCAAATATATGCTCACGGTCTGTTCCGAGTCAAAGGCGGGGAGACCGGGGTATATGCATACATCGGAGCAACTCGTGTCGATTCCATCTAGAATGAAAGTCACTCCGCGTCGAGGCGTAAAGATTCAAGCCAGTCGGAGACATGTGCGTGTGAGGCAGAGCAGATCCCAGCATGCGCCTCAGCCGTGAAGGCGTTGTGTACCAGGGACTGGAGTCTTGGAAAGCGGAGCGGATTGATTACCTGTGCCTTCGTTCGCCTAGCGGACGGCAAAGCAAGGCATGGCCAGACCGTTTTGCTTCGCGCTGAGACCAGATCTTTTCAACTGAGCTGCTAAAGGTGCTTTTTCGAGATCAGGGAATAACAGCTTTCTCCATGGTATCCTCAACAGTCCGGAGAAGAGGGGCAATGCGATTAGCATCACGCAGGACCTCTGGGACATTCTCTCTGTGCATCTGCAGCTTGGATTGGACGACATCATATGATTCTTCCTTGGCAGTGTACTGTCGTATGACGGTCTTGGAGCCCAGCTCGATATAGACCCTCGTGTCCCTGACGCGCACAATGACACCGTCTAGACGCAGGAAGAACCTACACAAGAGGAGAAGACGCTCAGCCATCACGCGAATTTTGCAGCTGAATATGGCGATGCCATTATCAGCCAGTTCGTCTTCGTAGAAGATAACATCATCGTAGAAAAGTATGGGATCCGGACGCGAGAGAAGGTCAGTCCTGATGGGATCCTTGAAACTATCTGTTGGCTGCCAGACAACATTAGGATCCGGGCTATGAGTGCGGCCCTTGAAATCTGTGCTGTACGACCAGTCGAACGGTTTGACGACCTCCTTGATTCCTTCGTGATGATGTTGGCTAGATAGGCAAGTGTGATCAGTCCGGTTCTTGTTGATACAGTCAGTAGGCCAGCCTGCACGTACCGGTCTTTCTGCCACTCCTTTGAATACGCAACCTGCAACATGCCATGGGCAGTTTTAGAGACGCGGTCAAGGGCATCGAAAGCATTGAAGTCAGTGGCCCATCCAGAAGGTACATGCTCAATAGCAACCACGTTGTCGCCGAAGATCATTTCAGGTACAGGGATACCGAGCTTCTCGTTCATAGCATCGATAGGGCCAGCCTTGAGGATAGGTCTCTTGCGCGTAGTGACTTTCCATTGCTTGTTGCGCGAAACAAAAGTGTCGACACCTTGGATATCTGACAACTCTCCGTTGGAAGCCATGGCGAGTTGAACAGATATTATTTTATGGTCAGCGAGATAATCTGATCCGATCTGATGAAGCCCATGTCGAGTTTCGATGGGTATGATGCGGGCATGCAAGCGGCAATGGATAGAAAAGGCTTGGCGCCGGTTGCTGGGCGGTGCCATCTTTGTTTTGTCAACAACAAACTTGATTCCATTTCCGAATCTCATACACCAACCAACTTCCAGAACGATCCGAGTCATTACTAACTAACCATACAGCAACAGCTGGAGTCTCGATCACTTCTGTCTGCAAACATGGACGTCCAGTCACTCGAGTCTCGCTTCGAGGGCATCTCGGTCAACGATGAAAACCACGACCAGAACTCGCACAAATCAAAGGTAGCCGGCAAACAGACACAACGTCCTAGACGAAGGAACCTTTTGCTTACACCAGACACAGGGCTCTATTGCCATCTCTAGCCTGGGAGCTGCCGCCGCTGCCAACCGATTAAAGCTTCCGTTGCAGAAGCTGCCCGCCAATGCCACAAAGAACTCATTGTACTCGGCCAACGGTGCAAATACAGCTGCCACCATCGCAAAAATTACTCTTCCGTCCCAAGCTGCCCAAAGGTCGTCCGATTCTGAACCTCGCCGCTCGGATCCCCAGTCCATGCTCTCATCCATCCCACAACAACCCTCAACACCGAGACAGTTCCACCTGGGCATGTTTGAAATCGGCAAGCCCCTCGGCAAGGGCAAATTCGGCAGAGTGTACCTGGCACGAGAACGCTCTAGTGGCTTCGTCTGCGCGCTCAAGGTCCTTCACAAGACCGAGCTGCAGCAAGGAAAGGTCGAGAAACAAGTCCGAAGAGAGATTGAGATTCAGTCCAATCTTGCCCACCCCAACATCCTCCGACTCTTTGGCCACTTCCACGACAGCAAGCGCATCTTCCTCATTCTCGAGTTTGCTGGCAAAGGCGAGCTTTACAAGCATCTGCGCCGCGAACAACGATTCCCCGAATGGAAGGCTGCTTCGTACGTCGCTCAAATGTGCGCCGCCCTCAAATACCTGCATAAGAAGCATGTCATTCACCGAGACATCAAGCCCGAAAACATTCTGGTCGGTATCCATGGTGAAATTAAGATCAGCGACTTTGGCTGGTCGGTACATGCCCCTAACAACAGGAGAAACACCATGTGTGGAACTCTCGACTATCTGCCCCCAGAGATGCTGAAGCCCGGCAAAGATGAGAACTGGTACAACGAGAAGGTCGACCTGTGGAGTCTGGGTGTTCTGACCTACGAGTTCTTGGTTGGAGAAGCGCCATTCGAGGATACCCCTTCCATGACACAAAAGCGCATTGCCCGTGGAGAAATGACGATCCCGCCATTTGTGAGCGCCGAAGCAAAGGACTTGATCAAGAGGGTATGTTCCAGCATTCCACGACGGCGTTATCGGATCTGATGCTAACAAAATTTCAGTTGCTTGTTCTAGATCCGGAAAAGAGAATCCCATTGCACGAGGTCGAGCAACATCCCTGGATCGTCAAGCATTGTGTCAAAGGCGAAAGAGCTTATAACAGAACCTCTGCCAGCAGTAAAGAGCGCCCAAGCGAATGAGACTACGAACTGGAAGCATGAATCACGATCGAGGGAGTTTAAGGTTGCATTTCTTAAGGGTATTCCGGAGTCCAATTTTGGCAAAGGCGTTGGGGATATGCCTGGAGGGTGATATGCATGCAATGAGTGGAGTTTGGGTTTGGCATAGCAGGTGTATTTGTCGGTGGTATGCGGATGTCTGTACAGGATTTACATTACCCGAACTCATGGCGAGACGACCGTCTCCGTTTTCCTTCAACCCTTATCACGATCATCGCAGAACTCGTGAGAAGAATATCTTGTTGTCTGATTTCCGCGACAGGTAGAAGAGCGTCTTCATACGAAGAGATGTTGCCTCTTGTAAGCTTGAAGACAGACTCGTCGTGCAGGTCATCAAGGTCAAAGGTGGGACGGAAGAATTGCTTATAGGAGGAGAAGCCAAGCAGAGATCGAAGCTTGCAGAAGTGAGCTCTGCTCGTGACAATCGGTTCAGAACTATAACGCCAATGCTATGCAGTACAGAGGAGAGAGAATTGACGAAGGAGAAGAAGCCTTTTACTTGTAGATCTCGTCGAATGGTCTAGTGTCGTTGAAGCAGCTGTCCCAAACTTCGTCGACTACTCTGGCGGCGTGTTCGTTGTCCTTGCAGCTTGGTCTGTTGGCGACTGACAGGGTGGCTCTCCTTCGTACGCACTCTTGCATTTGTTGTGTGATGTTCCACTGTCCACGAGTAAAGAACTCGCGACCGAAACGGCATTCTCCCGATAATGTCGAGGCACGGATCTGGAGTGGCTATTAGCTGGATTGCTAGACGTGGCGGTGCAGCGAGTCAACATACCTCCATACAGGCAGCATGTCTCAGGTCCAGAGGATCCAGCTTGAATCTCAGATGATCGTAGGCGTGGACCATCTCATGCGCCATGGTGTCTTCCATATGACCTCTGTTCCTGAACTTGTTCGCGCATAAGAGGATGCCGAAGTCTGGATCGAAGCCTCCGCTTTGTTGTGTGGTGCAACGCTTCACGCGCATATTGGTCTCATTCAGATCATGACCGAGTAGGTTGATGTTGTGGCGCATGAAGCGTACGATGGGCGAGTATTCGAGCAGCCATTTCCGATCCTTCTCGGCTCGTTGAATATCGCGCTCTTCGTTGATTGTGTCTTTGATGTCGAAGTAGGCTTCTCGTTCTTGGGGAGTTGCGCCTCCAGTCAGGATGGAGAAGAAGGTGGACCAGGTGTAGAAGTCCTTGTCCGGCGTGGGAGCAGCGGGCGACTTGGCCGTCGTCGTTTCCGGTAATGAGTTGGTGTTACTTTGCGACATGATTGCACGTGTGCTTGTAGTGATGGTGATGGCCAAATGTTTTCCAGCACTCTGGCGTGGTCGGGAGCTGAGGCCTTCTTATGGAAATGGGTCGCGATTGGCCGAGCGGCGGTGACGGCAGCGCCCCGCCTTTGTCCGCCCTAGAATTGACGATTCACCCTCGTCACTTTTGTTATACCAAACATGTAGCCTTGACACTTGTCGCTGCTTGGAACCAGCACCATGAAGAAACACCTCACTATCGTCATCAAGCTTGGTACTTTGCTTCTCAATTGCCCTCACATGGCAATGCTAATCGGCGCATCCAGGCACTTCGTCAATCGTTGACGAAAAGACCCATGAACCTCTTCTCTCCATCCTGTCCACCATCGTCGAAACGGCCTGCAAACTTCAGAAAGATGGACATCGCGTAGTCATCGTCTCCTCTGGTGCCATTGGCGTCGCCCTCGGCTACATGGAGATGGAACGCAGACCGAAACACCTGCCTCAAGTCCAAGCACTGGCTGCCATCGGACAGTGCAAACTCATGAGCCTCTGGGATCAGCTCTTTATGCACAGAAGGCAGCCTATTGCTCAGATTCTACTCACGAGAAACGATATCGCCGACCGCACTCAATACCTCAATGCTCAGAACACCTTCAGCGAGCTGATTCACATGGGCGTCATTCCTATTGTGAACGAGAACGATACCTTGTCCGTCTCGGAAATCAAGTTCGGTGACAACGACACTCTCTCAGCCATCACGGCCGCCATGGTCCAGGCCGACTACCTTTTCCTCATGACAGACGTCGACTGCTTGTACGACAGCAACCCTCGCACGAATCCCAATGCAAAGGCAATTGAGGTCGTGGAGGACATCGGTGACCTGGTTGCAGATGTGTCGAGCGCTGGTTCGTCAGTCGGCACCGGCGGCATGGCCACAAAGATCACCGCTGCTCGGCTGGCAACCTCCGCCGGTGTGACAACCATCATCACTCGCTCAGACAAGCCTGGAAACATTGCCAATATCGTCACATATGCCGAATCGAAGAAGGCAGAGGAACTCGCAGCCAAACGTTCTTCGCGACAAGGTTCCGCAGATGGTTCAGAACCCTTGAGCAAGTCAACGAGCAATCTGAGCCTGGACGAATCAACGCTTGTGAAGAAAGCGGTCGTCAACGAGGCCTCGAACACTAACGGTGCCGGGTCCCCAAAGCTTGATGTCCCGTCATTACCTCCGCTACACACTCGCTTCATTCCAGATTTACATCCCATCAGGGATCGTTACTTCTGGCTGTTGTACGGTCTTGCACCCCACGGAACGGTTTACATCGACAAGGGCGCACACAGAGCACTGGCCGACAAAGCAGGCTTGCTTCCAGCAGGTGTGGTACAGGTCGAGGGTAACTTTGCACAGCAAGAAGCGGTGCGGATAGTGGTGGTACAACGCAAGTCCAAGGGCTCATTCGAGTTTGAGAAGGACGACCCTGCACCATTCGAGGTCGGTAGAGCGCTTGTCAATTACTCGGCAGCGGAGATTAAGAGGATCCGCGGCCTCAAAAGCACAGAGATTCATGATGCCTTGGGCTATGCTGACAGTGAGTACATTGCGCTGAGGGAGAACATTGCATTTGGCAACAGACAGAGCAGACCTACGACGCCCAGTCGTATGTCGATGAGCCATGAGGCCGAACAGAGACATTAGGCATGTAATGGTAATGAAAAGCGAAGTCAGTTATTCCTTTCATTTTATCAGTAACCAATCACCGAGACTCAGAAGTCTCTTGCAGAAGACTGCGGGATTTTCTTCGATTCTTCTCTTGATCACTTCCATGTGCATACGTGTTTGTTGGAGACAGAGACTTGTACTCGAGGCCGAAATATATGCTCGGAGTGGAGACGTGGTCTAGGAGAAGTCGCGACTCGCAACCTAGAAAAGCAGGGGTTCGTGGTCCGTGCAGAATGGTGGAGTTAGGGAGTGGACAAGTTTACAGCTACAGCTAGCAACAGCAACAAGATTGAATTGTATCTCGCGCTTGATCTGTAACGAAATCTCACGACCGGCCGGAGTGTATCGAGATAAGAGTCAGGAAGCGTACGGCATACACAAGATATTACCCCTTGCATAAGCTGGACTAGTGGCCAGAATGCGCCTGGACGTGAAGGTTAGATTGACCAGCCAACACTCAACACGACCACAATGAAGTCGGCTCACACGAATCTTGATATACAGAGACAGCTCTTTGCCCGCTCCGAGCGAGTGAAGGGCATCGACTTCCATCCTACCGAGCCATGGGTAAGTCAAGAACATGCCGCTCCTTGAGACAGAGGAACAGTGGACTGACATGACACAGATCCTCACAACGCTCTACAGCGGTATGCGCAGTCGCCAGTGATGACAGCAAGACCAATCTAACATGCAGTGCAGGCCATGTATACATCTGGTCATACGAGACACAGGCCATTGTCAAGACATTCGAACTCACCGACGTACCCGTACGAGCTGGTCGCTTCATTGCGCGCAAGAACTGGATTGTCTGCGGCTCCGATGACTTCCAATTACGCGTCTACAACTACAACACTTCCGAAAAGATCACCTCCTTCGAGGCACACCCCGACTACATCCGAGCAATAGTCGTACACCCTACACAGCCCTTCGTGCTGACGGCCTCAGATGACATGACAATCAAGCTTTGGGACTGGGAGCGTGGATGGAAGTGTGTGCAGGTATTCGAGGGCCACAGCCACTATGTTATGGGTCTGGCCATTAACCCCAAAGACACAAACACCTTTGCGTCTGCCTGTTTGGACCGCACCGTCAAGATCTGGAGTCTGGGCTCCAGCACCGCAAATTACACCCTCGATGCACACGACACTAAAGGTGTCAACCACGTCGACTACTATCCTCAGTCCGACAAGCCATACCTGCTCACCACCTCGGATGACCGTACTGTCAAGATTTGGGACTACACAACCAAGGCTTTGATTGCAACTCTCGAGGGCCACACCAGCAACGTTTCGTTCGCCTGCTACCACCCCGAATTACCTGTCATCATTTCCGGTTCCGAAGATGGTACCGTCAAGATCTGGCACGCAAACACATACCGTCTCGAACAATCTCTCAACTACGGCCTGGAACGTGCATGGTGTGTCAGCTACCAACGTGGCCGTCAAGGCATCGCCATGGGTTTCGACGATGGTGCCGTCGTTGTCAAGATGGGTCGTGAGGAGCCGGCTGTATCCATGGACAACTCTGGAAAGATCATCTGGGCCCGTCACAACGATATTCTGACTGCTGTCATCAAGGGTGGTGACAAGTCTCTGACAGATGGCTCACCTCTGACTCTCCCCTCAAAGGATCTTGGCTCTACTGAAATCTACCCTCAGACTCTTATCCACTCTCCCAACGGTCGTTTCGTTGCTGTCTGTGGTGACGGCGAATACATCATCTACACTGCTCTTGCTTTGAGAAACCAGGCTTTCGGTTCAGCTCTTGATTTCGCATGGGGATCCAAGGAGAACGACAAGGATTATGCCATTCGCGAGTCTTCCATGTCTGTCAAGACTTTCCGCAACTTTAAGGAGAAGTCGGTTCTTGATATTGGTTTCCAGGCCGAGGGTCTCAGTGGTGGTGTTCTACTCGGTGTTAAGGGCCAAGGTGGAATCGGCTTCTTCGACTGGGAGTCAGGTCAATTAGTCCGCAGAATTGAGGTTGATCCCAAGAACGTAAGTTTATGGTAATAGGTGCGTGGTTGATCGAAGCTAACAATCGTGACAGGTCTACTGGTCGGAGAGCGGAGAGCTTGTCACTCTTGCTTGCGAAGACACATTCTACGTCCTCCGCTTTTCTCGCGAGGAGTACCAAGCTGCTCTTCAAGCAGGCGAGGTCGATGAGGATGGTGTTGAGGCTGCCTTCGAGGTCGTCACCGACGTCAATGAGAGGTAAGTCACTCTGCGAATTTCTCTCTGTTCGAATTTTCACTAACAGCAATATTACAGCGTCCGCACTGGTCAATGGGTCGGCGACTGCTTCGTCTACACTAACAGCACAAATCGCTTGAATTACCTTGTCGGTGATCAAACCTACACAATCTCACATTTCGACTCTCCTCACTACGTTCTTGGATACATCCCCCGCGACGGCCGCGTCTACGTTGCTGACAAGGATGTTCAAATTGTCTCATTCGCTCTTTCGCTGTCAGTCATCGAGTACCAAACGCTCGTCCTGCGTGGCGATCTTGATTCCGCCAACGAAATGCTTGCCGATATTCCTGAAGACCAAAAGTCAAAGATTGCTCGCTTCCTCGAAGGTCAAGGCTACAAGGAGCAAGCTTTGGAGGTTGCGACTGACTCTGAGCACCGCTTCGAGCTTGCGCTCAGCCTGAACCAATTGGAGATTGCACTTGAGCTGGCCCGCGAAGCCGATGTCGAGCACAAATGGAAGACTGTTGGTGACGCTGCACTCACGGCCTGGAACATGCGTCTCGCAGAAGAGTGTTTCACTCATGCTAAGGATATGGGCAGTTTACTTCTTCTCTATACCTCAAGCTGTAACGAGGCTGGCTTGAGGAAACTTGCACAACAGGCTGACGACGCCGGTGCTCGCAACGTAGCATTCAGCTGCTTGTGGCAAGTCGGCGACCTGAACGCCTGCATCGACCTCTTGATCCGCACCGACCGTACCGCCGAAGCAGTCCTTTTCGCTCAGACCTACCTTCCTAGCCGGGCGCCAGAGATTGTCAAGCTATGGAAGCAAGGTCTTGAGTCAAGTGGCAAGGCCAAGGTTGCCAGACTATTGGGTGTACCTCCTACCGATGGTGAAGGCGATTCAGATCTCTTCCCCGAATGGAACTCATATCTCGAGCTCGAGAAGAATGGAGGCAGCAAAACTGACAACTTGATCGATGTTGGCGATGATGCTGAGGAAGAGGCAGAGGCGGAGGATAAGACAGAAGAACAAGAAGAAGACGGTGAAGTGGAAGCAGAGGCCGAGGAGGCTGAAGAGGACGAAGAGGCAGAAGAAGCAGAAGAGGCTGACGAGGCTAACGAGGATAACTAGCCGGCATCACCGCAGATGGATACAGAGGTCTAGACGGCTTTGTGAGGGTGTTATAAATCCAATTGATGGCAGAAAGGCGCTATTGGGAAATAAGAAATGAAAGGTTATGTTTTTTGATCATTGTTGAAAATTCTCTCTTCATCAGTACCTACTTCTCATCCATACTGGTCAACGACAAGAGAGACGCTCTCTTTGACAAGCTGCTACTGACATTGAGGCGTGTTTGTACATAAAGCCCCTCCCCTATAGCTCGACACCAACGTCAATGGAGGAAGCAACGACCCTTCGAATCGAAAGAGAAAAGAACGCATTCGAGATCGAAAGGAGAAAGAAACGACTCAAGGGTCAAACTACTAAGGCACGACTCTTGTATTCTGCAGGTAAGGAAAGGGACGACCCGCAAATTTCGAATCAGGGAGAGAACGGACCTGAGCAGCGGATTGGAAAGGAGATGATCTGATCTGGCCAGAAGAGGAAGGAACGATTCGCAAAACGCAAAAAAAAAGGGGGAAAAGAACGACCCACGCACTCAATTAGGAAAGAGAGATCCAAGATACAACCCAGGAAAGAAGTACCGTGACTTGCGCAAAGTATAGACAAGGAAAACGATTGGTAATTCGCGGATTGGCAAGGTACCATCCATGTATCAAATCAGGACGTTAAAGAAAGCCATCACTGAGTTGGAAAGGAGCTATCGTTCTTAGCATTTTATTATCCAGCACTCCTCGTATATAGAAGGAGCGAATGGATGGCTACACTGATCCTGGCACAGCACGCAAGAAAATGATGTGAACATGTAGAGATTGCTATATGGGTGTCATTTACGCCCTCTTGTATAGAAGTTCGCACCGAGTCCATTGATGGCGAGCCGTTCCTGAATCCTGCGATTGACTTGACCAAGACTCTTCTTGCCGAAACTCGGTCCCGATCGCCATGGCATGGTGCCGAGTACTCTCTCTCGAGTAGCGTCGTCTTCCAGTGTCTTTGCAGCGTTGATACAAGACCATCTCGCAGTGTGCATGATCAAGGCAGGATGATGACCAAGGACTCGGGACCTCTCGTCCTATCCTCTTTTCATGCTGAAGTACCTGATCAGGTCAACCAGCAATACCCTTATCTACACCAGTGCTCTTAACATTAGGGCTGCAAGATCAAGCCTTTGCAACGCCCTGCTTCTCGGCCACTTTTGAGATCCTGACCAGCTCCTCGGCCATATCCTTCTGAACTCTCTCAACCAACGCATCAACGTCATCCTTGCTCAACCCCTTGGTCTCGACCGGCTTCAAGATCGAGACAGGAACCGTGCCTGAGTTGAAAGTCTTTTTCTTCACATCCAACACATTGCTATAATTTGCAACCACTACAGGGACAATGGGGACCTGAGCTTGGACAGCGAGATGAAATGCGCCCTTCTTGAAGGGTAAGAGGGTGGGTGTGTTTGCGTAGGAGCGAGTGCCCTCGGGGAAAATAAAGACGGACTGTTGCTCTGAGTGCATAGTTTCTGCAGCATGGGAGAAGGCGGCCAGGGCGGCGGAGCGGGAGGTGCGATTGATAAAGACGGTCTTGGAGAGGGTCATGAATTGACCGAGGAAGGGGACCCACTTTAGACTGCTCTTTGCGGTTACGGAGGTGTAGGGTGGGAAGACACAGCCGAGCATCAGGACGTCGAGTTCACTGTCGTAGCCGCACGTCAGTAAGCCTCGAGGAGCAGAGTAAGGCGAGATATCGGATGACACACCTCTGGTGGTTACCGATCATGACGCAAGGACGAGTCTTGAGACTGCCATATTTGTCGTTGACCTTGAACTCGACACCAGTGAGTGTCCACATGGTCCATTTGAAGGCACGGGCAGTGGTCCACTGGCTCAGCCCACCATAGCCGACCAGACGTAGGACGATAGAAGCGGCGACACCATAGCAGGCGCAAAAGAAGAGGGCGCTGAAGGAAGCGATGCTGCGGGCAGCAAAGGACAGCACCGGCGCATGCGTCACGGATGCCAGCAGGTGCAGCGTTGGTATCGACACCAGGATTGACGTTAGCGCCGCCCCGACATAGCCGATGAGGCTCATTGTGTTGCGATTTTGGGCGAGGAGTAGGTCGGCGGTCCCGCTATAGGAATTTTGTCAAGGGGGGAGGGGATCGCAGGTCGGGAAAGTGGCTGCTGAGACCGAGGCTGCTTTGCGATTGCTATGCTTCATTTTACCTTTTGACTCTGATCACCGCCGCCTTTTTGTGACGGATGGCCCCATGGGCACGTTTTTAGCACATGCTATTCGAAAAGTCTGTCATATGACAGGGCGTGTGACTCGTGAGGCTTGTTGATGATACAAAAGTACAATGCAGGAAGGTGCGCGGTTACGAGGGGCAGGCACGAGGGCAATCCACCCCCCAAACTTGTGTTTCTATGAATATATTACACTACTCGTACAACTTCCACGAATCACGTCTATTCGACGCTCGTGGGAAGTTTGATCTCGCCCTTTTCGCGGTCGTGGTGAGGGTTTCCGTATCTCCATCCAACTCCGCGTCTACCGCGACCGTCCTTGCCTGCATCCTCGACACTGATGCTCTGGAAGCGGAAGTTCCAGCGCTGGTTGCTAACGACCTTGACGTTTCTGGCCTCCCACTCCTGCCTCTTGCGTTCCTTCTCCTGCTTTGCGCGGAGCTTCGCCTCGGTGCGCTCACGAATACGCTGTGTGCGTTGCTCACGCGGCACTTCGTTGAGAGCATCCCTCTCGATCTCGATCAAGTCGGACAGAGGTATCCGCTCATCGGCAGACAGGAGGGTGGGTGAGAAGACCTTTGCCGCGTCTTCACGAGTAAATTGTCGCGACTCTGATGTCGGGTAGAAGATTTGTGTGCGTGTGTATGGGTGGACAGGGAGATCGTTGATCGACTCGTGTGAGAATGTCTTCTTGGGGTCTTCAAGGAGCTTGCGGCTGAAATGTGTCTGTGGCACCATTTGCATGACTGCCTCGGCGTATGGTGTAGCCAGCTTCTTGCCCTGTTGAACTTGTCAGCACTTGATGCAGTTCAAGTTGTGGCAGGCAGTTTTGAGTATAGCGAGTAGATCAGAGTAAATAGGCGTTGTATCCATGTGGGTGTCATAAAGACTAATCGAATTTTTTGTATGTCTCATCATTTGAAGTGCAGGGGAAAGGGGGAAGGTAAACAGCAGCATCACATACCTCTGCAATCCAGTTCTTCTCAATCGTCTTCAGACGGACAACAGCAGCCACTCTGCGCATATCGACACCGTACAGAGCGCTGACAGTCGACAGATCAACCTTCTCATCAACAATCTTCTTGTAGATTTCATCGCGCAACTCCTCACTCAAGATGGACTGACTGCGGAAATCGGTGTTTAACGGGTATGGTCGGAGATCGGCTGCTCTTTCTTTCGGGATCTTGTTTCGCTCCTCTGCTTCCTTTTTCTCCTTCTCTTCCCTGTACTTGGCCTTCTCTTCATCACTGAGCTTGGACTCATCAACCTTCTCCTGATCCTCGTTCTCCTGTTCTGCACTGTATCTCAGGCGGAGCAAGTTCCCACTTCTGTCGTATGCACCCAGGTAGTTAGTCGAGCCTTGGAGAGGTTCACGGAACACGCGACCAGGTCCGTTCAACCAGGAAAACATGTTGCGGCGAAGACGCGTGTCATTCTTGCATGTCACCTGGAATTGTTGACCAGATGATTGGGAAAAGTCGCGCTGTCCTGATACAGATTGGCGAGCATTGCTACCAGTGATTGTTGTGCGGAGGCATTGTTGAGATCCGGCGACCTGGCCCGCCCGAGGTCCAACACGGGGCGGCATTGCTAATGTGGTATGAGGTCGAGTCGAGGAGAGATGCGAGGCACAAGACGTATCGTATCAAGAGGCGGCACCCGACGCTGCTACGCCGTGATGTTCGGAGGTGCCACGAAAATAATTTCCCCACTGTTTCGGAACTTGCCATCATCACCTCGACATGACCATCACTCATTCGCTAAGGTATGCTTGATGCTTTCAATATGAGCATCTACTGAATCTCTCGTGGCAAGTATATAGAAATCCGTAATAATTTACATTACTGCATAATGGATAGGAAAGGCTTGTCACTTCAAGCAGTCTTCCGTAAGCTGAGGTCTGCTGAAGCGTACCTGCCTACTTTACGCCAGACTCCTATTGAGCTCTTCACCTCTGAACCAATCGAGCTTCCAATGACCTTCTCGCGACGCTGAAATAGAGCTATGAGACGTAAAAAGCTCATCTTGCAAACGCCTGTGTCCTATTCGCCCTCTCAATCTCGTAGAGACCATGAGAATATTGCTTTTCTCTCTGAGCTTGCCCGTGATCTGAGTCTGTCCTGGACTATCCAGCGAACGACTTCAGGAATGTCTCGGTAGGGGAAAAATTGCTAGTCTTCCATCTCTTCGTCCTCGTCGGTAGAACCTAATGACACCGTGACGCCGCCCTCGGTAACTAGAGTGTGGAAGCCAGATGTTTTGCCCTCGACATCCTCCTTGCTAAGCCCTCTCATGGCTGCGTGGTTTATGGCAGTGTCCTGGCTATGATCGCTTCGGTAGCGGGCCGTGAAGTCTGCCTCCTCTACACCTTCCTTGCCTCCACTTCGGATGGATGCTGGTTGGTATGCGTACTCCTCGGTGTTCTTGATGAAGTACATGCGGTACAGCTCGACGGCCACGCGGAATTCAAGACCCTCCGATGAAACAGCGGAATCCACAAGTCTGCGGTAGTCGTCAGAACGCTCCTCGCTGTAGATTGTGCTGGGATCCACGTTGAGTTGACGCAAGTTTCTGTGCATTACTGGCCGACGCTTGGTTGCGGGCACATCTGGTGTCGGCGCAAGCTTAAGGAGATTGGTGACGTAAACGCGCCAGAGATCCTCCTGGAGCATTGAGGTTGTGTCGAGCGTAGGATCATCCTTCTTGTAGAGTCTGATCTGCACTTCAGATGTTGCTTGGTCCTGCATGTTCGTTAGTCTTTGCTCCTGAGCATGTCTTAGTGTGTTTCTTACATAGGCGATTCCGTAGATATCCATATCTTTCGTGTACTTCTCGGTCTGCTTTCTGTAGTTCATCTCATCTTGGAAAGAAGTTTCATCCTTGGCTCTGTCTCTGCGGAACAGCTGGAGAATGTCCCAGCTCTTGTCCTTGGTGCTTTCACTACCGAGCATTGCAATAGCAAATCGTACCAAGGCACCAAGAAGCTTGTCGAAGGAATAGAGCTGCCAACCACACTGCAAGTAATATCTGCGCAACGTCTCTTCGATGTGTGCCATGTCCATATCTCCCTTGATCAGATCTTCGAACATGCCGAGTATCTGACGGTAGAAGTTGGATGTGTCGCTAACATCAGTGAAGAAGTCAGTGGGAAGCTTGTCGATGATACCGAGCTCGGTGGCAGGCTTAGGAGCCATTGCACGGTTCACTGTGGTATGAGCATCGGCCTCGGCCTGCTTGATGTTATTCAAGCGCTCGTACAGGAACACAAATACGCGGATGAAGCAGTAGATGGTTGCGTTGCCGTAGAGGTTGTACTTGGAGCGAGAGTACATCTGGTTGAGGTACAGCTCCTTGTCCTTGTGGACGTTGCCCGCCAAAGGATGGGATGCCCAGGTGTCCAAGGCAATGTCAGACTTGAGATCGTCTACCACGTTGGCAGTATCGCTCATCTCTTCGTCCACATTGGATGCGTTATCAGGGGTCGATGCTCTACTAAGAGGGGTGTTGCTACCGTCATCTTTGCGGTTCTTGCGTCCGCGCTCGAGAACACCGCGCAGAAGATCGCCCTTTTTGGTTGTTGGTTTGCGAGGCTTGGCGTTGATCGGATCGTCAAAGGCCGAGATTGAGTCTTCACCGACCTCCATGTGAGGAGTATCGCCGAACTTGGCTCTGATCTGGTTGCCGAACCACTCATAATCTAAGCCAAAGAAGAGGGGGATGAACTCTCGGATGAAAGAGGTCAAACGTGGATATTCCGTAGAGTGCATCTGCTCGGCGTACAGAAGAACCAGATGTGACGCGTCGATGATGACACTTGTGTCTGCAAACTTGAAAGTCATCTGAGGCTGGTTGCGTGGGTTCTGGCCGGCCAGTCGTTGTCTCTTTTGCTCTTCGTATCTAGTTTGGACCTCACCAAGGAGGATCTTTGTCTGGAACTGACGCTTGTCGGCTTGCTTGGCGTTCACGGCTTGGTGGTCCAAACTCTTCCAGAACATTTTCTGTGTTTGATCACGCCAGACCTTCTCCCACTCTCGCTGTGCCTGTTTCCACTCCTCGAGCTTTTGCTTGAGTCTGTTGAGCAGCACGGGGATGACCTTGTAAGGCTGAGCGTGGAGCGACTGGACGACCATGTGACCCTTCTCGCGGCCGTAGAGCTTCATGATGATGCGCTTGTGAATCGTCTCGCTCTGTCCACCAAGACCAGGAGGAATCTCGAGAGCCTCCTTCTCACGAGGATTCATGCGGAGAATCTGCTGTGCGATAGGCTCAAGGAGCTGGATTGTGCGAGAACAAGCCTCGATGTTGAAGTCGTAGTCGTGACGTTCTTCCTCAATCTTGTGGAGTCCTTCTTCGTGGATGTTCTTCCTGTGGGCAATGAAACCAGAGTCCTCGGATGCCCACGTAGGATGCGAGGCCCAGTCGTCGTTGAGCACTTCGTTACACAACTCATCACGTCCACGGCACGGCTTCAAACGCTCCCGCTTAGGAAGAAGGCGATAGCTTGGTCCGAGCCCTCTGCAGTTGCTCAAAGAGATTCTGCATGATGGGGCTCTGGGCTTGTTCTCGATGAGAATGTCGTCGTTGGCGTAACCGACCCACATCTGGAACCACTGGAAGAGATCTGGATTGCTGCCGATGAAACCGCGGGCTTTGTGAACCAAAGTAGTGCGGTCAATCAGATCTTGTGAGAAAAGATTGCAAAGTTTGAGGAACTCGTTCATGGCAGCTTTGTTGCCGATGGCCTTCTTAGCACGGTCGAAGAAGCTCATCTCGTCGGCTGTCGCAAGCGAGCTCTGGGTCGGTGGCAGAGGCTCAGGGAGCGCAGGGACCAGAGTTGGAGAAGTTGGGGGGATGTCTGAAGGCATGACCTGCCTGGTGGCATGGGTCTGCTTAGCACGTTTGTTGACGCTAGTCATCTGGCCGTAAGCTGGAGCTTTAGCCAAGCCGTTTGTCTCAGGGCCTGCGTTGGTGACGGTCCCTTGTCTGTCACCGCGCTTTCTCTTGTTGTCCTTATTAACAGTAGGTGTAGGAGCAAAGTTTCCGACGGGTGGCAGGCGATGTTCGGCTCTGGGTGTCTGATGGGGCTGTGGTGCCTGGTAGAAAGGGTCACCACGCACGTTGCTAAGCATGACAGACTCTTCTTGTTGTTGTGCCCTTGCGGCTGCCGCGGCTTTCGCGTGTGCGGCGGATTCTGGTAGAAACTGCTTGAAGTCCTCAAGAAGATCTGGGGCCGAATTGAAAAGTCGCGTTACTTGGGCATAGACGTCCTGGATCGGCTTAGACTCGCGCTGGTAGGTCTGCAAGATTTCCAAGAATTGCTTGTAAATGTCTGGCTGCTGTTGGAAGCGGTTCTGATCAGAAGTAAGCATGACGTTTGGAGAAAAAAAAGACGCGCTGCACGAACCTTTATCTTGTTGACATAGCTGATGGCATGGTTGAACTCGACCTGCGGCCTCACCTTCTCGTGGCCCAGGGGCTGACCATCAGGACCAATCACCATTTCACCTTGGGCAAGAGCGGCAGCACCACCAGTCGGAGACATCATGCCAGCCCTAGCGAGATTGTCACCGGCTGCGGCGGAGACGGCATTTTGCAATTGCGAGACACGCTGTTCCTGCTGGAGGCTCAAGGCCTGCTGCTGTTCGCGAGCTTGAGCTTCGGCAATGGCGGCGGCTTGCTGGGGGCCCATCTGGGAAGTGAAGGGAGCGGCTCCTACCGGGCGACCACTAGGACTGTGGACGATGTGAGCATGGCCAGGAGCCTGAGGCGTCCAGTTGCCGTTGGTCTGTCTGTTGACTGCGGCAAACAAAGGGCCTTCCTGATTGCTTCCGTCTTGCGGAGGAGCTGCGGTGCGTGGAGAAATGGGCCGGGGTGCCGGCATGGCCTGAACGGTTGTTCCCATGGGAGTCGTTACTCGAATAGCGTTCGGATCGTCGCCGGTGCCGCACTCGATCCTGTAGCCTGGGGGCAAGAAGGTGTTGAAGCCCTGAATGAGCTCTGGGTTGCCGGCGAAGAGGGTCGAGACACGTTCGATAACACCAGGTGTATCAATACTGTATCTTGTCAGCACCTCAGAAGAGTCGGATGCGGAGACCGACACGTACGCCCCACTCTTGAAGTCCTTCATTATGTCGAGGAATCTGTTGTAAACATCGGGATGGTCGACGAATTGCACCTTGACTTGGTCGAGATAGCTCAGCGCATCCTGAGGACGATCAGTAGTGTGCATGGCAGAGGCAAAGACATGTGAACCTACGTTCAGAATAGGCTGCTGGCCTTGGCCAACATTCGCGGGTTGGGCACTGCCAGGCTGCATAGGAACAAGCATGGCCTGAGACTGAGTGGCAGGCTGGACAGGGCCTCCGCTGAAGACGGCGTTTGGCATCTGAGCATGGCCACCAGGAGTGTTGGCCAGCAAGCCGTTGGGGCCATGAACAGTGCGAGGTGCGACGGCCACGGGCTGGTGAAGATGGATGGGTCCTCCTTGGGCTTGGTGGGGAGGGAGTTGCTCCATATGTTGTCTTTCACGCTGTTGGTCGCGACGCACGGCGTCCTGCTCTTCTTTGATGTGGATATTCTCCCGATGATCCGACATGTCGCGACCGAGAGGGAAGGCGGCTTGTGCTTGATGGCGGGGCGAAGATGGGTTCATAAGATTGTGCGGTACCTGTTGGAAAGGGGCAAAGGGTCCTGTCTCAGTCGTAAGCATGTGCTCGGCCATAGACTCGGGACTGGCTGTACCTGAAGGAGGGGGAAGCCCACCTGTGCGAGGTGATGGAGCTGCACCGGGATGAGCAGGAGGTGGATTTGCACTATGTTACGACCATGTCAGCACTCGTGATAAACTCTTAGTCGCATGTGTAGACTCACGCGAAAGTGCGATGAAGTGGAGTATGCTCCTCTCTGGGCGGCCAGCCGTCTCTATTATGCGCTGGATTCATCTGATGGCGTATGCGCGCGCCGGATGGGCAACGTGCTCGGCGGTCCGTATGGGGACGTCTGTTTCGTTCTAATGTCGCTCGGTGGGGGTCAAATGCTCGAGGGCCGTCTTTTCATAGCGCTCGAGGCAAGTAACTCGTGGTGAAAGAAGGTGCGTTGGAAAACAGAGGGTCCCTCTCTGTTCATCATACTCTACGTCCTCATCGCACGCTTCCCCCGGCTTTTGGTGTGCGCTAACGACCGACATTTTCCGCTTTTATCCCCGTTAACTCCACATTCAGTCATACAGATCCCACACAGAAACAGTCATACAGACCAAGGACCCAAGCAATCACTTCCAATGCAAAGTGAATTGTGTTATACACGCCATCATCTATGTTACAAGCCATAAGGGTATCTTCGCGTCAAAGCAAATTCATCTGGTCCCCGTGCATCCCATTTCCCTATCACATGAGTCCTTCTCCCTCACTGCCGAATCCCTTGACATGCCTTTCGTAATCCTCTCCCTCTTCCCTTCCTCGAAATATGTCTCTGTCACGTCGTTGAAACATTTCGGCAGCCAGACCAAGTCCTCCTTCTAGATCGGCAAATAGACGGTCCATCTCTTGGAACACGAGCTCTGAGTCGGCGCCGTCGATGAGTACTTCTGCATCAGGTGCTGACAGTCGTGGGAACTCGTTTAAAAGACGGCTGCTGCGCGCATATGATATATATGCTGTATCTTCTCTTGACGAGTCGTAGCCTGTGCTTGTTGTGCCTCCTGTATCTGCACGTGCGCGATTGCGGGGCATGGTGAGGTCTCCATAAGTGCTCTCGTCTGTGTCCACATTGAAGGCATCAATGCGCGACGATGGCTTCGATCCCGCATGACCTACGAGGGGAAAATCGGCGTCATCGAGTCCCGGTACTCTTACACCAGGATCAGCCATAGGTGCATCAATGTCAGTGTCATCAAAGGAGTCGGCTGCAGCGAATCGAGCCCAGCTATTGCGTGAAGCAATAGCAGAAGTGTGAAGTCCGTCAAGGAGCTGTTGTCTTGTGTGTGCCTCCATCCTACGGTTGTAGTCTCGGGGCCAGCTTCCACTCTGCACGTCTGACGATGCTGTAGATGAGTAAGAATAGCCTCTGTCCCTCGAGTGTCTGAGTAGAGATACGTTGCTGGGCCCCCTAGAGTGAAGTGCTGCAGAATGGAGATTGCTTGATGCCAGAAGTTGTGGTTCGGAACGTGATTGGCGATGCGAGGAGCGCTTGACTTCATCGCCGCTGGGTTGCTCGACCTCATCTAAGAAGAAGGGGTTACGTGACGTCTCGGTCGACCCTGCTGCGCTTATGACAGGAGACGATGTTGTGATGCTTGGTTGTGAGTGGTGAGATATGGATGCTATGCTTGGTTGGGAATGGTGCGTTATGGCTGTCTCCAGATCGAACTTTGGTTCAAAGGTCATGCCCAAGTCAAGATCGATGATGGGCTTTGATTCGCGAACCTTCGATATGTCGAAGTCATCTTGGGTAACCGATCCTACAGGAGGGTGTAGGAAATCATTGAACTGCCCGATCGGTTCTGTAGCTGTACGGGTCAAGTGAGGTCTGAAGCCTGGAGCAATGTCCGTCTCATCCTTCATGGGTGGAAAGGAGAAGTCTGGCTCGGCGTCTGGTTCGTTGGACGCCGGCTCAGCTGTCGCGAACGTCCAATCTGCGGTTCGGCGGTCTGGCTCTGCTGTCACGGGCTCTGTCATCTCTGCGAATGACCAGTCCGCCGTTCTTCGATCAGTAGCCGGCTGAGCTGTAGCGAACGACCAATCTGCAGTTTTACGATCGGCCGCTGGTTGGGCTGTTGCAAAGGACCAGTCTTGAGTCTTGCGATCCGCAGCTGGAGGTTGTGCCATAGCAAAGGTCCAGTCCTGTGTACGCCTGCTCGGGTTGTCGGCAGGCATCATCTTGAGAGGGAATTGCCAGTCTTTGGTAGCTCTTCGCGTGTCTTGATCTGGCCCATCGTAGAAGTCGTTTTCGTCATCGTCTTCGTCGGGCATTGCAGATGACATACGGTTCGGTCTTGCTGCCTTTAACGTTGGCACATCGCTGAAGTCGAAATTGAAGGTCGGCTGAGAATCCAGCCCCACTGCGCCCATGTCCAAGTCAATCAAGGTCTCCCTGTTGGCCGAGCGATCGCTGGACAAGTTCCTCAGAGGAAGGTCTGACATCGGTTGTTCTTCGTCGTCCATGAGCGTGTTGTAGTCGTATGGGTCTGCGTTGGTGTCGAAGAGTCGTCCCATGGAGCGCTCTCCTCGCTTCGCCCTGGCCTCTTCTTGCGCTTCGTGGAATGGGTTCCTAGGATGTGGCTTTGTAACGTTGTTGAGCGCGGGTAGAACTTCGTCCGAGTCGCTATTCGTAGCTGCAAAATCTGTTTCCGCAATACCAAGTTGACTGTAGCGCTTGACGAAGTCGTTTTCAAAATCGGCGGAGGTTGAGAAGTTCCAATCATTATAATCGTCGCGTTGCTCAGATGGCTGAGGCGCAGCAGCTCCCATGGGGTTGAAAAGTGACGCTCTTTGGCCGCCTCTTCTTTCCCATTGGAAGTAACGATCGATCATCTCTCTCACTGTGGCGGTAGGATATTGTTCTGATGTACCAGATATGAACGGGTGCTCCAGAATAGCGTTCATGGTCGGACGATTTTGAGGCTTTTCTTCGAGACAGAACGCAATGAAGTCTCGTAGACCTTGTGAGTAGTCGCCCTCCTGAAGCCGTGGTGCGGCTTTCAGCACTGTTCGCAGCATGGACGGATGGAACTTATGGTTTGGCGGCATTCCTGTGGCCATTTCGTAGACGGTGCAGCCATACGCCCAGCAATCAACCTCAGTACCATAACCTTGTTGGACGGCCATATCCATCGAGTGCATCTCTGGAGGCATCCAGAACGGCGTTCCGATGATAGTGGATCTTTTTGAGGCTTCGGTTTCGATCACTGCTGCCACACCAAAGTCACACAACTGAACCTGGCCGTCCTCGGAAATCAAAACATTGCCGCCTAAAGATTGTTAGCACGTCTCAAGAACAGAGCCATCAACCTTCACGTACACTTGACATCTCTGTGGATCACACCTGCGTCATGCACGTATTTGAGCGCCACCGCCAGTTCGCGTGCGATCGGTATGATGTACTCTTCTTCAAGCCCAGGACCTGGCGTAGCCTTCATGAGCGTATGAACGCTACCACCTGGACAGTAGTCGCTAACAATCCACAGCTGAGAATGCAGGTCAAAGGCCTCTTGAATGTAGTTGATGTTCTTCGCCTGACTGTCTCTAAGGAGCTTGAGCGTCTTGACCTCTTTTCGAAAATCTTCAATGGCTTCATCCTTTTGGTCGAGATCCAGTTTGTAATCCAGATCGTCAACATCAATGATCTTCACGGCCACAAGATCTCGAGTAGCATTGTTTTTGCTGGCGCACGTAAGTCAAAGCCATATTTCATCCACAAAGCCAACAACTCACCACTTGTAGACTCTTCCAAATGATCCCTTTCCGATAAGTTCAATGAACTCGTAGTCAGGAACAACCGTATTTGTTCTTGCGGCGCGTTCAACAACCACCTGGTACATATCCTTGGCATCTTGAATCTGCTTGTGCTTTGTACCAGCGCCGACTGCAGAGAATGGATCCAGGTGGTTCGGACTCATGTCCAGAGCTTTTCGTAAGGACTCCTCTGAGATTCCAGCTTGTTCCAGAGCAGAGCCAGGCTATGCGCTGTTGGCGAGAAAGTGCCGGAAGAGCAACTATGGCCCAGTGACAGGCTCTCAAGAGTTTTCCTGTCCAGAGATCGTGGGAACAAAGTATTTTGGTTTGGTCCAGTCCTGTTTTGATGATAGTTCAAACTGATGCGTATACACCAGGATACATGTTCCGCCTCCCCGATCTCCTCCTTTCCGCGGCGACAGGTTAAGATCGCTTGTCGTTGGCCAGATTGACGATCCTGTAGTTTTACAACTCAGTGGTATCCAGTATGATTGCCCTGTGTAACAAGGTTGAAAATGTGGCTGCTGAAAGTGGTTGAAGACGAGCCCTGTCGAAAGAGTGGACGATCAATCGGCGAGCGGCCTCTTGGGCCGAGACGCTAGCGTGGCAGAGATCCCCAGTATTAGCGAACGTCCTCACATCTCTAATGACGTACCCCCCTGTCAGCCACCTGCAAAGCAGACGCGAACCTTGGTCTGATGATTCTAGAAATTGTTCAGCCGTCCCTACGTATATCTTCTATCGTGAAACCTGGTTTGTGATCTTAAGCTCAAAGACATCCCTCAACTATCGCATCCACCAGACTTTTCCTCCATATATCAGAACAAACAATGGGTGACAACTGGCTCAGCAAGCAAGTCCAGGGCTACGTCGCCGGCGCGGGCAAGGTGGCCGGTAACATTGTCTACAGCGTAGGCAATGGCGTAAACAATGTTGGTCGCGGAGTTGGTGACAGGTAAGAGCCTCCAAAACTTCCTAGACCGCTACCTAAGCTCAAGCTAACACACCTACAGTATTACCAACACGACTCGCTACTGGGGCCAGGGTGTTGCAGGCTATGGCAACAACATCAAGGATGCCTCTCGTGCAGGAGGTCCTCGTGTGCCCACTGGCGGAAATCCCCTTGGCTTGAGTGGCCCTGGATCGAGCAAAACTTTGATGCCTGGAGGAAAGTTGCCTCCTGGCAGTCAACAACGTAATGCTGGCAAGGGCACCGCCAGCAATCCATTGGGCCTGTGAAGGGACAACAAATCCCCCATCTGATGAAAACACGATACAATCAAGAAACCATCAATGATAAATGACGAATAAGACAAGCAAATATGAAAACATTGGAGGCGTTCGGAGGGAATTATTTGCAATATCTATGTTACTGATTTAGCAACACCTTTACCATGTTGTGTGAGATAAGTTGTAGTATCGTTTGACTTTCAGGATCACTGTCCTTGTCTTGCTATCTCGGTCTGATTTTTAGATTAAACACAGTTGAGAACGCCTTATGAACCATCAACCGCGCTGGTATGTGCCGAACCACCATGCATAAAGAAGCAACATGCACATTGCGCCAAACCAGGACTCCACGCTAAATCAATAATATCGTACCATCGACCGTCAACACCAGGCACACATCAATACGTGCCATCTTTACTCGCTCTCGTACTCGGGGTCGTCACCGATCTCTCCGAATTCGTCTTCGTCCTCGTCCTCGTCGCTGCTCTCATCGTCCTCGTCCTCATCATCATCATCTTGCATACCAGGCACGCCCTTCCACACCATGTAATCGCCTTCCAGCCACTTCTTACTCTTAGGCAATTGGTAAGGGTCGAATGGGAAAAAGGCGTCGAGCTGATGGTGAGCTTCTCCACTCTGATGACTGAGAGTATTCTCTCTTCTCGCGGCACCCATGTCTCTGCTGACTGGTGCAGCCAGGGTACGGAACGAAGACAGACGTAAACGCTTGTTTGTCTCGAGCAGGGGAATGACATACATGAAGCGAAGGTGGTTGGCGATGGCTCCAAATTGGTGGACGATGGCGGGAGCACAAACTTTGAGAGGGTTGAGCTTTGAGTAGATGGCTTGCGTCAAGCACTCTTTGATGCCAGGGAGCCATTCGGGTTCGCCCTCCTCGAAGATGTCATAGTCCTCGACGTCTGCATCGTCGGGCGTCATGATAAAGTCCCTCCACCTGAAGCAGAAAATGTAGAGCATAGCTTGGGCAATGGCGTAGAAAGTTCCATAACGACTGAGGTTAGGCCCCTGACACGCCGACTCGTGGTTGCGACGCAGGGTGTCGAGATGGTTGCCGAGTCTGGTGAAGATGGAACGTATGAGAGTCTTGTTCACACGAGCGCCACGAGCGATGAAACTGGCCAAGTACGCAGCAGCAGACAGAGAGCCGTTGGAGGCAGAGCTGCGGCCAGTAGCAAGGCGGATCAGGACGCCAGCAAAACGCTCTGCGTAAGCTTGGGACATCTGAGCGAAGTGGAAGACGAGGAACTGCGTGTGGCGCGAACGATAGGTAGGCAAGACAAAGGTGGAGAACTGCGAGATGAGGTGCTCGAAGGCATCATTCACCTCGTACATCTTGCCACTAGCAAATGTAGGAGTGTAGTGGGAGAACAAGAGGTCTAGGACTGAGTCAAGTTTGGCGACTGTGTCGCGCAGAGCACGCAGATGGGTCTCTTCGGGTGTCATGCTGATCTCGCTCGATGATTCCGAATCGGCATCGCTGTCATCTTCTGAATCGTCTGCATCTTCTCTTCCTTCGGGCAGACCAGAGAGTCCAAGGACGCGCTTCTCGTCAACCTCATCTTCCAAATCGTCCAGCTCTTCTTGAACTTCGACGTCGATCTTGACTAGGCGCTCAGTGATGAGAGTTTGGATTTCGGCTTTGAGCTCAGGAGCGTACTCGATCGTCTTGAGGGCGTTCTTGACAAAGGCAATGTAGCCTTGACGACTAGCAGTTCTGTGGTTGGGGAACTGGCCGCGGAGAGATTCGGCTAGGCCGCTGTTCGCAGACGGAATGAGACGGAGCAGGTATCGAAGGGCGTTGTGTAGGCGAGCAACCATCTGTTGTCTGGACACGTAGGGTTCGTTGGGGATACGGCCAAGGGACGACGAAACTAAGGCCATGTCAGCAAACGGGCACACGATAGCAAGAAGCAAGCAAGCTCACCCTCGACAAAGTGTCCCACGATACGGTCCAAGACTGTTCTGAGAAAGCCAGGCACAGCACTTCCCAGGGTGCCCAAGAAGCGGACGTAGAGAGCTACGAAAGCATCGTCTCTGCCGAGCCAGTTTACGTCAAGGACGGCGTGCACCAGCTTGCCACAGGCCTTGAGATCACTCACGCGGCCACTCAAGGCCACCAGGTATTTCTTGAGTGTGGCGTTACTGGGCGCTTCGGAGTGCGAGACTGCACCGCTGTCATGGGATCGCGATGGCTGGGCGCTGACGAAGATGATTCTAAGCTGTTCATATGCGGCGTCGTCTTTGTCGGCACCAGCCCTCAGATGGCCTTCGAGAGCACTTCGCACTTCATCCTTGACCAGGTCCAACGGCTTAGCCGTCCAGTCGTCCATGATACGGACGTCAACCCTATCGTCGAAGGCGACTCGCAGTTTCTTGCTCTGGCTGGATTCTGGCGCCGGTGACGACAGATGTGAGGCGTCTCTTTTGAGACTCTTTTGCGGAAGTGTGGGCGGCATGCTCGGCGCCTGTACAAGAGAGACCATGTTGCTTCCACAGATAGGAGAGACTAGCTTTTTATTACTATTGGACAAGGGTGTGAATCTTTGCTCATGTCGCGTGCGTCCAACACACTTGGGTGATCTCAGAAGTGAAAAGCCTTGAGAGAAACAACCTTAAAATTCGGAACGCGGAGAGGGACAGAGCACAGACCATCTTTCTGTATCACCCTGCTGTCTGTATCACCCTGTTCACACAGTCCGCTGCCACCTACTCTCCATCCCAAACACGAATACCATTTCAAAATGCAGCATTACAACGACCTCCACGCCCAGATTATGTGGAGCAATTTTCGTAGTCCTGGCCAATGATTTGTCTCCTTGTGAAGTATGTTGTCTTTTCACAGCAGCACGCACTAGCTTCTCACCAAAGCTGGCACAACCATGCTTTCTTTCTTCACATCCCACACAACCAAGTACATTTCTAACTCGTATCAAAAGCGATCAATTATCTGACAAGTGGTTAAGAAAGCAGTGAACAGTGAACAGTGAACACTGTATTTTGAAATATGGACAAAACTCCGTGACAGATGCTATGCAAACCTATGTGCACCGCCAGCCGACCACTGATGCTACCTAGATATGTATACCTTTCAACATTGATGCTAATATCTTCTTTGCTGTCTATGCTGTCCATCCCCCTGACCAAAATATGATTGCGCGTAACCTGACTGAGGCTGAGGCGAGCCTGCACTACTCCATCCTCCAGCTTGACTCATGTGGGCCAAGTACTGCGAGGATCGTTGTTGAGCTGTGCCCGGCCCATTTGCATACGGGTAGTTGGCAAGCTGCTGCTGCTGCTGTAGCTGCAACTGCATCTGATACTGCTGCGCTTGTTGATGAGCCATCTGTTGCTGCAATTGAGCCTGTTGCGCTTGCTGTTGAGCATACTGCTGGGCATAGTGCTGTGCCTGCTGGTGAGCTATGTGCTGAGCATGAAGCTCGGCCTGCTGCTGAGCATACTCTTGTGCCTCGATCTGGGCTCTCATCCGTCCATCGAACTCATCCTGCAGCTGCTGTTGTTGGCGAGCTGCAATGGCTTGCTGCACCGCGTTGTTTCGAACACCCTCTTTTTTGATGTTCCGTTGACGTTCGCGAACCGCCATAGCACCGACCAGGCCGGGAGCATCCGCTTCGTTAATGTCCCTACGCTTGTCTTTCTCTGACAAATTGATCATCGAGGTACCAGTCATCCTAGCAACTTGCATCTGCTCATGTGCCGACAACGATGTGCCTTGGAGCTGCAACGTCCTCCCGGGACTAGGAGGGTTCAAGAGCGCACCCGCGTTACGAGAGTGAGGGCGAGACGGCGCTTGCTTACTCCAGTCTCCCGAAGGGGTCCGGCTTAGAGGTGGTGGCGTCTTACTGATCGACATGCGGTTTGCTTGCTGACCCCAATCACCGGAAGGCGTACGGTTGAGTGACATGCGATTCAGTTGTTGCGTCCAGTCTCCAGACATTGTTCGACTCAGACCGGAGGCTGGCCGACTGAAAGGAGGCGTTTTAGATGTACGAGCGACGCTCGAGTGCTCTCTTGCATGTCCAAAGACCGGAGTAGCTCTTGACTGGGTCAAGGGAGCTGCAGCGAGGGAAGCACGATATTGAACCCATTGCTCTGCTGTAAGACCTTGGTCAAGAGACTCGCCAGCTGCAGCCGCTGGCTGCCAAGCCACACTTCGACGTCTGTCTTGGTTCATCTCGCTGCTTGACACTCTTCGTGTTTCGAGGAAGGAGTTTCTCTTGCTGTCCAACTGTGTGAGACGCGAAGAAGGGCGTTGCTGAAGCTCGGGGTCGTCCTGTGGCTCTATGGGCATGCTGCCACTTGTAGAGGGTCGCACGTTCGGCTTGTAGGTCAATGTAGGGCCGAAGTTGATCGGTAGACCGGTTTCCGTGTCAAAGCGGCTTCGTACTTGAGGCTCGTGTTCGGGATTTCCGACCGTCTTCAGGCGGCCCGTCCGGCTTCTTTCAATAGGTTTTCTCTTTGGCGGTGACATGCTTTTTACGCTAGCATAATCGACCGACTCGTCGTCGGGAATACTGACAGGAGGGCTGAGGGATCTGTTGAGTGTCTCTGGTGACTGCTGGAGCATTTGCTCCAGCATAGCTTGCTGCATGATTTCATTTTGTAAACTCTCATTGCTTGAAGCTCGAGATAGGACAGGACTTTGAGGTGGAGGGCTAGCAAGCTGAGACTCTTGTGCGTTCGGAACAGGCTTTCTGCTAATAGGTGCGGCCATGGCTGGTAGAGGTGGACTCGCAAGAGGCCGGGCAGGAACAGCAGCTTGAGAATTGCTCGAAATGCTGCGCTGTGGGACAAGAGGGCGAAGGGCGTCTTGCTTGGAAATGGCGAGAGCTGCAGCGGGTTGTGCAGGACGGTTGTAGGGAGATGCAGGGATGGGGGGTAGGCGGCGGGTAGTCGGCTGTTGATGTCGAGGTCCTGGAGTAAGATTTACCTCTTCATTGTGGAACGAGGGGTCAGCGAGCGATCTTTGAGTCCGATTGGTAACACTAGCTACCTCTCGTGGAGCATTGGTAAAGTCGAATTGCTCTTTTTCGGTGTATGGTGTGGCCCCGGTGGCCTCTACAAGCTGTTGCAGCGTCGCAGCATCCATGGCCGAGTTGGCCCTGCGTAATTCAGGTGTCATGTTGAGGTTTTTAGGGTTAGGCCTAACGTTTGGCCCGTGCATGAGCTTTGGGGGCGCCACAGTGACCGTAGGAGGAGAAGCCGAGCGTATTTTTAGCTCCTCGAAGGCAGGCTCAAGACGCCGCTCCTGGTCGTACGGCGATTCCTCTGACGGAACCCGCTCGAGCACCGTAGGAATTTTCTTTTCTGGCAGGGTACCACCATGCACCGGAGGCTGGGGCGCTCTGTCCTGCAGGTCGCTGGTAGCGTCGTAAGAAAGTCGCGAGCGGTTCTCCGTCTGAAACCGCTTGTATCCGACCGCGTCAGACGCTGAACGATTGTGTCCACGACCCGGGCTGCCCATGCTCACGGGCGTTGTTTCAACCCTGCGCGGAGGTGCGAATTGAATGGAACCATCTCCCGGTCCCGGAGAACCTCTACCTGGTGATGGCGAAGAATTCGAGGAGCTGTCATTGCCAAAGCGGACCGCCCCGCGACCCACCGAGAGGCTAGTTCTGTTTCCAAGACTCATCGTGTTCCTTCTTCCTCTGGCTTGTGGGGGTGTGTCGTCGGCCGAGTTCATGCGATACGACGTCAACTTCTTCATCTCTCTTCTCCAGTCTTGTTCGGACCATGTCCCACTGCCTTTGGTGTGGATCAGACCAGAAACGTCCAATATGTCCAAATAGCCATATCGTCGGTCGCGAGGCATGGCAAACATTAAGCCACGCTGGTCAAGAGAATCTGCGACTAAGCGGTTTGGTCGGCCGTATAGAGCGAAGATGTCCCAGACAGGGAACAACCAGCGAAGCATCATCTCAAACCCACTGACTGCAGGATGCACCTCTGGCATGACGAAGAGGAAGCCTTCTGTGGTAGTATCCTTTGCACCGTGGATGGTGATCTGGCCTTCGAGCTTGATAAGTGTCGATTGGTCGATAAGTGGCTTCGACTGAGGGTAGATGGCGTATGCAGCGAATGCGTCTTTGATGGTTGCGACGGGCCGTGTCTTCTTGTTGACGCGTTTAGTCTCGTAGAACTTGATACTGCCCTTAGGCACCTCCACCTTTCGGTCGTACGTATCGCGCTTCTTCAGTGCCTTCTGGTATTTGGCCCAGTCCTTCTCATTCGGGGGAGTGATAACACACCAGCAGCGTCTCCAAGGAGTGCCTGCTCCAAATCGAACGCGTGCCCAGTCGTCAATGATAAACTTGCTTCGCTCCATGATTGTGCGGATGTTGTTGAGCATCTTTCCCTTTCCAGCAATGAGAGAGCCAGTATAGGCTTCTTGCAGTGTTGCATGTTCGTACATGGCGAGGCGGAAGCCGGCAGTCCATTGTGTGAGCGAGTTGAGGGAGTTAAAGTGGAGAAGGTAGCGGTTGTTCGCTGCGGTGGAAATGCTCAGAACGTTTTGCAGTTGTCCTCCTGACTGTCCGTTCATGGGAAGGGACTCAATCTGTGCATAGCAATTAACGACATGATTGTGCTGCGAGAGAGCGGCTTTACATACCATCTTGATCGATGCATCGCTGACATTGATAAAGGTGGGCAGGACTTCACCATCTTCACCTGCGGCGTCCAGTGTCGCAGCGTCCCACAAGGAGAGCACTGTGCCAACTAACTGAGCGAAGCATTCGGTCCATGTTCTATCTGTGCTTGGACGCCCACCTAGAGCGAAGTCAGCCAGTTTGTCCCATGCTTCTACCGTAAAGGCTGCTTACGAGAGTCCAAGTCGTGCAGCTTCAAGAAGTAGCCTTCTTGATACAACTTGTTGGAGTGGCTGTTGAGGAAGGTGAAGATTGGCTGCAATTCTGGCAGCGTGTCCTGGGCTAGATCCATGAGGGGCGGCTGGTACGTGTAGATCATAGACATGGGGCGAGAACCGCGTTCTGACCGCGAGTCTGATCGGAAACGTTGTTGAGTAGTAGGGGAGGGAGAGGTCGGTGTATCGCACGTCTTGCTGGTGGCAGAAGCGAAGGAGGTATCGATCTTTGGTGGTCTCGCAGGGTTGCTCTTGAAAGGGTCCTCTGACATCTGGGGTCTAGAGTCTGGCGTGGAACTCCTCGAGGGAGCACCCCATTGGGTCATAAACGACATTACTCGGGAGCGAGGCATCGTGCAAGGTAAATTCGGAATGCAGTCGGCTACTGTTCAGTGACACCAGAAGCTGATGAGAGTCTGCAAGGGACTTTTAAGACGGATACCGGCTGTACGCGGATCCGTGCATGCGACACAACGAGTGCTACTTGTCAGATCAACCGGGTCTTGCAAGGATGTTCCGCAAGAGGTAGGGGCGAGCAGGGTAACGACAGGTCTTGACGGGATTCTGGAGCGAAGGACAGCAGGACAGCAGGACAGCAGGGCGGGAGTGGGCAGGAGGTGGATATTTGGATCCTGTTAGTTTCTATATTCCCACAAGATGTTGCTTGGCACATCAAACCGTTCGTCGATGACGACGACCTTTGGCTTTGCGACCAAAACTCGCGGAGAAGTGACGGGCTGCTGAAAGCAGATCCCCCAACATCCGCTCGCTCTTTGATCGGTGGTTCACCAAACGCCCTCAAGACGAGCGGTACGAATGACACGAATGACACTCATCATGATCCAGGATGCCGCGGACCGCCCTCTCGGCCTTTCTGATTTGCTTTCCCGCGTGCTTTGCAGCCCAGCACCTGCGACCAGCTGCGCCCGTCTTGACCTGCAGCTGGTGAGCCAAAACGGGTCTTGGGACGGTCGGAAATAGCGATGCATCCCCGATCCGTTTTCTTGGCCCGCCCAATAACGCAGCCACTCTTATGAGGCCTCGCGGCTGCTGCAGAATCGATTGTTATTTGATAGGCGGGCGACTGACAAAACATCAATGCTCGCAAATAGGAGGCTGTCACCAGTCGTAAGTCAAACTGTGAGAATGAAGTGAGCATATTGGAGGAGAGCCTTCTATCCACTTACTGTTGAAAGGTCTTGGTTTCCAGAGATAAATACGTTGCCATTATTGACCATGGTGAAATAAGCATAGTCGAGATGCGCGCGCTAGCATGTCCGATACCGTGATGTACAATCCTTGGCCGTCTTTTGATGGCGATCTAAGCTGTTTCTTGGACAAATTAGATAGACCGCATAGAAGGGACTCCCATGGTCGTAGAGATGTCTCGCTCTCTCACATCATAGCCTGTAGATTTTGCTCAGGATATCTGGCCCTTTAATATTGCAATACACAGCAAGTGCGATCCACCTCGATGGTTCTCTGGATTCACCTAGTAAAAAGGTATTTTGGTCGTGGTTTTCCTGATTGGGGTCGAATGACGCACGTGCACTTCTATCAAAAACGCGTCTCCATTTGACACGCGACAACCGCACTGCAGCGTTGTCCTACTCCATACCATTACCAGTACTAGTCTCTACACATAGATTATGCGCGAGCAATTCCGTCATTAGGCGTGTTTAAGCGTGTATCGATATACGATGAAGCGCGACCTGGTCGACAAGCCTCCCTCGAACAAGAGAAGAAAGTTGACAGAAGACATCCCATCAGAGTCTCAGTCTCCTGCACAAAGCCGCTTATCAGAATCTGCAAAAGCAGATCTAATACAATGGCTGGATCAAGCTGACAAGAAAGATGGACCTATCTTTACTGTTGTCGTCCCTCCGATCACCAAAAACGCAAAATCTCATCCCGACGTCGTGGAACGTCCCCTAACTCTAAACGACAGGAACTATCTGGAAGCTCGATGGACCATCACGCCAATGGAGAAGTGGTTGAGCATGACCAAATACAAGAAATTGTACGTTTTGAGCTACATTGCGAGATGGTCTTCACTAATGCCGCTCAGCACAGTAGGAAATCAGACTCATTCATGCGGAGATTGTGTCCTCGTCAAACCAGGAAACGAATCCGATCGGGATTGGAAAGCTCAAGTCCATGAGGTGCGTGACTAACAATTAATTGTGACATCACATTCCATGAGTTAAGCTGAACATAACTCCAGGTTCGGGCTGCGGATGAACATCATGTCTTCCTTCGTTGCACCTGGCTCGAAAATCCCGAAGAGCTACCTGCGAAGGTGCGTAGCACGCCACCATATCACGGTCGGTTTGAACTGGTTCCGGGTAACAAGATGGACATCATTGATGCCTTGACTGTAAATGGACCTCTCAAGGTTGTCTATTGGGACGAAGCCAACGACAACGAAGACGCCGAGATGCCAGCGCCTGGCGATCATTACTGGAGACAGACATATAACTACTATACTAATGTCTTGTCGGTGAGTGTCAGCTGCTTGATATATATCTTGATTATAATGCTAACTAGATTGAAAGCCGCTACGCCTCATCTGCCGATGCAAGCGGCCACAACATCCAGACCAGGTCATCATCAAGTGTAATAACCAAGCTTGCGGAATCTGGCTGCATGCTTCCTGCCTGGCCCAGAACGCTATTGAGAGTAAACAACGCAACGGATCGAGCGCGAAGATTGGCAAACGGGCACGTAAATCTATCAACAAACCGAACGGCATTGAATATGCTGTTGACGACGATGGGACCTGCGCAGAAGATGAGACCACAAAGGCAGAGGTCCTGGCTCCGGAGTCAGGGGCACCTGAGCTTTTGATCACTGACAAGAAGACTGGCGAGGAGACCAAAGAAGCGATACCATGTTTGCTTTGTAAGAAACTTCTTGATTAAAGAGATCGGTACGCACGCCTTAAAGAAGGGCGAGGTCCAGGACAGGGTTATGTAGAGATTGAAGAGAGATGTGTCTCCCTACTGCTTCGCTGTATCCTTGCGTGGATGGAGATGAAAACATAGTTTAGCTACATATTAACTTGGCTGGTCAGCAATCACTGGCTGTCAAGACGCATGATTGTCATGACACCCTATCCTTCTAGCATCCCTATTACAGACAGCCTCCTGTTTTGGTCAATAGAATCGCGAACCCGTATCAGGCTGGACCAGTGTTTGTAGCAGAGCTGGATCAGGCTGAAGTAGTAAAAGCAGCTAGCTGGCGAAACGCGTGAAACGGTCATTATCGAGTCAAGACCGTGCAACGAGCAGCATGAAGCAAAGTCAATCTCTGTGGGAGATCGCAATATCTGGTTCGGTAGCAGATTATCCGTAAACTAAAAGCCGAATCGTCCGGGGCCCGAGCGTGATTGGTGTGCCTCAGCTTGAGAAGCTGAGGCTGCTAAAGATTATGAAGGGACGGCAGGCTTAGGAAGAGAGGTGACAGGAGCTGAGGATTTCAGTCAGAAAAAAACAAGCTCCATAGTCCCAAAGACTGCTGTCAATAGATCATGTCTTTAGCAAAGACCTAACAAGAATCTCGAGAAACCGCATGGTGCTAGATGGTAAAATGGACCAAACCTTTCGATGGCTTCAATTGAGCCTCTGCTCGGCTGTATCCACATGGTGGCTCGTGGTCGAGCGGGCGGTCCCTTTGTAGTCGCAAATGCAGCGAAACAGATATCTCTTGATCTCAGCTCCACGATTGACATAATTTTTTCTTCGTTCATTCTTCGACTGCAAGCTTACCGGACCGTTGGAAACAGGCGTAGCGGCACTCGTCACACAACAGTTTGAATTCGAGCCTCAAACACATTGTTGCAACTCTCGTCTTGCATTGCTAAAGCCCTCTTGGACCCCTCATCCCCCCTTTAGCGACTTCGATGGGTGATACGGCGGGGTCGATGGCCGGCACCAAACCGAATGTGCTCATCATTGGAGGCCTTGGTATGGCGTTCGATAGGATTAGGAAGCCCGCGAGTGATTAGCTAACGTCTCTGTCGTGGCAGGCTATATCGGACGCTTCTTGACCAACTACATGCACAGCAATTCGCTTGCTTCGACGCTCCGGATAGTGGACAAGCAACTGCCGCAGCTGGCCTCGCTGGCTCCCGAACACAAAGATGCTTGCAGCGCCAACTTCATGCAGGCCGATGCATCACGACCACAATCACTGAGCCGTGTCTTCGACCTGCCCGATGGCCAGTCGTTCGATTACGTCTTCAATTGCGGTGGTGAGACGCGCCACTCTCAGGATGACGAGGTCTACAAGCTGCGATCCTACGACCTATCTCTCAACGTGGCTCAGGAGGCTGCCCGTCGTCATATCAAAGTCTATGTTGAGCTATCCACCGGCACAGTCTACGACAGCAAACGCGACCCGCCGCGCAAGGAAACAGACAAGCTCAAGCCCTCGCTCAAGCAAGCAAAATGGAAGCTACAGGCCGAGGAAGACCTCAGCAAGATTGCAAATCTACCACTGGTCATTCTGAGACTACCCAACGTCTACGGCCCGTACTGCGGTCAATGGATGGGCACACAGTTGGCACTGGCCCGTGTGTATCAAGGCATCGAGAAAGAGTTGAAATGGCTATGGGGTCCTGAATTGCGTACACACACCGTTCACGTCGACGACGTTGTCCGTGCTTGTTGGTCTGCTGCCGAATGGCGAGCTAATCAGGCACAAAGCGGTGCTACTGCTGCCGACAGTGCCCCTCCCACCCCTACTTCTCCTACCCCTAAAAAGGGTCCCTTGTCTTCAGCCTCGGTCTTCAATATTGTCGACAAGGGTGACACAAGTCAAGGTACCATGGCCGACATCACAAAGGCTCTCCTTGGTATAGAGACAGGCTTCCAGAACGTTCTTATCAACACCTTTGCACGTCTTAACCTCGAGTCCGTCGTAGACGATGTAAATGACGAGACCCTCGACCCCTGGGCCGAGCTTCAACAGAAAGCTGGCATCGAAGGCGGTACTGGTCCATTGAGTCCGTTCATGGAGAAGGAGCTACTACGCGAAGCCGATCTCTGCATCGACGGCACAAAATTCGAGCAAACAGTTGGATTCAAGTAAGTCCATCCTGCTCAACTTCCTCAGCCTCTTACAGGTTCCTAACATTAGATGACAGGTACACACACGAAAAGTTCACAAAGCAAGAAGTGGAAGCCGTAATCGACAGTTACAAACGCATGAAATGGTGGCCTTGATGCCCCTTCCCAGCCCAGCAACCTAGGACCCCAGGAAATCTAAGCATGTGCTCACGAGACCTCATCATCATAGCAGCATCCATCTAGCCCGGCGTTTTCTTGACACCAAACATATCATTTTGTCTTTTGTATTCTCATCATCTACTTCATTTAGCCATTGCCTTATCCATCCCTTCGTCTCGGTATCATTATCTGCATCCATATCACATCTATCTATCTCATATATCGATTGGATGCAATACAAGATTAGCATCTTAAGGTCCACTTAAGTCTCCGTGCACATTGTATTACAGCCAAGACTCACCGCCGGCCCTCGCAGACCTGGGGCCAAACAATGTTCTGTTAACGGTTGCAACCTTTTAGCAGCCAATCTTTCCAAGGCAGTGTTCCACGCTTTCGCCGGAGCATCTTTCGGCATAGCCGCTGACGTTGACTCACGAACTCTCAAATTCATTGTAGAGTGCCAGTGCGAGATCTCGAGCAACTTCACCAACTCTCCTCTCGCCGACCCTGACCCCGTTTTGGTGCCATATCCGATCTCCGCCATCTCTCATGTGCTTATGCACAGAAGTTGGATTTATAATGTGCCATGACACAGACCTGATACACATAAAGTACAAGACCCGATGCAGGCTCGTTCAACTTTTGTTTTGCGTCTGCAATTGGACGTCCTGGAGTCCATCGCTCGAAGACCGGATCTTGGTGGTCCTGCGCTATCTGCTGCCTTGTTTGACAGCGACTGTAGCTAGACAGGAGTTCCTGTACACTTGTCACATATAATCATTATCTCGAGGTAGGAGGCAGCCAGGTATGCGCAGGTTTGTGGCGCATGCACGAGAAGCTGGATGCTTACCTTCTATATGATGAAAGAGCAGTCACATCGCGGGATAAGAACAGAGGCAAAGAAAGTATGGCCGGAGAAATCAGGGAAAGCTCAACTTTGATACTTGAGTGCTAAACTGAAATATAGCATAAATCACAGACTGCCACTGCAGCCTTGTTGTCGCATCGCAAAATGGCAAGCTACCTTTCTACGCCTGGCTCCAGCTCAGAAAAGACAACCCTCGCCGTTGTAAGCCATGATAAAGTGAGCAGAGCTCAGACGCTGTGCTCTTTGCATTCCTGTATTGCCTCCAGCGCCTTTATGCTTCAAGATGCCTTGTTAATATGATGATATGTGTAACAATGTGTTGAGAAATTCAGCTAGTTGTTCCAATCGGGTGAGGATGTTTAGAACTCCCAGTCCTTATCGACGGAGTGAATGGCCCACTGGAACTTCTCGCGCAGCGTCTTGGAGAAGAACTTCTCGATGGGTACATCGAACTTCTTGGAGAAGACGACAGTAAGGCGAGGGTCGATGTAGTTCTGTATGACGGATTAGACATTGACGAAAACGCGTGTGGTAGACAAACTTACGATCTTGGAAGTTCCCAGAGCGACTTCCTTGTTGCTCTCTCTATCCTCGGCTTGCAGCTCCATGTTGCTAATTCTGGCGGCAAGCTTCTCGATCTGGCCTTCGAACTTCTCAACAGAAGGGCCCTTGCCTTCTGGCTCGACCTTCTTTGTCTTCAATTCGGTCTTGAGCTTCTGCTCTAGATCAGTGACGGCCTCGAGACGCTCGTCAAGCTCCTTCGCCTTCATCTCCTTCTCGCCGTCTGCCTTCAGCTTCTCATTGTCCTTCTCGAACTTCTTGGTGATCTTCTGACGTTCCTGCTCAACCAGGTCCTCGTGGTGTTTCTTCTGCCATTCCTCATCAAGGCCTTCAGGCAGAGCAAACCACTCGGCACCCTTCTTCTTCTTAAGCTTAGAATCGAGGGCCAGCATCATCTGCTTGACACGGTACTGCTGGTACTTGACGGCGTCGATCTTGTCTTGTACCTTCTCCATCTGAGCAGCGTGTCCAGCGGCCACAGTACGCTTGTGGTTACAAAGGATAGCCACTTTGCGGTTTGCGTCGTTGTATGCCTTGACCTTTTCAGCATGTGTTCCAACTGCCTTCATGTCCTGAAGCAGTCTTGCCATTGTCCAGGAGGCGTTGTAAGTACGGAACACCTTGGCAGTAAGGCCTTGCATGTAGTTGCTCAAATGCTTGTTCAATGCACTGGTAGTGAGACGGTCGAAAATCTCATCCCCATCTTTCTTAGGCGCCTTCTTGAAGATCTTGAGGTTCTTGAAGACCTGACCGTCAACCTCGACCTCATCGTAAAAGCGAATTGAGTCTTTACCCAAAAAGTCGAAGACGACCTTGTTTGGGGGCTTGAGAGTGACGTTCTCAAATTTGAGAGAACAGCAACCGACAGTGTCGGCTTCATCGTCACCTTTCTCGTTACCAGCACGGAGTGCAAATTGATCGATAAGGTAGACGGCAGTTGCGCGTTGACGGTCGGCCATCAGTTCGGCCTTGAGCTCACGCTGGTAGTCCTTACGAATTCTGTCGATGTGCTTCTTAAGCTCTCTGGCCTTCTCGAACTTTTTGAAATCCGATTGACCCTTGACATCGGAGTTTGCCGCCAGCATAACATATTTGTAGTTGCCGTTGACATTTTCCTGCCACATCGCAAGCCATGTACCTGCGTTGTCGTGACGGACCTCCTTCCATTTGTGGCCCTCCGGAGGTGCAGGCACGGTGGCTTCCTCGCCAATGTTGATAGTGACCTGCTCCGGCTTGACACGAGTCTTGACCTTGCCGGTCTTGGGGTGCTCGCCGCGTCCACGGAAGAGACCTGGAGGTTCGACACGGAAGTTGCCAACCTTTTGCTTGCGTCCATCCCAGAGACAGAAGGTGTAGGGTGCCTCTGCCTTGTCCTTCTCGGCTTTGAGTTCCTTTTTCTCTGCAGTAGTCAAGAGCTTTTTCTTTGCACGCTCGGCATCGAAATACTCGAAAATGGGCTTGAAGTCACACTTCTCGAATTTCATGATCTTGACCTTTTCTCCCTTGCTGTTGGTGCCATGGCCAGTACGATCGAGGTATTCCTTGAAGTCGCCGAAGAAGTTCTTGATGAAGGTCGGGTTCTCGACATTGTGGGTGGAGTTGAGCATGCTGCCGAAGAAAGTGGCTACCTCCTCAGCCTCCGGATGGAGCGTGACCGGCACACCGTCGTAGCGCATCTTGACATTCTTGGGAAGAGGCTCGTACTCAGGAGGGAATACGACACCGTTGTGCTCCAGGGTGCTCCACTTCTTGGTACCGTCACCCTTGGCCGTGTCTTCCCACCAACGATACTCCTCTTCCTCGTCACCGTCTTCCTTGTCCTCAGGGCTCTCTTCCTTCGCTGCCTTCTTGCCCTTCTTTGCGGACGCAGCAGGGGTGGCGCTCTGCGACTTGGGAGTTGCACGCTTGGCGGGTGCCTTCTTGAGTGGCTTGTCATCATCAGACTCTTCCTTCTTGACACCGTTGACCTTCTTCTTTGGAGGAGCTCTCTTCTTCTTCAATGGCGCGTCGCTGTCATCAGACTCTTCTGCTTTCACAGCAGTCTTCTTTGCGCGAATCGCCTTGGCTTGTGTCTCTGCCGTCTTCTCGATCGCGGCCTTTTGTTTGGCGAGCTTCTGCGTGAGTGGGACGTCGGAATCGTCCTCCTCGCCAATTTGTTGGGCAGTGACTTTCGGGGGCTTGCGTCCAGTCTTCTTGGCAAGAGGTTGGTCGTCCTCGGAGTCAGAAGAGGCCTTGTTCTTGGATGTCCTTCTGCGCTTGGTCTGTATAGTGAATTAGAATTGATAGATCGTGGTGTTGCGAATACGACATACCAATGGGATATCGTCATCGTCATCGGATTCGGTGGTGTCCTTGTAGCTCTTGCCGTTCATGGATGACTTGCGCTTGATTCCATTGCCGTTGGTAGCAGGAGAGTCGACATCCATCTCGTCAACGGGGCCCATGCGAAGTGAGACTCCAGGGTTCAAGTCGTTGGTGCTGGTGTCGGTGTCGTCCATGTTGACACGCTCGTTGGATCGGGCTGTGAAGGTGTAAGTGGAATTGACTTTAGTTGGTGATAAAGTGCGCGACATGTTCAAGCGTTGAAGTACGAGATGGGGAAGAAGAAGAAAAGCAATAAGTAATTCGAGTGTATGACGTAGACGACGCGAAAGTCCAAGTGATGCATAGACTGAAGCTAGGTATAAAGGTGCCGGTTGAGGTCGGGATTGGGCCGAAGTGATGCGAGTTCAATGTGAAAAGAATGGCAAGGCAAACAATTAGACGGGTAGCTGCATGGACTCACCCTTGATCAAAGGCTTGTCATCCTCCGAGTCCGACATTGTTGGAATGAAAGGCCAAGGTTTGCGAGCAGTGGTATACGCAGAAGATGGCCAAGTCGATGGATTGAGCTGTAGGAAACGCGAGGTACTGAATAGCTGTGTCCTAGACGGATTGACACTGCAGAAACGCGTGTAGGTGGTCCAAGAAAAGTAAGAGCTGTAAGAGACGCGGAAACGCGGAAGTAAAATGCTGAAAAGTCGAATTGGCGGTTTTGAAGCAGGAGAGGATCACAGGGAAAGCCGACGGCGTACGAGAGATAGGCTAAGGAGGGGTTTTGGGATAGAATCGAGATCAAAAGTGAAGGACAGGAAAGAACTCTGGTTCCTGCTTCCTCTGCACGTGAGGCCAGCCAAAGAGGCAAGAGCAGACCTACCAGCGATCCGGGGTGGCCCGAGTGTTCAGCGCCAAGGATTGCTGGAGACGGCGGGAGTGGGCGACACAACGACAGCAGAGCTCGCAGTCCAATTCCGAAGGCCGTCGCCATCTCACTTCGTCCTCATCCACCTCTCCGCTCCCATAGCCTGACAATGCTGTCTCGCGCTGCTCGTCCCACCGCCAGGGCTGGTGCTGCCGCCCTCAGGTACGCCCCTCAACCTCCTGCCGCTCCATCGAAACAGCTTTTCCTCCGAAGCCGCTCATGCGCCAACAACGACAAACTATGCTCAGTGTACTGATCCGCTGTGCCTCTGTAGGCCCCAGGCTCCCAATGCTGCCAACTTCGCCACTCTTCGTGAAATCGAGGGTCGTCTCAAGTCCATTCGCAACATCGAGAAGATCACCAAGACCATGAAGATTGTCGCCTCGACCAAGCTCACCCGCGCCCAACGTGCCATGAACTCTTCCCGCGTCTACGGCCAGGCTTCTCAGCAGGTCTTCGAGGAGGCCGAGACCAAGCCCTCCGAGGCTGAGGGCAAGACCCTCCTGGTTGTCTGCTCTTCCGACAAGGGTCTTTGTGGTGGTATCCACTCGGGTCTTTCTCGTTTCGTCCGCAGAGAATACGGCCCCCACCCCGACACCTACGAGCTCGTTGTTCTCGGTGAGAAGTGCAAGGCCCAGCTCGGCAGATCCAACGCAAAGAACATGGCCCTCTCCTTCGCCAACGTCGGAAAGGACGTCCCTACCTTCGCCGATGCCTCCGCCATTGCCGACCAGATCACTCAGCTCCCCGGCACCTACTCAAGCGTCAAGATTCTGTACAACAAGTTCATGAACGCCCAGCAGTACGAGCCCACCGTTGTTGAGGCTTTCTCCGAGGACGCCATCAAGGAGTCTGGTACGTTCGATGCACATTATGCGGATTCATTGTCATCTGGCTAACACTGTCTCCAGCCAACATCTCTTCCTTCGAGGTTGACGACTCAATCCTTGGTAACCTCCGTGAATACTCCCTGGCCAACTCTCTCTTCTGGGTACGTCCTCCTTGTCGTCGATTATAATGTCGATGATTCAGATCACTAACAAGATTCAGGCTCTTGCCGAGGGCCACGCCTGTGAGCAGTCTGCTCGCCGTAACGCCATGGACAACGCCTCCAAGAACGCCGGTGACATGATCAACAGATTCCAGATTCTGTACAATCGTACCAGACAGGCTGCCATTACCGGTGAGCTGGTCGAGATTATCACTGGTGCTACCGCCTCCGAGGACATGTAAGCGGGTCGGTCTCTGTGTATATTTCGAGCGATTTCTCTTGCGTCGTGCGCGCCGCATAAGAGTTTCGTATGTAGCAATAGGCAAAATTCGAAGGGATTATGCGCGCGCGATCAGTTCTTTACCATCTTTAGAGAAATCCAGACAAAAAGTCTTCTTCCTTGCAGCAGTCGAATGTCACATGGTAATGTTGTAAGTCGTATGAGAATAATGAAATAATAGTACAAGAAGATGTTTAGCGTGTTGATTGCTCATGAGGCCTCAGATCTGAAGCCTTCGGAAGCTTCTGAGACATCTCGTGATTTCAACATTTATGAAGCCTTGGGCAAGAACTTTCCACGCGAACCGACAGCCAGAGCAGTCCAACCAGCAATCAAGAAGAGACCACCTATCGGTGTGACCGGACCCAGAGCCTTGAATCTCTGAGGGTCGAGAGTGAGTAGGTAGATGGAGCCGCTGAACATTGTAATGCCTGCAGCAAAGCAACCGGCGGCAATCTTGTTCTTTGGTGCAGCAGCAGCAGTGAGAAGGATCATGCCAGAGTGGACAAGCTGTGAAGTCATTAGACTTGAACATTGGCATGCCGCAGAGCTGGCGGTTATCCTACCTGATAATGGGCGGCAGTGTTCCAAGCGGCAATCTTGGACGGATCTGCGATCTTCTTCTTCAGACCGTGTGCACCGAATGCACCAAAAGCTACTGCGCTGGCGCCGTAAATAGAACCCAAAGTCCAGAACATGATTGAGTGGATAGAGTGTCAAGGGGTGAGGTTGGTTTTGTGGTTTCTTGAGTGTTCCTAATTCGATGGACTAGAACACTCGGAGGCGTGCAGCTCTGGCGTCAACCCCGCGGTCCACAGTTGTCCTGCATGCACGAAGAACAAGAGGACCTTTTGGCACCTCTCCCTTTCCAACAACTCCACGCTCTGAGCCTTTTCACCTTCTCTTCGCTCGACATCTCTTGTTCCTTTCAGCTCTCGTCGTCATTACGCTGTTGCTTGCTTAGACTAATATACCCCTTCTTCAAACCGCTCGCTGTTTCAAATCTTCGTTTAAGAACTGCCTCGATTCCTCTACCTACTACCAACTGCCCACCTACTTCACTTCCTGAACAGCCTTTTTCTCGAATAGCTGTCATCTTTGCAACCTTCGCTACTTCGTGTCTCAATATATCGCACCAATGGCCACAGGTACTAAGTCCAGCGCCAGTGCAGCCTTTGCTCCAACCACTAACCAGCGAGGCATGTAGAAACCAGCAAAGTAGTCCCTCTGACCTGCCACGGCCACTCTCGTCCCATCACCCACATCTCATTCTCCTCTCTGAGCCCGGCCTCTGTATCCTCGTCGCAACCACAATACTACTTGATCTCGGCATGTAAGGACAACAACCCCATGCTCCGCGACGGCCTGACTGGTGACTGGATCGGTACTTTTGTCGGTCACAAGGGTGCCGTCTGGTCTGCCCGTGTCTCTGCCGACGGCTCCCTCGCTGCAACCGGATCAGCAGACTTTAGCGCAAAGGTCTGGGACACCTTTACTGGAGAGCAACTGCACACTCTGCAGCACAACCACATTGTTCGCGCTGTTGCATTCCCCGCCCTGCAAGACAGACCTACCAGCCTGGCTACAGGCGGCATGGAGAAGAAGCTGCGTATCTGGGACCTTACGCGCGCGGGTGTCGCAAACGGCGCTCCGGCGGGAGATGAGTGCTACGAGGTCGGTGCCGGCGAGCACGGCCAAACAATCAAGAGCATCGTGTGGTCGGCCGCAAACCCCAACGTGTTGACCACGGCTTGCGACGACAAAACGCTGCGTTGGTGGGACCTACGATCGCGTTCGGCGATTGCGACACACGAGGTTGATGGAACAATTGGCTCTTGCGAACTCAACTCGAGTATCCTGGATGGCTCGGCAAACGGCACTCTCAGTGTCGCAGCCGGAAAGACCGTGTACTTCTTTGATGGCGCAAGACCTGGTGCTCTACTCGACTCCAAGACGCTGGATCAAGAGATTGCCAGCGTAGCTGTATGTGGAAGCCAACGTCGTTTCGTAACCGGCAGCGCAAGAGACACCTTCGTACGAGTATGGGATCTCGACTCGGGAGCCGAAATCGGTAAGTATCCTGTAAATTCGAGACTGCAGCACGAAGAAGCTAACAAAAACACACAGAAACACGCAAAGGCCACCACGGTCCCGTCTGGACCAGCGCATTCTCCCCCGACGGCAAACTCTACGCAACCGGCAGCGAAGACGGTACAATCAAGCTCTGGAAGGCCACTTCCGAATCGTACGGTCTGTGGAAGTAGAGCACCAAGGACAACCACGGTCTCGGACCTGAAAAGATACTACAAGAAGCCCATCAGGGCCATCGCATTGCCTTGAGCCAACAACGTCGTCAGAGAGGAGCAGACTGCCTGCCAGAGCAAACTCCTTGGGAGCTTGTCGAGAACAAGCGCAAGAGAAAGTCTAGGATACCTTGATGTTGCAGACACGAAAAGGAAAGCCCTATGGACTCGCAAGAGGAGATATGAGGCAAGAACATTGTTCAGAGGTAATTCAGGAAAAGCACAAAGGCTACTGCATAGAATACTCCACAAAACGACAGAACAATTCGAGCAGGGATGAGCATTGTGACTGGAGAGTTTACAATCGCATCCTCAGTCCGATCCCATGACCTTGTATAACTTCTCATGCAATTCTTTTTTCTTCGAATGAGTGACATGAAAACCTAAATATACAAAGCAGCGGTAGACCTCCCAGATATTTTCCAATCTTTTGATGCGCATGCTCGTCTTTGCGTGAGCGTGTACTCGGTGCAACGAGAGAAGATTTCCTTCATACTTCGAGATAGAGTCTCTTACTCGACCATGAGGTCAATGTCGTCATCCGGAGCTGTGGATGTGGTGCCCTGGTTGTTGTTCTGCCCTCCAGCGATGGTAGCAACCTGAGGCTCACGACCAGTTTCGCCAGATACAGCAGCGCTGGCTTCGGGAGCAGCTGAGCCACCACCCCAGTAGTCGTCCATCTCAGCATCGAGCTCTTCAGCCGTCTTTCTCGGGCGTCCTTGCACAACGGGTCTGCCATCAATCTCTTTCTTAGGTCCAGGACCACGTCTGTCACCGCGCTCGCGACCGCCTTCACGGCGATCGGTGTTCTCGCGACGGGCACCAGGACGACGTCCAGTCTCACGGGGAGCACCGCGACCACGACGAGAAGGGCTGCGAGAGCTGCGGGGTCCTCTGCCACCGGGAGGAACGTAGCGATCGACGTTGCGCGAGTTGGGACTGGCACTGCGACGGCTGTCGATACGATCGAACAAGCTGCGGGCGGGCTTTTCGACATTGTCAAAGGGGTTGCGGGCTGGGCGGGCGGCTTCTTGGATGGTCAAGTAGATGGGTTGACCCATGGCATTCTGACCGTCGAACTGACGGAAGGCACGGTTGGCGAGGTTTGCGCTGGGGTATACGACGTAGGCGACACCTTGCGAGCGATCGTGGCGGTCGTAAAGAAGGCGTAGAGACTCGACGGGTCCGATGCTTTCAAGCAGCTCCTGGAAAGACGTGGTCAATATGAGCACTTCGTGACTCAGACACACATGGACGCACCCTCAAGTCGGGCTCCTGGATATCGTAGTGAATATTCTCAATGCGGATGGTGGTAGAGCCGGAGCTATAGGACTAATTAGCAACGACGGTCGGGCATGTTGTAGGAGCAGAGACATACGCTTCCCTTGCGGGTTCTCTATCGTAGCGATCGTTACGCGAGCCTCTAGCAGGGCGGCGGGCTGTCCAGGGATCAGAGTCGGGTCGAATACGCCGTGGTGGATGGAACTAACAGTCATCATCTTCAAACTTATCGTGGACCCAGTCACTGCAAGTTGAATTAGCACCAGATCATAGCTGTGTGCATGTAGCCGCTTACCGGTCAATGTTTCTGGCGTCTTCGCTGGGAAATGACTGATGTAGATTACGGTCAGCGGATCGAACCAAGGGGTGGTGTTTGTCGACGCATGTTGATCGATGTCGTCCTATTGACTGAAGCACGAGGGAGGAAGGAGAACCTGCAGCACCTGATTGTCAGCTCAGTCGGTGTACTCTTGCCATGATATGTGCAGACCTTTTTGACGCCGTCTCTGGGAAAGTCGCGTTCGCGCTCAGCGTAGTCTCGTCGGGGTCCACGGCCACCATCGCGGTCAGGACGTCCACGTCCTCCACGGCGTCCACCACGGGTGTTCTACCATGTGTTAGAATGAGAACACCATGTAATTGCTGCTCTGTGCGAACCTGGCGCTCCTCGAGGATCTCATCGAGGCTTCGGTCCATGTTGACGGTTGGTAATTGGATGGTCGGTTTTGAGTCGAAAGCGATGCGACGGCAGCTGGCTATTGGGCAGTGAAAAATGCAATTGGAAGTTTTTGGATTACACAGAATGCCGCGTGAATTTAGAGAACTCGGCTCGATGGAATTGCTGGGTTGTCTGGTTGTACGAACGATGGTCTACATCTCGTCAGACTGCCAAGCACCGTTGCAGCTAGAGCCCGTCAAAGGGTTCAGGCCGACTTTCACATGCACTTGTATCCATTCCTCTCCAAGCTTGAATTGCCATTCGAGTCTACATAGCTCATCTATGTTACCAGATGCATCGAGTCGTTATGAGGTTCACACGAATGAGGCTCCAGCAGGTTCGAACTGGAAATCCTCTCCCGGCGTCTGTATGCAGATCCTCCTCCGAATGCATCAAACCGACTTTATGTGGCCATGCTTTTCGTATTGTTCTTCTGGTCACAATACTACACCTGCTTGACATGTCTGGATAGTTGTTGTGCAGTAGAACGTTGGATAACTCGTACAAGAGGCCGCGTGGAAAGTGGAACCGAACTGATATGCAGAAAAGCAGGTTAGCCATGCTTCATACGTCAGTGGTGCTACAAGGATGCGGTGCGTGAACAGCAAACACCAGGGGTATAAGTTTCTTCGTTCCCTGATTAATTGCTATACACTCTCCCGTAAAACTGACACTCTTCAACCTTCCCATTAATTGAAAAACTCCTCCATCATGGCACAAGAATTTCCCATCATCTTCACGCTTGGCAACTCGTCATCCAGACATGAAGTCATGCTCATCAACGCTGGACTCGGCATCAAGAATCTAAGCGATCGCATTCAAAAACTTGCTACCTCATCGGTCAACTGCGCTGAGGCTTTGGCTAAATACAAGAAGCAAAGCGGAGCTGAGAAAGTGACCGAAATCAAGGTCCGCTGGTCAGCAGATGGAAGGGACAGCAAGACTTTCCCCAAAACTACCGTCCTCACAGGAGAGAACTGCAAGGCTGTTCTCTCCCTGATCAGCCTGCATGGAGGAAAAGACATTCTTGAGGTTGCTCTCGAGTCACCTCCGGCTCCTGCAGAGGAGTCGAAGGACTCGAAGGAACCGAAGCAGTCGCAGGAATCGAAAGAGTAGGTACGATAATCTGTATTTTACCTCTTCTCTGGACATACGCTGATTATCACAAGTCTGCCAGACCGTACGAATTAGAGGATATTAATGATTCATGAACACATTTCATAACGTCAACTAAGACCTAGTCCTTACGCTACTTCAATAGAATGCGTTCGGCAGATGGCTCATTGTCCTCGGTTGCGGAGAGAATTCCGATGATATCAATGCCAACAAGTATACTATCGGCATTCAGTACCTACTTAGTACATTTGCATACAGATGTAAGCCACATGACTTGCCAATGGTGAACACACCTCAGGGCGGTGCTCCAAAACTCTGTTACACGAAACGCGCCTCTCTTCCATTGGCTTGCCATATCGCCACGTGATCTGTCAATCTTGATCGCCTTGATCAAGCCGGCGCATCAATATCGAGCCGCTGTTGCATCACTACCGAGTGTCCAACGGGGTCTGCGATCAGCCGAAGATGCGCTGGCTGAACTGTTTGTCTGTGGTGCCTTCAACTTGACATAGAACTTGTTACTCCGAGAACGAGGCGCTTCAGGAAGAACACTGCAAAACGTGCACCAGAACATTTCTTCGTGTCGGGTTGTCTGTGGTTAATGTCCACCTGGTCACAGCAGTCTGCTCGAAGCGGGAGTCCGGGAGGCTGATATTCGTACCACAGCCGTCAGGGCATAGGCGCGGCCAATCTAACAGGTAGCCACCATCCTACCCGGCGGTCACTCTCTGATGTGGACATGTTGGTGGCATTCTCAACCCGCATGGTGTGTTGCGGCAGTGTGGTGTGCCTGTTAGCGAATCTGCTCCAAAAAGTGTACGTCTCGAATGTCAACCGCAGAATTGCACGTGTCAAAAGCCACTGGTGCCATCCCCAGGAAACGCTCGCCTATGGAACCACGGTCTTGGGTCGCACCTTTATCGTAAGTTCGATCATGATGCGCATTTGGAGCGGAAAGATAGATCAGTAGATGGTATTGGACTCATCTGGCACCAAAGTCCGAAGCAAGGCGGTATATCTATCGAGAGGCTGAGCAGATTGAGCGAAGTAGAGGTTGAGAGTTCATGCACGCTGACGGCCTACCAGGTTGGTAAGAACGTGGGCCGTGCAGTATTGACGACAGCCGCGACATTTTCGGTCTTGACCCCTGAAACAGGACGCGATTGTGTTGAGAGCAGGCGCGGTATGGAGTGGTGAAAGGTCTCAACCAGGAGACGTGTCAATTGTTAAGCAGAAACGGTCATCATAAACACCACTCATCTGCTCAAAAGGAGATCCGGGGGTCGATTTCCATCTGACCATGTCCCTGGACCGCGGTTTTGGCCAACCAGAGCCAAGAGGAGGGTGAACAAGGTTTGAGGGATGCTGCCTCCGAGAATTAGAGTTCACAAGCAGAATCGCATTCGAGCTGTGGTTCGCAAGAAGACTGGCCGGCGAGAAACGAAGTCAAGTCGGAGGTCAGTAGGTCGTCGAGTTCCACAAGCAGAAGCTTTTGGAGCAGGTTAGGCGTGGTGAGTATTGGGTCGAGTGCGGGCGTTTGTGTCAATTGTCTGCTCTGGAGGTGTCAATGATGGCGCGACAGGCGGTACACTAAGGCTTGCTAGTCTTACTCCCAGCCATTGCCGTGTTCGCAAGGATGAGAGGTGCCTTATCGGCGCACTCTCCTCTCGACTCCACACTTCCCAGCCCTTCCTCCATCTCTCATCATCCCCGAACGTCGCTGTCGCTGTGCTGCCTGCTCTTGCCCGCCCGCTCCACAGACACGTCAAGTCGGTCACCAAGTTCGATTGGGCTCGTCTGTCGGTCCATCATCCAGTCGCAGCACGTAACAGACGGAACCCGGCGCAGCGCAGCACTTCGGTCGCTCTCGGCATCGCAACCTCGACCTGCCCCTCGAAGCTTTGTCGCAACTCGGTCGCATCCCAACAAACTCGACCGCTTGCCATCCAAACCACTCCTGTGGTCGCATTTATCGCATTCTTCGTGGCCCGTTCGCATAACTCGCTCAAATTCTCGACAAAGCACGCGTTCGCCCTGCTGACGTCTTTTGACTCACACCTCGGCCTGCACTATATATCGCATGCGCAGCTGCACCTCCGGGCAATGGCCGACCACCGTTCCAACAGATACAGCCCGACCTCGAGCATGTCCACCCTTCCCAATCTAGGGAACTTTTCGCCGCCGAATCAGTCCAATGGTACGAAGCACATGAACCTCTTTACCAGCCCAGATACTCTTTCTCAGCTCCCGGGCTTGTCGCCTACCAGGGACAGACGCAACAACCACAGGAACTCGGAGCCCTCAGACGCTCTTGTCCGGTGGATGATCCGCATTCGACGCCTTCCTCGCCATTTCACCGACGACGCTCTTGGCAATCTGCTCATCTTCGCAAAGGATATCGACGACACAAAGTTCGTACAGCCATCCGACCAGTCGACCGGAGAAGACTCGGGTTTCTCCAGTGCTATTGCTATCTTCCACTCCGAGGCCGGTGCTATGGAAGCGAAAGAATGCCTCGACGGCAAGACTCTGAGTGGTCATCAAGCACCCATGATCGTCGAGGTCATATCCCCTACCCCGGCCAACTACAACGGATCTAGGCGCAACACCGTCGACGGCACAGCAATTCGACAGCAAACCATCTCCGGTGCCTCGAACAACCCAAACCTTTCCGAGAACACTTTGAGTCGTCAGTCGTCTCGCTTCACCAGTACCTGGCAGAACATTCCGTCACAGAACGTTACTTCGCCACTCACCTCTCCGCTTGTCTCCACTGCAAATGTCTTTGACTTCCCTGCTCCCGATGGCAGTAATCGCCTTCAAGGCCTCTTCTCACCCCAGTCTCCTGTTGCCAACGCTTACAGTGACTTGAACCGAGTCTCTGGCAAGTCTGTCATCAACGCTGGTCAGGATGACGACGAGACAGGCGAGCTCCTCAAGGATCCCGTTGGGTATGCCCTAAACGGCCGCAACTACGACAGTGTCTTGTCTAGCTTCAACAATCTTTCTCTCGATACAAGCCGTACGAACGGAAATTCCTACTCCAGCTACGTGGCCTCTCCGTCAAGTCCGAACTACGCTTCTCCGCACTCAGTTCGATCTCCAGCTTTGCCCGGCCCAGCCAGGGCTCCAACTGCAAGCTCTGACGGGACCTATCAGACAAGGAACCTGAAGCACGATTACCCCCCGGCAAACCCGGCCGACCAGAATCCCCCTTGCAATACTCTTTACGTTGGCAATCTTCCAGTCAATACCAGCGAAGACGAACTGAAGTCTCTGTTCTCCAAGGCTAGAGGATTCAAGCGACTTTGTTTCCGCACAAAATCGAACGGGCCCATGTGTTTTGTCGAGTTTGAGGACACTTCTTACGCATCTCACGCGCTGCACGAGCTATACGGAGTTCAGCTGCACAACAGTTACAAAGGAGGTATCCGGGTCAGCTTCTCCAAGAACCCATTGGGGGTCAGAAGCGATAATAGGAATCATCCCGGGATGGGTCCTCACGCTGGTCCGCCCGGATATGGTAACGGTATGCCAGGTTCAAACTTCGGCGCCGCAGCAGGTCCACCTCCAGGACTTCCTGGTCTGCCAGGTCAACAAACTCATGTGGCCCCTCCTATGCACAACAACGCAGGACGAGGAGGCTATGCTCCTCAATCTTTGTACAGGGCATCAAGTCCTTACAACCACAACTATTCCCAGCAAGGCCCGACTGGCCCGAACGGCTATCACCCGGCTTCCCGCAACCTCTCTGCTGGTCAACACTCATACCAACAGCAATTTGGTAGCATGAACAGCTTCCTGGACCAGAACCCTCCAGTCAACGGCAACTCCTACTCTAACGGCAACGGTCAAAACGGGTTCAACAGCCATAATGGAAGATAGTCCATTAATGCTGGCCTCATGATCATCGTCATCACCCTCGAATTATCTTTCTGGCATCTTAATCCTTGGTTTCATGGACTGTGGCGCTTCGGGCATCACACTCATCACCCTCTCATTACTCTCCGGGCATCAGGTTGGCGTTATCTCTTTTCCTGCTACACAAAGACATATTGGTAAGGTATGAATCACATGGCGCAAGCTGGGAGGTTTGGTGGGACAGTTGTTTTCTGCGTTTGCATCACGCATAAAAAGATTCCCCCACGAGCGACTTGATTTTTTCACGAGGCGGGCTCAACCTAGTCGATCTGGTTTTGGACACGACCGCTGGGCTTACGAGCCTTCTTTCATTTGGTGTTTTTTACAAATATCCCCCTCATCACATTCCCCGTCATGGAGTTACTGCTTTCTTGTCTCTCTTGACGCTAATTCACCGGTCTTGCTTTCTCTGTAGGGTGAGGGGACACCTTCACTTGGCGTTGGCATTGTTTTTTGTTCCTACCTTGCACTTTGGATGCGCTTGAGAGTGTTTGGGTTCTGCTTTTCTTGCAATCTGTCACTCGAGAAGTCTTCACGGCCAAGCTACTCATGCGCACACAATCAGACAATCCTTAATGAGCTTTAGCAATGCATTGATGGATGATCCTTTGAAACTGCAGACCCGCTGTGATTTGTTATCGATATCGAACTTTGCAACGACTGTACATTAGCTGCAGAGCTAATTAGATTGGCAAACTCCATTCCAGACCACACGTGTCTGCCCTTGCAGTAAATCGTTTTGTCGATCTAGCGATGCCTTGGTATCTAAAGAAGGGACAGGGTCGCAGCTCGGCTCTGGCTGCCGACGTCACAAGTTCGTTCTTTCCACATTCGGCTTTTGAGGTTTCTACCAAAACACAAAAACAAAATGCGACCAACACGATCAACACAATTACTTTGCTCGCGTCTGTTGTCGCGGGAAGGAGCTGTCGCGAGACAATGTAGCCTCCGGTATGCGACGCCTCGAGCACTTTACTAGACCCGACTAACATCTCTCGCAGTCCCTCAGGTCTGGTCGCGGCTACGACGACATCAAAACTCACAACCATTCGCACCTTCAGCAACACAACTTCCACGTTGAAGAAAGGCGGTAAAGCAGCCCGTGAAGCCTCCCGCTCTGACTCGTCATCATCATCTTCATCATCCGCCGCGACTGGAGCAGTAGGCTCAGAAGACCCCTTCGACTTCAGCGTCCTCGAATCTGACATCAGTGATGCCGTTGAGAAGCTCAAGAACGACCTTTCACAACTGAGACAGGGTGGTCGCTTTAACCCTCAAGTTCTCGAGAGTCTGCGTGTGCAGCTCAAACAAGGGGGACCTGTGAAACTAGGAGATTTGGCTCAAGTCGTGCCGAAAGGAAGGATTGTTCAAGTCGTTGTTGGCGAGCAAGAGGTACGACATCTCCCATTCACCCTCATCTCATACCTTGGAATGGGACTAACACGTCTCACACAGCATCTCAAATCAATCTCCTCAGCAATCCAATCCGCAAACCTAAACCTAACACCCCAACCCGACCCCACCGGCGCAAACCCTCTCCTTCTATCTATCCCCATCCCCCCACCCACCGCTGAATCCAGAAAAGCCACTGTGAACGCAGCAGCAAAAGCAGGGGATGTTGCAAACAATGCAGTCAGAAATGCCAGACAAGGACAGCAGAAAAAGCTGAGGGCAATGCAGTTGGCAAAGACGGCGAGACCGGATGATTTGAAAAAGGCGGGTGCGCAGATGGAGAAGGTGGTGGAGAAGGGAGTTGGTGAGGTCAAGAAGATTGTGGATGGGGCTAAGAAGGCTTTGGATGCTTAGCTGTCAAGACGTCAGTGGTGTGTCTTATCGAGCCAAAGACAAAGGCATACATGACCGTCCGTCCGAAGCACGATGAAGAGTACAAAGTAGTCCTTGCTTGGTACGAACAGTGGACTAAAATGCGACCCTGCCTGTGTGCCACTCTGGTAGCCGGGCAACGAGAGCTGATCTAGGTCCAGATATGTAACGTTTGCGCTGTGGAGATCTGAAACATAGACAATGGCTCGCATTGAAGCATGTACTACATGCATCGACTCTTCTTGATCCATTGAGAGCAACGCTCGTCTTGACTAGGAATGATGGTCTCTTGACCTTATACATACATTCGTCTATATCATAATACATCGTGGTGTCTGCATCAATCGTCTCTAGCTAAAACAGGGTATCATACCAACAATGTCCATAACAAAGCAACCCTATCGCATCATAAGCCTATATTATCAAGCAAGCAAACCAAAGAGGATGTCTCGCTCATCAGCAAGAGCACATCCACCTCAAGCAGGGAAGAAGAGTTCTAAGAGAAAGGTGAAGCGAGCAGCAAAATCGTCAGCTATCGCTCAAACAGCAAAAGATTCCCATCTGCTCATGGAGTTTCTAACAACGTCAACCAAATCACGCACCAGTTCCGCTTCTGGCTCAAGTCTGAGAAGAGATTGACTGAGCAAAGAGGTCCAGAGCTGCACATCATCCTCTGTGAAGCTTCTCTTCTGCTCTGCTAGTGGGTCGAAAGCAGGTGCATTCCAGGCCATAAAGGTGCCTTCCGACACAATGTGCCGCAACTGCTCATCTAAGCCATCCACTGTCACGGCTAGCATAGTGTTCCAGCTTTGAGTCTGTGACTCTACAGGCACCTTTTCGAGTGGTAGAGTTGCAGATTTGGTACGTCGTAATCGTTTTGGGTCCGATTCTCCAGTGCGGCGACGACGGGGACGGTCTTCGTATTCTGAGCCGCTTGCCCCTTCGTCATCTGCTCTGCCATTCCCAGATATCTCTTCGAGCGCACGATCGTCTGCTGTTCTGTGGCGCTTCGGCTTTGCTTTTGGAGCAGAATGTACAGCCTCCACAAATTTAGTGCTCTCGAGGTCAAGTTCACTGGCCTTGACGAACCCCTTAGGCTGCGTCTCGTGGCGAATCTCAGTTTGTAGTGCACTCTCATCGCCTGAATCTGTCGGACAGTTGGGCACAGGAGTAGCAGACTGCTGATCTCGACCTCGGCCAAGGAAGTTACGAATGTCAGCATTGTTGGGAGTAGGTGTAGCGCCTGACGAGTATGGCTCTTCGTTTGGGACGAGTCCTTCGACACTCTGTCTCTGCAACATTCTCTTTGGCGCGAATTGCTTCGATCTTTGCGACTCCGGGAAATGGAACCATGCGTCACGTTCGGGGTCGACTGGTGATACGAAGGGCTTGTTGGCGAATGATCGCTGCTGCTGTTTTGCCGGACTACGCCTCCTGAGTGCCACTTCTGGTATGCTGTCTAAAGGTGTGCCTTCCGGAGCCTGGTCAGGAGGTAGAGTCATCCGGTGAGGAGCTGAAGATGAGCCCGAAGCTTCGAAACTGTTCCGTATTGGCGACTTGCTCTGACTTGACATATGAGGTATGGGTGGTGGAAGATCAGGAGGGCCTATCATACGATGGTGACCGGAAGGTTCTACTTCCTCTGTAAGCATGGATACAGGCGATGACGGTCGTGGTGTCGGCAGTCCGGGCGCATATTGCTGCGAATGGTGTATTTCAAAAGCAGGTGAGCTCGACTCGAGTGTGGCACTCGAAGCCGGTTTAGCTGGAGTCAAGAGCTGGACGTTCGGGGCGGTCTTCTTGTTGCTGTAAGCATTCATCTTGGCGGTCACCCAAGGATTTGACATTGCGGCACTTCTGAGAGTTCCAGGTCGCTCTTCTTCCTCAACAGCATCAAGTCTGGGTTGTTCTACCGAATCCATGAATAGAGTGAGATCATCCTCATCGAGATCGTACATGTTGTCCTTCGCCTCGGCTCGTTTGGGTCTCGTCTCTGTCTCCGGCACACGATAAACCTGAGCAGGTTTGAGCGCGATCGTCGGTTCGACCACGTCGTCTTTCTCCGGGTATGAGATCAACATCAGTCGTCTGACGGCTTCTGTGACCTTGTCGACATCGCCAAAGAGCACATCGTCTTTCGCCGGCTCGATATTGACGTCGTAGCTACCTGGTGGGCAAGACAGCGAGAGATAAAGAAAGGGGTCTTTGGCATCATGCAGAGAGGATGAGCCTTTGAGACTTTCTTTGTAGATCCTCACAAGCTGCCTTGAAATGCCACGGGACGAAGTGAGAGGTCGATCGTTAACCGATACATACTGTCCCAGCCCACTGATCTTCGAAGCATGTGCATCAGGGCGAGGTAAAAACGCTTGCACAGTGAAGCCTTCGTGCTCCATCTCGGCCCAGACGCACTGAGCAGCACAAGGTTTTCCGACGACCTTGAGAGCTGTATCCTCGATACCGCTGCCAACCTTTGGTGCATAGGTCCAATTGTCCTTGTCACTTTTGGCCTTGATAACTTTCAATGACAATCTGGTGGCCGGCCTGGCGAAAGCATACGACTGCAACAACTGCTTGATCCTCGTCAAAGTCTTGGGTGCAACTTTCAAGGCGACCTGCTTGCGGACTGGCTGATTCTTGAGGAAATTGACGATACGAATTGTGGTTCCAGGTGGATGAGTGGCACGATCTTGAACCGGTTCGCCATTTTGATCAAGTTTGATAGCAGTAGCAATACTTTCGCCTTCGACTCTTGTAGTGATGGTCATCTCACCACTCATCTCCAATGCACTGCTCAAGGCTTCACCTCGAAAGCCGAGATAGAACGAACCTACAAGAGCAAGATCTTTCTCATCTTTAAGCTTACTGGTACAATAAGGCTTCGCCACCAGTGGCCTATCGGTAGGCGCAATTCCATGACCATTATCCTTGACTTGGATCAGATCGAGTGTATTCGTGGAGATCTCGACAGTGATGTTAGATGCTCGGGCATCAAGGGCGTTATCAACAAGTTCTTTCACAACCGAGGTAGGGTCCGTCAAAGCCTGACCGGATCGAATGGTGCGCACAGCCGCCTGCGGTAGAGCGTGTATCGACATTGCTATGAGATGTCCATATTTTCGTCTTAGTACAGACGGTACAAAGTGGTGTGGCGAAGAAAGACGCGCTGAGACGCGAGTCGGTAACGAGCAGTCGAGCCTTCCTTATGCAGCACCTGCCAAGCTCTGTACTCGAACAACTCTCGACCTCAAACACAACAATTTGTGCATACTATCGAGATGCACATGTGTCTTGAACCGCTTCTTTGCTGTAACAGCATCCCGAATGATGGTTCCTGATGCAAGTCATCATCTACAGTACTTTGGCTTGATTACAGCAGATGATCGGGGAATTAATCTGGCAGCCGTCGGATGTTGCTCCACCCGCAATGGTCATAAAGCCCGGGCTCACGTCATCGTACAGCCGTATCTCGTCAACCACGAAGGTGCTTTGGAGGTTCTTAGTCACAGCATCATTTCAATCTTCTTATAAACAGTCATCATCATCGTTGCAGCTCATTCCTAGCAATATATCCAGGCCGCGGATCCCTACTCACGTACTCTCGAACACCGCAGAACAACCCGCAGCCATAGGAATCGGCGGCAGTGTTAACACTGGTCCCCACCCACCCCAGAACAACGGGAAGCCGCAGCACGACTACGAACAGAGAGACTCGAGCGCCAGCGAGTTCGCAAGATCAAGAAACGCGAAGCAAGCCTTTATTACACACACCATCCCGAGGAACGTCCACTTGCCGCACGTTTGACAGCAAACCTCTTTGGTTTCCCTAATCAAGCCCCTCCCGGAATTGATCTCTCTTCGGCCGCATCATCAATTCACTCTCAAGAACCGAGTACCGCAAGCGATCTTTCAGCTTCAACCGACATGGCTCTCGCTCCCAAATTTGCTGGCCAAGCCCTCTCGAGCGGCGCTCACCACACTTTAGAACTATGTATGCTATCAGTCAGGTATATTGCTCGACTGCATATTGATACAATACTCAGTCCTCGACTACGTGTGCCCTTTCAGTAAGAAGCAGTTTGAAACCTTCTACCACGATGTCGCTCCCATCATTGAGCAGAAGTACTCGAAGGACCTCCGGGTCATTTTCCGTCAGCAGATCCAGCCATGGCACCCTTCCTCAACTCTAGTCCACGAAGCAGCTGTTGCAGTCTTGAGAACCGATCCCTCCAAGTTCTGGTCCTTCAGTGCTGCTCTTTTTGACAAGCAGACCGAATATTTCGATGTCAATGTCGTCAATGAGACCAGAAACCAGACCTACAAGCGTCTTGCAAAGCTTGCGGCCACTGTTGGTCTGGAGGAGAGCAAGATCTACAGTCAGCTCGAGATCTCTAACAAGCCCGGCCCTGATGGCAGCCTCAATTCTGGCAACCAGGTCACTAACGACCTCAAGTTGCTCATCAAGGCTAGTCGTTTGGTCTCTGTTCACGTTTCGCCTACCGTTATGTTTAATGTGAGTAAAGCTCAAATCAACATCGCACATATAAACTGACTGCGTCACAGGGACTCAACGAGCCAAGCATTTCGAGTAGCTTCACAAAGAAGGACTGGGAGGAGTGGTTGCAGAAGAATGTCGTTTGACTCGCCGACTCAAAGTTATGACAGTAGATACTCGTACCTGATGACTCAAACTCACGCAAGTCCTTCCCATGCAAACAATGCTCCTCATCGTGCAGCCTTACTTGAACATAGTCTTTTTCGAGTAATGGAGTGGCTGGGAGTGAACAATTGCTTGAGCGGCTCTACATCTAGAAGTAATTCTGCTTCTCTACAGCTCAAGGAGGGAGGCACTACAGAAGACCAAACAAAGCCTACTCACGCGTAACCCAACGAATACTCAGCTGTTTGACTTACAGGTGTCCCTCTGGCCGCTTTCACGAATCGGACATGTCGACTGACGCGCGAAAGTGGTGTGCCTGGCTTTTTCGTTCTGACTCCAAGCTGTATCTGCCTGGAAACAGTAACACGAGAACGCTGTTTAGAGTAGCCCCATATTCTCCACGGCATTAATCGACTGGCTTGCACGTTCCAGCGTTGAGCGGTCAGTATCATGGCAAAATTTGAGAGCCCGTGATACGGAGTCAAAGTCACATCACACGGTCACACATGAAGTAGTTCGCAATCAAAGGAAACATTGTGTAATTTCTAGAATGTATAAGTCCAACTTTATGGACCTCGCACTCTCAAGGTGCGGTCAAAGTAATGTTGGGCTCGTGTAAGCCTTGTCTGCGTTCAGTATGGATGCGTATCGTCTGATGTTTTGTACAACCTCAAATGGTCTGCTTGGGAGCGACCTCGTGGGTCTCAGGGGCCTCGTCATTGCTGAGCTTCTTCTCGAGATCTTGTCCTCTCTCCATGCGAGAAGTGATCGAGGTCGAGGTACTGGTTTTCCAAGCAGGTGTACCGATGTACTTGATGCCGTTTGGGTCCTCGAACATAGCAGTGACCTCCTCGAGTGGTTTGCCACCCGTCTCAGGAAAACACAGGAATACGTGGATCCACATAGCAACACAGAAGACGCCGAAGATCGTGTAGGTGTGATATCTGATGTTGATGAAGGCTGGAGGAACGAAGTAACCGAGGGCCTGGTCAAAAGATTAGCTTGTACTTCGCTGTGTTTAGTTCGGAGTTCCATACGAAGTTGAAGGCCCAGTTAGCCGAGGTCGCAAGAGCAGTGGCCTTGCCTCTGACACGGTTGGGGAAGATCTCCGAGGGGTAGATCCAGGAGACCTGGAATAAAAGTCAGAATTGGCCACCAAGCGATAATACGAGCTACATACAGGACCCCAAGTAGGTGCGTAGGATGCAACAAAGAGGTAGGAGCAAGCAATGACTGCTTTTGAAGCTGCGCCAGTGACTTCGGTGGATGCCTCAGGTGTGTTTCCGCCAACACCTCCGGGACCAGGGTAGGTACCGTATACGCCGAGTATGCCGGCATTGGCGAACAGCCATAGGGCCATGAAGGCAGCTCCAACCAAGAGTAAAGGGCGGCGGCCGACGCGGTCCACAAGAAGCAGACCGGGAATCGTCATGACAACGTTGATGACATACTGGATAGATGACGACACCAGAAGGGTATTTCCTGACAAGCCAGCCATGGTAAATATGTACGTGATGTAATACATCCTGTTGTGTAGGTCATTAGTGATCATGTAGCATCGTTAGGATGGACACTGGAAAGAAAGGGGTAGAAATGGGACGAAAATGGGGAAATTCCGCAACCAACTCACATCACGTTCATGCCAGTCAGCTGAGACCAGATCTGCATGAACAGACCAGTAATAGTTCTGTTGAGCATGCGAGGACGGATGAGCTCGAGGTATGAGGCGTTCTTAGCTTCAGACTCGATTCTGATCCACTCCTTGATTTCGTTGAATTCGCGAACAACGAAGGGACTCTCAGGATCACCGTGACCATGCGTAAGTGACAGTACTTCTAGAGTCTCCTCCCAGCGGTCCTTGGACGCCAGCCAGCGGGGAGACTCTGGGAGTAGCATCATGCCGAAGAAAAGCAGGATGGCTGGAATCATCTGAAGGGCCCAAGGAGCGCGGAAAGCGCCAGTACCGTTGATGAAGGAGCATCCGTAAGAGATGTAGAACTAAAACGAGTTCATGAAGTCAGCATTGTTCTTCCATGTTGTAACTCTCAGACCCAGATTTTGACGGGACTCGACACGCCATCTGTTCGGAAAGAGCGATGGACTGACCATGATCATGATGCCTGATAATAAGTTAGCTAAAAAAAAAAGTAAAGAATGAGACTATTGTGGCTTGCGTACCCCAAGTGATGGCCCATTGCTGAGCTCCGACCAATTTGCCTCGCTTGCTGGGAGGTGCGATCTCTGAGATGTAGACAGGAACCTGGGCTGAGCAGATACCGACACAGAATCCATTGATGATACGGCCGACGATGAGCATAGCGATGTTCTGGGAAGCACAAACGATGATGCATCCGATGACCCAGATGACTGCTCCAATCTGGATTGCCGGTTTACCTGTTGACTGTGGTCAGTATTCTCTTGTGATGCGATATGAAGATGATCACTCACGTCCAAGACGATCGGAGAGGTAACCGGAGCAGAGAGCAGCGAGCCAAGAACCACCAGCCATGGATGCAGTGATGCCACCTTGTACGTCGGCTCTAGGACCGATGCACTCTCCTGCATCATTGTATCCCTGCTGGTTGAAGTAACACTTGTATGGCTGAGTTGCAATCCTCGACTAAAATCAGCGACATCTCAGAGATGGTCTGCCTGACACTTACACAGCGGACATCGACGAGATATCAAAACCGAAGAGACCACCTCCTATGATGGCAATTGCAGCAATGAAGTAAACATTGCCGATCTTAGGGAGTCCCATCTTGCCTGTTGCCCTTGATGGTCAGGCAATACCAGGTGTTGGTTGATGGTAGTTGTTGTTGTTGGTGGTGGTTAGGCTGATTAGGGGGACGACAAAGAAGAAAAGGGAGGGCTATGAGAGTGATAGGGGTATCTCAATATATAGAGATTCAAGGCAAGAACAACCCACTCTTTCACTTGCAGGTCGCGAGCACGAAACAGTAAGCCAATTAGGGCAAGTGACAACAATGTTCGTCGCTCGGAGTGACAGCATGCGGTGCGATGCCGTGAGCATACGGATACTCGGAATCCTTCACTCTACTCCTCGTATTGCTATTGGGTGGTTTCACTAACACCATCGTCGCGAGAGGTTGCATCCAAGCGTCGATCACCTTTTGCCAGGTTCTCTCTCCATGGCACAGATGTCTCCATGCCCCACACGCGTCCCCTCCACGCTCCTGTCTCCAGTTCTCCCGACTTTCTCCAGCTCTGCATTCGGCCCTTCTGTGGATAATGCCAGTCTTCGGAAGATTTGATAATATGAAGAGGACTTTGTGATATCCAGCGAAGAGAGTGATGATAGTCTTGTCAGTCCATCAGCCTCATCCAGGTACGTCGTCACGCCGCTGCCGCTGTGAGGCTTTCGGAGCAAACATCCGGAGCAGCCAAGATCTTGCGGTCATGGTAGAGAAGCTTCATGCCTACTTGCAGAGCTTCCTTCGAAGCACCCGACGTTTGCAGAATGATAGAAGACGGTTAAAGTCTCAAGCCAACCACGCGTGAGGCGCTTGTCAGGGCTTTTGGTGGCTTGCGCCGAGCAAGAGATCGCGTCCCGGGTCCCGAAATTCTTCCCAAATGCCAGACAAATGGGCAAACTCTGTTGCTTTGTACATGTACAGTATTTACCATTCGCTTCTTGGAGGAGCTTAATTCCGCCATGTATCTACTCTATGTTAACCACCCCTCATCCTACTCGGACAAGGAGCATCCGAACACCATTTGGGGCAAAGCATTTACTCTAGAGTACTCTTGTTGTCTTGAGTCTCCGTGACCAAGTTGGATACGATCTGCCCTATCTCCTAATTACGATTCTGTGCATCGGAAGAATTCATCCATTTCCTTCCACGGGGCTGCCCCAAAGACCCACCCACATCGTCTCTGTACAATCTCCTGCAAATTCAAGCTCGATTATCTTAACCGAGAACGGGTCACCTCGTGAAGATTCTGCAGCAGTCAGGAGTGTCTTGGGCGGTAACGTCTCTTGGGTCGCCCTGCTTGATTCTCCGATTTGATCCTTGTACTCGCGAGACTGCGATCATCGATTATTGTGTCGTCTGATTTGATTCGAATAACATCTGAGCTGTACACGTACTCGTGAGCTCTCTCGCACATAGAGCTGAACTAGCTATATTTACTGTGTGGTGAAGCGACAGTCTTGGGGTAGGCCGAAAGACAACTCCTACCTGACAGTAACTTGGCTTTACACACAGAAAGACTGATGATCTGCTTGGGTAGAGCATACATATCGTGCAAGTCGAAGTCTGACTCAGAATATACTGGACGTTGACAGACTTGCTGAGGTTGAACACTTCAGCATGTCGACTTGGAGGAAAATCACAGAGCAAAATTTTCGGCCCAAGACAGCGGCAAGCGGTATCATATAGATAGATCATTCGAGTCCCTTGTAGTGTACATCTGATCTACTTACATAGCCCAATAATTGTGCGGAGTTACGCTGGATTCAAAGCCCTGTTCTCCTTTCACACCACCACCCAGCCATACCAATTTACGACAAAGCCACCAACCCCCTCTGTCTCTGTCTCTGTCTAGCTCTGAGTTTAGCCTGTCTCTGCTTCCTGCCTCTCCTGGCTTTAGCAAGGTGGAACCTCGCTGCCCACGTTTTTACGGTCCTATAACCCACTCCACCCCCTATCATCGCCATAAAAACGATAGTTGTTGGTATAGCGATGATCCAGAAGTATACATCCGAGTGTTCTATACCTTGAAAGTGTGTGAAGTTCATGCCGAAATAGCCACAGAGGAAGGTAAGAGGTGCAAAGAAGACTGTAACGATGGCGATGATGGACATTGTGGTGTTTGTACGGGCTCCTAGATAAAAATTAGTACTTTTGCAACTAATGCGGCATACTTTGGTATGAGTACGACGTACCAATAGTGTTGAACATCAGAGATGACAGGTTATTAGCTGATGCATCCATCTGCTCGAGCGATTGGATGATGGTGATACAATGATCGAGTACATCTCCCAGGTACACATGAGCCAAAGGACTCATAACCACAGTCGTGGGTGTTTGCGTGAAGAATCTCTTTGGTTGTGGTCTGCGATGATCACTAACCTTCCGTGATGACGGTTCTGAGGGTAAAAGTGGTCCAGGGAAAGGTTCTGATTTGTGGTCTCGAAGTGAGTTTACCAGGTTGATGATAGGCTTGAAGAGGTTCTGCAGCATGTCAATTTCTTCGGTGAAGATATGCAGAGCTTTTGATGTGCTCATTGATGGGTTGGTGAGGACGTCGATTTGTAGGTCTTTTCGGGCTTTGTTATAGGCTTCTTTGACCGGAATGGCCAAATCGACAATGGCATCGATAATGGCCTGTAGTACCAGGGATGAGTCTGCACTACGGCGCAGCATAGTGGCAGGGCTCTTCAGGCGCTCCAGAATTGGTTCTTCGACGTCAGCACCAGAGTGTTCGAAAAATGAGATGACCGTATTGTCTGACATCAAGAAGATGGCAACTTGCTCAACACTAACAACCAGGTTTTCCTCGAATAGTGCAGAGTGTTTCTCCATGAACAGTGTATGCTCGGGATTTTGCATACTCTCATAGCGATGCAACGTTCTGATGTTTTGCAAAGGTGCACCGTCCGCTGTTGAACTGTGAGCGCGAATCATGTCTCCCATCTTGTCCAGTCCATCCAGTCCATCGTCGTTATAGCGTGGCAAGGTAGATGGCTTTCTCTTCGGCTTTGATTTCTTGAAAGGGTTCTTCCAGAAAGGTACGCGCTCACGCTCCGGATGAGGTATGCGGTCTTCTTCGACCTCATCATAGTGAATCGGTTCTTCATCAGAAGAGCAATCACAGTCATCCGAATCAGAATGGTTGTGTATTCTGACGAGTTTCTGCAACGTCAAAACCACAAAAGCATGGTCAGAGTACCAATCGCATTTTGTTCGCGTACGTGTGTTAATCAAATCCTCGATAGCCAGTCTGTGCAGTCCATAATGCTGACCGAGAATCTTAATGACATCCCAACTCAATCCATTAACCGAAATCCAGCGGCAAGGTAGATGGGGTGGTCGTTTCTCCGACAACACTTCTTCCAGCGAATCGTTGTCGGTTTGTACAGACTCCATGTGCTCAGCACTGAAGTCTGCAACCAGTATATCGCATCGGGCGCGTAGTGCTTCGAGATGCGGACTGACTCTCTCAGCATCAGTATCAATACCAGGTTCAGCACCAGGCTGCCAATTTGGTCGACTTGGTTCATGGTAAGTTTTGACAGTGTTGGATCGTGACAGTCGTCGATGACGAGATGTACCATCATTGGAAAAATATGACGTTGCCGAGGCGACACTTCCGAATCTCTGACGACCGGGTGTGTTGTTCTCTGGACTACGTGGAGTGGTGACCGAGTTCCGTCCTACCGGCCCCTGGTCCTGAAACGCTACTCTGTCTGGCGATTGAAAATCTCGAACTGTGGTGGTGTTGGCCATCTTGGCTTTGGGTGTGAAGAATTAGTCGCGTCGTGTTGTTGTGTTGATCACTGTGATTAGACTATGGTGAGACCATCTGAAGGTCTGATCGTACGGATATAAGATCAATTAACAATCGCGAGATCAAGAATTGATTATTGTATGCGGCTACAAGTATTGCCAAGATATACACAAGAATTGGAGGCAGAAAATAAAGATGCTTGGATGCGGATGCAAGGACGGAGAAGGATTGGTGACATGCAGGAGACCGTTGAAATTGCGGGGCAATTTATGATGAAATCGGGTGAGACATCCTTGGTGGCATTCGTGCGTAAGAGGGGTAATAATTTCGAGAGCTAGAAGATTGGATGTGAGTTCCCCCCCAGGACAATGTGCTAGGACTGTGGTCTGAGATAGAGTGAAGATGTTTGTTGCTGAGACTGCGTCAAAGGGGAACATCAATCTCGCATACCACTCATCATGAGCTAATATGAGAAAGAGTGCTCCCGCACCTGGCAGACTGATCACGAAATCCAACCAGGACTATCGCTTCGTGCTTTTTAGGTAACAATTGTACAAGAAACTTAGTCATGTATTATAGGTATCTGTGCTGTATCGACACCGCAGGCACTGACGGATAAAGCAGTCAGTGCAAAGGGACCGAGACGAAGCCCTCCTGACCATAGAGTGTTAGGTCCCTTTCATATGCAAATAGAAACTCCCAATACATCCCAAGAAAAACGAATGGCGTGAAAAGAAACGAGAAATTAACAATTGTTAAGAGCGTTCAGCAAGCGCAGCCATCGCGCTCGTTGTCGAGGTTGATAGGGATGGTTTCGGGGTAGTCTGCGTTGAAGTCGCCGCTCTCTTCTTGGGCCAACGCGTTACGAGCAATAACTGCACTGTGTTAGCGGTTGTAAGGAGGGAGCATTACATGTAGGATGAATCACCTTCGAAGGCTTGCTCGACGTTGATGGCTTCTTTGGCACTGGTTTCAAAGTACGGGATGCCACCCTTGGACTGGCAGAATGCCATGGCGCGTTTCGATGAAACCTGAACTACGATCAGCCGACGGTCTTTCCTGACCTGGGTTATGTGGTACGAACCATACGCTTGCTCTCCTCAACATCAACCTTGTTGCCGAGCACAACCTGTAAACTGTCAGATTCGTATTCGACGTGTTTCGCGTTGGTGGAACTTACGAAAGGGAAGCTCTCGGGGTCCATGGGACTGGCCTGGATCAGGAACTCGTCTCTCCAGCTGTCAAGGGTGTCGAAACTCTTGGAGTTGTTGACATCGTAGACAAGTACGCAGCAGTCGGCGCCACGATAGAAAGCAACACCAAGCGATTGGAATCTCTCTTGACCAGCAGTATCCCAGAGCTATCAGATGTGTCAGACGAGCTGTGATGAGTGCGCTCGGAGGGGGGAAAAGGTATGCGAACCTGCATGGTGACCAGTCGGTCATCGACCAGGACCTCTTTGGTAAGGAAGTCTGCGCCGATGGTTGCCTTGTAACTGGCACTGAACTTCTTGTTGACCTGAAAGCAGTATATACATCAGTCTCATTATTCCCTGCTCTTCTATCTCTTGCTTAATGTCGTCGATGGAGGGGTAGCGTACGTATTGGTTCATCAAACTGGTCTTGCCGACACCACTATCGCCGAGGATAATAACCTGTTGACTGTCAGATTGTCATGCGACACAGCACTTCAGATTGCTAGAGGACATACCTTCAGAAGGACCTTCTTGCGTGAAGACATGATGTGGGACGGGACGCCTGGCGCGAAAGGTGTATCCTTATCGTCGTGCTTCGGATTGATGCGAGGGCGATGGCGAGTGTTCACAGAGGTGGTAATCAGCAAGCGAACGCGTAATGAAAGGCGGTGAGCGATTCGGCGAGGTGTTGTTGTTTATCTGGATGGTGGTCACGGCGGTCGAGGTCTCAAAGCCTCAATGACGGGATGCCGCACGGGACCAAGCCTTGCTATCTCGCTTTGTCATTTAGGCCACCCTGTCTGGAAATGCTACCTCGGTTCACACCTGATCTCTGAGCTTCGGGCTACTCGTCGTTAAATCATATTTTCTGCATAAGTCAACTGATCTAGGAAAGTCATGATACCAAATTCCAGCTCGTCAAGGCCTCAAATTGTAGCATGTTGTGCGAAATCGACGACTTGGACAAAGCTTCGCGAGGCAAGCGCAAGCTCATGTCGTGTCCTGACTTCGCTGGTCACAGTAAGGGTGAAATTTATCGGATGTAAAGTAAGTAGCATTTGATGAGTGTATGCGTATGCGTGCTGTAGCATGTAGACTAGTAAAGCAAAATGAGAGACGACCAGCTCAGAAAAACATGTCAAAAGGAACGCTCGCTTGCCCAAGAGATCTTGCGGATGGATGATGAAAAACAAAACTCCCCCGGCCCACATGTACTCCAAAATGCCCATGAAGAGTTATGCGACAATAAGAAAAACAACAAAAACATACGAGATAGGTCAGTCGACCAGGTGATTCAGCGCTTTCTCTTCTTGTTCTTGTCAGGAAGGGCAGGGGCAAGGAACTCGCCAGCACCGCCAGCAGCAGTTAGTGGGATAGAGTCATACTCGTCGTAGCCAAGGTCAGACTTCTTGACAGGAACACCCATGTGACGACCGTAGCGGCCTTTGCGACCGTTGCCCTCGTCTTCGCTGACACAGCCTTCGATGCCAATGCCGGCGTCCTTGCAGCGGCCACATGGTCTTTGGCGATCACAGCCCTTCTTGCTCTTGCGGCATCTCTGGCAACGAGGCTTAGTGGACAAGTCTTCTTCGTCAATGCCGAGTTGATGTTGGAAGTTGATGGTCGAAGCAGCCGACGTCTTACGGGACTGCGACGGTAGAGAGGCTGGCGAGATGGGAACCTTTGTCGAAGTCGAGCTTGTGTTCGACTTCGGCTTGGACTTGACCTGACCACTAGGTACACGGCTCTTAGCAGACTTGACAGAGCCGTTGATAGAAGAGACGCTGCCACGGGGCTTGCCATTAGGCATGCCCTTTGCCTTCGACATGGCACGAGCGATATGGACGCCATTCTCATCGTATTCGGGAACATCACTATCTGCTTCGGAGTAGTCGTCGGCACTAGAGTGTATGCTGTCGGTGCTTTGAAGGGTTTCGTCAAGCACACGCTGCTTCTTCCTACGTGGTCCGGCGGCATGCGATGTGGGCTGCCGAAGCCTCGTAGCTTCTTCGTCGACAAGGTCACTGTCCTCATCAACCGAGGAAGCAGCGTCTGCCTTGCCACTTAGGCCATCGTCCATAGTGGATGTCGAGGTGCGACCGTGGGAGGAGAAGTTTGACGCATCGCCAAGGCGCATGAGCTGCAAGGCGACATCCTCGTCAGAAATGACGCTTGCATTGGTGGGCTCTGGCGTAGGCAAGATGGCTCCACCGCCAACCGATGAGCGAGGCCCGAAGGTAGGTACAGCGCGGCCACGGAAGGTTGTGTTGTACGGAGTGCTGTAGTAGCCGCCATTGTAGCTCTGGGGCGATGGGAGAGGCTGCTGGTAGGTGATGTTGCGCCCATTGGGCCAAGAGAATGGAGAGGCAACAATGTCGCCGTTAGGAGCAGGCCGTCTTTGAGGGGAGACAGACGATATTGAGTTGGCGGCCGGCACCTGCGGAGGGACGAAAAGAGGAAGTTCCTGGGACAAGGTTAGACCAAAACATGGGACCAAGGCATTGCCCTAGCGCATACCGAGCTGTCAAACTTAGCCCGCTTCCTTCTACCACCCTCGACGATGTTCTCGACGCTGATCTCGGCACTGGCATGCGGCTCAATCTTGGAGCGACGACTATGGGCACCATCGCTGTCGTAATCAGTATCTCCGGCATACATGTCGTCGTACAAGCTCTCCTTCTCCTTGGGACGGAAGCCACTGCGAGATTGTGGCTTCGATGTGCTGCGATGGCTACGGTTGGACTGAGGGGACAGACTTCGGCCACCAGCAGCGCGCGAAGTCGGTCGAGAGTTGCGCGATGGCGGGCGCATGTCAATAGGAGCAGCCAGCTTTGGCTTGCGAGGCGAAGTCGTGGCCGATCGCGCCTGGCTGGCAGCAGCTGCAACAGCTGGGTCAGGCGCAGTCATACGAACGTAGACGACCATGTTGTGCTCAAAATTCTCAAAGGTTGCAATGAGGATGCGTCCTTCCTTGTCCTGGAAGCTGACACCAGGACCTTCGTACAAGCCGTAGAAATTGCGCACTGTGGTGATGATAGAGTCCGTAGTGTCGTGGGGAGAGATCATGACTCGCATGGGTAGACGAGCGCGGTGCTCGCGGTCCTGGCCCTCGGGCAGAAGAAGTTCAAAAGTGACATGCTTCTGCTGCTTGGCCCTCGAGGGGCGAGGAGGCTCGGTGTATGTGCTTGTGGGGGCATCAGCTGCACCGTCATACATGCGGTCCTGATACTGCATCGTCTGCGACGGTAACGAGTGCCGAGTCGAGTGCTGACGGCTCGATGGCCTGCCCTCGCTGGCGCCGCTAGCCCGAGGTGCTTCTCTCGCCAAGAGGTCACCAACATCCATGATTGATGCTTCTGGTGCTTTCTGGGGGCTATCTGGTTGTAGAAGAAGCTCTTGCTGGTGCTGGGAGAGGTATACGACGAGGAATCAGAGGTTGGTGGTGGTGACGTTGTCGTCGGCGCAATGGGAGCGGGATGTCGTCGAGTAGCTGGAATCGCAGTCTGGTCAGCGCTTGATGTCTAGAGTGGCTTTCATGATGGATGGAATGGAAGCGGGGGTGCATCAGACAGCAGATAACAGTGATGCGAAGACATTGATGGCGGTTGGGACTGGGCGGGCGCTGGGGAGCCGCCCTAGAGAGTCAACGAACCGATTCGAGCGCTTTCAGCAAGCAACTGCTGTCGCTGCTATTCAAGCGCAGGTCAAGGGACACAGTCGATTTGCTATGCTTATCTTGGAGACAAGACAGGTTTGGGCTGTATCCTCGCTCGAGCGCTCAGCCAACGGGTGGTGGGCCGTGGGCGGTGGTGAAGAGTCGGGGTTGCAACGAGCAACGGCGGATGACTCGAGAGACAAGAGCGCAACAAGAAGCGGGATGAGAAGGAAAGGATGAGATGAGATGGCCAGAGGCAACGTCTTGGGCAGAAGAAGAAGGTTGTAAGTGGGGGAAGTGGTCTTGGAGTGTGCAGAAGGAAAGCTAACTACTGGGTTGTCCCTCAGCCCAGGCGGAGACTTCGGCCACTAACCACATCACGCCCAATTCATCATGCGGAACACGACCAGTTTCCCTTTTACAATTGACATGGTTGTGGTCGCATTGCTTCCTCTTTGCTATTCCAACTTGAATTATCCAAGAAAATGTCCATTTCGCTGCCCTGGCCCTCTATCATTCCCTACAGCCCGATGACTGCTGCACTTCCACCGTCAGCGCACTATCGACATTGCTTCGTTGAGGAAGTCATATCTTTGTAGTCTCGTCTGCACCTGCTCAGCGTACCTCGATCGACTACATGGCATGCACAATCCTGCCTGTCTATAGGTTGGTTCAAGGCCATGTTCTGTGGGCGGCTTGTGGAAGCCAATGAGGCGTTGCACTTGCCCACGTCTAGTCCCGCTTGTGCCATATAAGAGGCGGTGTCTGACTCTCGGATGGCCAAAACGCCTTGTTATGTCATGTCTGTCGGCCATCTCTTGTCGAACCTGGTGCTTGTGTCCAACAAGGTCACTCAACCTGTGCAACACAAGCGCATACCAGTATCCCCCAAACTCTGTATGCGCAATGCATTCGTACACCGGTCCAATGACCCCAAGGCCCTTTTCATATAGATGCGCATGGCACAAGCATAGCGCTGCAGATCCGCTCGCGCTGCTCCCCTCCCGAGTCCTTGATAATGCACCGTCCATCGCTTCTTCGCAATGCGACCCTCAGGCGCTTATCTGTGCAATCATTCCACTCCATCGCGAACACCGACTTGCTCGATTCTCTTCGTATGCGACACATCCGCCAAGCCATATGGAATGCTTGCAGAAACAATGCTTGGTCCAAGTTGCGATACGATGAAGCTAGCACCTCACCTTCAGCATGGGCCGGTATTAGATTGCCTATAAGGGTGTCCAGGCAGACCGCCTGGGACACATGAGTATGAAACCCCCCTAGCGTGTGCGCATAAAACAGAAACGAGTGACGAGAACAACATTGCGCCTGGCTGGTCATGTCCTGTGCGCTGTTTTTGGGTGCAGGGTGCGCAGGTCATTCACCACGGCTTTATCATGCCGACAATTGCCGTCGGAATGACGAGGCTGATCTGCCCACGGTAGAGGCGTGACTTACGAAAGAGACATCCTTGTCACGTTGAGGCTGGGGTTGACCATGGCTTCCAAGCGTGCAAGTCGTCGAGATCTTGTTGAACGAAGGTCGAGTTCGAAAGGAGGTTGTGAGGTTTACCAGTGGGATCGGGCTTGCTTGCGATCTCTGTTTCAGATGCGCCGGCGCAGTTGTGCCGAGGTCGCAAGCTGTCAAGAAATTCGTCACCACGAGTCGCAGTGCGCGCGAACGTTCTGGCGCTGTTTGGATAGACAGATGAAAGGCGCTTTCTCCTGTTCCATACCCGCCTGCGAGCGCTACACGTAACCATTACATTGTGGGAGGTCAGTCTTGTATGGTTGCGGTCCTTTTAGGAACGGCGAGTCTGAAACTCTGTCTGGCCCTGACATGATGATGTTCACAGACTTCGGTGCACAGCGACAAGTCTGGAAGACGACATGCCAATGTATGGGTATTTGCCAGTCTTCCGTGGACCATTAGGCCACCAAGATGATTTGAGGTGCAAAGAGCCAAATCGATAGGTGCCTATTTCCACGGTCACGTGCTATGGTGAAGAGTCGCGTTCAAAAAAGCTCAAAAGGAGGGACGCGACATTCGAGCGGGATGGTCGGCAAGGATGGTCCAATATATAGCACAAGTATTCAAGCAAATGACAAGAACCGATAGAATACAATTCAATCGGAAATTCGATCGTTTGTGGAGATCCAAGGGGAAGATTGCCGTCTTGTAGGGTTTATGGACGACGTGGAAGAGGCCGCCTTGTTTACATTGGGCAGGGATAGAGTTGACACTAGCGGCTTGGCGAACCTGTTATGCAGCTCTTCTGTTTGTTGATGGAACCGTTTTAGATGTTTTGACATTCGGTTCTGTAGCAATCTTATGTTAGAATCTCCCTCGACCATCGACTACCTTCTTACTCCGCCATGAGCCTGCGTTGAATTGTCGTCTTCTTTTGTCTCCAGCTGTCTCCTCGTCCACACGCGTCTCGACCCCCACGGCCGTCTCGCAGACTTTGAAGATTCGCCGGCGACGCGCTTCTGATCTGTCTCTACACCGCACATTGCTTCCGCCCTGTCCCAACTTGCCCATCATGGACGCAAAAGTAAGTCCAATATTCGGTTTTATGCTCGTCTCCTCACCTTCTCCGTGCATCCTTCTTGAGGAACATCCTTGCCCGACTTTGTTTATTTTGCTGCAACGAATATGCTGCTTTCGCCCTTGCATATTTCCAACACGACCAACACCACCAATCCACACGTGTATCCACATGCTGTTGACCATCACACGAATGCAAAAACTTCTTGCGCCTGCATTCACGAGCTTTTGCGACACCCATGCTGACCATAAATAGCCCCAGAGACCTCTGCGCTCTCTGCGTATTCATGACGAGAACGCTCTTCCGTCGCATCCTGTTCCAGTCAAGGGCACACACCAGCGCAACAAGTCGTCAACCACTCTTCCAACCTTGATGCAGACCGGTGCAGTACGCCCTGGTGCCAAGCGTGCTGTCTTCGCCGATGTGAGCAACACCACCAGGACTGCCTCTGTGACAGATGATGTTGTCAAGGCACATGACAATCCCAAGGCAGCTGCCATTTACCTGGAGCCTGCGGTCGCCTCGAACCCTATTCAAAAGCCTCTCGCCGTCAAGAACATCAATGCCGCAACCACTGGACCTACCATTGCTCTTCCCACCATCCGCAAAGTCCAAGGAAAGAAAAGCGCCCCTGTTCTCAGAGAGTCCGCACTGCCCACACCCAGTACGACCACAGCCGGAGAATCAGACCCATCTATTGAAGTCGCCAGTGACGAAGCCGAAGCGCAACAACAAGTCACTGCTGTCGTCGGTATCGAGAAGGACATCGCTGTTGGACAAGTCCAACTATCACAAGCCCTGGCTCACTCGGCCGAGATCATTGTGGATACTGAGGCGCTGGAGCAATTCGTACCAGACGCCGAGGAGAAGGTTGTCGTGCTGAGTCAGTCATTGATCACTGTCAACGACGACGAGTACGATGAGGAAGATGAAGAAGAAATTTACGAAGGCAGCCAGACTGTAACAAGAGCCGGTGCTACGGACAACACAACTGGCGGTGCAACGGTCGTGCTATGTCCCAAGCACTCTGCCAAGACGCTGAGGGAGATCGAGGAGGCCAGGGAATTCGTCGAGAGCAATCGTACAGCCGAGGACATCGAGGACGATCAATGGGATACCTCGATGGTAGCCGAGTATGGCGACGAGATCTTTGAGTACATGCGCACTCTCGAGGTAAGTTCGCCGAAAAACTGCTTGCCGGATGTCGGATTGCTAACACAGAGCAGGAACGTATGCGCCCGAATGCACACTACATGGATTACCAGAACGAATGCCAATGGTCCATGCGCGCCGTCCTGATGGACTGGTTGATCCAGGTTCACACACGCTTCACCCTCCTGCCCGAGACTCTCTTTCTGGCAGTCAACTACATCGATCGCTTCCTTTCCTGCAAGGTCATCTCGCTCGGAAAACTGCAGCTCGTCGGTGCCACTGCCATCTTCCTTGCTGCAAAGTACGAGGAAGTCAACTGTCCTTCGGTCCAAGAGGTTGTCTACATGGTCGACGGCGGTTACAATCAGGAGGAAATCCTCAAGGCCGAGCGTTACATGCTCAGCATGCTCTCATTCGAGCTTGGTTGGCCAGGTCCCATGAGCTTCCTACGCCGCATCAGCAAGGCAGACGACTATGATCTCGAGACCAGAACCTTGGCAAAGTACTTTCTGGAAATTACCATCATGGACGAGCGATTCGTCGGCTGCACTCCCAGCTTCCTGGCTGCAGGAGCCCACTGTTTGGCCCGCCTCATGTTGCGCAAAGGTGACTGGACACAGGCGCATGTCTACTACTCTAACTACACCTACGCACAGATTCGTCAGCTCCTGGCAATCATGGTCGAGTGTTGCGAGGCTCCCGACAGTCATCACAATGCCGTCTTCCACAAGTACCAGGATCGTCGCTTCAAGCGTGCTTCTCTCTTCGTCCAGACCGAGATGAAGAAGGGCTTCAAGCTTCCTGTGTACAAGCATGCCGGCTCTACAGGCTACAAAGGCTGGTGATAAATGCACACCAAGTCTCTGCAAACAACCACTTTTCATCCTTTGGCGTTCCTGGGTTAACACTGGCGTTCGAAACGATACCCTCAAGGCCGCCCCGACTTAATCACCCTGGTGTTTACTGGTCCCTTTTTCTTTGCTCCAAAGCTTACCGAATTCATCCAATTTGGCACAGCGACTCGAGCGCGCTCTCCACTTGCTTCAGTTATATCCACCTTGTTTGCTTCTCGATCTCGAGACCTGCTCGACGGATAGGCGAGTTGTTTTGGAAGGCGGTTCACTACGATGCCACGACGAAATGAGCACTTAATATTCCCATGTATAATTGCACGCCTATCGGCAGCGATTCTACCTTTTTTGTTCTGTTTTTGCTTTCCTTTCTTTGCCTCTCTTCTTCTTGCTTCTTTGGCTGGTTTCTCTTCGTTGTTGATGCATACTGGGAAGATGTTTAGGATGGCAGCCATTGCTCGGAGTCCAGGAAAGTGCATGTGATGGAAAGGACTAGTAGAAGCGAGGCTGCACCTTCATGGTGTTCATAATGGTAGAAGGCAGGCGGATTATGATGTTTCAAGAGAACACTCAGAATGGAATCTGTCTGCCATTATCTTTAATCCTTCGATCGTCATCACATCTTGAACAATGATATCCGAGTGAGGCTACTGCAAAAGGCGAGTCTGTTGCAAGCTCGATGGCTGCCGAAAGCTTTCACGAACAGCCCCGCACCAGACAAGAGAGCCGCCTCACCAAATCTACCCGGCCCCTGTGAACCGAACGGACAAGATCGTCGTCGTGCATCATAATTCTCCGACGGCTTCTATTCTGGCGGTCCCGAAAGATCAATGCTCACCTTCAATTGTCGGACTTTTGTGGAAAGACGTGTCTCACGTCCGCTGTGCTTGGGGGTGCCTCCCTGGTCCGCTCCGCTTTGGGGCTTCAGGACGCTGTGTTCGGTCTCTCGAACAGTTCGGCTCCCCACCTCGACTTCAACACTTCGGCCCTCGTTGTGTCGGGTCTCTGAGTAGAAGGATTGTTACGAGTAGCTGTAGTACTAGAGCTCAACGTAGGTGAACTAGTACTTAACACATGGTAAGTCCACGGTCTGGTTGTTTCCATAACTATCTCATCACATCCACTCTCACCACTTGCTCCAACACCGTTGCACCAACTCTCAGCTGCAAGTCTTATATCGCCTCTCAACCCAAGCAAACACATCGAAAACATGTCTCAAGGAGTTGTTACTGTTCCCACCGCTTCCCTCCACGGAAAGGTTGCTCTGATCACTGGTGCTGGCCGTGGTATCGGTCGTGGCTGTGCCATCGAACTCGGAAGACGTGGTGCCAGCGTCGTTGTCAACTACCAGAGCAGCAAATCCTCCGCCGATGAGGTCGTCAGAGAAATTGAGGCCACTGGCAGCGGTGCAAAAGCCATTGCCATCCAGGCTGATGTCAGCAAGGTCAGCGAGATCGAACGTCTTTTCCAGGAGACCAAGAAGCACTTTGGCAAGATTGATATCGTCATGTCCAACAGTGGTACCGAGAGCTGGGACAAGACTGAGGAGATCACTGAGGAGAAGTACGACCACGTCTTTAACCTGAACGCTCGTGCCCAGTTCTTCGTTGGACAGGCTGCCTGGAAGCACCTCGAGGATAACGGTCGTCTCATCCTCATGTCATCTATCGCTGCTGGTCTTCTTGGTGTCCGCGACCACGCCCTTTACAACGCCTCCAAGATGGCTGTTATTGGTATGATCAAGGCATTCGCTACCGACTTTGGTAAGCGTGGTATCACCGTCAACGGTGTCGCTCCCGGTGGTATCAAGTCTGACATGTTCACCTCTAACGCCTGGTAAGTTTCAAATCTTTCTTCGACATGATCTCAAACTCTTTCTTTTTGCACTCGCTGACACCCGAATGGGCATTATATTCCTGGTGGAACCCCCGAATGGCCTGCTGAGAAGATTGAGAACCTCATGGCCGAGCACTGCCCTCTCGGAAGATGTGCGGTTCCCGAAGACGTCGCTCGCGTCGTGGCTTTCCTTGCCAGCGGCGACGGCAGCTGGGTCAACGGACAGGTCCTCACTATCTCTGGAGGCTCTTCCCAGTAGATCAGGTATTGCATTTAGTATGCATTGATGATGTTGGGAGCGATATGGTTTTATGAGGCGTTGATTCCCCCTTTTTGAGTTGCAGCATGAATGGTACAGGCATCTGGAAACGACGATAGACAACAAAAGTCACGGTAGCTATGCACAGATAATAAAACTGAAGACTTCTACCTACCCAGAGATACCAATATGAAGAGTTTGTGACCGGTTGATGTGCCTTTCGGAGAGCCCATCTAGCGACTCTCCTGGGCGTGCCTACTATTTTAAAAATGATTGTGCCTTTCGACAGCAGTGTTCTGTTGAGAAGACAGCGTTCGAGATGGAGCCATCAATCTGGCTCTCATGAACTTGGTCTTCATGAACGTGGTCCTCGACTCTCACTCGTAAGTATCCGATGCAATCGACTATGAAAATGCACAATCTGTTTTGCAGTTGATGCAGTCGCTTGGTGAGAGAATCAACCATCTTGCATCTTCGTGAATGCTGCTGTGTATTTCAGAAACACCACACATTGCTATCCCTGTATCTGGAATCTACACCAGATCATATATGGTAAGTCATCAGTTCGTATACTCATGTGATTCAAGAATCAAGGTGCGAACCGATCATGAGGAAAGAGAGTGTGGACGTCGTCAAGCCAGGCAGTAGCGAAGCGTCAGGGTCGCTAACTCCAGCAACCCAAAGCTTTACTGCAACCGAAAGCCAAAACACCTAATCACAAACCAAACACACCACCATGGCCCACTTTTCTGACAGTGAGCGCCCAAACAAAAGAGCGCGTCTGAGCGAGTCAACAGCAAGTACAGAGTCACCACCAAAAGACAACCTCAGTTGGGATTGGCCTGCCGACCTTGCTCCATCAACCATTGAAACCATCGAAACCATCAGCCCTCCCCCACTCAAGCGCAGCAATGGCAAAGAGAAGCAACACTCAGAACCCCAAATCATCGCTCAACCTTCGCCCTTCCAACTCACCGAAATCCGCGACCTTCCAGCTTCTGCAAATGTCGACACGGTCACACTTTCGGATATACTCGGCGATCCCATGATCAAAGAGAATTGGCAGTTCAACTTTTTGATTGACATTGACTTTGTCATGAGCCATCTCGATGAAGATGTGAGAGATACAGTGGTTACGAAAATCATTCATGGCTTCCACGACAAGAACAGTCTGTCTCGCATCAATCTCGAGGCTGCAGCTAAAAAGTATCCGAATGTTCAGACGTTGCATACGTGGATACCTGCTTACGGAACGCATCACTCCAAGATGATGGTCTTGATCAGACATGATGATACTGCACAAGTTGTCATTCATACAGCCAACATGATCTCTCAGGACTGGACGAATTTGAGTCAAGCTGTTTGGCGGTCGCCGCTATTACCAATGTCTACTACAGGCGATGAGGCTTTGGATGCCCCTGTAGGCTCTGGCGCTCGGTTCAAGCAGGAGTTGCTTAACTACCTGGAGGCTTACAAGGACAAGTACAGAGATAACACACGTCCTCTGATCAACCAGCTCAAGAAATACGACTTCTCTCCTGTCAAGGCTGCCCTTGTTGCGAGTGTTCCAGGTAAGCAGCAGGTCGGCACTAACACCATCGCAACTAGCCAAAGTCTTTGGGGCTGGCCTGGTCTGGAACGAGTCCTTAAAACAGTTTCGACAACTTCATCAGACCGTAAAGCGCAGATCAACGTCCAGATCTCATCTGTGGGCACTGCACCTGAGAAGTGGTTAGAAGGCTTCTTCGACGTGCTAGGAACAACCACTACTGGACAGCAGGCAAGGAACAAGAAGCCAACAATTCGGGTCATTTTCCCAACAGCCGATGAGATCAGGCGCTCATTGGACGGTTACCAATCCGGGAACTCGATCCACATGAAGTTAGACTCGCAGATGCAAAAACAGCAGTTAAAGTACATGAAGCCCCTTCTATGCAAGTGGGCGGGCGACTTGGACGGCAATTTGGACGACGTTCGTCAAGCAGGTCGCCGCCGTGCTGCACCTCACATCAAGACATTCATCAGGTTTTCCGACGACAGCTGCAAAAACATCGACTGGACACTCGTGACGTCAGCAAACCTGTCAAAACAGGCATGGGGAGAGATGGCAAACAAGCAAGGAGATGTCAATATCAAGAGTTTCGAAATTGGCGTCATTGTCTGCCCACAGTGGCTCGCCCCTGGAGGAGAAAAGGCTGCCATGGTGCCAGTCTTTAAGAGGGACGAAGCAGAGGCAGACGTTGCGGAAGGAGTCGACAGAGTTGTTGGGGTGAGGATGCCGTATGATCTGCCGCTTACCCCCTACAGCAAAGACGAGGAGCCGTGGTGCGCAGAAAGGTCGCATGCTGAGCCTGACTGGAAGGGCATTGTGTGGGAGACGTACAATCCTAGAGCTTGATGTGGTGACTGGTTGGACGACGTCCGCTTTGAACGAAAGATGGCTCTGTAGCTCGACGAATGTGCTCGAAACGGCATGACTGTTGTGGTCAAGGAACAGAAACACGGAAGAAACGAGCGAAACGAGCGAAACAAAAGGTCTCGTGTTATGCAGATTATGATATGATATTGCTTCTCTTTGTTCATGAAGGGGTATCGAACAGTCATTGTTTAACCAGTGTAACCGTGCTTGGTCTTGAGCGACTCGACGAGAGCGACGTACTTCTTCTGGGCGTCCTCGGGGGAGACCTTCTCGTCGACAAGCTTCTGCCATGCGTTTCTCTTGGCCTTGCCCTATAGGTGGTAGATGTGTCAGCGAACGTGCTAAACTTGACAAAGGCACAACAGAAGCTATGTCTGTGGGTCGAAGGTGGTGGGGCGTTACCTTGAGGTCGAACATGCCGGGCTTGTCTGAGGACTCGATAGGAGGGTCCTGGGTACCCTGCTTGAACAGGCCATAGAGCTGTTGCACACACGTGTCAGTCGTGCTTCACTTTCATCTTGCTGGTGCTGCTGCTGCTGCTGCTGCTGCTGCTGCTGCCGTAGCCCGTACCTGGAGGAGCTCATCATCCGAAGGCTTGGCCTTGAGCTTACGGCTGTCCTCGACAGCCTTCTTGAACTCTGCGGTTTGGGCGGCCATGTTTGCGGTATATGTGTTGGTATGAAAGGATTGTGTAGAGTAGGTTTGTGTGATGGAACAGAAGAAAGAAGGCCAAGTGATCACATGAGGGGCTCGCAATCTCGTGGTCTCATTTGGTCTTGGCGTGAGTGGGGGGAGCTTTCGAGACCCTTTCGAAACGTGCATCTTGACATCATTTGTGATCTTTTGCCCGTCGCGTCATTTTCCAGTCCAATGATTTCTTGATGTCTGGCTCGACATAACGATGCTCTATCTATGGGACAGCGGTTTCGCGCTATAGCTTGTGTCCTGTCTTCTCAACTGCGCGCTTGTAGCTCTCTGTTTCCTCGCAGTCTGCGATCCACTTGTCGACTTTCTCCCACTTCTTCCCCTTGGTCCCCAACTGCCTGGCCAGAATAAACTGCGCCGAGAACAGCATCATACAGTCAGCCACCGTAACATCGTCGCCAACCAAGAACTTTCCCTGACTCTTGCCCAGCTCGTTCTCCAGGAAGTCCATGTCCTTGCATACGTTTACTGACATGCCTTCTTCGATTTTATCCGCTGCGGCTTTGTTGTCGGCGCCGAACCAGCGTGTGTAAAGGATCGCCAGTCCGTGGAGCGCGTACGTGGCTTCTGCTGCGTGAACCCAGCGGAGGCATTGTACGCGTGTGGCGGCGTCTTTGGGAAGGAGTTTACTCGAGGTATCGTATTGTTCGCAAAGATATCTTGACAGTTTGTCAGTAAGTCGTCCCGCACAGGGGGAAATCTCTTGCATACTCAGCAATAGCACCACTCTCTCCTACAAGTAAGTCTCCGTCTTTCAGCAGAGGAAACTTTCCCAATGCATCGCCGGCGCTGTCTTTGAAATGTTGAGGAGCTTTGTTGCTTTCACGCTCCGAGAATTCGAGTTTGTAGTCCAGGCCTAGTTCTTCGAGTTGCCATGCTGTACGGATGGAACGCGAGGCTTGCAGAAAGTATAGCGTAATGTCTGGCATGGTCGGGAGGGAAATCGATTTGCGCATATCCATGAGACTGTGGGGTTGGTATGCTTAAGTATTTCTAGGGAGACGGGAGAGCGGGGTTGCCATCAAGGTTCTAACGGTTGGTCGAGTGGCTTTGTTTACGCATGTCGTATTGCCCGAGGTCTTACGGAACTGACACTTATAGATCTATGATATGTTTGCGATAAATGAATGCTGATGTGGAAATAGTTCTGGTATTTATCACAGGTCGATATGATCTATACAGGAACCTCGCGAGGCACACTTCTCAACTTGAAGTTCGTGTAAAACTCGCTCTGTCTGACAAACCATGCGTTTCTCGTCTTCCAGTCGTCACAAGCCATCTCGATTTCAAAGGTTCTCAGGAAAGTCGGTACCAGCTTGTAAATCTCCAACAAGCTGATGTTCTTGCCAATGCATGTTCTGGCGCCAGCGCCAAACTGGAACATGGTAGCCTTCATTTCCTTCAACTTCAATGGGTCGGCATCGATCCAACGCTCTGGTCTGAAAGTCTCGACGTCGGCGCCGAAGACTTCGGGACGACGGTGGAGGACCCATGAGTTGCAGCCAACGATCACACCGCCAGGGATGTGTTCGCCGCAAATCTCAATGCCTTGGGCGGGTGTGATGCGTTCAAGGATCAAACCAGCAGCAGGGTGCATGCGGAAAGACTCTTGAATGACAGCATCGAGGTAAGGTAGCTTCTGACTCTCCGCCCAGGATACTTTGTTGTTCTCTCTTTGCTGGATAGCACCAGTCTCTGCTGCATCGTCAAGCTCTTGCATAAGCTTTTCATAGACCTTGGGGTGTCTGACGAGGTGATAGAATATACTGCTCAAGCTGATAGCAGTAGTCTCGCTTCCAGCAAAGACCATACTTGTTGATGCTGCCAGTACTTGGGCATCAGTCATGAATTCAGGGTGATCGTGTTGAGCTTGGTTGAACTTGGTGAGAAGATCGATACCACGGCCAGGACGCTTCTCGACAATTCCAGTCTCGCGGACCTTCTGCATCTCGTCCTTGCGTTCGCCTGAGCGGTCAAGTGCGAATTTTGTGACAGGGAAGACCTTCTTGTTGATGCCCCATTTCTCGAGTTGAAGCTTGAGAGGGTTCTTCTCAAGGAGAAGATCGAGGAAAGGCATTTGGCCAATCTGTGAAACATTGTCAGTGGTGACGATTTAATGACATAGCCAGGACATGCTTACAGGTGCAGCGTATGAGAGGAACTTGTTCAAGAACTCGATGATACCATCAACATCCTGGTCTTTCTCAATGTATCCCAGACGCTTACTCCAGGTCAACTCGCCAATGACATCGAAGGCGTAAAATTGCAACCAGCGAGTGAAGTCACATCTCTGGCCCTTCTCTCCGCAGTAAAGCTCCTTTGTACGCTCGATGTAGACGTCTGTTGTGCTGTCTACCAGAGGCTCGTACTCAACGAGCGAAGACATGGCGAAAGCGCCGTTGACGCATCTTCTGTACTTGGCATGATAGTCCTCGAAGGTGGTAGAGAAGAGCGATTGTAGACGCTTGCCCTTCGAAACTGCTTGCTGGACAGGATAGAAGTCTGACTTGGTCATACCCTTGTTCAGACCATAGATGATCTTGATGGCCTTGGGGTCGGCAAATGATAGTACATTAGGACCAAGTCTGACAATATCACCATGTTGCTTGTGAAGAGCGACATGTGTGTACTCTGTCTTCTGTCCCCATACTTCGAAGAAGCGCCACCAGTTTGTGTAGGCTGCTATCGGGACGCCTGGGTATTTGTTCAGGCCCTTATAGAATTTGTTGTTAAGGAGATATGCGGCTGCTGATGCTGCAAGTACGATGGGCCAATAAGCCATCAGGAGCGGCAGTAACTCGCCGATGATCATGATGTGTTAAACTTCACGATGTTCGGAAGTTGTGATGCCGATGTTAAGTGGTATGGTATGAATAGACCCGGTTGAAGAGAATGGAGATTAGAGGGTATGAATGAGTGATACACAAAGGATGCCTTTTGACCCATCAGCTGCAGCAGGCTGTTTATATGTTCTACGCATGTTTACGCCAGTACTCTACCAAGTGACCAGCAATGTGCAACTTCGGCAATGGGGCGATTCACAACTGCCGTGGTGTCGCATTGGTTACTTGCGAACAAAAACGACTTCCAACTTGGCCTTTGGACGGCAGTTGCAAAAGCTCTCGGTTAGTCGGGGATCTCTACTCCTTATCCTCGGGTTTCGAGGGTTCTCATGAATTGACAGGGCGCAAAGGTCAACTACCGTTCTGACGTTCGATGTTTGGCCATGGGGCCCCAGACTCTGAGACATGCCTTCCCCACTGTTTCGTAGCAAGCTCTCTCGGAAGTCTTCCGCTTTTGACTTGACAACTTGTCCTGTAACTCATCTTTCGCACTCGTTCGTCATCGGATTGATTGCTGGTGCTTCGTCCATTCCGTACTGGTGCCATCTCCCAGGCAGAAAATGTATGTGTTACTGTAACACAAGCCAATAACGGATAATTCGACAGTTCCGGATGATGTAGATGCATCATCATGGCAAAGCACAATACTAAGACTTGCGAGGTCATTCGGCAGGAAAAATCGGCATTTCGACTTGAATGCATCTGCCGTCCATCGCACCTTGCACCTGCTACATCTCCTTCACGGATTCTCGGCTTGGTCTTCGATATCGGTACTGAGTAACCGGAATGACGGCAACTGTTGTTAATCGGCAGTCCTTTTGATGACCTAGATATGGACATCCGAGCAATCCGCACGGAGTCAACGCGTTGCGAAACTGCAGAGAGCCAAAATCAGGCGCGTATTTGTCGGTTGAGGAGCCCACATGGAGGTGATCGATTTCAACAGACAGAAGTCACTACTTCTAAACAAACCCGTGGGGTATGGGGGCAGTGGGGTTTGATACCAGTCCCCAGCATCTAGATGGTAATCTCGTCGCGAACTGGCAGCATACGGCCAATCTCGGGTGTCGGATTTTTGGCGGCCGACGCCGACAAACATTTGCCCTAAACATGGTGCTGGAACAGGCATGGAAGCCGCCGCAAGACTTGCCCAGACTCGGAATCAGCCCCCCTACTCGGACAGAATTTGAGCCGCCATGGCGGCATTGCTTGGTAGGCTTGATTACGACAGACTTTGCATCAAACGCCACTTTCTTGATACAACTCAACTTTGGTTAAATAGGCATAAACACACGTCAAGCTTAGCAGTTGTTTGATGTCCGACAGTTGAATAACCTCTTATCTGTCAAACATACATACGGCAGTACCCCGGACGATCTGTTAAAGCACTGGTATCAGGAAGACCCACCGCCAACCGTGTTGGTGCACTAAGTGGGTACATCATCTCGCTGGTACAAGCTGACTACCACCCGCGGGGGCCACGCTTGTGGAGAAGGCGGAGAGAATCGATTCATTCTCTCCACAAAATTTTCATATTGAGGCCAACCGTTTCGAGTTGCTCCCCAAGGGATAAATAGGGCCGTCCCCAACACCTTCATTCTACTTCTACACACATTGCATCTCTGCCTGGTTGCGACATTGTCATGATGCAGTACAACCCCGATCACAAGGGCGAGCTTCGTGAGCCTTCGGAAACGGATGCCAATGCCATCGAGAAGGTCGAGACCGGAGGACTAGCACCATGGTCGACTCATATCAATGGCGATGCAGCCAACCTCTCTCCTGAACATCGCGAGTATCTTCTCAAGCGACATGGAACATTGGAGCTGGATCCTATGCCTGGCTTTGGCGATGCGGATCCGCTGAATTGGAAGACTTGGAAGGTGAGATGACTCATCCTATATAGAAACACACATCATGTCTAACCTGTAACAGAAAACTGTCAATCTGTTATTAGTCGCGTTCCATGCTATGATGAGCACGTTCACCGCTGCCGCCATCATTCCTGCGTACTTCAACATCCATGAGGACCTGGGATGCAGCATCCAGAGGGCTTCATACCTTACATCGTTGCAAATCGCGATCCTGGGTGGAGCTCCTCTGTTCTGGAGACCGCTTTCCGTGAGATATGGACGTCGTCCAATCTGGTTGATCTCTACCATCTGCAGTCTCGTTTGCAACATTGGATGCGCATACAGTCATAGTTATGCTAGTATGGCTGCGTGCAGAGCTTTGGTCGCCTTCTTCATCAGTCCTGCTGGAGCCATTGGCAGCGGTGTTGTTAGTGAGACCTTCTTCAAGAAAGAGCGTGGAAAGTACATGGGCATCTGGACGTTGATGGTTACGGTCGGTGTTCCACTGGCTGGTTTCACCATGGGTTTCGTCGCAAATAACGTCGGCTACCGCTGGATCTACTACATTCTCGCCATCATCAACGGTGTGCAGTTCATCTTGTACATCTTCTTCGGTCCTGAGACCAGATACCTGCGCCAAGGTGTTGAGCACCGTGGTTCTGATCTCAAGCAAGAGTACTGGAGCTTCAGGCGCATCGACCCTACACCCATCAGGGCCTGGGATTTCATTCAACCTTTGACTATGGGACGCCATGCCACAGTCATGATTCCTGCCGCCGCTTACGCCATGGTCTTCTTGCTTACTTCCATCCTGGTCACTGTTGAGATTCCTCAGTTGTTCCAGGAAAAGTTCGAGTTCAACGCTCAGCAGATTGGCTATCAGTTCGCCAGCATTGTCATCGGTGCCGTGATCGGTGAACAGCTTGGAGGTGTCCTTTCCGATTCATGGATGAAGCGCGGAGCTCGCAAGATGCCTGCTGGGCACCGTCCTCTGCCCGAATACCGTCTCTGGCTCAGCTACTCTGGTTTCATCCTCGGCATTGTCGGTTACATCGTCTTCCTCATTCAGACTGAGGACATCAACAAGTGGAACGTCACTCCCCTCATCGGTGCCGCCATTGCTGCCGTTGGCAACCAGATCGTCACCACTGTCCTCATCACCTACGCGGTCGACTGCCACCAAGAAGAAGCCGCCAGTATCGGTGTCTTCATCACCTTTGTCCGCCAGATCTGGGGTTTCATCGGACCCTTCTGGTTCCCCCAGATGTTTGAGGGTATCGGACTTAAGGCTAGCGCAGGCGTTGGTACCGCATTAATGATCGGTGTCAGTGTTATCCCTACCATCTGGTTGCACTGGAGAGGTCGCTCGAGAAAGACGATCGACGAGTAAAGGCAATTTTGGCTTTTTGCATGCTTTCAACATGATATTTATAATAGATACGAACTGTGACGAATTGTATAATGCAGAGCCGACCTTCAACAAGGGCTCTTTTTTTCTTCTCTAAACCTCTACTTCTCGTCCCACCGTGTGCTGTTATCATTTGTCATGGACCATCCCCGTCTTTCTTCCATGTCCCTGTCATTGCATCGTATCAAGATGTTTTGTGTGCTTCCTTGGACTATGTATGATCTGTTACAACTAATGTGTGGATGCACGAAGGTGCTCAAAAAGCCAACCGTCAAAGGCCCATGCATTTCGTATAAGCAGCTCGTCTTGCAAAACCGATCACAAGTATCCAAGAAGCATTTCTCCATCCAGAGTACAACTCACTACCATCCTCCACCCTCGCAGTACACGAGTCAGACCGCACAGAACTCAAAAAAGCTAAAAGCACAGATGCAATCTTTAGGCTTCAACACCCGCCAAGCCACTATGTCCAGCCTCCAAATTTTTGCCTTTTCTCAACCAAAAATGATCCTTCTGACTCACCGCAACGTCTAACAGACGTGTAGGCAGCAAAAGAAGAGTGTACTGGTCAGTACGGGGGTCGAACCCGCGACCTTGGCGTGCCACGTATCGCATGATATCGGAGGACATCGGATGATATTAGCACCACGCTCTAACCAACTGAGCTAACCGACCTGTTTGTTGAGTTGTGGTTGAGTAAGAGTCAATAACAATCTTTTGTAGAGAGGACGGAGAGGAGAAAGAGGACGATAGCGAGGTCTGGGAGGGTAGAGAGGTGGTGTTGAGGCTTCATCTCGCTGGAGAACTAAGTCGGAGTGTCTGGACATAGGTTTCAGCGGCCCTAGAAGCCTCGGAAGAGTCAAGACCAGACACGTTGCATTCGTCAGAGAAGACCGGCGTGGCACCGAGTGGTTTGCACGTGCAAACTGAAATCTTTGGACAAGTACACAAGATGTCGCCAAAAGCAAGTCCAGAGTGCCAGCATTCATTGATCTGAGCATCTACAAGGTTGTCAGTTGATCAAAGGTGCCAGTGAGAGGCCAAACTGGGACATAGGACTTGTCGTCGCTTCCGATATCAGTCGTGTAATGAGACCAGGGTGGTACCGCTGACAACTCCGACTTGGCTGTGGAGAGAGCCAGACACTCCACTCGGCCGATTGACAATCTCACAACCATGATGCGAGAGAAAGAGATATACAACTCTTGTTTGCTTGTGACATTTGAAGAGGTGACCATCGATGAGCGTCTCGGGTGTGTGAAACATTGAAGCATAGAAAATTACTTACAACCAAGCATTTCCATCTCATCTACGGGTGATCCAGCGGATGTCGCGGGCACACGATCCCGATCCATGTGTTTCAGGAAACTAGCAATCCAAGGAATTCCAATAGATCTCGAGTCGAGAGCTTGTCCCGAGCAGGCATCTCGTCGAGACCTTGATCGCGATCTCCCTCTGCCGCTCGTCATGGTCTCCAACGCACAGTCCACACAAACGCAGGACGTGACGATGCAAGCACTCACAAATCCTGGGAAGTCACGATGGAAACAAGAAAAAAAGCAAAACTTCTGATTGCGATGACGGGGAAGAGAAAATAATAGCTCCGTTTCATGAGATAATAGATACGTCGTGGAAACATGCCCATCCATATCGAGTAGTGTAGTAAGATAAATGGTAATAGAAAAATGTATACGCCAAATTCCGTGTCTGCATTAAGACTGACCCCAAAATATCCAGATTTTGATCATGATCTCGTGAGAAGAATAAACAAATAGGTTCGAGGTGAACATATGTACAAAAGAGAAATAAAAAAGAGATAAAAGACAATCTACTGACCGCCCAGACGTCCCCATGCGGTGAGAACATCCAAGTCAGCGCTGTCAATAGTCTTGACACTGTTACGATATCTGTCGGCCTCGCTGCTGGTCTCGCTATCGCTACCAGCAACGTTGAAGCTAGTCGTACCGTGAGTGCTGAACTCGGGAGTCATGGCAGAACTGCAAGTACCGGTCAAAGATGGAGAATAAGTGCGTGCAGGAAGCGGCAAAAGGTCGAGGGAAGAGAGCTCAAGATCCGGAGCCAGACGGTAAGGGTCCGCAGTGTTCTCAAACGGGACGAGCTTGTTTTGACTCGAGTTTGCAGACTTGGTAGGTTGCTGGAAGCAGAGAGCTTGCAATTGCTCGGTTGGAGCTTCTAGTTCGGCTAATATGCATGAATGTGGTGTCGACATGTCTGATGACCTGTGGTAGCGTTTATCGTCAAGGGTGAAATAGTTCATATCTTGTGTTTCGTGAACAATCCTGTTGCTAGGAGGGGCAGGGAAAGCGGCGCCTTCAGGAGCATCAAGCATCATTCCAACGCTCATGGCACTGCCTCGTGAAAAGGTCGACGAAGCGGTGCTTCTGATGACAGAGTTCTTGCGATCGTATTGAGAGGGTTGACTGGATGAGTCGTGTCTTCGTGCAGGATGGCTGGAGGAAGTCTGCATCTCGGCTCTCTTGCGGCGCATCATTTCCAAAAGAGCCATCTCCTCTTGAGTGACAGCCATAACATGGGATTGTCCAGTGGTGGAGGCACTGTTGCCACTTTGCATAGTTGATGCAGTGCTTGTCGCTCGCGTACGTCCAGGAGATGAGAAATGATAAGACTTCTGTTTGCGTAGAGGAGCCGGCACAGCACTGACGTCCGAGTATTGTTGATACTGAGCAGGAAGTGGAGGTAGAGGGGTTCGGTAAGCCATCTCCAGGTTGTCGGCGTTGATAATCGGGATAGATCCAGAGGTCATGGTTGTTTGCATGCTGAATGTTGATTGCCTGGTGGCAGCCGTTTTGCTCCAGTTCAACGAGTCGGATGCGTGTTCGTTTCCATTGGCCGAGTGATCTACCCATCGAGGTGGTGACGGAGGTTCCGAACGGTCGTCCTCTTCATCGGATGAAAGGTTCAGCATACTGCGTTCCTGTAGATTCTGATTCTGCGAATATGCCTGGTGCGTGGAGCTCTGGTAGTGGAAATAGTCGGAAGATGATCCTTCGCAATTTGGAGTGACACGCGAGGTAGGGGCAGCCCTCGATCTTCCAGGACCAAGCGCCGGGTTGAAGGCAGATTGGTGGATGGTTTCGGCAGGAGTCACGACTTCAGGCAAGTCATCGTCGGACGAGTCCAGACCTTCGAACCAATGCTTGATACCCTTTGGCGGCCTGCGCACGTTGATTTTGGCATTTTCGGTTGCGTTACGTTCAAAGGCAGTGGCCTGAGTGCGATGACTGGCAGTACCGGCCGAAGCAGGTCGAACAGACGAGAGATCACTGTCCTGGCGAGAGCGGGTCGAGACGGGCGGCGGCGGTGGCGGAGGTAGAGGCAGAGCAGATGAGGGTACTACATGTGCAGGTGCGCGAGTGGGAACCTGTGTCTGTACAGGCCTTGGAGTCTTGTCCTTTTCCTTTTCCTTGTTCTTTGATTTGTGTCTTGAGAAAAGCCTTGAAAAGTCGACCCTGTGGCTGCGTTGGTGGGCTTGCGGAATTGGCGGAGGTTGAGCAGCGTCAGTCCTGATGTCGTTCTTGCGAGACGAGGAATACAAGTCTGGCTGGCTGGCAGCAGCGTGTAGAGTCGGTCGTCGTCTGGCAGGCTGTGTGAGGAAAGGATCGGTGTGGTCGCTCGGCAGGCGGTTGAAGCGGGCTTTGTCCAGGTCGGGCATGTTCTGGTATGGCTCCATGTGCAGTTTAGGCCAGATCTGTAGCGTCCCAGCGGCACCCATGTCTGAATTGGCACCTCCTTCGGTGGCTAGTGTGTATCCGATGCTGTCTTGGAAGCGCTTTTCCAAGGCTTCGTCGCTTTCGTATCGGTCGGCGTCGTTCTCAGCGTCGTATGAGTACAGAGGAGTGGGTTGCGTAGGCGCAGGCGCAGGCGCGGCGGACGACATGATGATTATGTAGACTTTGAAAAGCCAGACACGCGCCCCCCCTGTACGCTCCTTATCGATGGACCGGCCAACGGCTTCCTTGACGTGCAGAGGTGCAGGGTGCAGGTGCCAGGGAGTAGACTTTGAGAGTTGGAATGCGCAACGGGCGGCGGGCAGCGAAGTCTGTCGTGTGAAGCTCTCTGACGCGATTGAGCGTGTTGACAAGTTGAGCGCCAAGTTGAACGGTTCCCCCTTGTGGATGGGAAAAGGGAAAAGTGCTGCGTCGACGCCGCAATCGACGTCAGAGCCGGTACGCTATCTGCTGAAGATGAATGGATCAGGGGGGAGTCTGTTGCTGCTGACCCTCTGCTCGTGCTCAAGGTCAACGACACTCAGCATGCAACCTGCAGCCTACAACTGCTTACAAGTGCTCAGTCAGATTGAGCCCGAAAATCAGGTAACACCCCAATCTCCTCGACAATGTCGCCATGCCGGCAACTTGGTTAGTTTCCGTCGAGTCCACTCTGTCCCGAGGATCCGTGGCTTTGTGTGTCGCTCGCTAAACCGCTCGAGACTGGCCTCAACATCAGGGGCCGACTGTTTTAGCGCGAGCCGCCGAAGTATCATCCACCATCCTCCACGCAAATTCTCGTGCGCCAACGTCCAACTTTCACGCCTTGAAACGTGGGGGTCTACTGCTTTGCCATCTGCCATCATCAATTCCAACCTTGAACGACTCACGCGCTGCACCCCTTGGCTGTTTCCTCTCCTGCACGACATAACGTTGTGCTTCTCCACCCATGAACCATGACAGAATCATCAATCTTCCCCTCCAGCCACTTTTTGATTTGTTGCAATTAAATCCATCTTGGACGCACAGCCCATGATCTTCTCTCACGCAATTCCCGGTCTCGGATAACTAAATGAACAAGTCTGCAAAGGCCTTCCTGGAGGATTCTCGCTCGCCTCATCTCTTCTTGTGTGCTTGACTCTGAGTAATGATGAGCTGTAGAAAGGCACAGTCATATTCCGCATCAACAAGACTGCGCAGGAGTTGATGAAACACTATATCTCAGTAACGTCGCTGTACATGTAGAAAGTACTGTGCCTCGAGACAGCTACAAGTGACGGCGTCTGCACACGGAGAGGTCCTCGTAGCTGTAGAAACGCGCCGTGGTTTCTCACGACAGAGCAGTCGCGTACTACAAGTCAGAGCCGAGAAGCAGTCAACCTACCTGACGCGTGTACCGTTATGCAGATACCTATCGCGTGCCCCCTCAGCACCCACCCTAGAATACGAAAGAAGTAGAATAGGATAAAGGTGTCATGTATACTTTCTGCTGATCTGAGCTACTCATGTTGTTCCTGCTTCTACCCTTGATCCGTTCACGCCTTCTCAAGCTACTTGCAGCCACAAAACCATACATTGCTTTGCGTTCAACCTCCGAGCCATTCGTATGCACGCATTCTTGTGGACATCAGCCATCCATCCACCCTTCTTCGTCGTTCTCGCTAAGATAAAACCCCGAGCCGGACCCAATCTCCTCATGCGAGTCATACCCGGCCTCATGAATCGCCCTTGAATCGTTTCGACTTGATTTCCGGATTCTCTCGAGATGGAAGGTTTCTTCCGTTGATAAACATGCCAAACTTGGCTTCCTTCATCTTTGGAGTCAGAGTCCTCACTCTTGGAGACCGTCGGACTGGTGTCGCATGCTCGACCTCCTCATCCACCTCTAGCTGACCGGTCCGGGCTCTTTTCTTCGGAGCGATGTCTTTGTCGTTTGCAGCCTTTTTGGTCGCTCTCGCTGTCGCAGCTCTTTTACGTTCTGGCAAGAAGGCTGGGATCACTTTGCTCGAAGATTGCGCCAAGGTCGGATATTTGACCTTCAAAGCCTGTGCCACGAGTGTACCCGAGCCGTCTGACAATCTACGACCCGAAAACTATACACGCTTAGTACGACCATCGCAGTAGTCAGAATAGATATGCTTACGTGATGTCCCACAATCCGATGAGGATCGAAGAATTGCGCGAGGAGACCGATATATTCTGGCGTACCGACTGAGTCTGGCAAGGTGACCTTGGCTTGAGAGTTTCGGGTATGGCGTCTGCCCTGCTCGACGACCAGTCCCTGTGAGGTCAAAGAGGCCACAAGCTTTGTAACTTCATCGGAACGTATGGCTGCTCAAATAGGTCAGTCTCAGTATCTCGCAAGGTCGTCGTTGTTGGCACATACCAAGCTTTGTTCCCGACTCCACTGTGTCCTCGGCTTCTCTCGAGAGAAGGAGATCCATCGCTCGTCGTTCCAGGGCCAGGTCACGTAAACTCTCGAGGCTGTCGCTATCTGATTCAAGTTCAAGCAAGCAAATGTGACAGACATGCTTCGGAGGCTGACGACCGTCGTCTAGTATGTAGCCTTGACAGATGGAATGCTGTTGCACAGTGCATACGCTACATTGTATCTATAAGGCAGTCAGCTTGGCCCGATGAAAGCGCTCAGCAGCTTACCATCTCTTCCCTCGAGTCACTAAGCTGGCATCGACATCTTGTGATAGACTGGTCAGTTGGCGCGATTGACTTCTCGGAACGCTTCCCCCAGAGTTGGAGCGCTTTCTCGCGAGTGAGAAAGTCGTAGATGCGCATATGCTCGACCAGCTCGGCACTTGGTTCGTCTCTGTCGTTCGCCATCTGGCTAGCTTTTAGTCTGATCTGAGTCGCAAAGTCGTCATGCCCATTCGAGTTGGAGTGCATCTGAAGACCATGTTAGTCCTGGAATGTGCAATTGATAGCCACAGACTTACCATGTTGTCCAATGAGCTCCGTCTTCGCACGTCATCATCAGCCTGAGACACACTAGGGTCTCTCGAATGCGGTTGTCCGCCTCGAGCGAAGGCTGCCGTGTCCGGATCTTGGTCTCCAGGTGCTCCTAGGAGTGCGGCTGCGTCCTGTGGAAGTCTGCCTGTAGCTTGTAACGGCGCGCTTGGTACGGCCTGCCGAATTATGTCTTCTTCGTACCGAACAACGTGTTGAGGAGTTTCGGGTATAGCTGAAATAGCCGAGCTTCTCCTGCCTTGACCAGGAGAGAATGTTCTTTCTCGAATTGTGGAAGTGTCAACGGTGGTTACCACCAATTTGGTCGACGCCTGCTCTTCTTGACCAGCAGTGGTTCGACGCATACGAAGGTCTTGTGCAAGTCGCCTTGTATTGGAGTCCTGGTGTTTGAGAGATGCGACCCGGAGAGCAAGACTGAATGGGTAAGTCGAGTGACAAGACTGATATGCTGTGAGGCCTTACTCATGATGCACTCCACCGCGAAGTCCTATATCTTCGACCTGCGGACGCCAGCCCGCGAATCCTTCGACTGATGGCTGAGACCGTGTCTCTACATAGCCACTTGGCTTCCATCCGTCATTCGTGTACATGATACTAGGTTGAATATAGCAGTCATCTAGGAGATCGAGTTAGCCAGGTAATTCAACGAGTGTGAGGTTCGACTATGTTTTACCTGGCAACTGCGTGAGCTCTTCGCATTGGTCAGATACCCTTCCCAGTAGATCCATTACATAGCCATCGATGTCAAGACTCGGATTGAAGACGTCTTGATTCCCGAGGTTTGTCTCAAGACCTTGAACTTCACGTTTGCCATTCGCAGACTTTTTGTAGATAATACGAAAAGACCATAGTTCGAGGGGATCCGTACTGATCTCTGGGTCGCCCAAGAATGGGATGCGAAAGGCGTGTAAAGTCCCTCGTTGCAATGCCTCGAAGACGATTTCCTAAAAAAATTATTGTGTCAGAAACGGCAAGAACGGCCACCCTCACATAACACACAAGAGAATCGAGGAATTGATCTGCGCGAACACTTCTTCCTCTTTTAAGTAAAGGAATCTTCAACGTGGCAGGCTCGGAATGTCTTGTAGAGGTGCTCGACGGCGAGGCGGGCTGAGCTCGGCAAGGGTGTTTATTGTTCATCAAGCCCTCGCAAGTGTAGAACTCGTCGTCTTCTGCAAGTTCAACCGCGTCAAAGGCCAACGAAGGAAATATTCCTCTAGGTGATGTTGTTTAGCTCGAACATTGCAAAATGATACAAGAGCCGTATCTCACCTCCTGCGGCAAAGCATGCTCGTCTAGTTCCGCCACAGTCAGAGAGGAGTCCGAACAAGAGTTGCACTTTTACTGACCGTGGTGTAGAGCATAACTTGAACAGTCTCAGTGCTCTGTTGTTGGGTCAGTTGCGTCTTGGTCGCTACTATCTGGCGCAAGGCCATGACTTGTGCCATGCTGGCAGTGTGATCTGCTTGGGAGCGAGAGAAGAGACGGGAAGAAATTACCGGTGAAACAAGTCGAATGACAAGAGTTACTGGGGGCGGGGCTACATGGCTGATGCGAAACTAGAAATTTGGCAAAACAAGATGTCCGAGGAAGGTGCAACTAGAGAAGTCAAGCGCTCTTTCCCAAGCTTGAAAAACACGCCTGTTCCAAGCCAATATACACTTTGCAGATGCGCAAAAGTCTTCTTGATCCTTTCCAGAAGCGTACAGTGGATCTGTAGTGATGGTCGAGCTTCACGAAACCAGCCCTTCCAATTGCCACCGCTCGAGCCGATATTTCGTAAGGACGCGGTTTGTACGGCGACAGCTAAGGATGCAGGTTGGAGCAGCGAGAGCTTGGGAACAGTCCAACAGAAACGAAGCCGACACGCAGAGAGGTCGGCAGGAAGGCACGGTTGCCCCTGACAGGATTGAATCATGGTGCACGCAGTCTACAAATTGAGATAGCTGGCGGTCTACTAATGACATCTTCGCGGGACATCGAACCTTCTACAAGAACATTGGGATCCATTCCAGTGGATCTCATACATAAATAGACATATGCTGTATGGCGTATCGCCTTCAAGGCATTGTGCTGGCTCTGTGGCTGTGATGATCATTGGGGAGCAACGAGCTCGTCGAAGACGCTGATGGTCGGTCGCTAGGGCTCGGATGGTCATCCGGCGGCCAGATGCATCTGGCGGCAGTGTGCAGTCCGTGCTGTCGGCAGAACTTCGCCATAGCCAACGCTAGCATTTGACTTCACTTCTTTTTCTCTACACCATCAAGTGAGCAGCGCACTAATACTTGCATGCCATATTGACGCAGAAATTTGCCATCTCTGGGAACATGTGGAATATCGTATTCGGAGCCGTGAACAAGTCGAGTCGAAGTTCTCCATGCATCGGGCGGGACTCAGCGAGATTTCACCACTCATGGTCCCTCTGAAGAGCATAGATGCCTATAAAGTAGTGTGTACATGAGGTTGTCTGCAGACAATGTCATACCAAGTAGGATTCGTAAGTAGGCTTTGGAGCCAATTCTGCAAGAGCTATACATATGATAGCTACCGTACCACCAGCTTAACTGTGTTTCCTTTTGCCTATTCCCTTCCACTTCACCAGTGACGAAAGAGCAAGGAACAGGATGTATGGTCAGCACCGACCTGCAGGATTCGCTCGTGTTGCGAATCGGACGCGTTCACTTCGCGACCAGCTTTCACTGGCAGCTTATCAATACTGAATGCTCGAGGGACTGGCGTCGGAATTCTCGCGTAAACTCAGCACAACTCATTTGGCACACTCTTGTTCTAATCGTCACGCATCACGTCAAATTGAACCACACCGTACAAAGTATGTGTGCTTCGAAATGTGCATCGTCTTGAGCTTGCTGACACCGAGATAGTATTGACCATGTTGCCATCCGACTACGGCTCGGCGCAGCGTCGTGCTCCAGAGTCAAACACCGCCGTGCCATCAGTTTCCAACTCTGCGGAATCGTCCAAGGCTTTCAAAGGTGCCGAGAAGGCTATCGTGAAGCGTAGCATCAACTTTGATGCCGAGACTTCGTCTGGTCGTGATCCTCTTCCCGGACTCTCAAGCGCCCGCGAGACTGCCGAAACCTCCAAGCGCAGATGCGCAGTTTCCGGCAACGCTCAACAGCAGACCGCTCGCCAGGACATCCGCAGTGAATTTGTGAGAGCCTTGTTCAATCCAGTGTCTTCAGACACCACCAGCGGTCAGACCCAAACTATGGGAAACATGAGCAGGCCTTTCCTTGCCATGGCTACAACTTTTGGTCCCAGTGCTTCCTACAGCTTCCCTAGGTAAGCATATTGATCTGCAAAGTAGACGAAGCAGCTGTCGCTTATCATACTCTAGCTCCATTGGTGCCAGTGCCAACAGTTCTGTTCATCAAAACGCTCCTCACAATGCGCTGACCGGTCCATACGGCCCTCCCAACAATTCAGACAAGCATGCAAGCTCGGGCCCTACTGCCGTCCCGAGAGATACCTCTCACGGCACCGGTGCGTTCGGCATTCCCTTCACGCCTCAGCATACTGGGTTCCATATCCCAGGCCTCGGCGCTCCTCTCAGGTCGGTTGATCCCGATGACAGCAAGAAGGCTGAAGTCACTTCTCCAGGTGTAGCTCGCCCGCGTCAACCTGGACCTCACACTCGTACTGCTACTGGTCCCCAAAGCGTCCTCAGTCCTGTCCTGGAAAGTGCTCCCGAGTCCTGTTCCAACCCTACTGCTCAGTTCCAGTACAAGAGCAACCCTCCCATGGTGTCCCACGGTCCAGCCGGTACCAACAGAAAGCCTAGCCCAGCCAAGCAGAACTCGTCAAACGCTCCTGTATCGACTCCGTCCAAGGCGACTCTCACTCCCAAGCACGCATCAGCTGATGCTGGTGCTGCGCCAGAGGTGTCTGCTGCCGCATGCCCTTCTGGTCTCGTCAGAATCCCCAAGCACCTTCGTCCCTCAGGCCATGCCGATGTCTGGATTGAGAGGCAGAGCTACCGTACGTTCAAACTGCATCAAGCTGAGAACGATGCCCGTCGTTTCGAGACATTTGACGGAGCCTATCAGATCCTGAGCGGCATCAACCCTGGTCACTACTCAATGCCTTACGGTGTAGGTTTGCCTTAAACAATCTTCAACTGCATCTTGCTAACTCTTTCGCAGTCCATGGTCGTTGCCATCAAATGTCCCATCTTGGACGACATTCTGATATCTCACATAACTGGGCTTTGGGCCACCAACCAGAATGTCATGGGACGCATCATGGAGCTGCACGGAAACCGTGAAGATAAATCAGCGAAGACACTGTTTCTTTGGTCGATGCCCGGAAGGTACGTGATGTGACGCTGATGGTATTTCTGCGCGATGACTGCTGACCCCACACAGCAAACATTTCTGCGGCCTCGCAGAGCTTCAAGCCTTTAATCCCGAACCTAGAACTGAGATCTACGACAAGGAAGCAGGAAGAAATATCACTATCTTTGGGTAAGTTCATTGTCCTGTGCCGCGATGCCCAATACTAATAACCTAAAGTGCTTTGGTGATCCAATGGATATACTGCAAGCTGGTTCCGTTCGAGGATGTCGTTCCCGCCGTCGAAGCTAAGATTGACCAAGTTTCTGTCACTCAGATGTGGAATGGCATGTAGTAAGCTCATCACCTAATCTCTATCTGAAACTTATCTGATCAGCCATCAGTTACAACGAGGCGACTGGCCGCGAAGTCGTCAAATCGTATGTCGAGGCACCTCATGTTGAGAACATGCTGGCTGCACCCACCGGAGAGTTCTTCCGTCGCGCCATGGAGAACAGCAAAGTCGCCACAGTCCCTCCCAGCGCTCCGCGATACCCCGCTCGTGGCGGACTTCGCTCCCAACAGCGCGGTGGTCATGCCTCCAATCAGAGCACTCGCGGTGGAGGCAACAACCTCGTTCGCAGAGGAAACTTCCAAAACAGCAAGGTCCAGATCAGACCTCAGCCTGCACATCAATCTGCGACTATGTCGGTTCCAGTTGTCAAGGAGGAGACTGAGGAGGCCAAACACACTACTCAGACCGACTCAACATCGCCTGAGAACAAGCGCCACCGCGGCCAACCTCAGCTTCAGATGATCCCCGTACTGAAGTATGCTGATGGCAGCATGACTACTGCACCGAACATGCACGGTAGCATCGCATCCATTGCTCCTCATGGAAGCGTTGTAGCCAGTCAGAATGTCCGCGCTCATGAGTCCAACTCTGCGGTCCAGACAAAGAGCGTCACCCTAGACAGCTCCAACATGCCTGCTGTCATGCATACACCCGTAACCATGGGTACTAGTTTCCCTAGCCAGGGACAAATCGCCAATCACCTTTCTGGTTCGGTCTTCGATGTCAGCGGTAGCGCCGGAAACCACAGCTACTCGTTCGCGATGCCTACCCCTCGCAAGCCATCCATGTCCCAGCAAGCTGCTGCATCCCAATCAGAGGGACCCGAGTCCAGCACTCCTCGTTCACTGGCTAGTATTGACAGAAACCGTACTGACCTCAACGCCTGGTTGTACTATGATAGTCCTGAGAAGACCCCTACCCAGCCCAAGACGCCCGTCAGACAGCCCAACAGCTCGCACCACTTGACTGGCAGTCCCATGGACATCATCAAGCACAGAACTCCCACTCTTCGCGATGTCCATTCTTCTCTTGGCTCCAACCGTGTCAGTCCTCAGAGAGTCGGCGCATACAGCTATGGACAGCTTCCCCCAAAGATCCGCACTCCTGAAAGCAGCCCCATCGAGGTCAGATTGAAGTCTGATCAGTCTGTCCAGCCCGTCCTGCCCGCTCAACCCGTCACTCCCCGCCCTGCCGGCAGACGTGTTGCTGCCGAGCGACTGGACGAGAATGGTAACTACAACCCCATGTGGATCCACATGCTCGTCGACGACGAGTAAACGACCTTCAAAACTGTTCAGCTTGCTAATGTACTTCTTGTCAAACTGTCTATTGATGTCTTGTTTCTTGCGGGAAAAAGGTGGTCATGATGATGGTCTTCAGTCGTACATTCACTTTTGTTTTTCGTTCAGACATGGAAGGGACAGTGAAAGGCAGTAATTATTGACGTAACGGAACGTTGATGCTGCCTGGTAGTAGTTTAAGTCGCTCTATAGCAGTCAAATCAATTAAAGTCAGAAGAAAAAACAGCTTCTCGTGAATAGAGCATCTTGCATTTCCGCAGCCATCACGAGCACAAAGCAGCACCGATGAGATGCAACCCTGTGGCCTCGAACAGCATGAATGCAGGGCCGCACTAAATCATCGCCGTTATCTCTCTTCCAGCATTGCTTGCTATGATGTACATGCCCGTACAAAGGCACAATCATTTGTTGGATAAGCGTCGCGTTCTTGAGATGGCACGACATGTCCGCTCTCTTTGATAATGTTTCAGACGGCAAAAGATCCCGTATTCACCCAGCTGTCCAAGAAGCAAGCAGTGCTGAAATGATACTAATACAAGGGTGTAGACAGCAACAATCGAGGGCTCCCTCGATCCAACCCATTCATCTCTTTCAGCGAACGCTACTTGTTCTATGCACCCCCATAGGAAGGCACAGTCATTTGTCAAACCAAGGTCACGTCACAGAAAAGCATGAAAAAGATGGCTTGTTTGATGTGACATGTTGGCAGGCGTTCCTCGAGAGTGGCATAATGACGGAACAGCGGGATGGTAACCACTTAACGCGGTACCTCGCTCGGGCTTCTAGAAGAACAAAGCTTAATACCCCAGAATGAAGAACGACATGGATATTGGTCATTACAGTAGCAAGGCTACGATAGAGTATGGGCGGTGGATGGTGTTATCAATTGTCTCGAACAGCGATGACGAAGTCCAGAAAAAAGAGAATTAAGTTAAGCGGTAAGGTAGGCAAAGTTTCTGCAGACGATTGCAGTCGCTTGGCTCGCAGGCGGTGGCGCATTTCGGGCGGTCTCCGCAAAAACGGCAAGCAGGCAGGGAAGAGGCTTGGAGGGTTGCCAGGTTGGAACAAAGCGACTCAGGCAGCGAGCGGCTCCATTTCCTTACCGACCCATCAATCAACACAACGAGCCGACAACTACCACTGCATACCTGACGCTTCCATCCGACCCCTCAAAGACGATGCCGCCTCAATAAAAAGAGTTTTAGCCACCCACGACGTCCCAGCAGCGCGAACGTGCTTGCAACCCTCGCATCCCCGTGCGTTGACTCTGTCGTCACGTTCTGGGGCTTGCACGAGACCGAAGGTCTATACCGACAGCAACAGCGACATTGAAGCGGCCATCCGCCCTTGGCAGTCTACTCGAACTACGACGGCAGTATGGAGCCTCCAGCCCGTCACGAGCAGACCAGGGCCACGATCCGCAGCACGCAGGCTTCGTTCACCACCGCTCGCGCTTCACCCGACCATCAAGACATGCCGCCCTACACCACCATGGCCCATGTGGCCTTCGCTCCTGCTACCCAGCAGACGGTCGTGACGACCACCACAACCACCACCGTCACCCTGCCTCCACTTCTCATCCGCCCGCCCAGAGACATGCTCAGCCGTGACCCCAAGCAATATCCTCTGGCATCAACTTCCACTCCTTCATCGCTGCAGCGCTTCTCTCTCGACCTTGGTGGTACTCCGATCGTCTACCAGGAAGCCGAAAACGTTCAGTCGTCACTCGACAAGGTATTGACTCTTGACATGCCTCTCCTAACCTGCCGCTGACAAGCTTCTCCAGTACAAGCGCCAGCAAGCACAGCTGCAACAATCTAACGGTGTCATCCGCAGCCAAAAGGCCTCCTCACAGACCCATCACACTCCTACTCGACCGCAGGAACTCCGTCCACCGCCGCCCAAGAGGCCATCCTCACCACCCAGTCTTGCCGAGGCCGCAGAGCTTGCTAGTCTGCACCGTCGCAGAAAACACCCTCGCTCGCTCTTGTCACGCACTTGCTCTGGCATCACCTACCCGCTCGACGACGACCTGCAACCTTCTGCTTCACATTCTGCCTCTGCCCTGAACCGTCCCATGCCAGTCACACCAGACACTGATGCCGCCATGGGCAGCGACCGGGAACAGCAGCGAGTGGCCTCTCTTACAGAAAAAGCTCGTGAATGGCAAGAGCAGCATGCGAGACAAAAGGCCTCACTCGCAGCCGGTCCGAGCCACTCCTTTGATAGGGATGCCGCCACTGCCACACCACCTGTTGCAGAGGGCGATCTCGAACCTGTGGACAACCCGTACCCCCGTCTTGAACAGCCAAGACCGTTACCCGCTGGCTTGCTCGCAGGCTCACAGCAAGATGCCAGCCTTCCAAGCCCGAGTCTCTCTCCCGTCACAGCCGCTGCCAATCTGGCCCGCAGTCACCAGCTTCTTCTATCATCTCGTGATGTCGACGACGAAAATGCCAGTCAAGTATCCAGACTGGACCTTGAAGACAGCATGATGGCCGATCAACCGGATGCCCCTACCAGTTCTAGCGAAATCACCCTTCAGTCTCTCACGCGCACTCAGCAGCCCAACCTGCCTCCCCTGACACTAATGGATGTCCCGACAATGATTGATGCTTACGATGCTTTGCCCGAAGACATGCAATCTTATGTACTCTATCAAATGCTCAGACGCTCAACGAAGAAGTCGTTGAGGACAGTCGCTTCGCTAGTCAACCCTGCACTGAAGTGCGATCCCTTTGACGTGCTACCAGTGGAGTTGGGATTGCAGATCACAAAGTTCTTGGATGTCAAAAGTCTCTGCCGTGCGGCTCAGGTCTCGAAGAAATGGAGACATTTGATAGACTCGGATGAAAGAGCATGGAAAGAACTTCTTGACAGAGATGGTTTCAACTTGCCAGAGGGCGAGGTTGAACGCGCGGTACGTGAAGGATGGGCATGGCAAGCCCCTTCTCGAGATGGTTATGAGGAGGATCTCGGCGTTTCAGGATCAACACGCTCAGTCTCTAGAGTCGTTGAACTTGAGCCGATGAGTCCATTGGCTGCAGCTTCGGTGAGTAGCGACGATGCTGGCTCTTCTGCATCATTGCGCATCACACGGACCAAGAGAAAGGCAAGCAGCAGTTCTGGAAGTCACAAAAGACAGAAGCGTAAGACGTCCAGACGCCAAGACGATGCCCCTCTTTGGCTGCGCGACTTTCAAACAGCACAAGGTCCGATGGCTTACGCAAGCGCTGCCGCCAAAGCAGTGCCTAATCCCAGCGTAGGTCTTCCAAGTTTGACCAACTTGCATCTCTTCAAATCCATCTACCAAAGACATTACATGATTGCGAAAAGCTGGATGGACACCGAGGCAAAGCCACGTCATCTGGCTTTCCGCGCCCATCACCGCCATGTCGTCACTTGCTTGTTGTTCGACTCAGACAAGATCTTGACCGGTAGCGACGACACCAACATCAACGTGTATGACACCAAGACTGGAGTGTTGCGCAGGAAGCTCGAAGGACACGAAGGTGGCGTATGGGCACTACAATACGAAGGTGACACGCTGGTATCTGGCTCGACAGATCGCTCTGTTCGAATTTGGGACATCCCTTCTGGCAAATGTTTACAGACATTCCAAGGCCACACCTCTACCGTCCGCTGTCTTGTCATCCTAAAGCCTGTCAAGATCGGCACCGCTTCAGATGGCTCGCCCATCATGATGCCAAAGGAGCCCTTGATCATCACCGGTTCGCGTGACTCTACGCTCAGAGTATGGAAGCTCCCTCGCCCGGACGACCCGCAGATTCATCAAGCTGGGCCGCCAGCGAACGACAGCGATAACCCTTACTCTCTGCGTGTTCTTACTGGTCATCACAACTCAGTCCGCGCTATCGCAGCGCATGGTGACACTCTCGTCAGCGGTTCATACGACTGCACCGTTCGGGTGTGGAAGATCTCGACTGGCGACATGGTGCACCGTCTGACAGGACACACACAGAAAGTTTACAGTGTGGTCCTCGACCATGACAGAGGTCGTTGCATATCTGGGTCAATGGACAACCTGGTCAAGGTGTGGTCTCTCGACACAGGAAACTGCCTTTTCAACCTTGATGGACACACGTCTCTGGTGGGCCTCCTCGATCTCAGCCACGGACGTCTGGTCAGTGCTGCAGCAGATAGCACTCTGCGCATCTGGGACCCGGACAATGGAAACTGTCAGTCCATCTTGTCAGCCCATACTGGGGCGATCACCTGTTTCCAGCATGATGATCAGAAAGTCATCAGCGGCTCAGACCAAACACTCAAGATGTGGGACATTGAATCAGGTGAATGTCTACGTGATCTCCTTTCGGATTTGAGTGGAGTGTGGCAAGTTCGCTTTGACGAGAGAAGATGTGTTGCCGCGGTGCAAAGAAATAACCTTACTTACATCGAGGTATGTGTACAGTGATTATTTACAACTGCAGCAAGAACTAACACATCGCAGGTGCTGGACTTTGGCGCGGCTCGAGACGGTATACCGGAGAGCAAACGCGGCCATAGAATCGTGGTCGACCCACGCGGCCGCGAAATCGAGGACGTCGAAGCAACCGCGGAAACGCAAACAGCCGCAGCAGCAGCAGCAGCAGCAGCAGCAGCAGCAGCAGCAGCACGGGGCGGCTAGTAGCAAAATCGATGAAGAAACCTGACGATCACGGATTACGAATGAGTGACGGCGACGAAAGAGTTTGTTGAACAAAATGCATTTTTTATGGGTAGGAGAGACGAACGAATTTGGGAGGGGAAAAATGGATACCCGAGCATTAGTTGTGTGCATGAAGGATGCACACCCTTAGCTTGCTCATGTTTTTTAGCCTTTCTTTTGTCACGAAGAGTACGGAGTCTATGGTGTTGAGGTGGCCTTTGATGGCATTTTTGCTACTATTATTTTCCGAGCAGAACATTATTACACGACATAAGTCGACGTCTTCAAGCTGCTCCAATTCTTTCATATCTTTGTCACCTCTTTCGTTGTATCTTTCCCCTTGTCCACAGTAATACAGAGGTCTCATGAGTCGCGGAGCGGGCAGAGTCATATCCTAAACCGAGCAACATGCGTGAGGATGCAGTGAGACAACGACTCCCAGTAAAAACGATGCTCACCTGAAGAAAAGGAGATGTTGCATTTGCATATAGCTTTTGACTCTTGCTTTATAAAAAGCCGCCCATCCATGATGGAGTAAAAAGCTGGAGCTTGGCCTCTTTTTTTTTTATTTCTTCCTGCTAGGCTCTCTCTCTCTCTCTCTCTCTCTCTCTCTCAACATGATCTTTCGGTTCACGCTCTCTTAGGTACTCCTGATACACAGAAAAACAACATGCCTCAGGAAGATATCAATCATAGAAGTGTTGGTATTTCATTTCTCGTAATAGCAATAGTAGTAAGTTTTTACGAATAGAACAAGCGGCAAAAAAGAAAAAGAAACCCCAGACTCCCCAGCAATGAGTATCCCAAGAGCTTAGGCTAAAGCGGGAAAAAGAGAAGAAGCGAAGAGAAAAGTAAGAAGAAGCAAGATGTAAACTGTCCCTGGCATCTTGAGGAGTTTTGATCGACGTCCGGTCAATGCCAACTCCATAGCTGATAACGCTCCTATCGTCTCAGACTGCCTGCAGCACGTGAGAACAGTCCACGGCTAGGACTCTTGGCTTCTACAGTGCCACTAGGTGTCACGCCTAGGTTATAGGACGAGACTGCTTGATTGGCTGCTTGCATAGCTAGAGAGTCGTCACTACCACGGCCGCTGTGAGTGATGTTCGGTCGTTTCGAGGGCGAGACGGTCATGCCGCGGCTGGATCTTGATGATTGGTCGGAAGAGGAGGTGTGATGTTCACTCATGCGACGGAAGAGCTTTTGTGTTTTGTGCGAGAGAGCTGCTCGTACGCCTCCGCTGCTGACTTGCGGCTTGGTGATGGGAGGTCCCGGTTGAAAGGTTGATATCGAGCTTGGTAGTTGTAGGTTCGTCGTAAGGTTGGGTGTAGTCTCAGATCGCTCCATGCGTTGAGGACGTAGGTTGGAGGATCGTGACGTGGAGTTGTTTCTCTGAAGCGTCGATGGAGGTGTTTGCATGAGCGCAAGGTTCGGCGTCGTCTCTGAGCGCTCCATTCGACGTCGACGATTGTCATTCTGCTTCAATGGGATCTTCTTATCATCCGTGGTTAGACCTCGTCCTTCAAAGCCCGTGCCCCTAGTGGAAGAGATGTTACGGCGGACTTGAAATCTGGAAGGTGTGCCTTTCAAGATGGAGCCGCCATTAGGATACGATCCATCTGAACCAGCACTACCGGTCCGGAGGCCGTGCGATTGCTCGTAGTCGCCATCTTCCTCATCAGTTGAAGAGAGAGATACACTATGCCTGTTGAACCATCCAGCACCAGTCAATACGTGCTTTGCGTCCGGCCTAGCTTCCTCCTTGCTCATATCAACGACACTCGGAGGTTCGGGGGTGTGTAGTAGCGCTGCGTGCTTCTCTGCGTTCGGGAGATTTGCGGTCGTTCTATGCGTAGACTGACCGGTCATGTATGAATCTTGCAAGAGGCTGGTGCTTGCGCTATCCGGTGTTGGTGGTAGCAAGGCCCCGAACGTCGAGGCCTTGAGCGACGGCGTCCTTTTTGGCATGAATTGAGAGGGCGCAGTAAACTGTATCGGTTGTTGTACACCTCTTTCCGAAGATTGGACGGAAGATTGGGGTGTTTGCACCTGCATCCAAGAATTGATGTCGCTGCCCGAGTCGCGCTTGCTTCCGGCGTTTCGCGAGATATTCTCCAGTTGACTGTCAGAAATGGTGATATTATCCGAACCATACTTGACATTGTCTTGGCCCCTGGGCAGATCGTAGATGCTCGGGAAACTACTTTCACTCAAGACACTGAGACGTGGTGAATCCAGAGTGTCAACATCAGAGACCGATTTGTCGACATCTTCTCTTTGCGGCATCAATGATGCGAAGCTCTTGACAGCATGCAACATTGGCGTTGGTTCCAGATAGACGCTTCTCAGAGCCCGTGTGTTTGGTTTTTCGTCACCCACAAAGGATGGTATACGCTTTTGTGGACTAGCTGAGCTCGGTCGGGCGATTGCTGACTTGTCGGCCTTCGGCGGTGGAAGGATAGCCTGTGGGTAGGGTGATGATGAAGCGGCATACGTAGGCGCCGGCGCTTCTGTTAGATCGCTACGGGCCTGTTGCGATTGTTGGCTTCGCTCAAGCCTCTCTTCTAGGTCACAAATGATGGAGACAGCTTCTTGAACGGCTTCGTCGCGGTGCTCCAATTCCTTAACTAGGCTGTCGTTGAGATCGAGAAGTGTAGCGTTCTCTTCGACGAGCCTGTTGGCGTCCTCTGCGCGAGATGCCAGTAGTTTGCAGTTGTCTTGCAATTTCGCCATGCGCTCGCGACAGTGGAACAGCTCAAGTTTCAGGTCAAAGTTGAGCTTGGAGAGTTTGTCCATGCGTTTCTCCATTTCGCGGGCGCCGAGAGATGCAGTGGCATTGACGGGGGCATGAGCGTTGTTAGGTGTTGTCGTTAGGTTGTCGTTGGCTGAGGATCTGGCCTCGTCGATAAACAAATCATCATCCAAGTTGCTAAGTCTCGAAGTTGAGTCTGAGCGGCGCGACCTGGTTGCTGGATTTGCGCGTCGCGCCTGTAGACGATCGAGTAGATAGGGAGATGCTGGGTTAGTCATGTCGCGTAAGACGTTGTGAGTTTAGGAGGATGCAATCGTGATCATGCTCTGATAAGTAGACATGGAATAGTGACGCCGTCAATCCAAAGTGAGGAAAAGCGGTGACGAGGCAGTTGTGAAAGAGAGACAGGGTCAAAGACACGCAAAGGGTGAGTTGAATTTGTTTGGCTGGGTATGGGCCGAGCAGATAAAGTCGACCGTTGTGGAATGCGCTCGTCGCTGGAGCAGCAGGGACGTTGACGGCACTCACGCAGCATAGGCTTTGCAACGTACTCGAAGGACAAACGTGTACATGGACCGAAATATGTTGAAAAGATACAGAGCGCGGGAGTCGTCTCGAAAGGAAGGCCAGGCACAGGAAGGGACCATCACTTCACAGGACCCGCATGCCGAACGCCCATCACAATGCAGCCTTCCCGAAGCCGCGCGAATGATACGACAGGACGAGCGCGTTCAGAGCCCCGCTAGTCAGCAGGTCCCCGCAATTGCTGCCCAATAGAGTTTGATGAACTCCGTTTCATCTTTCGACATGTGTTTGCTTCACGTTGCCTTCCATTGCTGAAACCTTCTTAATGAAGGCTACTGAACAGGATCAGCTACGAATGCATCATATTGTTCCGGACATCAGGGAAAATGTATCACCAGAGTCTAGTTCGTCTTGCACGACACTTGGGTGTGAACACCTCACTCATGAACCTCTAAACTGATCAAGAAGTTGGCCACCGATTGTCCTCCTTCTACCACCCTCAACCTCTTCAGGTCTTGAACCACTAGCCGTAGCAGCCTCTCCTTCCAAGCGTCTCCTCAAGCCTTCAAATCGCTCTCTTTCCCTCTTACCGGCACTTGTGTCCGGGATTCTCCATGAAGCAGCACCGGGCAAGATCTCCCTCCTGTACGCGTAGCCAACCAACCAGCCCACCCCTGCTACGATAGCAGAGCCAGGGAGCTGGGCAAGTGCCAGTTGGAGAGGCAGGACGTATGACGTCGTTTTCGAGGTCAAGTTGATGGCTGACCTTGTTTGGTGCGAGTCGCTGGCCGAGAGCTGGTATTTGTACATGTAAGGAATGGCGGCGTGGTATTGTGCGAGGAGGGCGAAGACGATGGCTGTGGGGCCGGCGGGTAGGTAGTTGATGTTGTAGAATGAGAGTGGTCGGACGACGAGGACAAGGAGCAGCGGTGGGAGCAAGACGGTATAGGGCAATGTCGACAGAAGGAACGACTGCGACTTGGTCAGTTACAAGCTTCGTGGCTGCATGCTTGTCGGAGAGGACTTACGGCGAACTTGCGCGAACCCCAGAGACGCTCAATGACGCGTAATTGGTACAAGGTCATGGCTGAGAACAGCACCTCTGTCGAATTGGTATAGACCAGCGGCCAGGTCAAGCATCGCCATAGCTGTCTGTAGTCGGAAATGTGCGGCTTGATCAAGATCCAGAAGAGGTGCTTGGTGTCGGTGATGCTGGCTAGGAGCGACCCGACCACTACTGCCATGACCAAGTACTTGGATAGCGGTGCATTGCTGAACCCGGATGCCAGCATCCTGTCGCCAGCTCGTTCGTTGTATTGTGTGTTGGCAAAGTTATTGGAAGACAGTGTGGGCTAGAACAATCATCCAGGACACCATGTCATTTCCCCACACTCGCTTGCGCCTCTTTTGTCCCATGAGCCAAAGTTTGTCACTCTCACTCGAGACACTCGATTACCAGATCGTTCACCCGCTTGAATATACATCTGGAGAGCACCTGCCCCATGTCGAAGATCGGAAAGCCAGCACGAGACCATGAGGCAGAGTTTGGAGTATGAACAAAAATGAGAAATTTGAATGCTATCTATAGGGTATAGTAAATGCTGTTTGTTGTTTGCCAGCAAAACAAGAAAACTAACTGACGAGGAAGGAAATAAAAAACCGCAGTTCATGTATGCGAAACAAATGTCAGAAAACAGCTATTACAAACACCAGAAATGAGTCAACAGCTTTTGAGGCTCGCAAATTTTGCGATGTGAAGAGAAGGGAACAGAAGAGTACAAGTGTTCAAAGTCCAACTTTCTAAGGCTTCGAAAGCTGTTCCTTGCGGAAAAAGGTGAAGAAACCGACACAGATGCCGAGTTGGAGAAGTAGACATATCCAGAAGTCTGCGCTTGTGAGGCCGTCCTTCCATTTCACTGAGAAATCAGGGAAGACGTCTCCGGGTCCTGTAGCATCGGGCGCGGTGGCACGCGATAGGATTGTAGCAACGGAGCCGATGACTTGGGCGGCCACGAGAGTGAAGGTGATGTGGAAGCGAGTCAATGTCTGCAACAGGATCATACCGAAGCCTATGCCCTGAACCGAGTCTAGCACACCAAGCCATAGCCATAGACCACGTCCTAGAAGCGCCGAGGCTACTGGGCTACCAGCCCATGGCAAATACATGCCGATATTGCTGCAACTCCAGAGGATCTGGCACCATCTAGGTGCGCCTAAGCCAATGGCAAAAATAGGGATGAACCACGAATGGGTAGTGCTAAGATGCGAGAACCACCATAGCGCCAGAGCCCAAATGATGACGAAGAAAAGTACGATGAGAAGGAAGATCGACCAGGCAGGTGCATGCTTAGAGCTCCACAAGTACTTCCAATTGCGACCATAGATGGAAGCGAGGAAGTAGTTCTGTACAAAGACTGCCACGAAGAACCAGACGATGATCTTACGTCTCCTCACGGCATTATAGAAGGAGGGTACTGCTCCAGGTGCTTGACGATAGAACGCAGGCAAGCCTAGCCATAGAAGGATACCTATAGCCCAGAGGAATATAGCGATCGGCACACCAATGGCTGTCATGGTGGAGCCATAAGTCACCAAAGTAGATGCGCCCTTACCACTATCGCTGAGGGCAGATAGCTTATCACCCCAGTACCAGAGCCCGACAATGTAGAGCTGCTGAGTGCCTTGGATCATGCAAGCACGGAAGCCCCATGTCTTGATAGGTGCCGATCCAGTGCTACCAAAGTTCTGAGCGAAGAAAAACGATCCGGCAGCACTAGCGAAGGAGTAGAAGCCAGTGGCGACGTTCTGGATCCAGCCACGACCAGAAGTTGTCGCTGCATATGGAGCCATACCAAGCAAGAAGAAAGCGAATCCGTAGAAGAACCAGGGCAGCGCCATGGTGTAGATCAAGGCAAAACGACGGAATGCGAACCACCACATCAGCGAAGCAGCAAGGTAGATACATGCGACAATGTACAGCTTGCTTGCAGCCTCACCGATCTCTCCAGTAAGTAGTGTGATCTGGTAGCTGTTGGCAGCAATAATCTGACCAAGTGCAAGGAAGAGTGAGTACATGGGCCAATCACCAACCTTGTACATCATCAGACGACAAACGCCTGTAGGAGCTTGATAGTCTCGAGGTAGTAGAAACTGGTCAGCGGTCTCCTTTTCAGGGTCCATGTTGGTGTTGATGAATCCACCGGTAGGGGAGTTGGCACGAGTAGCAGCAGGAGTTTCTTTGGCCATCTTTACATCGTGCATACGGTTGAACCACTGCTTTTCCGACTTTTCGAGGTAGTCTTCGATACACAAGGCCGATTCAGAGTTCTTGCCATTGAGTTCTTCGAGTTTGCGCTCGAAAGTACGGTAGTACAGGCCAGTAGAGTCCGTGAAGAATGGTAGTAGATCCTGAGGTGTTTTGTCTTCCTTTTGCTCGATGACTCGGTCAACAGTCAAGGACGATTCGGCGTTGGCTGATCTACCCAGAGAAGGAGGGAAAGGTAAGAATGGCGAAGAGGCAGATGGACTAGCGATGCCAGGGGTACCAGCAGGGGAGAACGTGTAGGGGCTGTTGGCACCGAATGGATCTTGATTTAAGAAGGGGAAGCCTGAACGTGCCTCTTCTTGTGCTTGTTCCCTGGCCTGTTGTGCGTCTTCGCTTGAGATGCCAACCTCCTCGTCCTCGATTTTCGATAAACGGTTGCGGCTTTGCGTTGCCTCGGTGGAGTTACGTCGCGATAGCGTGGGACGGGAGCCAGAGAAGCTGCGAGCCCGTTGAACATGACCTGGTCCAGCACGCGTACCAAGGGAAAGTGAGTTGTTACGAGACTCTGTGGGCGAGGAGTCCGCAGTGTTCTCCTGGGTGGGAGATGAGGGCCTGGTTGGGTTGGGCGTGCCTCTACCCCAGGGTGTGCCAGCACCAGGAGTGGTCCAGCCACTGGGGGTCATCCAACCAGGCATGTTGGGTGTGTTGTAACCACTGCCCCAAGGGGTAGTGGCGCCGGACATACCACCGTTACGTTGTTTTCTCTCAATACGCTTGTTGTGGATCTTGATTGACTTTGTCTGTAAGATCTCAAGGTCTTCTTTCCACTGTGCAACAGGGAAGCGCTGCTTGGCCGATCTCGCTCTCATCAATGCCCTTGTCTCGTAACTGGACTTCAGTGCGCCGTCAATGGCCATCTTGAACTGGTGCATTTGATGTTTAGTGGTCAGGGACTCGATGGTGTACCACCAACCAGGCATCTGACCCAGACCTCCGACACGAGAACCAACACCGAGAGCACCCTTGCGACCAAACTCGACAGCGACTAAACCGAAAGGCTCGTCTCTGCTGGGGATGAGGGCAAACTCGGCTCCAGAGAAGATGAAAGGCGGGAGTGCGGTAAACTCAGGCTTCGAGTAAACTCTGCCAGGATACTTCTTCATCATGATCTCCAGCTTCAGGGCTGCAAACTTGCCGTAAAGATCGATACAAGGTCCGACACAAAGAAGCTGGACGTTCGGGTTCTCTTCAAGTAGAGAAGGAAACACATCTGCGATCAGATCAATTCCTTTTTGCATCGACCAACGACCAACGAAGACGAAAAGGTCAGCATCAGGCTTAACCTCGAGACCAGCCCATTCTTGAGCTTGACGTCTGAGACCTGCTCTGGAGGACTCGTAGACCTCGTCGATGACAGCATCGTTCGGATTTGAAAGCTTTTTATCCCATTCCGCAACATCTGAAGGATCAGGATTGGGCAACGCACCAATACTGCTCAAACCCCAGAAGATAGGATACCTTGCCCAAGAGCGCTTGCCGTACTTTTTACTGACACCGACAGCGCCAAAGCCCTTTTGATGAATTCGCAAAATACTGGCGCCGGCATGCAGAAGGTTGAAGATCTCACCAAATTGTACATATTTGGCAACAACAGATTCAGAGAGGTTGTAGACGGAGCAAACCTCAGCTCTTTCCTTTGCATTACGCATCGGCCACAAACCTTGGAACTCTGCGTTATGAAGAGATAAGCAGACAGGAATGGTTTGAGGTAAAAGGTATAGCGGGGCGATGGTTCCGTGATAGTCGTTGATATGGTAGAGATCGATGGGGAAGCGGCGGCATGCCTCAGCAATGCACTGATTCCATGCAGAGTAATAAATGGCAGAGTCGAGATCATCCATACGAGCAGGGTAGGGCTCCTTAGCAGACTGCTTTCTGAACACAGGAGCATCTAGTAGCATGTAGGTGATGTTCTCAAGCTTGTGGTACTGAACTTGGACCTCATAGACCTTACCAAGAATAGTGACGTCGACTGGCTCACCAGGAGTATCGATAGGGTAATCAATTCCACCGACACAGGGGACAACCCAAATGAGGTCTTGATGCTGTAGATTCTTGCCCATAAGCTGAGCCATCACACCCAGTCCACCAATCTTGATTTTGATGTTCCAGTCCGAGATGTCGTATTCCATTGTACCGATAAGGACGGTCCTGCGCTTAATCATGGCTCCAGCTGTTATGATACCACCGCTATCCACAACAACATTGCCACCGACAGTCTCGGAGCTAGAGGAAAGGGCTATGTCTTTCTCGTTGAATACTTCTCCTTTCCTGAACTTGCTCCTTATAGCCAAAGGTATGAAGGACTTTGGGTCTGCTAGGCCTATCTGGTTGAACTTGACTCCGTAGAAGGCTTTCTTGTAGAAGTAGATACTAAGGAGACCGGTCAAGGGAGGAATGACTGCGAACAAGATGAACATGGCCAGTTGCCTCCAACGGTTTCCAACGGGGATAAGAACGTAGCGGAAGGAAGCGTCACTGAAGTGAATGCGCCATGCAAGGAACGGTGACTCAGGACCATTGTTAGTGATGTTGACAACCGACATCTCAAGGGATGTCGGGCCGATGCGATCTAGAACGGTGTCGTTGTCGATGTCACCAAAGGCAGCAGACACATCGGGGGTTCCGTCGTCAGCCATGCCCCAGACGTTGAGTTGAAATTGTGACGGCCATTCGGTTATAAAGTCATACTCCCAGGTGCTGTTGCCGACGAGCGTCATTTTATTGTCCAAGCCTGAGTCGTAGCCATACTCATTGAACGAGCCGTGAACGAAGAAGTGAGGGAAGCGACGCACGTGCTCTGCGGATCCGTAGACATCACCTTCTTGGAGATGGTCACTGCTACCTGCTGCCTTGGACCAGTATTGGACCTTGACATGGTCACCGGTCCACTTTTGTCTCTTGGATCCTGCCCAGATTTGCTTATCCAGAGTACTATTGCCGCCCTCGTAGGCCATCCAGTCGGACCACTCTGCGCCCCAAGTCAAAGAATATCTCCACTTATCAGCACCAGGAGCTCTGTGCTGGACATAGAAAGCATCTTCTTTGGTGCCAGATATCTCCGATGCCCGCTTAGTCAAACCATTGCTGCTGAACAGAAGTGTCGAGCTATAGTTTGCCTTGAAAGGAAAGACCATGGGGTTGTCGATCTGACCAACTCGGAACATCAAATTATCCTTTGAGCCAGTGAAGTCAGTTTTGCTGGCAGAGGTGGCATTGTTGACAGTGATCGTGTGAATACCATTGGCAACATTCGTGATGTTTGTGCGGAATCTCCAGATGGATGGGGCAGCACCATAGAACAGGGGTTCATCCAGAAGCTCGGTGGTCAAACAGTCGACACTGTCAGTATCGACGACCGCGACTGAACCATCACCTGTGGTGGACGTGATATTGATTGACTGGCGAACCGAATCACAGTCCATCTCTCTGGAAAATCGAAGTTCCAAGGCCAATGTCTCCTTATCCTCGTTGCTCACCAAGATTCGCGAGTCATGGCCGATAAAAGTGTCGTTGAGTATAATCTTGGTCAAGAAAGGAGAAGGCTCCTCCCATACATCCTTGGGGACGAACGCCGCGTAGCCATACTTCGTCACGTTAAGCCAAGGGAGACAGCCATTATACTCGGTAGATCCATTGAAGCCTAGTTTCTCCGTAGAAGGCTCTAGCGTTCTTTCGTCATAGGGGTAGTACAAGTTTTTGACCTTGGTACCTGTATCATAAGGTGCGATGATTGCATGTCCACTGGTGCTGCTGCAGTCGAATGTGTAGTTTCTAGAGCCGTTGTAGTTGCTCATGACAAGCCAAACGGGTTGATTACCATGGCCTCCAGCATCGGAGAGGTCTTGCGCGCCCTCCATTTCTCCGCGATAGATACTCCAGATACCAGTTTCAGTTGGCACACCAAATGAACCGTTCAGGTAGTAGTGGAAGGTCTGGTTAGATAGCTGACGAACATCGAAGCCATCATTGAGGACAGGGTATCGTCGTCTTAGCTGGTGCCCGGACTTGAGATAGTTGTACATAGGATGCGTCGGATCACGGTGATCAAGAGACACTGCGTCATCCTGACACCCAACCGTAGAACTGTTGACTGGCCAATTGCTCAAATTGATATTGTCAAGTTTGAAGCAGCCGTGCATTTGCTGGGAAGCATAATTAGCATGATTCTAAGAGAGGAACGGTACGTTTCGACGAGCCAATAGAGAGGTTATTTAGTGGCTGTTGACTCGGACCAACCGTACCCTCACACACTTACCCAAGCTTGTGCCGAGCTCATAGACTGTCGGCCGTAGATGTAGTTGGTAGCGGTATTGTCTAGAACGTAAAAAAGCTGTTCTTCGCCCCAGGAGACCATAGAGATACCAGGTACCACAAGGGTATTGACGAAGGACCCCAGAACCTGTCTCTCGGTACCATTGATAAGCCCAGGCCATCTTAAAACATCCTGGTTAGATACACCATACATGTGGCGCGGGTCGAATTTGCCGTTGTTGGCATTGACAAAGTCGTTGGTCTGTACCATGACGTGCCATGCATCGACGAAATTAACGGGTGCATCTGAGGCAGCAAGTAGGTTGCCGTCAAGTCCGAGAAATCTCATCAGGCCACGGTAGATAGTGTAGTGGAAAGCACCGGCATCCAAGGCCTGATGGCTGTCGTCGCGGATGTAAGTCGTGTTAGTGGTCGCTGCCTCGGTCAAGTTTTCTACTTGCATGTCGGGTTCTTTGCCTCGTCCAATGTAGATGGCGCCGTTAGCATTACCGTTGACGATTTCACCAGGGATGAAGAAGTTGTATTTTCCGATGCTCGCAGCGCACTCGCGCATGGCGTGAGAGAAGTTACCTTGACCATCAACGGTAACCTGCATAGCCTTGTCGATACGGAAGCCATCGAAGTCGAGAGCTTTGAGCATCATACACATGAAGTGCTGAAGCTTCGTCTGTACTGACGGGCGCCAGTCGCGTAGGCGGTCTTGAACGCCATTGAACTTAGAAAGCTGTTTCTGCCACTCAGGGTACTGTCCGAAGGCACCGACATCGCCATATTGGTCGAACTCGCTGTCCATACATCCAATCATTTTGGTGGTGTTCTCATCCTGGACCAAAGCACCTCCCTGATCCCAGAAGCGCGGATACTCGTAAGGACATTCCTCATGCCACTCGTTATTGAACTCCCAATCTTGGTACCTTTCGCCAGACTTCCAAACTGCCGTGTGCTCTTTGAAAGACCAGGGTGTGCTGCTGTTGTAGAATCCTTCGAACGCTATGACATCGCTCATAGTTGCCATGGTGTTGTCGAGCAGGACGTACATGCCACGCGAGTGGATATCGTTGATCAAGTCTCTCCATTGAGCAATGGTACCGAAGTGAGCGTCCAAGTAAGTGTGGTCCTATGTGATTGTCAGTTGAAATTTGAGCTATGATTTAGGGTACGCTGGAAACTTACCAGAGGGCTGTAAGTGTCTGCCATCCAGGGGAAGTTATAAAAGACACTGCCAGCAAGGTAGATACCCTTGATGCCCATTCCTTGAAGATAATCTAGCGTATCCCGCACGCCTTCGGTGTCACCACCGTGACGCAGTTGCGTACCATAGATATCGTGTTCCCATGCAGTACCGTTACTGAGTGGATGTTAGATTTGATGACGAACAGGTCATCATTAGCTTACATATTATCATTGCTTGGATCTCCGTTCACGAATCGGTCCATGAAGAAACTGTAAAACGGGAAACGCCAGTTGTCCGGAGAAGGATGGTAGGTGTGGTTATCATAGACTGTATAGTAATCCAACGGATCTGTGGCATCCTGTGCCATATTCAGATTCCACTCGACATATCTTCCATCATAGCGAAGAGCACGAGCTCCGAGAGAGCCCAATGCCAACGGTAAGAGCCATCGGCCGCGCATTGTGAAGTCGTAGGGTCGTCAGAAAATGTCAAGAAGCGATGCGAGGTTGAGTTATCCAGCGCCACGAAGGCGAAACGACGACAAGAAGGCGTATATTCCTAGATATCAGACATAGATGCCGAGCAGAATCAAGCGAGTGTCGGGTGTCGTGCAAAAGAAAGCTGGTGCGGCAAACAAACAGGAAGAACCTGAGTGGTTATGTAGTACAAGAGATCGTAGAAGGCAAGGACCCAAAACTCAATATGTGGAGGAGTGGGTCTACCGAAAGATTGCTATCAAGGATAATTGTAAAGCAAGAAGAGAATAGAGGCGTAGAGAAAGGCTACAACCAAGTGTTGAATGTCCAGGAGCTTGGTCGGGTTTGTCGAGGACTCAATGTCAACAGAAAAAGGCCGGCAACAATTGGGGAATTGCAGCAGCTTATCTTGATTTGCTTAGACTTATCGGTGATAGGACGGTAAGAAGGGCACTGTGCGGCGGCGAGCATGGTTCAATTGATACACTGACCATCAATGATGCATTTAGACATAGTCCATTGCAGGGGTGGATTTGGCAGTAGCAGAATGATCGTCAGGCGGCTTAGCGGGACAGTCCGCCGACTACATTCAACCTGTCTTTTTTTCGGGCCTTACTGCAAGTGATTACTCTCAATCGGAACTGCGGTCACAGTCCAACGACTCAGGCACTGCAGTGCGCGTCCGATGCGCCACGCCGCAGTGTGTGCTCATGGAACGTCCCCCTTCCATATAATCCCGTGTACTATCGCGCAGAAGCTGCATCGAGGCACATTACCGTACTCAGTTTGTAGAATTGCAGCAATGTCCGCAGGGGTTTGCCGCCGAGTATCTCTGCGGAGGCTCGTCTGACTCAAGGAAATCAATATGCCTTCTTGCAGCTTACTTCTGCTCTGCACACCGTGGAGGGTGAATGACAAACTTCAGCATGTGGGGTGTCCACGTTTCATGTTACCTCTGCTGTGGGAAACGGCCGAGAAAGAGGCGGTCGTGCTCTGGAGCGGCGGCGGACAAGCTGCAAGAGAGACAAAAAGACTTCGGGGTGAAACATCTTGTGTCGACATCTTGGCGAAGCTTTCCTGGCAGGATGGTTGGGTGACAAGCCTGTTGATCGCCCATGCATGTGCAGTGACTAGGGCATGGCGATATGGCTTCTTGCTGTCCGCAGTGGACAACTCACTTCCGATGACCAAATCTCCCTCTCTTCGAGACTCCAAGCTTGGACGTTGCTCGTAAGACCCGTAGCTGGATCGATTTGGCTTGACTGATTGGCTGCAGGCGGCACCAAGGGTCAGATGAGATTGACGAGGTGATGTCGCAGATCCCAGCCAATCTTCTTGTCTAACAAGCCTGCATGCTCGACGGTATGATATCGCCAATTTGGCGAAGCCGTATAGCAATAGGATCCGCACCTCTGAGATCAGAAGTTCATGTTCTTCACTTTGATAAATACCGCCTAAAGAAGGTGTCAAATTTGGGTTCTCGACACAAAGTTATTCTTTTACTTGCGACACGTCGTAAGCGCCTACGTTTCGAATTCCCGCTGTGGGCCCCACCGCACAAGCCTTCCTTGGCCTCTGCCATCATCGCCGTTTGGCTTGCCAGACTTCCGAGCCGCCGGCACATCGACGAATCGACGTTGAACTTCCACGTTCCTGCATTGTCATTGCCGCCACGCCGTCCGCCACGTCAAGCCTCGCACTGTGAACGGAACTTTTATTTCAACGACCTTTCGTGCAGTGCTAGTTGGCCGCGCCTCTCTTGCTAGCGCTAATATTCTCCGTCGTCATTGCTCTGGCCATACCGAGCAGGCGAGGTCAGGGATTTGCTCATTCGTTGAGCAAGCCATAACGGATGCAGGTCCACCCTGCCGGTAATACAGACGTAACCCAGAGATGTGGGCGACATCAGATCTCTAACCCGGTCCTGCCAAGGGCGAACGTATGTTCCTGGGCACAGTGGCACAAATCGACATCCTTTGACAACAGAATTACAACAACGAATGGACTTAACGTCGCTGAGCTTCCGTAATTTCATACTGTTAACTTGCGTTAGTACATCATTGTTATTCAGCGCTCGATTTTGCGCTCTATAGACATCGTAGGTACGATTCTGCTGCCGTGCAGACGCGCGGTTGCGCCGTGAGAATGCCCTACGGACGTACTCCGATCGCGGACCGCAGCGAGAGTCCAAAAATCGGATAATTGCGCACATCACCAGCTTTCGCAAATCTCCAGCAACAATCCACTCTCATCGCGACTGTGAGTGTATCTGAGTTGTTAGTCAAACAGCTCTGCTACAGCACAGACGAAGTGGCACGAATGTCTTCGATGATCTGATCAGACGCTGCACGGTGCTGTCGATCCGCATAAACATTCTCTGCCAAGCTGTATGGATATTTCCCTTTGATTTCCAGTCCGTTTGACAATATGAGACCGACACAGCTCTCGAGGATCATCAAGCGAGGAAGCGCGGAATACGCATGAGACTTACGCAGCATGACAAGCCATGTAAGCCAAGTCGTGCGCAGCCACAACTTTAGTCTACTTGCCGCCTAGCTATTTGCTTGCCCATCAGAATATGCACACTCTCGCGCAGAAGTCCTATTAATTCGATTAGCCTAGGAAGTCTCGAATGTCTGTTAGACTGTGTCTCAGCTTCGACCTTGCCGAATTAGGCTTGTTAATCGTGTATTGCCGTTCTGTCACATCGCTCTATTTCTTCCACATACATGGTACGCTGAGTCAAGTAATCACGCAAGACTTATGCGTCAAGATGTTCCACCGATGGCATAAGCGGCCTTCTGTTGCTATTGACTGTCCGTTCCTTCCAGCTAGGGATATGTTGTATCAAAAGCTTGCAACTCTTCCCAATCCCTTCCGTTGGAGTCTTGAGGTGGCGGATGTCACGACTGATGCCTACTTCAGTGGTTTTCACATGCCGTTACGCTACTACTGAGTATTGGAAGAAATCTCGCTATGGCTCAGCACCAACTGGCTGACGTTCAGTGGCCTGCCCGTTGGCCATGTATCTTGACCTCAGCTGGCGGTGGTCAGTCAAAGGTACTGGGCGTGAGGTAGAACGCAAAGCATCCTCTCCAGGATGCATATGTCGAACCGTGAAATCTTAGCATTCTGCGGTGCGACCATGTCAAAATCGGGCTGTTACAACAGAGCAGATCAGCCTAAGAGACTGCTCTTCCAATTGTAGGTCAACATCTTCAAGTTTCTGCAAAAGCCGAGCTAACGCAGATCCGCGCTCCTGAATTTGCAGTGAAACGTTCGGTAAAGTTCCTTGCGTTGCATGCTGATCAGGGCGATATTCACCTTCATAGATCCTTCAAGTCTATGTGTCACCCAGCAATACAGGCGAGCATCTTGCTTGAACAGAACTGCCAGCACCTCCTTTTGTTCAAAGTTACTTGATCCCTCGCCATATCGTTAATGACTAGGTTGACTCTGTCGTTGTCACGCAATGGTGGATTCTACGCTCGAGGGGTCAATCAGGTTACTCTGGATCGTTCTGTAGCCATCATTTGAATGCCCATTCGACCCGACTATTGGCTCATGCTAAACACACTCTGTTGAGCATGGCATCTGTCAGATTTTGACGCCACCGGATGCCTTCTGTCTTCACGCCTTCAGGCAGTATTAATGTCTCCCGTTCAAGCTTCAAGCTTGAGAGCATTTAGACCATGTATTTTCGAGTCTGAGAATTGACGTTGATACTTCACGAAATTCAGTGTTTATCAGTTCCAAGTACTGAACATTAAGCACAGCATGGAGACCGGAGGACCAAGCTACTGCCTGATGTCTACGCGAGTCTTGAGGTGAAATAATATCGTCGCGACATCAGGCCAACATTGACTCTACAGACAAGGCGACCTATCGAAGCTTTCTCTGCAATCATGTTTATCAGAAGTTAGCTTCCTTGTTATCTCAAAGCGTAGTCACGGTCAAGGACCTTCTGAAGGAGGGCCTGAAACGAGCTTTCGGGAAGGCACGAGTCAGCGCGAGAATGTCGATAGCGCCAGTGCGCCATCCCAATCAATCGAGACATATTAACATCTAAAACCTGCTCGACGTCCCACAGATAGAAATATAATTGTGGCGCCGCTTCGTGCCGGCACTTTTTTCTTCGGACATCCATGACCGCTTATCAAACGCAGCCACGGCGAAAAATGCATCCGGTGATGAATAAAGGTCGCGATTGCCAAATCTGTCCAATCTAGCGACAGCACATGAACGGATCGCTGCAACTGATTGCCTGAACGCCGAGTGGCTGTAAAAACTCCGAGAGGCAAGCCTCAACCATCTCCTGCATCTATCGCGAAACACAGAATATCGCATCTCTATCCACAAGAGATATAAAACTTAGCCGCTCTCGCCCGCATGACAATTTCGCCACAAGAACAATCAATACAACTCCTGATAGAATCGCAAAACTCTTCGCGAACCTCCTTCATACTAGAATGCACTCTGCGATGCCTACAAATGGAGTAGAGACATCTCCATCAGAGCGGTCCTCATGTAATAAGACAGCTCGCGTCTGCGCACTGTAGACTTTAAGAACTCCAAGCGATGCTAGACTCTTTGATCGTTGTCCAGGATGGCATATCATGCCAGACAGTCCAAGTGAGTACTTCAATTACTCGAGTAAGACCACCCTTGGGAACAACACAGAGGCCATAGATTGTCTCAACGACTCAGTGGACATCATGCATTGTTTCAACACACATGTCGAATGCCATCATACAACTCAAAGATAGCTCGAGCAAGGTGACTATGCAACATGCTGATCTCCTACTAAGACATCTTTGACAGAATCACCGAATCGATTTGCTATGTTGACCACAGCTCAACAGCTGTGCCGTCAGATGCAGCACGTACGAGCTATTCTCATGCGCAATATCAACTTCTCCTGTTCAACGACAGGACGTCTATGACTTAACATCGTCATGCGGTGAGCTCCTTAGATAGTGGGTGCATCTCAACCATATTTCCAGCGGTCGACCGACCTGAAGCGTACACGGCAGTTTCTCTCGCTCATACACTTCACGTACGGATGTCTTGTTTTCTGCTATGCCCGGTTGTCCCTTCCATCTTTTTGTCAATTTTTGAGTCGCGATGCTTTCTCTCCCTAATCATTATGTTGCGAGTACCGCCACAATCGCAGATGATCTCATGCAGTACGAGTTGATCAAATCAAGCATCCCCAACGGGAGTCGTTACATTTTCGGCTCTCTTCATAAAAGCCCTCGACTTCAGAATTGATTGTACATTCTGACAGCACACTTTTCACCCTCGGAAGGAGCCATTCTGTGTATAGCGATACACCTTATCGCTCATTCCAGGATTGACCTGATACACATGCCTCAATACTATCATGTCGCACCGTCAAGATGTCTCCATTGTTCTTCTAGCATCTTGACAGTATTCGACGTCCGCCATCCAGTGACATCCTCCGACCAGGTCAAGAATCGTATTGCTGCTTCTCGTTGACAGCGATGTTTGAGACAGTACCCACACATGTATAGTAGATGATGTGTTTCGAAAGTGGCGTTTTCGAGTTCGCCGTTGGAAGCTGATAAGCCTATTGCTTGTGAGAGGTGGTGCACGACGCTTTTCTGTCGTGTTGTTTTCAGTGGTTGATACTATGATATGTCTCTGGCGGTGTTCATTAGCATACCTCTGCTTCTTGCCTTATCTTTGTCGCATCGAAACCTGATAGCATGCTGCTCACAGGTTTATTCATCTTGATTAGTACTTTGGCTACGTGGTAATATGCTAGGCCAGCCACTAGTACCGAAGGTGAGCAAAACCATCCTTTGGACCAGCAATTGATAGTCCACTTACTAGGTGCAGAGGATACCACGCAGATGGTAGGAAAAGCGCGGTTTTGACTGAAATCCGAGTCCTCGTGAAATATGGGTTGAAAGGTGTCCGGTTTCGCATCCCACCATGTATCAACCTCTGTTTCTAACGTCGTCCATGCTGCGGTATCCGTGGAGTGAGCGGATGAGTATAGTAGTTGTAGTATCTTGGCGACCACCAGTACCACGATATTGGAGTATGCACCATCGTCTTCGAGGTCGAATGTAGCTTGATCATAAGTAGAGAGGCCAACACTTAGAGGCTGCTTGTGAACAAGCGCAACATAGATGTCTTGCCGTAAGATCCACCATGAAGCCGTCTCACCCAATCCACCAGACAGAGAGAACCTTGACACAGCATTCAGTAGTCTGCTGGTACCTAGTATATGCGTCCTGTGGTCATCATCATTGCCCAGCTCTTCATAGTGCCGCAATATCGCCGCAGTGATAAGATGAGTCTCATCATAGCTTTCTTCAGGAGCAGAAAGGGCCTCGATGAAAAGCTCGAGAGCTTTACCATGGTAATAGCTTGCTTCTAGCTCATTGCTTTTCGTCAATATCGCTTGATGTCTTGCAGACAATCCTAGAACAGCATAACGCATCATCGGTATATGGAGACAGAGTCGTGGTATTAGCCTTTTGCAGTGTTGTCTTGAGTCGAAGATGTCCGCCCACGGTGCTAACAGATTCGTGTATTTGTGTAGTAAAAAAGCCTCTCTCTTAGACGTGAGATGTGTGCGTGGAGTTTGATTGATCGCAAGGTCTGATGGCGATAGTAAATTGTTCCTCTGCGAGTCGCTCACGCCAATATTGAAGGGGTTGATTGCTGTTGTTGCGATACTTTTCTCTCTCCTGGGCTTCCAGAGAAATGTCGAAGGCGACTTTGGCGTATCTAGTGCTGGGGCTTCGTTCAGGACTGATACCGGGTGCAGAATGTTTACATGATTTGATTCGAGATCCAATCCGTCTTCATACGAGTCCTGTCCGATGGTGACAACAGGTTCCGAGAATTGGATCGGTATGTCTTCATCAAGGTCTTCCTGTATATCAGACAGAGTGTCTCTGCCAGCTGTTTCATCGACTGGTATTGATAAGTCCTCGATGTGCTCCGTAGTGTCCCACTCAGTCCCATTGACGACATCCTCAATGATAAACCTGCCTATAACATCTCAGCTCAAACACCCAAAGACATTGGTGTCCCTCAGAAGCACTAACAAGGCACATTCGTATCCACCCAAACCTGATCATCCTCAAACGTCAACTCCACCCTGACACCCGGCCCTTTACTCGCAGCATCAACATGCTTAACCTCCTTAAACCGTATCCTCGGCTCAAAATCGCAGACGTGTCCAGAATCAATACATCGAGAACAGGACGACGCGCCATCTTCCAGAATACATCTGGCGTGTTTTTTCCGGCAGCTTTTGCAACCTCGCCCCGGTCGCATTGCTGGAGTATGTTGAGTTTTGGGAGAGTTGGACGGAATAAGAGATATTCTCCGGGGTGTGTAGCGGGTGGGGGGGATGGTGGGGGGAAAAGACGTTGCGAGGTATGGCCAAGAACGACCCCGCTGTGGTCAGCGAATGGTTTGGAGAGGGAAGGCTCGGATGATAAATCACTATATTTGTAAATTCTACTGTCATCAAACCTTTCTCCTTGAGAGATTACCACCAGCATAGTAGCTATGTCAAGGCACAGTGGATTTTAGGAAAGAACGAGATGCATCGAAATCCATTATGACACCTACACTCCGTGGAGGTCCTTCCCAGCGATGAATGACTCTGCCTTCCTAGAGTTGTAGACCAACCGCAGCATGAGATACTAGAATAACTCAAGAACCACCACGTATACCGGGCTCTATCCCCAAACATCCTGCTGCCACCTCTTGAACCTCTTCTGCTTATCCGCAAACTCCTTGAGCTGCTCATCGCTCCACCCCTGCCTCTGACACAACTCCCTCCCAAGCTCATTCGAAACATCTCTCGCCATAGACGCCGAACCACAAATGTAGAAATTTGCATTACCATCAGTGAGAAGTCTGCACACCTCATCTGCATGTTCAACAACACGATGTTGTACATATGTCTTTTCACCACTGTCAGGACGAGAAAATGCAGTGACGAGGGTGAGCAAATCGCCAAATTGTGCTTTTAGCTCAGCGAGCTCTTCACGGTATAGGTAGTCTTGATTTTCGTTGCGGCAACCGAAGAGGAGAATCGTGGGACCGACTTCGCGGCCGATGGATTGCATACGTGCTCGCTCCTGTAGGAAGGCGCGGAAGGGAGCGATGCCGGTACCAGCGGCGATCATGATGATGGGATGTGATGCTAGAGCAGGAAGCTTGAACGTCGATTTGCGCACATGAGCGTGTAGCCGTCCGCCAGAGAGCGACTCTTGGGGTCCTTCTAGAGGGTACGTGAGACCGTGAGGGTGGGGTTTGCCTTTATCTTCCAGCGACTCCTTGAGAGCGAGCATGTAATTAGTGGACAGACCGGGAATGCGCTCATTAGTGCCAGGAAAGACAGTATCGGAGACAACTGCGGTCAAGGCTGCTGATCTTGGTTGCACGACTGATGACGAGGAGATGGAGTAGTATCTGGGCTGCATGACGGGCAGAATCTCGACAATGAACGACAGAGGAACATCTTTCCAAGCACCTTCGTCACCGGCTGCGCGCTCGAGAAGTCTTCCGAGATTAATGTAATTTGAGCGCAGGAAGTCGGCATATGCTTCCTTGCCGCTCAATCTTGTGAGAAGGTCCTTGGCAGTCGAAGTTGGTGCGAATTGGACAAGCGAAGCGATCGTCTCTCTAGAGACCGGAGCGCATGTCTCGAGATAATGGCTAAGTAGCGCATCAAGGGTCGTAGGAGTCGGCACCTTGACTTTGACATCTTCCTCTAGCGAAAGGATAGTGATTGGTATCTGTCTCCTGCTAATCAAACCAAGTACGCGAAGCAGTCGGCTGACCTCAGCATCAGGATTGATAGGCCAGACTCCAAGATGATCTCCTGTCTTGTACTTTAGCTCAGGATGTTCGCTGAAGTCGACCTTCATGTGTATACAATTGCGATGCTCTGAGACCTGGAAGAGCTCTCTTGCACCCTTGACTGGAAGGGAGTATACAGCAGACATGCTGGTATTGGTCTTCCTGTCCGAGGTCTTGTCTGCTGGTACACCATGATTGAGATCAATTGGCTCGAGCGACTCGTCTTCGAATACCTTGAGAGAAGGTTCGTAGATAGGATCTCGCTCGGTGTAGCCAAGTTGTGTCCTGAATACTCCGAAGACCTGTTCTTTCCACTCTAGGTAGTGCTCTTCAGTCTCGCCTTGCGCATCATCCGCCATGCCAGTGGCTAACAGTGGTTCTGCGCCAAGAGCATCAAGGCGGTTCACTACAATCTTGATGACCTCGTTGTAGTGCTTGTAATTCGAGTTTCCAAGACCAAACGCCATGTATCTCAGCTCCGCTAGTGATCTGTCCGAAGTACTTTGGAGCCATGAGTAGAGATCCTGGTATGAATCTGGTGGATCACCTTCACCAAAGGTAGAGGCGCAGAAGATGGCGAGCTTGGTCCTAGGGATCTGAGCGATGGTCGAGGACTCGTAGTCAGAGGCATCGACGGACAAGACCTTGAGACCAAAGCGTTGCTGACACTCTTTCGCAAGACGATTCGACATACGCTCTGCGGTGCCGCTCTGTGAACCCCAGAAGATGACCATGTCGGCCCCAGTCTCTTCGATCTTCTCGGCAATGTTCCGGGTCTGCTGAGCACCAGCTCTTGCACCCATCAACTCTTGAGGTCTCTCGAACCATTTGTAGTGGTAAGGATCTGGCTTGTCCCATAATGTTCCCTTGAACATATATGCAGCACTGGCAGCTCCTACCAGAGCCATCGCGGCTATGTCTTCGAAGCCGGCGTTCTTCGATAGATGTGTAAAGACATTATTAAGTACCGGCGTACTGGCAAAAGCGGTCGTCATACTGGCGTGCTCCGCTGGACAGGTGAAAGGAAGAATGAAAGGGTACGAACGGTAGGATAGTGGTGGGCTTCGAAAGAATGGCCGTTCGCAAGATCAAGACCTACATTCTCTTATGTATGTTACTCGTTGCAACATCATCGGATCACATTTCCACATCCTACTGCCTACCAAGATAGTAGCTCCGCGGGCTCACTCGCCGAGTCAAGGTGGAAGTCACATCGTGTCTGCGTTTCAAGTCCCTTGACTTTCCAGCCGGACAAAACTTCGTGCACTTGCCTGCGGGGTACGGTTGTCTGGGGCTCCGCTTTCCGGAGTAAATTACTGCTTCTGTATCCTGGCATCAACAACGGCGCAGCCCAAAGTCAAATCTGCCAATGTGCCGTCTTTGCTTGTCGCTTGTGCTTTTGGTTGTTCTAGAAGTTGCCTGCGACATTGCTCCTGGGGGACTGGCTCATTCCCGTCGCCGAATGCCGCGTTAGTACCGGGATCAGATTAAGAATTGCGAGATGGCTGTCAAAGCCAGAAGCAAGACGCGAACAAGAGCGAGTGAGAGACAAGACGCGATGACTGATCGTGACGATGCTTCAGTCCTTCAACACAGTATAGGTTCAATATGAGAGGTTTGGTGTTGATTAGAAGATGCGTCGTTGTGCAACTTGTTTTTCTGCAGAAAGTGGATACAAGAGAATGGAATCAGACTAGTGTACAGGCTCGCGTTACTGGGATATAGAGCACGGCAGTATGAGTTGTGGAATGGAGAAAGAAGGACGATATTCATATCCTCGTCGTAGGCGTCAGGTCATAGACCATCTACCTTCTGGGGCCACCACCTCTGGTGTTAAGGTTACTTCTGGCAGTGGTAGCGATCTTGTGGATACCGGTGCGCTTCTCCCAAGCAGAACTGCGGCCCTCGATGATGGCAACAATCTCTTCGGCAACACGGAGAGCGAACATGTCGCGACCGCTACCACGCGACTTGCGCTTGGAAGCAGCGTCCAGAATCCATTCAAAAGCAGTACGACGACGTTGACGGAGACCCAATGGGACAGGAATTTGCAAAGCGACACCACCACCGGCAGCACCACGTTGCGAGCGAATGCGCAGGAGAGGGGCGATGCTGTCGACAGCAAGTGTGAGGTAAAGGACAGGGTTCAAAGGAAGGTGGGATGGTGGGGCTGTGGCAAGGCGTATGTTATTAGCTCGGACTCCATGAGTGTAGAACGGATTGAAGGGTGGACTTACGAGCACCGGGCAGCAGAGGTCTACTAGGATTGTAGTTTGGAGGAGACTGGGTGCGCAGATGTGTCAGGATGGTAGACATGTTGCGCTGAGCGACACTAAGCTTGCCATGCTGCATCATCAAGTTTGTGAACTGTCGCACGACAGGGTCGTAGCGGTAGTCTTTGTGGGCATTGCTAGGCAACGGCAGAGTGGGGAGACCAAACTTGTGACCAGTAGGTGTAGCCGTGACAGGAGTTGCCGGCACAGCAAGTTCGGGCGTACCAAAGTTTGTGTTTGCGATCAGGGAATCGTCAAATGTGTCGTCCTTGAACTCGTTCAGCTCCTGGTTACGGCGTGCGAAGGTCGAGAATGAGCGGGTTCCCGAAGGCTTGGGGTGGGCAGTGCCAGCCTTGATGCTGTCCTTGAGCACTTGGGGTGCGTGTTTCTGTGCTTCCTTGTCTTCCTCGAGGAGCTGCGCATCGTCAGTTCCGCCGCTTCTCCTTGTCCCAGCTCTGCCATTGACGTACCTCCTGCACTGGTGTACCCTGCTCCAAATCCGGGCCCTTTTCACCCTGGATCTTTGCAATTTTTGCTGCTTCCTCACTGATGTGCTCTTGCTGGTTCATGTTGGGTCCAGCGCCTCCGCTTTGCTTGGGATCGGTCGCGTAGCCGCGGCGCCATGATGCTGCGATTGGGCTCTGGATCGTTGCGAATGCCCGTGGGCGGAAGGCGAGCGCCCTTGATGTTGCGAAAAGGCTCATTGTGTCGTTTGTGTCTGGTCTACTGTCGCTGGCGATTCTTTCTGACGATGACTTCAGTTTCACTTGCATAACGCCGGCTTCACGTGATCTGTGGCTTGTGCACTGCATAATTTGCGCTGCGGCTGCCGATGTCGCCCTGCCATTCTTGTTCTAATTGTCACACCTACGTGCATCTGATCTCATCAAAGCCTGAGCCCAAGAGAGGAAGCGGATGTGAAGTGGCGTTGTGGATAACATTGATAATTGCAAACGCTGCATCGTTCTCAAGCCTGCATCAATGTTGGGAATTTGGAGAGTATCTAATCATTAAACTAATGAGATAGCGTATTGAACACCTCAAGCCATGACCGCAGGCTTCTCAGAGACCACATCTCTCATCCTCCTTCTGATCCTCGCCGGCAACTCCGAAAGATGTAGGTTATTCCACTCATGTCTCTCTGGCTCAAACGCCGGGTCCGCAAGCTCGAAATCATATCTATGCAACATACTCGCCAACACAACAGTCTGCTCCAAATAACTGATGTTGCGACCAATGCACCCTCTAGCACCCGCCGAAAAGGCCACAAAGTAAGGTCCCAGCTCCTTGCCAGCTTCACCCAGCCAGCGCTCGGGCGTGTACTTCTCGGGGTCGGGGAAGATCTTGGGGTCGCGGTGAGCGACAAAGGCTGAGATCGAAACGGTGGTGTCGCCGGGGACGAACTCGCCGCAGACGACACTTCCCTCTGGTGGTGTTGCGCGGGTGAGACCATGCGAGGTAGGCGGGAAGATACGTAGAGATTCATCGAGACAGGCGCGAAGGTATGGTAGGTACTTGACCTTCTCGTATGGGGCAATGACTTCCTCCTCATCAAGAACATCATCAATCTCATCGCGAAGCTTTTGCATACAGTCAGGGTGCTTGAGAAGCCAGTACATGACGTTAGTCATGGCGATTGCGGTCGTTGTGGATCCGGCGTTCATCATGATGGATACTTCGGCAGCGATCTCGCCAAACTCGAGGTTGTTTGCTACGCCATTTTTGTCGTGCATCATGGCTTCGAAGAAGTCGTCGAGCTTTTCGCCTGCCTGGTATCGCTTCAGGCGTTCTGTGGTGAGATTCAGGACGATACCATCCCAGCCTTCGTTGAGCTTCCAGAGGTGATTGTAGTGTGGGAGCCACTTGCTGAGTTTGACCAGTTGCTTGTAGTAGTCGTAGCAGTAGCCGATGACAGAGTTTGCTTGGGAGTTGGCATACAGACACTCGCGGTAATTTGACTCGAAGCTGGATCCGTCCCAACGAAGAGACTTTGTACGATCACTACCCTGGTCCAAGAAGCCGAGACGGTGACTGATGCCGATATCAGCGATGGCGTCGAGTGTGAAGTAGTTGAGCCAGGGTTTGTAGTCGACAATCTCGTCGTGACCATAATCACTGCATCGCTTGTCCATTTGATTGATGAGACGAATGGTCTTGTCGGCGACTTTAAACTCCCACTCCTCGAGATTCTTCAATGCGTAGGCTGAAGAAAGCACCTTGCGCTTACGCTGATGCTCCTTCTTGTCGACAACATCAGCCAGATGGTAGTGAGTGCCAGCCGTGACAACATATTGCTCATCCTTGGTGCATTTGGTGTTGTGTCCGTAGATGTCCTTGATGGCTCTAGTGTCGCCGTACGATAGAGAATTAGGTCCGGTTCTGATGACCGGCATGCCAGAAGAATGTAGCTCGAACAGCTTTTTTGATCGGAAGCCTTTCTCCGAGAGAAGCATATACGGTACGTTCGAAATACCAGAAAGCAAATGCATATTAGGATATCTTCTCAGACCCTTAGGGTCCTTGAAGTAGTCGAAAGTCCATTTCGTGACGATGAAGAAGAGGCCTGCGAAGATTGCAGATACGCCAAAGAGAAGTCCGTACATTTTGAGTTGTGGATGTCAAAGACAACGAGGATTGTTTGGGTACTTCTGAGAGGACGGAAGCGAAGAGTCTTTCTATATACTTAACTCTCTTACATCTCAAAGCTGCAAGAACTGAATAGAGCATGCTTCCTCCCATCGTAGTAACTTTGAGCGGGCGACTGAACAGGCTCAACCTTTGCCGACTCCTGACACAGTTAGCCTGTCTTCTGCCCCACCATTTTTATCTTCACCATGGGGATCATAATGGCGGGGGGTGGTGTCTGCAACCCCAGATTAACTCATTGGTGGTGAACGAGGCGTTTGGACGTTGGCGTGCCGAGAGTTGCTCCTTTACCTGTACAAGGCAATTGCGTCCGATAGCTCTTTCCACAACGCAGGCAGATCTTTCCGGCCACTATCATTGCGCTTTCGGACTTCATGTTGCCTTTTTTGTTCGGTTGTCGTGGAACGTCCGATCAAATCTTCACAATTACGTCGCTCGAGGGGGCGGAAATTGTCTCCTTTCTAGTGCCAAGCCACAATGGTTTGCCTGAGGGCGGTGAGCACAAGGTACACTGTAGTACTCTCGACCAGGCTTGGAAGCTACTCATGTCCAGGCAGCTCCCCAAAGGATGTCGGAATTGCCCTGCTTCGCGTTGTACGAGAAGTCACCGGCGAAGCTCGATCGGAGTCGAGAGAATGTATGTAGGAAGTTTCGGCTGCATCTCGGGTGATTACCCATGGCAGAGCACTCGAGTACACTCCATGTCTCCTACTTCCAACAGAACCACTTGATACAGAAGAGAATACCCGGTCTTTGGTCTAAAATCGAGTCATCATACTTTCCGAGGTCCCTGTGCATAAAGTCATTATGCAAACAATTGAATAACCAATCAGCTCAGCCTCACCTTATGGTCTCGAATATATAAGCCCAACCCTATTCATTGTGAGTCTATTGTTATCTTGTGTCTTGTCTCACATTAACATGATGATGCGTCAATGAGCATAGGTTGTTCGCGATGCAGAAAGCAGATCGATTGTGAAAGCAAAACAAGAAACAAACGATGTGAACAAAGTGCTGGGTATAGCAAAACTCTCCCTCCATACTCCTGTGATCCCTAGAAGACTCCGCTTGGACAAAAGCAAGATTCGCTTCCTCGCATCCAATAGGAACCTTACGACCAAAAAAAAAAAGCCAGAACCCGCGGGTGCATAATAAGGATTTGAGGCGGGAGAGAATAGACAAGCCGGACATTCGAGTCTAGGCTGAAGGTGGTCGCTTTAGTCTACACGGCAGAGATCTTGCGCGCTATATGGGCATTCTTGAGCCCAGCTTCTGCACATTTGCATCTCGTTGAGCTGAGAAATGTCTATCTTCAAAGTATCAAAGCGACGCGACTTCGGCAGGATACGAGGTCACGAAGAACAAGGCCTTATTGGCTGTTGGAGACCGGTACTCTCGAAGCAAAAGCACATCCTCTAGCTTTCACATCTTTTTGTATGAGGTCCGTACTCTTGCGTTGGGGACAAACAAATACCACCAACTACATTCCTGACCGTGTGCGAATGAACAATGATTATGCTTATGTCACCACCTGGTACTAGCTTAACTCTGGTTGCAGAGACCAGGAATCAGAGCAGCACCACGTCCAACCAATCCATCAAAATATGCCAAAATACTGTTCAGCGGCACCATGTCGACTTCATGACCCAGAGCTGGACTTGAGCTCTTCAAGACCTGTCCACCCCAAAGCACACGAACAAACCACTCATTGTGCTTCGAGTAGAGCTCGAAAATGACTTCTGAACCCATGCCAGGCCACACCATCTCCTGGATTTGCAACAAGGCCAACAAGCGAGAAATACTGCCATCATGAGCGACGTCATGTCTGTAGATGACTGAGCTACTGCAGTTCTGTGCCGCGCGAAGGTGGTCTGCTAGCTCGGCAACCCAGATGCCATAACTGCGACGAGCGTACTCAAGAGTCTGAGGTCCAGCAGAACGATATAGGTAGTTGTATTCGTACTCGCCTAGTCTGAAGACCTCGTTTGCTTGAGTCTGAGTGACACAAGTGCCAGTAGTACTGTTGCATGGCAGAGATTTAGCATGGCAGAGACGTGCAGAGAGGTTGTCAAAGTAATGATCCCATGATTTATGCCAATCAGTCGCGCTGGACGAAATACCCGAGATGGCATCGAGAGTACGCACGAGACCAGAAGACGCAGTGAGATGTGCAGTCCAATTTGCATTGGTGCTGCCGGCTCCATATGACGAAAAGAGAGACGAAGCAGAGGAGCATGTATAGCCAGGTTCCAGACTATCGACAGAGCTGGGCTGAATCAAAAGTGGCACGCTCTTTCCATCCAGCGAAGGGAACATGCCAGGGATCAGATTACTCGCAACCTGGGAGGTAATGACGTTGTTCGTGACACGGAATTGCATCTTTTTAGAGTCGTAATGCCCAGGTAGGAACCCCAGCAAAGAGTGGTATACACCAAAGACATCCTTGCCATGCTGCCGACTGTCGTCCAAGCCCCCCGAGGTGAGCTGAGGGAATTGGCATGTCCCATTGAAGCCTTGGGGAGCCAAAGGATTGGACGGAGAAGTGAAGACGCTCCAATACGTGGCAGCTGACGAATAAGCGTTGGCACCAGTGAAAGGTGCGGCATGATAGTAGAGCCCTTCGTCAGAGCAATCCCATGCATACGACTCGCGAGGGAATGTGTTCGACGCATAAGGTGTACGCTTATGGTGGCTGCAAGAAGGGACACACGTGAGTATAAATCTTCTAGGCATGCAAGCGCCAGTATTCGTGTTACTTACCGATGAATCACATGGACGTATTCGAGCTTGTAGCTGGAATTGACTTTGGAATACTCCGAAGAGCGAACATGAGGCATGTTGCACCAATTGTAAGTGGCTGCGAGTGTCAGCATTTGTTCGATATGGACTAGGTCGGCTATAAAGCCATGGTGCACGACAGAGCGATAGTTTGCGTCAACAACGAGCGGTTGGTGACTCTGCTCAAAGATTGCTCAATCTCGACTACGTTTGCGGTTTCTGTCCTACCGTCGTAATATGCTAACTTATGCTATCTTAGACGTGACTTACAATAAGGCAGCCCTGCCGGGGTCTTTGACGAATTGAAGACGAAGCCGAAGACGTCGGTACCGTTGATGACCAAATTGAGGTCATTGAGCTTGCTGTACGAAGGTGCATGCCATGAAAGGTCAACCGTCGAGTTCGAGGCAGATACAGCGACGCCAGCAAAGGAGAAGATGATAGGAAATGAATATAAATAATGCATGGTGATCCAGGTCGTGCAGGCCAGAAGTACAGTTGAGAAGAGAAGGACGAATTGATACATTATCAGCAGTCTAACAGCCTACTTTATATGTAATAGGTGTCGTGTTCCAGATACAAGGGATGATCGTATGGTTGTATGAATAGTGGAGTTGATGGTTATGATGGAGTTGGGCGTGCAGAGCTGCGAACACACGATTGGCTTGAGTTGGCGGCTAAAAGCGGGCGACGAGGAGCATGATATCTGAGCGCGCTAGACTTTCTTGTCCTTTCAACAGTATCGTAGACTGCAGTAAGGCCCATCGAGACGATGGGCACAGAAAGTCGTCCCGCTTCGAAGTCACGGACGAAGAAAGAGAGTCGCGACATAGTAGTGCAAGAAGGTGGAGTTTCTCGGCGTCTCATCAGAGTCCCCACGGCGACAGCAAGCAGCCAAGACTTGGAAGGAGCACCATGGCGGTCGCTAAACAATCGAGAGTCAACACGGCAATGCCAGATAATTCTGTGTAGAACACCATTCGCCAAACGACACCAGTAATTCTGACACTCCGCTTTGAATTTCTGCTCGATGATCCCGTGAGAATAGCTTGTCGCAGCAGACCAAGATATCGAATCGACAAAGTCACTTGAATCAGGTCTGTGCGCGTGCTATCGTGACGTCCGGACTGAACAATCGTATCGTCGGATGGCCTGAACGATGCCTTTCCGTATACCGAAGCGCAAAGACAAGGGAGCTGGATACACGGCGCTCGACGGACGATGGGTTGACAGCGACAAGGAGCGCCTGTCAGACGACGATGGCGCCTCAGATTCCAATGCGACACCGATGTTGCGACGCGCCTCAGGAGCTCGCAGTTCACCGTCCTACCCCTTGCCTCCGCGTCGCTTCACACGATACTTTACCCTGGTCATTGTGCTCATCCTCGTAGGACTTGGCCTCACATTGGCTCGCCTGAGTGCGCTCTCTGAAGCGTCATTACGATCTGGCGCATCAAAACCACCGCCCCGCCCGCCGACATGGGAGAACTTTCCATTCTTGAAACGCTATCATGGCGGTATTCGGACTCTGGTCTCGCGCGCAGAAAACAAGCCCGAGTATCCCGACCCAGATAACAACACTTTGGAGTCTACGGTACAGACGGATCAAAAGGAGCAGACTGCTCCATCAGATGAGAAGGGCTTCCAGAAGAGAGATGTGCCGCAGGGCCAGAGATTCAATCCAGTCAAACAAGATGGTCTCGCCGAGTGCTATATCAACGAAGACAGAAAGAGCAGTGTTCCACAACTCCTGGCTTACCCGGGCGCGCCCCAGGGCTTCCCTGAACCTGTCATGGGCTCATATGACATGTTTGGCTTGGACGCTGACGTCTGTTTTGATCGTTATGGAAGACTCGGCCCTTACGGCTTGGGCTACAGTAAGAGATGGGGCGGCAGTGGTGCTTGTATGGACGGTCACCGCGAAGGTTCCGACCAAGTCTGGGGCGGCAAGACCGAGATTGACTATCGTGAGGTCAACTGGGCTCAGGCTCAACAGAAGTGCGCTCAGAAGAACAAGAACCGTTTCAAGCCACTTCCCAAGGCGCGCAACCATTTCTTCACCGACATGCCCGTTGGAAGCCCTGAGGACGACAAGCCCAAGAGGGAGGAGAAGCAAGAGAAGAAGCTGCTCTCCAGACAAGCTGTCGTCATTCGAACATGGCACGACTACCAATATGATGACGAGGATTTGTTCTACCTACGTGCTCTCGTCAACGAGCTTTCCCTCCAATCGGGCGGCGAGTACACCGTCCACTTCCTGGTTCACGTCAAGGATAATGACATGCCCATCTGGAGTGACGACTTTACCTATCAGCGCGTCTTGAATGACTCGCTTCCTCTGGAGTTCCGAGGTATGGGAACTCTTTGGTCAGAGCGACAGATGAGCCTGATCTACGGAGGTATAGCAGAAACGAACTATCGTGGTTTGCCAATCCATGGCGCGTACCGATCGACCAACATGCCATTATCATACTTTGCGCATATGCACCCCGAGTATGACCTTTTCTGGCACTGGGAGATGGACATCCGCTATACTGGCCACTTCTACCATCTGTTCGACAAGGTCGGCAAGTGGGCAGACCAACAACCTCGTAAGGGCCTTTGGGAGCGCAACGGCAGATTCTACATTCCAGCAGAGCACGGCTCATGGGACGACTTCAAACACATGGTTCGTGTACAGACCGAACACGGCACGGCCCACAAAGCCGGCATGTACGAGAAGGTACCCGGCAATGACAACACTCAAATTCGCACCCCTTCCATCTGGGGTCCCATGCCACCAACCGGCGAAGGCGACAAGCTCGAAACAGAAAACGACCCCATTCCTCCTACCACACCAGACAAAGACAACTATTCCTGGGGCGTCGGTGAAACAGCCGATCTCATAACTTTCAATCCTCTCTTTGACCCTCACGCCACGAACTGGATCCTCGCGGAGGATGTCACAGGCTACAACACTTCCGCCGGCTTCCCTCCCCGCCGCACAGCCATAATAACAGCATCCCGTCTCTCCCACCGCCTCCTAGAAACCATGCATCGCGAAACGGCCCTCATGCGCCACAGCATGTTTTCAGAAATGTGGCCCGGCTCCTGCGCCCTGCACCACGGTCTAAAAGCAGTCTACGCACCTCATCCAGTCTACATAGACCGTCGCTGGCCAACATCCTACCTCGCCGCCGTCTTCAATAACGGTCTTCACGGAGCTTCAGGAGGAGCAAGAACAAGTGTTTTCAGTGATGAGAGGCAGCATAATTTCTTGGGCACGACGTGGTATTATCATGCAGGCTTTCCAGGTAATCTTTGGAAGAGATGGTTGGGGTATAAAGTTGATGGGGATGGTGGGGAGATGGAGGAGGTGGAAGGGGAGGGGAGGATGTGTTTACCAGGAATGCTGCTGCATCCTGTCAAACATGTCGATTTGATCTATGAGCATCGCGAGGGCGAGTGATGAGACAGGATGTCAACGACGATTCCGTGAGTGAGGAATAAGAACATGGCTTGTATTCGATTCATTTCACAAAAGTCAAACAGTGACTGCGCGAAGTCATCGTCAGCTCGAAAATACAATCTTCATAATGGAAGTCGCAACGCTATGCAAATCGCCAAGAATACCTACATGCTTGTTAAATTTACCCTCCGTTCGCAGGAACCAGCTCACATATGCCCAGGCAACCTCAAATCGTCCTCATCTTCCACTGGAAAAGCGTCGCGATCCCCAAACTGACTGCCGACTCCATCGTCATCATCATCGCTTTCCTCATCTTCACTTTCGTCTTCCTCATCCTCATCTTCTTCTCCATCATCATCTTCTTCTTCCTCATCAGATTCTGAAATGTCACCGAAGAAAACGCCTGCATTGCCTTCGCCCCAGAAACTGCCTTCTCGCGATTCGGCGGTTTGTGGTCGTTTAAGCTGTGCCTCGTCTTTCTGTGCCTGGTCTTCTAGTGTGGGTGGTTGAGAAGCTGTGCCACTGACATCTAGGCCTTCGAGGTAGTAGCGCATAGGCGATAGACTTCTGCTGAAGCGTTGTAGAATATCGTAGGGCAGATTTCTGAACGCGTCACCGGCGGTCAATGCGCGCTCGGTATTGCGAGTGCTTTCTTCCTGTTCGGCTTGGAGGAAGTAGCTTCGTCCTGTGGGTGAGTGGGGAGCAAAAACTGCTTGTTGCACTGGTAATTGTTGTTGTGATTGTTGGGGGATGGGTATTTGTGCTGGAGAGGCTGGGCGGCCGTATGCACTATCTGCTCTTTCTTCGTCGCCTGTCACGACGGATGGCAGGGCGTTTACACCAGCAAACTCGTGACGACGAACGATGGGTCGTGTACCGGGAATTTCGGAGCCTAGTTGAGCGGTCTGAGTTGTGTTGTATCCGTCGCAGTGTGGGCATTTCAGACCGAGCCAGTGAAAGGCGGACCAGCCTCTTCCTCCACAGTCGTTACAGCCTACAAATACTTTTCGAGGTACGCGACGATGCGTTGGATTCTCTTTCGCAGCAGTAGAGTCCTCAAACTCGTCCTCAGGCATCGGTTGCAGACGTATCTCGTCATCGAGTTTTCGCCATTGGAGCTCCATGTTGACGGCAGATTTGTTGCATACGGGACAGCGATATGTGACATGCATGAGATCCTTGTAGCATCTCCCATGCATATAGTGGCCACAAGCCAAACTCACTACCGGCAGCGATGATGAGAAGAGGTAGTCTAGGCACAAAGGACAATCACAGTCTGTAGCCCTTTCGACACATGGATGGGTACTACTGGTAGAGATGGAGATGCAGACATTACACCGTTTGCAGTGGACATAATCTCTTCCCAAGCCCTCACCGCGACGACAGATGCCACAGTCGTCACAGTGGTAGATGCTCTTTGTGCTGTCATTGTCCCACAGCTTGCACTTCGAACAGTAGTAATAGGCAGAGTCTATACCGCAGTTGGTGCATGTGGGGCCAGCAGTTTGTGGAGTGCTGCAGAGCATGCACAGCATGTTGCGTGTCATTTTACGATTGAGGCCATGAGGAAAGGGTAGAGTGGGTGAAGCGTCGTGACAGTGTCGACACGGGTGCCATTGGTTGCAATCGAAGCATTGTACTTTGACGTTGCGGCTGTAGTGAGGGCATCCGAGGCCGGTTCCCTCGTCATTGATATGATCGGGGCAGTAGCTGGGTTCGAGGTCTTCTGGAGTGATGTTGTAGGGGTTGTCTGCTGAACGGGCAGGGTGACAGAGCGGGCCTTGGTGGAAGAGGTCGGGCATGTCGTGATCGGGGTTGTTCATTGTGATGTAGTCTCTTGTCATGAGCAAGTGCATTGCTCTTGCCTTCTCTTCGGTTGACGCTGCCAGGTTCCGAATCTCATGCATTTTTAGGCGGAGTGAGCGCATACCGTCGTCTTCGGGTAGTGACGTGCCGGGCGTGGGGGATGTGGCTCGCCGGTCGACGTCCAGCTCGAGCAATTGTGATGTGTTCATGTTGACGGCCATGTTGGAAGTGCTCCCTCTCTTGTCCCTATCTCTTTCTCCGTGTTATGTACGAGGGTCGTGGGTAAGAGTCGAGTCAATACGTGTTTGAGGCAGGCTATGTTGGTTTCAGCCCCCGAGTCGACGAGCGTTGGGCTGAGTGAAGTCAAAGTCCGCGTCCAAGTCTTTTCCTCGCCTTTGTTGCTTGTATATGTATATAATTTTAACCCCTCTACAGACGCCAAAAGTCTGAAAGTCACACGACAGGGAAGAGCAGCCCGAGGCTATGGAAAGACTTTCAGACATGTCGCGGCCATTGGTTGCTGTCATACGATAAAACGCGCCATTCCATCATCGTTCCCACGTGAAAGCTTGCATGTGATTGCCAAGCCCTTCGAAAATCCACCCTAGAAGCACCTCCTGAACTCCCTTGCACCTTCCACCTCTCCATGTATCTCAACTTCGCTTCAATTTGCCGTATACGCACGCATTCACATGCTAGAAATGAACGCTTTGACAGAAGCCTCTCTCGCCTTTGTCAGGGCAGACGACTTCGTAGAGCATTGAGATCGCAAGAATTACTTCTTTTGACATCAAAACTTAATCTCGCGATCTTCGCGTCAACTTCGCCATCACGTCGGAACAAATCACTTTCACGCCCTCCCTGATATATGATATACCACTCTTGTCCTCCACAAAGAGTCCTTTTCGCGAAGTCATTGGAGAACGTGCCGGACATGTACCTGGCTCTGGCCTTTACCATCGTCGCCGCTCCCAGTCACACAGTGTCATGACGTTAACAAAGCCATCAAGCATCCCGCGTATTGTTATTGCCTTCCACTTCTCCATCAAGCACGTACGGCCACAGTCAGCTGAAAACTGGGCATCCCGTCCGCTCTGCCATACATAAGCAGTTGAACGGCAGATTAGTACTACGGTGGGTGACCACGTGGGAATCCCTGCTGCTGTACGTTTTGTCTCTTGTTTTGCTCGCCGAAGTGGAATTTGTATGGTGTTGACCATAAAGGTGCTGATCCTACGGGCTAGACTCCGATGGCTTACAAACACGTTCAAGATGATTGCTGCTTGCCAACGTAAAAAGGTCTACACGATGTATTGTCTCTGCGTATACGCACTGGTTAGGAAATGGGGGTTCTCCTGCAGTCTATGTCTAAAAAGGTACAACACTACATGCGTTTCTCCACTAACCCTCCACCTCAGGCAGATTCATGTCTTCGGACAACACACTCTTGTCTGTTGTCAATCGAAGCATAGTATGCAGAATACAGTTGTACACTTCACGCCTCAACTGCTCGAGCACGTCACAGTACAATCAATGCTTCATGGAAGAAGTCTTGGTTGTGACAGTCGAGAGTCCCTTCTTAGCAGACGAAACCTTCTTCGTGACCTTCTTCGTGACCTTCTTCGTGACCTTCTTCGTGACCTTCTTCGTGACCTTCTTCGTGCTGCTAGACACCTTCTTGGTCGAAGTCGACTTCTTCGAAGAAGCATGAGGAGTGGATGGCACTTTCTTGACAGAAGTCGAAAGCTTCTTAACCGATGACTTATTCGAGGCGGCACTCGACGATGAATGGATTGCAGGACTCTTTTTGCTCGAAGTGGATCCTTTGGTCGATGACGACGACTTTTTCACAGAGCTGGAGGGCGACTTTGTGGTGCTTCTCTTTGTGGAAGACGAAGCTTGATCCTTGGTAGATGAAGAGTTCTTGATGGATGTCTTGACGCTGCTAGTCTTGCCCATGAGCTTCGACGTCGATACAGGTTTGGTCGAAGACTTTGTTGATCTCTTGCTCGAGGATATGCTCTTCGATGACGAGGATAGGCTGCTAGAACTGAGGGTTCCGACAGACTTGGCCTTGTCGACAGTAGAGGTACTGGATTTGGTCGATGCGGAAGAAATGATGACCTTAGAGGTTGAGGTGGCAGCCTTGCTGGACGCAGACGAGCTCATAACAGACGACTCGGCCGTGGACGAGCTGGCAGAAATAACTTCAGAAGATATGGGCACAGGATTGGCGCTGCCAGAGATCGAGCTCGAAGGGGAACCTCCCATGCCACCACTTGGAGCCGAACCCATGCTCATTGACTGCCCAGAACTCATGCTCATACCGGAAGGAGCACTACCGGCAGCGCCAATACCCGAAGGCATCGATCCAGAAGCCATTGAGCCCGATCCGGAACCGGATCCAGAAGAGCCGCCAATGCTATCACCCGAAGCGACACCGCCGTCTGGAGTCAAGGTAGCCGCAGAGGTGACGGTGTATTCGGCGGACATGTTGATGCCAACACTATGTTCTTGTTAGGAAACCGAAAGCCGCACAGAAACCAGATAAGAAAACATGCCTGATCCACATGAGTAGTCCGTCAGAGATGTTGTCTCCCAGGTATGCATAGTCTGGAATCGGATCATAGTTGTTGTCCTAAGGAGTGTCAGCTTGGTGCATGTGGGTGGTTTGCCAAACTCACGGCTTGATCAGGAGCCCACATATCGTCATCATTGGTGGTATAAGACTGAGTGTTGGTACTGTATGGATATGTATTGTACACAGCATCCTTTAGATCCTCGTCAAAGAAGAGCTGACCGACGTGAGAGATTGTGCCGCCCGAGTATGTTCCATTGGCGAACACAGTACCATTCTGTTGGGCGATGAGGTGGATGTGAGTTGCTCTACCTGAGTAATGTCCAGGGAATATGGTGTCAAAGTAGCCGACACCATCGTCGTCTACTTGTGTCACGCCACGGAGGAAGGTAGTATCCTAAGTCATCAGTCGGCATCCTATTGATCCTACATCTCAACATTACTCACAAGATTTTTACTGTCCGCATCATTGCCGTTACCAGAAGCAACGACACCAGAGTAGACTCCAGTGGCGTTCGCCTGCCAGGCTTCGAGGTAGAGTCCAGTTGCAACCTCACAGGTGCTGATATCGATATACTGGTATTCGAGATGGACTGGGATACCTTCTTGATCTTCGGTGACATCGGTTCGGAAGTACTCTCCGGTGACAAAGTAAGGGCCATAGGTGACCTCGGGAGTGAGAATGCATGAAGCGTTCTTGTAGCTAGCAAACAAGACGGAGGGTGCAGTTGACTCAGTGTACCCAGACGACGTCAAGTTGTGTTCGTTGCCCTCGAAGGACTCGAGTGCCGCCAGATCACGTCTGGTCCTGAAGGGAGCTGCACGATATGTCAGACCTGTTGTTCCTCGAAATCTAAGAAGATCACATACTCGATTCGACGATACCGCGATCTCTTCTGAGCTGCTGTGCTTTCTCCCAGCGTCTATCCTGGCCGCGTTTTTGCAGCTCAAGGAATTTCGGGTTGTTGTAGCAGCTTCCAAGACCACGCTGAACGATAGCAGCGTGCTCATCTCTCTTGATGATGGCATCTGCCATCTCGTGCTCTCCTGGGTGAGCATGAGAAAGAGAAGAGAGGCCGAAGACCAGCAGAGCTGCCGAGAATTGGTGGATCTTGACCATGTTGTTGTTTGACAATGTCTGGCAAAGGGTTTCAGGCAAAGTACAACGAAGACGAGCTGATCCGGTCAGGAAATCTATCGGACAGTGTAATACTTATATCTTCTGCTCGCCTAGCCACGCAGGGCTCGAAGTCCCATTCTCATGAAGCGTCGCAATCATCCAAACGGTTTGAGCTTTATGTCAAGACGCCATACCTTTGACATCGCGCCAGGCTTAATCGGAAACATAGCCAAGAGCTGCAGGGAGAAATCCACGTACGATACCGTTGGTTGTCTAATCATTGAGGGAAAGTGATCGCTGTGGTCGAGGACTACTTTGAGCACATCACGTTGGCTCTGATCTGAACACGCCGATATGTGCCATGTCGCTCAATAACTAATTTCTAATCAAGGATGAGCTTTGTTTTTCTATAGGACGATAATTGTAACAATACTCAAGATGGTCGTTTTCTGCTGACATGTCGTCTAGTGCTCATTCGTCGCCCAAGACGTTGTGCACGAGCCTCGATGAATAGACGCCATGTAGACGACTAACGGATATGGAGAATTGTTCAGACGTAGCGAGGCCAGAACGCATAAGATTGAGATGACCGCGTAGACATGTGCTCCAAATCGATTTTTTTGACCTTCGAGGTAGCTGCTGGATATGGGGAGAAAGGAGACGAATGTGGGGGAGATTTCGAATGCCTGAATTAAAGTTTGGCAGGGACGACTCTTATTTCTCGTCTCAATGCTGCCTTCAACAGAATCAACTTCGAAGAGGAAAGTGTGAGCGACCGGAGATCGGGCGGCCCAGCCGTGACGCAAGCTAAGCATTCCCCGAGCGTTCTGTGCCATGCGCAACACTTACAAACCGCAGCTCTTCTCGCCAGCATGTAGCAAGTCCAAAGCAGTCTCAAATTCACCCTTCCAACATTTGCCGGTAATGCCTCCGAATGACAAAGCGTCTACTTCTGGATATCTTCCTACCTCGAAATGCTCGGTGATGATCTCGCCCTCTTCGCCAGCAAAAGGCTTTTCTCCAGCCTCGAGCTCATATAATGCAGAGCCCAGCGCAAAAAGATCCGAGAGGTCCGTATTGTCGAGTTCTGGATCACGAGGCATATAATGACTATACGACTCAAGACCAAGTGCTTTACTAGCTGGCAAGTCTAGTCTCTTGTTTGCATCGTAACCAGAGGCGTTGAAGTCGCACAATCGAGCGTTGAGGTCTTCATCCACCGACCATTGATCGAGTCGCAGATCCGAGTGTCGAATACCGTTGCGGTGAACTTTTGCAACTCCTTCGATTATCTGTCGCGCCCATCGTTTCAATTGCTTGGTGAGAGAGCGTCCATTCTTTGCAACGTAATTTTTGAGGTCGCCGTGTGGATAGTACTTGAGCATAATGAAACTCCAGGCGGAACTTTTGTCTAAGCACTCAGCTATGCGATCATGTTGACCAAGAATACGATATAAGCTCGCTTCGTTGCGCATAGCGTCGACATTGCTCTGTGTGAGCAATGCTTCATCATCGGCATGCACAAACTTGATCACCGTGTCATGGATACGATAGGTCACAGCTGACATCCCAACAATGAGTAGGGCCATGTCGACTTTGGTAGCTTTTTGCGACTGAGTCTTGCTGGCTTTCGTCTTCGTGATGGTCATTGTGAGCACTACGCCTGCCATGAAAGCTGCAATCATCGGTGTGACTGCACGAGAATGAATCAAGAGCCGTTCCATGATCAGGTCTCCGCGAAATTGGGTCAGATAGAGCCGCTTTCGAGGTCGATGTCGAACGCGGATGTGTATATCTCCAGGAATAACGAGGCCAGCGGCAAGCACACGTGATGTACACAGACACCATCATGTAGGCAGCCCCATGCATGACATGCAGATGTCAGGACGTTTTGACCATCTGCTGCACAGTCTCATGACGGTCTCATTAGGGCGTTGCCAGCCCACACCACTGAGCTCAAAGACTTGAGCGAGTGTTAGTTTTCGCGACTAGTGCTCTATTTTGGAGATTACAAACAAGCCACATAGTTCAAAACAAGCGAGACATGATCGTCGGATTGCTTCAAGGCAGCAAAGTAGTCGGCGAGGTCGACTCGAGTTACAACGTTGCATTCATTGCAGAGAAGTTTGGTCCGGGAAGGTCCATCTTAAGAGGCTTCATCGTCCCTAATGATGCTAGAGATAGCAAACTCAGAGTAGGTCCCATCGATAGAAGGTTCTCTCACGTTGGGGTCGTCATTAAGGAAAGTGGGAACACACCGCAATTGTAACATGGATGTTCCGCAAACGTAAGAGTCGATGTCATCGAAAACGATGAATTCGTCATAAGTGACCAACAATTAGACGCAGATGGCACGGAGCAAAAGAAACCACGTCCGACCAGACCAAGGCGACACAGCAGTGGCATGGCATAGCTTCAACGAGCAAAAGAAACCGCGCTCCCTGTGGAAAGAAACTGGCAGCCCCCGCGTTCTCTTATAGCGAAAGTATCTACCCATGCGGAGGATTGAACTCGGACACGGGTGATTGTCGTATGTCCGCTCCAACCAAGTAGACCAATCACACCAGGCAGGAAGGCGGGATCTTTCCTTGGCTGGATGACAAGAGGGCACAGAATAAGTCGTATACAAAGATAGAGAAAAGCTGGTTAGGGGTTCGTGGGATGTATCATGTTTGAGCGAGTTTTCGGGATTTTCAGGGGCCTGTCGTGCGAAGCCAGGGTGCAAGATACTGATCCTCTTCATGCCCTGTTCGAGGGAGGGCATCTCTGTGCTCCCTATGTCCAAGTAGTGAAGCATCTCTGATGAGAACCCGCAAAGCTTTGTGAGTAGTTTTGTAAGCCAACTCCATCGTTTTGTGGAAACCCTCGCATTCTGTACACCACAGAAACACCAGCATGGCTCAGAGGCTAATCAAATTCCTGTCCTGAACAGTGGGGTATGAGTTTTCCACGGAAGTTTCTCGCGAACCCAAGCTTCCTTGCTGCACCAAGTGTACGTCCTAGCCGCCAGTCTGTGTCGTTCAGAGACCATTGGATCTCTGGCTCTTCTCTTCGCGATGGCTCAGGCCTTGGCGATCTGGAGGCTTTTTCTCTGGCAACCGAGATCCTGCATCTTCTTCGCATACCATGCCTTGTACCTTGCTCGAGCTTTTCAGGATAATCGGGCTTTCGATCCGCCGCACGATGGTTGCAACTGCAAGTGAACGAACGCAAGATTTTTAATGCGGGAGGGGATGACTTGGACGTATTGATTAGTCCTCTCCAGATGATGGATAGTATTACAAATGGGCGGAAGTATGTAAGTATGTATGGTTGTCTACCTATACCTCACAATTGAGTTTGTCAAGCGTTTCGAGTTTGCCGAAGTTCTCCCATGACAGTTGCTGTTGGAATCCGATTTGACTGGAAAAGCAGCCATGAACGCACACGCTGATGATTTTCGGTCGGCTCCGTTGACTAACATGAGCGAGCCACATTCTTTAGCTGTCATGAGTAGGTATTTGTAGTCAAGGTCAAACACGTGATGAAGGATGAGCCGACCTTTCATCGCTTGCATGAACGAGACAGCGTTTAGCGTCAGTGATTGTCGACCCCAGTCATCATGTCGTGTAGGCGGATCGACCCAAACGATCTACCACAAGCTGCGATCTGACCAGTACGTACCTGCTCATTGGTCAGGATAAAGAGCCCATGCTCGTACCTGAGTGTAGAGCACGTAGGAACGGTTTTTGAGTAACGAAGGTGAATCGGTCTGTAGACCGACTGAGCAGGTGCAAGACGCGGCATCCGCAGCATAGTTCCTTCCTTATCACCTTCAATCCTCAGTTTCAAAGCGACTCCTCGACTGAGACCATACTCAACCAGAAACGTAACGCACCATCCACCTTTCCCATGCAGGCTACAAAGCTCATGTCTCGTGCTGTTGCACTTACTGTTCAGCAACCTTCCCTGACCTTGTTCCGTGCCTTTGCATCTTATACTACTTTCAAGCAGTGTGTCTCAGACCTTACCAAACACGACCATGCTGAACTGAGAATCTACAAGAACAACATCATCAACAGTGCCAATGGTGATGAGAAGCGTCGCTGGCAGAACCAATTCGTCTGGGAACTAGCTCGTCACAGTATCGCCGAAGAGCCGGTCGTCACTGATTTTGATCGCTGCAGGATGTTTGTGCCTACTAGGAGTCATCCTATGTCACCTAATACTGGGGGTCCGTTTGAGACGGTGGCGAGCTTGATGTCGGCGCCGTTGGATAGGTTGGGGGACATGTTTAGGAGGTATCCCAAGACTCATTGATTGAAATTGCTTGTTTGGAAGTGGGTGGGGGAAGAGACTGGTTATCGTCATCAAGAAGCTAGAGCATTCAGTACATCTCCTATAGTCTGCTTATGTGTCATTGGAATGTTCTTGCTCAAGGCGTCAGTGAAAGTTGGAATATGTGTTTCAGTGATATATGGATATAATACAGAAATGCTTTTTCTTCTCAATAAACAATCGGGTAATACGCTAATGAACAATCTTTTCGGCCAATCTAGCCAATTCAGCCAATCTACTATTCTGCATGTATGCCACCCTATGCTTGTGCTTCACCAGACACAAATCTAAGGTTGACATTCCAATCAGCGCCGAATTGCACTTTTTCACGATCGCTCAGGACGACATTAACGCCTGTATCCACAGCAGTGATCACCCAAGCACTGCCTTCTCCCTCTTTGATTGCCTCTAGTAAGCCCAGCACTGGCACTCCTAGTGCAAGAACAGCTTCAGGACGAATCGCAAGGGGTTCTCCATCCACGATACTAGAACTTCCATCCACGTTGTCAAAGCCCGAGGGAATGTTGATACTGACGACACCAGCACGCGAGCGGTTTGCCCAATCGATCATCTCGCGAGCTTCTGTGCGAAGATCCTCATCTCGGATATCGGCGTAGCGTTGGCCGTCTAGAAGGGCATCGACGATTATCACAGGAGGTCCTTCAAGTTTCTTGATCTGGCCAGAGGTACTGCGCCATCCTTCTATACGAGCGGCTTTGCGACCTAGCGCTTGCAGAGAGTGGACGTGCTTTGCGAGTTGCGGGTGCCAGACGCTTGGATTCGAGAAATCGAGGACTGAGATGAGGACTTTGAAACCGCGGCTGTAGAGGTGGCGGGCACTGGCTATCGCGCGAGCTCCAGTGATGTGGTTACCGGCTAGGATGACCACCACTGATTTCGAGTTTGAATTGGGTAGGTTGTTGGCAATCTTCGAGTTGCGTCGTGATGCGCCAGGCTTGAGGGTGCTAGTCAAGACACTTTCAGCGATTCCACGAGCAGCATTCTCGGTGATGGCGTCAGCGCTAATGCCAATATTTGAGATTGCATCGGCTTCGGCTTGTCGTAGGCGATCAGGATGGTATAGTGAACAAGGATACTTTGACTTTGGTGTTTTGAAGTGTGGGCGAGGTGCTGCAGCAGCTTGTTGGGCGAGACTGAGCTGGTCGAGGGAATGCATGGGTGATTGAATGGATTGGGGAGAACGTGCTCTGTTTGGATTTGGCGAGGATGCGACGACAGATGAGCCCCTCAATGAGCTTACAGAGCGATTGAGGGCGGTCGAGGCTAGTGAGGCAGCCAAAGGGTGTATGATGTCTTCCGGGAGACCGCTGGTACTCATGCGCGAAGGACGTTTGTTCGATGTGCGAGATGGTGCGCGCCTCGAGTTGGGGCCACTGCCAAAGTTGACCTCAGTGTCGGCATCTGACGACGACTCGAGCTCGCTGCCGTGATGCTTGGGCTTCAATGTCGGCGAAAGCACATTCTCAGTAGGATGCAGGTTCTTGCCTCCGTATGTGCCGGGTCTTGCAAGTCTGTTGTGTGAGACCAGTCTGTCCTCGTCTGCGGTCGTGTCCTCGTTACGGATTTGATCAAAGACGGTTCTCTTGTCGAACTTGGACAAGTTGGCTTCAAAGTCGAAATCACCCATGTCCTGAATGTCTGTCGCCTCTTCAGTCGCCCAGCCATTCTGATCCCCGAGTCCGTTGAGTGGGCGCTTGGCCTTCTTCTTGGTCTTCGACGATGCAGCTGATGTAGGCTCCTTGAGCAGGGGTGTCGATCGCCAGCCTTTCTTGTTTGTGCTAGGGGTGATAGTCATGTCGTTTCCATTACGCGACACATTGGGTGACAGAGTTTCCTTGACAGTCTGGGCTTCGGTGGCTGCAGTGACAGGAACTTGGGTCGTTCTAGGGCCTCTTCTTCCACGTCGCGTCTTCTTGCCCGACTGCGCAGTGTTATCGTCGACATAGTCTTGGTCTTGATGGGCGGATGGCTCGGCAGCATGAGCAACGAAGGGAGAAGTGTTTGTAGGTGGGATGGCTGCGGCGGCAGCCGACAGAGCTTTTTTGCTAGGTGTGACGGGTGCGGAAGGCTGCTGCGGGAGAGGCGGCGGCTGACTGCGAGCAGAAGGCGCAGGCGACTTTGAGAAGCTGAGAATGGCAGGGTCGACGAAGGAGGGAGTTTTCTTGGCCAGAGGACTCTCAATACGCGCTTCCTGAGCAGGGAGAGGGGCAGGGAATTGAGCTGGAGCACGCGAGGCCGAGAAGTTTGCTGTAGGCGTATGAGGCTTGGAACTGGCCTCGAAGTTGGTCTCGACGACGCGGAGATCCTGGATCAATTGGGCGGGTACGTTGTAGGAGGGCACATGGTTGCCAGATTGCGGGAAGAAGACTTGTTCGAGCGCCAGATATTCGCCAGCGACGACATGCACGACCCGTCCTATCAGAATGGCGCCGGGAGGTTGTTGCAGCGTGACGCTGATGGTCATACCAGTAAAGTCAGCCATCATGTCGTGTACGAATGCGATGATGTCGATGCTGTCGAGGTCAATAATTTCACGCGCATGCCCTCGACGCTGGCCGGATTTAACCTCATAACGCCATGTCTGCTCTCCTGCAGCACGCACGTCATTGTTTGGAGTGACGGTCAGATTCCATACGCGGCAGTGAAGATGTTTCTCATGAATTCTATCTTTCTACATCTATAGCTTGATCTCCCCCTTGAATCCTGGGATGTGAGCAAAGTTTGCCTTCAGTGCCGTCACACTGGTTTGGCCCTGTTGCACGGCCCAGCCGTCATTACCAGGCCCAGCCCTCTCGACACTCTCGTAAACATCTTTGAACTTGGGTGCCCACTTGTAGTGTCTGGCTGCCCATTTGCTCTCCTCTGACGAGCTGCTCTGATCCTGCTCTGGTGCTTCGCCTCCTCTGCTCTCTTGTTTTCTCAGATTGGTCTCCTCTGTGTCTGCGTCCTCTACTGCACCGCTTGTCTCGTCAAAGCAAGAGCTGGATGACCAGGAATTCTGCAGCATCTCGGTCCAAACTACGGGCTGCTTTTCGACCCCATCCTTGACGGGGACGTTGATTGTGAAGACACGGCCGGCATCCCACTGTCCGTTCTTGGCCAGGTACTCAATTACGCGGACGCCCTGTCTACAGCTCTGTGCGACAATCTTGGGGTCGTTCAAGCGGTCAAAGAAGGCGAATGAAATGGCAATTGCCTTGGCTCCACAGACTGCGGCTTCGAGAGCTGCACCCAGGGTGCCTGACGAAAGGGCGAAGATGGCTGTTGTGTTGCGCCCATAATTGGGGCCCGATACGACAAGGTCGATCGGGCTTCTGTCCTTGAAGCAGTGTGCCAGTCCAAGCTGAGAGCACGTTGCCGGTGTTGAGTTGACCAGCACCCAGGGCTTGCCTTGCTTCGACTGTTGTGACTTTGGTGATCCATGCTCTTCAGTCTCGGGCCAATAGTACGTGGCCGACACGTCCTTTCCGATTATGTGTGCCTTGCCAATCCATGAGCGCTGCTCACTGGGCAAGATGACCGAGACTTCGTGTCCAGCTTCCTCCAGAGTGCGAACGAAAGCGAGGATGTAGGGCGAGGACTCGTTTGACGGCGGGCCGTCATCGTTAGTTACCTGAGTTTGGTCAGTGGAGCTTCTTCATTTGAGGGTTATGGGAAGCATACGAGAATGTGCATGGCAGGGGAGAACAATTAAAATGATAAATGATGCAAAGAATAATGATCAAAAGTCAGGTATGTTGTCGACAAGCAGAAGGTGATGCCAAGCTCATCATCCCACTTTCGTCATCGTTTGCGTGCTGACTTTCATGCCACCTTCTTCCTTACCTTCTTGACCATCTACCTAAATATGATTCGGTACATCACCCGCAGTTTCGATAATACTGATCAACAATATTTGGAACCTATCTCATAAAACATGCCATCCAAGCAAAAATCAATGCCATATCCATGGGAGATGATCGTCGATGCCAACCGTACAGGTTCCGTTGGGGACATTGATCTTATACTGCTTGAAGCATTCGAATTGTCGACGGAGGCATACGACACGTGCGTTGCTTCAGTGAGAGAGAAAGCTACAGTGGGTAACAAAGTTGATCGTTTGCAATATCTGATTGATGAAGGCCACATCGATGTGGACAAGGTAGGTCCTGCATCAGTATCATCTTCAAGTTCTGGTTCCTCTCCTAAAGAGGTCGCGGCCTTGCTCATCTCCACAGGCTGGGACATCAATCGTCGACAGCCAATGCGTGGCACTTACAACACGCCGGCTAACACTGAGATTGACAAGAAACTGGTACAACTTGTCTACAGGGATGACGACATGGTTCGCTGGTGCTTGGATGACGGTGCGATCGTTGACGACACAGACAAGACCATGCTTGCGGATGTTGCGTCGTTCGGGAGCATTGATACACTCAGGCTCTTGCATGAGCATGGTGCATCGATCAGCGAATCGACCCTCAACAATGCTGCATGGCGCGGTAGACCCGAAATGGTTGCCTTCCTCATAGACCATGTTGGTATTGACATCAATAAAGCATATGCCGGAAAACACGAGCCACTACTCCGAAACCAGACGGCACTTTGTTCTGCAGCAATCTCACCATTGGCTGATGGGGTTGGGGAAGTTGCGAAAGCCTTGCTCGAGCCGAGAGCAGATCCCTATCACGAGGATTCCAACGCGCTCGAAGAGGCAACAAACAGTGTAGTGATTGATGTTTTCCATGAATGGAAGCACAATCTTGAAGAGCCTAAAACAAAGACGCGGAAGACAACTCATCGTACCAATTTCACGGCTTCGAAAACAATCCCTTGAACGACAACGCAAAGGGCAAACTCATGAGGATTCTTCTCTCCAGGTTCTCTCAAGAAGGCCATTCTTGCAGCAAAGCTGAGCGCATCTGCAAGCCAGAAATTTCTCCAGTGTCTGGCGTATTGATCTGCACAGATAGTTATACCGTGCCGGTCTTGGATACAATAAAGGACCCTCTGGATCTCGTAACTCGATCGACCATGGCAGATCCGTCTCCAGTCAACCATGTCGCCTCAGGCGTCGAAGCCTCAAGCCAGGCAGCTGCCCACTGAAACTCCCTCAAACACGCTTGCCACCCACCACCACCATTGCTCCTGCCTGGCCCACAGCATAGCCCTTATATTCGATATTCTTCAGGTCTCCCCACAAGCAAATAAAACATGGTAGTGTAGTGGCAATCACACCCCGGACTGTGTAAGCGGTCTGGTGGAGGTCGCGGTTTCGAATCCCGCTCATGGTGCTAGTAATATCATGCCAGAGTGGCGCGGTTGTACCAACCTACTATTTGGGCTGGAGCGAGCTCATGACTGTCGAAGGACGACTTTATGAATACTGCGCCATCGATACCCTCGGCTGTACAATCCTCGGTGCAATCAGGGCGAACTGTGCTGTCCGTTCCCTCATGCTCGAGCTCCACCACTACGGCTTTGATATCCTGGAAGATGCACTCGAGGATCTTCTCAGCTCTACCAGACCTGCTCTGGAGCTGATCATCAACTGCACCCGCAGACGCTATAAAAGACTCCACTCTCCTCACACAATCATCTACGATCAAGCTACCAAATCAATCAAGTTGCGCGGTATGGATACCTATGAGCTCTCGACCGCTAAGCCCACCTCTACCATCAAGAAGACCTTGACATACCTCTTCGCACAGGGTACCACTCATCTCGAACTCGAGGACTGTCATCTCTGCTCTGCAGATCGCTTCATCGTTCTTCTCTCCCTGACCGCCGGTCTAGAAAGCGTGCACATGCATGACTTTGAACCCTGTCGTTCAGGAGGAGACACGGCTAGAGAGCACTGGTCCGGTATTCTCGGACATCTGGCTGGAGTAAAGAGCTTGAAGCACTTTGTCATTGAGAACCTGCATTCTCCTCACGATTGGGCTCTGTTTCATCTTTCAACCTACACTGATAAGCATGAGGTTAGTGGCGATGAGGTGATCGATCACTTGAGAACTCTGGCTGCTACTGTGGCTAAAGTCCCTGTCGCACATCCGGAGGAGGATCTGATCTCCTCGTGAGTATCGGTGTGGCTTGGTGAAAAGCACTGTGCATCACGACAGCCATGGAGCGATGTGCTTTGATGGGGAAGGAGAAGGAGGATAGTTTCACGACAAAAGGGGCCAACAGCTTTCAACACGGAAGGCTATAACGAGGAAAATATCATGCAGCTCGACAGTCATGGGATCAATTGCTCAACAAGGAAGACGGAGAGATACCATGGCAAGGGGCTTATCAGACATCGACAATAAGGCAGGTAGATGACCATGAACACTCAATAAAGGTCTCATACACCACTGTGCTTTCTGGTGATAAGCTTTTAAAAAGGCATAGTGATATTAGAAACCTCGTGGTCCACCATTGAGAGAACACACTTTAAACACCATCTCATCATCTGATATTCCAGTCGTAAAATTTACCTCGCCTTCCGACACCTGCCATGAACATGAACAGTCAGAGAGCGACCGAGAAAGTCTCTTGCTCCTTTCCCATGACACAGAGTGGAACGGCCTCACTCGTTGACCAAAAGCTCACAACATTTTCATCAAGAAGCAGAGAAAAAAAAAATAGACCTACATACCAAGCAATATCGAGACTCACACAAAAGATGCGGAGATAGCGATACTAATGATAAACAGTCTGGAGGAAAGCGACTTTCAGAATGTAACAAGGAAGGCACGACTGAAATACCGGGACACGAGAGATGCTCGATTTAGGGGAAAGGCTGTCACGCCGTCTCGCCCTCACGACGAGAAATTGATTGGAGAATAAATGTACTATTACGTTGCAAGGTGACTTCAAGAGACGAGTCTCGCCCTTTGGGAGAGCACCTTTGATTGCTCCAGTACCAAACCAAACGCCATCGCTAAAAAGACTGCAAGAAAAATAAAAAAGGAATAGTCTGAGGATCTTATAATCAGCCGGCGCAAGGTGATGAATCGATAAAGTGGCATTCCAGGGCATAGCCTGATAGCATGGTTACTCGGCATTGTCTTCGTCGTCATCAACCTCCATGCCAAAGTTCCTGCGCTTCATGGCGAGTTCGCTCTCCAGACTTTGCAGCTTGTTGATGTTACGCTGCCTGAGCATGGGATTCATAGAGCGCTCGACGTTAGCGCGCGCGTTTGCGACCTCCCTCTCCAAGTCCTCGATTTCCTCGCGGACTTGGGCCTGTACAGCCTGCTCTGCGACCATTTCCTCATCAATGGCGTCTGGACCTTCATCTTCGTCTTCATCGGATTCTTCGGAATCGTCGTCCTCGTCGCTGGAAGCCTCTTGGACTGGGGCAGGAGTTTCGGCAGACGCGGCTGGTGTTGGCGCCTCGGTTTCTGGTTCTGCTTCTGCCATGGTGGTTTGCACAGCGCTCATCGAGGCTGCTGCATCTGCAGGTGGTAACGGCGGTGCGTCGGTCATGTCTTCGTCGAATAGAGCAGCTCCCAGCATACCCTCCAGATCTTCGTCGTCTTCTTCCTCTTGCATGGGCTCTGTTGTGTAGGCTTGTCCGTAGGCGTCCTCGGTCGTTGTTCTATAATCGGTCGGGTCGTCATCGTCGTAGTAGTCCATGTCTTGGTCTCCTTGGTCTTGCGGATCGGGTGCATCGTTGTCGACAATGTCGTACTTGACGGTACCCCCAGCTTTCTCGCATAGTTCGTCTGCTTTGATCAAACGCTCCACTTCATCATCAACGTGTTCAACAGACTTATAGCTGGCGCGTTGTCTGAAGCGCCTCTTACGCACCCAGTGCATTGGAGGCGTCAATCCGTGTGCATAGGCGAATGTGTTCTTATCAACTTCGCGCGGTAGAGGAGCGTACTTGGCTGTCGTTTCGCCTTCGGTGGGACCCAAAACTAGCAGCATCTGGCAGATGTCGGCAACCTTCCACCATCCTCTCTTGTCCCAACTCTTCATTCCTTCGATGATACAAGGCAGATCAACCATTACAGCGGCATAGTTTGTCTTATTGACCGTCACCATGGCACGTCGTAGATCCTTGTCCAGGAACTTGATGTTGACATAGGCACCGCCTGCATCTGGTTTCTCGCCGAGTGTCTTGTTCGTGATGGCTTCGCGGAGATAGTCGCAATCGGGACCGGGCTCCATGCGCAGAACCCACTGCTGCTCAATAGCTGGATCGTCTTCTGCATCGCTGGCTTCCGAATCGTAGCCAACACCGACGGGTCGCTTGGGCACATATTTGCGAGAGACAATCGAGATTGATTTGGGACCGGCGCTCTGCTTTCTCGCGTTCGCTGACAGCTTGATGCGAGCAGAGGTTGGTGTTGATGAAGCCGACTCTAGTGCTGCACCTCCTCCGCTTCCGAGCTTAATGGAGAAGCGTTTCTTTGCGGGGAGCTGAGTGTTGATCGTGGGTCGTTTGGGGGCGGGCGAGATGTCATCTTGGGCGGAGCGCTTCTTAGTAGCATCGTCGGTGGGTTGCTTCGGCTTTTTTATCTTCCTCGGTAGAGCAGTGATGACTGACTGATCCGTACGAGGAGGCTGCGAGGGAGTGGATTCGTTCTGAGGAGTCGGTGGTTGCGAGTTCTTAATCTTAAGTTTGAAGCCGCCAGTGCTGGGAGTGGCAGCAGAGGGTGTAGGCGGGACCGATGGCGGCGCATTAGGATCCACGGGCTTGGTGGACAGCTTGAGTTTCATCGTCGGGTCGACCGCACCTCCAGCGGATTGCGACGCTATCTTGTGATGCTGAAAGGGGAAAGTACTGTTACGAAGGTCAGACGATGACGAAGAAGTTGAAGGTTGTCGGCAGCTGGAGGTGGAAGGAGCGACCGACGCCAAGAGCTCGCTCACTCAGTGGCATGTGAAAGAGGCTCGAGCCTCGTCGGTGCATGCTCAATTACCAAAAACATCCTCTCTGGTCCAGCCTTAGTCCACATAACCGACATCATGTCGGCGACACAGCAACTACATACTTCGCTACTGCGCGCCCCCATACTCCATATTCTGCGGGCTCAAGGCTTCCACTCGACGCGACCTTCGGTCCTGGACACTCTTGTGAACCTCACCGAGCGCTACCTCATGCTCCTTGCCGAGACGACCAGAGACCATGCTCTATTAAATCACAATGACCCCATCCCGACCGTCACCGATGTCCGACTGGCTTTGACCGACTGCGGCACCCTCACACCCGTCCTCACAGCCGCCGAGCAAGACTGGCTAGAAAAGTTCAGACGTCCGCTAGAAGACTTCGACGACCTCAAGCACGGCGACATCAGAAGAGAAGGAGAGTCACGGCGACGCGATGAACAAGACACTCAGGACGTTCGCGACTTCATAAAATGGATTGTTGGCGACCAGAACCGGGAAATCCGTCGCATTGCTGGTGTCTTACCCGAGTCTGGTCCTGGAGGCACTGTCAATGGTGAAGACTACTTGACCGTCTTGAAGAAAAAGCACAGCAAGACGGGAGAGGAGTCGAGGTTCCAGGGTACGGTGCTCGGAAAGCCGGCCGAAGACAGACCCATCAAGATCGAGGGAGGCCCAGTTGAGACTCTGACAGAGTGGAACAATCTCATGCACGATCACTCTGAGCACCAATTCCCTACAACAAAGGACGCGGCCGAAAGCCCACACGAAGCTGAGATTGACGAACAACAACTACTGATGGATGTGTCTTGAGACGACCGCTCTAATAAGACTACAACATCAAACAACAAATCCACCTGCCGCTTGCGCATAGTGCATCCATCTCTCACGAGGCTTTCATACAGATCGCTCGAAACGAGCGATTAGCTGGTCGCAGAATGCACCCGCAAAGGCTACCACCAGATCAACGACCACATGTACTACAGACGCTCAGTACGCCGATCATGGTATCTGCAGAGGCGGAGGGGGGTGTCAATGACAGGAACCTGAGCAACAGAGATTCGTCATGTGCTGCCAGCTTGAGCGAGAGGTAGCAGCATCATCATCAGGCGACCCTCAGGACGCCATGCTTGACGAAATGCCGGACAATAGGCAAGCATGGAAATCAAGCAGAGATAGAGATCGAAACAAGTCACTCCCGACTCCGTCTATGATATGTTATCTCCTATACAGTAGCACGTGAGTGTCAAGCCAGGATGACCAGTTCCGATGAGTGGTTCCGATTTGACGAACGGGTCGCTGCGAGAAGAATACCGAACGTTGTCGAGTTTGGACATCCAGCAAGATCCAATTGTTCAAGTCGAAGCAGCATGCTTGCTGAAGAATCCAACACCACCAAGATACTTAATCGCCTGCAATGCAAGTTTGTTCTCTTCGTCCACTTCCTGCTCAACAAGCTACATCCTCGTCAGCGACTGTCCGTTTCACGTGTAACCAAATGGAATAAGACTTACTCTCTGGTACAAGGTCTTCCTCTTGCCCTTCTCCAGCCCAGAACCTGATTCGTGCTTGAATCGGCACTTGTTTCCGAATTTGCAGCGGCCTTGATTCACAAAGCTTACACAATATCTAGTTTCTGCTTGTTGCTGTTTTGGCAGCGCTTTGGTGTTTGCGGTAGGTGGAGGGACGCGAATTGGGTGGGAAAGTTTCGAAGTCGTTTCCTCAGGGGGTGCATCGCTATCAGATTCGTAGAAATGCTGTTCAGCCGCTGGAGATGCGTGTTCGGCATGGGCTCCCTGCTCGGGCAGATCTGAAGATGTCTGGTCGATGATCGTATTTGTTGTCAATACTTCCTGTTGAGGCTGCTGTGTGTTGTCCATAGCTTGTCCGGCTGCCTCAGTCATCGTCGAATCATGAGCTCCTTCTCTCTCCGTCAGGCGCTTCTGTAGCTCCTCTACCTTCTGCATTTGGATCGCAAGCTCCTTCTGTGTGTCTTCTAGTGTTGAAACTTCTGCCTGACGAGCGTGTCTCTCGGTAGCAGGTTTTCTCATCGGTCTCTGCTGGCGATCCTCCCTTACCACAGACTGATGCTCGCCTCCTGAAGCACTGGCAATCGCTGCCCGAGTCTCCTGCTCAATTCGTCTACGTTCCTCCATACGTGACTGCACTTCCAATTCCTTCTCCTCCACTCTACGTTTACTTGGCCAGCGCTTTCTGCGCTCTTCAATCCACTCGGCGATATCCGCTGCTGAACCTAAAGTTGACAACTCTCCATTGAACTCGAAACTCAACGGTCCGTCTTGCAAGGCACTCAAAGCGGCTTCTTCATCAACATCTTCTTCGTCTACCTCCTCGTCCTCGTTCTCGTCTGAGTTGTCTGCTGATCCGTAATCTTGTGGTATGAGTCCGAGTCCTGTCGAAGGTCGTTCTTTCAGACCGCCGCCAGATGCCAATGACGGTGGAGGCTTCTGAGGGAGGATTGGTGCTCCAAAGCTGGGAACTGCTGGAGCGACCTGAGCCTTTGGTACACTCTGGAATTTCTTCACGGGGTTTCCTCTATTCGAGCTTCCGAAAGCCTGATCTCGAGTGCGTTTCTCCGCAGGTGGATGATTTGAACCGCCGGGAGTTCCGTAGAGAGGTTGACTATTTTGTCCAGTAGCATACGAGTTTTGCTGTCCATACTGAATTGTCTGAGGTTGAGGATATGCCTGGGCTTGCATCCCACCGAATGCCGGGTTAACATAAGAACCTGGTGGAGCCTGGTACTGCTGAGGGATTTGATATTGCTGTGGAGCTTGGTAATTCTGATTGTTCTGAAACTGTGGAAGGCCTTGATGTTGCTGTTGATTGCCAATATTTGGTTGGTAGTTGCCAGTATTTTGCCCATATCCAGTATGATTGGTGTTCTGATGTGGGAAGTTGCCTCCGCCACGCTGTGGTGCACCTCCTCGACCTCTGAACGAACCACGACCTCCGCGACCTCCACTTCCACCTCTTCCGCCTCTACCTCCGCGGCTGTTGTATTGATTAGATGCTTCTGGTTGTGATGAAGATGTCGCCTTTGGCGGAGGTGGAGGAGGAGGTGGGAATGAGAATCCGTCCATTGTAGAAGTTGTAGATGTAATTACACGATCTCGAAGAATTGTTTTGATCAGACGCTAAATTGATTCTTCAACATCGTCAAGTCCAGAAAATGGTGTTTGCAAGAAAGATCAAAGCATTTAAATTCTCGAAAGCCTGCCTCTGCCTCCAAAAGAGCAAGACGACGCGTGCCAAGACTCTACCAAAACCCGTCGCTCGTAGGGCTGAACAATGGCCGTCCTCGAGTGACCAAAATCCCGTTCATCACTCTCACACCTGGGCATACACGATTTTTGGGGAGAATGTTTTTATAGCGACACCGAAGCGATCACATCACAGCTGAATTATTATGACTTCTTTGCTGGACGAACATTCTACAATAACGCTGCCCGAATATTTGACCTGAAGAAAAATCTGCCGGGCGTCGTCTCGTAACTCCATCCATCAAGAATGTATATCATCGTAAGTTAAGATCCTCCTCAAGATTCACACCGGCAACATCGGAAATATCAGAAAGAGCAAGGGTGCGATATACAGGGCACGAACGGGCAAAATAGCGATACTGACTAGAACATCAAGGTCACAATCGCGGACTTGATCCAGATTTCACCACAAGACTTTGAGAAGCGCAGTGCGCAAGCAATTGAAGATAACATCAACGCAAAGTACGCCGACAAAGTCATCCACAAAGTCGGACTTTGCGTAGCTCTCTACGACATCCTTCAAACTAGCGAAGGACTCATCGGCCATGGCACGGGAATCGTCAACGTCAATGTCGACTTCCGCATGATTGTTTTCCGACCGTTTAAGGGTGAGATCTTGACGGGTAAAATCATAAGTTCTTCCGATATGGGCATTCGAATCTCCATGGGCTTCTTCGACGATATCTATGTGCCTACGCCTGGAATGATCTTTGATCCGGCAAAGTACATCGTCACTGAGGAAGGTGATAAAGTCTGGGTTTGGGAAACTGCGCCGGATAACTTGTTGTACTTTGATCACAACGAGATGGTGCGCTTCCGTGTCGAGGCCGAAACGTGGACGGATTTGTCGCCAGAGAAGCAGCCTGCGCCTGGCGAGGAGGTCGAGGTTTACAGACGCTCACCCTACGAGCTCACGGTGAGTCGCAATCATGATATGTGCATCTCACAATATGCTAATACTATATGCAGGCATCCATGCAACTGAGTGGTCTCGGACCAGCTCTCTGGTGGAGAGAGCCAGATGAGGAAGAAGTTGCAGAAGAGGGCGAGGAGGAGGTTGATGGCGGAGCAGAAGATATCAATGGCGATGCTGTTGACGAGATGGATGAGGGTGTTTAGTATAATCCCTCCATGCCGACTCGTCCGCTCGCCGACAAGACGAAAGAGCCAGAGTTTGAGGCGGCTCCGGTTGATGACAGCCCGAGTGAGCTGCCACGTAGGAGCAGAAGGCTAGAAGCAAAAGGCTGAATGACCTTTCCGCTGAGAAGACCGCTGGAGTATGAGAATCGAAAGCTACAGGAAAGCAAAGTGCAAAGGCCGGCCACGATAAGTAGTGCGCGCGCGGGAAGAACATCACAAGCGACCATCGCACCCACATAGATACCACACCAACACCAAACCAATAACATCAAAAAGTCAGAAAACAGACATCACAACAAAGCAGCCCTTCACTCACGACAACCTTCATATACAAAGAAAAATCAGTCCCTTTACATCCCAGCTTGATAAGACCAATGGCGCAGTGGGAGATCCCCTGACCACCGGGCGGCCGTAAGCTACCACCCTCTTCTTCACCTGGAGGAGATTGGTAAATTACGACTGCGCGAAGCCGGGAGAAGTTGCGTCGGCAACACCTACTTTTTGTTTACGGTATAGAGGTGGTGGGTTCGACTCTATGGGGTATCAATTCTTCATTTACCTTTTTACTTCAATGTCGACAATGAGGTGTACAAAACATGACACACGCTGGAGCTTGACACGGACTCACTTTCACTCTGCTGAAGAGAAGGACACGATACATGGGGCTCAACGACTTTTGAGATATGGATGAAAGCTTTCAGCGCTACAACGCACTGCAGGCTATATAGAGGTGCCTCGCTATTTAAGTCCAAGTCTAACCTTCAACACACCCTCCCAAGCATCCAAAGCACTAGCTTCGGCCTTTGTAGCAAAGGTTCTAATGCCCTGACTCAAAAACGCAGCCTCGGCCATGGCATCGCCTGTGGTTCCTTCACGCAATGCCTGCACCATATCTCTACCGTCAATCTTTGCTTTTTGCTCGCGCGCGAGTGTCTGCAAAGCTACGAAGTGTTTAGCCACGGCATCACGGATGCGCTGTACAGGCTGAGGAGGCAGACGATTGCCTTGACGCTTTTTCTTCTCCACATCGGTGGCGACGTTGCAGAAGAAGGCGGCGCTGCGGATAAAGTCGAGTAGCAAGAAGTAGGGCTGCAGCGTGTAGCTCGACGGTGGTAGACCAGACGCCTTCTGGATGCCGAGAATATCAGATGTGGAGAGCTCTTGGGTAGACTTGGCGAGACGATCGAGTAGTCCAGCATCGGGCTTGATTTCATTGGTACCAAGTAGCGATTTTGTAGCCTGGAGCAGTTGTGCCCAAGGCTTTGCTAATGCCTTTTCGGTCGGAGTGAGCTCATTGGCACCTGCCGCTGCAAATGCAGCAGCTTCCTCTTCTGTGACACAGCTCGACTTGGCGCACACAGTGGGTCTGCTGGAAAGCAAAGCCCAAACGTCCTCGTTTACAATAGCTTGTGAGATCCAGTTGACGTTCGGAATCTTACCCGCACTGTGTAATCTACGCTCGGGTGTGCTCTCAGTACCAACACCATCAAAGTTGAATGTCTCTGCGTAATCTCTGCTGTCTTTGAGGTCCTGCGTCCAGCCTTCGAAGATGCTCGGTCGAATGTCTGGGGTGCGAGGATGGAATGGATTGTCAGTCAAGCGAGCCATTCTGCATTGTTCAAGGATAAGCATGCGCCTGGTGAAGCTGTGCTCGAGCGTGTCCCGCAGCTCCTGCAGCTCAAAGACCAAATCACATTGTCCCTGCTTCAGGAGTGAGGATTGCGAGTGCGCAAGTTTCTTGTCGGTCGCAAAGAACATGTCCAAGGCGTTGTCGATGATCTCATAGGGATCGACTGATGCCTCTCCTCTCTGATCAAGTGCGAAGGGATGGTTGACAGAAATTCTTGTGAGGAGAGAATGAGCCATCGTCTCTTGCTGTATCTCTCGCACACGCAGACTGGCATATTGCTTCATGGCCAGAGAATGTAGGCCCAGCTCGGTCTCGAGGTACACGAGCAGGACTTTACCGGGGTGTGCGTCCTCAGTCACAGGACCAGTCTCAAGGAGGTATGCGGCCTGGAAGAGATACGTAATGTCACTCTCAAGCTCATATAGTCTGATGAGTGCTGAGACAGCTAGATAGCAAGCATCGGACAGAAGTAACTTGCTCTGTGAGCTAGTCTCCATGAGTCGAATGCACTCGCACGCGAAGTTCTTGATAACATCTGCTTTTGGCTTGGTAATGCCGATGTTAATGCGGTACTGAAACTTCAACGCGTTGATCTCTGAATTGAGCAGATCGGAGGCCTGTTCGTCGCTTGTCAGTCTATACCCAAGCATACGAATAAATATCACCTACCTTCGTTGACTTCTTTGCAGCGTCGGAGTTGGTCAGCTTCATCGAAGTCTGAGAGACGTGGTCAAGGAACTCTTGCTGGGCCTCAGATGGCAGATCGTCCACGAATTCTCTGATATCACCGTAGCAGAAAGGGTATGACTGCCACTCCGTAAAAAACTCCTTTGCAGACTGCAAAGTCTCTTGTGACTTCGTCCTCGTATCTGTCTCTGCCTCAGATAAGACTGTAGCCTGTACATTGGCCATCATCTGTAGTCGCTTGATTCTCCAGTCATCCTTCTCGGTGACAGCAGGTGTGACGTCCGGCTTGCCGAGCTTGGCTGCAGCTCTTACTAGGCCATCCCAAACAACCCAGTCGTCTCTTACTCTGTTGAACATCAGCCGAGATTCTCTTCACCGTGTCTCATCAACATACTTTAGTGTACCGTCTGGAGAGTTCTCATCCAGCAGAGAGGAGCACAGATCGAGAACCTCCTGCCATCGAGATTCCGCAATGTACAATTGGATCTTTTGTCTTGTGAAAGGCCAATCACTCATGATTTGTTTAGCAAGCTTGTCATCCGGCTTATCCTTGAACGAGTCCAAGGCTTCGATCATGTCCTTCTTCTGCCCCTGTCTGCGGTAGAGATTCATCATAAGTCTCAGCTGTGCAGAATCCTCGACCGGCATCTGTTTGAGAGTTCGGAAAGCAAGAATACGATTCATGCCAGCCACCTTTTCGTCCTTATCTGCCTCGCTGAGTAACTGCTGAACAGCAATGTGTGCTAGCTTGTAACGCCTGTTCAAAGGGTCTGCCTTCTTCATTGCAATTAACGCCTGTGAAACATCAGTATTCGCTGTTACTAGATGTTTCGGTCGCACATACAGTAGCCGCATCTTGCCATCTTTGCTCGCTCACTGCAATCGTGAAGCGCTTCTGATTGATAGCAATCACACCGTTTTTACCCGCCGAATTGGTTGCATTTGTCCACAACTTGCCAGCTCGTGGTCCGTTACTCAGCGCGCGTGGGTAATCATCCACAATAGCCATTGTAGCCAACTCATCGAGATCCGAGATCAAAGTAAGATCAACAATAGGAGGATTTCTACTACAAAGCTGATCCAGAATCTGATTGCCTTCATCGGTTTGCATCATGCTGAAGAGGAAGTTTGCCTTGAAGTACAAGAGTTGGTTATTGGCCGGTGACTTTTTCAACAGCTTGTTACATTTGCTCAAGCCATCCTTGTATCTTCCAGTCTCCAGATAATCTTCCAGTTCCCTCGCGGCAGCCATGGCGATTGTCTGAGGTCCAGCCAAAAATCTGCAAATGTAAGGAAATGCGCGCTTCGACAATGTAACAAGAAGTGTGGAGCAAAGAATCAAAATCCAAGACATACAACTCAAAACTGCAATAACAAGAGACCGACAAATTATATGGTCAAGACTTTATGGAGGAAGAACGACCAACATGAATTGACTTGCAGAAAGGCTGTCATCAAATCAGCGTGGAGCCGACGAGGTCCGTGCACGAAGCTAGACAGCTGACAGGGTCACACATAGTTGAACATGGAAATTGGTGATGTTTGCAATTCATAAATTTCAAGAACGTTTGTTGGAAGATTTACAGATCCCACTTCTAAGGGGACTGACGAGACGTGTTCTCTACTAGCAAGGCTTACCCCAGCTTTCTTCGGCTAGAGAGTCTAACAAGCCCTCAATAAGACCAGGTTGACCGCTCACAGCTAGAGCGGCGCCCTTCGGTCCTGGATTGTTGAACATAGGTACGTTCCGAGTCACCTCATGTCCGACTTCCAAGATAGTACCGCCCACCATATCTTCGTTCTCGACTAGAGTCAGCAACGTCTCTGCAACTTCTTCTGGAGTGGCCCAAAGATCCTTTGTCTCATCGAAGTACTTCATCTTGTCCGGATTGTCGGTCCACAGCGGCGTCTTGATGATCCCTGGGCAACATGCAGTTACTCGAATACCAAATTTTTCATCTAGTCCAGCAAGTGAGCGTGTAAAGCCAATGACAGCATGCTTTGCCGCGCAGTACAGGGGTATAAGTAGCGAAGCACCTTCTCCAGCAACACTGCTGATCATTACAATCCGCTTCGGATTTTGCGGACTCGCTCGGGGTTGCTGTGACAAGAAGATCTGGATGGCGAGCTGTGATACTCTGATCGGATGGGTAAGATTGATGTCGAGAGACGCATAGCGACCACCATCAATGCTGTCCTTAGACTCGGCGGTTCCAGGTGGATTCCAGAAGTTCGACCAATTCGGCTCAAAAACTCCTGCACCGGGACATACAAGGTCGACTCCACCGAACTCTTCTTGTGCCACCTCGAACATGCGCGAGAGCTGGGTCCAGTCTGTCACGTCTGTCCTTTGGAAGATAGCTCGAGGCTGGCCTGTGGACTTTTGAGAGTACTGATCCGCAATAGCTTGGGCTTCCGGACGGAGACCAAGGTCGGCGAAGACAACATTGCAACCCCGCGAAAGTAACAGGGCCGCAAAGCAGAGATTGATGCCTACGTCTCGGTCAGGAATATCTTCTTTTGAATATTGGAGAAGACCGAATGCATACCGGACCCCGCTCCAGTCACGATAGCAGTCTTTCCCTTGACAACGAAAGGTGTAGTTTCTGACACCATGTTGAAATGCTCGATAATGTGGAACTCTTATGTTAACACGAGAGAATAGTGTTGTGATTGTAGGTTCACGGCAACATACCCATTTAAGAGTATTGTCGTTGATATATATGCCACCTCGGTCAAGTAATTGCGAGAGGTAGCGGAGAGGGCGGGGTCACTTTCGGACGTTAGCAAAGCGTCGATCTTGAGTTGCGAGCACTTTCTTGAGCAGTCGCCTGAGATACCCCGATTATCCCGAGGATGGATTTACTGAATTGGCCATCATCTACTATAAATTTGCACTCGGACGAGGTGGCTGAGTAAGGTCGCATACTCGAGTACACGCGGTTGGCCAAGACCACTTTCAAAACTGTGACTGGAATGTCTTCCAGATCTCCAGAAGTCGGACTGTGTGAGTAAAACGATGAAGAAGGTGTAACAAAGTTTTGGTAAGGAGTCGAATGGGTATCTTTAGTTGTGTGTTGGCGTGGTTCTTCACCACCATCTGCCTTGCTTTCTCTTCTCCTCCTTCATCTCTGCCATCTATATAGCACGTCAGCACAGGATCATATCAGATGCGATCGTTCGGACATACCCATTGCTTCTTACACTCGCGGTATGCTCTGTTGGAATGTTAGTCAGAAAGTCGAAGGTGGGAGTCAAGGAACAGAACGTACTCGAAGTAGTCTGAGCATAAAGTCTTGTCACCGCCATTTCTTCTCAGACACCTCAAACTTCTATCGGCGGCTTCTTGACAAGGATCAAAGTACTCGCTGTATGATTTGCTAGATCACAATCACTTGGTCAGCCGAATTGTGATTTGTGGCGGGAGAGAAATTCGATCATACCTGTTGTACTTTGCGCCACCCTTCTCCCAGGCCTTCTTGTTCTCTTTCTCGTCTTCGCTGGACATCGTGATTGCTTGGCTCAGACTGACGAACGGTCAAAGTTGAGTGGTATAATTATGATGTGTTGCCACGAGGGTAGAGGCTGGAAGGTGCAAGGAGGCCTGTGCTTTTATCGGCAGATCTTGCCGTTTTGATGGCTATGTCTTTGTTCTCAACATCTGAGCAACACAGAACGATTGGTGCATTATCATGTTGTCTGTTCGTGTTTTACTACAGTCTAAAACTACACAAGCATCGCCTTTGACATGACCTGACCATGATCCTGGACAGAATGTCTAATGACCCAATTACTTATTCCAACCACGCTCACATTCATTATACAGACATCTTCATGGCGATACCCTTGTGGGGATCGTAGCCAAGAACCTTGAAGTCCTCGACCTTCCAGTCATCAATCGAGAGGTCAGAGTCAGGCTTCTCGATGACCAGCTCGGGAAAGTCTTTCGGTACGCGCTCGATCTGAAGCTTGAGTGCGTCTACATGGTCGCAGTATACGTGCGCATCGCCCATAGTATGTGTGAAGGTACCGGGGATCAGATCGCACACCTTTGCCAGCATGTGTGTCAAGAGAGCGTAACTGGCGATATTGAACGGAACGCCCAAGCCCATATCGCACGACCTCTGATACAAAATGGAATGGAGAGTTCCTTGTTTTGAGCCATCTGCTTTTGTAGGTGCGTCCTTGGGGAACGAGACGTAGAACTGGGCAAACATGTGGCAGGGTGGTAAGGCCATCTTCTTGAGGTCTGCAGGGTTCCAGGCGGACAGGATGATGCGGCGATCATAAGGGTTGTGCTTCAGTTTGTGAACGACTTCTGCCAATTGGTCTACACCTTGGCCTGTGTAGTCTGTCTTTGCATCCTTGTACTCGGCACCAAAGTGTCGCCATTGGAAGCCGTAAACTGGACCAAGATCGCCAACTTCGCGATGCGAGAGACCAACCGAGTCGAGATAGTCGCGAGAGCCGTTTCCGTCCCAGATCTTGATGCCTTGCTCGGTAAGAGGAGTAGAGGTTGTAGTTCCGGCGACGAACCAGAGCAGTTCAGCGATCACAGCGCGAAGAAAGACGCGCTTTGTGGTGAGGAGAGGTAAGATCAGCTTTCCGGTATCCTTGTCGGAGAGTCTGAAGCGGAGTTGATTTGGGGCGAAGATGGAGAATGTGCCCGTGCCGGTTCTAGAGACAGCCGTCAGAGACTCGTTGAATGATGGCGAGTCGAGAGTGTTACCTGTCTGGACGATGTTCTCCTGACTCGAGGATGTCGCGAATCAAGTCGAGATATTGGTATTCTTCGTGTGCAGCATGTTGGCGAGGTGCTTTGTGGTTCGGTGGCTCTTGAGGCTCGAGTCTCACATCAGGACCACTAGCAGGGCCGAGCTCTATTGTTGCGGAAGGCGACATTGTGTATTGTGATGTGAGTTTGTGAGTGAGTGGACTTGGGATCAAAAGACCAAAAGGCACAACATTTGTGATGGACGGGTGACGCGAGCGCGACAGCACCGCGTTAGATTGACTCGACCTGCACAACTTTCTTATGCATGCACTGGAATAGTCCGTGCACCGATGATGGAATTCGGCATGTGAATGTTCAAGTCGACAAAGACTCGAGCACTTGAGTATATTCCCGACACTCTCGACATTTCCAGTAACCATGGCGGGAGACAGACGGTGGGCGACCATCCTCCAGGAAATTGCTATCGCAGCAGCTGCTGTATGTCCGGACTCAACGTAATTCAGCACGACAGCCATAACTGACAAGATGCGACAGCCCATCATGGCCTTCTTTATTATGCGGAACCTCCTGGCTCGAATGGATCCTGAAGCCGGTGCCAAATCTGAAGCCGAGAAGAAATCCTCGGCCGCAACAGCCCGTCTATCATCCATCTTTGCCAGTGCTCCCGACGACGACTTTGACGAAGACGATGAAGACTACGATCAAAAGATGGAATGGGAGAAGCGCAAGGAGAACCTCGTCCTTACACCTTACGAACAAACTATCGCCATGGAAGTAGTTGCCCCTTGGGAAATTCCCGTCTCGTTTGACGACATCGGTGGTCTAGACGATATTATCGAGGAACTGCGCGAAGCCGTCATCTATCCTCTTACCATGCCCCACCTCTACTCGGCGACAAGTTCTCTCCTCTCGGCTCCTTCTGGCGTTCTTCTCTATGGTCCCCCTGGTTGTGGAAAGACCATGCTCGCAAAGGCTCTGGCCCACGAAAGTGGTGCCTGCTTCATCAACCTGCACATCTCAACTCTAACCGAAAAATGGTACGGCGACAGCAACAAGCTCGTTTCTGCCGTCTTCAGTCTTGCAAGGAAGCTTCAACCAAGCATTGTATTCATCGACGAGATCGATGCCGTCCTCGGCCAAAGGCGTAGTGGAGAGCACGAAGCCAGTGGCATGGTCAAGGCAGAGTTCGTTCAAGCTGCATTATTATGCTCAGCAGTCACTAACACGGCAACAGGTTCATGACACAATGGGACGGTCTCACATCTTCAAATTCCCTCGGCGAGTCTCAACGCATCTGCGTGCTAGGAGCCACCAACCGCATACAGGACATCGATGAAGCCATCCTCCGTCGCCTTCCCAAGAAGTTCCCCGTATCCTTACCCTCAGCATCTCAACGCCGTTCAATCTTCTCCTTGACGTTGAGGAACACTCGCATGTCTCCCCAGTTCGATCTCGAAACTTTGGTCAAGGTCAGTGCAGGCATGTCCGGCAGCGACATCAAGGAGGCCTGCAGAGATGCCGCCATGGTCCCCGTCAGAGAATACATCCGCGAAGCAAAAGCTCGCGGTGCAAATATGAAAGGCGTCAAGGCTGAAGACGTCAGAGGCTTGCACACCGACGATTTCTTTGGCAGGAAAGGCGGCGCACTACAAATGAGACGTCAACCAGAAGTCGACGAGTGGGAGGAGTCCAGGGCCAGTCCTGAAACGATGTCGGAAACGGATGACGACCCGAAAATTTCCGTGCCGGTATGATTATGATGGTTTCGCACTTTCATGACTTGTTGCATTTTCATGGGCGTTACTTTGATGTCGATATTCTAACTCTTCTCAACCGCGTTTGTTCTTGGAATACCCCATCTAGAATGCAATCTTTGCTCTTTACCACTAACATCTCGTTCCGGGTGCGACACACCTCAAGTTACCATAAGCTGACATCAGAACTAACTTTCCGCCCCGCAACAAACATTCGGAGCATAAAAGGCATCATCTTGGCCTCTTCAAGAGTGACTCCGATCCTGTTAACCATCACCATCATCCTTTCGATCATGTCACAACATCGGTACAGAGACCTTCACATAGGCGCCGCCTGGGTCAGCATGATTGAGCCCTCAACAGGCTCAGAGGCATCCTTCAATCGCTGGTACTCAGACGACCATTTTTACGCTGGCGGCATGTGTCTTCCGGGCATATTTTCAGGCCGTCGTTGGGTATCTACGAAAGCACTACGCGAGCTCCGGCATACTAAAGGCGACGATATGAAAGACATTGGCTGCTACCTCCATTCAATCTCTTCGCTGAGCATTTGTTAGACGAGATCAATGTCGCGCTACGTACAACACTGCAAGATCTTGGAGCGAGGGGAAGAATGTATGGCGACGACGTCTCTAGACGGCACCTGTATACTGCTATCACGCGTTACCGAGGTGCTGTGTACAAGATCCTCGAGTGTCCTGGAAAGTATTTGAGAAGCATGACGAAGAAATCAAAGAGAAAGGCTTAGGAGACTTTGTGTTCGCGGGACCTTTCATTCCCACGGTACCGGGGACTAATCGGTATGTTGATGAGCTTCGGTAGTGTTTTGGACTGCTTTGTGCATATCATACTCAGAATGCCGGAGCATTTCGACGACGGCTCGCTTAAGGGATGGTCTGCATTCCTCTACATCATGATCACATCGGATGCTCTAAATTCTGACCCAACATCGATGACATTCTTTGTTCATCCCCACATGGCCCGCTGGTCGAGTACACTTAAATGAGAGGTGGATATAAGTTCACGAATTGCATGTACTTGAAGAATCAACATGCACGGCACGCAGGCTTGCTGTGGAAATATCTACCGGCGTCGATCTTCTGCATTCGGCGTTCCTGAACAATGGACCACCGCGTTCTTTCCCATCAGGCCGCGAGCAGTAAACTTATTGAGTCTTGGCCGGGCGCCGTTTCTTTCATCGACTATCAAATCAACTCCATCATGGGGTATTGCTAGAGCCGCATCCTATAATACAGCCTAGAGCCTTGCTCTCTCCTGCATGTAAGTCGATTCAACTTCATCAATAGTGATTCGAACCACACCATGAAGCAAACTTCTACTCGTTTCTTGGGCTTCGCCGCCCTCTTCGTTGGTCTTGGTGCCGCTGCTGCCACTAGTCTGGTCAGCAGAGCCACTGCTCCTGTGAGTCTGAGCCAAGCACTCAGCATCAATGTCGCCGAGGTTCCTCAGTGTGCCGTAAGTGCCTGCCCTCTACAACCACGACAGAGCTCAGGTGGCCTAACATGTTCATCAGCAAAACTGTGCAAAGGACCTTCCCGAGGAATGCGAGGGCAACCCTCAGTGCATCTGCAGCCACCCAGAGTTCATGAACGAAATTGCCTGCTGTGTCGCCAAATCATGCTCGTCGGCCGACCTTCTCTTGACCCAACAATTCTCCGGTCAACTGTGCGGTATTGTTGGCGAGTCTCTGCCTGCTCAACCTACTTGTACCACTACTGTCAAGCCTCCTGCCAATCCCAACTGGAGCTATGTCGGCTGTTACAGCGAAGCTACCAACTACAACCGTGCTTTGAACAACACCTACTACATCGACAGTAACGGCATGACTCCTGCTGCATGCCAGTCTTTCTGCAAGGCCCGCGGCTGGAAGTTTGCAGGTGTCGAATTCGGCCAAGAGTGTTGGTGAGACTACCTCTCTATCCTGTTTGGTATCGAGATTAGGTGTACTGACAAGTGATTGCAGGTGCGGAAGTGCCATTCAGCTCATCAACGGAGCCAAGAAGTTGCCCAACGATTCCACATGTAACAGAGCCTGCACTGGTGACAGCAGCAAGAAATGTGGTGGTTCTGCTACTCTCAACATCTACAAGTCTCCTGCCACCTAAGGATGAGATGTGTGAATGGGGGCTCCGCACGGCTTTGGGGATAGACTACCATAGCTTTATAGTGATTCATGGCGACGGTGAAACTGTAGACATTGCAAATAAGTCGTTCATCTGAGTTTCGTGTCAAGCATCAATTGAATGTGTTTTATCTACCAAGCTTATTGCCGTGTTATTCCCATCTCCACATGAGAGGAAACAACGACCACTCACCCCGCACCTCGGCTCTCGAGAAAGTAAAGTAACCTCCATCCGAGGACAACGACTACCCATACGTGGTTGAGTCAACACGAATATTTCTATCTTCTCAATCTCATAGACCAAGTCATCTCCATCTTTTGCATCGCAATCTCCAAGTGTCCAACATCATCACCGCAACAATGTCGCAAAAGCCCAAACTCACCCTCTTCGTGGACATAGTCAGTCCATTCGCATACATGGCTTTCCACGTCTTGAACGTAAGAACAACCTATCCTCTCCATATTTCTCACCGAAACCCATGATAGTAGAAAACCCACTCAACTAACCACAAAACTTCCCAGCGTTCCCAAATCTTCAAACAAGTCCAAATAACCTACATACCAATCTTCCTCGGCGGCGTCATGAAAGCCTGCTCAAACACTCCTCCCATAAACATAAAAAACAAAGGCGCATACATTGAAAGCGACAGAAAGCGCTGGTCGAAATACGCAAATATTCCCATGGGAAAAAATATGCCAGAGGATTTCCCGCCGTTTACTTTGCATGTCATGAGGGCTTTGGCTGTTGTGGAGGGAAAACATGGCGAGAAACTGACAGAGAGTATAGCGGCTTTGTATAAAGGTATGTGGGTGGATGGGAAGAAGATTCATGAACATGCTGTCTTTGAGGAGATTTTGGTGGGGGTTTTGGGAGAGGAGGAGGCGAAGAAAGTAGTTGAGGAGGTGAGTTTGTCCTTTTTTTCCCCCTTACACATCTTCTTGAGAGGAACGGTACTGATAAAGCATTGCAGAGTACGAAAAAGGAAGCCAAGGATAGACTGACTGCCAACACGGATCTGGCATTCAAGGAAGGTGCCTTTGGGTTGCCTTGGTTTTTGGCTACGAACAAGGAGGGTGTCACGGAGAAGTATTGGGGCTTTGACCATTTGGGCCAGGTTATTGAGCATCTTGGTTTGGACAGAGGGGAGGCCAAGGAGTTGAGAGCGATGCTTTAGGAAGAGTGACGTGACTAGCATTTAGACGTTCTTGTTGTGATTTTCGTATCCATTGCTTTGCTTTGCATACGTACAGATGAAAGACGCTCAATGTATAATCGCTCTGTGACTCGTCCTAGAAGCACCACGCTCGCTCAATCCATGATTCATGCTAGACTCAAAATGAAAGATGGATGGTGTGTCATAAGTTGTTTCCGAAAGACTTTTTCGCTTTACTCATCGGGTATCTGAAACTTTTTCGCTCTTACTCTACATACGCTCTCTCCTCCTCGGAGCAGCGCGAATGATGTTGTCTACACGCAAAAGGAGCTCAGCAGCTTCACTAGCACTGCTCACAACAGCGTGCTTGAGCTTGTAAGCCTCAACGACTCCCAACTCGCGCATATCCGTAATACCGCCACCGGGGGTCAACAAGTCGAGACCTGAGTTGGTCATGCCACTGTAGACTGCATTCTTCAGACGGCTGACCAGTTCGGCGGAGTCGAGACCGGCGTTGTCGGCGAGGATGGTGGGCAATTGTCGCAGAGCCTTTGCGAAGCTGTCGACGGCGATGGCCTTCTTGCCGGCGCAGTTTTGTGCGGCCTGGTCGACGGCTTTGGCCATGACCATCTCGGCACAACCACCACCGAGAGTGGTCTTGGGGAACTTGACGGTCTGGGAGAGAACGGCAAGAGCGTCGTGAAGAGAGCGCTCGGCCTCGTCGAGCATCTGCTCGGTGGCACCACGCAGAACGACCGTACAAGCCTTACCTGCAGCAACTCCTGAGAAGCGGATCAAAGTATCCTCACCAATGATGACCTCCTCGATCAAATCACAGTGGCCAAGCTTGACAAGCTCGGGGTGGTCAAAGGTAGAAGTGATCTCAGCACCAGTAACAAGAGCAAGACGCTCAACACCGTCAAAGTCGGCGTGCTCAATGCTGCAGATGCCGGCATCGCTGAAGAGCTGTTCGGGCCAGTTGTAGATAAGTTGACGGTTGACAAAGCAGTTGATGCCGTGCGACTTGATGCGCTCGACCTTTTGCTTCATCTTCTCGCGCTCAGCCTTCTCCAACTCAGCCAATTTGCCAGTAGAATCGACCTTGACACGGGCACCGAAGATCTTGACCTTGTCTGTGTCCATGGCAGTGTTTGCGACCAGAATGTTTGCATTCTCCAGACGCTTGGGCTGGTTGACACCGAACTTCTTGTCGAGAATAAAGCCAGAGTCGAGGTATGAATCGGACAGCTTGCCGCCGGCCTTCTTGATGATCTGAATGTGGGACAGGTCGGTGGAACCCTTCATGCGCAGGACGGCGTCTACGGCCAAGTTGGCGAAGTATTCGCGCTCTTGTGAGAGGACCTTTGAGCTGAGGGTGGTACTAGCGATGGCGAGGAGATCCTTGCGGAAGGCTTCGGGGTTTGCGCTGTTGTCGACGGCGGTCTTTGCGAGGGCGGACAGGGCGGCAGCAGAAGCGATGCGGTAACCTTCGATGATGGTCTGGGGGTGGATCTTTTGGTCGACGAGCTTCTCAGCCTCGCGGAGCAACTCAGCAGCGAGAACAGTAACGGAGGTGGTACCGTCACCAATCTCGTCGTCCTGGACTTTTGAGATGTTGACAAGGACCTTTGCGGCGGCGTTGTCGAGGGCTATTGACTTGAGGATGGTTGCACCGTCGTTGGTGACCATGATTTGCCCAGTGGAACCAGACTGCAGGATCTTGTCCATTCCCTTGGGGCCCAGGGTGGTCTTGACGAGGTCACCTACGGCGATGGCGCCGACGAAGGCTGACAGACGGGCATTCTCGCCCTTTTCTTCTGTGACATCGTCGGCGAAGATTTGCGTGGGGTTGTTGTACGACTGGACGAGATTAGCACATCATGTCTAGATTGAGTAGGCGGGCAGAGACAAACCATCGTTGTGATGTACGTTTGATAAGCGGATACCGAGAGTAACTGTCTTGATGTTGCGTCCAAAATTCCAGCAGCACCCTCACCCTGGTCTTGGCACCCCCGACATGGAGCTTCCACTTCTTTGCGGAGCACATGAAGCACTCCCGAGCGCAACCATATAATCTTCAACGCAACATGAGCAAACGCCCTGCAGACGAGCCTTTGGAGCAAACCACCGCCTCTCCCTTCTCCAAACGCGCCAGGGTCGAAGAGGTCGTCGACGAGGATGCGCCCGCGCCGAAACCCACGAAACAGACCAACGGACATAGCCATGGCGTAGCTGAAGCTGCTGCGCAAGAGAAGGATGCTCTGGAAGAGGCAGAAGGGAACCAGGAAGAGGAAGAGGAAGAGGAAGATGAAGATGACCGACCTGCTGTCTCTGGCCCGACGCGACAAAAGGCGCCAGCTGAAGGCTACTCGGACCTGTACCTGGACACGATCAATCGCGGCGTGCTAGACTTTGACTTTGAGAAGCTGTGCAGTGTGACGCTATCAAATATTAACGTCTACGCCTGTCTTATATGCGGCACCTACTACCAAGGTCGCGGCCCCAAATCACAAGCCTACTTCCACGCTCTCGACATTGGTCACCATGTCTTCATCAACATGCACACCAAACAAGTCTACGTCCTGCCCGATGGTTACGAGGTCAAGCACAAGAGTTTGGAAGACATCAAATTTGTAGTTGATCCGAAATACTCAAAGCAAGACGTCACGAAATTGGACAAGGTGCGACTACACGCCTGGGATCTTCAAGGAAAGAAATACACACCAGGCTATGTCGGCATGAACAACATCAAGGCCAACGACTATTTCAATGTCGTCTGTCATGCTTTGGCTCATGTGCCTCCGCTCCGTAACTACTTCATGCTGGAGGATCTGCACGACCGACCACAGCTTGTGCAACGCTTCGGTACTCTGTTGCGCAAGATCTGGAACCCTCGCTCATTCAAAGCACATGTTTCTCCTCACGAGCTGTTGCAAGAGATTTCACAGCGATCGAGCAAAAAGTTCTCCCTGACGGAACAATCAGACCCTGCCGATTTTCTCTCCTGGTTTCTAAACAACCTACATACAGGTCTGGGTGGAAGCCGATCGAAGCCTCGCAGCAGTATCATACAAAAGATCTTCCAGGGCCAACTGCGCGTGGAGTCACAATCCATCACAGCACGGGCAGACGCGCAAGATCGTCTCCGCTTCGAGGATGCCGCCATCCAAAGCGCCATAACACCCTTCATGATGCTGACTCTCGACCTCCCCGCCGCTCCCCTCTTCCAAGACGACAGGAACGAGAACATCATCCCTCAAGTCAGTCTTACAAACATTCTCGCCAAATACGACGGTATCCGCGCACAAGAACGTCTCAACACACGTCTACGCTATCGTCTCCTCCACCCTCTGCCACCATACCTACTCATGCACGTCAAACGCTTCTCCCCAAACAAATTCCTCCAAACTCAAAGAAACCCTACTATCGTAACCTTTTCACCTCGTTCGCTGGACATGTCGCCCTATGTCGAGCCCAACCCATCTCTGCATTCACCTTCTGAGCCCATCATCTATGATCTCGTCGCCAACATCACCCACGAAGGTGTCCGCGTCCGCGACGACAGTGTAGAAGGAGAGGCAGAAAAGAAAGTCTGGCGTGTACAATTGCTGGATCGCGGAAGAGAAGAGAACAGCAATGCTGACTCTGACCGTTGGGTTGAAATGCAGGATCTCTGGGTTGGAAGAGTGGAGGCTGAGTTGCTGAGTACAAAAGAAGCATATGTTATGGTTTGGGAAAGGAGAAGAAGTGGTGTCGCACCTAGTAAGAAGTAGAAAAAAATACAGAAATCAGAGAAGATGAGTATGAGAGATACCCCTTCCTTCCTCTGCTTATCTTAGTCGCGCCTTCTCTATGTGTTTGATTTTGCCTTCTTCGTTGAAACCCACCTGCACGCGTGCGCGCTCCTTGAACCTTCGTGATACTTCTAACATGCCTTCGACAATCCAGCGGGATGCGAATACAATAACAGGCATGTGTTTTATCGTCTATCGAGGTTGCCATTTGTCTTAACACAAAAAGCGGTTGCGCAATCGTTGGCGACGAAGCCAGGGTCGCCTTTGACCACCCAGCAAACCGTACTCACATGAGTTTTGGTTTCTGGCCTTTGGAGCGCAACTTGTTCCGCTCCTCGTCGAAAAGTGATTCCCGCTCCCGATCTCGGATTTCCTGGTGCATTTGGCACACAAAAATATTTAACATCGCTTTCGAACGAGACATTTGGCCCAAACTTGTTCCAAGTCAGAGACATTTACTGAATTCATCGCAGATAACCGCTAACTTGCGTTGCAGACCTACATCAAATAAAGACATACTACCTGGTCCAGAAGTACATCAGGTTGCTATAGCAAAGAGTTACAAGTCACCCGCTTGCAGATGGCGGTATATAGTGGTCGTCAAAAGTATGATCAGGGTTACCTGCACCCCATCAATGACGTAGTACGCAACACGCCCGAGGCCTTCTTGTCAACATCAAACCACATCAGATGCCCTGCCTCTGTCTGTACTCGCAGAGACGTCGTCTTATCACTGTCGCCGTCTATAACCTTTCTCAACCACCGCCTCTTTCTGTCCTGTTCCGAGTCCTGACCGTCCTCCCCTCTTCCGACAAAACCAGGCGTTCCAGCTACAAACGGTTCTCACAGTCGTCACTTCCACCGCCGGAGCCGCGACTTCCTCTTTCGAAACACGACTCGTTCCTTCCTTATGTCTGTCCCGCCCCTGGTCGATCACTCCCTCGGATGGCTTTCCCACATTGCTCCGACCTATACATCGAAACTCAAACTCGAGCCCTACCGGTAGTGGATAATCGTTATCCGCGTGGGTGGCGTGCAGACAGACTATTGAGCCGTATAGCGCCGTCCACCCTCCGGAACGCCATGTTGAGGCTCGACTGACTCGGAGCTGGACGATGTACCTGTACCTCACGGTCACTCTTGGCTCACAGCGTCGCTGACTTCTAGCCATACTGGACATCGCAGTCACCTCCATCAGCACTTCCTCCTCCTCCGTCAGCAGATTGTCGCGAAGTAATATTGATATCGAAAGTGAAGAATTTCATGCTGGCGCTTTGGCTGAGTGGTTATAGCGATAGACTAGAAATCTATTTCCTTCGGGAGCAAGAGTTCGAATCTCTTAGGCGTCGTACCTTATTTTGTTTTGTCCGCTCAAGCACTGCAAGACACTATTTTTGCTGGCTGCATGTACAAGGGACGTGATGGCAGTGTTGTGGTAAGTTTGTACGGAGTAGTGATGGACTTGTGCCTTCTAGGCAAGTCTTGCGAGGCCTCAACTCGGAACATTTTGCGACAAACATCACGAGCTGTCTCGTGTTCATTTTCTGCTTGAGCCTCGGTCTGTCTACCATTTTGCATGTAGGAACTAGGGCAAGAGCGAAAGAAAAACAGCCCGTATAAACAAAGTAGGGGATGATCGCCTCTGATTGACAGGAGCAGACTCGGTACTTTACAGCCGACACGACGACACGTCAGGGATTTTCTGCTACTATAAAAACTTTTTTTTATGGGTCTACACGTGGGAAAGTGACATCTTTTTGCACAGCCTCGACCAGAAGGGAAGATCTGTATCAAAGTAGTCGTCGCAAACAGAGACATTTTCTCTCATTCTTCCCCTTGTGTGAAGGGCAAGGGGGGTTATCGCTTACACAAAAGAGTAAAAGAAGGTCATCGCTTACACGAGAAAGCATCATTTTTGCCAAGCAATGATCCATATACGAAGCATGGCAGTTTCAAAGGCCTCGAATCCCAAAGAGCCGAAGTCTAAACCTGTCACGGCAAAAACAATGACGACGAGATTGTCCTCATTCGTGAGAGTTCGGATTCGAGTCCGTCGTCCAAATCCTTTGGGCGAAAGCACTCTGTAAGAAAGGGGGTGAATGTCAAGGATGTATGGGTTTATGCTTTCAGGTCCTTTGAGATAGGCGGGGCCAGGCCTTTTTTCCTCTCGCTCTTCCCTTGACACATACGATTATGCTACGAGCGAAGACCAAAAGCAAAAGATACCGAGAAGAGAAATCATGAAAAGACACTAGATTCAGAACGAAAAAGTGAGATTACGAGAAACAGAGAATGAAGAGGGTTTATACACGGCTCGCTATACTTTGCCCTAGCAATTATCAACCATCACCCAAAAGAACGGACACGCTTAAACATTGAAGTAAAAAGAGACGACAAAGAAATAAAAAAGCCAACTTTCCTGTAACAATAACAGCAACTGCTTGCGAAAGAAAAGCAAGAAAGTCATCCGGTAGTTCAACTGTGAAAAAGCCTACAGGCACGAATATAAGGAGGGGTTAAATGGAAAACAAGGTAAGAAGGAGGGTAAGGTAAAAATATCGTAGTAGAGTTACACCAGAGTATCTCGAGACGAGAGGGTGCTGGTGTAACGAGAAAAAAGTAGGTCACGAGGGATCCGGGTATAAGACAAAGCGGTGGAAGCGCATGATGCTTTTTGGGCGGTTCGCCTGCTTTGAGCCTGTACGGCCGCCCATGTACTCGGTCCGGGAATATAATGACATCGATATAGCCGAGTTCGCTTTGCATCACAAACACGAGCGTGGCGTCTGCCTTTAAGGAAATAACAACTGCATAAGATGATGCTCACTGGAAGAGGAAGGCGTAGAGTGAGCAATTTTGATGGTCTTGTTTGTGTATGTTCATTCGGAATTGAAGCCCAACGCCTGAAAGCAACCAGCGCGCCTGTGGGTATGTGTACGTTTGGATATTTAGTTATTACAAAACAAAAGCATCGAGTGGAACGTTGGCGAAGAGACCGTCCGGTCACTTTCCGCAACCTCCTGTGTAGTGTACTCGCTCCAAAGTGTTGCGGTTGGTTTGTTCTTCGCTTCATTACGTGCCTGCTCTTGCGCATAATTCCAAGCAGATCGTAAGACGTAAAAACATGTGGAATTGACAGGATTCCATGTCTACTTTGCATCACTCATCTCGACATCCACACGTCCATGAGTGTGATGAACCATGCTCCTCTCGCCGTCAATCAGAGGCTTAGATCCATGATTGCCTTGAGGAACCTCTTTTGTAGCAGTCTCGCGCTCGACCATGGCTTCGATTTTGACCGATGGCGCGGCGCGGTTGTCGTCTGACTTGGGGAAGAACTGTTGTGCCATGCTCTGCGCGCTAGATCCATTGACGCCGTGCGGGAAGACTTTGCGCATGGTCTCCTGGTGATGATCCAGGATACTGTTGTCACCATCCATTGCATGCTCATCCACGCTTGGACTGGTGGGGCTCATCTCCCCAGCATCGTGATCTGATGCCGAATACGGCGTAGATTTGTGATCTTCAGTTCCGGCAGAAGTCTCCTTGTTGCTGGCGCGTTCTGCCTCCTTCTTTGCATGCACCTTTTTGAGATTCATGGCACTGCTCACACTGCGCATATCCGGTCGCCCATCTTTACGTATCAGAACACCGTCTGCGTTGCGTACAGGTTTGGTGCGGGTTTTTTTGGTCGGATGATTCGCGGAGGCTACATCGGCGGTCGTGGTGATGGGCATGAAGTGCGGGTCAGGATACATGCCGGCAGTCGTCTCGCTGGGCTGTTCAACTGTTGGCATCGATGCTGCAAGGCCCTCGGACTGATTGACAATATGCAGATTGTCAGAGCGTGCCTCCCACTCTGGTGTGGCCCGATCGCCTTCACCACCTCCACTTTTGCGTCCTGTGCGGCCCTTTCCCCCTCTTCCTCGTCTTGGACTGTCTCGTACTCTGTCCAGAGCCGACCCTGGTCCTTGCCGCCACGAATCCTCTGCTGCGGAGTCTAGGCCGGATGCGAATTGAACGAAACGTAGAGGATTGGGTTGTGGTGGAACACTTCCAGTAGACTCGTTTGACGGGTTTTGTGTCGATTGCAAAGTGGGGACTGTAGGCAGAGAGTCACCCGAGATGGAGTGGTAAGGTGAAGAACCCTGCGCCGGACTGTGCTGGTCGTAGGTCCTAGGCATCAAAGGTGCCAATCGCTGTCTCTTGGGCGATCCGGGCGTTGCGGACTCGAACGAGGGCTCGGAGATCAATCGCTTGGGAGCCGTATTTGTATTCACAGCTGCCCATCCACTGCCGGGTGCTGGGGGCTCGATCTGCGGCGAGGATCCAGCTATTGGTGCCGATGGTGGGGGAGCAATCGAGCCGGCGGGACGCCATGAAGAGACTGGAGTATTTGGGTCGATAGAACGAATACCAGGAAGCGTACGCGACTCGGATTGGATGCGAACGTCCGGAAGTTCTGAGTTCGCAACGATCGGGGCGGGCAGACGATTCTCTAGAGGAGTCTGGTAGAGGAGCGGTCTCTGGTCTGGCGCAGAAGGCGTACCTGCAGCAAACGCGGCTATCGGAGTGGGGACGTGAGGCAGCTGCTCGTGTGCCGGAGGTTCCATGGGAGTCGCACCATTCGCTCCAGGTGACCCGTGACGCTCGAGACGTCTGACTTGACTTCTAAGGATATCCAATTGCATTCTGAGACCCGCAATCTCATTCGTCTTGGTTGAAATGTTCTGGACTTCTTGAGTGAGAATGTCGACTACGTTCATGTCGGGCTGCACCGGTGGAGCGGGACCACGTGCTCGCAATTCATGCCTGACCTCATCAACCATAGCATATATGCTTCTTTGCTCCCGGTGCAGAGCATCTATCGTGTTGTCGATACGAATAAGTTGATGTCGCTGGTTGTCAATCTCTTGTCGTTGTTCCTCGAGGATCTGGCTGTGCACGTGCAACTGAGATTGGAGTGTTGACTGAAGCTGGGAGATGATTCCATCTTGTGCTGCCGGGTGTTGTTGTGATAGTGATGGCAGATGTAATGTGGTGGCATTTCGTGGTTGCGAGAGTTCCGGCGGGGGCAGAAGAGAATCGCGTGGGCCAGGAAGCATAGTAGATGGTGGTGCTACCTGCCTTAGCTCACTGTCGACAGGATTGCCGACGTGCGATGCATCCGGCCGATGCTCGTCTAGCATGGCCTTGAGTGGTTCCACCTCCAAACCAGCACTAGTAATGGGATATATTATTGGGAGCTCGGGATTTCGCGTAATCTGTGGACATCGAAATGTAAGGATCCGGAGTGGAACAAGGCAAGGAACAAAGGAACAAAGAGATGCAAGTGCGACAGAAGGAAAGAATACTTACTCGATCCGAGATCTGGAGCTGAACGCCAAGTGATCCGTAGAAGAAAGCGCGAGAGTGGCTGGATCTGACTATATGGGGGAGAGATAGGTTAATCTAGCAGATGCGCGAAGCAGGGCAAGTAGGGCTACGTTATTGTTTTAGTTGATTAATATTATGCAAGTATTTTTTGACTTTGCTCGGCGAATTTGGAATAGATTGCGCTAGGACGATGAGGGAAGAAATGGAGAGTTAGGTCGATAGGGTGGAAACTGCCGCAGCGGCGCAGCCAAAGCAATGGTACATAATTAAACTGGTGAGACTTTTACCATATAGATCTGTGCCGTCGTATGTCGGTCTAGGCTGGCCGATAGCGCGGATGGAAGATAGCTTCTACGAAGCCGGTTAATGCCGGTAGCAGGCAATAGGCGCTTATGTTCTGAACCAGGAGTTTAGGCCGCCGAGTACAAGAAGATTGCGGCCCCGTCGATACCGAGTCCCTTTTTATGCGGGCGGTTGCCTTCTCGAGTCGCAGTAGGCAGAAGAACCGTTGCGGTCAGCAGAATATGATACGTCGTCGCCTGGATCCACCTCTCACATGAAGGGAAAAGACGAAAAGGGGCCGACGACAAGACGAATGTATCTCATCGCATGTGCGCACATGCACCATGCTCAAGCAGACTGCTTATTGTGCGTTACGTCTAAGGTCTCGCCGCATTCATTAGCAGTCACATACATCAAACCCAAACCCTATCATATGTCGATGGATGTCATCGTCGACGGAACCTAATAGCGAGCGAGGAAAGCCGCCTGGGGCCGATGGGGTCGTTTGACACCACACAGGTTAGGCAATTTACGTGATGGAAAGCTTCGCTAAAAGCCAGTTGGGAAAAGTACGTCCACACAGGAGTTTAGCTTTCCTGACGTTAACCTGATGCAAGGCTGTTCAGTAATCAGTGGGTGGACACCAGATGACTCGTCAAAAGTTAGCGAACATTCCTTTGCGGTTTCGGAACGGCAGTGCACTCGTAGCGATGTTGACGGTACTCGAATAACGGCAAATGATTTCGAGTACGATGCGAGTCGCTGCCAATGAAATTAAATGGTTTTCAGTCGACGGAGCGCTGCTGACGGGGAGAGTAAAACGTAGCGGCCGATCCTGTCATGTCTCAAGTCGACTGACTCCAAGTCTCAGCTTGGGACGCAATAGGCGCAGCACCTTGTCGCAGTCATCAATTTACATGCCCTACCTCTGCTTGTGTGGATGTCAAGGAGTACACGCGTAGTGCAGACGTCAAGACTCGATGCACGACCGCGGAGATTTCCACCGAAGGGCCCCGGCCATCTTATTTCCTCTATTAGAACTCTGTGTCCAATGGAAGAGTGGTTGGCGTGGTCCGTACTCCCCAAAGCAGTTAAAGTCCAGCCAACTTGAGAAGCATCACGTGGTGGAATAGATTGATCAGCCTCGGATCTCGCTTGGTGCCGTCCATCGTGCATCTGTCTACATCGTATCAGGCCGGAGTACGACTTGTTTACGATGGCGGCGCAACGTGTATGCATTTGCGAACCGCATGGCTCAGACGTGAAAGTCCAGCAGTCGGCCCCAAGTCCGTGTCTATAGCTTGAGCCTTGCCGAGTACAAGTTCTCGAGCCTGATTACCATTTCTCATCAGGAGCTGATGTAGAGAACAGAGGATTTGTGCACCAGAAGGTAGAGGTACAGACAGCAGCTCGAGCGTGACTTCGGGAAGCACCATGGCTTAATATTGAGGTTGGTGACGGTTCTCAGAGACTCTAGCGTTCGCTGTGTAGATTCAGTTACCGGAAGATGGTTGCGCTCCTGCGCTCACTCGATAATAATGGTATTTCATCATTGAATATAAGTCTACAAACGAGGTGGCAGCAGGATGGGAAAGACAGCCATATCCATCTTGCCCTGCATGATTAGGCGGACTTTGCATTATGCTGCAGTGGTCAGCCCTGATATTCTCGTTAGTAAAAGGAGGTAGGTACAGTAAGGAAACAACAAGGTATGCATCGCATCGAGTAATCAGACAATCAGCATTGAAGACGTAGCTAGTCGTTGCAGTGAGCGAGCCTCAGGTTTCGGATTCGGAAGGCTGGGCCGAACGGCGGAGCGGTCATCCAAAGCCTTGGCATTCAATCGCGAGTGCCGTTCAGTCAAGTGCGCAGCCAAGATACGGCGACGACCAAGGTCATCTTGTCGCCTGTCGCTTCCTCGCTTCAATCGTCGCCTCGCCGCTATCACCAACGACAACACTCTTCACTGTATTCCATCATCAAAGCCACCGTCACTTGCTTGTCAGCGCGCTACATCCATGGCCTTTCGCCTCGCTCTCTAGACTAGTGCCTGAGAATCCGAGCGATCGTTCAAACATCACTTCTGCGCGCCTGTCATGCCGCATGCCGTCGATGCATTCGAGCTCCAAGATCAGGCCGACGATGCCGAAATCGCGCGCCTTCTCAACGATGAGAACCCTGGCAACAACGATCTGAATTTCGACCGAGACCTGGAAGTGGGAGAAAAGGCTGACGATGCCATCGACTTCGAAGACATAAGCGACGATGACCTAGCCGAAGATGAAGACGATGTCAAGCCAAAGGTTGAAAGCTCGCCCGCCGACGGCCTTATCAACCAGCTTGAGCCGACAACTGAGCAAGACGAGAACCACGATGACCTATTTGGCTTCGAAGACGACCTGTTTGGCGACGACAACGACGACGATCAGGATGCCAGAGTTGGCGTGCCCCAGTTGGACGACCAGGCCCAAAAAGTCGATTCCAAACCATCCCTTCCAATCAGCCATGGTGGCCTCGCTTTACCATCAAAGTCAAACCTCGCTCTGCCAGGCTCTTACACATCCTTAGCTCTGCCGCAAATGTCGGATGACCTTATCGAAGACGAGCAAATGACGGATATGGACATCATTGAAGAGCAGGATGACGAAGAAGATGATGATTGGCTACGGCAGAAGGCCTTGTTCGCAGCTATGGAGCAAGAGAGAGTTGAGCGCAGCAGAAGAGGCGGATCATATGAACCACCTACTGCTCCGGAGACGGAAATGGAAGTCTTCTATTCTATATGGCCATCATACGATCCAGAGGAGCGCCCGCGTTTCACCGAGCTCTTCCCTCCCCGGCGTGGTATTTACGGCTGGAAGACTCCTGTCAAGCCTCCTAAGCCTGTCCAACCGACTAAGCTCAGTCTTGATCTTCAACATGACCAAGAGAAGAGTTTCAGACTCTTGGGCGCCGCCACCATGGGTAAGCAAGCGAGAGGAGGAGCTGCTGAACAACAGGGGGTCATCCGTGTCGAGGACACTTCTGCTAAACAAAAAGATACTGAAGACGTGGTTGATTTGGACGAGATTGATCCAAACGAGCGCGTTGGTGGTGTCTCATGGCATGACTTGACCGTTCTTTGCGAGGACTGGGACATGGAAAGTGGCGCATCTTCACCCGGTCACTACTCGCTTGTGGATAGCGGTGTCGACATGGGTCGGGACTCACGATCGCCTCCCGCAGCCAAGCGCAAGATACCTGGGTTCGACTTGGAAGAACCCACAGCCAAAAAGCTCAAGGTCGCTGGGTTTGACCTCAAGGCCGCTGTTGCCATTTCGCACACGTATCCATCACTGGACGAACCCGAAAGGGCGACCGCGTACATTGCCAAGCGAGTTACTCTCGATATGAACGATCCTGGACTCCTCTTAGATGAGAACGCGCCAGCCACCCAACCCAAGAGACTGCGTCATAACCCTGGCGATATGCGCCGAGAAACCAGGACCGCGATGGCGCGTGATATGACCAAGAGATATAACATATCCAACGACGAAGCCTACGAACTCCTGAAGGAGAACCACCAGCACAAAGTCCGCAGCACACTCGGTAGTATGGCTGTTGAGCATAGTCTGCCCGCGACCAAGCTGCAGTTCCCCTTCTACAGGGTCAGCCTCGACGACAAACAGAAGCGCGCATTCCACCGACCTCTTTTCACAGGCGAGAGACCCAACAAAACCATCACTTTCAGCAAGCCCAAGAGACTCAAGAGGAAGGAGATGCGTGGCAAGGACGTCTCGGCCCTTTTTGCAAAGTCAGAAGACTTGTCTATGGCCGACAACTCCAGTGCGCTGCTTCTCGAATACTCTGAAGAGCATCCCGTCATGCTCTCCAATTTCGGTATGGGTAATCGTCTGATCAACTATTACAGAAGAAAAGATGCCGAAGATTCTTCCAGACCGAAAGAGGAGATTGGCGAAACCCAAGTGCTCCTGCCTCAAGATCGCAGTCCATTCGCGAACTTTGGTCAGGTTGATCCTGGAGAAATTGTACCCACCATACACAACGGCCTCTACAGAGCACCAGTATTCCGCCACGAAGGCAAATCGAACGACTTCCTGGTCATCTGCAATGAAACGCACAAGAATGGCAAGAAGTATTTCATGCGCAACATAGAGAATCTGTATGCCGTCGGACAGCAGTTCCCCTCCGTGGAGGTTCCCGGGGAGCATTCCAGAAAGGTCACGGACGCTGCCAAACGTCGTCTTCGTGCAATTTCGTATCGCGTTTATAAGAAGAGCGCTGATCCTGCTATCAGAGGCCGACCTCTTACCAACGAAGTCGTCAAGGCTCATTTGCCTGGCAGCGATGTTGCCCAGAACCGTGGAAAGATGCGTGAGTTTATGCAATATGACAAGAACAACCAACTCTGGCATCTCAAGGCAGGTGATTCTGTTCCTGATTCAGAGACCCTTCGCGGGTGGATCAAGCCCGAAGACATCTGTGTTCTTGATTCGATGCAAGTGGGTGTGCAATACCTCAAAGACCTTGGTCTCAAGAAAGAGGACGATGACAATGAAGAAGATGATGCCAAAGAGGGCACGAACGTTGAGCTCAAACTCGCTCCATGGAACACCACGAAGAACTTCCTCAATGCCTGTCAAGGCAAGGCTATGTTACAATTGCATGGCGAAGGCGATCCATCGGGTAGAGGTGAAGCGTTCAGCTTCGTCAAGACTTCCATGAAGGGTGGTTTCAGAGCGCAAGGCGAGAGTATTGAAGAGAGACTTGATGCCAAGCGACTTAAAGAGAACGGAGGACACAGCTACAACGTAGCCAAGCAACAAAGAGCCTACGACGAATCCATCCGTCGCATCTGGAGATCCCAGCATGAGAGTCTCTCATCACGTATGGAAAATTCTGAGGGCGAAGCTGATGTGGACGACGAGCCTGAGGCGGGGCAAAGCTTCCGAGCCGGGACACCTCGATCTTCTATCGGAACGTCTGCGTATGGAAACAACAGACGGGACGATGAGTCTGCAAGTCAGTTCAGTCGCAATAGTATGAGCCAGAACAACAACTTCATGGTGATCAAGAGGACTGTGCGCGACAAGTATGGCCACTCGGAAGAGCAGACAGAGACAATCACCAATCCCAGGGTCATCGCAGCATACAAGAAGCGTAAGCTGCTGGCACGAAGCCAAGCAATCGAGTACGTTTCTGTCCAAGTCTGCAAGGGATTTCGGGGAGTTTGTTCTGCCCATTCCACGAAAAGTCCCTGCAGCAAATTCCCAGAGTGCTTAAGTATAGCTTGGACGTACGCTGACATATATGCACAGCATCATGAACACCAAGGCAACCGGCGACCAAGACTTCGATGCGCTTCAAAAACAACTGTATCGTGTCCCATTCATATTGATGTCACACTCGCTAACGAATACATAGTATGCAAGCAGAAATAGAACGCTTGGAACGTAATATGGGACGTAGACAGGCTCGCGAACGCGCTAAAGGTATAGGAAGCGCCGCGTCGCCTTCTGCCGCGGCGTCTCCTGGCGGCGATGGTGCCGATGGCGGTGAAGCTGCAACTCCGGCACCGACTGGCAAAGGCAAGGGCCGCTCGAAGAAGAACACCGAGGGCACAGCCCGAAAGTGTGCCAACTGTGGTCAAGTGGGCCACATCAAAACCAACAAAAAGTCAGCAAGTGATTTCTTTTGCTCCGCATCCTGCAAGAAAGACTCGACAAAGAAAAAGTCCTCGTCTGCAACGACTGTCCAGGTAAACGGTCAAAGGGGCAGGAAGAGAAAGCAAATAAGCAATGATTCTACTTCCGCTCCGCAGGCGAACGACTGGCTTTTTGTCGACTCGGCTCATCAGTTCTGAGAGTCATCCTGAATCTCGACTTCAACACGAGAGATTCAACAGCCGTCAAGTTTTTCATCCTGCACCTGTTCACAATTTTTCTTTTGCTTTCTCAAATACCTCCTACTCTCATGTTATGAGACGAAGGATGCACATTCACGAAACGACATTGCTGACAATCAACACTCAAGGCTCTGCCCGATGCTCAACGGTACGATGAAGCAAGAAGACATGGCTGTAACAGGATTCGGCGGCGGCCCTGGGCCAGGCGCTGCTGGTGCTGGACCGGGAGGTGGAACCTCATCTTTCGGTGCTATGCCAGCCTAGTGGGCACAACGCATGGCCAAGTTTTCCTAATGGATGAAGCACAGTACGCAAGGTGATTAAAAATTCACAGATGACGGACGATGGAGCGAAGGCTATAATTCCCCCGAGACGAAAATAATACAAAACAAGTCATTGTCATTCCGTCTTGCCTACTTGAAAGTGTGATGTAGTATAAAACATTTCTTCACACGATGAGAGTCGGAACATGTTCATCTGACCTCTCGATGGGTTTGATGGCCCCGAGAACGAATAATGACGTCTGTAAAGACACATATACCCAATATGGAAAAAAGAGAAACCCGTCCGGAGCGCCATGCAATGCAAACAAACCCAGGTATAAAAGCCCCTATCCATCAACAAAAACTTTTCCTTCTTTTATGGGGGATTCATTGTTTATGCTGCAATGGCAGTCTTGGACTCTTCCTTTTGCTTCTTGAGGGCAGCTTTCCTGGCAGCCTTTTCGGCATTGTCGCTCTTTGACTTTTTGGCCTTGGTCTCCTCATCAGCAGCATCCAGACTCTTTCTCTTCTTTTGCAAAGTTGCATCTTCGGCTTCTGCTGTGTTGACGGCGCCGGCCTCGAGCAGGGCACGCTTTCTCTTCTTCTTGTCCTTGACGACGGGCTCGGGCAGTTTGTCGAGCACATCGGCCTCGTCTTCCCAAAGCTCGTCTGCGAGCCAGATGGGCAGGGCAGCGGTGTTGGGGCCCTTGATGTGGAGGGAGCGGATGTTTCTCCAGCCCTTGGGAATGTACTTTTCGGTCAGGCTGGAGACGACGGCGTCGATGTTTGCGGCGACTTGGTCGGCGGTCATGCTGCTCTTGCCGACTCTGATGCTGACGTTTGTGCTGGGGGCGAGGTGGACGAGGGCGGCTCCGACGGCGCGCTCGATCTCGTGGGCTAGGGCCTCGGAGGTGATGTCTGAGCGCTTGAGCTTGTCACCACCTTCGGAGAGCTTTGCGCGCTTGTTGCCGGCTTCGTCGCGGGCGTTCTCGGGCTTGCCTTGCATGGCTACGGGGATGGGGCGCTTGGCTCCGGTGCCGTAGAAGACCTTGCCAAGGAGAGCGGGCAGGCGAGTGATGATACGGTCGTCGGCGAGGAAGATGTCGTACTCGGCGAAGAGTTGGCGGCGGGCCTCGTAGGTCTTGTACTTTGCCTTGAGCTTCTCGGTACCGAGGACACGGGTGATGCGGGAGGAGAGCTGGGCGGGGAAGCGGTCGCTGGCGATCAGGTCCTTGTACTTGCGCTGAGGGTCGGCGGTGATCAAGCAGATGCGCAGAGAGGGCGAGGCGGCCGACTGGAGAGGGAAGGGAACGATGATCTTGCCGGGCTTCATCTTGCGCTGGTCGGCGATGTGCTTCTTGGTGGTGACGTTGAGCCAGACGGTGGTCGAGGTCTCGTCGCTGTCCTCTTCCTCATCGGCATCCTCGAGCAGGTTGGCCTTGCCGCCATTGTCCTTGTGTGCCACAGAGTCGCCGGAAATCTTCTTGAGCAGAGCGGTCGATGCGCGGAGTGTCTGAGAAGGGTCCAATTGGTAGGGCGAGCCGGACTCGACCTTTGTCGTCAATGATTTGCTGTCTCCTGCCATTTTGAAATTGCTAAATCTGATACGAGTGGAAAAAGTTGTATATCTTAAGTCTCTACAACCGCGACAAAAAATGTGCTTGACCAAACCAAAAATTCCGGCGAGACCTGGGGTTGGTCGGGCAATCGGAGCTTGGCACTCTCCCGCACACTCGAGCTTGTGACTACAAAAGCTCTTCCATCTCGACAGCTTCTGCAAAGAACCCACGCATCATGGGCTGAACAACACGAGACTTGTTTTTGTCTCTCAATTCTCCAAAGGTACGTTACATCTATCGCTTCATCTGCCCACGCCCGCTTTAAGGATTAAACAACATCTTTTCAATCAATCTGTCAATCCCCTGAGACTACGGTCATTGACGACAGAAAAATGCTATGCTCTTTATGAATACGCTCACTCAACCTCACCTCTTCACATTCACACCAAATTGTTTGCAACACACGCTGACTATTGTTGTAAAGCCTTGACGAAAGTCTCGGTATAATCTAGCCTCCTCAACATGGCCGCTCCATCAGTGAACGAGCCCTTTCCGGTCTTCCTGGTCGGAGGCCGCTACACGCTCTACGACGTTAATACCGTCAGCCATGCGCGCCGTGTACACAACATCACCGGTGTGTTGATTGGTGGCCTTCCTCAAGCACCCCAACAGAACGTCTTCCTGGGTATTCCTCTAGAGCTCATGCCCGAAGAAGCACGACTGTTGGTAGAGAAGGGTGTCGCATACGTTGTCGACGATGCCGCTGCCCACAAGCAAGCTTTCGTAGACCACAACCTGAGTAAAGAGGAAAAGGAAAAATTTCTACGCAGCTTGAAAAAGCAAGGCAGTGACGCGACGAGAATGCAGAGCAAAAGTGCCGATGACAGAAAGATTGCCGCCTTGAAAAAGATTGCCGCAAAGAATGCTGTCGTTGCTGCTAAGCTACAACAAGAGCGCGAGTCTGCTGCTGCTTCTGGTAACAATATTGCCGGGGATGATGACAGTGAATCGCTCTTTTCCGGCCCTGCCCCTTCTGTCGCTCCTTCCGAGTCTTCTGTCGCGTCGTCTTCAGCTTCAACCATGAAGATCACGCCTACCACATCACATCCTCCCCTCACATCCTCGTCACCCTCACAGCCCCTCCCTCTCCCCGAGGTCCCTGCCTCATACCCTCTATTCAAACACCTCCACTCCAAAGGCTACTTCATGGCCCCAGGCATCAGGTTTGGTTGCAGGTACACTGCCTACCCTGGCGATCCACTTCGTTTCCACAGTCATTTCTTGTGCGACGGCATGAACTGGGATCAGGAGTTTGATCTCTTGACTTTGGTTGGTGGTGGCCGCTTGGGTACTGGTGTCAAGAAGGGCTTCCTCATTGGTGGCACTGAGGACAAGGAGAAGGCGGAGGGCGAGGATGATGTTAGAGCTTTCTGTATCGAGTGGGCGGGCATGTAATGTGTCTGTCGCTCATCACCAATACAATACTTTCCACCTCCGATTACGTCTTTGTTCACTGTGCTTTAACATTCTCGTCCTCTGAAAAGGTCTCCCCTTAACATGCGCTTGTCATTGGAACATGATCTCAGTGGTCACTTTGCATCTTGATTGGTTAGAAGAGCTCTCGTGAAATCAATAACATTGAGGTGGTCGTCGGGTATTGTTCAATATCAGAACACCTTTCATGTGCAATTAACCCTCATACTAGCAGCTCTAGTATCTTTAGAATGGAAAAATCCTCGACAATCCCGAATGGCCTTGCTCGACCGATTCCAAGTAAGGCTGAGAAAGAAAAGTGGAAAGAAAGATCATTAATCATAAACAAAAGAGTGAGAGGAGCTTCAGTCTCATGGCGCACGCTTTCTCAACACTCTACCAGCAGGTGGAGGTGTCGCGTTGGTACCAAAGGTAGCAGCAGCCGTAGTCTTCTTTCCCCTCTTGCTCCCTGTGAGTGAGGCCATTGCACTCTTGAATGTACCCTTCTTGGTTGTACCTGCGACAGGAGTAGGTGCTACCGAGGGTACTGGCAATGGCTTCTCCCTGATAGAGTTGTATTTGGTAGGCGAACTAGGCACAGGCAGCTTCTTAGAGGGCGAGGCCAGAGCCATGGCAGTATGTGGGCGACTTGGAGGGTTCGGTTTCGCGGGTGACTTGTGGACTATTGTGGTCTTTTCGCTACTGGTGCTTTCTGCTGAAGCATTGCTGGCGCGGAGGGCACGACGGGTGGAGGTGTTCGGCTGCGCGGCAGATGTGATTGCATCGAGAGTGGTAGATGTAGGCGCAGTGGCAGGTCTCTTAATCGTGCCCTTCTTTGTTGATTGGATTCCTTGGAGAGGCGCAGCACCGCGTGGCCTAGGAAGCGGTGGTGGTGACTTTGTTGTGGGAGATTTTAAAGGAGAGCGCGGGAGAGTGCGTGAATTGGGAGACTTGGGAGAGAGAATGGCGGTATTGAGAGGCTGAGGTCGTACAGAGCGCGCCAAATTGGGAGATGTGGGAATTCCAGTAGGGCCAGGACTTGGTTTACTGCGCTTCTTTGGGTTCGCAAGAGCTGCAGATGCTGGTTGAGTATTCTCCTTGTTGGCCATACTAGCTTCCTCGCTGCGCACAAATCAGTACTTGAGAAGAACAGCGGTGTCTCTCGGTAGATCTAACCTCTTGCGCTTCAAGCTTTTTGTCTTGATGGGACTGGGCAGACGCTGCTGAGTCTTCTTCTGGGCGTCAAGGTGTTTTTCCAGCAAGTCGCCCATGTTGGCTTTACGAAGATGGCGAGGAATGCGGTTGATGCGCATCTCCAAACGAGTGCGTAGACCTTGAGCTTGGAGAGTATATTGGGCGCGTAGTTTGCGAGCACGGTCGGCGACTGGCGACATGTTAGAAGACTATTCTGAGTACACATGATGTATGCGACACACCCTCAAGCTGTAGATTGTCCATCAGAGCTTGTTTCTGAGCCTCTGAAATATGGGCGACTCGTTCAGAGGCCATTGTCGCGTCGGGTGTCGCGACAAGACTCGTCATGTTGATGCCTGAGAGTGAGAGATGCAGCCTTGTGTGGATATGCGCGTATACTTAAGGCGTGTCTCGATGGTGGCTATGTGAACGGCTGTTTGTGTTTGAGAAATGGCAATGGTTTGATAGTTGATGGAAAGCGCGATGCGGAAAGCGCGATCAACAAACAGAGGACGGCGAGCGGCCTTGGCACGTCCACATGTCCAGCGTCATGCTCCGGCGACAGCTTCGAGCCCGACAGGCCATTAAGCGGCATCAACTTGTCCACCAGCTCCACCACACGCCATCTATCGCCGAACTTCTACACCAACTCCCTCTCCCTCTCTTATACATCGCTGCGAAGCATACTCACCCTCTCCATACCGACCACCTTTACGACCGCCAACATGGGTTTGGAGGCAACTATGATCGTGTAAGTCTAGCTCGTGCATCCACTGCATCGCCATTCGATTCTGATCTTCTACGCAGTGTCGACAATAGCGAGAGCAGCAGAAACGGCGACTATGTGCCAAGCAGATGGGATGCCCAAGCAGACGCCGCCAACTTGATCTTCCAATACAAGACACAAGCCAACCCCGAATCCTCAGTCGGCCTCATGACCATGGGCGGTAGCGGCCCCGAAGTCCTCACTACTCTCACCACAAACCCCGGCAAGGTCCTGGATGGTCTGCATCGCACAAAGATCCGTGGAGAGAGCCACCTTCACACCGCCATCATGATCGCCTCTGTACGTTATGCGCGGCTCACCATCATGCGCAGTACAAGACTAATCGCTGTTTAGCTCGCACTCAAGCACCGTCAGAACAAGAGCCAACGCCAACGCATCATCGTCCTCACCTGCTCGCCGCTAAACTCCGCCCAAGAATCTCAATCCTCTCTCGTCAAGCTGGCAAAGCGTATGAAGAAGAACAATGTCAGCATTGATATCGTCGCCTTTGGTGACCTCAGCGACGAAGTCACCTCTAAGCTGCAAGCCTTCAACGACGCCGTCAAGGGTGGTGACGGTTCATACCTCGAGATTGTTCAACCCGGCCCCAACCTCCTCTCGGACACTATCGTCGCATCACCAATCCTGGCTGGCGAGACCGGCGGCATGGGAGGTGCTTCGTCTGGTGCTGAGGGCGGCGCACCAGCATCTGGTGGCGGTGACTTCGAGTTTGGTGTTGACCCTTCCATGGACCCGGAATTGGCCCTGGCCCTGCGCATGAGTATGGAAGAGGAGACTGCCCGTCAGGCACGCGAGACAAAGACCACAGAAGGAGCCGATGGCAAAACACAGTTGGAGAGCGTACCAGAGACTTCAGAGAGCCAGCCTCTGCTCGATCAGAGTGGCCAGCCCAGCGGTAGCGGAGAGTCAAAGGACGACAAGAAGAAGGACGGCGATGATGACAAGATGGACACTGCATGAACACTGGGTTTGCTAGAAGCGCATGGAGATCAAGGAGTTCTAATGTCACACGACCACGGACGAGGTTTTGCTCGCCTCCGTTTCTGTACCAAAGCATTCTGAGAGTTGAATTATCAAGACGAATAAAGATAACATACACTCACTTTGAGCAACCCCCCGACCCTCTTTGACAGTCATGACGAGCCCAAGAACCGATACCAGCATGGATGAAGATACAAAATTAAACGCCAATCGTAAGTCATTAACCACAGCCCTACACTGCCACGTCTGATACCAGACAACGCAGACTTTCCACCATCTAATCACTCCTTCTCATAAACATAACCAACAATCTTCCTCCCAATCTTCTTTGGCGGCGGCAAAACCTCTCCATGCCCACATTCAGCACTTCTAACCACGTTTCTCCCCTTGACCTGTCCCAAAATTTCATCCAATTGTCCTTTGAACATTTCCTGTTGCTTTTCCATTTGCAGGGTAAAGGACTTTTTCAGTACTTGCATTTGTTTTTCCATCTTGGCTTCTAAGTGGGAGAAGTTTGAGGCTTGGGATGATGATGCTTGGGATGCTTGGGATGCTTGGGATGCTTGGGTTGATGAGAGTGTGTGGGTTTGTTGTAGTTGTGAGGTAAGGGCTTTTTGGGAAGAGGCTTGGGAGTCGAGGATGGTGTGGAGGGTTCTTTTTGTCGTCTTTTGGTCGTTCAGGAGACCTCGAAGAAGAGTCTTGTTGGCGTTCATGTCATTTTGTAGATGGAGAAGGATGTCTGTGGTTTCTGATACTGGCTGTGCTTGTGCGGCAGGTGTTGTTACTGTTGCTAAGCGGTCCGTTATTCCGCGGAGGATGGCTGTGGTTTGTGAAGCTTCTTTGTGCAGCTTCTGCAGTGTTTCTGTATTGGAGACTGGTTCAGGGCGGTCCATCATTGCACGAACAGCTTTTGTGTTTTGCAAGAGCTGTCTCTGCAGTTTTTGGAGTGTTTCTGCGTGAGGGTCTGATTCTGGCAAAGGACGGTTGTAGAGGTCTCGCAACAGTGTAGCGGTCTGCGATACTTCTTCTTGAAGCTCATGCAGTATTTCGTGGTTCGGACCTGGGGTGGGTGGTGGTTTTAGGTATAGCTCTTGCACCCGCGAACAGGTCTCTTCGATGACGGATTGCAGTGAATGCAAAGCAGCTGCTTGTTGGTGTCTGTACTGTACATCGCTAGCAGCGTTGTTCGCCGTGGCAGCTGCAGTTAGCTCGCGTAATACGATCTCATGGTCTTGCTGTCTACGGGCCAGTGAATCCATCTGCTGGGTCATACGCTCAAGAGTCGCAGACAGCTTCTGGAAGCCCTTCGCACTGGCCTGCTGGCCCTCAAGCAATGCATCGAGTTGCAAGGTAGATTGACTGACGGACTTCTGGATATGATCCGAAGCCAGATTCAGCTGGGCGAATTCCATATTGCTTACGCCGGGTGGTGTGAACGGGTCTTCGAGTCTCTCGAATCCTCCAAATACATGACCCTCGCTCAATGTCGGCATCAGAGGTGTCCGAGCTGACGCAGGACGTCTATGCGATGAAATCTGTTGCTGATGTGCGTTCTTGTCGTCTTTTCCATCGGTCTGGCGATATGACCATTTGTTCTTCAGATGGGCAAATTTGGGGTTGTCCCAAGCTTTGATCGGAGTACGGTCGCTCTTGAACGAGAAGAGGTTGGAGCTTTCGCGTAGAGTGTCAGGATACTCGGACTGCATCAGAATCCACCACTCCTGTGCAGTGTTGGCATCAGCAAAGCTCAGAAGGTATCGGGCTTTGTTGACCTGGAAAGGACTGATGAAAGAGCTCCGTCTGCGACCATACGCGAAAAAAGGGAGTGTTGGGCTTCCGATCAGCGAGTCTGAGGGCTCTTCCGAGCTGTCGCTGGCGATACTGCCTCGTGTCTTTCCGCCCGTCATATCAACATCGCCAGATGTCATGTTCGCATCGAAGCTGTCGTCTCGCATCTCTGGGGTCTTCGGAGCTTCGGGTACGGACTTGGTGATGTTGCGCGGATCCGATTCCATGGATGTATGGTGTAGCAAAGCCGAATAGCTCCAGTAGTTTGCTATCAACAGAAGGGAATGTTTTTAACGGGAACGTTCTTTGTTTGGCTGAATGATCCACAGTGCTGCAGGGGGGTTGTCAGGATGATGCTTACAAGGAGCTAGCCACGACAGACTGCGAATGATACACTGAGCCATTGTGGTAATGGCATAAGTAGCCATGGATTCGTTATAGACTGCCTACTTTCCTTGGTTTTGCTGTCTTCACGTCATACTCAATCTAATTGTTCAGCCCTCGTTTGAGGAAGCGGCTAGAGCTGTCATTTGTTGTTGTGTATTCTGGCCGTGGACGGGCCAACCGGACTCCAGCTTCCGTGTCAAGATGACACACAAAGGGTCCTTTCTACCCCGAGCCGCGTCTGACAGGAAGCTGAATGTGCAAAGTCCCAGACCTCATGGTCTGATGAACCTGAAGCCATGTTTGGCGGTGAGGGTCAGAGATCAGAACGAAGTTGGGACCTGTAGAATGTAGAAGAGGACGTTGAAACCGTTGTAGGAACGCGACTTGCGGGAGCCCGGGTCTGACGACACGTTCTGCTCTTTTGACAGCCGTGTCCACTCTTCGACATCCATTCGAGTGTCCTGCAAGAGCCTGCAAGAATATCTCGACGTTCGCGAGCCAACAATTCATGAATCATTCCAGAGATCGAGGTCTCTGCTCGAGACATGGTCGAATCCTTCGCGCTGGGCCGAGTCATACTAAGACTCCTTCATCTCTGCAGAGTTGGTGAAGGTCCGGCGCCTACAAATCCGCTGACCATCAACTTCTTCTCGATTCTCCCATAAGACTTATGGAATCATCGCAGAACCTCTTCAAACAACATGTACTATAACTCTGAGAGGCTGAGTCCGGTGTTCCTTGTCGTGAGTTATTTTCGGGAATATGTCGTACCATCAGTCTGGCTTCAGCCTCAGCCTTGATGGGTAGGCTGCAGTCGAGTGGGCGGCTATCTCGTGGGAGAAACACGAAACAACTTCTCCTTCACCATGTCGGAATCAAAGCCTGTAGTGTCCCGAATCTGGTTCAATTGGTGCATCCAGGCAACTGCGCCCCTTGTCGTGCTTCTGGTAATATATACCCTCTTCAATCTGCTTTCACTCTCACTTCTTGCTCTTACTACATGGAAAACTTCTTCAATCTTCCTTCTACCTTCCACCTTCCAACTTCCAGCTTCCAACCGCTACGCACAACCCAGAACATCACTCGCAATCATGAGTCTCATGTCTAAAGCACGCGGATTGGGCTTGGGTGTCATCATCTGGGCTCTTGCAGTTCCCATCTTTCTCTTCACCAGTAGGTGATACACGCGTCTTCACTTTGGTTGGCGATTTCTGACATGTGCATAGTCTTTCCTCTCGTGTCTGCCACCTCAACTGGACTCAAAGGAATCTATCTCCTCAAGTACAAGTGGAACTCGGAGGACGGCAGTTGGTTAAGACTTGGCTACTATGGTAAGTTGATTCTCATTCATGCTCATGTGCTTTAGCTAACATTCTCAAAAGGTTTGTGCATCGTCGGCGGCAAGCACAGCGGTGATCGTTGCTTAACCACTACTGGACGATCTGGCAAAGACCTTTACAAAGGCTTCGGCATCGACATCGATAATCGCAAAAGCTTCGACCTCCCTCTCAAGCTACAGCACGACGTCTTTACCGCTTTCATGACTGCCGGAGGCCTAGCGTGGTTCATCTCACTCATTCTCATCTCTCTTGTCATACTCAGAGGAAGCTCTGCCGGACGTCTCGTCCGCAACGCAGCAGAGGCCACCAGTCTTGCAGGCGCTACCCTGATGATCGCTAGTGCTTGGGCAACCAACTCTGCAGTCAAGGCACTGTAAATTGGAAGTGATAGATCAATGGAGGGCGGTACTTTGCTCTACGGTCTGCAGTGGGTGGCTTCTATCCTGGCTTTCTTCTTTGCCTACCTAGTCAGCTCAGTGGCAGACTCTGATGATGGCGGAAAGGCTTACCGCCTTGGTCGCGTTTGATACTCTCGAGTCCAATCTGGGAGAGCGACGTTTCATATCAGCAAGAGAGATATATTAAAAAATAATTGTCAGTTGACCAACGCAGGAGATTCTCGATTATACGTGCCAACATTGCGAACGATCAGTAAGTTGCTGGTGACCACTGCCATTGTCTTGTGAACCGACTGTGCCTTTCGTCATCCATTCTCTTGAAAAACCCATCCGCTCTCTATGCGCGTTCGTGCTTGGAAGCTCGCCAGATCTCCGCTATGATCTTGACCTCGATCAAGAGTGATGCAGAGGCACACAATGCTCAGATTAGTGGTAACAGATGAAGACAGGGTCAGGAAGTTAGCAACCCTTGCAACGGTCAGAGCTTGGACCACCGTAGCTACATACACGCGCCACCGAGTCATTCAACTACTCCCCTTACATCCAACCAACAATGGACTATACATTTGTCATAAATGGCGATCCGAACAATCGCAAAAGAAAGGCTCCTCAAGGTGCATGCGAGACTTGCAAAAAAAGAAAGGTACATCTAGCCTTTCTGATCCTTTTCATGCAATGATTGAAATGTTCGAGCAATGATAGAAACGATGCACACACGGCCTAGAATCAGAAAACCACCATGTTGATGCTCGGATTACCTCGAATACTCCGGGCAGGACGTACAAACCTGATACACCATCGGTCGCGGTGGACCATTCTACAAATTCCAATGACGAGCGACAACATAGCACGCGGCCTGTGGACCATCCATCCAATTCGAGATTCATAGGGGATCTGAATCCAGAGGCTAGTCTAGTAGCCGAACACGATCCTGGCAGTGGGAATCGCGATAGACACGATGTTGGTATTTGGGTGGGCGAGCCCAGACGCCATACCTTCAACGGCCAACACGACCATGACCGACGCGGCAGGCATTCTGTGGAGGCCAACACTCCAGAGAGAGTCGCGTTAGCCGATGACGAAGGCGAAGTTCCGCCATCCGCGTTAATGAACAGGCAAGACCAAGATGCTCTGATTGACATATACTTTGCGAGGTTGAACCCGTTGCTCCCAATAGTAGACGAGGCCACTTTCCGGAACACTGAGAGGAAGTCACAACCCGTGATCTACGCGATGTGTCTCGTTGCCTCTCGAGACTATAACGCAAAACGCTACTTGCGCTTCTTCGAGAGCTCTGAACTGCTTACAGCGAGAGCCTTCGGGTCGAGAACGTATGCGTTCCTACGGTTCTGCCTGTCGATGGGGCGAGAAAGGGACAAGATCATCTTGATACAGATTTTAGCGCTAATGTCTCTATACTCTGAGGGACCAGATGGGACAGTGGACGCGTCGATGCATCTAGCACAAGCGATACATCATGGTCAGACCATTGGATTGCATCTAGGACGGTCGAGCGGACACGGAGGTAGTCAGACGCGCTTGTTCTGGTGTTTATGGATATTATCAAATTTCAATGCTGGCTTGAATGGAAGACCGCGACTCATATTGGATCTGGACATTGGCCTCAAGCTGGACGAAGCATATGAGCTCTGTGGACCGGCAACCAGGATATTACTCGCGATTTCGCAGCTCCTCACTAAAATTATTGGGCTCTATCAGCCTACGGCTGCGCTAGAAATTGAGGGTATCGAAGAAGATTACGAGAGTTTCGAGAATATCTTGAACAGATGCGAAGCGTGGGATCTTGAGCCGAACGTCATCAGTAAGCAGCGTATGGTGCACATATGAGATAACGATCTTAACAATCATGTTTCTAGCATCCTTGGAGCTCTACTACCACGGTGTGGCGATCATATCGCATCGAGCTCGCGCTACCTCTCAACCATCACTTCCAACGCCCTCGAGCTTACGACAAGAATTGTCAGCACTCCAGATCGTTACGACTCTTCGCCACATTTCACCACAGAGTCTGGTATCGCTACCTCTGATTCCATATGGTATTTCTCTCGCCGTATCCACATTCTACAACCAGCTTCGAGGTGCTCGCAGCCAGATAAAACGTACAGCAGCTCGCGAGCATCTTGACCATTGCGTACAAGCACTCGAACAGCTGGGCGAATGGTCACAGCCAGCCAAGAACATGGCAATGCTAGGACGAAAAGCACTGAAGCAGACTGCAAGAGTGGCCGCCGTGAATGATTCGCCAGAGCTTCGGCGTGTATCTCGACCCTACGTTGGGCCTCCAGAATGGCGACCAGCCGGACCACAACAAACTCCGCATGAGCTGGCTAGTATGCAACAAGGCAATGCTTCCTCAGCATCGAATGGCCAACCGGCACAGCCCGACGGTTTGAGTGGCTTTGATATTGCATATGATGGGTTGATGGATATGGATGCTGTGTTTGGCGATTTCTTGAACATGAATCTGCCCGATTTCGGATTGCCATTCCAATGAAAGGCAGTGCTCTCCTTGAAGATACCTCACCAGTCGGAAAACATCGTACCTTATATCAGCTCAAGGACTGCCATACACTAAACTTTCTGGCTCTCCATGAGCATATCTACAAGTCTAGAAAGCACTGTGCATTGCAGCAGATTCTGTTCCATCGCAAAGGTGTTGCCGAGAGATCGAACCACATGGCCTTCACCATGAAAGACCAGGGTCACCAAATAACCCATCTATTCCGAGTCTCACATCGGCCCACAAAAGATGCTGTAACAATGCCAGATGCTTTTCCAAACTCTCATGTGCTTACTCGAGACTGGAACCCCCATCAGCCAAAACAAGTACAGGAGCAAAGTTCATCATGCTTCCTCACATGCACATGAAGCTTCAAAACAGTCAGCAATTTACACAACCCCTCAAATCAACTACAACTTTTCCGACAACAAAACATCGATGCCACCAACCCTTCAAAGCCACAAGCGCAGTAACTCACACCCGAATCTCGATGACGTCTAGCAAACACCGCAACGTACGCACAATGTCGTGCAATTTGCTCCTTGGAAATCGCAGGACTTTTGGGTTGGAGTTTACAAATAAAAGAGGCATCCATGGACTAATCTTGACATGTTTGACCGATCTCTAGATGGACTTCTGTTGTGATGCCGTTGAGTTTGCGGACTCTTGTCCAGAAGTTGCTGTTTGGATGGCATGTCTAGTAGTATCGCCAGTCGTAAAGTTTTCCGTTTGGGTCTTCTGGGTCATTGTCGATTAAACCTGTAGGGATGAAGACGAGAATGGCATAGTCGCCTCTTGTCAACTTTAACACATTAAGACCGAGATAGAACTAGAGAGAAATCAAATCAAATGGAAAAGTGCTTTTGTTCAAGTGTCAGCTAGTAGATATATAGCCACGATGAGGCTAGCCTCTTCTCCTGGGAGCAGCAGCAGGAGGAGGACCAGTCTTGATGACGTTGAGAAGATCCTTGAGACCTTCTGGCTGCACTGAGTGAGCAGTCACGACACCGGCAGCTTCGTCAACAACGTTCTTCGGATCAGCATCGCCAACCATGTCGATGTTTGATGCAAGCCATTGTTGGAAGGGAGCAGGTGCGAAGAAACCATCGGCGGTGAACCATTGCATAAAAGGGGCCGAGATTTCCTTGTCGACCGGAGGGATGGTTATGAGTGCGGAGGGGCTGTATGTGACGCTGAGCTTATATGTTGGATCGAACTTGTCTGCGCGAGTCGAGATGGAGATCTTGTTGCGTGTTAGCTTCAAGCGTAGTATCTGAAGAGGTGATTTCCGGCGACTGACCTTGCGACCTTTCCAGGCACCGACGTAAACCATGCCCTTCTCGACCTGCCAGATCCAGAATGTAAAGACACCATTCAGGAGGAAGTACAAGACAACAGCCACGGTGGTGAAAGCTTTTGTAGCTTCGAAGCCATATTTGTAGTCCAGAGCAAAGGTGGCAGCGGCAATGATGACAGCAGTGTATCCTAGACCAAGCTTGACGTCGGTGTACCAGTGTGTTTGACGGAACTTGAGACCGTTCAGATAGTTTTGGAGGGCATCGTCGGTCGTGTTCTTGCAGTCTGGAGCGGGGGTGAGTCTATGCTGGTAGCAAAAGTTGGACGTGTGTGTTACCAGAGACGTTATAGGGCGATATTCTAGACTCGTCAGCCATGTTGGACAGGTGTGTTTGGGCGTGATTTGTTTATTGACAAGGTCGCAAGACGATGGGTTTGAGGTGTCGGGTGAAAGTGAAGCGTGGCCGAAGCTCGACAATTGCGGAGGAGCTGCGGAGTGTCGGAGACCACGCCCTCTGCCCTCTGCCCTCTGCCAGCACAACTTGACCAACATCCGTCAAGCATGCCGCCCAACATGGCCGAGCCAGTGGTACAGACCATCTACAGGGATCCTGCCCTCTTCTACTGGATCCTGCTGCCTATCACCGTCGTCATGGTGAGTCTCCATCATCTGCCACCATCCTCTACAGCACCAAGCTAACACGTCCAATCAGGTCCTCACCGGTATCCTGCGACACTACCTCTCGACCCTCTTGCAGTCTGCGCCCAAGCAGCAAGCCATCAATCTTTTGCGCCAACAGCGTTCGCTCATGCGCGGTGTCAACCTCCGCAACAACTACCAGCAGCTGCCCCCGGCCTCCTTCGCTGCTCGCAAGGCATACATGATCCAAGCCTACAAGGACGGCACTTTCCTGGCCGAACCCGACATGCGCGGCCAGCCAAAGGCCAACCCCATGACGGATCCCGCTGCCATGGAGGGCATGATGGGCATGATGAAGGGCCAGGTCGCCATGATGGTCCCCCAGAGTCTGATCATGGGCTGGATCAATGCCTTCTTCTCGGGCTATGTCATTATGAAACTTCCCTTCCCCTTGACTCCTCAGTTCAAGTCCATGCTGCAGTCTGGTGTTGGAACCAGAGACCTTGATGTCCGATGGGTCTCGAGCTTGTCCTGGTACTTCTTGACCCTGTTCGGTCTGCAGCCCGTCTACAACTTCATCCTTGGCAGCAACAACGGTATGTCCCTCTACACATGCTCATCCAAGGTACAAAGGTACTGACAAAGTACACAGCGGCCAGTCAAGTCACACAACAGATGGCTCAGGCTCAGATGGGTGTTAACCCCATGGGTGGCCAAGATCCTGACAAGGACTTTTTGAACGAAGCAGAGAACCTCGAGGTGCTCGAGCATCACTGCCTTCTCGATGGCGTCGAGGATAGATTATTGTCAAGTGTAGTATAAATTTGTATCTAGAACATGCCAGGGCGCATCATAGATCTGGCCAACATCATCTCATCTACATCAATCTCTCCCTCTCACACAACGACTACATGCGGGTGAGATGGTCTGGCTTCTGATAATGCCAAGCTCTAGAAGATCATGTAATATGGTCTGATGATGAGAGTGCGGGGCAGAAAGGGTCCAGACAGAATGCTATGACGCGACTGCCTAAATGCTTTCGAACATTTGGAAACCTGCCTTGTCTCACAGCAATCATGTTCTCCTTCCGATCCAACTTCTTTTCCAACCTCCTGTCCGGCGGCTATGGATCAGCTCTCAAGCTTGATCTGCCTCCAGTCGAGTCGATCGACATTGAAGAAACGCCAGAGAAACGAGCGCGTACGCTCAAGCACCTGATCAAGGCCAACCACATCAACCACTCGATCATCTACCACCACCTCGAGTTCCACAACCACTCGCCTCATGTATAACTTCCTTTCTTTGTCCGCCTAATCCAAACAGTGCTGAGGTCATGTCCTCTAGATTCTGGGAACCGCCTACTTCCTCGGTGCCAACGTTGATCAACTGCTCGAAATCTATGAGAAAGAGTCAAAGGAACTCGAGCCCTGGGAAGATGCACCTTCGGAGATTGCGAGGCACGACTGGCGTGACTTTCTGGGAAAGAGAGAGTACGGACACCACACAACCATATGCAGTCATGGTAGCTGACGGAAGTACCACAGGTACCAGCGCGCGTGGGTAGATTTCTTCGAGGATCAGCTTGTCCAGTTTGGCTACGACTGGCGAGAGCTGCTTGACGACTTCTTGTACTCTGGAAAGCAGCCTCTGATCAATAACCTGATCGCCGGACGTAAGTTATCGTGCGAGCTTTAGAAGGAGCCGCTTTAACGTCCTTGCAGTCGCCCATCCTCTTATTCACCTCGGTTTCGCCCTTGAACTCGCTTCTCCCACTGTTGCCATTGAATCGCTGGCCTTGGTCGCAGCCTTCTACAACGATCAACACGTCTACCTGGACGACCCCTCATACACAAAGCCTTCGTCCTGGTCCTCACAGAACCCCTTCGACGTCATTCAGAAGGTGCACAATGACTCTCGTCTGGACTCGTTCTTCGAGAAGCCCGGAGAAGACAACTACAGTGCACTGACCGAGGACAAGGAGAAGGAAGCTGTTCTGCTCGAATATTGGAACAGCTGGACAATCACCGATCCCAAGTCTCAGTTCGAAGCCGCCCAACGTGCCGCCGTTGCATTACTGGTCGGCTCACCCGAGAAAGGTCAGAAGTTCGACTTCTTCCTCGTCCATATCCTCACCAGCTCTCACGCTGTGCGTGTTATTGCTCCGTTGATTCGACCCACGTATCACGTTCCGCTACTCAGGCAGTGGTGGCTGTTCTTGCTCACCGCGTATATCGCTCAACTTCGTCCGGCTGTCAACAGGGCTAAGATTTCGGACGTGGATCTTGCGGGAAGAGACTGGAAGTGGGTAGCCGATCGTGCCGTCAACAGTGAATGGGCCAAGGATGCTCACTTTGTCAAAGGTAACATGGTCAAATCTCTTGTCTACGTGAACCCTGCTGACCACCATCTCACCTTAGCATGTCGCTCGATACAAGAAGCTGCGAAAACATGGGGCGATGAAGACCAGTACTTCCTTAAGGCTGCTGTCAAGTTTTCTAGCGAATTCAATGGCTGGGGAGGCTTCAGTGCATTGTCTGAAGATGAGGCAGAAGCCACCGCTTCCAACATTGGCTTTGCTGCAAGGCACCGTGGTTGAGTTTGTCCATAACGTCATGTTCATGTTTGAAACCAAATTGTAACGAGGACCATCTGTCGTTTAGCATAATGTTCTATTCATACATTCATGAAACCGCAACGGCCGGTCCTCATCATACATTCTTCCTATTGTATTCGTCGTGACCGAGCTCCTTGGATTGGGAAAACATTCAATGCTGTGACGTACATTTGTATCAATTAGCTCTTCAAAGCTTTGTGTGATAATCTATTGCGATCTTGAAAGGACTATTAAAGTGGCATCAAATCTATGCGGTGCCATTACCGTTGGTAGCGGTACCATTGCTCTCTCCAGCGACCTTCTTCAAAGCAGCCATGACATCCTTGACCAAATCCTCACCCTCCTCGACACCACAGCTGATTCTGACCAAATCGTCAAACACACCAGCAGCCTCTCTCTGCTCCTTGGGAATACCCATATGTGTCATGCTAGCAGGAAGTTCCACCAAACTCTCCACACCACCAAGCGATTCCGCAAGGGTGAAGATCTTGGTAGCAGCGCAGAAGCGCTCAGCAGCTGCTTTGCCTCCGGCAATACGGAAAGACAGCATACCGCCGCCAAGACCATCTCTGTGCTGCTTGAGCGCAATCTTACGCTGAGGATGCGAGTCCAAGCCTGGATAGTTTACGGCACGGACGAGAGGGGAAGCGGCGAGAGCTTCGGCAACCATTTTGCCATTCTTGGAGGCTTCACGAGCGCGCAGATGCAGCGTCTTTACACCACGGTGAGCGAGCCAGCAGTCGAAAGCTCCAGGAACGGCACCGATGGCGTTTTGAAGGAAGCCGAGGCGTTCTTTGAGGTCGTCGCTGTTGAAGGCTGCGACACCCATGAGGACGTCACTGTGACCGTTGATGTACTTTGTCACGCTGTGGACTACAATGTCTGCGCCGTGAGAGAGGGGGTTTTGGATATAAGGGCTCATGAAGGTGTTGTCGACAACGACTAGGATGCCGTGCTTGTGGGCAATTTCTGCAACGGCGGAAATGTCGACAAGAGACAGAGTGGGGTTTGAGGGTGTCTCGATCCAGACCAATTTGGTCTCGGGCTTGATGAGTGCTTCGACGTCTAATTCGATGCTGGGGGTGAATGTGACGTGGACACCGTGGGCCTTTGCTACCTTGGTAAAGTAACGGTGGGTTCCGCCGTACACATCAGATACACTGACGACGTGAGAGCCAGTGGCCAGAGATTGGAGAATGATGGCTGTGGTTGCGGATCCGGAGCTGAAGGCCAGAGCGTACTTTGCCTTTTCCAGTGCTGCGATGCAGTTCTCAAAGTTGTCACGATTGGGGTTTGAGCTACGAGTGTACTCGTATGCGCCAACGGGTTGACCGACAGCAGTCTGAGCATATGTTGTTGAAAGAGAGATCTGATCACTTTCGTCAGTCTGAAATTCATTTTGATCATGCTTATAGATGCTTTCAAGCCCGCATCGAGAATGGTAAAAGGCGTCATCGTGTTCCTCCCATTCTCATCATGGGAAATGGTCACTGGTCCGGCATTCCTTGTAAAGGTTGATGATTTCCATGGCAGGCTTGAATCTATCTAGAAAGACATGACTTACAGATTCAATCACAGCACCAGTGACAGGGTCGTGCGGCGATCCGGCGTGCACGGCGAGAGTGCCAAAGCCGTGTTGTCCATGTTCCGAGGGCTGCATCTTGATGATCTAAAAAGTGTCGTAGATGTGTATTCCGAGATGGAAGAAAGGTGGCGAGAGAAAGAGAGGGTTGATATTGATAATAATATATCCTTCCAGGATTCTTCGTTATGTTGTCGAATCACGCAATCCTTCCACTTTGCGTAAGATAGTTCCGCCTTTCTTAGTCCGGAGAGATAGGGTGCTTTCTCGAAGAGAGTTGGATTTGTAAACAGAAAGAGAAATGTTTAGTTTCACAGAACTCGACACGACACGAATTCTTATGTTTAGTCAGGTACCAAGAGAATGGCGAAATTGTTCCTGCAGATTATCAATAAACTTTTTTTTCGAACAGGAGAAGAAAAATTTGGATTGGTTGGATTCTTTGAGCATAGATGCAATCCTTACAGGGCGCCCGTTCATGAAGACGCCCTGTTTGCTCGGCGTGTTCGGAGACTTCGGCGTATTCATCGTTATTCTGACAAGTCGAGACCAAAATCTGACAACTGGTAATTCAAACTTTTTTTGTATACGGCCCTTTTTACTTATGAGGTGTAGTAAGTCAAGTGGAGGAGATTGATGACGAGGGACACATGTCAGACTTGAAGATCATCAAGGTGGCTGTTCCTCGTCTTGAGATCTGCTATCAGTAAACGTTATCCGAAGAAAGCTCAATGGCTGAGTGATAACGGTAAGGAGGAGGCACCTCTCTGCTGGTCACTAAGCTGAAGGCGTACTACCGAACAAGCCGAAACAACTTCCAGAACTAATGCTGCCATCGAGCATGGCAACGGTATTTACAGTGTTTACGACTGCTTAAGAGCGAGGCTGAGCGTCATGACAAGATAAACGTCGGCACTGAATCATGAAAAGGGTGTCGCCGACATGGAGTCTTGTTGGTGATGAGACTGATATTATCAAGCTCTGAAGCCATCACAGACAGGCAAAAGAGTGGTATGTAGAAGAATGGGTTACCCGCAGGCACCCTGATGAAACTGATATCATGCAATTCGTAGCAATATCGCTAATAGTCCGGCCCAATGCATTTCCCGTCGCTCCCAGGCTTCCGGCAATCGAATAAATGAATAAAGCAAGACTAACGCCTCCAATGGAATCAGTGTACTCCAAAACAGTTTGTGAAACGGAAGAAACAAAGCAGGAAAGATATGTGAAGGTCGAGGGGTGACAAAGTGTCAGTAGGTGCGTGGCTTTGCCTTTGAGGCAAGGGCTTCCAGTTTGCGCTTCTTCTCAGCTTTCTGGCGCTTGAGCTCGTTTTCTTCGGCCAAGGCTATAGCATCTTCACGCTTCGCAATACGTGCAGATGCCTGTTCTTCTTCGTAAAGATCGTCAACGCCAGCCTCCATGTCGGATCCCGATTCATAATCGTCTTCTGGTTCGTCGTCCTCTTCTTCCTCCTCTTCATCGGAATACGAAGCGTAGCGACGACCAGCACCATAACCAGACCTGCCGGGTGCGTGGGCTTTGGCAATTGGTTTACGGGCGGCAGCACCGCCAGGACCACCCATAGTACCACGATAGACAGGAGCAGCGGGAGCGTTGGCACGCATGGTACCTTTGTATGCAACTTCCACGGATTTCTTCTTGTCTTTACCCGGCGCATTTGTTTTGGGGTCCGCCAAAGGTTCGACACTCTTTCCCCTGCCTTTCAAGCCAGCCTTTGTGTCCCTGTTCGCCAGAGGTTTGCCTTTTGCTGCGGCACGAGCCTCCTCGACAAGACGCAGGCGATCCTTCTTGGTAAGCTTCTCTACTGGCTTGTGCTTGATTTGACCAGCCAGTTTGGCCGCTTCGGCGTTTTGTTTGGCGCGTTCCAATACAGCCAGATAGCCTCCTTTAGTAGAAGCGGATGCTGAGACAGGTGTGGTAGAAGTGGTAGGAGGCCGTGTGGGTGCGGGAGATGCGGTGGCGATCTTTGATGCTGGTTGTGTCTTCGCAGAAGGGCCGCTACCACGGTAAGGGATGGCAGCCTTGGGAGGCGGCAAAGCGGCTCTTTGGGCGGGTGACGATGTGGTGCTGCGTGACGGTGGTGGGGCTAGGGAGGCATTGCTTTCGAACTTTGATGTGTTGGTGTCTGTTCTTGCGACTTTGGGTTTGAGGTCGCTAGCAGCGTCTTCTGCCTTTCGCTTCGGTGGCACTTGCTGCGGAGCTGGGTTACGTGGCGGCGGATTCGTTCTGGCGGTAGAGGAAAGTGCTTGTGGACGGGGTGGAGCGGGCTGACCGCCGTTAATGGACGAGAGGATGGAGTTGAGGAGCTGTCTATCGCGTCAGCCTTGTTGTGCAGAGCGGCGTGCGATCATGCTTGTCGCGCATCAGACTCACACTCATGGCTGCAGAGTCGTTAGAGATGGCGATTTGTCGGTGAGTCAGATCCAGGCATGCTGTGATGGAGGCAGCCGGCGCTGAGATTTGCGAGTTGACGGAAAGGCGACGGACGAGAAGCGACGGAGAGATGGAGCAACGATGTTAGAACTTCAAGATCCTTAAGTACACGCTCACGGCCAAGTGACCAACCGGAAGCGGCTAAGTCCGACGACGACAGGGTCACCTTTGGACTACAATGGATTCGACGTTTGCAATGGCATACTACAACTCCGCATCGTCTCTTGTTCAGGCCGACCTGGCCGGAAGATGAGTGTCGAGACTTGGAGATAACATGGTCAGTGTACGGCAGCTAGTGCTCGTCACAATCCTATACTGAGGATATTTCGCCATGCTTCTGTCTGGGAGAAATGGTCATGAAGCAGGGAGTGGAAGGTCGCACACTCAAGCCGTTCGATCGTGGTCAATGATATGGGATTGGGTTGTTCTCTTCAACCCAACCACTACCTCACTACCTCTCCTATCATTTCGAAGGCGACTTCAGATATGTGATGTTCAACTCGACTGTTCACAACGGGCAAGTCTCTCAAATGTTCAAAGTTCAAAGGTCGACAGGGTTGCTCTCGTGGCCGACTGCGCCAAGCCGCTTAGCGTCAAACCACTCGCACAGCGTCAGCGTCTTTGCAAAACTCTTCTATACTCAAACGCGCTCCTCACTTTTATTCCGCAGTACAAGTGGTTAGTCTCCGTCCAACTCACGGTTAAATCGATTGCCTCTCACTGTTTCATCAAATCCCACCACCGTCAGTCCTTCTCTCGCACACATCGACATCCCACTCCATTTGCGACACGCACTGACAGAACGCGCATTCAGAAATTCAAAATGAAGTACCTTGCAGCCTACCTCCTCCTCAACCTCGCCGGCAACGAGTCCCCCTCTGCCGAGGACATCAAGTCCGTCCTCTCCTCCGTCGGTGTCGACGCTGAGGGTGAGCGTCTCGACAAGCTCATCTCCGAGCTCGAGGGCAAGAACATCCAGGAGGTACGCATACATCCCACCGGACCGCAAATTATTTCTCGACCGCACGATACTAACAAAATCTGCAGCTGATCTCCGAGGGTTCCGCCAAGCTCGCCTCCGTTCCTTCCGGTGGTGCTGGTGCCGCCGCTGGTGGTGCTCCCGCTGCTGGTGCCGCCGCCGAGGCTGCCCCCGCTGAGGAAAAGGCCGAGGAGAAGGAGGAGTCCGACGACGACATGGGCTTCGGTCTTTTCGACTAAGCGTATCGCAACGCTGATCGAAAACAAAACTGGTGCGGATGGGTGGTTTCGTTTGTGGGAGCAGTCGGGCGCATGGGAGAAAGTCTCTACGCTGAAGCCGCAAAAGGCACGGCCATACTCTGACTGCTTTATTTGTAGCCAGGGCCACGAATGGAGAACTCTACAATTCCTCCATGATCAAATTGTCGCGCATTTCCTGCCTACTCGTGAAATTTGAGCGCGTGATGTTATATGACTATGCTGTAAATAAGTCATGCTGCGCTCCACCGTCTCTAGAAACCATGAACAGCCCGCGAAGACCATTCCGACACCTTACATGCAATTCTACAGAAGATCCTTGATTGAGGATCAAGAAGATCGCATTCATCAAGGTGCTTCACTTTTACTGTCACCAGAGGCAGGCACATTCGGAAGGAACGAGATTGGTCACGTGAGACGCACGGCCGCGAAGCGAGATTCATGAGATTTTGTTCGAATTTGCCCACAGCCCATCTGAACCAGCTTGCGTCCCGACAACTTCGACCTCACACACCGACACAATGGCCGACACCGAATACGTACGTTTGCGCCTGAGCAGTTCCCTGCGAATAACTCTGCACATCATGAACAATTGCTGACATGCTTCTTACAGAACGCCGAGGAGGCTGCTGGTATGAGATGACTCTAAACGCACCGCACCCCTTCGCGACACCGCGCAATGGAATAAAACCCTGTGGACAGGCCACGAAAGGGGTGCAGGAAGATGGAACATGGACTGACTGAGTCGTCACAACAGCCCTCAAGGCCAAGAGATCCTTCAAGAAGTTCACCTACCGTGGTATCGACCTTGACCAGCTCCTCGACCTTTCCTCCGAGCAGCTCCGTGATGTCGTCCACGCCCGTGCCCGCAGACGCTTCAACCGTGGTCTCAAGCGCAAGCCCATGGGTCTGATCAAGAAGCTCCGCAAGGCCAAGCAGGAGGCCAAGCCCAACGAGAAGCCCGACCTTGTCAAGACTCACCTCCGTGACATGATCATTGTCCCCGAGATGATCGGCTCCGTTGTCGGTGTCTACTCCGGTAAGGAGTTCAACCAGGTCGAAGTCAAGGCCGAGATGGTCGGTCACTACCTTGGTGAATTCTCCATCTCATAGTAAGTTGCTCTGCATTAATCGTCAGTCTCGAGCATTTTCCTAACAACCATCCAGCAAGCCCGTCAAGCACGGTCGCCCCGGTATTGGTGCTACCCACTCTTCCCGTTTCATTCCCCTCAAGTAAGCGGGACATGTACTCGAAGATGCTACGGTCAACAAAAGTTTGGGAATGGATTCGTTGTTGTCTGGCGCTGGCATACAGTGCTTCAATATATCCGTAGGCTCAATGAATCGCCTCATGAAAATCACGTCTTTTCTTCTCTTTGTCCAATAATGCGTGCACGTAATACAACGAGCCTTCTCCCATCATGTGCTGGTGTGAGATATGCTATTCCGTCTCGTGCTCCATGCCGAAGAAATTGTATTCCTCGCGCCTAGCCCTTATCGCGATACATCGGTTGACGTTCTGCTTTTTCTCTACCCGGGCTTGACGTACGCCTATCGCTCGGCCGGCTGATATGCCATTGGTGCGCATGGTGAACGTGCGGGTCATTCTGGGGCTCTGGGTTCCATCATGCCCGCCTTGACCTTCCTTCCTTACCCCAACTTCTCGTCGCGATGTCCTTATCAACACCTTTGTCACCCGGCCCGGCAGCTTTTGGAGGCGATATCGCTGCACTGTCCATGCCTACACGACACTTGTAATCCGGCACTGGGGTGCCCAGTCGACTCCAAGGCTAGTGGTGCCAAAGCCAAGATCCCAACTCTAGCGGTGTTGCGATAGGCGTGCTTTCTATCTGCTTTGGTAGTTACCGAGGGGTAACAAGAACATCTCTCGGAAACCTTGCCCAATATCTCTTACCCCTCCAAAACTCATCGAGGTCAAAATCGCTCATCGAACTCACCTGGTTACCGCGATCTAAGCCACGATAGGATCTGATAGTGTATGATGGCGTATCAATCACCTCGCCGATAGTGGACCGCCTCGTACCTCGAACAGGTTTTCCGCTTGGTAGCATCGGCGTGCAAGGTAGCATGCTTGATGACTATATAAATTGCGAGTCCTTCGTGAGTCTGCTGGGGTGAAGAGTCATTTTCTACTTACGCTTTCGTTTTCCCCTCCCTCGTTCTATCTCGACATTCGTCGTCTGTCGAAGAATATCACTCTGCCTCTCATCAACATGCTTAGAACACTATCTCTTCTCACTGCTCTTGGCCCTCTATGCCAGGCTGCTGCTCTGCCTACATTTCCACAGCTCGAAGTCCGTCAATCGGTTGCGAGCGTTAATGCCAGTCTAGGCAATGTAACCATCTTTGGCACTGGTATGTATCACACTTCGACAATTTCAACAGCATGCTGACATACTGTAGGTGGTACTATCGCTGGTTCTGCTGGTTCGGGCGTTCAGACTACCGGATACACAGCTGGGGCTGTTGCCATTCAAACTTTGATTGACGCCGTACCAGAGCTGCTCAACATCTCGAATATCAATGGCATCCAAATATCTAACGTCGATTCTGGGAACATCAACGCGACTATTCTGTTGGAACTGAATCGTCAAATCACATCTGAACTCGCCAGAAGCACCTCGAGTGGTGCTGTGGTGACCCACGGCACTGATACTCTTGAGGAAACCGCATTCTTCTTGGATCTCACCATTGCATCCGATAAGCCTGTTGTAGTTGTCGGTGCTATGCGTCCCTCTACTGCTACTTCAGCAGATGGTCCTTTGAACCTGTATCAAGCTGTCACACTGGCCGTCACCCCCGAGGCCAAGGGTCGTGGTACTATGGTCACTCTGAATGACCGTATTGACAGTGCCTTCTACGTGGTCAAGAACAACGCAAACTCTCTAGACACATTCAAGGCTATTGAGCAAGGCCATCTTGGCTTCTTCTTGAACTCTGTCCCTCAATTCTACTACTCGGTCGCGACGCCTGCCGGCAAGCCCTTCTTCGACCTTGCGCCTTTGAACCTGACCTCGCTTCCTCAAGTCGATATTCTTTACGGTCACCAGGACAGTAACCCGGAGCTCATCCGCGCATCTGCTGACTCAGGTGCCGAGGCCATCGTCTTCGCCGGTGCAGGTGCTGGCGGCTGGACATCGAAGGGTAGACAGGTCGCTCAAGCTGTTTACAACGAAACCGGCATCCCTATGGTTTTCTCTACTCGCACGATGAACGGATTTGTCTCCCCCGAAAGCAACGATTGGTCGATTGCTAGCGGTAACTTCGATCCTCAAAAGGCTAGAATCTTGCTCCAATGTGCTTTGGCGGTTGGGTACAATACTACCCAGATTGCCGAAATCTTCGATGCGCTCCAGGTGTCATAGACGGTGTCGGGCGAGTAAAAGTTCCTCTGCCCCTTAGAGGACTTGGTCAGTACCTACTATATCATACGCTACATACGACTAAATGGCATTGGAATATTACCACAGACACGTTCGATATGGCCATAGCTCTTGTAAGCCGACTCCACGTTTCGGCAGTTCCACGTGCGATCATTCCATGTTCAACACACGCTTTCTTGCTCTATTCTGGTCCTGTTCAGGAAACACTGCTGCCTGATACATGCTATATACTTGTGATAGAGCACGTTAATAAGTTCCGTGATGGCAAGTATAAGTATGCGTCTGTTTCCCACACCCTTCCATCTTCCTTCTTTTCGTATCTTGCAGTCCAGACCAAAGTCTCGTTATCATCAACACGCAGCTCTTTTCAGTCGAAACTCAAGACCTTCCATCATCCTATCTCGTATCAGACTCTTGTCTCTACGTTATCTCGCCAGACTCAAACATGGCTTCTTCCTCAACCACCTCCGGCTGCTCCAGCATGTCCTCCAACATCACCTTTGGCCTTGAGTACGAGCTCAAGCTTCGTCTCACCGCCGACCAACTCAAACAAGAAATCAGTGGTAACGTCAAGGTCGTAAGCAACCCTGGTGAGGTCAGACTTTCCAAAGTCGGCCCCCAGTACCTCAAAAACGAGTACCGCAATTTCGCCTTTCTCGATCCCAACAGCAGTGCTCCAAGGACATCTCTCGTGACGAGAGCTGACGGTCAAGCAAGTCTTTACCGCGGCTACTCTACCGAAGCCTTGAGCATCATGCAAAAAAGACTACAGGTAGCCCCTGGTCTCGGATCGACAAGCATCTATCAAGGTGCTGGCAAACAAGCCGACTTTTCAGCTGCTCGTCTTCATCTCACCCATGACGCCAGCTTGAACGGTCTCAGCAAATCAGCCAAAATCGCCACCGGGCTATGTACGTCAGAGCAAGCAGAAACCACCGACTTTGTCGGCACGGAAATTGTTACAGCTCCCCATAGCTCGCCTCGCGAAGCCTGCGATGAAGTCAATAGAATTTCCGCAGCCCTTCGTAGCGATGGCCTCAACTACATCATCGACGATGAATGTGCCATGCACATCCACGTCGGTAAACAGGACGGCACACCGTTCAGCGTCAGGACTCTTCAGAATCTTGCATACCTCACCCTCATTTATGAGCATGAGCTTGCCCGCATGACAGTCCCACGCAAACGGGGTACCGATTTCGAGACATTATCAAACCGTGTCGATTTCGCTACCGAGTGCCCGTCTCCAACAGAACACCACGCATACCTATGCAATCAAGCAGGAAACATTTCCGAAGGGTCTCTTGAAGTGATCTGGAACTACCAGTCGCTCTCAGAGATCCGGAAGGCCCTGTTTGATGGCGTGGACTCGGCAGCGGTTCCTATCGAAGCGTTTGTCAAGCTTCTGGGCACCAAAGGCAGAATGGTAAATTTCTCATACTGTTCCCGGGACGTTACCAAAAACGAGCCGGCAGCCACTGTCGAGTTCCGCCAACACCAAGGCACTCTCGAAGGCGACGACGTTCTTCACTGGGCTCGTCATTGTACGGCCCTCGTCGCGCTGGCTGAGAGATATGCCATCAAAAACACAAGGTGTTATATCACCAATTGGGACGACACAATCGACATCGAGCAGCTGTGGAGGGAGATGGTTTTGCCCGAATCAACCAAGCAATTCTATCGTAATCGCATCCAGGAATATGATGTGCGTTGGCCCGACGTGCACCAGACGCCTCTTTGTGAACCCGACATGGTATTCGATGACGATTTTTCTTTTTCTGACGAGGAGTTTGAGGACTCGGAGCCAAGTATGACTGAGACCGAAGTACAGGAGAAGTGTTAACTTCAATTGTACCGCATGATCGTTGTTTCGTGGGCATAGCGCTTGTAACTCTTTTTACCCACGAAGGTTTTTAACGAGGCAAGAGCGTGTTTCATTGTATCATGTTGTTTGGATTCATTAATGTTCAATTCGTGTATCATATAGCCATGGGAAGAAGAGCCTGTTCGTTTCCCAATCGTCACGTTCGTGCCTTCTTTCTTTCTCAAGTGCCTGAATCTCGTCTGTAGGTACCTTCCCTATGTGCTTGGGTTCGGTCTGGAGGTGCTTAGTTCCCTGCTACAGGTGCCTGAATTCCTTTTGCGGGTGCATAAGTACCGTGTGTACTTGAGTTTTTTCTGCAGGTGTCTGGTTTCCTGATTTCATTTTTTTTCTAGATGCCCAAGTTCCTGACTTCCTTCTGAAAGTGTTTGGGTTCCGTCTCCAGGTATCTGAGTTCCTTCTGTAGGTACCAGGGTTCTGTATACAGGTGCCTGTGACCCGTATACAGGTGCGTGAATTCAATCTGCAGGTACGCGAGGCCCGTGTGCAGGTGCCTGACTTGAGTAAGGGTCAAGTCAGGAATAGTTGCATCAATGCACGAGATCATACAGGAAGAGAGCGACATTCGCTGAGACGTGTTCTGTCGGCGCTCCAGGGAGGCTCGTCCGTTCTAAGAGTTGTGTATGATTTATGACAGCTTGTTCTCGCTCTTTGCCTTCACAAAGGAGAGCGCGTCCATTCGATCGTGTGACGACCTGATCATCGCCTGTTCATATAGTCATGAAAAAGAGCCTTTTTGTTGTCCCGTGCCTCGTGAAACGTGGGTGTCTCATCGTTGCTGATTAGTTATCCATATCTGCTGCGATAGAACCCAGAAGCGAGTCTGCTGAACTCGTCACTAAATTCCGTCACCTCGGTCTCCTTCCGAGAAACGTGTCGTGATAACGAGCTGTAGGGAGGCACATGTATTTCCTGAGTCGATGAATCTGCTCGGAGAGCTGATGAGACGATGGATCCCGTGGCCGTCGCTGCGCGCCTAGAAAGTATCGTGCCTCGAGACAGCCTGTACCGCACCAGAACACAACATTTGGGGATATTTCTCATAAAAAATCGCGGTTATATTTCTGCAAGATGTTGTGGCATAGAACCTAGGTGCCGATACTACTTGCTCTCATTTGTCACCGCCCCCTGAGTTTGATGCAGCACCTGAGATCTTGTCGGACACTTTATCATAAACTCCAGTGGCCCAGTCTTTAGCACCATCCAGCTTTCCCTTGACCCAGTCCCACCACAAGTTTGTGTCTTTGCCATTGTTATCTTCATCTTCTTGGCTTACGTCGTCGTGGATCACTGGTCGCGTTGGAGCAGCAGCATCCGTGGTAGCGATCGTTGGTCGAGAAGCCTGGGTTGAGGACAGAGCCCCTATCGTAGTTTCTGTCGACATCGCGATCGAGTTGGACGAGTCCTCTGGCATATCTTCCGGAAGATTTTTAGGTGGCATAGAGCCGTGCAGTCCAATAGGCTTGAGCGGTAGACGTAGTGTGCCGTTATTAGGATTAGGTACAACCCCGATAGAGTCGCAGACGAGATTGTAGACCTCGATGTTCTGGAAGGGTTCTAGCTTACTACCCGGTGTATGAGGGAAAGCAGGACCTCTGGCCACAAATATGGCTCGCATCAGAGGATGTTCATGATCGTATCCATGTACACCTATAGGATGATACACTTGACCAGTCTTCTTCGCTTCCTCAACATTGAACTCCTCTTTGACTACGATGGCCCATCCGGTCCAAGGTATGACCCAAAGAGGTGCAATACGGTCGTTATGCGAGAAATGATAGCGTTCAGGCATATCGCGATCTTTCAGGTAGACATCGAATCCCTCCATGTTTGTCGCTTCTTGCTTCAGGTGATTGTATAGAGGCTCAATGTCCGACTCGTTCTTAGGGCGAAGTCCGTATAGCGGCCAACCATCTGTACGCTCTATAAGGGACATATCGATAATATCGTCGAGTTGAACCAGGCGAGATGTGGACGTTGTAGCCATACCGTGGTCAGAAACTATGACAATGTTCACAATATCTGTCAAGTTTCGCTGTTCGAGTCCCGAGAACAGCTGACCCAACATGGCGTCGACACTAGATATAGTGGATCTGATTTCGGTACTGTTCGGGCCATACAAATGACCATCACGATCAACATCCGGCACATAAGCAGCAATCAATTGTGGTCGAGGCCTATCAAGACTTGCGTCTTTATCAAGAGGTCCAGGAAGGTCCAGCAGGCCGAGGATACGGTCAACCTTATTTTTGAGCAACTCGTGGCCTTCGTATTTGTCAACAAATGTGGGCTCAGTACCGATGTGAGCTTCGGACCCAGGCCACATATGAATAGCGGTGCGGACATCCTGATTCTCGGCGGTGACCCATATAGGCTCAGCAGTCCACCACTTAGGCTGCATGCTCCTGGCAGGATCAGTATAGAAGAAATCTTCCTTGAATTCAGGATCCCAGAAGCTATTTCCCACAATACCATGCGATTCGGGATATAGACCCGTGACTAGCGAGTTGTGATTAACGAAAGTCACGCTGGGGAACGAAGGGGTCCTAGCCAAATCGTGGTTAGCACGATACTTTTGTACAATGACTGGATGACCGAAGTTTTTTTCAAACAAAAAAACAAGACCCCCTCGTTTGGCAGCGGGTTGCTTGTTTGGCTATATTCCCACACACTTACATGTATTCTGGAGAGGTGCCAGCTTGGACGAAGGCACTCAGTGATGGTGTTATATTGCGGTAGAGGAAATCGGCGCGAAACCCGTCAAGCGAGATGAAGATAGTCGTTGGAGCAAAGATTGAGCTACCATTGCTGAGGGCGTTCACCAGAGGGCGAACCTGAGGCCTATAGTTACGAGATGCCTTGTAAGCACCAAGTAGGAGACCAATGAAAGCAATGACAATAACGACATGAGCAGCCGTGAGTTTCCTGATCCGTGATTTGCGGCGTTCGACTGGCTCTGGCATCTCTTTCAACCTCAGTCTGTCAGCATCCGACGAGTTTGCCGAGTCGGAACTGTCCTTGTGGCCTTCTTCCATGTCGTACATGAGTACACTCTCTTCCTCCTCTTTGGGGTACTTCTTGCCTTTGCGATTGGCCTCACGCAAGTACTTTCTGCGTTCTCTCTTGCTAATTTTGACACCGCTCGACGGCCCGTCATTTCGTGTGAATAGACCTCTGCGTCGCTTGTCCTTCTCTTGACCAGTCAACAGCTCTTCGGCTTCTTCCTCTCTTTCTAGTATTTTTAAGTCCAGCTGTCTGATATCGGTCGAAGTGCGGGCCCTGTGTCCAGCATCATCGCGTTCGAAGTCACTTCCTGAGTCATCGGTGCTATCAACCGGTGGTGGGCGATGGAAGCCAGCTCTGCCATAGTCGGACATGACTGCTGAGTGGGAGGGGGCGCGTTCCAATTGTTTCGCAACAAGCCTTGTCGCTCAAAAGCGTGTCGCGACGCTCACGGGTCGGTCATAGGTGCCTTGCAGACAATATATATAGTCTCTAACTATTTCGTGCCGGTGGCATACGAGAATGTCGACAGGTATTGAGAGGGTTGGGCTACATGGTCGTTTGGAGGAGGAGTGCGCTGGGGGACTCGGCGGGTTTCATCTCCCCCGTGTGCCAAAATACGTACGTCACGCCGTAGCACTCTGGAGGCACAATACCTACGTTTCAAACTTGCAGCTTCTACAGCTCCTTCTTGCTCCCCTTCAATAATGCAACTCCTCTGTGGACCTGGTGTGCTTGCGCCATTAATCCCTCCATATGGTGCAGAGTGGGAACCGAGTCAAGACACCGTCGATCTCGTTGATGGCGGATCGGGACTGAACAACCGATGCGAGGACAAGGAACACGACACTTTAGTCGAAGTAACTGGCTGCACGGCACAACATCCATATAGGTACAAGAGACGTGTCGCACTCATGATTGTGTAGATTTGTCGCTTTCAAGGCAGACCGCCGAGTACGACACACAAGTAGTTGGCTCTGTTTCGCAGCGTGAGACGTTCTGTTTCTTGTAAAAAGATCTGCCGTCAATCTTCATTTGGGCACCACTTCGGTGTTCGGTGGAGAAGACTTGCTCGTGTCCGCAGAAGCCCCAAACTTCCACCAACAAGTCGCGATCGTGACGACACAACGACTTCCTTGCAAGGCAGGCGCATGACCAAAGCTGCATGCAGCAAGGACAGTGGACAAGGTTTGTTCTCCTAGCCAGTCTCACAGCGGTATCAATTCCTCCAGAGTGTGCATTGTTCTTTTGACGATGTTGAGGTGACGCCGAGCCTACGAATCACTGGTGGGGACTTCTTGCACGGTTCCTGAGCAAGAGAGGCGATCACTCCGCACCCACACTTTCCAGGGTTTCCTTTGTCGACATACGCACAGTGACCTCGATGTCGATGCTTTTGAGCCACGGTAAAGTCCACGAGTGGGCCATCCAGCGCAACTGCGTGCCGAACAAACGATGATTTCACATGTATTCACACGCCATCGCACTGGATTACACGCAGGCGACAGCGTTTCCTTTCGCGCGGCTGTTCCTGGCGCTTGCATGAGGCAAAGCAAAGCCAGGTGCACAACAGCCTTCTAGCCAAGGCGAAACCGACGGGTACCTGATTCTAGAGACAGGTGCTTGGGACAGGCGCACCGTGGCGGCAACCTTTTTCATTTTCATCACGTTCTTGAGACTTTCGGTGGCCCTTAACCGCACGTCTTCAACGCATCGTCAACCTTGTCTCCACATCCGAACATCAACCCTCGTGCTTCATGGTCAACTCCTGGGCCCGGGCGGGCCGTGACCCACAACCAACACGCGGATTGCAGTTGCGGGATTGCCGCCGAGAGAAGTCCAAGTCAACCGCATCGTGCACAGCGCACAGCGCCTGCAGGTGCCAGCAGGAAAATCTTCTTCTCTTTGCATCTCTGGCCGTTCTCATTCGTCGCTTCTCGCCCAGTCGTTGAAACTCCCACATCATGGATGGTGGGCTCGTACGCCTATTCGACAAGAGGAGCGAGGACACGAAAAATCTTGGGTAAACTGACTTTAGCACGGGCAGCAACTCCACTAGACACACGCATATATAAATCATCGTAGGTCTCTGGTAATGGTTTCCCTGATACAGCCAACCAGTCCTTACTTTCCTCTCTCTCAATCACTCTCTTTCGTCAGGTTCCTGTGGAATCGGCAGACACTCCTTCTCGGACTCACACTACTATCATCTCAGAATCCTTGTATACTCTTTTAGCCAGTCGATCTCGGCATTTCACTTCCTTGTCTTCATCTTTCACCACGGCAAGAAACATCAAACAAAATGCAACTCTCTGTCTCCGCCATTCTCACTGTTCTCGCTGCCACTGCGGCTGCTCTCCCCACCGAGAAGGTTCTGCAGAAGAGAGATACTATCTCGGCCACCCCTCATGTTGAGTACTCTAGCTCCGTTGGAGTCCTTGGATGCAAGATCGACACCAACCGTGTGGCCTACTGGCCCATGAGCGTCGGCTGTGACAACATGTGTGTCAAGGTCAGCCACCAAGGCCGCTCCCTTCACCTTCTGCGCGTCGACCAGTCCGGAGGTGCCTATGACATGAGTTATGATGCCTGGAACACCCTCGTCACCGGCAAGAACGCTACTGTTGACCCCACCATGGGCGGCGGTGTCGAGATGGAGTACGAGAGCGTTGGCATGGACGAGTGCGCTCACCTTCTCAAGAACTCTGACGGCAAGCTCGCGTTCTCGGCCGCCAATAGCATGAACTTCATTGCTTCCTGCATCAGCGAGCCCAAAAGCTGGGTTGCTAAGAACTACGGTCTCTGGAACATCTACAACTCCATCTGCACTAACGGTGTTGATGAGCAGTGCTCTCTTGACTTGAGCGTTAGCAACCAACCTTCTTGCGGCAGCAGCATTCTTGGTATCAACACCCCTCTGAGCGGACAGAACGTCACAAACATTGCCTACGGTAGTGGCAAACTCGTTGCCGCTGTATAGGTGATCCGCAGTCTTGTGAAGCCCGAAGATTCATGACTCCTGGTTCTTGACAACCATTTTCGCTTCAAGTCATTCATTTACACCCATTTCTTCCCATTCGACTGTCTTGAAGACAGCAGCAACTTTCTTTCCTTTTCTTATCATTTACGTCCACCAGAAGCGCCTGCATGCAGGCTGCGCAGCATGGGTTGGACTTTCTAGACACGATTTTGAGACGCTTTTACGAGTTAACAAAAGAAACGGAGAGTTATGTACGAAGAAGAATCAGAAGAATCTTTTAGCAATTTTCCAGTCCACTTCACCTAAGTTTATATGCTTTAGAAGCAAATATTTATGCGTGCATGTTGACCTGTGCATAAATTTGCTTTGAGAGACACATTCACAAGCACAATTTGATGCTGTCGATTAGTCGTCCCCTCGACTTTGAGCGAGATAGGAAGGTTACCGATGCCAACGAAGGCCAAAACTGTTGACTTCGAAGCCATCGCTTCCAGTTTTGCGACAACGCCGTGTTATGGCGCCGCACAGTTTTCTTCGCCCATATGCGGAGCGCTCCTTCTACTATATATAATGCATCTCTACGGTCGCATATGGCACATTTTGAAATCCGGGAGAAGCAGCCAAGGAGGTCATGCTTTTATCGCCAATGCTGGCATTTCTGGAGGATCTATACTAGATATCGCCTTCCCGAAAGACTTACCAGAAGATGCCGACCTAGTTCAGCCTGGCACACGTGAAGTCGACGTCAATTTGACTGGCACATACTACACAACAGTGCTTGCTCTCCACTATTTTAAGAAGACGCATGATACCTCGGACGGTTTCAAGAAACACCTCGTCCTCATGAGTTCTTGGCGGGATATTGCGAAGACACTCTCGCATCAACGTACATGGCTGGCAAGTTCGGTGTGCGTGGATTGTGAAAGTCTATCAGATACCAAGAAGATGCTCTCGGATTCCCATTCCGCACACAACTGATCGCACCATGCTTTGTACGTACAAAGATGACCGAGTCATTCGTCGATCGTACCGCAGAGGCCGGAGACTACAATGTTGGTAAGATCATAGCAGAGTGTGGCGCTATATTTGGCTTGCTTAGAAGGTTGTCTCAGACTTAGCGGCCATATTGGTACGTACCGAACTGTTACGTCTCACACTACTTTTGACGTCCAACGGACCTAGCAATCACTAAGGGAGCTCCAACATTCTCTATCACTGAGTCAGATGACAAGTCGACGACGGAGGACCCTCATTCACATCATGACTGTTTCGTTACCATATTCGTGGCATGAAATCTATTCACGAGTTGATGATGGTCAACGGTGACGGATATAGATTTGGTTTACGCAACTCAGACACGACGACGATACTGTTCTCGTGGTTGTAGAGAGATCTTTACTTCGAAGCCTGGGCTTATGTCTGTATAAATGTCTTGAGTCGCAGCATCATTTGTTAAAGGCATTAATCCAGCACCTCATCTCAAAGCATACTACCACTATCCAAACATACTATTTGATCTTTGTCAAACACTTGAGAGGAAAGATGCATTTCTCCATCGCAACCACAGTTCTTACTTTTGCTGCATCCATCACCGCTGTTGCAGCCGGGCCCAATGGCAAATATCGTCGCCAGGCAGCCGATCCTTGCATGCTTGACTCGGTCACCGATAATCCCTCAGCAGATGACGCTAAAGCCGCAATCGACCAGTGGAACATCGATGTCAACACTGTCAATGCTTTCCTCAACGAGGCCAGTGGCCTAGCCCACGGCATGGAGATTCAGAATGCCACCATGCAGACTCTGCTCTTCGCTCAGGACGAGCCGTGTCAGCTCAAGACCCTCATCAGCAACAGCGACTTCGCTGGTGGTGATACTGATGCCTTCAACTGTGCCGCCATGGACCTGATGATGGTGTTCGATACCCACGTTCTCCAGAACCTCAGGAGCATTATCATGATGCCCTCGGATGCCGATGTCATTGCTCATGCTATCAGCGACATCAACACCTTTAGATGCTGCAATGTTCTGCCCGATGCAAACATCCTTTGGCTCGATTCTGCCACCGACAATGGCATCTCTGACCAAGTCAACTTCACCCCAGGACTTGAGGATGCCTGTGCCAATATCGACTGTTCGACTGTTGCCACTGCTGCCAATTGTACGTCGCTCAACAACGGCAGCAACCCATTGAAGTTGCGTATCTGAAGACGGAGATCGAAACATGAGAGTTGGTAGCGACATCATGCTGCCTGTTACTACTTACATTGCTTTGTACAGCAGACTTGGACTGCCAATAAACACTCGCTCGTTTTATTCGGTTAGACTTTTTGTTCGAGATTATTGACGAAGCATTACCTATTTTCGGTATGTTGACATTAGCTTGTATCAAACCTTCCCTTGCGTATGAAAATCTGCATTCTGATCGCTTGTCCAAGTTCGCAATATTGGATTGTGAAAGCGAGTCGATAGACTAAGAGTAGATGTGAACTGGAAGTCGGTGGAACGTCCCTGTGTGCAGAATACTGTCACACACTCTCTCTCTTCACCAAAGCAGGGCAACGACGAGCTGTGGAAAGGCACAGTCATATCTCGTGTCGACAAATCTAGCGAGGGAGTCGTTGACACGAGGTATCTAGATGACATCGCTTCAGATCAAGAGAGTATCGTGCTTTGAGGCAGCTGAGTGTGATAGTATTTGGCACACGGGGAGGAAGGATGCAGTGTTCCGGCAAATGAGAGCCGCACGCAACCGACTCTCGTATTCGACCTCACACCTCCGCACCTTCTATACACTTGTCTGCCGTCTCCTTCTTGCGCGACAGGCCATTCACGCATAGCAAGCGTCAACACCTCGGAGATTGACGATCACCCGTCGCTCAGGAGAGGAAGAGCGAAGATTCAAGGGCCGGCAGCGTTTGTCGGCTTCGTCGCGTCCGACGTCGCGGACATGGTCGTCACAGGTGCCAATCCTTGTTTCGCCGTGGGTCCTTCCCAGGCTGAGTAAATAAGAATCGATCACCATCTCAAGGCAGGTTCCTTTGTAGCCCCAGCACTTTCCCCCACCCCTGGCCCAATCCACCTTCCTTTGTCTAATCCTCCTTCCGTCCAAATTACCGCAAACATGGCCAGCGGTCAATTCGTCGACCCGATTCAACTGCTCCGAATCACGCCTCTCATTGCAGCGACTTTGACCCTCGATCATGCATTCGACAGCAACCTCTTCCTATCGGCTCTCAACCAGCCCGAGACGCGCACCAAGAGCAACGCCGCTCTCTCCACCTACTTCCCCGTCGTATCTCACGCTGGCTTCTACCGTCGCCTGACCTCCGTCTCTTTGACCTTTGTCGCTTCCATTGCCAACCTTTATTCTCGCGGCAGCCCGGCGCGAGCCTGGTACCGTACAGGAGCTATACTTGCAGTCGCCCACTTCATCTTCATGCCCTTCATGATCACATCCAAGGATGCTATTCGCACAAATCATCCTGCAAGAGACGCAAACATTGCCTTGGACGAGTGGCTTTGGTTCAACAGACTGAGAGGCTTGACTGTTGACTTGGGCACTTTCCTGGTCTTGGGCGTTGCCGTTGTCAAGAGTCTGGGCAAGTGAACATGACCTTGCGCTCAGTTTCGTTGACACGACTCCTGGAAGACAAGCACGGCCTCGAAGACTGGTCGGGGCCAGGACGATGCAAAAACTGTTGCAGAACATCCTGATGTAAATCGCGCCATGACACCAGCAGCCCAATGCGGTCCTGTCCGGCACCTACAAACCAGCTACCACAAGGCAGGCGGGTCCGTGAGGTACGAGAGCTGTGAAGCTCATCAAGGCATGAGTGCCGACCGACGGAAGGTAGCTCTATCCTCTACCTGTCTTGGTACGAGCGTCCTTGCACTACACATGGAAACATTTTGGACGCGTGTCAGGATAATGCCGGTCTAAGTTAAAAAGATGCTATATAATGTAGTGGGTATCACAGTGCAACGATACGTCTATCGTCAAGAAATCGAAAGCAGTTCTGTCCGCCTGTAACAACAAAGGAAAACAATTATCTAGGCCGTGTCAACCGTATTCTGTACACTAACACGGACATGTCCACAGAAATGCCTCTGCCCATTTTAAAGCGGCGTCGAGCCTAGTAGCGACCCCAGACCTTTGTATTGACACCCATAGTGTTTGTCGGCTTACGCAATGGCGCCTCATCACTGTCTGAAGTATGTCTTCGAGAATCAAAGTTCTCGCCTTGGCCATCCGTCTTTTCAGATCGCTCTGAAGGTGCGCTTTCGACTTCGACTGTAATCTCGTTGTGTCTGTGAACCACGAAACCATCCTCGATATGATGGTCATCATGCATCGTTTCCTCTTCTTCGATGATGCCGAAGTGATTTTGCATGGCCTCTGGGGATGAAGGTCTGACGTTGCCGAGCTCGACATCCTCAGGTGATGCAGGTGCTTTCTGTACGGAACCTCTCTTGCTCTGGCTGGTCGTGGTATTGAACGTGTAGCCTTTGGCATTGATCGTGCCGTTGGAGCTTTCTGGGTTGTTGAAGCGTACTGGTCCCATGTCTTGGGTTCGAGCGACATGAGCGATAAGCTCAGCCATAGACATCTCGATCTTGAGTTTCACGATGCTAATACACAGGTCAGTACTGGCTTCTTGAAAGCATTCTTGGCTAGGCTCGACGTACTATGCTAGAGGATGGAACTATCTAACTATTAGCTGGAGGCAACAAGAATTATTGCAAGTTTACTCACCATCAGATATACCAGAGGGTTCTTCAATGAAAGCATACCTAGATGCGGGTCAGCGACGTTGATCTGGACTGGTCTGACGATCAAATACTAACCAATGATCAAGCAGTCCATGGCCAAAGAGAGCATAATCATCCAAAGGTTGAAGCGAACAAGCGGCTGGTACTTTGTGAGACCAGGCTTGATTAATTGCTGGCGAACCACTCGTATAAAATAGCCATTTAAAAGAGCATCAACAATCAAGATGATGACCTTTTCGATTCGGTCCCATACAACGTTAAGCTTCTCGTACGTGTCGTTGACCTCCAATTTGGCAGGAATCCAGATGCAGAACACACTGATATTGACAAGTAGAATTCCAACAAAAGTACCAATTTTGAGTTGGGAGGCTCGTCTCCGATTGACCATCAAGATCGAGACTCGGTTGATGATAATCTGGAAGAGACAATGCACTTGAATGACCCAGAGTGATAGAATGGAGAACAAACTATAGACGCTGTTTTGGGTCAGTCGTGGTACTTTTGACCGATAATGGAGTGACTTACTTGAGAGTGAGAGGTCCTTGCAGAACCAGCCAACAAACGATACTCAGTGCGAGACTGGACACCAATTCGGCCCAGACCATCCAGATGTATGGATGATTCAGATGACCATTCCTCCTTTTCCACATATGTCTCGTCTGCTTCATGGCAGTCCATGTCGTCAAGAATCCAAATCCGAGTGTGAATCCCCAAGTGATGGATATAATCGAGAGATCGGTCTCGCTAGATATCTCATTTCTCTTCTCGATAATAGACCTGATGGCAAGGAGAGATGCCATGGCAGGCGATGTTCGCGTTGTGAATATGGGGTGCGTAGGGAACGTATGTGGTCAGCCAGCAATGGCAGAGCGATCCGAGAAAACGGGTCCCTCTAGATTTATCAAGTAGTCCAACATGTCTTGTCAGGTTCTTCGTCTGGGGCAATAGCTAATGAGAGGCAAGATGATCGCTGTGAAGAACGTGCTCGACGAGTTCGAGCATTGACTCGTGAACCCTACCTTACGACTCGCTTGTTGGTTGGACCCTACGTACGTGCAAGTGATTTGCATTAACGCCGAAGGTCGAGAACGATTTAAGGTATTGCAGCCTCGTGTGCTCGGGTATTAGAACCTTTGGAGAATACTATACTCCCACTTCCCAGAGTAGCACACCTGTAGAGACCGTGATACACAGTAATTCCTCGAGTACATCTCTAACTCTAGATGATTGCATGGGACTAGAGATGCCAACATGCGGAGCTTCAAGTAGCGACCTCCTTGGAACCTTGGAGGCGGAGTTTCAGAAGTCCTGCTGTGCAACAATAGAGGAAAGTCTTGCGTGAGCTTCAGCACCAGCGATCGAGTCTGAGTCCGGCTTTTATGACTCGCGTGTACTACTCGGCATATTCGTTGACGCTGGTTGAAACGCTGTGCGGGTGGTTCAACGGCTGGTAAGGTTGTGAAGGATGCAAGAAGGAAAGAAGATCTTCCCCAGTGCGATCGTCCGGCCAGCTCTTACGGCCCCAAGCAGATCTTGCGTTGTGGCTGGTACGCACGTGCGTCACAGATCTGTGCTTTCCGCAGCCTCAGCTTGCTCGTTGCTCTCTTCCAGATTCCATGCACCACTTAGAGTTACTTCTACAAAGACTATTCTCCGCTTGTTCTCGTCTTTAGAAACGCCCATCGATGTTATGGCCGGATTGAAAGGGTTCTTCTGACAGGTGCTGAAAACTCTTCGAAGTCAAAGATGACTCGCTGTGCCATTTTGCCCTTCTCGTTGTACTGAATCAGAGCTCACGCCAAGTGATCCCCAGTACCGCCGCCACGGTCGTGGGCGGCGGATGAGGTGCGGAAACAGATCTCAACCGTCCAAGCGGCCATCCAGGATTTGATTGCACGCGTGCACCCCACAGCATGGTCAAGGATGAAGCATTTACCTCTAATGGAAGCTGTTCTCAGATTGGCGATCACCAAAACAGCTCTCGTGGTCTTGAGGATCGCCAAATATGGACGATGCTCGTGGCTCGTTGGCAGCTGAAACACTGCACTTTCTTGACTTGACCATCACTAGACCTAGCGGACACATAGAAAACACCTGCCCTCGCCTACTACGTCCTCTGAGTGCTCCCGATTCCTCTATCACAGCTCGGACCGACTTGGCGGGCTTGGGAGGCTAGTGATTACGAACACTGTTTAATATCGTGGCGCACGTCGACTTGGAAAGATAGCAGCTCAACTTCCATGAACGACCAGTTACATATGTAAAATGCTTCGGTGTTCGAAGGTATCTGCAGGCTACTGATGATTTGAGGAAGGGTCCATACATACTTGGTCACCTAATTTGACTCCCGAAGCCACTCGGAGCAAAAACCGCGGCGTTGAGAGCGGGCTGCAATCTTCTGTGCATGACAAGCACCAATTTCCTCATCCGCTCGATATCATTACTCTCACCTTATCTGAGCGATGACAAGCTGCATAGAGTCACACCCAGAACAGAGACCAAGAGAGCCTCACCACGCAGTCGACATGACGAAATTCTTGCCTGAGCTTTTCCTGCAATCTAGCCTCAACACGGCCTTACCTGTGACAGAAGTAGGTACACAGGATGAGAATGACGCTCAACAGCATCTTCGTAGAGCACATGGTCGCGACTCAGGAATGATTGTGCCATACTCGCTTCCGACCCCCTAAACAAGTCAACAGACGACATAATATTTGACGTACATCTTACTCATCCGTCCGAATCTCTCGAGCTCACCGACTCAGATCGACGAATTTTTGCAAGTCATACCAGCATACTAGCTCGTGTCTACAAGCACAATCCATGGCGCAACCGGGTTGTCCAATCTTGGAGTGATCCTCCGGGACAAGATCTTAGCCTGGTCTTCGGTCTGGATCCGAACAAGGTCCACGATCACGACCACTTTTGGAAGGCAATCGAGCACTCGACCCTGACTGATCTGTCGGGTTCTAGGAATGTACGGCGCGAATCGATTTCCGGGCCGACTGGGAACGTGCGGCTACCTTCATTGAATGACACAACCAAGACAACTCCTGACCATTTTCTGGTATGTCAGACTCCGCGATAGGGGCAACAGAAGTGATCTTGAGCCAACACAAATCATCGAAGAGAAATACGGTCGGTTAGAAAGCACAAAGCAGTACCAACTCGGCCGATCGCAACAATGGCTCATCGTTCAACGGGCGACAGACCTGTGTATGTCGTCTGTATTGCCGAAACGTACAAAGGCGATAGATGTGTGCATAGGTAAAGGGGACCGCCAGATGGTGGGCATGTCTCGACCTGCTTATTCGCTCGACACCTTTGCTTGCTTGCCTGCTTCCTGTGTATGCCATCCCGGATGATCCCACTTTGCGACATTGTTGGATTCTAGAAGAGACTCAATGGAGTGCTAGTCGAAGAAGCCTTTGTGCCTATTAGTTAGAAGCCTCTACAAGGGTAGCAATAGCAAACAGGGTCTTTGAGACGGTCTCAGTCATTGTAGTAGAATAGATATATAGATCCAACTCTTCCTTCTATATGCAACTCAAGTCTTGCACTCATCAGTTTCAACAGACACATGTTCGGCTGCTACGTACCACTAAATGCAAACCTCTGTGACTCGGCCGATGGTCCGTTGCCGTCCACACTGTGCGTAGTAACTCGATCACTCCAGCATCGTATGCCAGCCAATGTTCAGGGTCGAGGTCGAGAAGTCTGACTTGCCTCACATCTTTTCTTGCAAGATTGGTGGCGTCCGGTCGGTCCCACTCGACGAGATGATCTTTGCTGTAGCCACCGCAAATGCGACTCCTACTCTCCTTGTCTCGATCTTTGCCTTCCTCCCCATCTCAGCCAGCTGCTCGTCTGACTTCACGCCGATACTCACATCCGACACCATCTGACAGACCAGCACACCGTTCACTCTTGGATCGTCGTTGTCGACATCGATGAATATGCTTTTGTGCAAAGGTCTGCATGAAGGACAAGGGCCCTTTCCTTTATGCCTCTTTTCTCCTCTTTCATCGGCCGCCACATTGACTAGGAATTGGGCTCTGAGCTTGTTCTTAGCTCCGATGAAGTGGGGGCTATCGAGGCCATACAGCTCGACATCACTGTGTCCGAAAGGTACATCATGGTATGAATCGTCCAACATGCCGGTCACAGCTAACGCGTGAGCCCATCCTGTTGAGTAGACCGCAAAGCGTGGTGCGTTGTTCTTCCACGAGCCGCTCTCGTCCTTGTGATGCTCTTTGTAGTTCTCGTCGATGTATGGGTCGTTCTGAGGAACGAGAACATCGCGCTTGTAGCAAATATCTCCAAAGAGCTCGTCACCCATTATGAGACTAGTGACCTCCAAGGAAACATCGGCGACTACCAGATGGGTTGAGCCTATCTGCCATGTTTTGTTAATGGAGTCAATGTGAACGAGCAGTACATTCTGCTCGTCACGCTCGAACACGATGATACCATACGGATAAATGGCTACATCTCTTTCAGGTGCTGGATGTTCTAGAAGCCACTTGTCCAGGCGGTCAAAGTGATCATCGATACAGTCTTGCACGCAGGCAAATGGCGATGGTATGGGAGTGAGGAATTGCTGATATTCTTCCACCTGGTCGTCCCCAAAATAGTCGCGAACGTATGACGCTGTCAGAGAACTGCAGACAGAAACAAGAGATGTGCTAGACAATTCGGAAGAAGATAAGAAGTACACGTCTATCCGAGAATCATCGCTTGCCCTGCCGGTATAGGCGTGCGCGAGTGTGCCTATGGCGGATGGGGGTACTTGCAACGGAGCCGAGATCATGATTGTTGAACCTGGAGGGACAATGTAGCAAAGTATGATTCCGTCATGAGACTCATGACTGTCCAGGCAGGGGGGCCTAATCGCACGTCATAGAATATACCGATGCTGCTGGCTTAGTCGCGATGGACGCGCGAAGGATCTGGTAGCGGCCAACGCGACTGACACGCTATATCCGGTCTTTCCGGAAATAAAGTTTGTCATTTGTGCACAACCTATCCCACCTGATCTGTACAGCGCGGCCTTGGGGGGCGCTCAGAGGTCACAGTGATCTTCCGCTTTGAATGTATTCCCTGGGGATTAAATCGAACATCGATGGGATAATACATCTCGGTGGGTGTGGCTATACTGGAAGAGACTGTGCCGTACTCCGGCTACGCGTGACAAACTTCTGCATGGGTGGAGCAAGCTGCATCTATAGAGCAGGGTTATCTCCTAAACATGATTTTCGAAGCATGAATGTTCTGTTTCTGGCCACCACAAGCTCTATTTTGACGGAAAAGAATGTCTGTGGCCTCAATCGACGCCTAGATCTGTAGATGTGGTGATTGAGGTGCAGATATGATGAGAACACATCTATACGTCGAATCTTTGTCAAATCATAATCCGACTCCAAGCTTCCCAATCTCAGACGTGTGATGTAGGCTAAACAACGTGGAGAATAACGATAGCCAAGTTCATAAGCACACAATCATCGATCAACTCGCTCGATTGATTTGTTTCATTTCACTTCGTAATACATGCTAGAAGGATTCCGTTCGGTCTTGGTGCTCAAGGCTTGTAGCCATGCTTCCATCAAGCCGACGATACCCCTAGTCGAAGAGGAGATACCACAAGACAGACGCCAGCGATGTCCAATGCCCAATTCTTACAGTCTATCGTCTCTTACCTCTACTTGGTCATCCCTTCATCACTACCCTCGGAGGAAGTAGTAGTTCCAGCTTCACTGGGAGCCGACTCCATGGAAATGGTCTTCTCCAGAGCGGCATAGTCATCTGCCGAAGGACCATGGACATTCTGCTTGAACATAGGAACGGCCTCAGTGACCTCGAACTTGGATGTCATAGCATCGAGAAGTTGAGCGGATGCATTGCTGCGGCGGCGAGGCTTGCTAGGGCGGTAGACATCGTCCATATCCTCGAGCTCTTCTCCATGACGACCCCTTCGAGACATGAGCGATGACTAAAGTATTGATAAGACCGGATACATACCAATTGCCTTTACCATTGCCGGACTTCTTGACTCTGTTGGGATCGTTGTTGGCATTGAATCCGGATTTGGCGAAGTAGCGAGGGAGATGCTCCTGAGGGGAAGCGGTGCCGTTGGCAAGGCCAACGTGGTCACGGTCGTTGATTTTGTGAGAGCGAGTCACTGTAGTAAGTAGTCGTTAGTCTGAAAAGGTCGCGTGCTACTCAAGTCTCGCAATGAGTAAAGCATGGGGCATGCGCCGGGTAGCTTCGCTGGCAGGAATAGGGAAACGTACTGATGATGCACGCGGATGCTGAATAAGCTTGAAGGTGTGTTGTAGAGAATTGAATAGTCCTTGAGGTAGCAAAGGCTTTTGTGTGGTACAATTAGCAAAGCAGGTGGAAGAAGAAGAAGAGAAGCTGAGGTTGGATGCAAGCAAAGCTTAATATAAAGGGACCATGAGAGCTCGACAGTTACGTTGCTCGCGTGACAACACTCCTCGGAAGCCGTGAAGCTTGTCAATATGAAGTGTCAATTACTGCCGACCACTGCCTTTTGAGCCACACCCAGTGTCGCATCCCATTTTAGAAAGCCCCCCCCCCAAGGCCAATGCCACTCTCGTCTCTATGGCTACTGCATGTTTCTAGGTCCTTCTCTTCTGACGAAGACGAGGAAATAAGCCGATGCTTACACCATCGAGCGACTGGATGGTGAGCGATGCAGATCGATTGCGGGGCTGAAGGAGCTATGGCCGAATACCTCAAAGATGTCACAGAGAATCTGTACATCCATTCCTCCAATTCGATAGGACTGGACAGAAGCATGTGTTGATGATACAGACTCTTGGCTCGCTATAATTTGTTCGGGAAGCAATTGGGCAATTGAAGTGGACTCCTAAAATGACAATCGTCTCCATGTCACTGTCTCGTGTCGTCTCCCACATCGTCACCAGACCTGGACGTTTCGAAGTTAATGCCATACCAGATCCGTAAATTTGCGGGGTAACTAGCGTGTCGTATTGGCTTTCAGCATTTATCTGTGTGCTGCATTTTATGCCGCCTATACATTTTGTGCAGAGACGAATTGGTACTCGAAAGTCGGAGTTAAGTGAAAGTGTCCAAGGCGTTGCGCCGGCCAAAGCTCGCAGCTCTACCCGACCATCATCATCAAAACAAGAATTATTAAATCCTTGTCCACCTAATCACCATCCACTCATTCACAACCTGTCGCCATGTCCATGACAACGACGACAGATGGCGGCGACAGCATGCGTCGGAGCGCGGCGCGCAATCCAAAGCGACGACCTAGAAAGACAGAAGGCTCAAACAGCCCCAGCGGACCACAGCGCAAGATGCGCAAACTGACCAACACGACGGCCGATGCCCCTCTGCCCGTCGACACGACAGAATCTCTTCGCAGCGGACTCAATGCACTTGCTGTGCAGTCTTCGGCCTCGTTCTCGCGCACGGGAGATGCAGCCACGCGTCACAAGAGACCGCCGAAGAGCGACAACAGCACCCTATGGGTATTGTCCCCAACTGCTCCGTCTCGCAAGCCACCGCTGACCAGACGATGCTTAGGCGCAAACAGATCAGTACAGTGTGCGCCATCTTCCCAGTACACCCGACATTCTGCGCAACAGCGCCAGCGGTACAAACACGTCCTCCAAACACCCGTCCGTCTTCCTGTCTGACCACAGTTCAGACTACCGTGCATCCATCCTCACCTCACCGCCTCTCGCTCTAGCCGTCACACGAGAACGTGCCTACATCTGGGACTACACTTCTCCCGCTCCCGTCGCTCATCCAAAGACATTCGATGTGCCACGCGCAGCACGCTCTACCGATCCTCTCCCCCTCGCCGCCCTCGTCACGTCGCCCACAAGAGACATTGGTCTAGTGGTAATCTCCGCCTTCACTGGAAATGTAACCTACTGGCAGAACATCGACACAGCCGAGTCCTTGACTCTATTCAACCAACAAAACACTGCCGTCAATGGAAACATTGGCTCTCTGTCTGGCGGAGAGACGGTCATTCACCTCGACTCAGCCGATCATGCCGGTTTCATCGTTACACTGAGCTCTGGCCGAATTGCTCAAATGAGCCTGCTTGACGACCAAGGCAGACCAAAGATTTCGGCGCACTTCCTGCGCTCGACCGAAGCAGCCAGTAGTGGTGGTCTGTTTGGCAGCCTCAAGAATGCCCTTGGGGTCGGTCCCTGGAAACGCGATGTCATCTCGGTGCGCACTCGTCCACTTCCTGCTAGACGCGAGATTCAGGCAATCGCTGCGACCGAGTCTGGCCAGGTCTACACCTGGCATCTGGCATGGTCTGGCCAACCCACTTTCAGAGGCGCCTTCAATTTCCGTCAATTTCTCCAGAACGAACTGGCCGCATCGTTGGGTGAGGAGAACATCAGCCTCCTGGACATGGTCATCACCCCTGCATCATCGGTTGTTGAGGCTCCGCTGCAGCTAATCCTGCTCGTCCAAGCTGGCCCTGCGTCGTCTCCATCGTACGCTATGGTCCATGTCACAATGGAAGGACAGGACAGCGCTCGTCTTGACGGCATAATTCGTGTCAACGCCGTCTCACCCGATTCACCTGCAACTGTACGTCCACGACTGCTCTTACCTCAGCCCGGACACACCGCTTTCATCATATTTGAGCGTGAGGTTATCGTCGCATCAATCACAAGCACAAGTTCCTTCCAGGATGCTATTCGCCTGCGATCGGACAAACATGTCGTCATCGAAGGAGGTTGCGAGGAGGACTTGATTGATGCGAAGGGGACTTCTTCATGCACCATCTTCATCAAGGGGCATGGCCTTGCTCGTATCTCTGCGACACAGACTACTGCTTCTCATCCATCAATAAAGACGAAAATCGAGCAGGCCATTTTCTACGGAACCATATCCGACAACATTCTCGACTTCTCTCGCAAGTCCCATGATCGCTATGACCTTGAAGAGACCGAAAGAGCTGCTTTACTCATTAGTAATGAGATTCTGTGCTCCACATCTCAATTCATACCGCCCCTTACCTCGTCCATGGAGGCACATCTGCAGAACCGTATCAAGGCTATTCGTGCTTTGATACTTCACATTCGAAGCGAATACCCTCCTGTATCCAAGGCGACATCGTGGAAGCTTCTGCTTGATGCTGAGAGATTGGCTGCTGCTCAAGCAATGTGGACCGTGTGTGAGGAGCGTTCTGCCAAATCAAGTTTGCTGCCGATTGTCGTTCAAGCCTACTACAGGAGTCGGTCTAAGCACCTGTCGATTGACATGGACGCTGACTTGCTGAGATCTTGGTTTGTCAATGACGTTGCTAGCATCGACAGGCTGCGGACCCTGGTCTTGGTCTCAATAGTCAATCTACACGAGAACGGCAAGACCAAGAACATGATGCATCTAGTCAGCGAAGCGGATGATATTCTGTTCAGCCTGTATGACGCTGTTTTCCAATTTCGCACCGACAACGCCGAGGTCTATGGCTTAGACTTGACGTTGTTCAGTGACGGTGTGCTTGAAGAGGGCTATGAAGACCTCGCAGAACCCTGGACGTCGCAGTATGAAGTTCTCAATGCGCTGAACAGTTTCATTGATATCTCACGCGCACTTGCAGTCAACTCCTTTGGTGAAACCTCGGGCGATCCGGAAATTTCTACTGTTGAGAAGGTCGTCGGCGAGAATGTTCATATGGTTAACATTCTCTGTCTCTGTTACCGGGAACGCATCGGCTACACAAAGGTGCATGAACAGCCTGGTTACGCCGCAAACCTTGAGAAGATTTTCGAGAAATCACGATCACATCATTTGCGCTCTCTTAACAAGATAGGCGAATCTGCCGCTGGCATCAGTATTGCCGAGAGGTACAGAGACATGCAAACACTGGTACAGCTCGTCATCAATGAGTCCCAGTTCATGTCCAACATTCTGAACGACCCTGGCACCGTGTCTCACGATAAGATCGAGACACAAGCCAACATGAACAAGCTGCAAGCCAAAGTCGAGCATTACTTCAAGACATTCGGTGAAGAGTGGGCCAATGCCTTCTTCGACAATCATTTGTATCGTAACTGTAGCTATGGCTTGTTGAAGGAAGCAGAGGACTATAAGGAGCCCCTGACACGCTATCTCAGAGCCGAGAAAGTTCGTGGTCGATTGTCATGGATCAATGACGTGCTCCGGGAAGGCGATTTCCAAGAAGCTTCGACGACCTTGACAAGGTTGGCTGAAGAGCAAGAGGTCAAATTCTGGAACAAGAAAGTCGAGCTGTCGCTTGCGAAGCTGACTTCGATGGCCGCTATGGAAAAAAGCGGTGTCAAAGTATCAAACCATGAACGCCTCGACGGTGACTTGACTGTGGTCAACACGCAAGAAGCCATCAGACATCACTTCCAATACATTCTGTATGCAGCAGTTGACATCGAGGCAGAGCTTCAGCTAGCGTGTGACGAACACGCAATCTATCTCAAGCTCAAAACTCCTGCACTCTATGGTCTACTCGAGGCTTCTCTCGAGCACATGCTGAGAAACGAGGCACTGTCGGTTGAAGAGATTATTGACATCTTGACTCTGATGGACACGCGGGTAGAGAAAGATTTCGAAGCCAACATCATCGGCAAACAGTTCCTCATGGCACTGCAGGTTCTCGAGGCTGGCAAGTTCAAAATGTCAGAAGGCAGATTCGAGACCAATCTTCGCATGATCTGGAAGAGATGCTACTTGCAAGACGATTGGGCGTTCATCAACAACACGAGGAGGCGAACAGACAAGCTGATTTCGAAGCACATCAGAAACACCCTTGCATGTCAGACAATGATGCGTGGTCTGGAACTTTGTAAGTGTGACAAAACAGAGTAGAGACATGGACTTGGCTAACGTTGAACAGCACTTTTCCACCCAGGCTCAGGCATCCGCATGATGGGACCTAGCGAGACACTCGGGGCAGGATGCACGGCGGAAGAGCTACAAAGCAGATTCCCGCAGGAGGAGCTCCGTGACCCGATCATGCACGACAACGTGGTGCAGGACAGAGGACTGCAAGAAATGATCGAGAAGTCGAATCTGGATCGTTGGCACGCAGTGTGTCTCGAAGAAGCCAAGAAGAAGCTGGAAGAGGAAGCGGCGGCAAACGTGCAGGAGGCAGCAGCAGCGCAACAACTGAAACAGACGTTGTCGGAAGCGGAAAACGACGGTGCGGAGAGTCAGAAGGACACGGACGCAGTCATGGTGAACGACAACGAGGCAGTCGAGTCATCACAGCAGAGAAGTGATGACGACGATGTACAGATGGTTTAGGGAAGAGTCTACTTAAATGATAGGGCATGGCCCGACTTGCTGAAAGTGCAAGAGAAATTCAGAAGACGATTCTAGCAGCACAAGCGAAATTTGAGACGGATTGTTTCGAGGGTTCGTGCGGCGACAAAATAGATTGAGTGCGTCTGCTCGCCGGTGCCGGGTGGTTGCGACGAGTGATTTGGGCGCTGAAGGGTATTGTGGACAAGTTGGTCGCAGCAGGACAAGTATAAGTTCTGGACTCGTCTCTTGTTCGAGATGTCAAGCAAGGGAGAGCAGATTGTGGTGGTGAGAGGTTGTGCCTTTGTGGGTCTGGGCGGGTGATTAGCGCGCGAGTGCTGCGAAGTCTATCAGGGGCGGCGGGCTCAGCCGAGTGGGCGGACTGCAAAGCCAAGGCCCGTCAACAACACCTGCCTCTCTAATGTGCTGGAGGCCTATTGTCCACTATTATCCATCTACACCGCATTCCCTCGCTCTGCCCGCCTGCGCGCGCAACTAAGCTCCCGGTGCGCTCTCCGTCTATTGTTGTCGCTGTCGTCGTCGTTACCGTCGCCCTTCTGCCGTGTCCGCCGCGTCCTGCCAACCGTTCCCGCCGTCGTTGAAGGCTGTTGTCTCCCCCGTGCCCGCCGAAACACCCAACCTCCCTCATTCTCAATCTCAATCCACCGACCCCTGCCAACGACCAAGCTCTCCGTTTCCCCCCAAGGTCCCTACAGCGCCCGTAGACGGACCCGTGCAATTCTTCGTCCACTGTCCACCGCCCGTCCACCCTTGCACTAGGACCAGCACGACCAGCTGTGCCGTTTGACACGCCCGACACGCTTCCGACCAGGCCCACAACATGTCGTCCTCATCATCCAACGTCGTCGGCGTGCATTACCGCGTCGGCAAGAAGATCGGCGAGGGTTCTTTCGGTGTCATCTTCGAGGGCACCAACCTGTTGAACAACACCCAGGTCGCCATTAAATTCGTGCGTCAAGACACGACCATTTCTCTACTGCAACACCTCTAACTTTGTGCAGGAACCGCGTAAGAGCGACGCTCCTCAGCTCCGTGACGAGTACCGCACATACAAAATCCTCGTGGGATGCCGTAAGTCCTATTCCGCCGTCGTTCGGTCATCGATCGTGTCTGACCCGTGTCGCAGCTGGTATTCCCAATGTCTATTACTTTGGCCAAGAAGGCCTTCACAACATCCTCGTCATTGATCTGCTGGGCCCATCTCTCGAAGATCTGTTCGATCACTGCAACCGTCGCTTCTCCACCAAGACGGTCGTCATGGTCGCCAAGCAGATGCTGTCACGCGTACAGACGATCCACGAGAAGAACTTGATCTACCGTGACATCAAGCCCGACAACTTCCTCATCGGCCGTCCTGGTACCAAGGCCGCCAACGTCATCCACGTCGTCGACTTCGGCATGGCCAAGCAATACCGTGACCCAAAGACGAAGCAGCACATTCCCTACCGCGAGCGCAAGTCGCTCAGTGGCACAGCCCGTTACATGTCCATCAACACACATCTGGGTCGTGAACAGAGTCGCAGAGATGATCTCGAGGCTCTGGGTCATGTCTTCATGTACTTCCTCCGCGGCGGTCTGCCCTGGCAGGGCCTGAAGGCCGCAACCAACAAGCAAAAATACGAGAAGATCGGCGAGAAGAAGCAGACTACTGCCATCAAGGATCTGTGTGAGGGTTTCCCTGGTAAGAGTGACAAAGTCTCCATTGACGGCCCGTTGCTAACGCGTTTCGCAGAGGAGTTCAACAAGTACCTGTCATACGTCCGCAACCTCGGCTTCGAGGACACACCCGACTACGACTACCTGCGCGATCTCTTCACCCAGGCACTGAAGAACAGTGGCGAGGTTGAGGACGGCGAGTACGACTGGATGAAGCTGAACAACGGCAAGGGATGGGAGGCCATGAAGCAACACCCCAGCCAGGCCCACCTCCACGCCCACCACAACAACGTCGCAAACACTTCTGCCCGTGACGTTCACGCCAATCGTGCTAGTAAGACTCCCATCCCGCCGGGCCGTCTCGAGCAGGAGCTTCCCAAGCCTGGTGCCGCCAGATCTCCCGCCCAAGCACAGCGCCAATCAGGCATCAACCGCCACTATAGCCAGGACTACGCCCAGAAGAGAACAAGTCAAGGTGGTGACCTTGCTCCTCCAGAGGGTTCCACCGCTGCTCAATTTGCAAACAGCTCTGGCAATCTTCCTGGCCGTTTGCAAAACACCCAGCCCAGCAGGCAGAGCACCACCCAACCTTCTGCTCAGGCACAACGTGTGCAACCGCAACAGCAGCAGCCCGAGCAGAAGCCTTCGGGCATGCAAAAGTTTTTCAAGGTCTTGTGCTGTGGCTAGATCGACCATCTCCCTCTTACGCTTCAATGCGATACCTTCCCCCCCCCCCCCCCCCCTCCCTGTCATCTATCGCTCTCCTCCTTCTCGGCTTCTCTTCTGCATCTTTCGCCTCTTTACTCTCTCCGCCGCATCTACGAACTTCACGCAGCGCTACGGGGTTTCAAGAGAAGAGAAAGGAACATCACAAGGATCATTCGCATTCCTCTTGTCCGATTGCTTTGCTCGGGTTGTAGAGGTCACGGAAACAACCCTCCCCTTGTATCTCTTTTTTTTACTGTTATACATTCCATACATAATACTTACACTGACCCGGGATCCTTGTTTTTGAGCAACAAAAAATGGAGTTGTCTTTTGGAGGGGCGTAGTCGTCCTTGTTCTCGATGCTCTTATTTTATCAAAAAGGGAAAACAACTTGCATCGTTTCCGCATCCTTCTTGCTTCCTTGTTTGCATCCAACGCTCACCGCTTTTGCAACACTGACCACCCACAACCCCGAGACCGAGCTTTTCTTCTGTCCTTGCAAGGATCAGGAGTGAACATGGTCACATCCAGGAGAACAAACAAGGGAACCACCAAGAATCGGCGACGAAAGAGTTTCCATCCCGGAGAAGTGTCAAGGGCATACATGAGAAGGGAGATGAAGAAGACGTGACATGGGAGAAATTTCCTTGGGGTCTGTTGTGTTTGTTCTCTCCTTGGTCGAATTGGCTTAGCATTGTTTTTTCCTTTTCTCTTTTGTCCTCCCTTATCTAGCTAGCTCCCTATTTTTTTTTCGTCTTTTTTTTGGTTCTATTTCTGCAAGCAGGCGTTGGTGTAATGAAAGGGTAGCGGCTTCGTTTGTACTTGTTTTTGTTTGCATCTTTTCCGTGTCCCATTTGTATCGTAGTTCTGTTCTTCCTTTTGAAGCATGTCTCTTGTGTAAGATGTTTTGGTGCCAATTCTCCTCTTTCAATCAACTGAGATACGTGGTGTATTTCGTCTTGTAGTTCTTCAAGTGTGTACAAACTCGCCGCTCTGAAGCCTGTGTCCTTGTCGTGTGTCGACTGCAAAGGATTTGTTGAATACTTCTACGTCGATGATGGATCAGTCAGTGTTTACCTGTTCACCTATTGCTACTGCACAATCACTCTGTTTTCAACTCTCCATATCTACCATCTCTCCTCTTGTCTACCATCTTCGTCAATCGCATCGCGGAAGGTGCGGTGCGTCTCTTTGCTCTTTCCTTGGTAATGTTTGCCATCATCTCGGCCACTATTCCCATGGCATTCAGGCTGATGATTACGCTCAGAAAGACACCAATTGATGTTATTAAATGCTTTTGTCATTGAAGCTCATGTTCGCCATATATCGATACATATGCTTTGCTCGACAGTATCGAGTCTCGATCTTTCTCATTGACACTACTGTCCCGTCCCCTTCATGAAACAATATGATGCATCTCAATCCATGTTCGCCAGAAACGCCTCGCCATGTCATCGATCCCTTCCTTACCACAAAGCTCCATCATTGTCGAAGCGAACAAGCTCCTTGCCAGAATCCTCAACATCCTTCTTGGCCTTCATACGCATGTAGAAGATCGGGCAATCTCTACTCGAGCAAATGACTTCATTGTGCATACTGCCCTGGCATCTTTGACATTGGGTCCAGAGACGGGCAAAGCGGACTTCGAGTTCGGCGACCTTGCTCAACGTCTTCTGGTACAGTTCACCAAGGCGGTCACGGTCGTTTTCGCAGACGGCACCGCCTTTTTCGTCTTTGCCGGTCAGAGGCTTCTTGCAACCCATACACGTCTCGGTCTTCTTGGCGAATTTCATCAGACCACCCATGGTTGGAGCGGCGACACTGATGGATCGAGTATGCTCGCCAGTAAGAAGCTGACCTGCCTTCTTCTCGCCCAAGATAGGCTCGAAAATACGACCAAGAGGCTTGGCAAGCTGGTTGTCGAGGTAGTATCTTGTGTCGATGGGCAGGTTGTTCTCGAGCACAAAGATGGGGTCTTCGGACTTCTCATAGTTCTTTGCGCCCGCTGCACCCTTGACCATGACATATGCGACACGATCACCGAGTGCAGGTGCCGAACCAGCGTCACGCTTCTTCATACGCTCGGCGAGCTCCACGTGAGCCTGTTTTGCAGCGTAGTCATTCTTGGTCAATGCCTTGGTAATCACCAAGTTGGACATATCTACTTTGTTCTGCAACAGCTCGGCAATAGTCTCTTTGACGAAACTATAACATGTTAGTGACAATTGCGGCAGTAATGGCTAAAGTTGAACTTACTCTTGTGCACCCTGAACATCACGATCGATCAACAGCATGCGCAAGCTTGTCTCGATGACCGTCTGTACGAGTCGGCAATTGTCTCTTCGAACAGTCTCGATACCTTTGCTGTCCATCTTGTCCCATTTGTTTGGGTTTGTCCAGTACAGTCCAGCGTAACGTTTCTTGTTGATCAGCAGGTATGGGAAGTAGACCTTCTCGAATTCTAGCTTAATGGGCTTGATGAATTTGGAAGAGACGTAGTTGGCTGCTTCTTCTCCCAACTCCATGGCCTTTGCAAGATCATTGGGACCAAACTTGACCATGACCGAATCAGTGTCACCGTAGATGACCTCTGCGTCGTGGGTGTATCCGTTGGCAATAGTGTAGCGCTTCTGGACCTCGTCTCTGGTCTTTTCGATCATTTGACGACCATAGGATGTGGTACTTGAGGCGATGGCAAGACAAGGAAGTTTACCGACTGTTGCACCCGTGATACCGTAGACACTGTTCGCACTGATTTTCAGAGCCAGTTGTCTACCGTTCAGGACGGCCTTTTTGAAAGGGTCTGTTTCAACAGCCAGTTCCTTTCTGGCTCGCTTTCTGGCACCCAAGAGTTCTTCGAGAATCTGCGTAAGAAGACCTTTACGAATCTTCGCCGTACAGAAGAGATCGCCGTTTGGCGTGACGATGTAATCTTCGTCTTTCACAAAGCCCAGCTTATCAACGGCGTTCTTGTTGAGCAGAGTTGTGTAGCACAAGTTGTGAGCCTGCATGATACTTGGATACAGAGAAGCGAAATCCAATGTAGCAATTGGCACATCGTAGTAACCCCTGGTAGGCTCAATGACTGTGGCACCTTCGTACTGCTCATCTGTTCCTTCACTGCGAAGGTTGGGAATGACAAGCTGTTGTTCCAGAGCCTTTCTGAAGAGTTGACTGATGAACTTGACTTGCTGACCACGAGAGAGGAGATAATTGAAGGGCACACCTGTGACTCTGGCCATCTCAGTGTAATTGACAAGACACAGAAGTCTGTCCATAAGGCGCTGTGGAAGGTAGGCATCTTTCAAACAATAGACTGCTAATCGACGCCGTGACTCTGGCGTTCCGTTGAAAAGCTCGGTGATCATGGTGTGGTGGACATCTTCTTTCTGCTCGTTCAGGAAGTGGGCACATACTGAATTGAGAGTGTAACTTCGAAGTTGGTGATCTCTCTGGATCAGCTGGAGAAGATCGAGCTGCAGACGTCCGTTGGTGTTGGTTGCCTTTGTGTCTCTGTTTCCCATCTGTTTGCTCGAAAAGTTCGTGTCTTTGGCGACAGACTGCACGTTGCGCAGTCTTGACCAGAACGGGAACTTTCCGACCTTGAGATGTTTCGCTCTGTCTAGTAGGTAAGGGAAGTCGAAGTTTGAGATGTTGTAGCCAATGATAACATCGGGGTCAACTTTCTCCAGGAAGTCTCGCCAGGCCATCAACATCTTGTCCTCATCTGCGAACTCAAAGATTTGCGTGTTGACGATCAGACTGCATGTGTCCAAGCAGAAAACGTTGCGCACGAATGGCTTCTCTTCACCGTATCTTGTGACGACGTTCGCGATCTGAATGACGGGATCCACGTTGGCCTCCGGGAAGATGCCTTTGCGGCCAGCGCACTCGATATCAAACGAAAGAGTTCGCAGAGGCGCCATCTTGGCCCATTCTCCTTCGGCAGGGTGGGCGATGAGGTCTCTGTAATGGCAATAGGCCTCGATCTGGCAGTTGGAATGCCTGTCGCGAGCGGGGATCATGGTGTACTTTGACGCGGGAGTTTCGACCCAGGACATTCCTGATACCTGTTTGTGTCAGCGACGATGAGGCGAGGCTGACGTGGTTTACGCATACCTTTGTGTCGATCATGAAACGGAGCACATATTGGATGCTGTCAAAGGTGAGAACACCGCCATCTGCACCTTTCCAGAAGCCCTTGAAGTTGGCACTACCACTCTCTATTGACGTTCTCAGCTTGTTGATGTGTTTGGGATCGGTGACGGTAATCTTGAGATAGGGGCTCTTCTGATTGCCCTGGAAGCCGTACAGGTTCTCGCGAAGGACCATCTGTACCGAGTAGATGACGGGCTGGTGCTGAGCGAGGTGGGTTTCGAGATATGCTTTGAAGGCCTCGCAGTCGCTCTGTTGGAACGACGGAGGTGCTGCTACGTAGAGGTAGTGCATGAAATCGGTGACGTGTAGCAGGACAGAATGGCCGGTCTGGTTGTGGAATTTGGTTAGCATGCACCAACACATGGTCTCTGCCACGACGCTATTACCTCTGTAACACCAAACAGCTTGACACAGGTCTTTCCACCATGGAGAGTGCCCTCCTCGACTTCAATCTGCTGGAAGCACAGGTTGTCTCTCGTCTCATCGAAGTCGTCGAGACTCGGACGAGCCCATTGTTGGTCTTTCTCGGCGTTGTGTTGCTTGAGGTCATCAAGATCTTGAGTCAACTTCTCGAGTACTTCCTCCTCGAACTGGCTCTTGACTTGACTAGAGTTGGGCCCACCCGGTGTCTTGAAGTTCTTGGGTCCGCCATTGAGCTTCCTGCGCTTAGAGGCATTGTCTGTCTGGATATTTTGGCGGGAAGACGGTGCATCGACAAGCACGCGCTTGCTCGGCTGTACGTCCTTTACTTTGGCGGCAGGCATCTTGATGATGGAAGTCGTTGTGATGGAAGCAGGCAAATCGGTGGTAGGACGACGCGTGTTTGTCAAGGCCCCGCGTTTCTGCTGGAAGTCGCGTCTCGATTGTCATTTCCGCCCGATTCGGCTGATGCTGACGCTGCACTTCAACCAATCACACCGTCTGCCTCGCTCCACCTCGACCTCAATCGCGACCTCTATCTCTTGGATTACCGGCATGTGTATATCCTCGTGCGCTTCTAATTCATCGGAACATGTCAGGTGCAAGGCTATCACAGCCTATCTACCAGTACGTAACACTGCATGGTGTGTGAGAGCTAGTCAGGACGAGGTTCATTTGCATCAACATCGTCTTGTATGTCAAGAGGAAACCGGCTAGTCTAAGGACAGAAGCGAGGAAAAGGACAAAGGAAATCTATACTTTCAACGGCCAGATAGCCAGCGATCTATGGTCAACGAGTCTACTGCTTATGCGTCCATCTGCTGATACGCGTCCTGGCGCGCCACGAGCTTTTCTCCTTCCGCCATCTCTGCAGAGCGGCGATTCTTCAGCTTCTTGATCGCTCTGAGAAGTCTGCCAGGGTGTACAATGACAAATGCCCACATGAGGCCCGCCATTAATGCTGAGTCAAAGATGTAGAGATACACTTCTGAGTGTGCGATCGCACCATCAGCGCCTTCGACATATTCAGCGACACGAAAGATGTTTCTGACGCTCACCAGAACACTGGTCGCGTACATGACGCGCAAATGTCTGACCCAGTGGATGGTGTGGTGGACCGAGATTGCGGTAGGACGAGCATTCATGCGTCTGTGGAAAACCAGTGCCACGATGATGAAATACGCGAAGATGAAGATCTGGAGGATCAGACCAATGATCGTGACAGTACGGCCATTCTTCTGTGCCGAGGCTGAGATAGAGCACTGCATCCCTATACCGCCTATCTGGACCACAAAGCAGACAATGTCGAAAAACACGAAGACTTTCGACAGCCAACGTGGACGGATGAGAGTATGGTCTCTGTCCGAGTCCAAAGCAACGATAACTCTGCCTAGTGTCATATACATCGTGGCCGCGAGGAATATGGGTGCTGGCGTCAGGAGCAGAGCTTGTAGTACATATGCTTTGAAGTTGTTCTGATCGCTATGGCCCCAGAATCGACCATAAAGGCCACCAACCTCCATAATACCGCCAAGAATCATCGGGATGAAGAAGCATTGTCGTAGCTTGGGAAGATAGAAGATGTGGGCAATAGTCGCTACTCCAAAGATCCCCATGAAGGCGCCAGCAGCGGCGGCTGAGGGTGTGTAGGCATAAAGAATAAGGTGGTCGGGATCGATATTGCTCGGAGCGAGAGCCATGTTGTCTTTGAGATGAGATAATCCTGAGAAGAATTGAGTTGCGCTTTACTTGGTATATGCGACGAAGGAGAGCGATGCTTGTGATGGAATGATTCTGATAATCGAGGCATTGATTCTCTTAAGTATTCCCACCTTCTTCAATGCGTGTACCATACGGAGGCATAGTGGCTGTACATTCATCATCGCCCCGATAGCCAATAGCGTCGCACTTCTGGAAGGCGAGATATTCGCAATCACGCTGAAAACTACATTGAGCGTTGTGGAAAGCCTCAGGTGCGTATTTGAGCCCGTATGGTACACAGGGCTTACCACGGATATGATTACCGAGGTAAGCGCGCCCAGAATTTTGGCGCTTTCCTGTTTGACGGTGTCGCTGCCGAGACGTCAAGAAGGGCGAACGCATGCTTGTGAACATCTATAGAGCTTACTTTGGAAGCGCTCCCTCAGCTAAAATCGTGCACACGCGTCTTTCGTTATCTTTGGACACATCCTAAAAGTGGCAGACGTGGCCAGGGCTTGAGGAGATTCTTCTGGGGGTCGGCAAAGCCATGGGCTTCGTTATCTGACGCCGTCATTTGCGCGTTCGATCTTCGCTTGCGCATTTCCTCTTCCAAAAACTTTGACCTTGTTCAATACTATCCACCAGAACATTGGACATGCATCATGAGGGGCGGTCCAGTTGGAGAGCGGCAACGCAAAACCCACAAGAAGTCACGTGCTGGCTGTGATCAATGCAAGAAACGTCACTACAAGGTCTCTTTACTCAAGTGTCTGACATTGCTGTGTAGCTAACGTGAATACAGTGTGATGAAGGGAAGCCCTCGTGTGGTGGATGCGCTAAGAGAAAAGTCGAATGTAGCTTCACAACAGCTCAAAGTCCCGGTTCAGATGTCTCCGTCAATACCAGGGTATTCAACGCGATCTCGCACAACATCACCGAATACGATGGTAACTCTGAGTCGTCCCTGCCTATGGCGGATCTGGAACTGCTCCATCAATCCATGACTAGTACTGCGTACACCATAACACCGGACCACAAGCCAAACAAGGACGAAGGAAAACTGCCTCTACGTTTTGATTATCTAATGCATTCCACACTTGCACTGGCAGCACTACACCTATACTCGGAACAACCTCATCGGCTGGAGCTCCTATCCAGAGCAGCTTCTCATCAGCATGCTGCTTTGTCTCTTGTACGTCCTCACATCATAGACGGCACTCCTGAACACAGCCAAGCGATCTTGGGTTTCGCCGCCATCACTTCTATATTTGCGCTTGCTGAGCCTGCGTACGACCCCCGTGGCCTTGGATTGGTGCGTGATCCTGTGGATGAACTGCTTAATTCCTTCCATCTTGGCAGAGGCATCAAAACTATTCTTACGCAAAAATGGCACGTACTTCAGCACAATGAATCAATACAAAAAGTAGCCGTTCTTACGGACTACACGGCGCTCATACCGACATTGGACAACGTATATCCTGCATATCCGATCTTGCGTGGTGTCATATCGCAACATTGTCACGACGATGAAGCAGCTTCATGTCTACACGCTGCGCAGACCGTATTTCACTACATGGCAATCATGGAGGCGCACCACCAGGAAGTTCCTGGACCAATGTACATTCAGATGTGGCCTATCGATGTCAGCACAGTTTTCCTCGATATGCTGGCTGATCGTCATTCGATAGCTCTTATCGTACTGGCTCATTACGCGGCACTGATGAGGACGAGATCGAACACCTGGTGGCTTGAGCGATGGCCTTCTGCTTTGATCCAGCATATTACCATGATCCTAGATCCTAGTCTCATCGTCCATCTTGACTGGCCTAGAGACAAAGTCCTGCGATTGGACCAGACATTCCCGTCTCCAGTGGAGATGGACCTGGCCGTCGCCTGATGGAAGTCTTCAGGACATCACATCATGACTTCTGACGTCGTCATCTCGAGTTCAGGAACCGTCATGTCGTCCGACTGCTGCATTGTGACCCGTGACGACCATGTGGACAGGAGGCTATCTCGATATCTTACCTTCAACATAAGACTGCTGGACACCATATCCACTTTACGAAGATTCGTGGCCTGTTCTGTACTAAGTCTCGGGCATTGAGATGCGAGCTCCTGGAAAATAATCGGCCATCGGGTAATGCCTGATAGCGGTGGTTGTTACTTACAGCCAGAAAATTGTGTCCGATGCTCTTGACAGCCTTGTAAGCTATGTTGTTACTGTGTTGAAGACGGCGGCGCTTTTATGCTTGTTGGCATCGATGTGAGGAAACTCGTTCGCCGATAAATGTGACGGCGATCTTCGAAGGAAGAAGGCACTAGAAGGCTGCATGGTAAAGGCAGGAGATCTTGAAGCGATGGCTATCGCAGCGTCCACAGGCTGTGCCAAATCATGCGTCTCTATACTCTGCTCTTCAGATTCGTCCACCGGCTCGCATCAAACACGTGTGTCAGGGACTGGAGAATCACACTGTCAACATGTCAGACGATCTCAGGTATTGACAGCTTGACTCACAATTACAGAACTCAACATGACCGTCGCATCATGTTGGCGGTGACCAAGCATTACTCATAGGCGGACGAGTCGTCTGACAGCCCTAGACACATCTGCTTGGGGCGGGCCGCCCTGTGGTTTTTATGTTCACATCATGACGTCGCTCCAGACGAACTTCAAGACTTGAGATGATATCTCCACTTCCCGGGATATACTGGCAAACGGCTTTGTGCTTCACCATTACTTCAGAATGCCTGCTTCAGAGAGGTGTGGCTGAAGCCTTACAAGCTTTTTTCGAGGACACGGCAAGCCTCATCCGGTCGCAGCTGAACAAAACGGCAGGGAAGTTGTTTTCTAGAAGGCCACTGTTGCACACCCGGCCCCGGGGGCACCATATGGTATCTGCCGTTCTTGGGACTTCGTAATCGCTGTATAGGTGCGACAAGAGGGCTGAATCTGGATGACAGAATCGCGATGATAGCCTTCGAGGCAAGGCTGAGTTGTTGGCAGTGGAATGGTGGAAGAATATTCTAGCGTCGCCTTGACCAAAGTGTGAAACTTGATACCAAGCGCACTGATTTCCCAGTTCGGCACATGTGTATCTCGCCCTCGGAATACAAGCATCTGCTAAGAAGTCATGCACTGTGCGGAGTACAAAGATGCAGCCTATAGCAGCGAAGCAGTGCATCCATCTCAGTAATCTACCCAATAGAGTTCTGCTGAATCTACAGATCTCGTATCATAACTTAGCAACGTACATGGACTGACAGAGAAGTGCCAGACAAGGAAGGCTCGTGCCCTTGGCATAAGTACTTTTCGGGTACGGAGATGTTTCATCTTTCCAGCTGAACACTCCTTACAATGTACGAAATCAGTCTTCGCACCGTGGCACGCCATGACATTCGTCGTACCTCGAAACGCAGCAGGCGTCATGATTCACATGTGGCTTAGATCGGATACCGAATCATAGAAGATACCAGATCGAGAAGTCTACCTTGAGGTACCTTTTTCATGTCTCTGAGACTTGGGAGGAACCTCCGAGGTACAGAGAAGCGACGCTACGGTTATCTGAAGCAAAAATAGAAAGCCTACCTCCACTTACGTCCATGATTCATTTCGAGTCAGCCCGCCTCTAATAGAGACACAAATACTTCCTGTGATATGTCCACAGATATGCAGTTCAGTCATGCGAACACCTGTACTACTCGAGGTTGCTCTGCTATACTCCGGGGACGGACAATCATATATTGATTGCATGCAGATCTGGCGACCCTGGTCATCAAGAATGTGGTAGAAGGGTTCAGCCGGGGTGCCGGACGACAAAGCTCCGATGTCTCTGCGGCTCACCGCGCTAGTGTTTTGCCCCGACCGTTGGCATCCTCGAGCTCCTGTGGGTCGCAACGTTGAGAGCTCGTGCTGGCGGCGGGTGTTCCTGAGCGGTGCCTGCGTTTTCTTCAAGGATCGTCAAGCCACGAAAACAGGGGCCAGGGGGCCAAGACAAAGCACTTGCCGATCAGGTCAGCGAGCCAGTGTCCGAAGAGCGCGAACACCGGCAGAGTACGGCGTTTTCTGACGTGACGTCGGTCCAGCGCGCAGATAGAGGGGGGCAATCGAGACGAGCTAGGACGAGAATGGTGATACGGCCGATAAGCAATCGAGGTATCGACCGTGGTAAAGAGAAATAGCCGAACGTCGACGCAGCATGTCTGACAAAAAAAGTTGTCTGCGGCTCGTATGAACTGCATGTGGACGTTGTGCCTGAAAGGCTGTTGCAGAGAGCGTGGTCATCGATCGAGTGCTTGTCAGGAGGTAGGATGTGTGCATTTTTGGCATATAGGCCCAATCGTGCCGTACACGCGGTCGAGGACCGCCAAAGTAGAAGTCACAGACGTGATAGTGGGTTGCTATTCGTGAACTAGCAGGGCACGGGGATGGGTAACGCGAGTTGGTCGCCAAGGCAGCGAGATGGGTGAGCGAGTCGAGAAGGAGACAAGTTAACCTACGGCACGATACATTGGTGGCATGCAGGGCAGCTGCCGTCTCGCGACATCTGCGCCTGGCATTGGTAGAAAGGTCGAGGAGGATAGCGGATGGCGGCGGCAGGAGCAGAAGCAGGAGCAGGAACAGCAGCAGCTATTTACAGTGGTGGATCTTTTTGGACGTGTTCGTGTGCCTAAACTGCGCACGTTGGCTCTCGCAGGGCATAGTCTTGATAAGATGGATAGCAACAGTTGGCTTACGCTGACGCAGACAGAGGGGCGGGCGGGAACAAGAAGTCGACAGCAGCAAGAGGCACAAACGCCATGACGGCACGACGGAGCATCATAGCGGTCGGGCGATTGGAAGCGCACTTGGAGGAGCTTATGATAAACAGACGAGCGACCACGGGGCTCGTGGCCTAAAGCGGTATGGTCGGACAAGTGGGTCGTGCCTCGTGCGTTTCACAAACGTGATTCGCGCGGTTTTGGCGCTTGTGCTTGACTTTGCTCCGACTCGTCGAGGAAGCGTGGACTTGTGGAGTGTGGACCGTGGACCAGTCTCTCTCTCAAAGGGGGGAGGGCACGCTCTTCTCGTGTGTGTTTCGCCTGCCCAAAGCACTTTATCCTCGCCTTTCCCTTTGCAACATCTCTCTTTTCCTCTTTCTATTGCTCTGCTCCTGTGCGCCGCTTCATCACTCCCTTAAGCTGCGGTCTAATTCCACGCACATCCTATCCTTCCTTCCTTTTTTGCTTCTTGCACGCTCTTGCACTTATTTGCACTTGCACCTGCTCCACTGCTTTGGCCAGTCTCGGCAGACCGTCACTCCTTCCGGCTGTCAACACCTTCTCCTTCTTTGCAACAACAACAGGCTCCTTGCTTCCTTCCTAATCCGACTCTTTGACCACCCCGTGCCTTGTAATCCGCTGTTGCTCTCGGCATTGTCTCGATCGAGCACACGTTTTGACACGCAGACAAAGACTCCCAACCCTGCATCAGCCTCGGTCTAAATTGCCTGTCTCTTTGACCCTGCCCAGCTGCATCTGCCACTGGCGGCTCATAATCAACATCGACAACAAACTCATCCTTTAGAAGCCTTCTATAATCACAAACATATACATCATGGACTCCAAGGATATGGGCCCTATGGACTCGGCCTCGCCCGGCACCCCCTCGCCTGCGACTCCCCTTACCGCAAGTGGTTCTTCCTCAAGGAGGCCGCCGCGCAAGAGCACTCTCACCCAACAGCAAAAGAATCAGAAAAGACAACGCGCTACCCAGGACCAGCTCATCACCTTGGAAGTCGAGTTCAACAAGAACCCCACCCCCACTGCTGCTGTCCGGGAGAGAATTGCAGACGAGATCAACATGACCGAGAGATCGGTCCAGATCTGGTTCCAGAACAGGTACATATGCCAAAGTCCAAACAAAACATATCACAGCTTCTAACGCCATCACAGACGTGCCAAGATCAAGAACATTGCAAGAAAAAGCATTGAGAATGGCGAGGACTGCGAAAGCATTCCCGAGTCAATGCGTCGCCATCTGGCCATGCAAGCGCTTGAGTCTGGCAAGGGCTTCTTCCCCAACCTCGTGGGTCCCGGTGGTAACGGTTACCCTTACACTCCTGGCACTATGAGCCTCAACTCCGATGCAGGCACCGGAAAAGTTGGTATGTTTGAGATCCCTGTCTCTATATCTGTGACCATACGGCTAACCTTAAGCAGTCATCCAACACTTTGCATGCCGTTCTCTCTCAATTGGATCCTGGCGTAGAGTCGGTCAAAGTCAGATGGACCTGATCATCTTCTACTCGCCCGAAAAGGCTTGTGTCACGTACTACATCAACAACGACTCGGCCGGCTACAAGATTGAATACCCCTTCGCATGGATCAAAAACATCAACCTTGTCCAAGGCGAGATCACAAGCGCAGCTGAGGGCGCCTCCCAGAGGCTGGGCGCTTTGGTCGTCGAGCTGATCCGCCCGCCCAAGTTCTACATGGACAGCTCGGGTAGCGGCGGCTTCTACGAGTGCGGCGACTTCACTGAGGATCAGCAAGCCAGCAAGATCATGGTCCACCAGCTCGGTGGTCCCTCCAAGGCTCTCAGCGGCCAATTGGCCAAGCTTGTGTCGCTCGACTCGTTCCAGAACCGCCACACGATGCTTGATCCCACCCACTTCGCCATGGCTGCTGCCTCCGCTCCTGTCTCCCCTGTCAACTTCAGACCCGCGAGTCAGCCTAACCACTTGGTACACCCCCACTCGGGTGTCTTCCAGGATTCTGCCATGGGTCTCATGGGCCCTCCTGCTCCTCGTGGCCACAAGAGACAGCGCAGTCGCTCGGTGCCCGCCGCCATCGATCTCTCGATGCTCAGGAACAACCCTATGCCCTCGTTCCTCATTCAGCACGAGTCAAACGCCCCCGCTCAGCCCCTGCAGGACAACGCCATCTTCGCTCCCCAGCCTCAACATCACCACGGCTTCGCCACAGGTATGGGCCCTAACAACCTCAGTATTGATACCTCTGCCGGCTACGGCATGGACTTTAGACAGTTTGCTGGCCCCATGTCTGCCACCACCCTTAATTCTCCCAGTGACTTCGGCACTCCCGGCTTCTTCAACCCTGGTCCTACCAGTGATATGATGGCTCACTCAAATCTCAACACCCCCTACTCGAGCTCCTTCCTCTCCGTTGACCCTTCTGCTATGATTGGTACTAGTAACACCCCTGTCTCTTTCTCTAGCGGCGACCCGGTCATTGCCGACCAATCACCGCCCCTCAATGGTCTCGGACGCAACCACTCTGATGACATCTTCAGCACACCTGGAGGAGACAACGGCTTGAATGACGACGCTTTGTGTCTTTCTTCTGACGTCTACAACAAGTCGATGGGCATCGGATTCCACAGCCCTCTTCCTGACGAGCACATGGGTTTCGATTCGTCTTTATCAGAGGCACACTACGACTACAACTCGCCAATCCCTGCAAACAAGATGAACCTGCCCTTCCGCATGCCCAACGAGACGCCTTTGCACCAACAATCGCCTAACCCTGCACAGATGGCCATGCACCAGGATTCTGCTATTGCTTTCCAGTCGCCAACCCACATGGCTCATGTCGATCACGGCCACAACCTCTACCAGACACCAAAGGTGAACGGTGCTGGTATGTTCCAGGACAGCAAGATGTACCAATCGCCTGCTCAGATGCATGACTCGACGTTCTCAACTCCAGCTCACCATCCTTCTCACCTCCAAGGCCATGATGTATACCACAGCCCGAGCTTAGGTGCAAATGACCACCACAATCAACATGGAGAAGAGATTGACATGTCAAGCTTCGTGCATTACGGTACTATCGATCCTGCCAGTCTGTAAGCAAGCGTATGCGTCTTCCAGGCTACAGCCTGCTGGCAGGACTGAGCACTACATCCTCGAAGGGGTGATTGAGGCAACAAAAGAAACAGCCGCAGATGGGCTACGAGCTACATGAGAGAGTGAAGAGCCAAGATGCTCCCACTACTGGTGTTCGCTGGAAAATCTTTGATCACATTTATTTCCTTGTCTTTGCAATTTTCTTGAGTCGGACCATTTTGGGACAGGCGGCTATGTTTTGGTTCGGTCGGGGAGTTGTCCTTTCACTTTTCGCTTTCCTTCGATTCCTTGCTATACCCCCAGATATTTTGTCTTTTTTCCCCCTGCCAATCTCCATGGTTCGCGTTGCTTTGCAAAGCATTGCTCATTCAAAGCCAGCTCCATTACCTTATTTCTCCATCATTCTTCCCTTTCCTCTCGAGCACCGCATCGATAATTCCTGCGATCTCAGCATTTTTTGTACTAGTGCTCAAAGCACCGCTAGCATTGTAACATCGATCACGATCTCGACAGCTGTTGGACCGCTCGATTCGAGCGGACAGGAAGCAAACGCCTGCGGCCGGCCCCCTTCAACAAGAACGATAAGGGGGCGGCAGGGAGGCGTTATGCACATCCGTTTCGACACCTCGGGTGGACTCCTCTGTTAAGGTCGAGGATTTCTGATGACGCTTTTTGCTTCTGTTTGTTTCTTTGTTTTGGTTTCCGTTGTTTACACCTTTCCTTTGTTTAGTGTGTTTGGGAGGATGAGGAAGGTGTCCTCGGCGAATAATTGGTCTGATCAGGCGTTCCTTTTCTGTATTTGTAGTTGATCTAGCACACACACCGAAAGAGTCGAATCCGCTTCTATCCCCTTACGGCAAGGCTGGGTTCCTCCGAAGAAGATGGTCGTCTGATTCTTACAACTCTCAAAAATCACAAAGCAGTTATCCATTCACACAACCACCAAACATTCTAGACCTTCCCGATTTAGCCCTTCTCCGAACATTCCACATTGTATGCTTTTTCTGGCGATGGCTTTGCTTTGCTTTCCTCGGATGCTTGTCACTGCTTGCAGAAAGGGGGAAGCCAGAAACGGGTTTCAAGCACCCGTGCGTTTAACCTCATGCTTTTCGGATTCGTTTCAGGGGTTTAACGGTGGATTGGACATGCACTGAGGGAACAACGGTCTTTTACCGGCATCCAAGAAAGCACGGAATCGATAACCAGGATACCTCTTGAGGCTGAGATAAGTATTGCTAGAGCTGAGATAAGTATTGCTAGATCGAGGATATCTTTTGGAATGGAAGGAGAGATCGAAGATGAGTATGCGGGACTATGGCACGTGATTGGTACGTAGAAGGTAGGTACCTAGTTTGTAGTACTTGTAGCTGAGTATTATGGCTGCTTTGTTTGTTGTTGTTTAAGTACCGGCATATGTGCATGCATATGGTCGATCACCTGATTTCTTAGTAAACTTGGAACAAGATCTGATGATCATTTGGCTTGCATCTTCACTCTGTGACGATCGTTCAGTGAAAGTTGGTTATCATTGTACCTTTGCCAATGAGAATCTATGGATCAAAGTACGACTCGAGTCAATGAAGCTTAGACGTGGTCTCAAACGCAAGATAAGGATACTGACACATGCTGTGAGATATTCAAAAGTACGCGCTCCTCGAGGCATCTCGAGTGCTCGGAATAGGTCTTTCCTACATGTCCTTGAGCGCGACCCCGTCGAGAGTAAGGCAGAACTGAGCATATCACCAAGCGATAGCGTCGATTGCTGGGTGAGAAACAGGGCTTCCTGCTGGACAGCGGACACCTCGTCTGTAAGATGTACTTGATCATCGCTCGTGTGAGGTTTTCAGATATGCCAACCATACTCCCTGGGCAACTGCACGGCAAGAACAAGAGTGCTCCCAGCGATTACACGAGATATGGCCAAGTAGCTATGCCAGTGGAACTGCATTTGGAGCTGGAGAGGAAGGAGTAAATGAGACGAGGCATACTTGCTTCGCACCTGCCTCAATCAAGCACAATTACTGCTTCCTTTTTTGAACATACATGCACTCAGAACTCTAGCAAGTCTTGCATGTTCATCTACGATATACAGAACGCTGCTTATCGGCTCCATCGACCTCGCCACTGATCTTCTGCTGTGCATAGACTAAAACAAGAAAACATACATAGTCGATGATACTGTTCCTGCCCGTATGCACAGCCTTCCCTGGATGTTTGTTACCTTGCGATGTGCAAACTTTGCTGACTGTATGGTACCCCAAGTGCATACTGCTAGCATATGCCAGTCAGTGTAGATAAAACATGAGAGCATTAGACATCGCGGGTAAATGTCCACCTGGTTAACTAATCTAGAACTTTGACGTGATCATATGGGCACAGGAAGCACGTTGATTGACTCGGTTGAGCCGAACTTGATGAAGAATTCGCTAATGGAGTATTCCTTGTTGATAATAAATAAGGACCAAGAAGATCAAAGATGCAGAAAGCGCATATAATGCAATCCATACGCCATGGCCATGCTCGAAGAAGAATAACAAGAATAGAAGAAAAAAGGGGTATGTAGGGATGCAGCCATGGTTAAGAGCAGCAAGAGTCTAGACTTGGAAACGAGGGGACGACATGTCCTACCAGTCGATTGCCCAAGTGCCCGCCGTCTTCCAAAACTCCTCGAGGACTTGTCTCAATGCAACATTGGGCCTCAGGTCTCTAGCCGTCAGAGGTTCTCTGGTCAGCGGGTCGGTAGGGTTGTTCTTGAGATGCTCCAACAGTGTAGATCTCTCATAGCTGTGCCCTGTTCTTGTTATGACGGGATCATGCATGATTTCGAAACTGATTGTGTCCACCAAGTAGTCTGGAACCTCCCTAGGTTGATGATTTTGAGGGTCTGCCAGTGCAAATACAGTCTTTAGCTCGTCGATCTTCTTCTGATGTGTGTCTAGCGTCTCTGCACGTCGTTCCTGGGCCTCCACTACACCGATTCGGGATTGTGATAGGGCGATTTCAATGTCTTGAAGATCATTGCGTTTGTTTGTCTCGAGAGATTCCTCCAGCTCTGCCAGGATATCACCTCTTTTCCGTCTGCGATCACGTTCGCGAGCAGCAAACTTTTCTTTCTTGCATTTGAGGACCAGTTCGGAGAGCGAGGGCAAGGCGGCGCTGGCTTTGTTTGCTTCGGCAGCAGGAGGATGCATGGCTTGATTGTATGCCGTCAAGGCGGAAGAGAGAGCCTCATTAGGGTGGTGAAGAGCCAGTTGTGCCTGGGCGAGGTAGAAGAAGGACTTGAAGTTGAAGGCGTTCCGAGGAGTCAAGTCTATGCTTATGAGACAGTCGTCGATGACGCCTTGCCATCTTTGGAGACGGATACGGGCAAGGGCGCGATTGGTGAAGAGCAAAGGGTTGCGAGAGTACTTTGTGATTGCGGCCGTGTATTGCTCCTCGGCGGCAGCGTAGTCGCCTGCCTTGAATAGATCGTTGCCTTGTTGTTTCAATTTCTCGGCGATATGAGCCATGTTTGGCGGCTTGGGTGAGGTGAACCGTGACTACGCCCGACCTGTCGCACCGAGCATGAGCGACTACTTGCAAAGTGATCGAGTAGCCGCAGCTCGCATGTTGGTATGCTCCTCGAATCTTCTAGCGCTCCGGAAGCGGCAGCGATATGTCATCGGACCTTATCTCCGCATATCCGCACGCGACACGCACGGACCCTCAAGCTGTATACCGGTGACGTTCATTCTTCACTCCTATCACTCCATGCTCACCGACAAGCGAGTGGACCGCAAAAGAGGAGAAAGAGATGTTTTGTTTGATTTCTCCCGTTGCCATAAACGCAGCAATAAAGATGCCACTGTCCTGACTTGTCTAACCTTGTTTGCCCGGTATGCCCGCCATCATAATCATGCTCATAATCTCGTTTGTCCGTCGTAGTGAAAGCTACCTAGCCTTCACAGCAAGCCAAAAGCCTAGCATCCCCACTGCATTTTATCTCCTGGTATAACGTCGTTCTTTGGTGTCATCGGAATTCAAGCGCGCCTGTCGTCACTTCTAGTGACACCTGCTCAATCGAGCCCAGGACCTTCGGAACTGGATGCCATTTCGGACATCTCATCGTCATCTGTAGAAGTTGAGCCTCTTCTCTTTTCACGCTTGAAAGTAGCAGACTCGTCGGCCAGCAGCTCATTCACTTCGTCGTGCATGTGAGTAATAGTAGGGACCTCGCCCTTCATACAGCCAAAGCGGACTCTCTTCTTAGACGTCATGAGAGGACTGATAGCATCGAAGATCTTCATCTTGTAGATGGGCGTATGCGAGAAATGTTTACGCACATTCTTCTTGAGGCAACCAAAGCGAACACGCTTTCTGGGAGGGCTGGACGACGGCGACGGAAGCGCGGACTCTGCTGTCTCGATGTCGACCACTTCGTCGCTGAAGCTAACACGGTGTGCTTGGATCTGGTCGGGTGCTGGAATTTCAACTACACTGACTTTGCTGTTGAACCGAACTCCTCTGGTGTTGGCGGGTTTTCTGTGCTTGTCCGATGAGACAGGAGAGTCCAGCGCGTCGGAGAGGTCAGAGAGATCAAGAGACGATGACATGCTGGCGGAGTTGTTGATGAAGTTGGTAATCATGTTTGATTCGTTGCGCGTTTCCTGGATGTGACGAAGAATTGCAGGTAGAAGAAATTGTCTGCGGCGAGCACTGCTCGGCGAATGCGCACGTTGAAGGGTGATGTTGGGTGCCATTGCCTTTTTGTCGGAGAACGTGATGGGTGGTGCGCGGTATGAGCGTTGGCGTGACGTGGTTAGTGTTGTATGGAAGCTCAGACAACGAATGGAGCAAAATGCGGTAAGAAGGAATCAGAAGCGCACATCATATGTGAATGCTTTTGCGCGGGCGAGTCGACAATAACAAACTGCTAGTTGAGTGTGGCAGAAAGGGAAGTATCGAGAAGCTCAAGGTGAACGTCTTCAAAGCTGTCACTCATTGGCCGCAGATCGGTCAGCCGAAAAGCGTCCGCAAATCAGAGAGGCTTCTTGATGGATGAGAGCACAGTCTGGACAGCATACAAATAGAAACAAGAACATCGCAAGCATCTATAACCGTTTGCGTGCTTCAGCCTTGCTATGTTTGTTACACTGCCCCTGGTTCGACCTCATGGCCCCTCCCCACGGCTGTCACCTCGTCAGACACACAGATGGTGGATAGTGACGAAAACCTCCTTGGAAGTTGCACAAAACACACGTTGAGGTCAAAGTAGTGGTGCGCTTGAAATCACCTGCTTCCCCTAGTGATGTCCTGTACAACAGCGGTTAGTACCTACAGCATATCATACACTATTTGTTGGTTGAGCAGGTCCCCGGCACGGAGTACTAAATTGTCGTTCTCTTCACTTCTACGTCACTAACAGCACGACACTGGCTTCCTACAGCTTTCAGCATGCAGAACCTGCCTGAAGTCGTCTGTTCCAATTGACTGCTTTTTGCTCATGCGAAACCAAGAGCTATCCAACTCGCACCAGCAGCGTACAGCGTACTGTCCTCAAACGTCTTCAAAGACCAACGGAATCCTTGTGTGTCGATATCGCGTACGTCAACAGCGACCCTTAAGTCGGCGTTGCCTGCCATATCAATCATGTTCAGCGCGCACAAGACTGTCGGAGCAGGTCTATGCGACTTGAACGCCCCCGCCTCAAACTTGACTTGCGATTTGGTCTCGGGTATCGGATTGCTCCAGCTCCTGACGTCCCCTGTTTGGAAGCTTCCTGCTTGTACATAGCGTTTGCGTTTCGGAAATGCGATCCAGCACATTGCGCCTCCGAAGAGGAGACTGTCTCCCCAAGTGTCGATATGGGCAGTGAACCCGGTGCGGCTAATATTAGTCGCATAGGCTCTTATGCGATAGTTCCTGTCGCCACTGGCCATGTCTATCCGGTTCAGCCAGCAGATGATATCGCAGTCCTCCTTGAAGGCCTGGGGAAAGGTGAAGTTTCGCGAGTTCTCTTGTTGTGCCCCCCTCTTGCTTGCTCCATGGTTCGCGGGAAGGTCATGTGTGTCGAACTGACCGAACAGGCAGTCTTTAGCGTTGGCCTTGTGCTCAATCCACGTCGCGCTCGCCGAATATAGTATCGATCGGTCGCCCCAGGTCTCCAGAGTTATTCGAAACGAGTCTGTGGTGATCTTGTCTGCCACCAAGTTCGCTCTAACAGGTGCCTCTGACGACAGGTCAAGTGATCTAAATCCAGCTGCCAGATTCGGTGGCTCCTTGTAGTGGTTACGAGGTAAGGAAACGATGCGCGAAGTTGACTTGCAAGGCTTCGACCGCGGCCGCACCTCCTCCGTGGTGAAAATGCCAGTATCCGGACAAGGGGTGTCAAGGTGTACCATAATGATGAGTGTTGTTCGTCTGCGGTCGCAAAGTAGAGGGTAAGCTCACAAGGGTCATGGGTTGCGAAAGACGAGGGAAACTATTGCCAATCGAGTTGGACGCATCGACGACGTGCTGACGCCGTCGCATCCACTTAACTACCTGGGTGCTTTCACTCAAACCGCTGTACTTTCAACTTCCAATGATATCGTTGTGCATGGAGAAAGACTTGCACTGGCCGAGTTTCAACATGATCTACTTCGAGTCGGCAATACTTGCTTGATCTTCGTCTGACGTCAATCGGGTTCCAGGAACTTGGAAGTGATGAAAGACGGGACGAAGGCATCTGGAACAACAAGGTAGAAACAAGGCCAAAGAGGATCAGTTTCGTAGGTGCTGAACTTTGTCAAGTCTGCCCTGCCCTGTTCTCGCGACAGGGAAGAGAAACAGATGGCGGAGACACGCTCTACCGAGGTCTAAGTCGTGTAAATGGGAGAGCGTCCTCAACGGCGAGCCTCACTGTACACAGCTCAGCCTGCCCGTATCTGTCTTGCGTGCCTACAAAGTTGAGAGCCGACGGGTTTTGATGCAGCATGCACGATGTCGGAAGATGGAAGCTGGAGCTAGGGCTCGAGAACAGAAGTCAAGGAAAGCAAGGTTTGCGCAAAGCTATTATGGTATACCGTTGGCCGCTCCCGAAACCCAAACCCAGAAAATTGAAAGAACCCATCCTTGATCGAAATCGCAACATGTTAATCGTGAAAAGGGAGATCGAAATGCAGCCAAAGGGACTGCGTGGTAGAGCCTGACTTGCCAGGTTTCTGATCACTTCTCCTCATTCTTGCCGCCGAAGAAGCTGCCCATGTAGCTTCCTGCGCCCTTTGCGCCCTCGCTGACCTTGCTGGCGCCAGCTTGTGCGTTGTCACTCATGGCACCTGCGTAGCTGCCGCTATCGTCCTTGCCTCCTCTTTCGGCACGGTTGATGCCCTCCTTGGAGATGTGGTCACCAACAGGTTGTAAAAGTCCACCTTGACCGATCTGTCCGGCTGCGAGATTGTTCACGCCATCTTGAAGGTTGTCGACTTGTTCGTTACCAGTGATCTTGCTCTTGCTAAGCTGATCTGTTTGGAATATGTTAACATGGTGTTTGAACAAGTCGCACAGCGAATAGACGGTACCTTTGGTAGCATATGAAGCTTTGTTGTCTTTGGTGAAGTAATAGAGGACGTTGTCTTCAACCCAAGGCATCCAGTTCTCGTACTGCTGGTTGTATTGCTTCTTTGACCACTCCATCTTGTTTGAGGTAGGTTGTGGGGTTGGGTGTAGAAGTTGGTCGTGGAATATGGATAGCAAAAGTGCACTGGAGATGAAACTGCAGAAGCCGAGATATCTTTTGTTCTTGTATCACAAGGATAACAGGTCTTAAAGAATTGTTGATCACACATCCAAGCAAACTGATATCAGCTCTTTCACATGCTCTGCCGCTTCCCTGCACAGTGACGTGGGCTGGCACCCGTGATGTGCGTCACGCTCAGCCACCCAGAAACCTGGGCTGGTCGCTCATGATCTTCGCGGTCGCACTTGAAACTCACGAATCGGCAACTATTCGCGTGCAATGATTTAAGGGAAATCATGGTGTAGTGTCGTTTTTTCGTAGTTAGCTTGACGAGAAATTTGGCCATATTTGTGCAAAACGGCTCAAGCTCTACATATGTATCTAGAAGAGAACAAGAGAAGAAGATGTCGCAGGAAGCCATTAGCTTTGTCATTCTACGACAAGATTCCGTCTTCTGGAGAGACTGCTCGTGCGGACAGGCTCGCTACCAATTCGAGGACTCAAAGGGGAATATTGCGTCAAGCTTGCAATACGGCGCCTCTTAGGCACGTACTGGCTCTCTTCGAGCTGCATCGCAGCACGACGCTCCAAGATTCGTCTCGTTGCCTCTGAATGAGAGGATGTTGATCCGTATTGGCTACCTTCCGCTGGCATCACTGCATTCGCACGACGCGCCGCTAGAGTCTCGCGCAGACTGGGAGAGTGTTGAACGCCGCTACCATAATCTGTTCTGCGCGTAGAGGATTGTCTCATATGTCCGAGTTCTGTCATGGCGCGAGAGGGGGCACGCGAAGGGACTTCCAGGGGAGCCTCGTCCTCTGCCTGAGAGTGTCCCGAGTTTTGCATGCTAGTTCCTGGACGATTGTAACGTGCAGCGTAATCAGTCTGGTCATGACCTGGTGACAGTTCCTGGCCTAGGTATGGATCGTGCGCCTCGAGCGGGCTGGTGCTGATGGTATTGCCCAAGCCTAGGCCAAGTAGACTACTCCTTCGATTGTCGAGACGACTCATAGACCTTGTTGGTTCGGTCCTCAATTGAAGATCCTGTGGACCCAGGCTGGCTCGTCTGGCGTAGCGCGACGATGGTGTTTCCGATTGCATGTGGGATACGTCCATAGGGGAGACTTTGGTGGCAGGGCTTGCAAGATCAGATCTACCCTCGCAGAGCGCAATACAAAGATCAGTCAGGTTCCTGCACATACTGTCGGCCTTTCTCCTGATATGCCTATCAGATACTGTGGCGCCATTGACCATGGATGCAGCCGTGAAAGCAGTGCCCTGGGGTCCACCGCTGCCTGTCATGGCTGCAAGTGCCAGTGCATCGGTAGCAGTTGCCTCCAGAGAACGATAAAGTTGTGTGCTGAGTACGTTCTTGGCCTTTCCAAGAGCGCTATGTAGTAAAGGATGGATGTTAGCGGTGGACAAGCCGGGAGTATTCGCATCAGCAGGTACACTGCTTTGTTTCCTAGCGTGTTTCGGCGAGGAAGATATAGTAGTCGGTGCTGTGGTAGCTGTACGAGGACGCTCGAACGAGTGATTTGTGACATTTGCAGCAGAAGGTGACTGCTTACCTCCAATCTCGAGACTACGGATTCGAGACTTGAGGTCATCTAGTTCGTCCCAGACTGTAGACGGAGCATTAACAGAATCAACGGATTCACTCTCTGCATTGGATCCTTTGCGAGCAGTTGGAGCGGGAGACATGGTCGGCGTAATGAGACCCTGGGCAAGTCGATCGGAGAGGCTGGAGAGATTTCGGGACGTGGTCAAGGGCTCGTAGGCTTTGCCGACGCGATACATGCGACGCTGTCTCGGTATGGCGTCCGAGATGGGGCCCGTTGGACGCTTTGAAGGGAACTTGAGCACATCGGGAGAGGCGTTCCACTCGCGAGCAGCGGCCTCGAAGGACGAAGAGGTGGTCGTTCCAATGGCATACCGGGGCTTGCGCATAGACGCACGCAGCGAGGGAGTACGTTGGCCGTGGTCTGCAGTCTGGGCAGGGCTCGGGGAGTGTTGGGCACGCAGCTCGGCCAGCCTCGAGGCATTGAGGCTCTCGTTGGAGGGAGCGCGTTCTCGCACGTTCAATGGCTTGCGCAAGGGCACTGGGACTGCATAAGCGTGGATTGGGCGACGGAGTGGTCGGTCGTCGTCGTCGTCGTCGTACCTTTGTCGGGAGCGTCCATGGCGAGGCTCAAAAACAGATCGTCGCTGGGATTGGCCGTCTGGCGCATCCTGGACACGCTTACCCTTCTACTTTGGCTTCCGCGGTCATGATCGTTGGTCGACATTGTCGGACGACGTGATCATAGGGGCATTCTTCTAAAGGACTTTCCTCTTTTCTGTGGAGGGCTGCCCGCCTAATGTGCGCCCTGAGGTTGTGTTTGTGTTTGTTTCCCTCTCTATTTCCTGCCTCTTTGAGCGCAAGCTCTTCCGACAGCAATGTCAAACTTTTGACGCGTGCAATCAATCGACGCTTTGGTTTGGAGAGGCTATGACGGAGCGGCAGCAATCGGGCGCGACGTGATTAGGGCGACAGTCGGAGGTTACGGTGGTGAATAGCAGCTACAACAACAGTAGGGGGATGGCGTGCGTAACAGTGTCGCAGGTTTGGCCATGGCTTCCACTTCCACTTGCACGCGGAGACCCGCTGCGGCGCTGCCAAACCAGCCACCCCTGGCCAGAGAGACTTCTGCCAACCTCGACAAGCCGTGCTTAACCTCGAATTTGCCAGCCCTCTGCCATAGCAACAGACGACTATTGTGCCGCCCTCATGTACTAAATCTGGTCGCTCCTCTAGGTGCGCTGCAAGTTCTAAGCAGAGAAACGGAACGTGCCTGCGCTCGTCGTCTCTTCGACCTTCTGCGAGCTTGCTTAGATCTCGAAAATCATCATGCCTTCTTACAGCAGCTCTCGCTCCGCACCATCATCATGAAAGAGAGTGCATCACGGGCGCTCATCGAGATTCTTCGAAACTCGCTTCTTGCTTCTTGCTTCTCGCTTAGCCCTAGTCCTAGTCCTTCCTCGTGTGCTGACACGCCGAGAAGTGTCACTTGTGTTTGCTGTTACAAAAGTCCATTTCACCCCGGTCTACATGCTTCGACTCCTACAGACAGTGGGAAAAGTAATCTGCGGACCGTTTGCGCTGCAGGTGAGCAGATGCACATCATGGTCTAACAAGCCATGCATGGAGAGAGAGAGGCTCGGGCGACTTGCCCGCAGACCTCGTGTCGAATTAGAAATCAATCCTCGGTGCCGTTGGCCTAAACTCGCTACATTGGTACACGAGGCGGCGCTGGGTACATCCTCATTATATCGATCCTCTCAATAGACAAGACACGACGCGCAAACAGCATTTTCTTGCGATGACCGGGTCAGTCGTCATCGAGATAGATTGCAACAGCGTGGTCGGCGTTTCAGCATCTTGACGAGCTGGCAAAAGTACTCGACACGCTGAAACTTAGCGGCACAGAAAAGTCAACAAGCAGCTGGGGCTAAGGATTAAAAATAGCATCACCCTTGGCGTCCATTCCAGAGGACCGTCACAACCGTTTCTGTCTGGTCCTGCCACCATCTCTCTCTCCTCTCCCAAGCGCGCGCAGGTCGGTTCTGGCCGGATTCTGATCTCTTTGCCCTTTGTCCCTTTCTGCTCTTTCCTTGACCAAAAGCACCTAATACCACATCACCTATTCTGCTTTGTGCCAATAACAAAAGCGATCCTGACGCTGCTCGCGCGACAAAGTTCCGACTCCTCGATCCAGTTCGACCGCGCCCGGAATAGCCTTGCTTCTTTGTTCGCTCCTTCCTAGCCCGCTCTCACTCTTACCATACGCATTCGACCTTCAACATTGTGCCTTCCCCGAGAAAGCTTCAGACTTGATCCTCCTATCTCTCCGCGACCGCCGTTAGCCAGTACAGTTTCGCATCAAATTGCAGTTTCCACTTTAGAGACGATAACTGCCGGCGCGTCTTCCAAGACCTATCCTCCTCCTCATCATCCTCTCAACCGCCAAACTGCTCCTCGTGCAGTCCTTAACATCATAACCAAAGTCGAATGAGAACAAAAAACACCTGGTGCCATCTAAGATAAGCCTTACAATCCGCGAAAACACTGGCTCTCAGACCTTACTTGCAACACGCCGACTGGACTCGAGCCCATAAGACCTGGTATGTATAATTATCAACTACTTGCACTCTGCCCTGTACAATAGCTTCTTGTATCCTTCTTCATGCTGAACTGCGGGCGCTACTGCACTCAATGCGGCCGCTGCATGACCCCAGCGCGGCTACAGGCCGCTTCATAACATGATTGGCCAAGCACACATGTAGATTTTGTGAAGCGCCTTGCTAACACACCTTGTCCGACCAACCAGGCTTCCACCCATCATATCTTGACATACATTTTGATCAAGTTCACTGGTACCCATACCGTTGACTCGCCGCCTGTTCGGACTTGCCGATTACTACTTCGAGAAATGGCTTTATAGGGCCAATCTTGCTTCTGATAGTTTGCTCTCCTTCGTCCGCTGAAACATTGCTGGCCGCCTTCCCTCCTTCACGATCATACACCTCCTTATCTACCCTCAGAGTTCCTTCCCGGCGAAGGCCCAATATTTGTTTTCGTAAGATTTTCATTACCTGGGTCTTGAAGGTCTTTGGTGCAGCACAAACAGCCAACGATCTAACCACCACTTAGCACACGACACCTCGATTCCACTGGACATTGATCACACAGCCCTGTCGACTCTGCCGGTTTGATCAGCAAGTAGTCTGTGTGACATTGCGATGATTGGTGACTTCCACGGACCTGTGGCAACAAGCAAACCGCTTCCTGGCGGCGATGTCTCGCGAGCAGGCGCAACTTTGCAAAAACCCTTCGAATCATATCACCAACACAAAGAGAGTGTGTCAACATCCGCATCTACATCAGCAGACTCATCACCCACCACAACCGCATCCATAATCGACGACTCCTCAGCGACAGAAATGTCTCCAGGTTCATCACCAGAATCACCATTGGGAAAGCCTTACCCTACCTCTTTCGGCATGATCAGACCGCATACTTCAGACAATGCCATGATCCACTCCTCACAGCCGTTCTTTGAGCTGCAACGATCTACAACTCCAGGCAGGAAAGGAAGAAACCTCAAGAATCTTGCCGTCAACACATCTGGAGCCTTTGTCATGTCTAGAGCAGCATCTACCACATCCTTACCCATGTCATCGTCACTCGAGAGTTCATCGAATTCTGACAGTCTTGGACAATCTTTTTCGAAGCCGCCGAGCCTTACCAAAAGGCGCTCCAGCAAGACCCTTGGCTTGACCATATTGACGCCAGCGAACACAAAGACACTGCCCCAGAATGGACGTGCCGCCGTACCTCCGACTCCATCGTTTGCCCGGCCCAACGTACTTCGCCATTTTCAGTCATCGCCCTCGCTGCCCCTTCACATCACCGAGGAGATTCGCGAAGAGCCTTCGGCAGAAGCACAGCAAGAACAGAAAGAGTTTGCATTACCTATACACATGCGCGCACCCCTCAAGACCAACGACTCGGATCAGAATTTTGACATTCCTCAGTCAAAAGAGGAAAAGCCCGAAGCTTATCCTGATGGCCCTATCTGCGTTTACGGCCGCTATTTGGATCTTTACCTTGAACCAACTGCTGAGCAGGCATCTCAATACGATGTCATCCTGAACGTTGCTAGCGAAGTCAGGAATCCCTTTGACAGCGAGACGTTCCAACCTTCCGGTCCCGAGTTGCGTCTCGATGGCGGTGGTGGCATCCAGTATGCCCCGAAACGCAACTTCCTGACTTCTCAGACAGCGTTCGGTCGCGAAAATCTCAGCCCGGTCTACGAGTCTTCGCCAACCACGCCCAAGGCCAGTCCCTTCTCAAGAGACATCACATCTGCGCCTCAATCAAAAGAGCCTTCCAAATCAGAGCCAGAATACATCCACATCCCGTGGGAGCACAACACTGACATTGTGCCTGACCTCATCCGTCTTGTCAAAGTCATTGACGAGCGTGTCCAGCTCGGCAAACGAGTTCTAATCCATTGTCAATGCGGCGTCAGTCGATCGGCGACACTAGTCGTGGCTTATGTTCTCTACAAGAACCCTCTGATGAGCGTACAAGAAGCATATGATGATGTGAAGAAGCGAAGCAGATGGATCGGCCCCAACATGAACTTGATCATGCAGCTGCAAGAGTTTCGATCAACATTACAGCGACCTCAGAGCAGATTTGGCAACACGCGTGGGCTAAGTCCAAATTCACCGGCATTTGGGTTCACAGAGATGGGACGTCCAGCATCGTATGACGGCAGCAGTGTACCTGGGATAAAATCACCGAAGACTGCACCACTTCCTCCAGATACAGCGCAGTCCAAACTTCTGCTTAACCCTGATCTTCTCGCTGTCAGCCCGGGCCCTTCTTCAGCGCCTTCAGGTCTCACCTGGCCATCAGATCACGATAGCTCCATCTCGAAGAGGTCGGAAGAGCCTACTCGTCGCGAAGCAGCATACGTGGATCCGAATGGCCGAGTTGTACCTGTCGTGCAAATCTCAGGGGACCACCCTATCCTTGAGCCCAAACTCGTGAAAGAGCTGAAGGACAGACCAAAGTCCTTGAACCTTGAATCGCACATCAGACAAGATTCTGGAAGACACATAACTCCTATGATGTCTCCTAGAGCTGCTGAGTTTGCGATGGCACCGCTTCGACCGTCGAAGGAAACGGACTCAGCCGATCAGTTTGGTCTCATGTCTCCGCGCATTGTGGAGTTTTCACAGTCTCCTTTCGATCGCGATTCATTGCTCGGCGCACTCGGCATGGGTTCAGCAGTACTACCACAAGTCAGATCTCAACGAGTGCTTCCAGATGGGCCGAAGTCTCAAAAGAAAGTACCGAAGACCCTCACTCTGCGACCCAAAATTAGCGCCCCCGGCTCGAGCGAGCAACGGGAACTACAAACCATGCAATCCAAGCTCGAGGCCGAGCTGACGCATGACGAGCCAGACTTCATGGATGCTTTGGCATCCCCACGCGCGTTCGAATTCACACAAAATCCCTTTGCCAATCTTCCAGGAGAACCCAATGCTGAAAATGCTTCTGCTACTGCTGTTGCTACTGTCAACGGCACAGAGGATCCGCGCAGTCCTCCACAGAAAGGAGCTTTTCCGATTCAGCGAAACATCTTCGACGTGCTCTAGCATGGTGTTTGCATGACGCCTTTGCAATGACCTAATTCATTCGTCACTCTTCATTTTCTGCACAATATTAGACATATTCGACCGACGACTTCTCGCTCCTCTCGTATAGGAAGTGATGATATAAAATGGTCCTTACCGCGATAAAAACTTTCCGATCCGATAGGGATGTTCATCTTTTGTTTTGACGACACTTTCACGGCGCTACATCTTTGGGAAACGGAGATGGACATGAAGACTTCCCTTTCACTTGACACTCTTCTTCTTCGATTCTTCTGCTCAGCCATTTCCCCATATTTTGCATCCCTTGTTGCTATTGTCAACTCTTCCTTTATACCATGCTCTGCGGTTCGACACATTCGCTCGACTTAGCTAGCAAGCGTTGCATTTCCTTTGAACTCTTTCATAGCTTGTTTACTTCTCCTGTCTACCTATGATTTTCTCTTGTTATCATAGGAATGCACAAAAGGGAGACATTATTTCTACCCTTTGGTTTACCACTTCATATATGTTCACGTGCAGCGATTATGAATCGAATCTAATGCTTCATGGCGAATCCACGGGTAAGTGCGATCAATTACTTCGGGTACAGTTCGAAGCTGGTCGAATCAAGTCGTAGGTTCCTTCTCTTCTCGTCTTTTTCTGATTGTCTCCTCACGCCCTGTGTTTGACGAGCTGGTCCGAGCTTCCATCCATAGATGGATATATACTCCAAAGACGGTTGCAAAAAAAGAAAAGAGCTCAACGCCTTCCTTCATTTCTCATTGTCGTCTCGAATTTCCCTACAGACATAAGCCATCGACCATGCGTTCAATCGCCGACCTCCAGAAAATTGTCGACGGCGCCACAGTGGCCAAAACGGTCTTTGAGCTACGACCAGACTACCTCGCTCTGCTGATAGCCATCGATGGCATAACGCCCTCGCCCAGCGATTCAACCTCGGAATCTCTCCTCCAACGAGCAGAAGCTACAGCAAAAGCACGTCTTTCTTCTACGGCAGTCACAGACATCCCTGCCATTAAAGCCTGGCGCGATACCTATAAATCCTTTGGCGCAAAACCCAAAAAATACCAATCTTCCATCGAAGCACTCACCCGTCGCATCCCTACCTCTGGTCTGCCGCGGATAAACAAGCTTACAGATATCTACAATGCCATTTCCATCATTTATAATATTCCTCTAGGAGGAGAAAATTTGGACGCGTATATTGGAGCTCCAAGACTTATTCGCGCAATTGGAGACGAGAAGTTTGAGACGAAGAATGGGGATGAACATCCGGATAAGGGGGAAGTGGTTTGGTGTGATGAGGGAGGTGTTACGTGTAGGAATTGGAATTGGAGACAGTGTGTTAGGACTGTGTTGACGGAGGAGACGAGGAGTGCGCTGTTCATTCTGGATGCATTGGCTCCGATGAGCAGAGAGGAGTTGGAGAAGGTGGGTGAAGAATTGGTGGAGGCTTTGAGAGGTGAGGCAGGTGGGTTGGTGGTTGCGAAGAGGGTTATTGGTGTTGAAGATGGAGTCGATGGATGATGGCGGTAGGGTGATATCGCAGCAGTCCGACACATCGTGTTCATCCAAGCGTTCTCCACAAGACAGTACGCTCTCCAAACATATCTTTGCCTTTCAACAGTAGCACTAGCTATTCGTCTCGAAGAAAGAGAGATCAAACAACTATCCACAGGGTTATCCCAGGGCATTGCACCAGGTCGCCAACCCGTATTCTCGCTCCAGGAGTAACAAACAGTAAGAATCTTACTGTCGAAATACAGAAACACATTCATAAATGGTTACTTCACTCAGGGAGAGCTATAATTCAGAAAATGTATCGAAGACGAGACTGTGTCAGGAGCAGATATATCACACTCAAAGAAACACCTACGTTGAATCTGCGAAAGACGAGAAGGCAGTAGTAGATGATTTAACAACGCAGCAGACGCGTTAATGCTGCGGCAGTTGGACTTGTAGCACAGCAGATGGGTCACGAACGAAAGGGATGAGGTTTTCGTGCAGCAGATGTCTTCGCTATTCAGGACAAACTTTCAATATCCTGCAGACAAAATCGCTGTGCAGCGAATGATTTACGTGCTACAGCAGATGAAATTGTTGATGCAGCAGACGATCTTTCTTAAGCAGCAATTGGACTTTCCTAGGCAGCAGATGAACTTTTCGATGTAGAAAATCATACTTCAGAAAAGCAGATGGATCTGTTAGTGTTGCGTCCCTTTTTGATTCACTGAGCAGTAAACGATTTACATGATGCAGCAGAAGAACTTTTTGACGCAGCGAATGGGCATTCTGGCGCAGCAGGTGAGCTTTTCGACACAACAGGTGAGCTTTTCGACACAGTAGCTGAGCTTTCTGATACAGCATACACTCCCAATACACTGCAGATGATTTCGGAATACAGCAAATGGATTAAATAATATATAGTAGGTCAGCAGATGAACCATTTGTTGCAGCAGATGAGCTTCGACGTAGTAGATGAGCTTCCGACGCAGCAGATGAATTTTTGTGGCCGCAGGTGAGCTTTTGATCACAGCAGGTGAACTCTCGCGGCTGCAGATGAGTTTTTGATCGCAGCAGATGAATTTTGACGCCGCGGATCCACCTTTTGATGCGGCAGATTATTCTAGACGTAGCATATGAGTACATATCGCAACAGGTCAAACGATATATCAACAAGCGGCACAAAAACGCAGCAACGTGGACGATGCTGCAGCAGATACAAAGTGGATACGGCAGATGTTTCGTTGACGGAACATGTAGCACATGAGAGCAGATCAATTCACCGGAGAGAACGGTTAGCATGCACAGCTTATAGTCACATTGAAGCGTGCAGTAGATGCTTTCGATGATGCGTTGTATTATGTTCGGTGCGTAGCAGTACCGTATCGTAGATTGAATGACTCGAGTGGAGTATTCTGTAACCCTTCTAATCCAATCCTCATCCAGTATTATACAATAACGCCATGATTCGGCAACTTCCATTATCCTTTGCGTCAGACCCTTTGATTATGCTGCAGTCATCTCAATCTTCTTGCCCTTTACAGACTTCCACTCGACGGCCAGTGAGCCTACGATCGATAATGTCGCAAGAGCGGCAGCAACGTAATATGAGTTGGCCAAAGCATCGTTGTACGCCCGAAGTACGCCATCACGATACTGCTCGCCAATGGCTGACTTCAACTCTGTAGCACCAGTTTGAAGAACGATGGCAGGATCCAGGTCCGGTACAGCGGCCTTGAGACCAGACACAAGCTTGTTAGTGAAGACGTTTTGTCCAACCGAGATGAATAGAGCGCCGCCAAGAGTTTGGAAGAACATGACAATAGCTGTGCCAGTAGGAATATCTGCTGCTGGAAGCACAGTTTGCACTGCGATCAAGATCTGCTGCATGCCGAGACCAACGCCAATGCCGAAAAGAGCCTGGTAGCCAATCCACTCTGCGTGCCCTGTGTCAACCTTGAAAGTGGTCAAGAGTCCAGCTCCGATGGCCATAAGGACGGAGGAAGCGATCATGAAAGGTGCGTAGTAGCCGAAGGTGGTGACCAGACCTCCAGCAACAACAGAACATATGACAACTCCGAGAATCAGGGGTAGAGACATAATGCCAGATTTTGTAGCAGAGACACCCTTGATCGCTTGGAACCCTGCAAAACAGTCAGCACGGTGGTTCTGATAACACGGAAGCAGGGAGACTGGCAGATCGGAAGGTAGTACTGATCGGGCGGCGCGTTAGCAAGCGGTGTTTCAAAAGTAACAACTTTGGGATAGACTTACGACAAAGAGGAAGAACGCGGCCCCAAGGGAGACGCCGAACCAAGCACTTGCTGCCACGGTGCGTTGTTTGATGATGCGAGGAGGAATTGTAGCCTTCTCTCCCACGTAGAACTGGATGCAGATGAAGATCGCACAGAGCACGCCAAAGACCACGAAGAGGGCGATGACGCGGCCGCTGCTCCAGGGATATGTGCTTCCACCCCATTGAAGCGCCAGCAGGAGACAGATGATCATGGGAAGGAAGATGATAGTGCCAGCAGGATCAAAGTCCATGACGCGGTTCTTCCAGCCAACGGAAAGCTTCTTTGCGCTCTTGGTAGGGTTAAAGAAGAAGAAAATGAAAATTATCGTGACAGCTCCGAAGGGAAGGTTGATATAGAAGCACCAGCGCCATGTCAAGTGATCAGTGAAGGCACCTCCCATCAATGGGCCAGCAACACTAGCAAGACCATACATGGCTCCGATAAGACCGGTGTATGAGGGTCTAGAGCGAAGAGGTACAGAGTTTGCGATGATTAAGATGGCTCCAGAGAAGAGACCAGCAGATCCAACACCAGCGATGGCACGTCCGACGATCAGAGCTGTTGAGGTTGGTGCGATGCCACAGAGGAAGGAGCCAAGTTCAAAAATGACTAGTGCTGTGAGGAAAACCCATTTCAAGCTCAAGAAGGAGTAGAGCTTGCCGAAGAAAAGCTGGAAGGAGCATGTGGTGAGGAGATAGGCAGATCCATACCAAGCGATGTCGTCAATTGCCTTGAAGTGATCGGTGATCTTAGGGATGGCAGTGGCAATGATGGTGTTGTCCAAAGCGATACAGAATACAGTCAGGCAAAGAGCAATGGTAATCAAGACAAGCTTGATAGTGGTGGGATATTCGACTTCTTGCTCTTCTTCATCCTTCTGGGATCCGTCGGATTCAATTCCAGCTACAGGCTTCAGATCGCTGGACACGATGGATGCGCTTCGGATTTGCGCCTCGTCGAGCTTTTCTGAAGATTGAAGAACGCCGGGTGAGGTAGCTTCCACTACCTCTGGACCGGCAGTCTTATGCTTTCTGTCGAAAAACCCCATATCGAGGGTATGACTGAGAATGTTCCGACAGGCGGTTGACTTGTTTGATGATTTAGTGGAGGTGGGACAAGTTGTGACGGGATCCCTGAGTAGAGGAATGCAAGGTCTTTTCTACAGCAAACTTTGGTACAACTACCTGCGGCTGAAAGCAAACGGAGCCACCGAAACAGACTCACCGACGGCCAAACACGGACAGAAGATGAACGGATGGCTGCCTGGTGGTTAGGATGCGCCTCAACCTTACCAGGTATAACGACATCCCTAGCGCATTTCCACAGCGCATCTCAGAGCCGACATCTGATCGTGACGCTGTTCATACAGTTTCGAACCGGATTTATCAGACACGGATTTTGATTCCGTCCGCGCCTGTTGTCCGCCGAAGCTTGGCTTTTTCCTTTTGCACTACCATTGATTCATCCCCGGCTTGTTTGTGGAAGTGTGTTGTCTCGAACAAAGGGGGTTCATTCCACCGGGGAAGGAGGATCAGTTGCTCCATCTCCGACTGGTAGCGCCACCCCCGGCTCACAGACGCCGCCTGGTCAGAAAAGCAAGCCACCAATTTCATCGCAATGCACCTGTGGTTCCGTTTATCTCGACAGCATAGGTATATGGAAACTACAGCCCTGTTCTCAGTAAACAACCTCACAGGGCTCAAGAGACCTAGCATTGAAAGGGCAAAGATTAGGAAACATATACCACGAGCAGTCGGCACTAGGGGCATATCTACCTGCACTGTTTGACTTCTCTCCACAGCCCGGACCCGTCCGTGTGGATCGATAGCATTGTCTGCATTGAGCTCTGTCCACTCGACAGCTCTACTGCTTACATCGCGTAGAATCGGATCCTGTGGGCAATGTATAACGAGGAGCTGGGTGCGAAATGACTTGCGTACACTGGTGACCCACGGCGTACAGAGGGGTCTAGCGAGGTTTGATAATTAGGTCGTGTGGTTTAGAATTTTTTCACTCTCTACCTTCGACTTATGACAGGTAACGTTACCACAGCCAAAAGTCTCAACCTTGTGCGATGGTTGTTCACATAGCCATCGGATTGCACAGTGTATCCTGGTATATCAATCACCAGAAGGAGAGGGAGGGGGAGAGGATCATCGCGATCCCGTAGAAGCACCATGCAAAGCCCAAAAGCATTGTGCCTTTCTATAGCTAAGTTATCGAGGTTTTGCAATCAAAGGATTCGACGCACTATCCTGTTTGTCTGCAGCCAAGTCCCCTATTGTGTCCTGTCGAGTCACGAGTCACTTTTTGTGTAATTTCGTATCACTGGACGTTGTGGCGCGACGACCGAAGAGAACCTCATGCAGGGACGCTGCGATCACAGACTTGCTGCCTAAATTGGCAACACGACGATCGTGAAGAGTCGGAAGGCCGCCTTCCTTCTCGTGCGATGCCCACGAGGCAAGTTGTCAGCTGTTCGAAGTACCATACATTACCAACACGTAAGCGTGAGCACTTTTCATCAAACGATCTCGGGACGATGACTGCCATCAGTTTTTGAGGATCAAGACGTAGCTCTCTACTACGATAAGTTGTGGGATGTGTATGAAGGATCTAGAGTTGAAGGCCGAAGCTTGAAACATGACTGTTCCATGCGAAGCAGTAGGATGAGAATATGGAGGATCTAATCAAGAGACAACATAGCTGTTGAGGAAGTCTTGGATATGTTGGAAGTATCCGGCCTCGGCAACTGTGTTGTTGTGATCGCCATATGGGAACTCCTTCCAGATTTTGGGTTCGGAGCGACAAATGTAGAAGAGTCGCTTCATATGAGACGGCCTATGGTTGGTCAACATCATACTCTAGAATCCTTGCAAGTCTTACATACGGCACAATCTCATCCTGGAGCCCGCTCAAGAATAAGATGGGAGTCTCGGTGATTTGTGGGATCATTTCTTCACTTGGCCAATTCTGGTGACATAATGGTGTCAGATATTTGGCCGCAGGAATCACGCTGTCAAATGTCAGTCATTCCGGTCGCTTTGATGTAGATCCAAAGAGCACAATCTACCTTGGTATCATCTTTTTGATGCTGAGGAAAGTGTTTTCGAGTATAATCCCCGCGATATCACGCTTGTCCTTGTTCTTGACAGCCAGATCAATACCTACGGCACCCCCCAGACTTTGGCCATAGATCACAATCTTGGTCTTCTTAAGATCATCTCGACTGCGAATATAGTCAAGTCCGGTCTGAGAGTCCTTTGCAATACCCTTTTCATCCGGGTTGCCCGTTGAGAGCCCATAGCCTCGATATTGAAGCATGAGAACATTGCAATACAAATCGTTGGCCAGAATTTCAGCAATGGGAAGTCGATGGCCAATATTGCCAGCGTTTCCATGAAACATAAGAAGAGTCACGTTCTTTGCCTTGCTAGCGTTTCCTGGTTTGATAAGAAATGCGCTCAGTTTCTCGCCGTCTGGTGTGGTCAAAGTTAGTTCCTCGGCGTCTAAGCCGAGTTGAGAAGGTCTGGGAACATCGGTTCGAGCATTTGGAGGGATGTTTCGAGGATAGATGAGTTCACTCATTGGAGTTAGAGGATGCAGCAGGCCAGAGGGTGTTAGAAGACATACTTCTGATAGTAGAAAAGCCCGCTACTGATGGCCAAGGATAGACCTGAAGCAAAGATGAAGGGTATGCGGAGATAGCCCCAGAGTAGGGTAGCCATATTCTCTGATGCTTCTGAGAAAGGACGGGATTGTGAGATGGATCGTTTTTTTAGATGAGCAGGCCGTTGGTGAACATCTGGCGTCTTTGATGAGAGAGAATCGAAGTTGAAGCTGTTACTACGAGGTATGTACTTCGACAGCCAGCGAGGTATTGACATAGGTATGTGCAAAGAAAGAAGAGAAGAAGGCTGGTATAGGCATCCAGGTAGTCGGGGGCGTTGATTGGTGGTGGCTGTTGGTGACGGCGGAAAGCTTGGCGAAGCGGCGGCTGGGCTGGCGTGCTGCGTGCATCATTGATGGTTTGCCTGGAGCTGTTTGCAACATACAACTCGCATCTCACTTTCAACATTACACAGCGCTCGTTCATCTAACCGCCACTCCCGACCTTCAAACATCTCGCACCGCACATTTACAGCACACACGATGATTGGACACGCAACGGGAATGCTCGGCGAGGGTAGGATTGCCCCCGAAGAATAGCTGTGCCAGGAGCTTACCAAAGTCACAGATGGCATCCACATCGACATGAACCACCTCAAGAAGGGTGAGGTCAAGTGAGTGCTGTCCGAACCCGAATGTTGACTTGACGAGAGACTAACACACACAACAACAGCCTCGGAACCTCCATGTATGTCGAACCACCTCCCAAGCGTACGCCTGTACCCAAACTGAACTCTTTCCAGCATGGCCATCAACTTCAAGGACGGAGTCATCCTCGGCGCAGACAGCAGAACTACCACAGGCGCTTACATCGCCAACCGTGTCACCGACAAGCTCACTCAAGTCCACGACACCATCTGGTGCTGCAGATCTGGTTCCGCCGCAGACACCCAGGCCGTTGCAGACATTGTGCAGTACCACCTGAACATGTACGGAATCAACAACAACGAGGCCCCCACAACACAGACAGCCGCTGCCATCTTCCAAGAGCTGTGCTATGACAACAAGGATATGTTGAGGTATGTTTAGTGGCGCGCGGTGATGCCGAATACAAGTTGATCGTGTGCGCAGTGCTGGAATTATCATCGGAGGATGGGATCGCAGACACGGTGGCCAAGTCTACTCAATACCGCTTGGTGGTTCTCTGCACAAGCAGTCATACGCAATTGCTGGTTCTGGTTCAACATACATCTACGGCTACTGCGACGCCAACTGGAAGGAGGGCATGACCGAAGAGGAGGGTATCGACTTTGTCAAGGGCTCTCTGAGAGAAGCCATCAAGTGGGATGGAAGCTCAGGCGGTGTGATTCGCATGGTTGTCCTGACCGCGAAGGGTGCTCAGAGACATCTCTACTTGCCCGACAATGGCTACACCGGTCCTGGTACCAAGTGAGAGCGCTGCAGCAATGGTTCAGCTGCATAGCGACACCTTTTGCTTCTGATGCCGCAGCTTGCACGCAGCGGACCAAGTGGTCCGGGCAGCTACACGTTAGCGTGCATTTGGCTTCTCACCCATTCTCAGACTTCGACGTGATGCTCACAAGCACGCCAGGAGATATGACGGCGAGTACTGGGTGGGTAGAGGCACAAGCAGCACCACATAGATAATACGAATTCATGTCTCATGGAAAGCTCCACGCATACAGATGACAGCCACGTGGGTAGTGTGAGACGGCGCGAGTAATGCGAATCGTCGTGTAAATCAGGGTGAGTCGAAGCACGGAAGCTTAAATGGTGCCCGGCGTCAACGACGGCTCCCGTACCTTGGCCCCTTCGTCTTGAACTCACAGGCGCCTTCTGTTTTCTGTTGATTCGTTCTTTGCTCAACTCCCTTCTACGCGTAGAGACTTGACGCTCCCTGGCCACTCTGGCGGCATTGTTTCTGTGTGTGGAAAAGATGCCTTGCATGTGTGAGTAGCAGCTCTTTTCCTTTCCTCTCAACCTGACCCGGGCTCGCGATACATGTGCGCAGCGCGCAACGATAGTGACGTCTCGAGGCTGGTGCTGCGACATGTCGGCGACATCATTGCTGTGATCGCCGGCCGTGTTGGCCAGAATATTCAACCCTTGCCATATCTGTTTGCTGCTTGTCGCGTCCGGGACATCTGTCGGATCGCTCCTGTATTTCCTTCTGTTTGCCTGGTCAATCAAAGCTGTCTTGGCCGTTTTGTTGGTTGCTGAGCTTTGCCCATAACCCCAACCTCTCACGACTTCGGCACGCGCATCGCGGCAGCTCAAACTCGATTTCTGGCGCGCGACTAACGCATGCTTGAACAGAATACCGAGTGTCTGTATATTATGGGCTCGGTAGCATTCGACGCCTCCACACATCACTCACATCCATCGCTGCCGCCACCATCTCCACATCCGGCCCAGACATCCCCTGCACCACACGCCCGTCGGTCGCAAGACAACATGTCAGCGACCGAAAGCCGAGCAAGCAGCTCGCATGCTTCACGAATGTCAGCAGAGTCGTCAGCTCCCTCGTCGACACGACAGCCCCCCGCCTCGCCCGCTCTACAACCTGCTGCAGGCCAGCGGACTCCTCTTAATCTCGTAAATACACCTTCGTCGCACCCTGCCGCTGACCCCGAATCTTCACCCGAGTTATCGCCTACCGAGACCGACTCCACACGGGACTCGACCTCGTTCTCTCCTCAGCGCATCAAGGTCCGCGACCTGAAACATATCCAGACCTTGGCAGATAACGACATGCACCCCTTCGCAGAAGATGGTAACAAGGTTGGTGATCAAGGTCCGCAATACGAGATCAGCGGCATGCCTATTGAGAACATCATCGAGATGGTCGCTGGCCTCTTGACCAAGATCACCGCCACAAACGATAGGCAACACCAACACCTCCATCGCCAGATGACTCCGCCTGAGGGCGGCTCGTCTTCTAGTAGATTGCAATCAAACAGCGTGCTGGCCTTCCACGGAAAGAACGTGCCCAGCATAACAATCCTAAGCTATCTTCTTCGCATCAACAAGTATTGCCCTACAAGCTACGAGGTCTTTCTCAGCCTTCTGGTCTACTTTGATCGTATGATGGAAAAAGTAAACGCAGGCGCCATGCATAATCTCCGAGAGATGGACAAGCACGAGCGAGCTGTAGCTTCTGAGCAAGAGCTCAGACCTTCTGCTTCTACACAGTCTATGGAAGGTGTCGCGCGTACTAGTCACAATTATGCGCAAACAGCAACGCCTCCCCTATCTGGGGAGCTTGAGACCCAGAGCCAGGGAGCTGTACCTGGCACTCCTCATAGCAAAGCACGTCAGCCGGATTCTCCTGCTGCATCCGCCCTGGACGCAGACACACTCGACCTATCCCACCTTTTCGTCGTTGACAGCTTCAACATCCATAGGTTGGTCATTGCAGGGGTTACTTGCGCCAGCAAATTCTTCTCAGATATCTTTTACACAAACTCACGTTACGCCAAGGTTTGTTCTGTCTTGAGATATATTCATGACTGTCACTGACCCCTCTCGCAGGTTGGCGGTCTCCCACTCCCCGAGCTCAACCACCTTGAACTACAATTTTTACTACTCAACGACTTCCGTCTATCCGTCCCTGTCGAAGAAATCGAAGCCTACGGAACCACACTAGTCGAGTTCTACGCCAGAGAGGTTTTGGCTCAGAAGCAAGAGCAAGCCGAATGATATGTCTACTGGCCCCTCTGGTCCACCAAGCATCAATCACAACCGACATCGCGCACCAGCATTGGCAGCGAGATTCTGTAATAGTGCATAGCCTGTCAGTCTCCTACGAATAGCTCGCTTGAGAGACTGGACTCTTTACGACGAAACGATAGCAACCTGTTTTGGCTTCTTATTGGGGCATATGATGAGGGAGGTATATTAGAGCGCAGTGTTGTCCTGTTTTAGAGCCCATAGATCCAACATACCCCGTCCGACACTTTCATTGGCATTCGCTTTCTGCCATTCACTCTTTTCTGCTCTCTGGTCATTCCCTTTTGGCTCTACTATACCATGTGTTCTTCCGGGTTACCCTGGCTTTTCTGGCGCTTGTGCATCTGTCAGAAAGGCGTTTATGGTTTCTTGGAGAATCTCAGAACTGCTACTCATCAAATCGTCTTTGTTCCAGCCTTGCACGTGGGCGTCCGTTATGACATGCACCGTTTTATTTAAAGTTCACGTATGCCGAGAAGAGATGAATGCAAGCGAGGGCATTCGGATGATTGAGAAATTAGAATGCATCGGAAGACGCTGATTCGATCGGTAGATTTGGGCTACGAGTAAGTGCACGAATAGCATGTCTTGCCCACCTTTAGATGAAGAGGTGTACGTACCATGTAGATATATGTAATGTGCTGTTAGGCGTGCCTATCACAACTTTGACCGAGTCAGCAGGCAATCACTCTGCAGTTACCAAATTGGTCACGTATAGAGGCGCAAGGACCTGCATTAAGCATAAACGAGCGGCAGAGCAATGATGTACCTACTTTTTGGTTGGAGGTGGGTCTGTCTCAATCCTTGGTAAACATGCGTCACTTGTACGATCGTTACAAGGAACTCGCAACTTCGATGGCAGCGCCCAGCGGCAGTTTCGGACTTTTTTTGCGCGCCGATCGTCACGCACACAAACAGGGCAAAAGTTGGTCAGGAACTTCCTGCAACTACTTGTTCATCGAAACCGAAGAAGAGACGTGTGCCTAGAAGAAAGTAAGAACGTATGTACTAATAGGTGTCGCGTTCACATTTACGAGTGAGATTGGCTTCCTCTTTGCTGTGCGACCAAACATTTTCCGACGTGAGGTCAATCTGAAACCGACAGCTACAGGGCAGCACAGCAAGCCAAGAAAAGTCGCGGACAAAGCTAGTCTATTTCAGAAAGCTCGACCGTCACTCTTGCATAACAGGCACGCACGTCCATTGCTTTGTCTACAGAACTTTCTGGACATTGCTATTAAACTTGTTGTCGCCCTCCTCTCCCTACAAGGACCTGTCATAATCTGGGTTGATCTCCCACCTACAACGACCTCTTCACCTAGCTATCGCGGTTTGTGAAACATTGGCCACTTGACACAGGGTCCACGTCTAGGCTTCTCGCCAACTACACACGTTCCTACAATCACACATCATGTCGACCTTCGTCGCCAGTCTGTAAGTTGTACATGACGCAATGATCGAGAGCCATCGCATCCGCTGACAATTTAGATTCTTGCCGTACACGGTAGACTTTCACGATGAACCAGAGGCCCCTACAAGGTCGAATCCGCAGAGGATGCACAGTCGAGCAGCATCCGCAACTGACATGAAGACCCTTGCGACTTCAGCGGCAAGTTTATTCAGTGGTCCTCCTCCACCTCCTAAGACTCCTGCCGAGGAGAAGAAGGATGACTTTTTTTCCCAATTGCAAAATGACCCTCGCATCAAGCCCAGTGATCCGCGCTCACTTGCTCGTACGGAGGCAGCTCCTCCGGAGTGGGGTGCCGCTGGTCAGTTTTTGAATCAGCCCAAATCCACCGCTGGGCCATTACCGTCTGGTAGCATTCTTGACTACGTGAAGTCGGAGAAAAAGGACCCGGAATTACTAGCCAAGTACACTGCTCAGAGGAAACGCAGGCCCACCGTTGGTACTTCGCGCAGAGGTAGCAACGAACGAAATTTCGCCCGTAAGACCTGGACTGTAGAGCCTGCCATCCAAGGAAATGGTGGCTTGATCAACGCCATCCGTGCTCACGATGCCCTGAGATCTGACGAAGACTTCCAAAAGATCTGGGTTGGTACCCTAGGGTTCCCTACTGATGCTCTTCTCGATTCCAAGAAGGAGGAGATATCAGACAAACTCGCCAACGAATACGACGCTGTAACTGTTTTCCCTTCGGATCGCGATGTTGATGGGCACTACACTCACTACTGCAAAACGATTCTCTGGCCAGTCTTCCACTATCAGATCCCTGATCATCCTAAAAGCAAAGCCTATGAAGACCATTCCTGGGAGTTCTACAGGAACGTCAATCAGAACTTTGCCGACAAGATTATTGCGAACTATAAGCGAGGCGATGTTATCTGGGTGCACGACTATCACCTTCTCCTTGTGCCTGGTATGATTCGCAAAAGGTTGCCTGATGCTCAGATTGGTTTCTTCCTCCACGCAGCCTTCCCATCCTCAGAGGTTTTCAGATGTCTTTCAACCCGTACAGAACTACTTGAGGGTATGCTCGGTGCCAACCTCGTGGCTTTCCAGACTAAGGAATACGCCCACCACTTCCTGCAGACTTGCAGTCGTCTTCTCACAGTCGAAGCCACACCTGAGGGAGTACAGTTGGAAGAACGCTTTGTGAATGTCAGCCATGAACCCATCGGTGTTGATCCCGAGGGTATGGCAAAGGCTAGAGAAGAGCCTGAGGTGCAGGAATGGATCAAGATCATCCAGGAGAGATACAAGGGTAAACACTTGATCGTTGCTCGCGACAAGTTAGACAATGTCAGAGGTGTCAGACAAAAGCTACTTGCTTTTGAGTTGTTCCTCAACAAATACCCCCAATGGCGTCAAAACGTAAGTCAAGAAAGTGTTTGTCAAGTCTTGTCGCATAGCTAATCTTGTCTCGACAGGTTGTCCTCTTACAAGTTGCCACCTCTACAACGGAAAACAGCGAGCTCTTGGCCACAGTCTCGGATATCAACACCCGTATCGACTCCGTTCACTCGACGCTTGCGCATCAACCTTTGGTCTTCTTGAAGCAGGACATTTCTTTCTCACAATACGTTGCACTGCTTACTGTTGCTGATGTCATGATGATTACCTCTCTCCGTGAGGGTATGAACCTGACAGCTCATGAGTTCATTCTGTGCCAGGACGGTGCTACAACTGAGAAGAAGTTCGGCCCTCTAATTCTTAGCGAGTTCACTGGTAGTGCCTCGGTCTTCGGTGGCAATGAGATCTCTGTCAACCCTTGGGACTACCAGAAGTGCGCCGAAGCTATCAAGCTTGCTCTCGAGATGTCGCCCGAAGAGAAGGAGCGTCGCTACACCAAGCTTTCAAGTGTGGTCCACAAACAGACTGGAGACTACTGGACAACCCGTCTGTGTGACTCCCTCGACAAGGCGTCCAAAGAACAATTCTCTCGTGACGCGATGTCGATCCCCCGTCTGTCAGTCAGCGCACTTGCTCAAAAGTACAAGGATGCAGAACGCAGAGTCTTCATCCTGGACTATGAAGGCACACTTGCCACTTATGGAACAGACAAGGACGTTGTTTTGACGTCTCCTCAGCGTGTACTTGATACACTGAACGAGCTGTTATCTGACAAGAGAAACATTGTCTACGTAATGTCTGGCCGTACTCCTGAGGAGTTACAGCGTCTCTTCCGCCAAGTGCCTAATCTTGGTGTGATTGCCGAGAATGGATGTTTCTTGCGCGAATGGGGTGCTGCCGAGGATGACTGGACCGCCTTTGCGGATGTTGAAGCAAGTGCTGCTTGGAAGAAGGACGTCAAGTCAATTTTCCAATACTACGCCGAGCGTGTTGAAGGATCGTGGATTGAAGAGCGCCACTGCTCTCTCGTCTTCCACTACGAAAAGGCTGTGGATCCCGATGCTGCTCGTGCTCAGGCAGGAGACTGTGCCAACCACATCAACGACAGTTGCCAGAGTTACAGAGTGCAAGCCATTCCCACGAGCAAGGCAGTCTACGTTGAATCGCTTGACTGGAGCAAGGGCTCAGCAGCTACAAACATCTTTGATAAGCTTCGCGAGAATAACATCGAGGGCAAGGGACGCTCACCTCCTGACTTCCTACTGGTGGCTGGCAACGATCGCGAGGACGAGACCATCTTCCAATGGGCCAACAACCTTTCCGAGCAGGGCAAGGTTGCCAACGTCACCACTGTCAGCGTTGGAAAGCGCAACACCCAAGCCATGACTACCATCACCCAAGGTACGACAGGCCTCATCAGCGCCTTGCAAAAGCTGTCAAACTACTCATATGAGAGTGCTCCCGAAGGATCTGGCGGCCGTCGCCCATCAGTTCTCCTTACTACTGGTTCTTAGTTGAAATCTTCGGCCTTGTGACGTCCCGGATGCTTTTCGCCTGAAGGAGTATGAATGATGGTTTCTGTTTCGCATTGTGACACTAGTTACTTTTTGTGTTTTTTTCTTTTTTGCTTTCCACAGCGCCTTTTAGTTCTTCGCCCTATGCATGTCACGAGGATAGATGAGTAGGCCAATGAAGTCACGTCTGTTGCATGAGATAATCTTTCCGTGTCGGTTTTCAAAAGTTTGGATGTGTGCACTGTCTCCTTCCGTTACTGTTAACGCGACGCCAGGTGTTTGTCAGCTCGTTGTTAAACGTGTTCCCGCGGGGTCGGGCCGGTTTGGCCAAAAATGGTGAAATATCGAGTTGTGCAAGGTGAGAAGTTTCAGGAATGTGACTTGAGAACCCAAAAGTCATGTTAAGCTGATTGTTCACATGTGAGCAGATGCAGATATGTATACATGCAGCACTTTGTACTATAAGATCGGTGCTTGGATAATCATAGGTTCTTACCATGGTTAGTCAAGACGATGGACCGTCCGCATGTGCGTCTGAATTGGAAATACTGCAACGCAATATGTATCAACTACAAGTCATGAAACCCATGTTTGATACGCTAAAGATATCAGAGTACATAGCCCTCAGCGTGAGAATACTACACACGAAGACCGGAATGATTTAGCATGTTGTATAAGTATATATCACTGCTTCTGACACAAAGCCAGGGTGACAAGCTCAACCATCGCCCCCGGACTGCGAAGAACATCAGCACACGAGTCTCACAAAGCTCGAGTCACTTAAACACTGCCTGCCTGTTAAGCTTTTAATACCTTCGAGTCTTGAGCTAAAGCTGTTGTCAATCCGGACATAGTTCAACCATGGTCATCGATATCAAGATCTATAATTCATCGTGCTGTTGTACACCCTCAAGATCCTGAATCCGGCCAACCGGGTTCAGTCCTTACAAGCTAAGGTGATGTGGTGTAGTGGTAGCATGTGTCGTTGTGGAGGTTAAAGTCCAGCAACGCCGACCCGACGGCGGTTCGATTCCGCCCATTGCCAGGATCTGGAAATACTTCTTTTTGTTTTGTTTTTGCTTTCGTGCAAACAGAGAGTGAGATTGCTGTTTTGTCGCTGTTTCGGAAATTGAACACATGAAACGCGAGTCGTGTAGGAGAGGTCTCGTGGAGAGGTTGACGCTTTTTATGGATATAGGTGTACGAATAAAGATGTTCTCGGTGAAGAAGAGATGAACCGCGGATCATAGAGATGATGTGAATGTCTTTTTTCTAGTGGTACGATCTCATGAGATTTAATCATGAAGGGAATAGAGTAGGAAAGGTCATGAAAAATATGGGTGGGGGATTCCTTGCGCCTTTTGATATCCGACAATTGGACGCCACGCGCAACCTTTCTCGTCTTCCATTTTCGTTGCAAAGCACGCCTGAAACGCCTTGCATCCGGTAATGCATGACGAGATGAAACACGCTTTGAAGAGCGCTGTACTAAAACGACACAAAACGCCCAATGACTTGCTTTGAGAACAGAGATGAATGTGAATCTCGTTGAAACTCCGTGCCATGATGTTATAACTTACGCAGGACTGACTGGTTTCGAGCTGGAGGGCGAGTGACTTGTGCGTGGGTTCGGACCTTGGTAGATGTAGATGTCGACGGCGCTTGCCGAGTCGCCGTAGCCGTAGCCAGGTTCTCCAGGAACTGGTAGCGAGGTTTGTGACTTTTGCTTGAAGCCTTTTGAACGGAACAGGTCCCAGAACATGGCTTCGCTCTCGTGTCGAACTTTTGTGGAAATGAGGATGACTGCTCTTGGTGAGCGCTGGACGAGGCGTTCGAGCGTATCTACCAAGGGGGGAATGCTGTCGCTGTTGTAGATGCATTCAGCGACCAAGATCAGATCAAAGGCGCGAGAGGAGACTTTTGGTGGTAATGGTGCCTCCCAGTCCAAGGCAGCAAAGTCAATATTGGACGACATTGCGGGATTGGCAGCTGCGATGTTGCGCTCGACCAATTCGTCGACCTCGGGCAGATCGGTGAGGAGGACATCGCAGTCTGGCACGGTCTGAGCGAGGCCGATACCGACGACACCGCAGCCACAACCCAGTTCCAGTACATTCAGTTTCCTGTATGTGGCGGAGGATAGGACACTTTCCAGCAGGGGTGCCTCGTGAACAGAGCGGAGAGCGGCGACACGGTCAAGATAGGCAGTCAGAGCAAGACTGCCGTCCCACAGATGGCGGGCGATGCTCTCGCCAGTGTCTTCGTACATGTTCAAGGTACGCCCTGTCAAAGGAGTGAAACGGCGCTCGACGCGTCTGCGGGTCTCGAAGATGCCCTTGGTGGGGTCCAAAGACTCGCTCCAGACGGAGATGATGCCTGGCAAGTGGCCGCGGGAGTGGTGTTCCTCGAAGCTATCGGCCATGGCACCGTTGGCTTTTGTGTGGACATGGAGTCTGGCAGGCCAGTCGATCTCTGTGCGCGTCAGGTCGAGGGAGATGTTCAGAGAACGCATGTCTTTCTTCCATTGCAGCGAACGGCGGAGGTAGATGTCGCCATCGTCGTCAGGCTCGCGGAGACTCGCGGCGAGCAGGATGTCGTGTGGGTAAAAGGTTTCTCCCAAGTCGGTGGTGAGAGTGATGACGGCGCTGAGGGTGACGGCGCCGTTCTCGACGTGCACCTTGGGCGTCTTGAGGAAGCGGACTAGAAGTCGGTGTGAGCGATGGGTTGCAGGTGACAAAGGACAGGCACGGAGCAGGGACGTTGACGTTGACGTTGACAGGGCTCTGGGCTATACTGAGGCACAGTATAGGTCCCGGAGTAGTGTTGGACAAAGTGGTGGCTTACTGTAGTGCATGTTTGTCGCAAGGACGGGCAGAGAGGGCGCACGACAAAGTGCTGCCAAACGCTTTGCAAGAGTCAGGAAAGAACGGCCAAGGCGTGTGTTTACAAGCTGTTTTACATGTTGAATTCGTCCGTCAACGAGAGTGACTGGAGGCGTTTCCTCGAGTGCCGCTTGGGAATTCTAGGCCCGTCTGACGCTGTCCGCACAGGCATCCAGATCGGCCGACCTTTTGCTTCTTCTCTTTCCCTTCTTTCCTTTCTTCGCTGTTATCTTATCGCATCTGTCCTCTCCACATCGCCATGCCGGCCGCATCCGAGCCCTACTCTCTCGTCGGCCCCAACTCAGTCCCCACCCCGGCGACCCGTCACCCAAGGCGCCCAGGTTTCAAACCCTAAGGCACGCCATTGCCATCATCCTCAGCACAGCGCCAGCGCCCGTTCCCCGCGCCATTCCTCCTACCATCCACGCCGCCGCACTCGACTGATGCCACTCGCCCGTCATGTATCGACGCAGCGATCCTCGCTTTCGCCGCACCATCAATGAGATCTCCCAGACCTTTGAGAGCGCAAACGAGTCCGCCCAGGCAAACATCTTTACCTTCTCCCACCGCTATCTAGGCCCTTGCTTCTCCTCCATCGGTTCTTGCTTTCAATCCTGCTGCTCTGGTCTTACGTGCTGCGACGGCCGCTCATATCGCTCTCGCGCCCGTACACGCGGTCGCCCTGAGCTGAGCTTCGACTTCTATGACGACTGGGACCACGACGAGACTGCCGGCTTGCTGGCATGGGACAACGACGACCTGGACAGAGGATCTGGCTACGGCGCAAGTGCCATCTCGGATCAGCCTGCTCGTGAGCGTGCAATGAGCTACGGTGCCCGCCGAGACAAGTATGGTCATCGCAAGAGCCAACCTCGAGACGACCCCGACTCCGATCCTACCCTCATTCCTGCATCGTCATATTTCGGCTTTCTTGGCCGCTTCTCCAGCAAGCTCACTGGAGCAAAGACTCTACGTTACAAGCCTTCTGCTGCCGACTTGCAAGAACACCCTGGCGCTGCGAGGACCATGCCTTCACTCGCCGAAGAGGTTGATTTTTCTCCTAGAAAGAGAAGCAACACCGCCGGGAGCAACAACACCACCGACTCGTTCAGCTCGAGAGGCGACCTTTTCCCGAGCGAAGACGAAGACGACGCCCGTGAGCTCGACGACGAATTTGCCATGGTCCTGGAGCGTCGGACAACCAGCGCCGCATTGGAAGATGTAGATAATAATGGTAAACCTCGTCGCCCAGGGAAACGCCCAAGTACTGGCTCTAGATTATCAACTCGGACCATGTCAAGCAGAAGCACACGCAGCTCCAAAAGGCGATCTCGTGCAGTCAGCCCTTCGCCGTCAAGAGAAGTGGAACCCAAACCCGTACAGTCCTTGACCGAACTCAAACAAGAAGAAGACAGGCTACGAGAAGAGGAAGAAAGCACCATTGCAAGCAGGAGAGATGCTGCCCGAGGTCTCGCATTAAAACGCGGATTGAGTGTCAGCGAGTTGTCGCCCTTGGATCCTGTGCCACCCTCTCGAGAGCCAAAGCTAGCAACAAGTTCTGATACTGCACAGACCATGTCTACAGAACACATATCGGAGCAAAAGTTAGCACCAGCTTTAGCATCGCCGAATGACGACAAGACACCGAGCAGCGATACAGTGCCGTTCCCGAGCTTCGATCCGGAAACAGCAGCAACAGAGGACGAAGGCGACTTTGTGCCAGCCCAACTGCCTCGATTTACGGGCTCATGATAGAACGAATACACCAACTATACCTCATGTTTGCAGCGACGGAGTCATGGTGTTTATAAGCAAGCAAGCTTAGATTGGGATACGAAATTTAATGTGCATAACGAATTTTCCTCTGTTCTTTGTGGTTCGATGGAATTGTCGCGATAGCATCGCCTGATTAGGAGAGCTTGTCTCGTTTTGCTTGAGCGAGCATATAGTATGGGTGGGTCTGGGAGGCTGAAAGCAACGGGCCGCATCCAATTAATAAACCTTGTTAGAAGCAACCCTCCACAAGCAAGACTGGGCCCATAAACATGAAACCTGGTACTACCAGGACGACGTCATTGACAATTTTCTGAAATGACCATTTCTGGACATGTCTGCTCTTACACGATGTCTTGATGTGGTGGGAGTGGAGTGTAGACAGGCCCGGGCAGGTACAAGTAGGGGCCGTTTCACAAGCGAAGTGTCTCGGACTCGGGACGAAGCCGGGGGTGGCTTGACAATGTTTGGGTTGCAAGGCAGAAAGCGAGAGTCGTGGAGATTGGCCCGTCAGATTAGGAAGCAGAATTAAGCAAGGCCAAGGGGAAAGTTGAGAGAAGTGTGACATTTGCGATTGTGCCTTGAGTTTGAATGTAGGGCTCGGCCAAGCTGATTCGCCGGGGCAGATTGGCATCGAAGACTGGAAACATAACGGCTTTGGGCCCTGAGTCAAGAGGCTTCATGGTTTAGGCGAGAAGAGGGTTGGCTGATTGACGAGCAGAATATTTCGCCGTCTACCACGACATTTCTTGTTGCATTCGACTGGCGAAGACTGCTGGTATTCGGAGTGAAGTCTTTAATATTGGCCATCGTATCGCATTGTCTTGTGCGCTTGACCCAAACTTGGTATCACGCCAGACACAATAAATGAAGGGCGCTAGCGTCATTGGTCAAGCAGGCTGCAGATAGTCTGGTTGTTTGGACATGTCGCTGCACCAGCATGCCGACCATCCCACCACCACGTATCAGCGTGCTGCTGCTACCCTACCGCCTCACGCGAACCAAGACGCACTGGACCTGCCATCTCCCAGTCGAACGAGCCCGCCCAACTTGCGTCCGACGCATGGGCAAGCACCTTTTCGTGCCAGGCCGCTAGAGAGCACTCGTCGCCTGCGTGCTTCTCATGCCTCCGTCTCTCCTCAGTTCTCGACCATCATGCCTCCGACAGCTCTCACCGCCGCTGCTGCTGCTGCTGCCGCTGCTCAGCGCGGCCCTCCCCTGAACTCGCCCGCGAACCGGACCGTCTCGATGGATTCGACTCTGTCTTCGCTCTCTTCATCAACTGCTCCACAGCCCGTAGTCCGCTCACAGTCGTCGATATCTCTGGAGATAACCGACATACCCACTCTGATCGCTGCCGCTGGCTCTCCCGAGGCTGCTATCGCGAAGCTGCTGCAAGAGAAACATTCCGGTTCGGCACATACCACTCAACTATGGAGGCTGGTGGAGAAACAGAGGGCCATGATCCTTGGTCTCAACAAGGATCTTGAGCGCATACTCAAGGAGAAGGACAAGTACCGCAAGAGACTCAAGGACATACTGGGCGAGCAGTCTTCCCGTCCGCCCACCACAAGAGAGAGCCTTGCTTCTACCGCCCAAGACGGCCAGTTTCCCAATCTGCCCACCTCCAGTCCGTCGCTACCCACGAGTGCCTCTCTGGACAGCTTGCCTTCTGGCTATTCGCGCCCCGCTCGTGCACAGCCATCAGAATCTGCATCTTCATTGCCTGGTCTCCCAGTGCGCTCGGCGAATGGCTCCAAGACACCCTTGGTTTCCGATGCCCCACAAGTAGTCTCGCCTAAATCCTTCTCGAGCCCGAACCAGAGGTTACGCAAGGAGAAGCCTGCTCCGTTAGATCTGTCAAGTGCCCCTACCATGCTTCGCGAAGCCTCGGATTCGGACGACGACGGGACCCCCCAACTCTCGAGAGGAAGAAAAAAGACAAGAGCAGACGATGATAGACTAAGAGAGACGCTGGCTGGCCAAAGTCAGCACAAAGAGACAGCTCAGCCCAGCAGCCGAAGTGCTTCACCTCCGACCGTCAACCGACGTATCCCTGCCCCTGCTGATCTGGACGCGGACCCTGGTCTTCTCAGCGACACGGATCAGGGCGTACTCAGCGATGCCGAAACAATTGATTTCGGCTCTCCCCAGCTCGCCCAAGTACAGACATTCCAGAGCATGGGCCAGATGGTGTCTGCCGATGCCCCCGTCCAGCCCAAGCGCCATCCTGTATCTCTGACCGTTCTGAGCCCTGGTCTACCCATGAGCCCTCGTCCTGGAGACAGGCCTATGAATTCGCCTATGCCTAGAGCTTTCAAGCAATCCTTGTCCTCAATACCCATTTCGCCCAGACTTGCTGGCCAGATGCCTCTGTCACCCCGTGCCCCTCGTCAACCTATTCCGATGCCGCCGCAGACGCCTCTTTCGTTCGCATCCCCTCATCTTGCTCGTGCAGAGACCTATCAGGCGCTGGCCGCAAATCCAATGTCCGACAGACTCGCAGTTCCATCGCGACCACACGTGGCCGAAAACGAACAGTTTTCGAATGCGCCCACTCCAAAATCGCCCGGTGAAATCTATCGCGGATTTGTGTCAGAGCAGTATCCTGGCCTTCTTCTGCCTCCAAACGCTCTTCCTTCTATCTATGTAAAAGTAGACTCATCGCGGTTGCGACCGTCGAGGCATAGTTACATGGCGCCGAGACCATCTGAGGAAAACCCTGTCATCACTCTTGCTGTTTTTGCTCGATCCGACAGAACACAACTATGGCGCGTAGAGAAGTCATTGACTGCTATGTCCGTCTTTGATCAACAAATCAAGACCGCATCTAATTTCAGAACAAAGCTTCCAGATCGTTCTTTGTTTACAGGTCACGCTCCTGCCCGAATGGACGCCCGTAGGAATGCATTAGCCATGTATTTCGATAGCATGCTCGACACTCCCATGGATGATCAAGCCGCTGTCATCATTTGTGGCTTCCTGACCGCTGACGCTATCGGCCCAGACATGCCAGACTACTTTTCGCAAGAAGCGGTCAAGACTGTCAAAGCTCCAGTGATTCAAGGAGGAGGAGGAGGAGGAGGAGGAGGAGGAGGAGGAGGAGGTGTTCGAAAAGATGGCTATCTGACAAAACGTGGAAAGAACTTTGGTGGTTGGAAAGCCAGATACTTTGTGCTGGACGGACCAACTCTCAAATATTTCGAAGCTCCAGGAGGCGCTATTATGGGCTCGATCAAACTGACGAGCGCGCAAATCGGCAGGCAAGCTCATCATACTCCACGTCATGAGGAAGATGACAGCGATAGTGATTATCGACATGCTTTCCTGATCCTTGAGCCCAAGCGCAAGGACTCGTCAAATCATGTGAGGCATGTGCTTTGTGCCGAGAGCGATGAAGAACGCGATGCTTGGGTTGAGGCTTTACTGCACTACGTCGATCATATTGTGTCACCCACGACTCTGAGGAAGCAAGATTCGTTACACACAATGCGCAGTCCACGATTGCAGAAATCCATGAATGATCTCTCATCAGCGAGTTCGAGACAGTCCGATAGCTCTTGTATGCTGCGTAGCATTCCATACCAAGCTACTGTACCTGCCGAAGCGCCTGTGATTGGGCCCACTCGCGATCTTGCCACGCCTTCACCAATCGGCTCTCCAGCAATTGGTGACATCGAGCAACACCACGACTCAAGCCATCACCCACAAATTTCAGGTCCGACGAATGGTGCAGTCATTCAAAATGCAGAGTCCTGGGGCAACAGAAGGGAACCTGTCACCCAGACCAAAGACAAGAAGCGAAGCATATTCGGTTTCAGAGGCCGCTCATCCTCTGACACGGTTCCTGGAAGTATACCTAAGGATCTGGTCCAGAGTGAATCGCCTGTTCTTGTGAGACCGGTCTTTGGCGTACCCTTGGCCGAAGCTATAGAAATTGCGCCACCGTCGGACGTTCCAGTTCACCTTCCCGCAGTGGTTTATCGGTCCATCGAATATCTGAGAGCCAAGCACGCCTCGTCAGAAGAGGGTATATTCCGTCTGTCTGGCTCTAACATAGTCATCAAGGCATTGAAGGAGCGATTCAACACCGAGGGCGATGTCAAATTGCTCGAAGGCCAGTACTATGATATCCATGCAGTTGCAAGTCTCCTAAAGCTCTACCTTCGGGAGCTTCCTGCTAGCATTCTCACAAGAGAACACCATCTTGAGTTCCTCAAAGGTCTGGATGTGGACGAGAAAGTCAAGGTTGAAGTATTCAATGTCCTTGTGAACAAGCTGCCTAGGGCGAACCGAGAACTTCTAGATATTCTGAGCACGTTCTTACGCGAGATTGTAGATAGAGAGGGTACCAACAAGATGAGTGTCCGGAACGGTAAGTCTCTTTGCTGTTGGAGTCTACTTCTGCCGATTAACTAACGTTACAACAGTCGGCATTGTCTTTGCACCAACACTGAATATCCCGGCCCCCCTCATATCCCTATTTGTGATGGAGAACGACAGAGTCTTTGGTCCTCCAATCGACATAACAACTCCGGTCACATCACAGCCTGCAGATACACCGCTATCAGGGGCCGCTCCCGAAAGCGTCAGATCGCCTCGACACAAGATGTCCAGCGAATCGTCAACACCTGGATACAATCAGACAAGCTTCTTCCAGCAGCCTGCACCGCCTACCCGCGATGGCCACGACAATGGCTTTGCACCATCTCAGGCAGCAAACAACGAGAACAGATCCGTGCCGCATAATGACAGATTCTCTGGGTCGAACGGAAGTCGTACAAATCAACTGAGCAATCCGATGAGCAAGCAAGCCAAACGGGAGAGCAACACATTATTCATGAATTTCGGGCCTGCGGGCCAAAGAGAGCCCCCACTCAGTCGTCTTCGGGAGGCTGAAAACTTCGATTGAGCGATACCAAAGCATAGACGCAATCTAGATCAGATCGGTATCAGAGCATCCAAAGGACGTTCCAGAGGGGTGCAAAAGGAGTTTGGGCTATTGGGTAACAATGGGACAGACTTGAGTGTCCCACTTATGAGAGATTGAGATCCGACACAGGGAAGCGGCCGAGTTGAAGTTTCTAGATGTCCTGCGTTTCTCTACATGCCCATGATGATTTATTCCATAGTACCGAGATTCCCCTTCCTGCAGCAGCAGCTATTCAACATGAAGTTTTGGCGTGTTTGTTCTCGAAAACGACATTATACAGCTTCATGTACACATGATTCAAGACTGACCAAGCGAAGAGTGGTTTGGAGCTGTCAAACAGGTTGCGGGAGGTGCACGGCCGTTGTCGGGTCGATCAACAAAGCGAGCCCTCGGTCAACAACAGCAGCTCGCATTGCATTGCAAGATTGCTGAATAAACAATAGCCACCTGCTGGACACGAACGTCATTTGGGTCTATCCATGCGCCTCGACACCGACCTATCCTCATATCGACTCGAAACCCGACAGTCCCCTTTGTTCATGCCTGTGTCGTCGCTGGCTTGACGACTCAGCGCTTCCCCGAAATACTAAAGAACGCAACGAAGTACACGCCCATTACGACTAGATTGGACCAGGATATCTCTACAGCGCTGGCACACGGGTACAGCTGCCGAAATCTTTCACAATATCCTCGAGTCACCGGAAGACTGAGCGCAAGCACCGGCATCACACAACGACCACGACATGGCGTCCGCGTTTGGTGGAGGGGCTGTGGATCCCGAGACTCTGTACACGAAGCAGGCCTGCATTGGTAAGAGGGCGGATACGGTCAGGGCAAATAGGCGCATATGCTGATACAAGTCAACAGGCGGTGGCAGCTTTGGCAAGGTGTACAAGGGGTAAGTCGCACATGCAACCTTACGTATCTTGACTGTTCGCTGATCTTTACTCATAGTGTCGAGAAACGTACTGGTCAAGCCGTGGCCATCAAGGTCATTGATGTCGAGAATGCAGAAGACGAGGTCGACGATATCATACAGGAGATCTCCATCCTCTCTGGCCTCAACTCCCCATACACCACAAAGTACTATGGCTCCTATCTCAAAGGCTCTGACCTGTGGATCATCATGGAATACTGCTCTGGTGGTAGTTGTGGCAACCTCATGAGACCTGGTAGCATTCCCGAGGAGTACATCATCATCATCATCCGCGAATTGCTCATGGGTCTGGAATATCTACACAACGACAACAAACTCCACAGAGATATCAAGGCTGCAAACGTCCTTCTTGGCTCAAACGGCCAAGTAAAGCTTGCCGACTTTGGTGTCTCCGGACAGCTCTCTGCTACTATGACAAAGAAGAATACCTTTGTGGGCACTCCCTTTTGGATGGCTCCGGAAGTCATCAAACAATCAGGATACGACCACAAGGCTGACATTTGGTCTCTTGGTATCACCGCTCTGGAGCTGGCCTACGGAGAGCCTCCGTACGCAGACATTCATCCTATGAAAGTCCTCTTTCTCATTCCCAAGAACCCCCCTCCCCAGCTCGAAGGCAACTTCAGCCAGGCCTTCAAGGATTTCGTCAATCTTTGTTTGCGTAAAGAGCCGAAAGAGAGACCAAGCGCTAAGGAACTCCTCAAACACCCATGGATTCGCAGGGCTAAGAGGACTACATATTTGACCGAGCTGATTGAAAGATATGAAAGGTGGCAGACGCGTCACGGTGAACGCGAAGAGGACGATGAGGATTCTCGCGAGCCATCACCACCTCGTAGTTCCGAGGAAGAAGACCTGTGGGATTTTGGTACAGTCCGACCCCTGTCGCGGAGAGCACCGGGGCTGAAAATCATGAACGAGGCCGCTATGAACACCCGCAATCAGACTGCCGAGCAACAATCTCCCACTAAGCAGACTGGTCATAGGGCAGGAGAAGAAAATTCTAGTCGTCGCACCGTTCGAGCGGCTCCCAATATGCCACCCCCGCCATTACCTAGAGATCTCTCCCCTTCCAAACGACCAACCTCATCATCGGACATGGTGCCCCCTTCACCCAGTGTTGCTGCTCGTGTCCCACTACCGGCGTCACCTATCAAGAAGGTGCCACAAACACCTCCCGAGACTCCACGCACGCCACAATCGACAACCTCGAGACACATGGCCAGTCAACCGCAATTCAAGTCGACGCCGCAGCAGATCAACGACGATTTCATACAGCAATCCATCGCTGCAGACATGTCTTCCTACATGAAGGGCCTCTCTCTGAATGATAGAGCAAACGAGCAAGCCCGACCTTCGACACCAGCTGCACAAAAGCAGGCCAGCACATCAAACTATGGCCCATCGAGATCGCCCGAAAAATCAAACGCTAGCCCCTTTCCGCTCGAGAGAACGTCATCTTCGTTGAGTGTCCAACAACAGCAAGTGCAATTGCAACAGCAACAACCTCAACCTCGAGCTCCACCACAGCAGCAGCCCCTGCCGTCACTCGCGCCTCGCAGACCGAGTCCGCCTGCTTGGCCCGGAACTACCGGAGCTTCAAAGTTCCAGGTGCCAGAAGCTCAAGCTAGGTCTAGGCAAGATTCCGACACTCAGTCCAGATTGCGATACGATTCAGATGCTCAGAGTAGACTGAGACAGAACTCGGACGCTCAACTCAGAAACCGACAAGGCTCAGACGCCCAGCTGAAGACACAGCAGTCATTTGATTCCATGCAGAGCAGCTCATCAAGCAGCAGACCCTCGTCGTCTTCTTCGGCTTCAATGACCGGGCCTTCGCCTCCAGCACAGCCCTCGAACGACGAGATCACTGCTCTATCAGGCGTTGTAATCCCTGCTCTCGAAGCCGCTCTCCACCGCCGCGCATACCAGCTCTCGATGCTGCAAAAGTCAGCCACCGCGCAATCAAAGTCCACACCTACTCCCCAGGACATCATGCTCAAGAGACAGGCACACGAACAGATCCGTAGATTGGTCTCGAAAGTGGGACGTCTCATGAAGGACATTGATCACTGGGACAGCGTTGCACCGGTCGGCATGGGCGAAGGTGTAGAAGGATTTCTCGAGGGTGTTTTGGAGGAGATTTTGTGCCGAGTGGAAGCCGAGGATGCTTGAGCAAAGTTTGAGGAAGTATTTATTCCCTTTCTTTGGACAAGATGTTTTGATGCATCTTGTTGTAGACCCTTTTTGAGAGGGCATTCTTGTTGCGTTTCTTTTCTTTTGGTATGCATTTTTGAGCGGCATTAGCATGCGCAGGGCGCAGATTGAGAAAGTGAGAGGCACATGACAGTAGAGGTTACATGAAAATACCTGAATGCAACCCACTTTTTGATAGAATAAACATTGCTTCTCATCGTTGCTTGTGAACAGAATATCATTGTCTTGCTTCATATGCCTCCTGAGCTGTCATCTTCAGTTGGTCCAGTGTTCATGCTCTGACTCGAGACTGGTCACTCATCTTTCGAATCTGGTCCTGCATGCGTGGCAGTGTGTGGTGGTTCGAAGCTCTCCTTGTCCAAGATTTTCTATACCTTCAACAGCTCTCTTCTACGGTTGATGGTTGAGGAGGAGCAGCTTGAGGAAGGTCAACGCCCAAGATGTTCTACCCACTAATGCTGCAGTCATAAAAACAGCTTGGCGGCTTGTAGAGGTCACAGATATCAAGATCGTAGTGAGTGGACGATTTTGAGAGTCAGGTCACAGAATACATTTTGTTTCTGCAAGGTGCGCCCCCATGCCATTCTTTCCGTTGTTAAGTATCAGTCTCTGATTGAGAATCGCGATGGAAGAGATGGCTTTGTAGCTGGGAGGCCTTATCTGCGAGGAGAATTTGTTGAAGGCGGTTCTACACTATGTCGTAGAAGAGTCTTGTCAAAACTTCTTTTCAGAGAGCACGCATGCCGTTATAGCACTTTCCGTGTGTTCGAAACCCGGTCTCTCGCCAAGGTGTCGGTGGAAGGGATGATGTATTTGTAACCAGAAGCCGTGGTAAACGAAGGGGGTCCTTGAGACCGAGGAGTCGAAATATGTCGTTCTGTATCACCACAGTGTGTACTTCGCTTTTGGATAGCGCTTCTCGTTTCGCTACCGGCCGAGGACGGATCGACAGAGCCATCAATTGAATGCGGCGCGCCACCTTCCGAAATCATGCTCCTCCACAGGGCTGCGAACTCCACATCGGCTCGTCCGTAAAGGGACTTTTTTTTTTTTGCTTCGCAGCCAATCTCTTTGGATTAGGCTTCACGTGATAGCCTTCTTCGACACATGTCGTCGCCAGGCTTATTGTAAGCCCGGCCCGCCGCCGTGGAATGATACCCAATTGGGATATTTGGCCGACGGCCCTGCGCTTTCCCCGACCACGCGACGACTGCATCCCCGAGGCTCCAATGCCAAAGTTCGATCAAAACATCTTGTTTCCCAACAGATTTTTTCTACAAGCCGCAACGGCGTACACTGATGCGGATGTAACATGGCTACCCGTCGGCACTTGTCTAGCAAGTAGTAATCGGGAACATGAACGAGTGTGGAGGCAATGAGTAAATGCGGCCAGTAAGATGCCGTTCGGATCGATGATGCATTGATGTACAATTCCCCTAGTGTTTGTTTTGTCAGTCCGAGGAGGTGTTCACAAAGAACGCACACTGATACAAACCCTACTCGCCCGAGGAACTTCGGTATGTGGCCATGAAAATGGTAAGGAGTGTAGCTCGACCAATCTGCATCACTCGAGATGCTTCGAGAGCTGACAACTTTCCATGAATAGGGTTGGAGTCGTCGAAAGTAGCATCCTTCAAGAGCCCCTCCGCGAATATGTAAGGATCCACAATCTTCACGGTTTCCTTTTGGTGTGCGTGGCACATGTCCCGCCGGGACTGTTTTAGAATGGCGAGTTCGGGGTTGAAACAGAATGTTTGCTCGTATTAGCGACGGGCATTTCCTCCGATCGACTTTTGTCTGGACTGCTGAATGGCATGGCATACAACTCGGCCGAGTCTTCCGAGTAGCACGCGATTCATAAGGATGTACTTCCATATGAAGGCCGTCGTTACGACCATAAGGCAGAGAAAAGAGCCGCACGGGCTCAGGCGGGCTCAGATAGGATGATGATGCATAAAAGTCTCGCTTATACGGCAAGATCATTTCCTCAGTGGCGCGTCAATGGGGCAAGTTTTGCTCCGAAGATAACTCGACCATCAAGAGCCTCAGGGCAAGAGCATTGAACACTGCTGTTTGAGAACTTGCCAGGATAAAAGAAACAATATATGCAACCATGCAGCGGCACACATAAAGAGGGAAGGACACGTACGTACGCACAAATCTGATGCCAACAAGCGATGTAAAAACGATACTCACTCAACAGCCATCCAGCTCTCTTTCTTCTTGGCTACACTATACACCCATTGTTTGCAAAATTGGTCAACTCTGCGGTAGACAGGTAACTTGGTGGCGGACCCCTCTCCTGTCTATTCAAGACGGAGCCATCGGGACTTTAGCTTCGCTCCTACCTACTTGGTAATAACGAGCACATTGGCAAACGACCGGCAGCTCCGACAAAATGGTCCCTGCAGTCTCTTACTCCTTCCCTGCTGGCCAATGTGATTTACGTCTCCTACCGATTCCACTTCCGGTCTCCTACTTTTTCCCTCTACTCCTACCAATTCATCGGTGTCGGCATCGTCAGGGTTCACGTATGTGGGAAAGCTTGTTGTACGTCAGGTACTCTCATCTCTCGCTACGTGCGAAACATCGAGGAAGTCGAATAGATCGCCAGTTTCAACGCAACTCAGATGGTCTCGACTGTGAAAGCCTGCAAAGTATGGCAATTAGCATACCACAAACACATAACCTGCCAAGATGATCTGCTAATTCTTCCATGCTATCGAGCCTGTCCATTGCCTTGTTCTATCTCGGAAAGCATCTGATGACCATCGAACTAGTTCCTCACCGCTTCTTCAGCTTCTCTACTCGAGAAAGATCTCGAACGTCAGGGCATTTGAAATACCAGACATGCTTTACGATCGACATGTCTTCAAACGCGTTGCACATGTAAACGTATGCCATCGTTGTTCAACACACTTTAGCACGATTGCAAGCTCGCGAGAAGAACCGAGATTGAACGAAATGGCTTCTACAGCTCACCCTTGGTCAACCGAGCACACCCTTTAGACACGAGCCTGTGACACACCACTTCGAATCAAGCATTTCACGAGCCTGCCAATATACAAGCCACCGTATCAGACCACGACCACGCTCACCGCATGCGTAGGGCGTATCGACCGAACGAGCAAGACAAGCTCAGAGGCTCAAGGCATGTCGCATGTCGCAACTTTCAGCAAGCCTATGCGACATCAGGGCTTACGCATGTGAAAAGAGCTTAGGCAAAACAGCGGACGCAGAGCAAAAAACAGGTGTATCAGAAACCTTAGCATCCACAACATCGTGAGGCCTTTGCTCCACAAGGGGCCAACGTGGGTCGTGGCTTTCTGTAACCTTATCGAAGGGGGAACAGACACGAGGTGACGGAAAAACACAAGGAGGGTCTGAGACATTCTGCAACGGCTCTGAGTGCGGTGCGAGCACTTTTTCATTAAATCACAACGTCGCGAACATTAAGTCTGCCACTGCGTAAGTATAGACGCCAATGACACCTTCTGTGTCGGACAGATGTGCCGTATCTGTCGAGATTGGTGCAGGGAGAGATATAAACAGCAAATCTAAAGTCCCATGGACATGGCTCATGAGATCCGTTGGGACGCGATGATTTTACTAGTATAGGAAACACAATGCCAACCTGCCCAACCTATCTCCAGACTTCCTGAGGGAGAAGGAAATGGGATGATGAACGCCTCGCTGGGAATTTCGACAAGAAAGCCAGAAACCAGGAAAGGAAAAGCAGATACAAGTAACAATGAAACGAAGAAGCATAAACACGCCATTTTTGTTCAACCATAATGCGTCCATTTGACGTGTTCCACAATCGTGATCTTACTCACATCATTCGCTTCCCTCCAAGGTTGTTTCGTCCGGGCGTAGTGTTGCAGAATTTCCTACTCGTCTTTGATATATGCCCCATTTTTTGAGTCCACGGTAAACAAGGAGGACCAGTGGATTGATATGCGAGGTACTGGGATAATCCATCTCGCCTCTGACGCGCATGCATGGATGAGTTCATCAGAGACCAAAGTTGACGACACCCATGCCTTTTGCCTTTGCCATGTCGATCCAATCCACCTCTTCCGGTCTACCTCCAGCCAATATCCTCTCCCTCTGCTCATCATAGACCATACCCAGCAATTCTCTACTCCTCGTTGCGTTCCTTGAGATCCCCGTGCCTTCCATGACTCTCATCGAAGCAATCGCACGGGCTTTTGTCTCCATATCCGGGCTTGCGAAACCAGCTACAAAAATTGGGAAAACGAGTTGATGGTGATCGTAATTTTGGAGTGTTACTGCCGCGTCGGCCATGGAGAGGATTTTAAGACTGTGGAGGCGGGTTTCAGAGCGTTGGGAGGGTGTTAGGTGGAAGGACTGCGTTGGGTAGAGGGAGCTGCTCGAGTAAATTACCCAAGTGCTGAATTGTAGTTGTGCCTGCGAGAGGTACAGCGTTAACAAAGAATGGTCCAGAGATGAGGCAAGCAAGGGCTTACAAAGTCTAGGAATATCCTAGCAATAGCAGGAAGTCTGCCGGTCGCGTACTCGGAGTTTGGCTGGAAGAGGTATGATGGGCAGTAGCGGTTCCATGTGGCGTAGAGCTCACTCTGGTACTGCGCAACCAGTTGGATGCGCGCAGCCAGGATCTGACTGCCTTGCGGTCCATTTAGATCTTGCACTGCGGCTTCGGCGCGGATCTTCAGGGATAGTTGGCATAGTTTGGCGCCTTGGATGCACATGTGATGGGCAAAGGTAAAGACGTCAGTGTGGGCACTCGTATCCTCGCCGCGATAGCCATCACCCGGTTGCACAATATCGAAGCCTCCAAAGATGCGATTCCAATCCGGCATCGTCAAATCGTTTGTGAGGAAGGCGCGAACGAAGTCTCCGTTGCCGTTTCCTGACAAACAGGCTTGTTTGTCCAGGTATAGCACATACCAGAGCAGGTAGGCTTGTAGTATTCCATTTGATTGCCCTTTGCGGTGTTGGGCTATCCTGATTAGATGTTGGATGTGGTGTTCCCACATACTCATGTTGAACACCTCTTGGGTGTTGCTCGAGCCTTGTGTGGCATAGCTGATATCGTAGATCAGTAATAAGAAATGTAGATATAGGAGGCGGTCGGAGTGTAGGTCGGAAGGTGAAGATAAGCTGGAGGATATAGCTTGATGGTAGTGCTGGAAGGCTTCTGTCAACAGCTGTTGCTGGCCCTTGAGTGCCAGGCTGAGCAGAGAGACTGCGCATATAGCATGGTAGAGCTGGTATGATGTCAGTAAGGCTCATGTTTAGTAAGCGAGCGCGCATGAACGAGGGTTTGCATGAACGAGAACGTTCTCGTCATCCCAAAACCAATCGTGTCGGCTGCCTTTTTGTTCGCAGCGGTGTGACTGTGAGGACTTATAGCAAGCTATTTGCCCCAGAAATGTGGAAACGAGGCTACACGGGACGCTGCGACTTACCGGAGGAAAGTCTCTGGCTTCGGCAACAATAGGATCCTCCTGTGATGGTCGGTCTACAAGCAAGGTCTTTCCAATGGGAAAGATGCGCTTTGAGATAAAGCCGCGATAATGGACCATAAGCCTCTCGTCTCGGAGTCCCTGGGTGACCGAGTCGTTTCGCCGTCCAGAAGGTAGACTTGAACCTCGCAAGCCGCCAGAGATGCTCAACGAGTGCAGATTTTCTGGCAGGCTGGTTCTCCTGTCCACAGGAAAGGATGCCAGACTTGGGAGTGACAAAGGCGCATCCTCAAATTTGGCGAGCACCACGATGTTGGGATCGCCGCTAGGAAAATTGATCTTTGGCCGGTGCCTCAAGGCTTCCATGGACATCTGACTGTCCCAACTGTTCCGACCCGAGTGGATACTGGCCCTCCTTGATCGTGCTCCAGGAAGTGGTCCATACTCCGGAAGACTCGCAAAACTTTCGGGGTTGACGACGACGTTGAAAGTACCAGGTACTTGAAACTCGGCCTTTCTCTCACGATCCTCATCATTTGTAAGCTCGGAGAAAGAAGGAAGGTTGTCGTGAGTAGGTGACTGTGATCTCCGATTACCCAAGCTGGAACGATCTAGGCGTGGTGCTTGCGCTGGTCATGGTCAGCCATTTCCCTTGGGTGTTGCGACTCCTCCTGTGGCGATGGTCAAGTCGAACAGCAGGATGAGAAACCACTTACGATCCCAGACGGCATTGCCGGCTGTTGACACGTTTGAGTACTTGTGTCGTGTGTTCTGTGTGACATCGTCGAACTTCCAGCGGAACTCCCAGTCGCATTCCTTATTCAAACGCGTGCATGGCTACATGGGTTAGCATATGCTATTGCAAAGAGGGTCGTGGTATCTTGCTTACACCGCATCGTGGATGGACCTCATCACATTTGACCTACAAGCCCAGTCAGTGTGTTTGCCCAAAATGTGGTTGAGGCCTTCGTGTCCTCATCTGTTGCTATGCACACACCTTTCGTTTTCTGCATGTCCTTTTCGACCATCGAATCAGTAATTGTTCAAGTCTCTTGTGATTGGAACGGAATATGATATTACCAGCAGCCGGCCCTTGAACGGTGTGACAGTCTCGGCCGCGTAGAGGAAGTACTCCCACCGGCAGACTCAGTATCTGCATTAGCAGAAGTAGCAGGAACGGACTGCTGACCTCTAGGTGCTAAAGGTGGAAGCTGGGTTCTAGCGTTCGAAGATGCATCAGGTCTTCGATGTTGCATCGAGGCAACAAGACATTGATATGCGGGTACCGGTACACAAAATCAAAGACCTTCTTAGTAAAGGGAAACGGCAACAACAGAGAGTAGTATTAGCAGAAAGACGAGCAGCTTTTAGCGGGGCAGACTGGGAAAATCCCAGTATAGGAGCGTCGTGCCGAGCCAGCAAGCCAATGAGAAAAAGGCGATATGGAAATTCGGAGCAGTGACCACGCAGTTTCAAGAGACATTCAGACTGGCAAGAGAGTAAGGACAGAAGCTTGAGGTGATACTGAGCCGATGGGAAGCGAGCATCGCAGGAAGGTCGGAGGATCGAATGATATAAGGGCAAAAGTAAAAAGGCACGAGGCACGCAGGCGCCTTGTGCGTGGAAAGTGCCAGGGTTTTGCATCTTTCCGCTTTGGTTGTCTACTAGTTTAGGTTCAAAGAGTTTCGCACTCTATTAGGATCAGAGCGAACATGGCTTTCGTGGAGAGGGCACTAGATAGAGGTAATCGCAAGTGGTGAGGCGTGGACGGGGGACGAGCCAACAACGGTCTGAGGGATTCAGGACTTGGGGAATGTGATGCCGGGAGGTGATGCATCTCGCACTTCGCAAAGAGCAGGGAGCTGTTGCTAGCGCTGCTGTCGAGTCTAAGCGTTCCATGTGAAATGAAGATAATTCCAACAGGCTCAGCACCGCCAACATATATTCGCTTCTAGCGTACTTCTAGCTCGGAAACGTGGCAGCCACGAAAACTTGAAGTGCTCAACAACTTGGTATGTAGAAAGCCCTTGGCAGCTAAAAGATGTGGGTACTGAGCGCAATTCAGGGTTGAGATTTTCTCGCTTGACCTCACTATTCCGAGTAGAGCCTCTATACGTAGGCGGTCAATGTTCGATCAACATTTCTTTCTATTGCTTGGATATGATGTCAGAAGCAAGAGCAACAGACATATAAGTGTTCTGGTAGCTCACCTGCCTTTACTGCTGTGATTTCCGAAAAAACAACATCGTGGATCAATCGGAACTGTTCTTGGTTGGCCACCGTGGCGAAGAATAGGCCTTCCGAAACAAACTCTTCTGTATGGTCTGATTCTTGAGTTACAAAAACCCATCCGAGTGGCAGAAGCGCATTACGTCTGAGGACCTAAAACTTAAAGGATCATCCCGCGTACAGACAAGAGGGCTTTGGGATCAACTCGGAGACTTCCGGCAGCCATGGTTGTCTACCAAGGAAGCGGCAACGGTTGACACTAGCAAAAGATACAACATCGGACACGTTCGAAAGAAGTTCGACTAACAAGCCACAGCCGATGATATGGAGTCGTGGTTTAACAACATCGCAAAGGGCTAGTTTTATCTGCCCGGGCAAAGCTTAATATGCATCTGTCTATGCTCATGCTGGCCAGGCCCTCACCTAGGCCAGTCAACCTGGTATAACAGGACACAATAAAGCAACAACATCATCTGTAAAGTGCATCACTGGCGGTTTCTACGGGCCGAAGATATTGAACCACAACCCCAGATGTGCGCGCTCGCAACGGCGCAGGGCCAGATGTCACCTCGTCATCCGGCGGCGCTCTCTGCCGGCAACAGATGACATACGAGCGGGCGTGTGCGGAAATTACGTTGTTGTGATTGGATAAGCGACGGAAGCGGCAGTACTACCGTCTCTCACCGGAGCCTGCTCACAGCTGGATATCCTGCAGCCACACGTGCGTACAGAGGTAGTTGTGATAACAATTGTCCCATACAGCGCCAGCCAACTAACCTGATGCAGGCACAGGTCCAGACCTGCGATCAAAACTTGGATAATCAATGTCCGCGAGAACAACAACTCTGCTTGCATACCGTTCTCTTTTTGGTAGCCGTGCGAGGGCATGCCGAACAATACTCAATATTGAGCAACGAGCTGCGGTCACCAAATGGCATGCGACATGCAAAATGACGATTCGACACGCTTTCTTATGGTCCAACGGGAACGCTGGAAGCTCGTAACTTCGTGGATCAACAGCTGCCCCGTTGTGAGCCCCGTCGCCGAGCCCCGTCGCCGAGCCCCGTCGGATGTCCACATCTCGCAGGATGATGTCGTGCAGGGCAGGGCACAACTGCCGCGATGTTGAGAATACAAATATTGGAAGACATCATCACACGCAATCAAGCATCGATCACAAACAGGCAACAGTCTCGACACTGATGGAAAGTTTTGACGGAGCCGGTGGATGTGGGTGGAACTTGGCATGGTTGAGAGTTGCAGACCACGTGCAGTATGGACGATTTGACGAACTACGCGTTTGACAGCCTAGCGGGTACAACCGATGACCCTATTTTCTCCTCGTCGAGCAACGTCCTTCGGGGCTTCGACGCCCTACTCCTGATGTGTTTTTGGAAGTTCTCGACGTGCTTCCTCGGAGTTGTCATTTACCATGGCTGCGGTGGCTTGTATAGTCACTGAAGCTCTTTCTTTCTCTTTGAACCCACGTGGTAGCACGAACTTTGTTTTTGCCAAAATTGCTGCATCACAGCAGTTGTATTGACCTCTTTCGTGAACCCTAGCTAGGTAGAGTCGAGTGGCGCTCGGTTATTCGTCCGAACCCAGATAGATAATGTCACTACTACGTCGTTGCCTGTAGCCCCTCAATCCGACGGCGCAAGTCGCGTCCAGCATCGCTTTCCTGGATCTCTCCTTGCAGACATGCCAACATACTTGCCTTGGCCTTCTCCATCGTCTTACGAAGACTCGCGTGCCCTTCGGTCCGCATTGGTTGCAAGATCTGCAGGGTGTCGACGACGCGGTCCAACCTCTTTTCCATGAGCTTCTGGTCCTTCTTCCAAGCCACATCCGAGGGGTCGAAGGGTCTGCAGAGCGCTTCGACGCTGTTGACAGTAGTGCTTTCCCTCCTGAAACTCAATTAGATTCGAGAAAACCGTTGGTCGGATGTCACTTACGAATCCTTGTCGCCGGCTCCGACACCGTCGTCCACATCCATGTTGTCCTCGTTCTCGGTATCCACTACGTCGGTGAACACAGGTTTGACTACATCGCACATGGCGTCGAACAATTCAAGATCCTCTCGATTCGCGGCCACAAGGCCTAGACACTTGATGGCGTGGGGTCGGTACGCCACGTTCTGCCTTTTAGCTTCCCTTAGAATAATCTATCATTGATCACGTCAGCAAATGTGTCGCTGTAACGATCATCCCGCCGAAAGATAGTGTCGGCATGACAGGCGGCTCAGGCGCATCAGCATAAACGCAATGTCACTTACCTTAACGAATGTCTTCGCGACGGCATCCTCGGCTGACCAGACATGCTTGGTGTTCTCTACAAATTTGGCAAAGGCATATAGCACTGCCTCCTTGCCGTCCCAAGTCTTTCCGCTCAAGGCCTTCTCAAGGACGGGCCATATCAGGTGGCTAGTCGTGGTGTCGAAGCCACTACTCATCGATGCAAGTGCCGTGGTAGCATCGGCGACTGATCGGGCTGCTGTATGTTTAATTACCCACTGCGGAGAATCCATGTGCTCCTGAGCCATCGAGAGAATTTCCTTCAAGTAAAGAGAGATGGCTCGGCTGCCTCCGACATTGTCTTCCCAGGTGTTTCGGAAGATTTCCGTGACCTGGTCGTGAGAATCGTGCTTGCCAAAGAAAATGAAAGGGAGGAAGTCGGATGCAAGAGAGTTGAACCTGTCATTTGCATGCTTCGAGATTGCTTGCATGATCTCGGCAGCTGCGATGCTTTGACGTGGTACTGCTTGCTCGCGGTCGCCTTCGCTCTCAAAGTAAAGCTTTTTAGCAAAGGTCGCTAGACGCAGTACCTGCTTGTCTGATGCACCACGAGCGACGTACCCCGATGAAGCTGCATATGAGCTAGAGACTGTCTCATTGCGGTCAATGACTTGTCTCTCGATCAGCCTCAGGAACTGGTCTGCATATGGTTTGAAGAGCACGTTATGGCGTGTGCTGAGTGACACCAAGACACGACTGCAGCCAACTTTGGAAGGCAGACCTACTGCATTCTTCATAGCAGCTTCGAGGCGAGGTTGGAGTTGCTCCATCGAATTTTCATCAAGCAGGTCCAGGCATCGTTCAATAGCTTCCATCAAGGGACTGCTGCGGATGCTTGACAAACGGATATCGTCAATCTTCTGCTCAGTAAGATTGTACTTGCTTGCGTTTAGATGCAAGTAGTTGACAGCTTGTGGCTCTAGAATACTCAAAAGACCCACCAAGCGCTCAACTAATTCCGGAATAAAGGGTCGTAGAATCTTGCCACTTGCCTTCTTGATGATCTCCAACAAAGTGTGCAAGGAGAAGCTCTGCACCTCTTCTGCGCTAGATTCGATGCCGGATGTGGAGAGAAGGAAGGGAAGTACGTTTTTGAGCAATACACCGGCGTTCTTTGATGCCATGGTATCTGCCTCAAGCGATCTCGTAAGAATACCCGTCAGTACGCGAGCCAACGCTGCTGCTGCTGCCCTGACGGATTCTTTGATGTCATCAAGTACTTTGAAGCAGACACCCCAGATCTTCTCAAGATACTTCTCGTACTTTTCCAGAGGACGGCCTTGTACGAGATCTCCGATAGCAGCACACGAAGCTTGACGTACTCGCCACTCTTTGCCTAGGATGTTCAGGAGCAGATCATCCATGATGGCGTCAAAATGTGAGTCAATAGTTGCGGTAGAGTCCTTGACCAGTGCATTCCATATGTCAGTCATAGACCGCTGGACGTTAGGGTTGGGATCAAATCGGTACCGGTACAGCTTAGGGTACAGTTTCGGATTACTGGCAAGGTAACCATCGACGCTTGAATCTGACAGGACATTGCTGAGACCGAACCTGCCAAATGCCGCTCTACTCGACCAGATGGCATTGCTGGATGCCAACGACATAAATCGATAGACCAAACTCGAATCACCAACTTCGGCAGCAAGACTCATGATGTCCTTGTAAGTAGTCACAGATCCATCACCAGTTGGGAGCGCTCCAGGTTCGAAGAGTTGCGTCTCCGCAGTGACACTCCCGGCCAGTTGCGCCTTGTTGTCAGAAGAAAATGATCCGATAAGGTCTCTGACCAAATCGTCTTTCAAATTTCTGTCGCCCTTCTCGTAAACAAGACCAAGACCTCTGGAAGCCGTCTCTTGAACCAATTCATCACGGTCTGAGAGGCATTTCTTGAAAGCCACTTGACATGCAGCCAACTGAGTCTGCACTTCTTCTAGATGGCCGCAGAACTGCACCAGACACAGCAGCCAGATGACCGACGCCTTCTTGAGCGAAGGTTTGGTTTGTTTGCAGTCTTGGAGTGTCCTATCAAGAAGCTTGCGCAACGAGTTGACACGTGCAGGTCCGGTCGGCACAGAAGACTCCACGTCAGTCCGGTGGACGAGAGCTCTGGACCTCCAGCCAACTGCTGTGTAGCTTAGAGCTTCGCCCACGGAGAAGTGTGTCTCAGCCTGTCTAATATCGTGTAGCTGGTGCAGTCGCTCAGAGGCATGCTCAAGAAGTGACTTCTCTTCAGCGTCTGTTGTTGGTTCCTCGAGCACAGTGGCCATTTTTCCAATAGCTAGAGCAGCGCTCTCACTGCCCCCCTTAGCAATATCGGCCGCCTTGTCAATGATCGCTTTCAAGCCGCCCATCTTCTCGAAAGTAGTAAGCTTGACTGCCTGGAAGAGGCACAAGTCGCCGATTGCATTATAAGCAGACTCCTGCAGTACTTTGTCGGTTGACTGTAGAAGGATTTCCACAACTTTGGTCATGTACTCGGCGAACGGCGCTGACGATTCGAAGTCATTACCACCGCGGAGAGCATATCGGCTATAGAAGAAGCCCAGAGCAGATACGGCACCATGGACTTGGTTTGCTGCTGCGCCTACAGCCTCGCGCCAACTCAAGATTTTGCTCAAAAGCTGTTGTACAGTCTGCAAAACTTCTGTTGGGCGATCAACTTGATTCCTGGGATGAGAAGCGAGTAGGCCAAAAGCATGAGCTGCAGACTGTCTGGTAGCGAGCTTGTTCGAGGATATCGAGGGAACAAGACCAACAAATTGTGGAGCTACCGTTTCAACGAGCGCATCAGGACTGAGGGCGCACAGTTCGAGGAACAGTTTATCTGCGTCTTCGACCTTTATTTTGCTACCCTCTGGAATCAACACGCTGACTGAGAAAGCACGCAGTAGGAGCTGCAGATTGGTGGCAGCACCATGTGCCTCGACTACAAGCTGGGCTATGCAATCTTTTACAGTCTGTCGGATCTGTTCGTCATTCTCTATAGCAGTGTCGAACTTGTACTCCCAGTCGGCGTCTAGCTTGACCTGAGTTGAGCTCTTTGACATCGCATCATGCATGAAGACACGTCGGCAGTACTTGATGGTATCCATAAAAGCGTTTGGGTGGCGTTGGAGGAGTTGTTGAACCGCAGTCGCAGGATTGTGGTCCGTGGAAGAACCTGAAATATCCGACACTGCTTGGTAGAAAACATAGTCCATCAGAGTCTGGTAGGGAGGAAATTTGACACTCTCGTCTGTCTGAGATGTACCAACAGACCCGTTGAGCATTCGGTACCAATACGGGCTGAGTCCTCGTCTGCCTTCCTCGACGACTTCTTGTCTATCGGTGGTCTCTGCAGCGATTGCCAGCAAATTCACCCATCGAGCCTTCACTGAGGCGTAGGGAAGACAACGATTGGCGTACCTCACGGCAACGTAGCGAGTGCTTCGACGCTGAGGGGTCCCAGATCTGTACATCTGATCGATCAGAAGGTTCTCAAGACTGGTTGCAGTCTCCGAGTCTCCGTGTTTTGCAAAGGCTCCGAGCATACTGGAAAGCGACTCCTCAATACTGACAGTGACGGAGCTTGTAGTAGTGTCAAGAGCCAAAGACTCGAAGAGCCAGCGCAGGATGTCGAGGTTCGGCTCAGCCACAAGATCTTTAGGACCGGCTTTTGCCAGCAGACCAATAACCTCGTAAGCATATCCTCGAGAAACGAGATCCTCATTCTGGCTGGGCTTCGGCCAACTTTGTCCCTCGATGTATTCTCGTAACCTTCCAAGAACGCGCGGAGCAATGGCATAGAGGCTCTCTTCGCTACCAAAGCGAGAGACGAAGTTGATGTAAACAAAGATGGCCGCACGAAGCTTTGTGGCTTCTCTGCCCAATGCAGATGGGTCCTCGTTTGCTGAGGTCGCAATGCCGTCATTTACGAGTCTGACGATTTGTTCGGTGAATGTGGTGCTGACTGTCGACTTAGCGAACAGTCCAAGAATTCTCAGCTGTAACGGCACTCGAGCTCGCTTCTGGGAGTCGATACCCTCATCGCCGAAATACAAGGTATAAAGAGATTGGACAAAATCTGGATCTTCGAGCGAGATATTGGGTAGTGTTCTCTTCAGCATATCCTCGCCAATGCCAGACGTTGACTCTGTGGAAGCGAACAAAGCAGGTAGGATACGTTCCTTATCTGTGAACATGCCACTAGCAAGGACTTTGGCAACACTCGACTTGATCTCGAGCAAATTGAGACCCATTGGGGAAGCTGGATTCCAGACATCATCTCTGTTCTGCAACGTCAAGAAAGAGTACTCGCTTGGTCTGAGACCAGGGCAAGTCACTGAGGCGGTGTTACTGCTTCCTTTCACCACTGAGAAGAGAATCAACTTTCCAAACCAGAACGCCAAGAAGGAAGTGTCTTCGTCGCTGAGCTCGAGAATCGAGCGCAGCTCGTCATCTTCCTTAGTACCTCTTGGAGGAAGTTTGAAATACTTCAGTAGCTGGAGGAGCAAATTGAACATCTGAGAACCATGGGTTGGCGAGGTCTTGCCTGCCGAAGCAACACTTTGTAGTACAACAGGGAACAAGGCAGTGCTTTCCACAAACGACATGCGTCGGATACCCGTCTGTATGTACAGAAGATCGAAATGGCGGATCAGTGGGACATTTGGATTTGACTTGAACTGTTCAACAAGAGCAGCGACTGGTAACTTTACGGACCTATGTCTGGTCAGAGTAATTCTACATCAACCATGTTATACTCACTCCGGCTTTATCCTAGTGTTGACGTGTTGACAGATGCCGATAACCTGTCACTCAAGTTAGCGATGGCTTCGATTTGCGTACAGCTCGTGCTTGTCCAATCCTTCTCCGAGTTGTGCAGACATACCTTGTTTCGGACGCTCATATGTTCAGAGGCGAGTTTAAGCAATAGAGGTGCCAGATAGGTGTTCAGAGTAGATTGCAACTTTTGATCACCATCTGCAAGGGCTATGCGCATCTCAACTTTGCCAACAAGGGACAACTCCTTTGCCTCCGGTGATTGTGGAGTGGCCATGATGATGGTGAGTTGTTGAAAGAGTGTGGGAGGGAGATTAATTGAGTTGTTGAGTGTCGATCGTTCACTTCGTCAGCATGTCAGATGAGAATGATCTAGACGAACAGAAACCAAAATAAACAGAAATCTATAATAAATGTGTTGCCACAAGTGTACGAATACCACGACTGCCTGGATGTGGTCGGACTTCAGATGATTGATAACCAAAGAGGCAAGCGCGCCTTGGCGGGAAATGGGGACCCTGACTCTCCGGCGTCCGTACGTCACACAAATGATTGTTCTCGCAGATAATTATTCTCCGACATCGCATGGCTGAAGCTTGCACGAAGCTGTGCCAGTCAGTCTTTCCCTCATAAATCATCACTCGCACAGAAACCATGTCAAGCACCAAAGCCAAATTGACCGTCTTGATCTCGGGATCGGGGAGTAACCTCCAAGCTCTCATAGATGTCTGTGGACAGGCAGCTCTCCCGAATGCAGAGATCATCAGAGTCGTATCGAACAAGAAAGCCGCCTATGGATTAGAAAGAGCACAGAAGGCACAGATTCCTACCGCCTACCACAACCTCCTCGAGTACAAGAAGCGCTTCCCAGATGCAAGCGAATCAAAGAAGTTCGAGCAAGCCAGAAGCGAGTATGACCGGGACTTGGCCTCTCTGGTTCTGGCCGACAAGCCAGACATAGTCGTCTGCGCAGGTTGGATGCATATTCTCGCGCCCACTTTCCTGGAACCCTTGAAACAGGCCGGTGTACCGGTCATCAACCTCCACCCAGCGCTTCCCGGCCAATTCAATGGTGCGCACGCTATCGATGAAGCATACAAAGCTTTCCAAGAGGGCAAGATCGACCATACTGGTATCATGATCCACTATGTCATTCAAGAGGTCGACATGGGAGAGCCGATTGTTACCAGAGAGATCCCTATCCGTAAGGGCGACTCACAGGACGAACTGGAGCAGAGGATCCATGAGAATGAGTGGGAGTTGATCGTCCAAGGCACGCGAAAAGCTATCGACACACTCTGGAAGTCAAGACCATCATCATAGACGACTGATATAAAAAAAACAGCCTATCACGATCGGGGAACGAGAAACGATTTTTAGTTGAAGGGCACAAGCCCAGAACTATCTACATGCTGTAATGCTCTCGATAAGACGCGATAGAAGAATCGAGGGATGCTCAATCCTCGTCTATCTTGTTTGGAGAAAAATCGCCGAGAAGGATGTCGTCTGGCGCCGGGCCACGGGTGTTGCGCACTAGACGATTGTCAGCCAAGTCATGCATAATGTATAATGCAGCAAAGAACAAGAACCTACCCCATTCGGTCTCGACACGGAAGAAGATCCATATCCAGCGTCGCAGCACCTCGAGCAATTCCATCACGAAGATGCCGCCCTCCAAATCGTTGAAATGGTCCAAATGCGGAGAGAGCTTTAGACTCCACGTACAACGAAGCATCAGATCTAAGCAGATAGCACCATAGTACATCTCTTTGGCATGGAAGTAGCGGTTTCGACGAAGAGCCCACGGGTGCTCTGGATCGTTCCTCTCTCTGGACGTCGAAAACAAAGACAAATCCCAATCTTTTGTGACATCCCAGTAAAACGAATAGAATGAGTTGACAAACACAAAGAACAACCTGTACCGTGTGTCAGCAGTATTCTTAACAATCGTGTCAAGTTCTGATAGGTGCATACCATAGACGAAACAGTCCGGCCTCGGACATGCCAATCTTGGCTGGGTCGTAGCCTCTCATCAGTGCACTCAGAACGATGACGGGAAAAGCGCTAGAATATTTGAGCGCGTTGGCTAGATGTTGACCACCCCAGCCATGAGCACCGATGCCTCCAGCTTTTGCATTAGCCTTGCGAACTCTGAAATACTCAATCAAGCATTGTCTCAAGCGGATCATGCTGGGTATGGCAATGATGAATGGCACCAAGTATTGTCCTCCAGCCTGTCGGTCTGGCTTTTCGGTCGAACTCCTTCCAAAGGAGAACAACATGTAGAGAGCAATGAACAAATCTCCCATGACTTTTGCATAGCTCGTCAAGACATCTGCCATGAGAACATCTCCAAACTTGCCATCGTGGGCTTCGGCCAAGCCGCCTATACTGATCCGCTTCAGGGTAGCGAGAGTTCGGTAGCGGCCACTGCGTGAGACGCGCTGGATGGGCAGAACGAATGCAAGTACTAGTACGAGCAGGTATAGATTGGGTAGTATTTCCCAGTTTGCGACCGAGGCGGGATTGCCATGAGTGATGACCCAGAAGAGGAACAGCGAGAAAGCGAGGGGTATAGTTAAGATTGTCGCAAGGCGGTATGTCGAGAAATGGTGCGGTGGTTCGGTGGGAGAATTACGAGCGGGATAGCGGATGAGGGATGGCACGTCCTATGCGATGCGATGAGCGACTGCTTGATGTGATTGATTTATGCGAAGTAGTAGAGAGGCGACATACAATCTTGATCAAGTGCAGGTAGTGTAGATTCAGCCCCCAAGCCCAAACACCTATACCTTTGGTCAATTTCTCCCAAGGATGGCCTGCTACGTGGACACTGCGTACCCAAAACAATGATCAAAGCAACACGATACGGAAGCGGAAGCACGAGACTGAAGCCATCTAGCTGCGACTCGACAGCTGGATCACCGTCCATCTCGGCTGACTCTGTGTTGAATGTTTACAGAGGTTGACATTGAGAGTCGCGTGTGTCGAATTCCATCTTCCCAAAATACATTCAAGCTTCCCTGCTCACTGTTCGCAACACCGCCCCTGGCTGCCTGCTTGTTAGCAACACCACTGTCGGACTGCATCCCGATTATTGCACAAGGCCTTGGCCGTGTCCCCGTATGCATAAACGATGCAAGATCCAGTGTCCCCCTCGTTCTTGCGAAGAACAGTTCGGAAGGCGCCCCGAGCTTCCCAAGGGGGTCTCTGACAGTGCTCAATCGTGCCACAGAAGGGGGCCCCTCCTAACCCAGGGGAAACTCAACTCAGATCGGAATCTCCCATAGTATTCCCGCCCGACACTAACCCCGCCGATCGGTCTGGGTCGTCAGCGACCGTCAAATCGCTTGCGCTCGCGATAATGTCGTCATTTTCATCGTTCTCCAAAGCCATCAAACTGGTGATGTTACGTTTACGGTCAAACCTATTTGACCAAAACTCCCTCTGCGATCACGTCCTGTCAAACATTGATTTCTCTCTTCATCTTTACACTCTGACTCTGAACTTTTGATCTCTCCCAATTGACGACTTTCTAAAATTCACCGCCTCGACTGATCCCTCTACTACAACCACATTTACATCAAACATGTCTTTCTGGAGCCGTCCTCGTAACCTGGTCATCCTTGGTGGTGTCCTCGTTGGTGCTGCTTTCATCCCTACTCCTGGCTCCAAGACTACGTACGAGTCCTCTTCCTCTGCTCTCTCTCAATGCTTCCCTGTAGAGCTACACTCTTGCCTGTCTTGTCCCTATTAGCTATGGAGAGAGCGTATCCACAATTACCTGCTTGTCCCCAGTCGCATCACACCACTCCACATCTATCGACATCTCCCAAGCCTTTACTAACTTCGCTCCTCAAAATAGCAACGTCTTCGAGACCCAAGGCACAAAAAACATCGGCGCTCGCTGGTCAGCAGCAGGCGGCTCAGATGTCCACACCCCAGGTGTCGCTACCACTCGTGGAAGCGCTGAAAACACACAAGAGAAACAGGTAGATCCCAAAGGTTATTATTCCCAGAGTGTTTCCTTCAAACTGACACATAAATTCTAACGCAAAAGGATGGGCCCTCAGGTATCAACACCGAGCACTTCAAAGAGAACCAAGCTTCCCAGCGTCCTGGAGAGCCCGGCCCATTCGACAAGGCATGGAACAAGGCCCACTACGGCACCGAGAAGGGCAAATAGATTGTTTGCTCCCCGACTGCCCGACGACACGAAATCACACCTTTTGATATGAAGATTAATGCGAATGAGCACAGCAGAGATGGATTGTTAGCATCGGACATCCCCATGAGAGGGGGTCTGTTTTACAGGAGGACAGGAAAATCACGAAATAGTAGCCTCACAATGAGGCCATTCAACTTTACGAGCAACACTCCGAGTCTAGATGCAGCATCGTGGTGGACAGCTCGAGCTCAGATGTGACGACCACCAGATCGTATGCTCAAAAATGTCTTGAAGCACAATACAAGTCTTTACAAATCCACTTTCCAAATTCTTGGATCATCATGACATTGAACACATCCAGGGTCTGCCTGTGTTTTGCTTTTTCGCAATTCCATGTCGATGTTGCTGCTGGGCCCACCCTGCTCCTATGCTTCAACAGCTTTTGAGTGCGTCAAAACCAGCCTTTGCTATATTGAAATTTGCATGATCTTGCCTTGAGACCAGCAAGTTGCTGAATCTCGGTCGTCTTGGAGGCTGTACCGCGATTCTGGTGTTGTTTGGTGTGGATTTTGTGTTTCGAGTGTGAGGCTTCGTAGAAGCTCGAAGTGTCCGACACAGTTCATGAACGGATAGCGAGAACCATCAACAACCCATCGGCAGATTCAATGGCCCGAAAACGATGACGGGTATCCATCAAGTTCATGGATGGCGATCACAAGCATCCGAGTACGTGAGGCAGGCGTGTGTCATTTGAGACCACAGTCCCATATTTGACCTCAACCTGGCAGAAGACGTCATAGACACAGCAATGCAATTCTGAGGCAAGGGCAACAAATCGTAATAGAGAGAAAACAATGTCATGTACTTTATTAACCGCCGATATGTATACTGGAGTAAGGCAGCAGAAACAACATGCATTAACAATGGTGTAAAAAAACAAGGAAACACTTTTGATCACATCGTCCTCCTTCCTCAATTCCTTCAATTTCAAATTGCTCTAGTATCCCAAAAGGGCAGAAGCGCCAGGCTCGCTGGAAATGTAGACAGTAGCGTGGCTGTCACTGAAGCCATTGAACTTGGTGGCACTGCACTTGGTGTACGCGCCCATGTCTTCAAAGTATAGCCAATCGCCGACGTCAAGAGTCTGGGTACAGGTCCAGCTCTCAGAGATACAGTCGATGCCGTCGCAGGTAGGACCCCAGATGGAGTATTCCAAAGGCAAATTGTTGCCTGCGTCGTAAGGTGCTACGGCGTCGTAGGTAGAGGCGGGCGAGTTTGCGGCCTTGAGGACACGGGGGATGGGGTGCTGGTGATCGAACATGATGGAGCTGAAGTTGCCGTAAACACCATCGTTGAGGTAGAGCATGTAGCTGTTGACGCCCAGAACCTTGTCTTCGACTGAGCGGCGTGCGATGACGTTGCAGGCGATAGTGAAGGCCGAGGAGACGTAGTAGCGGCCTGGCTCTCCGATGACGCGGACGCTGGGGGGGAAATATTCGTCCAGGGCGACCGAGAGTACAGCAGCCATGTCGTCAAAGGTCTCGCTGACGAAGCCACCACCTACATCGAGTGTCTTGAGCTCATAACCGAGAGCAGCTGCCTGGTCAAAGACAAAGCGAGCATCGCGGACAGCCTTCAAGAAGGCTGCAGGGTCAGAGGCGCCCGATCCGACGTGGAAAGCAACACCAACAACGTTGAGATCGAGCTTTCTAGCGAGAGCCAAGAGATCACCCGTGTCATCGAGCGAGGCACCGAACTTGAGACTCAGGCGGCAGAGACTGGCTGAGTCATCAGTGAGGATACGGAGGTAAAGCTCGGCGTCAGGGAAGAGCTCCTTGATCTTGTATAGCTCGTCCAAGTTGTCAAAAGTCATCTGGCGGACGCCCTGCTTGGAGGCGTAGCGAACGTAAGACTTGGTCTTGCAAGGCTGAGCATAGATGATGCGAGAGGGGTCAACACCGAGGCGGAGGACCATGTCGATCTCAGCCTTGGAAGCGCAGTCGAAGCCAGTGCCCATGGCAGCGAGCAGACGCAGGACCTGGGGGTCGGGGTTGCACTTGACGGCATAGTGGGGCTTGACACGGTTGAGGTGCTTCTTCCAGCGCAGATGCTGGCGGTAGATGTCGCCCATGTCGGCGACGAAGAAGGCGTCCTCTTCACCGGGTTCGCAAGTGTCTTCATCAATGCTCTGCACACGCTGCTGCAGGGCACGGCCAATCATGGCTTTGGATAGAGCCTTTCCATTGTGGCTTTCTTCGAGACAGGGGGTGTAGTTTGCTTTCAACGACAGAGATACATAGTCCTCAGTGGTCGGAGTGATAGCCGAAGGTGCCATAACCAGAGAGTAGAGAGTTGTCAAAGGCTCGCGATCGAGTGCGTGTATAGTAGAAGTGGGTTATGCAGTCGAGTCCAATACGTCTTAAGGCGGCTTGAATGGCGCGAAACCTAGACTGGATTGTCGGCTAGGCCTCCACGAGTCTTCCTCCTGGAGAGGAAGAACCCCAGAGATAGTCCTATGCGGCAGCTGGGATTCTGGCGAATCTAAGAGCGGCGTCTGGTGCAGACTGAATAGCAGACGTTCAAGTTCGCTTAGTGGAGCCACAAGAAGAGATGACGAAAATCCCTCACGAGCCTCCTAATTCATTCGACGACGCGATGTGCGTGGTTGGATGAAGTCGGACGCGTGAGATGCGTGTTTTGATTCCGAACAAGGTGAGGCGGCGATGTTGTGAGGAAGAAGAGAGACAGAGTGCAAGAGCGAAGAAAAGGCCTCAAGGTCCGTGTGTGCGTAGACTGAGGCTTGGTATGTGTGTTGCGGCCAAAAAGCTCTCAACGCCCCAGGAAAAATACCGTGCCCGCATCAATCGTCATGTTGCCGCCTTTCTGCCTCGACCCGACATGACCAACTCTCATTCGCCTGCATCCCCTGCTGTTTCTCCGTCGCATACAGATCGATCATCTGCTTAAGCCTTGTCCATGCCCTTTTTCTCTGCTGCTTGTCTCCCACATACAAACAACCCCCTCGTTCTCTCCATCGTTGCTGCTTTGCCTTCGATCAGCTTCTCCGGGAGTCGTTGCACTCCAGCTTAGCCGTGCACAGCCGGCATGTCACTCTGTCGTCGATGCCCCTCTGTTCTCGATATTCATCGATCATCGGGATTTGAACACCGAAAATGCCTCTGCAGCGTCCAAGAACTCCACTCTATTTCCCACCTTCACATGCATTCTCTTGTTTGTATTTTTTTTCAATCTAAAAGACGGTGAAAATTAGTTTCTTGGTAAAGCCACTGATTAATTCGTGATAGTTGTACACAATTGGCGGATAAAGTTAGACATGCGCTCGAGATGAAGTTTCATTATTCTATTCTAGAGATTCATATTATAGTCTATACGCCCAGACTTTTGACCAACAGCCATAATGCAACCGGAACAACGACATTGTCGTTCGCCCCTGTGAGAACTGCTTCCATGAACGAAGCTCCACAGCCGCATATGAACATCTTGATGATCTGTACACTCCAGAAGCCTAAGTCGAGGTGGAGAGGTAGGAAGCTCTCTTGCGAATAGACCTCTGGCCAACCTCCGAATCTCACCCATGACTTTGCGAAGAGCAAACCAATGGTCACCGCGACGGCAAAGGCACCACTGCCCTCGAGACTCTTGCCTCCAATCCATGGCCATTTGCAGCGACCAAATCTTCTACCAATCAGACTGGCTGCCGCGTCGCCCATACCGACGCAAATCACACCAGCGACCATTGCAACTTCGCGTGTTTCGTTCTCTGTTTCCCAGCCGGGCCAGCGGCCAGTCTTGGTCCTGCCGATTCCAGCAAGAGAAAGCCATAGCGGAATAGCACAGCCTATCAGAAGGAAGACATGACTAACCACCATCGGTCCACGTAAATCGCGGCCGTCGACATATGGTGCCACAAACCTTCCAATCGCAATGCCTAGCGGTGGCACTTGACCTGCACGGATAATCTCTAATACTAAGAAAATAGCAAGAACAATTCCGAGTGCCAACGAACAGAAGCATGGGTCCACAAAAATGGACGGAAGAAGCATGGTGACCATGACTGCGTGGAAGACCTTTCGTCTGGTGTCCACCTCAATGAAGGGAGTAAGACGCAACACTGCGACCAAGCCGACACACAGGACAGCTGCCCAGTATGCAACAATAAGGAGTCGCGTGTTTGCTGCACCCACCGCAGCTCTCAGGCCCGGAATGGAAGAGCCATGAAGCGAAAGATTTTGCAAGATCTCGTCCTTGTAAGCGATGCGATCGACCCTGGAGGAGAAGGCAGCGATAAAAGTGGGAATGTCTGAGAAGAGGTACTCAAATGCCCAGATGATTGGTTCTGCGGAACCAAGAGCAGCCTCTGAGATCTTGTTGCGAACTGGGACCAGAATGACGAAGGCAATTGTGGTAAAGATGTAGATAGCATATGCCCACTTGTACATGTAGGCACCTTCAAGTGTCAGATTCAAATGCCAATCGCGAAGCCTACGTTGCCTGCGCTGAGCGGCCGCGCTCGGGAGCTTGGTAAAGATCGGGGCGGGGTTGTCCATGCTGGCGATGGTATGTCTCCTTTTCCTAGAGAAGTCATTGGCATCCACAACCGAGTCTCGATGTGATTCGTGATTTGCCTCCATCGCAGACTTTGGTTCGTGGACGTCGGAGCTTGTAGGCGTAATGTCGACATTCAATTTAGGCCTTTTGGGAGTCTGGGACTGAACTCTGTGGACTGGGACATTCTCATCGGCATCGCTGTCATCGTTCTGATATTGCGTCATTGGATAAATCAATTTCGTGATCCTAGAAAACAGATTGTTGTTTGCAAGAAATGAATGTCCAGACTTGGAGCCAAATTTTCGGAATCTCCAACGCGGGACACGTGCAAGGGCGACGTTCCAACGAACGACATGTGTGCACAATATGAGAAGCCAGACACCTCCGATCCACAGCAGAGCCCGCAAGATGACGGTTTGAGGCGATGTCGCGAACAGCAAAAGGTTGATCAGACCAGCCGACAGAAGGTGCTTCTCAGCAGCTAGGAGACTGGTTGTGGTCAAGTAGTGTAACGGTGGTAGCAGAGCTTGATGGAGAGGGTACAGTAGCGTGAGAAGCTCAGGTTTCAAGAACGGAGGCTGGCTAGCCTTGAGTTTATAAGGCGAAGGGGGGAATGCCATTGAAGGCAATTCGGTGTTCTCGGAGAAGATGAGCGGGGTGATGGAGACAATCCAATGGAATGTGTTTATACCGCTGAGACGAGATAAAGGAGGAAACAACCGGGGTGGAAGGGAGGCCAGACCAAGGATAAGGTTGGGCAATAGTAAGGCGGGATACTGAGGCAGCAGCGAAAGAGCGACTAAGACGGGTACAAAGGTCGGGTAGAGGATTGAAGCAGGATCGAACGAGGCAGGAACTCGAAAGCGGCGCCATCTAGGCCGAGTAGTGTCGTTAGAAGGGCGGAAAATGACAACCCTCAGGGGGTATACAGCAATCAGGAGGGCAATAACGGCCAGTTGAGAGATGAGCTCTGCTGTATGGCGTGAGCGTCTGATCAGTGTCTGAAAGGAGGCGAACATACCTCGATGCCAGTTCCAGAGAGCATGAGTTACAGAAGGAGCAAGAATTATAACAAGGCCAATGACTGCAAGCAAAGCACCCTCTGATATGCGACGAATACGTTCAGCTCTCGTCCTCTTGACGAACAGTCGTCGAGCTATCAGCAACTCATCTTCCCCGGCCTGTTCAGGTATTGCTTGTGACGGCTTGTGGTCGAAGTAACCTTCTGACAGATGGCGACCTTGATTGTCCAACTGCGATGGGGTGAGCAGCGGAGATGGCGATTCATCCGTTGCATCATCTCCAGCCTGTCGGAGTCCTTTGGCAGGACGTGTGAATGGCGGCGGCAATGCTTTCAGATATTGAGGCGGCCTTTCATCATCGGCTTCTGTACCGCTCTCGCTCGACAGATTCGTTGGCGTCTGGGATGCATCGTAGCTGCTGCTCTCTGCGGACCTCGCAGCACGGCGGCCGCGGCGGGCATAGGGGTGCGGTGAGCGTTCTCGTTCATCGCCGGCGGTGGGCATTCTGTTGTTGTCGTCGAATCATCTTACGACCAGCACCTTTCCCTAAAGCATTACTACAAGGAACTGCCTCGATGTACCGTTTGGCATTCAAGGACACGAATGCCTCCCGGACGTGACGCACGCTTCACTTGGCATCACCGCTCCCGACAATCCTGACCATGTGGAAACGGAACTATCGACGATCGCCGCAACGCCCTGTGCATCTTGTCATATTTTTGTGAGCGGAAACATAGTCATTGTAGTGTCTCTACGTAATCGTTACATGTCTACCATGTATCTTTCTTTACAGTTCTATTAAGCCTTGGATTGCTCACAAGTACTTGTTGGCCTTGAGCCATGCCTCTACATCTTCGGCATCTCTCTTCAACCATCCTTCCTTGGCTCTGATCGCGTCGAAGCTCTGCGCCAGGCTCTGGTCGAAGCCCTTGGTGCTGCGCTCCTTGAAGAATGCATCAATCTCCTGGATTTGCTTCTCGCTGGTGAAGCTACTGGTGCACAGGCTGACAACACTGCCTAGCATGCTGAGACCAGGGGGAAGCTTCTTGTAGATAGTGTCCCAGTTCTCCTTGACCCAGCTCCACAGAGCCAAGATACCCTCCTTGTGCGAGCGGAGTCCACCAAGAGGAAGGTAGATATCTTGATCCTTGACCTCCTTGCTCAGGGCCATAGCAAGTGTGCGCTTGATGAGTTCAGGCTGTCTAGCACGTCCAATTGAACGCAATGCTGTGTTGCGTTCATCGGCAATCTTGGCGGTTCTGTATTCGTTCAAAATGGCGTCGTACTCTGCCTCACCACCGTTCTGCAGAACGATAGCGTACACACCAGCACGCAAGTTGGGGTGGATGGCCGATCTGTCACCGTTCTTGAACTTCTCGAACATCTCAAGGGCGGCGATCTTGGTCTTCTCGTCACCAGCAAGGGCTGCACTGCTGAAGAGAAGCGACTTGAATTGCTGCTCAATGTGACCGTCGCTTTCCTTGAAGTCCCATCCAAGTTCGTGCGACTTCTTGCTAACAAGGTCACGCTGGAAAGCCTTGAGTGCATCCTTAACCTTGTCGTCCTGGAAGACCCAAGCTGCGCGAACCGAGGCGATACGAGCAGTAAGCTCATCCCAGACAACAAACTCCGGCTCAGTGTCGAATCCTTGAAGCAGAGAAAGGACACCAGAGGTCTTCTGGTAGCCCGAGGCAGCGAGAGCACCAGCATCAGCAATCATGCCAGCTCGGTCCTCAACAGTAAGGAGACCCTTCTTGGCAGCCTCGCCAAGCTTCTGAAGACGCTCAGGGGAGTAGGAGGTTCTGTAGATACCAGAGTGGTCTGCGTTGATCTTGTAGAAATCGAGGTCCTTGACCTTGAAGCTTCTCTCACGGCCGTCGAGGGTAAGCTCCTCATCGACACCATCCTTGGAACGAAGACCAAGGAACACAGGGTAGAGAATCTTGTCTTCCTCAGGCTTGACGTCTGCGGTGCGCAAGAATCTGTTCTGCTTGACGTGAACCGAGTTGTTCTTGGCATCCTCAGTTACACTAACAACGGGGAAACCGACGTTCTTGGTCCAAATATCCATGATCTTCTCAACATCCTTTCCGCTAGCATCGCTGAGGGCAGCCCAGAGGTCGTTGGTCTGGGTGTTGCCAAAGGCATGCTTCTTCAAGTAACGTCTGACACCCTCCATGAATGTCTCCTCTCCCAGGTACTTGGAGACCATGCGAAGAACGCAAGAGCCCTTGGAGTATGAGATGGCGTCGAAGATCTGGTTGATCTCGTCTGCACGCTTGACAGGAACCTCAATAGGGTGAGAGCTTCGGAGAGAGTCGAGAGCCAGGGCACTCTGGAGGTTGTCGGTGACATAGCCCTGCCACACCTTCCATTCAGGGTAGAATTCGTTGCAGGAGTACCAAGACATCCAAGTAGCAAAACCCTCATTGAGCCAGAGACCATCCCAGAAGTCCATGGTAACGAGGTTACCGAACCACTGGTGAGCAAGCTCGTGCTGCACAACCTCGGCAACTCTCTGCTTGGTGGAAGCACCGCTGGTCTTCTCGTCGAACAAGAGGTCAACGACACGGTAGGTGACCAAACCCCAGTTCTCCATGGCGCCAGCGCTGAAGTCGGGAATGGCGACCATGTCCATCTTGGGTAGAGGGAACTTGCTGTTGAACTTGGTCTCGTAGAAGTCCAATGTCTTGGCAGCAAGCTCCAGAGAGAAACGACCATGTTCGATGTCCTTGTCAGGGGTTGCAAACACACGAACAGGAAGTCTGAAGGCGTCGGTCTCGATCATGTTAAGCTCACCAACAATGAAAGCCAAAAGGTAGGTAGACATCAGAGGACTCTTGTTGAAGGTGACAGCCTTCTTGCCATCGTGAACATCCTTCTCGTTGGCGACATCCATGTTGCTCAAGCAGGTCAACTTCTTGTCGGCAATCAAGGTGATGGTAAACTCGGCCTTCAATGCAGGCTCGTCGAAGCAGGGGAAAGCTCTGCGAGCATCGGTAGGCTCCATCTGAGTGGTGGCAATGTACTTGTCACTGCCGTCTTCGCCCTTGTAGCTCGAGCGGTAGAAACCGGCCATGTTGGCATTGAGAGTACCGGTGAAGGTCTGTGTGAGGGTGGCCTTGTGCCCGGCGGGGATGGTGTCGGGGAACGAGACGGTGGTGGTCTGGGTGTTCTCATCGTAGGTGAGCTTAGGAGATGAGGCGATGAGCTTCGAGCCTGAGTGGACCTCTGTGGATTTGATGTTGAGGTCGATTGTGTTCAGCGAGATGGATGTGGTGTCCTCGACGACATCGAGACTATGGCCATGTTAGAGAATAAAGCACAAGAAACGGCTGATACCTGAGAGACATACTCAATGACAACTTTACCCTCATACTCGAAGGTCTCAAGGTTGGGCTCCAGAGTCAGGTGGTAGTGGAGAGGCTTGACATTCTTGGGCAGAACCTCACGGCCTTTGGCAATGTCGAGGTTCGCGCCCATTGCATCCGCATCGCGGCGACACATTCTTCTGTGCGAACAGTGGCGAGCTTGAATACGGGATCTGGGGAGTCGAGGAGTTGAATTTAGGCGTAGAGAAGAGGGGCGTTGGTGGAAAGTGGCGGGGTTGGATGTGTTCGAAGAGGTAGTGAAGAAGTGGGAGCGGGACCCTGAAACAGCAGCACGTCTAGGAATCACAGATCTGACGGCCTGAGAGCGGACTGTTCGGAGAAGATGAAGGTTCATCAGAGGAAAGAGAAGAAAGGAGGGGGCAGAACGAGAAGGAACGTAGACGAAAACAAGCTCTTTCTCTTTCTAGACTCGAATGCTCGTCTTGCACCTTCTGTTTCGGTCACACGAAGCGTCACGGACTTTCCCAAACACCGACCCTGTGGATTGTTCCTGCCACCTGCAGCTTGCAGATCGCTCGGCCCCGCGTCTCAAGGACACGACACTTGGCATCGTTTGCTACCATGCCTTTCGCTGTGCCTGCGAGGGATAATCACGTCGATTGAAGCCTCGTAAACGTCTCTCTTTTGCTCGAGACCAAACATCGCGACCATGTGGATCTTACCCTTGGTCGGCTATCTAGGCCTTGCCCTTGGATTCTCCTTCCTGACGCTTGCGATCGCATCTGGCCTGTACTATCTCTCCGAGTTGGTCGAGGAACATACCGTGCTGGCCAAAAAGCTCTTGACTCGCCTGATATACTTGGTCGTCGCCATCCAAATACTGCTGGCTCTTTTCGATAAATTTCCTCTGGGCCTTTCAGCTCTTGCTATCGGCAGTCATGGTGTTTACCATCAGAATCTACGCCGCTTCCCCATCGTCAAGCTCACTGACCCTGTCTTCCTGTTGTCCTGTGGTAAGTCTCCCTTGGTCCTCTACAGTTTTGCCCTGATTAACACAACATCCTCACAGCGCTCGTTCTGCTAAACCACTGGCTATGGTTCCGCCACTTCTCCGCCCCGCCTTCATCCCCTCCCAGGCACTACAATTACTACGCTCCGAATGAGTCTGTCCCGAGCTTCAGTGAGATCGCTGCCTTTTTCGGACTTCAAGTTTGGTTGGTCCCTTTTGCGCTTTTCGTCTCGCTGTCTGCTGGCGAGAACGTGCTGCCGAGCATGGGTAGTGAATACGCGACGGGAGCTGGCAGCAGTTTCATCTCTGCTGGCAAGGAACCCGATAATGCTGCGACTGCTTATGCCTCTACGAATGGTGCACGCAGATCGCGCTCCGGAACCAACGCTGGTATGGCCAAGGCCGCTGTAATGGGTGTTCGTGAGTGGATTGGAGAAACAGGAGAACTCATGGGGTTCTGGAGAGGAGAACGGACAAGACCGTTTTGAAAGAAGCATCAAGCAATATACCCGAAGAGTCAAAACTAGTCCAGGTGTACGAATTCATGAATCAAAAATAAGAATTGTTTGAGAGGTATACACGCTATACAACAGAACACCCGCCAGGTCTTGCGACCGCTATTTTGACCACATATGAAGCATTTACTGCTTCTCCATGGCGCCAAGAATGGCTCTTGTGAACTCCTGGGTGGTTGAGTTACCGCCCATGTCACGGGTGCGGGTCTTGCTACGTGGTTGTTAGTGATATTCGAAAGAAATGGTGCCATGTGATCAACGTACCCCTCAGCGATGACATCGTAAACGGCCTTGGAGATTCTGTTGGCGTGGTCGTCAAGACCAATGTGTCTCAGGAGCATGCTTCCGGAGAGGATGAGAGCAGTGGGGTTGGCCTGGTCCTTGCCCTTGATGTCGAGGCCGACGTGTCTGCATCCAGGCTCGAAGACGGCGACGTCACGGCCCATGTTGCATCCGGGAACGAGACCGGGACCACCGACGAGACCAGCACCAATGTTGGAGAGAATACCACCGTACAAGTTGGGCATAACCATAACGTCGAACTGCTGGGGTCTGGAGACACACTGCATCGAGGCGTTGTCGACAATCATGTCGTTGGTCTCGATGGTGGGGTACTCCTCGCCGACCTTCTTGACAGTGTTGCGGAACAGACCATCGGCCAGCTTCATGATGTTGGCCTTGTGGATGCAGGTGACCTTCTTGCGGTTGTTGGCGAGGGCGAAAGCAAAGGCGAACTTGGCGATGCGCTCCGACTTCGCGCGGGTGATGATCTTGAGCGACTCGACGACACCGTCGACCGACTGGTGCTCGAGGCCAGAGTACTCTCCCTCGGTGTTCTCACGGATGATGCAGAAGTCGACGTTCTTGTGGCGGGTCTCGTATCCAGGGATGTTCTTGATCAGGACGACCGAGGCGTAGATGTCGAGCTCCTGGCGAAGGGCGACGTTGAAGGACTGGTGACCGGAGCGCTCGACGGGGGTGTGGAGGATACCCTTGAGACCGAGCTTGTTGCGCTTGAGAGAAGCAATCGACTCTCTGAACAGCTCCTCGGAGTGCTTGGCGCCGGTCTCGATACCGGTGACATCGACCTGCTCCCACTCGACGGGGACGTTGTCGGCCTTGAAGATCTGCTTGACTGACTCGGAGACTTCGGCACCGATACCATCACCGGGGATCAGGGTGACGGTGTACTTGCCGCCAAACTTGGTGGGCCTGAAGATGTCCTGGCTGACAGTGGTGGCCATGGCTGTAGACAGAATTCAGTACTTGATCCATCGAAGGGTATTGGAGTCGTAGTGGTTACTGACAGCGCGAAGCGACCGAAGGGCCGGCGAGGCATCTGGATGCAGGCTTTGCGCCGTGAAGGAGCGTCTGTCGGGCAGGGTCAGGGTCTGTACTCGGGTGGAAGGTGTCGAAAGAAGCAGCGTACCTTGGAAAGCATGGCGACTGGTGCGGAGTGGAGGGGGATAGGATGTGAGGGGAGAGAGCGACCGTGGCAGTAAGGATGGCAATAATACAGACGGGTCGAAATCACAACTCGAATCCACCAAGGCGGAGAGGTGCCAGCCTTGGCTCGCGCGTTTCCGGTCCGAGTGGAGGAAAGAGCTCGCGGCTATCCGATTCCCTCCTTGTCCACTACCGACCCTTCTACCGAGAACGTTCAGCTTTCCTCCCGACTTTCGACTCTGGTCTGTGATATAAGAGAGCAACAACGAGCTGTGAAAGGTCACGATCGCGCTCTATGCGCGGATAATTGTGTCTGAGCTGCGAAGCCATGTGAAAGACCAGCGAGCCACATCTCTTTTGACTGTCAATGTCGGCTACTACGCCTTTTCTTCCCGACCAGCCGCTGCTCACCTCCACCAGTCCCATGAATAATGAAGTAGCTGCCTGCAATATCTTCCAAGCAGTGTAGTCACTGTTGTTGACTCTGTTGAATGGTGCTCTCAAGGTTAGATGCAGGGATTTCGGTCAACACTAATAAACAATGCCTCCCTATATCTCAACCTCTACCTCGAGAGATATCCGTCCAGGCTTTTGATCAACCCAACATCTAGTCCTCAGACCGCGAAGAGTCATGATTGCTCCGTCGAAGTCCTCATATCGCTGCGCAGATGCCGGAGTTCCGACGAGAGCTTTCACCATCTCTTCTATTGAGTACCCGGAATGGCAATTCTGGTTATTGATACCCATATTCGACACTTCTTGGAAGCTACGTCTTACACCACGAGTTTGACTTCATTCACTTTCTACAAAGCATTTAAAATAAGCATGTCAAGCTTTAGAGGCTATCCATTAGTTGCTGGTTAATGACAGGCATCTGGCTCCCGCACCTCGTTTCCACAACTCGATCTGTACCTATCAGGCCTCGCCTCATATACGCTCATATCGATTCCCCAAGATGTTTCTTTGATACCATGATGTCAAGCGTCCTGCCACGAGGGCAATAACCAATAAGAAACTTATTCTGGTCGAGGTGTTGTATCTTCTTTATTGGATCTTATTGACACATCCTTCGATCCTCCAACACTAGCAGTAAGTATATATAGCACATTGTATCCTTCTCTTGTCTCGAGCACCAACCCACAATTCACTCATTTTCGAATATCCCTCCCATCACAAACAACTCAAAAAAACACCAATCATGAAGGTCACTGCCATCGCAATGGCCACTATGGCCGCAGTTGCCACTGCTGCACCCGTCGCTGAGCCCGCCGCTGCTCCTGAAGCTGCTTTCTCCTCATGGGGAAAGAAGTACCACCCTAAGCTTTGGAATGGCTGGGGCGACGACTCAGGCATGGTCTACCGTCGAGAGGCTGAGGCCGACCCTGCTTTCTCCTTATGGGGCAAGAAGTACAACCCCAAGCTCTGGAACGGATGGGGTGACGACTCAGGCATGGTCTACCGCCGTGGACCTGAAGCCACCACCACCGAGACTGCAACGACCGAGCCTACCGCCGAAGCCGAGACTGAGGCCAAGCTCTAAATTCGTCACCAAGCAACCTCTACTCAACCCATGGCTTCCCCATCTTCTGATGGTAGTCAATGGTTGATCGTTTGATGTACTTTTTTCTCTTCCGGATGGTTCTTGATCTTGCTGCTTAGCACATGCGATTCGAGACTTTTAGCCTCGAATAATACATTCTACCTTTCTCATCATCAGTCGATTCAATTATTCTTTTTCGGAGGAGGTGGACTTGGCTCTTTTTCTCGTTCTTCTTGCACTTTTTTTTGCAACACCCTTTTGTGTATCCAATATTATCTTTTCCCCTGCATATTGTAGTATCCTTCTTCTTGTGCATTAACCTTGATCCTCTCGATTACTCTTTTGACTACTGCTGTCTCAAGTTCTAAGATGACCTGTTTGAAAAGTACACCTGTGACTTTGTAATTTCCCACTGTGATATGGCAAATACGTTGTCGAGTAACCATTAGCTAGCATACACGTGCACAAGAGGACAGTACAGTTTGAGGTGTGGCAAGAGAACATGAAAGTATGAACAATCATGAGTTTGATATTAGAACGCTCCTTTTCCTTCCCTTGTTCCTCCTTACGCGAAAGAAAGCAATTCAATGCAAAAATAATAAATCTGAATCAACGCATATGCTCCAACCCATATATACACTTCAAGGAAAATCGTGGGAAACAGTAAGTAAAAAATCAACATGACGTGATTAAAAGAGGCTGAAATGTTGTGGGTAAACATGAACAGTGAAGAGGAAAGAAACACGTTTAGTAGCGTTCACGAGGACCGCTGCCATGTTCCTGGAGAACATCGTCAAAGTATGCACTTGGTGCACGCTGACCAGGCAACTGGCTGCTGACGGTGCTGCCATCGTCAGGTTGAGCACCAATACCGACAGCCAAGCTGCTTGTGCTGGGTTGAGCGTACAGCTGGTGCGTGGGGCTGAGAAGGGCGTTTGAACCAGTTCGTGAATGTTGGTGAGGGTTGAGGCCGCTACGAGGACGGGAGCCGTCTCGACTAGATGGGGGAGAGTATTCGGCACGGGAGTGTCTGTTGTGTGTGGGTTGTAGACTTGGTGCGCCGCCCATGACCATAGAGTCACGGCCACCGGCTGCTTGTGCGCCTGGCGTGGCGTAGTAGCCAGCGGGCAAGTAGGTAGAGCTGCGGTTCTGACTGACGGGCATGTATGCCGAGTTGCGTTGGCCGGCGGTGGGTGAGAAGAAGAGACTCGAAGGATCGGCCTTGGGTTGTGCGCTCTTGCGGTTCTCCTTCTTAGCACCTCCCGAGGACAGAGGTTTGCCGGCAGATGTCAGGGCGTCAAGGGAAAGGGAAGAGCCTTGAGGCATGGCGTAAAGGTTGCCACCAGGGCCGTATTTTGTCTTTGCATCAGAAGCCATGACGCTGGCCATGGCGGCACGCTTGACGGAGCGGTTGATGGTGTAGGCGACCATGGCACGCCATGCCAGAATACAAGCACCCAAGAAAGCCAGGCATGCGCCTACAGCAATGAAGATGGTTCCCTCCGGCACCGTCGACTTTTGCATGAAGGGAGCGTCGGCAGTGAAAGGGATGACCATGTCTGGGACTGTGGCACCGGCGAGGGTGGGCAGGTCGGTGATGCCCGTGTTTGATGCGGCACTGGACGTCTTTGAGGCGGCCGAGGAAGAAGGCTTGGAGGAGGATGTTGTGGAAGAGTCGGCGTCATCGCTCGATGTGCTGCTAGACTTGACAAACGACGACACTCCAGTCAACTTGTCTGTTGTGGGAGCGGCAGTTGTAGCAGCAGCCGACGTGGCCTTGGTCGTGGCAGCAGCAGTTGTTTGGTCCGTGTTCTGAGCGGCGACCAGAGCAGCGCCGGCGGCGAAGGCCAGCAATACGGTGTTCCTCCTCATACTGTGTATCGGTTGGCGGCGAGTGTTTGCCCCGTTGTGAAAGCCCTTCGCGACAGGGAGGCGAGCGTCAAGGGGGTGGAAAAGTCCAAGGCAAACGAGCGTATCGATAGTCCAAGAGTGACGCACGTCCAATGCAGTAGGGTAGCGAGAGATGCAGCAGATTTGCAGGTCGGAGGCTGCACGAAGGGTGGATCAAGATGCTTCCGTTCTTTCTATTCTTGTCCCTGGCCCGTTTCCCGCATGCCCCCAATCCGTGGCGCAGGGCAACCTTTGCGAATCTTGGCATTGTCGATCGATGCCCTCCATTTCTTATCCGTTCAAGCACTTTGTTTGATGTCGGTCTCACCAGAGCATGAGAAACCCCTTCCCACCCACCGACTCTGTGCCTGGACATGGCCGTGTCCACCTGGCATTGTTGCCGCCGGGGACTCCTGTCTTGCAAACCTTGACTTATCAGTATCCTCTCAAACTGATATCGCCAACTCCTGTGACCATAACTCCATCTGCCGACAATGACTCGTCTCACCAAGTCCATACGCTCTACATCTTGACCTATGGTGGTGGTATAGTTGCTGGTGATACTATCACCTTGCACCTTGATCTCGATGCCACCTCCCGTTTGCTCATCCTCACTCAGGGCAGCACAAAGATCTTCAAAACTCCGACTCCCTCTACTCTTAGTCGCCAAGATATGAACATCCACCTGAAGTCTGCTGCTGCTCTGGTCTATCTTCCTGACCCGGTCCAGCCTTTTGCTCAGAGTGCTTTTGAGCAGACTCAACGATTCTACGTACATCATCAACCGGACGCTCCGAATGCAAGCATTTGTGTCTTGGATTGGGTGTGTCAAGGTCGTAAGGCCCTAGGTGAGAATTGGGACTTCTTCAAGTATTCTAGCAAGAATGAGGTCTGGCTTGTGGACGGGTCCCGCGAACACCGCGGACCCAACGATTCACGATTGCTGCTGCGTGACAATGTTACTTTGGACGCCAGCGATAAAGCCATACAAACCTCGCTGATGCGGCGCATGGATGGACTTGGTGCTTTTGGTACCCTGATCTTGTATGGGCCTGTGTTCGCGAATCTTGCGACATTTTTCATGGATGAATTCAAAGCAATACCTCGGATAGGAGGCCGAAAATGGGATACCAGCGACGAAGCTGACGACGCAATACGAGACCTGGAACCTCTTGTGATGAAGAGGAAAGCCAGACAAAAACAAGAAACGAGCGACGGTTTGTTGTGGACAGCGGCGCTAATACGAGGTTGCGTCGTTGTCAAATTCGGCGCAAGGGAAGTCGAGGGCGGAAAGCGTTGGTTGCGCTCGATGCTTGATACTGAAGGTAGTGTCCCCGCTCATTTTGGAGACAGATGCTTGCTCTGTTTGCGATAGACTCGGCAAACTTTCTCGTGTTTGTTGCGCGGTATGTGTAAGCTTGGTATCTGCCTCTACTCTTTATCACCCGACGCCTTTCTCATCAGAGCACGGTATTGCTCGATAATGTTCTTGCGCTCTGCGCCTAGCTCCTCTCTCCTTGCCAAACTACCAGCAGCATTCGGCACGTCTGCCACATCTGCCCTTGCTCCGTTCTTGACCTTAAACTTCTCCCTGGGTATCACAGTAAACTCGGGAGGAGCCTGTGCAACATCATGTAGGCCCTTGGGTTTGTCTCGTTTCGTCTTGAGCACTGCCCAGATGTCGGCTTCGTCTTTGGACTCGCCAATCATCCTTTGTCGCTTCTTGCCGTATAACTGAGGTACACCAGAGTCCTCACCATATAGTGCGTTACGCTCTTCCTCATCTTCCTCGCGCTTCTCTTGCTCTTCCTCGGCCTTGTCCTTGATGCGCTGGTCCTCTTTCCTCCACTCGTCGTACATCTTGTGCATCCTCTTCTCCGTCTTTGTCCGTGAGACCTTCTCGCCAGGAGCCAGGCCTTGGTTGCCCTTTCGCGCCAGACCAGTCACCGGCAATGTTTGGTCTACACGAGCATTGAAGTCTCGTAGTTTTTCACCAGGCTGAATCTTTGGCATTTCCATTGTTTTTCCTTTGGCCTTTTGCTTGATATCTTCCTGGCGCTTGCGCTTCTTGCTTGCTGTCTTTGATTCGCTTTCATCGGGGGTTTCCTTTGGTTGTTGGCGTTGCATCAAGCGGGCGAATGCCTTTGGTGTATCGTTGAATTTGTATGCATTCTTTCCAGCGACAGACGTCTCTGTCTTTTTCTTTTTCTTGCCATCAGATGTGAAGACGGTCTGCGCAGCCTTGCCTACGGGCAGACTCTTTGCGACAGATGTGGGAGGCAGGTTGAAACTATGACTTGAGTTTCAGCTTTCTATTCAAAGTTCAGGTGGAGGCTGGATTGAAATTACTCGTCGGCATTGTCATCCCTTCTCTTGTGTTTGTGAGGCATGATTGCTGGTTATGGTAAGCGAAATGGTGACAATTTGAGAATTGCGACATGCGCCCTAAAAAGTCTCGAATGAAGGCGTTGTGATGCGTGATCTGCAAATCAAGCAAACTTCAAGGTCTGGGGAAATCATCGCATCCACCACCAATCACAACCCCACATCCAGCCATCAGCTTCCTGTTTGGCATCAGTAAAAGCCACGGCCGACATCGACCTTCGACATGTTTCTCATCCATTTGCTTTGCGCGACCGAGAGTAGTGTCCTTGTGTCCGTATGATTGGCTCAGGCGCTCAACGGCTGTCGAGGCTTAACTTTTCTGTCGCGAGTTTTGGGCTTTGTCGTCGTCGTGAGTGCAAGCCTCTCCAGCGGTCTGGCCCGTCTTGAGCGAACCATGCTCGTGGGGCCAACCCGTGTTGCTTGCCGACGTGACAGATGGCTCATTTACACCTTCCGTATATCAAGTCTATCCCCCTCCTTGGGTGGTCTAGCCGTGACAATTGCAGTCATTCGCTTTACTACTCACCTGCTTCTAACCACGCTCATTGCTGATCTTCTCCGGCTTATTATCGTCGTCATTCTTCTGGGTGATAGCATAGACGTTATAAGAGACCTGTCGCCCTTCACACCGTCATCGGGGTCCACATATCAAGACTACCAAGACCGCTAAGACGACTACTTCACCTGCGGCTCGCCTTGTTAAAGCCAGTTTCTGAACTCGGTGCAACATTCCACACGCTCTCTCCATGGCACCTTCTTTGTTGGAAATAATACCTTTGCCCCAACAGACCCCTAGAGAACCATCCCCCGCCGAAGTCGAAAATGGTCGCTATCAACCACCTCCCTCGCGACGCTGGTATAATCTTATCTTTGAAACCATTGGCCCTATGACTCTCAGAAATCGTCAACCACAGTCTCGCTATCCCTTGATATCTGGTAGACCTCGCACTTCAACAACCGCCAAGAGGAAGCAAGAGTATGTCGTCACCGAGACTGTCCTACCGGACTCTGGACCGGAAGAATTGCCAGCCAAACAACTCCCAACGATGGCATTTGTTAAACTAGCATGCGTGCTCATTCCAATGACCGTTTTATCTCTCTTGTGAGTGATATATTCTGAGCGGCTTCTATCAATGATACTGACCAGATCATCAGAGGTATCATGCATATCGCATCATTCTTCTTGAATGGACATGCTCTACTACTGGAAAGCGACTTCGACTTCCTACCCGATTGGGGGAATCCAGGAAAGGTCGGAGAAGGCCTAGCACATTACCCTACCGATGCAACCCGAGATGTCATGCCAATTCGTAAGTGCCGAGCAAAGGCTGCATTGGTAACAGGGCTAGACTAATCATGTTATTGCAGCTGTTCATTCTCACAACGACTACTGGAGGCGGATACCGCTGTATGATGCCTTGCATTACGGTTGTACCGGTGTAGAGGCAGACGTCTGGCACATTGAAGACGAGCTCTTCGTTGGCCATAGCACATCTGCTCTGACTCCTAATCGCACTTTCAAAAATCTTTACGTGGACCCTCTTATCTCGCTGTTGGATAAACAAAATCCTCTTACTCCATTCGGTAACACTAAGAACCATGGAGTTTACGACGAAGATCCGGACCAGACATTGGTGCTCCTTGTTGATCTCAAGACGGATGGACCTAGCACATTCCGAAAAGTGCAAGAGCAACTCGAGGGTCTTCGTTCGAAGGGTTATCTCACCCACTTCAATGGGACCCATACTGTTCCCGGAGCAATCACTGTTGTCGGAACCGGAAACACCCCCTTCGATCTATTGACCGCCAACACGACATATCGCGATATCTTCTACGATGCTCCTTTGTCGATGCTGTGGGAGCCATCACCGATCTCATTGTCCGACATCAACATAGACTCCGAACTACGTGGCTTGACGGAGATCGAAGACTATCATCCGTCGACAGCAGGTCAAGGTAAGACCGGCTTGCCTGCCGACACTCCCGCATCCGCATTCAACACTAGCACATCCTACTACGCTAGTATCAATTTCAAAAAGTCAGTCGGACGCATCTGGCGCGGCAAACTGTCACACAAGCAGATGAAGATCATCCGTGGTCAGATCAGAGGCGCCAAGAAAGCGGGTCTCCAGGCGAGATACTGGAATACACCAAAATGGCCGGTCAGTCTTCGCAATCACGTCTGGCATGTCTTGGTTCAAGAGGGAGTCGGCATGCTCAATGCAGATGACCTAAAAGGTGCTGCGACAGAGGACTGGAGGCGCTGGAGGCGCGAATGGTATGTTTGAATGTGTGACGGTGACGAGACATTAGATATTTATGAATTCACGAAGAACGAATTTTCTTTCCCCCTGACTTAATTTTGTCCAAACCTCTTCCGTTGGCCATCATTTGATCAAGTACCCATGCTGGCATCAGCCAAGTCGCCCAGTAACAGATACTCGCCATGCCGCCCCTCCAGATCATACCGCTACCAGTACCGAGACAATCGGTGACAATCTTTTGTGCCGTGACATTGACGGGCTGGCTTCCTGGTTTCAATTCTCCCTTGAGTTGTGCGCTTATGATCGAGTAGATGTTCGTGTAGTACGAGTCCTCTGGCAGACGCAATTCACCTGCTTTGACATGAATTGCTGTCTCCACAGCTCCAACCATGTGTGTAAGAACTCTGACACCCAAAGGCTTCATCTCCACTCTCAAAGTCTCCGACATCATGGCAGCAGCAGCTTTTGAACTGCTATAAACGCCTAATGTAGACCACCGCATTAGCAGGGCAATCTTGCACAAAAGTGAGGTAGAAAAGAGTTGACGTACCACTCCATGGTAAATTCATCTTTCCAGATACAGAACAGATGTTACAGACTACACCTCCTGCTTCTATGAGTAGACTCTTGCAGGCCTGTGTAACTCTCAAGATACCCCAGACATTGACTTCATAGAGTTGTTTCGCCTTTTCCACATCGACATCTAATAATGGCATCACAAAATCCGCTCCTGCATTATTGACCAGCACATCCAGTCTTCTCACTCCTCTTGCTTTCAAGTCGTCAATGCAAGAGCTTATTGAGGAAGGAGAGGTAACATCGAATGTCAAGATGTGGATGTTTGGAGAATTGAAGTTGGGTGCCAGAGAAGGGTTTCGGAGGGTGGCGTAGACGGTGTGGTTTTGAGCTGCGAAGGTGGTTGCGAGAGCGGCGCCTATACCTCCTGCTGAACAGCCTGTTATCAGGACTGTTTTCTTGGTGTCGGACATTGTTTGCTTGGTTCTGAGGGAAAATGTTTCGGGCTATGATTTCGTGGTGGACTCTGGTTGGAATTCGAATGATGTGATTTGGATCTGTTCTATACCTACGCGGATAAAGTATCACGGACCTTGGGGAGGCATCGGGAAGGCTTTATGTATAAGTCGTATACGAGAAGGAGTGAAGGATGGAGAGACAGCACAATCCTCCGGGGTAAAGACAAGCCGTTCGGCGGGGTCATATTGCCATGCATATATTGCCAATGCTGATTCCATGTATGCATTAAGCGACTCGGGTTAGCTGCTACCAAGATACCAGGTTGCTGCTCGCCACAGATTCTAGCATTAAAGAGATAAGACTATCAAACATCAGCGCCCCTTTACCAAACGAGATTCGATGAGAGAAGCAACTAGAGGATCGTGTCATCCAATGGGTCAGGTCAATAACGCGAGTATCGGTATCACTCGCCCCTGATGGTCACTGCCTCGGATTGAGACTATTCACAAAAACGCACTCAGACTTCATCGCGAAGGACCTGGTCACAATCTGCGTTATCGACCCGAGGGCTTCTCTTGAATGTCGACAGGATGGAGAGACAGGACGAGAGTATATGCCGTGAAACAGGACGACACATCGGATCGGTTCTGGCTGTGGTTGTGTGACACAAGACGAAGGACTTGAACCAAATTGATCGGAGACGCTGGTTCGTGGAGTTTGAAGCCAAGTTAGCATGTTCCCACGCTCGTTCCGGCGTGCGACTAGAAGTGCGTAAATCGAATGTATGTTCATTCGGCGTATAATACAATTCGACATTCTCAGTCATCCTAGTCGTACAAGAGCATTCCCGTATTTGAGATCTAGAAGCATGATCAAGCAGTCTAGTTCTTCTTGTCCCCCTCGGACTTGACCTCAGCTACAAGTTGAGCCTCCTTGTGCTTGCCCCAGGTCCAGACGTCCCAGATCTGATCCAGGATGATGTCGCTCAGACCTTTGCCCTCAGCAAGAGCCTTCTGATCTTCCTGTGCTCTGCGTTCCCTCCAGCCCTCGGGCTTCTCTTTGCCGTAGTAGACCTGCTCCAGAATATTTTGCTTGTCTCCTTGTGTAGCCTCGAGAGCGTTGTTGTCGCCAGCAGTTCGTGCCTCGCGTTGCAGCTTCATTTGACGTTGGAACTCGCGGGCTTTGTCGGTGGGTAGTGATGTGTCGCCCTTTGGTCGCATGTCTTCGGCCTTGCTGCCGCCAATGACTTTCCAGATGCTTTGGCCTTGTGATTCGCGGTACAGGTAGTTTCCAGAGAAGCCGGTCATACCGATCAACGAGATGGTATAGAAGTCTAATTTACGTGGCGGTAGGGCGGCCAGAGCGGGACAGACGAAGAGACATGCGATGGCGGCGCGGTGCAGCGTGACTTTGTAGCGTTCCGTCTCGTCTACAGTCGGCTGTCGCGTGGGTTCTTGAGGGTGTGACATGATGTGCTTGCTTCGTCTTCGGCCGTGTACTTCGTAGAGGTGGAGATAGTGTTGAAGTGGTTGGCAATTGCTATGGAATAATGATGGAAATTTGGATGGCTAGAAATTCCATCATCATCTCGCTCTCGATGACGCGCGCTGCAACCCGCTGCCACACGGCAACCAAGTCCGCCTGCGACTCCAGCTCACCCACCTTATCTCACTCGACTCCGCTTGATCGCTTTCTCTCCGAGTCTGACGCTTTCTTCATGTAAAACAACCCTATAAGATCAACATGCCGACCAAGAGCTTGTTGCTCGTGTTCATTCACGGCTTCAAAGGAGGAGACCACACTTTCGATGGTAAACAAGTCCCTGATTCGAGTCATCAACACGTCGCTCAATGAATGGTAGGCTTTCCGGACCACTTCAGAACTCTTGTACAGAACGCTCTACCTAAGATCAATGTTCTCTCAATCGTATACCCCAAGTTCGAGACACAAGGAGATCTCTACGAGTGTGTGACCAAGTTCCATGGCTGGTTGCTCGACAAGTGCATCGACTTGGAGGTCGCAAATGGCACTCCGTCTCCAACGATAGATCCATCGGTCAGAGTTGTTCTTGTCGGTCACTCGATGGGGGGCATTGTGGCGGCAGAGACGTTGCTAAGCATTGCTCGCGATCAACCTGTGCCTTCCAAGCGCTCATTCGCTTCGACCCAGGACGACTCGGGTGTTGGCAACAAGACCACTTCCTACCCCACTTCTATGAACAATAGCACAATCAACTTGGAGGTCCCGGAATCACAAGCTCGATCTTCGTCGGCGCCTCCGCAAGAGAATCCTCCACTGCCTTCTGAGAAGACTGACCCTGAACAAGCTCCGGAGTTCTTATTTCCTTACATCCAAGCTGTGCTGGCCTTCGACACTCCTTATCTAGGTATCCACCCTGGCGTTGTCGCACATGGTGCGGAAACACACATCAACACCGCATCTGCTGCCTACAGTGCCTACAACCAAGCCTCTCAGTTCTTTGGTCTCGGTGGTTCTACAAACAAGACAGTCCCTTCGACCAAAGTACCCGTAGGCGCTCTTCCACCACCAGAAGCAGGCGCTTGGGGCAAATGGGGTAAATATGCCATGTTCGCAGGTGGCGCCGCAGCTTTAGCAGCAGCCGGAGGTGCAGTATGGCAAAATCGTGAACACATCTCCAAAGGCTGGGCCTGGGCAGGTGGTCACCTCGAATTCGTCGGCTGTCTGGCCCGTGGCGCCGACCTGACCAAACGAGTCGAAGGCGTTGCAGCACTCAGCTCTTCGCACAAGATTGGTTTCGCAGACTTCTACACTTGCCTCGATACGAGCAAGCAAGGCAAAACATACTACTCTGAGCAACTACTCGGTGAAGAAAGAACATTTTGCGTGGTGCCAAAGGAAGCAAAGGAACAACGAGGTGAATCACCGCTTAAAAAGCGCAAGACTACCAATGCTGTGGACAAGAAGCTGAAGAGTAAAGGCACCTGGATCAAATGCATCAACGAGAAAGCGAGCAGCGAGATCGGCGCCCACATTGCCATGTTCACGCCAAAGGACAATCCTGATTACTACGCCATGGCCGATCGAGCAAAGGTTGTTTTGGTCAAGGCGGTGGATATGGAGTGGTATGAGGGTTCTGAACCTACACCCGAGCCAACACCAGAACCCGAGAAGCAGAATCAGTCGGGAGCCGAGACTACGCAGGTTTGAGTTTGCGGCGGTGCTTGTATTGTTGGATATAGATACCCCTTATTGATTAATTATTCTTCACACTCTACGACCCCAACATTCATCTTAGCGACGTGGATGGTGGCTTATGGTGTGTAAGGACTTAGAGGGGTCTTTGGAGGACGACAGACATCCTTATGTCTCGTCGCTGATCGAGCAGAGAGCGACCATGAGACCGTGTCGTTGGTATATGTCAGGGGCGTCATATAAACTCCACAAGGCAGACCTAAAGGCATGTGCAGCTGAGATACTCCAGCACTCGAAGCCCTGTGCATGCAGTATTCGAGAGAACAAAGGCAGCTACTCTAACGTTCACTGACGCCATGATGGCCTCCGATGGTACTTGTGCATCTCGATCAGTAAGACTCGAGCGTGCATGCACCTTTCATTTCTTGCTCAATGTCTTCGTGAAACTGTAGGCTGCTTGTTTGGGAGAGGACGGACTGTTCTGCGATTTGTGGGTTTGTATAGAATACAGAATGAGCCAATGGCTTTTGTCACAGATCTTCCACAATGTAACGGTGTGATTATCTGAGTGATATGTCTATCCAGCAGATCTCTCTCTCCGTGGAAGGCCAGTGGATGGACTCGTAGTCTTGATTGCTGTAGTCTTTCTTGTGAGACTTGCGATACACGCTCTCGTCCTGAGGCATCAAGGGTTTCAGTGACGGCGTCTGTCCCGTGATAGCTTCGATTCCACGTGTCGAGTCTTCTGCGAGCTTCCGAAGTGGTTGCCTACCAGATATGAGTAATAGGGTCACGGGAGATGCCATTCTCTCAGCTTTCGGAAAGGTATAAAAGCAGCCTCCTTCTCTCCTCTCTGCTTCTTTCCTTCATCCTCATCCTTACCCTCCGCCGCGTCTCATCTTCTCCCACTGCCGTGTCTGGGTATCGCCAGGGGCAGGGGTCTTGAGCGGTGGCTCGCGCTCCTATCCCATCTCTAGTCTTTGGTGGCCCCGGTCACCTCTGCAAGAGATGGGATGGGAGTGACGAGTCATCCCTCAGGCCTCTCCCTCTGGGTGACCCAGCACCAGTGGTCGAGGGGGTGCAGACGCTGGCTGGAGGCCCCTTAGGATGGGGGGGCTGGGACTCAGTCCAGGCTGAGGTGCTTGCTCTGCTCTTGAGGGGACGCCTTCTTGAGTATGACGGGTGCCTTGGCCCAGGGCGAGTGGCCGGCCTCCGGCACAAGCTCTCACCTCACCGTGGTGTGTCGGTCTAGTAACTTCTTCGGAAGTGAAGCCAACGAGAGCACTTGATGATCTTCATGGGCATCAAGCATTCCTTCTTTCTTTTTCATCAGTGTATCCTGGTTTCCAACCGGGTGCTGGAGAAGATTAAAATGTGTCGTGCTTGATGTCTGCTGTAGTTACTATCATCATCGCTGTCATCGTTGCCGTCGTCGCCGTTGCCTTCGTCTGCGACGCTTCGCTCGGGACTTGGCTTGTGACCACACACGACAGTCTGCACGCACCAAGCTGCTGCCTCAAGGCCATCGCGCACATGTTTCCGGTATCCTGCTATGCAGTTCTCATTCCTTCCTGTTATTGATATGTCATGTCCTTCTTGAAATGAGTGAGCCCATTTAATTGAATCAGCAATTCATGAGAGCTGACACTTGAACACCACGGCGGCTTGTATACAACTATCAAAGATACACAGTTTTCTCATAGCCAACGTCGAGCTGGTCGAGTGTGCTTCATTCGCATACCCTCAACAAACCCCCAGCCGACTACATGGAAACTGTGCTTCCTGACAACCATAGACTAGCACCCACAGCGAAACAGCACGTGTACTAATAAGATACTCTGCATAGTATTGAACCACAACAAGTGCGATGTGTCAGACCATATGACTGAAAAATATGTACATACCACAGATAATGTGATGATGGTCGTAGAACAGTACAATACAAATGATGATCTAGTCCTTAGAATTTGGATCTGTTGTACGCCAGCCATGTCTTCCATGGCTGTCGCCAGTCAGTGACTCTGAGCTTCGGAGCAAAAACGTCGAAGTCGTGCTTTTGCAATCTCTCGAGCCATAGACTTGTAGGGACGCCGGAGAGGTAGACGGGGAAGGCTTGTTGAATCTCCTGGGCGGATGTAGATGTTTGCGACGGGGCGTAGTTCATGTGTTCCTCTTCATGACCATGCTCGAAGTCGTGACCTGCATCCTGGCCAGCGCGCAGGTTCTTGACCATTTCTCTTGCTGTGATGAGATGGTCGCTAGCTCTTGTGGCGACTTCGAAGACAGCATCGCGAAGGCCAGGAGCCTCGGCACCTTCGCGAAGCACTTGTTCCTCTCTTACACCATGTCGCGCCATGACGTCCAGAGGCAACATGACTGAGCCCTGTCTTGTGGCACCAACGTCACCAGCCATGCCTCCTTGATTCGAGTGATGGTTTGCTGGACCGGGGAAAGCGAGTAACGGCAGGCCTCTCAGGATAGTCGCAATACCGGTTGCCTTTCCGATGTGCGATGCGACATGGTCGGCGGTCAAGGAGGCCATGGGCAAGGCTTGAAGAGTAAGGTACATCAGAGTCGAGTATGTATTCTCAGCATACGACTCGAGAGCGGCCAAGTCAGGATACGGCGGGTTGGTAAGGTATTGCTCTCTGGTGGAAACAATTCTGTGGAACCAGCTCTTGCTGAACTTTGATTTGCCGTTGGTCCTTCGCTGCAGGTCTTCGGCGGCAGAAGCTAGCAAAACGGCGATGGGCTGTTTCGGGGGAGTGCCAGCTAGGGCCTTTGTGATGGCATCTCTCTGGAACTGTAGGCGCATGGAGCCAATTGTGGGAGTACTCGTTGTGTCGGCAGTTCTGGCGACTTCTATGTTGAAGGCACGAATGGCAAGGTAGGCGTCCCGTGTGCTGGGTGGCATGTATGATTGTAGCAAGAACGAAGGAGTGTCATATTTTCTGCATGCTGATCAGAGGGAGGAGGCGAGAACAGAATAAAGGCGATGCTCACCTTAGAAGGTCCACACAGTAGGCTCTCGCCGAGCCCACCTCTGCTTCGGACGACACCGTCGCGGCAGGCTGCTTGACTTCGGTGGCATAAGCCCTTCTACATTGACATTGCTGTCTACCGAGGGCACTCCTCAGCGTGCGACAGGCTGTCTGGGTCTTCATAATTGTCTGGGTCAGGAAACAGAAGTGTCAAAGGCGCAACGGCGATTGAGCAAACCATGACCTCGAACATGACGCTGTTGAGCCAAAAAGAGCCTAGTGTTTCACAAGGTTTCATAAAAGTCCTCGCGATCAAGTCTAGACGCGCTCCAACGCGTCTTCCGAGAGCTGCGTACTGGCCTGCAGCGAGGCACCACGGCATAGTCCTCGTCGCCATCTCGCCCACGCGACACAAAGCACGCATTGCTCGCATGACATGAGCATCTCGCATATGGGTGACCGACCAAACAAAAAGAGGCGCTTCTTTGCCGACAAAGACGCTGTCCAAGATGGCTCATTCGCCTCCGATCCGTCTGGCCCAGATGAGCTAGATGAGCTAGATGTTCTTCCACATGGCGACAGCCAGAAGCCTGCTGCCACCGCCCATCCGACAGAAGATACGATTGCGTCAAGCGCCAATTGCTTTGATCCCTCGCTCTTCCAGGCTTTCATCGGAAACGAGGCTCCTCAGAGCACCATCAATGCTCTACAACGGATATGCGCCAACGACGTAGAGCGAGCTGTTAACATGTACTTTGACGGATCGTGGCAGGGCCATCCTCTGATCTCAAGCACGTCTTCTATGCTCACCGCCCGGCCGCCTCGACCAAAGCTAAAAGACACGCCGAGCACCTCTGCACCAAAAATCGACACTCCCAAGGTCAACCTAGCAGCCATGCCAACCAAGAGATATATCGGTGCTATGGGTGTCGTCGGCTGGACTACACGTAGTGGAACGGCTATCATCACGTCAGGAGAATTGGTCAAGATCGAAAGAGCAAAGCCAGCCCAACAAAAGGTTGGCAAGGGAGGCAAGTCGCGTGCTACCACTCGTCAAGATGTCATTGTACGCTTCACAAACGCCAAAGGAGAAGAAGTTGGTCGCCTGGAGCAGGATTCTGCCGCTTGGATCTCCACCCTGATGGATCAGAACATATGCCATTTCGAAGGTCACTGTATCTTTGCGCCAGATCGCGTCCGGACCAACGACACTATCTACCTGCAGTTGCGATGCTTCTTCCTCAAGGCATGCTTTACAGCTGGCAGCTTCATCAGGCCATTGGACAATAACAGAGAAACTGGTCTTCATGAAGCCAAAGAGACTCGAGACGAACGGGACTTGCGATTGCGCCAGGTCGGCCTGGTGAAGTTGTTTTCAGAGATCAATCTTCATCCGTCGCGCGCGAACTCAACAACCGAGAAGCATAAAAGAGAAGGCATTTTGCGTGCTGCCGATATACCCGAACAACCTGAGCCGAGCACTGCCAAACCAGCCAAACCTTGTGATCAGGCTCCGTCATCTCCTCCATCAGACGACACGGAAGACGGCCAGGAACTGGAGCAAGATCAGCTTGACAGTCTTTACCGCAAAGCACAAACCTTCGATTTCAACACGCCGGTCATGCAACCGGCAGAGACATTTGTCATGGACCTCCGAAAGTACCAAAAACAAGCTCTGCATTGGATGGTGGGCAAGGAGAGAGATCAGAAGTCTGACCACAAGGAAGTGTCGATGCATCCACTGTGGGAAGAGTACATGTGGCCGACGAAAGACGCAGATGATGCACCAGTACCCCTGGTCGAAGAGCAACCGAGCTTCTATGTAAACCCATACTCTGGCGAGTTGTCGTTAGAATTCCCTGTTCAAGAGCAAAACTGCCTCGGTGGTATTTTGGCAGACGAAATGGGCCTTGGAAAGACTATCGAGATGCTCAGTCTGGTACACACTCACACCTCAGAATTCGGATTGCAAGGTTCAAGGATGTCGACGGTTATGGACCTACCACGCTCGCCTAAGAGCTCGTCTGGAGTTGCTCGCGCGCCATGTACAACATTGGTTGTTGCTCCGATGTCTTTATTGGCGCAATGGCAGAGTGAAGCGGAAAAGGCTTCAAAGCCCGGAACGCTCAAGACGTTGGTCTACTACGGTTCAGACAAGAACGTCAACCTGAAGACACTGTGTTGCGAGGCTAATGCAGGGTTCGCTCCCAATGTCATCATCACAAGTTACGGCACAGTGCTCTCAGAGTACAATCAAGTGGTCAGTGCTGGTGGTGACAGAGGATCAAGTGGTGGTCTATTCTCTATCGAGTACTTCCGTGTCATTCTTGACGAAGCCCATATGATCAAGAACCGACAGTCAAAGACTGCTCGTGCTTGCTATGAGATTGCGGCCGAGCATCGATGGACGCTGACAGGTACGCCTATCGTCAATCGTCTTGAGGATCTGTTCAGTCTGGTACGCTTCCTTCGCGTTGAACCATGGAGTAACTTCTCTTTCTGGAAGACATTCATCACTGTGCCTTTCGAGTCGAAGGACTATGTCCGAGCACTCGACGTCGTGCAAACTGTCCTGGAGCCACTCGTCTTGCGTCGAACAAAGGACATGAAGACACCAGACGGAGAAGCCTTGGTTCCACTGCCGCCACGTACTATCAACATCCAGAAGATCGAGCTCTCAAAGGTGGAGCGTGATCTTTACGACCACATCTTCGCTCGAGCCAAGAGGACATTCGCTGCGAACGTCGAAGCCGGAACATTAATGAAGTCGTATACAACGATTTTTGCACAGATTCTACGACTAAGACAATCATGTTGTCACCCTACGTTGGTGCGCAGCAAAGCTGGAGCCGCAGATGAGGACGAGGCGGAGGCCTCTGCAGATATCGCCAATGGCCTTGCTGATGACATGGATCTGCAATCATTGATCCAACGCTTCGAGTCAGAGGCCGAAGAAGAGGACGCAAGCCGCTTTGGCGCCAACGTGCTCAAGCAGATCCAAGCGGAGTCGACTCACGAGTGCCCGATATGTTTCGAAGAGCCCATGGAAGAGCAGTCTGTCACTGGCTGTTGGCACAGCGCCTGCAAGAAGTGTCTGCTCGACTTGATTGAGAACGCTACCAACAAGAACGAACTGCCTCTGTGCTTCAATTGCCGTGAACCGATCAACGCACGCGACATCTTCGAAGTCATCAGACACGACGATGAAGATGATGACGAAGCTGGCATAGCCAAAGACAAGTCACAAAACAGTTTCGAGTCCCCTTACTCGGTAACTCAACCCAGCGAATCCAACGACTCACAACAAAGGCTTTCTCGGGTATCACTTCGTCGCGTCAACACCCTCTCGTCAGCCAAAATCGGCGCTCTCCTCATCCACCTCAAACGCATCAAGAAGGCCTCACCAACCACAAAATCCGTCATCTTCTCTCAATTTACCTCTTTCCTCGACATCCTCGAACCCGCCCTCGACGGCGCCTCAATCCCCTACCTCCGCTTCGACGGCAGCATGACGCAAAAAGCCCGCGCCGCCGTGCTCACCGAATTCGCCAATCGGACAAGAGGCTGTGTTCTGCTACTGTCTCTCAAAGCAGGCGGTGTGGGTTTGAACTTGACTTGTGCGAGTAATGTCTTCATGATGGATCCTTGGTGGAGTTGGGCTGTCGAGTCACAGGCTATTGACCGTGTGCACCGTATGGGTCAGATGCAAGAGGTCAATATTGTGAGATTTGTGGTTGATCAGAGTATTGAGGAGAAGATGTTGAGGGTGCAGGATAGGAAAAAGTTCATTGCTAGTTCGCTGGGGATGATGAATGAGGATCAGAAGAAGTTGCAGAGGATTGAGGATATCAAGGAGTTGTTGAGTTGAGGGCTTGCAACATCTTGCATCTCTCTTCCTGGTTCTGATTTTCCTGTCTTGTTATTGCTGGCTGGTTTGGATGATATTTGGGGTATGGGCGCAGCATTACATCGGGTGTTGCATTATGGCGCTAACATGAGCGTTTACAGTAAATATGCATTTGTTTATATTAGATCTTGCTTTGCTCTATTCAATGACCGCCGCTTCGTATTATTACGATGCTCTTTGTCGTTTGAGCAATGAATGTCTCCCTGATGCAAGAGAAGCGCGTCAGGTGAGAGGTGGCCGGGATTTGCCCACCAAGCCTCCATGCTCGTCCTTATGACCGAATGTAGATCAGATGTCCAAGCTCTCTCTTCTGCAATCAGAGGTCAAAGAAATCTGCATCAAACTTGCTTTCTCCTCCCTCGCCTTCACCACCACCAGAGAAGTCGCCCATGTCAAACTCGGTGAAGTTCATGATGTCGTCAAAGGTGTCGTCTCTACTGCCCATATCAGGCTGTTGTGGCTGCTGCTGCTGTTGCTGTTGTCCATCTTGTTTAGCGTTACCCGTTCCATCCTGTTGCGGCGCGCTTCCGAAGTCGCCAGCACCTGCTGCATCAAAGATGTTGAAGTGTGCGGGTACGGATTGAGGATTTGAGTCACCTCCATTGCCACCGCCTGAATTTGCATAGCTCTCAAGTCCAGGGAGGAGGGAGGAGATGCCATCGGTATCTTGCATATCTGTGTCTGTAGGTCCGAAGTTTGTGAGGTCCGCAAAGTCAAAGTCGTCGTTTGAGTCGTTGAAGGAGGCTGGTTTGATGGGTTCGTCGTCGGGTATGGTCATTGTTCGAGTTGGAGGGGGTCTCGTGTCTTCTGCTAATGCAGGAGGATCTGGTGCCGGTACTTCTGCCAGAGGTTGAGGTGGTGAAGGAGCGGGGAGGGTCTTAGGACTGCCTCGCGATGCGGGACCGGCGCTGCTTGGATCATTGAATAGAGATTCGAAGTCGAAGTTGCTGTAAGTACCCGTGTTCTCGTCGCCCGGATGGCCTGCCGCTTGATGGTCCTGTCCTGGTATGTCAAGATGAAGCGGCGAGTTGGAATCGCCATTCGGTTCTCCTTCTGGCAGTCCAGTTTCCTCTCCAGGTGTTGACATTTTGGCGTCTCCTATGGGTGACTCTCCCATGACAACGTCATCATCAAGGTTGATCGCCGTAGCGTTGTCAGTCTCAGTCGGCACAGCAGTTGTGGTGGCTTCGGTCTGCATCCGAGCCCCTCGCTGAGAACGATATGTAGCGAGATCACGACGCATCACTGCGCGTGCCAAACTCTGACAACATCATCAGCCGCTGTCGTCGATTGGAGTGATAAGATAGAGCGAAAAACGGTGCAGCGTAGATGTGAGATAGGTGATTATGATATAAAACTCAAACAATACAATGGAATCCATCGCAACTCACCAGTTCGCTCTCGAGTTGATCGAGTGCATCGTGAAAGTTATTGTTGGCGCCAGCAATCACCTGCTTTAGTCGCGAAGGGTTGTTGATCTGGCCATGGTTTCTTGCATTGTTCGCAAAGAGACGACCTGTGTGTTCCAACTATTCACAATATGGCTTGTTAGCAAAACTGCCGAATTTTATGCCAGGCGAAACTGGCGAGCAGCAATGTTACGCACGACGAGATTGAGCTGTGCCTCCAATTGATCCAGCGGCGACCTCACGGCTTGGCCACGATCCATGTCGAAATGATGGCGTGACACGTGCGGGCGTGGGAAAGCGTCGGGGTTGGCAGTTCACAGTGAGGGGGGCAGACACACAAGGGTGGAGGATATCGGAGTTTGAAGACTCTCTCTCTCTCTCTCTCACTTGCAGCGAGCGACGTTCGCGGCAGAGGGCCAGACAGTTTGGCGGAAGGACGGCAGGGGCTTAGAAAAAGGGACCGGTCACCAAGCGCAAGGTTTGGGCAGTTGCGGAGAGCGGGAACAAGCGTCAAGCTGCGACAACAAGGTCGTTGGGTCCGTGAGGCTGCGAGGCCTCGGGCAGACCCTGCGGCCGGCGCGCTAACTAAATGAATGAGAGTGGATGCCCGCGCGCCAATCTGTCACCTTCTCTGTGACGAGCTCGCACTCCTCTCTCTCCGTCTTGTTCTCCTTCTCTCCATCGTCTCTTTCCTAGCTGCCGTCACGTCGCTCGTCTCTTTGTCGTGTCTCTTTGCCTGCCGATCCTCGGGCCTTTCTGCTTTCTCCAGCGTTTGCTACCGTTGCTTCCCTTTTGGCCAAGTTCTGACTTTTTTCCTTGCCCAATCGTCAAACATCTCCTACTGTCAGGCCGCCCGCCTACCTCGACTTGATCTGTCTGTTATAGCTCGAGTCATTCCGACAAAGTCCTCCGCCTCGTGTTTGTAGACCTTTCACGACAAGAGACTCTCGTCACGTCCTCGTTGAGCAGCATATCAACCCCACCAACACGCAGCTCTTGCATTGAAGCTTCGACCCCGGCCTTTGTTCGATTGATTTGTCTCGGCCTGTTCCTCCGCTTTAAAGACCCCGACTCAATTTCTCTGTTCCCTTCAGATCAAAGTCTGAGAAAAATGTCCGACAACCAGAACCAGATGCAGATGCCCGCTGCCCCTTCGGCTCAGGGTGCTCCTGGCCAATACCCCCCGCTCAACATCCCCCAGAGCACCATGGAGGCCAACGCCATGACCGATGCCATGAACAACAACGGCAATGGCCTGAGCTCTCCTGGCAGTGCCGGTGGCCCTCGCCGTGCCGCTCCTGAGCCCAACAAGAGAGCTCTCTATGTTGGTGGTCTCGACCCCAGAGTCACCGAGGAAGTCCTCAAGCAAATCTTCGAGACCACTGGACACGTTCAGAGTGTTAAGATCATCCCTGACAAGAACGTAAGTCCTCGATCCGTCTCTTCTCGTTTGTCTCGTACTGCACGTGGCCCTGCCCCATGTCTCTGCTGCCACTCACGGCAATCATCGCTGCCTGAACTGCATGTGCATGCATGTGCATGCATCATGCCGATTCACGTGTTGTTTGCCCTGTCCGCGCTGCCTACTTTCATCTCTGCCAACGCGTCTTGTTGTACCAAACCATCATCCACTAACAACCGTTCTTCCTAGTTCCAGTCAAAAGGATTCAACTACGGCTTCGTTGAGTACGACGATCCTCTTGCCGCAGAGAGAGCAATGCAGACCCTTAACGGAAGACGTGTTCACCAGTCGGTAAGCAGAACACCACTTGCTTCGGCGCAATCGCGCCCAACAGCTGCTGACACGTGATGATAGGAGATTCGTGTGAACTGGGCCTATCAGTCCAACACTACCAGCAAGGAAGACACTTCCGGTCACTTCCACATCTTTGTCGGCGACCTCTCCAACGAAGTGAACGACGAGGTTCTCCTCCAAGCCTTCTCCGCCTTTGGCAGCGTTTCCGAAGCCCGTGTCATGTGGGACATGAAGACTGGCCGCTCGCGTGGCTACGGCTTCGTCGCTTTCCGTGATCGTGCCGAAGCAGAGAAGGCTCTCAGCTCCATGGACGGCGAGTGGTTGGGCTCTCGTGCCATCCGTTGCAACTGGGCCAACCAGAAGGGCCAGCCCTCGTTCGCTCAGCAGCAGGCCATGGCCCAGATGGGTATTACCCCTCCCGGTCCCTTCGGTCAGCACCACCAGTTCCCTACCCAAGGCGTCCAGTCCTACGACACCATTCTCGCTCAGACTCCCCAGTGGCAGACCACCTGCTACGTTGGCAACCTTACTCCCTACACCACCCAGAACGACCTTGTTCCCCTGTTCCAGAACTTCGGCTATGTCACCGAGACTCGCTTCCAGTCTGACCGTGGCTTTGCCTTTGTCAAGATGGACTCCCACGAGAATGCTGCCATGGCCATCTGCCAGCTTAACGGCTACAACGTCAATGGCCGCCCCCTAAAGTGCAGCGTAAGTTTTGGTCTCTTGGTGATTCAGAAGCATTTGCTGACATTCATGTACAGTGGGGTAAGGATCGTCCTCCCACCACCAACTTTGAAGGCTTCTCGCCCGCTACCGCTGCTGCAGCTGCCGTTGGTGGCAACGCTGGTTACCCTCCTACCCCTCAGGGTTTCGGATTCCCTCAGTACGGCGTAGCTGCACCTATGTCTCCTCAAGGTACGGCGAGATCACAAAGCCACATTGATCACACCGCTAACATTCTCGTAGGACCTAGCCCTGGTGGCTTCCAGCAGCCTGCGGGCCAGTTTGCCGGCGCTAACATGGCCGCTTACGGTCAGATGCCCCAGAACAGCGGTGGTTTCGGTCGTGGCAACTACATGGGTGGTCCTCAGGGTGGCGCCTTCAACAACTACGGCGGATACCAGGCTTAGAAATCCTGCGGCTCTGGTGAAACGATCAACACTCAGCAACCGGCTCTGACTCTACGTGGAGGCGATGGTAGATACGGTCAGTAACTGAAGTTTGCCGACAACCCAAAACATCGACGACTCTGGCTCAAGCGAGGTAGCCGTCGACACGAACATTTCCTTGCCAGTCCTGTCGTTGGATAGGAAGTCCTTTTCCATTCTCTCACTCGTCACTTGATGTTTCCAGCTCTATATACCCTTGCAGCTTCTCGCACATTGCATGGGGTTCGTCGAAATTGTGCTTTTACCTTGCATGTGGGAAGCGGTTCTGTTCTTTTTGCTTCAAAGAAAAAATCAAGCATCTCCTTTCGATTTTATGGATATAGACAGTGTGCAAAACGAGGCACAAGGAAGGATGGAGACATTTGGAGGGTTTGAACCAAGGAAGCGTCTTCGTGTAGTTCTCTGCCTTTTTTCATTCTCTCTTCCTCCTTTTTTTCCTTCTTCTCCTTGGTATCTTTTGATGACACGTCCTTTCGTATGTCGTTGCTTTCTGCCTGTGATGTTGATGAAAAAGCCCCTCTCATTTCTTGAAGCCATATACCCATCTTTTCACATATTCCTTTCTGCCGTCTGCTTTGGAGATTCAAAATGGTACATAGCCAGCGGGCGGGCAATTACGAAATGCAGATTGAACGCTTGTTTCACATTGACTCAGTTGCTTCTTACAGTGCTAGACTATGCCAAGCAGAGACTCCAATGCTCTGGAAGATGGTCGTACATGGATGTTTCGAGAGGGAAGAGTAAGGTAGATAGGCACGTGAATTAGGAGCCTAAAACGGTAATTACCGGCGCGTCGGTCACAAAGTTTACGCGTTGGCACATGGATGGCGACAAGAGTGGTTTGCATCCGAGAAGACGTGGGAGCGGTTGAACTAGTCGCCCTGATCATAATAGCGCTGGTAGTGGTGTACTGCATGCTGGGAGGAGGTCACAGCGCTACGGGACTGCTGCGCGGGTGGATTGGAAGAAGGACAATCGCCAGAGCTGGCGCCCATCATCGACAACAACTGGACGCACAAGCACAAGCACGCGCACACGCATTCGCACATTCCGCCGCCATTCCGAGCTCCCATCTACACTCAGGCTCCTTTGGCTCGCACGAAGGCCGTCTGCGCTCCCGCAACATGCTCAATGCCGCCGTCAACAGGCATAACGCCTCGACGGCTGCCTCCAAACCTCTCGATCAGCTTTTCTCCTCCAGTCCGCCGCCGCAGCAAGCTTCCCAAAAGTCGGCCATCTTGTCTACAGCCTCCAAGAATGCAAAGTCCATCAACGGTATCAAACGTACACACAGCGGTCTAGCAAAGACCTTTGGCCATACCGCCTCCTTTGACGATGCACAGAACCAGCCTATCGTATGCGCCGTTCCTGAAGTCACCAACAGCGAGTACTTTGATGCCGACGACTTTGACGACGACTTTGATCTCGACGACCTCATCGTTGAGGAGCCAAAGGCCAAGAAGATCTCGAACAGCACAATCACATACCCCACCCTACCCAAGCTCACTGCTCCGCAACAACCGCCGTTCCGTCCCACATTGGCGAGACGCCAGGTCCGCGACTCTGTTGTTACCGATGACTCTGGCTACGCTTCTGCCGACCACACTCAAGAACAGCTAGTCAAAGACGAAGTCGGAAGTAGTGCTGCTTTGCCCTGGTCTTCATCGCCCACCGAACACTTCAATCCACCGCCGAATGCTTCCTCTCTCCGCCGCTTCGCCTACGATAGTAACAATGGTCCCGCAGCTCCTCGGGTACAGCCAACATCCGCTCCAGTCAAGAGCGAGCCCGCTGCTGTTTCGAAGCGTCGAACTATCCCATGGCTGAAGTCAGAGACGTCACAACCCGAGCAAGACATGAAATCTATTCCTCCCTCGAAGAGACGTGTGGTCGACACAACACCTGTTCAGCCATCCAAGAAGAGCGCCCTTCCCTGGAACACAACCGCGAGTGCCATCAAGGAGCAGAAGACCAGTCTTCGTGAGACCAACAAGAAGAAGTCGAAGCTCAATGAGCCTTCCGATGAGGTCATTCAAAAGGCAAAGGTCAGGAGTCGTAAGAACATGGTCGCTCGTGTCTTCCTCAGTGACGAGCAACAACACGTTCTAGATCTGATCTCTGAGAAAAAGAAGGCTGTTTTCTTCACCGGTGCCGCTGGTACCGGTAAATCTGTTCTGCTGCGAGAAATCATCGCTACGCTGCGCAAGAAGTATCTGCGTGAGCCAGATCGTGTTGCTGTCACAGCCTCCACTGGCCTCGCTGCGTGTAACATCGGCGGTGTCACGTTGCACAGTTTTGCAGGCATTGGCTTGGGTAAGGAAGACGTCCCTGAGCTGGTCAAGAAGATCAAACGCAACCAGAAGGCAAAGCACAGATGGATGCGTACAAAAGTCTTGGTTGTTGATGAAATTTCAATGGTTGACGGAGACCTGTTTGACAAGCTTGAAGCTATTGCCCGTCAAATCCGGAACAACGGCAGGCCATTTGGTGGCATCCAGCTCGTCATCACTGGTGACTTCTTCCAACTGCCTCCAGTTCCGGACAGTGGCAAAATTGCCAAATTTGCATTCGATGCAGCAACATGGTCCACTAGCATCGAGTACACGATCGGTTTGCACCATGTCTTCCGTCAAAAGGATCCGGTATTTGCGAATATGCTCAATGAGATGAGAGAAGGACGCATGAGCGCCGAAAGCATCCGAGCATTCCACACATTAAACCGTCCATTGGATTCTGCAGATTCTATTGACGCCACCGAGCTCTTCCCAACCAGAAATGAGGTCGAGAATGCCAACCACACCAAGATGAGCCAGCTTGTTGGAGAAGTCAAGACTTTCGAGGCGCGAGACGGCGGCAGTATTGCTGACAAAACTTTCCGTGACAAGCTCCTGGCAAACTGCATGGCTCCCGAGCTCATCACCTTGAAAAAGGGCGCACAGGTCATGCTTATCAAGAACATTGACGAGAGCTTGGTCAACGGTTCGTTGGGCAAGATTATCGGCTTCATGAGTGAAACCCAGTTCGACTCTTACAACAACAATGAGGAGGCGTTCATGGCAACTCAGGGTGGGACTCTTAAGGACGAGGATGCCATAGGTGGCCGCGACAAGAAGAAAACCGCCCGCGATCGTATCATGGACAACCTGCTGGGCAGCGCGCAGATCTGGCCCGTGGTTCGCTTCACTCTCGCAGACGGCACAACTCGCGACCTTTTGTGTCAACGTGAGACATGGAAGATTGAGCTCCCAGATGGTGAGGTCCAAGCCTCACGTGCACAGATTCCCTTGATCCTTGCGTGGGCATTGAGTATTCACAAAGCTCAAGGTCAGACACTGGAGAGAGTAAAGGTCGATCTCGGCAAAGTATTTGAGAAGGGACAAGCATATGTCGCACTCTCTCGTGCTACAAGTATGCAAGGCTTACAAGTGTTGCGCTTCGATCCACGCAAGGTCGTCGCTCATGAGAAGGTTCGCACATTTTACCAAAATCTTTCCCGAGTGGAAGGCCTAGAACAGAGCAAGCCAAAGGCTGATAGAGGCAAAACGACGAGTCGAGGCAACGGATTTACTGCCAACGAGTATGAACGTGGTTTCGCTGAAGGAAAGATGTAAAAATGGTCATTGTTGCTTTTATTTTCCTTTGTTTCGGATGCCTGTGTCAGGCTGGTCGGCAGGCGCTTTTTGGAGCCCATTAGTGGCATCACCGATACCCTATTCCCATTCTGTGTGTATCTTCAAACGAACACTATACTCATCGATACTTCATTCACCTCTTAGCATAGATGGCTCTATACAAGTCGTTGTTATAAGCATTAGTGCAGCCTGCAATGAGCTTCCCACAGCATTCACAAGACATGACAGACGTCAAGCTAAGTCTTTGCCCGAGTCAAGTCCATGGCCCCTTGCCTGCTCAGGGATCCCTGTTGGAGCCGTCGCGTCTTTCATTCTAGCTACGTCATCCTAGGGTGCACTCTTATTTTGTCTCTTCACCATAAATCATTTATAGTATCTACTGCGCAACAACTCATTCCTGCTTCATACTCTAGATCATGCATCACATCAAAGACGCTTTTGAGCACTCGAAAGCGAAGAATGGTTCTGGTCAGCAGCCCCTCCACCAGCAACACGGCTTCCCAGGCAGCCAAGTCCAACAACCTACACAACCTCAGCAACCACTACGTCCACAACATCCTGGTAGCCATCACGAACAAAGTCCACTATCTAAAACCACTCAAGGTGCTATCGATGTATTCATGGCATCAAAGCAGCCAAACGGCGAGATTGGTGGTATAGGTTATTGGCAGACAGCCAACGGCTACACGTGTATTGCTCTAAGGGACGCGTGGTCCGGGGGCAACTGCAATGCGACACTCCTCCGAGACCGATTGTCGACAGTGGAAAGTCATCACAAGCATTTCATCAACGAGTTCAACGACGACACCTTGTGGTGGGGTCATTGCCTGCTTGATGCTTACATGACCAGTCCTGACTCGTATTACCTCGAGAATGCTCGCCAGATCTGGCAACATGTAGAGCGTAGTATGCTAGCTCCCGGTCAGGCCAAGGTCAGAGACATGGATATGGCTGGTGCCGTCATGTGGACCACCAGGCCGAACGAGGAACAGGTAAACGCCATTACGACTGGTCTGTTTTCGGAACTCTCTGCCCGTCTTGCTTTGCTACAGAAACCAGGTCGGGAAACTGCAGAGATGCTCGAAGCGGCCGAGAGAAGCTTCGCCTGGATTGAACGCTGTCGTTACCGCTCAAATGAATGCATTGTACTCGACACGATCAAGCTCAAGTCCCAAGAGTGTGTCGACTGGACCTTCACTTACTGCACCGGACAGGCCATAGCCGCAGCCACTGCGATCTTTACAACTCTCAGCTTTAGCAGTCATAATTCACATAGCAACAAGTCGCCACATGGTTACCTATCACTGGCTTGCGACATGGCACGTAAAGCAATATGTCGAAACGGCTGGGTTGAGCACGATGGTACCTTGACCGAGCACGGCGCATATGGCAAAGGCAACCATGAGCCTTGGAAAAATGACGACGCAGTCGGATTCAAGTCTGTCTTGTTGCGTAGTCTGGCAAAGCTGCTCAAGCTCCTACGCGAAGCCGACCAAGAGCCCGATTTGCAGCGACGACTGACAGAATTCATCAAGAAACAGTACGACAGCTTGCAGCAACGCAACACCAACGGAAACAATCAGTATGGTCCCTGGTGGGCAGGACCTATGGAGCTGCCGACCAGCCATAGTCAGATGGCAGCACTTGATGTGATGGCGGCTATACATCTTGTGCAGACTTGAATGGATGTTTCGAAGCCATGCACAAAACAATGGAATTTCGTGCTGTTGGTCATGGAAGGACCGTGATGTGCAGATTTTGGACAAAAGAAATTCTCTCCTCTCTCTGAGTCGAACAAAGGACCTTCTGATGACAATCTAGCAATTACAGTCAGACGCTCTAAACCAACTGAGCTAAGAAGAGATTGGTGAACTGACGTGAAAACCAAAGAATTATGTTTATCAAGACTCGGCTCAGGGGTCAACTCGATGCGGGGTCTTGGGCGTTTGGCAATCTTTGGTTCCGCCTTATTAGACACGAATCTTCCGTGGTCAAGCCAAACATCGCCACACCACTTCATTACCGAGCAAGAAGCTTGTGTGATTCGTTCGAGATCAAGCTCATCTTCTCAGAGCTCATCAATCAGCACTTCGACGAACTAAGAATCTCGCCGTCGACAGTCTTTCTGGCTTTTGGAGAGATGTGTATCTGACCGCCGGCCACCGCTTGCCTCTCCTTCCCCCACATGACCCATGACATCGCCAATTGGTAATTGGTCTTAGCATCGACCGTCACATCAAATGGGGTTGTGGTCTAGTGGTATGACATCTTCTTAGCATTGCTCTTTGGGCATTACTGAGTGGAGAAGGTTCTGGGTTCGATTCCCAGCTACTCCATCATTTTGTCTAATGCTTGGCGCACAGCGACAGTCGCATGTTCTACTGTGGCCCGGTGAAGTTTTTGCATTTGGAACATTGCATTGAGATTTTGCTGATGAAGCCTGAAGCCTGAACTGAAGCCTGAGGGATCCAAGCGTCTTGGCGCGTTGATTGATGAGACGGGCAGGGGCGACAACTCACTGGGTACTCTTAGTCCTCAACTTTTTGCTGTCTGGCGCTGAACGCTCGCTTGATAAACTAATGCGTCGGTGTTAAAGTCAACATTTTTGAGAAGTATTGGCAAACAAGAAGGGTGCCCTCCTGCAATTAAAGCATTGTTTGCTTGTAAGCCGCACGTGTGAAGCTCCACAAAGTAATAGAGGTCCAAGACTCTCTAGACCCGGACACTGGGTCTACAATACGGTTGAAATTATTCTTACACCAGCATGTAGAGAGTGAAACTTATACTAGGAATAGCCACACTCATCCCAGGCAATGATAAGTGGGTCTTGCTCTCGAAAATTAGGCCAGGGTTGTACCCTCGACGAATCTGACTTCAGAAGGCAAGAGATCAGGAGCCCAGCGGTAGGGAGAAGTTCATCGAGGACATGACTCCAGATCCGTCGGCTGCCTCGCTCTTTTCTCGCACCGCCTCTCGCTTCCAACGGACTTCTTGGAGTGTTGTTGGCGCGGCAGTTCGCAGCTTCTGCACGGTCGTTCTCCACGTGGCAAGCTCGGACAATGCAGAGAGCTTTGAGTCGTGCATGTTGATATCATTGCATCGACTTTGAGAATGTATACAGCAAGGTTCTCTTGAGACAAGACCGCCGACAGTCATCTTTACAGAAACAATCACAATCATCGGACGCAGAACATCAGTCGAACTCGAGGCTGCGTAGTTCAAGAGATCGCCAGGGCCCGACGTCAAATCGGCGGATAGCGACACATCCGAGTCACTGAAACGTCTCCAACCTGACTCGGATTCATGCTGCGAACTTTGGAAACGCAAACTGTCAAGATCTTCCAGCAACATTCAAGAAGCGGGCAAGAGACTCTATTTCGAAGAATCTTGAAGCTCGAGCTGCGTTCACGTTGCCACAATGACAGCTCCCAAGTCTAAGCTGATTGTCCCCCATAAGCGTCGCAATCCATGCAAATATCTGGAGATGTCTTACCTGAACAGTGTAGGGGCCCAAGCGCTTCGTGCTGTGATAGGGCCGTTCCAAGGCGTTCGTGGACGAGCTTTAATCTCACCCGTCGCATGCTTACATGAGATGATGATTGTAGGAGACTTACGAACCATTAGGGTGCTACAGCAATGTAGCTTTCGTATATAAGCCTCATGCCCCGCAGCGAGTACCTTGTTTCCGATCGCCCACACCTCTTATTCTCCTCCATCTAACCTCTCCAATACTCACATTCACAATGTCTGCTCCCAAGACTACTCGCGCATGGATCCTGTCCAACCCTCCTACCGACATGCCTGATGAGAGCACCTTCAAGCTTGTCGAGCAGGATCTTTCCGAGCTCAAGGATGGTGAGGTTTTGGTCAAGACCACTTATCTCTCCAACGACCCCGCCCAGCGTGGGTGGATCCAAAAGGGTGTCATTGCGTGAGTGCATCTCGAAATCTGGAAGCAGAAGTCTCGACTAAGCTGAAAATTAGTGACCGCATGTACTTTCCTCCCGTCGAGATCAACGCCCCCATGTCCTCCTTCGGTATCGCTACTGTCATCGAATCCAAGGCTGCCGACTTCCCCAAGGGCACCCTCGTCAACTGCTTGACCAACTGGCGCGAATATGCCGTCATCGACACCACTCTCGGCGCTCCTTACGTTACTCGCGTCGACCCCATTCCTGGATTCAAGGAGACTCATTTCCTCGGCGCCCTCGGTCTGACTGGTGTCACTGCCTACCACGGCCTTGAGAACGTCAACGTCACCAAGGACGACACCGTCGTTGTCTCCGGTGCTGCCGGTGCCACTGGTAGCATGGTCGTCCAGATCGCAAAGAAGATCATTGGCTGCAAGCGTGTCGTCGGTATCGCCGGCACCGCAGACAAGTGCAAGTGGGTCGAGAGCCTCGGCGCCGACGTCTGCATCAACTACCGCGACGCCGACTTCAAGGAACAACTGATCAAGCAAACCGAAGGCTACGTCGAGGTCTACTTTGACAATGTCGGTGGCGAGATCCTCGACTTGATGCTCGCCCGTGTCAAGCGTTTCGGCCGTGTCTCTGCCTGTGGCTCCATCTCGGAATACAACAACAGCTCTCCTCCCGGCTTCAAGAACTGGTTCGAAGTTATTGCCAACCGTATCACCATCAAGGGTCTCATTGTCCTTGATGCCGGTGCCCGCTGGCCCGAGATGATCAAGGAGATCTCCGAGGCTGCCGTCTCCGGCAAGATCCAGGTTGGTGATGCCAACGAGACCATTGTCCCTACCGCCTTTGAGGATGTCCCCAAGACTTGGCTCAAGCTGTTCGAGGGTGCCAACACTGGCAAGCTCATCACTCACATTGTTTAAGCGGACCACAAAAGCATTTCAAGAAGTTGGCTCATCGTTTTCTTAACCATGTACATATATCATGACTATCAAGATACCACAGATTTCACAATACAATAATCAGAAACAATTTACTCATACTCATCATTCGTAGATCAAGTTCTTGCTGCATACCGTTCCCGCGAAACACAATCCCTACAGTATCATCTAGGTTCTGTAAAAAATTGTTGCGATCTACAAGAGCGTGAAAATCGAATCGATTGTATCATCAAGCAGGCACGTATTGGTCGACTTCCAGCATATCAGAGTACATGGGCTCTAGTCGCTGTCCCGAGAAACGACATGGTCATATCGCAGTCATGGACATCTTCAATTGGCAGCATGCTTGAACATGCTATAAAAGTACAAGCACGAGAACGATCAATATAGCGTCCCAACGAAGAAGCAGGATGGGGATCAACGCTATAATCAGAAGTGGAGTGTGAAGAACGAAAGTATCGGAGCTACATGTAACATGGAGGGACAGAAACATAGTAGTAGCGAATCCCCGTTTGCGAAATACTACTAGTTGTAGCTATCTGCCTGCAGGCACAGTACTTTCTGGACTTGAAGCAACGTCCTCTAGATACGTCTTTTTACGGCTCCCTGCATTAGATGCATCGATACGAGATGTGACTGTGCTTTTCTACAGCTCATTGCTACCCTGCTTTGATCATTCTGAAGAGAGACGACGGTGATCTCAAAATCACAGTCACGTAGAAAACAAGAGGAAATATGTTAAGCAGCGAATAGTTCAATTGCTCAAACTAATCAGAAGACCTTCCGACAAGCCTCTTCTTAGTAAGTTGAGAATAATTCATCGATAGCTAGTCGATTTCATCAACCCAAGAAACCAAGAATAGTCGAATCGCTAACGAAAGTCCGTAACTATATGAAAGCAAAAAGCATGTGCAAACGGTATGATCATAACAATCCTCCACCTGATCCGTATAACGTGAAAGATGGAGTAAAACCCATGCGCCTTGCCCAAGGACACATAAGCCTACTCATGTCTTTCCACAAAGTCGACTCTTGTTTTTTTTTTGCGAGTGTTGGGAAAGCGGAAAAAACCCAACGAGACTTTGTAAACCCGGTGTTTGCCATGATTGCTTTGATAGTGAAAGTGCTGCTGATCCTTGTCATACAATGACGCTTGAAGAGACTGTTGATTGAAGATACTCATGCCCTTTTGAGAGATGGGAAGCATGTGAGTATCCACTCGTCGCCCTGAGGAGAGATGGGAAGCTTGAGTGTAGGTGATGTCCATACTTCTTGTTGATGGTGATGAGGATGAAGATGATGAGTGTGGTGATAATCTTGCTGCTATGAGGCGTTGCAACTGCGCGACATTGTCATGGCTCGCCGAAGTCCAACGACAGTACGGCAAGCTGTCAATCGCGCTCACGATTCCGATTTCGATTCCGGTGATAGTGCTGTCATATATCGTCGGATGCTGGACTCGATGGCCCTGCGAAAGATATGATGATGGCGTGGTTTTTATCAATTTAAATGCCGTCAGATGCACAACACAGTAAACTGGTCATGCAAAAGATTTTGATAGGGATGAAGCAAGTATCGATGATGATGCGCTTTGTGATGAAGGTGTTTGTTCGCTCGTCGTCGTCAAGAGTTGAGAAGAGGTGGTCGACGTGTCATGATTGAAAGTCGGCCTTGATGAAAGCAGTATAGCGGCGTGCTGGTGACGGAAGCATCAAGGTTACACTTGGTGACTGAAGTGTGAACGAGGCTTCTGGTGCCGGTGCTTGCGCGGTGGCGGTAGAGACTTTTGGGTTGAACTTTGGCGATACGAAGAAGACACGACAGTCCGAAGGCTGTCGCGGAAACGCATTGAGGAGTACGCACGCTGGTATCGGCTTCGTTCGTAGTTGGAGAAGACAGGACAGTCCGGGGACTGACGCGGAAACGCATTGATGAGTACGCACGCTGGTATCGGCTTCATCCATGTTTGGTTGCTTGAGTTCGAGAGGTTGTTTGCTCTTGTTTTGGTCCTCGTGTCTTGTAGTCTTGAGTGGTGGCTTGTGTGGCGTGATGACTGATTGTCTGATGTTCGCGGGGAGAGTGCGAGAAAGATAGGATGACGACGAGAAGGAGCCTTCGAGGATGGCGAGGGTTATCTCCGGAAGAGAAAGGTGCAGAAGAAGTGTACCATAGCTCAGCAGCTAAATGATATCGACCAGGTGCCGTGAATACAAATGGACAAGGTAGAAGTAGAAGTATGGACACCAAGTCTTGGTGGTATATGTCATGTAAGGTGGATGAAGAAGAAAGCGTTTCCAGGCGAGGAGGACCATGTATTTGTGCCTTCTCTGATGGCCATAATGCTTACTAAAATGTATAGATCTTACTCAATGCTAATGGCAGCAGCTATGGCACAGGTATATTTTGTAAGTAATTCAGGAAAACAAACTCATTCATAGGCAAATGTGCAGCTTCGGATCGATGTATTGGCCAAAACAAGTCTCGATACATGCAGCAGCTATTCCTCCAAGGCGAGTGTTTCCGAAAATTTCGGAGAATGAGCTCAATCACCATAGATGGAAGATCCAAGAATGTCCGACGACAATGTTCCGGGTACAGCCTTTGGATTTTGGGCTTTGTCGACGTGATGCTAGCAGGAGATCGTAGACAGTCGGGAAACGCGAGACACCCGCAATGTCTGGTTAGCTGGGCGGCTCCTGCCATCCGAGTCCGAAAAGTGTTGCGCAGTGTAGTAATTCGGAATGGTATCCACAGAGGTACTGATGTGCACCGAAAGACCCTACCCCGTGGCAAAGACACCGACTTACCTTTCTCATGGGTAGTGTGATCACATTCAACACATCAAGTCTGCATGGTGAAGAGGATGTTTGGTGATGACAATAGCGAGTGTTGTTGGAAGTTCGGACGATTAAGCCAAAGTAGAAGGTGCAGCCGAGGCCATCTCACAGGCACAATTAACCTCGGTATGCCGCATCCTGTCGGCCATGGACATTGTTGATGATCGAGAGCTGTTTGCTACCGAGGGAGACAAAAACCAATAGCATAGGCCTCTTTTTCAGACTCTGCTTGCCTCTAATCTCTTGTTATCCCAGACTTCTTACACTGCATCACGCAGACTCGACCTCGGCGATAGCGGCCATCGCAAGATAGCAGTATTCGCAGCTTCCCTCATCTCGAAAGCAGAAGAGCGTCTCACAACAAAACATCCAAACATGTCTTCCAACGTGTCCACCACGAATCTCAACAATCTTGCGCGAGTCCTCGCAAGCAGGGCGGACAGCCTCGTCCTGCGTCTGGTTCGCGTGCTCTCTACACCGGCGGGACGAGACAAGACGCTCTGCACCCTGCAGTACCTTCTCATCGTCGTCTACACTCAACTCACCCGCCTCCAAGGCATCCGCTACCGTCGTTTCCTCGCCTCCGTAAGCCGCAAAATCGGTGCCGTCCTCCTACCTGGTGAGACCGTCGTCGCGACGCTATCACCACCAGACGACAGGCTCAGCCATGTCATCAAGGGCAGCAAGGCACTGTCCGAGTTGATCAGCGACTTCAGATGCTTCTCACGCGTCGTCGAGTCCTTGGACCTGTACACCTGGGGCAAGAGCACATGGAACAGCCCTCCCGAGGACGGCATCGTCAAGGCTGCTGTTTGGGGTCAGATCTGGACAATCACAGCATACCAGTGGTACGAGAACGTGGCATATCTAGCATCCAAGGGTGTACTGCGTGGTGAGAAATTCGACACGAAACAACAAAACAAGTGGTGGGTGTGGAGCTCGCGCTATTGGATGGCATACATTGCACTGGAAGCAGTGCGACTTGCCCGTGTGTGGCAGTTGAAGCCGACTGTCACTTCGTCCGTCGACGGTGCTCAGAAAAAGGCGGACACACTGGAAGCCGAGGCTCTTTGGAACAGACAAATGACGGTCAACATGGCTTGGGCGCCCGTCTCATACCACTACAGCTTGGAGTCTGGTGCTTTGAGCAGTGACTGGCTGGGTGTCCTCGGCTTGGTTGCTGGTGCCACTGGCTTCCGCAATCTATGGCGGCAAGCTGCCTAGATGTGTCGATGGTTGATATAACGTTTTAGCGATATAGATTATGTTATTAACACTTGATGACTTTGTATAATATCTTCAATCTCCCTCATCGAGCGGGCGCCTGCTCTCGCGCAAGTCACCCTGTCCACTGCAGAGCTCTCTGTCGTAACAGGAGGAGTCTGTCCCATACCCAAAAGCCTTCCCTGGTCACAAACTCCAATTCAAACAAATGTCCATTATGCATTAAACGTCCTGCTTTTCCAACAGCGGCCGCTTCTCATCCACGACCGACTCGACCGGCCTCTCAGTACCCCAATATAAGCAATCCCAACAGAATCCGACCAGTGCCACGGCTCCAGCTCCAGGCAACACTCCCGTAGTCGCCCAGAAGCACAACTGTGTGCCAGAGCTGCCATCCAGGACACCTGCACCGAGGCCATACTTCACAACTAGAGAGGCACCAAGCATTCCTCCAAGTGCTACTCTTGCAATGCAGAGCGCACGGTCGTCTGGCCTCAAGCACAGCAATGTGCCAAAGCTGTACAGGCATTGTAACAGCGAGAACAGACCCATGGGAACGAGGACGAGACCGTCGTACATGTAGCGACATGTCAAGCCGATTGATACTTTGTCGGCGACCGAAACGTCAATATTGAGATAGTACCAAGATATCGTAACGAGCATATTGAGGACAAGACAGAAGAACATTGTCCCAGGGCCAGGCTTCTCAAAGTTGAGTATTGTCTTCGGAGTATCCTCATCTTGTTCCCCAGAACGTGGCCGTGACAAAAGTGGTGATGTGGAATCTGGTATGGAGGCCATGGCAGCTGTGTACTTTTCGTTGACCGTTGATGTTGTCAACGGCGCAGAGCCGTTGGATAGAGCGATAGTCTTTGCAGCGTCCATCCGTTCGGTCGACAGCGAACTTGGAGAGACCGTTGTGTTGAAGATCTGGGGAGCGAAAGAGAGACAGAAAGTATCCTGGCCAAACCTAGCTATGCCAGAAATTCATATATAGATATTTGAATCGGTTTCCTCGTGGAATGTTATCGTGTATGCAGCATGAGCACAGCTTGGCTGGAAATTGCGTGATAACACAAGCGTGGATTGCGTGCTGAGCAGAGAGACGCGGATTGGTGCAAAAGAGAGAGCAAGAGTCGCGGTCAAGAGAGCAAGATCGAAACAAAGAAAAGCGCACGACGGGGAAGAAACCTAACATGTATACTCTGGAGAGCGAAAAAGCAAACTACCATCTTGGACCCAATCCTTGTGGGCAAACTAGTCCGAGCCAATATTCTCGCGAAAAGTGGAAGTCGCAGCTGAGAAGGTCAGCATGGTCCGCTGCGCGTTCCTTCGGCGCGCGGGCTCCAGTCCAAGCCACATGAAGTCCATTATTGGGTTTAACTTAATTCAGGTATCTTGCTTCCATCGCGGCGGTATGCGATCATTGTTCGAATCCTTCGAAGAGCCCCAAATACGAGATGTCTTCAGACATAAAGGCTCGTGTAGGCGGAAGAGTCAAGGAAATGTCTTGGTCGGGTGCTTTGACAACTCTGCGAAGGATCGAGACCCTCGGTCATCACCGAGGAAAGCACAGTGCACGTTCTGCATTCAGAGCTACAGATCACTTCAAATTTCCGCAAAGTTCGCTGTTCTGTATTTGGACTATCATAATGGTTGTTGGTCAAGAAAAATGTTTGCTTCAAGGCCACTTCGCGTGGTTCTGTTTGGTACAAGAACCCGAACACGGTCGATGCGCCTGTGAAGACAAATCGACAAGAAACGAATATATACTACGAGACCATGGGAAAGGTCTAATCAAACGATTGTCCTAGCGCACTGAGACTTATCTACTAGGATGCACGCTGACCATCGGTGCAGGCTTTGCTCCTTCTTCCTCTCTCGCTTCAGGTGTGCTTGTGCCTTGAGGCGTGCCAAGTCCTGAGAAGGGCGTGATTGCGCCTGAAGGAGGGACAGGAAGTTTGAGGTCCTCAGGACTGTCAGGAATGATCTGAGCCGGAAGGCCGGAGACGTGAATACGTCTGGCTTCGTTGTTGTACGAGGCAGGGACGATCTGTAGTACAGAAGGTTAGTAAGGCAGTATAATGGAGTTGAACGTAGAGCATACCTCAATAATCTCGTCACGAGGGAACTGCAACTTCGGAATGTCGCGCGCACCGCAAGCCATCAGATAGCCGTAAAGTACCCGTAGTACACTTTCATGGGCAACAATCAGAAGGTCATCTTGCTCACGTTCCAGCTCCAAGATGATAGGCTCTAAGCGAACCGCAAGATCATGGTAAGACTGCGAGTGGGTTAGCCTATGACCATGAATGATGCGTCGATGCAAGTTCTTACCTCCGCACGAGGGTAACGATGGTGGTAAGGGTCAAGCTCATGCTTGCGCACTTCTTCGGGATATTGTTCTCTGATCTTATCTTCGGACATCTTCTCGCAGACACCAGGGTTCAACTGGCTCATCTGAGGGCGCTGCTTCACACGATATCCAAGGCTCTCCAAGTAGTGAGACGTCTCAACTGTACGTCTTCTGGTTGAAGTCCAGATTGTGAGAGGCTTAAGCGGCAAGTCAGGACCGCCTCTTCCAATTAGCTGCTTGCGTTCGTCCTCTCTGTGGTTGATAAGCGCATCGCTCATTTTCTCTGAGTAAGCAACACCATCCTCAGAGAGTGGAGCGTCAGCTTTGTAAGAGTCTTCATCTCTTGTGGTACCGGCTCTAGCGAAGTAGACCGATCTGTGTTTGGTATGGAGATTCAGAAGATAGAAGACAATGCGCTGTGATAGGTAGTTGAAAGCACAATTGTTCACAATCACGCGTTCTCCAGCGTTGATCATTTTCACGTAGTGTAGCTCTGCTTCTTCCATGGACTCAAAATGAGGAATGCGAGCATTGATTCTGGCCAGGTAGTCTTTGACAGCGTCCTTGTCAGACCAACCTTGGTAGTCGGGAGAGGAAATCTTGACGCTGCGAACATTCTCCTCAATGATCTTCTCGTCTGTACAATGCGACTCAATGAAAAGTGTCTGCACGTTATGCTTTGAGAATTCTTTGGCAAGGGAGATACGGCCAGCAGCAGAAGGGTTGACAGCGTCATAGATGGCAATCTGGCCATTCTCGTGTTCAAGGAAGCTGTAAATGTCCTCTCTGCATTTTCGGAGAATCTTCTGGCGGAGTAGTACGGAGGAAGGCGAAGCATTGATGAAGAAGTAATCATCCGGGACATCCTTGCCATCGCCCATGGTCGCTCTCCTGTAATCACCAAGATGGAATATGCGGGTCTTAACACCAAGCCACCGCAGATATCTGGCTAGAGCGACTGAGGTGTGAGTCTTGCCACGAGCTGGCAGTCCTACCGTAGCAATGACCATTCTGCCGGAGTGAAACAGACGACCAGACTCGGTGCTGTAGAGTTGGGCAGGAGCCATGCTTTCCTTTTCAGGCAAATCATGGATAGCATCGACGAAAGTGCTCGACCTGCGCTTCCAGTTCGGCGAACTGGCCATGACATCTGCAGTACTAATTGAAAGTCTCATCTTAGTACGTGAATCATTGAAGGCACAATTGTGACAAACTACAAAAGGATGTACGACTACAGCCATGTCCGCAAACAATTGGCGAGAACGATTTGAACAGTGTTAGGATGGCAGGACACACGTACAGAAGAGTATCCATTGTGAAAGTAGAGGCAACCAGATGCCGGTAGAATCAAAGCTGCGAATGGATAAATTGGTAGTTGTTTCCGACAGACCGACGCGCGAGAACAGGTGAGCGATGAGACAAGCAGCTGATCTTGGCAGTATGAGATGGTGCTGTTCCGCGCAATCGGTAAAGGCAATGAACCAAGCAGACGAGGCGCAGAGGATCTGAGTAAAAACTAGTCGAGAAGAGCTCGCTGATAGGTAAGAACGGTATCAAGCTACAAGAGTGTAGATAAGAGGGTGGGCGTGAGTTGTGGTTGAGGCTCTCGGAGGCCATCGGTCCAATCACGCGGCTCGGCCTAAATTTTTGGCATCGACGTCGGTCGCGCAGAAGTAGACACAAGCGTCGAAGAGGTCACCATCAACGCACCATTCTGTGAAAGAGTAGTCGCGCCGCCATTTGCATCTAAGTCGTGTCATAGTCGACCCGTCGCTTAGCTCTCGTTCAAAGTCCCATCGTCGCCGCCCCTCGCCGCCGGTGTCCTAAGACTCGCCCTCTCGCCCTCACCAGCAAAAGTCTACATCATGACGTCGCTTCCTGTCACCACCACCCCCTACCCTCCCGTGGCGCCTGTGGCCCCCATCGTTGAGAAGAAGTCCGGCCCTCTGTCTGGTGTCACCAACAATGCTCTGGCCTCGGCGCTGAAGGACACATACTCGGCCTTCCAGGCACGAAGAGAGTCTCTCGGTCTCACCAACCCCGGCACCGTCGAGAACGTCGCAAAGGAGGTTCAGCGCGATGTCTTCCTCAACAACCTGTCCTTCTCTGGCCTGCGTGCCGACCTCACAAAGGCATTTAGCGTCTCGCCGTTGTTCCAGGTCTCGCACGCCTTCTCCCAGGGCTCCCAGCAAATACCCCCTTACGCCTTCCTTGCCCTGTACGGCACCAACAAGGTATACACATCTGTTCGCGACCCTCAAGATATCAACCTATTGACACGTCCAGATCTTCTGCCAAGGTAACCTCGACAGCGACCTCTCCCTCTCCGCCCGCTTCAATTACCGATGGACTCCTCGCTGGGTCACAAAGACCACCACCCAAATCCAGGCTGCTTCCATGGCTGGTCCCGGAGGCGCTCAATTCTCCTTCGAGAATGACTACGTCGGCAATGACTTCACTGCTCAGGTCAAGGCCATGAACCCTTCTATCCTTGACGGTCCTCTCACTGGTATCTTTATTGGTAGCTACCTCCAGAGCATCACTCCCAGACTTGCCCTTGGTCTTGAGGCTGTCTACCAGAGACCTGCTGCCCAGCTCGGCCCCGAGGCCATGATCAGCTACGCCGCCAAGTACAAGGGCGAGGACTGGATCGCCAGCGCTCAGCTCATGCCTTCCGGCGGTATCCAGGGTTCTTACTGGAGAAGACTGTCTGCACAGCTTGAGACCGGTGTCGACCTCAACTTGCAATTTGCTGGTAACCCCATGATGGGTGGTATGAGAAAGGAGGGCGTCGCCACTCTCGGTGCCAAGTACGACTTCAGAGCCAGCAGCTTCAGAGCTCAGGTCGACACCGCTGGTAAGCTCGGTGTCTTGCTCGAGAAGAGAATTGTTCCCATGGTCCAGATCACCTTCGCTGGTGAGCTCGACCACGTCAAGGTAAGCACTGATCCTCGCATCTCCAATCAACCGATCACTGACCCCTTTACCAGAACGCCGCTAAGGTCGGTCTTGCCGTCTCTATCGAGGCTGCCGAAGAAGAGGTCATGGCCCAACAAGAGAGCGCCATGACTGCCGGCCCCGTCACTCCTCCCTTCTAGATGATTCGCAGTGTAAACTCCCCTACTCTGCCGTGTACATTATAAAATTTGACCCTTTCTCCTGGTGTCCTTGTTGTTGTCAATAGCTGGCCTTTTGTTCCTGGGTTACGTGGGGACAGACATTGCCTGTTTGGCATGGAGATGTCGACCTATCCTGCATTGTTGTGGTTTACGAGGAAAGAGGAAAAGGAGGCTCTTGGACCGGACATGAATAAGGCGGAGTCATGATCAGATATGCATTTCTCTGTAATCTATGCTCTTTTGCAAATGGCATCTTTGTGCAGCTCGTGTTGACAACGTTTCCTGGGTCACGCTTCCAATCGAATATTGAAATTGCATCCCTCGGCTCTTAGCGGCATAGCAAAGAGAGTGATGCATAATGTACCTGAGACCCATGGTGCAACACGAACATAACTTTTGCATGGCAAAGTATGAAGTGACATTCTGCCTTGATGCCCCTCATCTGCGATCCCGTTCACGGTCCACCACCCCTAGCAGCTAGCTGGTGCAACGCCTCTCAGTTCCTTGGTCTGGCGGTCAAATACGGTGAAGGCAAGCGGTCCTCACAAGCGAAAAAGTACAATCTCGATCACTCTGAAGTTTGATGAGAAGCTCCACCTATTTGCAAGGTCCAGTCTCTTCACATGCCCCATAGACAGCAAGCTTGTGTGTGTTTCATTTCAGAGCCTCAAATTACGTCACACTTGTATGACGTCCACCCCGCTTGTGCAAGGCAGCAGCCACCAGCTGGCCAGCTCGACCCCTCACCTCGGCCTGAGCCCCACGTAAAATGGCTCATCGTTGATCTGGGTGGAAAGAGGCGTACGCAAACAGTGTCAGGTGGCTCGTCCCAAGTGATCGAACAAGGAAGTAGCGTGGTGTGGCTGAAGAAGGGCAGCGTAAATCGTCACCCGTAGAAATGCTTGGATGCGATTGGACCGAGGCGGAGTAGGAAAGTGCGTGCGAGTGAGAGCTGTCCTCAGTGAAGGGGGAAGCGGGCCTACGTCATCGTGACTGCCCGCAAACAGTGAGCTCTCGGAGCTTCCAACACGCAGCTTCCAACCACTACTTAAGAAGCTCCCATCACACGCTTGCTCCAAGTTCCCTTTCTCATCAACCAACTCAAATCACATTTTCTCTTTTCAAATCAAACCAACCAACCCCCAACCAAACATCAAAATGTCTGCTCCCAACGCCAACAAGCCTAACGAGGGTATCGTCGGTCAGATCGGCAACTCTCTCAACAACGCCGCCCAGTACGTCTCCGAGACTGTCCAGGGTACCGGTGCCACCGCTTCCAAGGAGGCCAACAAGGAGAAGGCCAAGGGCAACTCTGCCGACGACTCCATCTCCGGCCGTGTCTCTGGTGCCATGGGCGCCGCCTCCGACAAGCTGGACGAGAAGAAGCACGAGACCTCCGCCGAGGCCAACAAGCGCTCCATCTAAGCGTCTTGACAACAACCTCACCACCATCAATTCGATCAAGTCCTCTTTCATGACGACTTTCGACACGACGGCATGACACGACAATATCTCTAGCTCCCCTACATGGGTCGAGCTCAAGTTCTTTGCACGAGGGTTTTCACTTTACAACAACACGCCGGCGATGGAAGCAATCAGTGCTTGATTCAATGGCTTTCATGATGTATCCATATTACCCCCAAATGATAATTCCCCCTCAAACATCACTCATTCTACCTTGACTTTCTCGTGACTGTTCTTTGCTTATGACCTTGGTGCCTCTGACTCTCACTTTCCTCGCAATATCTATCGTATACAGTCCACTCGCGACTTCCTTTATTTTGTATCCTCCAAGCTCAAGCTTCAGCTTCCCCTCTGCGGCTCTGCCTCTCCAGCTTGTTGCGGCTGGCAACCAAACGCACGGATCAGATCTATGAGGCTCTGAGAACGCCAAATCTCGAGAAGCAGGTACGAGCAATCAGCGCAAGGAGCTGACAAGCCCTCCAGCCTCGAAGCCGTGAAAAGCATTCTCTAATCTTCAGTTTCCGGTTGACTATGCGCTCCAATTTACTGGTGCATGCCACGGAAACAGCTCTCACCAAAACAACGACTGACGTCCGCCAACATGATCGACAATGATCAGCAAACCACTTGCGGAAAACGCACAAGGGATAGCCAGCCTCACCTCTCGAAAATCTATGACGGAGACGGTACCAAAGGAAAAAAAAGAAAAATTTCCGAAGAACTGCTGCTATATCAAAGGGTCCGACACCTGAATCTATTGTTTCCTTGCTACGTCTCCAGACCCTGTTTTTTGTGTGTGTAGTATACCGTATCAGACGACTGTTTTACGAATTATCTATGGCCAAGGCGGAACCAGTAAATCATGCATTTCACTAAGACCTTTGTGACAGCTTTTGCCTTGACAGCAACTGTAACAGCACTCCCACTGCAAACCCGACAAGGTGATGCTGCTGTCGGCAACCCAGCCAGTAAAGTCCCTCCTTCTCGCCTTTCCATCGGTCTCATGAAATTGACACAATCTACAGATCCCGTTGACGATATTCTCACAAACATCCAAGGTGCTCTCCGCGGTGTTCTAGATTTCCTCTCCCTTCCCAGCGGCAGTGGAGCTGAGAACACAAAGCGAGATGTCGTTGGAGATGCTGCGAGTAAGTTGACCACACTTGATCGGCTTGAAATCATTGGTTTCTGACAGCCCTACTACAGACCCTCTAGATGATGTGATCAGCAATGTTGAAAGTGGTCTTCAAGGCTTCTTTGATTTCCTTGGTGCTAAACAGGAGTAGAGAGGCTTCAACATTGATTTGAAGATGGAATAATTTCGATGATTGTATATACTAAAGATGGTTCTATGATTGTATATATTGAAGATGGGATGGGATTGCATATATGGGCTCCCTGATAACGATACGGGTGATCATGTGCAAGTTTTGAGGCTGTGTATGAACGTGTATGTCTGCAAAACATGGCGGTGTTTCTGTGCGACGGAGTAAGGCTGCGGGGAGTATCACCCTGGTCTCCGCCTCGAATGACCAGCATACTCTGTCAGGACATGGACAAGAGTGATAAAGGAGCATATCAGGCACTCATGAGAGCGTTCGGAGCTTCAAGGAGATCACAACTGAACTTCTTGCTAACGTTCGTACTCCGGAGCCGATTGCGAATATTGTAGCCCACGTTCTTCAAGCTTCATCCAAGACGCACATACAATCAGAAACACAAACAAATTGAATTTCTGAAGTAATGAACATTGTCAACTAAAAACGAAGTATGTATAACCCCATGTATAAAGAAGAATTAAACCAACAAAAGCCCACCGAATAAGGAAGACAGGATCTAGAATATCATTCCCCCTCAGCGAGCCCCAGTGCCAAAATATCCCCGAAGATAAAAGCCCCAAATCAAACCAGATTAGGTACAAAAGATGTATGAAGTGAAGGTGACTTGTCTTTTCAATCAAAAGGCTCACAAAAAAGATGCCACTTTGAGTTTCAGAAAGAAGATGAGAGAGATGTACGAAAATGTTGTAGAAGAAGAAGTAGGCGTCAAGGTCGTTTCATGTTGGAATGTCTGAGAGGAAGGATGTGTGCTCAAGACATTTACAGAAGGACGACGGCGGCACCGAGGGCGGCGAATCCGTAGCCGGCGGCAACCATGTTGTTGGCGGCACCGGTGTAGACGGCGGGCTTGGTAGCAGTGGCGGTACCGTTGCCAGCAGGGGCAGTAGGGACGGGCTTGACGATGGTGCAAGGGCACTGTTTTGGTGTGTCAGTTGTTGGGGTCTGGAAAAGGTGAAGTGGTGATCTGGCTTACGTCGGTGATGGTCAGGGTGGTGGCAGAGCTGACGGTGTAGGTCTTGCCGTTCTGGACAACAGTGCTGTAGATTTTGGTTAGTCTGATGTGCCTCCCAAGATACTGTTGCAATGGATGCTCTCTTACGTGGCAGCGGGGCAGTAGGTGGTCAGGGCGGTGACAGTCTGGGTGGTGTAGACAGTTCCGTTGACGGGAGCAGTGCCGTTAATGTAGGCAGCGGAGGCCGAGGCAGCGAGTGCAATGACAGCGAAGGACTTCATTTTGATTGATTTGGTTGGGGTGGGTTGGTTTGGTTTGGGAAGAAGCGAGTGTAGAAGGGTTGGAAAAGACTGTGAGTTGGTTGGATGATGGAAAGAAAAGGTAGAGTGCAATGGACAAGGTATTATATATCTCGATGTTCAGTGACTGATAGTAGGGTCTGGGTTGTCGGCAAGGAATGCTGGCCTATGGTGTTCGCGTACAAGGAAATGAGATTGCTCCGTTGTGCTAATGAGAACGAACGTTCGGCGGTGGTATCTCCAACGGTTGCAATCAACTTTTTGCTGAGTACGGAAAAGCTTTACAGAGTCGTTGGATCCTTGAGATTGGGAGCTGAGCAAAGGAGACAGAGAGGATGAGACAACAAACTTGCCCTGATGCTGCCATCGCCATACCCGCAGCAGTTTTGGCGATGTTGAGACTTACAAGCACCTGAAGCTGACGAGTCTTAGTATCGAGTAGTATGATAGACGATAGATAGCCAGTCCATCTCGTTCGTTGCCCATCAAAATAGCCGGGCAAAGCTGTTGGAGTTGTGGTCAACGCTCGAGAATGAGAGATTGTCCGACACCGGCTATCAGTGGCATCACCAACCAGTATAGGGCAATCATTGTCTTCTCCTGGAAGCATTAGACGCAAGGGATCAGTACGTTCGAGAAGGCGGAAACGGTTTCCCGCAGCTTGATCACCCCTTGGGAAGGGGCAACCGTGAGGGTTGATCCTCGGCCTTCGAGTTGCCTGTCCGATCGAGCCTCAAAACAAACAAGAAATCACAACACAGCTCAGCTCATGGCATGTGAAAAATGCATGATTGACTTCGTATCTCCAGCTCATGGTTACAGCGTACGGGGTAAAGGTTTGATTGAATATTGAAAGGCTGAGTCTCCTATCCACACATCGTTTTCTTCGCAGATGACCGATGCCCTAAGGTCAATTGTCACACGAGCACATACATAAGGCTTCTTTCTCCTTCAAAGAGTCGGCTGTTATGTCGCAATACTTTCTCGCTATTCTGTCATGACGTGACGAGTTTCTGTTCCATGCTGATGCCAGGTCGATCATATCGTTGGCCCAGCCACCTCTTTGTGCCTGGTTTCAAATTCCCATAGTCGAACGGCTGATGGACCATCGTTATCACACGCGTACATCCTCATCATCGCAGAGCCAACACGCCAGGCCTTGCTCAGTAGCACATGGCCGTCCAAACATCCGATTCAAGAATCGCGACTTCTACGGGTGCCATGGACCTTACGGGTGCAGAGATGGGCACGACATTGGGATTGCTAATGTCGATGTCGGCGTAAAAAGTTTTGGCATACAAGCATATACACAAGCTTTGGATCCCAGACGCGCGTGAAAATTGATGGGCAGCTGTAAAAGACTGCCCCAAAAGCGCCGTACCCCATGCAGTGGAAAGAATTTCTCCTTGAATTGTACAACTCCTTCGCCCCAGCGGCAGTAAACTGTGATGTATTCTTTTGTGACTTGCAGAGGTGTCATCAGACGTGCTCGGCGGGGTATATGTCAATTACAAGATCTGGTGTCTGAAGGAGAAGAAGGTCAGATAAGCGTCAAGCGGGCGGTTGGAGAGGTGAAACGTACTTCTGGAAAAGGTTCTCAAGGGTGATAGCACTGAGATCTGCGTCATCGGGAATCTCGTCGACAACAGGGACGAGACCTGCAAACTTGTCGCCGCCACGATACGCCAGAACAGCCGGTACGCCGGCAGGCTCCATCTCAGCGTCGAGATAGTGCATTTTGACGAAACGCGTCGTCTTGTGTTTGCGTGCTAGTTGGCGCATGCAGTCTTCAACCATGTAGCTGACCTCTGACGAATCGTCGTAAATGAAGACGACGACGACGGTGTTGGAGGGACTACGATCTACAGCATCCAGGTAGCCCTCACCGTCGACTGACACGAGTCCTCCATAAGTGGCGCGACTACGTGGTTGGCCAATGCTGTTGCTTGCTTGTCGGTCGTTTGAAGATAGCTGATTCAACCTCTTCTGTCGCCATTCAGCCATGAAGTCGTCCTCGCTCTCAATGTCGCTCCCACTCTGACTGCCCTTGTTGCGGCCGTCTAGACTCAGGTCGGCGACGTTCGGTGTGTATGCATAGTTACGTGTGGCTGCCTTTGGCGAAGAGTTACGCTCTCTGCGCGCGGCTTCGAAGGCTTGTGCGTCGGCGATGACACCTTTGGGCCCTGTGTTGGAGTATGACTTGTTCCGCGGTACGTGATCCCTTGAGGGAAGGTTGGGCAGATCTGAGGGCTCGTCGTCAAAGTCGGAGAGGAGGTCGTCGTTCTCTGAAGGTATCGACTCGTTGTCGTCTTCTGGGTGATGGGAGCGGCGAGACTTGTCGCGGAAGAGCTCATTGTATTCATCCTGTGCTGTCGCCATATTTGAGCGGGCTTTCCGGAGAGAGCGCTATCGTGATGTGTATTGTGAATGCGGCTGTCGAGTGTTCGCGGGCTCGCTCTGCTGGTCAAGCGCCGAGTCACGGGTATGGTTATCAAATTTGTTGTGTAGTGGTGGAGTCGTAGCAAGTGGATGGCTGAAGTCAAAGTGGGACAGAACAACAGTATTGGCAGAGTTGATTGATTTTGAGCATTCCTCGAGCAGAAGATATACCTCCTCTGATGACGATGCAAAGGCGTTTGGGATTTCAGGGGCAGCTACCGTGTACATGGACATGTGAATCTTTGGCTACCTCTACAGGCCCGCTCAAACAAGGCCTTCTAAACACGCGCTTCGTGCCTGTCGACGTCTGACCTATGCAGCCACTCCCATAGTCAAGCACACTCGGACGAAACGTTCGAATCACGACCCTGTCGCTGCTCGATGACGGATGTCGGCCGACAAGCACTTCGAAATCAAACCTGCACGGTCCAGGAGCAGAGCTAGAAGCATGTGAAACAGCCACTCTCGCACATCCCGCTCCCAAGTCCTTGCTAATCTGTCCGAGTCCATCGGAAAACACACTACCTCCTTCATACACGACCGTGTGTGTCTCGCTTGATACGAGTTTCAACTTCACAATATGTCTGCACAAGTTTCAAGTCGAGACACCAATTACACTGTGTCTCGAATATAAGCATCCTGTCGCCCACTGTCTTGCACGTCTCGACAGATGAAGGAAGGAAATTATTTCTCTGGTATCTGCTCAAAAAGGTCAAAGGAAAAGTACACTACGAAGAACGCATGCCATGGATGAACCCCAGGCGTCTGCGTGCCTCGTAAAGAGGAAAGCGACCGCTATAAAACAATAAAAGAGAATTGACAGCGGAAAACGTGGGAGGTGTGCTAGGGTAGATGATAAAACGATGAAGAGCAGAGGGTCTCCGTTGCAGCACTTTTTCCCCTTTTTAGTCCCATGCGGGCCAGCTCTGCCTTTCGCTCAATGCCCGGGATGGGAAAACCGACAACCAGGGGGATTTGCTATGGGTAAGACGCCAGGGAAAAGATGAGGACTGCGAGAGGAAAGAATTAAACACCAGATGTCCCGCCCGACCCAGGCAAAGGCTTGCTGTCGCGCACATTTGAGTACACAAGACCTCCATTATGAAACTTGTACGATTCAAGAACAAGGAAAGAAAAGGGGGACGAAGGTTGTCTGGCAGAAAGATGCTTGCGTAGAATCCCTCCGGCCCCGTAATCCTGAAAAGAAGACTCTGCTCCTGCAGAGTATGAAGTGAAAATAGGCCACTGTACTGCGGTCAAGGCGTGGTCTACATGGCGCATGCCCTTCGGTGGTATCGTTTGTCCGTGTTTCTGGTGTGGTTTTTACTGTCTCTCCGTCTGGACAGTAGTACATGGTGGCGGCGCTGTTGAAAATTGTGGAGGTTGACAGACTCGGATGAGGCTAAGATTATTATGCCCAGATGCGAAGCTGCGTGACGAGTTAGCAAGAAGCGCAGAGGTCTCCCGATGTGGACACATACCATCGAGTCCCATGAACCTGTGCAAAGCGATAGAGCGTCATTGCTGACACCCAAGCAGCTGACACGGTTGTCGTGACCTTGCAATGTGCCAACTCTTTCACCGCGGAGAGTATCCCACACCTAGACAATGTCAGTACAATACAATAAAGTCCAGCGCAGCAACCACGTACCTTGCATTCGAAGTCGTCGTAGCCAGCAAACAGAAGTCTTCCGGAAACGGAGAATGCTACTGAGGTGATACCGCAGACGGGCTCGCCAATCTGAAAAACATGGTCAGCTGGATCTCGGGTTTGGGAATCATTTAATGAGACGTACAGTGTAGCTCTGCAGCTCTCTGTCGGCGCGGATATCGAAAAGACGGCAAGAAGCGTCATCGGAACCAGTACCAAAGGCGTTTCCGTTGGGGAAGAATTGAATAGCATTGATGTCAGAATCGTGGGCAGCAAAAGTCTGGACGCACTTCTGCTGTCTGATGTCCCAAAGCTTTGCGAAAGCATCGCAAGCACCTGAGACGAATTGGTTGTTGTCGAGAGGATTGACGCTCAAGCTCATGACATCTCCAAGATGGTCGGCGAATTCTTGCAGCTTCTGGCCAGTTTCGATGTCCCAAAGCACGCAGGTCATGTCGCCGGAAGAGGTCAGAATGCGGCGGTCGTTGATGAAGCGACAGCACGAGAGGTAACCGGAATGGCCGGAAAGTTCTCTAGCGACACGAGTGGGACCGTCGCGGGCGGAAAGGTTGTAAATGGAACAGATGTTGTCGAGACCACCACAAGCAACGTAGTTGCCGCTGGGAGCATAGGCACAAGTCATGACCCACGAGGATCGAAGGGGAATGGCGTGTACTTTGTTTGTGCTGTAGGCATCCCAGATGATGAGCTTACCGTCTTGCGAAGCCGAGACCAGATGCCTTCGGTCGGTGGACCAGTGCATGGCGTAGATCTTTGCGAGATGGCCCTTGAGGGTGCGCTTGGTCTTCATCTGCAGGCGGGGAAGAGCCTCTGTGCGTTGGCGAGCGACATCGCGAACTGTGGTGGATTGTTAGAGGATGGGGAGTGGGTGGTGAGTGGTGGTTGGTGGGGACTTACGCGTTGTGTCGGCAAGCTCGTCCTTCTTCTTCTTTATGCGGTCCTTGAGGGCCTCAGCATCCCTGCGGGCGATTGAGATCTTCTGCTGAATGGATTCTGCGCTTCCGTCGGCCATGGCTGTAAATTCTATGTGCGATTGGGGAACTGTAGGCGGCAAATTGGCAAATGCAGGACGCGGTCGTGGCTAGAGACTCAGGCGAAGCTAGGATATTCGGCCGACGACGTGTATAGCGGTGGAAGCGACGACGCGAGAGCGGTGATGCCTTCTCGAACAAGTGCGGAGCTCACGAGAACAGAGAGTGAGCGGCAGCGACAGGAGTGATCGGTCGGAGGTGCAGGTCAGCAATCAGGCGCTGGAAGGCAGCGTTTATGGTTGGTCGGGCGAGGTCAGATCGGCGCAGGGCAGGGCAGGGCAGGGCTCAGAGAGACAGGCGTTCTCGACCAGAAGACAGGCAGAGACGAAGTGGTATGCTCGGCAGTAGCAGAGAGCAGGCTTCGACAGCGAGGAATTGATGATGTCTGTCCGTGGATGTGTGGACGTGGACGTGGGATTGAGCTGCGAGAGAGGCCTTGTCTGCACGATGCACGATAATGGGGGGATTGAATTTGGAGACGGATGGTAGCACTTCCAACTCGACCGGGCGCTCGGACGTTGCGACTAGCAACATGACTGGCTCGACTGGCTCGGTAAACGGCCAAGGGTGCGGCTGGGTCTATTCAAACCGAAGTGGACCAGCAATCTGAGAAAGCCAACTCTAATCACCAAATGTTGCTCTTCATCAAACCACGCAGGACGTGTCTGCGCCTGCCCGTCTGTGCGAAGATTTGTCCTTTCTGTTCATCTTTGTGACCTCCTCTCTGCTGCTGCCATCGGACCTGCTCGCTCGCCTGTATCTGCTCGTGTGGCCAGATGCTAGCCAAGGAGCGCCCGTTTCCTCTTCTCTTCACTGATTCACCTCTCTGTTTCTTTGCACCATTCCCGGCGCTGCCCGTTGGCTTCATTTGGCAACGGCCGGCTTGCTGCCCTTGGGCCTGAGCATTATTGGCTTAGCTCCCGAGTCTCGCCCACCACAAGAGTCCACCTCACAGGCTCACTCTCGTCCATCTGCACGCTTGACCTTCTTCTTGGGCTTAGTTGAGCCTCGACATGGCTACTCACCGTTGTCACTTGTTCCGCAACCGACACCGCCCATAACCATCTAGAAATGGAGATGCATGGATTGCTTCCATTGCATTGACCGACAAGAGCAATAGTCTGCCTGTTTCGTTAAACGTTGTGACTTGTTAGCCAACATATTTCTTAAATCGTGCCCGTCTCCGTTTGATGTTCTTTAAACCCCCATCATTTGACCCATCCTTTCCTCTTGCCATGCTCATGACTCGCAAACCTCGATGCTACGCCTAGCCTCGCAAAGCGTAAATCTTCTTGCACAGGCTAATCCAGAGGCTTTCCCTATGCAGCCAGACGAGGTTCATGCTGAGCTGAGAAGCACTGCACAAGATGGCACCGCACGTCCAATCTCCTTTTCTCGCCTCCCCGGCTGTCAATCACGGCCTGCTCATTGCCCTTGACTCGGGCTCGTTGCGCGTTCCTAGTTGAGAATACAAAGCAATACCCATTAAATGAACTGCTACAACACGATCCGAGCACCGCCGATGTCATTGCCCATTAGAATAGAGGGGAACCGCCTTCGAGAAGTCGTACATTGCCAATATAGCTGCTATGTTCGTCCCTCGCCTTCTGTACGCTGCCGGGATTAGGCAAGGAAACATGGGGTACTTGGGGTGATCTTGCAGCTCTACCACATCACTTGACCTGAGCACAGCCTCACAAAACTGCAGCTGGACGTATCCGAAGTCGACGGGTTCCGAGATCATAACAGCTGCAAGGAATAGTCGCTTCTGTTCATGCAAAGTACTGCAAGGAGAGTGGCACCAACATTTCATCAACAATAACACAATGATTTCGTTAAGGCAACAAGAAACTGCTTTTGACTTTTTTTCCGTTGATCTGCGAACAGAGGACGAGCTTCATTGCATGTCCGATAGTAAGAGCCATTGAACCCATGTAATCTTGCGTCGCAGGCACCACCCAAGACTCCTGTCATGATCGACTCATCCTCCTTCGCTCGACGTGTGACGACGACAGACCCAACAAGAGGGGCGCTGCATTTAGCGGTGCTGTAGCAGGGTGTTAGCCTCCGACAGGTGATGACTCCAGAGCGCATGTCGGTTGCGGGTCTGGCACGGAAATGCGTGGGTGTGAATATGCGTACCTTGATGAAACCAATGTCGGTGGACTTCTCACGGAAGCACTGACGGCAGATGTTCAGGCCGTACTTGCGGATGAGACCGGCCTTGTGGGTGCAGACGCGGCTGTAGAGAAAAATTCGTTAGCCAGATGTTCGCTTTTTCGAACGTGTGATCCCCTCGCCCATGCGCGCACGCAACACCAGTCTATTTCTCCTCTTGTTCATCCATCTCTTTCATGCGAGCGACGGGGATCGCAGGATTGAAACGCACCATTCTCTGGAGCCCTTGCCGTAGGTGCGAGGACGCGAGTACCAGACAGATTCGTGAGACATGGTTGCGGTTGAGGGGTTGCCGTAAAGGTCCTGAAGATGAGAGAAAGCGCTTGTTAGATATTGTCCTTCTGCGATTCCGATGCGAGCGAGAGATGATACACACTTGAAGTCGTACGGTTGGCTGGTATGTCGTCGCTGGAGTGAAAGTCGATTGTGCGAATTTCGGATTTCTGCTGAGAGTGGTGCGAATCCTCGCTTTGCCAAGTGGCGCTAGCCGCATTGAGATCGACGCGATCTGGGGTATGTTTACTTGACCGTCACCCAGATTCCACAACCATGACTTCTGACAGTGTTCAAAACATCAAAAGACTACCTCACGCTGACTCTTGACAGTTTCACCATGGTATGCTCATTAATAACACCCGAGTCTTCAATAAATGACTCACACCCTCTAGACCAAAGATTCCTCTCACACCTACATTCACCTTCATCGCAGTCACCACGCCGATCTGCTGGAGGACTTCAACCGGACTCACCTGCCTCATGAAGAAATCTATGTGCCGCCTCAACATCAACCTCTCAATCCTGACGATGAAGACGATGTCGTTCCTGAACAGCATGCCGCTTTCGGCATCCAAAGGGCGACTCAACGCCAGCAAGAACCTGCTTGGCGCGATCTTGGTCTTGACAGAATCTTGAACGAAGGTCCACCGAAGACACAGCGTCAGAGTGAGCAGCTGTCGAAAGTCCGTCTTCTACGATGAGAGCCTGGTTTAGGTTCTTTGACCGAGACGTTTCACCATCTCAGCTCACGCAGCATATTGACAGACGAGATGATAATGAATTATGAAAGCCAACTTCTACTTGCTATATACAAACCTGTACCCTCTGTTCTATGCTGTGGATCTGTAGCAATCGGGCTTTGCTAGTCTCTTTATGACGTGTTGCTTCCTTTTCGCCTGGTAGATGCTTCTGGCCGAAGCTCAGTGTAACGATGCTTAAGGTACCTATTTCAAGAAGCTGCCTTACTCTCCATAAATACATTTCTTGTGACCTTTTGTAAGCTAATCAGATATCTCAAGTCTGAGAAAGAAACCTACGACATATTACAGGAAGGATCAGAACTGCAATGGCGATGCGCATTGCGGCTCAGAAGGCTGCCGCGAAGAAGCGACTAACTGCCGAAAAGGTGGAACTACCGGTTCAAGACACCAACGTCCCAGCCCGAGTCAAGGCTCCTACTGCCATAAAGGCTGGAGTCTCCGCTCAAGGAAAGCAGCATGGACTCAGCGAGAGGTCGAGTTATGCTGCATAATATCACAAGATCCATAGTTACAGACACGTCCAGTCGAGACAAGGAGCAAGAACGCGTCGTTGACGAGATGCGTGAGACAAGAAACTGTAGAAGAACTCTTGTTGTTGCTGCCCGATCACCATGGAAGACCGCGAGAATGTACCCGCAAGAGATTGCTAGCCAAAGCCAGATCGAGCCGGATCTTGAGCGCAGCGTGGAGATTAGTGATCATCCCGATGGCGTACCGGAAGGCAATTCTAGCGACGATGCAGAGACTCATGAGCAAGTAGGATCGAAAACGCAAGCGGAAGAGCAAGCGGAAGATGGTTCATCGGAAGACCGTACCGTATACCTGTATCTCGAAAAGCCTGAGCTTGAGGAGCAGCTCTATGCATGTCTCGCGAAGATCGAGAACAGCGAAGACATCGACTTTACGGACACTTCGGGTCATCTGGTAAGTGTTCTCGCGTCCGAATATGTTGTCCTAGTGTTGACTCCCGATATTAGTACATAGGGTGTGTCAAATTCGAGACCGCCAGAGCGCGCAACAAAGTTCTCGAAAGGGGAACTCTCAAGATCGATGGTCACAATATCGCAACCGAGAGGCTTCCACGAGTGCTTCCAGCACGATACTATGAGATGACCGCAATAGCTGAGGCAAATTTGACTCATACGCAAGAAACAAGCCAAGCAATAGTGTCACAAACGGCTCATCAGGCATCCCAGAGAGTAGACGAGGCCGCACAACATCTTTCAGCACTTGCGCTGCTCATGAATAATGAAGCGATATCAGACGAAGAGATTCAGCTTCAACTAGTACGAGCATCATTGATTCTGTTTGGCCTCGAGAACAAATGACCATAACCGACCATGATCTCTGTTGGGGTGCAAGGCGTCAGAGCGTTGAGCACCGAATCCTCATGACTACCCATAGTCCTTCGAGGCTTACAATTACAACCAGAAGGGCGCGATGTGTGGCATTTGAGTCTGAGATTGTAGGTTGTAGTGACCAAAGTCACGGAAAGAGATGACTTTGTCACTAAGATAAACCAGCATAGCCTACTGAACCATCACCGTACACAGTCTGACTACTTTTCCCAGAGCTTCGCTGCCTAGTGCCACAATATCAGAGCTGCGAAAGAATGTTATGTCTGTCTTCTTTGCACCTTCTTAGCCATCAATGGCACATTGTTACAGAAGCCGACGTCGAGATCAACGGGACTACATGCTTTCTCATGAGTGAGCTGACCCGTCGTCCATTCAGCAGATGTATGAACGCTTCGATCAATTTTTGTTTCCACATTACATTACTCTATACGTGTATCTGAGCTTGTCAGCTAGCGCTTCGTTGCTCACCCATCATCATCTGTACCGGAAAATGTAAGCGTCCTCCCTAGCTCGCGCATCCCAGCACATCGTCAACGCTCACTCTTCTCTGTTCATCTCTTCATAAAGTTATCCGACATCCTCAATCCATCTTTGCGGGGTGTAGAGTGAACGTAAACACAGCAACCAACAACTTGATGCCAGCAGCAAGCCAAAGCACACTCTGCAAACCGCCCGAACTGCGCAAAAGCCAACCACTAATAATAGCACCCACAAACAGCAAAACCACAGCAATAGCCCTACGATTCCTCTTGACATTATGCAAAGCAAACAACTTTGCATCACCCATCAAATCGCAATAAGTGCTAGTCAACACATTGACAGGCAACTCATTGTAACCCAAGAGACGGGAAGTGGCAATCTGCATGCCGGACTGGAAACCAAGAGGAGGGAACAAGCTGACGATGAGGATGTTGCCGATGACGCCTCTTTTGTGTTCGTCATCAGGGTAGCCAGTGCGATTGTGAGGGACGAGGTCTGCGCTGACGAGGGCAGCGGAGATTATGATGAGGGCGGCTTGGATGAAGAAGATTGTGCTGAGCCAGAGGCGGTTGCTGGTGACGCCTTTGGGGGACACGAGACTTGTGCTGCGGAAGGTGAGGAAAGCACCAGCAAGGAAAGAGGCCAGGGAGACTAATGTGGTGGTCCAAGCATGTGGGTTGTCTGGAAGACCAGCAGTCGAGAGGCCTAGAATCACAGTGTTGCCTACAAGAGAATCAGAAAGTTATTCGAAAGATGACGCGCAGGCATATAGCATGAGGCATGATCATCCGCATCTGGGCTGTGACGGTAGCATGCATGGTTTGCTCTCTTAGTCGCCCCTTCCTCTTTCCAATTTATGCAGGTCTCGCTCAATCTCCCCAGAAAGAGTCGTGAGAACGAGCCAGTAGAGTGAAACTGCCAATCGACTGATCAATAGAAAGAGACAAGAACCTGCCTGTTTGCATTCCCACAAAGACACCCCAATTCGCAAATGAGGCCGCGTCAACCAGACCAGTCACGAAAGAGTGTACCAATAGCGCATAATCTCCAAATTCCTTGTCGACAGGTCCCAGGATTCGCCGTGTTGAGAAGAAACCAGGCTTCTTGACATCCAAGGCTTCGGATGACGCCTTGCGCGGCGGCGATGTATCGTCGGCTGTTGCTTTTGCTTCCTGTGGCATTGTCGCGGGATGTGACGTGAGTTTAGAAATGGAGAATCAGGCTGTGGAATCGATTTGTGTTGGAAAGAAATGACTCTTGTTGAGACGAAGCCACGGCAGCTGTATACCGGTACACGCGAGATGGGTAAGCGATTGCGATATGAGTATGCGATTTTTCTTTTGCTCTTTGCGCCTTTCCCGTCGTCGGAGGTGCCTTGTATATGCCTTATCTACCTATCGTGTTTTGCCGAAGCCGTCTCTCTCTAGCCCCTCCCCTATGACTGTACATGTACACGTATGCTTTGCCTAGAAAAATTCCTTCTGGTGAGCTCCTCTTTCAATTTCCCGGCGTCTTTCAGTCGGCCGCGCCGGAGTCTGGCAAATTTATTGGTGGCAGGAGGGGCACTTTCTTGTTTTGGTCATCAAGGTGTGGACCCGCTTCTGCCGTTTTCGGACTGGCTTCCTTCCACAATGCCATGAAGAGATCGTATTTTCATGAACGGCTCTCGTCACGCAATAATTTCGTCTGATGGCGACTAGGCTGGAACACTCTACTCTCAAGAAGGCGTCGCAATGCAATTCTGGGCATTTGGTAAAAGCTGTATAGGATCCGGTTGCTGGATTTGTTGCTAGAAGTCTGGAAGTTTATCTTGCATTACCCGGTCGCGGGATCTGCATTACTCCAACCGACCCCGACGTCGCTCTGGAGTCAATCTCACATGCCTATTTCGTGTTGGGGTAATAGACGAGATAGGCAAAGAGAACTGTCCTCACGAGAACGGAGATGAAAACGATGTGTGTACCCCGTATCATCTGACAAACGCCAACAGTTTCCAAGTCATTTTTCAGACCTCAACAAGCTACATATGCAAAGTGTTCCCCTCCAAGACGGCAAGTTCTCTATTGATCTTGTTCATATCCCAAGCCCACAAGTTAGTCTTACCTCTCCACTTATCGAGTTTACCAGGATGGTCTTCGGGATGTGCATGTCCTTCGCCGCTGATGCACCAATACTTCCGGTCTTCTTATGTCCTTGACGCTTCGAAGAGTCTGTCATTGGCCTCGCCGAGGAAAGAGATCTGATGGACCCACTCGATGCCAGAGTGGTAGTTGCAGCAGACTTGTAAATTTTGGCACTGCCGCGGTTGGTGACGAACCCAGACATCAAAGATTCTGATTTCCCTTGCCCTTATTAGTGCCTCTGGTTCATCTAGCACGCTGCGGTCTGCGATGTTTGGTGTAATAATTTTCCTGACCCTGGCGATAAATTGCCATGGTGGAGGCTCAACATTTGACCATTTGCCTGCATTGGTGGCAATGAGGTAGTCCCACTCCTTGTCTCCCTGCCATCCAAAAGCAGTGTTGATAACATCTGTCAACTGTCCGAAACTAATGGCTGCAGGGACTCGTAGGGTTCGTGTTACGCCAGGCTTGCCATTGACAGCGTTTGACAGCGGCTGCGCGGTTCCCATCTCTGAACACCATTTTCACTTGAATCAAGTCACCATTCTTTACTTTTGCCGGCTTAGCCCTTTTGGTAGAGTGCATGATCGCGCGATGAATCTCGTGCTCGTCACATGAAGAGGCATATCCATCTGGTGTTACTGAGATGATAGCGGTCAATGACAAGAACATCGGCCTGGCTTATCCTAACAATCTTGCTGCCTCTTCGACGGATTTCATGCTTGATGAGTCGCATCTCACCCTTCTCATAGTTGACACTGAAGTTTATTTTCGTCAGCTCACCCCTTCTGACCTGTGGCGTTCTCCAAGATCTAGCATATTGCGCGCGGAGAGTCGTGTTGACTTCAGGTGCGCGGTCAATGTCAGATGTTTGATCGAACGTTTGTCGATGAAACACGTCCCCACGCTGATCGTCGCGGGCCTTTCGCCGCACCACACACGCCACGAGTCAACCAACACGCACGACGGCGCCGGTGCGTGAACAGTTATTATTTTCAGAAATCGAAGCAGAAGAGGAGGAAACACTTGGGTGTAAAGATGCGCTGAGGAGATTTCAACATGTCTTCATCGTCCCGAGACTTCAACCGACGGCGCAAGAGCTGGGCGCGGCACATTGAGCGATGCTGTTGCGGAGCGCTTGCCTACTTCCCTCTGGTCTTCGTCTACGGCCTGCTGTCGTGGGCCGGCTGGGTCCAGATCAGCATCGGCTTCTGGCCCAACGAGGGGAAGTGGACGGGCAAGACGTCGTCCCTGGTCGGAGTCGTCCTCTACTCGCTCGCCGTTGCCTGCTACACGATCGCTGTCTTTAAGGATCCCGGATCTCCCACGACCTCGCCTGCCACTGGCGGCTACGCTTCCCTGCCTACGCATGAGTCGCCAACCTACACGTCGCTCACGGCAAAGTCGTCGGGCAGACGGCGATACTGCAAGAAGTGCAACTCGATCAAGCCCGACCGCACCCACCACTGCAGCTCCTGCAACCGCTGCGTCCTCAAGATGGACCACCACTGCCCCTGGCTAGCCACCTGTGTCGGCATGTACAACTACAAGGCCTTCCTGCTGTTCCTAACCTACACGTGCCTCTTCTGTTGGCTCTGTTTCGCAAGCGCTACCGAGTACGTCTGGCGCGACATCTTCGACGAGACCAAGATAGAAGAAGGTCTGCGCATCGTCAATGTCATTCTGCTTGCTGTTCTGGGAGGAATCATTGGTCTCGTCCTGACCGGCTTTACTGCCTGGCATATCTACCTGGCTACCACTGGCAAGACGACTATTGAGAGCCTGGAAAAGACCCGCTACTTCAGCCCCTTGAAAAAGAGCATGGAACGTCAGATACACAACCATGAGAGGCACTATATGAACGACGATCCTGCAGACGAGCCTACGCTAGGGGAACAGCTCAAGGAGATCCACGCGAATGCCGTACCCGGTGTCACCAGGCCTGAAGAGGGTCTCGAATCGCGCGACCCCACTCCTCTGCCGACTCAGCACTCTTCGTTCGAATCTCCTGCCTCGGACAGTCTGCGTCGCAACTACGCAAGTCTGGAAGCCGACCGCGAACGGGAACGCTACACCGAGTACCTAGATGAACAGGACAGCGACAAACTACCACATGCCTTTGATCTCGGCTGGCGACGGAACATGCTCGATCTCTTTGGACACACACCCTACCTATGGTTCCTGCCCGTGTGCAATACCGAAGGAGACGGCTGGAGATGGGAGGTCAGCGCTCATTGGATCGCTCGCCGTGACGAAGTAGCTCGCGATCGTCAGTCGAGAGAAGAATCAGAACGACGCTCATGGCGCGACTATCAGGCTCAGCGTGCTCAACAGGGTGCTGCTGCGTTCGGTGCGGGAAGATACTTTGGAGGCTCGGCTCCTGCGCAACAATATCAGCAATACCAACCTCAACAACAGCAACCACACCTCCAGCCCACGTGGACCGGAACACAAGAAGACGAGGATGAAGGCAGATATCTCACCACTACTAATGGTGTGGCTCGTGTGCCTCTCGCTGGTCGTCGCTCGCCCTCCAAAGCAGCACAGATTCTGGGTCAATACCAACAGCCAGGAGGCAACCCACCGGCACACTTCACACGTCGCAAGACTGATCCTGATGATATTGACGAATACGACACCAGTAGCGATGAAGAAGGGTCACGACCATCCAGTCGACCGCTGCCGCAAACACGCGATTGGAATGATATTCCTGACGACTTTTTAACGTCTGCTACAACGAAACCGAAACGAGACAGAAGTGGCAATAGGACCAAGGGTGACTAACTGTCAACTTTTCTGCTTTCTTACATAGTCTCAATGGCGTTCCTACAAGTGGTGTTTCCCTTGAGCTGCATTGGAGCGATAGCTTTGTAAACAAATTTCTTCAGTATTTGAGTGACCTTTTTTAACTAAAAACCGTCAAGCTCATGCATTCTCATCCACTAGATGTGTGACCAGTGTGTTTCAGTCTACTTGTTCACCAGCGACTGCCCACTACCCTTCCCACCCTTAAAAGCAGCATGCTCATAATGCGGTTTATAATAAAATCCATTCTCCCTCGGCATCAACTCGACCTCCAAATTCGCAAACACCGTCTCCAACAACCTCTTGATACCCTCCTCATGCCCAGCATCTCTATTCCACACCTGCACCAAGACACTGGTAAACCTAACGCTCAAACTAACTCCACAAATATCATCTCTGAATTGCTGTCTGTCCGACTCCACGGCAGCTTGCAATTTTTCTCCCACTGCGAGGAGGCAAATACGCTCCCAAAAGGCTGGAGCACGCTCCTTTGGTACGCGGAAAGTCCAGCAGCCGCCGTGGGTGTTGCGGGGGTCTTCCCAGAGAGGTTTCACATTACGGTGGAAGAGGTGAACTGAATCGCGGAGGGGGAGGCTGGAGACGTCGAAATTGTTAAAGACGTTCCAGAAGGTGCGGACGTCGGAGATGGAAGCCAAGTGCACAAGTCTGTCTTCATAATTGGTTGTTGTTGATTTGTCTGAGGGAGAAGAGGAAGAAGCTGGAGGTGATGGTGATGTAGAAGTCGAAGTAGCAGCCCGATCTTGACGGTCGTGCCAGAAATCCCAAGCGTGGACTAGAGGTGGTGCGCGGAGTTTGTTTAGGAGATTCATGCGCATTTCTTTGCCGCGGGCTGGTGAGGATGTTGCTGCTGCTTCTTGTGGTGAGGGTCCTTGTAGGCCAGCCATACAGAGATTTGGTAGTCCTGCCATGATTTGGTTATGTTGACTGATTGTTCGGCTGTATCTCGTCAGATCCTATTTTATTTTGTCGTCATGTCTTTTCTTGATCATTATGAAGTTTTTAGGAATTCCTACAGCATCCTCAAGAAAGGGGCACGTACGACAACGCAGGATATGACACTTACTGATAAAGTATGTACGAGAGGATAGAAGCAAGGCTGTAGTCGATAGGAGGACTCGGTAGATGTATAAGCAAGGGAATCAGGAGACTTTTGATCGACGGTGAGTTGCAGTTTCGTCGTCTCAGACGACAGGGCTGGGTTGTCTAATCGCTTCCGGCCCAAGAAAGGTGTAACAAAGAAAGTGGTTCGGCTTTTTGTACCTCCAGATCACGAAGCAGCTTTCATTATCCCCAGACACTCTTCCACTTTCTTTTGCTTCTGACCAGTAAGCATTGGTTCCCTCTCCTTTCGTTTCGATGTTTCATTAAGCGCCCGTGCTGTGCTTGAGCTGTCATGCGAAATGAGATGTGATTGCGGATTCTCTTTGGGGAAAGGGTCCGTTGGTCCAACTCCGCCTTGTTTCGTGACTCGTTCCGACATGATCTCTATGAGTAGCACGTGCCTTTGTGCCTCATTACATCTCTATACCTATCGATGTCGAATACTCCATGAGCATATCCAAGTAGTCCTCCCGGTAGGTAGTCTATCATGTTCATCGCAGATGACGTCGCCAAAGTCAGTATCATCGGGCTCTTGAACAAGACCCCGAGCCCCACTACCAGCCGTATTCTTGGCCCTAGTAGATATAGTTCGATCGATAGCTACTTTACCATCTCACCTTGTTTCTTGACATCTATTGCTCAGACGATTGATCGAGGACAAGCATGGGTCTCCCGCCTCAATTGAATTTGCTCAGGCCACTCCTACTTCTCTCATACTCGGCCTCCTACATTCCCATAACCATCCTCCGCCTGTTAACTTCTTCGCCCTCAAAACTGCTCTCTTGGTCATCCTTTCAACATGCCTGGTTTGGTAACTTCTGGTCCTGGTTCGGCGGTGTGTCTCGTGGAAGTGCCGCCGCAACCGTATCTCCCTTGGTCCGCGCAAACGTCTCCGGCGTCGTCCTCGACATTGGCCCAGGATCAGGAGAATGGGTATATCTCTACGCCGCAACTGCACACAAAGTCACCAAAGTCTATGGAGTAGAGCCAAATCCAGAACATCATGCTGCCTTGAAGAGAAGAGTGGAAGCTGCGGGATTGAAAGGCATTTATGAAATCTTGCCAGTGGGAGCTCAAGACCTGAGATCTGTAGGCCTAGAGCCCGAGTCTATCGATACGATTGTGACTTTGCAGACACTTTGCTCGTGTCCCGGTCCACAAGACATCATAAAGAGTTTGTATTCTTGTCTAAAGACGGGCGGTACGTGGTTGGTTTACGAGCACGTAAAGACAAAGTATTCGTCTGAGTTCGTGGGGTATTGGCAACGTAAGTATACTCTCTGCCATAAGTTGCCACATGCTGTGTCTGACTCTGATCGCAGCTTTCGTCAATTTGTTGTGGCCTACCTTTTTCGATGGTTGTGATATCACGAGGCCAACTGATAAGTGGCTGCGTGAGGCTGGAGATTGGGAGGAAGTCTCACTCAGGGAAGGCGAGGGTGAAGGACCATATGATACCATCCCGCATTCACTCGGTACGCTGATTAAGCGTAGATGACCTCGTAGTATATAAGCAATGAACACATACAACATCACGCAAATGACATCCAGTCTCGATATTTGAAGAAGGAGCCTGGACGACGGCGTACAGTGAGAAAGCCAAGAGATAAAAAAGATTGCATGTATGCTCTACAAAAGGGTCGAAAAAAGATACAAGTTGGCAGAAACCACGCTATGCGCACTGCAAGATATTTCCGGAAAGACGACAAAACAAAGAGCGCGAAATAAAAACTTCCCAGACAGAAACAATCGCGCGAGAAACCTTGGTATTCTGGGTCCGAAGCAGTGATAAAAAGCACAAGAGAGGTAGAGAAAGAAACAGATTAGAAGAAGCGGGCCAGCCGACACTAGGCGTAGAAGGGGTATTAAGGAAGGAGGTATTACCAAACCAGAACCTGCCCCACCGCCAGATAACCGTTGCCGGCGAACCCAATGGAAAAGCAGAAAATCTTGACTACCGCACGCTTTTGAAGCATCTTGCTGCGAGAGACATAACGCGGCAAAAGGAGATAAGGGAAGGTAAACGGCAAACACAGACAGTTGAGAGGAGATGATCCGCCTCAGGTATGAGACGGACCTGAAACAGAGACATGAGATGAGGTCGGAGGAGGGGCCGTGAAAGGTTGTTTGCAGCGTTAGTAGGCAGCGACTGCGAGGTTGTGCGAGGTCATGGCTGGGACAGAATGCCCCTGATCTTGTCCGAGCATAGAATTCTCGTACCCAGAAAGGGCTTGAGCATGGAGTTTGAAGGATTCACCCATCAGTTTGGTGATGCCCCAGACTACCACTTCGTCAATCATGCTACCCCAGACGCGAGCGACCATGGAGCTGAGCTTGCCAAACATGTCGACAGAGTCATCATCGAATAGGTTGCGAAGTTTGTCGTACATGGCCATCTCTTCGGGATTGGGAACCTCGTCATCGTGCTCGATGCGCCAAAGCCAGAGTGTGAGGATGACCATAAGGTCTAGACCACAGAGGGGGTGTTCGATGCTCCAGTTGGTAGCCGAAGTCCGCGCGACCCAGCGAATGCCATGCACAGCAGCTACCTCGACACAATCGAAGCAGGCCTGGACAACCTTGAGCATCTCGGGAGAGCGCTTGACCTTGTCTCTTGCGTTGGTCATGGCAGCAGCGACTTCGTAAGGATCGTGGTAACGAAGAGCTTCCTGTACTGATTTAAGGTCTACCATAAGTCTGGCTGTAGTATTGCGATACACAGCCATGGCGTTGAAGATCAGAGGATGTCCACGGTGGGGAGCACTGAGCTGGACTACCACAGTTTCGGGTTCACATATGTCGAGAGACCTTTCCCATGACTCCAGGGCCAGACGGAGCTTGTATTCCGTCACGACGTCCTGCAAGGCTTCGGGACATCTCTTGTGGTACCATACTTCGAGGAAGAGGGCATTGATCATGACGCGGGTCGCAAAGGCGCTGTAGCGGGCAGGCTCGCCTTGGAAGAGGTTGCAGTGGGACTCTTGGAACGTGATGATGTTTGTAGCCTTCATACTCTCGTACCATACGGCACTCTGATCGACGTCTAGAGCCCACAAAGTCTCTGACGAAGGAAGTTCAAGTGTGTCGAACTCGTTAAAGCTGATGGCAGGCGTATGATTGTATGTCATGGTCAGCAAGCCAAAGAAGATGTAGACAGCGTAATAAGTGCGACGGCAGCTCTCGTCCTCGATCCACTCCTGGTGAGTGGACTGTGCACCTTGACGAGCTTCGGAGCGCAATTTGAGCTCATATCTGTTACCAGCAACCATGTTGGCGACAAGACTCTTGACCGAGCAAGCCCACTCGAGTCCCTTCGGATCGCCGCTCCAGCTGGCGAAGATCATGTTCAGGAGGGTAGCCTGCATAGCCCAGATCGGACACTTGCGGGAGCTGAAGTTTTCCTTGTTGACAAGGAACTGGTTGATCAGGAGCTTAGATCCGATGTGAAGCATGTATGCGGAATCTTGCTCGAAGGCGTAAAGAGCACCGACTGACAAGACGGAGAGCAGCAAGGGTGCCGAGACGTGCGCAGGGTTGAACGAGGATGGATGCAAGAATGGCAGGTGATGGTGGAATAGGTTGAAATACGTCGACAGGTAACGATTGAGATCGTCGCCGTGAGGGAGACGAAAAGTGTCGAGCAGAGCTCCCTCACTATCGCAGTGCTTGATGTTCTGAAGAATGCTGGCGATTTGCTCTTCAGATTCCACTTGGGGCGGCTTAGGCATTGTGCAGACCTGGGGCGGGCCAGGCGAACGGCGGTAATCGACCGGAGATACAGGTCCCATCATAGAGGGAAATGGCGACAGAGCACCAGGCGTTCCGAGTGCTGAGAGCGATGGGTTGCCGAATTGCTGCTCCATGAGAGGAGGCAACTGGTTGTGGATGCCCATGCCACCCGCGGATGACTGAGGCAAACGGCCATCGTGACCAGTGGCGGTACTCTGTGACGAGGTCGACTGCGACTTGGCCATAGGATGAGGCATCATCGACTCCATGGTGTCCCAGTGAGCCGGCGCCATCTGAGGAAGCGTCATGGATCCAGCCTGGGAGTACGAGGGCTCGGCGAGGATCGGCTCGGGCATCGAACCCTGTGTAGACATGGCAGCCTTCTGTTGGAAGTTGGTCATCAGCATGGCGGCTTCCTCAACACCAAAGAAGCCATCATCGGCACTCATCTGCTCGATGGTTGCTTGCTCCATGCCCATGGGAAGCTTCGGCGGGGCGACTTCAGGCGACTGTTTAGACGCGTTGCTTCTTCGCTTGGTGTCGCTTTGGAGCGGCACACCACCATCCTTTGCGTGTACTGTACGGTCGTGACGGAGGAGAAGATCGCGACGCACAAAGGTGCTGCGACACTTGAGGCATTTGAAGGGGCGTTCCTTGGTGTCTGTATCGATAGTGTCAGCATCTGGGGGAGCGCACATGGGGTGGGGCGAGGCGGGGTGGCTCGACTTACGCGATCTTTCGTGTCTGCTGCGATGCTCACTTCTGCTGAAAGCGCGATTGCAAAACTGGCACTTGTATTTCTTTTCCGGTGCGGACGCGGACGACTTGCGGCTGATGGATGGCGAGGCCGAGCCGGCGGCCGGTAGGAGCGTGGTGGATGCTGAGGCAGCAGGCATGATAGATGGGGGATAGATGGTCGGGATGCAAGAAAGGGAACAGTGGCGAGGTGAAGATGTTGAATGCTTCGGGCTAGGTCCAGACAACAGAGGCCGACCGGCGCGTAGGGATTAAGTCTTGATGAAGTTGGACTGATTGGAATGATTATGTTGCATGGGCGATATTATGCTGCTCATTGAACGTGGGATTGCGACGATGCCTTTTCAGACGTCTCGACGCAGATTACAGGACAGTGAGGCAAGGCAAGTTGTGGCAGGTGGGGGAGTTGGGAGGGGAAGGGAGGGGCACGAGGCAAGAGCGAAGCAGAAATCAGTATGATGTGAGAAGGGAGGAACGAGGGGAAAGAACTCAAAAATGGAAAGAGCCAGCCATCAGCAAAAAGAGGCGCGATTGCCAGTCTACGTCCCTAACGACGCGGGGCAACTCGCAACCCTGCCTCTGCAATATGTCCGAGCGCTGTCATAAACTAATCATCACGCCTGTGGCTGATTTCCTGTTTGGATTGTTGCAACTTGCGACTTGCTGTGACCTGTGCTCTTCCTTGTGCCCTGTAGCCAGCCTGTCATCCCTTCGATTCCCATTATCATTTGCCCCATGCTCGTCTGCCCCGGAGTCTAATATCGATCTGACTATTCATCCCCGTCGCCAGCACGTTGACAGCGAAACGAAACGTTGTTCAGCGCCTTCTCGTCACGACTGGTCGTCGCACGCACGCGACTTCTGTCAAATCACCACCTCGCGTTTGCCAAAGAGCACAAATCCGTCCCGTCTCCGCCTGATGTCTCGACTAATTAGCGATGTTCTATATTAACTCGACACTCGCTCTCCAGTATCCCTGTCTGACCGCCAGACTCGCCACATTGCTGTCAACTGCAGCTTTCTCCAGAGACAACTCATCATGCGCACTCACTTTCCTTGGGCCACTGCGAGTCTTTCCTAGACGCCACGTTATGCACGTAGCCGGACGTCGATGTATGTACAGTATGTTCTGATTCTAAACCAGCCCCCTATCGTCTCAGCATCGCGACTGGCCAACAAAGCGACTGATCCCTTTACCGACTCGGGACCAAAACTGTCATGATCTCTGCATCGCTTGTGTTGTGTTTTGATGATCTTCAAGCTGCATAAACCTCTCCGTATCCGGGCCCGATCAAATTACTTGTTCCTGGCATCGCGCATCTCGCAGCATTATCGATGCTCTAATCCGAGCTAAGGCACAGGAACCTTGATCCGGCAGCCATCTGGGTGCCAGCGAACTTCCGAAGGTCCCAATTCTTGGGTAGACTTCGATCACGATGTTTTTGCTTTTTCTGTTGAACCTGTCTTCCACAGCAAGACCGAAGCTTAGTTTTGTTCTCGAAGCTCTATTAACGTTTCTCGGACATTTGCAACAGACTGCAGGAGCTACAGTAGGTCTTGCGCACGTGTTACCTATCTTTCTGACCAGCATGGATGAGTGCTCGCCTACCTTGGCAAGGATCGGAGGGGACGACAAGGCGCGGCTCGGGCCATGGCATTGCCCCACATAGCTCCCAGCGGATGCTATCTTCCGTTTGCACGCCGGTGGCCACCCCTCGCTCGCCGTGAACCGGATGCTTAGCGTGTTGGAACATCGGAAATCTTCGAACTCATTGAGAGTTTCCGATCAGAAATTTCCTTGAGACAAGAGGCCCTCGAGTCAGAGAGTCGAGTAGGCGAGTACCATTACCGAAAAGCTCACTTGGAATCAGGTGGAGCGGTAACTCTCGTTTACAGACTGGAATAGGAGTCTACGACGCGCCTCCATCGAAGTGATAAGTATACCACTAGAATGTTCCTGAACCCCTAGTTTTGTTTCATTTTGAGTATTGGGCGGAAGCTATTCCCCAAGCTTGCGGCAGTCCCTTCGCGCTGGGAGCTGGGACTCTGGTCTAATTTCGACGAGACCTTGCCGTCCATCTCGACCGGGGTTTTGGTTAAGAGACGGCTCTAGGGGAAGCGTAGGCTCAAGACCCACGCTATTTTGAAGCAGCTTAATCGTCATGAGGCGCCTATCTGGCTAATGACTTGGTCCTCGATGGATGTCATGGACTTCATGACGGATCATCGACACTGATATACGTACTAGCCGGTTGTCTGCGTAGGATCGCGGTACGGGTGGTCACTTCTGATTGCTCATCTGCGCCGTCGGTTCAACAGGCCTGTCTATCATGCTTTCCTATCTGAGCGCATGCTGGCAATTGGACGAACGTTGAACTGTTACGACGCGACTGCAGCATTGTCATTCCGTTTGAGTTCCAGCCCTCAACATGGTCACTCTACCCCAACTCTTCCGAAAAAGATTTCCTGCGCAGTTATGCTGTTCTCGTGTCAAGCGGACAGAACCTCGGTCTTGAAATTGTGTGAGATCACATTGCTGATGCTGCCATGTTTGGTCTGTCAAATTGTGTCGAGATGGCGAGCCGGTCGTTGTGCCTATGGCCATATTCTCCCACTCCTGAAGGAACGACCGCTGAGTTTTCATGACCAGATATAAAGGCGATTGTTCGTCGGGGTGATTGCGCAAAGGTTTGCGAAACACGACGCATCTCACATCATTGCAGGTACTATATGCCCCGACGCATTGTTCTAGCCGCTTGACTCTGTGCTACGCAGGCGGCGAGCGTCCCAAGCAGGCATGATCACATGAAAGTCTGAAATGCAATAAGCGCCACGCGGACCGAGTTGCATGATGGCACAATACCTGAGCGCGCGTTCCCGAGCACACCGGTATGCAAGTGAGTTGGTGCAGCTGGATAGATCGCACCATTATTCTCATCAAATCCGTCTGTCACTATCCAGTCTACGTTGGCGAGGAAGCATTTGAGTAGACGTACACGATGTGGCGGCAAGTCGAAAATCAGGGCCGAGGAGACTACTGCATCCTTGACAGGGAGATTGACAGCGAAAGCACTAGTTGCAGCGGACGGTGGCTGTTCAAATTAGGGGCAGATCGTCGGCTCGGACTGGTAGTTGGCACAGCAAGCAAGGGCAGGGTAAACTTGCTAGATTCATTGACAGAGGCGAACAGCCAGAAAGCTGACTGTCCAAACAAGGGGAAGTCAGATTCACCTGATACAGATGACTTGAGCCTCGCTCGTTGGTGGTAAGCAGAACACGCATTGCAACTCTGGACTACACGAAATGGCCGGGTGTGATGCAGCCACAATGCACGACAGGTCCGTGATTGGATCTCACGTTGCAGAGAGGGGCAGACTTGAGGGGGGCGCGTCAAAGCCCACGTGAGTGTCAAGAGTCGTGCATCAAATCTGGAAGTCTTGACACGCGAAGCAAAGAGGTACGAGTGCCGTTACGGTCAACGATGATGCAGAAGCCAAAAGCAGTAGGAGGCGAGCTTTATATTGACACTTTATACGCCAAGTGCGAGGACAGACGAGGACATGTTCCACAATCTGGACGGCCTATACGAGCAATCTTCTGTGAGTGGTCTAGATCACCCTTCTTCATTCGGCACGCGAGTTCTCAAAGAGAGTCGCATACGATCTTGCTTAAAGCGTACGGGTGCAAGTCATTCAAGACAATCAACTCTAGTCATGGCTTCGGAAGGGAGTGTGACATGAAAAGACATATATGATAAGGTAGATGTTTGGTGACAACGAAGACGGAACGGCGGAGAAAGCGGCGGGTGTGAGATGCTAGGATAAAGGCGTCGGGGTAAGTGGTGGTGTTTGGATGTTATTACAGAATTCATTCCTCTGGTCAAAGCAAGCTGGTCGTGGTTTTGCGAGGTACAAAGCAGCACGGCAGCGTCGTTCCCAGAACAGGCTGTGCGCAAGCGCCGCATAGTCGTAGCGATTCAGCCAAAACACAACCCTTGAGCCAAATGCGAGACCCTTGGATGTGCACCTTGACGCAGCGCTCGACTGCCCTCTCACACCGCCAACCACATCTCGCCCATTCTTACCGCAGTCCCTCTTTACGTTAGCGACTTCTCGAAAGCGTCCAGCCGAGAGATCTTCAGGTGACCTTTACTGAAGTCTCATACCCTTGAACTCTCGACCCCTCGCGACAGCCCCGGCCTCGACCGAATTCCCTCGACGCCGATCTCCACGACAACACAAAGTCACGCCCGCAGCATACAAGCTCTCCCGACCACGCCTTAGGCTTCAACAGGCTTCAGCACTTCGACCAACTACACGGCTCTGACTTGATCGCGAGACGCCGCAGGGCGTGTTCCCTCGGTGAATGCCAACATGAATGGCCTCGCGTCCTCTCCAATGGGCACCATGTATGTGCGCGCACTCTACGACTACGATGCCGACGATCGCACCAGTCTGAGCTTCCGACAAGGCGACATCATCCAGGTCATCACACAACTCGAGAGCGGCTGGTGGGATGGCATTATACGCGGCGTACGAGGATGGTTTCCCAGCAACTACTGCGAGCTCATCGCCCAGCCTCAGGACGTGCCCGCCCAACCTGCTCGCATGTCCGAGGCCCATGCTCATGCTCATGTCCATGCACACACTCATCCTCACGCGCACAATCACATGGAAGAAGTGGCTCCCGACTCCTCATACCGTCATGTCGACACAGCGCCCGACAGCCAGGAGGAGGCTGCCTTCTGGATACCACAAGCCACGCCGGACGGCCGCCTCTTCTACTTCAACACCCTGACCGGTGTCAGCACCATGGAGCTACCGCTGGAGAATCCCGCCCAACACGCCGAACCAGGCCCACACGACCGATACCACGTCCTGCAGCCCGACCAATCGCGCCCTCCACCCGAGATGCTCGCACGTGGCTATGAGCGTGCCGAGTCCGAAGCTGACTACGAATCCGCGAGCGAGGCCGACATGACTCGCTCGAGGACTTCTTTGGTGAGTACCGTGTCTGCACGAGACAAAGAAGGCTCTTCTGACATCCACCCTCTTCTAGCGCAATCGAGGCTCCTATGTCTCAAACACTCTGTCTCCCGCAACTTCGTCCGAATCCCTCAGAAACACTTCTCCTCTCACCAGATCACGCAACAATGTCGCCGACATGTCCAACTCGTCTTACGTCCATCAGTCCCACACCTCCAACGGTACCGCAATGACTTCTTTCATGAACAGCCCCATGACTCCGGCACAGAAGGATGGTTTGATCATCTCACGCCGCTGTTTCGACGACTCTCAGACGGTCCTGCTCACCTGGAATACCCTGGTCGAAGACATGCGCCGCGCCGTCCAGCGCTATCGGGAATCCATTGACAACAGCTACAAGAGCGAGTTTGTAAAAAGAGCAGAGGACATATCAGACCACCTTCGTCTTCTCCTCGCCGCCGGCTCCGGTACCACCGACAACCACTCTGGCAACCCATCTGTCATCTCGACTAACAAAGCCCTCTATCCTCACTTCAGAGAGATGATGTCGAGCTTCTCCAAGTTGGTGCTTTCCTCTCATTTCGCCGCTGCAGACTTTACAACTCCCGACTCGTATTCAAAATGCCTACAGGAGGCCGAGGGCTTGTTGCATGGTGTTTATGGTTACGTCGAAGTCGCACGTCAACAACGCGGCGAGGAGATTCCACGCCTCACGCCCGGCTTCGTGTCGGGAATTCGCTCAGGTGCAAGCTGGCAGAACAATGGCCTGGTCCTCGGCGATCCGTCTGCTGCGTCACAACCTTTCCTTCAACAAGACACGGATTCGCTTATTGAGCCAAACGTTCATCTTGACCAGGTCTTGTTGGAGCGCATGGAAGACCTGAAGAAAAACGTCTCGATCAGCATACGTCGTCTGGAGAAGCACCTCGTTTTTGACGAGAGGTTGGTGACACCCAAGAAGCATAAGAAAGTCAGTCAAGCAATCACCGAAGACGCCATACAAGTGGTCCAAGCCTGTCGACCGTACTCGGCTGTCGTCGAAAGTATCAACTTGGCCCCGCTTGGGTCAACTTTCAAGAATCCTCAAATCATCGACTTCAGCACATGGAAGCAAAAGTTCTACGACAATGCCTCGGAGCTTGTAGTTGCCTGTCAGACAGTGGCCAGTCCGCTAAGCGACGAGTGGTCTGATCATAGAGGAAGTTCGCTAGAGGACCGCATCTCCCACGCCAGACTTGTTTCGCGCGAGCTCGACAATTCATCAACTCAAGTGCATTTCAATCTGCAAATGTTGGCTGAGATGATGCCGCAAGATTCTGCTGCAATGTCAAACGAGGACCATCGTATCAATGACAATGCGTATCCCGAGGAGCCTAGAGGAGCATCGACCCTGAGGGGCAAGCCCAATGGTCTGGGCCCTGCAAAGAGTTTCGTAGAAGGTCCCGAGCCCACCGTCGAGACTCCGCGTCTTGCAGACAATTCGAAGCTGAAACGCTTCTTTGGAGAAGTTCCGGCTCCGATCCAGCAAGAGGATGTCCCAGATTTCCTCAAGCTTGATCATGAAGGCGAGATTGCCTACGACAACAAAGTGCATCCTGCTCAATTGCGTGGTGGAACGTTGACTGGTCTGGTCGAACAGTTGACACGACATGATCGCCTAGATTCGCCATTCAACAATACGTTCTTGCTGACATATCGATCCTTCACATCTGCGAGCGAGCTGTTTGAAATGTTAGTAAAGCGATGGAATGTGCAACCTCCTTATGGCCTGAACCCTCTTGACCTCGAAACTTGGGTCAACAAGAAGCAGAAGCCAATCAGATTCCGTGTGGTCAATATTTTGAAGAGTTGGTTTGACAACTACTGGATGGAAGAGAACAGCGAGGCGAACCAACAACTTATGCAGAGAGTGTATTCGTTCGCGAAAGAGACAGTCGCATCTGGCAGTACCCCTGGCGCAGGTCCCTTGATGACAGCTATCGAACAGAGAATGCGCGGACATGACGCCCCTGGCAAACGCCTAGTCCTGACCTTGAATTCGGAGAAAACACCTACACCGATCATCCCAAAGAACATTAAGAAGCTGAAGTTCCTTGACATTGATGCTCTGGAATTCGCCAGACAGCTCACCATCATCGAGTCAAGATTGTATTGCAAAATCAAGCCTACTGAGTGTTTGAACAAAACTTGGCAGAAAAAGCTTGCACCGAATGAGCCTGATCCAGCTGCTAATGTCAAGGCTTTGATTTTGCATTCTAACCAACTCACCAATTGGGTCGCTCAGATGATCCTGACCCAGGCCGATGTGAAAAGACGCGTGATTGTCATCAAGCACTTTGTCGCGGTTGCAGATGTAAGCTTGCACCAATTGATTACTGTTGGTGCTCACACTAATTCGTCGTAGAAATGTCGCCAGCTTAACAACTTCTCTACCCTCACATCAATTATATCAGCGTTGGGTACAGCACCCATCCACCGCCTGGGTCGCACGTGGGCTCAAGTCAACCAGAAGACCCAAGCAACTCTTGAGGTCATGCGAAAGTTGATGGGAAGCACCAAGAACTTTTCGGACTACAGAGAGACTTTGCACAAGGCTGACCCGCCTTGCATTCCGTTTTTTGGTATGTTATGGTATGCCCATTATTGCTGATGTCACTAACATTCCAAAGGTGTTTACTTGACCGATCTTACTTTTATCGAGGATGGTATTCCCTCGGTCATTAAGAAGACCAATCTTATCAATTTCGCCAAGCGTAGTAAGACTGCAGAGGTCATTCGCGACATTCAACAATATCAGAATGTTCCCTATCCGCTGCAGCCTGTACCGGAGCTTCAGGAATATATCCTCACAAATATGCAAACAGCAGGCGATGTACATGAGATGTATGATCGTAGTTTGGCGGTTGAGCCTAGGGAGCGGGAGGATGAGAAGATCGCCCGGTGAGTCACGCTGACACATATCGAGACAAGCGTATGCTGAGTCAAAACAGATTACTTTCCGAATCGGGTTTCCTGTGATCTCCACAAAAAGCATTGTCCAAACAGACGTATGCGCAAAGTTAAGTATAAAGACTCGGAACCGGAGTATTCCATCCGGCCTTGACCCCAGCCTTGAAGACTGGTGCTGAGCATCAGTAAAACCACATCAAGCAAATTTACATACGACTTTGCCCCGAGGACGATAGACACGTCAAGAGATCGAGCGTATGCGAGTCATTCCTTCGCCCAATTACTTCACGGAACCGTGCTTTTAAGCAGTAATAGCCTTCTTTCATAACCCGAACAGTCGGTCTTCAGCTGTTCGAAAGAGGGCAGGCAGAATGGTGTTTTTCCGGCGTTTGGCGCGATCAGAACAGTTGATCATGGACTGGCCATGTATGGAACACGAGTCACGGACATTGCTTCTTTCGTTCGTTCGTATTCAGTATATCGCGGGGGTGCATATGGTGTATGCATCGGTCGCAAAGACAGCAAGGCAGATCAAGGATCGAGACAGAACAGACATTCTACGGAGGAAATGTCTGGCAGACGGGAAGATTTGCTGCAGCCTGCAGATAGGAGGCTCTGTTATGCATTGGTCAACTGGGTTCGTATACAAATCTCCTTCTGGCTGTCTTCCCCAAGCCGATTATTTGCTAGCTGTTGGTGACACAAAAAGAGACTGAAACATGTAAGCTCCCAAGCTTCAGCCCTGCATGTCGGATCTGCAGTACAACCCAGAGGCCTTCTCCCAGCTACCCGTTCAGCAGCAACCAGCTATAGCTGCTCGTCACACCCTAGACATTTGGCTAGGGTTTTCGTCTTGTTGGCGCAAGGCAATACCTTTAGTCGTACGTTTCATTCACTAGTCATCCACTAGAATGCCTGCGGTGGTGCCTCTAGAGGGTTGACAGTGCCGAGTAACCCTATGGAGGACCCTTGTACTCTGTGCTTCGGCAGTCGTCCTTGCCTATATTGAGGTCGCGCAAACCCCTCGAGAACGATAGACATGACGGGAAAGTACCTCATCATCAAGCGTTCAAGCGCTACAAATCGTCACTTCCTCCCGAGAGTGAAATTGACCGATCGAGTCCTTTCACTTATGCCTACTCTCCACTGTTTTTTCTGCATTCTGCTTTTTAGTCAACACAACATCGATCCGGCTGTCTTCGTCATGCAGCTATTCAGTCTTCTGCCCATTATTCTCCTGGGATGGACAGCTTTGTTTGGAGTCGCCTACGCAGTCAATGGTTTGTCGAGACTATTCCATGGTATTGCTCGTCTGCTCCGTACAGCGTTCCCAGATGCCTACGGCTACCAGCATGCCTGACGCCCTGAGCCTTGAGGTTCTTGCTAACTCGTGCGTCTGAGCTTCAGATATGACACACCCGCGCTGCGAATGCGGCTACACGGTCAACGCTACAAACACATCCAGCCCGTTCGCCCTATTCACCGATCTCCTAGAAACCGACTTTCTACACCTATACAATTTGCCAAACAGTGTCGACATACCAGAGTCGGAGGCCGTGGGCTGGGCTGTGCAGGCGTACAACAACACTCCTACGACCGCTAGGGGTCCTTTTGGCAAAGCAGCCGAGATCGACAATGTGGTCCTGAACCCGCTGTCCTCCCGCAAAGACTGGGCTGGAGAGGGAGCTTTAGGCGGTGCGCCGGGCTTACAGGTCTGGGTCAGAAGTCAACAAGATCTGCTGGGTCCGGTCGGAAGTCAGATGGTTCGTATGGGAGAGATCAATAGCCTGCGCCGAGACATGCGCTATGGGAGCTTCAGAGTCGGCATGAAGATGAGCGGCGTTAAGGGCACCTGCGCTGCTTTTTTCTGGGTAGGTACCGGGATCATGTGTAGAGTATCGGCTTGAGCTGACAGACACGATAGTACCGCAACGACTCGCAAGAAATTGACATGGAGTATCTCAGCCGTCAAGCTTCTGGCAGCGGCTCGTCGCCCATCAATCTCGTCATCCAATCGCCAGCCTCTGCAGATGCCAACTACAACGCCATCAACACGAGTACCTTCCGCGTCCAGAATCTGCCCTTCGAGCCGAGTACCGGATATCACGAGTATCGTTTCGATTGGACTCCCGAGCGCATAGTCTTCTTCGCCGACGGCAAGCCGCTGCAAGAGTTCGAGAACACCTTCGATGGAGATGCCCCTAATGCTCCTGGAACCTTGATGCTGAACCACTGGTCTACAGGTAATGCTGGTTGGAGTGGTGGCCCCCCAGCCGAGGACGCTGTTCTCACACTCAGCTACGTCAAGGCCTACTTCAATTCGAGCAATGCGACGAGGGAGAGCCATTGGCGCGGCGCTTGCGCAAATCGTCTTGATCTAGAGGATTGTACATGTCAGATACCAAATTATCCTACTCAAGGCATCGATCCGCAACGCACAGGATTCAAGGATCCCGGCAAGAGCCACTTCTTCATGTACGATGACGACTACAACGTCAATCAGACAACGTATCCAGCTGCGACGGGCACATCATCGTTGTTGGCCATACCGGAAACATGGACGACGCTCTGCTGGGTGGTGATGTTCGGACTGTTCTTGCTCTGCGGTTGAATTGAGCCAAGTCTTATTTTGCGGTCTTGGTAGCATCCCTGATCGACGTGGGGGTGGCCTTCTTCTGCTATATCATCTGGCATTACAAACATAGGAAATAAAATTCTTCGACCTATCAGGAATCTAGTCATAAGACACACGATGCACAAAGGCCACTGAAAGCGGTGTATGAACATTTGGTGTATTGTGCAATGTCTAAACAGAAAAAAGGGACGTGTCTATATGCGGACGCTATGTATGCAATTGTCCAAGCCGTTTGCGCGATGGTGGTCTATGAAGCAACGGATTGATAATGCGGAAAAGGATGAAATTAGCTGTACGCATTGTGTGTGTACAGGATGGGCGTGGGTTGTCAGGTTTGGTGTGTCGCGTATTCAAGGCGATGAAAAAGGAGGATATGATCCGATGCTTTGCTATGCAAAAGTCCATGAATTGAGGACGACGATTTGATCGACCAAAGGTGCCGGTTGTAAGGATGACTCGTGGGAGTAGGAAGGAGGTCTAGGGTCGAGTGGACTCTCCGCTGGAGAAGAGTGTGTTTTCCAGTTGGGTGGCCTTATGATACCAGCCATGAGAAGAGGTGTTGGTATGACATGTGTCAGCAATAGTGGCCAAGCGTAGTGATGTCGCGTGAGTCGTGTCAGGCCGAGTCCACGTGAGGGCTAAGAGAAGATCAGGCAAGCAGCCATGACGTGTGTCCAGCCAGAGAGAGATTACAGCAAGACAACACCCATACCGGCAGCGACTCCCACAAGACCGAAGATTGCGGTGAACAATGAGCCTTGGGGCATGACTGAGGCACCAGCACCAGTAGCGGCCTTCACGACACCGATGGCTCCAGTATGCGTGCCGAGACCGACTTCACCAGCGCCCGCGGTCGTCCATTGGCCGGGATGGGTGACGAAAGTTTGTGTGTAAAAGACTTGGGTCCACATCTCTGTGCTGAGGGCGGAGTCCCAGTGGTCGGCGATCCAGTAGTCTTGGGTGGCTGGTACTGTTGCTGCTTGTGTGGCTAGAAGGTCTATGGCTTGACGGAGTCTGTGTTGGTGTTTGGTCAGTCTTTGTGGTCTGCTTGACTCGAAGACTTGGATGCTTACTCTAGGACTACATCTTCTGTGTTGGAAGCTGCTGTTGGTGTAGGAGCAGACGCGACTATGTGACTTTCAGGCGCGGCAGTGACTTGCGGGAGCGGTGTGTCCTGGTTTTGTGTTTGCTGAGGAGCTGCGAGAGCCAACAGCGGTGCTGCGGCCAGAGTGATGAATATTGAGAAGCGCATTATGTCGAATGTGTAAGAGTCCTTGCCGGCGAGTCTAGCTTAGGGATATGGAAGAGGTTTGCGTCCGAGAAGAGCAGCAAAAGATAATATCGAGTAAGGCCGGAAAGACGGTGCCAAGTGGATCCACAAGGTGGCTTATGAGCGTTGTTTTGCTATTCTATATCGATCCCGGCATAAAACGGTCTTACTGCAATCAATGCTTTGCCGAACTGCTTGCTTGTGAATGTGCGTCTTTGTGGGGTGGTGTATAGGAGGAGGGAAAGGGAGGGAAGAGGAAGAGGAAGAGAAACACACTGGGCAGATTGCAATAAGGCCGAAGAGAGGCGCAGAAAATCAAGGATGGCGCCATGTCTAAGACCGGGGAGGGCTGGATGGGGTTGGAATACGGCAGCAATCTGCTTGCGCGGATCCCTTCATCATCTTTCCGAACCAGCCTCGTCATATGAGAAGAGTCACGAACGCGTCTTGCTTATGCTGCAGCTTCTCACATTTCTGCCTCACATTCGAATTTCCATCGACCTTGCACAAGGTCTTTTTGTCTTCTCTGCTTTCTTTATCAAAGTCAATTCGGCATGTTTCAGAGATTGTCTACATGTCGCTTGATTTAGCCTAGATCTGCATGGGTTCCGCTAAGGTTCGTCTAAGGTTTGCTTAAGCTTTCTTGGACGTTGCGGTCTGATTGCTGTCGGCCCCTCGTGAAACATTGCTATTTTTTGTGTATCGCTCATACAGTTGCACAAGTATGCGGATGTGAGTCTTCATACACTTGTAAGGTTTGGAATCACCTCAGACACAATGTCGTATCAGGCTCGCATCCCATGTATTTGCCGTCCCCGTCTCCCACGGCGATTGGAAATGAGATGTGCAGATCAAAAGCTGCATAAGCCTCACAATCTAACCCGAACTTTGGCCCTGTATGTGCCGAGACTTGTGCAGTCCGTATTCACGGCTCATCTCCGTAGCAGCCAAAAATATGTCAAGGGTCCCCATGTTTGTCAAGAGAGCCATGTGCGCTCGAAACCTTCATGTCCCGCACCTCCCGCGCTTTCAGAAGAAAGCAGCATCAACAACAACAACAATACATTTCCTCCTTTCCCCTGTATGAAAACGACTGTCAATGCTCATACCAAAGATGCCTCCAAGCTTCTATCATATACGTTATAGACGTTGGATTGTCATTCGTCATGCTCCAACGTCGCAACAAACATTCATGCATAGGTGCCGCGATTTCGTACTCGTGTACTTTTCGGCCGACGCCCGTGGAGCCGCGTTCCGAAATTGGTGTCTATCCAAGGGCAAGCTTCTACTACCTATCTGCACTGCCAGCTCCGGGCATCTTCAATACTTTTGGCTGAGAACGTCCCGATATTTCAGCGAGCATCTCGGTGCATGTGTTTTATCGAAGAGTTACACAGTAATGGAGACATAAGATAGGTGGAGTCACGCTCGGCAAGCTTGGCTTGGCCTGAGAGTCTCACTTTCTTTCTTCGCTGTCCCAACCAGTCCTCGTCGCAATCGTCACTTGATTCGATACCCCACTAATATACGGCCGGATCTATTGAATGGCTCTGCTCAGTACAAAGTGTCTCTTTGGCCATCTGCGACACATTGATGGCAAGATCATCGAATGCTGGTAGTTAACCAGGGTATCCCCCACCGCGAGCATGGGTAAGCAATTGTGACTTGTTGTCTATCGGCACATAATCTTTCCGTCGGATTCCTACCGAATTCAGGAAGTGTTGTTCTCGGAGTGGGACCGGACTCAAAGTTCGTCACAAGACGTAAAGGGCGTAGGTGAAAACAAGCTAGGGTAAACATTGCTGCGAGAGGTAAGAGCAACCACAGCAGCACATGCCAATTGACAGTGCTAAAAGCTTCTGACATGTATCCTGCCGTATCAACAGTCAGCATCGAGACAATACATGACCTTGTATATCAACAAAATTCGCATCTTTTCTGTCCGAATACCAAAGCAAATTTTATCCCTCATCAGTTACGCACTTCCGAGCGATCATGCAGATCACGGTGAGCCTTCGGAATCAGCAACGACTCGATCCTCGCAGAGGCTGACTTCCTAGAAGCAGTTCATACTTATCACCCTGGCCATCAGCCTCAGCGCCGCTGTGCCTTACTCTTACACGATCAATCTGCAGTCCATAACGCTCGACCTCCATCCCATCTATTCTCACCACTTCGTCAACACCACAATGGTGCCCATCCCGACATTCGGTGAACAGATCCCGACCATCACCCTCGACCTCCATCCATCATCCCCCCCAACCCGATCTCTACCCAACAAAGGCGCAAAAATCACATCTGAAGGCGACCCAATATGTGGATCTGGCATCGGCATATGCCCTGGCACGTCTTGCTGCAGGTAAAGGACTCCTAGTACTTCAACCAGACTACTCTGTTATCACTGACTGTCGAATAGCAAGTAGGGTTTCTGCGGCTGTAGCGTGGACTACTGTTGCGCTAAGTGTCAACCCCAGGGAGGTTTATGCCACATGACCCAAGCCGGTATATGCTTGTTCAACGAGACTTGCACTACTGCTTTACCCAGTTCTTTGGCTCCTACTACGAAACCTCCGGTAATCTTGATCCTGATATCGATGGTAGCATAGGTGCTGCTAGTGCTGTAAGGACGAGCTCAAATCACAGCCTCGACAAAAGCGGTCGAAGTATGTCGGCCAAACTTGTTGATTAAATGGGTACGACAGCGCATGGTGGGGCGCACGTCGAGAAGACCTGGATTGGAAACTGATGGGTTATATTGGTTGAGTCTATGTTCTGCGTTGGCGGTATGATTATCACGTTGCCCAACACCTTATTTTTGGCAGGTATGCCGCATGCTAAGTTCCATGGCTTTGTTATCTCTGTCCGTATACATACGTGATACAAGAGTTGATTTATCATCTTCATCGGCACACCATGATCAGGATCTGATAGCAGACCAGTGAGGCAGTCCAGGCTGCTGTCTCTGCTCGAATCTCACAAGCATAGAAGATCCTCCAACCCACCAAGCTCCAGGCAAAGTCCCAGACTGTACCCAAAGCAATGTCTCGATCCAGCTCATGGTTGACAACCATCCAAGAAGCTTGATCGGAAATAAGATCGAAATCATCAAACCAACGCCAATCATAGCACCAGCGATCGTGACTTTTGTTCCAGAAGATTCGTTCTGTCGCTTGGATGATCATGACGAGTTCGCTGTCTGGAGGCGGAGTTGAGACGGCAACAGATGTCGACCAGCGGCGACATCCTGTTCTTGTTTGATTGATTGCTTTATTCTTTGCGACCTTCTACTACATATACAACCAGCTTTTGTCCAAGCATCACACTGATACTATCTCCTCGCTATTCCACGGTGATATCTTCCACGTCTGCACCCCCTAATATCGTCTCGAAAACCTCGATCAGCTTCATCAAAGCTTCTCCTCATCGCGAATCGCAGCACTAGGTCTGTTAGATGCTGAGAGCTCATTCTGATACATCTCGGATCTCTCGATAGCATGGGCTAGACTCTCGCCCTCGACGTGGTCGACGAGACCTTCCTCCTCCTCCGACTCCCTCGACTGCCCTCTTCTTCTCACAACGAATCTATTCCAGACCTTGCCGAAAACCGTCATGACCGCAGCTCCAGGTACCACAGCCCACTGTACCCACCATAACCACTCAAAGAATCCCATCTCCTCCACTCCGTCCGAGAAAAGCAGCTTGGCAGCCATAAAGAGAGGTCCAAGGATACAGCCGAACACGACTCTTGAATCAGCAGCTTCGTCGAAGAAGGCTTGGCTCATGGCTCGGATTGAGTTCAGTAGACTGAGACCGAGAAATGGGAGGAGGACGACCAAATTGAAGAAGATCAGGACGCAGGCGTTGACGGTGTCGTTGACTATACCATCGGAGTCTACGATTTCGGAAAGGATGTGGATGTCGACGGTATAGTAGATGAGAGACGCGAGGATATAGGCTGTGAACGAGAGAAGTACTCGTGCTGTAGGAGAGGCATTCATGCCGAAGAATGTTTCGCTCATTGTGTAACTGTTGGTGGAGTGGTGTTTCTGCGTATTGGATGTTTGTGACTGCAGACTTCAGCAAGAGAAATCAGAAGCTTGGGGAAGCGGGCTTGAAGTATGATGTATTGTTCTCGCCTGTTGAAGTAAAGTTTGTTGATGGGAACCATCATCTCCGCACATGAATGAACACCTTCTCAAGCGTTGAGCATCTTCTCCTCAAGCTTCGATCACACCACCCTGCCATGATTACTGAAGAACAACGTATGACCGCTTAGACGACGAACGCATCCTCCTTATCTCCACTGTCCTCGAGATCCACCATCACAATGCCTTGGCCCGCGGTGTGGGACGCTTCTCGACCACGGTCCGTTCGACAATAACGTCCGGTGATATAGCGCATCAAGGAGGATAAAGCAACAATCAAGGTCCCAGGCACCGCTCCCAACTGTGCCCAGAAGATCCAGAATCCGACCGCCTGCCCAGCCAGAACTTGAGTCGCATGACAAGCAAGCAACACACTGGCCATGCCCAATACAGCTCCAAGTCCTGCGGAGATGGCTAACCCCTTGGCGTGGTGGTTTGCGATGGTACAGATGGCGACGATGGTGTAGAAGCCGAAGAAGACTATGTAAAACGTAGAGGCTCCCCCAGCCATGTAACACAGTCGCTTCAGTACGAGCGATAGTTTTTCGGTTTCGAGGTAGCCATTGTAGATGTAGATGAGGTACCAGGCAATATTGGCGAGCAAGTAGGGTATGAAGCAAGTGAACACGAGTTTGCCAATGGAAGGGCAATGATATCGCGGCGGCCCTGTGGTCTCTTCATGAATCGGCTGCGCAATTGGTGACTCTGCAATCTCTACGGACGCCGATTGAGTCGTCAACGGCGAATTCGCGTAGGAAGGTGGCGATGAGGCTTGGGATGAGGAAGGAAGTGATGTTGCAGATATTTTAAAGTGATGAAAGGTCTACAACCCGTGAAGATGTGATGGCTGGTGGATGGATGGCTTTGCGTCGGACGCTGCAGGCAAGTCTCAACAGGGACGAGTTGTGTAAGAGAAGGAGCGAACGAGTTCACACGCTTGTTGACAACTCATCATCAGCTGTGTCGTTCCTTCTCTCATGATGGGGGCCTCAGCGATCTGCAAAACTACCGGGAAAACTCACTTTGCACGACTAGATAACAAAGACTGATGAAGGCAAATCTGCTTTGCAATCAACAAAACTTGTGTTTATTTAGCAAATATTCTTAGAAGCTACATGTTCGTTTTCAGCCAATAGACCTGAGCGTAGGAGCAGGTATCAACAGAAACCAGCGATTGAAGACTCGACCTCAGGCATCTGCCATTGCATCAGTATCTGCGCAAACCTCTGGGCTACGCAGTCGAGCTTCAGCAATAGTGTTCTCAACGCGAGGCCAGTCACCGGCTGTTCGCAATGCAAGCTCGAGATCGAAGTTCGGATCAAACCATCGTTCTCGACGGGTCAATTGACGTTGTCCACCTTCAAGTGCACTACGAGCAGCTCGTGTTGTCCGAGCCCTTTTGGCACCGGCACCACCACCGCTCGCCGAGTTCTGACTGCTACCCTGCAACATATCACGGTATGATTCTAGAGCGAGGTCATAGGCCGCGATGCTGCGAACATATGGAGCGACATCGTTGACGACGGTTCTGAGAGGACCATCAAACACGGAGTAAGCCAAGCTAGCTGGGCCGCTCGTTGGAGTAGTCATCATAGTAGCTATCGTGTCGAAGGCGGTTGAGATATCCCCTCGAGTTATGTGGCGAGATCTTCTGTTGGAAGCTCGTTTCTCGATTACTTGCTCAACAAGACCTGGGACAGTAGCTACCAGACAGTCAGAAAAAACATTTCGCATGAGGCGTGAGCTCGAGACTGCAATATCGACATTGAAGTCGCTATAGTCGACAACTTCCGGTGTCTGAAGTAGCGCCATGCCGTTGATGTAACTCAACCGAGTTTTCGGGACCATGTCGGGTTGCGTAGCGTCTATCTTGCTGAGCTGACCGGGTGAATCAACTTGACAGAACAGATCCATGTCACTGAGGCAGTCGTTCAGGTCTGAGTACTGTCTCAGCGCAGCCATGCGTGACAGAGGCTTCGTTGATTCCGATCTTGGTAATGAGCTTATCATTCCAGCAAAAAGCTCTTCGCGAGGATCAATGTCCCAGCCATTCCAGCCTTCCTTGAGCAGCTCGTCGTCTGGAGTGGCTTCGAAGGAGACATTTGCTTCATGCGCAACAAAACCCATACCTGCTTGGTAGGTATTCTCGCTAAGCACTCTGATCGGTCGACCTTGTTCGTCAACTCCGCTTCCGGCAGGCCATCTGGGGAAGATCCAGCTTAGCCCGCCTCGAGGGTCACCGACCCCCATCTGACACCATAACTGCAACTCTGCGATACTCGCACGAAGATCATGATGTTTGGCATTATACAGGGTCGATATGGCATCGCGAAATAGCAGGTGACCTTCTTGCGCTGCCATCAATAGCATGTAGTCCACCGCGGCGTCTTGCGGCGGAGGTGATAAGCGAAGAAGTGCTTGATATGTGATGGCTTGGAGAGGTACAAGATCTTCATCGTTGCAAGTCATGACAATGGGGCGCTTTGAATTCTGGAGCAAAGTGAAAACAGTAGACCAGAAGTTCTTGTCTTCCTCGAACATAACGTCTACTTCCTCGAGCAGGATAAGAGATTGTTTCTGTCCGCGCGGTTTTGATGCTGACAAGATCTTTTGGACCTGTTCCACCTTAGCTTTCGGTTTGTTCTCCTGTTTCTTCGGCTGTGGTGCTGATTTTGACTTTGATGAGAAGAATGATTTCATAGTCCCCTGGCGACCAGATTCAAGATCTTTGTTGAAAGCATCGGATAGTCGGCCAGCGTCTTCATCAGCAGATGTGTTGCCGGCATCAGTGGAACGATTTTGCACCAAGTGATTCTCTACCATGTCTCCGATCCTGTCTAGCACATCCTTGCCACTTCGACGTGAACCTGGATTGATCTCGAATATCTCAAAGTCCATTTCTCTTGCAGCAGCATGAATCATTGCAGTTTTCCCGCAGCCCGGTGGTCCGCTCACTATCACTGTATTGGCAATCTTGGAACGATTGAGCTGATCTTCGAAGTTCATGTCGCGCACAAGAGACGGCTTGTGTCCACGGCGTAGCGGCAAGGTACGATCTAATTCGACGAGTTCTTCTGGATCGTTGTAGAGGTCTTCGTCATTAACGATGAAGTCGTCCAGCTCAGCAGTCTTCTTGCGACGCTTTTTCTTGTGCCCTCGAGGTCGATCTGTCTTGTCTGTTCTCGTTGTTTGAGAACTTGCCGTCTCTACAGCACTAATGGTGAGGGCCTTCATCCAATCTCTGACATACGTTGCTTCCCGTCCCATCTGTAGGACTTGGACCGCGCATTGAGGTGAATATTTTTGAGCCCAGGCTAGTATTTCTGACCGTCCCTGGTCGTATGGTGTGAGGACGTTGGGCAAGCCGATAAATAGATCCACGCACGCAGGATGGACAAAACTGTGTTGTGACCCTGGCGCAGACTGATGTTCAACTGCCAATGGTTGAGAATGAAGCTCTTTGCTGATCCATTTCTGAGCACGCGAACCAGGGACCAGATGGCGCTTTGGCACGCGCAGCGAAGATGGAGGATCATAGAAGCCGTCAGACCTTGGCGTATCCCTTTGACGAAAGTCAAGATTACGCTCCAGGCCAGCCAGAGTGCTTTCAGATGGGTCCAAGAGTGGTATTTTGTATTTCATTTTCCGCGTAGAACGAAAGGTACCAGGGGCTGCGTCTTTGTACGCCTGATTTGGCTGGTAGTAAAAGTCCCCACGGACGTGAGCAAAGCCTCTTGGTGGAAAGGGGGCTTCGACCATGCCAGGCTGCTTGATGATACTTCTGTCCTTGTTGGTGCCAAATTGCGGGACATCGGACGAGCTGTGCAGGTTCTTCGAGCCATTCTCCCGTGCTTGCGCGCGCAGCTTACCAGGAGTAACAGCTGAAGGCCTCCGCGGGCTAACAACATGATTGACTTTGGCATCTGCGACGCCCTTGACAGAAACGGCAGTAGCTGATGGAGTGTCTTTCGATTTTCCCGAGAAAAAAGGATGAGTTGGTTTTGATGGATCAAATTTGGGCGCTTTAGGCTTGGGTGGAGGAGCCATAGGGACGGGCCTTGGAATAACGAAAGTCTCCGAGCCATCCAAGATACGTGAAATGCGGGGGCCCAGACCACTGCTGGGAGCGTAGCGTATTGTGACTAGTAATTTTTGTTTCTCCTTTTTAGGTCTTCCTCGCTTAGCAGGCTTTTTTGTTTGAGAGTCTTCTTTTGCAGGCAATGGTTTGGACGATGGCGAAACGAGCGTGCCTCCAGCAGTGATCTTCAACATCTTCTTAGGCGGCGTGCTCTTGGGCGGATCTTGCGGGCTGGTGATCGGCTCAGACAGTTGGTTCAAGGCATGATTCGTGTCGACGGGTTGGCTGTTTCCAGGATGCGAGGAGGGAAGAGAGGTCGGGCTAGAAGGCTGGGGAAGCATGTCTTCAGAGCCTCGATCAGGGATGGTGCTGTCATCAGCAAGACTCAGTTTGCGTCTTTTGCGGCGGCTTGACGGTATGGCGTCGATAGTCTCGAAGTCCAAAGTGGTTATTGGGTTATCCTTGGCTTTGCGAGGTCGAGTCTTTCTAGTGTTTGCTGACTGACGCACAGTGGGTGACGGTGGCTGAGGTAAGCTAGCATCGGCGCCTGGTGAGGCATCATCGGTCGATGGATTGAGGTCGACATTGGGCGTGGGATTGGGAGCAGACACTGAGATGGGTGAGCAGGTAGAGTCTAGCAGAATTGGAATAATACGTTTGTACCTGGAGGTTTGACAAAGAAAGGGTGCAGACTCTTGTTGTGAGCATCGGTCATGACGCCGACAAACATGAAGTACTGGCACACCGAAATGCGTGTTGGACAGCACTAAGTAGTCGACACCGAGTCTCCAGCACTCGCATGGAGAAGACGCGCCTCGCGTCGTGACGCTATGCACTTCGCGCCTTCCCATTTACGGACGGCCTTAACGATCGCTGCTCCAGTACTATATCCGAGCCTTGGCACATGAATCTTGGATTTTTTGGAAGCAGCAAATTGTATCGTTCCATCTTGTCGCTATACAAGATTTGTCCCCCATACATCCTAGCAATGGCCGACGGAGCCGCCATCGAGACCCCCTTTACCCTCGCTTCCCTACCGAAGCCCTTTGATCCCACCGTCGGCAGCACCTACGCCGCTCCGGTCTTTGGACTTCGCGCTCAAAAATGGAGAAAGAGACCTGAGATTGTCGCAAGTGTCGACGGAGACAGCATCACCATCTACAATGTTTGTCCAAGTTTGACGCTGTTCTGTACAGACCCGACGTGCTGACTTGTCTTTTTAGGTGCGTAATCCGCGCTTAGTCACATCGTACGCTCTTCCTCCCCAGAGCCGCCTTCTCTGCGCGCCATGCTCCATCTATCGCAAAATCACTGGCCGTAAAGCCGCCCAGAGAGCCACTTACGCCGTTCTCGCCAATGCCACTGGAAAGAAGACCGAGCTCATCTGCTTCACTGAGGATACCATTGCCGACTCGACTGATCTCTCGGCCGACCAGCAGGTCAAGACGAGCTACCAACTTCCCACATCGACCAGTCCAGTCTTCGCCATCCACGCTCTCGCCTCGCACTCGGACAACGATGCTCTGGGTCTCGCTCTGGATGTTGCTGTCACCTACGCCGACGGAAGTGTCGAGTGTATCGCTGGCGACCTCCAGCAGAAGAGGTGGGATGCAGATGCTGCTCGCGCCATTGCCGTCGTCGACTCCGATGCTGCGCCTTCAGCCGTCAAGGTCGAGTACGCCACTATCACCGATGTGACCTCAGCAAAGAAGGGACTGCTCAAGAACAGAGAGGACGCTCTCGCTCTGATCGGAGGTGCTGTCAGCCTGGACCCATCTGTCGAACTCAACACGCCTCTTCTCGCTCTGGTCACTGTCGATGAGGAAGAGCTCCGCCGCTTCAACTTATTCTCTCTGCCCTCTAGGTCAAAGGACATCATCACTAGCGCTCACCAAGGTCTTCGTCACCTTTTCAGCTACGAGCTGCCTACATCGTCTTCTTCCGACAAAGCAACTTTCTCCCTGCAGTCATCCGCTGGCAAGCTGCATCAACTGCTCTGTGGCGTCATTACTACCTATGACTTGTCTGGCACCGTTCCCCGTATACTTTCCGTTCTCACTCCTCACACCCAGGCTCATCAAAGCTTTGTTCGTATCTCGGCTGCCCTGGTCCTTGCTGCAGAGTCCACCTCGTGCGCCATTTACGATACTAAATACAGCTCTCTCCAGGCCGCTCTTTCTCTTGAGTCCGACCCTCTCGAGTCCGCTGGTGACAAGAGGAAGAGGACCGATGGCGCTACCGAGGGCTCTCTCAACTTCGTCACTTTCTTCTCTGACCTTGGCCTTGCTGTTGCTCTCTCCGGAAATGCTCTCGTTGGCCTGCAAATTAATCTTTCAGCGACTGCTTACAAGAAGTCTAAAGCCAACACCAGTCTCCTCATCAACTCACTTGGCAAGGGATCCAAGAAAGCCCTCGTTGCCCCGCCTAACTCTGAAGCATCTGCGCAAGATTGGGAGAGCTGGAAACAAACGGTTGATTCGCTTATCGACTCAGACGTAGCAGCACTCGAGCGTTTCCTTGCCGCTGAGCTCGAATTGTCCTCGGCACCTAAGCATTACAAATCGACCACTCAAGAACCTGAGGAGCTTGACGAAGACAACAGGATGTGGCCTGTCAGAGACGCCAGATTCCTTGTTCAAAAGACCGAGAGGCGCAAAGCAGTCTACATCCTCAGCAAGATGTTCACCTGGATTGTAGTTCCCGACAAAGGCCAGAGCTCCATTTCCATGAACTTTTTCACGGCCAATATCTTCAGATGGCTCGCCGTGACCGGCTACATGTCTGCCACGGCTGTCGAGCGAGCTTTACGCGAGACTGGCGCCATTCAATCAACAGCCTCGAGAGTCCGCCCAGGTGATATCATGAAAGCAGTCAACGAGCTTGACCCGGAGATGCATGTCATGCACGAATGGCTAAGCTGGCCTGTGTACTTGGAGATTGAAGAGGTCATTGTAGCTCTTGCCTCTCTTGTGGACTCTCTCGAGGACCCAAGCCCTACTGCTGTCACCAAGCTCATCACTAGCAAGAGCGAAGAGTCTAGCGTCGAATTGGAGACTACCATCCAGGCTGAGACTGATGCTGCTGAAGCCGATCTTGAGTTTGCTCTTTCAGCTCTTGACAGCGGTCTCAGTGTTCGCAGCGCTTCTCTCCGTACTGTTTTCACTCGCCTGCATTCCTTCCCCTCGCGTAGCATTGTTGAAAGGCTACGAACTCACCTTGCACCTCGCGAAGTTGTCTTCTTCATCCAAATCCTCCGTATCGAGCTTGCAGATGGAGGTTGGACGTCCAAGTACACCGATAGCGATCTCGCCCACAGACCTGAGGAAGCAGGATCACCTAGCGACCACTCAATCGCCATCATCAGTAACCTACTAAACTGCGCCATTGATGCTATTGGAACATCTGGCTGGCTCGTAGGCCTCAGCGGAGATCCTGATCTCCAGACTGACAATATGCTGGAGACTCTTGTCGTCGAGACTAGTGCCGCTCTTGAGACCTGTATCGAAGCATGCAGCTTCGGTGTCTTCTTGAACGACTTTGAGCGATTCAGCAACACGATCCACGCCTCGCAGAAATCGATGGCGATCAAGAAGGTTGACCCCATCAAGACTCCTGGTTTCGAAGAGACACCTCTCGCCGTGGATCCTGTTCTTCCTCTTGGCTACAAGGCTCAAGGACCTGCCAATAAGATGCGTATGACTAGCACAGGTCAAGTCGAGAAGAGCAGAGGTCTTCGTGGTAAGGAGCTGTCCATGCGTGTTGGCAAATATTCGTTGGACAGAATCGTCGTCTAAGCACTGCATTGTTTGCACAGAGGGGAAACTCCTGTAGATGGAAAGGGGATCTGAATGTATTTACTTTAGCGAGGAGTCACTGGACGGTAAAAATCACTGTTTCTCATGCAACCCAAACTCGTCTGTAGACTTGTGACTTTTCTGTGTCCAGTCGCTATCCACAGTATTCTATGATGTCATTGCTTACCGCTCGAGCCTGACGAGCACGGCCACAAACCTAGACGACTCAACTCTATACATTGTTTTGTGACCATTGTTTTGGGCACGTGAAATCACAACCGAGATACAACATCTTCATCATGGGTCTTCAACAACACGCAAATGAGAATACGCCTCCGAGCACCAGCAGTGTTCCGATCCAGGCCAGTGATCTGCCGCCGGCAGCGCTCGAGCTAGCAGGCAAATTGTTCGACTTTGCACGACAAGGCAAGACTGAGGAGCTGGCACAATACGTGAGCGCGTAGGTCAATTGAAACACGCGAGCTCTCGAAAGCAAGCATTCTAATGATGATTGATGTTTAGCGGTATCCCACCAAACCTCACAAACTCCAAAGGCGACACCCTCCTCATGCTAGCAGCCTATCATGGCCATGCAGCGACGACAAGAATGCTTCTAGAAAAGGGTGCAGATCCAAATGTCTTGAATGACCGAGGACAAAGTCCAATTGCTGGAGCCGTGTTCAAAGGCTCGGACGAGGTTGTTCAGCTTCTGTTTGAGAGACATGCAGATGTATATGCAGGACAGCCTAATGCCATGGACAGCGCACACATGTTCAGAAAGGAGAATTACCTAACGCTTTTTGGCGCTGAACAGCAATAAGAACTCAACACATTCTTGGCTTTCTGTTTCCTTCTGATGATCGTGACAGTCAAACAGACAACACAGGCTGCAACTTTCATGTGCCGAGATGACAGTTCCGGCGATCTTGATTCGGGATCATGAAGACAAGGTTTACTGTTCGTTGTCCTGCGTTATCATCGTAAAGCAGGGTGGGGTTGGTAAACATCGCACATGAGAGACTCGAAAGTGCTGAGATTCGTGCTGGGACAAAGCAAAGCGACGCAAGCATGTGAATGGCAGGCATGAAGGATTGTCGAGGCGCTACCAACCAACGCCTGCAGCGGCAGCGGCACCTTACAGAGCCAACATTCGACAGTGTTACAACGCTCAGCTCAGTCCATGGAATAGATGCTCAACCAGCTCAAAGAATGTCAATATGTCGGCACCTGCAATCTGACTGACCCTGCAAAATAAACGGAGCTCTTTCTGACGATGAAATACGACCACGTTATCAAGGGACTTTTGCGAAGTTTGGAGAAGCAGAGCCGAATGACATGTGAAAGACACGGGTCATGCCAAGGCCACGGGAAGAGGAGCATGTGATATTTGTTGCCCGTTGTGCAGACCACCCAAAGATGGTGAGTTTCATCCACGACCTTCCCTACACACCCAATGCCAATGATCCCTCTCGACAAGTCTCCATCGCTTTCCAATCGCCGTCAAACCCCCTCAGTTGTGTTTTGCTAGCTACTGCCAAAGTCGTCGTCGACTTGCGCGGGAGCTCCGCCGACGTCAGTGCAACAATGGAATCGCAACGCCAAGCGCCGCCCGGATACGCCTATTCTCACCATCCCGACAACCTCAAACTGCCATCCGTACCCCAGCAAGAGCTTCACACGAGCCATGCGCCTGCCGATATCACCCTCCCCGACCTGAAGTCTGTTCTTGCCGACCTCCCTTCAAAGAATCTTCACTCCAATGGTACACTCAACGCAGCCGCCGCGAGAGACATGGACGCCCAAATGAGCATGCCTCGCACCAGCATTGAGTCCGACGCAGCTAGCAACATGAGCATGGATGACGGAACACAACGCTCGACCAGTGTGTCTATGGACGATCCAGATGTTCGTCTTGCTGCCGAAGCCCTGTCTGGTCTCGGAAACCCTGGTTTGTATGCCCGGCATCTGTGTAATTGCGACACCGACTGATATTCCCAGACTTTGCTCGCTCACCCAAGACCCGAGCATCAGCCTCTCGGACTAGTATCACAGGCGCCTCCACTTCTTCAAATAAGGACCTTGAACCATTACTGGACCTCCTGGTTGACGCCCATCCATGGGTAGGGAACACAGTAAATGGCAGTTTGTCCGCGTACAATGCGACAAAGAACTTCTCACCTCGTATCGTTCGATACGGAGTACATCTGGTCGAGAGGAATGTCGGCTCCCCCGTAGCCAGCACTGTCGGTAACCTCGGTAGACGTACCGGTGTTGAGGGAGGCATCAGACGCTATCTCGACAGCCGAAGGCCCAGCTCTCCAGCCATGGATCCTACACATGGAAGTAAACGTCGAAGAGTGACCACAGATGACATGGAAATCGATCGTACAGAGCCAGCCCTGCAAGATTCGCAAGAGTTTCTGCCTGCCTACCAGGCCAGCAAGCCACCATCCTATAGGGAAGAGGTCAGCCCTCATGGCTCAGAGAGGAGTCGAGCTGTCGAGAGGCCTCCCATCAATCGAAGCTGGTCGACCAAGATCTTCATCTCAACTTCTGCTCTTGGAGTAGCGCTTAGCGACTCTTCTTTGCGAAGCCTCCAATACTGTGTCAAGCTTCTCTCTTCGGCCACTGAACACGTCGAGAGTGTGATGAACGCGTTGAAGATGGTCTTACATGAGTACGACCAATCGCAGGAGTCATCACAACAAGATCGAGCTAGACGAGAGAAAGAGACGGAGGCTGGTATCGTAATTGAGATACAGAGCGGCAACCGACGTGATCAGTCAACGGAAATGCTTGCCAGACGGATCAAATCGCTCTGTGATGACATTTGGCACACTATCCAAACCGTCGTCAACTCTGTCTCAACCTATGCTGGAGGCGCTCTCCCTGAGAACGCCCGAAACATTGTCAAGGGCCAATTGCTTTCCATTCCTCAAAGATGGAGATGTGCCACACAATCGGCAGAGGCAACCTCGCCGTCTCAACCGCCCACCAAAGCCGACGGTGGCGAAGATGGCAAGGCCATCGACGGCCAAGGTGCAGACGAAAACACCCGCAAAGCAGCACATCGCATGATCGCCTTCGCAACCGAAGGTCTGGACATGATGGCGCAAGTCAACAACGTTGTCGGTATCACTCTGCAAAGCGCCGAGAACTGGCTGCAAAGCCTCGGTAGAAACAACCGCGAGGAAGAAATGATGGATGCCGATGACCCGAAGGACTCTTCGACCTAGAGTAAGAGACGGCCAACGCGTGATATCATATCTTTTCTTGCAACATAAAAGCAGCCACGAGTCCACGAAAGTATTTCATATCTGATTCTTGAGCAACAAAGAAAACCGATGAATATTTAGCTCTGAGACGTAGATGTCTAGGTCCACTTTCGACCAGGCGATTGGGAATCTTTGAGTCCGATTTTCTGCTGTATGATGTCTACACTATTAGTTTTACCAACGGGTCTTCAACTATTGATATCAAGTACAAGCGGCGGGAGTTTCAAGGACTGAGGGTCACAGAACATTTTTATTCCTTTCTTTCATCACTCTCTTTAAAACGAAAAGCGTCGTATCGTTATTTCACAGGCTTATTCTGCTTTATTTTAGGATCGATTGGGGCTGTATATAGCAGATTTTATGCATGCTTTTCCTTTTTTTTTGACGCCACTTGGGCGACTCAGCAACGACTATATGGGCCCAGCCTCCAAGGACGATGACCAACGGGGCGAACACATCGCAATGAGATTCAAACGACAGGACGAAGTACATGCATACCACAACCTGCCAAAGCGATGCTGCCCAAGTCGCTCAGAACCTAGATCGAGCGGTTTGATCCCCTGAGACGTGCTATCACTCAAGAAAAGCTGAACCGTTCACCTAGCTTCACTGCTCCTGCCAATATCATGTACCGAACGCTTTCTTGCTTCTGACACTCCTGATACATACAATTTCGGCTTCCCAGTATCCTATCTCATCACGCCCATCACATCACGACATTGCATTGCAAATCTCAGCATCATCATGACCTCGCCCACACCAGCACCGAGGTCACGCATGCCAAATCTACCCGAATCCGATAGACTTGATCTCTGGCAGATTTGCTCAACCCATTAACCCATACCAACCGACACAGAAATCTCCCGAACATCATGACGATATATCATCTCAGATTGTCATGACTGGTGCTGGTGTCACTAGGGTCTCAGTGATGCGTCCAGATCATGCATCTCAAGTGAGTGGAACCGTTCGTGAAGAAGAGGATCAAACCACCACATCGAGTTCGGGAGCAAGCATTGTCAAGACAAGGGTGCTCAGCAAGAAAGATCTCGACCGGACTGGCTACTATGGCAAGCAGCAGATGTTTTTCCAGAGACTCACTGCAGGCGCCTGGAGTCACACAGATCAAGCTTGGCATCTACCTCGCAGACTACCGGAGGATTTCGACACGGCCATATACCGTGCTCACTCCGGGAACACGAGGCTAAGGACCGTACGTAGGATCGAAGAATACATAGAGTACTCGCGGTTCTCCGTTCAAGCTCCAGTTCTACCTCTGAAGAAGTTGGAGCTGAAGACCGCAAAGCGTTCTCATGCGACCGAAGCAGCTATCCTGGCAGACCCCTACCTCAACTCTAGTATCCGCATACCGATTGTGTTCACGTTTGAGCTACTTATACTGTCTCCTTGCGAGGATACATATGTCGACACCAAAGGAGGTGCTTCTTTGTCTCGACAACTTCCCTTGCTTGGTCATTCGTGGAATCTCCGACTGTGCAGATACCCATAAGAATGATGACTGGCACGTGTATGCTGCTTCCACTGCGGCTGCATATGCTAAGTAATTACTGACAGTCGTTCTCTTGAGTCCAATCACAGGCCTTCCCTCCGTCACTGCTACTTATGTCACGACTCCTTCCGCCCTTAGAGGTTAGTGCTTAGATATCTGCGCACAATGATACCATTCTGCTCTTTACAGGCCCGCACTGACTTTGCGGATGATCAATAGTGAACCAGCACTGGACAATACCTCGTGTATCAAGCAATTTGTTCACCGGACGGGAGGAGCTTTCGAAAGACATGAAGGTTTGTCTTTTGCCGACGAGCAAAATTTCCTCTAGACGACCAACATACGTCCTGTATGGTATCGGAGGCGCAGTAAAAAGCGAAACCACCATTGAATTTGCGGAATTTGCTTGTGGAAGTGGTTGAGCTCGGAGGGAACACGCTTCCTACCAACGGTCCACGGTTACTTAGTAGTATGCACGAACTTGCAGTAGCGTACGGCAACCTTAGTAGATATAAGGAAGCATCGGATCTGCTCGTGGAAGTGGTCAAGTCTAGGACCCAAGCGCTTCCTGCCAACAATCCACGGTTACTTAGCAGTATGAACGAACTTGCAGTGTCATACACGTATCTTGGGAAGTATGACCTTGCGATGCGTCTGCAGGAAGATATAGTCAAGAGACAAACGAAGAGTCTTCCCATCAAAGATCTCGATAGCTTGAAAAGTATAGATCGCTTAGCTACTAATCAATGTTTGCTCAAACGGTATCAAGAGGCCTCAGCCTTACTGGAGAGGACCGTTCAGTTGGATTGTAATGCTGATCAGTCTAGAATGAGTCCGGAAGACTTGCGAAGAGTACACGACTTCTTGGAGCATGCACCTGAAGACGACCCTGGAACCCTGATCCGACGCCAATACTTGCAGTCACGGATGATACACAATCTTGCCGCGACATACATCAATCTGGGACAACTTGGGAAGGCTGAAGATTTGCTTGAGACCGTTGTTGACTTCAGAACGAAAGTTCTCACGATCGATGATAAGGAGCGTCTCATATCTATGCGAGAACTAGCGACCACTTACATCAAACTCAAAAGCTATCGCAAAACAGTGAAGCTGCTACAACAGATCTTGGTCAATGGGGAGCAGACGCTTCAAGACGACCTCGGGTTCTTGACGCATACAGAAGAGCTCTTAGCAGTAGCTCAAGCGATGACTACAGCGAAATAGGTAGCCTGGTCATACCCAGGGTGCGACACTGCAGATCCATTGCAGCCTGATCTTGGGACCTTCGATGCACGGTTTCCCAGAGTCTGTCGCTAATCACCAAATAAGACACGTTCTTTGCACTCTGTGATCTTTTCTAACGCGAGCGCTCTAGATTCGGTTGCTCCGAAGCTATAAGTTTCAACAGCATTCAAGCCCTCAAGGGCTCGAACTCGTCACCAATCTCGCCCAAAGTACATGGATCAGGAAAATGGTACATCATCAACCACTCTCTTCGCAACGAACCTTACAAAACAATACAATCCTATACTCACCGTCCACGTTGAATAAGAAAAGTATCTCGGTATACGGAAGCCGGATGTCAGCTGAGACAAAAAAGAACAGCAAAGTAGGGCTTTAATCTCCAGCAGTTATATAGGTATTGGATATTTAGGCGTGGTGGACCGACAAGGTTTGGCTGGTGACTTGAGATGCGGTAGTTGAATGCCGCAAGCCTCGATTTCACGTTGAACTCGTGGAGGCCTCGGGCTTGACCGAGTAGGGCCGTGGTTCGAGTAACGGTGCAAGAGTAACGGTAGAGTTGGGCTTGGAACACGAGACTTGGAAACTGAACATAGTGTTGTTGTTGGGGTGAATGGAGGATGGTGGAAAGTGGTGGCGATGCACCACAGCTTTTTTTTATGATCTTGTGTGGTATAGCGGAAGATAAGATCTATATGTGAAGGGTGGATATGTGCTGAAGGCGTGAGGGTTTCAGGTCCGGGCAAGGGGATGTCATGCATGAGGTCAGGGTCAGTCGAGATCTCGAACTCTATACACAACGACACCCGGTTCCGGATGCTGTATCCAGAGCCGAGACCATGTGCTATCATCTTTACTAGAAACTTTGTTACGATTCTCCGAAAGTCCAGCCGGAGTAGAATCGAAGATGGACTGAGTCGCCAGAGGGTCGGTCTATTGGCAATGCACAGGTCATCAGTCGCAACGCGTCATACCCTGGAATGATGCTAAAAACCTGAGGCAGATGGCGGGAGTGTCAACGGGCACCTAACATGATAAGCCACGAGCCCGATATATGGGAGTTTGATGATGTTAGAGAGGTAAGGCTCGGGGAATGTGCCGAAAAGGGATGCTGAAGCCGGCATGTGTTGTGTAAACCCGTTGCGGAAAAAACGTTGACATTACCTAGGCCTCGGCTTATAGACTGAGGCCAAGCCTCCAGCAACCACAACCTTGTCATTGCCATTGTGTGAGAATGTCTAGATTCTGTGGAGAGAGAAACATGAAGTATAACAAAAATATGCTGTGGGTGTGGATTTGATCAATATTGAAGCTTCTTCGACATCATGCATCAAGCTCAGTATGTCCATTGGCCAGACTTGCGAGAAACATTATTTGAGTAAGTGATGCGGGCCAAAAACCCGTTATAGGCTCCTCAATCTGGAGTTGACTGCGATCTATGAGACAAAAAAGCGTTGCGGGAAAAACAGCTTGCTGCCCACGTTGAGGTCGGATCCAGACACAAACGTCTTGCTAAAACCTGCCTGCTCTGGCGGCGATCGTCCCTTGTTCTCGATGTCTCAATAAACGTATTTTGAATTACGTGCGTTGGATATGAGCTTCATGGCAGATTTTGTATATAGAGGATGGCTTCACTTGCACCGATCAAATCCGAAGCTGATTGTCATTAAACAGCACCAGACTGGACACTTTGGTTATTCGAATACGCACCCTTGTGGATCGCAGTCATGAGTCAACTGCCTCAGTACTCAATAGAGCCGAGTAAGCTGGAGCTCATGAGAGCGCTAAATGGAACCTTTCTCGCTCTCTCTTGCATTGTGGTGGCTCTCCGTGTCTGGACGCGAACGAGGATTGTTAGATGTTGGGGCTGGGATGACTGGTTTATGCTGCTGACCTTGGTGAGTGTTTTTCTTTCTCGAGACATTGTCGCAGGTTCCTGACTTTCGCAGACAATATTCATTGGCGAATGTACGGTTTGGTTGATGCTAGCCGATGTGGAAGCAAAACCAGCATCTCTAGCAAATCTGGAAACATATGCTGGCGTAAGTTGCTGCACCGACTGCGTGGAACCTCCGTACTGATCATCTGCGTCAGCTCATTTGTGCCGAACAAGCTCTCTACATTGCTGGAACCATCACTCTCAAGATCTCTCTAGCTTTCTTCTTCCTGAGGTTTCTCATCGTCCGCTGGGCTCGCTACGTCGTTTGGATAAGTGTCATGGTCTATGCGACATGCGCCCTCGGCATGTTCTTCCTGGTCGTCTTTGAGTGCGGCATGCCTGGCAATTATGTCATGAAGCAAGCCACGGGAAAGTGCGTCTCCTTCCGCGTGCTAAGTACGACTGGATATGTGCATGGCGCACTCAACGCGCTCACTGACTGGGTGTTCCCAATACTGGCCATCCATTTCCTGGTACAAACAAAGATGTCAGGCACAGCAAAGGCGTACTGCAGTGCGATCTTGCTGCTTGCTGTCCTGGGAAGCATCGCCAGTATCATAAGAACAGTGTACATTCCTGAGATCGGACCCGACGGCAACATCTACAGTAGAAGCATGAAGCCACTTATCTGGACAATGATCGAAGGCGGCTTAGGAATCATTGCCGCAAGTCTGGCAACACTACGACCACTGTTCCAAAGATGTTCGACCAGGACCAAGTCGGCACTGCAAAGCAAGTTGACAGGCGAAAACTCCAGAAGCAAGCTTGTCAAATCATCACTTGGCAGCCAGCTCAACTGCTTCTCGTTCAAAGCCACTCGCTCACCAGCAGAGTCGCCACAAGAGAGCGAAGCATCGAAACGCGATACGATGGAACTCGAGTCAGGAAACCACGCGAGAACGATGACGAAGCCATTACACCTGGGCATATTGAGCAGCGTGGCTACAGAGACGGAGCTGGATATGACACAAAAGACAGACGGTACCCGAACGGTGATTCGCGGAACGAAAAGCGCTTTTTGATTGTTGAGCTTGCACGGCATTTCTTATGACTCATGAAACTAGATTAACGAATTTAGCAGCGACATTCCAGTTGCCTTCTCAGTAGACCGCTCGCATTCCCCAATAGAGAGTTGTGACAAGCGTACCTGCCTGATCCTGGCTTTCCGAGGAAGTTGTTGGCTGGGTAGGTAGAAATGGCCATAAGGCGATGGGGGAAGGAACGACATGCTGCTTCCTGGCACTCTCTTACGGCCATCGATGGCTTATTCCAAGAGCTACCAGACACTGATTCCGCGTCTTCGGCACAGTAATTGCTTGGTAATAATGCGCCAGTGGTAGCCAGATGTCGCTCAATATGTGGTACATAGCAGCCGTGTCTGCCCGTTGGATCTGAAAGCGGTGACGCTATGAATGACGCCTGACTAGAAGCACATTGATGGGAATGAGTTGTGGTTGGGTGTGCTCGTCGCATGGAGCAGATCCGAAGGCTCATCTGAACAGTTTTCTGCCGCCGTTTCTAACAGCAGCCGATTCCCTGCCTTCCAGACTGATGCCAGTGAAACCCACGGTGCCACCAGATCTATCATGCTTGTACCTTCTGAGAGCTTCGCGCAGATGATCTGGCAGCAAGGGGCCCCTGTCGCGTTCTCTGACCTTTGGCTCACCCTCAGCGTCCTTGCCAAAGGCCTCCTCGTTCTTGTCGCCTGTGGGTAACTTCTCAGCGGCAGCAATCCACTCTTTCTGAACTTCCCGTGCGCGATCAACAATCTCTCCGACGAAGACCTTGGTGTATGAATTTATGGTCGTCACGACGCTGGCGGGGACGGACTGTGACAGGGTCTGGTTGGCGAGACGACGGACGACTTCTTTCTTCAGATGTATGCGGTTCCACGTTTCGTAGATCTCGGCGTGAGCGGGGTGGATATGGGTGCTAAACATGGCCTTGCGCTCTTTCTCTGCGTCCATGGCAGCCTTGGTGAGCTTGCCTCCTTCCAGCGTGTTGACATCGTCTCCTCCGTCTTCTTCGTCGTCGCTGTTGGCATCGTCACCTGGGCCATCGTCGTTATTACCAATATTTGTCGAGGTACCCTTGCGGCCGTCGCCGTCAATCAGACTGGCCGTGTCGCCGCGGTTCTTCGGAGGGCGTCCAACTTTGCCAACCTTCTTGCCCTTGGCCGGGCGCTCTTTCTTGTTGCTTCCGGTGCCAGTGCGGCCGCTGACTACGCTGTTGATCTCATCGTCGATGTCGAGACTATCGCTACGGCGCGAGGCGGGCGAGTAGGCGGCTTGTGCGTCGGGGCTGTATTCTCTTCCTGGCCGATCCGGGGGAGGGAAGGAAGTTTGGCGCAGAGGATGTGTTGAACTGGAGGCATTGGATGCTTTGCGACGCTTGTACGACGGCGCCTGGCCGGGCACGCTGATGGACGGGCGCTTCTTGGGGAGAGCGAGTTGTGGGCCACCTGGAGGCGGTGAGGTCGCACTTCCGGGAGGACTGCTCGCCATTCTGCAGCAGGTCTGTATGAGACGGTCGGCAAGTGGTGCGCGAGGTTGGCGGATTGATGAATAGATGGTGCTTCACTCAATGTGCTCCATGCAACGCGTCCGATGCGGAAGGCGCTTGGACCCAACCTCGACTATTTCACCCACCTTGATGCAGCAGACCATGTGCCACCCTGCTGACATGGCTCGCGTACGAACACTGTGCCACTGCCAGCATGTACTTCACTGGCTTTGCGCTCCTCTATAAATCGTCGTGTTCGCCTATCAAGCCTCTTTCCACACATCCGCTTTCTCCATCTCCCTGAGTGTACTCTTGACATCATCACTTTGTCCCGGTACATCCTATTTCTGTCACTCCGCCTTCACTTTCCATCCCTTTACACTCCGCAGCAAAATGACTGTAGCCGATTCGAGTACCCCAAGGCCAACTCCCACAATTCCCAATGGCGGCTTCTTCAGCGCTTTCGCAGAGACAAAGATAGCAGCTCCACCTGCTGCTGTCTACAAAGCTTTGATCGACACTTCGATCTGGGGGGACTGGAACGATTTCGTGTCTTCAGTCACCATTACTAAACGTCCTAGCACGAGTCTGGAGTCAGGTGATGCTACCATGAAGAAAGACATGGTCTTGAGCTTCCAAGTCAACATGACTCCTTCCATGACCACCACCAGCAAAGAACTGGTCACTCATGTCGATGAATGTCCAATCGGCACTCAACCTGGTCACATAACTCGTATCAACTGGGTTATGGATAACAAGGGAAACTTTGCTCCAAAATTCATCTTGACCGCCGAGAGGGTGAATGAAATTGAGGATCTTGGCGACGGAACATGTATCTACAGATCTTGGGAGACATTCGCAGGCTTTGCTGCCCGCATAGTCAAGTGGAAGTTTGGGCAAGCTTTGCAGAAGAATTTCGACAATTGGGCGACTGGATTGCGGCAATACGTCGAGGAACAAGACATAAAGGCTAGGGAACGCGACGCCGCTATCGAATTGGCTGCTTAAAATCGACTTCGCCTATGGTTGTAATATTCTACTCCTCGCTCTATCAAGCTTTTGCATAGGAGGACTTGTTATCTCGATCTTGTCATCCTCGTCTCCTACTCTTTCGACATTTTGAACAGGCAAAAACAGTCCAGCCTCAGAGTCCGCCTCAAGTTTGACTCGCAATCTGAACACAGCACATTCAACCCATCGACCAACGAGTCTCGCAAATCGACTCTCTGGAGGCAGATGATTTTCGGCTTTTTCTTCCCGTTCCACTGCTGGCTGCATTGTTATTCCTAGTCCGATGGGACCTGTTTTGACCTCTCGCTGGCTCACAGCTTCAGCTCGCGTCCCGAGTTCAGCCATTTCCAATCGTCTACAATCTCGAATCTCGCAAATCCATATTGCAGTAGCCATAGCCATCAGGATCGCTACAAGTATCATGATGACGATCGAAGATCCGATAGATGGTCCAGGCACATCAATGCATGGGCGGACTTCAGGGCTCGAAGAAGGCAGCGCAATAGACGAAAGTGCGACGGAGGTGGTCGTAGTTGGATAGTCAGACGGGCTGTTGGTCGATACAACAAAGATTGTCGACCATGTTTCCGAGCTCCGCGATGAAGATGCTGGTTGTTGGGAAGATCGCCACTGGGAAGTTGCTGACGATGAAGGCGCATAGTAGAATCGAGTCGTTGTAGTGGTCGTGGTAGTAGTTGGCAGAGGCTTATAAGAGAACTTTTGGCTCGAAGCCCTCTTCGGGTAGACTGTATGAAGAGAGCCCTCAAGGATGGAAAATTGGGAGTGAGATCGGGTCCGAGTCTGAGTACCTGTAGAGTGCAACGGCATTGTAGAGAACATGGTCAAGGATAAGGTTGAAGGTGACTTCATGTCGGCCCATTAATTTCTGTCCCATCACGTATGCAAGCTTGACAAGCTTATGCACTATACGTTGTCTCTCAAGTATTGTGAAATGCTAGGGATTGTCTGACGGCCTTGTATACGCATTTGATCAGGGATAAGGCATAGTCAGCACCTAAGACAATCACAACGTCCTATGGTCGTTCAAAACATTTAATAGTGGGATGAAGCTGTTTCGATCTCTGATGTGTACCGAGATGTGGATGCCTAATTGGCATATAGGGACTTCTTCCGAGCATCAGCTGAATTCAGTCTTTGGATGAACTCAGTCTTTGGACGTGGAGCTTGCAGTCCGTGCATCACGTCATGTATTCAGCATCAGATAGACTCAGATACGTCGGCCTGTTTTCCACCGGAAGCGTGGCTCTATTTCTCATGCAATCTTGGACCATCTCAGAGAATCTCGCTCGACATGTTTCCCTCAGACTCCACTCGGTCCCGCTCATGGGTACAAGTACCTATCTTTAGTACTTCGGCCGATCTCGGGCCGAAACCCAATCGCAATGCCCCAGATGGAAACGTTGGTGACGACTGCACTTTCGCGTCTCCAAATTCGCTTTTGCGAGCAGGTCGTCCTTCCCATTTCCGAATAACTTAAACCGTCTTACGAGACAGCAAGAGACTGATCTGCGTTGATGTCTGCCTAGAATCTGCCCGCGCCAAGAAATCGATCTTCAAACGGAGCACGTCAATCCTTCATCATTCCGTGTTCAAGCAGAGACCTTCAATTGTAGTCTGTCGTTTATTTGTAACCGCGAGCCTCAGTCCTGATATGGTCTCTTTGATACGGAAGTCGCAATGGACCAAGCCATTCGTTCAAGAGCCAAGTGAGGTCGACGACGAGGTCGTGCCAACAAAGAAACGAAGCCTGCCTTATGTGGCGATCCTGCTCTTGTTCCTCGCCATTACTGGTTTCGTGCTACAAGCTCTGATCAGAATCGCGCTACCCTCTGTCTTTCTCGCCATTGCTGCACTACATCTCGTGCTGGTCAGGCCGCGAACAGCCTCGGTATTCCTACTCTTGCTCTACACCACTCTACTCGTCCTGCAGGTGTCGGTGCTCGCCTCCTCCAAGTGGACCTCGGCTTCTGATGCCTATAATCTCGTCGCCGCTATCTACATCATCAACATCAGCATACCGCTCATCAGCATAGCTGCTGTGGTTAATTTACCGCTTCGGGACCCCTCCTTGCCACGCAAGGGTATCAGTCAACCATTCACCGCCCCCACAGCGGACCTCAGATCTCCAGAGGATGATCTGACCCTATGGCAATGGATGACTGTGTCATGGATGTCTGCGCTTATCTCTCTTGGCAAGCAACGACAGCTGAATGAGAACGATGTTTGGTATCTTGGGTATGAGTTTCAGCATAATCACCTGCATGATGCATTCCGCGAACTTAGAGGTACCGTCATCAGACGGTTGCTCCGTGCGAATTGGATTGACCTGGCTTTGCTCACATTACTCGCAATTCTAGAACTGGTGGCCAATTACTCTGCGCCATTGTTGCTTCAGCAGCTACTCAAAGCTATGGTCAACCTGCAACACGAGACGAAACCTGCAGTCATCTTTGCCCTCCTCATTCTTGGCGTCAGACTTGTCGCAGCGCAGAGTTCAGTATTCAGTCTATGGTTCGGCAGACGCGCGTACGAACGGTCCAGAGGAGAGATGATTACTATGCTCTTCGAGAAAACACTTAACAGAAAAATCGTTGCGACTGTGAAAGATGTAGACGAAGGCGTACAGGATGAGGAGTCCAATAGCGAAACTGACCCTAGCGTCTCGACGAGCAGAGATGCTGGGAGCGAGACACAAGGACTTTTGAACAATAACAGCAAGTCCGACGAGAAACAGTCGTTTTTGTCGAAGTTCCTACGCAAGGCGCATCTGAGACGTAGCAAAAACCCGGAGTCGATCACCGAAGACAACGCGCCTGCTTCGATGGGCAAAATTCTCAACTTGATGCGTGGCGACGTTTACGAGGCAAGCATTATCCGTCGTCTCTGACCTGAACTGTAGGCTGACATGTCCATATAGGTAAGCCAAAGATTTTGGGAATTCCAGACCCTGATCAACAAACCCCTCGGTATGGTATTGTCACTATGCTTGGTATGGAACCTCCTTGGTCCATCGTGTTTGCTTGGAGTCGCTGTTGTGATCGTCGCTCAATTTCTCAATGGCATCTTTGCTAGGATTCTCATCAAGAAGGAACGACTTCGACGCAAAGCTACAGACGCCAAACTGCAAAAAGTTTCAGCTTACGTCGAAGCAATCCGACACCTCAGATGGTATGGCTGGCATCCTATCTGGCTTGAAAGAATCCTAGAAGCTAGGCAAGCCGAGCTTGATCTCAAGATCATTACATTCCTATGGAACTGTACTATCAGATTCGTCAACATCTTGGGTAGTGGTTTGCTACCTGTCGCGGCGTTTTACGGATTCACGGCACTGGCGGGTCACGAATTGCGCATCGATATCGCTTTCCCAGCTCTGCAACTTTTCAACATGCTGCAAAGTGACTTGAGAGAGATCCCGAATCTGATTACTGTCCTGATCAATGCTTCTGTAGCTGTAGGGCGCATTGAAGCTTTCATGAGAGAGCCCAACAAGGTTGCAGACGACAGCTCAGACTCAGCATCCTCCGATATACTTGAGTTGAAGCTCGCTACCTTTGCATGGCCGGGACTCTCGAGAGAGGTACTTCGCGATCTATCTCTTTCTTTCCGGCCGGGCCTCAACGTAGTATTCGGTCAAGTAGCAGCTGGAAAGAGCGCCCTTTTGCAAGCCCTGCTTGGGGAGCTGGACTTGCACAGTGGCGAGTTGATCAAATCAAACGCTCCGATCGCCTATTGCGCACAGGCTCCATGGCTTCAAAGCATGAGTATTCGCGACAACATCCTGTTCTCGTCTCCTTACGACGATATACGATACAAGCAGACTCTTGAAGCTTGTGCTCTCACTGCTGACTTGGCCGGTTTCAAGCACGGAGATCTATCCAACATTGGAGAGAACGGCATTGGATTGTCTGGAGGACAGAAAGCCAGAGTCGCCTTGGCACGTGCTGTCTACAGCAGGGCCAAAATCCTTCTTCTCGACGACCCCTTGAGTGCACTTGACCAGCAGACAGCCGAATCTATTGTGGCCAAGTGTTTTGGAGGAGATCTTGTCGAGGGTCGCACGGTGATCTTGGTGACCCACCGCACAGATCTATGCAAGGGATTGGCTGAACAACTCATTGAAGTTACAGACGGGACCGCAAAATCTTTCAAGGGTGATTCGCTACAGCTTAGCTCGACAAATTCTCGCACAGCTCAAACACTCAAGGAAGCGAAGTCGGTCAAGATTGACGAAGCTCAAGAGTCCGCTGCTGTACCTGACAAGTTTGAGGAAGAAGAGAAACGAGAACATGGAGGGGTCAAAGCTGCAGTGTATTGGCAATACATCAAAGCTGGTCGTCTGAAGTGGTGGTTCCTAGTCGTTCTCTCTGCCTTCATTTTTCGACTACTCATGGTGGCTGAATCATGGCTGTTCAAGGTAGGCTTGAGTTTGTTGAAGTGTAAAGTGCAGTTACTAACAATGTGAAATAGGAATGGGGCGAGGCTTACGGAAAGACTGAGCAGGTATACGCCTTACAGATACTGTCTTCAGAACTACACTTGACGTCTTCGAGCCCAATCTCGAGGTTGTTCGCCCGCTTCCCCGATCCTGGCGTCAACGTCTACCCTTGGTTGATTGCATTCCTGGTCTTCATTATTGTCGAATGTGTGGCCTTCCTGGTCTCGCAAGTACTCATGCTTGTAATCACGTATACGGCTGGCAAGGGCATGTTCAAAGACATTATGGAGAAAGTCAGCCACACCACATTCCACTACTACGACGTGGTTCCGATCGGACGTCTCATGAATCGACTCACGTCTGATGTCGCAACCATTGACGGCAACATCTCGGATCAGTTCCTGAATGTGGCTTGGCAGGCAATCGCCTGGGTGACATCGATAGCTGTGATAGCTGGAGTCACACCACTGTTCCTTTTCTTTTCATTCGCATTGACTGTCGCATTTATTCTCATCTTCATGCAGTTCCTTCCTACCAGCCAAAGTCTGAGACGACTCGAGATGGTCTCTTTGAGCCCGCTGATGTCAAACTTTGGTGCATTGTTGAATGGCTTGACAACCGTCCGGGCTTTCTGTGCTCAATCTCAATTCCAGGACCGCGTCATCGCTGTCACAGATGCCTTCCAGGGAATGGACCACTTCTATTGGTATGTGTTTCAGGTACCGAGAGGACCGGACATGGCGTGCTGACAGTCTTTAGGTCCCTGCAAGCATGGTTGATGTATAGATTTGACATCCTATCAGCATTCTCAACTTTCGTCATGACCCTATTGGCGATCAATTCGGGACTGTCTCCGGGACTCACTGCGTTCGTGTTGGCGTCTGCCAGTAGGTATGTGGTCGCTACTCACAGCCTGTGTAAACAGTACGGTCAGCTCCAGCTCAACTTTGTGTCGGTTGAGCGTGTAGTGGAACTGCTACACCTAGAACAAGAGCCAGCTGGAGAGATTGAGCCCCCAGCATCTTGGCCTTCGTACGACAGCGAGATTGTCTTTGAGGATGTTTGCATAAGATACGCGCCGCACCTCGATCCTGCTCTGTCCAATGTGTCATTCACCTTGAAGGGTGGATCCAACACAGCGGTGATTGGTCGCACAGGATCAGGAAAGAGTACTCTCGCGCTGTCTCTTCTCGCAACCATGACACCAGAGTCTGGACGTATTCTCATTGGAGGCATCGACATCGCAAAGGTCAACAAGCAAGCACTGCGTAATCGCATCACTTTCCTCGCCCAAGATCCAGTTCTGTTCCCAGGCTCGCTGCGGCACAATCTTGATCCTACAGAAGAGCACTCGGATGATGAGTGTGAAGCTGTCATAGCGCGTGTGTGTGGCAGCTACAACTGGACGCTTGAGACACAAATCGACACTGGTGGCAAGAATCTCAGTCAGGGGCAACGTCAACTCGTCGGTCTAGCACGTGCGGTGTTAAGAAGGAGTGCCATCATTATCATGGATGAGGCGACTGCCAGTATAGACAAGGAGACGGCTTGGGAGATCCAGCGTGTGTTGAGGGAAGAGATGAAGCAAAGCACTGTCGTCACTATCGCACATAGGCCCTCGGCCGTACGAGGTGCGAACTACTGTCTTGCACTGGGCAATGGCAAGATCATCGATCAAGGTAGTCCGGAGGAAGTCGACGTGGCTCACAGCACTGTTCCAGACACTATTTGAAGCAGATGTGGAGTGGGTGAAGGACAGTCTCTGTGGAGTGTCGAATGACTCGGTTAGAGTAGAACTAAAAGGTAGACCCCTATTCGTAATTCTGAAATGACCTATATTTCCAATCTAACGCGGCAGGAGTACCTCGAGATAGTAGTTGACAATGCACATTGCAAGCACGTCTCGATCAGAAATGTCGCAGTCAGTTGACGTGAGGCAGGGTGGTGGAGGGCGCGACTACCACATTGGGCCGAGATTGATCGACACGCTAGACGCTCAGGGTTCGTGACAGGCTTGGCGCGTCAGATGTCGATCTCCGGATAATGAGTGGAGGGTTTGATCCAAGGCGGCGCTTTTTTTCGCGCGACATCAGCATAGTCAAGAGTGTTGAAGAAGTGGAGCTTGCCAACCGAAGTGAAGGCCGGACGTGCATCGACAAAGCTTCAGCGTTCACATCGACGATTATCCAGAAAGAGAAGCAACAAGCTGGAAACAGGAAGCAGGTCGGCAAAGGCTGGACAAAGCGGCCAACACACACGCCTTCCTGCCACACATGCCAACCCTCAAGCGCCATCGCGACGAGACGAGCGACGAAGGTGCCAGGAAGAAGCTGAAAGCCGAACAAGTCGATCAAACTCCCACAATCCTGCCGATCATGGATCTGACGACTGAGGAAACGCCCGCCGCCCCATCACAAGAGCGACAAGTAAGACCATCCAAACCTCGACTCACTGACGATGCTAATACTGTCCCACCCAGACGCTCGAGATACTACGGAACGACTTTGACGACCTGCGCCAACTCGTCACCTGCAAAATCTGCGAACGCCTATTGTACGAGCCCTACGTCATCTCGTGCGGCCACACGTATTGCTACAGCTGCCTATGCCAATGGTTCACCACCAGCAAGAAGAAGACATGTCCCAACTGCCGCGAAGTCATCACCCGTCCGCCCGCTCCGTCCTATGTCATCAAGGAAATGACAAACGTCTTTATGCGCCGCCATGACCTCCTCCCCGACGGCGAGACCATCGAACAACACGAGCAATGGAAGTTTGAAGAGGCCGACATCGTGCGCAGAGACAAGAGCGACGACCACCCACGCACCGGCGGCCTTTTCAAAGGCTTCTTCCGTCCGCGCCGTGCCAAGGTCCTGCCCATCCACGACCCCGACGACCACGTCGACAGATGTCCCGAATGTCATCACGAGGTTGAAGATGGTCGTTGTGAAAATTGCGGAATCTACATGGACAGCTGGAGCGATACCGACACCGACGTCAGTCTCTCCAGCATGTCAAACTCTTTGGACGTAGAGGACATACCCGACGACTTTGAAGACGAAGACCATGACGCTAGTGCCGTCTTTGGTGAATTCGACATTGACTTTGACCCCGAGGCTGCTCAGTGGATGCAAGAGGACCAAGTGAGACAACTCATGGCCCACGGCCGTCATTGGAGACCGGGCCGTTTACCAAATGGTGCTCGAGTTGAGCAAAATGCAACAGGCACCCGTCTCATCTTTGGCGCAAGAGACGAAGAGATGGGCGATAACTTGGACGAGCTAAGTGATGAGGAGGACGACGATGAAGATGACGAGACTGGTTCCCTCGACGAGTTCCTGGATGATAGAGACATCAACGACATAACCGCCCACACCATCAGCTCGCAGACCGCCGCAGATAACACGCCAGCCAGACACCGAAGCCGTCATCGTCGTGTCATAGACTCCTCGGATGGTGCTGAAGCCATCGCTACAGATTCCGACAGCTCGCGTTCGGACTCGGACTCTGATGGCGTGCGTCACAACCCACAGTTTCGTCGTCCCAGAGCCTCTATTTCACTTATCTCGGATGATGAAGACGAGCCAGTCGAGGGAGATTCTCGACAGTCTATCAACATCGGGGATGAAGATGAACAATCCGATGATGACGAAGAAGAGAGAATGGTCCCGAGACCTCGCAGACAGGTCATAGACGATGATGACGACAGTGACGACGAACCCAGAGTAATCTCATCACGTTACCGAGGACCTGCGGCTCGCAGATCAGGTCGACCAATACTGGCACGTAGACAGCAGCGACCAATCCCTATCATCGACAGTGATGACGAAAGCGACGACTCCTCTGCAACAGAAGAAATGTTCACGCGCACCACCGATCCAATCTCGAACAACCGCAACGGCATGGGAAGAAATGGACCCAGACCGACAACTGCGGCGTCACTCTCATCAGACTCTGACAGTTCAGAAGATGAAGATATCGAGCCTGACGATTACAGCATCGATGGTCATGATGCCAACGACATGGATGATGTAGTGCAAGGAGTGCAAGGAGCAGACTTTTCACCCATGCAGAGTGAAGATGAAGATGAAGGAAATCAACAGGCCATGAACTATTTCAACGTCTATGGCGATGGAGACGATGGTAGTGATGTTGATGACGAGGATGACGATGTGTACTAGAGATACCCCTGGGTAAAGCATTGGCGTTGCATAATTGAAGCATTTTGTATTTGCATTCTATCTTTTCTCATTAAATTTACCTTGTGCAAATCATGAATGTGTCTGAAGTCTCAAGTCTCAAGTCGAGACAGCTGGCGACCGCATGATTGCTTTCTTTCGGTGCGCGCTAGACCACACCTGCCCATGGTAATATCGAAAAATACGACCACAAGTGGTGAAAAACAAAATTATGTTTCGATCCATAGAGTACGAATCCTGGCGTCCCATGATTTGAACTACAGATCCCAAGTCACTCTCATTCCCTCGACCCCATCCTTCTCCTCCAGAGTACCATTTTGTTGCTTCTTCTTCTCCGCTCTACGATTCAAAACACGATATTGCGTATTTGCAAACAAGTTTGCAGCAATAGAGACCGAGATCAAACAGACAATTGCCGTCCACCCCTTTTTATAATGTGGAGCATCCTCGGCTTGGAAAAGTTGACCGCCTAAAGAACGTTAGTCATGAGTTCAGTAGTCTCTGAGAGAGAGGAATGGGACTGGCTTACCGATGATACCCCCGAGATTGGCGGCTGAGACAAACATAGCTAACACACATATTCAGCTTTGATGATATGAAATAAGCAGAGGGGACAGAGGGAGAGGGGTGAGCATACCCATAGTGATAGACCTCTCAGCAGGCGACCTCGCATTCGTAGAAAGCCAACTTCCATTCACCGGATGCCAAATCGTACTCGAAGCCATCGCCAACACCAACATGGCATACTTTGCCTCCTTTTGCTTCGAATCCGCCAGTATCAAGCTCCCTAAACAGAAGCCCCACCACATAAGCAAGCCTCCCAGATTGACATGGCCTCTGCGATTCGTCTTGTCGGAAAGATAGCCAGAAGCATAGTTGAGAAATATTTGAATCCAAGGGCCCACGGAAACCATGGCAGTAGCTTTCAATCTATCGTAGCCGAAATTCTTGACCAGAGAGGGGGCGTAGGAACTCATCGTCGTGGCGGGGGCGATGCCGCAGAGACTTATGAGTACGTGGGGGTATATTTTCCAGTTGCCGAGTACACTTAGCAGCTCTTTTTTGGAGATTGAATGTGACTTTTTCTCTTTACTTGGGTCGTCGAGGAGGACGCGTTGACGGAGGATGTATTCTTCGCGCTCGGTAAAGTAGCGGTAGCCAAATACAGTGCTAGGGTTTTGGGGGCCGAGGGGGATACAGAGGAGGAAGATGGCGCCGCAGAGGATGGTGAAGATGCCTTCGATGAGGAACATCCAGCGCCATCCCGCTAGACCTGCTATGCCACGCATGTGAAGGCTGATACAAGTCAGTGCTGGATGACAGTGGAGGACGGACAAGAGATGGCTACTCACATGCCATATGCCAATAGCCCAGTACATGCACTAGCAAAATTGTTGCCAAAGAAATAGATGGCGAAGCGCTTACTTGTTTCCTCCTTTTTGTAGTAGAGACTCAGAGTGTAGAGTCCACCAGGAATAAATCCTGCTTCGCAAAGTCCCAGCAACAGTCTCGTTGACAAAAAGGCACCTAGTCCATGTTGGAAAGCCTGGAAAGTGGCTACCAAGCCCCAAGCAAAGATTTGACTAGAGATCCAGATACGAGGACCAAAGCGGTAGAGCAAGAGGTTACTGGGAATTTCGAGTATCACAATACCAGCGGACAGCAGTTGTTGACCTATATTGTATTGGTACTGCGTGATACCTGCATCTTTGAGGAAGTTGTCGTTCAGGGCGCTTCCGATGTTTCCTCTGTCTAGTTGAAGAGCAAAGAAGACCATAGTCAATAGTGGTAGGACGGTAAAGTCAAGTCTGCTTATAGGTCAGCGAATACTATAATGAACCGAAACAGGCATTGCCTACTTTCTGACGAGTTTCTTCTCTTCTTCGGGTGTCCAGTCCACAGTCCCACGAGAGTCATCCTCGCTTTTCGATGTAGTGCTGCCAGCAGAGATGGCGACCTGCTCTGGGTATTTCTCCATGATCTAGAGCTTTAGAGTCAATCGGACAGAAGCAAGTGAGTGTTGCGAAAAGACCAGGGAAGTGGAAACGAGAGAATGAGGAAAGAAGATAGTGCAAGGCAGTGTTTGATAGTGGATATCAACTGTCTGTGCCGATCAACTTATATCGACAGCGAAGATCGATTCAGCTCTCGATTTTTTCTGGTACCAATCCCTATAGTGGATTGCACCGGGGGCAAAGTATTGTACCCGAGGGTTGATCCGTCAGATAAGAACGGCATGAGCATCGGCACTCGACACGAGCTCGAGGGAGACCCTGTTCAACTGCTCTCGAGTAAAAGGTTCTGGCGACCAACGAGACAACATGAGTTCAGCTTCGATATATAGCATATGCTTCCTCTAGCACGCAAGTCCACCCAAAGATGGTGCATATATTGATCCATTTGCTGAATTGTGTTCACCCTGAGAGATGCTCTGCTTGTTCTGGTCTGTCCAACAATGATATTATCGCTAGGATGATGTGATTGAGGCAGGGTATGGCAAGATCAGCATGTGTCTCCAGATTTTGAAAACTCTCCTTGTTGATTGGCCATAATGGTGGTCAAAGTATTCGTTCTATGATCGCACACATGTGGTTGGTGTGAAGGATTCTGATGCTGATGATGCCATTTTAGCGTCCAAAGTCGTGATGTCTGAAAGATAGGCAGTTGTCGTGGACCTGTTGCTACCACCATTGCGATTTCGATAACAATGTAACGAGTCAAGGTCCAAGACTCCCTTCAATGGATAAGGCGAATGCTTCCTGATAAATTCGATGCAAACAGTATGTGATGCAGGTGAAGGAGGTCGAGAGCAGCTAGTCGCACTCGGCCTGCCCCAGTTCTACCCCACACTGCGCGATTTCCTGTTTGGGTAAAGCTCGTCACGTCTTCCTTGTTTCGCGTTCGTAAGTCGACAACGACGACAGCGCGCTCAGCCTCAACTTGGGAAATGATACGCTGGGTGGAGCATACTCCTTGAGCACGCTGGTAAGATCGTAAGCCGCGCAACGACCGATCGTCGGATGCCGGACACTTGAGTACGGCAGTCGCCAAAGGATGCCCTATGCCCTAGAGAAAGGCATTATTGTAGGTCGTCTCCTTAGCTTCGTGCCTTCCACTCCCCACTCAGTCATTCAAAATGTCTCGTCCAAATTTCCTCGTCATTGTCGCAGACGATCTTGGTTTCTCGGACATAGGTGCGTTTGGCAGTGAAATCAAGACACCGAACATCGACAGATTGGCTTTCGATGGAGGCTTGCGATTCACAGACTTCCATGCAGCAGCAGCATGCTCACCTACCAGATCCATGCTTCTCAGTGGCACTGACAACCGTAAGCAATATGAATTTGAGGCACGGTTGGGCATATGCTGATAGACATGCAGACATCGCTGGCATCGGAGCTATGGAGGAAAATTTGCAAGAGTTCCAGAAGGGCAAGCCTGGCTACGAAGGATATCTCAACGATCGTGTAGCTCCTCTATCCGAAGTTCTGCAAGACCACGGATACAAGACTTACATGTCGGGAAAATGGCATCTGGGATTATCACCCGACCGATGGCCTGTCAAGCGCGGTTTCAATCGGTCATACTCGTTGTTACCAGGTGCGGCCAACCACTACGGCTATGAGCCGCAAATTGAGCAAGGAGATAATCAACCCGGTATCCTCAAAAGTACGCCAGTCTTCTATATTGAAGATGACAAGGCAATTGCTCCTTCGGATCTTGGCGAGGGCTTTTACTCGACCGATAGATTTGGCGACAAAATGATCAAATATCTCCAGAATCACAAGGAGAACGATGGTGATAAACCCTTCTTCGCGTACTTGGCTTTCTCGGCACCTCATTGGCCTTTGCAAGCGCCAGAGGCGGACGTTGACGCTTATCGTGGTGTTTACGATCATGGACCTGAGCATCTTCGAGATCAACGACTAGCCAGTCTGAAAAAGCTTGGACTGGTTCCTGAACATGCGATCCCACATCCAGCTGTCGCACCACCAACAGGAAGAACAATGTCTCAGCCTTGGGACACATTGACAGAAGACGAGAAGAAGACGTCGTCTAGAACAATGGAGGTCTTTGCCGGTATGGTACAGAGGATGGACTATCAGATCGGAAAGGTGATAGAACAGCTAGAGAAGACTGGTGATCTAGACAACACGCTGATTCTCTTCATGTCTGACAATGGAGCTGAGGGTATGCTGATGGAAGCTTTGCCTCTCATTACTGGCGACATCTTTGCTCACGTTGCGAAATACTATGACAACAGTCTAGACAACATCGGCCGAGGAAACTCGTATGTTTGGTATGGTCCTCATTGGGCGAACTCTTCAACAGCACCATCGAGACTGTACAAAGGTTTTTCGTCCGAAGGAGGCATCCGTGTTCCGTTCATCCTTCGCTATCCTGCTCTGACTGCTCAAAAGTCACAGGATACCAACATTGAGCATTCTTTCGCTACTGTGATGGACATTTATCCGACCCTGCTTGATTTGGCAGAGGCAAAGCACCCTGGAAAAACTTACAAGGGTCACGAAGTTGCACCAGTCCGCGGGCAATCATGGGTACCATATCTCTCTTCTGCCACCAACGAGATTCACAGCGAGAATGCCGCAGTGGGTTGGGAGCTCTTTGGAAGACTTGCCGTGAGAAAAGGCATTTGGAAAGCGACATACATCCCTGCCCCGTATGGCCCAGAGAAGTGGGAGTTGTTCGACTTGAAGGCCGATCCTGGAGAGCTCAACGATATTTCAGAAAACAACAAAGAAAAGCTTGCTGAACTTCTCAGCGATTGGCAGGATTATGTCGCGGAGGTCGGAGTGGTTGGACAGGCACCTGAATATGGTACACTAGTATTAGACTGATCAAGATTAGAACATGTCACTTTCTAGTCGGACAGAACAAACGCGGTAGAAGAGCCTGTGACCGTAGCGGACAGGTAGAAGCGACGAGGCACAAAGACTCGATGCAAAGATCGACAAACCCTTGCAGCGTACGCTACAGAGCCAAGAGTGGAAGTGATCTATACTTGGCGAAACATACAATGGAAGTGAGAGCGCAATGCCAAGATCTATGTTAACACGATCTATACCTATCATTCATCACGGCAGTATGAGCAACAACCTCAAAGTAGAAGGGATGGGTAAACGAAATAGTATTCGACCATAGCTGGTCGTATGTAACAGAACGTCCCGTCATCTTAGACGACACTCCTATATCAAAAAGCCGCGTTGCTCGATAAGAAAGAAATTCGGTGATGCAAATCGATCGTCTTGACCCTTCTTTTCTCTCCACATCTATAAGAAATAGGTCGAATGGATTAAAGACCACTGTCGATCTGTGGCCATGCCATGTTCTTGGAGTAAGATCTCCAGCTGTCACACTGGGAGTTGAATGTGGCCTGATCAGGCATGCTGATCGCGTTCTTAGCCTCGATAAACTGAACACCGAGACCCTCAGAGATGTGCCACGCGATGTGGCAGTGCATGAGCCTATACACAATTAGCGCTTTGTCTTCCACGATCAACACATTGTTGCATACCAAGCTCCAGGATTGTTCGCTGGGAAGGCGATAAGGAGCCAGCCGAGACCAGGAAGAATGGATGTGTCGCGACGAGGAGGATTGGCGAAGTTCAGGACGGCGGTACTAGAATCAAACACACCGGCTCCTGAGCCGAGGACAAAGAAATCGTGTCTGTAGAGCATCAGTAAGGAAACATCGTACAAGCCCGATACAACGTCATGCTCACCCGTGCAAATGGATAGGGTGGGGAAGCGGTGGGTTCTGCTGCCCCATCTGGATGAGCCAGTAAGTCCATTGACCCTCATTAGGGATCTCGATGACTGCATATGGATCGGGATAGCTGGTGTTGCCTTCGAAGACATATTGAAGTGTCGGTTTATCCCAGTTGACCATCATAGCTGTAGTGTCCAAGTGCCAAAGCGCGAAGTTCTGTCCGTTGGTAGTGAGGCCGGGTGCGACACCAGTCGAAAGAGTCTTAACCTGGGCGTTGTACTGAGTCTGATCAACAGCCTGAGTCCAGTAAGGAACGGTATTGAGCTCTGTGCAACCATTTCCAGCGGGTTGTTCGTTGCTATCAGTAGGTTCGGTGACAGTTTGGCCCTCATAGGTGAAGAGAGCACGACCGCCCTTTTTGTTTCCACTGAAGCAGTCAGTAGCGGCCTCGGCACGGAAGAAGTAGTTTCCAGGTGTTTGATTGGCGGTGAATACTACATCGTACCGTTGGCCGACAGCAAGCAGGAGCCAATTTTGCCCAGTTATGGGCTTGATAGGAATGAAGTCGGCTGACATGACTGTAAAGCTATGACCATCGAGCTTAACCCATAGCGCGTTGTCGACAGAGGTGTTGATCAAGCGCAGACGATGTTTCTTGCCTTTGGTAAGCCTCATTTGGGAGTAAGACCCAGTAATGGTACCGGTGATGTTGTTCTTTCCTTTACCATTAACAAGGATGTTATCACCAGGTGGTGGTGGTGCATTTGCCTGAAGGTTGTGAAGAGTTATTTCGTTGACGTTGTTTGCAAGATCATAATAAAAGTCGGTCATTGGCAAAGTTCCGAGGTCGATGTCATAATTAGAGCTGGCAGGACCGTTGATTACAATCTGGCCTACAACACCCATACCATACTGTGACGAGTAATGGCTGTGATACCAAGAAGTACCAAATTGGGTTGCTTGGAAAGTGTAGACTCTGCTCTGTCCTGGAGCAATAGGGCATTCCGTAATACCGCCTACGCCATCAGCACCCACGCTACCGAGCTGTCTGATACCGTGCCAATGGAGACTGGTACCGTTGTTCTGGAGAGAGTTCTTGACGGTGACCTGGATCATGTCGCCCCAATCGGCGGTGATCGTAGGACCAGGCATGGAGTTGTTGATCAAGTAGCATTCCAGATCTTTCTGGCCATCGGGATTACATGTGGTGTTGGTAATCTCAAGAGTGTAATATTTAGTGTTACCCGTGGTAGGGTGCTTCAAGTCAAAATCAGTCTTGATGCTGTAGCCATTGCTCCAACATTGACGAGAGTTTGGTCCGTTGGTACAAGCAGCATCAGCCACCAAGGATGTGGATGAGGATGAGGATACACTGCTGGCAGATGAGACTGGGGTACTGCTAGAGACCGAGACCACGGTAGTAGACGAGGCCTTCGACAGTGCTGATGATGACGATGATGACACTATGGCGGCCTTTACCGCTGCTGATGTCGAGGTCGCCTTGGATGCTGACGAGGTCTTGCTGGTAGACGTCGCACGACGAATCATTTTGCCCATACGATCAGCTCCCCACAGATAGCGGTCCTCAGGTACCGCATCAGCCAATGAGACCGAGGCGAATGCCAAGAGGCAGAGGCCAGTGAGCTTTTGGAAGTGCATGGCTGTAAGTCAGAGCCGGGTTTATGTATAGAGACACTTGCGACCAGACCAAAAGGAGAAAGGTACGAGAACGATTGAGGTAGTTTGAGAAGTTTCAACGAGTGATGAAGGATAATCCGAGTTGACCAGATGGTTCGAGGCTCGTATATATATTGGCTTGACCCTGCACACCCACACAATGCTCTCCACACGGAGGCGAACAGGTTAACCCGCAAAGCTCTAGACCAAGACTGATCATGACTAGGCTAGCAGAACTGAATATTGCATATCAGCTCGTTGCTCACATTGGCCGTGAAAACCACGACCTCACCCGGTGAGCAAGGACATGAGCTATACTGGACATCCCGGTGGCGCTAGCTTGAGACCCGAAGATCTTAGTCGGCTTAAGCAAGGATCAAACAGGGTTGCAGGTCTCGGAAGATTTTGGCTTTGTATCCTGGCCCATATTGATTGTGGTGTTGACATTTGGGCAGGGCAGAAGACGGCATGGAAGCGAAGCGGCTCCTTTCCCAGAACGAACATGGTGAGTCGACTTTCTGTCCGTGAGGCTCGCAGCTGCCATGTACATGCGTATGCGGCAAGGAGATGTGCAGGATGAATTCGTAGTTGGGTCGCGTAGTCAGGCCGGAAGGAGCGACACATTCATGATGTGTGGTGAGACGAGAGTCGTGTGAGCCAATGGGAGATTTCATAGCAAAACCCGATCTGACGCGCGGGGAGGTTTTTGGCAACATCTAAGCTTTCGCATGATGCAGAGTAAGCACGTACTCATGTACACACAAGTCGCATGCCTGCGTCGGACTCGGCTTTGGGGGAGGCGTCGCATCCTCATCGTACAGTGACTTGATGCCAACACCATGGAATGCCAAATATATTGTGCGTGTAAAGCAGCATCTATTTAGCGGATTGCATTGGCTTGAAGAGATCGCGTCCACAATAACATATTGTGCATTGGCTTCAATGTCGTGGAACCAAAAGTCGTCTATAGTCAGCGGTTCTATGTGTATACAGAGACGTAGGGCTGAGAGCCTCATTTGCAAAGTCACACGGAGAATACCTCAATCGGCCGTTGCCTTCAGATATACTGCATTGATCTCCTCGTACTGTAGCTGCCGTAAATAGCATCCAGGTCAGTACCTGTCAGCATGCCTTTACAAGGCACGTACATCCTTCGTTGGGTAGGGTGTCAATAGTTCGTGCAGCACGTTCGGAGGATGAGTGCCTTGCCTTGACTTCGGTCTCGGCTGATGACTGAGGTGTTGAACTCTTCAGCTTCTCTCGTTCCGCGATGGAGGCAGACCGAAGAATTGTCACTGATGATGGCATGACCCGAGGTGAGCCATGTGTGGCCCAAGCTCGTGGCATGCGGGGATCAACTTGGCATGATGCACAAAACCGTGCGTGAACGTCGTTTCCTGCCAACAAGACTCTCCGGCTCGAGTTGCGAGTGTCGGACTTGGAGATACCTAGTGGAGACCTCACGTCTGTTTGTCTTTGGGGCTGGAAAGATCTCGCCAGAAACTTCCGTGGTTTCGTGGCTTGCTGGCGTCTTGCTGGCGTCTTGCTGGCGGCTAAGTTCGTCAAGCGGGACCTCATCATCGATTTAGACACGAGCAAGTACAGTATCCGAAGCGCAGCTTTCAGGGCGCGTTGTTTTCCTGGCTCCTCATTGTAGGTGCCGATCATGCTCTATTTTGCTCCAGACGATCTCGACCTCATATCTGGCATATTTCTATAGCTGATGGTCCCTTTAAACGTCCTCACCACGGGCTGCTGCGCTATAGCTTCACTATCTACACGCGAGCAATCAACGAGTTCGCTCAATTCTCCATTCGCAGCTGTTCACAGAGCAAAAGTCTAAATCTGGATCCCCCCAATCCGGCAAGATGATGTAGGTTTTCTATCGCTCGATCAGATTCCATCCCCTAAGCAGCCTTGCGGTGCAGCGAGAGCGCAGAGCTGTGTTACCTATCCCACTTTGGTCACGTCTCAAGCCCTCCGGTTGTAGAGCCGCATCACGAGAAATGTCCGCTTCTGCACGCACCTCTCAGGTCTCAAATCACCCAAGGTCCGGAGCCCCCACACGAAGTCCGGCTTCTGCACACGTCAAACCAACATTTGCTATCCCGAGCCCTACTATGCATCGATATCGAATGCCAACGAATCCATGTCATTGAGCATACTCCACACATGTGGGAACTTTGAAGATCGCTTCACCGCATACGAGTGTCAGCTCAACGTCCAGGAACGGATCTTGGCTAACGTGGCCAACGCCTTGGATCAAAAGAGACAGAGCAGCTCGGATGCCAGGGCCCGTGAACAAAGGCCTATCGAGTCTCTCCATGCAAGGCTCTACTGCCGGAAAAGCCTCTCCACCACAAACGTCCATTGTGCGATGCCGCCTTTCAATAGACACGCGTAACCTACCAACAATCCTGGCATCGTCTTCTTCCAGTCTGGTTGAGAGAATCGATCATGGTATTCATTCCTCGGGGGAAGTGCTGCAGTAAGTCTATGCGCCGTCTTTAGTGCACTTTCCAGACCAATATGGATCTCATTCAAATCTCGCTTAGCGAATCGCGCTCGGGTCTTCCTGCTCTACCCATGTCAGGATCCAAGAACACAGGTCCGATCTTGCTTGCTATACCGCTTCCCGAAGAGGCCATGAACGATAGCGTGATACGGAGACCGTCGTCGGGCATTCTCTAACAAGCTAGCAGAAGCGAGATCTTACATGATCCATGGCACGGTGAGTCCGTCTCAGCTTGTCCACCCAGGAGGATGAAGATTTAGATTAATAGATGCTCCGACCCCAACCTGATCAGCATCCACCGCTTCATCTGCCTCTCGTTTACTCCCATCCTTAATATCGTTGACTTTGTGCGACGTTACTTCGACATGTCTATTCTCAGACTCAGTGGCTTCTTGGCTACTGCTCTTCTGGGCTCTCGTTCGCTCGCACAGTCATGTGATTCATATGGTATCGACTTCCAGAGCAACGGAAACTACTTTCAAAATATCAGCTCACCGGACGCTTTCACCTTCGCCTCGCTCTTCGAGGGTTGTGGCAATGATGTTGCAAACAACATTCTCGTCGACCCCAATGGCGATGAATATCAATGCACAGATACACCTCTCCAACCTGATGATGTCACGCAGCTATCGACTTGTCCCATGGACAAGAATCAACTCTGGTCTGGCGATTGGTCAGTCTTGATCATCTCAAACAACGGAGATGCCGATCCTATTGCATATGAGCGTGATTTCTACCTCACTGTTGGCATTCCCTCCACGATAACATACACACCCACGGTGACCATCTTCAAAACCACAACGCCGGTTGTCTTGATCACTGCAACATCGACCATCATTTCAACAACCACACTGCTAGCAAAGACCACGAGTGTTGCATCCGTGACTAAGGTAAGCTTAGCTGATCTGATACTTTTCTGTGTCAACCCCAGCTAACATCATGCAAAAGTCTCCTACTGTGACCATCACACCTGCCAGTGCCACAGTCGTGGTGACAAAGACAGCAACTCTCCAGACGACTGCCTACACTTTGAAGCCAGTCGCAATCACCAAGACAAAGACCGCCACTTGCTCCATACCTACTACTGCACAACACCCTGACCCCACTGCCACAATCACACCCAGCTTGGTCACTGCAGCGGCTCTATCTACGGATACTACTGCTTCTTCCACCGCAGCTGCCAGATTCCGTCGTGGTCTGTTCGATCGCGCTGTGCCACTTGACCGTGCAGCTAGAATTGCCGAGCGTAAGGCTAGAAGAGAAGCGAACGACAAGATCCAGAAACGTGCTCCTGATACTGCAACCACTACCGTGACAGAGCTCAACACTGTAAGTTTCATCCACTAAAAACCTGTCTTGGAGAAACATTGCAAGACAAGAAACTAATGATATTCATCCAGGCCTTGTACATTACTTCCACTTCCGTATCCACCGATGTCGCAACCACCATCACCTCAACTTGTAAGTCGTTTCCAGTCTTTCCTCTTCCCCTTGGAAAAGTAACTAATTGTCTCCTCAGCCGTCGCAACTGCCACCTCTACCGTAACACCCCCAGTCGTCACAGTAAAGAGCGGCACCACCACCCTATCTGTGGTGACCGTCATGCTCAAACAGTCCACCACGACAAAGACTGTCATGACCGTCTCAACCACCACCGTCAAGACCATAACTTCTTCACCCACGGTTACAGTGACGATCACTAGCACTAATGCTAGAAGTGCTGTTGCTTGTACTGCAAAGGGTGGGCAGATGAACTAAAGCAATTGCTTATCCGAACCTTACCTTTTCTTCCAATGTGTGGGTGGATTTTCGTGTTTTCTCTATGAGCCACAAGGCGGAGCTTTTTGTACCTGGATTGGATAGAGACTTAAGTAAATCAGGGTTGTACAGAACCATCACTGCTTTTTCTAGACACTTCTCATGACCAGATTTTCCCAACTTGTTCTCTTCCTCGTCGCAAGCCTTGAAAGCTTTTGTCTCTAAAACATCGAGTCTGGAGATTCTTTTTAGAAACGGTCATGATATTGCAGAAATCGCATCAAACACATCTTCACGATTTCCAAGACACGACGTCAAAAGAGACCTACATGCATACTTCCCTCTTCCCTGCCTATCAGGTCCCCTCCAACCTCGATCCCTTTTTCCGAAAAACTCAAACCTTTTCCTACAAGAACCCTGACATGAGTCAAGAAGCAGGCCACACAAAAAAAGGCACAAGTCTATCCATAAAGTCACAAAAGTCACACCAAAAGAGAACAAAACAAAGACAAAAAAAGCTGACATGTACAAAGATACACAGATACACAGATACTTATAAGGAACAGTTCGGCGCTGAAAAGACAGTCGGAAAAGTAGTAGTTACTTGGATACATCTCTGCATCGGACATTTGGGGGGGAGGAAGAGGTATACAAGTAGACAAGTAGATGTGTATTTTTCCCGTAAAAACTCTCTTTTTTTCTTGCCGAGTGCCTCTTTCCAAGTTTAGATTGTTTGCATGGAGGCTCTTCATTCAATATTTCGGTGTATCGAAGGTGAGATTTATCCGAGACCGTGGTGCTGTGATGGATGGTTTAGACAATACCTCAAGTTAATGTATCACGGCAACCACTTCCAGACCTCTTACCACGCTGAATCACAAAAGGTCAATTTGTCGCAGAGGTGGAACAGATGTGAAACAGAAAGGAGATAGGGCTTATTTGGAGAGCCCTTTTGAAACCATGTCTGATCTAAGCAAGGAAAACTCCAATGTCCATGCCACAGAAGACGATAAAGTCAAAGGTATCGAAGAAAAGACGCCATCCTGCCATACTCCTTGCCATGCTCTTTGATCATATAGCAAATTCACTCATCCTCAATGGTTACGCTGGAGACTTTGCTGTTTGGCCTAGAGAAGAGTCATGTTAGTATCAAGGTCTTTGTGTTTTGGCGGCGAGAGTATGCTTACCTTCATCATTTCGATTCTAGCCTTCAGGTTTTGTGTCACCTCTGCAGCACGTCTCCAACTTTCAACGCCACCAGTTGCGCCTTCACCGCTTTGCGCCCTCGACACTGACAATCGTTGCATACCAGAGTCGAGACCCAGACCTGCACCATGGCTCTGCTCCAAGTTACTGCCAGGTCTACTACCGCTGGTGCTGCGCTGTAAACCAGATCTCGCGGGGCTAGCACGACCGCTGCTGGAGTGATCCATCGAAGTTGCATTGGAGCTTCTGAATCCGCTGACAGGGCTTGTGATGCGCTCCAGTCCTGCTGCTGCTGCGTCGTAGTGCTCCTTTGTCTCGCCGCTAGGCTCCCGTGATTGTGAGGATGAGTAGGACATGCCGCCAGTTTGGCGTCCGAATTGAGATCGAGGTGGGCCCATGCCGCCCATAGGTGTATCGTAGTTTCTCATACCGTTTGTGCTTTCAGAGTAGCCATTGTTATGCATCTGTACGTCGTGGTTGTTGTCACGCTCAACACGACCGAGACGAGCCACTTCACGTTTCAGTCTGTCGACTTCGCGAGCAAGACCGGCCGCACGCTCCTCGGCGGCTTCAGCATCACTGCGCGCTCGTACCAATTGTGTCTCCTTTGCTTTGATGCCCAGCACATCACGAGTGTGGTCTTCGATGAGTTGCGCATTCTGGTTTTGTAGTTCGTGAATCTGACTGTTGAGCCTCATCTTGTCCGTTCGGAGTTCACTATTTTGAGAACGGAGATATTCGGCTTCTGAACGTAGATCCGATAGTTCTGATCTTTCCGCCAAGCTCAATACTGATGGAGCCGCCTGTGGAGGGGGGGCATATTCTTGAGGTGGCTCATTTGTGCTTTGGCTGAACGAGTTAGTCGGCTTGCCTAATGGTCTGGCTGCAAGACTACGAGGTGCTGCAAGACCCGAGCGCGGTGCTGGAGCTGGCGTGGGCGGGTCCTCGTCCATCATGTCCACATCTTCAACAGGAGCTCTCCTCGGTGAAGCAGCCGGTGGAGCCAAGCCAGGTTTTCTCAACATCTTTGATCCAGGAGCTGCGAGGCCCGACTTGAGGCCAGGCTTGACTCCGGGTCGGCTTGTTGGGCGAGCAGCCAACGGTGCTGCAGCGGACTCCTCCGGTGTAGCAGGTCTGACGGGCGCCGGGGCAGCCTTCTTGACACCAGGTGCGGGTCTTCTTCCAGGAGCGGCCTTCTTTACGGGAGCCGCTGCTGGCTTGGGTGGAGGAGCAGCCTTGGGCTTCCATACCACCTTGACTTCCGCGTTGTCGCGATATTCCATGATCTTGTTCTTCTTGATGTCGTCAATGCCGTCGAGGTGAGGAAGCATGTTGCGGTCGGTCATAATCTTCCACAAGGTACCAAGAATCTCAGCGGCAGCTTCTCTAGGTGGGGCTTGGGAGTCGGCTAGCAGAGTTTTGGCAGCGTCTGACATGGGCTTGAGCTCAGCAGGCGGAGGCACCTCTCTGAGATTCTTCAAGCAGCGTACAAGGACACGAGCAGATTCGAGTTTGACTTGAGGAGTCTTGTGCTTGAAAGCTTCGAGCATTTCTTCAAGATTGTCGGTCAGACCTGTGGCAGACACGACGGCATCACAAGCGGCAGCAAGAGCGTCAGTAACGGACTGCTTCTTCTCCTTGAGACGCTCGAGCATGGGCGACATGATTGTGGAACGGTATCTTGAGAAGCTCTTCTTCAGACCCTTTGCGAGCACTTCGACACAGTTTGCAGCGGCTGTCACGCAAGCCACGTTGGCGTCCTTCATACTCTTTGCAAGGCCACGGATGACATCGTCGAATGGGCCCTCTTGAATAGCAGGTTGATTGGCGGCGGTGAAGAGTTCCTCGAGCGCCTCTTTACGGTCCTTCCACTTTGATGAATTGAGACGGTCGCTGAAGTCTGCAGGCACCTTTGACATGACATCGACCGCCATAAATTCTGGCTCCAGATCAATCGCATCTTCTTCCTCCTCTTCAGCATCTTCAGCCGGAGCCTCTCCTGCCTCCTCGATAGCCTCTTGTGCAGCTTGTTGAGATCTGAGAAGTCTCTCCTGTGTTGGCTTGTCGTCCTTGACCTTTTCGAACAGCTTCTCCAAGTCCGATTGTTGGACAGGCTTGAGCTCACCCCAGAACAGGGGCTTCATGGCATCCTTCAGCCATCGGTAGAGTTCGACAGTAAGGTTCTGTGCTTCGGCGCGTACGTTCTTGTCTGCATGACCGTAGACTTTGGGTAGGAGCTTGATGATGGGTTTCGGTTCGACAGTCTTGCATCCGTAGGCGTGGTAGATGGCAGTGAGAGATTGGAGGGCAGCGACGATGATCTTGGGCGTCTTTGCAGAAAGGAGGGGAATGAGCTCTTCGATGACGGGGTCGGCGATGTCAAGTTCGACGTAAAGAAGGAGGGCCTCGATGGCAGCGGCTTTCGCGGCTGGGCGACCGGTCACACCCTTCTCGACGATGGGCTGAATTGTAGAATTGCGCGTGCTGGATTTGATATGTTAGCTGGGCGGCCAAGGTAGCAGAGCTAGCAAGAGGGTGTAGCGCACCGAGTGCAGCCAGGTTTGCCGGCGATTTCGAGAAAGGCATTCAGCGCATTGAGACCTTCGGCTTGAGCAGCAACGTTTGCATCTGCGACAGCGCCCTTCCAGATGTTGGAGTCTGCGACAAAGTCCTTGACCAGAGGGTCGCTTGGTTGTGCAGTCTTGAATTCGGTCGTCGCAGTCTCGTAGGCCTCCTTGCGCACCTTCCAGTTCTTGTGTACGAAGCGGTCGGCCAAGGGCAGCTTGCTGAAATCTTCTTGTTCTTCGGCCATGTTGGCGGAGATGGGTTATGTTTGGTCCAAGGATGGGTCGTGGGTCCAGAGGAAGAATAGTCGACGACGGAATGCGGGATCCGATGGAGAAGTGACGACAGCTATGGTCGCTCCGTCTTCTCTTGGTGGTTTTCAATGATTCGGAAAGGGCGTAACAGCAGACGAAGTTGTTGGTCCCGTCATGGAGTGTGGATGCGACTATGGAAGAATATTGCAGTCTGACGGCCTGACAACAACAACAAACAGTCTCGCAAAGCCGCAAGCCAAATCCCAGATCCCCGTCTGACGGCATCGGGCAGCATGCGACAACTGGACAGACTCGGCCACTCAGCAGCATCGTGCCTTCCCTATTGTCTCGTTCTGCCAGCAGCTCGAATCCGAAACCTGCAATTTCCCCTGTCTTGTTTGTTCACGGCCCCTTCACCGCCGCGCTTGACAGCTCCTGCTCTTGCTCCTGCTCCTGCCAAACTCCAGCGAGCCCCGCCAACGCACCTGCTACCAGCCACTGCTCGAAAGAGTTGTTATGCGCAACCGCCACAATGTCCAATCTCTTGACTCAGCGACAGGCTGAAGAACTGTCCGTCTCCTGCGACCTTCCCCTAAGCTGTTGGCTGATGTGCTGATAGCCACAAGTCACTGATTGCCTACCTCACCGCCGCCGGCTTGACAAACACTGCTCAATCTCTCCGCGACGAGCTCGACATTGGCGACGCTTTCGACGATGCTACGCGAAAGAAGTACGAGGGTCTCCTCGAAAAGAAGTGGACTAGTGTTGTCCGATTGCAAAAGAAGGTGAGCCACAATGCCTCTGTCACAACGCGTCTTGTTTGCCCAGCCCGCTCATGCTCCGACAGATAATGGACCTGGAGTCGCGCAACACGACTCTGCAGACCGAGCTCGACACCGCCACCCCTACCTCCCTGTCGCGTCGCAATCAGGATCCGGCCACATGGCTACCACGATCTCCCGCGCGCCATACTCTCCAATCCCATCGTCAACCCGTCACATGCGTCGCCTTCCATCCCGTCTTCTCGTCACTGGCTTCAGGATCAGAGGATGCCACCATCAAGATCTGGGATTGGGAGCTTGGTGAGCTCGAAAGGACAATAAAAGGTCACACCAAGGGTGTTCTCGACATCGACTACGGCGGTCCGCGCGGAGGCACCCTTCTGGCCAGCTGTAGTTCCGACCTGACCATCAAGCTGTGGGATCCAAGCGACGAATACAAAAACATCCGCACTCTACCCGGTCATGATCATAGTGTGTCGGCGGTACGCTTCATACCTTCGGGTGCTGCTGGCGCGCCAACAAGTGGAAACCTTTTGGCCAGTGCTAGTAGAGACAAGACCATTAGGATCTGGGACGTCACCACCGGATACTGCGTCAAGACTATTCGTGGACACGCTGATTGGGTCCGCGATGTTGCACCAAGCTTCGACGGACGTTGGCTTCTCTCTGTCGGAAACGACCAGACTGCACGCCTGTGGGACACACAGTCGGGCGATGCTAAGGTCACTTTTGTTGGTCACGAACACGTAATCGAGTGTTGCACATTTGCTCCAGCGGCTGCATATCCGCACCTTGCGTCCATGGCAGGCCTCAAGAAGGCTCCGCCAGCCACCAGCTCCGCCGAATTCGTTGCCACAGCTGGGCGCGACAAGCTCATCAAGCTGTGGGATGCTCGAGGCACATTGATCAAAACACTTGTTGGCCACGACAACTGGGTGAGAGCTTTGCTGTTCCACCCTGGAGGAAAGTACCTCCTCAGTTGCGCCGACGACAAAACGATACGCTGCTGGGACTTGTCGCAAGAAGGCAAATGTGTCAAGACCATCGAAGATGCCCACGGACACTTCGTTAGCAGTATGCGGTGGGCACCAGGCCAGATCAAAGATGCTGTTGCTGCCAACGGTGATGCCAACGGCTCGAAACCAGGCGACGAGGCAGCGAAGATCAGCATCCGTTGCGTTATTGCTACAGGCAGCGTCGACCTCAATGTTCGGGTCTTCGCATCATAGACTCCATTCAAGTCTCCGTCAAGAACAGGTGTATGGCGTTATCATTTGCGGGTGCTACAACAGAGGAGTTTCAAAGGTGGTGTTTCTTCTGTACATGGCATTTTTCCTTCTGGCTCTCACAGCAATCAGCATGGACAGGGCGTATCTTTGCTTTCCCAACTACAAAACACCCAACCACCTCAATCTTCCTCTTCTTCGTTAACATACCCTTTTTGCTTGGGGAGGCTGGCTTTAGAGTAAAGCATAGATATTCATTCAGTCGTACCTACGAAAACATCTCAACCGCATCAATTCATCACACTTGCCTCGTAAAGCCACTACACCAGCCACTTTTGCAAGCTAGCACCATGGCGAAATGAAGGTTTGAATATCGAATCTGTGTCATTGCTAAAAACGGTTCCAGCCACCGGGATTTTATGAGACAGGGTCGTACCCCTTACAAGCTTTCCCGACATCGACGAGGATATAGCAGCTGCCACGAACACTTTTGTGTAGATATACTTAGACTTTTACATTCGCAGTATGTCACCAAATACTTTGAGCCATTTGTAGGTCGATCAGTTGTGTTGTGGTCGAGTAATGTCGAAATTTGATGTTTTCATATTGGTTCGTTTGAAAGGACGACTTACACCCGGTAGGGCCTATACCGCACTCTCGACCACGACGATGAGTACACATGACGTCAGACAAACACGCGTGAGTGTCGCGTCGATGATGCAATCGCGAAACAGAAGTTTAACGTTAATACTACATTTCACTTTCTCTTCGAACTACTTGGCCCTAAACATGATGTTGTGTTGAATACATTTTCTCACTGCAGTCCAAAAGGCCATTGACTCAAAACATAGCCTCTGTACCTTTCCTACACAAACATGATACCACCTCTCACAGCCCAAACTTGCCCAATGGCGAACTCTGCAATCTCAGCATACTCTCCTCTCCCTCCCCGTCAACCCCTTCGAAGCTGAAATCCTCCGCCTCCTCCATCTCCGCCTCAAATTGCGGAGAGATAACAGGGCTCATCGCGATCTTGGGTCTGGATTTAAACACACTCGCATACTCTGCGTCTTGCTCAAACAACTTATCTCTGGGTGTAGTATCTCTTGTACCTCCCAGACTGGTCCTACCTCCTTTGATGGGAGTGGAGAATTCTTGTGTTGATATGAGAGGGAAGAAAGAGGAGCGAGGAAGTTCTTTGGTCGTTTTTGCACGTTGGGGTTGGGGATGTAGGGAGGCTTGGGTCATGGATGCTAGGGCGCGGTCGGCAAGGGAAGTACGTCTGGACTGCGTGATTGTTGATTCGTGATCTGGCGGTGAGGTAAAGGCCCCGGGTGTCGGTTGAGGTAGTGGGCAGCCGTTTTCGCTGCTGCGGAAGGAAGACATGGAGAGACGAGCTCGGTCCGAGAGATTGGGACGGGCCTGTGGACTCTCGTGTCTGGAGATGGGCGCGGGAGGGCTTGAGGATAGAGAAGCTGAGAAGTCTGGGAGATTTAATGGCGACTGCGGTTGAGCCTGCTCGTCCAGATCCATGGCATCGAATCGGTGCTCTAAAGAAGTGGCAGGGACATCATCGGAGTCTTGGGGCTTTGTGGAGACCGAGTCCATTCCCACTGGGACTGCAGAAGAGGCCTTGTATCTCGGTGTCTCCTCTCTTCCGGGCTGATGGTCAAGTGTGTCTGTCTCGAGACATTGATCCTGAGCTCTCTGTACACTAGGACTGGCATCCGTGAATGTGGGTTGCCTCAAAGCAGAGCCATAGGATATCGTTGTGGACCGATCGAAGGAGCGACTGTGTTCACTCCTTACAGACTGAGGTGTGCTCATGGGTTGACTGTGGGTTCGAGGCAAGAAGGGATGCGGCCTGTGGGGCCCGTCACGCACACTGATCGGCGTTGAATTCGTCGATTCAAGAAGCGGTCGCTTGAGAGGCGAGAACAGATCCTCCGTAGGCTCCTTTGAGCCAGCAAGCAATACTTGTATAGGCAGTTGCCTCGGCATTGTGTCTGTCCGACGCAACCTATCAGTGGCGGTGGGTGCTGTATGAGACAAGGCTCCATCCGGCTGTCCGCGCTTCTTTTTGCTTACATCTGCCAGGCAGTGCTTCATATCTTGCACAACTTGATCGTAGTCCACCATGAGATCGATCCGGGAAATATCCGTCGTATTTTCAGCAGGTATCTGCTCCACAGACACACCCTTATGCTTGTTGAAGATGTCAAGTCCGTAAGCCGCCGCTGTGGGGTCCTGAGAGGATGAAACAGCCAATTTCCGAGCAGGATCGACCGCCTTGTTACTCCCTTCGAACACGTCCTTGTACATCTTCCACAGACGCAAGCGCTCATTCTGTTCAACGACGCGAGATCGTAACGTCTCGAGCAGAGACACGTTTTCAGGAGGTACTTGAGGTGATGTGCCTTGTTGGAAATGCTGCCATAGGTCCTCAAAAGTGGAGTCCATGTACGCGTCTGAGGAAGCAACATTAGCTCCTGCTAACAATGCATCACAGCCCTCTACGCTGCCGATCCAATTCTGGCGGAGCTCGCGTCTGATAGACTTCTCGGTGTCTTGTGATAGGGCACCGCTAGAGAAATCTCGAGTCTCAAGAAGTGTGAGATGCAGCTGATGATAATCATTCGTCTTCTCATACAATGATGTGCGGAAGGTGTCAATGGTGCTATCCAGAGCGATTCGGCTGTGAAGCTTCTTTGTCAGAGATACACGATAGGCGAGGGAGAGAGGACCGAATGTAAGCAGGTCTTGCTTATCCAGCTGTTTCGCGAGAGCAAGATGCTTCCCAATCGAGAGTCGCTGTTTTCGTCGAGCCGAGAGAACTTGTTTACGGACAACAGCAGCGGAGAAGAGGAGCAAAACTTCTTCAAACTTGTCGCCCTTGCAATCGTCAAGCATCGTCTTTCGTAGCGTAGCTTCTCTGCCTAGAACATCGTTCTTCTTCAGGTCGTTGAGACATCTGAACAATGCAGCTCTCAGGTTGAGGGATTGAATAGGCTCCAAGGGTGGGAAGAATGGTTGTAGTCTCTGTTCCACGTAAACAAAGGATGACACTGTAGACTACAGAAGTTGACTTACCTCGCGTGTGGTCTCCCGGTCCCAAATCTCAAAGAGCCGGTAGAGTGACCATTCGACGCACGATACGCGCTTCTTCTGATTCTGAAGTGCATCTTTAGTATCGAAAGTCCGTACAGTAATCTCGGGCCAATCTTGTCGTTGATCAAGATTCAAGAGCCTGAGGTTAGAAACATATAGCGAAATGTTCGAAGGAGACATTGAGCGTGGTTTAGCAGCCAGCGGTCTCGGTGCATGGCTGGCATTAATGGTCGACGCAGCCACCGAATCGGGTCGAGACATGTCAGTCGGTCCAGGTTCCTTCTTGAGTCTAGCTAGAAGCAGTCCATGGCCCTAGGGTATGCACGATGCTGGCTTCCGTTCGAGTTGACAAGCGAGGAAGGACCAATCAACAAAGGACCAAGTAAACATCGGTCAAGGTCGGTAACGACGCCCAGTGCTGCACCCTAATGTTGGTGCTCAACGTACGGTGCAGAGAGCTGGGCACACTTCTAAGAGACTATGAGCATGTCACACCCATCTCAGTAATCTCTTAACTGCCGCTCCAAGGTATCGTATGCCATCTTGCATCTATATGATGATGCTGGGTAGGGGGGTGTCTACCTGAGGTATAGCAGCATGAGGGCCCGGCTTTCGCCGCATGAGACCGATTCAACTTTGGCGTTTGAGCCGACAAACGTCGCGGTGGAACAATTGCCTGATTCCAGTATTCTATAACTGAGAGCGTGTTCATTATCGTCACTCTTCTACCGCTACAACATCATTATATCGCTACTTGTCAAGAGATCTCCAACAGAAGACGAAGCAGAGCAAAGAAAGATCTCAAATCATCATGGCACCTAGCGTTGCTCAAGACGCGCATCAGACTGACTTGTCGGCCAGTATGTTCGCCCTGCTGTCACATGCATTTCTCTGAAAAGTAGCCTCATTGACTCTTCGCGCAGAGTCCACACTCTCGACACCGAGTCAAGTCTCGCAATGGACGCCCGAGACGGTCCTCTCCACCATGGCACCGCTGGAAAAGAACTCAGCCTCCCCCGTTCCATTCTTCCATCTTCTCGAACGCCTAAAGACAACCAAGCGTGAGGGCTGGCGCAGATTCGGTATCAGCCAGGGCGAATCCATTTCCGACCACATGTACCGCATGTCCATCATCACCATGCTCTGCCCCGCTTCCCTGTCTTCTCGTCTCGATGTACCACGCTGCACCAGAATGGCCCTCATTCACGACATGGCCGAAGCTCTCGTTGGAGACATTACCCCCGTCGATGGTGTTCCAAAGTCCGAGAAGAACAGAAGAGAGGCTGAGACCATGGACTACATCTGCTCTACCCTACTCGGCAAGGTCGGTGGTGGTCTATCAGGACAAGAGATGCGCGCTGTGTGGCAGGAATACGAGGATAGTCAGACGCTCGAGAGCAAATTCGTTCATGATGTCGACAAGATTGAGCTTCTGCTCCAGATGATGGAGTACGAGCGCTCCAATGAGGGTCGCATCGATCTCGGCGAGTTCTCATGGGTTGCCCAGAAGATTGAGTTGCCAGAGGTCAAGGCCTGGTGCAACGACTTGCTGCGTGAGAGGGAGGCTTTCTGGTCCGGACTCAAGAAGACGCCGACAGGGAGCACCTTGAACGAAGAGCAGGAGAAGCAACATGCTGAGTACTACAGCAAGAACAGCAACACATCTACTTGAGGCTTGGAAGCGTCACGGGGTAGCGAGTGCTTTTGAACTTTCTCATACGGCATGCATCCAGCGGGACCAAGGCGCATATATGGCAGAATTACACGGGGACAGGCGTCGGAAGCACATGGCTTATACAATTCATCCGGCGACGGTACGTACGCAATCAACTACATGAGCATTGAAGCTGCTGTTTCAGAAGCATGTATAGCTCTCCACGTGACCGCATAATCCTGCCATTAAGATCGACACACACATGAGGCCGCGTGCTTGGCGATAGTGTCGAGCGGGCGGGCGCGTGATGGCGGCGCACATCACGTCGTCGGGATCCGTCGACTTGTCTTCAACACTGATCGTGCTCCTTGTTTCTCCATTCGAGTCTGCGCCCGCTGTCGACAGCCGCTCTTGCCCTGACAAGACCTCTTTGGCGAATCGAAGCCTACCCGTCTGCCGCGTCAAGCTTTCCTTCTCCGCATTCATTTATCCGGGGTTGGAGCACATGTAAAGTACCACGAGAGACCATTATCAGCGGCAATTCGTCATTTCGCGTGGCTGGACTCGGTCTTTACATTCTGGCCCTCAGTTCTTCACGAACAGCAGTCGGGTTTTCCTCATGGTATCACTTGACACATACTGGCCTCTGCAAGGTGGTTTGCTTATGCATTCCTAGAGTTTGAAACAGCCTCGGTACAATCACCTTTCACGACCATCATGAGATCAAAAACAACCAACGCACCTCAGCGTCGACAGGGCACGGTCAAATCCAATGAGCCGCACGAAACACCTGCCGACGAGGAAAGTAACACCGCTCGGCCTGCTAAAAGAAAAAGGACTGCTAGCAAGCCCAGGGACAAGAGATATGAATGTCCTCAAGAAGGCTGCGACAAGAGTTACTCACGTGCTGAGCATCTCTACAGACACCAGCTAAATCGTAAGCCCGCGAAGGATCAGAACCAACAGGTAGATTTGCTAACATGTATTAGATGCTCCAAAGCAGATATTCAATTGTGATTTCGAGGGCTGTGATCGCCATTTTGTCCGCCAGGACCTTTGTGCAAGACATAGGGAGAGGCACACCAAAGAGAACTCACACCTATATCGCCGAGATGCTTTCAAGCATGGCAAGCTCCGATCATCTAATGCTGTCGAGGTCCAACAAGGATTGTCCCCCAACGACCGACCGACAACATCCACTTCAAGTTCGGATAGCCCTGCGCCACGAGATGTTGAGCCAGCAACCATTTCCGAACCGCACGAGCCTGTGCTCAACTTCAACCCGATGGTCCTTGATCCCCGTCTGGCCGACGAAGGCGGCTTCAACTCCACTATACCATCGGCTTCTTTCTCTTCAGCGCTAGGTAATGGCCATTATGAGCATGCTTCGAACTCTATGAGCGAGTCTATAGCGTCCGGGCTGGTCTCCCATATGAGGCACGCAGACAATTCTGGGATTCTAGCAGCTCCAGGGGCTATGAATGGTCGTGCCAACGATGCACGCCACGCGGGGAACAACGCGATGTTTGCTCGACCCAACATACCCCCAACGCTCTCCATGGATATGTATCATCTCAACTCAACGCAGAATATGTTCACACCGCTCGGCAATGCTTCAGGAGCTTACTTACCTCAACCCTATCCCTCGCCGACCAATGGGTCGAGTCTTAGATCGCCACCAGCATTTAACAATCTGCCTAATTCATCGCAATCTATCACCCCATACAGTGCGCAGGTGTCTTCGCCAGTTGGCATCAGGTCAGATTCTGTGACTTCATATCTTTCCAAAGGGGGCCTACATCATTACCAGAGCATGAGCTTCCACGATCCTGTAACAATCAACAACTTACCGGCAGGTACCACTGTTCCAGTCTTCAACGAGAACTACGGGCCATCCCCTTCAGAGATACCTGGTGCGGAGTTCATCAGCTGGCTCTTTGAAGGAGACCAGACCGCAGTATTTTCACCACATACGCAAGCATCATACAGCCAAGCTTCAATGTCGCATATACCACTTGAGAGCATGCAATCATCGAATAGTCAGATATACCTCGAACCTCTGGTTCGTCCGAAATCGGTCGCAAAGACTGAACAAGATAGCGTTCAGCCGGAGTGTGTTCTCTCGGAACATCGTAGGCAGCGGCTTTTAGATCTGATAAGCTCCGAGTTCAGAGACGGCAGACATATCCATGTGACTGCGCAAAGGGAGAAGACCTTGAGCGGCGACCACAACGAAGACACACATGTGTTGAGCTTGCGAATGATGCAAGTATTCTGCAGCTCGTTCTGGCTTCACATACACCCACAATTACCGATTTTGCACAGACCTACGTTTTCTGCGGAAACCTGTCCGGACCTCTTACTCATAGCCATGATGACACTAGGAGCATCTTGTCTGGAGCCGTCCTATGGTTATGAGGTTACTCAGGAATCCGCCGAACTAGCCTCATTTCTTGCATGGCATACTCGCCGGATGATCTTCGAAGATCCGGACTTCCTACCTCCTGCAAAACTCTGGATCTTCCAAGCCTTGTTGCTATTAGAAGTTTTCGAGAAGATGTTCTCCACCACGACGCTTCACCAAAGAGCACACGTACATCATTGCACAACCCTCACTCTGATGAGGCGAGGTAGCTCCTTAGTAGGACGAGCGGCACTGGATTTTGCACCCTACGATGTTGACCCAACCAGGACTCCTCCAGGGCCGAACGGCTCTGTCAACACCTGTGGCAGGAACACAAAGGATGAGTGGTGGAACAACTGGATTAGCAACGAGGCTACGCGGAGAACGGCCTTCGCAGCATTCATCATTGATACTACCCATGCGACCATGTTTGGTCACGCAGCCGTGATGGTCGCCCATGAGATGCGTATCCCTCTGCCATGCGATGAGGCGCTATGGGCTGCTCAAAATGGGAGCGAGGTACGCAGTCTTGAGCACAGCCTTGCTCTCAGTGGTTATAGACCGATGAGCTTTCTTGAAGCGTTGAAGAAAACGCTCAACAGTCAACATGTGCAGACCAATACCTTTGGCCGGGTTACTATCATGGCAGGTCTCATGAGTGTAAGCTGGCACATGAGGATGCAAGATGTTAGAGCAAGTTCGATCGGGGTTGGAAAGCAAGGAAGCTGGAGTGCTCAGCTGGCTTCTGCTTGTGACTTCTGGAGGCGTGATTTCGATGCTTCCTTGGCTCAGTCGTCGTCCAATCTACCGGTATACTTGTATGACCGGATGTTGAGCGACGTTATGGATAAGGAGGAGGTCTTCGAATCTCGTACTGTGCTACATCACCTTGCCCGAATGGCAATGTATGTGGACATTGTTGACTGCCAAATCCTTGCTGGAGCAAAACGCTCACTGGGACGCGTGATTACGGTCAACGATCATGCGGCAGCTTCAAAAAAGTTGCGAGAAACCTGGGCTCCATCTCACGGTGCTCGTGATGCAGTGTTCTATGCGCTACGCTTTTTGTCAGCCGTACTATTACCGGAGAGCGACGGCGCCTCTGGACCACAATATAATGCACAAGGACTTGCATACTCAGCTCGTGACGACAATCTGCTCAATCGGCCTTGGGTGCTCTATTTTGCTGCACTAGTTGTATGGACTTATGGCTTCTGCTTGGACGGACCTATAGCACCGCCGTTACCGACATACACCCTCAGGACACCCGAGATCCAATTCAGGGACTTGCGCGGCTTTCTTCGCCGCGTTGGAGGGGTCAAATCGGCCGATGACTTGCAGCTCGTCAAGCACAGAAACGGATGTTTGGGATTGTTGATGCTCCTGAAAGAGATCTTCGGTAAGACTAGATGGGAACTACTTCATGAGGCGAGTGATATGCTGGGAAATTGCATCGAGCTGCTCATGCCTGGCATATCGAATATTTGATCACTTTAGGTCGGTCCATCGACGGCTCTTACATCATGGCCAGGCGTTGATCGGGTGGGGGGCTCGGTTTTTGGGTTACATGAAGGATCTGAACTGAACCAACTGCCCGGGACGCCTTGGTTTTGATCTATATCATTGTGTATCTCCAGTGTCGATAATGTTCGTCATTCTCTGCGGATCATGACGAATTGTTCACCGTGTACAGTGCATTCAGCTGGCCATCGCTAAACTCAGATACGGACGACAGTGGTTCCACCACGGAACTGTGATATGAGGTTCGTTGCACTATGCTGATTGAGTTGTAATTGTTGGGAGCAACGTCCTGCAAGCGAAACTGGGCCGCCACGAACTCCTGAGAAATGAGTTTAGATGTGAAGACGAAGGATCAACATTTGGCAAACGTGAGCGACGCGATGTGGTGGGGTCTTCGACATCCGAGGCCTGTGAACGCTGAAAGGGAGATTTGTGCTCGTACTGTGCAAATGAGATGTTCTGTGAACGGTTGTGACATGAAACCTGCTCGGAGAATTAATCGTGCACTGCCATGCAACTAGTGCAACCCGACTGGTGATCATGCATACGCTCAGGGCCTGGCTTCTGTATTCCGTTTGCGGGTCGAGTGTCAACAAGGCTAGATGCTATTCAGCCGAGTCATCTGCCTCCGAAGCTGGGCTGGAAATGTCTACATTTAGTGTACACATGATCTACGGTTCAGTGTGCATAACCGGGAAGGATCTCTGTCATTATTCCAGTTTCTGGCTTTCAATGGTCCTCTTGGACAGCCCAGCAACCATCTGGAGAGGCAAATCGAGACTCCACAAGACCATCATCATGAAGAAATTCATGCTTTGGTTGTGCACAGCAACAAGATGAACAAACGGTTCCAATGGATGTTGGTCTATCAGCATATCTTAGTGCTATCTAGGAGGATTATTTGTGATCCTTATCGACAAGAGCTACCACTATACGAGACGGAATTGGAGCAAAACGCGGTATGCACAGGCGGTGCAAATCTCCCCATGACCACATGAGTATACTGTCTGCACGGACTTGACGGAGTTGTTCCCAAGAGCTCGAGCTCAGCCTGTGTTGACATTTTTTGACAACGGCTGCAAAGCATTCACGTCCGATCTACGATCGTGGGGTGGATGCAGAAAGAGTGACCGACGATCGTGGATGGGTTGGTTCGGTGAGAAGATGTACCTCCTGTTTGACAAGCCAGCGGAAGACGTTTGCACAACAAAGACCCTAAAGACCTCCCTGCATGTGGTCTTTGCATACTTCGAGGACAACACTGTTCCGCTCGGCCCGCAAAAGGAGGGGTCACTTGCAGGACCAGACCTTGGGTATCCGTGAATGCGTCCAGGAGCGCGGTAGCTGGGTTTAGATAGATGAACACCAAATGAATCAACTGCCCTAGAAATATCATCATACACATGATGGCAATCTTCAGCTCGTTGTTCCTCTTGCGTCAGACAGAGACACGTTCATGACGACCAGCAACAGTGCTAAGATTGTGGGGGACGGTCTTCATTTCGCGAGTCACCAGATGGACGGTCTGGTCACGGCACTCGGAGCGGATCGAGTCATCGGATTCGCCCTGGCAAACAGGAAGCGACCCTAACGCTCAATAGGCGATGGAAGAGTGGAGGAGGAGCAAGAGGACCTTGAACGCGAGAAAGAGTGAGAAACGGGCACTTGTGCAGAGGGTCAGAAGCCCAGAAATCTAAAGTGGTTCCAGGGGTGTTAGCCCTGCGGGTAGCGACCGCTTTTAGCGCGCCCGCCAGAGCGGGAGCGAACCAGGAAATCCAGGATTTTGCACAAAAAGGGAAAGCGTGGACGGAGCGGGCCACGAGTGCCGTTCGCCGGTGCTGTCAAGCTCGCAATTCAGTCGCCATCAAGTGTCAACGTCTTCTTGACACCAAATCCTAGGGGGGTGATCTTTGCTTGCGAGGAATCAACATCCAGAACCCCTCGAAACTCTAAGCCCGCCGGTGCTGCAGGTATGCCAGTGTGAACGGCCAACGGCAAACAAGATAGATGCGAGAGGTAGGTTACGCTGTCTCGTTGTGAGACGAATCTGTATAGATATCCAAGCCTTCGCACTCTGCATTCTAATATCCGAATCATCACCACGGCTTTTCCTTCCTTTTAACCCCTCCGCCACTAGACCGACACGATACCAAGCCAGCCACTCGTTTCCCTTATCAACATATCATCATCCACACTCATTGCCTGACCCAACTTCCAATCTCACTCTCATTTAACCCTGGCTGCCACCATGCATCCTCGCACATCTTCACTTCAACAACCACCAGCTGCCGTTATGAGCTACTTCGACTTTCAGCCCGAGGAGTGCTCGGTCTCGCCAGTCAAGAAGACCAACACTCGCTGCCTTGATGCCTTCCATAACCGTCCTACAACACCTTTCGACTACCCTGCCAACGCAGACATCTATGCCAGACGTGCTCTTCCTCCTCTTCCATCAGCAGCAGCAGTTCCTGCCCTTCGCAACTGTTCATCATCAGAGTCCATGGCTTCATCAGCACCTGCCAGCAGACCAAGCACTGCCATGTCCTACAGACAGGACAAGTCCCTTCCTCCTCTTCCCTTCCGCCTTCAAAGATCACCTTCATTCGACTCGGATGAGTCTGGCAAGGAGAACACTGTCATTGTTCAGGTCTCAAGGCCTCGTCAGAACCGTGGCTACAGCTTCCGTAGTCTCTTGAACAGACACTCAGAGGACGAGTTTCCTCTTGCCTCCCCCAAGAGTGGTTACAGCGTTACTCGTGACTCTCGCACAGACTCTGTCATGGGTGACTACAACTTGTGCCAGGTCAAGACCAACGGAACCATCTCTGCTACGAGCAGCAGACGTCCCTCCGCTCTTTCTCTCACTCACCTCAAGGCTGCCTCGAAGAAGATCAACGCTAGCGCTCCTCCAGTGCCTTCCCGTCCTTCATCCCGCAAGGGAAGCACCAGCAACCACAACCAACATCGCTGGGGTACTCTCTTCCGCACTGTTGAGGACGACAAAGAGGACATCCCGTCCATGCCTGCCACTCCTGGTATGATGCCTGACCTCAGCTTCAACCGTTGCTACTACTTCTACGCTCGTAATTGCAATGGCTACGTTCTCTCGGGCAACTCAAGTGGTGACGCTTGCGAGAACTGTGCCCACTCCGGCTTCTTGGGCTCCCCTTGAACATTCATCCAGCACTCTGCCGAGATATACTCTCGAAAGGCAGAGCAGCAACCAACTCCATCATTCAAGCTTTCACAGCTACTTCTTCGACATGACCTGTACGGATTATGAAGGCAACACAGCAAGCCCGAGCAACATTCATGCTCGAAGGCACGCCAAGGCATCCAGGTGCCATTCGTCACGAGAAATCATGCACGAATTCAAAATCCTCATGCTGAAAGATGCATTCGAGGTACATGGAGAGGTCGAATCAAGACCTCCCTTGTTTTTTACGACCCTTATGTGGAGTACTAAAACCTTCTGGGGATTGCATTCATTCAACCTTTATTATGTATGAGACGAACCCGCCACATCCTGGCTTTTCTATGTGTTAGACGGAGCAAGATACCATAATAGCGTTGCATAACATGAACACATTCATTTTCACAAGCAAACCTCATCTTTCGTCTTCTCTCATCTTCTTTGACCGTGATCGGTTTAATTGCAACTTCGTTTGCTTGTCGTGACAACAAACAAATACAGCTCAGGTAATCATAAACAAAGCAAACGGGTCAGGATTTAAACACGAAACGGGCGACGGATGTAGAAACGTGAATGTGCCAACTGCCAGAAACTGCCACCTCCCTCTCAACAGGAGTAATTTCTCTAATCTGCCAGCTCTTCAATTTTGGCAGTGGACAGATGCCACAATAAACGTATAACAGCATAGCGAAATGAGAGTACGGGAGTTTGATAAGCAGCTATCAGTACGCTGAGCGATCGACCCACCAACACGTCAAAGGAAGGCAGGTCACGTTTCGAGGTGCTGCAGATCGTGTGCAAGACTCGAAATGTGGAGAGGGAGACTGCCACGTCTACACGTGAGTTGATGGTGGAGAAGAACTCCCTTTCACATGGTAAAGATAGACACGCATGCCATCTACACGGCTATGATCCATCAACCTAAGCTCCTTCGGTACATTTTTGTGACCCCTTCCTCTATAACGGCGTGTCCAAAAGAGACGAGCGGGTCAGAGTGCGAATGGCCGTATGTGGTAGGTAAGAAAGTAAGCGAAGCTCAAGACCCGATACAGACGACCGGAAGTAAGTCTCCACAACCTCAATGTCAGAGCCAAGGAGGGGTTCACGAGTGGAAGGGGGTCAGACTTGTGTTGTCTTCTTTAGGAAGCCAGATGTGAAGGACCATGTGAAACAGGGTTGACTGTTTCTCTTGTGAACTCAACAACAACAAGCCTCGGAGGTTCAAGGAGTCGCTCTTGGTCTCCCACGAGCCTCGGCGGGAACACGCGGAGTTGGACATGCGAAAGAGTCTCTTTCCAGAAGCCCATGCCCGAAAACTCTCGTCGCGCTTCTGTAAGAGGAGGTTTGAAGGAGCGCGGCTTAAGCACATTTTCAGGGGACTGTGGCTTCCGCAACCCTCATGCATGCCATCGATGATGAAGCAAGCTTTGGCGGCAAGCGAAAGTCTACTCTGCAGAACCTCGACTTTTGGCGTATGCCTCGGAACGCATGTTCTTCCTTTGACACGAAGGCTGAAGTTCAAAGCTTTTGAGTTTACATGTTCACGGTTCAATTGCTTGCATAGAGACGAGGAAAGCATGGTGAAAATCGATCTCTGCGGATGACGGGCAAGTCTACACGTTCGCGGCTTTCCCGGTACTTGGAGATTAGAGTTAGGGAGGTGCAAAGAAGGCTCGCATATCCTCCTGCCAATAACTCTACGCACTACAACACATCTTGGTTGCTGTGCGAAGCAAGATTATCATTGCTCTACTGACTTCAATATAGCTTTATCACAAGTACTTCAGTACACTTTGATCGTCGATACGGAAAAGAAGAGCATGGCTGGGCCTACTCTCAAGTGGTGTCAAGTCCCCATGGTGCATGCAAAACGGCCGGACATGTGTTCCTAACAAGTGTGACTGGCAAAGCCTCCTCCGGGGCGCGTACGCGTTCTGCAGTCGAGCCGATAGCATATCGCACTCCCGTTCTCGACCCAATCCTTCTTTCAGCTCTCTTCAGAAAAGCCATTCGATCTCCACAGACAAGATCGTAGCAAACATCGCACGCCACCTGCGTGAGTGTATCAATCTAGGTGCTAGAATGCGTTGAGCGTGTCTTCCAGATAACGCAATCACGCAGAACGTGGCTTCCGGTTCGTGGTAGTCAAGAGCGCCCACAGGGTGCTTTGACCCTTTCGCATCGCATACCACACCCCGCAAGATGTCAGGAAGATGTATTCTCCGATCGACTGCATCGGAGAGGGCTAAGCGGCTCGATGTCCATACCCTCTACACGCTGCGATCGGCGGACATGGTCGCTGCGATCTACGACGAAACTCAGCTTTGAGCACTCGCCACGCTCGCATGTAGTCTCGACAACCAGGCTACTGGAGACGACGAAAATGTGGTCAATCTGAGGAGGGCCAGACTGCGCTGTGCAATCACCACCATCTGAATACTGTTAGCATGGGTCTGGTGTGGGGAACGGTGTGCTGGATACCTGACGCCAAACATCTTTCCTTGCTTTCTCTTGTCAAGCTTCCAGGCTTCTGCATTTTCAAGCCAAATTCGCTCGTGTCCGGGCACATCGAGAGCCAGGTGATGATATTGGAAGTCGCTCTCATCGCGGCGTTTGGTCATGTGCACATTGACAGTGCCTAGGGCTAGCGGGCCTCCTACGTGGAAGTGCATGCGCATGTGTGTCGTGCCAATACCATCAGTTTCAGTTTTTGATCTATACCTCGCATATCAGTGGTGTGTCAAGAGTCCCGCGACTTCGACGACGCTTACGAAATGGTATCTCTTGCAAAGCGACTGTTGCGCACTCTGTTTTCTCCCCATGCTTCAATCTCTCCGCCCTTGCCTCTACCAGCCAGCACGTCGATACATTTCGGGTCGTTCCTTATACGCTCGAAGGCACGGTTGTAGACGGCGGTCTTGCTGTCGCTGCTGAAGACTTCGAGGTACAGAACAGTCGCGACACCTCCTGTCATGACCAGACCTAGGATGACGACAAGGAAGTTTGCCGATTGCTGTGTTGTTCGGGCTCCTCTTTCACGCCATGATAGTTCATTCCAAGGCACGCGACCGGTATCGTTTGCAATGGTGACGCTCCTTCGTGCTGGTCCGGGGGCGGATGATGTGGACGAGCTCGTCGCTGTGCGCACTTGTGTGCAGGTCTGTACCGGTCGCAGGCCAATACGGGAGGTCGGTAGTCTTGGTAGAATTCGTAGGGACTGCATCGTGCTTGATCCAGTGTAAATATCTTTGATCTGTTCGAATGACACTTGACTTGTTCTGTTTCGTGACGGCACCAAAGCTTTGACCTTGGCACTACGAAATGGTGGGGCACTTTCGGCGGCCTCGGCCCGTGTTTGTTGTTTCTCTCGCTGCATCTTACACCGACATGCCAATGCATACCATGTTCACCCAGAAATAATGGATTCCACTGCTTCTCTGAATCGCTTACTGGCGGTGTTGACTGATCATGATATCGGTCTGGGTTATAATGATCTGGCATGGCTGTTCGAATCTCCTCAGACCAAGGATGCCATGATTTCCTGGGTCCATGAATATCTAGGATCGGCCACTCTTCTCAGCCCGGAAGAGCTTGACATGTACGTTTGCTGGTGAAGTTAACAACGTTCATCACTGATTTTCTGAAGGCATGCATATATCTCACAGTCGAACTATGACACTCCTTCTGCTGATGGCATGCCACAACCTATGCAAGAGTATGATTTCGAAGCTGCCATCAACTCATTGGAAGCTAGCACCGCTGCAATAAAGAAGCAGACTACTATCTTGGGAGCTCAAAGAGATGCCCTTGTGAAACTGCAAACACTCAATCGAGAGCCCGACTCCATCGTCTCCGAGAACGAAGAGAAACGATCAAGTCAGGCACGTACCAAAGCTCAACTGGACCTTGAGACGACCGAGCTTACAGATGGGATTCAACAACGCGTAAACGCAACCAGACGACATGCAGACTCGAGCCTCAACATGCTGAAGACGTCCTCTCAACGTCAACTCGATAAAGATAATCGTCTGCTTGACGGACTGCAGAAAGTCATGTTCAAAATCGCCCCTCTGGAACCCAGCGAAAAGCAGTTTCCTGACTTCAATACTCTTTCCCGTGCTCTAATCAAGCTAGAGAGCAAGGTCGTCAAAGATCGAACGAACAATACATATTTGGAGACTTTGGAAAGCCTTGCCCACGAGACAGATGGCTTTGAACATCAAAGTAATGCACAGGCAGCACAAGAAACGTATGGATTGGCCGAAGAACTCGAAAGCCTGATTACAGAGGTGGACTCGGTACTCGAGATGACCATTAGTAGGCGCTACCGTGCGCCCATCGTCAATGCTTTGAAACTATGCGACGCGCAAGCCCAACTCGAACAACAGAGCTGGCTAGAATATGTATCACTTACCCCAGCCCTTTGCAACAAGGGGTTTTGGCTGACAACATGATTCAGGTCGTGAGGACGTTAGATGAGCTAGCGCATAAAACCGAGGACCTGGCCGCTTGTACTCAGGACGCTTTGGCTTACACATCAGCACTCAGCCACGTCTCAGACGCACTGGTCGAAACACTTCCGCCACCAACACAGCCGCCATCCAGACTGGATAGAAAACAGTCTGTTAGAAGTCACTCACCCAGAAAGGTTGCGAATTCGATATTGTATCGTCAAGGAGCCAAAAATCCAGCTCTTGAGATTCTCGGATATCATGGCATCCGCATCCCTGCTGAGTCTGGTACGGACAGTGAGACCGTGTCTCACGCCCTCGAACTGGCGGTGCTAGAACGACAATCACGTCTGCAAGACTTGCAAAGATCCACTGAACACTCTGTCGCAGCCCAGGTGGCTGAGTCGGTCATCTTGGCAGATGGAGAATTACAAAACTTGGTTGGAGCACTGTACGCCCATTCGCCTTACGCCACCGTGAATCTGGTCGACAGCAAGATGAACGGGAGACTGGAACACCTGGATCGTGATATTGAGAGCTTGGGTGATGGTATCAAGAGGCTTGACGTCAACCGATTGGCCGAGGCTGAGCAGACCAGATTATCAGACGCTCTCGGCCAGTCAACTAGCTGAAGCTCGAGTAACCCCTTGAGCGCGCCTATTCACTTGTCTTTGATGGCCCAATTCTTTGAACTACCCAGCCAAACAGTGCGTTCACAATGTCAGTACCAATTTTGTCCCCGAGCACGCTTGCATAAACTCACAGGACATGCATCATGAAGTCTTTTGCATCCGATTTGCTCTATGGTTGAAAGGACTGCGTACCGATATCAACTATCAAAGGTAACACTGAGGGATGCTAGTGCCTTCACAACATCCGTGATCAGCTTCCTATCATGCTCCGTTATCCCTTGGTTCGCCTCTTGCAACGCCGCCACCGCATCACTCAGATCCTCTACCCCTTTCTTCGACAATGTGTTATGCGCACTGATCTGCAAGACTTCTTCTCTCCAGATGAGTTTGTGTAGGTCTTCTATCAGATAGACGTTCTTCTTCTTTTCATCGATCTCCCTCCTGATCCAATGTCTCTCCACATATTTCATGAGATTTTTCATGAGGATGGACAAGTTCGCGAGTCTGTGGTAAGAAGCCACATATCCAGACAACAACTTCCTCGGAGTATTCCCATCTGTATCATCGCTTGCAGTGAATATCACTTCACGGATATCGATGCAATAACTCCGGATCTCTCGTTCCAAGACGCGGTATATCTCTGCTCCCGCTAGGTGTGCCGCGTTTGATCGGTTCCCTCCAGCGATGGTGTACTGCCAGATAGCGGTGTATATCTTTGTGTAAGTGTCGTGGTCTGGAGGAAGGAGGTGCTCATCTTGCTGGTTTGCTCTCGCAGATCTGTAGATGATGGAAATCTGATCCTGGATATAGGAGAGGGTTGCAGCAGGATCTATAGCCTTATTCTGGAGGAAGGCAGGCACTTGCGGATCAGAAGAAGGCGCTTTGGACTCGGACATCTGTTCTGTACTTTGGTCATGCAGTCGGGCGTTCGTCTGTATTTGTAGTTCTGACTTTAGGCAGGAAGTCATAAGGCAGCCACGAAGGATGAGCTATGATGTCATGCTTGTGGTGATACCTATAAGATTGGACTAGATAGGTGACTCACCTAGAAATTCTTCCATTCCGGGGAACAGGATGTGACGGACGATGAGGTTCCGATCGTAATACTTGCTGACTCCGCTCAGAGCAGGACGACATAAGCTGCATCCGATAACATCTCTTACGTCCACCCTTCGACCACTCGAACATCACCGCTAAACCTTCGACCTAATTACTCATAAAGGATCTCAAAAAAATCACGCCCTGTTCAGCATTGGGAATGTGAGCAGACGGGTACTGTTTCCTTTGTTCTTCCTATTTTGGGACAGTCTCGACATCCTTCAAGCATTAACAAGATCGAGACGAGCTTTATATCCTAGCTGCTTGGGACTCTACACTCCCCTTTCTCGCATCCATCGGAGCTGGCGAGATGTGGGGTGACCGACCATTCTCTCAAAGAGCGGGTCAAAGAAAAATTTCAAATTATCGATATCATCGATGGAACATCTAAAGATCTCCAACGCAGCCGCCGACTCTTCGTTGCGGAGAGATGTAATCCGGAAGAGGGCGTCAAGGCTGGTGCCTCGATGACGCGTGAGATGCTGCCCAAATATCTGTCTGAGAATGATGATATCAAGAGATGTCTCGACACCAGCAAGGCACATATGTACCTGGAGGTATTGGTTGCTGACCATCGACCTGACAAGCGGTGTAAAGGATCTCGGAAAGCGCTCATTGAGACCCTCAAGCAGCGCGCAATAGCGGATGGCAGAGATGTCATGTATGTGGATGTCTGGGCTGGGAATGGCAGGAAGCTGAACATGTGAGCATGTCCGTCAGCAAAAACAGACACATGACTAATCCTGGAGTGAAGGTATTATGAGAGTCTCGGCTTTACGAAAGTCACCGATTCTCATCTAGAAAGGCAGGATAAGAGCCTTTGGCCTGGAACGCTATACTGTGTTGATCTACGTGCCAATACTAGTCAACCAAAGCGCGTTATCCTGCGACTCAATTTCAGCGACTTCGATGGCTCTGGACAGAAATGACAAGATCACCCGGAACCGTGAAGACATATCTTCGTTGGGTAGGATACTCCGACGAAATCGAGGGACAGCGACATTTCATCCATGCCGAGCCTTTTCAGCAATCAGAGCTACAGCCGAAAAGGTTATATGTCTTCATCGACATCGACTACAAGTCATTCGTGAATCTAAACATTAGCCTGGCTCAGCACGAGATTTATGCGATAAAGCGCAATGACGACGGTCAACTGTATCTTTATCCACTGTAAATCCTGCGTTACACTCTATTGACAGATTTCAGATCACTCCAAGAAATCATGACAAGCGGATTTTCTGTCAGGACGTTTACCGCCGGGTCGGCTGAAGCAAATGGATGTATGTCCTCACAGACTTTGATCATGCTTTGTCTATTGGAACAGCCCTTGAGGTCGGATTCGAATCGTACGTACGGGCATACCACATGGCAGAATTCTGCGAAGGGATACATACCGGGGTATACGGTTCAGCGGGTGCCATCACGGAGTAGTTTGCACTTGGCTCAATACTTTGGCTCCTACTAACAGGAAAGGAACTTTACGGCGATATCGATACTGTTGCGCACTTGTTGGGGAGTCTCCTCGAATTAGTGGAAATTGATGGTCACGAGAAGCGAGCTGAATCAGAGGACGTGTCTCTGTCAACATTACTCGAGGCTCAGGACGCTGAAAGAAGATGGGAGTCCGAGCTATTCTATAACAGTCTGTGAGACTAGAATGGTACCAATATTGGACCCGGTTCAATCTAATTCGAGTCGACGAGCGATGGAGGCCGGATCAAAAGATTCGATATTAATCTACCCTGACGACAGCTGCTGTATCTCGTACGTTGGGTTAGTGTTGTAAATAACTTTTGTGCCCGCGTCAGGCCCCAACTACCACACGACAGTTCCAGGTTCTGATGTTTTCGCAGCGCTTATGTGCAAAAAATCCGAGTGTACCCCCACTTTTGGAGGACATGGTCGCATCGCACCTTCTGTGTCAAAAGACAGCCACACACGTAGACCTGAGTTCTAAGATTCTAGTCTCAAGAATGATCAGAACGATATCCGTCAAGTTGGGTGGCTGCTCATCACATCTCCAGATGCTGTGGAGACACACTAGTGATCTTTCTGAGTCAGCCCAAGAGATAAGAATGCTCAATCGGCGTCATCCAAGCCGATCATCGCAGCAACTACTATAAGTCTTTAGACATTGAAGCACTGCATAGGATAGATTGGTGGCATGCTAATATATGCTTTGCCGTCACTAGACAAGAGCCTGCATGGGCAGAGATAGGCAGAGCGAATTCGATATCTGGTTATCAGCTGGATTATATTGTGCAATGTCGATAGGCCATGTCAGCCTGCGATATATGAGCACATCAAGAGCCATTTGGTATGGCGCTCTAAATTTGTCCGCTATCTGCAAATTATTTATACCTGCAATACGTCGGAGTCTTGAATGCGATGTCTGATATCCCAGTGGAGCAGAAGCAGCCGTCCTCAGACCTGGAAAAAGATTTGATTGGAGCCCCCTTGGCTCAATCGGCGTCTGTCAGAGCTGGAAAGGTCGAAGAAACTCATGACGATGATGAGTTCGAAGTCTTTAAGCGAGGTGAAGGAGATGTCGATTTCCGCACTGTTGGATGGATCAGAGCTTCTGTGATCTTCCTCAAGAGTACGTGTAGATGCTATCTGTCTGAATACATTTCTTACTCACGGATCGTAGTCATCTTCGCTACCGGAGTCCTAGCCATCCCATCGGCATACGCTAGTCTCGGTGCTCTCCAGGGCGCTCTCAACGTACTTGGATGGTGCGCTCTGAATACCTACACTGGCGTCATTCTAGGCAACTTTCGAAACAGACATGCCGGCTGTCATTCTGTCGCTGATATGGCAGGGGTCATTGGCGGTCCGATACTCAGGGAAGGTGCTGGTCTGCTGTTCGCTGCAGCTTACGTTATTTGCGCTGCTTCCGGCATCATCGGATCGACTGCTGCTCTTAACGCTCTGTCGGAACATACTATATGTACGATGTGGTTCGCATTCATCGTCACTATCGTAGTCGCTGCCATGGCGAGTGCGAGAAAGTTCGAGACCATGTCATACTTTACCTGGGCTGGCTTCTTTAGTGTGTTCGTCGCTGTATTCATTGTGGTGTAAGTTCTTCCAACCTACGGGCCGAAGGTACCCTGCTGATTATTCTTTAGTGTTGGTGTCGCCGTTAGAGATAGGCCTGCTGCAGCTCCAAGGACAGGAGACTTCGACCTCGGGTACCATGTGATCGGTCATCCGAGCTTCGCTGGTGGTATTACCGCTGCCGCAAACATCTTCTCCTCCAGTGCGGGCACTTCTGCTATGCTTCCAGTCATCTCCGAGATGAAGAACCCGAAGGATTATAAGAAAGCGCTGTACCTTTGCATGGGGTTCGTCACTTCTGCATACCTTGCATTCAGTCTCGTCGTTTACGCATACTGCGGCGAATGGATCGCATCTCCATCGCTGGGAAGTGCAGGCCCCTTGATCAAGAAGATCTCATACGGCATCGGTCTGCTCGGTCTTCTTGTCACACCCGCGTTGTACACTCACTGCGCAGCTAAATATTGCTTTGTGAGGATACTACGCAATAGTCAACACTTACAACGAAGTACATTCGTTCATTTTGCGACTTGGCTAGGCTGCACTGTTGTGCTCTCAGCCATTGCCTTGATTCTCGCAGCCGCGATCCCCATCTTCGACTATATCATAGCTCTTGCTGGAAGTGTTTGCTTTGCTCCACTAGCAATCATGCTTCCTGCTTGTCTTTGGATGTATGACTTCATGGAGTATCGCAGAGGCACTTTGCTCGAGAAAGGCGCTTTCTATGCACACGGTGCAATGTTCGTCCTAGGCGTTTTCATGATGGTCGGTGGTACGTATGGTACGGTGGCTTCTATTGTCGATGCATATGCTCAGGGCACTGTTGGATCCGCCTTCTCCTGCGCGGACAACAGCGGTTCGAGTGGGTGAGGAGCATTCTTGGTGGCAGTCGAAAAGTAGAGATGTTAGAAGACTTCCTCTGGGATGGCAATTCAAGCGAGCACCGTCCAATGATGATGCTTTGTTTAGTAATATACATGTCGCAATCTCTTGCAACAGGTCCTAGATATCAAGATGGGAAGTCGCAAGAGGAAGAAGTGAGGCTCCTTTCGTGCCAGTTTCGTGTCGCGTGTTTCTGGCTACCCCACTTTTCTCTGTCATGCTTGTTCCCACCTCCCGATTATGTCCTACATTCTACCTAATTCTCAACTCGGGGTCCAAAGGCTGACTTTGAAATAGCTCATCGATCGGTCCTGTCTGCTAATTCCGCAAGACTTCACCACGTATCATGGGAGAAGAAACTTCTCCATGGATAACCCGGTCTCGTCTGTCACGTCGCTGATCACAGATAGATCAAGTTACGTCCTGCGCAGGAGACTACGAGATGGTTGAGAGAACAAGTTGAGTGAGACGAACGATCAAGCTTAACATGATAGAAGCAAATCGTATATCATGATCTCGTACTATTCTGCATCACAACATTACATCCAGGCTCTCGCTTGCAATATCATACCTCCAGCAACAACCCAAAAGCTTCCCATCATCACCCACTTCGATATCCCTATCTCTCTCGACGCCTTATTGGCAATCAAAATCGTCCCACAAGTCCCCACCTCCGTCGTAGGCAAATTATCCCCATGCGCATACAATGTAGAGCAATACTGCCCTTGACCTTGCCCGAGATACCCAGTCTGCTGCTGCGTTGTATAACCCTGTGTGTTCTGTCCCGCTGCATATACTACAGTTGTTGTGGCATGGCCTTCGGTGACATACACCGTAGAGGGCTGTTGCTGCCATGTTGGTGTGGGATGTTGTTGCCATCCTCCCCCTGCTCCTGCTCCTGCTCCTGCTCCTGCTCCAGCGATATTAGGAGTGCAAGTTTGACCCCAAGGACAGCAGCCGATTGTATTGTCGGAGGCGCGTGCGCAGTAGGTGCTTGGTGTGCAGCAACTGTTCATGAATGTTAGACTAGCATATGGTAGGACGAGGTAGGTAAAACCTACTAATCAGGTTCCTGGATGGCGTTGCAGTTTATTGGAGACCAGGAAGGACATTGCGCTTGTGTTGCTGCTGTGAGGCCTTGTTGTGTCATCCAGTATGCATTCGTCCAGCCGCCGCCTCCATTTCGTGCTTCTAGTTCTTGCGACTCGAGATTTGATGACGATGTCGCGATTTGGAAAAAGAGCACTGTAACCAGTATCGCATACATTTCACGTATTGGAGACATTGCGGGCAACATTTGATAGATTGAAACTGGTTACAGCGAATGATTACACATGGTATCCAAGGTGGAGAGAGGCGAGCTAAAGAAATGACGACGGAAAGAGCGAATGTTTGTACTTGGCCTTGGTAAGGCGGGTTGCCTGGTGAGTTACGAGCAGAGCACTATCGCCATGATCCTTGTGATGCAGCCTTGCCGGTCATCATGCATGCAACAGACAAGGGTGGACAGAAGTCCGACAGTCTAGTGCCGTTGACAAGATCCATCTTCCGCGGTTTACCCGTGTGCCTCGGCTTCGTTTTAGTGATTGGTACCGACATTTGTTTAGCAGATATGCAACTACCCTTGACATCACCTTGTCAACGAGTCTTGGAAACACTCTCACATCTAGATTTCAATCTGCAAAAGGAAGCGCTGTTGTTTCAAGCATGGCGCAGGTGGCAGAATTGAAGAAGAGGCGGCTGCAAGACTACGGTTTCCATCTTGAGTACCGGACAAGATGGTAAGTCATCGACAACTGCTCGCATATACTCAGACACACCTGACCGCGCGTTCATACAGGAGCGACAACGATATGTACGACCACATGAACAACAGCGTATACTACTTTCTGTACGTCTCTGGTAGATTTGTAGCAAATCGATGGGTGGAACTTACATATTTCACCCGAACAGCTTCGACAGCATTGTCAATACATACCTTATGACGCATTGCAAGCTCGACCCTCCCACATCATCATTGATTGGACTAGTTGTGCACTCACAATGCGATTACCTAGCTCCAGTAGGCTTTCCTGCAATGATCGATCTCGGATTACGAGTCAAGAAACTGGGAAAAAGTAGCGTCAACTACGAGATTGGTGTCTTCGAACGCGGCATCGAAGAGGTAAAGGCTGTTGGCGAGTTTGTGCATGTCTTCGTGGATCGGGAGAGTAGAAGGCCCAGAGCAGAAGGCATGACTGCCACCATGAAGGAACAGCTCGGATCCTTGGCAGGTAGCAAAGCAAAGCTCTGATCAAGTCCCCATGGAGGTGTTTCTGTTTTGTTAGCCGTCAACAGGCAGAGCGTTGTTGCTTTGGTTTGGTCATCCGCGCAGCCAAAGCGACTCTGGTATGTCCTCTCACAGCACGTAATCAGCTCATGTTGGAGGCAGAGAACATCACCTGTAGTAAATTCATGTATGATTACTCTCCTTCTCGCCATCATCGTCTTTTCAGCTAATTAGCACTGTCGCACGGCAGGGTATTATACTTTCATGTACGTACTTCCGCGAGTGCATCAATCTTCGTCCTCTGCTTCTTGTTTGCGGATCTGATCCTCAAGTCGCTTCTTCTCGGCGTTCTTCAGTCGTATCATGGTAAGCTCCTCCAGGCTGGGGCTCGATACAGCGGAAGGAGCGACCGGCGAGTTCTTGGCGCTACTGAATGAAGCAAAGGAAGGAACCTTGCGCAAGCCGCCTCCTGCCTGTTTTAGCGGTGTTGTCGGTGAGTCCATGCCGGGAATCTCGTGGAGAGGTCGTGATTTCGATTCTGAATTTGGTGTGGCTGGCACGGGTGTCGATGGGCGTTGCAAGAATTCTGGTTCCTTGTTCGACGCCCAGTATACGGAATCGAGTGTCTGGAAATCTTTGTCCGAGTCTGATCGTTTCTTGTAGTCTGAGACAGCGGCATGTGCTCCTACAACAGACTCATAGACTATGAGAGCAGTCGCAACAAGACTCTTGGTCTTGCTATCGCCTAAGCGCTTCTTCTTGTCCTTGAGTATTACCACGTCTTGAAGCTTGCCGAAGCTCGCAAACATGGTCCTGATTCGCTCTTTGTCGAGCACTGCTCCTTCACCTTCTCTTGACCACACTGCCTTGATGGAACGATCGATATCAGCAACTCCATTGCCGCCTTGCGACGCAGATTGGTCTTGGGATGGAATGTAACCGTTCTTCTCCCGATCTAGACGTTCCTCCTCTTCGAGTCGTTCGCGATTCAGTTGATCCTGTCTCTCGAGTCGTCGTCTCTTGCCATCAGCAGCTAGACGCTGGATCTCACGCTGTAGCTTGTCGCCTTCTTCCTCTTCTTGGTGCTTTCTTTTCAGACTAGCGTTTTCGCGGTTCTCCAGGTCCTCTTTCATCTGACGACGTCTGCCTTCGAATGCTTGATGACGCTCCTCCTTCTCTTGTTTGACGCGTCGCGCATTGTCATAAATGGACTTGTATTCAGGGCTTGATAGAACGTCGTTTGCGATCTGAAGTAAGTGGAACTTCTCGACAATATCTGGTTTATCGGCATTTTTGTCGGGGTGGTACTTGAGAGCTGTACGACGATAGGCGCGACGAATGTCGGATTCGCTCGAGCTTTCGAAGGTGATGCCGAGCAAATCGTAGTAGTCGACAGCGGTGGACTTGGCCGCCTCGATCAAGTCGTCGTCGCCAGGCATGATTGTGAGTGTTCTTGGGGGGGTTGGCCACTGATGTGTGGCAGTGCGGTGACAGTGTGGGCGATGAGGATGATTCGGTCAGTCGAAGTTGTGTGGAAGAAGACCAAGAGTCGAAAGATTTATCAATAGACAAGTTTGGAGGAAAGAGGGAAGGAGCAGCTCGAATGCATGCAACAAAGTTTATGGATCTCCGCATGGTCTGCGCATAACTAATTACATAAATGCACAACGCAGCACGAGCCCATCAACGGGCAAGCTCACGGTGACGCAGGCGTGGCATGGACGGCGCGCGAGACAGCAAGCACGAAAGACACGCTTCACCCTTCTCAACCACTCCACTAATACTTCCAGACCCTCACTTGTTCACAATCGCAGTCACGAGCCTCTATAGATTGGATCGAGGCTTGTCAACTCTCCTGTACTGCACGGGGACCCCTACGCCGCCTTTCACCTAGGCCAATACCAGAAGTCCGGATATGCTGCGCGACACTGGTCAGAATGGCAGAGACAAAAATGCAGCTAGTAGACTGGCTAGATGACCTATGCGTTCGCTTCATTATCAACCTCCCACAAGAAGAGCTCGAAAGCGTCGCGCGAATCTGCTTCCAGGTCGAGGAAGCCCAGTGGTTTTATGAGGATTTCATCCGTCCCACCGACCCGTCCCTCCCCTCGCTCAACCTGAGGGACTTTTGTCTTCGCATCTTCCAACACTGTCCCCTCCTCTCCACCTTCTCCGACTCGCAACACACGGCCGCCTACCAGGAGTTCCTCGCCTACAAGACCCGTGTCCCGGTCAGGGGCGCCATCCTACTCAACCATGACATGGACCAGGTAGTCCTCGTCAAGGGCTGGAAGAAGAGTGCCACCTGGAGTTTTCCTCGTGGAAAGATCAACAAGGATGAGCCGGATCTTGACTGCGCCATTCGTGAAGTCTGGGAAGAGACTGGTTATGACATCGCTGCTGCTGGCATAGCCACAGAGGACCAGAAGTACATTGACGTAACCATGCGTGAGCAACATTTGCGAATGTTCGTCTTCCGTGGTGTCCCTTTGGAAACCTACTTTGAGCCAAAGACGCGCAAGGAGATCAGCGTCCGTCTCTCTTCAATCTGCCACAACACAACACATCAGGAATATGCTGACTGAAGACAGAAAATCGCGTGGTATCGCTTGACTGATCTACCGTCATACACACAAAAGAGACAGAACAATAGAGTCATCTCCCATCAACATGATGGCAATGCTGATCAGGGCGTCGTCAGTGCCAACAAGCTGTATATGGTTGCGCCCTTCCTGCCTCCCTTGAAGAAATGGATCAACCAGCAAAAGAAGCGTGATTTGGCTCGTCAAGTTCAAGTCGAAGCTGTTGTCGAAGAAATTCTAGACGTCCCCTCAGACTCGCCTGCTATTGAAGTTCCATCAGCCAATGCCGTCTTCGAGCTCAAACGTTTGTTGAGCGTCAACGTACCAGGCCAGGAATCACCGCGAGCTGCTAATGGCGAGGACAACCAAGCGAACGCGCTGCTAGCCATGCTTCGCGGTAACGCTGCCACTGGTGGGCTAGCTCCTCCGGTAGACAATGATCTACCACCGGTCACGCCTCTGGACCAAGTTACAAGTACTCCTCCAGAGCCTGGAACTCCGCACTACCAACATCATCAGCCCTCGCCTGCCGTTCGACAGCAGCCTCCCCCAGGCTTTCCCTTCCCTTCGCCTGCCCACCAACGCAATGTGTCTCTCCATCCGCCAGGCTTCTTCGGTCAGAGTGCTCACGAGAACCTCCAACGTGTCATGCCGCAAATGTCACATATGTCGCAGCAGCCCCCGCAAGCTGTCCGTCACATCCATCCTCAGGGCACACATCCTTCAATGCAGCAGCAGTTGTTCCCTGGCGGTCACCCCGCGCCCATTTCTCATGGTCCAGTGGCTCCTTCGGCCTCTCAATTGCCCGCTCCAAGATTGAATAACCACGCTATGAATCTGCTGAGTGCTTTCAAGGCGCCTTCACAATCGCCTAGCGGCTACAATGCTGTGCCTCACGATGGCTCTCTGTCTTATCCTAGCCCTAATCAGGTTCACACGCAGGCTCAGCAGCAACCCACCGTAGGGGACGCACAACAAGGACGCCGACGCTCTGCACATCAAAACTCTTTGCTGGGCTTGTTCAAGTCTCCCGAACCTCCAAGAGCGACTCCCGTCGTCCAGGGCACTCAAGTAGCAGCTCCAACGACTACTCAGTTACCTGGCCCGACTATACCCGCTCCTACAGGAGCTACTCCACAGCAGAGAAACGCCAGTCTAGCAATGCTAACAAGGACTCTGCCAAAGAGCAAGCCAAACACACCCACTGCGCAAGCCAAGGACATGTTCCCAGCGAAGCAAGTGGCGCAAGAAGTCCAAGCAGCAAAGGACAAAGCTAGTCAAGAGGTTCCTGACAAAGTCTTCGCCCCGGACGCGCCGCGGGCTCCTGTGTCGATTTTGCCAAGGCCTGGTTCTGCAGCTACCAGAGGATCTCCTGCTCCCCAACCGTCTGACTCTATCCAAACTCCCCATAAGCTCCGACGTGGAAATAAGAGCGACTCTCCAGCCAACTTCACTATTCTGCAACGACCTTCGCCTCGAGCTGACCGTAATGGGTCACCTGAAATGCCTCAGATCAGACAGCCACCTCCTAAGCAACCAACGCCCAGGCAAGCAGCGCCGAAGCAATCTGCTTCAAGGAAAGTGCAAGAAGCACCGAAGCCTTTCCAGCCGCAAATTCTACAAAGGCCAAGAGCGGATCAGTCGGGAAGCAGTCCTGGCGTGGAACAGTCGCAGCAGAATGCCGGCGAACAACGGAATGCACTTCTTGCTTTGTTCGCAAAGCAGAACCCTGGACTCGCACAAGCTGAAAGCAGAGCTGGATCGGCCATGTCGAACAACTCGGGGACACCGTTGCCTTCGGACCCATCTATGTTCAGAACACGACTGGCCAGCGCATCCTCGGCGGTGAGTAACGATAACGACGGACTCAAGTCACCATCTACGCCTGTGGAGGCCAAGGGTTTCTTGCTTGACTACCTTAACGGCGTGGTGAAGAATGAGAAGAACAAGGGTTCTAAGAGGGGCCCTATCTGATCAAGGATGATATGATGAAGAGCACATAACAGCTGGTCTAGGACCTAGGAGACAAAACTACCATTTGAACTAGTTCTCATCTCTTCTTACGTGCTCTGGTGAATCGTGTGCGTGTTTTGTTGCTGGTGGTTACCTAATGTCAAGACGACTCGAAGCCTCGGCCAGAAAAGCTGTCGATGATGTCAGCGAGAATGACCTTTGCTCATCCAAAGCTGTCTGAACAACAACATCGTCACAGCGCAAACAATACAACGACTACCAGGCAAAAAATGGCCGTCGCATCTTCCAGACAGCCTTTTGTCTGTCTCCGTCGACTACCCAAGACGAGACGCACATACTCGACCACGCAAACTCCGCTCCCACCCACGCCCCCAGCCTCCGGCGCAGCAAAACTCACCACCCGCCGCCTAATCTCCCTCCACGGGCCCGACGCACCTAAATTCCTCCAAGGCATCATAACCAACAACCTCAGCACAGCCACTCGCTCAGGCTTCTTTGCCGCCTTTCTCACCGCTCAAGGAAAAGTGCTGCATGATGTCTTTGTGTACCCCACCTTGGGCTCTGGCTTCCACGATTTGCACAACAAGACCGAGGATCCAGGATTTTTGGTCGAGGTGGATGAAAAGGAGACGGGCAATTTGCTGAAACATCTCAAGAGGCATAAATTGCGGTCGAAATTTGCACTCAGGGTGTTGGAAGAGGGCGAATTGGATATTTGGAGCGTGTGGCGGGAGCAGGAGAAATGGACGCCTCATCCTGCATTACCTAGCAGTCAAGGTGCGAATATCGATACACAAGGCAACATCACACTCATCGACACACGAGCCACCGGTTTAGGCCAAAGGATCCTGTTACCCTCCACATCGGCACTGGACACTTTTTCAAGTATGCAAGGGGTTCAAGATGTGGGATTGGCAGCATACACGATACGAAGATATCTACGCGGCGTCCCTGAAGGTCAAGACGAAATCCCTCGCGATGATGTGTTGCCCATGAATACCAATTTCGACATTATGAGCGGTATAGACTTTAAAAAGGGATGTTATGTGGGCCAAGAGTTGACGATACGGACACATCATACTGGAGTGGTTAGAAGGCGTGTTTTGCCTGTTGCATTGTTCGACTCTGCTTCCTCACCACCAGAGAAGATTGTCTATGACGCGAGCACAAAGGTTGCAGTGCCGGAACGCAATACGGAGATTAAGATTGAGGGCAAGAGAGGTAAACCGGGGAAATGGATTAATGGCGTTGGAAATGTTGGGTTGGCCATGTGTAGGTTGGAGTTGATGACTGATTTGCAGGTTACGGGTGAGCCTAGCACTTTTAGCGCAGAGGATAGGTTTATTGTCAAGAGTGAGCAAGATGCAAAGGCGTTAGGTGTCAAGGCTTTTGTGCCTGATTGGATGAAGAGTAAGATTAGAGCTCCAAAGTTACAGAGGAGAGTAGAATAGAAGACGTCAAACTTTATGTACATATATATATACCAGTCACGAACATCTCTGCCAATGTCTTTATTGAAGGACTGTCTGTATTTCCTCTCAGGCGTTGAACTTTGTGGCTTGCAGAGCTTGTTCACCTCCATATCCCGATGCCATCATTTCCATGGCTCTCTGTCTTTGCTGGGCAGACACAGTACTGGTGGCCGTCTCAGCGACGACACTCTCTTCCTGTGACTTTGCAGCAACAGGTCGTAGAGAAGCCCCATGTTTACGCTCTTCCAGAAGTTGAGAAGCAGCAGCCCCAATAATGGCACAAATGGAATTTGCACCAGCCCTGAGACTGAACTGATCTAGATCACCCGGAACATGACAGAACAGCACTTCTGCAGTCGAACCTTTCGTGAACTGTACATATCCCGAACCACGTCAGTATATGCCAAAAGACAATTTTGTGAGGGGAAGGGAAAAAAAGGAGACTTTACCTTGTTGGCCAAACTCTCATAGTAAATAAACCCACAACAATAAGTCCCTCCATCCTCATGACCTCTAACATCTCTCCCAAACATTCCCTTCAACGTCTTGCCCGCTCCCTCGACAACTTGATCAACATCGAGTCCCGTACACAATCCCATGGGAACATCATCATCCCAAGGACAAGGTCCAGCATCCTTGACCGTCTTACCCGCAAAATCCTTGATCATGTAATATCTCCCCAATAAACCCAACACTCTACTCCCCCACGACGAGGTAAAAGTCTGTTTATAAGCTCTTCTTTCACAAGAGATGAAATCCCAGCCATCCGCCATGCCGATGTGGAGGATAAGATTTACATCATTTCCGTGTGTGGAGTGCAAGGCAGAGGTGTAGTTTCTTATATGTGCGTATTCGACTTTTACAGCTGAGCCCTCTGTAGCTGTGGGGTTTAGGATGGATATGTTTGCAGAGGTTGGGTTGAAGGGGGAGAAGGGGGGGAGGGCTTGAGGAAGCAGTTTTGTGATTTCATGGGATGAGTTTTTGGTATATGTCGTGCCGTCTGAACGGGGGAATGGCTGTGAAAAACAAGAAAGATGTTGTGTTAGTGGATTGATTTTTCTTTTGAGGGTGTGTGTAGAGTCTTGTTTCTTTCATGTGATGTGGCATGGAGTTGATGGTGAGATAAGGCTTCTGAGCATATGTCAAAGACGAAGGTAATTTGGTTCACAACTTACACCAAAGCCCGTCACCAAGACTTTGATACCCTCTGTGTGATTGTCGCTACTCATAGTGCTTGACGGGATCGTCTCTTTGAACCGGCGTGTCTGTGGTGCTCAGGAGGCAAGGTTGCTATCTGGTGCGGCCATGTTCCGCTCCACTTTGAACGTCACTGCCTCCTATGACCAATGTGGGGTAGAATGATGTGGGGTCACACTTGCCTGGTATTGCCGGTACTGGGACAAGGGAAACGGTCTAGCGGAGTCGGCAGTTCCTCTGTTTCGATATAAAGAACTGGTTTGGAAGAAGTTTGGTTACTGTGCTGTTTGATATACTCTCTTCTCTCGTGTTACTATTGGCCTTGCAGGAATCCAATCATGTCGCGTTTCGAACCTCCGGCTTTGGAAGACAAGCTGCAGGGCAGAGTGGTTGTCCTGACGGGTAAGTGCATACTGCATCTTTTGCATGAGCAGCTCACTGTTCATGCCACCACGACATCTAACAGCCCATCATAGGAGGAGCTCTAGGCATTGGATCCGAGCTAGTCCGTCTACTCCATTCAGCCGGCTCCCACGTCTTCTTCGGCGACGTCCTAATCCCTCAAGGCGAAGCTCTAGAAAAGGAGCTGACTGCAACTTCAAAACCTGGCCAGCAAGTGAAATTCTTGTATACGAATGTACAAGATCATCTTGCCAATCTGGGCTTGTTTGATCTTGCATACAAGACTTGTGGAAGGGTTGATCATGCAGCCTCAGTGGCAGGAATAAACAGAGAGCAGAATATCGCAGATCCGGAATTGACACTTGAAAGTGTTAAAAGGGTATGTTTTGCATATCATTGACCTTCAAAAAGGATGTCTGTTGCAGTATTGACGTGATTGACACCAAGGAACCTGATATCGATGACTCTCTGGATGTCAATCTACGCGGCCCAATCCTCTTCTCCAGAATCGCAAGTGTATATCTTCGTCAACCGCCTCTAAACGACAAGTCCTCCACTGCAGCAGCCGATAAATCTCTCACACTAGTTTCTTCCGTGGCTGGATTCACAGAAGCACCTGGTTTGGCCGTGTACTCGGCAGGTAAACATGGCGTGTATGGCCTAATGAGAGCATTAAGAAAGTCAGTCTCGCATTTCCCCCTCATTCTAGGAAATTTTGACGCAATAATTGACACATGAGTTCAAACAGAGTTCTGATAAAGTCCTCCCCTTACGCCATCAGGACAAATGCAGTATGCCCCTGGATGACAGAAACCCGAATGGTCACAGGCATAGACGCAGACTGGCGTGAAGCCGGCCTACCACGAAACAAAGCCATTGACGTCGCTAGAGTAATCGCTGGTAGGTACATGTCCCTAAAGCACTAGACGAGAGAGCCAACGCCGCTAATCAAAATCTTCTCCAGGCGCCATGGTAGCAGACTCGCTCAATGGTGAAGCCTTGTATGTCGAAGGAGGCAGGGCTTGGAGCATCGAAGAGGGCATAGAGCGGACACAGCCACAGTGGATGGGAGAGAAGCAGAGCAAAGACTTCCAAAAGGGTCAGGAAGTGCTGGGAACGGGAGATAATTGGTAACACATGCCAATACCTGTCAGATCACATGTACAAACCACAATACTAGTCTTCGTGCATCAACATAATCTCTTCACCACACCAAGACACATGAGCAGAACAAAACGTTCGGGAAGAAAAATCGTGATATTCATAACAAAGCTGCTCCTGCCCGTCAAGCAGAGAGCGCAGCCAATTTGACGCCCCAATCCAGTCTATAAATGCTCTCCTCGACGACCAATCCCAAAACTCCCAAACCATGCAAATGATGCAATCTCATCCATGCTCCCTCACGCCTCTTCATGCAACACCTCCCTACTCACAGTAGCTTGCTCCAATATTCTTTGGTCTTGAGCAGCTTCATCTTGTGCTTCTTCATGATTGACAAAGACAAAAGACAAGACGACGACGCAAGCACCTAGCCAGTAGATGGCAGGTGATGTTTGGTTGTTGATCAGCAGCTGACCGATTAGAGATAGAGGGATGGTGGTTGAGAGGCCAACGGTGACTACGATGGGTGAAGTGAGTAGAACTGCATACGCCCACGCAATATCGGAGAGCAGAGAACTGAGGGAGTTGACCTGATTAGAGGTTAGCAAGAGTGGCCTCTCCCCAAAAATGATAGACATACAAGAATAATCGTCGTGACCCTCGAGGTTGGGGGTAGCTCAAACGGCTCGACAGCAGTAAAGTGCAGAATCAAGAAGCCAGGCCAGAGTAGCAGGACATTGAAGAGACCCACAAGGCCAAAGAAGACAGGCATGCTGATCCGACGCTCGTCTCCGATGCGCTTCTTCATGAGTACGGCATAGACACCGTACAGCACGGCCGAGAGCAAAGCCATGGCGTCCCCGAGAGCGACCTGGTGTGCAGATTTGTGCGGAAACAAACCCCGACCGTCATCGTTGTCGCCAAAGAGATCCACAGACGAGATGAGGACGACACCAAGCAAGGAAGCCAGTACTCCGAGGAGCTTGCGCAAAGTGAAGATCTCGACGCCGACGGCACAGCCCAAGAGCAAGGTGAAGATACTGCTTGTCGATGTAAGGATGGTAGACGACGCGACGGTAGTGTGTTCCAGACAGGCAGCGACAAAGTAGTTGGCCAGGAACCAGAGGATGCAGAACTCCAGACTCAGACGAGCCGTGTCTCCCAGGGACAAGGGGACTATGCTTTGGTGGTCGTTGATGGGTATATGCTTTTGTGATGCAGCATCACTCGGGTGCTCGTGTGTATCCGTCTCTTCATGGTGGTCTTGTGGTAGGGCAGCGTATACTGGCGTCTTGAGGGAGCCAGTCAGGTACAGGCGTCGCACGACGATGGGCAGGAGCGGTATGATGAAGCAGGCGGTGTTAACGTAAGTGACGAGATAGGGCTTCGAGTAGGTATTGTCGGCAAACAGCGTCTACGCATCTTGTCAGTCCGCTTGTGCGACAACCATGTACAAGGTATTCGGCTAGGTCAACGTACGGACGCCATAAAGTTAGAGGCCGTCCACAAGATGACGGTGGTGAAGAGCAGCAGCAGACCGCATACACGCCGCCACTTCTCATGGCCATGCCGCGTGTTGGTCGCAGCCATGTCCAGATCTATGTCGTCGTCGTTGTCGTTGTCGTTGTCCAGCAGCGGCCTGCGTGCATCATCGTCGTTGCTGACGACTTCAACGCGCCCAGTGCCAGTCATGCCCGAAGTCGCTGGTAAGTCGAGGAATGTGTTTCGTGTCGCAAGTCCACCATCCACCGTCTTTAGGCTCAAGGTCAATTAGGATGCGTAACTAGGTGTGACTTCGCCATCTGTCGCAAACACACACAATTGCCTACTGATGTGTCATGTCCAGCGCATCCGACCTTCCTTCCTTATCTGGACGCCGACCGAGCAAACCAATCCTCAACCCAACGCACGTGCTGTATTTCCTTTCCCGCTGCCGTCTATCGACCCGGACCCACTTTATCAATATCCAACTGACCTCCTTCCGTCTACATCGCTTTGTCTGTATTTGATACGACGCTCCTTGTTTCTCCACCTGCTGACGAACGAAATGCTTGCTTGCCTGCTTTCACACTTGCACATGACACTCGACGACAGAACAAATACTTGATCAAGTTATAGTAATGTTCAGATAGTTTACTGTCCGATTAACCATCAGTGCTTCCTCCCTGCTCACAATATAAAAACAAACGCCTGTTCAGACAATGTCGCAAAATTCCTTCCACAACGCCTACGCAATGTTTCGTTAAATGGCCAGACGCTTTACTGTCTGTGCCGAAAGGGTAGCTGCTCAATTTCCCTCCCTGAACTTCCTGAAGCTCTTTCCGTTCGGCCAGAAAAAAAAAAAAGGATATCGTTGCCGAAGGAAAGGTGTGAAAAGAAAAAACAATATGCAGTATAAATCCGGTGTCATAATCAAGAATGATGCGCTCGAGAGCGCGATGATTCGCCTCGCGAGGCCGCAGGTGCTGTTGCTGGGGTTGCTCCTTCGCCCTGTGCGTGATGGTGGGAACGCTGATGCGTATGCGAGTGCGCGTGCGCGTGGTGGTGATGATGCCGGGAGTTCTCTCCTTCTTTGCCCTCTTCGGCTGCTACGCACCAGAAGCGATGACTGCCCCAAGCTCCCTTTTGGCACTCTTTACTACAGTACTTGGTGCGTCGGCAGCGTCTGCATTTAGCAAATTGCCGTGTGTACTCTTCCCACTTGCCACACTTCCAGTACGCGCACTGACGGATGCCTCCTCGGCTTTCGTCTTTGCGGCAGAGATTACGCATGACAACACCTGCCCAATATTGCATCGTCTCGCTTTGCTGTGCCGATGTCGGTAGCAGAGACTGACGTGAGCTTGAGCATCGCACAGTAAACTTCTCAATCAAGGGGAAGATGTTGTAAGCCGGTTGTTCCACAAACTCATTGTCCCATGCCTCTTCAAGCTCCTCCTGAGAAGGACCTGTGAATGGGACTGAGGGATCGTAATCAGCATCCAGCGTGCGTAGTTCGGAGTCAATGTTGAGGCGAGGGACTAGATGTGAAGCCTGGAAGTATGAACGAAGGTTACAGTATTTCGAAACATAGGCGAGCAGTTGGAGAGACATGATGACATCTTCATCACGAGGTAGAGCGGCGGCAAGAGGAGCTGGCGCCGAGACGAAGGGGGCACCAGCACGGGGGGCCATGAGTGCTGGTGGAGTAGCGTTAACAATATCGACGGATGGAAGTTGCTGGGGCGGTGCGAAGCCGGGTTGAGCTTGCGTTGGGGTTTGGTTGTTGATGCTGCCATCTTGCACTGATGCGTGCCTGAGGAAAGCGTCCGAATCAGACACATCAACGGCGGGTACACCTAGAGCTACAGGGGTCACGCTGCCTTCGAGCATGGTCTCATCGGTGACAATGTCCTGCATGGAGATGTCGTTCTGAATGTCGACCATGGGTTCGGGTGATGTTTCAGCTGTGTCAGAAGTGTCCTGGACGGCATCGTCGCTCTGCTCGTCCTCCCAGTTGCCAGAGATGGATAGCTGATGACGAATGGATGGTCTTCTGCGTCCGAGGCTTGCGGCAGAACGAGGACTAGCCGGAGCAGTCGCACTCGGCGTGGTTGGCGACTGGGGTTGTGAGCTCAACTCTGCGTTCAGGTTAGGCAGCATCGAGGGCAGACGGTCGGCATCCCGAACGGGACGTAGCGTCTGGCGTGAAGCCTGCTCTGAACGAATCTGCGGAGATGATTGTGGACGAATGTCGTGCATCGGAGTGTGACGACTAAAGTCGAGTCTAGGATTGCGTAACGGCGGTTGCGGGTCGGCCATAGGCTGGTCGTCAGTAGCAGCGATGTCGATTGGTGGCGGTACTGATCTCCGAGGTGTGCGTTCTGATCTGGATTGGTAAGGGGGACGACTTGAGCGTGTAGGGCTCTGAAGGGGGAAGGCGGTGAAGTTGACCGGAGTGCGTCTTGCGTCCTCATCGGCTCTCTTCTTCAGCTTCTCCATAGCACGGATGTAGTTGTCGAGAAGAGTGGCCACCACGGGCACCATGTCGGCTTCGACAACTCGTGTTCTTACTGCTTCGGAGCCCCTGACACCGATGTTGAAGACACACTGGAAAGCCAGGTTCCATTTCCAACTCTCCATAGCATCTTTGCTCCTGCCTTCTTTCAGGATGCAGACTAGACGTTCAACGCCGCCGTCTACTGTGAGAATGTCTCGGATGCGTGCGGATGACGTAGTCAGGTAGGTGAGATTGTTGAGAGAGTTGATCAAGGGGAGGGTCGAGGTGCAGTCGAGGGCGCGGCGGTCGTAGAGAGCAGGCGTGATGCCTACCGACGCCTTGTTCGCGCTGGGGATGCTGAAATTGGCCTCGCGCATGATGGGGAGTATTGAAAGGAGATGGCAACAACAAAGACTGCGAGAGCAGAGTCAGCCATGACGGGTTATGACAGACATGTTGTCGAACGACTCACCAGAGCTACACACAACACCGGCAATGCAACGAATCAATCAAGAACGAACACCAGCCATGCAAATCCGGTAGGCTTCAGTTCGAGTCACAACAGGCGTCAACACCTAACGCCAAGAACGAGCCGCCTGTCTTCGAGGACGCCTCAGGTATGCTTGTCTTTTCTGTGGGACTCAGTCTCGCCTGCCTGTGTAGGACGGCGACGGCGGATGACTGTTCGGACTGAGGGGTCGAGGGAGAGGGAGTTTGCGGCGACTTGGGACGAGACGGGGTATAGCGGAGATGACCGAGGGCGAATTGACGTGGTGTCGGGGAGGCGGGTCTGATGAGTCGGGGAGAGATGTGGTTAAGAAGTGCGAGTCTATGCAATGCAAGCTAAAGTCGTGTCGTTCGTAACATGCGGCGATGGAGATATGGTTGGTGATGACGGGTGATGGAGATGAGAAGGGAAGAGGAGATGAAAATCGACAGGATGGACACTGGACAGGAGTCGAGAGCCGGGCCCGTTGAAAGAGGGTGAGAGAGGCAGCCAAAGAACTGTGACGCTTGCTAGGCGGCTTGGCTGCCAGTCTCCAATTAATTTAGCCCAATTTCACCTATTCCCGCCTACAACTTCCCTGCTTGCGACGACTGTCAAGAGGCATACAATCGCGAACTACTATAACACATTATCATCCTTGATCTCGCTGCCTCAGTCGTGAACAAAATGCACTTCTCTCGCGCACTTGCCCTTGTGAGGCATGGCCGATACTGGAGCTTAATTGTTCCTGCCCTTCCCAGCTTTGCCACATGCGGCGTCCGGCTACGCAAGACCCATGAGATGCTAACCGCAAGAACCTGCCCTGGCCACATCCCGACCACCTAACTGTCTCAACTAAACCGTCATTAGAAATCGCAACAGAGACATGACGAAACAGACGCGGCTGTTGTCCACATCTCAACGCCTCCCAGCCAAACCACCTCAGCCCTCCCAAAACCGCTTACCTGCCTGCTTACACACCCATCCATGCATTGGGAAGTGTACATGTACAACGCGCTCGAGCTTGGCATCGAGAATGCCCATCTGCGATTGCATGCCGAACCTGCCGAGCACGGCCCAATCACGCGACAGGGGTGATCTGGGACTCGACGGCAAAAGCGCTGCAAGCGATGTCAAATGCAACCAGACATCTTCTCGGCGAACCATTTCTCTCTGCTGATCAACCCCATCCCGCAAAAAACGTTCATGCATGAATATTCCCGTAGCTTTGTACTTTCTGATTTTTTCTTGTTCAGCCTCTTGCTCTTCCTGTCTTTCACTGCAGGAGAAAAAGAAACATTTTGGTTATACACAGGTAGGGCAATGCTAAAAAGACAAATATATACATGAGTTTGTCTGTCCATCGAAATGTTACATACATGTTACTTCTTATTCACATCGATGCCTCCTTGTTGCACCGATCCAAATCTCCGAGACAGCATCTCTTGGATATCGGTCGACGGTCTCTTGGGCCCGTCTTCAACAAAGACAGTCTGCTCTTCCATTGTAACACCGGCTTTCGCACCACCTTCTTCCATGACTCTCGGTCGATCAAGAAGGTCTTGGATTTCATTCTCGCGGATCGCCTGGGCTTCTTGCTCGCGCTGCTGTTCGAAGCTCGATTTCTTGGTGCCGTGATGCCATCCTGCTTGTAGTTCCATGGCAGCTGCTTCTTCAAATCGCTTCCGAATATCCAAGTCGCGCTCGTAGGTCTGGAAAAGATCGACGTCGGTGGGGAAGTATGCTGACTTGAAGCTTCGCACTCCAAACTCGAACCACATGGTCGCTATTATGATCAGTAGCAATGTGAGCCACCAGAGTAGATTGTCTCCGAAGCGTACGAAGAAGCTGTCCTTGACGTTGTAGGTTACATTGTCCGCATAGATTGATGCGAGGATGATCATCCACAAGAACCATCCACCAATTGATAGGAAGCAAGCGATTACAGCCATGATAGACTTGTTATGAATCTCAATGACCTGCAGCTTCATACTGATGAGGATGATGCATGCTGTAAATGTCAAGGATCCGATCGCGTATAGTCCTTGATCTTTGGTGAAGATGGCTTGAGCATACAATCCGAACATGATGAAATAGACCATGATCGCCTCGCTCGATGCCATGAATATCCAAGCTAGAAAGATCTTGAAGTTGAAGCCTCCATTGCGCTGACCCTTGGTGTATAGTTCAGGTACGGCAATCAACGTCTGAGGCAGGAGATCCTTCTCGAAAATACCAAGGAAAATGACGGGTAGACTGGTGAACAGAGTGTTGAACATACTAAGTGACCAAGACTCGTACAATGAAGTACCGGTGTAGCCAGCCCAGCGTTGGTAGAGTGCCTGAGTCAAGTAAAACAAAAACTCTTTCCAGAAAGTGCCGACTGTGTACTTGCAGATTCGAATGTAGTTCCAGCGACCATGAACAAGCAACAACTTGACCAGGAAGCGGAACTGAGCAATTGAGTAGTCAGATGTACGAGCTGCTTGCAGACCCTCTTTTCCGGTGATACCAATACCGACGTGCGCTTCTTGAATCATGGCAATATCATTGGCGCCGTCGCCTATAGCAAGCGTAATGCTATTCTTGACTCTCTTTCGCACAGCCGACACAAGTCCGGCTTTCTGGCTAGGAGAGGCACGACAGCAGATGACTGAGTCCGCAAGCACTGCAAGCTCATAGAAAAGCCCGCGCAGATACTCGTCATCCTCCAGCAGAGCCAGCGTCTGACCATCGATAACGACAACGGAGTGCGCCACTTTGTTGCTGTTGATATCAAGTATGGTAGCCGCTATGCGCTGCTCCACTTGTCCCGTCTCGTGATCCAGAATTGTGACCGCCGAGTAGTCCTTGATGAGACGACAAGAGTGGCCAATATTGATAGCCGTCTCTCTCTTGTCTCCCGTCAACATCCACATCTTGATGTTTGCACGTCTGAGTTTGTCGATGGCTTCCGGTACGCCCTTCTGAAGCTTATCCTCGATAGCAGTCGCACCTCCAAGATCCAAGTCCCTTTCGATGATCTCGCCTGCATCTTCTATCATCTTTTGACGGTTCACCAAGCTCGTCGTGGCATCGTGGTACAACTTCTTCCATCCAAGGTATTCTTGGTCATCGAGGAATCGATATCCGTACAACAGGGTCCTCAGACCCTCTGTCGCGAAATCGTTAATATGCTGGAAGCAGCGCTCGAGTACGGTGGCCTCGTCAGTGACAAGCGACTCTTCGACTAGCTCATCCTGGCCAAGGTCATCGTAAGACAAAGAGCTACGAGCCTCGGAAGGGGCGAGAGATTGTCGGCTATTCAGTTGAGTTGAGGGTCGTGGAGAGTAATGCTGAGTTGTCTCCTCATGGTTAGACACGTCAACCTCACTTTCGCGTTCTTTGAGCCAGACATTCAGCCCATCACGGACGGGCTGTAGTCTAGTAGTTCCCACACTAGTTCGCGGTACACCACCGATGCTAGGTCGACCAACAGACATTGCAAAACTAGGTCTTGAGAAGCTGGGACGAGCGATGCTTGACCGTTCGTGCTGTTCACTTCGTCGACGAATGGCTTCCTTTGCTTCCAGACTCTTACGAATGCTCGTTCGCTTTTCAATCTCGACCATCTTCTGGTTCGCTAGTGATGCCAATTTGAGTCTTTGCATTACAATAGTGTCGGCTCCTTTGCAGATTACACAGACGCGACCATCAGGGAAGCGTACAGTGACAGACATTCGCTTTCTCTTGCTTGAGAACTCGATGACGTCCAGGATCTCGTATCGTTCGAGAACGGGCTCTTGGTTCACACCATTAGGAAAGGTCTTGATGGTCAGGATTGCAGACTCTCTGTCCATAGCCAGATAGCCCAGCTCTTGTGCTGCTCTTACAAGAGCCAGTTCGTCAGGAGAAGATGCCTGAAAATCAATCTTTCCATCGTCCTGTGTCTCTGGCAAGCAGGTATGACAGAGTGCCATCGACAACAAAAGCATACGAGCTTTCTTGGCGAACAATGTGAATGGCTTCCGTTGAATGTAACGAATCATCGTTTTCGTGCTTAGCTCAGGTTGTGCCTTTCCAGGTCTCGCCGAAGAGGTCCATTGTGAGGTTGACTTGCGACCAGTCTCTCCGAATTCGATCTGATCATCCGCACAATCTAGTTTATGATCGCATGTAATGTTGGACGTTGTCGATTTGCGTATCGGCTTCTTGCCCTTGCTCTTTTGGCTCCGCTTCTTGTGTATGAGCATCTCAGACTCATCTTGCTTGTCTTGCAAGTCAATGTCATGCAACCAAGCCGTACCAGCTACGCTAAGCTTGCGGAACTTCATCATGTTATCTGTCAACGTGCCTGTCTTGTCGGAAAAGACATAGCTGATCTGACCCAGTTCCTCATTGATGGTTGATGTTCTCGCTTCGAATGGTGTGTTGGTGACTTCATCATACATATCGATGTCGTTAAGTAGCACCATCTGCCACACCTTGACAATCTCCATACTCACATAGAGCGATAGAGGAATCATGGTATTGAACATGATGATGAAACTCGTGAGAACAGGGAAGAACGCGACTCTGGCATTGTTGAGATACCATGAATCGTCTTCGGTCCCCTTACGCCAGATTTGGTATGCCACTGTGTTGAAGATTGCCAGAAGAATGACAAAGATAACAATGACAATGACCACCTTGTTGACAATGGCCTGTAGTGCGGGAGCCTTGATCCGAGGGTTCTTGTTCGAGTTCATACGGATCTTACACTCTTCACCACTGTAGATGACCATTCCGTACGCCTCAGGTGTGTTTCTTAAGACACTGCCACGGTAAATGATCTCGTTGTTGCTCAATGGAGCTGTCTCACCGTTTAAGGTCACCTTGCCCTCGAAGTTGTAAAGGTCGATGTTGGGATCTTCGACAACAAAATGAGCATGGCAAGACGCGATGCGCTCCGGCGTATCGCACTGTTTAGCTAGATTGGCCGTGGCTTGCTTGCTCTTAAGATTCGTCTCTCCATCCAGAGCCATAGTTTCAATATATGCAATGCCATTGGCACCTTTCGAGCTCAGTAAGACCATGTCGGCTGGTATAGATTCGTCCCTTTCCAGTCTGACAATGTCTCCAACCTGGAGATTTTGCCATTTCGTCTTGGCCCAGTGAATCGGACCACCAGCATTAGCACTTCCTTCTTCAGCTTGTGTGTCAGATGCGGTAATTGGACGATATGCATGGAGCACGGAAGCTTCGCGGTTATTCTCCGTCTTATCCAGGCGGTAACGTCGTAGATCGTCGTAACCTTCCTTTCCCATGGAAAGAGCAACAAAGAATAGTAATGGAATGATCGTGGTATACGCTGCAAATTTGTTATGATGGGTACAACACAATTACGGGGCAGAGAAGCTTACTTCCTGTGGTACTGAGACCGGGTATCATTTGTAAGATGGAAACACAAAGGAAATAGAAATTAGCAAGCTTGGAGAATTGTGCAAACAGCTGGCGAGGCACAAAGTTCCAAGCAGTATATCTGCTAGAACGAATGTAGTTGGTGATATATGTTTTGTTTGTTCGCTCGTCGAGTAGTGTTGTCTTTCGAGAGGCGTCCAAGTCAATATGCCTGCCGTCTTTCGTAGGCGGAATATCTTGAATACGCAGCACGAACTTCCGAGCTCTGTGGTATTTGGTCTTCACAGAGCGCCAAGTGTTGTTCCTTGAAGTATGCTGCTGTATCCAGGACTGATAATGTGGTAAGGCGGCAATGCCTCGGACACCCTGGCGCTGACCAAATGCAGCAAGTTTGTCATTCTGATCCTCCAGATCACGATCGTCGTCTTGCATCGGAGCAACCTCTACCACAGTATCCATGCTCTTCTTCGAATGATGTGTGTTCATGGCTTTAGTGCCTGGCTGGCTAGATGGGCCGACGGGAGTCATTTCAATTGTGGATGAAGGTAGAGCGAGGGAGTTGGCAGATCGATCATGCATGTTGCGCTGGAACAGCGAACTACGAAGCGAGTAGCCTCGCAATCGAGCAGTTGGTGACATAGGGGAGGCCTTGGGACGAGAATCGCTTGATGCAGAAACGAGACTCGAGGGCGACGAAGGCGCGCTGCCACCAAGCGCAGAAGATGCGGCGGCGGCATTGGTGTCCACGCTGAGGCCAGGCCGTGTGTCCTCATCACTCTTCCTCCTTTTCCCACGCGACAAGCTTGGTGGTCTTTGCTCTTGTAACGAGAATCTTACTCGTGACGAACGGTCGCTCGAACTGCGGATTGGTTGAGGAGGGATATCCGTGCCAGACGTCGAGGGACTGGACTGCGGCCGCTCGTTAGAGAGAGCGTCATGTCGACCAGGGACTGGGTGGATGTCGTCCTCGTCGAAATGAGCAGAGTGTCTCCGACGGACACCATTCAGCTCCGTGTCGGCGTGATTATCATGGCCCGCCATATCGGTGCACGGTAGGAATTGGGCGACGTCTTGTTAGGTGTGTTGCTTCATAGCAGGTGAATCATGAGTGTACCTTCATGTCTTTAGGTAGGAAGAGAACAAGGTAATTGTTGCGGCGCGGCGCCAATGTCGAGACAAAATCGAGACACTGCCCACCTGGACCCGCGAATCGAATCGCGACCCTCTTCAGATCGGTGACGTTGAAGGAACGCGCAATACTGGACCTTATTTAGATCTGACTTTCTCACCACCAACTAATACCTTTCCCTAGCGCTTTGTACTCCATTGTATTGCCCTCTATTAGACCTACTTCCAGAACATATAGCTCCATACTCTCTTTCCCTTCTATGAAGGTCAGGTAGATTGTCGCTTTCAGTCGAGACCGGCCACAGACAGCAATGAGGATGGGGATTTGTGCCGTGACCACCTTCGGGTCAAAGCCACCACCAACTCTTCGCTGGTCGGACGCCCCACGCGGGGATCCTGATCGTGTTGCAAGATCCAGTCGGTGCAGCCTTCAATCTCATTAATCATATCCCATAAGCTCATGTCTACTTATTCGTGTCGTTTCCCTCCGTCCCAGCCACATGTTGTTCGTGTCATTCATAATCATGCTATCGTCCATCCTTCCTGCTTACTACTCATGATCAGGCTGGAGCTCAATCTGATATGTTCGACCTTCCTTAACCTTGCTCTGTTCACTGATATACACAAGTCGAGCTGCAGCTCTTTGTTGCCGACGAGTTAGTATGTAGCGATTGCCGTCATGTGTTTTTAACAGGCCACCCTTGTCCAGAACTCTGTCATTCAAGTCCATGACATCCATGATCTCCGTCTGATACGACACTTTCTCCTGCCATGTGCGAAGTGTAATGTCCACTCTGCCTGCAGAAATGTCATACCACGCGTTACTGGGCATGAACTCTTGCCACTCAAGGATGACCTTGGGTATCTGGATGGTGCTCCAGAAGAGATCTCTATCGACTTTGCGCCATGTGTGCATAGTTGCTAACAAAAGACGCACCCAGCGTTTGAGCCATAGGCGAGCAGACTTCTGTGCAAGTCTGCTTTGAGCGTATTCTTGGTGGAGTCTTCCGATCGGGCGAGTCTCGTCTCCATCAGTACCTGAAGGTCCAAGAGCATTTCGCAGTGTCTCGTACAACTCTCGAGTCTTTGTGCGCATTGCCTCGTACAGTGGCAATGCCTCGCACATATAATACCACATGTCTTTGGTCCTTTGTTGCTTGAAGAGACTCTTGATGAGTTTGTTGTACATGTCGATGGTCGGTTGCACCTTGTAGGGCTGGTTTCGCATCACGTCCCAAATATTCTTTACACTAGCCTTGGCCAAGTAGGTTTGTTCGTTTCTAGATGCCTGACGAGGTCTAGAAAGCACAAACGTCCAGTTAAAAAGCTCATGCCAGACATAATCGGGTACTTTGATATTGTAGGTCCGTGAAACGTGGTCCACCAGACGAAGAGCTGTTGGAATATCATTGTTGATGCCGAAAGCGTGCGCGATAGCATACACTAGGGATGGGGTCGGATACAAAGGTGACGTTGGTGAGATGCGAAGCTCTCGCGCTGCATCACCTGCATCGAGATCGCCGACAACGGCATCGACATCAATACTCCATACTTGCCTTAGGATCTTCTTGACAGTATCAAGATCTCCTTCTCGGGACACACCGAGTATCAGAAGGCGAAACGTTTCTTCGTCCGGCACGATTCCATTCTTCACCATCTCGCGGTGGAAGTCCATCGCCTCCTGCTTTATACCCCGATTGCCAAAGCGATAGGCTGCATGTCTTGCACTAGGGGTTTCCCGAGATCGCGCCTTGGTTCTATAAGCGTTCAACCGACGACTGTGTCTAGCATCTGGATCATGACGCAGGTTCGAAACAATGGCACCCAGATAATTGTTGTAACATTTGAGATCCGGGACAACATTATCAGCGTGCATCGAAGCCCAGAACGACTCTGCGATACATCTTAGACCAGTCCATCTGGTAAATCCTAGGATGAGGCCATAGTCGACTACACTAAGAGTCTTGCTGGATTTGCTGTGCTCGTCAAGTAACTTGACTGTGTCAAGAAGATGCTCCCGGATGAGATGGTCGACAGAAGGCAGGTGTAACTGTGTGACCATCGCAGGACTGAGCTGAGAGTACGACTCCGTCGCCCATGTCAGAGTGTTTTCTGGCCGCAGATGAGCCAGTATCTCGCTGAAGGTGTTTTCCGAGATGTTTCGGACGAAATCCAGATTCTCGTTCTCGGCAGAACGAAATACTTCGATTAATCCATGATAGTCCTTGCGTAACAACAAAATCTGGATCTTGCCATGGAAGTCGTCAACACTTTTGCGGTCACCAACAAAATCTGGGTCGTCAAGCTTGAAAGTCACTCCGCCTGATCTGGCCGGACTGTTTTGAGACAACGATTCCCGAGTGACATGTTTGTGGCTTGGAGATTCAAGAAGTAGTCCAGAACGGTGAGTTTCCCATCCTCTAGACAGCACACCGTTCCCAGAGTAGGACCGAGTGTGATGATACACTCTGTTGTGGTGAGATGAAGAACCGAAGGAGAGATGATTCGACTTGATGGAAAAGGCCAGTCTAGCGAGCGATGCCCTGATTGATTGCCCGTTTCGCGCCATGTGGAGCTAGTGAAGCGGCTCGAACCTTCCCCGGTGAATGCAACGCAAGGGCATCGACGGCGGAAGTCCCATCTTGCCAAGTGCCAAGAGCGCGGACTCTCTCGAACAGCTTCGCGATATCATCAGCAGTGTCGTCGGCGCGGGAACAATCAATCACCAAAACACACCAAACTTGATGCGCAGATGGCTGATGTTGAAGACAACACCGCCAACCCGGTGAACGAGCCACTGGATCTTGTGCGCCTCTCCCTCAACGAGATTGTCTTTGTCAAGCTGCGCGGTGACCGCGAATTGAAGGGCAGACTTCACGTATGCTTTCCCGCATCCTCAAACTCGGCGCATACAAGTGTGCTAATACATCTTATAGGCATACGACAGCCATTGCAACCTTGTTCTTGGAGAAGTCGAAGAGACCATCTACGTTATTGACGATGATGACGAGACCGAGAGCGTGAGGGTAGGTCCTAATAGCTTGGAGATGTCACGACTATTTGCTAACATCTTTCGCCAGACTCTCCAAAAGCAATCAGAGATGCTGTTCGTAAGAGGTACACATTCACAAGTCTCACTCTCAGAGGAGCAGCTCAGCTCACACATCTACGTACAGGAGACTCCGTTGTCTTGATCTCGCCCCAGGCACAATAGCCGTCCCACTTTGAACTGCCCGATACCACGAAATAAGAAAGCACGAGCACCACTGCGACGAAGCTCCAAGCATGAAAGCGAACGATCGATCAGCGACGATTTCTCCGCAGCAGCGAGTCGACGAGCAGAAAACGATGCCTCACGCCCAATGAAAAGCCGATATACAGCTATGATCAATAAAGACAAATTCTGGTTTCCTTGCATCGTTGCCGAAGTCGCCATGTATACCCGTGCCAGGATGGAAAGAGACAGAGAGAAGCTTAAATGATTCGTGGGGGTATCTATGGAAAACAATGCTAATTACACAAGCTCCCATTTGGCAGCAAAAGCATATGAACCCGAGAATCCACCCTCCTTGTTGTAGTCGCTCGGAACCATTCCCCTACCATCACGGCCCTTCCATGTGGTCACTGTGCCTAGCTTGATCTCTTGACCTGGATTACCAAGCTCGCTTACTAACACGTCAGCGTACCAGAAGTATCTATTGGTTTGCAGCGGAACTTCACGTGCCGGTCTACCGTTGCTCTCCGGCAAGAATATCAAGTACAAGTAATGTTTGCCCTTACCGTTCCTCGCATTGTCCCAATGGGGACAGACTTTGTTGAATTGGAAGCGGATATAGGGCTGTGGGTCGTGGATCGAGATCTGCTTGACTCTGGGCGACACGGAGTGCTCGTCAATGCCCTCATCCGTTGTCATGTTTCCGAAAGTCTGAGGTGGAGCGTGACCATTGGTATCGCCCAACAGGTATTCTGCCCAAGTGATTGTATGCCGACCATCACTCCTGTAGAATCGATTCTTGTCGCTCGGGAAGTGACTGCGCCCAAACTCTTCATTACTTCCAACAAAGTGTATGGCATGGAACTCTCGTTTATAAGGCTGACCCCATCCCTCGGAGTGACCGGCACCCCAGCAAGGATCAATCAATTTCCATTGGCCATTGTCGATTTTGACCACGTTCCAGGCGTGGCCTGTTGCATTTTCACGAGGCAGAGGAGTGCCAGGAGTCACAGCCTCGAAGCCTAGGCCTTTTCCGTGACCACCAACGACCATACTCTCCAGACCAGCTTTAGAGGCGAGTGCAGTGAAAAGACCAGCATAACCTTCGCAAACGGCGAGCCCAGTAGCCAATGTCGAGCCGGGCGTTGATGACTTCAGGTTGTTCGTGTACAGCGCTACGACGTCGTAATCTATGTTATGATGCAACCAGACAAAGATTGCACGAGCTTTGTCGGTCAGTGATTGGAAAGGGGATGTGAGCGAATTAGCGAGCCAGGCCAAATCTTGTGATGGTATTGATTGTCGTGGAAAACGCGCAGCGTGTGCATCAACCATGGAAAAGTCTCGACACTTCAAGCAGGAGCCTTGACCAGGCAGGACTGATGCTGCCGATATAGCTGTACCATTCGTATTCCCAGAGCCGTTACTGCTGGGCTTAGATGCTAACAACTTGGAGAGATCAGGCCGCGAAGAAGTAGGAACAGGCGGCGGTGCAACCGATTCGGATTTTTCTGGAATGGCCGGAGTCTTAGGGGTGGTATTGAAGCCCATGCTCAAAGCAGATCTTTTAGGAGCTGCGGGCTTGACGACTCCCTGATCTGTGATACTTGGAGAGGAAGAAGGGGTTCTAGTGGGTAGTGGAGGTCTAGAGGGCAACGCCGGTCTTGCAGGTTCCTGGACTGCAGGAAGCACATTAGGAGATGATTTGCTCTGATGCAGAATAGGACTGCGTTCCGGCAGACTAGGGGTCCGCTTATGAGGCAGTGGAGGCAGTGTCGATGCATCGAACGAAGGTGCCCGGATCGCGAACATAGTTCCGGAGTTGCTTGTAGCCGAGCTCATACCAGTCCTTGTAGAAGCTGTCGAAATGGATGACCTAGTTGAGACCACGGATTCGCTCGATTGCTTTCTAGTTGCATCCGGTCTTGCAGACATGTTAGATGGTGTTTCGGAAGGTCTCCTGGGCGGCAATTGCGGTGTTGGACCTGAGGGTTGCCTTGGTGGCAACTTGGGAGCAGCACTCCTAGCTGGTCGGGTTGGCATCGTCGGAGGCGTACGTCCGGGCACTTCCCTTGTCGCCGGCTGATTGCCTATATCATGGCCCGCATCAGCAGCGGAGACATGAACTCCCACAGGAGGCACATTAGTTGTCTGCGGTCTCGATGGAAGATCCGGTCTCTTCTTCGGCAAGGTAGGAGGGCCTGTCTTCCCCGTAGGTTGTCGACCTACTTGGTCCAACTTTAAAGCGGCGATGCGTGCCGCGATACTTGTGCTGCCATCTTGATCTGCCATTCCGCCGAACTGATTAAAGGAAATCGTGTAGATACGATTGAGAGATGATGTTCGGGTCGACAATCGTAAGAGATGGGGAGTTGCTCAGGAATTGGCCGTCGCGATGTCAACGATCAGTCGTGCAGCCTCGTAGGTTGCCTGATGGGCGCTTGTGGACGCGATTCCTTCGCGTACCGGAGGCAGGCAAACTTTGGTATGAAGCGAAGACAAATGGTTTCAGCATGCAACAGGTCACGAAATTGTCATATACTACTCAACAGCTTTTTGGCACTTTAGATTATAGGTGGCCGGTCCAGACAGACTGCTGTGCCACGCGTTGGCAAGAGATGTACGCCGTCGTTCCAGCTTGGCGCGTCTCGTGAGTTTCCGATTTGCACATCTCTCGAGTCAGTTCTTTATTCGACTCTTAGACATCAATCTTTTGTTCGTTGAAGGCTTGACCAAATGAATCTGCTACTGTGATGCCTCGACTATGTCTCTATGCCTGACGTACGCGAGCTGTAACATAGTCTGGCTGGGCCCAGCACGTCGGTTACATCTGACCTCCCTTGATGTTATTGATGCTAAGTGCTCCACTGGCACAGAGGCTCAGATACGTTGTAGGTATAAGGTGGTATGCACACTTGATCATCATCTAGATTGGTTGCGAGATTCTTGCGATAACCCCTCCCACGCCATGCACTCCCAACCGAACGATCTACCTGGCAGGCCGCAACATCCGACACCATGCAAAACAGATTAACCGATGATGGGCATAGCACAAATGTCGCAACCTATCTACCTTGACTATTGACAACCAATATGTATCAGCAAAGTCCGTTACACGAGTTTACGAACCGCTGCATGTCTCTCTAGCTGCAGCCTCGGATGCAGATGGAATGCAGTCCCTTCGCTAAGACTCAGCACTTGATCGTTCTGACAATGTCTGCTGATTTGTCCACAGCTTGTAAAGTTCAGACCTGCAGAGAAATCGGTCCCGCTGAGTGCACAATCTAACACGATTGGGCATCGTTGGACTCTGGCGACCACACCGGTTGATCCTATAACTCTGCCGCATAGGATTTCACCCCTGCGCTTCCGTCGCCAAGAGAGCTTGTGTATATATTTTGACGTCTGCTGTGTAAGTCGATCGTTCAAACGGCACCACTCTGATCACTCTATCTTGTTTCCATCATGACCCGTTCGTGGTTGCTGTACCTACCAGCTTTTTGCATTGGAAATTTTGCCAGTCCATTGATTGGCTCTGTTCAGTATGACTACATCATCGTTGGTGGTGGTACAGCTGGATGTGTGCTTGCCAATCGTCTTTCGGCAGATCCATCCATATCAGTTGCTCTGATCGAAGCTGGGCCTACCGTCTTCAATGACTCTCGAGTTCTCTCTATCAGTCCTTCCGGGCCCGCATGGGGTACTGAGCTCGACTGGAACTATACAACGATCCCACAGATTCATGTAAACAACGCTGTATTGACATACCATGCGGGCAGAGACATTGGCGGTACAAGCACCATTAATGGTAAGACAGTGCCATCTGATTCTAGGCTATCTTCTAACTGTTTTTAGGTATGGTGTACCTTCGCCCGACTGCTGAAGAACTAGATTCTTGGCCGGTCCTGGGGAACCATGGATACTCATGGGACAGTCTCCTGCCTTACTTCAAGAAGAGTGAGCACTTGCAACTCCCCACTGAACCTCGTTCACTCTCCGAAGCGTCCTACGAGGCCGCCTTCCATGGTTTCGCTGGTCCAGTCAAGGTTGGTTGGGGCAATGATTTAGATCCCGCTGCTGGATTTGGGCAAGCATTGAACACATCCTTCCAAGCTCTAGGGGTTGGATGGAATGTGGACCCAAACTCTGGCAACACAACAGGAATTGGCTTGTTCCCGATCGAGAAGGACACTGTTCTCCAAATCAGACAAGACTCGGCCAGATCGTATTACTTGCCTGTCATGGATCGGCCAAATTTGCATGCTTTCACCAACACTACCGCCCTCAATATCGATCTGGATAACAGTAAAGCTCATCACGGTCCTAAAAGACCGTTCAGGGCAAAAGCTGTGAACGTGAGCCTGCCCTCGGGCAAAAAACAGACTCTCTACTCCAAGCAAGAAATCATTCTTTCGGCTGGCACATACAGAACACCTGGTCTCCTCGAACAGTCGGGAATTGGCAATCCTTCGTATGTGCAAAGCAGATAACCTGTGACTCGGATCGCGATGCTAATTCTGAGCCGTTCCCAGTGTTCTACGTAACTTATCAATCACTCCAAAGGTGATTCTTCCAGGCGTAGGAGCTCACGTCCAAGATCAATGGCTAGTAGGCATCATCTACAATACAAACATCACCATAGATTCCGTAACAGCAGGTTACAACTCGAACCCTGTTACAGTTGCTCTGACTGCCGCTGATCTATTCGGCGATGATCTTGAGGCTACGGCTGCACAACTCTACAGAGATATACCGTCATATGCTCGAACACTTTCAGAAGCAAGCAACGGCGCCATCTCTGTACAAGCACAAGAGCAGATATTGAGACTTCGAGCACGTCTAATACTCAAAGATAACGTGGGAACCGGCTCCTGCTCGTTTGGAAACTATGGTGGTAATTGCTGGGTCACACTACCCCTCTCTACAGGAAACGTCCATGTAAGCCAATCTTCTCGATTGATTGTCATAATCAATGACTCTGAGTGCTAACACACTGCTACCACCAGTCCTCCTCCGACCCGTCAAACCCAAGAATCAACCCAAACTTCATGCAACTCCCCTGGGACATCCTAGTAACCCAACGCCTAATCTCCACCCTCCGAAAAGTCCTCTCCTCACCTCCCGTCCAACTCGCCCTCGGCCCCTCCGCCAACGTCGAGCTATCCCCCGGCCTCGCAAACGTACCACTAAACGCCACCCTCTCCCAATGGACATCCTTTTTCCAAGCCGCTCTCGCTCCAGTCTGGCATGCTGTAGGATCTGCGGGCATGAGAAGAAGGGATTGGGGCGGAGTAGTGGATACAAAGTTTAGAGTGTATGGTGTACAAGGACTGAGAATTGTGGATGCAAGTGTTATTCCAGTGGAGGTTAATGGTAATCCTACGAGTCTTATTTATGCATTGGCGGAGAAGGCGGCGGAGGATATTTTAGCGGATTGTGGCAGAGGTGGTAAGGGAAAGGGATGGTGAGGTTTAAATTGGCCCATTTGCAAACCATACTGCTATGAGTGCATATTATGTCCTATGCAAATTTTGTTTCTTCCTTTAAATCGAGCTTGCGTAACTCTTGCTAGTATGTGTGACAATATCTTGGATATTCACTCCACAAATCATTGCCCGTGTGAGGCTCCTCAGCCCGACGAAACTTTGACAAAATTTGCATACCACAGCCCCGACCCCGATCGCAACCCCGCTGACACCTAGACAGCAAAAGAACACTGACACGGAGATAGCGTATTGGATGTACACACACGAGCAAAAGTTGGAGTAGCTGGGAATCGAACCCAGAACCTTCTCCACTCAGTAATGCTCAGAGGAGCAATGCTAAGAAGATGTCATACCACTAGACCACAACCCCTTTTGATATGTGCGGATCCGCCCTCATACATTATATACTGTTTTTCCGTAGCACAGTAACAGAGCACGGCAAGCATCAAGGTCATCGTGACATCTGTGTACCACCAAGGAAACAGAGAGCCAGAGTGTTTAAATACATACTAGAATGTATTTAAGACTACATAAGTTTGTACTCGTCGACTTTAACATATCTTTGCCCAGCATCGGTAACTCGGGTCTTGTGTATAGTCTTCCGACAACGCGTTTAGATCTAGCGACTACTGAAGGTAAATATAGTTGATATATCCACCAAGAGACCTAACATCATTACGTGCCTATTACAGTAAGGACAGAGTATCTATATTCATGGATCCACAGTATATCGATGTAGTTTTATACTTCCGTCGTCGTGCTATACACGATTTACTTGTCAATACCCTTGCTTAGGGGGGAACCCTGACTACGAAGCCCATTGACAAGATATCAAATGAGATTTGAGCACGAAGATTTAAGAGATAATACGTGATGGACGGGTTTAATTTATTGAACTAAGGATTAGTGTCAAGGATTAGTGTCAAAAATGGGTGCAGGAGTGCACTTTACGTCTTCTGCTACAGCAAACATATGGTAACCCTCCATCATGATATATTCGTACACCTAGCAATGCATTCCCTCCTATTGTTACAATCCGTGTCCGATGTATTGGTCCACACCACACCAACCCCATCGTATATCCATATCCTCCTTTCCCATCCCAATGCTCGTACAGTAAATAATGTCATAATCTCATCATGTGGTGGTAGTGGTAGCTGTTTGCTCTGCAGAGGCATCCGCAGAGGTTGTTGCGTGCAATGCCGTGGTCGCGTTGGTAATCGCAGCATTCGCAATGTCATTGATGGCGTCAGGATTGCTAGTCACAGCGGTGCCGACATCAACGTTCGTAATGTCAAAATCATCAAAGTTAAAGTCGAGCGATCTTCCTGGCGTCAGGAAGGTAGGCATGGCATCCGAAAACTCGAACTGACGACCAGGGCTGAGGAAAGGTACCTCGTGATGTGCATCGCTCAAGAGTTGCGTCAGCTGACGCGTGAAGGGCGTCATCTGACTTCTAGATGGCGACGACAGGTTTGCCCATCTTGACGGAGTGGTCGGGAAGAGGTTCTTGGCCTCAGCCGAGCTAAAGGTGGGCAGGAAGGTCGAACCTTGATTGCCACTCGGGGTACGGGTGTTACGCGCCACGGTGCGAAGAGAAGAGCGTGAGGGGGTCGGTGTCTTGAGGAGAGTGTCCTGATGGAGCATACCGTTCTTCTCAGGAGTCTTGCGAGGAGTTTTGAAAATATTAGGCGAACACTCAAAAAGATGGGCAAGGTCGTCCTCCTCGTTCTGAGGTGGGCAGTTCTCTTTGTTGGGCTCCTCAACAAACGCCATCTCGATGATTGTGCTGGATTGAGGTTTCGCGCCTGGTAGGGCTAGGTCGTCGAGGGTCTTCATCTGACCATTTCTCTCACGTGGTGATGGGAATAGCAGACGGCGTGTCGGTCTAGGAGTCAACTCGGCTTCGACTTCAATGGGACTCTCTTGCGAGCCAATGAAGCGAGCAGGGCTACTTTGAATGGCGCGATGTAACGCAGCGTCTAGCTCTGGACCGGTCCACTGTTTGTCAGACTCGCTGCGCTTGAGCTGAGGTTGCACGCTGCTTGCTCTAGGACGATCGAGCGGTGGAATCGTCTCTTCGTTGGTTCGCTCTTCACTCGATCGGCTGTTACTGTTGTCCTCAGGCTGAGCAGCATCAGTGTACAGTGCTGAAGGTTGATCTACGAAGTAGTCCGACTGCGGCTCTGAAGGTCCAGCAGGTGGCATAGCCTTGCGTTGCTGCTTCTTGCCCTTGGCTGCTTGCTTCTTGACCCATTTATCGGCAGGTCTCATCACTCTGAACTTATTGAACCAAAGGCCGCAAGCTAATTTTGTCAGTCTTGGATCATGGCTTATAGAATCACTCCACTTACGGTTGCACACTTGCATGGTATCAAAGCCGAGTGTTGCATCTTGTGAATCTTTGGTCTTGCGCATTGACTTGATGATGCGGTATTTGGTAGATTTCTGTGTCTCTGCGTCACGAGTCAAGACTTCCACACCAAGAGTAACGGTCTCGGTCTCTGCAGGATCCATGTCCTCTGGACATCCTTCAACCACTTTGACAAAGAGATGACGCCAGGTTGGGGTTTCGATAGCACCACAATGACCACAGAAGGGTGGCATTTCACCATTCTCGATCGACTTCTGGAGTTTGTCTTGGATGTTCTTCTTTCTCTGTGCTCCGGAGCCACTGCGAGGAGCCTGCATATCAGTAGGAGCAGGTGAAGCTGCATCAGATCTCACGATCATCGATGCCGATCTGGCCATACTAGGCTTGTTCGACTGTGGCTTGGGTGGTAATGCAACTGAGTTTCTACGTGAATTCTGAGCGAGCACAGCATTGCGAGCCTTCTTGCGTGAAAGCTCAGCCTGAGCAGCAGCAGCCTCATCCATCTTTCCAGTATGTGACATTTGCATTCTTGTAGGTAGTAACTCGGGAGGTCCAGGTGTTTGCTCGATAAATGAGATGCCTGCGGATGGCGGCTGTGTCCTGGGTCTGTATTGTGCGGCAATCTGCATGTCTTCTTCACATACAGATCGGTCTTCATCGTCGTCATGACAATCGAATGTCGAACTCATGTAGCCCGAATCAGCAGGTCTTGAGAAAGATGGTAGCCCTGGACTAGAAGGCTCGGGCAGAAGAGGCGGCGAAGATGGAAAATCGGTCGGAGTGATGCCCATGGGGTTGTCGATAGCATCATCTGGGGAACTCATTGCTGACTCAGAGGGAGGGGGGAGACAGTTGGGAGTGGGGTCGTAAGGGGAGTTGTAGGTCATGGCTCTGGCAAGAGATGACTCGCGGCGGAGAATGCTTCCTGGCTGGGGACGGGATCCAGGCAGATTGATCTGAGGGACTGGGGTCGGGACTCTCGGGGGCGGTTCCAAAGAGTTGCCCATGATGCCGGGACGCATGGCGACGGGCTTGTGCACACGAATAGATGCTGCAGTGCTGGCCGTCACTCGCAGCGAATCTGATGGCCCACCAAACGTAGATTTTCCACGCCAGTCCGCCTGTGTCACCTTTACTCTCTTCCTTGCAGGGCCCTCCTCTTGATACTGCTCCTGTCCAGCCATGGACTCTCTGCGTTCATGGTGCATATCGCTCTGTACGGACATTCTTGATGAGGGTCTAGCTATGTTCTCGTTCGGATATGTTTGAGGAGCCGATTGGTTCATGGATGGGCTGTTGACTCGGCTCGGAGGCCCACTGTATGATTGCGTCGGGCCGGAGAAGGACGGTTGACCATTGAAGCTAGCGTTAGAGCCCTGTCTTGGGCGTTGGTACGACATCATGTCGTGATCGGAAGGGTCCTGCCTCATTTGCGTGGGCGTGAGACCTTCCTCAAAGGGCGCCCCGAGGGAGAGGCCAGATTGTGAGAAGGAGGCGGACCAGGCGTTGGGATCGAAGCCAGCAGACATGGCGGGGTTGATGTTGCGATAGATTTCCATGCTCCTGAGGAAGTCACCTTGCACGGGCTTGGGCACTGGGACCAGCCTCAGTTTGACTTCCAACGTCTCCTTGACTCCGTTGGAGAAAAGGCCCATGATGTTTTTGCAGACGCGCCCGGTGATCATCGTCTTTGACTGGTATGCAGGGGCGGTCGGGGTGGGCGAGACGGCGGCAAGCACGGACGACAGCATTCCTTGGCCCACCAGCGGCGTCTCATACTCGGAGTAGTCATAGGCATAGATGGTGAAGTCGCCTTGGGTGAGGCGAGAGACGAGTTCCGGACTGGCCGAAACGATGGCGCGGATGCATGTGCGAAGCTCGATGACTCCGATCTGCGTATTTTCATCGATCGGCACCGTGGGGACGTGAAGGATGTCGGGGAAGCGAGCGAGGCAATTCGTCTTGTTGTCGTTGTCGAACGTGTAGAGAACCTTGACTTGAAGGACATCAGCAGGAGTCGGCGTAGCATCAAAGAAGCATCAAATTACCTCTCATAGGACGCGTCGGAATGTCGAGAAATGGATTTCCAGGTGATTGTGACGCGTCCACGTCCATAGCAAAGGATGCTGGAGACGACATGGTGTGTGGGAGGCGAGATTGGAACGTCGTGAGTGACTGCTGTCAACAGATAGTCTTGCGGGTTACAGCATGCTAGGGGGAGAGTTCCGAGGAGGGGAAGGAGTGATGTCGTGTTGCTTTCTGAAGAGTCGAAGGGAGTAAGATTGGAACGGGCGCGAAGAAACAAAAAGTCGAAATTACAAGGTCGCTATGATCTCAGACAAGGGAGAGGTTGGTATGCAAAGATGGTAATATTGAAAGACGAGACAGGAACGCGACAGACACGCGCGCGTAGCGTTTGTTGGAAACTGCGCGGTCCAAGCTCTCAAGATCGAGAGGCATGCCGGCACTCGTCACCGCTGGCAACCCCAGCTCATTCAAGAATGAAGACGTTATACTTTGATCAAGTCGATCGATCATCGACTGGAACACATTCGTACGATCCCACAGCAGGATGGAGGGTGCAATGACTGTACACCGGGAGGCTGACAGGGGGATGAAGGATGCACTGGCAATTGCACAAGCGCCCGTACAAGATTAAGTATGGAAGGTCAATGCACGCATAACTTAATCTAATCGTCAGAGCCGCCTGATTTCTGACACAAGCATCCAACATCAATCTTGTGCAATGCGAAGGAACTCTGCAATTCAACAGGCTACGTGGTTCTCATAACGTGACATCGAGAGTCACGGCTTGCGAGAATCTTACCAAGTTCGTTGGCTCTCCTCTCGAGCGATCGTATCTCTGCCCTCTCGCTGTACCTATGCATGAGCAACCAAACGCGAAGTCATCGGATTTGAGTCACCAGATAGCGGATCGTTTCTAAGATCAACGACTCACACTTTGGAACTGTTTGCTCAGATTTAAACAACCACATGTTATGTACAACTGGACAATCAACCTATATCATCGCGTTCCCTCATGCCTCAGCAAGACCGGTCAAGAACTCGGAGAGACCGTAAGCACCAGGATCCGGAACTTCCTTGAAGCCCTCGTTACCCACGTATACTGATCTTCCAAGACTAGCCTTCATTCCCTTGGTGGCATCTGATCCTTCCTTAGCTGCCTGTGCCGCCTTCTTCAGATCTCCGGTGGCTACAAGCTGCTTGATGAACGGCTCCAATGCGTCCACAAGAGTTCTGTCGCCAGGTCTTGCCGGTGTGTATTTGCCGAGACCTTCCAGAGCCTGCTTAGCTGCTTCGGCCCAGATCTGCGTCGTGACCTCTGTCTTGCCGGACTCTGGCGATTGTGAGCGTAGACCAGCAGCTAGTGCATTGAGGAAAATGGCGTAAATGGCTCCACTGGTTCCATCCATAGATGTTTCTATGACTGAAGTGATACGGCCTAGGAAGATAGCGGCGTCCTTTGTATCAAGATCGGAAGACATGAGCTGAAGTATAGAGTCTGCGCCACGTTTGAGACCGATTCCACAGTCGCCATCACCCACAATGGTATCGTAGTGGGTGACATCCGGTTCGGCGGCAATGACGCGCTCCAGACCAGCCTTGAGCACCCTCTTGGACTCATCGGCGTTGACTGAAACCTGTTAGCATGTGTTCTTGTTAGTCCAGGAGTGAGCTTACGTGTAAGGTTGCTGGGTATGTCTTGTTCGCCGTCAGCCTTGGCCGTTCTCCTTCGATCGGCCGCAGTCGACGTATTCTCCCAGGTCGCTGTACTGATGGGTGTCGCCCAACCAGCGACCTCCGAGGGAGCATCAAGCAATTGCAACAGAGACTTGTCCAGGCCAGTGTCCTGGAGCTTGAGCAAAGAGATACTGAAGCCAATGCCGTTCAAGCTAGTCATGAAAGTACCGACGAGTATTCGGACGGGTCTGATGTTGTGGTACTTCTTGAGCTGGTCCAGAACTTCAGTAGCGATGCCGCCCATCTCGAGTACACTGACACCGCCCAAATTGTTGATCAATACGACCGTCTTGTCTTCGCCAGACACTTTGAGGAAAGCTCGCTCCTTGTCATCCTGGTCTAGCATGTGTGCCAACATCTGTTCAACCAGGCTGGGCAGATCTGCCTTTGTGCGTTCCGAACCAGCCTCATTGTGGATGCCCATACCGATCTCCACCTCTTCAAATGTAAGTTCGTCCTCGCCCGCTTCGGTGACCTTGCGACCTGGGACGTGAACGTGCGAAAGAGAGGAACCGATCGAGACGATGTTGTCAGCAGCGAGTTTTGCGACGTGGTGCACATCCTTGAGGGGTGCTCTGGAAGACAATGTCAGCTTTTGCCATCATACTCATATACTCGCTGACATACCCGGTAGCTGCCAAAGCTCCAGCAATCTTCTGTACGAGGACAGTTCCCGCAATTCCTCGTCTGCCAACCTTACCACCCTTCGATCTAGGAACGCCTGCATCATCTCCAACGACCAGCATCTCAATATCGACGCCAGTTGCTCTTGCTTTCTGTTTCACACGCGTCAACACTTATTCGAGCAATCATTCATCATAGGACGGCATACCTCAACCCCCATGCCAAAGTTGAGCACATCACCAGTGTAGTTCATGACGATGACCAGAACACCCTTTGCAGAATCAACGCGGCCTAGTAGACACCTTCTGATTTGCTCGGCCGAGGGTGAAGCGAAGATTGTTCCAGAAACAGCTCCAGAGAGAAGACCAGGTCCTACGAAGGCTGCGAAAGAAGGTTCATGACCAGCACCACCACCAGAAACTACTGACACCTGAGAAGTTTTGTAAAGGCCAGCATCTCCGCGACGGAAGACAATCTTGTTCTCTGCATCAAGAGCAACTGACGGGTTGGCAAGAGTAATCGACCTCAAGGCCGTGAGTACTAAGTGGTTGGGGTCATTGATGAAATGTTTCGCGGCGGGGTTATAAGTCGATGTTCCAGACATATTGATGCAAGAAGTTGCAGTAACTGGAAGGAGAAAGGACAGGATAGCGAGAGATGGGAGGATAGGGAGGGGCTTATGCTATAAGAAGTACCTCTCCACTCTCCCATCCGTCGTGTCCTGCCCCTCCAACGGGGACCACAAAAACACAGACACCTGATGCTCTCGTAGCCCCGCCATACTTTCTCCGAAGATCGCTGTTCCTACCGACGTGGCGCAGATCGTCTTTGCCAATCAAAGAGGTCCTTTTCAGCCGACTTCTTGGATGTTGCGGGGAAAGCTCCTCCAAGGTGGGGTTCTGGAAGAACGCAACTGTAAGCGCAACCACGCCCTGCGTGCACCACGACAGCCTCAAGAAGATATTCCGAGTCTGCGAGACTGACTACGATATCCGCGAACATAGCTCCAGTCACCATGGTGCAGAGCGACGCCTTCATGCAACTCCTACCAAACTTTCTCTACATATGACGCGCTTCGCTTCTCCTAAAGCAGAGCTTGGCGTTGGAAATTGCCTAAATATCGAGGTTTGTTCTCTCGATACATCTGCTCAGCTGTCGACACTAACATCACAACCAATACGATGTTGGAAAGCACTTGGGGTCGTCCATATCGTAGGCTTGCTGGGATGCCTCATGATCTCGACCCAGGATGGAGCCACCGTTCGAGCCACTGTTTGAGCCACATGAGGACAGGCCTGATATCAACTCTCACAGAGCAGACATTCATCTTCCAAATCTTGGTACCCCATGGGTAGGTCATTCATCATGCTGCTTGTTTTCGATCAACAACACAGGACCCTCTTCACGTGGCAGCCGAACATTTTACGGGCAAGACTCGCGATTTTAAGCACAATGTCTACAGAGAACGTGTCATTCTCTGCAAGATCTAGTTAAAGCTCCAGGTAGAGGACGCTCGACGTCTTCTTTCCACGCCAGAACAAGTTATATCGTCTCTGCAACATGATTAAAGATGTCTTGACTCTCAGCCCTATCTGTAGGATCTTCGATACTAATTCAGTTGACAACCACACATCTTTGCATAACCGCGCATCTTTACGAAGGCCGGACTCTCTAGGCCCTCCTGGATCTCAACTAGAATCTAACAGGAAATCATTCCAACCAAGATCGGTTGGTTGTACGAACACAGGCAGATCGAGTCTACCACTGTCAAATCCCGACACGATCGTGGTGGCGGTACCACAGAAGGGAGCTCAGAAACCGACAGAACGACTAGTATCGCACTAACTGTCGTCTCTTACAAATAGACGGCATTGCTTCAGGTGGCAAGAGGAGCATCATCTCACCCTGTATCTACTTCGAACTATATCCGGAAGCTCTTGGGGACACACTGCTAAGGCCCTGTCGATAGTTGCTTCGCCGAAAAAACGGAATCCCATCACCAAGCAAGAAGTCCATCCATCGCTTCCAGTAAAGCTCTTCAGAGGTTACAACGACAGGAGTCAAGGATTGAGTTCACCCACTGAATTCGTCGCAAGTCGCTTTGCCGAGCATAATCACTTTCCATTACCCCCACAGTATTCAGATAACGATCTGGAACTTGACATCCAAAAACACATCAGTCAGGATCGCGAATTCAAATCGACCCTAATAAGCACTGGAAGTAGTTTGGTCAAAGCATTACGCAGAGCAATTATAGCAAGCTCGAGAGCTGAAGATATGAGCTCTTGTAGGCTCAGTATCATCGATACTCAGAAGATTGGACCGAGCAGTAGCATCTCTTACGCTCGACCATATCGTGACTGGTTCCAATACAAGAAAGAATTTCCTTGGAGATATTCGGTTGAGGAAGAGCACCTAGCTTGGGCCGAGATATCTGTATCGGCTGTCATGACAGAAGTGTCTCTCGAAGACTTGCAATCATTCATGGTTGAAGATTCTGTACTGTCCTCTGCCTTTAACACAGATGTCTCGTCCGGCGACATAGTGGAGGTGTGTAGAGCTTTGAAAGCCAAACGCACCGCACTTTCTTCCGAGCTTGTCGCCGCAATAGCTCGTCTGATTGCCTTCCTCGGTATGGAACTCCATACCTCACCAGCGATTATCGCCAAGCTTGTATGTGAGGTCACACACGATTGGTACGTTGTGCTCCCAGTTCAGTCAGCTGAAGCTTGGTTTGCAGAAGCTGCAGTATTCGCACACAGCTTTGTTGCTTCGCAAGATTGTTTGATGATTACCGATGAGGTAAAGTACTTCCCGAACATCTGCCAGGCATTTCTGGCTGGAGCAAGGACTTCTCTGAAGGACTGGACGCAACATACCGAGATCAGCCAAGTTGAGGCATACAGAACGATCAATCGAGCGATCAGAGTTGGTCCTCTGTCTGCAGAAGAACGTCTGACAAGGCCAGTACTCTGCTAGTATACAGCTGTAGAAAGGCAAGACTCTTTTTGGAACGAGCATGGTATTGAAGGAGAGCGACTGCCTTGGGTTCATCCATTGGAGCGATCTCAACCATGCGAGGCTGTTAGAGTATCTTTCTACAGCTATGGAACGATACAAGTGGAGCCTCTCTACATGGCTGTATTGGACCAATGTCTTTCTCTATTCCGCTCTCTGAAGGCCGCAATCAACAGCATCGAAGCTGTCAAAACGCAGGACCTTATGCAAAGTTCGAGAAGGCTAAAATAGACGACAGACGGTCACATTTTCCCTCACCCCAAACTCACTTCTTTTTCACCTTTTTCTCACTTCCTCCTTACTCTGCCCCTACTCTGTTCGCGGTGCTCAGAAGTTTCTCGGCCAAATCTCCGCCCCGCTCAATAGCAAGTGGTGGATACACAAGATCAACTATTGTTCAGCGCTCTATACCAACACGATTGTTGACTTGAAACAGCCACAATGACAGTCAATGCCTAGACTCACAATAGGCTATTGGTCAGAATGCCCGAGATCGCCATTGATACTGGGTAGCGGATTTTGAGTAACAGTTTCTTCTTCCTGAAGTTCTTCTCTTCCCAACTCTTCTTTCCACCTACAATTCTCTTCGTCGTTGCAAGTCTTCTGTCAATATTCTCTTCCTTTCTCGTGTTGTTTTTATCACCACATCCCGCCGGCTCGGGTTTTTGCCTTCCCGTTCAAGCATCGGTCATCTTGCTGGTCAAGACCTGTCTTCCATCATGTCCTACACCAAGTGCTGTTCTCCTATTGTCAGCCCATTCGCTCTCGCTTTCAATTTCGGTCCTGTCGCCGAGCCAGTTGCCGATCCCGACATTGTACCCTTCCGTTTCCGCGATCTGCCCAAGGAGCTTCGCTTCATGATCTACGAATATAGCCTGTCATTCGACCCCGTCGACAACTACTGTGGAAGATACGTAGATTTGTTGTGCACAACATCCAACACAAGAGAGCCTGCTCCCAAAGTCAAGTTGGCATGTCCTTCGATCTTGTTGGTTAGCAGAGAGGTCACCGAGGAAGCACTGCTCATCCTCTATCAAACCCCTCTCCACCTGTCTCATGGCATCTCAAGGGCCAAATTCAAGGATCTGATTGCGCCTGCATTGTTGCGCAAACTCCGCTATGTCAACCTGTCTGATACTGGTATCCGCCACCTCAACCCTCCTCCCCATGACACCTTCACTGGTCTTTGCTTTGTTGCTGCCCAGCTTGCAGCACTTCTCAGACCTGGCCATTCCCTCAAGTCTTTGAGCATCACCTACACATCTCCGTACATAGCTCTTCACCTGAAAGACTGTCTCATGGACAAGGACAGGGCCTGTGGCATCAAGAGTTGGACCCACAACATGGTCAGGGGTCTCAAGGAGTTGCACAATGTTCCGAAAGTCTCTCTCAACCTCGGTCTCCCTCAGGAGATGAAGCAGGGGATTCTTCAGTCCATGACTGGCCCAGCTCAGGGGTTCTTTGCCCTTCCACTTTCTATCCGTCAGAAGGTCTACAGCTATGCTGCTGACCCCAATGAAAGTGTTTTTGCAATGAAGCAGGCTACCAAGGATCTCGCATTGTGAGTAGAGATACAAACCACCTCCGTTGGGCACCTCGCTAATATATCTCAGCAACCTGGATCCGACCTTTCCAATGAGAGACACTCCAACTGTCTTCTTGATCAACAAGCAGATCGAGGAAGAAGCTTCCGAGATAGTCTACCGCAAGCCCCTTGTCATCAAGCACCTATACCCTATGGTCAACGCCACATTCGTCCAGCCAAACGACTTCTTTTCGCCATACATCTACAAGAAGATTGAGCATCTGGAACTACATCTGACCGACTACCGCCACCTCACCATGTTCCAAGCCATCACCAGGAACCTTCAGCGTCGTCGCAACAAGACCAAGCTCAAGTCATTGACCCTTCATTTCGCCGAGCCTCGCATCAAGCGTATCATCTTAGCCGACCCTCTCAGCTATTACCCCGACAACCAAATCTATGCCTTTATGCGCAGTCTCAACCACTTGCACGACATCTGCGAAAAAGTCACCATTACTGGAAGTCTGCCTGACTGTTTCACGCGCCCCATCATCTACAACATGACTGTCAAGCAACCCAATGAGCCTTTCCAGCCTGTTCGCGCTCAGAATGCTCTCGGTCAACAGATTGATGTCCACACTATGATGAGATCTGCTCTGTACCCCAAGACTCGTGGCTGGTTGACCGAGCCTGACATCTGAAACAGGAGATATGGAAGAGATGGGATGTTTCCTGGCGCTTTCTGATAGTTGATGATTTCGATCTTTTGTTTCTCACACTGCTACACACATTCTTTTGGTAAAGCTTTTTCACTATTAGTATTTCTTAGCAATCTGACACTGCTCGCTCAAACTCATACCAAACTCTCTCCCTCTTCGTGTATACATAATTTACGAGCCCAGAATAGTGACTGCATGCCCTGAGGGGCGCATTATCGATGTAATAAATAGGGATCAATCGCACCATCTATTGAGCTATGATGTTCCTACTCATTCCGACTTGACAGCAGCCTCCCTCTCTCCAATAGTCATCCACATGTCCGTAAAATAACTAACACCACCCTTGATCAAGTAATTCCCAGGCTTCTCCTTATCCAATAACTCAGGACTGAAGCTCCTGAAGAACTGCAACGGAGCCTTGTACAACTCCATGTTGGCAATCTCCCTTCCCAGACAAACTCTCGCTCCATAGCCAAACGCCATGTTATACTTGTTGTACAAACGAGTCTTTTCTTCGGATTCGAGCCAGCGCTCAGGACGAAAGACGTTGGCGTCTGAACCGTAGATGGCAGGGTCGCGGTGAACGATCCAAGGGTTGCAGGAGATCTCTGTGCCTTCGGGAGCGTAGGTGCCGTAGAGATCGATACCGCCGTTATTGACGAGGCGGGGGAACATGTTTGGTGCTGAGGGGGTGAGACGCATGGATTCTTTGATGCAGGCAATGTAGTAAGGGCAGTGTTCGGTGACTTCGCTGTACTGAGGCATGTCAGAGAGGTAGCCAGCACGAGTGGCGGTGTCGAGTTCGGCCATGAGCTTCTTGTAGACAGCGGGATGGGTCAGAACATCCTTGATCAGAGCTTGAATCGCTGTGCCGGTAGTGTCTGCACCTGCGAGGAGAACGAGGAGGATCTCAGCTCTGATGTATTCGGGATCAAGAGACTCGCCCTTCTCGTCGCGAGCATCGATAAATCTTTAGTTTGTCAGTCACAACGTGTCTAAGTGTTTTTGGCAATCGGCACTCACGTCTGGAGTAGGTCGATCCTGCCATTTGTGTTCCCAGCCTCAATGTCTTTCCTTCTTTGATCAATCAACTTGTCACGGAAACGCATGAGCGTACCAATGCCGCTTTGCTGTTCGGGTCTAGCAACAAGATGTTTGTCGCCAAAACTAGTACTTTTGACCCAGTTGGTGAAAGGATAAAGACGAGCCATTAATCCAAAGGGAACAAGACCTTCGTGGAAGCCTTGAATCAAGCCAGCCACATCCGAGCCAGATTCGATGAAACCAAAGGGAGCACCGAAGCCTACTTCAGAGATAACATCATAGGCCATGTAAACAGCCCAAGGAGCAAAGTCGACCTTCTCGCCGGTCTTTGCGAAAGAAGTGGAGAGTTTGGTGATCCAGTCATTAATGCGCAAGTCAATCAAGGGTTCCATATTCTTGATGTTGGAGAAGCTGAATGCAGCGATCAGAATCACGTCTTCTGTTATTGCTAGGTGAATAGACACACCTGTAAGATCCAGCTGCGACCTTTCTGAAACGAGCATGAGTTTTCCAGTCTTGCATGTTGAAAAGACTCTCGACGTTGCCGAAGCTTCCAGTAATGTAGTGTTTCGACTTGTTTGCTTGTCGATTGTAAATTTCTGGCAATTTCGTTGCATCGCTGACCAGAAGTAGAGTGGGAGTGATTCTGATGACAGGGCCTGGAACACGTCAGCCATCATTTGTCGGCGTGTTGATAAAGGTATGATCTTTACCATATTTCTTGTGCAGCTCAAAAGCAACCATAGGCTCGTCTTCTTTCAAATTGTGGTATCTGGTTCGTGTAAGTCTCGTTACCTCAACGTCTAGGCATAGCGAGAAGCAGCATCAATCTCGTGCGCTGCTTGTCAGGTACACTTACGCGATCCACAATCTCGTCACGCTCGCCCAGAACGGACCTGGGAATTTAGAAAGAGGATGGAACCATCTGTAGTAAACAATTTGATAAATGACCCGGGTGACAACATATCCCAAGATGGCTAAGACCAAGTTGCTGAAGGTGATCAAGGAGAGAGAAGCGGAGGCTCTACTCTGCACAGGAGACTCCATGGCGACTGTACAACAGCAAACACTGGAGGAAGCAACAAACGACTCACAGGTTCCTTCTTAAGCGGTCCACAAGCAACAATAAAGGCACACATATTAGTCGTAGCGATCATCGTACCCGGGTACAGTGTGGCTATGAAACCAATTCGAGGCCCGCGAAGGGAGGCTGACCCAACGACTCTCCATCTCATCAGCCGCGTATAATCTACCTCGCTAAGCGCGATTAACCCAGTGATGGTCGAGTATGAGAAAGTGTGGAAAGGGTGCTTTGGGATCCCGAATCGAGAGGGCAAGACGGGTCTGGTAGCACGAGCACGGGAACATTAGTGGCTCCATCGGCGAAGTGCTGCGCGTTTTGTACTCGAGTAGCTCCGCTCTCATGCAGGCTTCGTAGATGAAAGAGGTTGAATGGTCGGTATTGGCATCAGCGTGACTAAAGGAGTAGCGATTTTCGTGTGTTGTCAGACAGCAGAGCAGAGGCCAGGAGAAAGACTTGGCCAGGGTCGGCTCGAATGGGCTAAACTTGACTCAACACACAGTCCCAGTCCTCGGCAAGATGCCGAGCAAGATAACGTGAAACACTGCGGGATTGATATCTAGCGTCCGGATGGCAATTGAGCATGTAGACCCGTCCCGCTGAAACGCTGGCTTCATGCTGATGGAGTTTCCTACTACGAATGCTGAACAGCGACTGTAGCACAACACAACGACAGCAAGACTGGATAATGACTTCCAACAGAAGCGGTGTACGCTCACGTGATAGCTATAGCTGTCAATGAGCAAGGAAGCTGCTACCCGTAAATTAGTCCACATAAATTAATGTTTAATATAGTGGGGCTGACTCGCGACAAGTATGACGATCGCCTAGCAAAGGAACCGAGCAAGGATGTTTAGAAAACCTTGTTGCGAACTTGCGACCTGCGAGAGTGAGTGTATGACTATCGAATCCCTTGGAAACTATCGCTGCGTCAGAATCGTATTTCACAGGCTCTGAATAGAAATACAAACAAAGTAGCCATCCTACGCCATAATATTCTTACACTAATTCAAGACATTCCAGATTCGAGTGCCTATGCCTGTAGTCTGTTGTGCTCACGAGAGTTCTCTGTGATCTTTCTGAGAGCTAAGAGAGCTCCTTTCCTCGAAGACACTCCGAGATTCTCCTTCTACATGAACGTGCCTTGTGACGCCGATTCTGTCTGGTGGGTGCAGAGCCACTTCTTCGCTTGAGACGCTGTCGTTGTCTTGATTGATGGTTGTTTGAAAGCGTCCTTTTGACATGCCTAAGTCTCTGTCGATGGTGTCGAGTGCCAGATCCTTGCTTCGAGCAGTGCCCCCCATCCTGTGAAAGCCGCTGCTACCAGCTCTAATGTGTACTGATCTTGATGGGTATCGGTCGGTGTCGTATGAGCCGCCCAGAAGCTTCGGTGCATACTTCTTTGCTATAGCCTTGAAAGCAGGCATCGATGCTGTGAGGATTCCGACGTTGGTCTCGATTACACTCCAATACATTGGTGCAGATATGGTCCAGGTCTGATCTTTCGAGAAGAGCATATTCGGAATATAGGTGATCCTAATGATGGACGACATACAGGTACTAGTCGCATCAGTAACAGCAGAGATGAGGGTGTGAGATTAGCAACTTACAACAGGCCTAGTCCTAGCATGACGCCTAAGCCAATCTTTTGTCTTCGAGGAATCTGCAGCTTGCGAACCAGGTGGAATGGCAGGATGTAAGTCAACAAGTCCGTCAGAATTGTCAATGCCGCGTTCGTCAAGTAGAAAGCCGAGATATTGACGCATTTTGCACTCTTCTGGAGCTCGGCCGTGTACGCAGCAGAGACAGGCGTGCATTGGAAGATGCATGTAAAGACGTTAGCAACAGCCTGGCAAACGACAATCGCTAGTAGAATCTGAGCAAGACGTTTGAGTTGGGCATCTCCAAGTCGAAGGTAGAAAGCGAGAATTGAGGACTTCAAGAAACCCAAACAGGCGTTGTAGAAGATCGAGGACAACCAAACAGCCTAGTCGATTCAAAGTTAACAAATGCCACAATATCCCATTGTCATGTTATATACGGACCTGTGAGTAACCGTTCAAGTTATCTGTACCTTTCTTCATGACCTCGTCCATATGCTGGCCCAGCCCGTGTCGCACCGCGATGATGGTGGCGACGATGAATGCCCACGCCAGGAGAGCCGCAATACAGACCAACACTGCATATCGTCAGCACATGACATCAAGCTTGTAAGGATAGAGCTCACCATCATCCAGACCCATCTTTCCAAGTATGATAACTCGAGCGAACAGTCGTAAAGCCATGACTGGAACACTGAGGAGACCAAATACCGCCGATATGATAATGATTGTTTGGCCCTGCGAGTCGGCCATTCTGACTGTGGTCTTTCCCTACGAGTCAATGTCGATGTCCGGAGTTGTGCTGAACAGGGAGATTTAATGGAAATGGAGACGGGATACCCGTAGATGGCGGAGGAGAGAGACAGATTGGCAGTAGGTATATTTTACTTCAGGGGTAACAATTGAGGCAAGACATGGACTCAGGCTTTCCTCCAGATTCTGGACAAGGACGTCGACAGTGCAGTAGTTGGTAGCTAGGAAGGGCACGCGCAGGTCAAAAAGATCTTGTCAAGACGCACACCGATCAGTACGTTCTTTAGTCTGCACATCACAACGAATTAGGTAGCTTCTCAAGGAGACGAAGGATGCTCGAGTCAAATGTGCATTGGGCGTTCTTTGCACGCAGACCGACGGAGGAAGTTTAGACGGGGCTGACGGCCGAGCAGGATGTGGTCGTAGATCATGTATCCACAGCAGAAAGCGTGTTGAATCCTGCTTATGCCCAGTGCTGAGTGCCACTATGGCAAAAGAGAATATGCAGGGCTAGCAAGACTAGTTTCAGTCCTCCGTCGGACGCTTCAGTAGTTTTGTCTCTCTACCAGTGCATCGGGTCGTAGAATTAGCATCCAACATCGCGATATTGTGCTACAGGACGATCAATTTTGATCTAGGAAAAATCCACCGAAGTGATTATTCGAGAGGGTGTAGATGATTTGATCCGCTGGACAACGGTCGGTGTCGGACTGTTGGCATGTCTGCAGGAAGCAGTCACGAAAGAAATCGCGGTGCTGAAAGACGACGCGAAGTGTCAATCGCTCGTCTCAAACAATTGTTCTGAACACATGGCCAAGGTGTCCTTTCCGTTGCTTTCCTGTCAACCTCGTCCTCGAGTCGACAACTGTATCGGAACGACTCAAGTTTCAACTCGCTCAACCAAGCCCTAGCACGATATCGCGCACTGTACAATCACGATCAAGACTGCATCTTGATGATACGGTGCTTGGAAGGTTGGCTGTATCACACTGGTCCTTGGGTTCAGCCTCAGCAAGTACCAACCACCTGCTTGCAGGATCGTACCTGCATGCATAGTCGCGCGGCCTGAAGCAAATTTTCACACGTACGCGCGCGATCAAGAAGGAAGAAAAAGCTGTTAGGCTCGTATACGGAAGCGCATCCTCTGTTTCCACCAACAAAGGCTGAGTTTTGCACCCGCGGATTGCGGCAAGCGCGATGCGAAACACGATCGTCATGTTTTTGCGTACAAAAACGCGGTCCATAAATTTTGTTGTGTAGGATTTCATCAATCAATCGCATATTGATGCCATAGACGGCCTCGATATTGGATTTGCTGTTGCCGACATGATGATCATGCCGGCTCGCCTTCGATGGTCAGCGGCAGTGAAATGAAGATATACCTTGCGCCCGGAGTGGTGGAAGGAAGTGGAGGTAAGACATGGGGTGATAGGAATATGGGCGCTCAATATAAAAGCAGAGTGCAAATGGAAAAGCAGACACACAAAGTGCCGAAAATCTCTCGTACACTACACTAGATTACGGTTTATCATCGCCTTTGATCGTCGAGTTCATCGAGGGCCCATTGTAGCTGGACTACCTACGGACCGAGATTTAGTATGCTGGATCTTTTCGACCCTGCTCCTACATCACCTGATGCATTTAAGCAATGCCGGTCGATACTAGTCGTTCAAGAAAAGCACTGTGATAGGTGACGTAGGCAGAGAGCGTAATTTGCCAGCATTTGGCGGGTGTCAACCAGCCACCAAGTTCGATGATGATACTTCCATGTTTGACAGTCTCTTGTTGGTCGGGGTTGCCAAACCACAGCCCATCCGAATCTTGTAGTGAGCCGCTTGCTCGAAATGCGCTGTCGTATCACCCTCAGACAAAATTCTCCATGTTTGTGCTATAGTGATGTGCCATCAACTCTCTGTTGACTGGTCTGGAACATTGTAGCAAGCTTGCTGTGGGCAAAATGGTCAATTGTTTTGAGGTCCACGACCATTGCTTTTAGTAATTAACGCGAGTCTATACATACGTCGGAAACATGATCAAGAAGCTCCTCAATATGAGGTTGGATAATATCACATGTCATTTCCTGCTGGCCCAAAAAAGAAAGAACTATAGCTAAAAGTACAAACCCACCGGATATGCGACGAAGTGGAGAAGATAGAAATAGAGGCTTTTAGTGACCTTTTTGTACAGATATCCCCTTCAGACATATTCCAGGGTGACCCCGACGGCCGCGTCAATCTTCGATAGCCTGATCGAAGCGGCGACCTGTGTCGAGGCTGTTGCCGGTTGGCATGGCGCAAAGCCATGATGGCAAAGTTTTGTCAAATCTACTCGATGATGCGGGTAATGATACCAGTGGCGACAGTGCGACCACCCTCACGGATGTTGAAACGCTGTCCCTGCTCGACGGCAAGAGGCTTGTGGAGAGAGCAGACCATCTCGACGTTGTCACCGGGCATGACCATCTTGGAGTCGGCATCCTCGGTGCCTTCGGGCCAGTCAATGGCGGCAGCCTCATCTATCGGTCATGTTAGATTTGGTATTGGACGCAGCAGATGAAATGATAGACTTACCAGCAGTACGGATGAAGATCTGAGGACGGTAGTTTCCGTGGAAACCAGTGTGACGACCACCCTCCTCCTTGGTCAGGACGTACATGGAGACGAGGAACTTCTTGTGGGAAGTGACGGAGCCGGGCTTGACAACGACCATACCACGGTTGACGTCCTCACGCTTGATACCACGGAGCAGAAGACCGGAGTTGTCACCAGCGCGGGACTCGTCGCAAGACTTCTTGAAGGTCTCAATATCGGTGACCTTGGTCTTGATGGGAACTTTGTTCTTGCCGACAAGCTCGATCTCGGTATCCTTCTTCAGGGTACCACGCTCGACACGACCAGAAACGACGGTACCACGACCGGGGATGGAGAAGACATCCTCAACGGACATGAGGAAAGGCTTCTCGAGATCTCTCTGAGGGGTAGGGATCCACTCGTCAACGGCGGCCATCAGGTTGTCGATCTGGGTGGTACCAATCTCAGGCTTTCTACCCTCAAGAGCGCAGAGGGCGGAACCCATGACGATGGGGGTCTCATCACCCTCGAAGCCGTAGCTGCTGAGGAGCTCGCGCATCTCCATCTCGACGAGCTCAAGCATCTCCTTGTCCTCAATGGCGTCGACCTTGTTGACAAAGACGACGATCTTCTGAATACCGACCTGACGGGCGAGCAGCAAGTGCTCTCTGGTCTGGGGCATCTGACCGTCCGAGGCGGCAACAACAATGATGGCACCGTCCATGGAAGCAGCACCAGTAATCATGTTCTTGATGTAATCGGCGTGACCAGGGCAGTCGACGTGAGCATAGTGGCGGGCGTCGGTCTGGTACTCGATGTGGGCAGTGGAGATGGTGATACCACGCTTGCGCTCCTCGGGGGCCTTGTCAATCGAGGCATAGTCGAGGAAGTTGGCGAAGCCCTTCTCGGCCTGACGCTTGGTGATGGCGGCAGTGAGGGTGGTCTTGCCGTGATCGACGTGACCAATGGTACCTAGGGATCGTTAGTCCTTGGAATGTTGAGGCATGTCGAGGGTGAAGTGGGCGACGGACCAATGTTGACGTGAGGCTTCGTGCGCTCAAAGGCAGTGGCGTAGTTTCTCATGTAGGCTCCTCCGCGAGAGCCCCAGGCAGCCTGGACGGGGTTGACGGCGCCATTGCTACGGAGAGCAACGCGGCTGGTACGCAGAAAGGCGCTGGCGAACGAAGACATGATGCTGTTCGGCGAGTGGATTGGACAAGACTGTACGAATGCGGCGAATCGCGACTTCCGTGTAGAATCATGGCTCCGGGAAGCTCAACTTTTTCTGTTTGCCCTGTTTGCTCCTTCCCGATTTCCACACTTTCCTCGAATCGCAGGCCGCCCATTGCAAACCAGGCTAATATCGCCATTCCAACCTGCACGACTTCCGATTTAGCATTCTGGCCTTCTTGCCGCCTTTTCTCCTTCCACCGGACCTGCTCTTGCTCTTCCATTGACTCAACTCGGTCGCGCGATTTGCCCGCAACCTTCGGCTTGCTCTTTACCGAGGCTTCAACTCGCTCCATGCCCGCTTAAGAAACCGCTCTCCCTCACCTTCCTCGCTCACCATGCTGCTCCGATCAACCTGCTCCCGCACTGCTCAACCGTTGAGCTGCATCTCGCGGACTCGCCCCTCCGCAATCATGCCTCTTCGCGCCCGCATCAACAACCAATCCTTCTCCGACATGCCCTCAGAGCAACCTGGCGACGAACCCAACGATGTCCTATTCAAATCACACTACGGTGTTCGCACAATCGAATTGAACCGCCCGAAGAAGCTCAACTCTTTGAACGGTTCCATGGCCCGTAAGATTCTACCACGTTTGAGGGAATGGGAAAAGTCACAACTCGCGAATGTTATCGTGCTCAAGGGCAATGGTAGAGCGTTATGCGCTGGTGGTGACGTCGCTGCTCTGGCCAAGGACAACAAATCAGGCCCCGAAGGTCAACAGCGCTCCAAGGACTACTTCGAACTCGAATACAAGCTCGACCACACCATTGCGACTTACTCCAAGCCCTACGTCGCTTTCATGGATGGCATTACCATGGGCGGTGGTGTTGGTCTCAGTGTTCACGCTCCTTTCCGTATCGCTACCGAGAATACCGTCTTTGCCATGCCCGAGACTACTATTGGCTTCTTCCCCGACGTTGGCGCCAGCTTCTTCTTACCTCGCATGGATGGCAGCGTAGGCACATACCTTGCTCTCACAAGTGCACAGATCAAGGGCGTCAACGTCTTCCTTGCAGGCATCGCTACCCACTACCTCGACAGCAGTTCACTTCCTGACCTCGAGGCCCGTCTTGCCGAGCTTAACTTTGGTGACGATGTCTCATACAATACGCGTCTGAGCATCATCAACGACACCATTGAGGAATTCACCACTGGCATGCCCCACGACGTACCGCAGCATTTCTCGACCAATGTCCGCATTGCGATCGACTACTGTTTCCAGGAAGTCTTCAACATTGATCAGATCATGGAGGCCCTGCAGGGATCAGAGGAGCGCGAAGACAGTCCACCCGACGTTAAGAAATGGGCCGCAGAGACTCGCGCCACCATTGCGCAGCGTAGTCCTACCAGCGTCAAGGTTGCTCTTTCTCAATTGAGAAGAGGTGCACAATGGAACATCGCTCAGACTTTCCAGAACGAGCACAACATCGCATCCAAATTTATGGAACACCCTGACTTCGTCGAGGGTGTCTCGGCACGACTGATCCACAAGCCCGCTCAGACTCCAAAGTGGTCAAAGACTAGCTTTGACGATGTATCTGAGAGCGAGGTCAACTCCTTCTTTGCCGACGAGCTCAAGCTTCAGCTTCCCAACACTGGCGGTGACTCGAATTATTCCGACTATCCTCATGCCTGGACCGGATTGCCGCGGCAAAAAGAGATCGAGACCTTTGTCAAGAGTAGTCCGCGTTCCGATTTCCAGGGCGTCATTGATCACTTCGTGAGGACGAGAGGCGGAAAGATGGGTGTAAGAGAGAAGGTTGATGAAGTATTGACCAGAAAGACAAGCCCGGCCGACAACAAGAGAGGCTTTGTATGGAACGATTAATAAATCTTGTAAATTTACTATTTCTTCACATCTACCCACCTCCGTCTTGAATCTCGACTCTTACGGCCTATACTTGTTAGTGGTTAACAATCGAGACCTTGCAGGTGAACTCTCCGCGGATGCGACGGCCGCTTTCGTGAAACGGCTCGATAAGGACTGCGAAAACCTCAGCAACACCCGAACAGATGATGATATATATGACAAGCAGCTAGCGCGCATCACTCCCAGTGTGATGCATCGGCAATAATCAAGCAAGGTGAGGAGGCTTAAAAAAATGCCCCAGAAAGTGCTGACATCATCCTGCAGGGACTTGCAGATCGCGTTTGATCGTTTGGATCGTCTCTCCGTCACAACCTTGCTAGAGCCGCATCTTCCTCTTCCTTTCGTTCTCAAGAGAGAAAAAAAAGTCGCGTGCTATTTCACGTAGACAAGCAGAAACATGAGTTCTCAGCAGCAGAACGGACAGGATGAAAGACAGCCTTTGCTGCAGAGTGGGCACGTTGATGGCGGAGAAGGCGGGGATGGTCGCGAATTGATATCGTTTGATGAAAATGATTCGAACGATCCAAGGCAATGGCCAAGGAGAAGGAAGATGGTCAACGTGGCTATTATCTCTTTGATGGCCAGTATGTTACACCGAGATGTTCGATACACGTATGCAGAGCGCTATACTGACAAGAGTCTTTAGTCATCTCTCCTTTGGCATCTTCCATGTTTAGTCCTGGTATTCAACAAATCGCCGACGACCTTGACACTACCAAGGATGCTGTTATCGCATGTACTACTGGTTTTGTCATTATGCTTGGTATTGGACCACTGATTCTTGCCCCTTTGTCTGAAACATTTGGCAGAAGGAAGGTATACATGTACTGCTATACCGCATTCTCCATTCTCCAGATCCCGGCTGCCCTCGCCCCCAACATCGCTACCCTCATTGCGGCCAGAGCTGTCGCGGGATTCTTCGGTGCTGTGGCCGTCGCAAACGGTTTGTTGTCTGTATCCGTTTTCTCTTGATATAGGCTTGCTGACATCTAGCAGGTGGCGGCACAATTTCTGACATGTTTGTACCAGAAGAGAGAGCTGGTATCTTTGGTTACTACCTTCTTGGAGTCTTGCTAGGTCCCACGCTCGGTCCAATCTTCGGTGGCCTCATTGTCCAGAGAGCAGGTTGGCGTTGGGTTTTCTGGACTACGACGATCATCTGCTCTTTCAATACCATTGTCGGTTATTTCTTCTTGAATGAATCGTACGCGCCCATTCTGCTCAGCCGCAAGATAGCCAAGCTTGAGTCCGAGGAAGGAACTTCTGGAAAGTACCGCTTCGATGGCGAGGACGACAGACCCTTGAGCCGGAAACTGATTCACTCCTTGAAGAGACCGTTCAGAATCATCACCCAGCCTATTGTCCTGACCATGAGTGCTTACCAAGCATTGATCTTCGGAACGACCTACTCCATCTACACAAACATGCAAGCCATCTTCGAAGGTGATTACGGCTTCAACACCGAACAAGTCGGTCTCCTCTACCTCGGCCCTGGTCTCGGTTTCCTGACCGCAGTCTGGTTCCTCGTGCCCCAAATCGATCGCGTATACAAGGCCCTCGGCAAACGCAACAACTGCGATCCAGTCCCCGAATATCGTCTCCCTCTCGCCAACATTGGCGCCGTCCTCATCCCAGTCTCCCTCTTCTGTTTCTTCTGGGCCGTCGAAAAGCACGCTCATTGGGCCCTCTGCATCACAGCAACTTACTTTTACGGTCTGGGCCAAGTCATGATCTTGAACTGCACGCAAAACTACTATATCGATTCGTTCGAAAAGTACGCCGCTTCTGCTATTGCTGCTGGAGCAGTGTTTAGAAGTTTGTTTGGTGGTGTTGTGCCGTTGGTTGCGCCTTCTTTGTTCAAGGCTCTGGGATATGGATGGGGTGGTAGTGTGTTTGGATTCTTGGCTTTGGCCATTGCGCCTGCGCCCTTGTTGTTCTTCATGTATGGTAAGAAGATCAGGGAGAAGTTCGCGATTGAGCTGTGAGGATGGAAAGTTTACGAATGTCTGCTTGGGTAGATTGTATAATATAATGTTGAATCTGGTGGTTGGCGGAGAATGGAATTTTGATACATGTATGACGAGTATGAGTTTGGGTATGGTTACAATCTGTGAGGTGTAAAGGCGTCTCTTTCACATCACATTCCTCTGCACATATCAAGACAGCTGGAGTGGATTGTTCTTTGTGTCTTCTTGTGAAAGCAACAGGATCCGAGGTCGGGTGATTTGAGTGAAATATTGAGCTCGCATCAGGGTTGAAACATACCGCTGCTGGTTGACACTCATATATGTTACGTCAATCTAGACGTGAATGGGTCTTGGATAACTGGCGCTCGCGAGTATGGACAACCGCCTGTGCGTCCTACTGTGTTTAGGCAACTAAGCGACGAAGTTAGTCGCTGTGGCTGTGACCCTTTTATCATCTGCTAGACGAGCATGACTGTGTCTACAGTCGGATCCTCCAAGGTCTAGATCAAAACAGCTTCTACGATGAGTTCGATCTCTTACTAAGACAAGATAAAGCGTCTGTAAGAGTGACCACTGAGCCAGATATCTTGAAGAACTGGAAGATTAGTGAGAAATTATGATCCGCTAGCCAATGTCAGATCGTTAACAATCAGACGACCCAGTTTCATTCCATGTTATCCAGACGACCTACCTCATGGGCCCCAGAACACTGTGACTGCTGTAGTCATGCAATTCTACCTTGACTATTATCAATTATGTCCGTGCAAGTTGATGCTGATGGGGCCACCCTGTCATTCTCAGGTCTCCACCTGTGACTCGCCATCTCTGGTCGCAAAGCCTGTTGTAAGAGACACGTCTGATCGCATGTGTTCAGGCTACTGGTCTCAAGAGCTTTGCGAAGTATTGGGTTAATGTCGACGTCACAAAGGTTTACTTCACCATGTTAGATGGTTTTGTAAATGCCTAGCCGCTGACGCCGCACGACCACTGTCGAACAACCCACTCATGCTCTGACTCTCCCACAGACTACAGCAGAGAGACAAAGACACAGCGAAAACGCAAGCAATGTTGAGAGATGTTGCTTCGATTCGAGTTTGTCCTCGACTCATCAACAAGAGAGCTCGCATCAAGGTCAGCCTTAGAAATGCACACAGAATGATTCCATGGCACGGGATGGTGGCGTCGGGGATGCATAATGGTCATGCAAAGCCTGAACACGACAGAGGAAGTCCAAGACCGACAGGCGAGAAGAGATCCAACGCAGGGCGTGGTTGATATACGCCCCTGCATACATCCCTCGCGTCTATCAGGGGCTACCATATAGGAAGGCGTCTATCATGGACACGCCCACGTACTGATCTCGCTGTCGGTGGAGATTATGAAGGCATAGTGTTGATCGAATTGTTCGTCCGTGTCGTCTCGCGAAAGCCAGCTCTGGACTCGTCACATGTTGTCCGGCCGTTTGGGTACGATGCAGATCAAGCGAACAAGAAGTATCAGGTCATGTCCCAATAACAGTTTTAGGGAGGTGCTTCAAGACCTTTCCACAATGCTGGAAACTCATCCGAACTGAAAAGGAAGGGCTGATGTTGGAGAGAAGGTAAAGGCGTCGTGGGATGACATTCGATCCAGCGTCTAGACCTGTTATAGGAAGGTGATGTGAGTTGACACGTGCCATGTTATTTCGCATAAGGGATCCCAATACTGGGTGATTCACCAACTCATATGGTAGCTTGAGTCCTTGGACCGCTCAACGTTTTGAATCTCGTTAGTAGGATCCAGGTCAGGCAGCAAAGCAGTAAAGCGGTCAGCCAGTGCGTTTCGGATGGGAGACGGCGCCGCTGTTATGCTGTGGTGAAGCGGTCTCGGAACGCATTCCGCAGCATCGGACTCGCGCCGCCTAACATGATAGCAACTTGCCACTGTCCAAAGCGGGTGTGTCATGCTTTGATTTCGTGCAGTTGCGTGCTGTTTTGGCACCAAGAATCTCGTGCAAACTCACGTTGACCCGAGACGCAACAGCCTGCTAGACGACGCAATCTCGAAAGCGGCCCAAGCCTACGTGACGGACCCTTCGATATAGGACAATCACTTGGCGTGCTCAATGTGGTATGAGGATACGGGCGTTGGCATTTATCCAATCACGGAACAGCGCAACAGCCTGCCTATCTTGTGACGAAGTCGCGAAAGTATAAATGATTGTTTTGGTTGAAGAGTCAATCGATCCTGTAGCGATAGGGTCATGACGACGAATCCTGTCCGACTTGATTCTTCTCGAATGTGATAATGTGACAGTTCGAAGTGAACAGCGGCGTATCATGTACATGCGTCTCGGGTCTCCTCGTGTGACCTCGTCATCCAAGACAGCAAACGCGGTGATGCCCCTGTCTGGGCATCGGGGCGAGTGCTCTCGGAGCTGCTTCTTATCTTCAGCCAATGAGACACGGGTCATAGCGGCAGGAGTCGCGTGGTAGATACTAGACGGGGAAGGTCTGGGGTACACATCTGACATGACCGTGCTTGCTTCTTCTTTCGCGGATGATCGGCTTGAAGACAAGGTGCAGGTACCCGATCACGGAATACGAGCGGTTCGTTATCAACTTTTGGCGAGGCGTGTGTGGCCGGATTTGTTTTTGACACAGAGATTTCGCGCAAGAGCTTGCTTTGCTTGGAAAGGTAAGCAGGCAGCCTGGGCGCCCGGCGCTTCTTCGTCTTCTAGAATACCCCAGCGTCCAAGCTGTTCTCTAAGCAAAGTGTGTTGAGTCAAACCGTATGCCCGGGAGACTAGACCGGACTAGGCAGGAAAACACGCTCGTTGTCGGGAATGAACGCCTCTGCCGTCTACTACAGCTGCGCGCAAAGTGAAGTGACGATGGCGATGATTATTGCCGTCGTGGAGGCAAGCATCGCATCTGTTTGCGAAGGATTGAGACAGCTGGCAAGAAGAAAGCAACAGCAAAAGTGTGCTGAGGATCTCCACGAGGACGTGACAGGTGGCTCGGCTGGACGTCGTCAGGCCGTTGGAAGAGGCTCGCCTTTCACGCGACACGAGGCAGGTAAAGCAGAGGATGCTTTATTAGGCATCCGACTTGTCGACTCGTCCTTATCTATCAGCAAGGCTTGCTGCACCCCACGCCATCCCGGAAGCCCTATCTATGTTGTGTCGCTCCTCCCCGTTGGTGAAACAAACACCCTCTCATCTCGTGTGCACTCTTGACATTTAATCCGACCAGTTCGCGAGTCGCAATCGTCGGAGCCCAACTTGCACCTCTCGAGATTAGACCACTTGGACCCTGTCGGCGCGAGACTGAACAGTGCGCAAAAGCTACTCGGCCGATTTGATAATAAGAATCAACGTCATCCGCATTGCCGCCGCTAGCATCGAGCGCTCTGACTCTTCTCTTCAATATGCTTGTTCCTCGCTCTTTCAAGTACTCTTCATCACCGCCGTCCGACGTGCAGAAACAAAGACGCCCTCCAACAACGAAATCAAACAGGACTTTCGTCCTTTCCTCAACTTCCACCTCGACTCCGCCCCCACACTCCGACGCTGCTTCTCTTTATAGCCAACCCCCACCCCAGTCACCCTGGATTCTCACAGCCCCCATGCCTTCAACACTGCAACCCTCGAGACCTGTCGAGATCCCAACTCGACGGAGTCCCAGAGAAGCAAAGCATGCCAGAACATCCAGAGCCAGCAGCAAATCTTCCAGACAATCGCGGGACTCTGAGCGAAAACACCGACCCGATGCATTACCTCCAGCCCTCGCTGCACTTTTGGCCGTCACTGCCATTCCTCCTCCAAGATCTCAACTGAGGCGCAAGAAGAGTCCCATTCAGGATATGTCCATCGACGAACTTATCCAAGAATGGAAGAAGGACAACTCAACCAAGTCCAGTTATAGCTGCGCCTCCCTGGATATGCTCCTTGGATCAGATGAAGACGATTACGAGCACATGTACTCCTCGAGATCGACTTCGTGTGACTCAATTCCCTCTCTGGATGGCGATGAGGCCTCGGTGCTGTCTATCAGCAATCCTGCCACCCCAGACTCCATTCGTAGCCGCAAGTCCAGCATGGGTAGCTACCGCAAGGAGAAGATCTTCTGTACACCAGAGATTGAAGACTGCAGTGTTGATCACCCGCTTGGTCTGTCGGCTTTGGACTTTGATGAAGACCTCATCTTTATCAACTCGCCGTGTCCCAAGGACCGCAAGCAGCGCAAGTCTGGCGGCTTCCGCTCGAACCTGAGTTCGTCGCTCCAGGCAATCAAGTCTCGCGTGACTTCGTCGTTCTCGTCGTTGAACCTGAATCTGGATGAGGATTCTTTCTCAGATGCGTCCCTGTGGCAACATCCTTACCTTTTCCCAAGATTAAGCTCTGAGCTGAGACCTACCCCTTTCACCTCGACCCCTTCAAAATCACATCGCCAGTATCTGAACCCTCGGTCGGCCCCAGTTCCCTTTGAGGAGCAACAGCACCACTGGCAAAAGGCTCTTTCTTCATCCGACTCGCCTGACTATGAGTTCTCCGAGTCCCCGATGATCCAGATGCAAACCTACAACAAACGAGCCGCCTCATCTCCACGCCGCTCACGCCGCGGTTCGAGCACTGGCGCACCAGATCCCCGCTCGGAAGCCGGCCGCGCTATGTCCGGGCACGTGCCTATGCCGACAAGACAGCGTGAGCCTCGCGAGAATTCCGACTTTTTACGTGTCATTGTGCTGGAGATGAACATGCGCCGTGGAGGCAAGTTTGAAGAGGGTGCAAGTGGTCGTGCCAGAATCTGGTTGCCACCACGCAAGCAACCTGTCGCACGCCACAGCGTGTTTTCCGACGACGAAGACGACGACGAGATTGCTCCCGCTGGCGACTCCAGGATTGCCACCAAAAAGATCCCTCGTCGCTGGGTGCCAGTTTCGATGGAGTAATTGTTACTCGATAGAATCCACTTCCGGACCCTGGATCGGCTTCCGTCTCTCGCCTGATGATTGAGTTCGAGTTTCTTTCAGAACACGACATCTCCGGAGAACGGCTGTTCATCTTGGTCAAAAGTTGTGAACATCTTTCCTATTGAAGAGCATCTGTTCTGGACACGTGCGCCCTTCTACGTGGGGTCGTCTTACGACATGTTCGCACCATCTCTCACAACGATCATCTTTCTATTTTCTTGTTTTCTCATGGAGTTATTTTCTGGACGGCTTTCGCTTTCCTCGGTTCGTTGTTTATTCGGCAAGCGAATGGTCATAGCATGGTATGGCGTAGCGAGAACGGGTTTCTCGGCGGTTTGTGATTTTTTTTTCTCTGGAGGTTGGGAAAGAGGAATAGTCGGCAGTTGGCTGCGCTATTTTCCTTCTCTTCAATCTCCTTTCTCATATTCCAGCGCACGGTGGTGGCATGATGTTTATGCTTAATCTTGGCGCAGCATTTAGAGCGAGGTGTTACTCTTTTTATTTATGATGTCTACGACAGAGACAATATACGGCTTAATGAATATACACAAATCTATCTCAACTGAACCAATCTCAATCATACCAACCACACTAGATGCAGAGAAGCATTGTCTGAATCCGTACCGACAAGGCACGCGACAACTTAAAGCCCGTCAGAAAGCTTCGTTTCACGCTTGCGTCTTCTCCCCGTATGCTAAAATCTGTCATAATTGGTGGTAGAGATGCACGATGCTTACGGTATTGCATAAGTTCCGTCGCCGACACAAACCAGTCGCTCCGTTTCTTGCGTTGTTTGAGATTCTACCCAGCTCGTTCAAAGGAGGTCTCGTGCACTCATACCGCTTACGTACCTGAGCACGAAGGTGAGACAGCGGTACGAATTGGCCATCGCTGGCTCGCTGCTCACTCTCCGAGTCTCCTCGACAAGCACGGACGGAATTACAAGAAACGCTCTCGTCGCACCACATGCGCGCTCGTGCTCTTGCGCTACAGATATCCCCTTCTTTTGACCCTTCTTAGGACACGCGGAGTCGAGATTCGAGAACAAGCAGGCTCAACGGGCTTGTTGATTTATCAATTATGGAGATTGTCAGAGAGCAAGTTATTGCGCGTTCCTGTTATTTGATGGTCACGGCTTTTTTCTTTCGCGCAGTAGGTCTCTTGTTCCCGGTCGACTCTCCATGTTTTGTCCGAACACTCCGAGTCATTGTGCTGTTGACTGCAGGACCCCGAGTCGTTTGGGCTTCGAAAGTTCAATCACCGACTTCGCTGCTTGGTATGTCACTATTTGAGCGGCCAATAATACGGGACTCGAGTCGTAGAAAAAAATCTGGAGACGGTTGTAGGGCCAATAAACACAATAGAGCCACGTCTTTCAAGAGTCGGTCAAGAGTCACAGCCACCGTCACGGTGATCTTTTGCTCTCCAAGAACTTTCGAAACTCTGTCTCTTATCTCTGCTTCTTGCAACGTGATCGACATCTGGCCATTGCTGATCTAATAGGTCTCTCCTTCTCAAGGTTTCCCCTGCATGGACTTCTGTCCGGTCTGCAATACGTGTCGGCCGTAAGATAGCGATAGTCCACGACTCGACTTTTGAACTCCAGCTCGTATGACAAGCGCTGATCCTCCTAGGGTTCAAGGGAAATAAAAAACATGAACATGTTTGACGAGGGGCTCAAAGTTTGTTATAGTGAATCAGGTCAAGAGAGCCGGTCAGCGTCTTACCCGTCTAGGGACATCAACCAGAACTTTGCCCGGCGCCTCGACAGCATGATTACTTGAGTCTATCAGTCAAGCCATCGTGTTGAATCCGGTCCATGGAATGGTATGAAGTCTGTTTAGGCTTTTGACACACTCTTGACAAGGGGTGGAGGTTTCTTGCAGGAAGGGTCTACCGCAATATTGTGATGTGGAAGTCATATTCTATGGAGGTAGCACTAACTCACCATGAGCGTACCCATACTACAGATGGACTCCGTGGTTTGCATGTTGCGGACGTACAGTACCTAAGCGATCTGTTCATCATGGCCTTGACCAGGCGACCAGAGCTAACCGGTCATTCTCTTCATGCTAAGCTAGATCTGACCTATGCATCAAATGGCATTCTTCTGACAGCGGTACCCGTCACCGCAAAAAGCTCGAAATCGTCTCCAAAGCCTGGAGTTCGAAAAGTCGTGCAATCCACGTGGTCGCCCATCGTATCCAGGTGATCAGAAGTAGAGCACGTTTGAGTAAGTCGCGACCGATTATAAATGACACAAATGAGCAAGTCGCATCTTCCCATTTCTTCTCCTCCGTCGCAACCTTTTCAAAAGTTCTCGAATTTGTTCACGCGAGAAAGACAGGATAGACCGTCACGCAAGGCAGAATGAAACTTCATACGTCCTCGGCCATGGGCTTACTGCTAGCTGGTGCCGCTATCGCTGCTCCCACTAAAGGTGGTTGCGATGGCGGCGACAAAGCTGCGTATACACACAGTGGAGGTTTCCGCTGTACACATTATGACACCACGACTTTGAGAAGCAGGAATGCGGCTCGCGTCAAACAAAACTACAGTTGGGCTGACGGACGCCTAGAGACTACAAACATCACGAGCGTGAGTGGCACTTTCACAGTGCCTGCGATCACCTCATCCTCAACCACCGACAACCCTCGAATCGGACGCGGTGCTGCTATATGGCTGGGCATCGGAGGTCATATCAAGGATCTCAACTGCTCTCTGATACAAGCCGGTGTAGGGTCGGATATTCGTGATGGTCGTACCTCACACAGCGCCGCAGTCGAATGGTTACCAGGGGTAGCTATAAGCCAACCTATGAACCTCTCAGCCGGCGATAGTGTAATAATCAGCGTCACCGTCACCTCAAAGAACAGTGGTACCGTGTTTTTCGAGAACAAAACCAAAGGGACCAACTTCACCCACAACTTTGCCAATGAAACCACACCAGTCTGTGGACCTGAAGCCTACTGGATTCTAGAATCCTATTTCAAAAGCGATGGCATAGAGAAATGGCATGTGCCTCTTGTCAACTTCGATACCATTTCTTTTACAAACACCTCGGTCACTACCAGTGGTGGAATTATCACTGATAACTCGCGCATCGAGACGTTTGAGATCTTCGATAGCAAGAACAAGCTTCTTGCTGACACTACGATTAATGCATCATCCATCACCGTCTCTTACAGAGGGAAGGAACGAGGTCTAAGAGATGACAAAATCACAAGGACAGAACAGAACACCAAGACTGTTAGAGACGAAGCTGTGGCTGATTAAAGATGGATCAAGAACCTGACTCTGTACGATTGCAAAACTTGATTAGCGACAGGCTTTACGGCTGCACGAGAACATGGGAGAGTTCACACAACCTTACCGTCGTCTTCATATATGTGCCCTGGTCGTGAAATGATGTACTTCCGGCGCCTCTTTTGTGAACATCTCCCCTCGAGACTTGGTGCATATGCTACGCTGTTTAGAAGCTCCATGGCTATATCAAAGCGTGGAGAGGAAAGGACCCTCCATCAAGAGGCGCTGCTTGATAGCTGGAAGTTGCAAGTATACGCTATTCATCTTGGCGCAGTCACGAAGACTTGATGATCGATAATAGCTAGAGGCTGACTGTCAGGTGATAACATTGTTGCCAGACATACCAGTGTCAACACATTGTGATATAAAAGTCTCTTATGCGTCAGGAAGGGAGTGTGAAAACGTCTGTAGAGGAGGTTGCATGTGTATTTGGTGAGGCATGGCCTAATCCGGCCTATCGCGTTCGAACGCCGCAGTGAAGTCAAAACAAAGTGAGCCAAACACCAAGATAAATATGCTCCCTAGATTCCCTGTACTATAAGCAGCAACCTCCCCAGATTGGTTCCGTGGCCGCCCGGTAAGACCCCAACCTTCTGGTGGAGTGGTTTTCCTTGAACCTGGGCTCGACCCACAGCAAGGAACGATAACCCCCTCTATCGCCACACCCACATAAGTGCTTATTCCCCCAGCCTGTGGATGAGAGCCCCGGTTGCTGCGCAAAAGCAAATCCTTCCGAAGCACTTTGTAAACCCTCTTTCCCCCGAGGTCGCTAGTGCGGGTTTCTCTGACTCTGGAGGCTACGGCCTCTGGAGCAGTTCTTTTGCCCATGACACATCATTCAAAATGCTTTTTGCATGTGTGCCGTACAAGAACAGCGCGTCAAGTGCATTACGTTCTCCGTCATTCATACAAGATCGAATGGACGCTTCGAGCCAGGGGTGGATTGGGGAGTAGCACGAGAGAGCAGATCATTGACAATGCGAGAGGAGAGGGCAGCGCGAGCGGACTCTTCTTGAGCGTAAGATGTGTCGACAGCACTTGTGCGAGGTGTAAAGAACTGCTCGACTTGACTGGGCTGAGTGGGTTGCGCCTGCTGTATTCCATGAGTAGGCTGGGCAGCTAGATTGACCATGGCCTGGGCGACACGAGAGCGCGAAGGGGGATCGAAATCCGGCATGATCATACGACAGAGACGGAGAATGTGAGGATGCTTATTTGGCTCGAAAGCATCAAAGGGCAGACTGCCATGGAAGATTGCCTGCAGGACAGTATCGTCGAGATCGGTTTTGAGATTCTCCTGGTTGGCGACCTCAGCAGCAGCATGACTTGTCTTTGAGACCAGGGGCTGTTCGGTACGTTGCTCAATCCTAGTCTTGAGCTCCTCCGGAAGTTGCTTCAGCTCCTTATCGCCAGCGGTCGAGGAGTCATCATCAAGAAGTGCCTGGAGATAGGAGTAGTAGGCTTCGCATGCAGCAAGGTGGGCAACTTTGCGAGCTACTATGTTCCTTGCTACCTTCTTGTCATTGCAGTGGCGGCAGACAGCCATGGGAGTTTTGGAGTCATCTTCGAGAGCCTCGAATTGACGGGAGACGTAACCTTGTTGAGGCGGCATGATCACGGAATAGAAAAGCAAACGTAGTTTAGACGAGGTTGGCAACAAGAAGCCTTCAAGACCGGACGCGAAGGGATTGATGTCGGCGGACTTGGATCAAGAAAGCTTGGGCACTCCTGCCGTACGAAATGTGCCGGTGTTGCATAATTATGCATGGTTACGCATCTGTTGCACGTATGACGCTGATGCGATTGCTACAAAGTCCGACTCTCCGAGTTCGATCAAGTGAATATTCCACTTCTTCGAATCACTTCTACGCCCTCGACAAGGAGCTCCTGTCGCTTCCACTGAGATCAAGGCACCAACACCGTCACATCTATCCTCCCCGCATCTCACCTTTGCAACTCGAGTCCTTGCATCACATAATTATCGACAAATAGTGGCAATCATCAGCCATCAACACCATCCATCATGGACGACGAGCTGATTGCCAACTTCACTGCCATTACCTCAGCTACCCCTGAGCGCGCACGCCAATACCTCACTCTGACCGACAGCAATCTCGAGCAGGCCATCCAGCTCTTCTTTGATAGTGATGGCGCCGACATGGGTGCCGCTATGCCGCAGCAGTCTGCTCAACCCGCTGCGCAGCCAGCATCACGCCGATACAACGAAGACGACAATGGTGTTGTGACGATAGATTCGGATGACGATGCTGCCTACGAAGATGATGAGGCCATGGCAAGACGTCTTCAGCAGGAGGCTTATGGAACCGCCGGCGGTGAAGAGGATGTCAGAGCACCTATGGCCAGAACCACAGAGACACTTGTCGGTCCTGGATCCAGATGGACTGGCGATGACGAAGACGATGTTGATGCCATGGTGCAAGAGCAGATGCTGGCACGCCAGAGAAGAGGTCGGTCACTTCGTTTGCGACAACAAAATGGTCTACTGACAAAACCCTAGCCAATACGCGTCCTGGCATCTTCAACCAAGTCTCGGTTTGGGATGACGCCAACAACTCTGGCATCGCTACTCCATCTGACCCAGAAGCTCATCGTCGCAATCTTGCCCGTGCTACCGGAGGTGCATCGGAACAATCGTCAAAATCTACTCTGCTCGCCGAACTCTTCAGACCTCCAACTGATCTTATGTCACCGCTGTCGTTCCAAGACGCTCGTGACGAAGGAAAAGAGGAGGAGAAGTGGATAATTGTGAACGTTCAAGATCCTTCCATCTTCGACTGCCAGGTTCTGAACCGTGACATCTGGAAGAATTCGCAAATCAAGGAGACTATCCAGGAAAACTTCATCTTCCTACAGTACTCAAAGGAAGATCCCCGCGGCACTCAATACGTCCAATACTACTTCCAGAACAGAGACAGCGACGATGCTTACCCTCACATTGCCATTGTCGACCCCCGAACCGGCGAGCAAGTCAAGGTCTGGTCCGGCGCACCTGTCCCGAAACCTGCCGACTTCCTCATGGACCTTCACGAGTTCCTGGACCGCTACAGTCTGAAGGCATTCGCAAAGAATCCAGTGGCTACTCGCAAGCCTGAGAAAAAGTCAAAGGACGTTGACAGAATGAGTGAGGAGGAGATGTTGGAGATGGCCATGCAAAATAGTCTGCAACAAGGCGGTGCAGCTGTCAAGGATGACGATCCTGATCTCCTAACCAAGGAAGGATCGGGCAAGGGCAAAGACACGGAGGTCGACCCGGACGTCATGGACTTTACCGACACTGGTGTACCCATCGAGAACGCAGAGACAGAACCGTCATCATCTCAGGCTGGTCCCTTCGCCCAGATCGCGTCCGACAACCCTCACACCGAGCCCACGGATCCAGCATCCTCGACTCGCATCCAGTTCAGATACTCTGGTGGACGGCAAATCAGGCGCTTCGGACTACAGGAAGAGGTGCGTCGCATGTACGAGTGGCTCAAGGCATCCCCTGTTGAGGGCAAGCAAGGTATCGACTTTGAGCTTTCCTTCATGGGCCGCAATCTGATTGGAGCTGTTGACCAAACGATCGAGGAGGCTGGTCTGAAGAACGGCTCAGTCATGATCGAATTCTTGGAGTAAGAAGGGAGTCCAATTGGTAGTACAGAGATTACCACCGAGCGCAGGCAGCGTGAATGCTACACGCTCTGAGCCACTGGGACGGGCAAGGGAAACGTTTCTCACGCAAGCTGCACACATAGACGGCATCGAATACTCTAGCTAATGCATAACGTTATAATCACGACAAAAGACATTCACCTACAGTTTAACCGAGAATTTGATACAGTGATGTGCTTTTCAGTCATGATGAAAACACGAGCACATGTGGAAGCTTCCATGCCTCAAGGATATCACCCACGCAGCCTTGAACAAGCAAAAGAGATACAAGATCCCAGCAAACAAAACAATGTCGCAGCCGTGAATCGAACACGGGGCTCGTGCATGGCAAGCACGAATTTTACCACTAAACCACTGCGACTAGATGATCTTGCCGGCAATATGTCACGAATATAGAGATTTCTAGTAAAGAGCGGCAGAGCGTTTGTGGGTGGGTCCTGCCTCGGTCATAGCTGCCTCTCAGACGCGACACGCGTAGACAAGCCCGAAGCAAGTTGATCATCGACATCTTTCTCCAGACCAACCACAGTCAATTGCAACACCTTGAGTGATCGTGCTGCGTGTTTTTTATTGTTTAGGACGAGTACTTGAGCGTGTCAGATGATCTAATTCACGCTCGGCCGCCAATTCCGCATTCATAATATCTCAGCGACGCGCACTTTCGCCGTAGCACGCTTTGTCGCAAACTCGATATCTCGACGCGCCCAATCGTTACCATACCATGTCGTCGCCGCTGTCAGAGGCCCAAGAAGAGGCTGCAGATGCTACCAACGAGCGCCGCTCACGTCGCTCTGGACGCGTCTCACGCAAGCCCGAACTCTACATCGAAGAAGCCCCCGCTGCTTCAAAGCGCAAGCGTGACGCCGCAGATGACGACCAAGACGACCAGAACGAAGAAGATGATGAATCTGACGAGGATGAAGAGAGCGAACCTGGCGAGGAAGAGCTCCGCGAACAACAAGCCAAGGCGCGCAAGACAAAAGCTGCGGCACCAAAGAAACCCGCGGCCAAGCGCTCAAAGACGAACGGTACCTCGGTCGCATTGCCCGCAAGAGCTGCGGGTAAGAAGAGCCGCTCAAAGAAGGCCAAGGGTGTAGATGAGGCGGTCGCAGAAGAAGCCGGAGGTCTTTACGGTCAGTTCAATCATCACACATGACACGTGCGTAGTCTGACTCTAGGTTACAGCTGAGGTCTTTGCCCGAGGCAAGACATTGGACGAGGTGGCTATCGAATGGCTGGCATCATTCACCGAACACGAGTCTCGTGCTGTGGCAGATCTGGTCAACTTTGTCCTGAGGTCAGCTGGCTGCGAGCTGCAAGTTACGAGCGAGGACATCGAAGACCCGGATAACTGCGCGAGCAAGCTCGGAGATTTGCAAGACGAGTTCCAGGCAGTATGTTACGCCCGTCACACTACACGGAACTTACGCTGACCACTCGATAGCAAAACCTTTCCGAGTACCCTATCATCGCAAAGGGCAAGGGTACCGCTGCCTTCAAGGATTCGCTGACCGGCTTCTTCTACACACTGATCAAGGCCATCCACACCACCAAGGTCCTCTTCACCAACATCGAACTCATCGAGAACATTCAAGTATGGCTCAGCACCATGTCAGCAGCACAGAACAGACCGTTTAGACACACCGCAACTGTCGTTTCCCTGGCCATTATTACTGCCCTGTGCGAGATTGGTAGCGAGCTTGCTGACGAAGCCTCGAAAGCCCTGCGCCATAGCGAGACACAGAAGAAGGGCAAAAACGCCAACAAGACAAGAGTCAGCGAGTTGCAAAACTACTCGAAGCAAGCAAAGGCGAACCAAGAAATCCTCGACAATACTGTCAAAGACTGGTTCGACACCATCTATATTCACCGCTACAGAGATGTAGACCCTCACATTCGTGTGGATTGCGCAAGAGCTCTTGGAGACTGGATAGTAGCGTACCCAGACCAATTCTTCGACGGCCAGCATCTGCGATATCTTGGATGGGTACTCTCGGACACAAACCACTCAACCCGCCTTGAGGTCATCAAGCAGCTTCACCGATTGTATGCCGACAAGGATAAACTTGGTGGTCTTAAGACCTTTACCGAGCGCTTTAGAAGTCGCATGGTCGAGATGGCCACCAGAGATGCCGAATCGAGCGTACGAGCGGCAACAGTCGAGCTCTTGGACGATCTCAGAGAAGGCGGTCTGCTCGAGCCTGATGACATCGATGCCATTGGAAGATTGATCTTTGATGCAGAGCCGCGAGTGAGAAAGTCAGTGGTTGGCTTCTTCGCCGAAAGTATCAACGACGCTTATGAGGCGAAGGTTGATGTGCTTGGCGGTCAAGAAGCCCTGGAGGAAATTCTCGGAGAAGATAACGACTCTTTTGACAGCCCATCTGTAGAGTGGATCAAGCTCAAGTGTCTTGCAGAAGGTCTGGACTCGTACGATTCGGCAGACGGTCCTTTGCCGCCCAGTGTTGAAAGAGGTCCTGGACAAGGAGGCTTCCTACTGCATGCCGGCTCATCAGAATCTCGCTTCACGGTTGCCGCAGATACACTGCATGATCAGATTGAGGAGGTTCGCGAATGGGAGAAACTGGCCGGATACCTCCTTTACGACACTTCTGTTGCAGACCAAAACGGCGACACCGCCAGTGGCGAGTCACAACTCAAACAGGAGTTGAGGCTTACAGAGAGTGAAGAGGTTATTCTTCTAGAAGTCCTGAACTCATCTGTCAAGCAAGCGGTCGCTTCTCTGGTAGAAGCGCACTCCGACAAAAGAACGAAGAGAACCAAGAAGCAGAAGGAAGACATCGAAGAGATGCAGGAACAGGCAGCACGCCACCTTGCCAACTTGATTCCCCGATTGCTTAAGAAGTTCGGAGAGTCGCCGCAAACAGCTGCCAGCACACTGCGACTGGGCCGGGTCTTGAGCCTGGAAGCCTTCCAGGAGTTCAGACAAGATTCCACGACATACACAGCATTACTGAACGACTTTAACAAACAGTTCCTATCACACAGTAACGAGGAAGTGTTGGCAGAAGCCAGCCGAGCCTTGTTGCGTGCGAAGAGCTACCACGAGCTCGGAGATGTTCCTGATGAGAGAATTGATTCTCTGTGGGAGGATACCATTAGCACGTTCTCCACACTCACGCACGACAAAGATCTCGAAACGCGCGGTCTACTTTCTACGACAGTGCTCGATGCTGTGTCTAAAACAGTTCTTCGCCTCGAGAAGTTATCGAGTATCGCCAATCCTGTTGAATACTTCGAGACCGAGCCTCCCGCTCCAGCTACCGCACGATCAGAAACTTCTGAGCCCTCTCCACCGATCGACTCCCTCATTGCACTCATTCACCGCGCTGCTTCACCGAAAGAGACCGCTGCTCTTGACGACGCCTTGGCCATGCACGCTTCACGCACAGTATGCTTCTACTTCATGTGGCGAATACCCGCATTCATCAAAGCACTGCAAACAACCACTCTCCCTGATATCGAGCTCGAAAATCTTGCCACCAGACGCGACGCTTATGTCAACGCCCTTGGAACAGTATTGAAGACACGTCCAGTAACAGATGAGCTGAGCCCTATGGTCTCAGGCATGCTCCTCGACACTCACACCATCATGGCCACCCTACGTCAAGTCACCACGGATAAGAATGGCGACGAATATCTCGTCCTCGCTCTTGAAATGGATGCAGTTTATCAAAAGCGTATCCTTCGCGTTTTCAGTGCCGTCGAGTCCACCTTTGCCAAAGCAAGCGGCAAACATGTAGAAGTCGAAGCCGAAAACCCACAAGCCCAAGACTCTGAAGACGATGACGAAGAACCTGCCGAACCCATTGACCAAGACCCAGACTCCGATGCCGAAGCCTCTGAGGATGAAGCAGAAGGCGCAGACGAACAACAAACCCAAGCTTCTCAAGTGAAGCGTGTCCAGAAGCTGCAAAACAGTTTATTAGCCGAACAGAGGCTGTGTGAATTGGCTTCTAAACTAGTTCTTGCTGTTTTGGGCAGAATGGTCAATGTGGCTGCTGTGAAGCAGAGACTTGAACGTAACAAGACGAAATTGGGACACAATTTCAAACTCGTACTGGAACACCTTGATGCACAGACCAAGGGGAAGAAGGGCAAGGGTAAAGTGGCTGCTGCAAAGGGTGGTGCTCAGCAAGCCAAACCCAAGCCAGTTCCACAACAGATCAAGAGCACCATACACGTTGATCAAGAAGATGACGAGGATGAGGAAGACGAAGAAGAAGTTCGTGAGAGGGAGATTGCAGAAGATGATGAGATGGCGGATGTAGATGAGGAAGGCGGTAATGACGAAGCAGAAGCAGAAGCAGAGGGAGCAGACAAGGAATCAGAAGATGTGGATGCAGAGGCTGAGACTGAGGAGTAGGAATATCCCGGTTGTGTCTTTATTTGATTTTCTTCTCCTCTTCTTCTTCTTTACCATTTTCCCATGATTGGTTTTTTTCTGTTTTTTTCTTTCTTTTCTGTACATACCCCCATGATTCTCTGCCCCTTTTAGCTATCCTATCATCAAAACATACTATTCGTTACTCTAAACTCCGCACCACGGCACACAAAAACTCGAGGATCTAATTGTAACATTTCTCTATTGTATCTTGAATCAAAGCACCCCTCCGCAAACCTACATATCCTTCTTTTCACATCAAAGTAGACCGTCCCCCAATCTCCGTCCCAGCCTCCCCATCAGCCATCTCCCCATTCCTTCCCACCACAAACTCTCTGTATATCGTGCTTAATCTTCTCTGATCTGCTTTACTGATACTAGGTCTAGTTTGCTCCAAACTCTTGAGTATGTGTTTCCAAGAAATCATAGGCTCTTGAGATCCCGCTTCTTTGTCTTCTTCTGCCGCTGCTGTGCCATTTGCGGTTGCAGAGGAAGAGGGCGAGAAAGAAGAAGAAGAGGCTTTTGCGCGTTTTCGAGCAGCTTCCATAGTAGACAAATGAGCAGAGATATTTGCCCTTTCGGCAAGATATTGTGGCGTTGGAGATGTTTTTGCCGTCTTGCCCAGCGAAGCATCATCATATCTGAAATGCGTAAAATCTCTATACTTGTTTTTCGAGCGTAAAGACTTTTCGCTGCCATCACCATTCCCGAGTTCTTCAGTGGGGCCGAGGACATCGTGGATGGCTTCTAGATGTGCATTGTACATTACAGCCTGTAAATCTGCGCCAGAGTAGCCTTGGGTTTGACGTGCTATTTCCGCAAGACTTTGGGTAGAGGACGAGGAGTCGAGGATGCAAGGGTCGATTTTGAGTTGGCTTGTCACGGCGCGGAGGATGTCGAGACGGTCTTCTGTGTTTGGCATGTCGCAGAGCAGACTTTTGTCCAGACGACCTGGACGAAGCAGGGCAGGATCGATAAGGTCGGGGCGACTGGTAGCAGCGAGAACATATACGCCCGAAAGACCTTCTGCACCATCCATTTGGGTGAGCAATTGGTTGACTACGCGATCGGTGACGCCTGTGCTATCGTGGCCTCTTTTGGGCGCTATACTGTCGAATTCGTCAAAGAAGAGGACGCAAGGACGTGCCGCTTCTGCTCTGTCGAAGAGATCGCGGACGCTCTTTTCAGAGGCTCCGATGTATTTGTTTAGGATCTCGGGACCTTTGACGGAGATGAAGTTGAGGCCGCATTCTCCTGCTACGGCAGAGGCGAGCAATGTCTTTCCGCATCCTGGATAACCATATAACAGCAGACCAGATCGGAGACGAAGAGGACACTGTGCGAAGATGGGTGCATATGTCGTTGGGTATTGCAAAGTCTCCATCAATGTCTGCCGCGTCTCTTTCAAACCACCAATCGAAGACCAAGTAGTAGTGGATGTTTGCAAGGTAACACCACGCAGAGACGCCGGTGTAAAGCCTTTGAGCGCAGCTGTAAAGTCTTCCCTGGTCAGCGAAACTCGTGGATCTTCTGCATCTTCCGAGACAATTCGGATAAGAGCTTCATTTTGAGCTCTCGAGACGAGTGAAGTCAAATCTCCAGGCATATAACCATCAGTCTGTCCAGCGACATCCAAGAAGTCGATCGCAGGATCCACCTCGAAACCTTCAGGATCATCTGCCTGCTCTCCAGCCTCAGAACCGCCCATCCACGCAGCACCATCGCTGTGAGATCTTGAGTGTTTGGGCTGTTCAACATCCTTCTGACGTACCAGCAATTCAAGTACCTTTCGTCTACCGTCCTTGTTTGGTGCTTTCAGCGTCAAGATATCACGAACAACGTGTCCGCCAATGACAACATTGTTGACAGATTCTTTTGCTTGCGCAGTGGCTAGTAGCACAACGCCGGTCTCTCGCGAGCAGTATTGTCTTGCGATAGAGCAGAGAAGCTCACTAACTTGCCTACTGCGGCCATTGTCATTACCAACCTGCATTTCTGTCTCCACCGGACACAGCTTGTCAATGTCGTCTAGCACGACCAAAGCACGACCGCCAAGCCTGGCACCCCATGCTCCGGCACCAAAGAGTCTTTGTAGCGCTTCCTTGATGGTAGATACGCGTGTCTCGTCTGTGACAAGAGTCCGACATGAGAAGTATGTGACGTTGTATAAATGCTCTTTTCGAAGTCTGTTGGCAAGTAAATGTGCCAGGGAAGTCTTTCCTGAGCCAAGGCCTCCTGTGAGCAATATCGACGAAGAATGCAGAAGGTGGCTTTCAAGTTCAGCTGTGAGAGTCTCAATACCAACCATTTCCGGTGGTGACGTTGGTATGTCGTGACCGGGAGTCCCTCGAGTCAGATCCGAAGGTTTCGCAATTTCTGGCTGGACCTCTATCGTCAATCTACGTTCAGTTCCCATCAGCCAATCCGCAGACTTCTTCATAGGATGCTCCTCTGTGCTGCTTGGCGAAGGGTCGAATCGTAAAATACCGCCCGGCCATGCATGATCTTTAGTTTTGTCGGTCTCGGCTGGCAAAAGCATGCCGTCTGTCAAGGGACCGTCAAGTAGACTTGAGCCATCTTGACCATCACCAAAGATTAATCTCAGCTTTCGTGCAGCTGCTTCCTTTTCAGCAGTAGATTCACCTCCAAACTTCAGGCCGTTCGATTGAGCAGTTCCAAAAGGGAACACTCGAAGGCCCTTGACCACAACATCTTTCTCCTTTGACTCTTTCTTCATGGCAGAAGTGGTCTTGGGGAGTTGTGGTGGGGCAGCTTCAATTCTGACAATACCTCCGACCAGTCCAGAAGAGCCTGTTGCGGCAAGAAGCAGAGAGGACAAAGCGGTGTGTTGACTATCCGGAGCATCTTCCCAAGCGTATAGTCTGGCAACAATCTTGGAAGCGACTTTCTCAGCGTCCATGGCTTGAGTCTGTGGGTCAACAGGCTCTTCCAAGCTTGCTGGTCTCACAACCGAGACCGAGACCCATGTCACCCCTTTCAAGCTCTTGGACAGCAGATGGTCGCTGTCGACCCATATCCTCAAGCCCTTATCTGCATCTTTCGGTTCTTCTTCGTCAAAGTACTCGGCAGCGACAGCACGGTCGACGCCGCGCAAAAACAGAGGAGGTCGTGTAGGTGCCTCTTCTCTTGTAGCTGGATGTCTCACAGTACTGGCAGTGCTTCTTCCTCCGACGCTCTTTCTACTTGTACTGGCGACACTGCGACTCGAGCGATCCGAGCTTCGCGACTGGCGGGTCTTGGGAGCGACAATGACTTCTGCATCAGGCGAGATCTTGACGAAAGCTTGGGTCGAGGCTGGAGCTGGACTGAGGGTAGTGACCAGGATGTTGGCACTGGAGGTAGGGGTGAGGTGCAAGGTCAAGGGATGCCGTGGGGTGTGGTTGCCTGCGAAGTGAGGATTGGGTAGGGCTCGGACTTGGGAAAGGAAGTTCGTCTCGAGGAAGCGGGCGTGCAGTTCGATGATGTCCCAGTCGGTAGGGGTGAGTGGCTCGATGTTGACAGTATGTGCCTGCGGAGGATCAATGTGCAGGTTCACGCCAACCTTGAGGCCGTCGCTTATGCCCAGTACTCTTGCTAATGTTGAATCCAACTCGACGGCAGCCACATCTTGATCTTGTCTAGCAGCGTTTCCTCTTGTCCCTTGTATTCCGTTCCGTGACACTATGGGAGCCAATCTGGTCTGGCTCTGCATGCCCGTCCATCCTAGGTATACCGAGCGTGCTTGCGACGCAGTACTCTTGTCGCCAGGCGGTGCCGCCTGCCGGAAGCTGAGCTCGACGACCACATTCTGAGCTACCTGCAAGTGTCAGCGCAACCTTCGAGCACACATGCCACACCGTACCTACTGTGTTCGCATTGACTAACACCGACACCAACGAGGATGGAAGATTGACAAGACAGCTCTTGAGCTGCGGTTGCAGCACAACTTCGGCTGGAGTCGCTCCCTTTGTTCCTCTTGCGGACGCCAGTGACATGGCAGCTAGATCTGCTTATGAGGAAGCTCTAGAGATGAACAGTAAGACCGCAATTCCATTCGGCCAGGATGCAATCGAGGGTTCGGCTTGCAGCCAACCTCTCAGAGCCGAGGCACGCCTGTGATTGGCGCCTGAACACCCCGCCGTACCCGATCCCCACATGCATCGGCCTGTAAACGCCCGACCCTTCTGGCAAGCCTGAGGCAGACATCCTGACATCGACTTGAATATTGACTAACAAGAATATTACTGTGCCATTGTACTAAAAGCGATAAACGGGTTATAGCCGCGGACTACTCTCCTCCCATATGAAGCTTCCTGATCATTTTCTGTCCCGCCCTTACAACATCGCCAACATTTCTACACCCAAGCGCCATCAACATTTCAGATAGCGCCCCTCAAAGCCTGATTCAGACCTGCACTAAGCTCGTTTCTTCATGTCCAGCCGTATTCGTCGTCAAGTGGAACGATCCTGCGATCCAGTCTTGGTATTGGTCTTTCTCGATCGACAACGAGCGTGTTCTTGACCAAGATTATATCAGTGTGTCGACAGCACAAGCTCACTCTTCAATCTTTCTTCTCTTGCCCTTTGGTGCCGGATCGAGCGGGGTTCTTGAGTAGGTCACCGTTCTTGTAACCACTTGTCGAACACTCATCTTGCTAGTCGTGCTACTTTCGGCTTCCGTTGGTGAGTACGTAGCACTCCAAGGGGTGCCGCTCAATCCAGATGCACTATGAGGCTCATAGTGGGTACGTGCACTCATGGGAGAACGAACGTTGGCTGGTGACATGGGAGAGGGAGGTACATGGCTATTCCTGGGAAGCTTGGCTGATCGAGGCTTTGCAAAAGGCGAAGGTGGGATGATGACCCGAGGCGATTGTGGTTTGGCCTTACGCTTGGTTTCCGGGATTGTGCTAGACACCGAGTGCACCGACTCGGTAGAACTTGACATTACAGAAGTAGCAGAGGACTCGGAGCTGGTAGAGTTGGTGCGGGAAAGCAAGGGTTGTACCATCTCAGGAGTGACTTCCGGAGACTTTTCATCGGCTTCCTCGATGACCTCGCTTGGGACCTTGTCACTGAAGTGGAACTTTGAACTAGTCCCTGTGGTGATTGGACTTGCTAGACCAGTCGGCATTGACTTCAGGAAATCCAGATAGGCCACTGGAGGGGTAACAGGTGTCTTGATGTACTCTTCTCTCTTGATGAAACTTGGTGTTCCAGGGTATGGACTTTTGACTTCGGACGGATACGAAGCAGAGAGAGGAGTTTGCAGAGTCGGCCTCTTGGGTCGTTTATCGTCATTGGTCCTGGTCTCGTTGACCGTAGGGGCCGAGATACTTCGTGCAGCCATCTTCTCAACGCCAGAGGAACGAGTGGACAAAGCGAGTGACTTGGGTAAAGAACAAGGACAATATAGAAGTGAGTTCCAGCACAACGGATGAATGTGATTATGAGAGCACAAGAGAGTGGAGAGAAACAGAGTATATAGACCGACTTTGTATGCTTACCTAGGGAGCAAGAAGACTTGACGAAACAAGTGCTCTACCCAATGCGAAAGGCAAGCCCGGCGCGTAGGCCGCAAGGGTCACCGCACGAATGGTTTCGAGCATGGTTATTTCTGGGATGGATGCTACCGCCTGCCTAGTCCCGGTCAAGTTAAAGTAGCGATCAAGGTTGCCAATTGGAAGCTCTTACAACGCGCGGGCTCGGGAATCTGTATGCGCTGCGTGCCCTCATTGGGTCGACGAGTCGTTAAGCGCCCTCTTCAGTCATACGCTGTGACAGCCGTCTCAGGTTGCAGGGTGGCCCGGGAGAAGCTTCGCTCGCAGCCAAGCACAGTGCATGGAACAGAAAGTACTTGTGAATGCCGTCAGCCATGATTTGCAGATGTGAAAGATGCGTTGGAGCGTGAAAAAGATTGGGCAGCCACCCCACCCGTTGACTGTGGATTCTGTCGCTGACCGCGAACCTCTAAACCATGATAACGAATGTTGGTATAATACATAGCGCTTCAAATCCAGACCCAATCAAATGAAAAGAACGAATTCCCCTCTCTCGTTCTTTCTGACGCGAAGATCCTTCCACAGGTCCTTGTCGCCGTCTTCCTTCTGCCCCCGAGCTTGACGCTCACGGTGATAGCGCTTAAGAGCCTTATTGATGCTCAAACCACTCTCACTCTCGGGGCCTTTGTCAACAAAGCTCAGGAACAGCTCTGCAGGGGAGCGTTTGGTGACGAGCTGTTTGTCTTCGCGCGCGTCTGAAGATGTAGAGTTTCTCGACGAGCTCTTGACTGAGGAAGCTTTCTCTGACTTGTCTTTCTTGCTACGCTTCTTGGGGCTGAGAGGGCTGGCTGCAGCACCGTTTTCGCCAAAATCGGGGCCAGACAGCATTCTGTTCAGGCCGCCTGTAAGGCCAGTGTGCAACGCAGGAGTAGCATCTACCATGTCTTGATCGTCTCTCTTGCGCTTTCTGTCGCTCTTGTTCTTGTCTTCTCGCTCGCGCTTCGAGGCCGGGGTGACAAGAGGGGCAGACTCAATCTTTGCAGGGGTGTCCATGTAATCAAAGACGTTTACACTAGGAGGCACCTCGGTACCAGACAGTGGAGGAGAGGGAGCCTTTGGCGGAGCATTGGTCTTTGCGACATCGGTAGTGGTGGGTTCGGGGGCCTTCTGAGTAACCAGTGCCTGGTTTGGGTTCTTCTGATTCTGGTTCTGACCCTTGCCCTTCTTCTCGCCTCTGTATAGATGTCCTTGATATTTCTGAGCCTCTGACATACAGCTGGTGTGTGCACGGTAGTCGGTGCCTTGGAAGTGTACCATACAATCGATGCAGGTATAGGACGCGCCCCAGCACTGATTGGCGTGAGGATCGAGCTTCTTCTTGGTGAGGATGTCACCACATCCCTATGCGAGAGATTAGTCTCAGGATCGATGCATGTGTTTCGGTTTGTTCAGCGCATACCTCGCACGAGAAGGAGACCATATTGAGTCAATGCGCGGGTGATGGAGCTATGTTGTGTCGCAAAGGAGTGGCGGCTGCTGCGGTGGTCGCAGAGGTGTTCCGGAGGCGATGCTAGATGATACCGATTTGTCTGCAAGCGAATGCAAGTAACAGAAAGATGACTTGGTACGAATGTGAAACGGGCAAGTCTTGCTAGGAATTTTGAGCAAAAAGTCGGTTGCTATTTATTTTGGTATGCGGAGGCTAGCGCTTTGCGGCTCGTTCGGCGGACGGCTTCTCGCCCTTGCGTAATCCGGGGTAATGTTTTGCACAGAAGACAAGGGGAACGAACAATCGAACCTCGAGTGATGGGAGCCAAAGAGTAGAATATATGAACAATTATTCGTAAATTTCTAGCCGAAGAAAGACGTCTATAGATCAGCCACCTCGGCCCCATCTAAGAAGAAGAAGATGTCAGTACAATGGAACATTTCCAGACATGAACTCCACTCACCCTTCTTGTTCCAGCTTCAGAGGAACATCCTCTGGAGGATCAAACTTCTTCCTCGCCTGAGTGATCTCTTTTTTGTCGCCTCCTTCTGGTGCCTCTCCATCCGCACACCCGCAATCATAGAAGTCGCCAATGTTGGAACAATCAAATATCTCTTTCTTTAAGGATTTGTTGACTTCGTTGTGGACATGACAGCCCCAGGCTGCAGCTGCCGATCGTGATGTTACTTGGGGAGGGAACTTGTCGAGGATTTTCCGGAAGTGGCCTGCACATTCGCCGCTACAAGTCATACATCAGTCAGAGTGGTAGGTATAACGACGAGCGTCTTACCAAGGGTATAGTCGCTGGAATAAGTGAATATATGCATTCAAGGCCTGGCTCTCTTCGGCGGTAGGTTTGTCGGGGAAACGGGCGAAAGTTGTGTGGAAAAGCTTCCATGCTGCACGACCGAGTTCTGCTCTTTGGAAATCGTATCAGTCAATTGTCGGCCCCATAGCTGAGCTTGCTGGCGACATACTTTGCCGTCTCGTTGCCGAGCTTCGGGGCGATCACATGTCCGGTAAGAGTCGACTCTTCCAAGTCATATCGTGCTGCAGCGACCCCTGCTGGGACTGCGCCGGACCCTCCTGCCAACGGATGTCTGACACCGACTTCCTGAGAGCGAAATGAGAAGACAAAGGTGAAGGCCAGGAAGGCTGAGACGGTGATAAGGATGGCGACGAATCTCCGGCTGGGTCCTGGGGCTACAGGCATGTTTGATGTAATTCTGTTTCGTATTGAGTTGTTTTTATCGTGGCATTATGTAGGTGATTAGGTGTCAGAAGATCAAAGGAGAAAAAAGAAATGCCATTGCGACAATGAGATCGAGGGGCTTCCCAAAAGTTCCGGAGTCAACAACGCGTGATGCGTCATCCCGCCCTCGGTCGTCAGCTCCCTGGACTTTGACTTCGCGCATCTCAACCGGCGTACATGGTAGATGTAAGAGTGCTTCCGACATGGTATCACAATAATCTCCAACTGAGTGTTCGGAGGGGACAGCCGTGGGTCACGGGAACCAAGCTTCTTCATAACAATACAGTAACGCATGTGTGGCATCTTGCAGAATTCTGTACTTCTGGCATCATCCCTGGAAAGGCTAGAGAGAACAACACTAACATCGTACGACCCTTGTCGACTTGCTGTAAGCTTGGTAGATAATGCCGAGCGACGAAAGCAGGCAAGACTGACAATTGTTCGGTAGGGTTTGTGCGGTGCCCACGATTGACAAAGTCTTTGAAGCGTGTCGGCTTGTCACGACCAACACGGCGTTCAATCAGTGATGCTGGAACTGGGCAGGTCCAACATCGGAACGTCTCGTAGTCGAGAAAGGTTACAGACCGGTATCCACCAGGCTCTGCAGATGTGTGTGTATGTGTGGAGTCAAGGCCAAACAAAACGCTGCATCTACCGTGTCTATTTGTGCTCTAGATTTATGGGTATCGTGATATGCGTGAGAGGAGTGTGACTGTACAAAGAAAGCATTGTCCGACCTGAATGTGCGACTATTTGATCCACTGTTGTAGCATGTCTTCAGGGGCGTCGTGAACTAAGACGTGTACATGATCAACACCACGTACGCTCTGCAACGCGACCCAGTTCTTGAACCAGAGAACGTGTTCCTTGCCTTTGCCAGGACCAAAGACAGTGTCTAGTTTGGTTGCGAAGGTGGTATTGACAAAGTTCTCAATCAAGGACCTAGAGTGGTCTGTGACATCACCGGTGCCTGGGTCAGTCTCGATCGGAGTCTTCACCCAGACGCAGATGTGGACGATGCCCTTGTCCAGCCCATATGGCCAATCGTTCTTGAGTATCTTAAAGTCATCCTGGTTACTGAAGGGAACAGGGTCACGAATCTCAAACTTAGGCGGGTCACCGACAGTCAAAGACGGCAACGGAGTCCAGTGTAGACGTTCCTGAACAACAAAGTTGGTGATGGTATTATACTCTGCTTTCGTATCTGCAGACCATTTGATGTAGCGACGCAGGTCCGAGGGACGACGCTTCAATTGTTCGAGACGATTGGCAGCTAGAATGTTTTGTTAGCAAATAGAACGATAGTGGCTTGACAAGCAAATAATACCAATGATGTCCTTGAGCTGTTCCCACGTAACCAAGGAGAATTCCTCATCGGTCATGGCAAGAATCTGGCGGTCAATTTCCGTCAAAGGAAAGGCATTGTTGGTTGTGACCATAATATAGGGTTGTCGTGACGGAATATGGCCGTTGGTGCTGCATGTGTAAGAGAGAAGTACCCAGGACAAAGTCGCCTTTGGTTCGACCGGAACGAATAGCCAGATCGGGCAGGGTGATGTCCCAACCCCACTATCGGCGACGGTCGACCCTGATCTGCCCCAAGCACCGAAAGCTTCGGAAGTCGCGTGTTTCTATCTTCAAGTCGCCCTCGACGCCGCTCTCTTCTTCTCTTCGACTCATTCAACTGCCACCATGTCGTCCAAGCACACCTACAAGCCCACAGGGCCTTTTGCCCCCCAGTACATCCAGGGCGTCTACGCTCCTTCGGCCATTCTGATCGTCGGAGCTGCCCTGGTTAACAAGTCCCTGGTGCCTGTTGCTATTGCCATTGCCGCTGCTCTGGCCGGCTACCAATTCTTCAACAACCGTGAGTGGCGCCTCTATACTAATTGAGTCTAGACAAGACTGACGGTCGATCACAGAGGTCAAGAAGGTCCTTGATCCCACTACCTTCCAGCAGTTCCCCTTGACCGAGAAGGTTGTCCTGTCGCACAACACGGCCGTATACCGCTTTGGTCTTCCCAGCCCCAATTCAATCCTTGGTCTGCCTATTGGCCAGCACATTTCTCTCGCCGCCACCCTGCCTGTCAAGGACCCCAAGACCGAGGTTACCACCAACAAGGAGATTCTGCGTTCTTACACTCCCATTACCGATGACACCACTTCGGGACACTTCGACGTTCTCGTCAAGAGCTACCCTACCGGAAACATCAGCAGACATCTTGCCGAAATGAAGATTGGCGACACTATCAAGGTCAAGGGTCCCAAGGGTGCCATGGCTTACAAGCCCAACATGGTCAGCCGCTTTGCCATGATCGCTGGTGGCACTGGTATCACCCCCATGTACCAGATTTCAAAGGCCATCCTCCGTGGCCGTGCTTCGGGCGATAAGACTCAAGTTGACTTGATCTTTGCCAACGTCAACCCCGAGGACATTCTCATGAAGGACGAGCTTGACAGCATGGCTCGTGAGGATAGTGGTTTCAGAGTTCATTACGTTCTCAACAACCCTCCTTCTGGCTGGACTGGTGGCGTTGGCTTCGTCACTCCCGAGATGATCAAGGTACGCATGAGACCAATACCTTCTCGCGATCGACAATTGACTGATACTCTTACAGGAAAACTGCCCTGCTCCTTCGCCCGACATGAAAATGCTCATTTGTGGTCCTCCTCCTATGGTTTCTGCCATGAAGAAGGCTGCCGAGAGCCTTGGCTACCAAAAGGCCAGACCCGTCAGCAAGCTGGAGGACCAGGTCTTCTGCTTCTAAGCGACTAATGGGCGTCTTTGTAGAGACGACAAAAAGCGTGTATATTTGTCATGATCTGAACGAGGCGCATGCATGGAGCCTTTTTCGAGACGATTCGATGTCTACGTGTAGATTGTATGCACATTATCTGTATTGCATCTTCTGACCGCCTCTCTTTTCCATCTTTTGTTGACGCTTGCTTTGCGCGCCGCTCGAGACACCATCGGCCGGCATGGCACCAGCACCGCCCATAAGCCCCTGACGGGCGCCGGTGAAGGTTGTGTATGCCAACCAGGCCGAGTAGAGAGGTACAACAGCCTAGACCTGTGTTAGTAAAGAGGAAAGGTCGAAGTAGCAGGAGACCACGAACGAAGAACCACCAAGCCCAATCTCCGAAAAGGGTGGTGAAGGCGATGCATCCCCAGGACCAATAGGTGACGTCCCACATCCATTCGGTCAAACCCTTGGCCTCGAGATCCTCTCCGGCTCTTCTCAATTCCTTGCCATTGGGTCCATCGACGTATGTAGGACGACCGACGCGCTCGAACCAGAACTGAATGAGCAGGGACGGGAAGGAGAGGAGGAGATAGGCCCAGAAAGAACGGCGCACAAAGGTGAAGCGCAGGAGGAGGTGGAAGGCGTGGACACCTGCAGCGATCAAGTGGGTTCGCTGGAGGATGGCCGTGTTGCGGGATGCCTGGGTTTTGAGAGCTTGCTGTTGCGCTTGTTTAGGGAGTTGACGTGAGTGGAGGGACAGGTCGGATGCTGACCTTGGCCATGATGTTGTCTTCGGTTCTTGCGATTGAGAGTGCCCGATGAAGTCTTGATTTCTTGCTGGGGATTTAGAAGCGAAAGGCGACAGACACGCGAGCTGGCCAGAAGCAGATGGCAGTTGGTGGGGCAGGAACGACTTGATCGGTGCTCGGTGGCTGCCGTCGGACGGTGACGATGACCCGGTGCCAAAAGTGTCAACAATAAACACAAACTGCCCTTGTCAACGCGCCTACTATCCTACGCTCCGCATCTCTGCCCGCCCCTCGGTCGGCTCGAGCACACTGTATACCTGCAATTAGCTGCAACATCTAGGGACATAGCTACATACTCTGCACTTTCACCACCCCGACGCGACTTGGTCCCGCCTTCCTTACTTTTGCGCTCGCATGGACAAGCTGCTTTGACAAGTCCTGGACAAAACATCCACCTCGATCCAGATTTCGCATAATTTACACTGGCCTCCTCCGTCACCTTGATCACTTCTCTCGCTTGATACCTCGACCTCGCCCATGTATCCCCAACAGACATTTATCCTTTCGATCCGTCCGATTACTTCTATCCTCGACACGTCGTTTTGATCGCCTCCACACCCTTGCTCTCGCGGATCCATCCTCTCCACAGTCATGTCGCATCATTCCACATTGGCTGTCACACAACTCAAACACCTCATCTACTACCACCTGGACAACGAATCGCCAGACAATGCGAACTTTCTTGCTGCACGCTTGAACGCCATTGATCCGCGGAATCCGGACTCGTCACATCTTTTGGCCCTCACAAACTATCGTTTGCGACGTTATAAAACAGCCTACGACTGCAGTCAGAAGAGCGGCGCGAGTGGTAGACACTTGGGATGTGCCTATGTTTTGGCACTGGCCTGTCAGGAGCTTGGAAAACACAACGAAGGCATTGCGGCATTGGAGAAAGCCAGGAGCTTATGGCAGGGTCGCAATCACTGGGGTAGGCTGGCCTCATCTTCTTCAAGTGCGATCGGGCGTGCTGACAGCATTCTTAGGTAAACACACCGAGTCTTCAACAAGGCATACTCCCGATGCTGCAGCTGTGAACACTCTACTCGGAAAACTATGGCGCGGACATGGTGATTCGAGAAGAGCTGGCGATTGCTACATCGAGGCGCACAAAAGCAACCCATTCGCGTGGGAAGTCTTCCAAGGTCTTTGTGACATGGGCATGTTTTTCCAACTCCCGATTATGTGCAGGGATGCTGACTTTGTAAGGCGCCGAGATCGACATATCAAGCTCTTTCAGAATGACTCCAGAACTGGCTTCTGCCATCTCCAGTGCCTCAGCGTCCGCATCGAATCAAGAAATTGTCGATGACGAAGCCTTGCCCATCGCACCCAGTTCAACGAACGCCATTAGTAACCTACATACCCTTACGCCAACCAACGACCCTTTTAATCCTGTAAAACCTGGCGGAGACATTGTCGCACAAGCTCAGAATAACTTCCTGCTGCCGAGGATGAAATCGAAAAGCATCTTCGGCAATAACGTTCAAAAGCCCACCAGTCAGCCAAGCTGGGATACGCCGACGGCTAATGTAACGTCCGGTGATGAAGATATCGAGATGGGAGGCATACAACAAGAGACAGCCACAACGGAGGAACCGCCGGCCGCACCGACGCGAAGGTCAAGGACTGCTTTACAGAGACTTGGACTGGATGCCGGAAAAGACAGTCAGAAGGCGCGTGCTGCGACCGTCAGGAGCCATGCGAAACCCAGCGCCGAAGCAATCGATGCTGACGATACGACAAACGCTGCAGCAAACAGGCGGACACAACACAAACGGACGATCTCAGGGCACAGCGCACAGATCCCTGATGCTGAAACAATAACATCTGCTCCAAGGAGGAGCAATCGTCTATTCAGCCAAATCACAGGGTCAAAAACGACGAGCAGATTACCGGCCGAGAGCAATTCCCTGACTGCAGCTAAGCGCGACGAGGTTAAGAAGGCGAAGGCTACGGGCACCAAAGGTAGAGGTCCTGCCCAAGTAGGCCGTGTCGTGAGCGGCAATCGGAAGATCATGCCACCAAATCCAGGTGAGGTCAAGGACACTCGTGCTCCAAGTCGTAACAGCGCTGCACCACCGGTAGCGACGCAAAAACAGGCTCTCGAGTCAACATTGGGCGTCGAGATGGCATCGACAGAATCACTATTGGCTACCTTCAGATCGTTAGGAGCGGCTTACTACCTTCTCAGCCGCTACCAAGTTTTGTCGGCGATTGATGCTTTCAAGGCTCTTCCATCAGCACATCGAGAGTCACCATGGGTGCTGGCTCAACTCGGTAAAGCTTATTACGAAGCAGCAGAATACGCATCGGCAGAGGTCTGTTTTGCCAAGATACTCAAGCTAGAGCCGACACGAATTGAAGACATGGAAGTGTACTCGACAGTTTTATGGCAGCTGAAGAAGCCAGTACAACTAGCTTTCCTTGCCCATAATCTGAGAGATCTGGATTTCAACTCGCCCCAGACTTGGTGTACGGTCGGTAATGCGTTCTCCCTAAGCAGGGAACACGAGCAGGCCATCGCATGCTTCAAGCGTGCGACACAAGTGGATCCAGAGTTCAGCTACGCCTGGACGCTTATGGGCCACGAGCTCTTGACCAACGAAGAATTTGATGCGGCGCTTGCATCGTTCCGTAAAGGAGTTGGCAGTGAAAGACGCGGATTTGGCGCATGGTATGGCTTGGGAAAATGCTACGAGCGAATGGGCAAATGGGACGAGGCGCAGAGACATTACAGGATCGCGTTCGGGATCAATCCCAGCAATCCTGTGCTAGCGGTATGCATAGGAGTGGTAAGATTGACCTTCTGCTGCGAGAAAATACAACGCTGACTGGACGATGCAGATTCTGGAGAAACTCCGCCACCCTAAGGCTGCTCTGATACAATACTCTCACGCATTGAGTCTGGCACCAAACTCCGCGCTAGCACGATTCAAAAAGGCTCGTGTACTGATGAGCTTGAGACTCTATGAAGACGCTCTCGTCGAACTTGAGGTCTTGAAGAGCCTGGCACCCGAGGAGGCCAACGTCTTTTTCCTGCTTGGGAAGTGTTTCAAGGGACTCGGAAGACGAGCAGACAGCGTGCGTACCTTTACTACGGCGCTGAATCTTGATGCGAAGGTAAGAACTGAAGTGTGTCGTTCTTGGGATGTTTGACTAACAAAGTGCAGGCGTCGCAATATATCAAGGAGGCCATGGAAGCTCTTGACGACTCTGATGATGATGACATGGATGACGACTGAGCACTTTCGTCTGCTCGAAAGCTCGAGACAACATGACTAGCATACCAAAGGGGCGTTTATGAAACGATCCAAGTTACAACATTTTGCATTGGCGTTGGTTGATGGCTTCACGTATTTGCATGTCCGAACATCGTTTTAGCGATGGCGTGGGTTGGGTCTGGAGCGATTTCCTGGGCTATCCAATCGGAAGACCATGCAGCGGTTCCTGAGATCGAATACGAGAGACAGCTGCTAAGCATAAGAGGCACAGTATATCCCTCTCTCGGCAGACACGTATCTTGTATGGAGACCTAAGTCAGTGTAGAGTAGTCTCGGTCTGGGCATGACTGAGGGAAAATCACATGCATGGAGGATGGACTTTGCGTATGCCAAGCAAAAGCAGTTCAGCTCGATTTATCAGCAAAAAATTATTCCATGATTCAATCGCATTGATTTTTTTGTATCCCTCATACACATACACGACCTAGCACGAAATACACACAAAAGATGTCTGCCCACGAACCTCATGATGACGACACCAACGTCCAGGAGGACGACGACGAAATGTTCAACCCCGAGGACATGGAAGAAGAATTCGAGGGCGAGGGCGACGACATGCCCATGTCCGACGATGATGAAGAAGGAGGAGCCATGGAGGAGATCATGCTACAAAATGACAGCATTGCACACTTTGACGGACACAAGGACAGCATTTTCAGCATCGCCCAACACCCCACCCACCCACAACTGGTCGCAACCGGCGGCGGCGACGACGTAGCATACCTCTGGGACTGCACGCCACCGCAAGCTCCCGTCCTGCCCGCCTCGTACGAAAGCAATCCCCAGCCCGTCGAACGCCACAGCCAGGAACCCTATGTCAAGCTCGAGGGCCACACGGACTCGGTCAACGCCATTGCTTTCTCGCTGCCCGATGGCAAGTTCGTCGCTACTGCTGGTCTGGACGGCAGACTCAACATTTACAACACTCCACAACAACCACAGAGCGAGCCTGCAAAGGCTTTTGCTTCAGCTGCAGAGGTCGAGGAGATCAACTGGGTGCTGCCCTGCCCTAACCCTACATACCCCAACACATTCGCTCTCGGTGCCAACGATGGTAGTGTCTGGGTCTACACAATCAATGAGCAGGATGCCGCCTCGCCGCTTACTATCGTACAAGCTTTCTATCTCCACCAGGCTTCTTGCACTGCTGGCGCATGGACGCCCGATGGCAAGCTGTTGTGCACTGTTTCAGAGGACTCGACTCTGTACGTCTGGGACGTATTCGGTGACGCTGCAGCTGCTGGTCTCTCAAACCCTTCAGGCCAAGCTGTCATCGGTCTGACTGGCGAGGACGAGCGTTTCCTCATCGAGGGTGGTCTGTACAGTGTAGCTGTTTCACCCGGCGGTGCTCTTGTCGCAGTTGGAGGTGCCGAAGGTCAAATCCGCGTAGTCGGTCTGCCGCGTCTTTCCATTCCCGCAGGGCAATCCGTCACTTCTGGGGCCAAGGGCGCCGGTCCCCGTGGCAAGGCTGGTGGTGCTAAGCAAGCGGGCGGTCCTAAAGGCGGTCAGTCAACCGCTGCATCAGGCCAATCCGGTGTCATTCTCGCAGCGCTCGCCGCTCAATCCGATGGTATCGAGACTTTGTCATTCGCTCAACCGCCATTGACTCTTTTGGCTGCTGGTAGTGTGGATGGCAGTATTGCTCTTTTCGACGTTGCACACAACTTTGCTATCCGCAGACATATTAGGGATGCACATGAGGAAGAGGCTGTCATCAAGGTCGAATTCGTCAATGCGGGACAGAATGGAAGCAACTACATGCTCACATCTTGCGGCAACGATGGTGTTGTGAGGAGATGGGATGTCAGAGGTGGTACTGCCGCTGCTAATGGCGGTTTGAGCGGAGAGTGGAGAGGCCACAGAGGTGGTGGTGAGGGTGGTGGTGTCATGGGTTTCGTGCAAGGTGGCGGCGGTAGGGCCATCGTTACTGCTGGAGATGACAGCGTGTCGCTTGTCTTCAACGCACCTCCTCAGTAAATAAATGGGAAAAGAAAGGAAAAAGCTACTGTAGATACCCTCTGGATGCAAGCGCTCCAAACATGATGACCTTCTCACACACGCCCGTTTCCCGTCTTCCCTTGAGCAACAACTTCAGCCTTGAACATGTGATCCTCATCTTGAACCTCTACAGTCTCCAAGCTTCTAGCTCTTGCAATTCTCTCCTCATTCAAGAGATATGCTCTAGGCAGACCTTCGTCAATCGCCTTCTCCATCGCCGCATCCATATCATCTCCCATCACCATGGTCGCAACACTCTTACCACACAACCAAGCATTAGGCATACCATGCCCCGTATACCCAGCAACCACAAAAACACCTTTCTGGTCTGGCACAGCACCCACCCACGGCAGCCCATCCCTCGAGAAGCCCATAATCCCCGTCCACTCATACTCCGCCTTCAACTCCCTCTCACCCTCCCCATCACCAGGAACCAACAATTTTGGAAGCGACGTACGTAAATACATCGCCAAATTTGCGTCCACCTCTTCATCATCACAAACCTCCAAACTAGGGCCAAAACTCCTTCCACCACCAAACATGAGATGAGCTCCTTTGCCCTGGGGTCTTTGAACAAGATAATCATCCATGTTAGGGCCTATGAATGCAAAACTTGTCGTTGTTCTCGAGGGACCTGAGAAAGAGCTTCCAGGGACCAGAGCAGACATTTGACCTCTACAAGGTACAATGAGATCAGCCATTTGTGGGATCAAGTGGGATGTATACGCATTAGTAGCCAACACCACTTTCTTGGCCACGATATTTCCTCGACCAGTGTGAAGGTTCCAGGTTCCAGAGCCTGTTGGTGATAGAGATGTTACTCGTGTGTTGGTTTGTAGATTTAATGCTGGATTGGAAAGCAAGTGTTCCCAGACCCCGGTGACGAGTTTATAGGGCCAGAGTCTTGCTGCAATGTCTGTTATTACCGCACCTTTTGCTTCTGGCACTTGCAAGCCTAGTTTTAGTAGATCCTCGGTTGTGTCTACTACTCTAACCATGGCTCCCAGTGAAGGGTTGTTTTGCTGTAGTGTGGCAACAGCAATATGAGCTAGTTCGACCTCTTCAGTAGAGTAAAGGCCACGGATACCGGGTTGAGTGTTCCATTCGCAGGAGATGTTTTGGGCCGCTATGAGGTCTGATAGAGCCAAAAAGTTTGCGTATTCGAAATTGGAGATTGAAGGGTCGTGGGGGTGCTCATAGAACATTGGGAGGCAGTGTCCACCATTTCTGATACGCGGTCACGTTAGTCTGTGGTGAAGTAGAGGAATGAGGTGTGGAGTGTCTTGATTGAAAGGCGTGTATAGATGTATAGGCAGGCACGACCAGGACACTGGCCAACAGAACTTGTTGCAAGTCTTGTATGTCAGAAGTGAATGCGTAAGAGACGAGTCTGGCACAATGAAGCAGACCAATAAATCGAAGACATTGACGTAGACTTACCTCCCAGTAGCACCCCAACAGACCTCTCTAGCCTCCAGAACAAGTACATTTTGCTTCTCTGCCCCTGATTTCTCGCCATCGAGCAAATGATATGCCACACTAGCACCACTGATCCCACTGCCTACAATCACAACATCAACCTCGCGGGGCAAAATGGCTGTAGAGCGATGACCAATGAGTTTGGCAGAGGGCTCAGAATGCCAAAAAGAGGCCGAGGACTTTTCAGATGGAAGATCGGCTGGCTTTGACATGATCACAGATGCTATAGGAATGAGAACAGAATGTCAAGTTTACGCAGTGAAGTTGAGATGACCGAACTACGGGCGATTAGATAGGCGAAAAGTGGGCCGGTCAGGGTTGCCTTGGTCGACTTGGTCATCAACGGTCACAGATTATGGACTTGCATCTGCTAAGAGTGCCTTTTTCAATGCAGATAGATGAGTGACCACACCTGAGACAAAGATGTACAAGAATGCAGTGTCATGGACCTTGAGGTCGCTTTCGTCAAACGAATACTGCTAGAGATAAGCAAGGTGACTTATGACGATGTCAGGACAACGTGAGAATTGGCATAGACTCAGAATCGATGCGAGTCTCATCACTCCGATAGTCGCACGTCACACAGAAATTCCTTCAGCAAACATTCACCTACTTGGGCCATGCTTCGACATGACTTGGAGGACCTTTGACGGACCACCAAACAAACCGAGGCTTGTACTCTAGGCGATCCGGTAAAGAGACGGTTAGTCTCCCCGCACGCACATCTTCCCCGCAAGTTGTGGGGTTTGACAGGATGCAGGATGCACTTGATGAACAGAGCCGCGGGCAAACAAGCAGAGCGGAACAGTCGTGCCGTGCTGAGCTGGAGGATCACGAGGGTGTTGCCAGTGGTTGGAGGACGCGGTATCTTTTCCAATCTCTCAATCTGCAAATTTCCTTTCGTTCAGTACAACACATATTAGACTTTCAACTTCACACAGACTCACCTAAAGATGCCTTGGAAAAGTCGCTGGACCGTCGATATACCACAAGTTGGTCTGCCTACTTATGTGTTTGGTTCTCCCTCTGCCCCCTTGCCGGAAACACCAATCCTGCTGGATGCAGAGAAGTCGGAGAGATATCACCTCTCCGCCTCGGAACTCAGACAATGGTGCAAGCGATTCGCTACTGGTCTCCAGAGGGCTGGACTGAAATCTGGTGATCGCGTGCTTCTATTCTCAGGCAATACACTATTCTTCCCTGTGGTCTTCCTGGGCACAATCATGGCTGGGGGCGTCTTTACGGGTGCCAATCCTACCTACGTTGCTCGCGAGCTGGCATACCAGCTGCAGGATTCGGGGGCCAAATTCTTGATCTGTGCCGAGGGGAGTCTGGATACTGGTATTGAGGCAGCAGACGCAGCTGGACTCTCTCACAACAATGTCTTTGCGTTCGACAATGGATACGCGACTTTTGATAACACTGGCAAGGGACGTGGAGATGTGAGGCATTGGACCGAGCTGCTTGCTAGCACAGCAGAAAGCAAGGACTTCGCTTGGGAAGAATTGAGCACTAACGAGGAGCTTGAACGCACCATCTGTCTCAATTATAGTTCAGGAACGACAGGCGTGCCGAAGGGTGTTATGATCACTCACAGAAACTACGTCAGCAACAACGAAGGTGTGGTTCGCGTGGTTCAATCCATTCCAGAGTATGAGGAGCTCAAGAAGACTGCTCGATGGCTATGCATGCTCCCAATGGTATGTGTTTGCTAGTCCGATGCGAGCCTCTTTACTCACCGATCTCCACAGTACCACGCATATGGACAAACTTACTACTGTGTCGGCAGCATTTCGCGAGGAGTTCCGACATATGTCATGCAGAAGTTCGACTTCCTCAAGATGCTGGCTTACATTGAGAAGTATAAGATTACCGATCTCAACCTTGTGCCACCAATTGCTGTTGCAATGGCCAAGCATCCGGCAACGAAGCAGCATGATTTGAGCTCTGTGAGGTATATCGGATCAGGTGCCGCGCCGCTTGGCAGCGAAGTATCGAAAGAGGTTGAGCAGCTATGGCCCACGGGAACGAGAAACATGAAGCAGGGCTGGGGTATGACAGAGTAAGTAGAAGGAAGGCTGAAAGTTGTATGGCTACTAATGATGAGACAGGTTGACCTGCTCAGCTTGCAGTTGGGATTTGACCAAGACCTCAAATTCGAATGCAGTTGGTGAGCTCAATCCCAACGTTGAAGCTATGATTGTGGACGTCGCTTCTGGGTCCGAAGTACAGCGAGGACTGAGGGGCGAACTCTGGATTCGTGGACCAACAGTGATGAAGGGTTACTGGGGCAAGCCAGATGCTACCAAGGAGACCATTACAGAAGAAGGTTGGTTGAGAACTGGCGATGTGGCATATCTCGATGAAGAGGGTCATCTCTTCATTGTGGATCGTATCAAGGTAAGTGTTGAGCCGCTGTACATGCAGATTATGAGGAGAGGAGCTAATCAGACAACAGGAGTTGATCAAGGTTAAAGGCAATCAAGTCGCACCAGCCGAGCTAGAAGCTCTTTTGCTTGACCATCCAGCTATTGCAGATGCTGGTGTAGTCGGCGTGACAATGTATGTTTCGTAACCTCGACCAACGATCCCAACACTGACAACCTACAGAAAGGGAGAAGAGCTTCCACGAGCCTACCTTGTACGACGCGCGGAGCAAAAGGTCGAGGCCCAAGACATTCAAGAATTCATGAACAGCAAAGTCGCAAGACACAAGCGTCTGGCCGGCGGAGTCGTTTTTGTGGAAGCAATTCCAAAGAATCCTGTAAGTTTCGCAAGACCTCATTGAATGACACGATGGCTGACATCTAGATAGTCCGGAAAGATTCTGCGCAAGATACTTCGCGATCAGGCAAAGGCTGAAGTCGGAGATTCGGAAGCCAAGGCAGCACGTCTGTAGAGGTCAGTGTTGTCACTCGAGACCGCCAGGACAACGTGAACGCATAATGAATAAGTCGAGATCAAGAAGCGCGAGGGTCGACAGATGCAGGGTCGTACTGGTAGTCGAGAGGGACAGTGTATATACATCAAGACTCAGATTATCATTGTGTACGTCAAGACCATCGAGATCTGTCGCAAAAACCTCAGGAAGATTAAGTTGTCATATTGATTCTATCACTTGGTACGCATAATAAAGTGACGGCCGAGTGAGTGTGGAGCTGCTTGATGTTCAGTCGAGAATGTGGCCAACGCGGCGCTAAAATCTTGGCAGCATCTTTTGGAAAGCGCACAGAATTTAGCAATGTGAAAAAGCCGGTCGCTCCTTCCCTTCCACGCCCAACGACCCCGTCAACCACCGACAAGATGCCTTTCGTAAGTATCACTGTCTATACCTGAAGAGCCCTGTGGCCACCGGCGTAATGCCAGAGAGTCCCTGCAAGATGCTTCGGAAAGGTTTCTGAAGCGCAAATTGCTGACTCGAGGATGTTTCTTTAGACCAAGTTGGTCAAGAACGACGCCTACTTCTCGTAAGTGCACACTCCTGAACTCACTGACAAGTGCGGCTGGAGATTCTAACAACCTCTCAGGCGCTACCAGGTCAAGTACCGCCGTAGACGCTCGGGTAAGACCGACTACTACGCCCGCAAGCGTCTCATCACCCAGGCCAAGAACAAGTACAACGCACCCAAGTACCGCCTGGTCGTTCGCTTCACCAACCGCGACATCATCTGCCAGATCGTCTCTTCCGAGATTACTGGTGACAAGGTCTTCGTCGCTGCCTACGCCCACGAGCTCAAGGCTTACGGTGTTGAGCACGGTCTTACCAACTGGGCTGCCGCCTACTCCGTCGGTCTTCTGATCGCCCGCCGTGCCGTTCACAAGCTCGGCATCCAGGACTCCTTCACTGGTGTCGAGGAGGCTGATGGCGAGTTCACCCTGACCGAGGCCGCTGAGGTCGACGGTGAGGAGCGCCGCCCCTTCAAGGTCTACCTTGATGTCGGTCTGACTCGCACCTCTACCGGTGCTCGTGTCTTCGCCGCCATGAAGGGTGCCTCCGACGGTGGTCTTTACGTCCCCCACTCCGAGAAGCGTTTCCCCGGTTTCGACATTGAGACCAAGGAGCTCGACGCCGAGACCCTCCGCAAGTACATCTTCGCCGGTCACGTCGCTGAGTACATGGAGACTCTTGCCGACGACGATGAGGAGCGTTACAAGTCCCAGTTCCAGGGCTACATTGACGACGACATTGAGGCCGACGGTCTTGAGGAGCTCTACCAGGATGCCCACAAGCAGATCCGTGAGGACCCCTTCAAGAAGGTCGAGGGTGAGGAGAAGAAGTCCAAGGACTTCTGGAAGGAGGAGTCCAAGAAGTTCCGCGACAACAAGCTTACCAAGGCTGAGCGTGACGCCAAGATCCAGGAGAAGATCAAGGCTCTCTCCGCTTAAATGCATCATCATCAGCATCAAAAGGGGTATGGGGTCGATTATGGACGGGAACTCGTGACGTCTCGAGGGTTTCCTCCACGTTTATGACAGGAGCTTTCGGCGTCAATGGCCTTGCTTTAAGGATATCATGGGTGGGACAATGTGCTACGGCACTTGTGGTTGCTTTTATTTCGAATCAAAAAGTCTGCAAAGCAAGGTCATCAAACCTTTCTGTTTCTCTGTGAATAACATACCGTGATGTGATCGTAAAGAACTTTCATCCTATGCTAAGCATTCTTAGAAATCAGGGAATTGCCCTCCATGTCTGTAATCTGACGGACCCCGTTGTGCGCAAGGAGATAGATGTTCACCACCCCATACTTAACTAGGCGCCGGGCTGCATGCCGGAAGATGAGCGAGCCGAAGATGATTTTCCAGACCATCACTCCACTCGCCAAAAAGCTCGCGTGCTCAGAGCGGAGCCAACAACGTCATTGACTGCATTCTACAAGAAAAGGAACGAGAAAAGAGCATGGTAGGTCTGCAACAATTTCGCAAATGTTTCCGTCCAGGTCCGCCGATTCGCGGAGCAGATTATTTCGGAGAGGGCGGTTACGCTATCGCGACATTCTTGGTGTCTCGAGCCAAGAGTCCGAAGTAGATCGTGGAGCCGAAGCTCTCAAATAGACAAGACGCATGATGCGACAGACAGATGAGAGCTAGATATACCAAAGCCTTGTCGCAATCGAAGCTGAGACTCGATCGAGTCGTCGGACAGTTTCAAGCAGACAAGCTAAGTGAGCCAGTGGCACTAAGATCACATGGCGTGCAAGTGAGGAGGCCGAGGGTCCATAGAATACATGACCGACTCCTCCACACTTGATCTGGACTCTGAACCATCGGCCCGCTACACCAGGTTCAATTTCATCAAGACCCCTCCCACCCCCCAGCCCAAGTCCGTTCACACTCTGCTCAATCGCATATACCGTCGCATACTTGCGACATTGTAAAAACGCAACACGAATTGAGGAAGAGCATGGCTTGACACACACACGACATCCCAGCAAGCAAAGCACCATGGAATCCGTGCACGGCGTCGACGTCAGTTGGCTGCATCAACCAAACAGAGATAGAGGTGCGTCGTCTATCAATGCTGCTCAATCTAGCCTGGAGACTCAGACTCGCGTAGAACACCCACAGCATGAACCTCACGTCCATCGTGCCCCCGGTCCGCTCGGCGACGCGCCTCCGCCCGTCTCGTCGCATGCCCGCTCACGCTCCGCTTCGCCCATAGAATCAAAGAAAGCTCCTCCATTGCCCTCGACCCCGAAACAACCGTCGCCGCCTCGAGACACTACACCTGCTCAACCTCCGCCTTCAAACACACAGGACTTGTCGAATGCTGCTTCAAGGACTCCGTCGAGACGACCCGGTATCCTTAGTCGCAGCTCTTCGCAAAGAGAGAGCTCCGATGGTTCGAGGCCTTCACGTAGAAACTCATGGATCTCCAACATCAGCTCCAAATTCTCTTCGCAGGCTCCTCCGTCCCCCAGTGTACCTCAAACCACCAAGTCGCAAGCCAATGGCACAAACGCTGGTCCATCGTCACAATCTGCTAGAGACAACTTGGTTACGAGCCCAGCACAGCCGACGCCAAACCGCGAGGCTGAAGAACTGCAACCATATGTCCCCCAGCGACCGAAAGAATCGAACAGCTCTTTCTTCTCCAACCTCACCCGCCGCTTGTCTTCCGGCGCCCAGACCAATGGCTCTCCTCGTGGAGGTGAGAATGGCGGAATGTGCCCGCGACGGGTCTTGAACGTCAATCAAGCTCGCGAACGCTGTATCTTACCCGAACTCGACTCTGCCAAACTGCGACGTGTTGCCTTTTCGGTCGATGTTGAAATTGCTTCAATTCCACGATACAGAGACGACGATGGCGACGCTTCAAAGCAGAAGAAGGTCAAGGACAAGAAAGTAAAAGATCGTGCAGAGGGCGAGGCCTTGAAGAATCCACAAGCAGTTACTGAACGCAAAGAACAGTCAGATACTGCCGCCGTACCCGCCGATGACGCTATTGCTGCTAGCCCAGTGAACTCATCCGAGAATGGACCAACAATTGGCGAAAAGCCCACCGCTTCTGCGGAAGATCCAAACCCAACTCCAGAGGATGATATGCGGAAGGAGCAAAAGGCGAAGAAGAGACAAAAGGCCGAGGACAGTGGCCAGCTTCCTCGCGAACTGACCGGCGACGCAAAAGACCGTCCAGCTGACGCAGCACCGACTGTATCGGGCACTAACACCCCCAAAGATCGGCCAACAACAGATCCGGTGAGAATCTACAGAAGATGCTGCCAGCTCAGAGAATCACCTATCCTCAAGCGCATCACGGAGCAGTTGATGGCAGATGACTGCACTTCACCTGAGGATCCCGGAACCGTCACCCAGCTCAATCTCACTGGTTCCCGCCTGCAGTTGGCCGACTTTGTTACTCTTAGTGACTGGCTCGCCATTGTACCCGTCAAGCGCCTACTACTCGAGGACGCAGATCTTAGTGATGAGGGCTTACGGGTGATTCTATCTGGTTTGCTGGCTTCAAAGAAACCTCAACCCACTAGACGTCGTAATGGTGGTCGCTTATCCCCTGCTAAACCTACGGGCGGAATCGTGGAGAAGCTAACACTCAAGAACAACCCAAGAATCTCTCGTATAGGATGGAAGCATATCTCCATATTCTTGTACATGTGCCGATCGATCAAAGCTCTCGATGTCTCGATGCTACATTTCCCTCAGGAGTTACCACCTAGCGAGCCCGATGTCAATATCAAGGCACCGGGTCAGATGCCAAAGACTACTGGCAAGTCGGTCGATGCTGCAGAGACATTGTGTAAGGCACTATCCGGAAGGCTCGGTGGGTCGCGTCTAGAGGAGATCACCATGGCAGAATGCGGTCTTCTGCCACCTCAAATCCGAAAAATTGTGGACGGAGCCACAGTCTGTGGCATTGCTCGACTTGGATTTGCTAGCAACAACCTCAACGATGAAGGCTTCGAACACATATTGCACTTCGTACGGTCGGGTGTCTGCCAGGCTCTCGACCTAGGTAGCAACGACTTACGAGGCAAGCTTGGCAAACTTGCAGAGGCCTTGAAGCACAACCCCAATTGTTCAGTCTGGGGCTTAAGCCTTGCTGGCTGCAATCTGGACACTAATTCGCTGAAAGAACTTCTACCGACTTTAACGACACTTCAGAATTTCCGCTTCATCGACATCAGTCACAACAGAAACCTGTTTGTGGGTGAATCATGTACGCTACAGCTGCTCCGGAGATATTTGCCCAAATTGGACAACCTGAAGCGACTGCACCTTGTGGATGTTGGTCTGTCAGTGAAGCAGGCCATATCATTGGCTGAGGTAAGGATCTTGCTCGATTAAGTCCGGCGTATGGGACTGACTTGTACCAGGTTATACCAGAGGGTGCCTCGCTTGCTCATCTGACTATCCTCGAGAACCCTGAACTTTCGGCGTTATCTCAAGCGACAGACGAGGATAGTCAGGAAGAGGCTTGTGCTCTGTACGCCTCGCTCTGTGCCGCAGCGCGAGTCTCCAAATCACTTGTCTGCATTGACGTCGATGTAAGTCATGACGACCGCTATATACTCTACCGATTGCTGACCCACCTTTACTTCAGGTACCTGGTCCCGGTCACAACGAGGTAGTTCGGGCCTTGGCAAAGCAAATCGTTGCATACTGCCTACGTAACATGGACACTACTATGGCTCAATCTTCTCTACTGCCTGCAGCAGCAATGCTTTCTAAACAGCATGGAGTCGAAGACGCCAGACAGGCGCCAGTACCGGACGTACTAGTACATCTAGTTGGACATTTGGACGGCGATCAAGCTTCGGATGCCAGTGACGACGAAACAGCACCTGACGACGACTACATCGTTGGTGGAAATGGAATCATCAAGGCGCTAGAGTACTTCCTCGGAGAAGACAACTCAGACCGACGCAACGGCAGCATATCGCTTTCAGGAACCACAACACCTCTGGATATCGGTAACCCTAATCAGAGTGAGGTCAAGAGGCGAAGAAAGGCCAAGGAAGTCAGTAAAAATCTGCTTGACAGTGCTCGCAAGCTGCGGAACCGTCTGAAGCCAGCTTTGGTCAAGGAGTTTGCAGCTGGTGATGAAATGAACTACCGTCGCTTGCTCTTCCTGGACCAGACTTTGAGCGGTATGATCGAGCGATTCGAAGATGAGTTCCCTGAGACTCGCCTCCGTCTGGACATTCCACCGCACCAGCAAAATCTATCCTTGTCTTCTTCAATGGAGTCGACAGAGTCTGGACCTTTGTCGAACGACTTCATGGCTAGCTCTGCTACAACCTTCGGAACGGAAACGTCAGCGATTGAATCTGACCTGGAAGAGGACTTGCATGTCGGCTCGATGAGAAGAAAGGCTAGCGATGTTAGTCTGGCGTCCAGGGCACTTTCGATCGAAGAAGGTCGCATCCATCGTATTGGACACAAAGTCCGACAGGACATTATTGACGTGCCAATTGTTGCACAGACGTCAGAATCAGATGCACACGCCGAGTGGGCGCCCGGGTCGCACATGGCCGACATTGCATCGAAACTGGCAGACATGTCCGGACCGGAACTTCGAGTCCTCGTAGACCAGGAGGATGGATGGGAAGGAGTGATGCAGACGATGGGGGCCAACCTCGAGGAGCTACAGCAGCTGCAGATGAAAGATCCTCAGGGCTGGGAGCAGTTCAAGGAGAGTCAACTTACAGCACGCGCCAATCGCGGCGCTCCGATCTTCTTGTAACACGGTCGATATCTATTGTAATTACGCTTATGACTGGCGGTTTATGGGAAGCCCTCTGCAAGGCGGTCTAGGAAGGCGGGCGTTAGGAATCAGGATGATGGTTTTCTTCTTGTCGGGAGGGGGAGACACGTTTTTGAATAGCGTAGGCGCATTTCATAAAGACTGCAGACATCAAAACATGCAAAGAGAAAGCACCAGTTGACAGGTCTAGCATTGATATCACGCGAGAAGATGTACTCACAGATTCCCAAAGCTGAAAGATGATTGCTTCAGGGGAAGGGATGATTGTGGGGAAAAGTCGCGAGGGGCTTGTGCATGTGCAGATGATGTGCAGCTTGATCTGGCCAGGTAACTTGGATCGCCATTGCTCTATCTATATCCTCCTCTCTTCTAGCCAGTCGTGAGGCAGCGACCGAGGCATATCGCATCAGATATTCAACCAAGGCGACGTCACGAAGTAGCCAGCTTCATCCAACCTTATGCAGCAAGCCGCTCACTAAACCCACCCCGTTTGCTGTATTCGATCGCATTGCCATCACCATGTCGTACGCCCTACCTCGCACCGGACCTGATTCGGGACGATCGCGTTTCCAAACCCAAGATGCCTCGACGGGCAGTGCAGGTGTGGCCGAGAAAATAGGAGGAATGTTTGGCGACAGGAGGCCCTCCTTGCCCATGTACAAAGACAAGCCCTTCGCCAACTCCTCCCGCAGACTACCTTGGTTCAGGAGGAAACGTATCCTGGCCGCTTCGCTGGTCGCCTTCACCACTCTCTTCTACTGGTTGGGTTTGTCCAGCGGATCACCAACTCCTGCCGTCATCAAGTCCAAGAAGCCTGCAAACTGGGAAGATCGACGGAAATTGGTAAGAGATGCTTTCAAGTTGAGCTGGTCTGCATACGAACAACATGGCTGGGGTTACGACGAGTTCAAGCCCGTCTCCCAGACCGGTCGCCACATGGTCAATGGTGGCATGGGCTGGATCATAGTAGATGCTCTCGACACACTGATGCTCATGAATCTCACCACCGAACTCTCGCACGCTAGAGATTGGGTCTCGACCACCCTGAATTACGACATTGACCACGATGTAAACACTTTCGAAACCACCATCCGCATGCTCGGTGGCTTGCTATCCGCTCATTACATTTCCACAACCTTCCCGGACTACGCTCCTTTGACGAGTCACTCTGCTACTGGCGCTTCCATCAGCGAGGACTTGTACTTGGAGAAGGCCGCCGATCTGGCTGATCGTCTTCTCGGCGCATACGAGTCAAACTCTGGTGTGCCTTACGCCAGCGTCAATCTCCACACTGGCAAGGGCATTCCGTCTCATGATGATGGAGGTGCTTCTTCGACCGCCGAAGCAACCAGTCTTCAACTCGAGATGAAATACCTGGCCAAACTGACGGGCGAGGTACACTACTGGGAGAAGGCCGAGAAGGTCATGCAAGTCGTTGATGACAACAACATGGAGGACGGTCTGTTACCTATCTTCATCTACGCCCAAACTGGTAACTTCAGAGGCAACAACATCAGATTGGGCAGCCGTGGTGACTCTTACTACGGTATGTGAGCTTGGAAACATGTATTGATCTTGTGCTAATGTCCTTCAGAATACTTGATCAAGCAGTACCTGCAAACCTCGAAGCAGGAATCTGTCTACCAAGAGATGTGGGATCAGTCTCTTGCAGGCATTCAGAAGCATCTCATCACATACTCGCAGACGGCCAATCTCACCATTCTTGGTGAGCGTCCTATGGGTCTGGACCAGCCAATTTCTCCCAAGATGGATCATCTGGTTTGCTTCATGCCGGGTACTATCGCACTCGGAGCTACTCAGGGAAAGACTCTCGCAGAAGCCATGAAGTCGCCTGACTGGAGCAAGAAGCAGGAGGGTGAAATCGAGCTTGCCAAGCAACTAATGAAGACCTGCTGGGCTACTTACAAAGTCACCGCGACCGGTCTCGCGGCAGAAATCACCCACTTCGAGATGCACGATCCTCCAGCTATGATGCCCGATGGCATTCTCTCGTCACCAGAGACACTTTCCGATGATGCAGAAGCAGAGTGGAAGAAGGACTTGATCGTCAAGAGCGCCGACTCGCACAATCTGCAACGTCCCGAAACAGTCGAGAGTCTATTCTACATGTGGCGCATCACCAACGATGACATTTACCGCGAATGGGGCTGGGAAATGTTCGAGTCCTTCGTCAAGCACACGGCCGTCGAGCACAATGGCGGATACACCAGTATCAACAATGTCAACGACATCCCCACATCTGCCAGAGACAACATGGAAAGTTTCTGGCTCGCCGAGACGTTAAAGTACTTTTACCTCCTCTTTGGGCCTGATGATGTTTTACCATTGGATAAAGTCGTGTTTAACACCGAAGCTCACGCGTTCCCTAACTTTGAGTTGGGCAAGCTATTCAAGACTGGGTGGAAGCGTAAGCCGAGAGATTCTAATGGTCAGCTTGTTGAGGTGCCTGCGCCTCGTGATGCTGTTACTGGGGATGTGAAGAAGGAGGCTACGGCCCCAGGCATCAAGACGGTGACTGTACAGGGCGCAAAGACGTTGCCTGTGGAAGCGCCTGTCAAGGTGGAGGAAGCATAGGCTTTTGTGACACAAGCACATTATTTATTCCGTCTGAATGTTTGTTGTTGCATAGCGTGACTAGATTAGATGACGAGAAAAAGCACCAACTTCAATCCTCTATTAGTCTCATCGTTCTTGTTGTGAAAAGATAGGGGAGTTGATCGAGTTTGCCCATTTTCGTCGCTTGCAGGGCCACCCTGGCATGAACTCTCGGGTGGCATTTAATCGTGAATATAGCAGTGAGCTCTTCCCTTGTCTGCTTTATTGCGTGTCATTACGATGGGCGCCATCATAATACCCATCTTGATTATGGTCTCGTCGTGACCATTGTGCTTGACATGATATCATGGAGACGTCTGTTGTGGATTGGGACCGGAATGGCATGACAAGTTCCGTGATGTCACAAAGCAAACACCGTGAGAAAACGAAAACAAGGGTGTTCTCTCGAGTATCTGAATTGAATTAAAAGTCTATACATCCCAAGAACGCAGAGAAAAAGAAAAAAAGAAAAAGAAGAAAACTCACCCACCGCTCATGCATCAAGCAGAGTCATAACCCCAGCACCTAGGAATCTGGGAAACCATACAAACAACCACGACAGCAACGACAACGACAACAAACATCAACATGAACAAGAACAACCAGCACTACTCACCCTCAGAACCGTCATCTCCCTTCACCCTCAACGGGAGGGGGGAAGGAGTTGAGTGAATGAAGATGAAGAAAAAGAAAAAGAAGAAGAAGAAGAAGAAGAAGAAGAAGAAGAAGAAGAAGAAGAAGAAGAAGAAGAAGAAGAAGAAGAAGAAGAAGAAGAAGAAGAAGAAGAA